AGCAGGCACAGCAGGCACAGCAGGCACAGCAGGCACAGCAGGCACAGCAGCCTCTACCAGCCCAGTGCCTCCCAGCTGGAAAGCCGCTGGAGAGGAGGGTCGACAGCGTGCCGCTGCCTCGCTTGCATGCGCGAGAATCTCTCAAGCGAACAGAGTCGCTACCTATTGTCGCTGCCACCGGTACCAAGAGGAAAAAGACCAAGAGAGGCCGACGTATCGCCATGGACCAAGTCCCAGCGCGAAAGCCATCGGAGGTGGCACTGGTGCGCAACCGCATCTACTACGCTCGACTTGTCCGAGATCGGTCGTCGCGACTAGTCTTTGGGCTCCCCATCGTCCATGTCTTCAATCGATCCTCTCCCTCGTATCTGGCAAAATTTCGTCGGAGGGCCCCTTTCTACCATGTCCTTCCCCATGGCACCAATAAGCCGAGGGTCGACGCATTCTTTTCTCACCAGAGGGCACTTCACGTCTCAAAATACATCTGGCCTCGCGAGTTCGGCCTGCACAATGTCTTTACGAGCGCGAGGGAAAGATTCAAGACGAGCGAAAGGTGGCAGGAGTACAGTCATCGAGAAAAAGAAATCAGCGTGAGTACCGCCATCCCCTTTCTTTTCTTTCGCTTTCTCTCTCCCTCTCTCCCTGCGTGTGTGAGTGTGTGTAAAGAGATTAGAGCTAACGAGGGCTGGCTTGACCATCTCAGGCACGAGGAAGGCTCCGGACGCCTCAGAGGCTCAATATGGCTGTCAAGCTGGTCGCGATCATGCTCCGCAAGCACGACAAGCTCGACTATCGACGGCTTCTGGACCGGTGCTGCCCAAGAAAGGCGCCGAGTCGACGCTGCATGACGGAAGCTCAGCGAGAGGAGATTGTTGCAAATATGGTCGAGACGGATAACGTTGCCATGCTATCAGCACCGGTGGAGCTCGGAGAATCTCTCCAGACGCAGCAGCAGCAGCACAGCATGGTCTCAACACAGACGCCAAAGCTGACCGGTACGGAGAAGAGGCCTGCACCACGCTTTACCGTTTACCGAACGCCGACGAAGAGCGTAGCTCGCTTTGCCAAATTGGTTCTGCTCAACCTGGTCCCCTTTGAGTTGTTTGGATCGAGGCACAACCGTAAGCAGATACTCTCAGTCATCAATGCTTTCGTCTCGGCTAGGCGCTTCGAGACGCTCAATCTGCACCACATTGTTCAGGGAATCCGCATCACCGACTGCCACTGGCTTCTGCCAGCGAACCGAAGAGCGCTCAACCAGAGACCTACGGCCGAGGAAATGGAAAAGCGGAGATGTGTGCTCAACGAGCTCATCTACTACCTCTTTGACTCTATCCTCATTCCCCTACTGAGGACTAGCTTCTATGCTACCGAGTCAGCTGCCTTTCGAAACCGTACGCTGTTCTTCAGGCAAGATGATTGGCTCAACGTGTCTGCTCCAGTGCTCGACAAGCTGAAAGCCACGGCATTTGAGCCGGTGAGCAAAGCAGAGGCCCTCTCGATCATGTCGGCTCGCAACTTTGGCTACTCCTACATCCGTCTGCTTCCCAAGGAGACCGGCGTACGTCCGATTGTCAATCTCCGTCGGCGATCGCAGAAATATGGCGCCGATCCATACAAAACCGGCTTCCAACAGAGCATCAACAGTGTCCTCGAGTCCACCTTTCACATTCTCAACTATGAAAAGGCTGCTCAACCGGATCTCTTGGGTGCTAGCGTGTTTGGTGCCAACGACATCTATGTCAGGCTCAAACGGTTCAAGCAATCGTTCCAAGAGTCCCCGCCGAAGCTCTACTTTGTCAAGGTGGACATCAAGTGCGCATTTGATACCATCGATCAGACGATATTGCTGGACATCATCAAGGATCTTCTCTCCAATGACTCCTACATCGTCCAGAGATACACGCGCCTCACGCCTGCAGGACCGGACAGGGTCACAAAGGACCGTGTCAAGCGGGCGTGCCCCGAGACGGATCAGCAACCATTTGACGATTTGGCCAGAGAGCTTGCCAAGGCGCTACGCCACGTCATCTTCTCTGATGGCGTAGTCTATCCGCGCGAAAGCCGGGTCCGCCTCATTGCGCTTCTCGAGCAGCACGTCCGCGGCAATCTCGTCCGGATCGGAAAGGACTTTTGTCGGCAGAACATCGGCATCCCGCAGGGCAGCAGCCTGTCCACGCTGCTTTGCTCCTACTACTTTGCCAAGATGGAGCGCGAAAAGCTGTCTCATCTCAAACTTCTTTCCGGTGACGAAACTTCTACGATACCAGGTACGAAGACGCTGTTGTTGAGGTACACAGACGACTTTCTCCTCGTCACGACGTCCAAGAGCACAGCAGTGGCCTTTTTCGATGCGATGAACCAGGGATTCAAAGAGTATGGATGCTCCATTTCCCCCGCCAAGAGTCTTTGCAATTTTGACCTACCGATCCGCGACACATCGACACTCAGCTTCTCGGGCGGCTATGTTCCGAGACTCAATGTCCAAGTGGGTCACCAGCAAGAAGAGGCGTTTCCGTGGTGTGGCTTTCTCATTCGTACGGGGAGTCTAGCCGTTATGCACGACCTCGATCGCTATAGGGGCATACACATCGCCGACACGCTCACAATCGAGTACGGCTCCTCCTATTCCTCAAGTCGGGGTGTCCGCAGGGCAACGCGACCGGGCCAGGCAATGCAGGCCAAGCTACTAGCGTCCATCAAGAGCCGTTGCCACGTCATCTTTGCCGATTCGACGCTGCACGATGTCTGTTTTGCCGAGGAAAGTGGCGAGACGGTACGACTCAACATTTATCAGGCCTGCATCGTCGCGGCGCTCAAGCTCATCTCGTACTGGCATGGCTTGTCCCGGATGAAAGGAGGGCGCGAGAGGGGCGCAGGTCAACGAAGAGAATCGTCGGCGGCGACGACGAGAGCAGAGGGGGCTCGACTGCTGCTGAATCTCGTCAAACGCGCGTGCAGGTACATGCACGAATGTCTATTGATGCGGACGAACAGTGCGAGGCTTCACTTAGATCCTGGTGCAAAGCTTTCGAAGAGCGTCGAGCAGGGAAAGAAAGACGAGGTCGTCTGGCTGGGTATGCACGCTTTTGAGACGGTCATCAGGGTCAAGACGGTGTCGCGCCATGCCAGGCAGCTACGGAAGGCCCGGGGCGGCAGGGTACTCGTCTGGGACCTTGTCAGGGCTGCTCTAAGTGGCGAAATGCAAGCACTCGTGCCAAGCGGAGTCACGAGAACCAGTCTGGAGAAGACTGCCCAACGGGCCTGGTTCATCTCAAAGGACGTCGTCAATTCCATCCACGTCTGAATAATTGGCTGGGATTCATCGTTGTGCAGTAGTGTAATGGTACTGTTCTGTATTATTATAAGAGGCTATGATTATGACGGAGACAATCTAGCAACATCGATCATTCTACCGTCCACCAAGGGCGCAATGATGGCTAGATCCGCATTGCTCTTTTCTCGAAGCACCTCGCCATCCTCGGGGCTTACTTCGAGGTGCCGTCGCTCCACAACTGGACTTGAAGGTCCCAATCCGCCATCTGTACTGGGCGCGCGAAGGCTCGAAATGGAATTTGAGAGGAAAGAGACATCCATCTCGCCCGAGTCCTCGTCTATGTCATCAAAGGATGTCGAGGCAGACGAGGCAGACCTGGCACCACGCGCCTTGCTCATCTGGGCAGACGAGGAAGCATTGTAGTGCCTTGTCACGGCATCGAAACGGCTGTGATGCTCGCTCGAGCCGACGTGCATAGCATCGCGAATGCCTCCCGGACTGGAATCAATGACGATTTTCTGCTGCCCCGGGGTGCCCAGGTTCTCCAGAGCATGCGGCGCCCTCTTCTTCTTGGCAGGCGTCGAAGGCGGCCCTGCTTGTTCCGAGGACTGATACGACTTTGAGATGGCGTGCGCCCGATCGACGGCCTTCGACGTCTTGCTTGACAGCATGCCATCTATGCCTACTTTACCCTTTCCTGTCTCATCGGCTGAGTCCCTGAAGCTCTTGAGCCTCCAGATCAAATTGGCACCGAGCAAGAATTTGCGGACTTGCGTGCTCATCAGGCTTCCATTCTCGTGGTCGATAAGGTCATTTCCCCTTGACAGGGCTGTGTAACCATCGTGGCCGTCTGCCATGTACTCTCGGGTCGCAACACGGTACATTTTGTTGGAGTCGAGGTGCGGACCCTTTCTCAGTCGAGGCTTGTTGACATCAATCGAATAGCCTCCCTCTGCGCTTCGCTCAAAAGCGTATGATGTCAGAGAGGAAACGGAGCCTCGACGATCCTCGGTGTCATCCTTCTGGACCTTTGAACCGTCTGGGTGAAGCATATGGATGTCCTCGAGCAGGCGCACCTCCACGAGACGCTCGCCGGGCTTCTTGCGCGAGTCCCACTTGATGAAGAGACCAGCAGTCTGTGGGAAGCGGCCTTCCTGGCTCGGATACGATGAAAAGCCATTCTCAAGCGCCTCCAGGATGCCAGACCCTTTCATCTCCTTGACAACGATCGAGTCTTCAAACGGCGCAATCGTCAGAATGTCTCGCAGCGCAATGGCTTCGGGTCTCTCGTCAGCGGGACGCTAAGTGCACCAAGAAGGAAGATACACTCACTGCCTGGCCCAAAGACAGAGTCCCCTCGCAAGCTACCCCCGCATATAAGACACATGTCGACCTCCCTGACGTCCTCTGGTCTCCTTTCTGCGAATTCACCTCTCTTGTCTCTCTCTCGCAAGGCATCCTCGTAGGAATGCATCAAGATGTCGGCAATGAGGTTGCCCACAGCGGACTCTTCCGTCCGTACCTTGTCGGCGCGGCAGTCGAGGGGCGTCAGGCTAAATGCAACTGGCTGACCCGTCGCCTGATCCACTCTGGACATGAGGCTGTCAATGTGCGTTCTTAACTCTGGGAGGGTAGGATCATCGGGCTTCGTCTTGTGTCGCCGAACTACTCAAGAGCAAGTCAGTCGGTCATCACACTTTTAAGATTTGACAGCAAGATGCTCACCGCTCGCCTTTGTAATCGTCCTCCTCCTTACGGCTCCCTCGTGAACCTCGCTCAGCTCGAGGCTTATCTCGCTCAGATCCTGGAAGTCGGTCCCTGACTTGACAATTATGCACCCTTGGTCCTTTTCCGCCCCTGGCAGAGTCGCCTGCCACTCCTCGCCCTCGTAGGTGTCGATGCCCTTGCCGATGTAGTACATGTGATCGTGCCCGCCGAGGATCAGGTCGACGCCGTGCTGGTCGAACGGAGCATTCTTTGTTGCTCCGAGCTCGTTGGCGAGGTCGATGTCATTGGGAAGGCGGCAATGAGTGATGGCCACAACAACGTCGCAGGGCTGATCTCCGCTCCTGAGCTCCTTGGAGATGCGCCGAGCCACTTGCGCCATGGATCGGTATCGAAACTCGGGGGGAAAGGCGGGCACGGTTGCGATCCAGTCCTTCTCAACCAGGCCGATGCAGCCCACTCGAACGCCGTTGATGGCAGGGGCGATCCAACTGCGAAGCGTGCCCTTCACCTGCCCATCGCCTTCCTGCGGCTCATCCTTGAATGCTTGCTCGCTGTCCTTTGTCGACGAGGAAGCCACGTCGGCAATATTGGAAAAGGTCCAGGGAAAGTTGGTCAGGCCCATAAGTCGCTGCAGGTGGGGATAGCCAAAGTCGAAGTCATGGTTACCCAGACAGGCACAGTCAATGGAGAGCGAGTTGAGGACGTCTATCATGTGCTCGCCCCGCGTTACGCTGCTCTCGATACTCGGGTTGAAGACATCGCCCGAGAAGAGGACAAGGCCTTTGAGGTTGTCCGCCTCTGCGTTTTGCTTGGGTGCATCAACGATCTCTTCACCCTTCCTCTCGTCTATCCCGTTTTCTGATCCGATGAGATTGAGTTTCCTTGGCTCTTCGCCCCACGACTGTCGCAGCGAGCCGACTTTTGCCGCGAATTGGTCTGCCGAGATTGTTCCTCCAAGGGCCCTCGACGTCTGCTTGACACGGTAGACGTCGTTGAAGTGCAGAATGGGCAGCTTCTTCACGCCCTCTTCGCCGCATTCGCCCCCCTCCGTCGTCATCGTGTTGGCGACAAGGGCGTACCTGCTTGCTGGAGAAATTTGTCGGGCTCCTCCGTCACCTCTGCGCCCTCCAGAGGTCCGATCTCAGCAAAACCTAATTGAAAAGCTTTGCCCTCCACTGAAACGTGCCTCAACGAGTCTTGTTTCATCGCGTCGCGTTTAGGCCCAACCAACACTACCTATCTTAAATTCCTTTTTTTCTCAGCCTTCTCTCGTCCTCTAAACGCTGCAATGACTGTAGAAGCGCCGGGCCCGGTCCGGTACCAGGACGTCGTGGCCGCCTTTGTCGTCGACCCTCGTCCTTGCAATGACCCTAAAGAACCGCTGAAGATCCTGTGCACGCTCCGCAATGCCGACTCGAAGTACTTTGCAAGTCTTTGGGAGTTCCCAGGTGCGTTGGTACCCGTCAGTCTCCGAGAATGATTACTTGCTTAGCAGTGTTTCTCGTGCAGGTGGCAAGGTGGAGCCAGAAGAGACGCACGCCCAAGCCCTGCGTCGCGAATGCGCCGAGGAGCTGGGCATCGACATCGACTTAGCCTCTTCGGACGCGGACCTGGATCCTTGCTGGTCCTTTTCCCACTTGCCCCAGCCGGACAAGGACCAGCCCGGCCAGCACATAGTCTTCCGTCTCTTTTTCTACTGGGCCACGTACGATGCTGCCGCCCAGCCACACCCACAACCGCTGGCTGCACAGCGTCTCGACTTTCTGACGCCGCGAGAGATGGTCCAGCTCGACTTCTGTCCAGGCTGCAAGGAGATCCGCGAGGCCCTCGCCAGCGGCCAACTCCGTCCGCCGCCCACCGTACTCAAACGGGCTCGCACCTCTGCCTGATGGCTTTTGGCAGCCCAACGCTCACGAAGCTGACATCAGCTGCACCATTCCAGCTGCACGAACCGACCCAGACGATGACACCTCAGCTTGCCCTCCACCTTCGATTCATCACTCGATGCTGCGCTCGAACATAATATCCCTTCTTTTCTTGGACACTCTCCGTTTCGATCGCCCTTTCAAGATGTATGAGAAAGCAAGTGGGCCCCACTAGGGTTTCAGTCGAGGGCAGGCATCAAGTGCGACTCCACCAAACCGTCATCGTAGGCGCCCCGTCCGATTGATCCGTATGACACTCTGATCCTGCAATCTCGATCAATGCCAACTTTTTCATTCCTAGCAGAAGAAGACCACACACAGCGCACCATGTACAAGTGAATGTTACGTCTCCCCAAGAGAGCTCCCAAAAGAGAGCGCGAGAAGAGCACCAGCTACAACTCCTGGTGGATCTTCTCGGCCACGCGATCTTTGGCCTCCTTTGCTGCCTTGCCCACCGTGTTGTAGTCTTTTGTCTCTGCATTCTTTCCCACGAGCTTGTCCTCTTCGCTCTCTCCCAGTCCGACGGCTTCCTTGACCCCTTCGTAGACGCCCTGGAGCCCCTCTGCGCCCTGCTCGACACCCCGGGACCCAAGGTCGGCTGCTGACTCGTACACCAATCCCGCAGCGTCGCCCACAACGCCTGCGTAGTGCTCCACGTACTCGCCTGCGCTCTCTGGGCTGGGCGTGGCGCCAACAGCAGAGGCAGCCATGCTCGATGCGCTCTTGAGGCCGTCCTGTACTGCGTCTGCGTACTGCTCCACGTACTCGCCCGCACTCAGCGGCGACGGCTGGCCACCGACGGCAGAGGCAACGTACGACGAGGCCGAGTGGCCGGCATCTGCGGCCGACGCATAGGCATCGCCAGCCTGGCTTGCGGCCGAGTTGTACGTCTGTCCCGCCTGCTTGGCCGCGCCCTCGTAGGCGTCTCGCACATTGTCCAGTGGTCCCTTTGGCTTCTTCGCAAGGCCCGCTGCGATGGCTGCCTCGCCAAGCTGCGACGTGGCCGCGTCGTAGGCACTCTCGACGTGCTCCTGAATTCCCTCGGGCGTGGGAGAAGCCCCCGCAGCGCTGGCAAGAGACCTCGACGCCGTACGGGCCTGCTCCCCGACCCGGGCCAAGATGCCCTGGGCCGGCTCCTCGTCACCGCCGATGCCGAGCCTCCTCCGTGCGGCCACAGCGGCGGCGTACATCGACGCAGCGGCGCCCTCAGAGATCGACCTGGCCTGCTCGACGATGTTGTCCCGGACATCGGCAATGGCGCCCAGCGAGCCTTGGCCCTGGAGCTGCAGGATGCCCGTCGAGGCGTACGAGTCGACTTGGGACCGGGCGGCCTTGTACAGCTTGGTGACTTGCTTCTGCAGCTCGTCGATGTGCTTGTCCAACTTCGGCTCCTTTCGCAGGTCCGTGGTATTCTCGATGCCCGAGGACCGGTAGGGCGCCTTGCCCGCCACGAGGGCCTGGAGCTCCTCGCGGAAGAACGAGGCGCGCTTGGCGAGGCCGTCGTCCCAGCCCTCGTACTCTTCAACACTTCGCTCAAACTTTGCTTCGCCCATGATGCGGTCGAAGCTCTTGGCGGCCTCCTTGATGAAGCGCTTGATTTCGTTGGAGCTCGCCTTGACGGCCCGTGTCTCGTCTTTTGTCAGGTCAGAAGCGTAGCCCTGAACCATGCTCTGAAGCTCTGCTTCGCTCGCATCGAGCTTGGCCAGCTGTTCCTCGATCGTCTTGCGCGCTTTTTCGAGACGCTCGTCGAGCGTCGACGAAGGCTTGCTGGCATCGATGGAGAGCTTGTTAAAGACCTTCTCGAGCTTGACCAAGATTGACGCCACCTCCTCCTCGACGTGTGTCTCTGAGAGCGTCGCAAAGTGGTCTGGCAGGTCGGCAAGCTTGCGGTTCCTGAGCTCCGCAATGCGCTGGGTGACCAGGACATACTCTTGGCTCTCGAGTCTCTTGAGGCCGACGAGCCAGGCATCGAGCTGCTCATTAATCTTTTCGAGCTCCGCATCGAGCTCGGCGTCAAGCTTCGCGACCTCGATCGGGTCTTCGTCCTCGTCGCCCCGTCCGACTGCAGCGGTGGCGGCCTGCTTGATGCGATCGACCACAGAGGGATCCTCCTGTGACTTGCGCGCCGACGCTTCGGCCTCATCAACAGCCGCCTTGGTCTTTGCATCGCCCTCTGCCCGTACCTCTCGCACGTCTTGCTTTGCCTGCCTGATGGCCTCAGACCCCGTCGCATGAGCCTTTCGCTCAAAGATCTTGGCCAGCAGCCGGTCAATCTGTGGCCGCACGTAGAGGCTGTATGCGCGGCGCATGGCTGGATCAGCATGGTTCACGTAGAAGGCATGCAGCTGGCGGAGCGAGGAGACAACCAAGGGGTGCACCCGGCCGACGTAGAAGGTGTACGAAGCATGACTGGCCGTCAGGCTATATGCGTATGCCTGCGACAGGTACGGCGCTACATCGCGGGTGTAGATGTCTTGATAGGGCTTGACAGTCTTTTGCAAGTCTGCCGACGCTCTCGCCTGTTCAGTGTGCTGTCGTGAAGAGGAGTAGCCAGGGACAAAAAAAGATCACTCACTGTCGACGTGCGGCTTGACCTGCTTCTTGTATTGAGCGTTGAAGTTCTTGATGTGAGGGTCGGCATATGCCCTGCCCTTCTTGACCGTTCGCTTCCTGACCGGCTCGACATGCCGATTGTAGAGGGCTCTTCCTCTCTTATGAGCCTGGACGTAGTAGGGCTTCGTCGTCTTCCAGGCCGCCTTGGTGTATGGCGTTGCGGCCTTGATGTATGGACCAGTGTAGGGGTCGATCTTGGCGTGGACAGTGTTCCAGATGGGAGTGACAACGGGCTGGAGACCTTGCTTTACGTGAGCCAGGTTCCTACAGAGGCCCCGTTTGTCGTTCTTCTTGAAATCAAAGGCCAGCGGCGACGAGCTGCATTGCCAGAGAGCACCAATGGCGACGTAGAATGCAAAGACACGCGTCAGAAAGCTGAAAAGGAATCCAAGAAAGCCTCTCCCCTGGCGGCGCTTCTGCTGCTGCTTCCTGCTCGCTTTTGTCACGCTCGACGTGGTCTGCGACCTGTCGGCAGGAGCATATCCGTCTCGCTTGTCCTTCGCGCCTATGTTTTTTGAATCGACGACCGTCTCGCCAAACCGAACGGGCGGCGTGGGCACATTTGGATTGCCCGACGGAGGCAAGCTCCCAACGGCCTTGTTTCTTGGCGCCATGACTCTATTCTCCCAATGATCTTTGGCGGCTTCTTCCTTTCGTCGTCAACGTCGTCGGTAGGCAAGAGCAGAGGAACAAGAGGCGGATGTGGGCCAGCGCACAGATCAGAAAGTCGCGCACCCGAAATCGTCGAAAAATTAGGCGCAAACACGTCATAGGTTCCCCTCCTCTCGCCTGTCAAAGAACCGGACGGACACACTCATCCATTCTTGGTCGATGTCACTTCTTGTCGTCGGATTTCATCTCAAAAGGTGCGCGACAGGGAACGCGAGAGTATTCTAACAGGCCGCACTGGGCCTCAAGGCCCTTAGCATAGGAATTGCCAGTCAGGCTTGCTTCACAATGGAAGGATAAGGGAGCTTTTGGCGGCCTGACAGTCCATGCACGTGGACAATGCACGGACCAACAGAGGTCCGATCGGGCCATGTCTACATCCGTCGTCCTTCCCTGTTTCTTCCCGTCGTTCCTTCTTTGCTATCCCCCTTCTCTCGCAAACAGCATCCCACGTTGCATACGTAATTTGGCCTATGATGGCGTCGTCAAAAGAGCAGGAAAGCGGACCGGTCAGTCTGGCGTCAGAGGCCGAGACGGTGCGTTTGCCTTTGAACCTTGCCTAGTCGCTCTTTCGTCCCTGACCTGATTGCGGATCGGTCTCGTTGTCTTTCTTAGGTTGTCGGAAAGGAGCCTACAAGGTGAGTCAGGATGAGGAAAACGTTTTGATGAGCATCAAGATCAACATGTCTCTCAGCCAAGGGAATGGACTCGAGAAAAGCCATTCGGACAAGGTCGCTCGTGAACATCATCACGTCAGCCATGGCGGCGATGATGATGAGGATGATGATGACGACGATGAGGATGAGGATGAGGATGATGAGGATGATGAAGACGAGGACGAGGATGGAGATGAAGGACCAGGTCTCAAATATCTGATTGAAGACGTATGTGCTCGGATCATGCATGGCTGCGGTATAATGATGCTCAATTTTCTGCATGCAAAAGCACGACGATGAGGAAGACGACGACGATGAAGAGTACGAGGGCGAGGAAGATGAAGGTGAGCAGATGGGATAGGTCACTGCAAAAAATCCGGTGACTGATGGCGTCGGAGAAGACGAGCAAGACGAGACCTTTGAGGATGAAGGCGACGATGAGGACGAGCCATCTTCAGTCCGCGCTGCCAATGGATCGGGGGCGGGATCTAAGCGCGCACGGCCGGAGGCCCAGGAGGACGAAGAGGAGGAGGACGAAGATGAGGATGACAACGAAGCATCGAAGAAGCCCAGGCAGGGCGACGATTGACGATGATTTCTGCTCTGCTATTCTTTCCTCTTTGCTCCCCTCTGCTCAAGGCGACGTCTCGTCTCGTCTCGTCTCGCTCCTATCGGCGATCGCCCATTGTTTTGGTTGTTGTTGTAAGCTATAAATACTGATCAACTCGTTTTCTCTTCCTGGGGCGCGTCCGAGGACTGGTCTGCGTCAAAGAGAATCAAGTGTCCCTGTTCTCCCTGCTCTTGCTCCCCCTCGTGCTCCTCATCAGGCTTGTCTTCTGGGCCGAGCGTGAGCCTCCTGATGCTTGCTTCCATGTCCAGCCTCATCTTTTCCTCCCGCTTCGTCTTCGCCCGCAGCCTTTGCCGCTCGTCAGACGGCTTCGGCATTGTCCGCGGTCCTCCAAGCGAGCCACTTGACTGCTGCTGTGAGGCAACCATGGGCGTTTGTGAGGACGCAACATCGTCGTAGGCTTCGTACCGCAGCGGGCGGACTTCCGCAGGAGAAGAAGAATGTGCGGTGGTGCGGGCTGTGCTGGTACTGCCGACGTGCTCCTTGGCCAATGTAGCGGCAAAGTGTCGATCGAAGGCGTCGAGGGTTTCCGTGAGCTGGATAGAACCCCGTCAGTCACCCTCTGCGGCAAGAGGAAGTAAACGAGCTGGACTCACCGTGGGGCGAGGTGGCAAAGACACCAACGAGGACCTCTGCAGGTCGTCGGAGAAGGATATGAATTGCTTTGCGCGCTGAGTGGACCCACTTCTTCAGTTGATCCGTGCGCAAAGGTTGCGACCAATGACCAGACTCACCGCCTGCACAAGACCACTGGAAGCATGCTCGAGCACCTTTCTCACTGTAGCTACGCTTGACTCGGGGATCTCGGCCACAGTCAGAGTAAGCCTTACCATGGCTACGAGCAGGGCCTCTTGCAAGACCGGAGAGGACGTTGCCGTTAAGATTGAGGCCATCTTGTCAAACATGCGGTACTCGATGCCCTTGATTTTGGTAGGCACCATCTCCTCGTCGTCTTGATCGATGTTATCCTGTTCCTGCTCTTCATCGGGGTTAGAGGCAAACTCGCAAATCAGCGAGGCAACCATCATGACCGCAGTCGGCGATGAGGCGCTTTCGAAAAAGTCTTCCTCGAGGCGAAATAGAAAGGGATGAAGCGCGATGCGAGCAAACGAGGTAGGAGCTAGAGCATTTGGTCAGGACGGGCCAGCGAATCGAGGAATTTTGGTGTTGCCGGACGACAAAGGCCACTCACCTGTTCGAAGCAGTGACAAGATACTTGAGACGACCGTCTCCTCAATGTAATCCAGTTTGGAGAATTGAACAGCGAGGTCCACAAGTGCTATGCCAAAGCCCTTGCCTCCAGCCCAAAGGCCCCTCTTCAAATAGCGCATCCGTTCGTAGACGGTTTCGATCCATCGGACACCCAGATCGATCCGGTCTTGTAGCATGGATGCCGATTCCATTGCGCCCTTGAGGTGGTCCTGGTGCTGCAACAATAGGTCGGGGTCGACTTGGTCGAGCAGGTGGAGAGTCTTTTACACGCTCGATCAACAAGAGTCAGCTTCAGGAGTTTAAACAGCTTCTGTTGAGACTCACCCTCCCTCTGACAGTACTGTCCATGTCACCCAGGAGCGAGACAATCTGCCCGACCTCGTCGGCACCAAATCCATGCACCTCGTCCAGATTGCCAAAGGGGATGAGAGCGTCCACGAGACCTAGGACAAGAATTTTGCGGTTGGCATTCCTGGCCTTGAGATGGCATCGGACGGCGCTCCAGACGACGTCGAGGTTCTTTGGAGCGAGTGCATGCGGTGGATCGAAGGACTGTGCGCGGCTCTGGAGGGCACCCAGAGCCCTGACTATGCCCAGTGCCGCCGAGTAAGTGGATTGACAGTTCCCAAATGCGTCCACAAGGGCCACGGCCGCCTTTTCCAGAATATGTGGCGTAGGATTGCCCAATGCTGCGACTTGGGCAATGGCCTCGCTCGTTGCTCTGACGAGAGCATGGTCGGCGTCGTCATGTACTAGGCCATCGAGTATCTGACACAGGGCCTCCAACGATCTCTCCACGTCCCAATATCCCCTCTGGGATGCCCTGCAAATGGATCGGAGGCACGGCGTCAAGAGCGACAGACTCGGCGCCGTCTTCCTTGCCCTTGCCTTGCCATTGGCTTCAATGGTACCGAACTCGGCGGCGATGACCGTCTTGGTCGTTTCCCATGCTGCGATCGCGACGCTGTCGTCGTCTTTGACGTAAGACTCGAGCGTTGCGAGCGCATCGATAGCCAGAGCACTGAGCTTTGCGTCGCGGTGGCCGACGAGCGACAGCGTCGGGCCAAACAGAGCTGGAACAACGTCTGGTCCAGAGGGCAGGCCGGACAAGATCGAGGACAGGGCAAAGTAGGTCTGCGCGTACCTCAGCGCCTTCGATTTCGATGAGTCATCCGCAGAGGTTGTCCGCCTCCTGCTCGAATGTGCCGATGATGAAGAAGACGATGACGACAACGTCGACGACGATGATGCCGGCAGGCTGGCCAAGAGGTGGGACCGAGTGGTGTTGAGCAGGAGCAGCGATCCATCTACTGCCTCCTCCTGCTGATCGCCGAGTAGAATATGCTGGAGAATTGTGTGTGCGACGTGCTGTTGCTGTGGCTGCATGGCCGTGGCGACGAGGTGCAGGGCCGGGACAAGGGCAAAGTCGAGAGAAATACGAGTGGCATGGTGCGAGACGCAGTGCAGGAGCACGACAAAGTGCGAGCTCAGAGTAGCCTGGACATAAAAGCATCAGCAGAGCGGCTGGTTTGCGTGTGTAGGCAGATCAAGACTGACTGGGGAGAAAGAGGATGCGTCCTTGGCCTGGAGCGACTTGCGGATTTGTTCCACTGCGGCGCTGATGGCCGTGTCTGCGAGCTGCGCGTCGATATCTCCCGAATGATGAGCATGTGGCTTTGTTGCAGCGTCGACTGAGTAGCATAGAAAGACTCACCGCAGCATTTTCGGTCCCTTCGAGCTTCTTGACGAGCGCAAAGTGCGCTCGTGAGGCGCCACTCTCGAGCAGCGTGACGCCCTCCATATCCCGTCGATCCGGTCGTGTCGGAGAGAGTGGCAGGCGAGCAGTAGTGGAGCGAGCTTAAATTCGTCCACTCGGCCGACGGGGCGAGGGCCTGCATAAATAGTCGAGATCTTCTTGCTCAATTTTATCTTTTGCCATTCCCTGCGCACGCGCGAGTCATCGTCAACTACGACGTTGCTTTTCCCCTAGCCGCTGACCCTGACATGGCGACGGCGACATCGAATTCGTCCACTACGGGCGAAAAGGTCGCCTCCTACCATGCACCACCGGTGACAGGGCCTACGGGCGCGGCCGTCCATCGGCTCAGATGCCTTTCGTCGACCATCGAGCTCGGCTTCCACCTGGTCCCACACATCGTCGCAACCGTTCTTACCAGCCTGCCTTCTTCCACCTACGTCCTCGTCACCGACTCACACATTGCCGCATTGCATCTCGATGCTTTCGAGACCGAGTTCCGCACATTCATGGGCAAGCAGGGTCTCGCCAAGCCACCCAGGCTCCTTACAAAGGTCATTCCGCCCGGCGAAACGAGCAAGTCGCGCGAGACAAAGGCCATGCTCGAAGACTGGCTGCTCTCCCAGGCAGTCACGAGGGATGCCGTCGTCATCGCTATGGGCGGCGGCGTCATTGGTGACCTCGTCGGTTTCGTCTCGGCGACATTCATGCGCGGCCTCAAGTTCGTCCAGGTGCCCACAACGCTCCTGGCCATGGTCGACTCGGCCGTCGGGGGCAAGACAGCGATCGACACTCCGCACGGAAAGAACCTCATTGGAGCGTTCCACCAGCCAAATTTCATCTTCATCGATGTTGCCTTCCTCCAGACGCTGCCCGAAAGGGAGTGGAGCAACGGCATGGCTGAAGTTGTCAAGGTTGGTTCTTTACTTCTTCAGTTCCTTGCCCTCCGTACGTACTCATCCATCAAAATCATCTGAACAGACTGCCGCCATCTGGGACGAAGTCGATTTTGCCAAGCTTGAATCAAGGGCACCCGCGATCAAGTCGGCCGTCCTCGGGCCATTTCCGCCCAACGCGCCCAAGGATCAAGGTCGCACCCTGGCGACACGGACAGAGGCGCAGACGCTGCTCCTCGATGTCATTCGAGGCTCGGTGGGCGTCAAGGCGCACATTGTCAACATCGACGAAAAGGAGACTGGCCTTCGTAACCTTGTCAACTTTGGCCACAGCATCGGCCACGCCATTGAAGCCGTTCTGACGCCCGACATGCTCCACGGCGAGTGCATCTCGATTGGCATGATTCTCGAGGCAGAGATTGCCCGCTTCACAAACGGCCTCTCGCAGGTCGCAATTGGTCGTTTGACACGCTGCCTCAAGGAGTACAACCTGCCCGTCACCATGGCCGACCCTCGTGTGAGCCGGTTAAGTCGCTCTTCTGGCTTGACAGTCGACCGGCTGCTGGACATCATGCGTGTAGACAAGAAGAACAGCGGTGACGAGAAGAAGATCGTGCTCCTTGCTCGCATCGGAGCGACCGTCGAGGAAAAGGCCAGCACGGTGGCCGATGCGATCATCAGGAGGGTGCTGAGCCTGGCTGCCCGCGTCGTTCCCACTTCGGCTATCAAGCCCTTCACTCTCTCGACACCGGGAAGCAAGTCAATCTCGAACCGTGCTCTGATCCTCGCGTCGTTGGCCAAAGGCACCTGCCGCCTGCGCAACCTGCTCCACTCGGACGACACGCAGGTCATGATGGCCGGTCTGCACGATCTCGAGGCCGCACAATTCTCGTGGGAGGACGGGGGGGACACCATCGTCGTCGAGGGTAATCAGGGAAGGCTCAAGGCACCTACAGACAAGGAAATCTACCTGCAGAATGCCGGCACTGCTGCTCGCTTCATGACAACGGTGTGCGCCCTCGTCGGCGGGGCCAACCCCGTCACCATCACGGGCAATAAGCGCATGAAGGAGCGACCGATTGGTGCTCTCGTTGATGCCCTCGTGGCCAACGGGACTGCCATCTCCTACAAAGAAGCGAACGGCTGTCTTCCTCTTTCCATCCTAGGCCCAACTGGAGGGCTCGCCGGTGGAAGGATCGAGCTGGCCGCCACGATCTCTTCCCAGTACGTCTCATCGATTCTCCTTTGCGCGCCATACGCCCAAGACGACGTCATCTTGGACCTTGTGGGAGGCGCAGTTATCTCGCAGCCTTACATCGACATGACGATCGCAATGATGAAGTCCTTTGGCGTCGAGGTACAACGTTTGGTCGACGCAAAGACGGGAACGCCCCTCAATACGTACCGCGTCCCGAGGGGTCATTATGTCAGCCCTGCCACTTACGACATCGAGAGCGATGCTAGTAGCGCGACATACCCTTTGGCCATTGCCGCCATCACAGGCACCGAATGCACAGTGCCAAACATCGGCAGTGCGAGCTTGCAAGGCGACGCACGCTTCGCAAAGGACGTCTTGGAGCCCATGGGCTGTCAGGTGACGCAGACGGCCACGAGCACCACTGTCAAGGGACCGCCGCTGGGCCAACTCCGTCAGATTGGGACAGTCGACATGGAGCCCATGACCGACGCCTTCCTGACGGCCTCTGTCCTCTTTGCTGTCGCAACAAAGGGAGATCTGCCTTCGACCCGCATCACTGGCATCGCCAATCAGCGGGTCAAGGAGTGCAATCGCATTGCAGCCATGATCGACGAGCTGGCCAAATTTGGTGTCAGGACTGTCGAACACCCAGATGGCTTGGAGATCTTTGGCGTGCCCCACGAGAAGCTCAATCAAAATGTCAGCGTCCACTGCTACGACGACCATCGCGTCGCCATGGCGTTCAGCATCCTGGCTCTCGTCACACCTGGCCCGGGCACAGTGCTGGAAGAGAAGCGCTGTGTCGAAAAGACGTGGCCCAACTGGTGGGACGACTTGGAGCGCGTAGTAGGCGTCAGGGTGCAAGGAGCAGATGCGCCGGCCCCCAGTGCTTCGTCGTCGGTGGCCAGCACTTCGTCGCTGAGCAACATCAGCAAAAGCCTCACGCCGGTCCAGTATCGGCCCGATGCCACCATCTTTTGCATTGGCATGCGAGCTTCGGGCAAAACGTACCTGGGAGGCTTTGGCGCTGCGGCGCTGAACCGGCCGTTCATCGACGCAGACGTGCTCTTCAACGAGCGCTACAATCTCAACAGCTTCGTCAAGGAGCACGGTTGGCCTGCCTTCCGCAAGGCAGAGACGGACATTCTCAGAGAGCTCATGACGGAAAGGGCTACCGGCCATCTCATCTCGCTGGGCGGCGGAGTAATCGAGATGGAAGAGAACCGAAGGCTGCTGATGGAGTATGCGAAAACAAAGGGACCAGTCGTATATGTATTGAGAGACATTGAGGAGGTGGTTTCTTTTCTCGAGACGAGCGATCGACCGGCGTACGGCGAGCCAGTCCGAGACGTCTTCAGAAGGAGACAACCCTGGTTCTCCGAGTGCTCTAGCTACGAGCTCGTCTCGTACTCTGGAGATACCGATGTCGTTGACGCCTTTGACGCCGAAATTGCTTCGCTGCCACCCCCCTCGACTCCCGTCGACGGGACACGCACCATGGGTCCACCCTCGAAGGCAGCCTCTATTCGCAAGGCCGTCGGGCTCGAGGCAGAGGTTGCCCGTTTCTTCCGTTTTATTGCTGGTGAGGAAGCCAACCAAGTCGACGATCTGGAGACGAGGTCGACCTACTTTCTCTCCCTCACCTTCCCGGACCTGCGTCCAGCGCTGTCGATCATTGAGAAAATCACGGCGGGAGCTGATGCTATCGAGGTGCGAGTGGACCTGCTCAACCCTGAGGGTGTGCCACCCCAGAAGGGACACGTCCCACCGGTGCAGTATGTCGCTACGCAGCTGGCGGCCCTGAGGCAGAGGACGTGGCTGCCAATCGTCTATGTCGTCCGTACTGTCAGTCAGGGCGGCATGTTCCCTGACGAGGAAGAGGACACCTACTTTGAGCTCCTCAAGCTTGGTCTCCGACACGGGTGCGAGTACGTCGACTTGGAGCTGCGCTGGCCCGAAGCTCGCCTCGATGCCGTTCGCGCCCATCGTGGGCACTCCAAGATCATTGCCTCCTGGCACGATTGGTCCGGTCAGATGAAGTGGGAGGACGCATCGACGCTGGGCAAGTTCGAGCAGGCGTGCAAGTACGGCGACGTAGCCAAGATCGTCAACCGAGCCACATCCTTTGCCGACAATCTCTCTTTGGAGGCGTTCAGGGCAAGAGTCTCGAGCTTGCCGGTCGCCAAGCCGCTGCTGGCTATCAACATGGGCGAGATTGGCCAGATGTCTCGGACACTCAACCCAGTCCTTTCGCCCATCACGAACGAGGACATGCCTTTCAAGGCAGCTCCTGGTCAACTTACGTTCTCGCAGATCCAAAAGACGCTCCACCTCATTGGCCAGCTGCCAGCGAAGCGCTTCACTCTGCTCGGCACACCCATCTCGCACTCGTTGAGCCCCTGCTTGCACAACACAGCCTTTGAGGTGCTCGGACTACCTCACCAGTACGGTCTCCTCGAAACGGCAGAGGCCGACGATGCCGCTGTCGTGGCTTTCCTTCGTTCGGCAGACTTTGGCGGAGCGAGCGTGACGATGCCCCACAAGCTTTCCATCATCAAGCTTCTGGATGTCATCACGCCGGAAGCTCAGGCGATCGGAGCCATCAACACCATTTCCCCGATTGTGCGCCAGGATGGTCGAAAAGTGCTCGAGGGCGACAACACCGACTGGATTGCGATTGCGGAATGCTCAAGACGTAATCTTTCGCCAATCCAGCTTTCCTCGAGCGACTTTACAGCTCTCGTCATCGGTGCTGGAGGATCGGCCAGGGCGGCCCTGTACGCCATGAGCCGGCTCGGCGCGAAGACGATCATGCTCTTCAACCGGACGAAAGCCAATGCAGATCAGCTCGCGAGCCAAGTCCCGCGCGAATGGAACGTCGTCGTCGTCTCGTCGCTCAACGACCTCCCTCATAGGCCGGTGGCAATCGTGAGCAACGTCCCTTCGGATGGCACGTCACTCGACCCCTCGAGTGGCAAAGGCATCATCTTGCCTCGCTCTATTCTCTCCAACGAGAAAGGAGGCGTCGTCATTGACATGTCGTACAAGCCCATGAACACGCCTCTTATTCAACTGGTCCGGGAGACCAATGCCACCTTCGCCCAGTCAACTGCCTCGGCCGACAGGCGTAATTTGCGTGAAGGAAGACTCTGGACGGGCATCACCGGCGTCACGATTGTGCTCGAGCAAGGCTGCCACCAATTTAGAAAGTGGACAGGACGAGAGGCGCCCAGGGCGCCAATCGAGATTGCCGCTTGGCAGAAGTACTTTTCGCAGTAGTCGTCCTCCTGGCCGTTCCTGTGCTCGGAAGAAAATTCTGGACAAATTTTTGAAGAGAGACAATGTTATTGAAGAGTAATTTTATTTAGAGTCATAGAGTCAATTTGATGAGAGAGGGAAAGGACGGGGGAAACTTACATGCACGTTCTACCAGCTGAGATGCTGCTTGAAACATTCGCTCAGACCTGGCTTTGCGTTGTCGACAAGGAGGTCATTGATATCTTTTACGATGGCAGGAGTTCTTGGATAACTTTGCAAGGCAGCCTGGGCGTCCTCGGATGTGATGTGGTTCTGTGGGTTGTGCTTCGTCCCCAGAAACTTGACGATCTTTTCGAGCTCACCCGCTTTATTGAGGTTAGTGATGACAATCTTGTAGGCTGGTTCGAAAAAGGAGTAGCATGGATGGCTGGTGATTTCCTCCGGAGTTTGCGACTCAAGAGACTTGAGAGAGCACTTGGCAAGACCAGGTCCATGGGGTGATTTCTGCGCTTTTGCGTTGCGAGAAAAAGTGGGACCTCGTGAGTGAAGTATCATCCGCTTTGTCAATGAGGTCCCAGCCTGTGAGGTCCCAGCCTGTGAGGTCCCAGCCTGCGAGGTCTCAGCCTGTGAGGTCGTAGCATGAGCATTTCCGGTGGGCATTTGTGCCAATTCGATGTCGTTTACGCCTAAAGCTGGGACGTTGGCATTATGGACAGGCTCGTGATGTCCGGCAGCGGGTTCGACATCGGCGACGCGAGAACGAAGGTTGCGGCGATGGCAGAAGTGTGCTATGCCGAATGCCGCCGCGACAATCATGCCAAAAACAAAGAAGGCCACAATGATATCTTCAGCAAGCAACATTTTGACCCAGTGTTGCAACCCTCGACGGTGTACGTGCAGCTGCATGCTATTGTTGCCTTCGTCACCCATTGGAGGCTGCCCATTTATGGACTTCGCACTGACGTCAGTAATCTTGAATTCTGAGGAGCTGCAAAAAAGAAGACTCACGTTCATGCCAGGATCCATGCCAGCAACGGTAGTGGCGAAGCAAAGACCAAGCGCAAGACGGTAGAAGAAGATGCTTTGGTTCCTGCTCATGCTGAGAGAGAGTCTTTCGATGGTGGTTGATCAATATCGAGTAGTTGGGGGAAGGGGTAATCACTCTTTCTGTGGCTCAACCTCAAATGCCTGCCCTATATAATGTCTCCTCCTTGGGGCTCAAGATCTCTCACATTCCCAAAATCACGCCCTGGTCTCGGGTCTTCCAATTTGTGAGGTGCAGAGTTGGCGCCCTACACTACGCGGCGATCAGAGTCTTGCGAGCTTTGCCGAAAGAGCGCCGAAACTGAAAATTAAATCTCCTGGCAAAGCTCGCAAAGCCCGCAAAGCCCACAAATCTTTCAAGTGATAAGACGAAAGTCGTCAGAATCCGATGGCACGAGGCTGTGTGGTCATCTCATGGCCTGCGACGACGTCCCAAAGGGCACGTCTTATCTTCATATTATTGAAGAGTAATATTCATAGAGTCATAGAGTCGATTTGATGAGAAAGGAAAGGTACTTGCATGTTCTTCTGCGAGCTGAGTTGCTTCTTGAGACACTCGAATAGGCCTGGTCTTGCGTTCTCGACAAGGAGGCCAGTGGCACCTTTTACGATGGCAGGATTCATTGGATAACTTTTCAAGGCAGCCTGGGCGTCCTGGAACGTATAGTGGCTCTGTTGGCTGTGCGAACCCAGAAACTTGACGATCTTTTCGAGCTCACCCGCCTTATTGAGGTGGGTGATGACAAGCTTGTAGGCTGGTTCGAAAAAGAAGTAGCATGGATGGCTGGTCATTACCTCCGGAGTTGGAGCCGACTCGAGAGACTCCGAGGCGCACTTGACAAAATCAGGTTCATGAAGTGATTCCTGCGCCTTTGCGTTTCGAGAAAAAGCCCGACGTCGTGAGTGAAGCATCATCCGTTTTGTCAATGAGGTCCCAGCCTGTGAGGTCGTACTAGCTCTGGTGGACCTTTGTGCCAATTCAATGTCGTGTCCGCCTACTGGTGGAGCATTGATACCATCGACAGGCTCGTGCTGTCTGAAAGCGGTGTTCACGCCCCCGGGGGCGGGGCGATTACGCCTGCAGCAATTGAGGAGTTCGCCGAGAGCGAAGGCAAGTAATACGAAGACCGCAACACAGGCCAAAGTGATTGCTACACCCATTTGATCTGTTTCCCTTCGACCGTGACCATGCAGCTGCACACCATTGTTGCCTTCATTACCCATCGGAGGCTGTCCGAACATGAATTTCACATCGACGTCAATATTCCTGACTACTGAAAAGCCTCGAGAAAAGGAAAGACTCACGTTCATGCCGCGGTCCATACAAGCGACGGTAGTAGCGAAGTAAAAAGTAGGCGCCAAACCATAGGCGAAGCTGCTTTGTTTCTTCTTCATGCTGAGAGAGTCTTTCGATGGCAGTGAGACAACGAGTAGATGCGAGAAGAGGTAGCCAATCTTCTTGTGGCTCAACGTCAAAGGTCTGATATATGCTGTACATTTCTCCTTGGTGCTAAAGATCTCTGGCGCTACTCCAAGTCGCGCCCCGGTCTCCAACCTATCACTTTGTGAGGTGCAGACGCCCCGAGTCATGAGGTGACGTCAGCTTCGGGGCTCTCCCGGCAAAGCTCGCAAAGCTCACAAGTCTCTCAAATGATAAGTAAACGAAAGCCGTCAAAATCCGAGGGCGCGAGGCGGTGTGGTCGCCTTACAGCCTGCAACGACGTCCCGAAGAGCGCGTCGTACTCTCTTGCCGAAACCTTCAGCCCTCGGACAAGGGGCTGTGTGAGAAAGCTGTCATCTAGACGAACTAGGGGCTATCAGAATGTATTCTTAGCTGAGGAGGAAAAGCAACTACTGTACAGGGAAAAAGGACCTTTTATATAGGCATGCGTCGCCCGCGACACCTGCCCTGTTTCTGTGAAATTATAGAGACGATTTGATGAGAGAGGGAAGAGGACGATGGAGAGTTACATGGACGTTCTACGAGCTGAGATGCCTCTTGAAACATTCGAACAGACCTGGCTTTGCGTTGTCGACAAGGAGGCTATTGATACCTGTTACGATGGCAGGAGTCCTTGGATATTTATTTAAGGCAGCCTGGGCGTCCTCGGACGTTAAGTGGATCTGTAGGTTCTGCGTCCCCAGAAACTTGACGATCTCTTCGAGCTTACCCGCCTCGTTGAGGTGGGTGATGACAACCTTGTAGGCTGGTTTGAAAAAGGAGTAGCATGGATGGCTGGTGATTTCCTCCGGGGGTGGAGACAACCTGAGAGACCCGAGAGACTCCAACACGCACTTGGCAAAAACAGGTCCGTGTGGTGGTTCCTGCCCCTTTGTGTTGTGAGAAAAAGTGCGACGTCGTAAGTGAAGCATCGTTCGCTTTGTCAATGAGTTCCCAGCCTGGGAGGTCCCTGCTTGTGAGGTCGTACCAAAAGTAATTCCGGTGGGCATTTGTGCCAATTCGATGTCATTTTCATCTAAAGCTGGGACGTTGGCACCATCAACAGGCTCGTGATGTCCGGCAGTGGCGTCAAAATCATCGGCGACGCGACGATTAGAGCGGCGGTCGTTGCGTCGCCGAAAGCAGTCGCGTGCTGCGTCGAATGCCTTCATGGCAATCATGAAGAGTATTAAAAAGGCCCCAATGACCCCTTCAGTAATGAGTATAATTTTCCAAGCTGGTAGCCCTCGACGGTACAAATGCAGCTGTACGCTATCAGTGCCTTCGTTACCCATTTGAGACTGCCCATTCATGGACTTTGCACTGACGTCAGTACTCTTGAATACTGAGGAGCCGCAAGAAAGAAGACTCACGTCCATGCCAGGGTTCATGCCAGCAACGGTAGTGGCGAAGCAAAAACCAAGCGCCAGAAAATAGGCGGAGGTACTATGGTCCTTGGTCATGCTGAGAGTGCCTTTCGATAGTAGTTGATCAATGAGTAGATGGGAGAAGAGAGGATCACTCTTTCTGTCGCTCAACCTCAAATGTCTGCCTTATATAATAATGTCTCCTCCTTGGGGCTAAAGATCTCTCGCATTCCCAAAATCACGCCCTGGTCTCGGATCTTCCACTTTGTGAGGTGCAGAGTGGCGCCCTACACTACCCGGCGAGATAAGAGTCTTGCGAGCTCTGCCGAGAAAGCGCCGAAGGTGAAAGTAACAAACAGACGAAGTCGTCAGAATACGAGGGCGCGAGGCGGTGTGGTCACCTTACGGCCTGCGACGACGTCCCGAAGAGCGCATCGTACTCTCATGCCGGAAAATCTCAGCCCTCGGACAAAAGGGCTGATTGAGGAAGCTGTCATCTGGACGAAGTAGGGGCTATCAGAATGTATTCTGCGACGAGCAGAAAAAGGAACTACAGGAGAATGTGCTCGTTATATAGGCAGGCGTCGCAAGGAACAATTCGTGCTACAGAGCACGCTTGAGAGCGAACTTGAGCGCCCGCTGGGGGCTAAAACCTCGTGGACAACCGACACGGCGAATGGTCGCGAAAAGCAGAGCCTAGTAATCAGGGCGAGCGAAACAAACACGAGCGCGAGAAATGAACAAGGGCGGCCAAAAATAAAGGGAGAACACAGAGCCCGGGGCGTCCAGAACGCCCGAGGACTCTGACAGCTGCCACCTCAGCCTCTTAATCGACACGACGTCGCAGAGCGACCTCTGGCTCATGCAACAAGCTCGTTTTCCCAACTTTCTCATCTTCACAAAGAAGATATTTTATCTGGTGTAACGACATATTCTCACTTTTATGATGGAAGAGAACGAACAAAAACATGAAAAGCGCATGTTCTATATAGCACTACTTCAAGAGATATTTGGCTTGAAAACAGTCGTAGAGACCCGTCCCGACTTTGGCCGTGATGAGCTTGTGGATGTGCTCCACCTGGACAGATTCCAGTATAGACTGAATGTCGAAGGCAGGCTGGAATGGGTGGCGATCCTGCATGTTGTGGTGGTTCACGACAGCATCCATAATTTTACCGAGATTTTCCGTCTGGTGGAGGGACTGGACGACGTCCTTGAAGACGGGCTCCATATGGGTGTGGCAAGGATGGGTGCTCACCTCTTCGGGAGGTGCTTCTAGACAGGTAGGCGCAAGCTGTGCGAGGGCGTCTTGAGCTACAAAGTGCGTTTTGTGAGACGGCTTCGGGGATGTAGCGCGACGAAGTGAAGTATGATACATTCTTTTGGACAGACCGCTTCGAAACGGCGCTTCAGGGGCTGACATTGCGAAACGGCCTCCTCTAAGGCCGCCTCTAGGGCTGCCACCCCGTCCCCCTCTTCGCCCGCCGCTCGGGCCCGTTTCGTCGGAGCTAACAATTGGCGAAGTTGGTGGCAACGAATTGACATGACCCCTTCCCCTCAGATCGATAGCTTCTTGGCGTTCATTGGCGGCATCTACCCCCTCGCCAAACGCTTCTATGTTGACGTGTGCATCTCCGGCAGCATGTTGGAGCTCGATAGGAGCGTTGATAGCTGCGTTGCGTGCCTTGTGTTTCTTATAGCATCTCACCAAGAACAAGATGATGACTACGACAATCGCACTTATTATGCATATAATGCTTCGCTCCAGAGTGCCACCACTTCCGATCTGCATGCCACTATTGGAATGATTGCCCATGCTTGACACCCACTTGGACTTGGTGAGAGAACTCATTAGCGGTCAATGACGCTGTGAGTCGTCAAAGCAGCACATTGACTCACGCCAACGCTCATATCGTGGTTCATGCAGGCAACTTTACTTGTGAAGCAAAGACCAAGCGCCAGACAGTAGGCGGACGTACCTTGGTTCTTGCTCATGCTGAGAGTGCCTTTCGATGGTGGTTGATCAATGGATAGATGGGAAAGGAGGGGACCACTCTTTCTGTGGCTCAACCTCAACGGCCTGACCTAAATACTCTCTGGTCCTTGGGGCTAACGATCTCTCGCATTACCCAAAATCACGCCCTGGTCTCGGGTCTTCCACGTTGTGAGGTGCAAAGTTGGCGCCCTACACTACCCGGCGAGACCAGACCTTTGCGAGCTTTGCCGAAAGAGCGCCGAAGCTGAAATGTGAAAAACAGACGACAGTAGCCAGAGTACGAGGGCGCGAGGCGGTGCAGTCACCTCACGACCTGCGACGACGTCTCAAAGATCATGTCTTATTTTCACGCCGGCCGTAGCTCTTCAGATCTCCGAGCTCTGGTCCGCCACGTATGGCTTTTTGGTCAGCCAGGCGTTGCAGAACAGCCACCGATTCATGCAACAAGCTTGGTCTCCCACTTTCTCGTCTTCACAAAGAAGATGTCTTGCCTGATAAGACATTATACTCTCACTTTTATGATGAAAGAGAACAAGGAAAAGCATACTATACAGCAGTACTAAATGAGCATATTTGTCTGGAAACAGTCGTAGAGACCCGTCCCGACTTTGGCTGTGATGAGCTCGTGGATGTGCGCCATCTGGACAGGTTCCAACATGGACTGAATGTCGAAGGCAGCCTGGAATGGATGGCGATCCTCCATGTTGTTGTGGTGGTTCACGACTGCCTCCATAATCTTTTTGAGCTTGCCCGTCTGGTGGAGGGACTGGACGACGTCCTTGAAGACGGGCTCCATATGGGTGTGGCAAGGATGTGTACTCATATCCGCTTCAGGAGGTGCTTCAAAACAAGTAGATGCAGGCCGTGCGAGAGCGTCTTGAGCTACAAAGTGCGTTTTGCGGGACGGCTTCGGGGATGTAGCGCGACGACGTGAAGCGGGATACATTCTTTTAGACAGCTGGATTCGAGCGGCCAGCTCAGGAGACGACCTCGCGAACGCGCCGCCGCCGCCGCCTCTCGTGCCGCCTCTCCGTTCACTTCTCCGACTGCTTCTCCGTCCGTCTCTGTCGCTGTTTTCGTCGGAGCTGGTACCTGACGAAGCTGGTGGCAACGAGTTGTCATGACCCAAACCGCTCAGATCGATAGCTTCTTGTCGCTCATTGGCGATGTTGACATCCTCGGCAAGCTGTTGCTGTTGCTCTCCTACTATGTTAAGGTGCGCTCCTTCGACAGCAAGTTGAGGCTCGACAGGAGCATTGATGGCTGCGGTCTCTGACTTTTGACTTTTAAAGCATATGGAAAGCAAGAACAAGAGGATGGCGGTGACAATCACACCTATAATCGCTCCCTTTTCTTGCTTTGGAGTGACACGATTTCCGAAGTGCACGCGACTATTGGACTGATTGTCATTGATGATTGGCGCCCACTTGGACTTGGTAGAAGAAAAAATTAGTGGTCAGAGACGCTGTGAGTCGTCAAAGCAGCACATTCACTCACGTCAGAGCTCATATCGTGCTTCATGCAGGCAACGGTGGTGACGGAGCGAAGGTGAAGAGCCAGAGCGTAGCCAAAGGCTGTTTTATGCTTCCTCATGCTACAGGACAACCTTTACGACGGTGTATAGTCGTTGACAAGTTGGTGGGAGAGAAGAAAAAGACGAGCAAGGATGACCTCTCTCTCCTTCATAACAGAAGTCTCCTACGGTCTGAACCTCTTGTCTCCTGTCCAACGGGGCTTAGGTACTTACTAAATCACATCGCGCCCTCAATTCGGGCCTTTGATTTACTCATTGAGAGGGCAAGAGGAGCACAGCGTGTTGAATGCATGAGACAATCCAACTTTTGTCGAAAGCGAGCTGAGGCGTTAAAATGACTCGTAGACAAGTAGACAAGAGTAAGGCAAGGCAACGAAGAACCTGTCAGCTTCGTAAGAAGATCCTCGAATGCACTTATCATGATCTTTCGAAGGTTGACATTGGTGAGAAAATTCGCAATGCTGATTGGCGTAAACCAAGCACGATCAGGAAGCATACATCTATGGTGCCGTCGAAACTCCAAAATAAATTCATCAGTGGCGTCGTAAACATGGCTCTGAAAGGCGCAGAGGAAAGGGGTGTCTTAGATAATTTACGGAAGAAGAGGGCGACCTTGGATGTGTTCCCCCGTTTTAAATCTCTTTTGATGTTATCTTGAAGGGACGGCGAGGGGCGTGGCTGGATACCTGAGCAAACAGGGGGTATCAGAATGTATTCTGCGACGAAGAAAAGAGGAGGAGATGCAGGGAAAGGGCTTGTATATTTGAGCAGGCGTCGCAGCGCGACGCCTGGCTTATCTCTGGAATTCGTGCTTGAGGATGCGCTTTAGCGCCGCTGCTTCACTACGCTGTGCAGCAGGCGGTGGCGTGCTACGGACGTTCGGCACCGTGAATCAGACCCGAGAAAGAATACCTAGTAAAAAGGGCGAGCGAACTTACTACGGGCGCGAGAAATAAATAAGGGCGAGCGAAAATAGGGAGTACACATGGCGTTTGGTCGTCCTCGCCCCAGGTCTTCGACACGGCGTGAGGATGAGCAGAGGATTGGAGAAGGAAGGCGTGCTTGATCTTATTTCAATATACTAACGATAGAGAAAGAGGAGAGCGGGGCTCTTTCCTTGCCGAAACAAGGGGGTACTGGCAAGCATGATGATTGCCGCCTCAGCTGTCTCAATCCTTAAGGCGGATTGAACTTTCACCGCCACACATTCGAAAAAAGAAATTGCAAGAGGAAAGACAAAAGGTTTTGTGGGGCGATGTCACCCTTGAACGTTCTCCCCGAGCTCCACCGAAAGGCGCGCTTTGCAAGACGTCTGCCAACTAGAGGTGCAAGCAGAGTGCATCAGTTTGAATGTATTTGGGGGATGTAGCCAGAGAACAAAAGCTGTACATGCGAGAGTGAGATGTCCGTCCCACAGAAAATCAAAATTACATTGATAGGACCCACAATTGGCAATGAATGGCCGCGAGAAAGAGAAGAGTGCTGCATACAACTATCACGTCATCACAGTCAGCCCACACCGCCGCTTTACGCGGTCGCTCAGCCAGACGAAGCGCTAGGCGCCCAATCAGAATTTCAAGTCGGCTCAATCCCTTATCCTTTGCATGCGGTCAATACTTCCCGAAAGAGGACTTCCAACCCGTCGATAAGCCAGGTACACTTTGCATGGAGGTCTGATCCGCGTCAGGACGTCAGCAGGTGAAAATTGGACAAGCGACACCTGGCGATACGTACCCTGAGGAGATCAAAGGGCAATACCAACTACGTTCAAGGTCATGACAGCCATGACTCTCAGTACAAGTCCACAGGACGCCATCAGTGCAGATGCTGCCAAAAAGCGAGGGGTGTGGAAAGCACGAGAGCTCCGAAGAAATCGCACGGAAGGACCCCGGGTCGACAGAACAAGTAACGGATCTATCGATTGAGCATATTTAGGGTCATTGGGCGTGACAGGTACAGAGAGACAAGGCGAAGAGAAGCGATCAAATGAGCTTGTGGAAGGACTCTCCAAGATAGCCTCTCAAACAAGCCTTAAGTTCCGACACCTTCCCGCTCGGAACCACTCCACGAAACCAGTCTAAATTTGTGTTGTCGTAATGGGCGCCAAATGCCTCGATAAAGTCTGTCATCTTCTCATGATCGTGATGCAGACCCAAGAGAGTGTCGAACTGGCCCCTTTCTTTAAGTTTTTTCACGGAGTAGACGTGTATGGCTTCGATCTCTTTGTTGCACGGTCCGTCCCACTGTTTCTCGTATATGGGTTCGACACCTTCGTATATGGGTTCGACCCCTTTCTCGCACAACACTTCCCACGAATCGCTGACAGGGAGGCTACGACGAATGGGTTTTTGACTTATCTTGGCAGCGCGACGACACTGCAAGCAGAAGCAGCACATAAGAAGGAACACGATGATGGCAATAACTACCCAAAGAGCAATCCATTCCGCTGGGCTGGTGTCATTGCAACAAAAGACAAAAGTCGTGCGCTGTAATTGTTGGAAGTGGAAAAGTCAAGGGGTCAGAGTCACCTTTTGCTAAAGTTCTGAGATGCTACTCACAGGGCTACGATTGTGACTCTTACCCTGAACAGCCGTTAAACCTAATATGGCCAGGGCAAAAAGGAAGATGAAGATGGGGTATTGCTTCTTCATGGCGATCGTTGGCTTTGTTTGTCCTGTCGGCTGTCTTTAAAGATTGAAAGCTGGTCACAGAAAGAAGGGAGAGCACCAGAGAGACAGCCAGGAAAGAGTTGCCGAGATGGGTAAAAGTTACGTCTTTCAAAGACACACCTTGGCCTTTTATAACCCTGGTCTACGTTCCCTTCTGGACGACGTTGCCACATCAGAATTTTGCGGGGCATGAATTGCAGCTTTACTGTCCGCCTTCTCTTCCTTCGTTGCTGTCAAAGAACTCTCTATGGGCGGTACCCCGTTCACCTGTACTCCCTTGTTGACTTTAACGAGTCAATCATGGCAATGGCACGGGAAGAACCACAAGTTGACGATACGCCAAACGTCCAACGGGGGCGCGTAGCTCTTCACTCGACGCCGCGACGCTCGTTCAAAGGCGTCGAAATTTCAGAAGGCGCTATTTGCGATAGAGCCAGCGAGACTTGCCTTTTCGAGGAGAGAGAAGGAAGATATAGAGTATACCTTGAGTCAAGGACTTCTAGACTGCCTCGACTGAACCTCGCCGTTGCACATTCCATGCATAGAAAGGAACATCATCTGTGTGCGCATCCATTCTTGGCCTCGCAGGTCCCCGAGACTGGAGCCAACGAAGAAAGGAAAGGGAATGATGTTCATTACATGCTTTAAGGGTGCGACAATTTTCGAAAGACAAAGTAGAGGAAGAAGAAGATGATGAGAGGTGTGGGGACTTGAAGCGTTGTAAAAAGACAACAGGTGAAAGATGAAAACCCATTTCAGGCTGATAAAGCAGCCAAACCAATCACCAAAGGGAGAGAGAGAAGGAGAAAGAAAATGAAGAGCAAGAAAAGGAAGAAGCGCTCTGTACGCGAGTCTTCTAGTATGAAGGAGCCAAAAGGAAAGGGTCTGTGCCGTAGTCCTGGTAGTGAGGCCTAGCAAGGGAGTTGATGGCGACCCTCTTGTCCGTCTCGATGTCGTCCTTGAGCGACTCGACAGAGACATAATTGTACTCTGGTCTGATGTAACCTAGGACGACGACTCGGGTCTCCAAGCCGTAGAAATCCCTCGGAAACTGGTGCATGATGTGGACTTCTGCCGTCTTGGACGTGTTCTGGTAGTACGGGTTCCACCCCACGCTCATGACCATGGGAAACACCCTTGTGTCTTCGGGTGCGATAGGGATCCGCGGCTTCTTTTTGCCTCGTCGTAGAAGCGAGCTGGAGCTCGAGTTGCTCGAATGATTCCTTGGACGCCGTTCTTCCTTTGACTGCTGCTGCTGCTGCTGCTGCTCCGCCCTGTTCTGCTCCTGCAACGCCGTTCTTTGCTTCTCCTTCTGCTGTTGATCCTGCAGCGCAGCGGCGGCGTTTGCAAGCGCCTGTGGTTGGTGAAGCGTAACATCTTCCCCGCCCGAGTCTGGATATGTTGTCGAGCTCGTCGAAGATCCGGCGCCTCGTTCCATCAACGTGGCCCCGCTCCTGCTCGACTTCATGCTGCTCTTGCTCATTTGTCGCGGCTTCGTCAGAGGCCGACCTTCTGTCCAGTCCTTTTGGTCTCCAAAAGCATCGGCTACGGGGCTGGCACCCAGGACGACTTCGTCCCCATCGTCATCAATGTCGAAGTCTTCCTCTTCGGTGAAGTTGATAGCTTGTCCATCGGCCCTCTCTGCAGATCCAGACGCAGATGAGGAAGATGACGAGGCCTCTGCGTCGCCCTCGTCGACCAGATCCGGGTCGTCCGGATCTTGCGGTAAAACTCTTGCAAACCCAAAGTAAATGCCTGTCCGGGTCAGGGGGCTCTGTGGTCCAACGACCTTGGATGGCAGGTTTGCTGTCATCGTGCGGCGTCAGCTCTCGCCGCGCCGTCAAAAGGAGGAACGAGACTCCAACTTACCGGTAGGACAGCCCAGCTCCTTTCCTCCTCTGCCAAAGCCCTTCTCGACAATCCCTCTAAGGTAGATGGGGTATGGTCTTTCCGGAGCGTAGCTTCCGCAGATCAGAGGTCGCTGAGCCCTGGTCTGGGCAAACGCTGCCGCCGAAGGCTCTTTCTCTTCTTGCAGAGCGGCTGGATGGTCGTGCTGCGCCTGGTCGTCCAGCCTTTTGCTTGCACCATCGTCAGCGATGGATGATGTCTGGCCCTGGCTGTTGCCGCCGCCGCTCAATCGAGATACGTCGTCAGGCCCAGCACCTGTTGCCGCCGTACCCATGACCGTCCCCGCGGAAGAGCCTCCTCCCATCCTCTGAACTCCGTAGTGAGCAACTATCGGCTAGTGGAGATGAATCCGCGGTTGTAGTTGCGTTGCTTCTCGTTGCCCGCACTGATCCCCAGACGGCTGCTACAGAGGAGTCACCTCGCACGCGACTTCCTTGCGCTTGCTTACGTGAGAGATGGATGATGCTGGTCGTGCAGAAAGGACAACCGACGAAATGCTATCGGAACAAGGTGCGAGAGAGTCCGCGTACGCAGGGGCCGCTTGCGCATGCACGATGTGTCGAATTGTCCGTCGCCTTCGGTCCGGCGCAGTCCTCGTGCTCGCAGCAGGTACCGCGTGCTCAATCGCGCGAGTGTCCTGGGGTTAGCCTGCTTAGCTCGAGTCCCGGTCACGGTGTGCCCAGATGGTCGAGGATGGACGCAATGGTAGCGCGGTGGTAGGGGAGGAAGGAAGTAGGGAAATACGAAGGAAGATCGATGTCGCGACCGTGCTCAGAAGGGTCCGCCGGTATGTTGGAGTCCTCCTGGTCGACGTCAAGCCTGGCGAGAAAGCGATGCGAGAAGTTTCATCAGGCAGGCAGGCAGGCTTAAAGCAGTAAAAGGCTCTAGTAATAATGTAGCGAGGCTGCCGCGCCTTGCCTGGCTAGCTCCAGTGCCTGTCTGTCTCGCTCGGGCCCTCATTAGTAGCCACCCCTTAAATTTTGAACCCTCTTTTTTGTTTCCCTCGTTTCACTCCTTCTTTTATCCTCTATGGAATTCGACGCCTGTTGCATTCACTCAAGCCGGGCACGGGGGCGACGTGCCAAGGAGGGAGAGGCGATAGATAGCTAGATAGGTGATAGCACAGGAAATCCATAATGCAGATACCGGGTGGCTGCTTTTAGACGAGGAACCTACCGGCCAAAGCACAGCCTCAAGGCAGGACATGACATCTATGATCTTCCTTCCCTCTTGCCCGCCGCGAGGGCACTTGTAATTTCAGGTCGGTTGGCTAATTGTCGCGCTTGCCCGGAAAGAAGTCGCCGGCGATCCGCTGCGCTTCTCCATCCAAAAGAAAGTTGTCGATGGAAGGCGGCAGCGGTCTGACAATATGCAAAACGTTCCTTGGCGAGCTCAGCCTTGCGCTTGTGAGTCACATTAGAGAAAGGCGACTAGCTACTACTACGTACTCTACTGGGGTGAAGAGTTCATGCAAAGCGACTAAACTCGCGTACGGAGAGGGTGACAGATCTAGGAAGAAAGGGAGAAAGGGGACCAGGCGAGACTTCAGAACTGCGAATTTTCCTTGATCTGCTAGCCTCCAATAAATTTTCTGCCTGTCTGGGTCGCGTGCATGCAGCTCACCGGTCTGGAGAAGAAAAGACGGATGAGGTGCTGGGGATCGCAGGCCACACCACAATCGCGACCGCGTGGTGAATGAAGCAAAGAGTAAACTGAGCAGGGCTAGAGTGAGCTAGAGCCAGAGAGAAACAGCGCAGCAAATATTAGTCCTGATAGGATCGCCCGGAGTGCATTTCATGAACGGGGTTTGAAGATCGTCAATCCTTCAGGCTAGGTAGGCTAGGGGTTGCTCGACAAATTTTGTTCTTTGTAAATCTATATACCATAACAATAAAATACAACTGCTAAGGGTCGGGGTGCATCGGTTGATCAGGCTAGCAGTCGAGACAAGACACCGACACATCTTCTCCACCAAGAAGTCCGTGCCTTTTCTCCATCCTCAATCGAGTCTGACCGCGCCGCCTGGCTCGACTCAAGCTCCTGTTCGAGCTTGATGTCTCTCCTGCCCGAGTCGAGATCGATCTCGTGCAGAGCGACGCTACGTTGTCAGGTCAGCGCTCAGAAGGAAGGGGTCCGGAAGAAGAGCAGAAGTACTCACATCTTCGTCCGATGGTATACTTTGAAGGCAATGTAGATGAGCGCGCTGACGGGCAGCATGATGTAACCCACGACAAAGTCTACGGCCGAGAAGGGATTGAGGAGGCTCGGGAAGGATTGTATGAGCGCTAGAAGGATGCTGGATCGAGTAAAAAGAAGCGTAAGCATGAAAATATTGACCAAGACGAGAGTGGACTCACTTCATGGCGAGGGCAAAGTAAGCGCCGTAAGGATAGAACATCGCCTTGAAAGTAAGCTCGTCCTTTGCACTTCGATCGGACTGCCTGGAGAAAGCCGCCCGGAAGCGAATGGCGGCGAGGCAGATGAGACCCCAGACGATGAACGTGCAGACGCCTGAGATGTTGTAAACATAGGTAAAGGCTTTCCCTGCGCCACTCGAGACGCTCATGAGCGAAATGAGGGCCACACAGTTGGACAGAAGCAACGCAGGAACGGGCACGCGGGAGCGAGGTGTAGTCCAGCCCATAAATCTCGGCAGCATCGAGTTGCGTGCCATGACGCAAATGGTCCGTGAAGCGACGTACAGCGACGAGTTGCCTGCCGAGAGAACCGAAACGATGATGAAGGCATTGATGACGCTGGCGGCGGCCGAGATCCCGCCGCGCTGAAGCGCAATCGTGAGCGGCGAGGACGCCGCTTTGCTGCTGGCCGAGAGCAGATTCGGGTCGTCGTAGGGCACATTGAGCGAAATAAAGAAGACTGTGCCGAGGTAGAAGAAGAGAATACGCCAGAATACCGATCGAATAGCAATGGGCACGGCCTTTTCCGGTCGACGGGCCTCGGCTGCCGTGATGGCGACCATTTCGACGCCAGCAAATTGCGTGCTGGCCAGTGAAAAGATCTTCGCAATGTTGCTGAAACGATGGAGGGCGCTGTCGCCTACAAAGGAGCCTGGATGTTGAAAGTAGCGGAAGCCCACATAGTCGTGTGTGCCCGTCCCGCCAACGTTGACGACAATGGAAAGAATAAAAAAGACGACGAGAAAGAGAACTTTGATACTGGCAAGCCAGAACTCAGCCTCGCCGTAGGCCATGACGCCCATCATGCTGAAAGCCAGGAAAGCGACCCAGAAGATGGCAATGTATGCACCGACAGGTACGACCCGCGCCGGTTCCCAGAAGCGGATGACTGTCGCTACCGAGACGTACTCGTTGGCAAGGACAAACATCCAAAGAATGGCATAGTTGAAGCCCATGACAGCACCTGCGGCTGGGTCAATGAGTCGGGAACAGAAGCCGACGAGCGACTCCTGCGAACGATCAAAGTACGTCGCCAGCTCGCCGAGGGACTGCATGGTGAAGAAGACGACGGCGCCAGTGATGATGTACGAGATGAGAGCGCCGACAGGGCCTGCCGTCGCGAGCGCATTGCCCGATCCGACGAGCAGACCAGGCCCAATGATGCCGCCAAGGGAGATCATTGTCAGGTGGCGTGCGGCCAAGCTGCGCTTCAGAGGCTTGTCCACGCCCTTGACGCTCCCCTCCCCCTCCTCCTGGCCCTGCACCGAATCATTGCTCTGAAGTTCTGATTCTTGCCGCTTGGCGTCGTCCCTCGTCGTCCCCATTTTGTCCGATGGTGTTCGTCGCACTCTTTCTCCTTCAAGTCAGGAACCCGGCTCATCTAGCCACAACCCTACACTGCTCCTTCTACGCTATGATTCGAGTCGATCACCTCATCTATGCACGGCCCAGCAAGCTAAAATTTTTCAAAGCTTACCGAAATTTCGCAAGTTCGCAACGGACGAAAGACAGGGCGTCACGCGAGAGATAGTAGTGGGAGAATGGCATGTCATTACGGTTCCAAGAGTACGTGGGAATTGAATGTAGGTTGAGAGAGTTGAGAGGCACTTGATGATTTAATGGAACACGACGGGCGACGACAAGGGGCGGTGCGAAGAGAACAAGGAGTGAGATGTGGCTCTAGAAGGAGGGGCGAAGTTGGAAGCGAGAAATGACAAGGCAGGTAAAATTCACGTCTCTTCGTGCGCTTTCATCGTGTGAGCTCGCAGGAACATTCAACGGCGGTCCCTTGAGTCCATGGCGTAGCGGTGGTCGCCGTAGCGATCATCGTGGCCATATCTGTCGTCGTGGCCATAACGCCGGGCCATGTCGTCGCGGTAGCGCCTCTCCTCGTATTCGCGCTCGTACTCTCGCTCCCTTTCGTATTCACGCTCTCGATCGTAGTGCTCACGATCGTACTGCTCGCGCTCACGGTAGCGAGAGTCCTGGACATAGTCGCGTCGATCATAGGGAGCGCCACTGTAAGGCTCACGAGGGTGCGAGTAGCCATTGGATGCGCTGCGAGGAGGAGCGATTAGGGGACCGGGAGGAGGGAGTCTAGCAGTTGATGACGATTCCGAGTACCTCGGCCTCTTTGCTCCCTCATCCACAGGCGACAGCTCGCTTTTTCTCTTAGCTACCGGCTCATTGAGAGGGGCAGCTTGGTGGGCCGCCGTTGCTGATGAGGACGATGCTGTCCGCTGAGCCGGTGCTGGAGGGCCACCGTGGCCTTGTCCCTGCTGCGACTGACCGACAGCAGGCGAGACACCCGTACCAACGAGCTTCTGGAAGATGCCCTTGAGCTTAGAAGGCTTGACCTTCTTCGGCCAGAAGAAGGCGGCAAAGGCCCACAGGTGACGTCTTCTCTTCCTCTTTTCCTCTTCAGCTGCCGCTTGGAAGTCATTTGCCAGAAGGAAATCGATATGACCTCCAATTGCCGACAAGCACTCTCGCAGTGTCGCCACTTTTTCGTCTCTCTCCATGTGATCGGTACCTTCCTTGAGCTTTTTAAGTTCCTTCTTGCAGGGCCGCATGAGCTCCTTGCACTCGCCCTCGTCCATGCTCGAGTAATTGGACTGGTCTGACTCGTCAGAATCGTAAGATGCCTCTTGCGCAGCCGAGCGGCGTGCTTTTTTGTTTTTTGACGACGAACCACTGGGCATGGGCGAGCCCTTTGCGCCTCCCTCTGGCGAGCGCTTGCGGTTGCCCTTTTTCTGACGCGCATCCATGTCCTTTTCCTCGGCCTCGGCTGCCTCTCGGAGTGAGCGCAGAAGGTAGTCACCCCGACGGACGAGGTGAATGGCGTTGGGAATCGGCTTGGCATTGCGGCCTTGGGGTGTGCCTTCGCCTGCTTTTTCCACCTGCCTGTTTTTGCCTTCGTCGAGGAACACCTTATCTTTGAGGCCGAGGCTCTCATCATTCTCGAGGTAGTCCCACTGGCCGAAGCCGTGGTGGTAGATGCCCACCATGAGCTTGGCGTCGTCTGCCACCGTCCACTCCGAAGACCAGTTGACAGGCGTCTTGATGTGGTCGACGGGCAGTTGCCAGTTGTCTTTATCATCGGTCTGGTCCAAGATCTCGGCGAGGAGTCGAAGACCATAGTGGCGCGTCAGCGTCGTCTCTGCGTTGATCTGAGGCACGCCTCTGCACTCGATTAGAACAGCCTTTTGTCGAAGCGCCGAGGAGATTTCCTCTTTGCGCTCCGTCATCTCCTTGAATGCCCGGTCGTGGCTCGAAATGGCATCCTCGCACATCTTGATGAGCTCGTCAGCGACATCGAGCAGCACCGTCCGGTTCTTCTTTTGCAGCCTGCCTTCCTCGATGATGGGGTCAGGCCGGTAGCGCATATCGCCCCATCGATGGATGCCTCGGATCAAGACGCGCACGTCTCGCTCGCTCAGCTCTAGCGACTTTTGAGGATTGGACTTGCGCGCAGCGCCGCCGGAAGCGCCGGCCGATGCCGGTGCGGAGCCCCCCTTCTTCGATGATTTCTCTGCTGGCGACTTGGAGCGGTTCGAAGCACCATCACCATTGTCAGCGTCGGCGCTCGCACTTTCGTACACGCCGGGTGCCACCTGGGCTGCCTTTCTACGACCTGCGCTGGCAGCCTTTGCCTCTTCGACGGCCTTCTGTCGCTCCTCTTCCTCAGCCTTCAGACGTTCCTCCAGCGGGATGATGTCGTCCCAAGAGACGTCGGCCTTGAAGTCTTGGACCTGGGCAAACTGCTGCAAGAAGGCCTCGCCACCGGAAGAGGCGCCCGTCGGGTCTGCTTCTGTGTCGTGGGCCTCTGCGTTCTTGAGGATCGCATCGAGGTCCATCTCGTCCAGCTTCTTCTGTTGGCCGTCCTCGCTCTCGTTCTTGAACAGACTCTGGGCTCCGAATTTGAGAATCGCGCCAAGCTCTTCTTTGCTAAAGTTCTGACTCTTTTGTCCTGCCGTCTTTGGCGCAAAGTTGGTGCCTGACGTGTCCATCTGGTGGATGACGGCGTACTCGAGAACCATCTTTCTCTTTGCTCGCTCAAGCACGTCCTCCTCAACGGTGTCCTTTGTCAGGAATCTGTACACGTTGACATGGTTTTTTGAGTTGAGCCGATGCGCCCTCGCCATGGCCTGCAGATCATTCTGCGGGTTCCAGTCTGAGTCAAAGATGATGACCGTGTCGGCCGTCTCGAGATTGATGCCCAGTCCACCCGCACGCGTCGAGAGAAGGAACGCAAAGTCGGGGGAGCCCTCTGCGTTGAAGTGATCGATCGACTTTTTCCTCACCTCGGAGGAAATGGTGCCGTCAAGACGCTGGGACTGGTAGCCACGCATCGAGAGGTAGTCGGAGAGGATGTCGAGCATGCGCACCATTTGGCTGAAGATGAGAACGCGGTGACCATCCTGCTTGAGTCGCGCCAGGAGCTTGTCGAGAAGAACCATTTTGCCGCTATGCATGACGAGGCCCTTGAAGATGTCGTCGCGCTTGTCTGAGCTGACCTCTGTACCGTCAAATAGGTAAGGATGGTTCGATGCCTTTTTCAGCTCGACGGCGACATTGAGCAGGCTGATTTGCGCAGATGATGCGGCGCTCAGCACAGAGTAGTTGCGCGTGAGGATCGCCTTGTACATCCTTTGCTGCATCGCCGACATCTCCACGCGGAGGATCTGCTCCGTCTTTGTGGGTAGCTCCTTGACGACATCTTTCTTCAGCCGACGAAGCATGACGTTGTCAAGCTTTCTGTGCAGCTCGTTGATCATCGTCTGGTCGACATTTGCAATGTCGAAGTCGACCTCGAGGGCAAACTCGTCGGGTCGTAAGAAGTGAAGTAGGGCGATGAGCTCCTTGATGTTGTTCTGCAACGGTGTGCCTGTGATGAGAAGCTTGCCCCCCGTATTGAAGCTCTTGAGGGCGTCGTACAGCTGCGATTCGGAGTTCTTGAGCCTGTGAGCCTCATCGACGGCAAGGAATTGCCATTTGATCTGCGACAGCTCAGCGCGGTCCTTGAGGATGAATTCGTACGTCGTCACGACAACGTTGCAGCCCATTTTCTTGTAAGATCCAAACTCATAGGACCTGATCATCTCCCTGCTCTGATTGTTGCCCGTGTATGCGATGCAGTTGAGGTCGGGTGCCCATAGCTCAAATTGTTGCATCCAGGCCGGCAATGTCGACAGTGGCACGACGACAAGGAAAGGGCCGTACTGGTGGAGCGAGTGGAAGAGGTACGAGATAAAGGCTACAGTCTGCACTGTCTTTCCCAAGCCCATCTCGTCTGCCAAGATCCCATTCTCGTTTCGGCTCCAGAGGTAGGCCAACCAATTGAGACCTGTCATCTGGAATTCCTTGAGCTGGCCACCTTTTGTAATGTAGGCCGGCTGCTCCGTCATACGCGTGTACTTTGGCCGATCCTTGCCGTAGGCAGTACTGCGAGCTGGAATGTGGGGCGAAGTGGATCTCTGCAGATACAGCTCGATGGCAGGCTTGGCCACCTGGCGAATGTCCTCGTCGGCCTGTAAAGACGCAATGGTTAGGGTCCGTTGGTAAGACATATGAAGGGCAATCATGGAGAACTCACTTCCCAGGTGCACTCGGCGTAGGCCAACCCCTTCCATTTGCAGAGGTAGGCGACATGAGGATGCGGGTGCTCCTTTGTCGGGGGATTGTTGCGCTGATTGATGATCCTCTCGACGGTCTTGTAGCTCTCCACCATGTCTTTGAGCCTCTCTTCCTCAATGGCAATGGCCTCGATGTCTTCCTTGGACGCGCTCTTGTCCTTGAGAATCTCATGGCGGGGCAACCAGACCTGCTTAATGTAGTTTTCCACTCGCTTGAAGCCCTTGAAAGGTCTCAGGAAGTCGTAGAGCTCGTGGGTATCATGTAGATGCGAATACCCCTTCCACTTGATGATGAATCGGAGGTTTCTCGTGGGCACATCTTCTGGGTCATCGACTGCAGAAGTTGCCTGTCAGTCCAACCTAGTTTTTTTCTCTTTCTCCTCATCGTTCGACGAGTCTGTGTGCACTCACGCATCGTCTCATCGCGCTCATGTCCAAAGACGCCGTCTATTGTCTCTTCCTCTGATGGCGAGATGATGTTGTCAGAATGAGGATCCTCCGGTCTTTGCCTAAAGAAGCTGAAACTTACCTTCTAACGACTCGCCCCCTCGGTGCCTATCGACGGCATCTTCGAATGGATCATCGCCATCGCTCAAATCGAGTCCATAGCTGTCCTCGTTGTAGTTTGGCAGCTTCTTTCCATTGCGGCTCGAGATGCGCGACGCCTCAATGTCAGCCTCGGACGGTCTGAAGCGACCGGCGCCTGCCTTCAGCTTTGACTTTGACTTTTTCCTATGCCCGTTGGATTTGCGTTTGCTGCTGGCCCCGCCGCCAAACTCTTCGTCGTCATCGTCATCATCGTCTTCGTCGTTGTCCTCATCGTCGTCAGCGTCCGAGATGGAGCTGCCGGGGGCGCTGAATTCGTTGAGCTTGGACGAGGCTGTTGAAACCATCAGCATACAGGGAGGGTGCCGAGTTTAGAGCTCACACGACTCACGTCTCTTTTTGCCATTCTGTGCGCGACCAGCCGCCGCGGCGCTCGACTCAGAATCCTCATCAGCTTCGCTATCTGCGTACTGAGGCACAAAAGGGAGAAGGGGAGCCTTCAGTCAGCCTGAGTGAAAGGTTGTGGCTACTGCACAGCAAATGGCGACTCACGGACTTTTTTGGCGCGCGTCCCTAAGTGATAAAGAGAAAGAGAGGCGTCAGTTGATCGTGCAAAGGGCTGAGAGAAGGGCAAGAGCGACTCACAGAACGCCTGAGCCCCCAGAGAGCTGGATCAGCCTCGATTTCGCTCTGAAGCTCCCGATCGATGCTGGCCGAGGCGGCGCCGGTGCCACTGCTACTCGCAGATCTCCTTGCGAGGGGAGGGGCAGCAGTGGGGGCAGCCCCATCGCCTTCTTGCTCCTCTTCTTTTCTGTCTTCGCTCTCGTCTTCCCCCGGCCCCTCTGCCATGGCGATACTCGTCGCTGGTGTTCGAGGAAGTGCTGTGCCGGGCAGCTCCTCTTTGACAGCAGCCGGTGGTGGTGCTGCTGCTGCTGCCGTGTCCTTGGTCGTTGGGAGAGGAGGGCGAAGTGCCGGTGCTGCCTCGGGTGCTTCTTCCTTGACCGACGAGGGCGCGAGCGAAGGCGCAGGAGGCGCATTTGCCGGCTCAGCCGCGCTCTGCGCCTGCGCCGCCGCACCCGCCGATGTCGAAGGTGACAGAGACCCTGCCTGTTCGCTCATGTTGCAAGGGCGTCAGAAGGGCGTGTGCTGCTGACGACAAAGACAACGAGCGAGGATAGAGGAGTCGAGGATGGCGGCGGAGTGGTGAGGAAAACCTAGAAAGTCTTCCAGGGACGCTTTTTCGATCTCCTCTGTCGTGCTCTAAGATGCACTCTATCTGGCTCTTGCTGCGCTGTGCCTGGGCGTGAAAAAGAAGAAGAAGAAGAAGAAGAAGAAGATGGCTAGGAAGTCGAGAGTCCTATGCCGGTGTAGACGAGCAAGAGAAAAGGACTGGTGCAGTGTGAAGAAGTTTGTTCCGGACAACGCCAATCTTGAGATCCGGGCGTGTGACAGCGATCGACGAAGAAAGTGACGTGGGCTGGAGAAGGGGAACTGATCGAGAGAGAGTGTGTGTGAGAGGAACGATGGGAGCAGGAAGGGAGGTCACTGGCTACCAGCTCGTCTCTCACTGTTGGCCACCACTTTCGCCCAGCCCGACCAAGGCAAATTATCGAACGTAACACGAGGCAGGGGGGCAGGGCCAGTTGACAATGATCCGACGAATCTCAATGGCCGCCAGCCAGTCAGCCGCGGCAAGTTGCGACAAAAACGAAATCCAAATCCTAGCCCGGCAACGCGCGCGAGCAGTGAGCCAGATGGACGGACGGGGGCGGGCAGGACGCGCGCACTATGCAAGCTCATTCGTCGCTATCAAAAAGTGAAAATAGGCCCAGCGACACTGATGACGCTCAACTACTTTGACATGGGGCTTCATGGTATGAGTTCCTCTTCCTTCCCAATCAGTGCCATTGCCCCTTCTACACTACGGCGATCTGTCCCCGGTCATTTGAGCACGAGATTTGTGCAAGTCTCGTGCTCTTGCGTCTACTACTGTCTGTCGCCATCGGCAGGAAGACCGCCGCGCCACCGCACCAATATTCTTCCTACCAGTGACTACAACAAAGGAAAAAAAGAAAGGCAGAGGAAAAAGAAAAATAGGTGAAAACTCTATCCATCGCCTTGACGGGAGTCCTGTACGCACGCTAGAAATTGTATTTTGTAGCGGTGGGAGCGCATAGAGAAAAAAGTTGTAAAAAAAAAAAGAGGGTCCGCCCTTCGGCTATGGCCAGCCACGCGCCTGCTGGCTGGGCTTGGCTTCCGCTTCGGATGATGACGACGCTTGCGAGCTCTGGCTTGACGCCGCGATTGCGGTGGGCATCACGCGCGCAGCTACAAATCCAATTGTCACGGCCCGTCCCGCACTGCGCGCCAGCGCATGAATTCGTTCGTAGCTGTAAAAGTCTCACAGCACTCTCGAGCTTCATGAGTCACTCCCTCACGCTGAGAAAAGTGTCACAGAATGTGATTGTGAAGGGCGTAAGACGATACTCGAGTACAGGTAGTGGCAAGAATGGTAAAGTGAAAAGCAGAGAATACAATCCAATCCGCGAGACGGCAAGAGAAGACGACACCATCAAAGACGAATCCCATGAACAATATTGCTGGAGACGCTCCTCCCGGCGCGTAGCCCGCCGTTTCGTTGGGGGCGCTGCTGCTGATGCCGGCGGAGAGGGAACGCCAAGGGCACGTCAATGGTGCGCTTTGGCTCCAAAGTCGGTGTGCCATTGCTATGCAGCGATGCGGGAGAGGCGCACACTGTTGGTGTCGAGTCATTCGACGTCATCCGACTGTGGCGATTGCCAAGAATGGCAGCCGCCAGCAGATTGTGACCCTGCGATGCTGAAACTTCTGATGGCGAGTCAGGCATCGATGGCTCAGGAATCTGGCAGTCAAGCGTGAAGACATTCTTGGGCTCGCTTCGGTCCCACGAAGTGCCCACGATGACTTCGCTGTGCGTTCGCTCCAGTCCCTTTCTGCCAACAAGGCCTGCATCGGAGCGACCGGCGCTGCCGCTTCTTGCGGCAATGCCGTCGCGCAGCCACGTCGTCAGGCTTTGCCACTCCTCGTCCTTGACATAGAGGGAAAAGTCGATGCCCTTGAGGAAGGAGCGCTCGAGGTGGCTCAGTTCGGGAACGGGCAGGCCCGAGATCCGTGACCAAGCCTTGTTCGAGTAGGTGCGATCCTGGAGGAACTTGGACGACGTCAAGATCGCGGCTAAGAACATGCGCCGTGGGCAGATGTAGGGAGAGGAAGCCTTGTCCAATCGCGCTTGTCGAGCTTTCGCAGCAATGCGCAAGATGTAGAGAAGCGCAGCCTGAAGAGTGGAGCAGCTCGTCCTCGACCTTCTCAGCGTCTCGCGAACGAAGAGATCGAGGGGAAGGCCGCATGTCATGTCGCAAGGATCATTCTGCTTGAAAGACTGCAGCTTGCTAAGCAGATCCGCCACGTCTGAGTCGTCCCGTTGCTCATCGCAGGTGCAAGTGTCGTTGCCATGATAGCAGAGAAGCTTGCACACCGGCGCGGTGGGTGGAGCATACCAGATGCAATCCAGGACGTGGACAGTGGCGTCTATAGCCAAAGGGTCGTGCCTCAATACGAGATTGCAAGAAAAGGGGGGAGTTTGACGAGAAGAAACTCACCAACAAGGCCGTCGACCAGAAGCGTCTTGCTCCCGCTAGCAGCGAGAGAAGACGGCGAAGGCTCGCGCAGCTGTGTGAGCACAGGCTGCGCAGGCGGTTCCAATGATCCGAGCTTGCATGCCTCAACTGCAGTGACGAGATGCTTGCTGGTGCTGCTGCAGCTACTGTTCTGGCACGCCGTATCATCACCTTTGGTCTTCTGCGTCTTGCATGGCCGCTGCTCTCCACAGTCGTCGAATACCTTGCTTTGCGGCGAGGCAGCTTCTGGCGACGAAGATACGCTGGAGCAGGAAGTCAAAGACAAAGCCGAGGAAAAGTCGCCGTAAGACGACTCCAAAGCGAAGCCAGGCCGGGAAAAGACAGAGCTGGCTCCACTGGAGCTGGCACTGCTCGATTGCGAAGACGAAGAGTTGGAGCGAGACCGCTTCCCAATCGATGTGGTAGATTGGGAAGCGATAGACGATGAATTGGCAGGCGGTTGGAGAAAATGCGTTCCGTCAGAAGCGACATCGTCCTTGACTGAAGCTGACGAAGCCGAAGCCGAAACTGGGGCCGCCATAGTTGGAAATTAGCGCGAGTGGGTTAGTGGCAAGGGTGTCACAGTAGGCAAAATCCGTGAACAAAGACCAGACGGGACCGAGGCGGAATGTTGTTGTTGTACAGTTGCTGAAGTGGGCGAAGAAGGAGGAAAGGTTACACTCCCCTTCTCAAACAAAAGAGAGGGAGAGTCCACGGCGAATGTCGGTGGCGCGGATTAGGGCACGCTTCCGATCGACAGTGAGTTTAGCAAAGAGCGTTCACGGAGCGCGCTCTTGCAATAGTTGTTGTGTGTGCGAGGGTGATTGCCGGTGAGTGTGTAGACCAAGATATGTATAGAACCGATTGGGGTTGGTGCGGCGCTCGACGTCGAACGAGGTAGCTTAAGAAGCAGTGGCGTTCAGATCGCGGAGGTGCGCCTCTCCGTCCGGAGGCCCAATTGAATCAGGTTGACTGATCCTTCAGAGTCCCCAGACGGAGATGAGCTTGACAACGACGTTAATCTGGGAAACCATGTTGACTTGTGCAGTTGTGGTAAGGGGGAAAGAAGTAGCCGGACGACGGTGGCGGTATTGAGGGTTTCCCTGAATTTAACTAAGTCTGATGGCAGCGCGCCTGGGCGTGTGGCAAGGGTTTTTCTGCTCAGTCGGTGCGAGTCACGAACGAGGAGCTCTTGGGTCGAGACGTCTACGCTTTGTGTCACTGCGCTCGTCGCCTTTCTTTGCGGTTTGCTCTGCCCTGCGTAGCACCTTTGCGTTGAGAGGAAAGGGGTTGACGAACCAAGGCGTGACGGTGCTGTGTACTGACCAGCGAGACCGACGAGTCAGAGTTCAGATCCAGAGCCGTTCTGAATTCAGTCTCGCCCAATTTTTCGTCGCCTCGATGACTGAAACTTGACTGATAATGTGCCCGGGGTATCGCGCCGCCACATGCACGAATTCGCGGGAGTTTGCGGAGCGCTGAGCAATTTTCGCCACGTGAGCTCGCGTCCGTCTCTACGTCGAGATGACTCCGTCCGTGCGAGAAGCTGTAGGACGGCCGACTTTCCTGGACTAGGCTCAAGTCGTTCCTTGTCGGGCAGTCATCGCGCGAGGCAATGTACGCCTTTGAGTTGCCGACCACGGCGCCATTGTCGTACGCTGATTACTTGCTCAGTACACAGTTCTCGCTGGAGGTGTCACAAGCGACTGAGCTGCGCGCACGCCTTCGGGACGTGCTCAAAGGCATCAACGCCAAGGCACCTGCTGTCTCGTCGAGTGCCGAAGACGACTTGGACGATGAGGGCGCCTCGCTCGACGCGCACACCCAAAAAGACTGGATGAGCGTCATCCAGGCCATTGAGTCATACCTACCTCACCTCATCGCCGTCCACACCTGCCTGCGTACCGACGACATTCTCCTGCGCTCCGAACCTGTCTTTGCATGGCGATCGGTCCTCTCTGCCTCGTCGGCTTCGTCGCAGCTCCTCAGCAATGTGGGCTCCAGCAAGGGGCGAACAGCCGTTTCTGGGGTTTACTACGAGCTTGTCTTTGTGCTCCTCGCATACGGCATGGCGCTTTGCAACCTGGCCAGCTCGCAGGTGTCAGCGCTGGGTGCGTACGAATCAAACCGCAAGCAGACGATCAGTGATGAGGCCATGAAGGGCAAGGACGGCACACTCAAGACGAGCATCGAGTCTATGACAAAGGCTACTGCCGTATTTGATCTTGTTGCGCAGAAGCTGATACCCGACTGGGAAATGGAGGTCGGTGCTGGCCGGCTGAGCGCGAGCGGACGACCACTCGACACCAGCAAAGAGATACTCGGTGCACTATCCAGGTGAGGTGATCGGGGTTTCTACTTTGTCGTCTCAGCCTTACTGACTCCCCTGGCAGGCTAGCGGAGGCGGAAGCGTCAGCCTTGTCGATTCGTCATCTTCTGACTCCGACCATCATCCAGCAGACGACCCAACAGCTCAAGGCACCCCCTCTGCCTAAATCGCACCCGTCTCCCTCGGTACTGGCCAAGTTACACCTCAATGTTGTCGAGAAAGCCGAGAATGCAAGCAGTCTCTGCAAGACTTTTTCCAGAAAAAGCTCAGTCGCTGCCGAAGAAGTCATCGACATCCACGACATTGGCACCAACGGAGGCACAAGGGCAGGCAAAAGCAGTGGTGGAGGCGCATTCAAAAGCCTCAAGAACAGGTTCGGCGGCGGCAGCGGCGGTGGCTCTTCTAAAGACATTTCGAATTCGCCTTCAACCTCTTCTCATTCTACATCAAGCAATGGTCCCTCAACAGACGAAGTTGCAGGCAGCCTACTCAAACACCTTAGAAGGACGGCCACGTTGCATCGCTGCAAGGCTTACAGGTGGCTGGCAATTGACGCAGGCGAATTTCGCGAGCAGTACGGCGAGGCAATCGTTTATCTCAAGTTGGCTAGGTCGACGCTGGACCAGCTTGATGAAGCCGGCAAGATCAGAAACTCTGTAAAGAGCAGCAAAGGGGATGCGACGAGGAGATATTGGAGAATGGAAAGGGAGACAGAGCAGAAGGATCTAGACCATTGGCTGGCCTCGTATCAGAAGCTGAACGACACGGTCTTTTTCAAGCCCCTGCCGCCTGTCTCAGCGATGCAAGCCAAGATTCCCGCAGGTCGCTCCGCGCTGACGATCAAACCTTTCGGCTTGCCGCTGCCGGCTTTTGGGCCCGGCTCCTTGGGCTATGTGTCCGATGGCATGCGGCGACTGGATCTTGAAGGCGAGGGTGCCAGCAACGCGCCGTCAAAGCGAGGGAAAGAGACCGGCGACGGCTATGCTGGTGCAGGAGCATACTATTGAACAGAGGCACATCAGATTGTTATAGTACAGTACTTTACATGCAGCGTCGTCATCATTCTTGTTGCAAATTGTATGTCTTCAGCACGCGTCCTCAGGCCCGCTGGACGAAGCGGTCCAAGGTTCCCAGCTTCCTTTTCTTCTTAGACCCCTCTTCGCCCGACTTTGGGTCGGAGCGCTGACCTGAGAGGCAAAGATCAATGTGCTCGTTGAGTCGCAGATTGATGGCTTCCTCTCCTTCGTCATCGGTCCTCGGTATGGCTCGATTGCAGATGGGACAAGCCACGCCACTCTGATCGTGATCGGAGGGCTCGCCTTCTTGGACGCTCTCCTGTCGATTGACCAGCCCCTTTTCTTTCTCTTCTTGACCTTCGTCCTTTGTCTGCCTGGCATGCTCTCTTCCCTCTTCCACCTTCTCCTCTTTCTTCTCTTCTTCTTCTGCCTCCTCACTTCTTGCACGGCGCCCCTGCATCGACGCGACTACGTCTACCATGGAAGCCTTGAGCGCCCTCTGCAGCAACTCATCCTCGTCTTCTGCCTCGCCTTCCTCCCTGGCCCTCTTGTTTGCCGACGACGAGGCAGCGGTCTGCTCAAACATGCGTTTGATGCCTCCCTTCTCCGGTTCGCGCAGATCCTTCAGCCCGCTCGTCCGGACGCCAATGAGGCGCAGCGCAAAGGGGCCTCGCCTCGCCTCGATCTCTGTCTCGAGAAGCTTGGACGTGATTGCATAGAGGTCGTCTGCCTTCCACGTGTAATTAACCATGGTCCGCGCTCGCGTAAAGCGTCGGTAGGTGTCCGTCTTGCATGTCAACGTGATCGTCTTGGCCCGATAGTCGAGCCGGTCGAGATCCTTGGCGACCTGGTCCGCACTGGCCCGGAGCATCTCGAGGAGGGTCGGGATGTCGCTCGTCGGTCGGAACGTGTGCTCGCGACCCACGCTCCGCCGTTCGCCACGCTTGCCAGGCTCGACGTTGTTGCTCCCCAAGCCGAGGTAGGCACACAAGAGCCAATCTATGCCCTCACTGCCAGAGAGTGTCAGGCTGAGGATCACGCGGTGCGTCCAGATATCACCGCAAGTCTCGATACCGAGCGATGATAGGATCCGTTCCGTCACCCGTCCGATCCCTGGGATCTTTCGACAAGGTAAATCGTGCATGAAGTCGATGATGTAGTTGCGATCGGGTGGAACGCGGAATTGGCCATTCGGCTTATTCTTGTCGCTACTGATCTTTGCGAGCATCTTATTGGGTGCAATACCGACAGATACCGTCAAGCTCGTCTTCTCTTTGACCTCTTCTCTCAGCTGTGCGACGACTTCGTCAACTGTCAGATCGTTCATGTCGCAGTAGGGTGTCACATCAAGGTAGGCTTCGTCCAGGCTCATTTGAGCGAGCGTCGGATCGTAATCTTCCATGATCTCCATCACAGACCTCGACGCATCGACGTACGAGGCCATGTCGTTTTTGACAATGATGAGATGTGGACATAGCGCGAGAGCAATGTGCTGAGCCATTCCCGATCTTACGCCAAATTTCCTCGCTTCGTAGCTTGCCGTTACCAGCACGCCCGAGCCGACGCCAAAGGCCTTTCCGAGGAGCGAAGGATCTCTTTTGAGCTCGACAGCTGCATAGAACTGTGATGCAAGTCAGCTTAGCTTCCATAGTGGCAGCGCCAGAATAGCCAAGGAGAACACTGACCATGTCCATATCGGCGTGAAGGATCACTCGGGAAAAGTCTCTTGTCGCTTCCAGCTGAATAGCCTGACAGGAGAGAGAAGAAGAAGAGGCCATCAATCGAGCATCACCGACGAGCGCCTCACAGCTACATACCCGCTCATCAATCTTGTGCTCCAGCGTCTTCCACGCAGCACTACCTTCGAGAACTTGCCCCAGCATCTCGTCCCTCTTTCTGAGCATCTTTTCGATCTGCTGTGTCGTCTTCTCGTCCCTCATCTTCTCGTTTTCGAAGAACTTGGAGCCCTTGGAAGCCTCGTAGATCTTCCGGTTGATCTCGTCTTGGTCCGTCGACAGACCGGCCTTGGCGCTAGAGGCTAGGTCACTCATCCATCAGCTCGGGGCTTGTAATCGGTGTCTACGACCGTTGTATGCGCTCACTCACGTCCAGCCATTCGCTTTCGGAGGCTTTCGAGCGCGGCAGCCTCGTCCGAGGGAGTATTCTTCGAGGCCTTTTTTGTGGGCGACAAACTCGCTCGATTGGCCGCGGTAATGTCATTGCTCCCATCGAACTGTTCCAAGTCCCTGTCGCGATGGAAGCGCGCCATGGCTAGGGGGCCACTGACGCTCGCGGAACGAAGCTTGATTGACCGGTGGACTACAGTGATCTGGTCTCTTGCTGCAATTTTATTAGGTCCAAAAAAACAAAACGCGCCGAATTGGTGTTGGTCTCTCGGCCTGGGTCCACGTGCCGCGTGAGCGTCGTCTGAACGCTACAGTCCTGCCACCACTGTCCGCCATCGAACAAGTTCATTCCAGGCACGAGACTGGGACTGAGGAGCAACGTCGCTCGACACCCCAATCTGCATCACGATTGGGGGACCGCCGAACCGTTTCATGACCATTCGCCTCTCTGAAACAACCTAGCCTAATTTAAAGGAGTTGCGACAGATCGCACCACTGTCCGCCATCGAACAAGTTCATTCCAGGCACGAGACTGGGACTGAGGAGCAACGTTGTTTCAGTCGATCACCTCCATCCACCCTTTACCTTCTTCGTCGGCTCGATCAACGCGTCTTCTCTTCGTACGTTGAGACACACCGGAGCGGGCCACTATGGATGGTGGCGCCGCTGGGGAACGGAGCCAAGGCGGGGCACATGAACAACAAGAGGAAAGGAGTGACAGGATAGACGAAATGTTGGGATCGTCTCCAGTGTGGGAGCCGCCATCAACCGCTGCGCCCGTCACTCAGCGCGGAAGCGATACATCGCCTTCTTCTTCGCCTCCCGGGCCAGACTCAAGATCAGTCAGGGAGGAGAGTTTGAGCTCTCAGGATGGACTTGCACACGACTTTGAGGCCATTAGCATCGAACCGCAGCCGTCAGCACCAGCACATAAAGATTCAACAAACGCCGCTGACCAGGATCTCTCATCAACTCCGCACATTTCGCCTTCTCTTCACCAATTGCAGGAACCATTTGAAGAGGGGCAAGCCGGTGAACGTCTGCCTAGGAGCCAAAGCGGCTCCAGCATCGCCAGCTCTTCGCATTCATCCTACCTCGGAGGTTCCGGGAGGAGGGCGAAGCGGCAGGCCGACGCCACCTCGGGCGAAGGGGCAGCAGGACCGAGCGCTTGGAACAGGGGATCCAGCCAAATGGCTTCCATTTCATCACCGCCGCCGCAGAGTCCGAGCAAGTCCAATCGGCCGCGATCTTCGTCATTCAACACGCCATCCCCATCCTCGTCCCGACCCCAGACAGCGGACGCCATGTCGCCGCCCTCGTCTTCACTCAAGGAGAGGCCGCGCTCCTCTACGTGGAGATCACCGAGCGCGGCCGTGTCCAGCATCGACGATGCACCGCAGACCACGCCTCGAAGCAGCTTCACGATGCTGGCAAGGAGCGCTAGCCGGCGAAGTGTGTACTCGGCATTCAACTTTGTCGACCACTCCGCAGAGCCCATGCCTTCATCGTCGACGTCATCCAGAATCAACCGCGACGAGCTCCCACCAAGCCCACCTAAGGAAAGGAGGAGGCTGTTCTCTCGCAGCCGGTCTAGCTTGCCCGTGTCAGACGGCTCGAATGCGACTCGGACGTCGCCCATGTTGCGAGCGCAGCCCGGAGGCAGTGGTGGCGGTGGAAGCAATGGGAAAGGCATTGTGCGGCGCATCTCGAGCAGGACATTCTTCGGCAAGGAGCGGGACAGGAGTAATGACGAAGCAATGCGATCGACTGACAGCTTGGCGAGCACTAGCTCAACGGCAAGGCAGGAGACTGGAGCCAAGAAGACAGGTGGGATGCTTGGCCGAACTGCGACGCTTCCAAATTGGGCAAAGAAGAAGAAGGGAAACAAGGGCAGCGATGCTTCCGAGACAAGTGAGGGGCCGCAGGGACTTGCGAGGGCCAGCATGGAGAGCTATGCCAGCGTCACATCTTCGGCCGCCACTGGGCCTCCTCCCCCTCCTCCTGTCTCTGCGTCATCGCCACCCGAGCCCGAGACGCTGTCTAACTCAAGCAGGAGACTTGGTCTGGGCATAGCCGAGGAAGAAGAGGAAAGCCAGCAGAGGTCGAAACCTTTGCATCCACCCAACCTAGACCAGTCCGAAGAGGGCGGCCTTCCTCGGCGCCTCAGCGGTTGGCTGCTGAACATGATCGGAAGCGAAGGCGTACAACCATCACCTGGTCTATCGGTGTCACCGCCTACACGCCCCGATACTTCACAGCAAAAGGGCCCTTCCTCGAGCGATCTCGCCGACACTAACGTCACTTCACCCTCGACGTCTGCTTTGTCGACAAGCCCCACGAGCGGAGCCCGGACGAAGGCAGGTGGTGGCATTCTGTCGAGTCTTTCGAACACTGGTAGGAATCGCACAGATGGAGCGACGGGCGGCGTAGGAAATTCGGCGAGAAGTGGCCTCGATCGGGCACTGCGCTACTTTCTCGACTCAGGCGAACAGAATGACGATGAGGGCATATGGCTCTTGGGAGTGTGGCACGGTCCAAAGACGGACGTGGTGAGCCCTGAGCAACGGCAGCAGCAACAGCAGCAGGTGCATGGACCATCGATTGAGATCTCTGGGGCTTCACCAAGAGCACCAAAGACGGCTCAACAAGGCGCGTCCAAGGCGACTGTCGGCAGTGAGAGCTCTTCATCGCCTCTGCATCATCACATGGACCTGGATGGCGACGATGAAAGCTCCAACAGCAGCGCGAGGAGGACACGCGAGACGTCGCCCTCGATTGCGTCGGCGTCCACAGGAGGGAGCCTCGGTCGCAAAGCCAAAAGACCTTCTACACCTGAACCGCAGGTGGAAGTTGACGACGGCAACGATCACGTCGTCGCTCGCAACCCTCCGACGCCTCAGACCTCGCCCGTACCAGGTCATTCTCGCAGCAGCAATGGGACTAGTGCCGGTACCCCTTTCGTCAGCGCACCGACGCGAGGCGCTTCCGCATCTTCGTCCGTGCACGACAAAACATTGCCGGCTGGACCGTCATTCCAGGTCGACTTCTGCTCTCGGGTATGGTGCACCTACCGTTCGCACTTTGTGCCCATCGCCCGAGATGGGTCCATTTCCTCCCAGGCCGAGAATGCTGCTGCCGAAGCAGCTCAGCAGGCGGCAGCAAATGCCGACACGGGTTCTCCAGCAACGCCGATTGGCGTTCGTACTGGATGGCTTGGTCGCCGCACGGGAGAGGGCAATGCAAGTACCGATGCTCTCGGCGTGATTGTCTCGCCTTCACAGCAACAGTCTGGGCTTGGCGCATCATTGGGCATCCCCACACCATCGGGTACCTCTCCGGGCTCCAACAGCGGCGGTGGCAGCCTTGGCGAGAAGATGGGCATTCCGAATCTCTGGGGACGCGCAACGGCCGCAGCGCAGGCCGTCGGGCTGGGAGGCCGATCCGGTTTGACGACGGATGCCGGGTGGGGATGCATGCTACGAACGGGTCAGAGCGTGCTGGCAAATGCTCTCATCGACACGCATCTGGGCCGAGACTGGCGAAGGCAAAGTGCCGCTCCCGCGCTTTCGAATGCAGCTCCCTCGATCGAGGAGGATCGAGAGGCCCACGACGCTTGGCGGAGGGCAAGGACGGAGTACGCTTCGTATGTCAGGATTATCTCCTGGTTCATGGACGAGCCCAGCCTGGCGTGCCCCTTTGGCGTCCATCGCATGGCCCGAGAGGGCAAGCGACTGGGGAAAGAAGTCGGAGAGTGGTTTGGGCCCAGCACGGCAGCAGGTGCTATCAAGAAGCTCGTCGACGACTACCCACATTGCGGCATTGGCGTCAGTGTCGCCACCGACGGCGCCGTCTACCTCGACCAGGTCAGACAGGCCGCTCAAACGCCTGGCGTATGGCCAAAGAAGCAGTGGAGCAGACCGGTGCTCATTCTCATTGGCATTCGTCTTGGTCTGGACGGGGTCCATCCCACTTACTACGAATCCGTCAAGGTAAGAGCTTCACTTTTCTCTTTTTTCCGAGTCTCTTCTAATTCTTCGCCAACTCTCCCTTGCAGAAAACGTTCACATTCCCTCAATCTGTCGGAATCGCTGGCGGACGACCAAGTTCGTCGTACTATTTTGTCGGCTATCAGGGCGCAAGCCTTTTCTACCTTGATCCTCATCATGTACGATCATGCGTTCCGTTCCGCCATCCACCGCCGTATGCCGCGACAGAAGAAAAGACGGAAGCGGCAGAGGAGTGGTGGGCGCATGCGTATGGTGAGCAGGAGCTGGCCTCGTTTCACTGCGATCGACCACGACGAATGCCGATGAAGAGTCTCGACCCGTCGATGCTTCTCGGATTCTTATGTCAGGACGAGGCGTCGCTCAGCGACCTCGTCCAACGGGTCAAGGAGCTGCCAAAGACGATCTTTTCCATCCTCGAGGCCCCTCCCAAATGGATGGAAGACGACATGGACGACGAAGAAGACGAGAGGGCCTTGGAAAGCTTTTCCGAAAGCTCCACCGACGGACGAGACGCGGACGTCGATAGCAACCTGCACGATCAGGCAGAGGGAAAAGAGGAAGGGGACGGTGAAAAAGTCGAAAGGGAGACGGAGGACGGTGAAGTTGACTCACCGATGGAAGAAAACCTTGGCTCCTCGCATATGACAGCCACGCCGCGTACGGAGGGCACATTTGAATTTGTCAATGGAGGTGGTCGTTCGGGTGCCTCGCCCCAGATTTCAATGCGCAGGCACGACGTGCGACTGGCTTCGAATGCATCAAGCAATCGCACAACAAGGGCAGCAGCCGATGCGTCGTCTCGGCCGTCGTCTCCCCCGTCGATGCAACGTTCAGCTTCTTCATCCACACACCCGCAAGTAGAGCAGTCCCCAAACTTCTCCCAGCAACTACAGCACGATGAAAGCCTCTCGGGTGCCTATTCGGTGGTCTCAGACAGCGACGCCGGCTCGACGTGGGAAGAAGTCGACCGACCCGCGGTGCCTTCGTCTCCACCGAGGACCAGAACGCAAGCCACGTTTGGAGGACAGGCACCTTCGTTGGCCGAATTGGGCAACCACCATCACCACCATCAACAGCAACGATAACTATATCAGCAGTATCAGACTCGCTTCTCTGTAGAGTATACATTCGCCATTCCACTTTACTTTCGAGGATACCCCCACCTTTCTCTTTCCTCTATCAGGCACACCATACCATTTTCTTTCTTTTTCTCCAATTGTATCTCTTGCCATTTCTCTCCCATGTCCGTTTGTTATGTGAGATGGGCGACAGACCCAAGCATGCCTAGCATACCCCTAGCTCCTCTGACTTCTCTGCTTTCTGAGAGGTGCACCGACTTGTCCGACCATGGCTCGACGGTGGCCTCCTTGATTGAAGATCCTGCTGACTTAGGGTGCCCATTAGCAAGAGCGCGGCTCAGGCTGTCCAGGACTGATGCGTCACGGGCTGAGTATCGTCCTCTGGCACCTCGGGCCAAACGCTCTCCTTCTCGTGCAGCTTTTTAGAAGGCGATTCAATGAGCATTGGAATACAAGGACGTAACACGACCATGACGTACCATGCGTTCCCAGATGCGCTTCACAAATGCCTTGTCAAGGGCTACGTCCCTGGCAGACGACGTCGGTGCTGCTTGACCCCAATCGCAGCAGACGGTGACGAGCTTCGTGCCCGCTCCTTCCGACCACGATCCCTTTTCCTCCGACGGGCGGACGTGGTTCCGGTACGGGCTTCCGGGATGCTGGGCGCATCTCGGGACCATGCAGAACTCGCCGCAGGTGCGGTCGTAGCGAAGCACGAGGAGTTTCAGGCTACGTCCCTCTCGCTGGTGCGGCCGTCTGGCCAGGCCTTCATACAGGGTCCGGATGACACCTGGGTACGATTCGATTCGGAGACGACCGGCTGCGTTGGGCAGATTCCGAGTGTCGGGCGAGGGACGAGGCGGGACCCTCTGGTCGAGGTAGGGAAAGATGCTGACACAGACGCGCTGCAGCGTAGGTGGGTATTCGTTGACGGCGGCAACAAACGCTGCCTCGTCGATTCTCGAGGACAGTAGATGGAGTGATTCGGGCACAGGCCTCGCAGCGGCATCACCTCGATTGGAGAAGCGCATCTCTGCCGAGATGGCCATGGGAAGCTGGGCATCAGAAGAAGAGACAAAGGCGCTGACGACGTCGAGATTGTCAAAGTAGGTCAGCAGACGCGCCGATTCGAGGCGCTCGAGCAGGTGTTTTGGATATCTGAACAGCTTTCCAAGCAGAACCAGCGTAGTGGGCGAGGCGACGGAGACGTCTTCGTCGCGCCTCTCAATGGAGCGGACGAGGGTGGCTAAGGGATGGGGACGTCCGGGCTCCTGAGGCCCACTGCGCAACATGCACCAGACGAAGTAACGCTCATCGCGCTCGAAGCGCAGCACAATATGGCTGTACAGCCCTCTTCTTCCCAGGTTGAGAAATGAGCGGCTCAAGAGACAGACGGACCGGCCGTGTTCGCGCGGTGAAAGCTGGATAAAGTGCTCGAGGATGAGAGACTGATGGCAATTATTAGCGGCGCTTCTTTCTCTCTTTGGTTTCGGCTATTGCGAGCACGCACCACTATCTCAAACGGCAAGGGCGGAAACGCATGGTCCGTCATGCAGTCGGGGATAGGCGGCGGTAATACCGCCTTTGCGCAGTCCAGAGCCAGACATTAGATGCTGGGCGCCAACATTAGTGTAGCAGCCGCCGTCAACCGCTTTGTTTCCAATGTGGAGCACATCGGCCGAATGATCGGGTGCTGCATTCACCCAGCCAGTCACTACTATTCTCGTCTCTCACTCCAGTGAGAGTGACTTCACTCCTATTGACCCATTCGTCAACATGGCAGAGTTGTAAAAGTAGAGCGAAAAGACAGCAAGATCTCCAATGAGTAGTTATATAAACTGTGTCCTCTACAATGTCCATTCCCAACGGGTCTGCGCCATCACCGTCATGGCTTCTTACTTTTTCCTCTCGTTCAACTTCGTGGTGCATGCGGGCCCCGTGGCCATCTTCGCCCTCGCCTCGTACATTCACTTCCTCCGCAACGACTACGACTCTTTTTGGGCCTTTGTCGCGTACGCTGCTTTCTGGTCGTACCCCTTCTCGGTGGCCTACTGGCATGAGAGTCATCTGCCACTGGCGGCAGTCTATGTTCGAGTGGTGCAGCTTCTCTACATCTACCTCGTCGACCTCTGGATCTACATGGCGGTGTACCGTCTGTTCCTCCACCGCATCTGCCACATACCTGGACCCATCTCGCTGGCGTCGTCAAAGTTGTTTTGGATACTGGTTGATGTAATGGGTGAGAATCGCATCTACAGCGAGCATCTTCATAGCACATACGGCGACATGGTCCGAATCGGGCCTAGAGAGGTGTCCATCAACGACCCAGGCGCCGTCGACGTCGTATTGGACAACTGTGGTCCTTGTGGCAAGGGACCTCGGCTTGAAATCGCATACCGTGGCCTGCTCTTCCTTTCGCATCGTCATTTGAGTCTCGAAGACGGAAGGGCCAGGAGCGAATTTGTCGGGCCCCGATTGATCACCACGACGCGAGAACTCATGAAACAGCTCGAGGCCGCTTCCAGAAACGGGGAGCCGGTAAATGTTAGGAGATGGAGCCTGTGCGCCTCGCTCGATGCACTGTGCTCTCTTGCCTATTCGAAAAGCCCCAACGTGCTCAACGAAGGACCTGAGAGCTCACGGTTGATTGTATGTGTCTTCTTGTCAAGTTGGCTATCCCCCGGCTTCAGCTGATCTTCGACTTGCTTAGGCTGTCGAACGCGCGCTTCGCCAACGCTCGATCCTAGGCAACGTGCCGTACTTTGGAGTTGCTCTGCGCGACCCACTTCGAGGCTGGAACGACTGGATCGAAAAGACGATTGGCTCGGGTGCTTCTCCCAATGTGCTGAGCTGCCTTTTCGGTCCAGAGGACCATCACGGCAATGTTGCCCTTGCCCTGGCTGCAGCTGCGACGGCAATGTCCGAGGTCCTCGCCATGGTGCTCTACCACCTAGTTGCCGATCCCTACTGCTATCAAGCTGTGCGCAACGAGGTCTTTTGCGTCGCCGGATGTGAGTCGCATGCTCTTGCACGGAGTTTACCGTTCTTCCCTGATGCTCAAGTGCGCGCTCAGCCAAGGAGTTTCCCTCGAACATTGATCAGCTTACGGCCAATGATTGCCCTATGCTCAACGCCGTCATTGACGAGACAATGCGCCTGCACCCGCCATTGGCCTCTGTGGGTCTCCATCAGCGCGTCACGCCCCCGTCTGGTCTCGTTCTCCCGCTTCGCAAGGGCAATGTCACGCTTCCACGCGATGTTGCGGTCACGATCCCGCTCCATGTGATGCAGCGCGACGCTCGCAACTTTTCGCCGACGCCAAACGAGTTTCACCCACGACGCTGGTTTGCAGAGCAGCTCCGACCCACGCAGTTCCAAAAGGACGTAGCGACGCTGAATAAGGTCGCCTACCTGCCCTTTGGCCGTACGAGCAGCCCCATCGACGATGTGGCATACATGCACCTTCGCATCGTCATCGCATCGTTTGTTCATCAACTTGATGCACGCTTTCCACCTGAATTCAACAAAGACGCCTTCTTGCACAGCCAGGACACCTCTCAAAAACAGAGCGTCTTGCTGCTCCTGTCCCGTCGTCGTCGGTGTCGTCGCGGAGAGGAGTGATGCGGCTCCATCGTTGGGGAGGACACGTGGATCCAATATACGTCGATAGAGAAAGAAAAAAAGAGCTTAAATTGGCCTCTAATTCAAGAGACGGCAGAATGTTCCTGTCTGCGTCTGTAAAGCCTAACCTGTCCCTTGATTAAAGTCGTTGGCACCAGACTAGGAGCTCCAGGGTCGTGTCACTAGTAGTGATAGTCCTGTACGATCGAGTGCGGACCGAGCTCTTGCCTCATTTCTCCTCCATCTCTCTCTCTCTCTCTCTCTTCCTTTTCGCAAGCTTCATTTCCGACCCAACTCAGTCGAGAATCTCGGCCACGGACCGCTAGATCGGGACCTCGCTGAGTTGTCGAGCGTGGAGATTGAGATTGGAAAGTGCGAGTCGGTCTTCACGTCCCTAATTTTCATCATTGTCCTCTTCTTCCTCACGACACGAACACTCACGCCTCGAGACGAGCAGCCTGGCCCAACCTTAAATTCAAGGCGAATCTTTCCCAAGCCTCGCCAGCTGTGTCGAGCCCTGTGGCGCACGAGCAAGGTCCGCCCTGATCATCTTCATTACTTACGAAAGGGAGCGCATGGACACTCTTCGGCGTTGCTCCTCATGCCATCGTCCGACGTTCAATGGTGCGTCAACCCCTGCGCGCCGAATGTTGCTGGTTCAAGCTGACTTTTGCCCCTGCTCTTTACCTGCTACTTTCGCTCGATGCAGCCGATGGGGCATCGTGGGCTGCGGCTCCGTCGCAGCGAGCTTCGTAGCCGAGCTCCAATCTCGAGCCACGCCGGTCGCTTCAGGGTGGGTAGCTGAAGGACTGCCTTGCTACTCTCGAGAGACGTCACGCTTACGTATGCTTTCCCCTTGTCTGCGGTCACACAGCAGCACGGTACAGCACAGCATCGCCTGCGTATCGTCGTCGAGCCAGACGACGTCGCGAGCCTTTGTCGATGCCCATATCCATCCCTCGGCTGGGAAAGACGTGGAGACATTTGGGACCCTGATGGAGCTCCTCGCCTTGCCGACCATCGACGCCGTCTTTGTTGCCTCGCCGCATGCAGCCCGGTTCCACCATGCCTCGTCGGCCTTGCGCGCAGAGAGGGCCGTGCTGGTGCCCCGGCCGCTGGCGATGAGCGCTGGTGAGGCACGCGAGCTCTGCGAGCTGGCCGGCAGGAGCAAGGGCAACTGGCTCGGCATTGTCGCGCGGACGCCATCGGACCAGCACTCGATTGAAGGGTGAGCAATCTCCTCCTGGTCTCATGTCTCTCTTTCTTTCCTTGTCGTTGTCAATGTCGCTCATCACTCCTGGACCCGCATGCATGTAGACATCTCCTATGGGCTGCCGACGAATGCGCACGGGGAAGGGCCGCTGGCTCCGTAGAGTCGCCGCTGGTGCCCTGGTCGGAGAACATTGCTGTCCTTGCGGTGAGTGGTGTGCGATGCAGAGGAGAGGATAGTCTTCTTCTTCTGACCACTGAGACTGCTTCGACAGGCCCTCGACGAAGTGCGAAGGACAGGCGCCCTCGTCCTTCCGTCCGAAGAGGAGGAAGAGGAAGAGGAGGAAGCGGCTTCGTCGACGCCCTCGCATCGCTTCTCCTCGACTGCGGTAAAGCCAGTATCAAGGAGCAGAAGGAGCAGCAGCAGCAGCAGCAGTAATAACGTCACTGCCGATGGACAACCACGGGCCAGCTCACGAGCCAGCTTCTCGAGTGCCACGAGCGGAGGTGCCTGGGCCGACGCCGCCACGTCCAACAACAACAGCAACAACAAGACGAGCCTGCGGAGCCAGGTGCAGGAGCTGCAGCATGTCCTGCGGCACAAGAACGCCCTCATCCAGTCGCTCGAGCAAAAGGCCGGCATCACGTCCGCCGGCAGCACCGCGTCGCCCAGGACCCGTGGCCGCCTGTCCCTTGATTCAAAGGCGATCATCCCCTCGACGACTGTCACGCTCGCCAGCTCCTCGTCGTCGGGCCGAAGGAAGCGGACGACGTCGACGAGCTCGCTGGCCGCTGACGCGCAGGAAGAACCGCGGTCGCCCAGCCCAGGGCCCTCGGCGACGGGGCCTGTCCCGCGAAAGGGCGCTGCCGACCGGTCCTGGATCCGATCATCGACGCCGACGGGCAGCAACGGACGATCGACGACGCCTGACAATGCGCTTCGCTCGCCCATCAGCTCCGTCAACCAGCTCGGTCTCGCTACCGTCAAGGAGGGCAACCAGAGCAGCCTCGCCCTGGGCGGCGGCTTCTCGGCGCCCACCATTGCCAGCGAGGGTCGGCGCGTGTCGGGAAGCGGTGCGGCGGCCGTGCCCAACGGTCTTGTCACGGGTGCCGCTTCCAATACTACTGCAGCTGGTAGTGGTGGTAGTGGTGGCGCAGGCACAGGCACAGGCAATGGCGCAGCTGTCGCCTCGCCCACGACGAGCAGCGCAGCCGCAGGAGGGACGAGCAAGGTGCTGAACCAGCTCACGGCTGAGCTGGCCGAGGTCAAGGCGACGCTCGAGGTGACAAAGGCGGGGCTCCGGACGGCGCAGCGTAACAGTACGACACTGCAGCGCACCCTCGATGAAACAAAGGATGCCCTGGGCCGGTCCCGGGCGGAAAACGAGGCGAGCGGGCAGATGGTTGCGCGCAAGGAGCGACAGGTCCAGGAGGCCCTTGGCCGTGCCCGAAAGGCAGAGACGGAAGCCAAGGACCTGGGGAAAGCGTCGCGCGAGTGGGGCACCCGCGTGCGCCAGGTCGAGGCCGAGCTCGGCGAGGAGCGCGTCAGGAAGCAAAAGGCAGAGGCCCAGTACGAGGCCATCAGCAACAGCTGGAAGACGACGAGGGAGCTGTGGGAGCGCGAGATGGTGGAGCTGCGGAGCGCGAATGGGAGCAAGGTCAAGGAGAATGCCGCTGATGCGAAAAAGATGGCCGATACGATGAAGGAGGCCCTCGAGAGGATGAGGCAGCGGCAGGAAGAGAGCGGTGGGCTCGAGGCTGTCCTGTTGAGGCTGGAAAGGGAGAGGGAAAGAGCGATAAAGCAGGTCGAGGGACCCGTGGCGGAGCTCGTCAAGCTCTTGGAACAGAACGAGGCAGTGGTCAAGCGACAGGACGGTGCCGTCGAAGAGGTCCAGCAGGAGCTCAAGAGGATCATCCGCCTGATGCGGTCCCCCGTGACGTGACGCTCCTCTCATCGACATCTTCCTGAAATTCCCTCTCCTTTCCCCCTTCCACCCCCGTGCGAGTCGAAGACTTTTTTCCGCGCTAATCATGTAATGTAATCTACGTATCCCTTCATCATCATCATCATCATCATCATCATCATCACAGCAAAAAGACAAAGAGAATCTGGGCTGGAGTTGGCCGATTTCGAGATTGGGTGTGTCGGTACTGTTACAGGGGTGATGGGAAGATGCAACTTTCTCTTTTGTCTTTAGCAAGGGAGCAGACTGCCATCAGCGTCTGATGCCCTGAGGAGCCGCTCGAGGCGCAGCACCACCGCGACCACGCCTGCTCTGAGCTGTGGATGGATTAAAGAGGGATAGGGTCAGTTTCTGGAAAGGAAAAGCGAACGATCGTGTATGACTGTCTGTCCCTCCCTCGATCCGCTGCTCACCTCGCATGATTGTCGCGCGACCTCGGGCGCTTCCGATACCTCGGCCCTTCATCGCATTCGGCCCGACCCGCTTGAACATGGGCGCCTGCTGCAGCATGTCTGGTACCACGATGAACCTGCGATCCGCGAGTATCAGTCTCGTCGCATCAAGGCAGAAGTAAGAGGAGAGAGGCAGCTCACCGGATCATGGAGCCTCGGATGTAGACAGTTTCGAGCTTCGATTGCTTGCCATCGCGCGCCGTGACGGTGATGTCCTTCATGGCGACATTCAGGCTGTCCTCGGCTGTGAGAATGCGCGCTTCGATGTTAGCATGCAGCACAACGGACGCAACTGCACCATCGCTGCTCTGACTCACCGTCGTAGAGCTGGCCGCGGTACGAGTACCCTCCCTTTGTCTCGACCGTGATGATGTGGCCCAGGCTCTCGTGCAGGAGTCGGACAGGGATGCCCAAGTTGGAAGACGCCATCTTTGCTGCTGCTGTTGGATGAGCAGTTTGGAGCGAAGAAAGCGATCAAGGTCGCGCGAAGGAGTTGTGTCTTGTCGCCAACCACGTGGAGAATTTTTAGGCGTCCGCGCTTCTGTCGCCCTCCCTTTTTATTTTTTCTTTCTTCTTGTCTGACTCCTTTCTGACTCCTTTAGCAACAACGAGGCTTGTTCTCCGAAACGACTTCAGGGCCGCCACAGGAGAAAGACAACTTCTCACGACGACATCGCTCTGGAGAACCGCCGTTGCTGGCGGCCGTAGGATTTCACCGCTCAGGAGCCCGATACGCACATTTGCAACCATGCCTCCGGCTAAGACCGAGGCCGCTCCTGCTGCCCCCAATGGCGGCGGTCCCATTCAGCTCGAGAATGTGAGTCCTTTTCTTTCCTCCATACCCTTTTCAAAGTAGTTGTTCAGGACTGTCACTGAAAGGCTTGCACCGTGACGGTTGCAGACGTCCAAGCGAGACTTTCTCAAGTCGCTGGAGCAAAAATACCAAAAGGAGTGGGCCGACGCAAAGGCCTTTGAGGTCGACAGCCCCATGACAACGGAGCAGGGCCTCGAGGACCTGTCACCCGCCGAGATTCGGAAAAAGTTTCCAAAGTGGCTGGGTACCTTTCCCTTTCCCTACATGAATGGCTCGCTCCACCTCGGCCACGCCTTTTCGCTCTCCAAGGTCGACTTCTTCGATGGCTACCAGCGCATGCTGGGCAAGCGCGCCGTCTTTCCCCTTGGCTTCCATGCCACTGGCATGCCCATTCGAGCCTCGGCTGACAAGCTGATCCGCGAGATTGAGATGTTCGGAAAGGACCTGTCGGGGTACAAGGACGAGGAGGAGGTGGAAGATGCAAAGATCGACACGGACGCTTCGACTTCGAGCCTCACGCAGAGCAATGTGGCCAAGGCGACAAAGGGCAAGGTGGCGGCAAAGAACACCGGTCTCAAGTACCAGTTCCAGATTCTCGAGAGCATCGGCGTGCCCCGCGAGGAGATTCACAAGTTCGCAGAGGGGCGCTACTGGCTCGAGTACTTCCCACCCATTGCAAAGGACGACTGCAGGGCGATGGGCGCAAGAATCGACTGGAGGAGGACGTTTCTGACAACGGACATCAACCCGTACTATGACGCGTTTGTGCGCTGGCAGATGAACAAGCTCAAGGCTCTCGACAAGATCAAGTTTGGCGAGCGGTACACCATCTACTCGCCAAAGGACGGCCAACCCTGCATGGACCACGATCGGTCCGAGGGAGAAGCTCTGGGCCCACAGGAGTACACTGCCCTCAAGATGGAGGTAGTGCAGTGGGGTGCAGAGGCTGCACCTGAGGTCGATGCCAAGACGCAGGGCAAGAAGGTCTTCTTCATCGCCGCGACGCTCCGACCAGAGACGATGTACGGCCAGACCAATTGCTACGTGGGGCCAAATATCGAGTACGGCCTGTTTACAATCAACGACAAAGACGTGTACCTGTGCACTGAGCGAGCCGCTCGCAACATGGCCTTCCAGGGAACCACGCAGGAGCGAGGCAAGGTCGAATGCCTTGCCAAGATCAAGGGTAACAAGCTCATCGGTACCAAGATCAACGCACCCTTTGCCCACCACGGCCAGGTTTACATCCTGCCCATGGAGAGTGTTCTTCCGGGCAAGGGAACAGGCGTCGTCACTTCGGTGCCTTCGGACTCGCCAGACGACTACGCCAACCTGATGGAGCTGCGCAAGAAGGCAGAGTACTACAAGATTGACCCACAATGGGCCGCTCTGGAAATCATCCCTGTCATCAACACGCCCAAGTACGGCGACGTGACTGCAGAGACGCTCGTTAAGCAGCTCAAGATCCAGTCACCAAAGGACGCCGTCAAGCTGGCCGAGGCAAAGGAGATTGCGTACAAGGAGGGCTTCTATAACGGCAAGATGCTCGTCGGCTCTTTCAAGGGCATGGATGTCCAGGAGGCCAAGAACAAAGTGCGCGATGAGATGATTGCAGCCGGACTGGCGTTCCCCTATGCCGAGCCAGAGGGACGCATCGTGAGCAGAAGTGCAGACGAGTGCGTCGTGGCTCTGTGTGATCAGTGGTACATGGACTACGGCGAGGAGTCTTGGAAGCAGCAGGCCAAGACGCTCGTTGCGCGGATGAATCTATTCCAGGACGAGACGAGGAACAACTTCGACCAGGTTCTCGACTGGCTCCACCAGTGGGCCTGTGCAAGAAGCTACGGCCTTGGTTCCAAGCTACCCTGGGACCCGCAATTCCTTGTCGAATCGCTCAGTGACTCGACCATCTACATGTCCTACTACACCATCGCCCACCATCTCCAAGGCGGCCACGAGGACGGCTCGATGATCCCCGGTCCCATTGGCATTCGACCAGAGCAACTCACCGACGAGGTTTGGAACTTTATCCTCAGCGACGGAAAGATGCCGGAGAACACCGACATCCCCAAGGAGAAGCTGACGTTCCTCCAGCGCGAGTTCCAGTACTTCTACCCCATGGATCTGCGCTCGAGCGGCAAGGACCTGATCCCCAACCACCTGACGTTCTGCGTCTACAACCACGCCGCCCTCTTCCCCGAAGACCAGTGGCCTGTGGCTATGCGTACGAACGGCCACCTTATGCTGAATGGCAAGAAGATGTCCAAGAGCACAGGCAACGCCCTGACGATGCGACAGGCCGTGGAAAAGTTCGGCGCCGACGCCTGCCGAATCAGCCTGGCTGATGCGGGTGATGGCATCGAAGACGCCAACTTCGAAGAGAAGAGCGCAAATGCCAACATTCTGCGTATTCATACGCTCCTCGATTGGTGCAAGGAGCAGGTGGACAACAAGGACAACCTAAGAAAGGGGCCAAAAGACAGCTTCTGGGACCAGGCCTTCGAGAACGACATGAACACGCTCATCGAGTCGGTCAAGGGCTTCTACGACGATGCGCTGTACAAGGAGGCCGTCAAGCACGGCTTCTACGAATTCCAGACGGCGCGCGACTTTTACAGGGAGGCAACAGCCGACGTGGGCATGCATGTCGACCTTGTCCTCGTCTGGATCCGAACTCAAGCCCTGCTCATGATGCCCATCGCTCCGCACTTTTGCGAGCACATATGGCGAGGCATCCTGGGCGAGACGACGTCGGTGCAGAATGCGCGCTTCCCACAGGTCACCAAGCCCGTTGACAAACACATGGCCGACGCCGCAAGCTACATCCGTGGCCTCATCAAGTCGATCCGTGACGCCGAAATTGCGATTGTCAAACGCAAGGCAAAGGGAAAGACGGCGACCCTCAAGCCGTACGATGAGAAGAAGCCCAAGGGTGTCAAGATCTACGTGGCAAAGAGCTTCCCCGCGTGGCAGGATGCGGCGGTGAAGGTGTGCAAGGACAACTTTGACGAAAAGGCAGGCAAGATCGACGAGGTCAAGATGAGGGAGGGCCTGACTTCGGAAGGCCTGATTAAGGACAAGCGCGTCATGCCCTTTGTCGTTTCCCTCAAAGTGACTTTCGACCTTCTTTCCTTCCCCCATTGAGATGAACCCGAACGCTGACTTGCATTTCCCGGACAGAAACGAATCGAAGAGTTCGGCCCAGAGGTGGCGTTCAATCGCCTGCTGCCGTTCGATGAAACCGAAACAATCCGAGCGGGATCGGCCTACCTGAAGCGCACCATGCGCCTCGACGAGCTCGTTCTTCTGTCTGCCGAAGAGGCCATGACGAAGGAGGGTGCTCAGGACTCTGAGGACAAGAAGCTCGTCGAAAACGCCCAACCAGGTTCCCGTGAGTGTTGACTAAAGAAGAACTAGAAATAAGCCTGCCGAAAGCCGCGGGGACTTGCACAAGATTCCCGCGCACGGTCCAAAGCTCTTCTAGCGCCCTTTTTTTTAGGCGTCTAAAGAATACTGACAACGCTTTCCCTTCTAAAAGCTGCCTTTGTCTGCTATAACCTCTGATGTTTCTACTGTACCCTAGACGACATACAAAGTGTTTTGCTGTTGCGGGACATCACATGAAATTCCGATGAGCTTCATGCGCACTTCGACCTCGGTAGGCTCGGTCATCTTCCCCAGAGCCCGTGTCCCTACCCACCGGCTCTTTAATTTCCAGGCTGAAATAGTCCCGGCGGCCTGTAAAGCGGACTTACGTGTCAAAGTCCAGTACTTTTGTTCTCTACATTGCGCTTGAACGAGCTCGTGCTGCTCGCTTTACGTTGTCAGATCGCTTTACGTGGAATTGCGATCAAGATGGATACGTCGTCGCACCCCGATAGCAACTGACCGGATGCTTCCTACCTTTCGCAGCCTGCTTTCCTGACTTGAGAATCGTCGATTTTGGCGTGCGCTTCGGGCGTAGAAAACGAGGCGAGAGCGGAAAAGAAGCCGAGGCGCGGTCGTTCTTCATGCCAAGGTGCCCTTTCTTACATCGGACAGAGCCTCGCGGCGTACGCTCCGTTCAAGGACCATTCGGAAAAGGGTTATAAGAGACCGCCAATCGGGCCCGTCTGACCTCCAGTCTTCTCCCCAACACCTCCCCATCAGCAGCACGCACACGCTCCTACACATACACATATACGCACATACACACACACACACACACACACACACACACACACACACACACACACACACACACACAAGAGCCCTCGAAGACTTTGCTTCTCTCTCGCAGACAGGATGACAGCGCCAGCCTGGGAGACGTCGCAGCTCCACGTCCCTGTCGAGGCGACTGTGCCCGCGCGCGGGGTGCCTGGCATGCCGCTTCCTCTTGCTGGCGATGGCAACTTTACGGTCCCACCACTGGACGGGTCGATGCTGGTACCGTCGATGATCGACTTTCACATCGTCCATTCGCCCGACTGGGTCTTTGCAAGGTACCTCGACGGCAAAGGCCAGCTCGTCGAGATGCGATGGAAGTGGACTGTAGGAAAGGCGATTCACATCTTTGCGCGTGAGGTGGCCCGCAAGTACCTTGGCACAGACCTCGACAAGGGGCAACTTCCCCCTCTCAAGAAGATCAACAGTGGCGACAAGGGCGAGAGATTCTCGAGACCAGTCGTTGCAGTCATTGCTTATGCACCTCACCAGACCTACCTCCCCGTCTTTTTTGGCCTCCTCCGAGCTGGCGCTGTGCCATTTCTTATCAGCACGAACAACTCCGCAGAGGCAATTGCCCATCTGCTCAAGACATCTGGCTCCTCATTTGTCCTTCGCGGTCCCGGCGGCTCCGCGCCCGACGTTGACGCCGCCATTGATCGCGCCATCGAACAGGTTGGCCCGCAACAGGCGATCAGCTTTATCCCTTACCCGACCCGTGACTTCCTCTTTGGACACAACCTCGAGACGCAGCCTTTCCTCGGCGCCCCCTTCCCCGCCGCTGACGCGCCTTTGGATTCCCCGTGCGCCATCTTGCACTCATCCGGCACGACCTCCTTTCCCAAGCCAATCGTCTTGACGCAGTTCCACGCAGCGGCCCTGGCAAGACAGACATGGTGGGGCGACAGATCATTGGTAGGAAGATCCTTCTTTGTGGGTCACTTGCCACCCTTCCATGCACTGTGCCTCTACCTTTCAGGATTCTTCCTCATTGGTGGAGGATGGACGGTGCACCTGCGCAAGGAGGCCATCCCTCTCAAAGTGAGTCACTTCTTCCAGGAGTGTTCTACGATTCGACAGTACTGACTTTGAGCGCCCGGCAGCCCGTCACGCCAGAAAACATCATTGAAGAGCTGGTGTCGTTGCCAAGCGAAGTCCTGATTGCTGTGCCCTCATTCTTTGACGCCTGGTCGCGCGACGAAGCTGCCTGCAAAGTTCTGCGCAACATGCAGTGTGCCTTTGGCGGAGGACCTCTGTCGTCTTTGACTGCACAGCGAATCGAGGCCGCCGGCGTCAGCTTGCAGACGGCGGTGGGCATTACCGAGATCGGCATCGTGACACGCTACCCCTGCAAGGACAACACCAGCTCAGCCTTTCGACTCAACGCCATGATGCAGCCGTTCTTTAGGCCGGTCGGACAAGACCAGTATGAGCTACTGCTTGGTCCTCGTCCTGGGTTCGTTCCCCACGTTCTCAACGATTCAGTCCAGGTAGATGGCCAAGAGCAAGCGGTGTATGCCACTTCGGACGTCGTGGAGTTCGTCCAGGGAAGTGTGTCGGATCCGGAGAACGCGTTCATCAGGATCGTCGGTAGGGCAGACGACCAAATCATGCACTCTTCTGGCGAAAAGACGAATCCGGGTCCACTGGTCGACATTATTGACGAGTGTCCCGACGTCAAGGCGTGCCTCTACTTTGGCAGGCAGAAACCTCACGTCGGCCTCCTCGTAGAACCGAAGACACCGTTGAAGTCACACAACGAGGCAGACGTTGCGCAATTGCGCAACCGCATTTGGCCATGGGTCAAGAAGGGTGTGTCTACCTGACTTGGCTGAACCTCTCCAGGTTTTTCGCTGAACTCATCTGATTCCTTCTCTTATTCCCGATAGCTAACGCCTTTGCGCCATCGCACTCGGCCCTCTTCAAGGAGATGATTGTTGTAGCGAGCGAGGCCAAGCCCTGGGAGCGAACATCAAAGGGATCACTTCGGAGCGGGGCCATCGTCAAGCTGTATGACGACGAGATCGAAGCAGCCTATTCCGCCTTCGAAACTATTGCTGAGAGTGACATCAAAGTGCCCCAGCTCTGGACGACTGAATCGACGCTCGACTACATCAGACAAGTCGTGGGTGAAGCCGTCGGCTCTGGCAAAATTGACGACGACACGGACATCTTTGCAATGGGCGCCGACTCTCTCAAGGCGACAAAGATCCGCAATGTCGTGGCCAAGGCTGCAGACAAGAGGCTCCAGCCAACATTCATCTATTCGAACCCGACGGTCAGTGCTATGGCGGGCGCTTTGCTGGACCTCGTCAGCGGATCAGGCGATCAAGAGGACGATGTAAAGCAGGTCGTCGATGCGTCCAAGCACGTCCAGGCCATGGAGGCCATGCTGCAAAAGTACGCCAAAGACCTGCCCACTCGTTCGCCTGCCGCACCAGCAGTAAACGGAAGTGCAAGAGGACATGCCGCTACCCAGTCCATTCTCGTCACGGGCACGACGGGAGGCATGGGCAGCCACATTCTCGATGAGCTTGTCAAGGACCCAAACGTCGTGGCTGTCTACGCTGCCAACCGGTCCAGCCGCGGCCATTCGCTTCTGGAGCGGCAACGCCAGGCCCTGCGCTCGAGGGGTGTGGATGAGTCCGTTGCTACGTCGCCCAAGGTCCGACTCATCGAGATCGACACCGAGCGAGTCGACTTGGGAATAGACGAAGAAACCTACGGTGAACTGACCATGAGCCTGACGTGCATCATCCACAACGCCTGGCGCTTGGACTGTGAGTTGTTCTTTCCTTCGATTGTGTACAGATCTTTCGGAGCTCACGCTGTATTGTGATGTAGTCAATCTGGCTCTGTCGAGCTTCGAGAGTCACATCAAGGGCACGAACAATCTCATCCGCCTCTCCCTGCGCTCGACCCGTCCACATCCGCCCCGTATCGTCTTCACCAGCTCCATTGCGACTGTCCGTGGCGCCGAAGGCCCCACAGGTGCTCCAGAACTGCCCCTCGAGACATTCTACCCTTCTGTTGGCTTCGGGTACGGCGAGAGCAAGGCTGTGTGCGAGCGCCTGCTCGCTGCTGCTTCGTCAAAGGCCAAGATTCCGACCACGATCGTCCGCATCGGCCAGATGAGCGGCAGCAACACCAACGGCGCCTGGGCCACAAGCGATTGGGTGCCGCTCATCTTCAAGTCATTCGAGACCGTCAGCTGTCTCCCATCTATGCCTGATGAAGACATTTGCTGGATCGCAAGCGACGTTGCCGCCAAGGCTCTCGTCGAATTCGTCGCATCGTCTTCCCCCTCCTCATCGCTGTCCGAGGTGCTGCACATCGTTTCGCCACGTACGGCGAAGTGGGACGACGTGATGCAAGCCGCAGTTTCCATTCTCGCCAATGGTGGACGCGGTAAGCTTGTGCCTTATGCCACTTGGGTCGATTCGATCAAAGACGCCGGTCAAAAGACGTCGCCGGAAAAGTTCCCCACCTGGAAGCTTTCCGGCTTTTACGAGGCCGTTGTCCCCATCGCGTCGACCAAGCTCGGGCCCGATCGAGAAGCAATGGGCCCCAAGCGCCTTCTGACAGACGAATCTAAGAAGCGCAGTCAGACGTTGAGCAAGTGCGAGTCCATCAAGACTGACGATGTCAAGAAGTGGCTTCGATACTGGTCCACCGTCGGTTTTCTCAAGCCCTAGAAAAGCAGAGGCTCGTTTCCCTTTCGTCGGAATTCGTCCTGCGTCGAAATCATTGCACACACAGAGCTTGACTTGCTCGTCTTGAATGGCTCGCCCCCCTCTCCAGAAACTCTCATCAGGTCTGATCTACCTCTACTCTTCTCTGATGAATTGCGGCTCGATACTTGTACAAATCCTCATCGGTCCTCGTCAATCTATTCTTCTTCCCTCCTCTGCTTTTTGACAATGTCCCTGTTCTCGAGGACGGGCGCTGTGGTAGCCTGCCCCTCGTCACTCCTGCCTCTCTTTGCACCGGATTGCAATCCGCCGTTGACCTCCAACACAGATTGTGCTGGACCCTCAAAGCGAGTCTGGGAAGGATCCAAGCTCGGCGTCTGCGTCTGCGTCTGGACAGGGAGCTCCTGCGTAGTCGGCCCCTGTGAGTCGGAGCGTTCTTCTTCGTCGTCTCCCTCTTCGTCGTCTGCCGTCTTGAATGCCTCGATGAGCTCGTTGGCCTCAGCGCCGGGAAAAAGCCAAATGTGGCTATCGGCCAGTCTCTCGGGTTTCATAGCCCCTTCTGCCGGGCCTCCTTCACCTTCGCTCTCTTTCGCCGCGCTCTGGCCGCCCAGCACATCGGTATTTGGCTTGGGCGGTGGAAGCGTCCAGCCAAGTCGTCGACAGAGATGATCCACGATGATGTCTGCATCGCCCAGTAGTTGGATGTCCATGGCCATGTGCACGACGGGTGTGCGGTTGATGAGAATCACAGGCGTCGAGTGGGGCAGGTGACCGACGAGCTCAGAGACGGGCGCCACTTTGAGAGAGGTGCCCATGACGATGAGGAGATCTACCTTTTCACGGTCCTCCAATAGGCCTGATTGATTCTCTTCAGTAGGTCTCACTTGCTGCGGTTTGACTGTGCGACTTACAATGGTCAAAGTCGTCGGAGAGCTTCTCGCCAAAGAAGGTGATGCAGGGCTTGATGGCAGGAGAAGATCAGCCCTCCACGAGGTGACTCGCTCGATGATAGAACATAGACCCACCTTCATGACACCCAGACCAGGAAAGGCATTGTCGTCATCGTCATCATCGTTGTCGTCCCATAGCGAGCCTCCCTTGCTCTTCTTCGCCTTTGCTCGCTGTAGCTTCTTGGCTTCCTCTCTTGCAGCACAGTCCGGGCAAGTCGGGACATTGTGCGCAAAGATGTCGTCTTTGATGGCTGACCCGAGCACTCGTCTCCCACACCCAGGCGTTGTGCATTGTGCCTCGGCAAAGCTGCCGTGGCAATGGAGGACTCTTTTGATCTAGAGCAGAGACTTGTGGTTAGCCGAGGACGATCAGATCGAGCACTTTGTGTGCGGGCACGACCCACCCCAGCAGCCTCCTCGAGCGTGTCAATGTTCTGGGTATAGTTGCGCAGCAGCTTGTCCTTCTCTTCGAGGAGCTTGATGAAGCGATGCGAGGGCGAAGGGACAAAATTGGACGGAAAGATCGAGTGCGCAAACGAAAAGAAGCATGAAGGATCCTGCAAAAAGTATTCCTTGTCGAACCTGTTTTCCACCCCGTCAGCGCTGCATGCAAGACGAAAGACGATGACTGAGAGCGACTTACATGTCCTGTGGATCCGCGAGGTCATACTTTCCCTCCTTTTGAAGCTGAGCATAGATTCCGTCCTGTAGGGGCCCCTTTGAGCATATGCTCCGTGCAGGCTTGAAGATAGTTATGAGATGAGACAGATCTCACCTTAGATCTAAAGTCAGGTATCCCGCAAGACGTCGAGATGCCCGCACCACCCAGAACGACAATATTGTTCGACCGGGTGATGAGATCAATTACGTCATCGACGGTGTTGTACAGCGGCAGCTTCTCTCTCCGACGAAGGATGCGCGCAAGTGCCGTCTTGAGAACCGTCACGTAAAAGGCCAACGGCAGATCGTCGTTGCGCATTTTACTTGGCTGCACCAGGGAAAGAGCACCGATGAGCGGTTTGATTCGATCGAGCACAGTCATGAACACCTACCAAGAGGGTACCAAGGGCAATGATCAGCGCCTTGACTCGGTCCTTGGAGAGACCGACGACATGGTTCTGCATGAAGCGGACCAAACCTAGCTGCTTGAGTTCCGTCACCATCTCATCGACCCGCTCAGGCGGATAGAGGAGCGCAGCTGAGCATTGCGGCTCGTCTCAGCTTTCGCATGTAAAGAGGGATGGGTGGTCGCAAGTCTCACCTTGCTCGACGAGAAGGTCGATCTCGGAGTCTTCTATTTGTTCCTGATATGCAAGAAAGTACCTGTCAGCACATATTACATCGCACCTCTCTCTCGGGGAGCAGCCCTGCGACGCACCTCCTCAGCCTCCTCCTCAAGCATCTCCAACTCGTCCGAGTCGCAGTCGTGCTGCACGTCCATCGTTGTTCGTCGTGGGGAAAAGCACGAGCCAATTTCAATCTACCGGTAGAGTTATTTAGGCTCAACACGCCCTTCTTCGGCCGATTTGCGTTTCTCATCTAGCACAAAGGCGACAGGCAATTCCAGGAGGACGACAATAATGGTGGAATCTGCATTCCTGATATCTAAAGATGGGCGGACAAATAATACATGAGCCTTGCTCTTCACATGAGCTTGGCCAGCCCGCTCTTCCGGGCCTTTTTCGCGAGCGGCTTCTTCGTGGCGCCTGCCCTCTTGCTGGCCGGCAGGGGCTGCGATGAAGAAACGCCAGTCTTCATCTTTCCTGTGTCCTCAGACGATGACGACGAATCGGAGTCATCTTCGTCGCTGCTTGAGTCATCGTCTGTGCTGCTGCCCTCGCTCGCAGCTGTGTCCCTCCTGTTGCTGTTGCCGCTGGTGGTCAATTGAGGCGCGCTCTGAGATATGGGGCTATTCTGTGCGCTGCTAATCGAAGCGCGGATCACATTGGGGTTCAGATCGCTGAGCCTCGATCCGGTCTTGCGTCGAGGCTGCATCCGCGATGCGACTTCAGCGGAAGCGTCACCGCTTGATCCGCGTGTGGGCGTTGATGTCGTCCCGTTGTTGGCCAAGGCATTGCGAATGAAACCGAAGATGCTCGTCCGGTTGGCCGGCGGCGTCGATTCAATCTCGTCCTCCTCTTCCTCATCGTCATCCTTCTCGTCCGCAGAAGATTCTTCCACCGGTTCTACAGAGCTCTCCTTGTCAACACCGTTGACTTTAGGAGTCGTTGGCTCTTGTCTCGGAGACTTGGGTGGATGCTGGGCAGGAGGAGGAGCAGAGTCCTGCTCTTCACCCTCATCACTGTCTTCACTGCTTTCCTCAGAACCAGGATCGTCGTTCGAGTCTGAACTCGTCTCTGAATCCGTCGCCGACGAAGCTTCAGCAGTAATTTGTGATTTTTGGTACCCTACTTCTTCGGATGCTGACGCCAACGTCTTCGTCGGGCTCTGCGCAGGCTGCGTTTCACTCTGTGTCTGACTCTCGACCCCCTGCGTAGACTGCGTCTGAAAGAAGAGGGGATTATTTTCTCGCCTCCGAGCCGCACTGCGTTCATCAGTCTCTTGGTCCAGTGGCGCTACGTCTTCATCGTCTGCCGTCCTGCCATTGGTGGCTGCCTCCAGCATAGGGCTCGTGTCGAGCTCATCCTCGGAGCCGAAGCGTTGCTCATCGCGCTGCATAAGTGACTCTTGTTGCCTCTCTGGTGGCGTCATCTGCGACAGCTGACCAAGACGCTGAGGAGAAGACGGAGGCAGTGCAGATGGCGGCACTTGCTGCTTCTGGAAGGGATTGTCGGAGCTGAAAGTCGAGTCACCCTTGCCCGCCTCCTGAGAAGATCGAATGAAGTCGTTCATCTTCTCTTCTGCTTTCCGAAGAGTCGTTTCTGCCCTCTTGATCTTTGCGTTTTCCTTTTTCGCTTCTGCAGCATCAATGGTGATCTCCCCGCGCAGCTGCTTCTGCTTCCTCTCCTCTTGGCTCTTGTGAAAGCTCGCCACTTTGGCTTGAGCCTCACGCACCGACTTCTCGATGCGCGCCTGTTGTTTGAGGTCAACGGACGAAATCCTCTCTTGGCCTCCATCATCGCTCATATTGTCTGGATAGCCCACCGAAGACGAGGCATCGTCGCCATCAGCGGCTACTAGACTATCAGTGTCAGTACGACGAAGTGAGCAGAAAGAGGCGAGGAGTTGGCTAGTCAAGCGCTGCCAGGTGACGCACCATTTTCGACTTCGCGATTTGCTGCCAGCCAGCGCTGCAAAGCTCCCTGCGCCGCCAGATCTGTCTCGGTCTTCTTCGATTTTGCGCTGATTTCATCGAGTCGTTTGCGCACACTTTCTTTCCCTTGTGTCACGATCGGGCACTGGTAGAATGCATGGACGTGGGACGAGTCGCAGACTCCGCATGTCTCTTTCCTCTTTGTCGGACTCTTGGTAGGACTCTTAGTAGGGCTCTTGGTAGGACTCGTGGCAGGGCTTTTCGCAGTGGGTTTCGTTGGACTTTTGAGAGGAGAAGAGGAGGCCACCGCGGGAGACTTGCTTGGTGACGCAGCGGCCTGAACAGTAGTCGGCGGAGCCTGCTTCTCCGAGATACCCGAAGTGACTACGTTGGGCTCCTGCTGCTGTTGCTCAGCCTCTCCTTTGCACTCGGCTATGATCCTCAACCTTTCCAAGCGCCGCTTCTCCTTGTCCTCGTCCGCTTTCCGCTTTGCCTCCTTTCTCTCCTCATCTCGCTTCGCCTTCTCTTCTGCCTTTCTCTTCTTCTCCTCTTCCTTTTTCGCTTGCGCATCCATTGCTTTTTGCTTCTTCTTTTCCTCCTTTTCAGCGTCCTTGTTCTTTCTGTTGGCCTCTTCGTTGTTCGTGCTCTCCTTGGCTACCTCACCCTTATTGGCGGCTCTTTTTGCTTCCTCCTGACGCCTCTTCTCCTCCTCCTCTTCCCTCCTTCCCTTGATCTCCTCATCTTGCTTCTTCCTCCGCGCCTCCTCCTCTGCCTCCTTTCTCTGTTGCTCTTCCGCCTGTCTTCTCTCCTCTTGTCCGACTTCCGCTCCTTCGCCCTCGCCTTGCCCCGCTGCCTGTTCCACGTTCGCCTTGTTGGCCTCTCGCTTCTTCTTCTTCTTCTTCTTTTCCCCTGACTTTCCTGCCGCTATCGGCTCAGTCATCGCTTCAGCGACAGGCACCTGCTCCTTCTCCTTACCCGGCCCCTTCTGTTTTGACTCCTTGGCAGCCTCTTTTGCCTCCCTATCGGCCTTCATCTCGTCTTTTGTCCTGCGCTTCCGTTTCTGCTTGACAGCTGGCTCAGCAGGTTGTTCTGTAGCGGACGGCTGAGCGATCTCTGGCTCAACGGCAGCCGCCGCGCTACGAGCGAGAGCCAGTGGCACGTCGACGCTCGAGTCGCGCGACGTCTGCTCTGTGATCTTGCGTAAGGCAGGCAAATTAGCGACCCAATCATACGTGTCTGGTCGCGACTCGGGCCGTTTCGGCCCTGATTCGGCAGCGCCCTGATCTTTCGCCTTCTGCGCGGCTTCTTTCGACTCCTTCTTCTTCCTCGCCTTCTTCTTGGGCCCCTCTTGAGCTGGTGCGGGCGCCGATGTTGGAACCAGAGCTTGCGCTGACGGGACTGACGGGACTGACGGGGCCGACGGGGCAGCCGGAGGTGATGAAGGGGAGGTTGCCTGAGCCTGAGCTTGCTGCGGTTGAGCCGTGAATGAAGGCGATGTTGCGGCATGCGGAAAGAAGGCGTGTGCTTGTGGCGGCGGGAGTGGCGAGGCTGCCGACATGACCGGCGAAGACACGCCATCGAATCGGGGCGAGGAGTGGTTGACATTGGGATGGAGGCCCTGCGCAGGCTGGTGATTCCCGACAGAGATCAGTGGTTGGGTCCGCAATGATGGGCTTTCTTGCGGCGGCAGTTGTCCTGAGTTCGTCCTACTGTGGATGTAAATGCGCGTATCTTCCTGCCTGGCCAAGGTGCAGAGGCTCGCAAAATCCTCTTCGTCCTCCAGCTCGAGTTCGATGCCGTCCTGTAGGTACGACAAGGACAGTGGCGTATCTCTGGCCAAACGAGCTCGCTGCACAATGGTATCCTTGATTTTTTGGAGCGATGGGACCGAGTCCAGCGCCCTCATCAGGTGCCGGCCGTCGGGCAGCACAATGACGACGAATGCTTCGCGCTTCACTCGTTTCCTCCCACGCCTATCCTCTGAGTCCAAATCAGAGTCCGACGCTGAGAATCCCGATCCGCTCTCTGACCCGCTGCTGTCTTCGTCTGCATGCCTGCGACTGGCAGACCTCGATCTCGACCTCGCCCTTGCCCTGCTCCTGCTCCTGCCTTGCGCATGACTTCTCGATTTCGACCTATACCTCCTCCGCCTGCGGTCATCCTCCTCTGAATCGTCGCTTTCCGAATACGACCGTGCTCTCGCCTTCGACCGCGACCGCTTCTCCCTTTTCGAGCCGGACGGCACTGATGCCTGTGCAGGGACCTCGGCTACCGGCATCGGCGGTGGTGGTGGTGGAGGAGGGCCCATTGGCTGCTGCTGCACCTCCTGTTGCTTCTTCGTTGGCCGCCCCCGCTTCTTGCTCGTCGAAGCCGAGGTGCTCTGACCCCCATTGAGTGCACCATTTCCACTGGTGCGTGACGGCGCCATACTAGCCGGATGCGAGACAGAGACGGGCGGAGCTCGGGCGAGGGTGTCAATCTGTCGCGTTGGCGTCGGCGCCTGCTGCTGCAGCTGCCGGAAAGGCAAGAGGGACGGGGATGCGCTCGATCGATGCAGGCTCTGGTGCTCCATTAAGCGAATGCCGTGAGTTTCTACACACACACACGAGAAAGCTACAATGGGCCCGAAAAGCGGGTTTCCAGGCAAGCGGCCTTGGTCGTCGTTTCGTTGATGGCGACGGACCAACGTCGACGAAGAATGGAAATGCAAAGCTTGGACAGATCACGTGTCGCGCTGACGTCCGTGCAGCGACGGACATCCAAGGAGCAGGATCTTCCCTGCGCGAACCAGAATCGCGCCCAGCCCAGTGGCGCGTTCTTGCAGGAAATTCTGCGTTTGTTAGAGCGACCGTCAGAGTATGCAATCATTCCGAGCAAGTGTGGTATTGGAGGTGTCTACAGCAAGGGGGACTTTTGATATTACTTGAGAGAATTGCGCTTCTGGTCCGAGACGGACATCTTCTCCATTCCGAACGTCGCAGACTGGTAGCCTGGAAGCTCCTGGCTTGGCCCTGCCTGTGGCTCTTGTGGCGGTGGCGAAGAAGCAGAAGCCACAGGCTGGGGCGGTCCATCGTAAGACGGGGCCGACGGTTGACCGGCGGCGTTCTTGTATCCGGGCAACTCGTCGAACTCGTGCGGTTCGACCATCTTTGATTTCTTTTGCTTGCCGTAGTGACCAGCATAGAAGCGTCTTTCGATATCCTGAGGAGATAGACGCGGTCGCTCCTCGGGTGTGATGCCACTCGTCATAACAACATAGCCAAGGTTCATGTCGACCTTGTTGGACGATTTGAAGTCCCATTTGAATTTGAGCCGGTTGTACGTCGACAGGTGGTAGACCTCAAACGGAACGCTGGCGGCCGACGACATGAGAATCCTGCCAAAGACGGTCGCCGTGGTCACGTAGGGGTTTGTCTTCACGTCCCTTTCGAATCGTGCTCCTTGCTTGGGGCCCACCCCCTTTGAACCGAAGCGGGGCGCATTGGGCGTCGAGTAGTGCTTCCCCTCTGGGTCGTGCGCGGGCCACGTCCAGCCGTGATCGAGGCCCCTCTTTGCGCGATCGTCAGCTAAAGGTGTGCCCTCGGACGCACCACCCTCTCCACCCTTTTCGTCAGATCTCTGAGTGAAGCCACACTTGGTATATTCGGGATGCCAGCGGACAAAGCACTCCTGGACATCCTTGAGGTCGTGCGATCTTGTACGGTCCGCCTTGGTATAGATGTGCCTGGTGACAAAGAATTTGGGTGTGCGGTCCTCCTGCTTTTCATCCAGCGTGGTTAACGGCAGCATTGGCAGCTCGACTGACTCGCCCGAAAGGAGATCCGAAAGTGATTTGGCTCGGACCGAAATGCGGAGAATGATGGGCACCTCGAGGTGCATGGGGAGGTCTGCAAGCTTGGGGTGTACCACCTCGACCTCGACTACACCCTTCTTGAGGACCAATTTCTGAAGGAAGAGCGAAGGGAGCAGACGATTAGCGAAGAAGAAAAGGCCCATACAGCAGCTGTGGAATCGCTCACCCTTTGGTAGTCGGAGATGTCGTACTGTCGGATCCAGTGTGACGGTGCATCGCCGTAGCTCAAGGGCAGCTCCAGCGTGGGATCCCAGGGCCTGCAGTAGGGGAGCACCACAAAGGGAGTCCATGTTCTGATGTGGTGCAAGAGGGAAATGGTGAGAGACTGGACACAGGAGATACAATCGCAAAAGGCCAAGCCCACCTCTCATCGCGGCTAAAGGTCTTCTCGTTTGCCCCGGTAATCTTGAAATGGTAGGAGACGAGGCTGGTCGAAGTCTCGCTACCGCGTTCTGAGCGGATAAATGATGGCGGAAGCGGGGCACCCTCCTTTTCGCGATAGCGTACGGCCGTGGGCAGCTTTGCATCGACGTCAAAGATCCATGCCGACTCAGTGGACGAGGCGATGAGCATGTGCGGCGAAGCGCTGCGGGACTCGAGCGACGTCGGGTTGATGAAAGCCTCGTGGCTGAAGAGCAGTTGCTTGTCAACGTGGTACGTCGTCGTATTGTTGGCTCCTTGCCTGGTGCCCCAATTGTGGATCATACCCTGGGCGAGGCGAAGGGGGGAAGGAAATGCGAGTTCGTGGGTAGTAGTGAGGGGTCCAAGAAAGGGGCAAAGTGAGAACAGCAAGCCAGAAAAAGTCATCACACAGAACAGACACTAACCCTAAATTCGACATGGATTTTGACGAGGTCCTTGAGTCGCTCCTTGTCGAGCTGGATGCGCGCATGGACAGTGTCGCCGGGGAGGTAGCAGTAGTAGCGGTCGAGGACGCACTTGATCACTGGCCGCTCGGAACCGGTGCCCGTGGCCCTGGAGCGATAGAAACTGCGCTGCTCGGAAGTGGCAGCCACCACGTCGTGGTTCCTGTAGTCGGTAAAGATGCCCATGGTCACCACTGATGGATGTGTGGTGTGAGGAGCTCCCAGATGCTGTGCAGCGATCCGAGATACCGGGCGACCATGCGGTCGGCTGAGATTTAGCTTTAGCTTCTTTTTCCCTGGGTGTGCAAATCCGTTCCTCAGCAACGGTGGTCTGTGCACGGGGCCGTGCGGAAGATCAGAAACGGCGCTGCTGACAACGACGAGAACGCTACAGCGGGAAGAATGAGAGTGACGGGCAGCGTTGCCAGAGGCCTTCTGGTGGATGTGCACTCTCACATCTATACACCGCGTCTCGTTGAGCTTCTGCGGAGACGAGCATCGCCCCCATGCATCTCCAGCACAGACGGGCAAGAGACGTTGCGGACTTCGCGGGACAGTGGAGAGGGGAAAGGAAGCGCGTTTGGACCGCAATTCTGGCAGCGCAGCAACAAAGTGGCCTTCATGGATCGACACCGCATCGACGCAAGCATCGTCAGTGTCGCTGACCCTTGCTTGGACTTTCTCCCACCGGAGGAGGCCGTCGAGGCAGCTCGGGTGATCAACGAGGAGCTCGAGTCATGGTGCCTTCCTCCCGCCTCATCTTCTGACTCGGAAGACATGCCCTCGTCCGTCTTTTCGGCAGGCGACGCCCGCACAGCGTTCCGAGCCGCTGTTCCCAACTCGTCTCGGATACGCGCGTTTGGCGTGCTGCCCTTCGCAAACGAAGCGGTGCCCGTCGCCGCTGTAACGTCGCAACTCGAGGCTATACACAAGAGCACATCCCTCCGAGGTGCCGTCCTGAGTACAAAGGGCTTGGGCAAAGGACTTGACGACGAGAGGCTGGAGCCACTCTGGGAATGCGCCGAGCGTCTCGAGCAGCCTCTCTTTGTTCATCCCCACGGCGACGGCACAGCACCGACTAGCAGCGCAGACGGAGGCCTCTTCGGGCTACGGAGCTCAGGCGCTACCTTGCCTCTGGCCTTAGGCCTTCCCTTTGAAACAGCCGCGGTGAGCAGCGCCATTCAGCCAAAAGCTAACTAATGCATGCTGACCCACAACAATTCCCACAGGCTGCAGCTCGCTTGATCGTTAGCGGCGTTCTCGATCGCTATCCACGGCTCAAACTCATTCTCGCTCACAGCGGTGGAGCGCTTCCTATGCTCTCCTCTCGCCTGGCGTGGTGCGTCTCCCAGGAGGCAGACATCCGCGCGCGGCTAAAGCACGATGTCCGCTACTACCTTGGTCAGCTCTACTTTGATGCTCTGTGCTATGGCCCCGAGGAGCTGGAGCTGGCCGTCAAGATCGTCGGACGGGCTCATAAACATAGACGAGGAGGACCGGGAATATACGGTACACCGAAGCGCGGCTCGCAGGAAGAGCAGGAAGAAATCACAGCTGGCGCCCGTCGATTCCTCTTTGGGACGGATCACCCCTTGTGAGTGTGGGCAATGCTCCTCACGGAGCCCATTTGACGGCACGAGTGCACGACGTGCTGAGCCGCAACGCGATCATTTGCATTTCTTCTCAGTTTCCCTCCTCTGGCGAGCGAGTCGAGCGAGTCGAGCGCGGAAGCGCCCATCTGGCAGAGTGCGTCGACGAATCTGCAGGCGCTCCATGCCGTCGCGTCCTTTACCGCGCACGAACGCGATCTCATCGCTGGCTCCAACGCTTCCACTCTCTTTGGCTTCTCATGAAGCCTCAGCTAACAGAAGCAGTCCTCTCACTTTCAATGCGTAGACCGGTTCACTCTTGCAATATAGATTAGATCACCCTCTGATACAGTCTCCATCCTCCGTGGGAATGATTCATTGGATCGCCTCGACTGCTGACTCGTTTGCAAACCAGCAAAAGAAACCGATGATACCTCCACACGTGGGCCGGAATATGTGCAAGGGCGGTTGAATTTCGAAAGAGGGAGCGAGCGGCGGCGACTTTAGGTAAAGGATGCAGGGCAGGACAGGGCAGAGCAGGTCAGGACAAGGAAAGAGCAAGCCTCCTTCTTCCCCTCATCATACATCCAAACAGCTTCTCTCGAGTGAACAAGGTTTTCGTCGTCGGAAAGTAGACTCGTCGATAGCGTGCGCGAGGCGGGGACAGAAATCAAAGAAGGGTGCACGTCGGCGTACGTACAGAACTGGGTGGAGAACAGGACGCGCGTGTCGAGGTCACCATCGACACGAAAAGAGGGACGCGTCGCATCACCATGGCTAGAGGTGGTCGAGGCAGAGGAGGCAGAGGAGGTGGCGGCGGCGGCGGCGGTGGTGGCGGCGGGCCAAGAGGGAGAGGGAGAGGGCGTGGCGGCTACAATGCATTTGCTGGGGCAGGCTTCGACGAGCTCCTGCTTGGCGCGGCACAAGGGGGATGGCGAGGTGGTGGGAGAGGAGGAGGAGGGGGAGGTGGTGGGAGAGGAGAAGGAGGAGGGGGAGGCGGTGGCCGCGGCGGTGGCGGTGGCGACAGCTTTAGAGGAGGGACGGGCGACCGGGGTGGTGGGAGAGGCCGAGGCCGCGGAAGAGGCAGAGGAGGAGTTCTTTCAGTCCGAGGACAGAATGCTGTCAGCTTCCAGTACTCTTCCTCGACGAGGGTGCTCGCGGACGACGAGGAAGTGCACGTCGAGTATCGCCATGGAGGTGTGCGCCACGCTCAGGATGAAGAAGATGACGACGACGAGGATGATGATGATGACGACGTGATCATCGAGCCCCATAAGAAGTATCGGCACCAAGTCAAGCCTCACCTCGATAATGGCCAGCTGCCCACGCCTCCCGATGACGAAGATGCCCTCGCACGCCTCGTCCGTCTCCCCCCGTCAGTGCCAGACTCGACGGCGCGGTCCACGTCGAATTTGATGGCTATGCAGCGTGCACAGCGTGCAGCAGAGGGCCACGTCGCCGGTCTCATCCCCACCGGCCCTCGCAGCGCCCACATTCACCGCGCGTTTGACACTCGTGCAGCTATCAAGGAACCATTGCCGGCGTCATCGCCTTCTGCTGTTGCCTCTCGCACGCCAAAGTGGGTCCGGCCCGCAGAGCAGACGGACAAGGATCCTTGCCTTGCAGGCATCCCCAACCGCAACAACGGCGCCAGCAAGTGGCGGTCTGGCGATCCAGCCGCGCGGCTCCACCGGCCGCTGCAGACGGCCGTTGCATTCGTCAAGGCATCTGGCGAGTGGAAGGACGGGGCGTGGGTGACGAAAGACGGGGAAAGAAAGGAGGAAGCCCAAGAGGCGGCGACGATAGACGTCTTTAATCGGCCCTCGGGCGCTGGTCTCGGGTTTGTCCAGCAGCAGCAACAGGGCGGAAAGGAGCAACATCACACCACGCCAGCGCAACTTGGAGGAGAGCCTGACGCTGCAGGACAAGAGGAGGTGGACCCACTCGAAGCGCTCCTCAAGGCCTACCCCGGCTCGGAGCAGGTCGCGTCCAACGCCGACGTGGACCCGTGGCTGCAGGGCTACTATGCCGGACACGACGACATCAACCGAATGGCGATGGAGGAGGAGCAACGCCAGTCTGCTGCTGGTGCTAGACCAGGCTTGCGACATGCGAGCTCAGAGGACAGCGACGAGGAGATTCTCATCCCGCGGACGGCGACAACAGCAAATGGAAAGGTGCAGACGACCGAGTCCGATTCTGAAGAGGAGAGGCAGCTCGACGAGATTCTGCGTCAGGAGGCCGAAGTCAGAGCCACTGCTGCCGCTGCCGCCGAGGACACTGTGACAGAGATTCCGGACGAGAGTGCAGGCCATGGTGCATCTCGGGAAGAAGGCGGGGCAAAGCAGGAGGAAGAGGCTGCCTTCTTTGTCGATCTGACAGGCGACGACCATGCCATTCTTGCAAGTGAATCAACTGCACAGACGACGACGGCACGCGATGGCGACGACGTCGTCATGTACGAGACGCACAGGCAGATCATTGGCGAAGACGTTGTGCAGCCCAAGCACGATGAGGCAGACGACGCATTCGAGGACGAAGACGAAGAAGGACTGGTGGCACAAGCACCACCGAGGCAAAGCAAGCAAAGGATCAAGAGGGCAGCATCCAGCTCCAAGCGAAACAGTAAGGCAAGGCGAGGTGCGTCTGGTAAGATCAGTCTCGGTGCCCCCGAAAAGAGGGTCCCGCGCGAGGATGACTCGGACATTGAATGGGGCCCAGACGGTCCGCCTCGCATGGACGAGGATCCAGAAGACCTTGACGTGGGCCAGCTCACCCTGGGTGAGAGGGCCAATGGGTCGAAGCCCAAATTGAGCGCGCGGGATGCCATCTTGCAAGACTACATGGAGAACGCCATGAACCGCCTCGATAGCGATGAAGAAGAGAGCGAGCGGAGGGATGACTCCAAGGTCAACGAGCCGAGCGACATGGATGCAATGCTGAACTTCATGCGGGGCATGGATGGAAACGACAAGGGCAGGCACATTACCATTGACGACATCGAGATCGAGAATAGAATGCAGGAGGAAGAGGAGTGGATGACGGAGAGCGACGAGGACGGCGACGGAGAGGGAAAGGAAGGTAAAGGTGCGCCACTCGAAGTCGACGATGACGACGATGATAGCAGCGAAGACAGCAGCGACGAAGACGAGGAGGAAGAGGAGGAATTCTCCCGGGAAGAGCGAAAACTGCTGAATGAGGAAGACGACGACTCTTCGAAGAGCTTGGTGAGATCGATTTCCCTTGTCTTGATTGACGCGTGCCAAAGTGCTCATCTCATCCGATCTCCAGGACTCGGACGAGGAAGAGGGCGAGGTATTTGATCGCAACTTTTCTTGGGCCGATGACGACGAAGCCTTTATTCGCAAGATTGAGAAATTCGCCCAGGACAACGATGAAATCTTGCACGGCCGCAACCGCAAGGAGAGAAAGCGTTTGCTCAAGATCATGGAGCAGGGCGACTTTGGCGATGAAGACATGGTCCTCGATGAGGATGACCTCTTGGGCACTCAACCCGCCGCCAAGGGTAAAGGCAAGGCCAAGACGTGGAAGGACGACGACCCTTGGGCTGCTGAGCTGCAGAGCCAATGGGAGAAGGACAGGAGCAAGAAGGCGGCCAACAAGAAGAAGCGACAGGCAGAGAGGCAGGCCGCTGCTCAGGACCCCTTCCACGCTACCCATGGTCTGGTCGTGTCCGGCGGTGGAATGGGCGGCAAGAAGGGCCGGGGCAAGAAGGCGGCCAAGAAGGCAGCGAGGCAAGAAGCACGGGCTGCGCGAAACGCTCGTGTCGGCGATGACGATGACGACGATGAAGATGACGACGACGACGAAGACGGTCACGGATGGGGAGGGCCAGTGCGAGAGGTCTTGTCGCGCCATGCGACCAATCTCGTCGAGCTCGATGTGCAGATTCGACAGTTCCTGGCGGAAGAGGGCAAGACGACGCTCTCGCTTGCACCCATGGATAAGCGCGCTCGTGCTCAGGTGCACGAGCTGGCGTCGGCCTACAAGCTCACATCCAAGTCGATTGGCTCGGGCAAGAATCGGTTCCCGACACTCATCAAGAACAGCAAGAGCGCATACGGCGACATCAACGAGCGCAAGATCCGCAGGATCTTATCCGGTGCCGGAGGCAGCTTTGGTGCCATCCGCAAGGGAGGACGGAAGGGCGCCAGCAGCCGCGAGACCGATGCCGGGTGGGCGAGGGCAAAGACGCTTGCTGCATCAAAGGTCTCGATGCCTCGCAACCAGGAAGGTGCCGATGTCGGCTTCGGAGCCGAGAGGATCGGCGAGGACAACGTGGGTCATCGATTGCTCTCGATGATGGGCTGGACGGAAGGCAGCGGTGTGGGCGCCAACAAGGGCATGAGCGACCCCGTCGGCGCAAAGATCAAAGTCTCAAAGGGCGGTTTGGGCTTTTGATCTGTATTTCTCACAGTATCTTATTAGACGCACACATATAATGATAGAGACCTTCTGAAAGCGACGTCTTCTGCGTGACTGCGCGCGAGAAGGCCATCAGGGTGGGATTAAGAGGCTTGTATTGGGAAATATGGGTGGAGGGGAATGATGCGTCATCCTTGCCGACGCTCGTCTGTGACTAAAGCCCTGACAAAGGACGACGGAAGAGGGATGGTCAGACAAGGCAGATGCTTGGCAGCGGCAAAGGAAAGGAGTCAAAGGTGCTTACTACGATTGCCTTCTTTCAGTAAACGCAGTTGTTGGTGCTCACTTCCTTGCAATTCGTCAGGTCTCCCTTGTTGTGCTCGCTGCACGTCTTGACCTGTACGCATGATTCAGGTGTGTGCTTTTTCCCTTGGATGTACTTTTCGCAACGGCAGCATCGCATCCCTCTAAGGCCTATGCAGGACAGAATCCATGTTCAGAGCAAAGCGACTTCTCCTAGTGAAGAGAAAGGACTCACATCCCTGCTTCTTCTCAACCGGTACCACCTGGGGAGGTTTGCTCGGATGCCTGGGGATATTACGTTCATCATTCGTTCCAACAGGGTTCGACATTTGGGCTTGGGCGACGACAACGAAGAGAGTGGCCACGCTCAGCGAGATGATGTTGAGGCTCCTCATCGTGGCATGAGAGAAGATTTGCTTGCTTTTCGAGTCTACTCGAAGGTATTGTCGAAGGAATTACGTCTGCCTTTTATCTGTTCCTTCGAGCTACCAGCAGGGAGTGTTTCGTTGGGATGACAAGCGCCGCTTTACACCGCTTTACGGCTGAGACGACCCATTCGGACCCTTTGCTCGTCACTTTCTTCCTTGGCCTGGTACGTCTGGGTGAGAGCAAAGGGAAAGGCTGTGAGAGAGGTGCAAGGAGCTCCGCTCGAAGCCCGCTCTCACAAGGAGCTGAGTCGGCTTTGTCGCCCGGTCCTGCTCCGATGAGTACGAAAGAACCAATGCCAAGAGCATCTCCATGAATCTCATACAAGTGCTACATCAGTATTCGGTGCCTGCCCCTGGGAGCAAACGGACCATTCTTCAATTGCAAAGATGTAGATTGCACGTAGGCATGCTCCTGCTCTGGCGAGCTTCCTTACCGCTTGGTCACGGTCCGGCAGATTGGACTGAGTGAGGTGTGCATCTAGTCTGACGCGCGACACGCACCTTTTTTGACATATGCCTCCACGTGGGGGAAAAGGCGCGAATGCGAGATCAACATCAGCGGCTCCTCCCTAGTCCAGTCCAGCCCAGCCCCTTCAGGCGACCGAACCTCTAAACCCGCCTTTTGGCTAGACAGCAAGGATGCCCGCCGCGAGCAGGTCATCTTCATCAACGGACGTGTCGACATCGAAGGCGTACCCGTCGGGGGCGACACAGGCGGCGGACCTGTCGCTTGCGCAACAGAAGCTCAAGCTTGCTCGACATAGTTGCTGCTCAGCCTCAACAAGCAGCAGCAGCAGCAGAAGCAGCAGGCGCGACAAGGTGGGCGACATCGACGACGATGCCGTCGAGCTAGAGGACTATGAGGATGGTTTGAGGACCCCAGAGCCGGAGAACGGCGCAGGATCAGGCAAGCTGTGCAACTGTCGAGGCTTCCGACCGCGTCCCGGCACTAAAGTCCGCGCGGCGCCGTATTCAAGAAACGAGCGGGAGTGGGGATGGGGGAACTCGTGTGGGCGATGTGGGCATGGGATCGACAGCCACGGGATTTCTAGTGATGCGGGCGGGCTGGAGGAGGACAAAGCAGAGGAGTGGCTCAGGAGAGTCAAGGTGGCAGTTCGTTTGGACGAGATGCTGGAGGTAAGATTCCCGCGGTGCCTGAGGCTCTCGAAAGACTTGCTCACTTCCACCCGCGAGCCAACAGGACCAGAAAAAGCTGCTAGACTGGGACTATGAAGACGAGGACATGCAGTCATTGAAAAAGTAGGTGCTTTCAGCATTGCGCACTCCAGATATGCCGTGCTAAAACGACAACTTTTCTCTGCTCTCTCAGACAATTGAGGGTGCTTGGACCGACAGAATCAACGCCAATGCCACGACGGCGGAATGGACTAGACTCGAGGAAGAGAAAGTCTCGTTCTCCGGCAGACTCGATGCGCTTATCCAGTGTGGAACCGTCTTGTGAGTAGCAGGATCGCCCAGGCGAGAATCGCACCCGTGTGCTAAAGGGCAGATGGACAGTGAGCGAAAGTTCAATGGCTGTCGACAGCCCCCGGAGCGGTAGCAACGTGAAACGTCGAAGGATGCAATCGCGGTCAGCCACCACTTCTCGCTACCAATCGCCAGCCATCGCGACAGACGGAGAAGCTGAAGGACAGGGAATCGGACATGGCAAGATGCCCAGCAAATCGCAGAAGGGGCTGCCTCCCAATGGGGATGGTGCTGCACCTACTGAGGACTCTAGGCTTGCGACTGCCCACGACGATGATGAGGGAAAGCCAAAGGAGTACGTTGAGCAGGACGAGGCCGATCTCGAGAAAGTCGTCCAGGGCGTCGCTATGGACACCGGTGCGGAAGAAGACAAGGTCAGTTGTTTTGTGCCCTCCACCCTGCTTTGTGATGTATGGAAAGCTGACACTGTTCGATCAACAGCCCGCAGTGCCTCCTCGTCGTGAGCGGCCAGCTATCATTGAGGAGCGGTCTGGCCTGATTCAGTTCCGAGTAGTCACCAACGACGGATCGCCCGAGTCGATGATCATTCTCACAGGTCTTAAGAACATCTTTCAACGTCAGCTTCCTAAGATGCCGCGAGAGTACATCACCAGGCTCGTTCTTGACCGCAGCCATTGGAGCATGGCAATCGTTAAGCGAGGTCTCCAGGTCGTCGGTGGTATTACCTACCGACCGTTCAACAGCCGAAAATTTGCTGAGATTGTCTTTTGTGCCATCACCGGCACTGAGCAAGTCAAGGGCTACGGCTCACACCTCATGAACCATCTAAAGGATCATGTCAAGGCGTCGTCGGACGTCATGCATTTCTTGACGTACGCAGACAATTACGCCATTGGATACTTCAAGAAGCAAGGTTTCACAAAGGAGATCAACCTCGATCGGTCCATCTGGGTCGGCTACATCAAAGACTACGAGGGCGGCACGCTCATGCAGTGCTCAATGATTCCCCGTGTGGAATACCTCAAGGTTCAGGATCTCCTTGCGGCTCAGCGCGAGGCCATCGTGTCCAAGATTCGACTCATGTCGCGCTCTCACATCGTCCATCCCGGTCTGGAAGTCTTCCGAAAACCTGCCGAGCCGAAAGCGAAAGTCGAAGAGATCGAAGAAGGTCAGGCAGATGAGCCCATGGATCCCACGGCCCACTTCAAAGTGGACCCTTCAGAGGTGCCTGGTCTCAAGGAGAGCGCCTGGACGATCGAGATGGACGAATTGAGCAGACGGCCGAAGAGGGGACCGCACCATCAGCTCATGCGCCTTATTGTGTCGGAGCTTTCCAACCATGCGGCCAGCTGGCCGTTTACGAATCCTGTCAATGCGCAAGACGTTCCCGACTACTACGAGGTTATCAAGGAGCCGATGGGTGAGGAGGATCCCTTGACCTAACTTTATGCAAGACATATACTAATTGTTCTCGCCCAACAGACCTGTCGACCATGGAAACCAAGCTGGAGAACAATCAGTACAGCACCATCGACGATCTCTTGCACGACGCTCAATTGAGTGAGTTACTCGCTTTCCCTCCTGCTACAAGGTCTGACCCTCGCAACTACAGTCTTTGACAATTGCCGCGTCTACAATCCGGCCACGTCCGTCTATGCCAAGTCTGCCAATCGATTAGAGAGATTCGTCAAAGACTCTCTTCAGGGCGTGAGTAGTTCTCGATCCGCGCTACTTTCCCCAAAGTTGACATTAGCCATCTCTCCCGATCTTACAGTGGAAACAACAAGCAGGGATCCTCTAGTCTCGCACTCTCTCGTGCCGTGTACGATTCAGATTGTAACAATAACATTGCGATTGGAGCATCTAGGGATCTGTGTGTGTCAAGAAAGTGCGGGGAAAATGTGGTGTGTGTGCGTGCGTATGAGAGTATTCTTGTTTGAGGCGGCACGCTTGCGTCTTTCTTGCGCAAAGGACGGTGTCCGAGCCGAAAGTAGGGCAACATTAAGCATTCCCATCCGGAGAGGGCTTCTCCGTCTCGGATTCCTCCTCTTTTCCCTTCCCTGCCTCCGATCGCCCCTCGTCTTCGTCCTCATCGACGAGCTTCGCCAGTAGAGACTGTTCAACAAGCTTGGTTGTCTTTTCGTCGTCCGGACCCTCCTCATCCTCGTCGACGCCCTCGACCCGGTCCGCCAACTTGAGCTTTGACTGGCCAAGATTCCAAATGTGTTCATCAATGGTGCCTTTGCTGATCAGTCGAACGATCGTCACTTCTCTCTCCTGGCCTATCCTGTAGCAGCGGTCGGCCGCCTGCCGGTCGTTTTGCGGATTAAAGTCCTGGTCAAACAGCACGACCCAATTGGCTGCGGTGAGGTTGATGCCGACGCCGCCAGCCTTTGTCGAGAGGAGAAAGACAGGAATCGAGTCGTCATTTGTGAATTCGTCCACAATGACCTGCCGATCGACGACCTGGGTCGAGCCAGTGAAGCCACGGTACGGAATGTCCAGCACCTCCAATGCCCGACAGATGATCTCGAGGGTCTGTACAAATTGCGAAAAGACAAGCACCCGTTCGCCCTTTGCCTGTGCCTCTTTGATGACTCGTTCGAGCGCTCGAATTTTGCCCGAATCGAGCCATTCCTTGTCCTCGACGACGTGCTTTTGGCAATACCGGTTGGGTGCCGCGACATACATGGAGAGCTCGGCGTCACAGTTGATCATGAAGTCTTCAATCTTCTCCTGGAGGCTTTCCGATGCGTGATCCTCATGCTTGATGTAGTCCTTCGCGAGTGCGACGATTTTTTGGTCGTCGTACAGCCGACGGAACAGCAATGGATGATTGGCCGCCTTTCGGAGGGCCATGAGCACGCCAAGCTTGGCTTTCTCTGTTGCCGCCTCCTTTGCGTTCCCGTTGGCCTGCTGCTGTTGCTCCCGAAGCGCCGCCTTGGTCTGAGCAAATGCCGTCTTGTACAGGTCGGCTTGTACCGGAGTCATGTCGCAGTACTCGATGCGCTCCGTCTTGGGCCTCAGCTCCGTCAAGACATCAATCTTCTTCCTCCGAAGCAAAAACGGCTGCATCATTCTCTTGGCCCGATTGACGCGCTCCTTCGAGAGTTGGCTTTGCTGGCTGACCTTGAAGATCGAGGCGAGAGCCTCTTCTGCGTTGCTGAAATACTTCGGCATGATAAATTTGAGCAGTGAGATGAGCTCGCCGAGATTGTTCTGCAGCGGCGTGCCCGTTAGAAGCAGACGCCAGTCCGCCCTGATTTTGACGAGCTTTTGGAACTTGACCGACCTCGAATTCTTGAGCATGTGCCCCTCATCGTAGATGCACGTCGCAAATTCGTACTTCCTCAAGAAGAGGTGGTCGCGATCTCCACCGGCAGCCATTTCGTACGTCGTCAGCACGACATTGACATTCTTCCTGTTCTGCTTGAGCTCGCGCTGGATCAAGGGCCGCTCCTTCTGCGGACCGTGGTACTTGACGACCTCGAGGTGAGGGCCAAAGGTCTTGAACTCGCGCATCCAATTGTCCAGAACAGATGACGGAACGACGATGAGGTGAGGTCCGGCCTTGAATCTTTGAGTGACCACGTTAAGAAATCCAATGACTTGGGCCGTCTTGCCTAGGCCCATGTCATCAGCCAGAATGCCCGAGCACTTTTGCTGGTAAAGCAGGTACAACCAGTTGACACCCCGAAGCTGGAAGCTTTTCAGCTCGACACCCTCGGCCATGCCCTTTGGCTGGCCGTACAGGTAACCTTCGACTTGGCCACTAGACTGCGTCGCACTGGCGGCCTCGGCAACCGATTCCCACGTCTTGGTCTTGGCCGACAGCTTTTCGCCCATCTTCTCGCAGCGCTCCAGGACGCTGTCAACCTGTTGCAGACCCGACATGAGCTCGACGCAATTGTCAAATAGCCGAGGAGAGACACCCTTTGCGCTCTTGGCGCCAAGCTTGCGGTGGACATCGTCTCCGGACTTGAACGGACGCAGGTCGATGATAGTCTCTGCCTGGTTCTCGTTGCAACCAATAATGTCGACGAGTTGACTCGCGTCGACACTATTGAACCACTGTAATGCCTTTCGCTCATCCCTCTTCTCCCTATCTGACACGTCAGAGTCAGAGCCGTCACTGTCAGACAGCTCGCTGTCGTCGCTGATGCTGACATGGGACTTGTTACCTGCTGATGATGTTGGGGCCGGAGGTCTCGCTTTCGGTGCTGGTCTCGCAGATTGGACCGGCCTGTTCTGGCTATTGCTGCTGTTCTCGCGCACAAAGACCGGCGAGCTACTCCCTGGCCTAAGCTTTGTCGTAACTTTGACTGGAGAGGCCCTGATGGGACTTGAGCTGTTTAGCCCAGCCGGCGAAATGAGCGAGATCGTCTTCTTGGGTCCAGGCGGTCCGGGCGACTGTGAGGGCTTCTTGTGGACGGCAGGAAGAGACGACGAGACCGGTTGCTTTGATGACGAGGAGGCGGCTGGCTTCGAGGTTGAAGACGAGGACGAGGAAGGCGGTGCAGACGATGTCTTTTGTGATCGGAGTAGCTTGATGAGTGCCGTTCGCGCCAGCCCGTCCGACTCTTTCAGCGCATTTCTGATTTGCTCTTTCGAGTATTCCGGATGGACTGTGTGAATGCGCTCAACCTTGACATCAAATTCATGGCCCGTGCCACCCGGCGAGGTTTGCGAGCTGCTCGCTGCCTCGCCCGCTCGGGAAGCTGAGCGTGGCGAGAGACACGCCGACGTTGCAGGTGTGTCCTCCATTTCCGCGTCCGAGTCGTCGAGCGAGATGGCCTCGCTGAGCCCTACCCCGTTCCCTCGCTTCTTTTGCCCAGAAAGCTTAGCAGGCCCCTCATCGCTCTCCTCCCCGCCCGAGCTCGAAGAGAGATCTGAGTCTTTCTTCTGCGACGGTGCGGCACCGTTGTACGCGAATCTGCTGAGGTCCGTCTTGAACTTTTTCCGGGGCGAAGAGTCCGCCGGGCTGGTCACATGCCCGTCCGAATCGTCCGCCGCTGCCTTCTTTGTTGGCGATGTGGCAGGGAATGCGCTCGTAAATCTCCCGAGCGCCTCGAGCCGGCCCTGACCCGGCCGTTTCCTCGTCTCCTGTGGCGACGTCGATCGCGTGGGCGACCGCTGGAAATCTGTCCGTTGAAACTGCCCGGAACCCATGGCCTTTGCCATGCGGCTCACCGAAGACCCCTCCGGACCAGCCATGGCGCGCAGCGGGCTCGAGTCCGGCGCGAGGATCGTCGGCTGGTGCACCCTTTTTGCCGGTGTCGGAGAGGGCGTCGAAGAATCGCCGTTCCCTTCGCTATACTCTCTGGAATGGTTCGCAGGGGGTGATTGAAGAGCGAGCAGGCGAGACATCGACAGCAGGGCCTCTTCCAGGGCGCTGATGGGCGTTCCTCAGAAGTCAATGGAGTTGTGCGCCGTCGACTTTGCCGGTAGGCTGGTAGTGGATTCGTCGCGAGTCGCGTCCGTGACGTTCGTTCTCTCTCCGGTCCAAAAAAAATCCAAACTTGCGTCCGCGTCGTGACATTCATGCCAACAGCTTAGTAAGCTGCCGATCCGGTCTTAGGCGCATAGATTGGTTAACGGTGACAACAACGTCTATCATTGCTCGCTTCAATATAGAGTACAAATGCATGAGAATCAATCTTCGTCTCCCCAATCTAGCTCTTCGCCGTCCTTTGCTTCTTGGGCTAGACTGTCCTTCGCCTTGGCCTCCTCCTGTGGCTCGGCGGGAATCCAGCCCATAGCCCTCGCGATGGAAGCCATGTCGCCCGCATCGACGTCGCCTTCTTCTTCCTCCCCCGTGGTGTCCTCTCTGTTCCTCGCGGCACCCTCTTTTTCATCCTCGGCGCTGCCCTCGTCACTGGAATCGTACGCAGACAGCCCGATGATGCCCACCGGTTTCGCCGGCGCCGGCAATTGTCTCTTGGCTGCAGGATGCCTTGGAGCGGCAGACGCGTCCTCATCATCGCTGATCTCCTCGTCGATTCTTTTGCGCTTCCTCTTCAGGTCGCTGCTCGCAAGCTCTACAACCTCTGTGCCCTTCTTGGCAACGTCCTTACGCAGCGACTTGGCATCCCAAAGCTCCAAACACGGATATTCGACAATGGCCAGTCCCCGCGATCCTACTTCTCGAACAAGTCCTTCAATCGTCTGCGTCTCATCGGCGGCCACGATGATGGTCCTGCTCATAATCTTGCTGAGCTCTTCCTTGGAAGGTCTGTCTATAGCAGCCCCATCTGCAGGCGTACCCGTCGAAGCCTCCGCCGGCTTGTTGTTGCCCTTGTTCATTTGCTCGTGAAGCCTGCTGAGCAGGCCAGATGAGAGGAGACTCCCAAGACCTGCCGGGACAGGCACCCCGGCCTCTTCTGCCTTTCTCTCTATTTGAGCCCCTTCATTGCTGTTCCCGCCGTTGCCGCCTCTCTCGCTTCGTGGTGCCGTTGGAATCGCGATTGAAGCCTCGGAAAAGTCAATCTCAGCCCCTTCCCCGTCCTCCTCCTTTGGCTTGACGAGCTCCAAGCCGTCTGGCCCGACGAGTCCATTCTTGACCTGGCGCTTCCACCAGCCCAAGAACTTGGCTGACGTCTCGTTGCGGAGCCGGTCCGAATGCACCGCAACGACAATTTCGCACCAGGCCGGCAGCGCATCGTAGGGCTTCGGCTCGCGATTGTCGTCTTCGTCGTTGCTGCTTTTGGTACCCTTGTTGGGCGGAGAGAGGCCGGCCTGCTGCCAGGCGGCATCTGAGATCATGTACCGGGCTTCCTTCGATGCTCCGGCCTTCCGCGCCTTCTTCGGCAGCAGATTCTTGGTGCGCTTGACAAGCTGATCGAGCACCACATCGTGGACGCGCTCCTCGCCGTTGATTTGGTGAAGCAGCGTACGCCAGCGACTGACACGCTCCGACGATGACTGGCAAGACCGGACTTCGACAGTAAATGCCATTTTGCTTGTGGGTCGAGTACTGTTAGTTTGAATCTCCCCAACAGCCGCGAAAAAACATGCCGCGACTCACCCGTTCTTCCACTGCGTACGGTTTTCTCGCCTCATCTGCATGCCCTCGGGCAGGAGCATGATGGGCCACCGCCCGCGCCTGATTGTTGAGTCGAGCGCCTGCCGCCTCCTCTGGCCCACCGAGAATTGCTGCTGGTGGTGATGTGCCTCTCTCCCCTTTCCTTTTCCCAAATACCCCTGTTGCTGTGATTGCTGCTGTTGCGACGTCCTCGCATCCGGTGTCTGGCCCGTGACCATGTCCGGGCTGAACCACTGCTGCTTCGTCAACTCCCGTCCGACCTCCTGCACGGATCGTCCGACATGCTGGAGGTACTCAAAGTCCTTGAGCAGCTGCCGGTCGTCGTACGAGGAGAGGGGTACGTACGACGTCGTGGCCGCGTACCCGCTCGGCGGTGGCTGAATCTCTTGCCCATTGGCCCGGATCACGGGCGCAGGTGCCTCCTGCCTCGTCCCCTTTCCATTCGCCGATGTGGCCACGCCCTCGCTGGCAGCCTCGTGTCTCAGCGCCTTGTGCGCCTTGGAGCACGCGAGGCTGCACGTCGGGCTCGAGCATGACGGGCACTTGTACTTGGATGAGGCTGCCTCACACACCACGCACGTCCTCACCACAGCGGCTGCCATTAGCCTCTTGAGTAGGGGTGTGGAGCGTGTTGCACGGAAATTCAAGTCTTCCGTTTCCTCAAAAATTTGGCTCTTTCTCACGTGCACGTCTTGGACACCGAACGCCTCAGATGCGCTTGCATGGTGACACACGGACGAGCATCCGACAATGTTTAGAGGAATAACTCAGTATATTCACTGGCGAAGGACTGGACGCAAGGACGTGGAAGCATCGGAGAACAAAGGGCGACGAGCGGAATCTTGATTTTTTAAAGTTTCAGCATGCTCTCTGGCAGACATGAAAACCCTAGATGTACATGTGTGTGGTGTGCGTGAGAGTGTCTCTCTGAGAATGATTGATGCCGTGGGTGGGAGGTGAATCGAGAGGTGTCATGCAGCACCGAGACAGATGGGCAGTCTCTGGGGCGCAGGCTCGGAACGAACGACCAAAAAGAAAATAGATGGTGCGCGTTTAGACTGAGGGTCGCAAATCGTCATGGTCAGCGATGGTTCAATATGGACAACGGCGTCCTGACACTCACGACCGAGCTTTGTCCTACGCCAGTGACGTCTGTTGGCGTTGTACTGGATCTTGTTGTCGGTCTTCATGCGGAACCAAGCAGGGATGGGCCTGGTCGAGGGAAGGAAACCGATCAGCAACTATTCTTTCTCTTGTCGCGACTCAAGCTCGGAATTCGAGACAATCAACGAAGTCTTGGGAGACTTCGCCTCATCCTACAGCTATCAATGCTCACCTGTTCTTCCTCTGAGCCTTCGCGAGCTTGACCTTGGTCCTGAAAGTCTTGTTGGAGGGCTATCGAGAAGGAATCAAGCCGAGTCAGCATTCTTGCTTCCAGTTGCGAAGTTCACCATCCGTCTCGCCCCATCCTATCTCATCGTGGCACCCAAACTCCCTTAGAGACCTCGTTCCACGTCCGATCACATTCCAGAGATTGCCCTCCGTCATGATCTTGTGGTTCCTTGTCTTTCGAAGTCATCTAATGATCGTTGTACCTTGCCGCCGTCTTCCCCCTCCCGATCCAATCCGCCCTTGGATCTGCTTCACTTCCAGCGTTCCCACCTTGTCCTCGAAAGTCCTGCACATCCCCACCATCGTTATATCCGGCCTCTGGCTACTCACCATCTTGACTTGCGATCGGTAAGTTGAAGATGGTGAAATCAGAACGACGGAGATGTCCATCACTTAGTGACTGTCAGCTGCGGTCGGGACCAAATGCTCGCGTGGCGAAGCCATTTTGATTTCGGCCGAATTTAGAAATTATCGGCTTCCACGCGAGCGGGGCTGAGATGATCCGTGCGAGCCTGCCAACATCCAACACCCCCTCATCTGTCGCATGGGCACGCGATTATCGGCCACACCCACAGACATCAGCACAGTACAACCACAATGTGTGAGTGAGGACGTAGTTGCGGGTGCACAGACTTGCGAAAGACTTGCTGAACGGACAAGCAGCATCCATCGACAACGAAACCCTGAGCAAGATCGACACGCAGGCGGCCTCTTCGGCTGCCGTCGAGTCGTCCCCGCTTTCGCCGCACCACCAGGAGGAGAAGGAACGGCTGGAGCGACTCCTCCAGAACCGTAGCGAGGCAAAGGAGCTTGAGGACAAGAATATCCTGAAACGTGAGTGAGGCCGGCTCGTGCGAGCATTAGTTCCGTACAAAGAGAGACTAATAGGATTGAACATGTTGCCTCTGTCCAGCGGGCAACGTGGCTCCCTCGCTGCAGGCCGCTCGGGCTGAGCTGGAGAAGCGCAAGCTCGAGGACAAGCTCGAAGGTCGCCTGGAGCGTCGCCCAGAGAAGGAGGATCTCGAAAGAAGGGGTATCGTGAGTTACATTGCGGGAAGCAAAGTCGTTGATGGGCGAGCTGAAGCTCATGATTTGCAACAGCTCAAGGACCAAACGGTCGCGCCCGCCCTGCAGGGCAAGCTTACGGAGCTGGAGAGGAGCCAGATGGCCGTGAGTCTCGTAGATATGATCCACTTGAGCCTCAATTGCATCGCTGATGGCATTTCTTCCATCAGGACAAGCTGGGCAAGGAGTTTGCCTCGCGGCCAGACGTAGACGAGCTGAAAGCCAAAGGGATCCTCAAGGGCGAGTGAAGCGATAGAAGAATCCAGAAAGCGACCGTTCCACATTGTTTCTTCTTTTGTTCGGTTTACGTTGTGGGCTCCAGCTTGAGAACTAGGACCGCTTACCCTTCGACCATGATGCGACCGTAATGAGCGAAAGAGGGTGTTTGCGTTTAGATGATGACTGCTTCGATGCTCGAAAACAACATCGCTTCCTCGCTGTCCACGCTCGTCGCGCTAGTCTTAGTCTGTCTCCTGCCGCATGCACTGCTGCGCAAGTGGTTGTCTGAGCACGGCAAAGAGTCGATGACATGAATCTCCGGGAGTGCATCAATGGCACTCCTTTGCGAGACTCAGTCTTGAGACAAGCTCAATGCCGAAATCCACAAAAGAGAAGCACCGAACAGCAGGGTGGAAGCAGGTTCGCGAAAGATCGACGTGAAAAGGTGCTACAACAACATCGCTCAGTCTTAAACCGATGAGCAGCTCTAAGACTTTTCTTGACAGCCTCGAGCCCCCCCCCCCCCTTTTGAGGCCGCAGTAGCGGCATAGGCCCTGAAAAGGCCTTATAATTCAATATGAGTGGTCACGAACAAAGTATGTCCGGTCTTCCTTCTGAGCATTGCCAGGGGAGGCCTCGAGGAGGGCGGCGAGCGTGTCACCGAAGTCATCGTGTGGAGGAGCGAGCGAGAAAAGCGCACACGCGGCGCTAAATTCTTCCATTGTTCCCTTTGGGTGTCGGTGATTTTAGTAAGTTGCAATTCGGAAGCTACCATCCAGATTCAGGGCTAGCACGGCGGTCGCGCACCAGATGGGCGGTCCATCCGTACAATCGAGATAGCCAGGCGCACGATTATCGGCCGGACACAGAAGAAGACAAAGGCAAAGTCGGCGAAAGCAAGGGCCAAGCGAGAGAGCCGAGGAGGTGGTGCACTGGGGTGGACGCCATGCCGCCACGCGACTACAAGGAGGCAAAGGAGGCCTTCGTCTCGCAGCTCGAAGGTGGATCCGTGTGGAAGATCAACGCAGTGAGCCTCACAGCCCTCACCACATACACCCTGTGGGCAACATTGAGGAGTCGTCGACTCTGCTTCGTCGGTGCTTCTTCTTCTTCGCTCGCCAAGAAGGGAACGAATGCAGGGGGCTTGGGAGGCGTCTTTTCCAACGAGTGGTTGCTCGAGTTTGCCGTCCTCATCATCTCGCTCATCCTCGCCACAAGCGTGCTTGCGCAGCATCTGCTAGCGCTGAATGCGTTTCTGGGCACGGCGGCGGCCTATGTGCTTCTGCGATATCCTTCGCCGACATTGGCCCTGAGGAAAAAAGAGGCAGCTGCGCCATCGAGGAACGGCAAGCACCGGAGGCACTGGTCTCAGCGCGAATCATCAGACGAAGAAGAGGAAGACGAGGCTGATGAGCGTAAAGAGCTCCTTCAAAGCTCCAATGGTGCAAAAGTGGCATCTCAGGAGGACGAGGAGGACGAGGAACCGTTTCGTGTGTCAGTCGATTCTGCCGCGGATCAAGCCCACGCCTCGGCCTTTCCCGCCACGAGCTACATTCCGCCAGATGAGCAAGGACGGGATACAAAGGGAAAAAATCAAGTCATCGAGCCCTTTGCTTCGGGGCTTGGCTTGCATGGACTGAGCGAGACGGTCGTGAGACCAGCGGATTTGTCGCAGCGATCCACACAAAGACGAGGGAACGGCAGCGCCGGATGGGTTTCGCCAGAGAGACGAGCGATGGGGTCTCCCTTAGAGAGGGTACGGGCGAGCGAGAGAGTGGCCAGTCCACAGAGGGGCAGTGCAACCTTGTCGCACCATGCTCAGCTCTCGTCGACTTCGTCTTCATCCTCGTCTCTGCACCTTCCTCCACCAATGCAGGACGCACAGAACGAAGCCCTCGATCCAACACCACCCTCTAAAAAGCCGCCCACATACATTCCCAAGAACCAGCCTTTCTTGACCGTTTACCGGGCTCACATGATGCTCATGACCGTCATCTGCATCCTCGCCGTCGATTTCCCTGCCTTTCCGCGAGAATTTGCAAAGTGCGAGACCTGGGGCACGAGCCTGGTGAGTGCTTTTGTGCGATGCGGGAGAAACGTCATCTCACTGTGCGTCAACATAGATGGACCTGGGCGTAGGATCTTTTGTGTTTTCCCTGGGCATCGTCAGTGCGTTGCCTCTGCTTCGCTCGCCGCGCCACCGATTCCAGCCTATGCGGGCGCAGCTGCTGCGAGACGCCAGAAAGACGCTGCCCCTCTTTCTCCTCGGCGCTATTCGTGTCATCATGGTCAAAGGCGTAGAGTACCCGGAACATGTTGCCGAGTACGGCGTCTACTGGAACTTCTTCATCACATTGGGATTACTTCCCTTCTTCGGAACGCTGTGCAGACCAATGGCGAAGCACGCGCGCTTCTCTGTCATGGGACTTTTCGTCTCCGTCGGTGAGTCTTCAGGCTTGGACTAAGAGCGAGAAATTGTCGCTGACGGCGACCACGGTAGTTCACCAAGTCGTTCTCTGGACAACGGCGCTCCAGTCTTGGGCGATTTCTGATGGACCCCGACCGGACCTCTTGACGCAGAACAAGGAGGGCATCACGAGCCTGCCCGGCTACTTTGCCTTGTTTTTGCTAGGCTTGGATCTCGGCCATTATGTCCTGCCCCGTGACCCATACCTCGCGTACCGCCGCCCATCAAAAAGCCGACAGAGGGCCAAGACGGACAAGCTGGCGATGGTTCTGGCAAGCTTCTCCTTGTTGTGGTGGGGCGCCTACGGGCTCGCTCGCTTGCTTGGCTTCTTTGTTAGTCGGAGACTGGTGAGTGTGCTGGCTTTCTCGTCCGTCCCTGCAAGCGTAGACGGCTGACGGAGGACAATAGGCAAATTTGGCTTACGTGCTCTGGGTCACGGCATATAATTCTTCCTTCATTCTCGCCTACGTCTGCATCTACATGATTATCCTCGAGCCAGCCGCAAAGGCCGAGAGGCAGCTGAGGGAGTCAGCAGCAGCTGCAGATGACGAGCAAGCGAGGTCGAAAAGGGGACGCGGAAATGAAACAGTGGCAGCTGACACAGGAGAGGGTCGCAGCGAAGACGAGGACGAAGAAGACTCGTTGACACCATCGCTGTTGAAGTCGCTCAATTCGCACGCTTTTGCCGTGTTTCTCATCGTGAGTTCTGATTCGCCCTTCGATCTCCCTCTCTACAACCCCATCCTGACTCCAAAATTCCGTCCACAAGGCCAATCTCCTCACAGGCACCGTCAATCTGACCCTGCAGACCATGTATTCTTCCGACACCGTCGCAGTCATCATCCTCCTCCTCTACACAGGCGTATCGCTCGCGAGCGCCTCTGTCCTGGATGTGTTAGGCTGGAGGCTCAAGATGTGATAGTCTCTCATATAGTTGCATCGCATGTAGAACCATTTCGAGCAAAGCTTTTGTAATGCACAAAATTAGCTACCAACGTCTCCCTTGAAGGTCCTGCAGCGTCAATTCGCCCTCTTCCTCTCCGTTTGCCTCTTCGTAATCGTCGCCATTGAGGGTTGAGGCCTGAGCTGCGTGTTTTCGGGGTGCGCCAGCACCACGGCGCAGATGAGGATGCTTGAGCAGCAGAGTGTCCTCTTTCTTCTCTCTTCCTTGTCCTTCAATGGTATTGATCGCAGAAGAGGTGCTCTCCTTCATGACTCGGCTCGACTTGGCCAACGGCGCCGCCTTGGATGTCTCCTTGACCGACTCCGATGCCCTTAAACTGGCCGAGGGCACTCTCCCGACTCTGGTGAATCTTGCCCGGGGCCTTTCATCCAGCCCTACCTCCACGCTCCTGTACACCCTGACCTCTTCCTCTAACCTGTCCGCCTTCTCCCTCAGTTCGTCCCTCTCCACCCTCAGTTCCACGACTTCTCCCCGCTTCTCATCGAGCTCCCTCCTGATGCGATCCAGGTACACGATCTTCTGGTTCGGGTTCGTGTGGCTCGCCAGCTCTGCGTTGAGCGCCGCAAGCTGTGCTGCCTCCTCCTCGAAAAGCTCCGATCGACCCGCAAGGATGCTCATCTGGTGCTGGAGTTTGTCAAAGGCCACACGAACAGCAGCCGCCTCGGAGAGCGATTCGAGCAGCTCGGCTCGCTCGGTCAGCCAAGCCTCTTCCCTCATTGCGAGGTGTGAGAGGCGTGTCGTGTGTGATTTCTGCACCTCTTCCAATCGTCTATTCTCCTTTCGCAGTACGTCCAGCTCGCTTTGACGGGCTTCGTCGACACGGCGAAGCTCGTTTGCTTCCTTCGTCTTGGCGTCTGCCTCCTCTGTCAACCTTTTCAGGTCAGAGCCGAGGAGTGCATTACGGGCTTCGACCTCCTCTAGCGTCTTGCGGGACTGTTCGTACGAGGCCTTGGAGGCGTGCGCGTCGACCATCGAAGCGAGAAGTTGCTCATGTACGGCCGCCAGCTCTTCCTTGAATGACTCTGCCCTCTGTCGTTCGTCATTAAGCTGCATGCGTTCGATCTGACTGTTGATGTCTGCTTGGACTGATCTGACTCGCAGAAGTGCCGTCTCATCCTCCTCATTGTCCACCGCTGCTGCATCGAGTCTCTCCTCCTCTGAATTGTCCTGGTACAGCGCCCTCCGAAGCGAGTCAATATCTTGGAGCAGCTGCGCTTCTTGATTTCGCCGGACTTCTCGATCCGCCTCTAGCTCGTCTAGCTTTTTCACCTGCGCCCGTCCCTCGGCTTGGCTTTGCTCTGCCACCGACTTCCATCGTCTCGTCTCGATCCTGGCCAGGCGAGATGCCAGTCTCCGATCCTCACTTGCATCGATCGCAGAGTTCATGTGCCGTGCAAGCTGCAGTCCTGCTCTTTGCAGACCCGCGACCTGGCTTTCAGTCTCTTCGAGCTGATCCTCGACATCTGCAAGGGCGTCTTGGAGATCCGATACTCTTGTCCTCAAAGTCTCCACCTCTTGACTCGAGCCCAATTTGAGTGCCTCGATCGTTTTTCTAGCCTTTTCTTCTTCCCTTCGGAACTTCTGCGTAAGCTCTTCGATTTGCTGATCGGACTCTATCTTCGACCTTCGAACCTCCTCTTCTTTCCCTCGCAGCTGCTCCTTCAGTCTCGCCACGACCTTGTCACTGGCCAGCTTATCCCCTTCGACCTGTCTCAGCTGCTTCTCAAGGGCCTGCACGTCGGCCAAGCGCTTCGCTTTGCTCTCTTCGTGGACTACCTGAAGCTCCTGGAGCTTTGCCGTCAGGTGTTCGTAGTTGTTGCCCTGTGATTTGTATTTTGACAGCGAGGCCTGCGTCTTGTCGAGCTGTGCCTTGACCTTGTCGTGCTTTTGCATCGCCAGTCCTGTCCGCTGTGATCAGCTCTCATTACCGGGCCCCTAGACATATGACTGAGGACTCACTCAGCTCAGTCTGCGCGTCTGCTTTTTCATTGTGGAGCTCCGCCCTCTCCCGGAGCAGGTCCTCGACTTTTTCCTCGGCCTTGTGCAGCCTCGCCTCAAGCTTAGTCCTTTCCCTGTCGTTGCCAGCCTTTGATGAGCTCACGCCCGCAGACGCTGCCCTCGAGGAAGAGGGCTCTCCGGTGTTATGGTCAGAACCATCCATCTCGAGCTGATTAGAAGCCATCCTGAAGCGCGCATCGCGCTCAAACATGGCGCCTTTCTTGTACGCGGCCAGTGGCTCCTTGGGGTCGTATGCATTCGGGCCCGGCGTCATGTCCGGCTCTAGGTGGGCAATCAGCAACTTGGCAAAGAACGTAGTGGTCTCCAAGCAACTCACTCTCAGCCTCGAAGCGCCGTGCTCTCGGAAACATTGTCAAAGATGTGCAGTCGAAGCAGTCGCAGTAGTGTTGGTCTTTCTCATATGGAATCAACACCCAACACCCATATCATGGCGCCAAAAATCAAAGCGCGAGTTTCCACGTGATGATGCGCGTCTCTCTCTTGAATAGGCTCAGTCAAGCTTATTGGAAGTTGACTTTGACCATCACTTGCCTCTTCTCCGCCCACTTCTTTAGGACACCTTTAACAAACGAAGGGGCTGGACGCACGCACGCATCCATGTTCGCTTCTCGTGTCTCGCCGCTGAATGCGAGCCCGCATCGGCAACGTATCGATGGCGGCGCAAAGTCGCACCTGGGCGACGAAGAGCTCGGGTCCGTCAGTAAGTGGAGCTCCCTTGCCCTTGAAGACTTTCCGTCTCTTGAGCTCACGACTCGGATCTGCGTGCGCGAAACAGGCCCCAAGAAGCTCTTTTCCGACCTCAGAGGCACATCGACCGGTCGTGCATTCGGAGACAAGACAAACATGTCGCCGAGTCGATCCCGAAACACGGGGCAGGATGGCTTTGCTCCAGGCCCATCGAAGCTCACGTCTTCCAAGAACCTCGCCCGTTCGAGATCGCCCAGCCCGACGCAAGCCCAAAGCAGAGGCGCGGGTGCGAACTTGGGCAGCCCAGCCAAAGCGAGTGGCAAGTCACAAGGCGTCGTGTTCCTCGGCGCAGGCCGTAGTCCAAGCAAGCAAAAGGGCAAGGCGAGAGACAGGAGCAAGTCGCCCTCCAAGGGCGCTCAGCACGAGGCGGTACAACCGCCGCCACCGCCACCAGCTGATGCCTCGTATGTGACTTCGGCCACACCGGCACCCTCGTCGTCGCACCTGCTGCGAAAGGCATCTTCTTTCATCACGCCAGCGAGCAATGTGGGCGAGGCGGGCGCCAGAAGGATGCGCTACGGAGAAATGATGGACGCTCTCGCAGGAAACAATCTCGAAGACGGCAGTGCTGACCCGGATCTTGACTCTGACTCAAGGACGAGACCGATGACGGAGGAAGAGCTGTACCCAGAAATCGAGTATATGGCGCCAAGCCATTGTGCGAAAGGTGAGTCGGATCGAGTGGCGGGGCACAATGCCGAGAGACGCTGACGTTGGCCGACCACAGACCCGCCGTATGACTTTGATCCGCGACTCGATGGATTGCCACGGGGCAAGCAGCTTGGGGAGGCGCTGTCAAAGTGCTCCGCCATTGGCTTTCACCGCCCGACGCCGAGCGAGGAAGATCTTCTCAGACGGGAGGGGCTCAAGGAGGCAGACCTGCCGGCTCTCGAAGGTCTGTCTATCAGAGACGATGAAGACAACGATGTCGGCCAAGAAGCGTGGCCCGACGTCGTCATCAAAGCCAAGCAAGAGGGTCTTGGTAGCCAAGCGCCTGTCAAGAAGCCCGTCTCGCCGATCCACCGAAGACCCGCACCGCCCTCTATGAATGCGCCCATCGCGAAGCTTGCGGCGGGTAAGACGCTCGCTGCGAAGTCTCGGCCAAGTGTGGCATCCAGCAATCGCGCCCCCGTCAAACCAGTCGCAACGGCCCGAGCTAGACCCACACTGGGAACCGCACCACCGAAGACAGCTGGAAGCACCGCTGTGAAAGGCAACGGCGCCACTGCTGCTGCCGCGCCTCGTCTGGCCCTCAAGCCAAAGAATGGCAACCAGCAGCTGCAGATGCACCCCCTTCTCCGAAATGTTCAGGATGATGACCTGGGCAAGCAGATCGACGCTCGTCTTAAGCAGTCGATGCAGTCCCGCGAAGGGTTCGCAATCGACGACTAGACCCAACCTCTCCTTCTTCTTCATCCACACAATTGCAGCTTCGTCTTCTCCCCATCAATCATTCAATCTTCATTCATTCAATTTTCTCTCCTCTCCCTCTCATATCCTCGGTGCGCTGAGCTTGTTTTGTGCCAGCACTGTTGTTGTGACCATTCAGTATAGGCGTACTTCTTCGGCACACTTTTCCACTCACCTCTCTCAACGGCTGCCCTAAAGAGCTCCGAATCGATGCTGATGCCCAGCCCCTCTGCTTTTCGTCTTTCTTCTGCGGCCCTCCTCTTTTCCCCCTCTCCCTCGTCTTCGTCTGCATCCTCTTCGTCGTCCGAATCGGGCGCACGCTCCAACACGGCCAGGCCCGGGTTTCTCGCGACAAATTCGACCCAGGGGCCCCGGACGATCTGCTGGAGGACGCCCGTAGTGCTCATGCCGCCCGTACCGGGGATGCCGCCTGTGCCTCCCACGACGATGCCGGTGCTGGGCCCGGCCGACGAAGCAGCCTCGCCCGCGCCGAGCGGCGGGGGCGCGCGCTTCGTCTGTGCCGCGATGGGGTCCGAGAGCATAACGAATGTGTACTGCGTGGGCGTCTGGACGTGCGAGAGGGTATACCGGCTCGTGCTGTAGCTGTTGAGCTTCTCTTCCCCCGCGCCTGCGCCTGGTGCAGATGCAGATGCAGATGCCGATGTAGATGCCGATGCACCGGCAGCGGGCCTCAGGGGCGACAGTTTGCGGACAATGTTGCGCAGCGAAAAGACGACGCCGTAGACGAGCTTGGCCTGCTCGTGCAGAGGCAGGGCGGAGTTCTTGGAGGCGCCCGCAGCGCCTGTCCCAGAAGCTCCTGCTGCCAGCCTTGAAGAGGTAGGGTCTTGCGCCGTCGACGCGGAAGAGGACGAGGACGAGGAAGAAGGGCCGTCTGGGCCACTAGCGCCAGCACCAGCGGCAGCGGTTGAGGCGGAAGGGGTGTTGCGCGTGTGCATCGAGGACCAGTCGGCATGAAAGATGAGCGAGCAGTGGCGGTCGTAGATCCACAAGGACCACACCTGTTCCGAGCCTATCATCAGTCTACTGTCCTTGCTTTGCTTTGAAGAAGCTCATGGCGAGGGAGTGCCCCTACCTTTGGTTGAGAAGTCGTCATTTGTCGCTACTCCTTCTCCTGGAGATGGTGGTCCAAGAAGGCGCGTGCGCTATTTTTACACTTTTGGGCTCTTTCCTTCCTCGACGCGTGCACGGCTGCTCAATGACGGTGAATAATAATCATCAATTGTGGTGTTAGAGAGAGAAGAGAAAGAGGTTAGAGAGAGAGGTAAAAAGGGCTACATGATGAATGGTGGGTCGACCAGCGGTTCCCGCCATAGCTACTTGTGTCTTCGGGGTGCTTTCTGAGTAGTCTCAAATATGTAGAGGAGAGAGGAGAAGGAGAGAGGAGCTAGAGATTCGCTGTAACGTCCGATCGCAGGGCGCATGTGGCGCATAGAGCCAGTAGGCGGAGAGAATCTTGTCACTTGCCGACATTGGACTTGCTGCGACCGAAGAGAAGATACGCCAGAAAGCCCCCAGGGAGAGGATCTTCGTCTGGCTTCTTGTAGTCAAGCGCAAGCTCGTTGTTGCTTGTGAGGTTGCCATAAACGATAAGCGTGGAGTATTCGCCCACCCCATCGGAGTTCTTGGGCTTGCCGACAAAGGTGAGCCAGTGGCTGGTCTCTTTCTGCGCTAAATATTAGCCAACTCAAGGCTCTGCTCGCAAGCATTCTTACAACTTGCTCACCGTACCGTCCTCGTACCTCTTCACGTTGATGTCAAGACGCCACCACTGTAGAAACTGTTTGGGCACAATTCGTCATTGAGGCTGAGCTTGTCACGTCTCTCCAAGCGTCCAGAGACGCACCTGTCCGCTGTCATCCGAATGTTCGCAATTTTCGACTTTGTATCTCTCGTTCCGGCGCAGCAGGGTGGCCGCCGTAATGCATCGATCAGCTTGATCACTTGGCTTCAGGTGTCTGTTCGACGGATGTGGGAAGAACAGGAGAGGATGTGAGCGAGCAACTCATGAAAAGGATCTCCGGTGCTTGGACATACTCACCCGTAGACGACCTTATTTCCCTGTCCATCGTCCTCCTTGGAGTAGCCCATCATGTCAGAATGGCATGTACTGTCGAAAGGGCCTGTCAGTGATGTCATGGCGAACTGTCTGGGGAGAATAGCCTGCCAACTCACTAGAATTTAAATGTAGGATTGGCGCCATGGTCTTTGTAGGCATAGGGAACTAGACGGTTGTCTTGGACGCCGACACCGAAGTCTCGTTCCTGCGAGACATCGAGTTCGGACCTCTTGTAGAGATAGTGATTCCACGCCTCTCCGTTGCGGTAGTCATTAAGGAGGTCGCGACTGTTCAAGGGCACAGTAGGCACAATCATGTTCTCGCTGTGCTTGTCGTATTGCTGATCGCTGTGCTGGTCCGCCGGAATGACGGTCAGCGTCGACTCATGGAATGGATTGGAGTCGCATTTAAGGGGAGGCACAATCCTTTTATCGATCGACTTTGTGGCAGCTGTCGTTAGCACGAGCAAGAGTTGGGCCAATGCAGCACAAGAATAAGGACTCACAGCTGCACTGACAGACAGCGAGACGATGCAAAAGAGCTCGAGGAAGATAGCCAGGTTCCTCATCGCGATCGCACGGGTCTGGAAGGAAGGTGAGGCGCGGGAGAGCAGCAGCAGAGGAGAGGAGGTGCGAAGAGTTGTCGGGCGGGGCGAGAGCCGACCAACTGATGATGCACTGCTCTGCGCCGATGTGCACGCTGGCAAGATGAGGGTGGCGTGCAGGGCGAGGGAGAGCGATGAGACAACGAATCAATGAAAAAACTCTGGAAGGAAAGGGGTGGAGAAAGCTGAGCGCTGGGCTGAGAAGCGAGGATATCTGGGCAACTCTCTGTCCCGTGCGAAGCCTTGTGTGTGAAGCCTTGTGTGTGCAAAGTCTCGAATGAACGAAGGCGGCCCCTTTTTTTCAAGCAGCCATTGGTCGTTGGGCTCCCGTGAATTTTGCTCCGTCATTACTGGCTTTGTGCCGCGCCCCGCCCTCGCAATGACGTCTCTCCGCCTGAGAGGCATGCCACCATTGCCTTTTCACCCTTTGCTCTTTGATAAAGCAAAGGCATCCAGACCGATGAAGGTTAGTTAGCTTGACTCCGGCAACGCTTTCCCGTTCCAGTCCCACCACCAACTGTGGAGATGGCTGGAGGAGCATCTTGCGGTTGTCAGCTTGCGTACAGACCAATAAATCACAAGATCGAGGGTGACGACATGGAAGGCGAGTCGCCCTGCGATGCTCTCATGATTTGTATGATGAACAAGCTGCAGCGTGGCAAGAGTTTCCTGACAAGAATTGGCCGGAGAGGCGTTGCTCGGCGTGCGCCTACCACTAGTGCGCACCCACGTCGTACAACCGGCTCTGCTGAATCAGCCCGCCGCCACGTCTATTCTTCTTCATAGTCTGCCTTCCCTCACCCATGAGCTTAGTCTCAAAGAGCCGACTTTAAGCAACTCTGACATCGGCATCCAGAGTAGTGTGAAAGCGATGGCTACATAGCCTCTGTCTGGGCGGGCGCAGTACGCTATATGATTCGGACTGCTCGCGCGAAGCGTGGAGACGCATCCGGAAAAAATCACCTCCGTCTCGAGTGCGAGATCCTAGACATTTTCTGCAGGGCGTGCCTGTCCCTACGTAGGAGCTTGTTCGTATCTTGCCGATAATCAGAGACCAACACGTCTTGGGGAGGGCATGTCGGACGAGCTAGGCGTCATGACAGGGCAGGCTGGCTCGAGAGTGGAGGGATTGACAGATACCCAGTAGACGGAAGTGATTTTGTGATAATTGAGGGCTAATTGGCCGAGAACGCAAGCGCGCTTGGGCCGCGGCTGGACTTGGCACGCAGATGCGTTTGCTCCAGTCTGAACGCCGGGGCCGAAACCGGGCTCTGAACTCTTGGACACATGCAGATCCTGCGTCGGCTCCCATCTCCTCTCGCCTCCATCTCAACTCCACCGACATCACATTTGACTGCTTTGACCTTCTTCCACCGGTACTATCAACACGGCGAGAAGAGTAGCAAGCAAGCGAGAACTGCAAACGAGAAGTCACGCGTCCAAAGCCGTCTCCTCGCCCTTTCGACTTTTCCAATTTGCAGCTCCGCCGCAATCGAGACACCCCAATCCACATCGGCCATCAGCAACTGCGAGCGACGAGCCCAAGAGACCTGCTCGACGGCACCTTACGAGATACACGACGAGCTATTCCTCGCCTTGTCCTCGAAGTCTTGTAGAGCCTCTCCTGCGACATCGCTCCCGCTATTCGAGTACAGCCCCTCGCCCGTTGAGCCTTCGCTTCGGTTTCGACCCCTCATTTTGACAGCCCCGGACAATGGCGACCCAGACGCACAAGCCTAAGCGCAAGTTTGCGGTGCTCGGATCCAGAAGCGTCGGTGAGTGAACTCAAGTGACGCCATGAGGAGCGTGATGAACTGACTTCTTCCATAGGCAAATCATCCCTGATTGTGCGATACGTCGAAGACGCATTTGTTGACTCCTACTATCCGACGATTGAGAACATCTTTCAGAAGTCGATCAAGTACAAGGGCCAGGACTACGACTGCGACATCATCGATACAGCAGGGCAGGACGAGTACTCGATTCTCAATTCTAAGCACGCCATCGGCATCCATGGCTATGTCCTCGTCTACAGCATCGCATCGCGGAATAGCTTCGAGATGGTTCAGACCGTCTACGACAAGATTCTCAACTACACAGGTACAGAACATGTGCCGTGCGTCATGGTGGGACAGAAGAGCGATCTGCACGTCCAAAGGTGAGTGGTCTTGCCTGGTTACTTTAGCGCAGGCGCCCATGATGGGAACCTGACAAAATCCTACTTCACCACCAACAACAGACAAGTGAGCGAAGAGGAGGGCCAGGAGCTGGCGAATCAGCTCAAATGCGCATGGGTCGAGGTCAGCGCTCGGCATAACCAGAATGTTGGTGAGTACACATCTGAGAAGCCTGTGAATCTAGGGCGATGTACGCCCAAGACTTCGTAGGGAGGATGCCAAGGGAAGATTGAGGACAGTCTACTGACGCAGCTATTCAGCCAAGGTGTTTGAGCTCATGCTTGGCGAGACGGAGCGGGGGACGACCGAGGGAGGACCTGAGCCTCAATCGAGCAAGTGCACCATTGTCTAGATGTCAGTCTGTCTCCTCCTCGTGCCCCACGCCGGACAATTTCTTTTCAACTCGCATGCCAGCTCGATCTCAATTGCTCGTCGCCGCCTGCCGTCGTCGCCAGCAATAGGCCCCAAAGCGTCCATCGGTCATCGTCCATCCCGCTTTCGATACCAACCTGCGCTAATTTGCCCTTCTTCCTTCCCGCATTTCTTCTTCTGCCACCTTTCTTCGTTGCCATGGACAGAGCTTTTCTCTCCGCCCTTGCGTGTACATCATCATTATTCAATGAGATATGCTCTCCACCCACAGTCGCATCTAAGTCCTGTACTTGTCATCGATGTCTTTCGGTCGTCCCTCGGTCCGGATCCGAGCGGGCGCTCACGTGTTTCTTCGCGTTCTTTCTCCACCTCGATCCGAACAAAGATGAATGACTACCATTGACAGCCACTAAAAAGAAGCATGGGACACCCGGTGTGAGGATTGACTGCTATTTGCTGCCATTTTGAATTCGCTCAATGCTGATGTATGCCCATCAAGGATCCTCGCGACATGCTCGCTCAACCAGTGGGCGCTCGACTTTGAGGGCAACAAGGAGAGGATCCTTCAGTCCATCGTCGAGGCCAAGCAAAGAGGCGCGAAGCTTCGGGTCGGCCCCGAGCTCGAGATCCCGTGAGCTAGATGCAGTACGATGATGAGGGAGGTTATCTTCCGCTGATGCTGGTAACCACCTGAACTCCTTGTCCCTATTTGCTCAGAGGGTATGGCGTGAGTCAGAGCTTACTTTTGCATCTCTTGCAGCTGCGCGATGGCCACTGACTGCTTCGAACAGTGCTTCGACCACTTTCTCGAGGGCGACACGGTCCTGCACTCTTGGGAGATTCTATGTCAGCTTCTCACCGACGAGAAGACGCGCGGGATCCTCTGCGATGTCGGCATGCCCATCCTGCACAGATCGACGCTGTACAACTGCCGCGTCCTGTTCCTCGACGGTCGCATTGTCATGATCAGGCCCAAGATGTGGATGGCCAACGATGGAAACTACCGCGAGTTGCGCTACTTTACTCCGTGGTCCAGACGAGGCGAGCTCGATGACCACATCCTCCCACGCATGGTCGCTGCCGCCACTGGTCAGGAGTCGGTGCCCTTTGGAGATGCTGTCGTGTCGACTCGTGACTCGGTCGTGGGTGTCGAGCTCTGCGAAGAGCTTTTCACACCAAACAGCCCACACATTGCAATGGGTCTCGACGGAGTTGAGATCTTCATCAACCCCAGTGCTAGTCACCACGAGCTGAGGAAGCTGCACCGGCGCGTCGACCTGATTCGCGAGGCTACGCTCAAGCTTGGCGGCATCTACCTCTACGCCAACCAGCAGGGGTGTGACGGCGACCGCCTGTACTACGACGGCTGTCCTCTCATCGCTTGCAACGGCAATATTGTTGCACAGGGTTCGCAATTCTCCCTCGACGACGTCCAGGTCGTCACGGCCACCATTGACCTCGACGACGTCAGGGCAGCGCGAGCGAGCAAGAGCAGGGGTATGCAGGCAGCTATGGGAAATGGGACAATCAGGGCAGGCAAGGGCTTTGAAAGGATCCGCGTGCCCTTTGATCTCGGCGTCAGACAAGAATGGACAGATGATACGGCCCTGCAAAGCACAAAGCCCATCGAGACGCGGTATCATACGCCTGAAGAGGAGATTGCCCTGGGGCCTGCCTGCTGGTTGTGGGACTACCTTCGCCGCTCGCGCACACAGGGTTACTTTATTCCCCTCTCTGGAGGCATCGATTCGTGTGCAACGAGCGTGATCGTTTTTAGTATGTGCAGACTCGTCGTCAAGGCCTGCACGGGCCCCAACCCCAACGAACAGGTGCTCGCCGACGTAAGACGCATATGTGGCGAGTCGTCGACGTGGGTGCCCCAGCGGCCCCAGGAGGTGAGCAACAAGATTTTCGTCACTTGCTACATGGGCACCGAGAACTCGAGTGGCGAGACACGGCAGCGAGCAAAGGAGCTGGCCGAGGCCATTGGGTCGTACCATGTCGACCTCAACATGGACATCGTCGTCAGTGCAATCGTCAGTTTATTCGTCCTCGTCACCAACAAGAAGCCTCAATTCAAGGTCCATGGCGGGACTGCGGCCGAGAATCTAGCGCTGCAGAACATCCAGGCGCGGCTTAGGATGCTCCTCGCCTACATGTTTGCTCAGCTCGTGCCATGGGTTCGTGGCCAGCTCGGCGGTCTCCTCGTTCTTGGCAGCGCCAATGTAGACGAAAGGTGAGCTTGGACCGCTTGTCTTGCACGTCGAAGAGGGGCTGATCCCTTCTCTGCCTTGAAAGCCTTCGAGGTTACCTGACGAAATACGACTGCTCATCGGCCGACATTAATCCGATTGGCGGCATCTCAAAGACAGATCTGAAGAGGTTTATCGCATATGCTCAGACGTCCTTTTCGCTCCCCGTGCTTGGCGATTTTCTCAACGCCACGCCCACTGCCGAGCTTGAACCCATCACAAATGAGTATGTTCAAGCGGATGAGGTGAGTTTGATGAGATGAGATGAGAGAGGGTGTGGCAAGCGTAATAAATTTGGCATTGCTGACTGGGTCGCCGTTAAAGGCCGACATGGGAATGACCTATGATGAGCTGTCGGTCTTTGGACGATTGCGAAAAGTCGACAAGTGCGGGCCATACAGCATGTTCACCAAGCTCGTCCATGAATGGGGCGATCGACTGAGCCCACCAGAGGTGCGTCTTTGATAAGCAGCTTCGCTCGTTCCCCCTTCATCTGAGTGCTTCGCATGCGCTAACGTATGTGCGCTTCTTGTCTGTTCGCGTGCCCCGTAGATCGCAGAAAAGGTCAAGCGCTTCTTTTTCGAATACGCCCGCAATCGACACAAGATGACGACACTGACGCCGTCTTATCACGCGGTAGGTCATAAGCACAGGACCGTCGGCAGGACGCTGCTCATACTGATGCATTCGATTGACAGGAATCATATAGCCCCGACGACAACCGTGGGTTGGCTGATAACTGGGGCAGATCCATGCCTGTACTTACCCCTGTCTTTCCCTTTCTCTCTCTCTCTCTCTCTCTCTCTCTCCAGGTTTCGATCTCAGACCGTTTCTCTATCCGAGCCGGTTTCCGTTGCAATTTAAGAAAATAGACGAGCTCGCGGCAAAGGTGAGCTCAGCTCGCTCGCTCTCCGATAGCGGCTAACCCCTTTGCATGGCTGACTCTCTCGCTCGCTCGCTCTGCACTCAGATTCCTGACCGTAGCAAAGCGGCAAAGACTGGATGAGGAAGGAGTCAGAAGAGGCGTGCAACGCGGACCCGTGCGCAAATATCGAAGCGATCCGTGCACAGACAAAATTTCAAATGCCTTTCAGCCCACGTCATCTTTCACTTGTCCCGAGGCCCCCCTCTTTATTTCTTGTTTGCCTCTGCTTCATTGCACCGATCGAAATGTGAACTAGACGAAAATCTCTTGTCCAGATACGGCCATTGGCTACTGGCCCCTTTCTGTCAATGGGCCTATGAGAGCTGGGATGCAATCACGACAATCTCATGCATGCTTTGGCGACCCTACCTAATTTTTTCCACGGCTTTGGCCTGCCTGCCTGCAGGTGACGACCCCGGCCTGCCAATCTGCCAGTCCCCGTAATCGACAAAGTGCTATTTCTGATCTTCGCCCCAGCGTGCATTATTTCCCGATACAAGCAAATATAACTACTAGTGATTGAGATTCGACGGGATAGTTGCGGCTACAGCTAGCGTTGAGCTGTACATGTACGCTGTCGAATAGACTGGCAGTAGTAGTAGTAGTCTAGCTAGTGTGGGTTCTGAATTTTCCCTTACCTACTCCTCCTCCTCTCTTCTCTTTTTAACTCCCTCGGACCTCTCTTTTCCTTCCACTCCGCTTTTTCCTTCTTCCTCTTCCTACTTCTACTTCCTCTTTGTTCTTCTCTTGTCCCACGGCTCTGACGAAGGAGAGTCCGGTCAGTTGGCGGCTCTTTTTTAACGACTAAACGCACCCACCACCCCACCAGCGACGAACTCGAAAAGAAAAACCGGCCTACCGCTCTGCACCGCCTTGTACTGCGTGGGCCTCCTCTCCTCTCCTCTAGAACCAAAGCTCACCGCTTGAGTGAGCGTCGTTTGGCAAATAGACCTCGGACGAGGATCTGGGTCTACCTCGCTCGGCCTCGAAGGCTTCTTGAGTAACGACCAGCTGCGCCGCGTGCCGTTGCCGCGGGCGTCGCTAAAATCGTGATTTGTTGTCACACCGTGTGATCGCGCGGAGGAACAGGCAGGCGGACGGGCAGACAGACAAAGAGGGCGCATCCATCAATCTCCTCCAGATCTGCCGAGCACGCATCGTCACAGGTCTGCTCCCCCCTTGCTGGTTTCCCGTGAGCAGAGAACGACCGAGCGGGCTGCGAAGCGGTGATCGCTGACTTGTTTCTTGATCTGATGGGGATCCCCCTCAAGACAGGAAATCCCCCCCTCTTTCTGCAGCTGTATTCGCCGCCGCCCTCAACGTCCCTCCTATTCCCCCTTTTCACGTCGCGCCTAGCCACGCTCTGCCGCCCCGCGGCTCGTCTACTTGCACCCTCAAAGCGCGCTGATGCGCAGCTTCCGTTGCCGACCTTGCTGACTCCGCTCGATTCGCAAGCAGCCTTCACTCTGCAGCAACAATTCGGCCAGCGCTCTTTCCCTCCCCTCTCGCCTTTGCCCATCGCTCTCCCACGTATCGTCACTGAATAACGCCGGCTTACTCACACGACCACAGCCGCGCCCACGACTCACATAGAGCACACACACACACGCACGCGCGCATACACAGGGCATCGGAGAGCACGAGACCGGAGACGCAGGCGAGCACTGCACGGAAAGAAGTGATTGGCGCTGTTTCGGAAGAGTCAATCTTGTATCTCGAACCCCGGTCAAACTTGGCAGCAGGGGTGACACGGAGGTCGGCAGACTAGACAGATCCAAAGTCCGACAGCTGACGAGGGAGTAGCTGGAGGGTGGGAGCGAGCAAGGGGATTAAAAGGGAAAACGTAGGAGAAGAGAGAGAACGGAGGAAGAGAGAAAAGGAGAGAAGAGCGGCGCGCACGAGAAAGAGAAGAGAAGAGCGACAGGCGATTCATGGGACTATCGCCTCTTTACTAGTAACACGAAACGGGCAAACACACCCTTCGACGAACCCGTGACGACTAAAAGACTGGAAGACGACACTTTTCTCCTTTAGCCATGGCGCCTCCCTCCTCTCCTCCTCTTTCGTCCTCGACAACCTCGGCCTCCTTTGATGCACCGATGCAGCAACGGCATGGCATTCCCTTTCCCCAATCGGGTAACAGCCCTCCTCACAGCCCACGCAGGCGTGCCGCTGCTGCTGCTGCTGCTGCTGCCCCTTTCGCCACCACCCAAGGCCTGTCGAGCGCTGGCGCAGGACGGCCGGGAGGAGCGGACACTGTCAGCACAGCGCCTTCTGCCTGGCGTCATCACCAGCACACCTCGTCGCAGTCTTCCGTCTCCTCAGCGTCGTCTTCGTCCTCGGGCCCCACGCGAGGCGCCTCGTCGGATGCTGGTCACTTTGTTGCGCCTAGGACGCCCGCATCGGCCGAGCTGCCCAGGCGATCGACGCACCAGCACTCACCCACAGCCACCGCCGGGAGCGGTAGCACTGGTCAACGAGGGGCGGAACTAGCCGTTGCTTCCTCATCGGCGATCAGTGGCGGCAGCCTGCCAAGCATCAGAAATCTGTTGAGCACCTTGTCACAGGACCCCGGCGCTCCGAGGCATCTCAGCTCCGTCAACAGCGCATCAACCGCGGCCTCGATGAGGCGATCTCCCAGCGCACCGGACTTGGGCCTGCGGTCAGACGCCGGACCGTCGGCGCAGGCACTGTCCTCGCTGCCTTCTTCTTCATCTTCATCATTATTATCATCAGGATCGATGGATGATACGGAAATGTCCGACGCCACGGCAATAAATGCCCACCCTCGTGCTCACCCCTATGTCCCTCCTCATGCCCATCCGCGGTCGCATCTTCGATCATTGACGCAGGTCGATCCCCGCCAACGGTCCTGGTCGACCGTGCTTTCGCCGACTGTCGGCGCTGTTGGGGCGACAGAGAGATCTTTTAGCCCGTCACGGCGGCCGCCGCTGTCGCCTTCAGCTTTTGCACACGGTATCGGTCTCCAACCCATGACACCGCAGGTACCACTAGTACAAACGCAGGTCGCGAGTCGCTCAAGCAGACCCAATACAGCCTCGGTGGACGAGCGAAAGACCCGCACTTCGCCCATGCATGGGCAGCAGTCGCCCTCCTCGCCCACCATGGCCCTCATCGACGATGAATCTTCGTCGAGCAGTGGCAAACGAAGCCCTCCCGAGACGCATGCACACCTGCCTCCCTCAGTACGTCGGCGTCACACCGTCGGCGCTCTTGATGAGCCTACTGAGCTCCACAGGAGCCACCAGCACCAGCAGCTGTCAGCTGCAGCACCGTCCTCGCCTCTTCGACACGGCCAGCATCAGCATCGAACCTACCATACAACACCGCCCCACAGGCTTCCACTCACACCCAGGGCAGAGATGGAGCTGGCACCCCTACCCGATAGCCCCACAACGCCCACCGCTCTGCCACGACAGCAGCAGCAGCAGCAGCAGCAGCAGGCAACCCCACATGGCTACGCTTACCGCTCTCATCAAGCACAAGCACATGCTCATGCACAAGCTCATGCACAAGCTCATGCACATGCACAAGCACAATCAAGAGGCTATCCAGCGTCACGCTTTTACATGAACACGATGCTGCCCTCGGCTGGGTCGATGCCGTCCCTCAGCTCTTCGTCGTCGCTCTCACTTGGGAGCGACCGCGCCAGGTTCGACTCGCTCGAAGGACCAAGGTCGTCGGGCATGGAGCGTAGATTCACCTTCAGCACCGCCTCGCAGCAGAGCATAAACAGCGAGGTCGCCACGACGACGTACGCCACCAGCCCCTCATCGTCGGTCTGGCACAGCCGGTCCTCGACGCTCGACTCTATCGAGGCTCCTTCGTCCATGTCGTCCTCTGACCACAAGTCGCTGCCTATGCCGCCGCCTCGGTCATCAAGCCTGGCTTCAGACATGACGATGCCTCCAAGGACACCACACGAGGGCCTGCGGAACAATCACGACCCATATGCTCCTTCAGGCCTGTACGGTCACCAGCATCACGCACTTCAGCAGCCGCGCGACCACGACCACCATCAACAGCAGCAGCAGCATCAGCAGGACAATTATCTCTATCCAGGCTCGGAGGCGCATGCATCTGCTGTTAGCCGACCTCGAGCAAAGACAATGGCGTTTGCAGACCGTCCTATAGCACGACTGCCTTCGCATGCTCAGCACCTCTACATGCAGCAGCAGCAACAGCAGCATCAACAGCAGCACATGCAGCACATGCAGCAGGTTCAGCAGCACCAGTTCCATGGGCAATTGCTGCGACAAATGGATTCGTCATATAACCATCAACAGCAGCATCTCGGCGAAACTCACAGTCTCCCGCAGCGCGTCTCGTCGATGAGTCTCGGCAACAAGCCTTCCACGTCACAGCAGCCATGGAAGGGAGCGCAGCAGGTCGTCGCCCTGGTTGGCGTAGGCCAATACAAGTATGCTTGCCCGCACTGTGACAAACGCTTCTCCAGACCGTCCAGCCTCAAGATCCATGTTCATTCGTGAGTCGGTCGGTCGGTCTCTCTCCTTCCTCGGCTCTTGACTAAAGTTGACCTATTTCACAGGCACACGGGCGAGAAACCGTACAAGTGCTCCAGACCAGATTGCCGACGCGGCTTCAGCGTGCAATCAAATCTCCGTCGGCACGAGAGGAACCATGACGAAAAGGAGGCAGCCGCAGCCGCAGCCGCCGCAGCGACGCGGTCAGCCGATCTCTCAATGACCCACGCGCCATCAGCGAGGGAGATGATGCAGCGCCATCATGCGCCGCCCCAACATCATCACGGCTACCGCGGGGCGCCTCCTCTTCCGCCCGTTCACCATCCTTACTCTCGTCAATCGCTCCAGGGATCACACCGCTCCCAGAGCAACCCTAAGCCCCATGCCTTGATGGCAATGACGACGAAAAAGGGCACGATGACCTCGCAAGACCATCCTTCGCAATCATCTCTCTATTCTCAGACGAGCCAAGGCCGTCGTCACGAATCCTTCTCGTCAAACAATGACGACATGACTGATCCGAGCGAGTCAGGTGTCGGTAAGGTTGATGAGTGGGAAGATGAAGAAGATGAGATTGGAGTGGAATCCGACGACCCCAACGATGCCATGTCGGAATCCGACTCCAGACTGAGCGCCGCGGCCGGCCTCTCTGGGCTCCTCAACCCGGTCCAGCGCAGGAGCAGCGGCGACAGTGGCCACACGCCTACCTCTTCTCACGGCATCATCAGCACCACACCCTCTTCGACTTCGACTTCCACCTCCACGATTTCTTGAGTTTGAACAGACAGAATTCAACCCATCCATGTACTGTAACATAGCCCCCTCACAGAGACCGTCACTCCTCTCTTGCTTTCTCTCTGCCTTCATTTCACCTACATAATTCGTTTCTCCGAGCCAATCATCTGCACAAGTGTTCCGTTTCCTTCCTTCATACATTTGACCTTTGGCAATCTTGATTCGGGCAGAGCAGGCCTCTCTCTCTTTCTTTGTGTATATGTGGCTGTCTCCCGTCCTCGTCTTACTTTTATCCGATGGTGTGCGTTTATGTCTCTCCTTATCTCTGACGTTCACGTACAGTGCAGTACACGGCCAGAGCGCCGCAACTTTATTTTAGCGCCTGCCCACATGAGGGTGGCTTTAGATAGATAGCCCTGACTAGAAGGTCAAGAGGGTCTCATATGAGACCCACTTAGGAACAAACGATATCTGCCTCACTTCTCGTTTACTCGAGAAGAAGAAAGGTTCTTCCATCTACCACGACGACCTTCCTTTTTGCCTTACAAGTCGGCACACCATGGCTTCCTCGCACTCTGACGACAGAGAAAAGGGGCTGTCATCACCGGCCAAGTTGGCGTCGGGCGCCCCGCTCGAAGCAACTGTGTCCTACAACCACAATCCCTCGGCTGGTGGAAAGGAAGAGCAAGTGCTATCGTCGCTCGGCTACGAATCCGAGCTGCGCCGGAACCTGTCGCTTTGGACTGTGCTGGGCCTGGGCGCAGCAATCATCGCCGCACCCTTTGGTCTCTCCACATCGGCTTCCTTTGCCCTCACAAACGGCGGCAGGACCTCGTACGTCTGGGGATGGGTCCTCCTGAGCCTCATCTCGCTCGCCCTGGCTGCGAGCCTGGGTGAGATCTGCAGCGTCTATCCGACGAGCGGAGGCGTATACGTCTGGACGGCGCACCTGGCACCGAGGAGGTCCGCCAAGATTTCCAGCTTCGTCGTCGGCTGGATCAGCGTCGTGGCCAACCTGACGCTGTGCCTCTCCATTGCATTTGGTGAGGCTCAGCTCATCATGGCCGCCATCAGTGTGTTCCGAAACGATGAATGGGCGCCCGAGGCGTGGCACATCATCCTCACCTTCTGGGCCATCATGGCCCTCTGCGCCCTCATCAATGCCTGGGGCGTCCGGGCCAAGCTGCTGGAGCCGATCAACACGCTGAGCATCTACTGGACCCTAGCTTCTGCCGTCATCATCTGCATCGTCGTCCTCGTCATGTCCGACGATCGGCGCAGCGCCCGCGAGGTCTTTGCCCAGTGGCAAAACGCCAGCGGCTGGTCCGACGGATGGAGCTTCTTTGTGGGCCTGCTTACGCCCGCATACGTCTTGACCGGCTACGGGACCATTAGCTACCTCTGCGAAGAGGTCAAACAGCCCGAAGTCGCTGTACCCAGGGCCATGTTGGGCAGCGTCATTGCGGCATCCTTTACCGGCTTTCTCTTCCTCATCCCCATGTCCTTTGTCTTCCCAGCCGACCTTTCACTGTGAGTCAAACCTTTTTCCTCGCGAAGAAGCGCGCTGTCGCTGAACACGCGTTCCCACTCTGCCAAATAGGATTCTCGAGGCTACAGCAGGCCAGCCGATCCCCGTCGCTCTCTCGCGCGCCACGCGCTCGGCCGGTGGAGGCTTTGGCCTCCTGTTCCTCATCCTTGGCGTCGGCATGTTTGCATCGGTGGGCTCCCTCACCGTGGCCCTGAGATCTGTCTGGGCGTTCTCAAGAGATGGCGGCCTGCCGCTCTCCTCGATCTGGAAGAAGGTCGACAGGGTGCACCAGCTCCCGCTCAACAGTCTCATCATCACGACGGTCATCATCAGCCTGCTCGGTCTCATCTATCTTGGCGCCAGTGCCGCATTCAACGCCTTCACGGGGTGTGTATCGAATTGTTCAATTCTTCCTCAGTGTCAGGGCCTGACAACTTTCTTTTTCCCTGCTCCAGATCCTGTACGATTCTGCTTGGACTGAGCTACGTCTACCCAGTCGCCTGCTCGCTCGCCGGAGGAAGGAGACTGGTCAAGCATGCCTCCTGGTCGCTCGGCCGCTTTGGCTACCTCATCAATATCATCGCCCGTGGGTGCTGCTTGCTCTTGTTTTTTCGGAAATCGCATTCGCTGATTTGTGCATCTTTTCGTCCCCCTCTCGACAGTCATCTGGGTCGTCTTCTCCGTCGTCCTCTTTTGCTTCCCCACGACGGCGCAGGTCGACGCGGCCGGGATGAACTACGCGAGCGTCGTCGTCGTCTTCTTTGCCGCCTTTGCCGCGCTGTACTATGTCGTCTGGGCCAGAAGATCGTACACGGGCCCATCGCTGGCGACAGAGGGCCACAAGGAGGAGGACACGGCGGCGGGCGGGTGGTAAGACATTGCTGCTCCCATCTCTGTCTCTATAATTCTTGCTCTCTCTGGCGCGCTCTCTCTCTCCCTACCTCTTTCATCTTCGTCTCGTTTGGATACGCAATCCATCCATGCCTTGTTTTTGGCTGGAGTGCCTTTCTGTCACCGCATTCACCTATCGCGTCTTTGTATGCCCGTGCAAGCTGGGGAAATAGAATCATCGAATCAGCAGAGGTCTCGGTCTCGTTCGCCCTCCTACAGGGCGGCGCAGGTAGCAAAAAGAGGGGCGAGTGAGGGTATAGATTGAAGCAAAGGTTTTTTTTTGTATATGAAAACAAGCAACACGACTCGTCAACGAGGAGAACCTGATGAACATACGTCCGTCAGTCTACAATTATAACCAGACGTGACGATTTGGCGCCACGGGCTCACTCACCGAACGGACTCATGCTTCTGCTCGCGCTTCCAGAGCTGCCGCTTCCGCTGCTGTTGCTGTTACTTCTCAGACCTATACTCGAGACCCTTGAGGTGGTGCACGTCGACGGCTCGTCGTTGTTGAGCATCAGATCGAGCTTGTGGCTCTGCTCATCGAGCTGCTGCTGATGCTGTTGCTGCTGCAGCGCAAAGGCGGAGAAGCTGTGCCCATAGCCCTCCTCGACCTCGGGCGAGGGAGGGACCGGCGAAACCTTGAGCTTCTCGCCCGATGAGGCGACGAGCATTGTCTGCGACGCGTCGGCGTCTGTGGCCGCTGCTGAATTTGTCGTCGTCATGGTGGAGCCGACGAGCGGGAGATCAAAAGCGCGATTTTCTTGTCGCCGGAGTAGCCACCTTCCCGTCCCGGGCACCACTGCGGCTCCTTCATGGTTAATGCGTTCCCAATAGGCCAAAAGGGCCAGCGAGCCGCCCAGGAGCGACACGACTGCGCTGGCGAGGGCCAGCCACGAGGCGAGGCCGAGCTGCTTCGACGTCACTTTCCCGCCGAGGTACTGCAGCGTCTTTTCTCCATTGGTGAGGTTGAAAGAGGCTGATGCAAAGAGGAACGCGTCGGCGAGGAAAGCGAGCACAGGCATGGCAGAGGCCACGGAGGCGCAGATGGCCAGCATATCGCTCGTCCGGGCCGGTTTCCAGGACGAGAGGGATGCCATGGCGCCAACGGCGGAAAAGTAGATTGCCAGTGGATGCAGAAGGAGCTGTCGGGAGAATGGAGTGGACTGAATTCAGCGGATGCAGAGAAAAATTAGAGGGCCTAGGGAGACTTACTGCTTGGGAGAGTGACCGGCTAAAGAAGTTTTCAGTGACTGTGCTGCCCTTCCACCCGATCGGTGTCTCCTGGCATCGGAACACCTCTGGTTGGCCAATGTCGGCCATGGTGCTTGGCGCAAAAGAGACCTTGCCGGGCTGGCCGGCGCAGACCGACCACATGCTCAGTCGAACTGAGGAGACGTGTCAGCTGGGGGCCGGGTGTGAGAAAGGGGCCCTTCCTTTGCCACTCACAGGACTGCCATGTGTTGATGTCGAAGCGATAGAAGATCATATGCTTGTACTTGGGAAAGCCAAAGCAGATCTTCGTTCTCGAGTCAGCAGACGAGCTTGCCTTGATACTCTCGTCTTTCTGCTCTCCAGACAGAGGTCACTGAACTCACCAAGGTTTGCAAGACTGTCGAGGTGAGAAAGGCAAGAATTGCCAGGGCGAGGAGGAAGCGAGGACCTGCTCGCCTCAATCGATTCACAACTTTGGAAAACGGCCGAATGAGGAGCGCCCTTGACGCCACTGTCGTCGTCGACCTCGCCATCGTTCCTATCCACTCGATGCAGGTTGGTGGTAGAGAGGTTGCAGGCACAGGTGCGGCAATAGTATTTGACGGATAGTAGTACACTACTCTACATAGACTAGTACGTATTGGCGGATCGATTGAGCCAAGAAGTTTAAAAAAAAAAACGTGTTGTGCATGCAGGAAGCATTTTCGAATGCTCCTGCCTCCGGTCTTCCGCGCAAAGATAGAGAGCGCCTTACCAGCAGGGGATGAGAATTCGGTATGCTCTTCGCGCTACTGGTAAGGCGAAACCAAGACCGGTTACTTTTGAAATTCGCGCGAGGGCGCGCATTCTGTCATTTGGTCGCACGGTTCCGTCATGGTTCGTCTTCCGATTTAGAGGTCACGAGGAACCTCCAGAGCTCCGATTTAGTTGCTCCGATTTACTAATGGTGGGGCCGGCAAGAGGGCAAGCCCCACCGTTTATGCAGGGAAGACGATGGCTGATCCACCGCTCAGTTGGTCGGTGTGTCGTCCGCCAACAGTAGACAGGCGATACGCAGACCAGGATAGCCGAATCTTCGTGCGAACGGAGAGACGACTCGTTGGGTACCAACCGCGTGTGTGCTGTTCGGTAGCCCGAGACAAAGCTGTGTACTTTATCATAAGAAAGGGAGAAGAAAAAAAGCCTTACTTGACAGGCAAACACTACGGGCCTTTACCGATGACGCGGTTGCAGAGCGGTTGCATGTGGGGCATTGAGCAAAAGCTTACTTACGGTGGGGAGCTCAAGAGGGAGCAAGAATACGGGTAGCAGGGGCAAGACGACGCACGAAGAGAAGGTACACTACATAAGCTGGGAAGGAGGAGCAGAACCCACTACTCCCTCTCCTTTCGGACCCTCCAACGCTACCCAACGCAACCCGAGCATAAGCGCCAAAAACATGCCAGGACGAGTAGACAACGTACCCTTTGCTCGCGCGCAGCACATTGGCTCGCTGCTGCGTCCGACGAAGCTCCTCGACGTTCGTATGCGTTACGAGAACGGAGAGGCGGACTACAAGACGGAGCTCAAGCCGGTCGAGGACGAGGCAATCTCCGATATCATCCAGCTTCAGCGTTCCGTGGGACTCAAATGCCTGAGCGATGGCGAGTTCAGGCGACACATGTTCTGCGATGGCTTTCACGAGCATCTCGACGGCTTTGAGTGCGTGCCTGCCCCTGCTCCCCTTTCGCAAGCTACTCCTATTGCTGCCCAGCTCCCAGTCTGAATGCTAAAACCCTCACCGCCAGGTCCGTTGTCAACCCGCCGAGGAGCATCTTCAAGATGTATGTTCCTGACGTAAGGGCCTTTGTCGACTCGCACGCCAAACGAATGGCGCCGACGTGGATCTGCAAGGGCACGATCAAGCGAAAGAATTCGCCATCGCCCTACGAGGAGCAGTTCAAGAGCATGCTACAGTTCACGACGCCCGACGAGATCAAGCACATCAAAATGACGACGGCCGCGCCCGAGTGGTACCACTTGCGCCACAGCAGCGAGTTTGCATTCACGAAGGACGCCTATCCAGAGGACGGCGAGGTCGGCTACTTTCGCGACATTGCGGCGGCCTACCGTGAAGAGCTCAAGGCGCTGTATGGGCTTGGATGCAGAAACGTCCAGGTCGACGATCCCCTGCTGGCCTACTTTTGCGACGAGTCAATGATCAAGGGCATGAAGGACGAGGGCATGGACCCAGAGGCTGAGCTGACAAAGTACATCGACCTGTACAACCAATGCTTTGCCGGACGACCAAAGGACATGATGGTGGGCGTCCACCTCTGTCGCGGCAACTTCAAGGGTAGGTCCACTTCCTTGACAAGAATGTAACCTCCAGCTGACTTGACCTTGCCACAGACGGCATGCACTTCAGCGAGGGCGGCTATGACCGAATTGCGCGCAGGCTCTTCAACGAGCTCGACGCTGATGTGTAAGTGTTGCGCCGACAAAGCAGACGAAGACTCACCAGCTGACAGAACACTTTATCTGCCCACAGCTACTATCTCGGTGAGTACATCTGACAAGATTGCATCTCCCATTCAAGCATTCGTCGCTAAACATGAGAGAGAGGGTATGTAGAATATGACACGGAGAGGGCGGGTACATTTGAGCCGCTGGCCGAGATGCCGGCCGACAAGCTCGTCGTTCTCGGCGTTATTTCCTCCAAGGTCGGCGAGCTCGAGTCTCCAGAGGCCATGGAGGCAAAGGTGCGCAGTGCTGCCAAGATCATGGCGAAAGCCGTCGGACAGTCGGAGCAGGAGGCGCTCAACCGGCTGGCGGTAAGCCCTCAGTGTGGCTTTGCAGTGAGTTTCCACGATTTTCTAGCGCATGCGCGCGCACACACACGGGCCCCTTGCTGAATTGCATCGTTGCAGTCGCATTCGGAGGGCAACAACATCGCCCTTGAAGACATGACCAGAAAGCTGGGTCTCGTCAAGCAGGTCGCCAAGAAGATCTGGCCCAATGACGAGTGATTGCCTCATGTCTGTTGCTCCTCGGCCTCAATCTCGATGTCTTCGTACTTTTCCGCGTGTTCCTGCCTTAAAGTGAGATAGCGTTTGTCCACCTTGACTTTTTCAAGGACCGCCTTGAAGATGGCGGCGCTCTCGGCCTTGACGGGATCCTCCTTGGACCGGGGCAGCTCATTCTTTCGCTTCGAGAACCCAGCGCTGTTGTCCTCGCTCTTTGCGTACTTTCTCCCGCCTGCATGATTGGCATACCGACGTGCCCTTGTATGACCCATCTGGATCCATCCGATTCTTTGGCTATCAGCAGTCGTGCCTGCCTCAATCAACAGTTTGTGGAGATTTGATCTCGGAGGCCGTTAGAGGACTGACCTGGATGAACTTTCTGGTCATGTCGGCGCCTACAAAGTCGCCCTCTTGAAGGTAGCCGTAAAACCGCGCCTCGAGGTCCTTGCTGCTCCGCGTGGCCGTCTCCACGTCCTTGAATGCCCAAGCGGGCAGCAGCTCGGCTTTGTACGGCTGCACCATCAGCACGCCCTGCTCGCCACGTCCAGGCCTGTAGAGGTGGGGCTCTTTGCGGAGGTCTAGCGACTTGTAGGGAAGGTGGTACGGAAATTTTGACATTGCGTATCTGCTCATGCGCCTACTCTCTGGCTGCTGCTCCTTTACTTCCTCGCCACTGCTTGCTGTCCCTTGGCTCCTTGATGACTGTCGAGTGCGGGCCATTTCTCTCACACACACTCTCTGAGGTCACTGCGAGGGAGAAGACCGCGCTGGGATCCCGATGGCTCGATGACCAACGGGATTCCAAGTGGAGTGACGACAATCGGCCGAAGAGGCGCGATCTATTTGAAACTAGCTGTCTTTCGGTGCACCTTCCGGCCGCTGCCTCCAGTCCAGGCCCGCGCTTGCATCCCCAAGTCCACCTATCCATCTTCTCCTCGTCGATTTGCGGCTCCTCCCCGTGCTGCCTCATTTTTCCTGCCACCCGCCGCGACAGCAGCCACAGCAGCCACAGCAGCCACAGCAGCAGTAGCAGCAGCAGCAGCCGGAGCGTCCGCCGCAGCAGGAGAAGGAAGGGAAGGAGAGCCGTATGGAACAATGTCGACGTACGACAAGCTAATCAAGCAGGCAACGAAGCCCAAGCCGGGGGCTCCCAAGCCAAAGTACATTGACCCCATCATTGCGAGCTCCTTCAGCCAGGATGGTTCGCTCCAGGACATCTGCCGAGCCCTTGGAGGCCGATTGCGCGAGCCCAGCAGCCTGGTGCGTTCTCGGCCAGATCACCGATGCCCCTCTGTATGCTCGGACATAGTATGCTGACAGGGGATCTCCCGTTTGAACAGGTCGTCTTCAAAAGTCTTATCGTGCTCCACACCATGATTCGGAATGGCGGCATCGACAATGTTCTCTCGCATCTGGCAAGCGATCAGGGCTCTCTGAAGCTGAAAAATGTCGTACAGGGAGGGAACTGGCAGGGTAAGCAGACATGCATCGCACTAATTGGGCCTGAAGGGGATAGCTTACCCAGATTTGGCGTTTGGCCAGGCCAAGATGCACCAAGGACCATGTCCAATTACGCGGCCTACATCGATGAGCGAATCCGGGCCTATCGGGACCTCCGCCACGACGTCATCAGGTCCGGCGACTCGGCGCGCACCCGGGGCGGGGCTGATGCCACGACGCACCGGCTGCGACGGCTCACTGTGGAAAAGGGACTCTTGAGGGAGGTCGCCATCTCGCAGAGGGTGTGCAGCAGGCTGCTGGACTGCGCGGTGAGTAAATACTATTGCGGCTACTCCCTTCCTCTGCTCTTTCCTGTCGTTGCTGATGAGCCAGACGCCTTTCACAGTTCTTCCTCGACAACCTCAACGACGACATGACACTCACAGCCTTTCGTATGACGCTTAAGGATCTCTTGGCCATCTACTCTGCCATTAACGAAGGCGTCATCAATCTACTAGGTGAGCGCATGAAGTTGTCAGCGTGGCCGGGTAAGAAAACCTCTCTCTGAACCTCGGAGAAATCTTCTATTCGATCACAGAGCACTACTTTGAAATGTCAAAGGTCGACGCCGAACGAGCCTTGGACATCTATAAACGCTTCTGCCGCCACACGGAAAAGGTCGTGGCCTACCTCTCTGGCTCGAAAAAGGCTTCCTACTCCCTCAATGTCCCAATACCCAGCCTCAAGCATGCTCCCATCAGCTTGGCAGGCGCCCTGCAAGAATACCTCGAAGACCCAAACTTTGAAAAGAACCGGCAAGAGTACAAGGAAAACAAGCGAATCGCCGACGGAGGGGCACCCGCACCTAAGAAGGACGCAGTGCCCGCGTCGGACTCCAAGAAGAGCATCACGATCAAGGAGCCGACGGCAGAGGAAAAGACGAAGCCGGTGAAACCGCCGACTGAGAACCAGGCGATCCAAGACTTCTTCCAGAGCATCGAGACGGAGCAAATGAGCATGTTTGGCGGTGGGCCGGCCCAGCAGCAGCAGATGCAGTACCTCTCTGGCCAGATGGCGCCGATGCCGACGGGGATGGGCATGATGCAGCCCCAGATGACGGGCTACAACCCTTTCTTTGGCATGGGCGATGCCAGCGGTTCTCAAATGATGATGGCCCCGCAGCAGACGGGCTTTATGCCGCAACAGACAGGCTTTGGTGGTGGTGGTGGTGTTGCTATGGGAGGCGGCGGATTTGGCTACCTCCAGTCACAGCCGACAGGCTTCAATCCATTCCGACAGAGCATGATGGTGCAGCCGCAGGCAACCGGCTTTGGCTCGTCTTCCCCCTTTGGCCAGATGCTGCCTCCAGGACTGGATCAGCAGCAGCAACAGCAGCAGCAGCAGCCTCAACAGCAACAGCCACAGCAACCGCAGCAGACCGGAGTGCCATCGAGCAGCTCAGCATCGTCGGCTCTCAACTCGTTCAACTCGGCCTTTGGCGGCCCTGCTTCGTCGAGCGCGAGCCCAGCAGGCGGCGCACCTGCGCAAGCGCCGCCTTCCCGCGCAGCCAGCGCTCCGATCAAGTCCCAGAAGACGGGCTCGCGCAATCCCTTTGCGCCTCCACCAGGCCAGACGCCGCCTCCCTCACCGCCGCCTCCACAGCCAAGGGGTCCATCGCTGTTTGAGCTGGCAATGGGCAGATCGGGGCCCACGGCTGGCGGAGGTGGCAACTACGGTCTGGGCGCTGGCGCCTGGGACGGCACAGATCCAACGAGGAAGCCGTCGGATCAGCAGCAGCAGCAACAGCCATCGCAAGGACTTGTGCCCCAGAAGACTGGGTTGATCGGCAGCATCGCGTCGGAGTTCACCTCGGTGGGCGCCCAAAACAGCCAGCAGCAGCAGTCGTCGTTGCCGAGCGCCGGCCAAGGGCAGCTGCAGGATCAGGCGCAGGGACAGAATCAGGGACAGACGAATGGACTGCAGTCTTCATTTGGCGCCCTCTCGCTTGGCGAGAATAGGCCGGCGCCGGCGCCGCTGCAGGCTCAGCCGACGGGGTTTGCAGGCAGCTCGGTGCAGCCGTTTAAGCCGACGAGCAGCTTCGGAGCAAGTCTGGCCGCCAGCGGGCCCTTTTCTCAGCCCACGAGCCCAGCGCCGGTAGCGCCCAACATGACTGGCAATCCCTTTGCGCTGTCCAACGGTGCTCCGTCCTCTGCTCAGAATGGCGCTTCGACGAACGGGCTGTCGAGCCAGCCGACTGGCTTCCATTCCCTTTCCTCCAATGGCGCATCCACAGGCGGACTGGCTAGCCAGCCGACGGGTTTCGGAAGCTCGCTCTTTGCATCATCATCGTCGTCATCCTCCGGCCCAGGTGCCACCTCGCCGGGCTTGACGGCCCAGCCGACAGGCTTTGCAGGATCGAGCATCAAGCCATTCCAGCCCACGAGTGCCTTTGGGTCTGCCGCCTTTGGCCAGCAGTCGTCGGGCCAGCCCCAGCAGCAGCAGCCCCAGCAACAACAACAAAGCGCCACAACGTTTGGCACCCTCATTTAATCTCCTCATTTGTGTGTGTTATTCTTCCTAAAGATTTGCTCCGTCGGCGGATGATTTCTTGTTTTTGCAAAAAAAGTTTTCCCTCCTCCTCCCCCCTCGCCATTTTTCTTCCCGAGAATAAAATCCCCTTTGGACTTTGGTGGTGGTTGTCCCATCGTCATCGTGCCGGAGTTCTTCCGAGGGAAAGGAAGTCAAGGGAACGCCAGCTGTCGATGATCTGATGTCGGGCTCTAAAGATAAGTCCAGGGAGAGATTTCCGGACATGTCCAAATGCACCGTGCTCTGCCTGCCATATCGGCTCAAATTTTGTGCGCGACTAATTGTGCAGCGTATACTACGTCTATAGCACGCCGCGGTCCAAACAGGGTTTCGTTCGGATTCGGCTCACTCCGCTGGTCCTTCGGCGCTCCTTCGGCGTCTCACGCACAGATAAACTTTTTTCCCAGCTGAGGCATCCATCCCTTTTTGCCCTTTTTTGCTTTCTGCTTTTTTTTTGTCATTTTGACATTCGCGACTGCCTGCCTCCCTCTTTGCTGGTGATCGACAGACGCACGCGCGAGAAGAGGACGAGGCGATGTTCAACTCGCTGATCCACCAGCCATGCGAGGTGTCGCTGCACCTCGTCTCGTCCGACGTCTTTATCCACCCGCCTCGGCCCACGTCGGAGCTGCCGGGCCACGACCAGACGCTGCGCGGCCTCGTCGAGGTGCGCGCGCCCTCGGAGCGGACGATCCAGGGCGTGCGCGTCAATCTGCAGGCGCACCAGACGATCGCCATCCCCGAGCAGGTCGGCGGCGGCGCGGTCGCGGGCGCGGTGGCGACGGTGACGCGCTGGGAGGAAAAGGTGCTGATGGACAAGACGGTCGAGATCAACAAGGACGGGCGCATCGTTCATGCGGGCAAGGGCAAGGGCAAGGCAAAGGAGGCCGTTCAGTCTGGTTCGGCGGCAGCAGCAACAGCAGCAGCAACAGCAGCAGCAGCAGCGGCGGCGGCGACGACGGCGGCGACGACGATGACTACACCAGAAGACGCAGTCCTCGAGGATGGCATCCACCTCGACAAGGGCGTCCATGGGTGGGTGACGTCGTGACTGATGTCAATAGAGAAGAGGCAGTTGCTGAAGTGATGCTCTCCAAACAGGTTCGAGTTTGCATTCATCATCCCCGCCTCGTCGCCGCCGTTCGAGCGGGCAAAGAACGGGCGGGTGCGCTACGTCCTCACGGCGACGGCCCTGGGCGCAGGGCGTGGTCGCTCGGCCGTGTCGACGTGGCGCGAGATTTTTGTCATCCTCCAGGTCAACTCCGATGGCGGGCCCACGCCCCTCGACATCCAGTACCACGACATCCACGAGGCACTCGGCCCGCTCTCGGTGAGCCTGACGAGCGCCAGCCTCACCGTCGGCGGCACCGCCAACCTGTCCCTCTACCACCCGGACCCCCCACCGGGCCTGAGCGTACACGTGGCCCGCGTCTTTCTCGAGCAGACCGTCGAGCTGTATTCGGAGGTGAAAAAGGCGTGGACGAAGCTGCCGACGGAGAAGCTGCGGGTGTGGGAGCGCGGCTACATGCCCTACAAGGACCGCACCAAGCAGGCAGACCCCAATGCGACGCCCGACGATGCCCTCTGGCTCCGCAACGACGACGACGAGCTGCATGGCCCCGGTCGGCCGGGACGAGGCTCGTTGAATGTCCACGGCGCCGTCTCGCCCTTTGCGCTTTCCTCGACCCCTCGCTCGGCTCCTACCACACCTGGCGGTAGTGAGATGAACCAATTGCAGCAGCCGTCGCTGCAGCAGGCGCAATCCCAGTCACAAGCTCAGCCACAGCAGCAGCAGCAGCAGCAGCATGGCTACAAGATCAAGAGCGTCGTGCGGCTGCCCGACGATAATACGATCCGGCCCAGCACGGTGCGCGGGTCACGCGCAGAGGTCCGTGTCTCGCACGAGGTTGGTGTCGAGATCTTCTTCTCCCGCGCCTCTGTCCTCGACGATCGAGAGAACAGCGACAGCTTTGGGAAGCCAAAGGTGCAGGTCTTTAGCATGCGCAGGGCCACGGTGATTCCCAGCTGCCTGTGCACCTTTGACACCATCCACCTCCCACCGTACTCGCTCGAGAGTCCAGCCAACAGCCGCCCGCCCAGTCCGACATTTGATGGCTCTGGTTTCGGCGCTGCTTCTTCCAAGGCCAGGGGACCGCCGGGCAAGAATGCCACGCAGAGCGAGATCGACCACTGGAGGCTTACCCAGACGCTCCGGGCCGCGCTGCCCCACGCCTCGGGAAGCCAGGCGCATCACCACCACCACCACCACCAACAACACCCCGGAAGCGGACACCTGAGCTCGGGCGACAACTCGGCCGCGAGGAGCAGGGCGGGCTCGAGGGATCCCAGTCCGAGGCGACATGGCAGCAGCCATCACCATCACTCATTTGGCTGGCCGGGGAGAAAGTCGCGCAACTCGAGCCCGACGAGGCATCCGGCCGAGGCAGGCAGTGGAAGTGGGAGTGGGAGCGGGAGTGGGACTGGCACTGGCACTGGGACGGGGTCTGGAAGCGGCGCTGGTGGCACAGCTGCTTCGTCGACAGCGGCGCATTCAGAGCCCAGCAGCCGCCGAGGCTCGCGGGCAAACATCGCATCGAGCCTGCATGCGCTCACCCCCGCCCATCCCCACTCCTCCTCCTCTGCCTCGCACCACCAGCCAACGCCCACGCCCCCTGTCCTGCAGCGCTCCTCGTCGTCCTACCAGCTCTCGTCCTCGAATGCCTTTCCCACCGTCGTCACCGCCCCTGCGTCTGGCGCCTCGACGCCGCGCTCACTGCCCGCCAACTCGCCCTGGGCTATGACAAACATGCCGCCCCGGACGCCGACGTCGCACGACACGTGCCAGTGCGGCCGCACCACCGCCGAGCTCGTCGAGGCCGAGAGCCGTCTCTTGGAAGGCGCGCCCACGGCCCCGGGAGCCTGGATCGACGCCCACGACGAGGGCCAGCTCCCGCCGCCGTGGACGCCCAGCCGGCCAAGCAGCCCCACGACGAACTCAAATGGCGACGACGTCGTGTGGTCTACAAACGGGGCCGGCCACCATCACAGTAATTTCAACCATGCAGCGGGGGCAGGCAGTGCAAAAATTGGGGAAATGATGGAAATGTAGTTGTACCGTGACATGCATTTTGAATACATAGAGACATCCACTGCTCAGTCCCTCCTCGCTCCTCGCTCCTCCTCTCCTCTTCTCTTCTCTTCTCTCCTCTCCTCTCCTCCCTTGCTCCTCCTTGATGTCCTTGAGCCTCTACCAGCCCGCGATGGCCCGTATCCGCCGGTCGAACGTCGCACTCCTGATCTCGCCTGCTCGAGACGGGGCCGAGGCGTGGCCGAAGGAGCCCTTTGAGGCTGCGTCGAGCGACGAGGCGAGCACGCTCGCGCCTGCCCCTGCCACTGCGCCCGCGCTTGCGCCTGGCCCAAGCGCGAGAAAGGGGTTGCTTGCATAGGCCAAGTAGCTCGTGTGGACCGCTCGCAGGACCTTGCGCAAAAGTCAGCATCTGCAGCCTTGTGCCCGCTTGCTTGCTTGTTTGTTTTGACCCCGCGCATGTCTCTCACTCACAGTCAGGACGTCGAGATCGCGCACCTTGGCGTCGGCCGAAGCGCCCGCAGCCGTGCCTGTCCCTGGCCCGGCGCTCCCGCCTGCCGACACAGCCGCGGCGCCCGCCGGTGTCCGGAGCACGACGAGGATGCGGAGGCGCGTCGTCGTGATGAGCGCATAGATGCTCAGGTCCTCGAGCGCAAGCACGAGGCCGAGGTATGTCGACTGCGGGCCCTGCTGGTCGGTGCTGCGCGGCTGGGCTTTGGGTGCGCGTTCGAGTCAGTTGGGGCTTCTCTCAGCAGACAGGCAGGAAGAGAAGCGACACTCACTGCGCTCATCGATGACATCCAGGGCGCAGTGTGCTGCATGCTCGAGCCGCAGTGCCTCCTCCACGCCTGCCTGCGACGATGACGACGACGACGACGAGGAGGAGGAGGCGCGCGAGGCAAGAAACAGGCGCTGATTCTTGTTGCCGACGATGGCCACCGCTTCGATACGGACCGCCGAGGACGACGAGGCAGACGCGCCGCCGGCAGACGTCATCGTCGAGGCCATTCGTGGTTGCGTATGTGCGAGCGAGCGAGCGAGCGTGTATGTGCGTGTGTTCGTTCGGTCGTGCGAAAAGGTCCGAGCGGGCGAGAGAAATTGACTTTCTGGCCTTGGCTTCACGCGTGCGCGCGCGAGAGAAAGAGCTCAAGAGACACGGCGAGCCACGGTGGATGAGGGCCATTCGCAGTGGGAAATTGAAAGAGCGCATGTGATTGATTGCTAGGATATTCGACGTTGGCCATTGGGCTTCGTTGTGTCTCTCGCAGGACAAGTGCATTCACACACGCAGGAAAAGACGTGTTAGGAGAGATGAGGCGGCTCGCTCTAAGGTCTGACACCAGACCACACAGGGGTCCACCAGGGAATCTAATAGGGAATCTGGGGAATCTGCAATCTACCAGGGAATCTGCACAAAGTTGCCTTCCTCCTTTGAGAAGGGAGCATGGTCCCCGGCAAGCGTACCAGCTGGTGAGGGGTAGCGTCAGCGCAAGAACAAAGAGAAAACGATGACTTGCAACAGGAGTGCTTACTTGGGCCGTCGTCTGGGAGCGTGGCGAGATGGACATAGACCAGAGCACCTTGCTCCAATGTCCTGAGTCCGGTGAAGTTGTTGAAGGGCGTCTTCACGTGGCCCGGCGAGGCTGCGTTGACCTTGAGGTTGTCCTTGCCGATGGCGCCCGGCAGATTCTTGGCCTGCATGACCGTCACCATGTTCAGCGCCGACTTTGATGCATTGTATACCATCGCGCCGGTGCGAGCTGGCTCGAGGCCCGACTCGAACGCGAGCGAGCCCCGCTGCGACGAGACATTCACGATGCGCGGGGACGCCGAGCGGGAGAGCAGGGGCAAAAAGGCATTGGTGACACCGACGACGGCGGCGACGTTGGTGGAGAAGACGTCGATCATGTCCTTTGCCGTCGTCTGTTCCGTCTGCAAGAACATGGTTGTGGTGCCCTTTCCGCCGCGACCGGGGGGAGCGCCGACGCCGGCATTGTTGACGAGGACGTCGAGCGCTCCTTCCACGAGAAAGGGGCTCGAGGACAGTGACTCGACGGCAGAAGCGATCGAACCAGCGTCCGTCACGTCCATCGTCAGTCCCATCACTCCGTCGTCTTTGCCGAGCTTGGCGCGAAGCTCCTTCACTGCCGCATCGACTGCGTCCTTGCGACGGCCACTCAGGATGACCTCGAAGCCGTGCTTGGAGGCGAGCAAGAAGGCTGCCGTGAAGCCGATGGCCTGTGCATCTGTACTACCAGTGACGAGAGCAGTCCGCATGTTTACTTCGACGGTTCCAACAGCAGTTTCAGCTCCAGTATACCTCCCTTTATATATGCGCCATCTCATCGAACTACGATCCCGCGGACCGTTGGACGAGAAGATGCGCGGAGGGTGAGCAACCGACCGCGTGCTTGACGCGGGTGGACCGTGCACTCCGCAGGATCGACGTCGCGTGGTTTACGTTCGAATTGCTGCCTGAAGGGGGTGACCTCTCTCGGTCTGACGCCATCCCCAATCAAGACACAATCCGATGCCCTCTTCGAGCTCGAAGGAGCAGCAGACGCTCTCCACGGCTCACCTCTCCTACTGCTTCGATGTCCTCTCGTCGCATCTCAACGGCGACCGGCTGGACTCGGCAGACTTTCCGGCCGCCCATGAGTCCTTGTGAGAGCTGTCCGGGCCGCTGCTGCTGAGTAGTAGAAGGCCTTGCTCACACCTGCTCCGGTCCTTGCAGCCCGCTCTTTGTGACCTGGAACCTCTACAGCTCGTCAGCAGCGATGGACAAACCAAACGGATCCAAGAGGCTCCGAGGTTGCATTGGCACCTTTGAGCCGCTGCCGCTCGAGGAGGGCCTGCGAGAGTATTCCATCACCAGGTAAGAGTGATCGCCAGCGTCCGTCCACTACAACGGACATGGGAGACTGACTCGCTCATTCTCCCCTCTACTCACACCCACACAGCGCCGTGCGTGACCATCGCTTCAATCCCATTACTCTGTCGGAGCTCCCTCGACTCGGTTGCGCGTGAGTCTTGCTCGCTAGCCGCATTCCATGTTGGAAGTGGGCAAGGCAGTGGTAGCTGATCGATTGTGTATCGGACAGTGTGTCGCTCTTGACAAACTTTGAAGAGTGCGACGACTACCTTGACTGGAACGTCGGCGAACACGGCATCTACATCCACCTGACTTTACCTCTGCCCATCGACAGCACCGCCGCCAGCTCGTCTTCCTCTCGCAGTGGTGGCCGCTCCCGGACACTTACTGCGACGTACCTGCCTGACGTCATTCCCGAGCAGGGCTGGTCCAAAGATGAGGCCATTGAGAGTGCTATTCGAAAGGCAGGCTGGTCGGGCAAGATCAACGACGATGTCAAGAAGTCGCTTCGGGTCAGGAGGTACCGGAGCGAGAAGCTCGGCATGACGTACAACGAGTGGAAGGATGTGCATTCGTCAAACCCTTGACCTCCTATCTCTCTTTCTCGGTGCCGTGCACCAAGGCCGGAGTTTGACCGAATGCCTATCACGCGAGCAAAATCGTAGACCGACGAGGACAACGGCGACCAGACGCACACTCTCACTGTATATATAGAAACTCACAACAGCATACGCCTCAGCTACAAACAGACGACCCCAGCATCTCAATACAAATTCTCCATTGCCTTGCAGCGTGAGTCTGAGATGCCCGAATGCCCGAAAGACGGTCTTTGAAGAGGGGTCAGCGCGGTGTCAATCTTTCCCACCCGCACTTGTCCCTTTTCTTCGATCCCCGCGACTTCTCTCCGAGAGCGCGAGGAAAAAGACCCAGATCCATCCCAGCGGCCTTCTTTGAGCAAGCACACCACCAAGATCATAGGTGCTTGTACAGATACGGGCCAGACATGGATGACCGAGGTCGCAATGCGTGTATACTCACCTCAGCAGGATGGGGTGGTGCAGGCACCCGGTCGGAGATGGCCCTGCTTGTCTCGTCCGAATAAATCTGGAAATAATCCGGCCATGTTATAATAACCCCGCCTGCTTAGGCACACCTAATCGGAACCCCACCGTGTGGAACATCTGTTGCTTGCCTTTATTTTTTCTCTCTTGTTCTCCGTTGATGGAGCGGGGAAGGAAGCGCATTACTGGCCGACGGCCTATGGAGAGAGAGAGAGAGAGCAGTTACAAAGCACTGCACCCCAATCTGACCTGCATGTGCTAATCGTGAACGCCAATGCGTGCGCCCCATGAGGGAGTCCAGCGTCCCTCTCCATTCGGCCCCACTCTCTTGCGTCCCTCTCGCTCTCAATTCTTCTCACCCACTTTCTTGCTCGTTTGCGCTCGCCGATTGTTGCCATGGCTTCTTCTTCTACTGACTCTGACTCGTCTGACAAGATGCAGCGCTCCTATGACCCCTTTGAAATAGCCTCGCAGCCGGCGTCTCGTCTGGCCTTCTCGACCGACACAGACTTTGGCATCGACACGCCTCGTCCGATGCGAGTCATCGTGATTGGCTGTGGCGTCTCTGGAATCTACGGTGAGAAGACGACCACAAGCTGCTTTGTTTGGTCACACTTGCCTGCTGAAGCCATTGGAATTTCAAGCCGGCATTCGCCTTCCAAGATCTATTCCGAACCTCTCCTTGACCATCTTTGAGAAGAACGCAGACATCGGTGGAACGTGGTTTGAGAATCGGTGAGATTCCTCGCTTGTAGCAGGCTCCTTGCTTCTCCCTGACAGCAGTGTTTGACGACCCTTGCGCGGAAACCACAACAGATATATGGGATGCGCCTGCGACATTCCTGCACACCTCTACGCCTTCCAGTTTGCGCCGAATCCCGACTGGAGCAGCTTCTATGCGCCTGCGAGCGAGATTCGCAAGTACTGGGCCTCGGTCGCCGAGAAGTACGACGTGCTCAAGTACGTCCAGCTGGAGAGGAAAGTCATCGGCATGTACTGGGAGCGGGACCAGGAGGGCATGTGGTCCGTCGATGTCGAGGAAGTCGGGACGGGCAACAGGACAACGAGCTTGGCCAACGTCGTCTTGAGCTGCACCGGCGGGCTCAACGAGTGGAAGTGGCCCGACGTGAAAGGACTGAACGACTTTGGGGGGAAGCTGGTGCACTCGGCCAACTGGGATGATGGCTACGACTTCGAGGGTAAAAAGGTAGCCTTGATCGGCGGAGGAAGCACGGGAATCCAGATCTTGCCTCGATTGCAAAAGGTGAGCGAGTGACTCCACCTTCTGCAAAGGGATGTAGAGCTGACAAGTCCGAATTTTGATCTTTCCAAGATTGCAAAGCAAGTCGACCAATACGTTCGAGGGCCCACTTGGATCGGTTTTCCTTTCCTGGGCGAAGAGCTTGACGGTCGAGAAGTGACATCCGCCGACCCTGGCTCATGTGAGTACATCTCTTCAGTGCGATTCAGGGAAGGAGAGGGCTGATTCGAGTGAGAAGATCCATTCACGGACGAGGAACGGCTGCGATTCATCTCAGACCCGGCTGAGCACCTGCGCTATCGGCAAAGGCTGATGGGCACCCTCAACTCGATGCATACCTTTACCATCAGCGGGTCGAAGATGCAGACCGAGGGACAGGCCCTCTTTGCAAAGAACATGGAGGAAAAGCTCGCCGCCTCAAAGAACGGTGACATTATCAAACAGCTGAAGCCCTCCTTTCCGGCGGGCTGCCGAAGGCTGACACCGGGACCGGGCTATCTCGAGGCCCTGACAAAGGACAATGTGGGCTTTGTGGGAGGCGGTATTGGCGAGATTGTCAAGGACGGAATTGTCGATGGCAAGGGCACGAAACGCAGCTACGATGCCATCGGTGAGTGGACTGTGATCCTGCTGCGTTGTTTCCCTCGCCTAAACCTAACGGTTTCTTTAGTTTGCGCAACTGGCTTCAACACATCCTTCACCCCTCGCTTTCCGATCGTGGCCAGGGGCGTCAGCCTCGGCGACAAATTTCGCGATTTTCCCCGTGCCTACTGCTCGGTCAGTGTCGATGCGATGCCCAACTACTTTATGTCCATGGGTCCCAACAGCGCCGTCGGGTCAGGCGATCTCATCATTGTGATCCAGACGGCCGTCGACTATGCGGTCCAATGCATCGCCAAGCTTCAGTCAGAGAATTACAAATCCATGTCGCCTCAGGGTCGGGCCGTTGACGAGTGGCAGGAGTACAGCCAGAGCTACTTCCGAAAGACGGTCTTTGGACAGAAGTGCCGATCGTGGTACAAGGCTGGAAACGTCGATGGACCAAGTGAGTCGACGACAGTCAATTTTAGCATCGTGAGCCCCTATTGAAGCATTATACCTCCAGTTTATGCGCTTTGGCCCGGCTCTTGCTTGCATGCGGCCAAGACGCTTCGAAATCCCAGATGGGAAGGTGAGTGACCGTAAGCGACGCGATGTCTGCTCTTACCATAGCCGCTGAAGCCTGGATCGGGCAGACTACGAATACGAACAATTCCCGGGACGGAGCAGCACGAATCGCTTCGCTTACCTCGGCAACGGATTCACAGACGCTGAAATGAAGGGACACGACACGGCGTGGTATGTCGGTGCCGATCCCGAGCTGGTTCTGAGCGTCGGCCAGACCGAAGCGGCCCTCATTAGGAGGGCCAAGAGCCAGCTCACGAACGGCAAATAGCCGGAGAGTCACGACAAAGAAGAAAAACATCATGACGACGGCTCTTCATCGATACAAGTACCATACTGTACATATAGCATTGCTACCTTAAATTTATTCACACCGCCTTCTTGCTCCCTTGCTGCCCTTCCTTTAAGATCTGCTCGTCGATTTCGGCCAGCTGTCGCTGGATGTCTGCCTTCTTCTCTCGGAGGATCTTCTCGTATTCCTCGTCAGAGACCTTGCGGATGGGCGACAGGCTTGCAAGCGAGGACCAAGACCGCTTCCACCATGAATGCGCGGGCTCTGACGTCGGCTCGACGGGCTGTGGTGACTCGACTGTCGCAGAGGCTACCTCACCTTGTGGTGGTGATCCTGTTGTAGCGTCACTCCCATTCACGGGAAGTGCCACATCCAGGGCGGTCGACTTGGCCCTCTCGCGCGCAGCGAGGTAGTTGAAGCGTTGGATCCTCGCTTCGTTTCCCACGACTTGCAGCGCCGTGCACAGCAGACCAAATGTCGTGATGCCTGGAACGAATTTCTTGGGGCCACGAAAGTACCAAGCCAGACTGCCTCCGACCAGAGAGGCAGACACAGCCGTAGACGCCAGCTTATGGGTCCGATCAATTGTGACGCTCGTCTGATTCGGCTCGAGGATGGGCGAGATGGCATACTCTCGGAGGGCTGAGTGAGGTTGTTTTCAGGTATTAGAGGGGCTTTGAGGTGATAGAATGAGATCGCAAAGAGAACTGACCGAAAAAGGGAAAGGCGAAGACGAAACAGTTGGCACCGCCCTGGGCCGCGAGCAAGGTGGCGGGTTGCGCTCTTATGACCCCATAAATGCTTCCGAAGATGCCGCCGGCCAGCGCTTCGCTTTGGTGTGAGCCACTTTGCTTTGGAGCTCACGAGAACAAGCTGCTGGGAACTCACAGGTTGCCAAGGAACCCTTGACGACTCGGAGAGCCGCTTCCTCGCTCACCGTCACCGGAGCTTCGCCGTTGCTCATCGGTCCGATCTTCTCTCTTTCTGCGTGGCTCCCAATATTCAGGACGTGTCGGAAGTTCAGCCTTCCCCAAAGCCAAAGCCACGCTGCAGCAAGTTTATTGCGTGCTTTCATTTTTTTTTTCTTCTCTCGCTGCCCCGTCTTCTCAAATTCCCTGCATCGGATTTGTCATTGGACCGTCTTCGCCCGGATCTTCCTCCTCCTTCCTTCCCCTTCGTAACCCCTCCTCCTCCGCGTTCTGCTGGGTCGAAAAGCACCGCTTGACGATGGCCGCAGTTACGGCGCAATCCAATTTCCTGGCGTCGGCAGCCGTCTTCGCAGGCGGTCTCGCCGTGGGCATCGGTGGCGCTGTTGCCCTCTCCAGGGCCGCATTCTCGCCCGCCACAAAAGTCCAGCGCTCGACGCGCAACAAGGTCAAGAAGGCTGTGTCGCTCCCTTCCGAGGCAGAAGCTCAGGAACAAGCCGACGACGACGACATTCCAGCCTCAGAACAGCTCGATGATGTCGACGAAAAGGGAGCGGGACCACGTCCCGTCGACGGAAGCAAGGGCCCCGTCAAGCCTCTGATCAAGTCGTCGGTCAAAAAGGCCGCCAAGTCGACTTCGCTCGTTGGTGGCACCGATGTCCCAGAGCCTGCAGCCCAGAACCGCGCCAAGCATGTCGACACGCGCATGGACCTCACGGGTCCCGTGCCCGCCCACGGCGACAATGTCGCAAACGACGAATCGCTGATCAAGCGCCCGCCCGTCTGGCTCACTGGTGTGCCAGAGCGAAACGTCCTGAGCACTTCGACGGGCGTCATCGACAAGGTCACTTACCAGTCCAGCACGGCAGTCTTTGTCTACGAGAGCGCCACCAACGCAGGCTTCGGCGCGTGGTCCGAAAGGGAAGCCGCTGACGCCAAGCGCAGGGGCTTCGTCCAGGGCCGTCCTCGCGTCTTCAGCATGCAGACGAGGACGGGCGCTGGCGCTGCCATTGCTGGCTATCTCTCGGAGAAGGGAACTTCCTCAGCATCGACTGCGCTCTCGCCTTACAAGAACGTTGTCAGCGCCTTGACCAATGCCCAAGGCTTCCTGGCTATGGCTCCTGCGATCGGAGCCATTGCTCCCAACGACGATGGTCGTCTTGTTCTCCAGGTTTCGGGTGCCGCTCAGGTCACTGACGATGCCACGGAGTCTTTGAGTGTCATCAACGACTACGCCGCCATTCTCTCGGCCACCTCGACGCTCGCTAGCCTCAACGAAGACTTCACCGTCGTTCTCTCTGCCGACCGCGAGGAGTCAACGGAGGTGGCCGCGGCCTGCTACGCTCCTGGCGCAAAGGGAAACGTCGCTCACGTCTTTGACGGCGCCTTTGCTGGCCGCCAGATTGCTCGCCTCGAGACGCCTGCCGTTGTGCCTGCCAACTCGATCGTGGATGCTTCGCCCGCGCGCACCGTCACTGAGGCCCTCCACGCCAAGGGCTTCACCAGCTTTGTCTACGAAGGCCCCAAGTCTCCCAAGACGCTGATCGTCGTGCCTAACGGATCTCACTTCACCGCAGCCAAGGCTGTCATGCTTGCGAGCCAGTTTGACGCCAGCAAGTTCGGTGACTCAGTTGGCATCCTCGCTGTGCGCATCCTTCGTCCTTGGAGCAACGAAGAGTTCGCCAAGCAGATTCCCCAGTCGGTGGAGCACATTCACGTCGTCGACGAGGTACGCTCCGCGCCCGGCGCGGCTCGCGTCCTGTTCGAAGACGTTCAGGCAAGCCTCTCTGGCAAGCAGACGCCTACTGTTCAAGCCCTCTCCTTCCAAGCGGGTCAGGCGCTGAGTGGCGCTGAATGGTACGGCCTGCTGGAAAGCGCTGCTTCCACCAGCCAGCTCAACTTGGAAACAATCATTGAGGGCGTTCAGAACAAGCCCTCGCCTTCGCTTACGCTGACTAGCAAGCTGGCCTCCTTCTTCGACTCCGACTCGTCGGCTACTGCGCAGGTGGCCAACTTGGCTTCCCGCACCTTCCGAGAGAGGGCGACCAGTGGCCAGTGTGCCCGCCTTCTCTCGCGCTTCGACAATTTCGAAGCTGGTGGCGTGGTCCGCAGCGACGTTATCTTCGCCCCTGCCGGCGATGCACAGAAGGTCGAAGCAGTGCCACTGCCCCTCGCTGCTCAGTCGCAAGGTACCCACACTCTCGTCGTTGGTGATCCTGCTTCCATCTTGAAGGCGTACAACGTCTTTGACTCGTTGGCCCCCGGTGGAACCGTCATCGTCAACTCGCCGGGCTGGGATGGTGCAGAGTTCGGCGCCAAGTTGCGTGCTGAAGACAGGCGTCTTCTTGCCGAGCGCAACGCCCGCATCTACCTCGTTGATGCCAATGCCGTCGTCGAGAGGCTGCACGATGCCACTGCAAAGGCTCTGGGAGGCAAGCAGAAGGTCAACAACCAGCTTCCCAAGGAAGCAGCCTCCGGTGTTCTCGTCGCCATCTTCCTCAGGCAGCACTTCAATGTGGGCGCTCCTGTCATCAAGGGCCTCTTGCAGCGTGTCCTCGGCACCGCTCCTCTGGGTGTTGGTGGTGTCTCGGGCCTCGTTGACGAGGCTGAGCGCGGCACGCAGCTCGTCGCGTTCGCCAAGGCCGACTGGGCCAAAGCCGAACCCGTTTCTGAAGTCGAAGTCAACGCCCCTTCGCGCCCTACTGCGTTCCGCTACAACGGCTTTGGGCCAAGCGTCGACGCGGCCGCGGTCGGTCTGGAGCCTGCCCCTGTGCGCTCGACCTGGGCTCTGCCCGCGTGGGAGCTCATGTTCCGAGAAGCCTACCACCTCGATGACGCCTCCCTGCGGCCGGACCTCCCCGAGGAGAACTGGGTGCTCAAGGTGACGGAGAACCGCCGATTGACGCCAGTGGATTACGAGCGTAATGTCTTCCATCTCGAGTTCTCGACGAAGGGCACCAACCTCAAGTACGAGGTTGGCGAGGCACTGGGCATCCATGGCCACAACGATGCGCAAGAGGTCCGTGACTTTATCGCCTGGAGCGGCTACGACGCCGATGAGATCGTCAGTGTGCCCTCGCTGCAAGACCCGAGCCGGTACGAGTCCAGGACAGTCTTCCAGCTCCTCCAACAGCGTCTGGACATTTTCGGCAAGCCGCCCAAGCGCTTCTATGAGGCTCTTTCCAAGCTCGCTACAAACAAGGACGAGGCCAAGTGGTTGCGCTTCATCTCGTCGGCAGAGGGCCAGTCCACCTTCAAGAAGCTCGCAGAAGTCGAGACGGTCACGTACGCCGATGTGCTCAGGATGTTCCCGTCGGCCCGCCTGCCTCTCGACCACCTCATGAGCGAGGTGGAAGCGATTAAGCCTCGCCACTACTCTATTGCGAGTGCACAGTCGTTTGTCGGTGACGTCGTCCACCTACTCATCGTCACGGTCGACTGGCGTACCCCCTCGGGCTCGCCCCGCTACGGCCAGTGCACGCGTTACCTTGCCAACCTCGCCGTCGGCGACAGTGTCACCGTTTCGCTCAAGCCGTCTGTCATGAAGCTGCCTCCCCACACGACGCAGCCCATCATCATGAGCGGTCTCGGCACGGGAGCCGCGCCGTTCCGTGCCTACATCCAGGCTCGCGCTGTCCAGAAGCGCGAAGGCAAGAACGTCGGTCCCCTGATCTACATCTTTGGATCCCGCCACAAGTCCAAGGAGTACCTCTACGGCGAGGAGCTCGAGGCCTACGAGGCCGACGGCCTCGTCAAGGTCCTCACCGCTTTCAGTCGTGACCAGAAGGACAAGATCTACATCCAGCACCGCATCGAGCAGAACCAGCAGGAGATTCTCGACTTGCTGATGCCGTCCGACAAGGCCGACGAGGTCCAGGGCATGTTTACGCTCTGTGGACCGACAGACCCGCTGCCGGACGTGCAGGAGGCTCTCATCAAGGGCTACATTAACAAGACGGGCAAGACGCACGAGGATGGCGAGGCCTGGCTCGAAGAGCTCAAGGAGAAGGAAATGGCCGTCTACGAGGTCTACTAGATTGCATGCCTGTCTGCTACACTTTGTCCTTTTGCCAAAATTAGATGTAGAGCTTCGAGATCTGTCATTAGGTCTGCAGATTGTCAGAGATGGGTCAATTCGCTTCTTTGATCTGATTGAGAGCTGAGCTGGTCGGATGAGTAGGTAGTACACATGAGGCTTGATGAGAGAGAGAGACTGAGAACGAGAGATGAAAAGAGAAGAATGCGATGCGAGGGATGGGTAAGGGTGAAGCTTGATCGATGATGGTGGAAAGGTCCCGGAGTTGTGAAAGAGACATGGGTCGGAAAAAGGTTGCTTGCAGGATGGTAAAAGACGGAAAAAGGTATCGCAAGAGATGGTTGTTGATTGACTTGTAGAAGACTGGGTCCTTCAGAAGGCCCGTCCGTAGTTGCCTGGAGCTGAATCGAGTGCCTGGTGTCGGTCGTCGCCCTTTTCTTCTTCCTGGAAATGATAAGTAATTGGATCTTGGCCCTGTGGAAGCGTTTCCTCTTCTTCGTCTTCATCGAGGTCATCGCCGCTAGGGCTGTCGGCCATCGTAGTTGCCGTCGTGAGGGCAACGCCGCCAACAGTGCCTCCTTCGCTAACGGCGGGCGTGGCGGTGGACGAGAGATACTCGGTCGCTGCACTGTAGGGGACTCCAGCAGATTGGAACTCTTGCTGTTGCTGGTCCTGTGCTTGAAGACAGCGGTGCAAGTCATTCCCGCCGCTGTAGCCTGCCCAGCGAGCTTCGTCAAGGTGATGAAGCTGGACCGTTGTGGGCGAAGGGGGTTTGGGGTCAAGGTGAGGCGCAAGGACCGACTGCCAGCCCAACATGATGCGCTCCTCTTCTTCTCTCACAGCAGCGGCCTCGTTGTCGTGGGTGCCGGAACTGAGCGAAAGGCTCGCGTCGTCTTCTGCATGACCGCTGCTGGCCTCCTCCTCTGCGGCAATGACGCTTTCGGCCCATGGAGCCAACGGACGCCTGACACGACCGAGGAGCTCGTCGATTCCGACAAAGTTGGCATCATCAAGCGCAAAGCGGCGGTGACGACGTGCGGTAACGTGCTCGTCAAAGTCGTCATACTTTGTGCGACAGTTTTCGCAGTAGCCCGGTCTCTTCTCCCGACGCAGCTCACGGCCGGCACTGGCGGTGCTGACGCTCCTTCGGATACCCGACAGACGGTTCTGATGCTCCGACATGCCGAGCATGCGACGTACGAGGGTTCCACGAGCCTGCTCCGCAGACAGAAGTCCACCGGCATTGTCCCCGCCGCGTGCAGCATCGGCAAAGCTCACTGGGCTTCGAGGCGACTGTGCGACTGATGAGGATAATGGCCTTCCGAGACCGATTCCAGTCGGTTGATACATCTTGCGGCCCATCTGAGCAACTTGCTTTCCATAGGTCATAGGTGGTCCACCTACGGCCGTCGAGGTCGTGCTGGCAATGTTAGAGGTGATGGAGACGCTATTGCCCGACGCCATTGGGTACGGAGAAGCGCCACGATGGACACTGTAGGCCCGACCGTCACCACTGGGGGCTGGCGAAACGCTGGTGCGGTCGCCTCGATTGCTGTATAGGTGATTGAGCGAGACAGAACGTCGGAGCGTCTCGTGGCGATTTGGGCGCATCTTCCTTTGGTAATCCTTGTCTAAGTCGAACCTCGTAAAGGGGCACCTGCCTTCTAGCTGCCCGTACAGAACCGGCCAAGGAGACTCATGATCCTCAGATACGGGCCTTGGAAATTCCTGGATCATGATAGGGCGATGCTCTGCGGTGGCGTCCTCGACCATGAGGAAGATTGCGTTCTTGGCAAAGTAGTGGTAGTCGGGTCGTGCCGCCGTGGGGTCACGGTCAAGCGTTCCCTGGAGTTTTTCCTTCTCGAGCATTTGCGATAGGTCGAGACGCTTAAGCGCAGTAGAGTCGAGCTCATCGCCCAAGAGTCCGCTGATGATCTGACGAAACTTGTCCTGGGTCCACACCTTGATGTTGAAGTTCTTGGCCTTCACGAGGATGTCATTTGACGACACGGGCGGTCCGCACTCCTCAAAAGGATTCCTATCCGAATGCAGAGGGACACTGCGCCATATTGCTTTTTAGTTCGGAATCATGCAGCAATCGTCTGAGGCAATAGACTCACCTGATGTTCTTGCGGCGCAGCGAGGGGAGGCGGCTAGCGCTTACGGATTTGGTAGAAGCGTTGTACGTGCTGGCCTGCGTCGCCGCAGCGGCCGTCGTCGTCGTCTGGGCAACAGTGATCTGCTTTCCCGTTGATCGACTGATGACATTGGAGGCGCGACTGACTTTTGAGGAATGAGGAATGGTCGTCGCAGCCGAAGCCGAAGCCGTAGAAGACCTCGATGGCTCAGAGGGAAGTGTGCCAATGGGGATCTTGCGGGTCGTGACAAGGTGAGTGACCTTGTTTGAAAAGAAAGGCTCGATCGTCTACGAATGGACCGCTGTCAGCTCTTGTCCACAGAAGTGCAGAGACTGCCATACGTACCCCGTCAAGCATCTCGATGCAGCGCATCACCTCCTGTCTGGTGGTGTCGTCGAATCCGTCGAGGTAGAAGCGAAAGCTGGGAAAGGCCTTGATGAACTTGCGCCTCCATTCGGCCGTCCTCTCGCGCTTCTGGCGCTCCAGGTGGCTCCTTTCGGCCTCGGTGATGCGTGACTGTTTGTCGATGCGCACCGTTGTCTGGCGCATGTGCTGCTGCGAAAGATGCTGAGAAAGCTGCGCTGTCACTCTGCTTGTAGGCTGTCTGCTCTTTGACTCTCGTTCGCGGTCAGTGTTTAGCGGCAGATGGGTGACGGAGGGCGGTGGGACAGAGCGCTGCGTGGAAAACTTGGCAGGAGGAGCTTGAACCTGCAGGTCGCTGATCCCCTGCGAGATGCCAAGACTGGTGCTCGTATGGGGCTCCTCTGCGCTGCTGTTTCCTTCGTTGCTCGACCTGCTCCTCTTCTTGGGGCTCTCCACCACCTCATCCTTGTCTTCTTGCACGACGTTGCGGCAGTGAACGTCCTCCAAGGGCACGCGTCGCTTTTTTGGCGTTGAGATGGTGTTTTCTTCATTGACCACCACCGCTGCTGCTACTGGTGCTGCTGTGGCTGCGACAAAGGGGGACCGGTGTGCCGCGGAAAGGGGTGAGGGATGATATGAGGAGTGCTTCGCTCCCGTTGACGCTGCGTTTGATGCAATTGATGTAGGAACAAGCGAGGAGGTCCTCGCAGCGGCAGGCGGGGGAGCGACTGGGGTGGCGCGAGAGTGATGGTAGGTAGGCGAATGCTTGTACGAAGACGAATTATCGGGCTTGATGGACCCGCCGCCTCCGCCGCTGCTATGCTGCGCTCCCAGGACATTCTTGACTCCTAGTGGCACCCTTGAACGAGGAGGCGGCGGCAGCGGTGGGGGTTGCCCACCCACTCCGCCGCTCTCTTGTGTTGGCCCATGACTGGCTGCAGGCCGGTTCGTCGTCTGCGACGAGGACATGGTCGATTCCTTCTCTCCCTTGTCTCCCTGGGCCTTCTCCCCCCAGATCTAGCCCAGGAGAAGATGGTGTTTGGCCCCACAAGATGTCTGGTAAGGGAGAGTAAAGGGAAGAAGAAGAGCAAGGCGAGCGCCAGTGGTCCAAAGGAAATGAAATGAGTCGAAGGCAGGACTCTCGCTCGTCTCTTTTGTTTTTTGATTTCTCGATTCTCAAAAAGCAACGCGTGAGCGCGTGTCGTCACGTATCCACCCAATATCAAACACACATACGCATACACAACACACACCCTCACTATGCATGCCTAAAAACAGAGGTTGAAGAAGACAATGATGGAATTGAGGGTGGGAAAATGAGAGATGGTAGAGAGAGGGGAAGTGTCAATAAGATACACTCTACACTTTTTGCTGACCGGGAAGCGCATTGAATTGCGCTCTCCCTCGTCCGCGACCGCGCCCTCGTCCCCCGCCGGCGCCGCCGCCTCGCCTGCCTTCTCTCCGTCCACCGCCGCCTTCGCCTCGCTCGCCCCTCTCGCCGGAGCCGGCGCCGCCAGCACCACCGACCTTTGCATCCCCAAGCTTGGCGTCAAGCGCCCGCTCATTCTGCTCGAGCATGCTGTTGGCCTTCTCTGCCAGCGTCTGGGCCAGTTGCTGCACCTTGCTCAGCTCAACGCGGTGGAGGACCACGACGTTGTCGATCGGGTCCAGGCTCGCGACGAGCTCCTCGTTCCAAATCATGGCGCTAACCAATGACCGGACCTTGCTCGGCTCGAGGTCGAACGTCGAGCTCAGGTGGTCAATCGACACGCTACGGTAGTAGCAAGAGTAAGAGAAGAGGTAGGTCTTGAGCCCTTCCTCTTGAATCTTGACAGCCAACATCTCCTTGACCTGGTCGCTGTTGACCATGAGCTTCCAGATCTTGATCTCGTTGATCAGTCTCGTGCACTCCTTCCAATCGCCGTTCTGCAGCGCCTTGCTGGCCATCATGATGTGGTCCCTCGTGCTCTCAGGAGGTCCCGAGAACACCTGACGGTCGGTGAAGTCGAGCATCTTGCGGAAGTTTCGGCTGATGACTCGCCTCTTCAGCTCGGGGTCGTTGCCGGCATAGGCAATGTTGGGGATCTCGAGGAGCATCGACGAGGTCAGGTAGACACACTCGAGCAGCTCGAGGTTGATGTGCATGTGGAAAGGAAGCTGGCGCTGACGGTCCATCTTCTCCTGCTCCGGCGTCAGGTTGCTGTACTGGTTCTGGCGTTGGACACCCTGAGCCAGAAGCTCCTTGACGCGCGTCGAGGCAAAGATGTCCTGCAGTGCGGCCTGAGCCTCCTTGATGAGACCCAGTCGGAAGGCGCACACGCCCAGCTGGACCACAACGCGGTTGTACAGGATCTGCGTGGGCGCGTCGGCCATGGCGATGAGGTCCTGCAGGTGACTCATGAGGAACATGTCGCGCGCAATGTAGTAGTCGACGTGCAGAGCGTGGTGGTAAATGTGGCAGAGCATGGCCCTGCTACGAAGCCGCTCAGACGTCAGGCCGGGCGTCTTGTAGAGCAGGACACAGAGGGCGCGCACGAGCGCGGTGGGCCCCTTTGGCTGAGCCACCTCGGCAGGCGAGGGAGCGACAGTCGACGTGACCTTTTCTTGGGCCGAGGCACTGGCGGCCTCGAGGGCCTGGACGATGTTGTCCTGCTTGGCATAGACGTGCTCGATGCGGCGCATGACCGCCCGGCTCAGCTCGTCGGTCTGCTTCGTCTGCTCGTAGTACACCTGGGCTCGAATGATGGTCTGGTAGAGGAGCTTCTCGTCGCTCAGTCTCTCGACGTACTCGGGTGCGTGCGGGTCGATGTTCTGCAAGCTCTTTGTGAACTCGTCGTCGAGGCGCTCGATGAAGCTGATTGTGCTTCCGCGGACGGCAACGACATCGCCCTCTCCATTCTGGTTGGGCAGTCGGTCGATTTCATCGTCGTAGTCCTCCGTCTCCTCTCGCACCACATATGTTCGGTCGGCAACGAGAATGTCAATGAGCTGGTCCAGCTCCTTGCGCGCCGAGTTCCACATGTCCGACGACATGTATTGCCCAGCGGACTGGTTGTAGTCGTAGCGGGCCGCAACGAGGGCGAGGAGGACGCGAATCTTCTGGTACGTGGACGCGGCCACCTCGAGGAGCTTGGTGAGGATCTGAACCTGCTCGCTGCGGTCCGTGGCTTTGCGGCCGCGAGCCTCCATGACACTGGCCAGGCTCTTGAAAAGTCCCTCGCTCGTGTATGTAACTGCCTTGCCACCTCGTCCCACGGTCTGGAAGTCATCGTCGCCCTCACCAGGCTCTTCGTCGTCGAGAAGCGCCTCGGCCGGCTTCTTCTTCTTTGCCTGTGAGGCTGCGGAAGGCGCCGGGGCAGCAGCCGCGGCCGCAGCTGCCTCGAATGCCTCTGGGTTCTCTCGGAAGCGGGCGAGAGCGTCTTCGTTGTCCTTGGACACCTTCTTGAGCTTTTGCTTCATGCCATTCATGGCTTTTGCGTTGGGCGCCTTCATCTTCTTCGACGCGGTCTTTTCCTTCTGTGCCGATGTCGTCAAGAAATTCTCCAGGTTGTCGATGGCCTTGATGTACGATGTGGGGATTGCCTCCTGCATCGTCCTCTGTCGGTCGGCCAGACGGTTCAGGCTGTCGAATTCTGTAGGACCGTCGTTGATTAAGTGACTTTGCTCGTTCTAGACAGCACAGCTTATTGAAGCACCCACCCTTGGAGATAGCCACCCAGTCGTCGATCCGCTGGGCGTTCTCAATGTTCTTCACAACAGCCTCGATCTCATCTGCTCTCTTGTCCTTGGCGCTCTTGATGACCTTTTTGGTCTCTTCCTCGCTGTCACTGTCGTCGCTTGCACCTCTGAGGAAGCGGCTCTGCTTTTTGGGAGCCTCTTTTCCAGCACCGGCGCCCTCATCGTCGTCATCAGAGCCATCGTCGTCAGAGTCATCGTCTGACTGGTCTGAATCCTCGTCAGAGTCGGCATCCGAGTCGTCTGCCTTTTTCTTGCCCGCAGCTGCGGTCTTTTTGGTCTGCTGCTCCTCGTCCGAGTCGGACATCAGCTCCTCCTCGGACTCGGAGTCGGACTCTTCGGAGTCGGACACTTTGCGGAAGAACGACATGGCGGTGGGTGATTGGGGAGGGTGTGGTGAAAGACTCGCTTCCTTTCCTTCCCACTGCGCGCGCCTCGTTCTTCGTCGTCGCGACTGCAAAATTCTTCGTCCACGTGGAAAATCGACTATTACAACCAAGGGGTAAAGAAGGTTAGCGTTTGAATTTTGTATTCCTTTACCGAACGCCCTTGCTGTCGGCCGCAGCATCAACGGACAGCGTTGACGAGATGTACATGACCATCTAGCATCGCTCTTTGCGAGCGTTATCGGAGAGAAGTGTGCTGTGGTGGCTTGCTATGGCTACTGTGCGAATTCCGGAAGGCGTATCTTCTGCTAAGAATCCATCCACCTGAAGCCAAAAGATTGTCACCGTGGTGTTGATACAGAGATGATGGCAGTGACGCACAGCCGTGGCATCCATTCACCACTTTCTTTCTTTTTTCGGCTGCTTCTGTCATGATACAGGCTCTTTCTACATACTGATGTTTCTGCAGAAGTGAATGCAAGCTCTGGGAAGACTTGTACGCAAAGATCTGACCCAGATCAAAACCATTTGTGGTGATCAGCGGCCACATCGGCAACCTTTCGGGCCCAAAAAGGGATCCTACTCCATCCAATGTCTGTTTCAGCTGTCCATAATGCCTGTCTCCTCATGATCGGGCTCTTTGTATAGGAGATCAGGAGCGCCATCACCACCATCGATCAATCGTTGCTGGTGGCCCGTTGTGTCCACGTGGCGCGTCTCGGTTAGGCCCGGCCAAAGCCTGATCGCGAGAAGTTCGTCGTCGCTGTTTCTATAAACCCCTCCAAGTCTCCTCATCATGGCCGCCGCTCGCTTCGTACCTCAGGCGCTCCAGGTGCGTCGCTTGCTTTGTTGTGGGCACCGAATTGAGAAGCAGACCGTAGATGGCTGACATTTGAGACCATTCCCGACAGGCCACTCGCGGCTACGCTACGCAGGCGGGAGCTGTCAAGCCCCCTCTTATGCTCCACGGCTTGGCTGGTGCGTTGTCCATCCTTAATCTTTCCTTTCCTTTCCTTTCCTTTGTCTTGAAGACTGACACTGTCGCCTCTTGCGCTCTGCTTGTTTGCGCACACAGGCAAGTATGCCACGAGCGCCTTTGTCGCTGCCGCCTCGCGCGACGCCAAGACGCTCTCCCAGGTCGAGACGGACCTGAAGCAGCTCAAGTCGATCATTGCGCCCCCGCAGCAGACGCCCGAGTCGGTCAAGGCTCGCGACTTTCTCGCGAACCCAGTCATGACGCACGCCGAAAAGGCCGACGGGATCAAGAAGATGCTTGGCGGAAAGGAGGGCGAGATCACCCGGAACCTCTTTGCCGTCCTCGCCGACAACGGCCGGCTGGGCGACACGGAAAAGATCATCGACGGCTTCCTCGAGCTCATGAGCGCTCACCGTGGCGAGATTGAGGTCACAGTCACGAGCGCTGCCCCCCTCGACAAGTCGACTGCGTCGCGCCTCGAGTCGGCCATCAAGGGCTCGCAGTACGCATCCAAGGGCAAGAGTGTCAAGATCACCCAGAAGGTCAACCCGTCGATCCAGGGTGGCCTCATCGTCGACTTTGGCGACCGATCCGTTGATTTGAGCGTCTCGAGCCGCGTCAGCCGCCTCAACTCGCTCCTCCAGCAGGGCATCTAGACGTCGTGTCACACACGTAATGAGACCAGGCCCGTCGTGCGGAATGCGATAAAAGATTGAAAGAGAAGCCCATGAATGAAGAAGAGAATGGGAAATAGAGAATGAAGATGGAAAGATGGAAAGCATGGTTCATGACTAGATTATCAAGTTCTCGATGATGGGATATAGCTCTTTCGAGCCGCTAGGCTCTCTCTCGGCGGTCCAACGGTAATGCCGCCCGGCAAAGCAGACGTCCTCCTCCGAGGTGCGATGCCACTACCGCCACTGCTGGTGCTGATGTTGCTGTTCGTGCCAGCCGTCACTCTTCCTGAAGGCGCGCCCACATTGCCTCTGGTGAAGTTCTGCCTGGCCGCACCCGCCACGGCCGCCCTCGCGAGCAGATTCGACGACGGACCTTTGCTGGTGCTGCTGCCCTCGCCCGCTGCTGCTTTCCTCGTAGCCTTTTCTTGCAGTGTCGAGGCCAACGCAGGCGCAGAGACAGCAGCAGCAGCAGCAGCATTGCCATTCTTGGCCAGATTCGCAAGGTGCTTTTCCATCGCGCGGGGAATCTCGCGCGTCACCTTTTTCAGAAAGGGCGACGGCAGGTCCTCGTCGTCGAGGTCGTACACGGCCGGCGGGGGCGGCATTTGCGCTGGGACAGACGCTGACGCATCGACGCTTGCTACTGCTCGAGCCTGTAGTGCGTCCGCGCTCGTCGCAGGGGCCGTTGCTCGCGTCATCAATGCAGGTCTGGATGCAGCCGCAGCAGCCGAAGAGAGTCTTGAGATGGGAATGGGTGACGACTTTGACTCGAGCGCAGGCGCAGATGCCACATTATGGTTCTCCTTGTCTTCCATCATCTGCGAGGCGTCGCGCATGGTCATGTCCTGGTCTTCAGATGACGACGCTTGCGTCTGCTGGATCCATGCGCGCATCGCAGGCGAGACCTGCGACACTCGTGCGCTCCTCCTGGCCGACGGTCTCACACTGGTCGTCTCCGAGTCATGGCTGCTGCTCTGGCTGTTTTGCCTGCGCGCCATCGTCGAAGTCGCTGAACTAGCTGCGGGTCGTGAGCTGGCCTTTACGGAGCTCGAGCTGATCGATGTCGACGGTGAGTCCTCGCGGCTGTTCTCTGCCACAGCCACGTTGGACACCTCGACATTGACGTCGTCGCTCGTTGAGCCGGTACTTGATGCAGAACCCGAGCCCGAGCCAAACTCGCCGTCTTCGACCCATTCATCGCCACCGTTGCTCTCCTCACGCTGCCTTGACACTCCGCCAAGCAGCGGCCGGACCCCGTAGCGGCTGCGGTCGCGCGTAGATCGAGGCGTGCCGTGCGACCGGACATGGACGACCTCGACGACGTGACTAGCGCCGTTGCCTGCCTCGCTGGAGATGGCCGGAGATGAACGAAGACGGGGAATGCCTCCCGATGACACTCTTCGGTTGCCTGGGCGTAGCGCAGGCCGGGTCGGCGCCGGCTCTTGGTGCGTGCTTGCTGGAGCACCACGGTGGTGGTTTGGCAAGGCTGCCGCCGAAGCTGTCTCCTGCTCCCAGGTCGTCATCTTCTGCTCCCTCTCCTCGACCCTCCGTTCTCTGTCTTCGAGCTCCGACTTTCTCCTCCGCCACTCGAGCTCACCGTGGCAGACAGCTGCCTCTCGCTCAGCCAGGATGCGCCGGCCCTCGTCGAGCTCCTCCCACTGCATGCGGAGCTTTTCCCTCTCCTCGGCCATGCGGCCGGACCAGGCAAGCAGCTCGAGGGCCTGGAGTGCATTGGCAATCTTGCCGTGCTGGAGCAGGTCCCGCGTCGTTGGCCGGTGCTTTGGATTGAGTTCAAGCATCGATCGGATCACGTCCCCCAGCTGGCCAGAGTAAGCCTTTGGCAGCCTGGGCACGTTGCCCAGCTTGATCTTGCGTGTCAGTTCCTGCTGATCGTTTGCATCAAATGGCGGTGCCAGAGCGCAGAGTTCGTAGGCGACGCATCCGAGTGCCCAGATGTCGGACTTGGCGTCGTAGGGAGCGCCCGTAGCTAGCTCGGGGCTCATGTAGTATGGCGTGCCCACGTACGTCCTCGCAAAGTCGAGGGCGGCCACCTCCTTGGACAGGCCAAAGTCGCCGATCTTGATAATGTTCTTTTGCCCATCCAGAAACACATTCTCCGGCTTCAGGTCCCGGTGCAGGATTGCGCTGTCCCGGCTCGTGTTGCTCCCCCGGTAGTGGCATTCATGCAGGGCGAGGACCATCTGGGCGAGGTAGGACCAGACGACGTCCTCGTCGAGCTGCGTGTTGGTCTTTTTGCACCGCTTGATTGTCGATCCTAGATCACCGCCCTCACAGTACTCCATGACGATGTAGAGGATGCCGTTCTCGTTGTCGATGCCCCGCTCCTCGTAGCGGACAATGTTGGTATGGTGCAGCGTGCGGAGGATGTTGACTTCTGCGCAGATCTGCCGCCGGTCGCGGTCGGTCATGCGCTCAAATTGGAGCTCCTTGCGAGCAAAGATGCGACCATCGCTGATCCGTCGCACCTTGCGAATCAGTCCAAAGGTGCCTGACCCAATGACGTCCAGCGCTTCGTCTTGGTGGAGGGTGGAACGAGCGGTGGCCGTCAGCTACAGCAGCCTTTGTAGGGTGCCCAAAGCAGAGACTTACAATCATTGATTGCATCCGTCCTTGCGGCCGTCTGCGATTTTCTCGCTGTCATCGTCGCTGTCTTCGCGCCAGAGGTAGTGGGATCGCCTCCTTGTTCGTGGCCGCTGATTGAAATCCACGGGAAGCCTGTCCAGGTGTTGGTTGACATTTAGTGCAGCTTAGAACTATCCTTCAACCAACACCTGCAGTGACCAGTTTGGCAAGTTTAAGTTGATCCGCGCGTCATTTTGTTATTTTTATTTTCGCCTTTGGACTTTCTAATCGGTTGTTGGAACGAAAGGACGAGCCTTCTGACTTTGGTCATCGATTTTGCAACTTTGGTCATCGGACCTCCACAGTGGGAAGAAGGGTCGGTAAGAGAGAAAAAGATGATGTCGCTCGACTCCACCTGGCCCACTCGTTCCCCACTACCACTACCAACTGCACCCCACACCAAACAACGCGACAAGCCATGGCCCCATCTGCAGGTGCGCATCTCCTCCTCCGAGCCTCGACGCGAGCGGCCTGCTCCTCGCTGCCAAGGCCGCAGCTCCTGGCTCCCCGCCCTCTGCTGCTGCTGCTCCCGCCGAGGCCTGCTGCTGACTCTCCCCGCTCCTTTTCCCGCTTTGCCTCTCCTCTCCGGTTGCCCTCTGATGCAGCTACCCAGAGCTTCAAGCTCAAGTGAGTAGTGTTACTTCAGCACTATAGCTCGGCTGGCTCGACACGGACGCTGACGCTGACGCTACGCTCCTTTCTTCCGTCCATCAGCCACACGATGCTCCGTGTCAAGGACCCCGAGGTGTCGCTCAAGTTCTACCAGGACGTCATGGGCATGTCCCTCATCGATGAGCACGACGGTGGCGACTTTAAGCTCTTCTTTTTGGCCTACGAGCACCAGAATGTGGCGCACCGCGCACAGCGCGAGGGCATCCTCGAGCTCACGTGGAACAAGGGCACCGAAAAGGACGACAAGTTTGCCTACCACAATGGCAACGACGAGCCGCAGGGCTTCGGCCACATTGCCGTCTCCGTCGACAACCTCGAGGAGTCGTGCAAGCGCTTCGAGGAGCTCGGCGTCCGTTTCAAGAAGAGGCCCCAGGACGGCAAGATGCGGTCCATTGCGTGAGTGACCATGTCCCTCACTATTGTCATCGTCATTCTGACACTTTGCTGGCCAGCTTCATCTATGACCCGGACAACTATTGGATCGAGATCATCCCCAACATGACGTCCAAGTGACTCTCCAACAAGATGTAGACGTAGCAGTCCGCCATCATTCCTGACTCTTTCTTCCGTATGGCGGTATCTTACCGGTAGTAGTAGCCAATAATGAGTAGGACCACGTGTTCTTGTTGAGTCTTAAATTTTTCGATTTTCTTGGAGTCCGGAATTTTTTTGAGCGACTTCCTTCAACGCGATCTTTGAACGGAGGAGGAAGCCAGTATGCCAAAGGATCAGGCCAAGCAGCAGCAGCCATCGCGCAAGGGCAAGGCGACATGGCGCAAGAACATCGACCTGGCGCCCGTCGAGGAACGTCTCGAGATCCAGCGGCAGGCTGAGTCGCTGGGACTGGCCGGTGGAGTTGGCCAGGCAGGCGATCTGTTCGTCGAAGATCGAAAGGGCGACGAGGCGCTCCTTGCGCGCCAACGCAAGAACCGCCGCGGGCTCAAGAGCCTCGAGGTGCTGAACCGAGACGCCGTCGGCGTCCCTGCCGTGCTGTCGCGCAAGGAAAAGGGAAGCCTGGGAGGAAAGACGCCCGAGGAGAGGTCGGGGATGAGCGCAAAGCAGATTGCCAAGCTTCGGCGCATGACGGGCAGGCAGACTGGACCCTTTGGCGCAGTTGTCGAGCAGAGTCAGGAGGACAAGGAGGAGCAACGGGCAAAGGCTGACATCAAGGTCGCCGAGTACGATGTGTGGGGAGCAGAGAGCCCAAGGGTGCATGTCAAGCCATTGAAGCACGACGTCGAGAAGAGACGGTTGCCAGACGTGCCGCTACCTCTCCCCGATCCGGGCCAGTCGTACAACCCGCCAGCAGAGGCACACGATGCGCTGCTTGAGAAGGCGATGAAGGTGGCAGAGGACGAGGAAAATGAGCGGCTCAAGCACCGGGAGTGGAAGAGGAAGTGGGACGCAGGGGGCGAGTATGCGAGGCAAGAAGAGGAAGAGGGCAAGAACGTCATGGGAATGAGGGTCGATGGGGAGGACGATGACGACAAGGAGCCAGATGACGAGCAGGCCGAGGTGGAGGCCTTGACGACGAGGAAGGAGCCGAAGCGAAAGACGAAGGCGCAGAGGGCAAGATCGCTAAAGCACAAGGAAGCTGTGAGTCTGCCCAAGCGGAAGGAGATGGTGAGGAAGCTGTGCTCACCTAGTTTGTAACAGGAGCGACAACGGCTCTTGCAGAAATCGATCAAGTCGACGCACCAAGCCATCCAGTCCTTGCCGTCACTCAAGAAGTCCCTGGCAAAGGCTGCCGAAGAGAAGCAGGAAGCTGCTCAACAAAGGCGCGAAGCAAAACTCAAGAGACTCGAAAGGCGTGTGGGCAGATTTGAGCTGCCGAAGGAGGAGCACGAGGTCCAATTGGGCGAGGAGCTGTCCGAAGGATTGCGTGGGCTCAAGCCAGAGGGCAACCTGATTCGGGACCGTATCCACCACTTTGCGAAGCGGGGCCTCGTCGAGCCACGGGCGCCAAGCACCAAGGAACCGAGGAGGGCGGCAACAAAGACGTACGAAACGCATGCATACAAGCGCTTCCATTGAGCAATTTCATCTCCTCTTTCACACAACAATTTTGTCACGCTTTCGGCCTGAATAGACTTGGTCACAGATGGCGCATCCTTCTCCTGAATCAGATGGCCGCAATGGGCACGCTCTGCTCCAAAGTCTCAGCCTCGACCTCTTCGTTTGATTCACTACATAGCGAGAGATAGTACATCGCTGAACTCTCGCCATTACTACAGTTCGCTAGCATACGTGGTCACATTTGGTCAATCATCGGGATCGATTCTTGCTGCCTCTCATCGCTCATTTTGCCGTCATTTTCGTCTTTGTCGTTTTTTTCCGTCTCCACCATCTTCATCCTGGGGGGTCCGCAGGTGCAGCGGGAAGTGCCACAATGTTCGCAGCTGATGTTGAATGGGGTATAGGGCGAGTCAAAGGTTTTGCTGGAAGGGTCGATCCAGAAAAGAACCTTGTCTTTGTTATCATTGTGGTCTTCATGTGACGAGCTGCCACGAACGTGAGGGACACTGCGTGGTGGAGTGCCACAGTGGCAAGGGTTGTGGCCGCACTTATCACACTTGGGGCGGTGTCGGTTCTGACGATGTTCGCCGTGCTCCTCGTTGTCGGGACCGGACATCAGCGTGGGGCTCTTAAAAAGTCGATCAGAGGTACTGGGCCCGGACATTTCTTCACCAGTCCTCTTCCTCTTTGGCTCGAGAGGCGGATGATAGAGAAGGACATTGCCACTTTCGTGACTAGCGACTCTGGCGTAACGGTGAGGATATTCGGGGTCGTCACTTCGCTCCTTGCCCAGGGTTTGTCCCGGGAGGGAGTGGGCCAGTTGGAAGGAGGCAAACCACAATACAGACATGCCGACCAGCGGCTTGAAAATATGTTGCCAAGCGAGCATCTCGACAAAAGTATGGGAGGAGGCTTGGTGGATGTGATGTGGTCCAGACGGGCGTCTCTGTGGACCGTGTGCTTTTATAAGCTGTGAGACAAGACGTCACTTGCTCGCTGTTGTCTCGTTCTGGCAGTATCGGTGCGAGTGATGACGTGCTCATACCTCCCCGAGCTTTGCGCGAAACGGCCCTTTCGCCGACAACATCAACAGCACTACAGTAGGAGGAAGAGAAGTCATTGTAACCTCAAAGAGGGCGTCATAATTAGATCGGAAGGAAAGGAGGAGATTTTACGCTACGGTGATGCGTGCACGACAAAGCAATTTGACAGAAGTAGCCCAACACAGCCCGCGACATCAACACATAAGCCCGCAACGCCCTCGTCAATGACAGACCTCGGGCAAGAGGAGCACACGACCGCGCAAGCCAGGACGAGTGCATGGCTGCGTATTTTCAGCCCCGCCCGGAGGCAGGCAGGGCTGGCGTTGAGTGTGGCTGGCGCGCGGCAAGTGCTGTGCATCACTGCCTCTTCAGGGTCGCTTCTCCTGAGCCTCTATTGTCTGACACAGACTCGTCTTCGTGTTTCAAGGCATGTGCAGCTTACGACAAGCAATCTGTTCGTCCATTTTTCATCAAGTCTGCTATGCTCTCAGACTCAAATACAGATTCCGCATCCATCTCACTGAGGGATGGCCAAAGAAGCAGGCTGCTCCAGAATCTCAACCTTGGAACCCTTCATTTGATTCACTACATATCTGAAATCTAGCCATCACAACATCTCGCTAGCATATGTGATATGTGATCACATCTGGGCACGCATCAGGATCGATGCTTGCTGCTTCTTATCGCGTCTTTAGCTGCTTTCATTCTTCATTCTCGTTGTCTACGTCGTCACCGCCATCTTTACCCTGAGTGGGTACGCATTTGCAGTAGGGAGTGCCACAAGCGTTGCAGCCATGAAGCTCGTCACCGCCATCCTGCGGTTGCTCGGTGGCGTTGCACTTGTATCCGTGGCAGCCTTTGTCGCGTTTCTGAAGCGAGTCATGCTTGATGCTGCCCTGGTCATTGCCCTTTCCGAAGCTATCGTTCGCAGGGTCGATGAGGAGGGTAGAGCTGTCTTTTAAGCTCTTGTAGCCTCCGTATGCCATAGAGCCACGGATAGGAAGACTATCAAGGATACAGACGCAGGGGTAAGACTTGCAAATTGGACACACGGAGTCGTCTCGCTGCGTCTGAACTTGTCCGTCCTGATTTGGTCGCCGGTTCCCGTCGGCCATCAAATTGCGAATCTTGATGAAATGGTCGTTGGCACCGGCCAGCATTTGGCCCTGATTAAAGTTCTTCTCCGGCTTGCGAAAGAGATGAGCGCGAGGGATCACGTCATGTTCGAGACCAATATCTTCAGCGTTACGGCGGCGAAGGTCGAGTTCGTCAATTTGCTCGTTGCCACGGGTCATTACGCGGAGAGGGTGGACAAGCTGGAAAAAGGCAAACGAGACCACAGACAAGCCGACCAGCGGCTGCAAGGAGAGTGACCAAGCGAGCATCTCGACAAGAGAGGAAGGGTAGCTGGACCGACTAATTTGGTGGATGTGGGTTGGCCCGAATTGGCATCAGCATGGAGACCGTGTGTTCTTATATCCTCTGAGTCAGGACCCCACTTGCTTGCGGTCCTTTCTCTTTCGGGCAGCATGGGCGAAAGTGATGACGTGCTCAGACATTGTCGAGCCTTGTGCGAGACGGCGCAGTCGCCGACAGCATTAATAACCCCACAGTAGGAGCAAGAGCGGGAGCGGCAGCACGCTTACGAGCACAAGCCACAAGAGGGTCCTGCTGATCTTGAAAATGGCGAAAACAAAGAAAGGGTGGTGAGGAAAGGAGGGCACCTTATGTCATTGAGGGAATTCCGGCCATTGCGGGACAATCTGAAAACAATTGTCCCTAACAAACACAGCCTGTATCGTCAACGACGAAAGTCCGCAGCCCCCTCGCCAACAGCAGACCTTGGACAAGAGGAGCGCACGACCGCACAAGCCAGGGCGAGTGCACGGCTGCGCATTTTCGAGCCCCGTCCGGAGGCAGGCACGGCTGACGTTGAGTATGATTAGCGCACGACAGGTGCTGTGCATGACCATCTCTCAGAGTCGCCTCTTCTGAGCCTGTGCTGTCCTACAGTTCCGTGTATCCTCGCGAAAAGCCCTCGTTGTGCCAACAATATTACTGTAGAAGGCATCTGTGGCGCTATGCGAAGCCAGCACCGCACATAAACAAGCACAATAAAAAGATGACCAACTCGCAGGGCTGAGATCACACACTCAAGAGGGATCAGGAAGGGCAAATATTCTTATTGCTAGCCCTCGGCCACCTTACTTCTTCTTCTTGCTGCTTTCCTTCTTGGCGGCCACTGCCTCTTTTCCCGAATCCTCCTTGAGACTGACAATCCTGTTCAGGATAATCTGCTCGCCCTCTTTGATGCCCCACGCCCCCTCGTGCTTCTCCTCCAGGCAGGACAAAACAGATTCTCTATCAAGCGCAAAGTAGGCGATGCGCATCCCTTGAAACCTCACGACCTCTTTGCCGACGAGCTGCTCTGCCTTTCTCTCTGGTGCTCCCTCTCCGCCCGAGCCACCAGCCTTGACCTCGGTAGCAACCTTCTCTGCCTCGGCCTTCGCCTTCTTTGTCCGCTCCTCTGCCTCCTTTCTGGCCTGTTCCACAGCCCGCTTTGCCACCTCCCAAAATCCGACCTCGACCATTGCGTTTGGGCACACCTCGAGCGAATTAGGATCGATGTGGTCCAAATAGTTGGTCTCTGCTGCAGGGTTCTCCGACGTGAAGAGTGGATGGAAGATGCGAGCCTCCTTGACCGGAACAGGTGAGTGGCTCGCTTCATGTTGAGCAACCCACTGGATATACGTCTTGGTCTTGCGAGCGGCATCGCCCTGCATTGACGGGTCCTCGTACCGAGCGTGGACAATCGAAGGCTCGCCATTGGCGCCCTGCTCGAAAGACGTACAGGTGATCGGATATGGAGCGTTGAGAAGGCCGACAGTCTTGCCAGGAGCCAGTCTGAAGTAGTCTGGCGAATCGACTGCCCTGAAGTCGGACGAGTCGATGAACAGCGTCTTGGCAAAGGGCATCTTCGTGTTGCCCATTGAGGGAATCTTGGGGTGAAGCGGTCGCTCGAGCTCCAAACAAAAGTCGTCAGCGACGTTATCGAGGACAACCTTGATTGGCTTGAGGAGCATCATCAGGCGCGGCGTCGACGTCTCGAGATACTGCCGGACGACCTGGTCCAGCTTCTGGCTCTGAATCGTCGAGATGGCGTTGGTGACGCCCAGCTGGTTGACAAAGGACAAGATAGCACCCGGCGGCACGCCTCGTCTCCGCTGAGCGAGGAGGGTAAAGAGCCGCGGGTCATCCCAGTCCTTGACATGGCCTTCGCTGACAAGCTTGAGGATTTTCCGCTTCGAAGTGATAGTCCCTTCGAGGTTCAAGCGTCCAAATTCGTACTGCCTGGGCTTGTATACTTCGAGAGCATCGCAGAGCCATTCGTACGACTCTCGGCTGAGAATGAACTCGGTCGTGCAGAGCGAGTGCGAGATGTTCTCAAAGGAATCGACCAGGCAGTGGGTAAAGTCATAGGTTGGGTAGATGCACCACTGCTTGCCAGTTCGGTGATGTGGCGCGTCGAGAACTCGGTATGCAATGAGGTCCCACATCTGCGGGTTGCCGCTGCCCTCGAGATCCTGCTTCATCCTCAGCGTCACCTTGCCCGGGGGGTATTTGCCGGCCTTCATATCCTCGAAATCCTTCAGAGACTCCTCAATCGGCCTATCGCGATACTTGTTTCCCTTTCGCGGGCCGCGCTCCTTTCCTCCTCGCCCCTCAAAGATCTCTTCGGCTGTCGAGTGGTCGACGTAAGCCTTTCCGCGCTTGATCAGCTCGACAGCCAGCTCGTAGAGCTGCTGGAAGTAGTCGCTCGAATATGTGATCTTGAACGGCTCAAAGCCCAGCCATCGCACCATCTCGAGGATGCTCTCAAAGTACTGAGCCTCTTCTGCCGATGGATTTGTGTCGTCGTAGCGGAGGTAGCACACGCCGCCATGGTAGCGCGCGTAACCGAAGTCGACGGCGATGGCTTTGGAGTGGCCGATGTGAAGGAAGCCATTGGGCTCTGGGGGGAACCGAGTCACTACTCTTCCTCCTGTTGCAGAAAGATGCGCCGCCTTGAGCTCCGGCTTGCTTTGAGGGTTCTCGCCAGGTTTGTGAAGCCGCGAGAGGAAGCTGCCCTTGAACATAGCGTCTGGATCCGCCTCTGCTGGTGCCGCTTCCGGCTTCGCCTCCTTTGCTTTTGCCTCCTTGGCCTTGGCTTCCTTGGCCTTTGCTGCGGGGGCAGCGGCTTTGCTCTTGGGGCCGAACTTGGCCTCGAGCCCTTGTTCGACGGCGTTTTTTACGTCGAGCGAGCTGGCCCACCGTAATCTTGGATCGGCCTTGGCTTTGCCCATAAGCGTCGCAAGGGAGGTCCAGCCCTCTATTGATGCATCTTTTTCCAGGTGTTCGTCGACCACCGCCCGAGCTTGCTCTGGCGTCACCACAGCCCCTGCATCCGGACATTTCTCGTCAGCTCCAATGACTTTGTGAATGTCGCTTGTTTGATCAGTTGGTAGAATTGATGCCATAGGGCTGAGAAGCCACGGCTCTAATACATGCTTTTATTTTGATTGTCACATCATGTGGATCGCGACCAGAAGCTGATGACTCACCCACACCACACGCCTCATCGAATTGGGTCTTGTCGATGTTGTCATGACCAGCAACGAACTTGCAAGCGATCGTAACGCGGTCGGCAGAGTGCAGGCTCCCGTCTACTATCCGCTCAACGACATAGGCACGCTTCTCAAGACTCAGGTCGTTCGGCGCGCTGGCGGCGACAGCAGCGACGAGCGACCCCTGCTTGGCGTCGAGGCTCTTGGAAGCCAGGCCGCACCTTTCTATGAGGGCCGAGAGGTTGTTGGCAGTCTTGGCATTGCGAAGCGTCTCATTCGCCTTTTGCCCCGTGAATGAGATGGACTCAAACTGGGCCAGCAGCCGAGCCACTTCGGGATCCGAAGTGTCGACCTTTGGCGGCATGCTTGTTTTTGGCGTTCTTCTGAGATAAAGACCAAGAAAAAATAGATTCCAACCCAAGGGAGGTGTGTGTCGACTCGAAAAAAGAGCAACATTGCATCACGTGGGCCACCTCCGCTTGCACAGTTGCTCCATGGCTGGCTGTGTTGAGGCGCGTTTACATCAAATGAACAGCCACTAATATTGCGAGGAGCATTCATCAGCAGCAGCGGCAAGACGTACTAGCAGCATAGAGAGACCAGTAGGAGAGGTAAACACACCAAATCGCGACCCAGGTCGCCGACAGAGCCTTAGCTGCTTGCGCTTCCTGACACCCCTGCCTCCGCCGCTCGCCTTGCCGACAGACCCATCATGAGCTCCGTTGAGCCGGTCCACAGGGGCACCCTCGTCTGTGTCGTCCTCAAGGCGGTGGGTGTAGTGATGCAGCTGTTACGACGTAAGAAGACAATACAGCTGACTCCTTTGCACCCGAAGAAAAACCTGCCTAACAAGCGGTCGATTGGCAAGCAGGACCCCTACTGCACCCTGCAGATGGGAACCAACCAGCAGAAGACTAAGCCAGACAAGCGAGGGGGTCAACACCCGACATGGGACGAGCAGCTCCACTTTGAGATCTATGACGATATGGAAGACCAGATGAAGGCAAAGAAGGAGAAAGAGGAGGGGTCAGACAGTGCTCCCAGTAGCATCTCAAAGGCGAAGCCGGCATCGTCGTCCAAGACAAAGGGCGCCAAGGTCCTCCGGGTCACCTGCTACGCTGACGACAACAAAGAGCCCGAGTTCATCGGTGAAGGTTTCGTGGACCTCGCCGAGACGCTCAAGACGGGCGAATTTGATGGTGAGTCCTGCTTATACTTGTGCCGCCCCTCTCTTACTCTAGCTCACTGTCCGTGATTCAACCTTGCCAGAATGGGTGACCATCAAGGCCAAGGACCGTTATGCGGGCGAGGTGTACCTGGAGCTGACGTTCTACTCTTCGGTGAGCGAAACGAAGCGCCTGTAATGATCTTGGCCGCGCTTACCTTGCCTTGCAAACAGGCCGCGCCGCCCAAGAAGAAGAAAGCAGTCAAGCCCGTCGTCTCTGGTAACACGACGTACGGGGGTGCCGGCACCTTTTCAGAGGACATTGACGATTTCGATTTTGCGCCCCACCCTCCCGTCAAGCAGCCGGCCCACGCTCCCATTCCCTCATCGATGAGGCCTAGTGCAACGACGTCGAATCTTTCGGCCGCATCAGCGACTGGCTCGGCAAGGCGCATGAATAATTCGTCGGGCATGACATCGTCCAAATCGCATGCGCACCTCGGCTCCTCAGTCGGTGATGGCATTCCCTCTTCGCTCCGGCCGAGCAGCTCATTGGCGCAGATTGACGCATACACCCCGCCATATGCACCATCATCGATCCATAGAGCACATAGTCCAGCTCCGCCTGGCATCCCCCAGAGCGAGTCGGTCGTTTTCAGCGAGCAGAGGAGGAGGGAAAGCTTCCCACCACCTGGACAGCCTGTCAGTTCACGCCTCTACGGTCACCGTCTGCCAGATGCTGCTCCTCCGTCGGTCGTTGCCGAGCACGTGAAGCAGAATTCGTCCCAGTTCTCCCAATCATTCTCCCACGCCCAGATGCCCTCGTCGGCTTCCAATGCAACGTTGCGGCAAAGCTATAGTGGGCCGTACTCGCAAGCGGGAGGCGATGCGGCCGATGACCTGGTTCGGCCTATGTCCTCAATGTCGTTCAACCAACAGTCCGCAGTGGCCGAGCGGCCTCTCCCTCCGCCTACGCCTCAGCCTCCGCTTCCACCGGCACCTCAGCCGCAATTGGAGCAGACTTACCAGCAGCACTCGTACGGGTACTCCCAGCAGCCTCCACTGGCCCAAGCGGGAGGTGTGGACCAGTTCGGACGGCCGATTGGTTCTCCATACCAGCTCGCAGCCACGCCGCAGCCTCAGCAAGCATACGCCGCCGTCACGCCGCCACCTCATCCGAATTCGGCTCCGCCGGCACCTGGACCACCACCGCCACAGAATGGCCCAGCTCCCTCGTGGCCAATGCCCTCTCCTGCACCGTATCCAGGCCATTCGCCCGCGCCCACGGCAAGCACCCTGACAATGTCCACCAGCAGCTCACACCTCGGCGGGCCTTATGCGCCTGCTCCTCCGCAAGTGGCCAGCCACCAAGAGCAGGGTTCGCTAACCTCTCCTGGCGGTTACGGTGGCCCGCCACAGAGACCGCTGACCGCGGGAGGCTACCACGCCCTTCCTCCTCCTCCCACTGGCCAGAGCGCTTCTTCGGCAACAAGCCTGGCATCGACTGCACCTTACAATGCTCCGCCACCACAAGCGCAGCAGCAGCAGCAGCAGCAAACCTCACCGCCACGTGCGCCGAGCCGGCCCCTGCCCGCGACAGGTCCGCCTCCGAGCCAAGGCAGCATTGGTTACAACGGGGCGCCTTCATCGGGCTACTATGGGGCGAATCAAGGTTCTCACTATGTACCGCCTCCCACCACGTCGCATTGGGCACCTCCTCAGCCAAGCACCACGCCCCAGCCCCAGCAGCAGCAGCAGCAGCCTTATCAGACAACGACAACGGCGACTGGCTACCCACCGCCGCCGCCGTCGGCGCTTCACTACAGCCATGTCCAAGCTGCGCCGCCTCCTCCCCCTTCGGGTCCGCCACAACACTCTCACGCCTACCCACCTCCTCCACCTCAACATCACTACTCGGACCCCGGGCAGCCCTATCATCAGCCTCCTCCTCAGCACACCTACCCTCAACATCAATATGCTCCGCCGACAGGTAATTACTACTCGCAGAATCCACCGCCACCACCTCAGCATCAGCAGCAACCGTACTGAGTCTGTATCTATCTTCCTACCTCGCTCGCGGATCTTGTTATTTCCCAAGTGCACACAATCAATGGACCATTCTTCAAAGCAACTTTGTCTGGATGCCGTTCCATTGACTGACACAGGTTAAAAGTTCAACACTCAAGTGTGCGCTCTTGCTGTCGCCTTTGGTAAGAAAAGAAGTGGTCATATAGATGACAATCCCCGAGAATCTCTTGTGCGTTGCGTAAACGGCGATGTCGGACCGCGCCGACGGGCTTTGATTTGACGCTGGGAAGCTCTTTGCTACGACGAGATTTCTCCCTCTAGGAAATATCTCCGCGTTCTCCACCTGCTGCTTGCAGCCTCGGTCCAATTTGATCAAATATAAAAAAGTTGGATCAGCTGCCAAAATTTCGATTGTTGATGATCTTTCTGTCCCGCTGACTCGACCCATGGCGACGACGATGACGACGGCGACGATGGACAGCGGGAACAGCAGCGCGAGCCGATCAAGCGGTCAAACAAGGCGGGATGGCCAGGAAGAACGGGGCAGACGAGGAGGGCAAGGAGGTGGGAGCGGCAGTGGCGGCGCTGCTGCTGCTGCTGCTGTGGTTTCGGTGACAAACGATCCCGGGCTGGGCATGGATGTTGACGCCGGGCTGCAAGGACCAGCATCTGCGTCGGCGGACGGGAGCGAAGATGCGGAAGAGGGCTTGCGGCTGGCGGCAGGGGATGCCTCGACGATGAAGACGCATTCAAGGGCCGAGGAAGACCTCGAGCGGGCCATCAGCGCGGCCACATCGCGCAGAGGGGAAAAGATCGACAGCAGCAGCAGGCCGAGAACTACCTCACCGAGGAGCGTAAGCTACCGGCTCAAGAAGAAGGTGCTTCACTTTACGCCCTCGTGGTTCTCCGTCTGCATGGGCACCGGCGTTCAGGCCACGCTCCTTACCCTGCTGGGTCTCATCTGGGGCACCGAGCAATACTCGCCCTACTTTGCCCGTTTCATCCGCTGGGTTTCGCTCGTCTTTCTTCTCGGCGACATTGCCATCTTTCTCATCTTCACCGCCTCGTTCGTCGCTCGATACATTCTCTTCCCGCAGGTCCTCTCCCTGACGGTCAAGCACCCTCAGCAGAGCTTCTTCCTCGGCACCTATCCCATGGCCCTCGTCACCATCGTATCCAACATTTCACAACTCGGGACCAACTCCTTCGACCTGGGCATTTGGCCCACGATGCTCGCCGTTGGGTTATGGTTTGTCTGCGTCGTGATCAGCATCATGACTGCGGCGGGTGTCATTTGGAGCGTCATCACCTACCAGACCTCTCACCGGTTCCATCAGACGACGGCCCTCTTCCTCCTCCCCGTGGTCCCGCCCATCACCGTAGCTGCCTCCGCCGCCGTGTTGGCAGAGGCATTGACGCCGAGCTACCCCACGCTCGCCTTCACAGTCATGACGATTGGCTACATGAACCTGGGCGTCGGTCTACCTTTGGCCCTGATGGTGAGCATCTCTTGAGCAGCGACATGGTAGCACGCCACTGGCTTATCTGATCGTCCTTTGTCCTGCAGATCCTGGTGCTGTACCTGCAACGCCTAATTCTCTTCAAGGCACCGCCTCGGGAAGTCATCGTCTCGTGAGTGGTTTCTTGTTCCTACCGTACTCTCCTGCGTCTGCTGACACCTCCTCACAGCGTCTTCCTCCCACTGGGTCCTTGCGGCCAGGGCGGAGAAGCGACCCTACACCTAGTGAGTGCCTTCATGCCACTGTGTGGCTCTCGACTCCCTTCTCACCCATCCTACTCGTCCTACAGGGCCGAGCGGCGTTGGCCCTCTTTCCGATCATCTCCAATCCGGCCACGTCGGGCGTGCCCAAGCTTACTTACACGGTGGCAGAAGCCTTCTACGGCGCTGGCCTCGTGGCTGCCCTCCTCCTTTGGGCCCTGGGGATGTGGTGGGCGGTCATTGGCCTGGCCACATTTCTCCGACAACTGTCCAAGGGCCACTTGAGCTTCAACATGGGTGAGTTCTTCTTTTCCATCCTCATCTTTCACAGTCATTCAACTGAATCCAACTCTCCTCTGGCGCTTATAGGTTGGTGGAGCTTCACCTTTCCCGTAGCCTCGCTCACAATCGTGACGGGCCGTCTGGCCCAGGAGCTCGACTCGCTCACGCTCAAGATCGTCTACACCGTCTTTGTCCTGACCAACTTTAGCCTCTGGCTCTTTGTCGCCGTGCCCACCGCCAAGGGCTTCTTTGACGGCAGCCTCATTGTGGCGCCCTGCATTGCCGATCTTCCCTTGGACCCGATGGAGCACCCGATACCCAGCTCGAAGCGGTAGGCTCGTTTCAATTCCGTAATGTATTATATTCTCACAGGAGTTTTGTTTTTGGTGAAGAGAGCAGTACCTGGGCTCGAGGAAAGGATGAGAAGAGGGAATAGAACTCAGAGACGGTTGTAGTGAGGGATGGGCGTCGGCTTGTTGTCGAGAATCTTTTCGATCTCGTCGTTGACCTCTGGCGTGATCTTTTCGACAATGTCGAGCGCCTTGAGGTTCTCGAGGACCTGCTCCTTCTTGGACGCACCGAGAATGACTGTCGACACATTTTCGTTCTTTGCTGCCCATGCAAGAGAGAGCGTGGCGGTGGAGCAGCCGAGCTTGTCGGCGACCTTTGTCAGGCTGCGCACCTTTTCCAGCTTGGCCTTGCCCTCGTCGGACTGGAGCGACTTGAGCGTGTCGCTAAAGTTGTCCTTGAGCACGTCGAAGCGCGAGCCCTGGGGGATGCCGTCGTTGTACTTGCCCGTAAGGACGCCGCCGGCGAGGGGCGACCAGATGGTGAGGCCCATGCCGCGGTTGCGGTACAGGTGGCTGTATTCGCGCTCGACGCGCTCGCGGTGCAGGGCGCTGTACTGCGACTGGTCCGCCAGCGGGCCATCGAGGCCGAGCTTGTCCGCGACGCCCCAGGCCTCTTCAATCTGCTGCGCGGTCCACTCTGAGGTGCCCCAGTAGTGGCAGAGGCCCTGCTCGATCAGGTGGTTGAATCCCTTGACGATCTCGACCATCGGCGTCGACGCGTCGGCGCGGTGGGCCATGACGACGTCCCAGTGGTCCAGCTGGGCCCTCTTGAGCGAGGCCTTTGTGCCCTCGATGATGTCTGCTCACAGCCTTCTCGTCAGCAGCCATTCTTCCCGTCAAGCGCAAGAGCACGACTCACGCTTCCGGCTCAGGCCCCGTCCATTGGGGTCCTTGCTGCCCGTGCCAAAGAAGATCTTGGTGATGAGCACGACCTCCTCGCGCTTCCAGCCGAGCTCCTTGATGGCGTTGCCCATGCTGACCTCGCATTTTCCCTGCGCATACACCTCGGCCGTGTCAAAGGTGTTGATGCCGTTCTCAAAGGCCGTCTGCAGAATCTCCTTGGTGGCGGCATCGTCGACGTGGCCGCCGTACGTAAGCCAGCCGCCGAGGGAGAAAAGCGAGACGCGCAGGCCCGAGGGGCCCAGCCGGCGGAACTGCATGTTCTTGGGGTCGAATGAGGGTGCAGACATGGTGCTTATCTTCCTTGAGATTGAGATGGGATGATGTGGGATGGTGGCGGGCAGGAACGAGGTTCTTCTCTTAAGACTAAGCAACCCAGAAGAACTCCACCTCCACGAAGTCATCGTGGCAGGAAATAGAAGAGACACCCAGGAAATAGAAATCGATACGATTGAAGTGGGACACCGCTCAAGATAAATTGTCTAGCAGGAAGGATGGATGATAGAAGGCCAGCGTATAGAAAGAGAAGAAGCAGGGGGGAAATGGGGCTTCATGGTACAAAGACATCTTCTACTTCATCATCTTGGTCTAGATCCATCGGGTGATGGTGTCGGTCGTTGTCGTCGTGCTCGAATCCCAGCCCGACAATCTTGATCGTCGGCAGGCTGTGGTTGAAGAGCTGGCGAGCCTCGACGTCGGGCTCGTATGCGAGAATCTCGCGCAGAAAGTCGTCGGTCTCCTGGATCAAGGCACCCCTAAACTTGCACACCTGCTCGCCTGGCACGCCGCTAAGACCCAGGGCAGAAGAGGTGGAAGACTTGGACGATGTGCCAGACGATCCTCGCTCCATCATAGGCGCAGTTGGAGTCTTGGGCACCACCTCGTACTCGTCCCCATGGTCCTCCGAGTCCGTCATCTCGGCATCGCTCGAATCATTCCCAAAGAAGTTGTCGGCGTTGGGGAGCTGGTCCAGCTCCCACGTCTGCAGTCCCATCTCCACTCTGGCCTTGACGGCGGAGAAGACAGGATGGGCGAGGATGGCCTCAATTGTCGGTCGCTTGGTCGGATCAGGGTTGAGGCACGCGCGAATCAAGCGCACGAGCGACACAGAGTACTGACTCAAGTCGACGTCAGACAGGTCGTCGCTTCTAAGCTTCTGCCACGGCTCTCCGTTGTCAGGCAGGAAGACGTTGCCAGCTGCCTCGAGCATGACGAGCCCAAGGCTGAAAATGTCGGCGGGACGGTCGTAGCGCCCGTTGAACATGACCTCGGGTGCCAGGTACTCGCGGTCACCCTCCCTCTCGAGGCTCTTTGCCGTCGGCAACACCTCGTCCAGCGGTCCGCTCAGCTCGACGGCGGCACCTTCGATGATGGCTTCGGAGCTCTGTCGTGGCCAGCGCGTAGCCATGCCAAAGTCGCCAATCTTGAGCGAGCCAATCTCGGTGATGAAGATGTTGGCAGGCTTGAGGTCCAGGTGAATGACGCCGTTTTGATGAATGTGGGCAACGCCAGAAGCAAGCTCGGCAAAGATCTTCCACAGCCGAGGTTCGTCCAGCTGGCCCTCGTGTTCGCCATAGTAATTGAGAAAGAAGCTCAGTGTTCCCAGCGAGCAGAGTTCCGTCTGCACATAGAGGTGGAAAGACTCTTCCCATGCATCGGCGAGCGAGATGATGTGGGGATGTCCTCCGTCTCGACCGAGATGACGGAGCACGTCGACCTCCTCGAGCCTCCGCAGTCGATCGCGCGTCCCTGCAAGCGGCTTCTTCATTCTCTTGACGGCGTAGACGTTGTGCGTCTCCTTGTCCTCGACCTTGACTGCCTCGCTGAATTCGCCCGAACCAAGTACGGAAATGACAGTAAACTTCGTGTCAAAGTACGAGGCTTTGGTTACCGCAAACTTCATCAGTGACGGCCGCACAGGCTTGCTGATGGGTGTCGATTCTTGAGAGCCATGGCGAAGCTTGCTCGTGTTGCTCTGCCAGCTGCTCCGTCGAGCCGCATGAACTTCGGCCGATTGGCGCCTCGACGAAGGCGAGGGAGTCGTGACAATCTGGGTTGCCTCAAACCACTTGATGTTGGTCGAGTTGCGCGTCGGCGTCGACGGGATGAAATCGCATCCAAAGGTGGGGCTATTGATGAGCTGCAGAGGCAATGCATGGGGCTCGCCGTTGCCGAGCGGTCCAAAAGAGCTCTTGCGCTGCAGGCCAAGAGCCGGCCTCTGCGGATTGTTGCTGTTGTTGGACTTGGTGCGCAGAGGCATCGGCCTCGATAGGGTGTCCGGGGCCAGTCGTCGAGAGCTGCTGGGCGAGGGACTCTTGCTGTCGGCCTTGGGACTCTTGCCACCAGACTTGAGCTGCGAGGTGCTAGATCGAGTCTTGCCCTTGCGGGAAGCACTCCCCTGCAAAGGGCTCGGAGCTTGGCTGTCTTGAGGCTCAGGGGCTCCATGTGAGGCGAAGCCGTCTTGCGTAGCTGCAATGGAAAAGGGCGAGCGGGACCGCGCTCGGTAAGCGGGCCCCCAAGGCGAGGCCGACATGGACACGAGATTCAAGGTGGGACTGTCGCAGGAGTCGCCGAGGGGTGGTGACTCTTCACCGCCACTGTTGGATCCGACGCTGTCGTGCGCAGGCGAGATAGACGCGAGCGGCGATCTCGCAGCTGGAGTCACACCAAGGGTGGCGGGGAACCCTGGACGCTTGATGGGCGTGTCGGGCATCGTGTGGGAGGCCCCTGCCATTTCCTTCTGGGCGTTGGCAGCTGCCACCACCTCGCGAAGGCCCAAGGCAGACTGGCTCGGCATCGTTGGGTTGAAGTTTGGCTTGGGCGGTAGAGGTGGCACCGTCTCGCCTGTGGCAGGATCGACAGTCCCTGGCGCCAACGAGGGTCGGTTTCGCTTCGAGACGAGTCCAGTCGACATGAATGCCGTCTGTAAGGGCTTGACGTTCTTGTACGTCTGGGGCGTCATGTATGGCGCCGAAGCCTCTGCCACTGCCAGCGATGATGCCGAAGCCGAGGAGCGGCCCTGGCTGATGTGTCTCGCCGGGCTCGCAAGCCCCTCGGGCACGCTGCTCGTCTTTCCTGAGCGTCTGAGAAAGTCGGGCGAGCTGGCCGCGGAAGACCCTGCATCGCTGAGTCTCGTCTCGTTTGCGAGCGCCGATCGCTCCTTGACGCTGAAGGGATGACGCTGACTCTGCCGCATGGCAGCCTCCTTGGATGGTGAAGAGAGGCTGTCGAGAGATGGCGACTTGCGACTGAGGGTGCCCTTAAGTCCAAGTCGTTTGCCCAGCAAGCGCTCCACTGCTGCCGCCGACTGTGGCGCAGCGTCCTTGGACGGGCCTGGAGTGTCGAAAGCGACACCGCTGTCGTCAAAGCCAAGTTCGGACCTAGGGCTGTCGTTATTATCCCTTTCCTGCGGCGTCGAATCGAGGTGTCGCCGTAGCAGAGCCAGATTCGGAGCTGAGGGAGTGAGAGAGTTGCGCTTGACTTGTGGCGGTGAAGAGGCATCGCGAGCAAACAGGCGACTACCTGGTGGTGTCGGATGGAGAGAGCCAGTCGACCTGCGCTTGTTCTCCCGGCTCGTCTGCCGCGCCGGGCTACTGCTGGGCTGCCCCGCAAACCCAAAGAGAGTGGCTGTACCTGCGATGCGCTCATCGCTCATATCACGGCCTTGTGCCCACATGTCCTGGACCGGAGATGACGTTGACGGCACACGACTTCTCGACCCCGATGACGAGTTTCCAGCGCGCCTCTTGATGGGTGTCTTGGTCTGCTGTTGACCTAGGCTGGACGCGTTGGAGGGCGAGGCGGCAATCGTCAAATTTGAGCCCACAGACGATGAGGAGGAGGACATTCTGATCGACGATGTCGTCAGTGACCGTACAGGCACTTCGCCACCGAGGCCGGGCAGTTGAGACGTGAGCTGCAGTTGTTGCTCTTGAGGCAGAAAGGCCGACTTGCTCCGACTGCCGCCCATGCGCTTAAAGGCAGTAGCTGGCGTCCTAGCACCGGGTTTGAGCATCATTTCATCCACTTCATCGTCCTCTGAGCTTGCCCCTGAATCGCTCTGCCGTGGAAACGCCAAGTCACCCATTGGCGAAGGCGAGGGAGGAGGCAAGTCGTCATTCTCTGAGTCAACGTCCATCTGGCTCGTCGAGCCCATGGTCACACCTCGTTGACGCTCCTTGTTGAGGTTCAAGAAAGTGGGCACCTGGCCTCTCTTTCGCTTTTCTGCCTCTCCATCTGTTTTGGCTCGCCAGTGTCCCATCATGGAAGTGCCCACGTCCGCCAGGCTGTGCTCCTCCTCCTCGACGCCTTGGCCAGCATCCAGCGAATCAAGCGGCGCAAATGGACCAAAGGCACGAGACCGAGGGATATTGCTTCCGTTTCGCTGTTGGCGCTTGACCTCGGTAACGGGAGCGACCGGCAAGCCAGGCGCAAATGAGGTAAAGGGCGAATCGTTGTGAGTGCCAAAACGCGCCGGTGGTGTCATGCTAACGTGCGTTTCAAAGCTCCGTGGCAAGTCGGCGGCCTTCGACAGGTGTTGATTCCTCGGCCTGAGCGACGAGGACGAGGAGGATGTCGATGGGGCGTCGCCAAGAACAGCGACAAAGGCTGAGTTGGCTTTGTTTGTGTCACCGCTGGGCTGAACCTGGACGCGATCGAGGACGGAATCGAGTGGCGATAGGTTTGGAGGTTGGTCGGCGTCCTCATCGTCGAGGTCGGTACCACTGTCGCTGTCAAGTCTCTGCTCTGCTGTCGTACCACGCCGCCGAGTCCAAGTGCCGTCGTCGAGAACATATTTGCTTGAAGACGCAGGCGTCGCTGTGGACGACGCGCTCATCTTGTCATCCTGTGCGTCCGGTCGATGACTGCGCGCCTTGTCCTTTGCGTGTGCAGGCGCTGATGTTGGATACTTGTCGTCGACAGAGGCAAGGAATGGGAGTGGTGAGGCCGACGATGTCCGCGGGATGATGGCGCTGCCACTAGCTGCAGCCTGTTGCGACCTTGCGTATCTTACAGACGAAGGGGTGCGCAGCTGCTTTCTCGGTGATGGCGAGCACGACGGCGATGTCGAATGGGAGCAGAACGATGCCGACCGAGAGAGCGAGACAGACATCGGAGCCCGTCGGACGGCCGTGGGCACGAGTGTGGCTAGACGGAGCGAGGATGGATGGTTCTGGAGAGGATTCTAGAGGGAGGGGGTGAGGTGTGGAGATGAGACGCGGTCGCGCGAAGAGAGGGGCCAGGCTGCTTTGGCTGAAAGTAGTAAAAAAAAAAAAGCAACGAGGCGCCGCGTCTTTTTTTTTTTTTTTCCAGCGCTTTCCCTCCCTCGACTTTTCCTCGTTTATTCAACTTTGCCAAAGCCAGTAGTAGTATCTCCTCCTCTTCCCTTGCCGAGAGGGCCTTGTTTTCTGCTGCTTCCCTCACGTCGTCGAGTCAAGGGCAGTGATAGGCCCAAGGGAAAGGCTAGACTGGAGATAGGTGCTGCCGGAGGGGCACTGCACCGGGGGCCGTGTGGCGGGTAATTCTCTAACTTTGTCATTCCAAAGTTGGATTCACCCCAATGACATGTCGCACCAGACGAGAGAAAGCAGAATATTCAGCGCGAAGCTTATGCTGGTGTCCAGAAAGGGAAGGTGTTGACATTGTCGTCATGGTACGGGGTCCGGGATGGGAGATATTCCCAGGGCGTGGCTGCCCAACAGATAGAACCAACCCCCTTAGCAAGCAAACCCATACCGTCATCGGAATCAAAAGGAATGCTCTGCGCTCCGACGGCAGCTGTGCATGGCAGTAATTTATCGCTGGTGCGATAAGCCCAATATCAGACGGGCCGAGGTTAGATGGCCAATCGTAACAAAATCTGCCGTCCTGGTGCACCGCACATCCAGCTGGCCTTCTGCTGCCCGACGATTAAAGTTCAGCCTTTGACTGTGAGATCCGATTCTTTAGCTTGGATCAGAGACGCGTCTCCTCATTCCAACGCGCAGATATCACGTGCAAACGCCGTTTATTTTTTCAACCACGCGAGCGAGTTCTGGCTGCGGCCTGCGGCCCAATTTGAGTGTGTGGACAATTTCATGGACTTGGACGTTCTTCGTTGCAGTTATCACGACTCGACGCCGACAAGACAAGATGTGAGTCTGCCAAGCGATGGTGTTCTGTGACGCTGCTGGGAGCACCGTGCTCGCGATGAGCTGTGCAAAGTGGGAAGATATGGGTACACGGGAGGACGGAAGGCGAGGGATGTGGGGCGCCAGATTGGGATGAAGCTCTCGATACGCTGGGCGAGGTTGGGGACGTGGTCCGGACACGAGGAGCATTGTGATCAGCAACCGCGGAGTCAGGATGAAGGGACGGACAGAGCGCTGGCGTCTGTTTGGGATCAGCGAGGAAGCAGGGAGCCAAGAGCAAGGACCGAGCGGCGTGTGATAGTGGCCAAATGAGGATTGGTGCCAGGAGGAGAGGCTGACAACACGCTCTCGAACAGAACCGACAATGCCCAAGATCTTCAAGCCAGGAAAGGTGTGCGTCATGCTCCAGGGCCGACAGGCCGGTAAGAAGGTGAGTCTTTCCGTCCCAGGCCTCTGCCTCCTCGGCACAAGTACCGAGACCATGACGTTGACATTCTGTCTTTTGCACCACCAAAGGTCGTTGTCATCAAGCAATACGATGACGGTACCCGCGAGAGGCCTTACCCCCACGTCATCATTGCCGGTGTCGAGCGCTACCCGTTGAAGGTCAGCAAGCGGATGGGAGCCAAGAAGCTGAACAAGAGGAGCAAGGTCAAGCCCTTCATCAAGGTGGCCAACTACAACCACCTGATGCCCACCCGCTACGCGCTGGAGATGGAGCAGCTCAAGGGACTCGTCAGCCCCGAGACGTTCCGCGAGGGTGTTTCGCAGCGAGAGGACGCCAAGAAGACGCTCAAGAAGCTCTTCGAGGAGCGCTACGCGAGCGGAAAGAACCGCTGGTTCTTTACCCCTCTCCGGTTCTAAGCCACTCGCTACTACATGCGGTTCACACAACACACACCAAAATCAATTACAATGGCAGCGACGATTCGACGGCATCCATTCTCACGGGAGGAGGCTTGCGATGCCGTCGGTCGATGCCTGTTTTCTTTCTCATGTACTCGTACCATGACATCTCCTCCCACACTCTCTTCTACAATGGGCATCCACCACAGATACATTCTCATCACTACGTCTCACGGCACAGGTGCAGCGTTTGCTCTGCTTTTCATGAATGACCGAGACAAAGACTACAAATAATTCACAGCATTGTCCAGACTCAAGCCTTTGCCTTCTTCTCAGCCGGCGGTGACTAATCGGGGAAGCAATGGTCAGCGATGACTGCTGACTACTCCTACTGCTACCAGTACCTACCGAGGCGGCTTGGCCGAACTTTTCGAGGCGCTTGCGCTTGCGCTCTTCCTCTGCGGGGTCAGACACCGGTGCTGCAGGTGCTGGTGCTGCTGGTTGCGCTTGGGAGACAGTGCCGAAGCGCTCGGCCCTCTTCCTCTTCTTCTCCTCTTCTGCCTGCTGTTGCGCCAATCTCGCCGCTTTTTGCTCCTCCTATGGACATTGAACTTAGGGTCAGCATTGCGAGATGCCTTGCATTAGTGAAAGGCTCACCGTCTCAGGTTCCTTTACCGCCGTCGACTTGGCAGCAGGAGCAGGAGCAGCAGACGCAGTGTTCTTTGCTGCCCCTTTCCCGTGTCCAGCCTTGAGCCCGCCATCGAGAGTCTTGAGCGCGCCGTCAGACTCTGCATCGATGCCAAACTTGATCGCACGCTCCAGCTTAGCCTCTGCCTCGCCCGTCGCGGTGCCCCAACGAGCAGCACGGGCCTTTCGCTTCTCGAGCTCCTCGACGAGCCGAGCTTTGCGTTCCTCTGGTGTCTCGGCGGGCTGCTGTGCTTCTGTGCTGGCCGGTGCTGCTGCTGTTCCTGAAGACGGGGCCTGGTTGGCAGCACCAGCGGGCGCGGCTGTCGTTGGGGCTGTTGTGGAAGGCTTGGGCGGCGCGGTGGACGCAGGCGTCTGCTTCGCGGCCCCAGCTGCCGCCGCTGCTGCCTTTGGCGCATTGTCTAGATCCTCCCTGACGAACGCAGAGTCAGCCTGTCCGTTCATTGCCGCTCGAAACCGCCGCTCACCCAATCAAGTCCTCCTCTTCGGCCTCTCCTTCTCCTCCTCCACCCGTGACCGAAGCCGCGGCGGCCGGATTCTCGACGAGACGCTGCACCAGGTCGGCCTTGTTGCCCGACGTCGGCAGGCTGGCCTTTTGCAGCAGCGCCTTGAGCTCCGGCACCTTGAGCGCTTGTAGCTTTGCCTCCATTCTTGCCGTTTCCTTTCGAGAGTGTAGTCAATCACTTGGGTTCCGGAAGCTGGTGCTTGGTGGAGCGTGTGGATGATGATGGCCTCTGTCGGACGCGCCTCACCCTCGACGCGTGCCTCGTGGGATTCGCGCCCGCCCTGGAGAAAGAAAAAGTGAAAATAAGTCCGAAGAAGAAAGAGAAGAGCCGTCCGTTCTGTGGTGTGCACAATCAAGGCTTCCGCGAGGCAGGTGGACGAAGAGCAGAGGGGTCAAAGCGATGGAATCATGGGACCTTTCCTCCAAGCGCAAGGGATCCCGCAAGGCCTACGAGCTAAGAGGCAGAGTGCAGTCATGGTGGGTCTGCTGTGCGAAAGAAGAGAAGCATTGAGATACTGATGGCCCGCTCTCTCTTTCTCATCGCAGCGATCCCGGCGAGCTCCTCTCTATGCTCCACACTTGCATCGATCTGGTGCAAAGCGAAGAGGATGTCGTCGGAGGCTTTGAATGCATCAGAGAATGGTCAATACGAGGCTCAGACACGATTGCGTTGGATGAGCTTGACCGACCATCGCAGTCCCGGCTCTGCGCCACTTTCTGGACATTCCTGCCCGCTGAGCGAAAGACGTTATCGGCCAAGGCCAGAGAGGCACTCGAAGCCATTCTTGACCTCTTGGAGCATCTCAGCGCCCGCGCGCCTCGAGGGTCTCCCCAATGCGATCAAAAGACGGAACGGAACAGGTCAGGCAAAGGAGTCCGCGCGGTACCCCAGCCTGTCCCTCCGCTACTTTCAATGCTCACGTCACAAGCACTGCAAGTCGTCGATCGAAAAGTTTCGCTAATTGTCATCGAAGTCTTGAGCCAGCGCTATGGTATCCAGTACATCTCCGCTCTCGAGCCGAATCTCTACCAGCACCTCGTTCACGGCTCCGAGGCCAATCAGGAAATCGGCCTCAGCAGACGGTCTAAGCTCGCCATCGCCCATCTCCGCCATGAAGGCCAAAAGTTTGGTCTCTTTGCAGAGGTTACCTCTCAAGAGACAGCTGGGCAGAGACTTCTATGGTGCGAAATTTGGTCCGAAACGATCGCCTCGACTATGGTCGCATCAGGTCCTGATTGTCGGAGGAGAGCACATCTCTGCTGCTTCCACATCCCGAGCTTACTTGAGCTTGCCCCATGGTGCCTCGTCCCGCTCGTGAAAGCGATCAAGAAGAGGACAACAGATCAGAATGCCCTTGCTGGGCTGCTCTCGGCCATGCGGTGTGCCAAGTTGAAGGCCCTCGCCGTTGTTGGTGAGGCCGAACATGCCGTGCGCCTCGACGATCTGTCTACTCTTGAGGACCCTTGTCAGACGTATATTATTGCTATCTCGCCTTCACTCGTCCGGACGTGCGTCTCGTCTTCGATACAGGAGCTTCAAGTGCTTGGACTTTCGCTCGTGACCGACGCCCGCGCTTCTTCGACCAGCTTGACGTCAGACGACTTTGGCATCGTCCGCCATTTCCTCAACACCAATTTTTCTCAGTCGACGCCAGAGGGACGCAACGCAGTCCACAGCATCCTTGCTAGGCTCATGGCAAGGCTCAAGGCAAGCACGCACGTAGCGAGCAGGAAAAGGGAAGGTGGGGCCGGCGTCATTGAGGATGCAAAGCACTTCCTCCAGTGGCTCCACAGACTGTCGACCTTGGCTTTGCACCCCGGAGCACCGTATCATATTGCTCGTGCCGGCCTGTCATACCTGGAGATGCTTTCATTCACAGGGGTCGATCCATCAATTTCGCAAGCGAATCTGCCCAAAAGGAGCGCTGGTCAGCTCGACGGCTTGCACTTCCCTTTCACCGCCACCATTGCCACGCCTGACGTCGTCGAGAGGCTGCTTCAATGCGCCGATAGCACCTTTCTCGAAGTGCAGTCGTCTGCATTCAGACTCCTATCGCGGTTTCCCGCTCCCTTGGCGGGCCTCGAAGATCGAAACAAGGCTCAGGCTGCAATCCTCGACAAAGCGGTGCGTCTCATGCTGTCAACGCGAGAATCAGAGAGCAACGCTGCTTCGCTCCTCGCTCGTCTATATCTCGAGGTCTACATCAAGCGGTGTGGCTGGTCTTGGACGCCCCTCGTGCGAGCCTTGAAGGGCACAAAAGAAGCTATGGAGCAGAGGCCAAAGGCCGGCTGCGATATGACGCTCTATTTCATCGATGACGTTCTTGAGCTCCTGGATTTCCTTCTCCAGCATGACTCCATCCTCGACGCCGCGCGTCACCGGCCTATCCATGGCACTATGGTGGCGCTGCAGGAGCTTTTCCGAGGCATCAATGTGGACGCGTGTGATGACGAACATCTACGGAAGGTCTTGGTCAGGACAATGGCGCTCATCGATCGAGCTTGGGAAGTGACGAGAGGCATTTTGTGCAATCGTGCACCCGAGGGCTCGTTCGGCGCTGAAGAGCACAACGAGATGGAGCGAGCGCTCGAAGCTGCCGAAGCCGACCATGACGATAGTGATGACGACAACGATGATGATGATGATGGCATCTCTGCGGACGAAGGCGATGAAGAGCCGGACGAAACAACGCCGAGGCACCAGATCATTCTCTCCTACTGCTGGCGGGGCATGAAGGAAGCATCAGCCCTCTTGGGGAGCATCGTCGCAAGCACCGTCGACCGACGCTTCTGGACAGAAGCGCAAGTACGGTCCGTGGGCGAGAGATTCAACATGTGGCTCTCCCTCGTCCGACATCGTGGCGCATTCAGCACCATCTACCCCTCCTACCTGATGGCTGCTTCGGCCCTCGTGCGCAAGGACTGGCCAGAGGTGGCGAAGCTCCCTGCTGACTGGCTCGAAAGCTTTATCGACGGAGTCGCTTCGCCACGATCAAGCATCTCGACCACCAGGCGAAGTGCTGGCATTGGCTTCGCCGTCTTGGCTCTCGTTTGCGCCACGACAAGCCGGACCGAGCGTAGCACCATAGAAAAGACTGTAAGACGCCTCATCGGAATCGCTCACGATTCTGATGAGGCTGCCTCACGTGTCCATGCCCTCAACATTCTTCGTGTCCTTGTGTCCGACACGTCCCTTTCGGAGCCTCTTCAGCCCTTTGAGGGGGAGCTGTTTACCCTCGTTATCCCCTGCTTTACGTCAACGACGTGGCGCATTCGCAACGCCGCCATGATGCTCTTCAGCCAGCTCTGCAACCGCGTCTTCACCTACAACCTCACCAACCGGGACTCTGCTGAAGCCAAAAAAGCGTGGCACGAATTCTTCACGAGGTACAGTGGCCTCCATGATATGCTGAGGGAGCAGCTCACGGAGCACCTCGCTTCAAACGGAAGGGATGCGATGGATGCATACCAAAGTTCTCTTTTTGCAGTACTCCTGTTGTTGTCGAGATTACAGGCCACAGACACGACTTTCAACCAACAAGGGGCGAACCCTGAGCTCATTTCACCGCTTGTCGAAAAGTGTCTGGCCAGCAAGATCTGGAAGGTGCGTCTCAACCGTAATTGCACACTGCGATCACGCTGCTAATGTCCTTCCCAGCTCCGAGAGATTGCTGCGTCAGCATACGCAGCTTCTACTGTTCCTAAACGTGCATCTCGCGTAGCGACAGAAGTCTTTTCCAAATGCACACACGAAGATGAGAACGAAGCGCACGGAAGGCTGATGGCGATCCGGAGGCTTATCGTTCTCGCTCGCCAGCATCAATTAACCAGTGACTTGATCGATTTGGAGACCGTTCTGGCGCAAAAGGCCTCGATGTGGCTGGAAGACAATGCTTGTGCTGTCACAAAGGCCGCCTTTCTCGATCTTGTTGAGGAGCTGGGCGGATCTGTCGTGGACGACGCCTCGGCGTCTTACAGTAGCAAATGGCTCTTGGAGTCGAGGCAGCTCGATATCGTCGCACTCAGGGATCATCTTCGTCGACCGGGAGAGACACTCTTGCTGGCAGCATGTGCACGTACAATGCTCCGTCTAAGAAGAGACACCGAAGCGGACCTGTTGTCCCATCCTGTCGAGGACGTTCGTCGACAGGCCATAAAGCCCGTCAGCGGCCACCCTCTTCATCTGGTAATCCAACGCATGCTGGTCGACATGGTCATTGAACCCTCAGAGGGCATCATCACCCGCATCGAAGCCGCCAAGGCCCTTGTGCCAGTTGAATTGAGCTCAGCAGCGACCTCAACGGAGGAGGTGTCGAGGATTCACAGGCTGGAGCAAGTGGCCCTACAGGGTGCGTCTGTACCTTTAAAGGAAGCAGCGATGCCAGTCCTCGCTGGGCTGCTCGCCAGCAGTGCTGTCGCAAGAAATGGAAGCCGCCTTGCGGCGATCTGCGAGGCGATCGCAGACCGGGCCCAAGAGGAAAGGTCATTCGAATCTAGGATCTCGGCCATCGAGACGATCGAGAAGATCTCTGACTTGCTGTTTCCTACCCATAGCCTGGAGCGAGGGCAGGAGGAAAAGAGCTTTTTCGACGCCCGCTTGGCACTTCTCAAGCTAGTCGTAGATGATGACGAGGACATTCGAGGGTGCGCGCTTGCTGTTGCAGGGAAGATTGGCAAATCGTCGTCATCAGATGATACCGAACAAGACCACTCGCCCACATATGTTGCTAGACAATGCCCGCCAAGCTGTGTAGCGAGCGTGGAGCGAATCTGGAGATGGATGGAGAGCCACTATGACCGGGTCGGTTCGGCACTATGGCGAGACCACGTCTGGTCGCTTTTGTGTCCCTCGAAAGATCAGAGACAGATGACGCTGTCTGTGGCGTTTGAGAGCAGCACAGCGCTCTTTGCGGAAGAGCGACCCAACCAATTTGTCGACCCCGAAGCTCAATTTGTAGCAGCTCATGCTTACTGCTTGGAGCATGCACCGTCTTCGTCATTGATTGCGGCAGAAATGCTGCAAGAGGTGTCCGAGGACGCGGAAACGCTGTTAGCCCACATAGGCACGGCATTCGATGAAGCCGCTGCCACCCCAAGGTCCTTCTTTACGACATATCAGCTGGCAATGCGTCTTTCCCTCGCCATGGATGCGCTCAGCCGGCATCTGGACGCCGACGTATCGGGGCAACGGAGCACAAAGACGGCAAAACAACAGCAAGCACTGGATCGACTGTGGAAGCTGAAGGGCGAGTCTCCAGCTGAAGAAGGTCCGAGTGACCCAGGTCAACGCGATCAGGAGCAAGTAGACCGCGAAGTCGACGCTCTCGGCCTGGCAAATGGCCAGACGAAGCTTCATATTGCGTGAGCAAACACAGATCGGTAACGTCGGTTGCAATCTTGTGTCATCTGACTGTGGAGATGGATTCTTCTCCAGTATGGTCTCGGACTTCTTTTTTCCCAACGTTGGCGGCGTCGAGGGACACATTTACATGTTGAGCCATCGCTTGTTGGAGCGTGGACACAAGGTCATCGTCATTACGCACGCCTATCCTCCCCATCGCGTAGGCGTACGATACCTGTCAGGCGGCCTCAAGGTTTACTATGTCCCTTATCAAGTCATTGCCCGTCAGGACACGCTGCCAAATTTCTTCAGCCTTCTTCCTCTTCTCCGCCAAATTCTTGTGCGAGAAGGGATTGACCTCGTACACGCCCATCAAGCCCTGTCTTCGATGGGGCTGGAGTCGCTCTTGCACGCAAAGAGTATGGGTCTCAAGACGGTCTTCACCGATCATAGCCTCTTCGGGTTCAGCGATGCCGCGAGCATCCTTACCAACAAGCTGTTGCGGTTTCTGCTCAGCGACGTTGATGCTGTCGTGTGCGTCAGTCACACAGCAAAGGAAAATACGACCTTGAGGGCCAATCTCGACCCTTGCAAGGTCAGCGTGGTGCCCAATGCCGTCGAGTCGGACAGCTTCAAGCCAAGAACCCCTACACTTGTCCATGAGGATCCTCGCCAGGGTGAGTGTGACTATGCTTCATGTGTCTCAAGGCTAAGTACTGAAAGTTGGAGGACAGTGACGATCGTCGTCCTTTCCCGCCTCATGTATCGCAAGGGCATTGATCTCCTGCTCGCCTGCATCCCCCGACTATGTGCACTGGACCCGCACATCCGCTTCATCATTGGGGGCGATGGCCCAAAGCGTGTAGAGCTTGAACAGATGCGAGAGCGCTTCTCGTCACTTCACTCGCGTGTCGATGTGTGCGGTGCTATCCGTGCCGGCTCGCAAGTTCGCAATCACCTCGTCAAAGGGCACGTGTTCTTGAACACGAGCCTCACGGAGGCGTTCGGTACGGGCATCGTCGAGGCCGCTAGTTGTGGCTTGCTTGTCGTCAGTACGAGGGTTGGAGGCATTCCTGAGGTTCTGCCAGACTGGATGAACCTCTTGGCGGAACCGGATGAAGATGGTGAGCAGTCTCGCTCATTTCTCTCTCCTTGTGTGGTGAAGAATGCTTACCACAGGGAAGGACAGACATTGTCGATACTACGCTCCGGGCTATCCGTCTCGTACGCCTTCGACTTCTGAAGTCGCGCATGATGACGCGGGAAGAGCGCGAATCAGCTGCTTCGACTCAAGGCGCAAGCGGAAGCGAAGGCGAGCCCAGAGAAGTGGCCCCTGATCCCTGGAACCAGCACACCCGCCTGTCGCAGATGTACTCTTGGAGTAACACGGCACAGCGCGTCGAGCGCGTCTACATGCAGGCATTGAAGAAACCGATGCCGTCTACTCTTGAGCGTTTGGTACAGTGAGTTGTTTTTCTTCTGCGGCTCCCTTTCCACCGTGACCACAACTGATGCACTTAGCCTCCGTTTTTAGATTCAGACAGGGCGGACCGATCGCCGGTATCATCTTCGTCATTGTCGTCTCTGTCGAAATGCTCTTTTTGATCGTGCTCAAGCACTTGTCGCCGTCAGACGACATCGAGGTTCTCGATCCTACTTCTGGCGAGCCAGACGAAGTTGCAAAAGGCCAAGGGCAGCCCATTCAGCTCTCTCGTTTTTCATAGTGCACTTGCAGGTGTCTGTCTGCCTTCGTTCGGTGGGCTTGCAGACATCTTGATAGACTGACGATAGGACTTTCCAAAAGAATTGCTTCCTCTTTCTTCCAGCATGTATCAGTAGACTCAAAGACATGTACTGTACACTAAGCAAGTAATCACAGACCGTCAACCATGTCCGATCGTGTGCTGCAGGACCCGATGCAGTCAGGTGACAGAAATATGGGATCTTCGAAAAGTCACTTTTCCTTCTCGCTCGGGCCTCCCTTGGAGAACTTTAGCTTTCCAACCTATTCCTCTAGCGACACAAGACATGGCTCAGCAGTATCTTCCATACATAACGCTGCAACCAGACTATCCCCTTGTCTTTGCGGACGTCTCGCAGTCGCTTGTCGAGCTCGATAAAGTCTGGATCTCGGCGTACTGCAGCAATGTCCCGGCTGGATCCAGGCACGGCAAGCTGCTCCTCTCTGCTTCGAAGGACGCCCGAGGTGGGGTGAGCGTCGAACTAGACGACGAGAACAATGCTGGCTTGAACGTTGAGAGGGCCGATGAGAGCCTAGTGAGTCGGTCTATGCCTTGCTGAAATGATTGTAGAGGAGGCGCTCATTAGGGCAAGTTCTGCAGATGGACCTCGTTGTTAGTACGCCAGGAGGCTCGCGCACGTCGTATGAAGCGAGCGAGACGCTTCCGAACTTTGAGCTCGCGCCAACTCGGTTGAGAGTAGCCCGACGCACGCTTGGACCAGATCTGGTCAAGGGTGCTCTGGGCGTGACAGCGCTGGACGTGCACGAAGGCCGCTACGTCGTAGGGGGGTCCGACGGTCAGGCCTTCACGTCTTCCCTGGTCGAGGGGGAGGAGTCAGAGCCCATGGAGCTGGACGGATCTTCAAATATCGAGGAGGTGGCGGCACAGCGGATGAGACTGCGCCAGAGGAGTGCGAAAGTGGCGCTGAAGGGCCATGTGGGCGATGTCAGAAGCGCAAAGTTCCTTGCGGGCGGCCAGGGTGAGTGAGCCCTCCCCTTGTCCAACTCTTGCGACCTTCACTGATGCCTTGGAGAAACAACAGTGGTATTGACGACGTCATCTGATATGACGGCGAGGCTGTACGATGCCTCCTCGGGCGCTTGCCCGCGCGTCTTCAAGGGCCACCGACGCGCAGTTGTGTGTTCCTCTATCATTGACCGAGGGCACAACGTCTTGACGGGCTCGTTGGACGGCACTGTGCGACTCTGGGACGTCTCCAGCGAAGGTGCGGCAATCCAGACGATAACGGCCGAAAAGTTCGCAGGAGTCAACGCAATGGCGAGGGATGAGGGTGGGAGCATATACATGGGCTTGACAAGCGGAACGATGCAGGTCGTGCGGGACGGTCAGACGGCGGAGGTGATCCCAGGCCAGGCTGGAGGTATCACTGCACTCGATATGAACGGCGTCAACATAATCACGGGCACTTCCGACGGCGACATGAGGCTGTACGATGCGCGAAACCTTCCTACGCCAGTCAAGTCCTGGAAACGCAACGGGGCGAGCGTGACAGATATCAAGCTGGCGCACGATGCTGCCATCGTATCCACAGACGACGGCATGCCCTACCGTGTACGCCTCAACGGCGACTTGGCCGTGACGGACGAATACGTGGGCTGGGAAGTGGACCACGTCGACAAGGTTAGTCTCGATCAGAAAGGAAGAGTCTGGATCGCGGGCGCACAAGGTGCCATCAGATTGTATCATTAAGATGATGTCGTCGTTGATAGTAGTAATACATAATGAGTAGAGCTGTTCTGTACGTGCTCGCAGTTTCACTTCCACCTATGTCCCCTTGTGAACCCTGGCAGTCGGTCTCTCTATAATTAATGGCTCTTCTTCTTGCCTTTGCTGCTACCTTTTCTCTCGCCTTTTCTTCCACGTTGCGAGCCCGTCCGCCTATCCTGTTCGGCGTCCCTTGCGTTGCACTCCGCGGTGGCGTCCTCCTCCTCGCTCCAGCCGGGCACATACAACGTGTCGAGCTCCTTTCCTTCCGTGTCCACTTCACTGGCGCAGGCGGGAGACTCGATCGAGATCTGTGCTACAGCATCTGCCAGCTGGGTCTCACCATCTCCCACTGGCACCTTGACCCTCTGAGACTCTTCTTCCTCATGATCTTTATTCTCGCACGGCTCACCACTTTCATGCGCCCAGTTACTACCTTCAATCAGCGCGAAATCTTCATCGTCCTTCCGGGAAATCTTGTCTTTGACACCTCCGAACAACGCCATTGGGAAGCTTGAATTGATCAGATCAAGCTCATTGACCCACGCTGCGTCTCCAGCGTCCTTGGAGAGCCGTCCGATGAGCGTCTTGCGAGCGGCCTGCGTGACGAAGCGTCGATTGCTGACCACGACGACGCCCTTCTTTGCTCGCGTGAGCATAACATTGACTCGGCGTACATTCTTGAGGAACCCGACCGGGGCCTTGCCAGTCTCGTCGACTCGCCCGTCGCGTACCAGCGAGACGATGATTACATCGGCTTCTTGGCCCTGAAAAGAGTCCACTGTGAAGACAACGTCGGAATCGCCAGCCAGATTCTTTTGCTTGAGCAGGTCCTCGATCACCTCTCTCTGGGCATCGTACGCACTCAGAACCCTCAGAAGCAAGCCCTTGCCATCTTTGGCATGAGCTTCGACGAGCCTAACGATGGTCTCGGCCTCCCTCTTGTTGCACAGACTCTTGCCAATGAGCTCATCTTCACCCGAATCGACGTCGACGAAACCGACACAGGCAGCCAAGCCACCAGGCGGGTTGAACGTCTTTTCGCCCGGTTGGAGAAGGCCGTCATACACCCGCTTCGAGATGAACTCGGCCACCGGTCGGGCAAGGCGGTATGTAGTATCCAGTAGGAAGGCCTTCGGGCGCAAATGTGGAAGTTCAAAGACTGAATTTGCGGCGGCGGGGATATCATCGCTGCCAAAGGGGGCAAGCTGCTTGTCATCGCCCAAGAACACGACTCGCCCGAGGGTGCGGCTGAAGCGCGAGAACAAATGCGGATAGTTCTTGAGGTAAAGTTGACTGGCCTCGTCGACGAAAAGGAGTCGCATCGGGCGCAGCGAGAAGAGGGGACAGAAACGATAGAAGCGCGGCGACGACAGCGACGACAAGGTGCAGAGTATGACGCTGCAGCGACCAAGTTGCTTTGCAAGCTGTCGAGCGTCATTTTCAAGTTCGTCGGATCGAAGGAAGTGCTCGACGATGTCGCTGTACAAATCTTCGTGCCATTCAACGAAGAAGTTTGGGCTGACGATGATCTAACACAGTACACCCGTCAGTCTTTCTAAATGTGCTGGGTGCTTGTGAAAGCGAGGTCTTACCTTGAAATCGACGCCGGCCTTCTTCAGACTTTCAGCGATGTTCTTGACAGCAACATTGGACTGACAGCAGGCGTAAATCGTGTCGACTGCCATCTCACGGGTGCCTTCAATGTGCGCACATGAGAGCTGCCACTGCTGACAGCAGGCTGCAATCAAGCTTGTCTTTCCTGTCCCTGGCGGACCATGAATAAGGATGAGTCGCTGCGAGTCGAAATCTCGAGGATCCTCTCTGGGAAGTGCTTTGATTGGCGATAGAACGGCACGGGCAGCACGAGCTTGCGACTCATTGAGCGTCTGAGCCTTTTGCCTCTCCTTTATGACCGGGAATCGAGCCTTCACAGGCCGCATCAAGAGTCTGATCGTCTTCGGTTCAAGCGCTGGTATCTTTTCAACAGGTCGCGGAGCGTCGCCCAGAAGCAAAGGGCAGAGCAAGCCACTAGGGTCCAAGTCTGGCGGTGCAGTTCTGATGGGTCGCTTTTGCACAGCTGACGGCGTTGGTGGCATTACGTCGTCGCTCTGGTCCTGGTCTTCGCCCGCGTCGACCTGAGCAACGGAGCGCAGGGCTTCATGCCTCCAACGAAGTCCATCGAGGTCATGCATCGTCCAATCTTCACGACCGCGAATTTCGACACCTGCCACCGTACGATTGCCTAGCATGGCCTCGTTGAGCTTCAACTTGATTTCGTCGGCTTTCTTGTCAACGAACTCAATCGAGCTCGTCTTGCCCTCATGGTAGGATACTTTTGCCTTGTACTTCTGGTCACGGCCATCCTCCTCTCGCAGAGTGACATACAGTCGCTGGTTGCTGTTTGCCATGAGCTTGTTCTTGTACTCTGTGTTTTGCACCTCGTAAGCTGTATCTTGATCCGCTGAGGGAACAATGCCGATGCCGTCGCCGATCATGGAAGACTTGAGGCGAGCCTGTACAGCTTTGGGCTTGTTGAGAAGGAGCGCCACGTCAACGGCAGTGAAGCTTGCGAGGCTCGGCAGTAGATCATCAGGAACGATGCGTGTGTCGACAGAATTACTTCCTTGGTATGAACGATCGGGTGTGAGGGCGACGAGCTCACCGATGCGTTTGTCGATGTTGACGCCGCACCAATATGAGGCGACGGACAGCCTCGCATTGTAAATGTAGTGGGTGAAAAAGTCTTCGGCGAGGACTGCGCTTCCTGCGTCGACTTTGAAGTGATCAGGCCGGACCCGGAGCACTTTTTGGACGACGAGAGGCGGCATGAGATGCTCGAGGAGCTGGCGGGCATTGAAGGCAGCCGTTCGCGGAATCGGCAAGCCCAGATCGAGACCAAGAAGCTCAAGGTCGAAGATGATGGAATGCATCTCAAAGGACGAGAAGAGAAGGAGGGAGATTTCGGTGGCAGCAAGGGAGAAGAGACGGAGAGGAAGGCCAGCGGCTTGAGTGTATCGAAGCGGGTCAACCGATGATCCTTGAGGAGCACCTTCCGGCACAGAGCATAGGAGAAGCTCCCTCATCATATCGTAGCCGGGTTTGCTCTCTCCGGGCGTCCTGTCCCGAGGAAGCTCGACCATAAGCACCCGACGATGGTGTGTCAGGAGAAGTGCCTTTGTGATGGACGTTATATCAGCAAGGAGCCAAGGGGCGACCGGATGGAGGGGGATCTCACGTTGGGTCGAGCTTCTGGGCCCATAACGCTGACAGATCTGCCGATGGGCACTGCTTCAAAAGAGTGGATAGATCTTTCGACAAGCCAGTAGAGATGTGCCTGAGTAAATGTCTCGAGCCTAGACTTCGGCCGTGGTGCCGCCGAGACGAGAGCAGTCTCGAGGGGCCAAGGATTCTCGACACCCCCCAGATGGTCCTTGGACCGATGCCGGACTGGGCCATCTTTGGCTGAGACATGCATCTTTGAAGCTTGTTACCAGATCGTGGCACGGAGATGGAAAGGAAGTCCTGTGTTTTGGGCGAACTCGTCAACTCCCGCCCTCACTGCGCGCCGGCACCACATGTTGCCCACCTCAGTCGTAGCCTCGGTACATAATTGACTTTTGCAAGCATGCTACTTATACGAGCGCTTGCTTTCCTTTTCTTCCACACTGGCACAATCGGGCCGGCTCTCCTCCGAGCCACGGCGGGTCCCAGCGCCAAGTCGACCTGTGTGAGCCTCAGAAATGTCGGAGGAGAGGTGAGCGAACGCAGGGCTCCACAAAGCAAATAATCTCGCTGCCTCGTGGGCGCGGGCGGAAATTTAGGACGCGTCCAAAAAGAGGCCCACCTCGGTCATCAGCGCGTCGAGAAAAGAACAACAGAGAGCCAGTCCAAGGCACGACAATGGCCAGCGGCGACAGCGTCAAGCGACTCGATGATCTCGTCCTGGCCACCGTCCCTGCCGCACGTCCGAGAAGGGGCGAGACAGACCGGACAAAGGTGGCCGACCGCAGGGCACTTCGCGAGGATCTCGTCGAGTTGGCCAATGAGATCCGGCAGAGGTGAGCGGTTGTCTCTGCGCATCTACCAATTCACGGGCCTTCACTAAAGTCAATTTGCAGTCGCTTCGAGCAGAAGAGACTCGATGAAGCCCAAGTCGTGACCCAGCTTAAAAGAAAGTGTGAGTGGAGACACAGACGCTTCATTCCACCCAGCCCCTAATTGTCCCACTCTGTCAAAGTGACTCGATACGCCGTCGATGGAGGCCACGGCACATCGGTGCGTCTCGACGGCCTCATCTCCAAGCTCAGGGCGAGGGTGAGTCTGAGAAGAGGAGAAGGGATAATTGGTTGCACACAGAGCTCACTAGGACGGCAGCCCGACCAAGCGCAACAACTCACAGCCATCTTGGAATTCATTGACAAGCTCTCGTTTACCGCCTTCTCCTTTTCGGGCAACGAAGCACCCTCCCGAACCAATGGGCGATCCAGCATAGCATCGACGTCATCTAGTCGAGCTCCGGCTAGGAGTCCAATGCTTGACGTACCGGATCTCAGGGGCCCACGGCCTTCCTCTTCCTCATCGGACGTTGCTCGGTCTCGTGTACCAACACCCTCCGAAATGGGGAGCAGTTCACGGCGCACAAGACAGGCCGAGACAGCCATGGGACCTCCGCCTATCCCTTCTCATGCCACGGCTGTGCCTTCTCCGCCGCCGACTTCAGAGCCAAAGAGGGATGCGCTGCTGGAGGAGGATCTGCCGAAAAGCGTCCTTTTGCAGAAGTGGCGAGCGCGAGAAGGGCGGCCGGAGGTGGATGAGGAAGTGCTGCTGAGAGACGTAATATTCCTCCTGCAAGGCATCAATGGCAAGTACGTCGGCTTCGAAGAAGTGCGCGAGCTGCCTTCCAACGAGATCATCGATGGCGCAAGGCCACGGGACCCAGAGACGGTCCTGCATGTGCGCTTTCACGAGGACCAAGGGGTGAGTCTCCAGACAGGCTCCTAGACCAAGATAGAAGCTGAGGGTGGAGACACAGGCTACCATTGCGCAACCGACAAGACATCTCATCCATCGCATTGCCGAGCTGGGACGGTTGTACAGGCGTGCCAATGACTTTAGCCAACAACGATCGCAGCAAGAAGGCGTCGGTCTGATCATGCAGTCGTTGTGCCACTTCATCTCGTCGGAGTTGACAGATTACTACCGGTTGATTGCCATTCTGGAAGCGCAACTCAATCGCAAGGGCACAAAAGACGATGGTAATGGCCTCTCGCTCCGGCGCATTGCGGTTTGGACCGAGGACGTGACGCTGAGGATGCGTCTTATCAGCACCGTGATCGAGAGCTGTCAGGGTGAGTTTTGTCAGGGTAAAGGGTGCAATTGCCTCAGGTGCTAACCGATCTGCAGACTCGCACGGCGGAGCAATCGTCTCCCTCATCCACTCGTACACATTCAATGGCGACCCTTTTGTCCGCAGCTTCACCGCGCAAATCTTAGAGGAGGTGTCGAAGCCTTTCTTCCACTCACTCTCAAGATGGATCTTTGAAGGCGAGCTCCAAGATCCCTTTGGCGAGTTCTTTGTCGAGCTCAACCCAGACATCAAGGCCGGACGGGGGCCTCTGGACGACTTTGAAGGAGAGAACGAGGCGGCGTCGCTGTGGCAGGACCAGTTTATCTTCAAGACGGACATGCTGCCAAGCTTTCTGGGCGAAGATTTTGGTCGTAAGATTTTCTCGACGGGCAAATCTCTGAACTTCATCCGCTTCAGCTGCGGTGATGGCGACTGGGTGGCCACGCGCAACAATCTCAGTAACTCTGGTCGCGATCTGAGATACGCTGATTTGCCTGGTCTCGAACGGACAATCGACACTGCGTACAACATTGCCAGTACCCGGCTCCTTGACATTTTCCTCGACAAGTTCAAGCTGCTCGATCACTTGCGTGCGCTCAAAGACTACCTCATGCTCACGAGGGGCGACTTCGTGGATCTTCTCATGGAGTCACTTGGACCGTCGCTCAGCCGACCAGCCTCCTCTCTTTTCCGGCATAATCTGACCGCTTCGCTCGAGACTGCCGTGCGAGGTAGCAATGCCCAGTTTGACGACGCAGATATCCTCCGTCGGCTCGATGCTCGTATTCTGGAATTTGTCGCAGGCGATACCGGCTGGGACACCTTTACGCTCGAGTACAAGGTCGACTCGCCCGTCAATACGGTCTTGGATGGACAGGCAATGCTGGGTTACCAGACGATCTTCAACCATCTTTGGAAGACGAAGCGCGTCGAGATTGCTCTGACGAGGAGCTGGGAGAAGCTCTTTTCTGTGTCCAACATCCTGCGGAGGCTCAAAAAGGGCAAGAAGCAACTCCTCAGCGCCGGATTGGAGCGGCACGCACACCAGGCCTTGCTCCTGCTGAGCGAGATGATCCATTTCGTCCGGCAAATGCAGGGCTTCTGCCAGCTGGAAGTCATCGACTATTCGTGGCAGGATCTCAAGACTTTCTTTGCCAAGCGACAAGGAGACCTCGACGAGCTCATTCAGTCTCACCGGGCCTATCTGAATGCCCTCATCGGCAAGGTCCTCTTGCGGGGTGGGCGACGCGGGGCCGGCGATCACCTCGCACAGGAGGTACGGGCAAACTACGACACGATGCTGGCCTTTTCAAACGGCATCGACGACCTCGCAGCCAACATCTCTGCGCAGCTCTCCCGTGTCGAGCTGGACCAGGACGCGCTGCCGCCCATCGATCCGAACGCACTGGTCAAGATCATGACGCGGGTCCAGGATCAGGCTGCCCAGTTCCAGGAGCGGACGCAAGGCATCATTGCACGGCTTGAAAAGCACGCCAATCTGGTCGTGAGGGACCTGGGAACGAGGCTCAATTTCAACACATATTACGCCAATGCGAGAAAGGCTTCCTCGTCATCGGCGGCGGCAGCAAATATCGTTGCTTCGTCGTCGATGATGACGACGGCCACAGCGCGGACTACGGCGGCGAGGGAAGAGACGACGGCTGCATGATTTGCTGATGCTTGAGTGTACGTATTAGATGTACTTGTTACGATGAAGCCGATGGAGAAGGGGGTATCAGAATCGATGCAATTGCGTGTTCCCGAGTAGCAATGAAGTGAAGGACATTGAGAAAGAAAAGAAAAGAGTGAGCAAGCGAGGCGACTAGACCAGTGATCGTCTCTCTTCTTCCTCTTCGTCTCGCGAAGACGGGCCTCCCTGCCTGGATGCCTCTCCTCCAAGGCCTAACCACCCGCCTGCATCGTTCTTTAGTCGCGACAGTCTGTCCGAGAGGGCACGGTAGTCGACGGCAAGCACCATGTTCCACCCCGACGAGGAAGGCGGTGTTGCGTCTCGTTCGCTCCCGCCGCGCTCCTCGCCCGTCTCCTCCTCGTCCACGAGCGTCTCCACTTCCTCGTCTTCCTCGATGCCTTGCTCCTCGGGCGCGGCAGAAGCTTCGCTCGCGTGCCGCCGGCTCTCAATATCAGCCTCGCTGAATGTCCGCCTGTTGACGCGCAAGCGCGGACTTCTGCCGCGCCTCTTGACAAAGTTGGACCAGGCGCCCATCAACGAGCGCCGTCCTCTGCCACTGCCGTCGCCGTCGTCATCGTCGGCCTGCTCGTCGTCTTCGGGCGCAAATGAAGCAGCGAGGTGGAAGCCCGGGGACGAGGGCGAGATGCCAATCGAGAGACCGCGCTCTAGCACGGCCTTGTACATGTCCCTCGTTCTTCGCAGTGCTGACGAAGACGGAGGGTGGGCGGCATGATCGTGGGCTTTGCCGAGCGTAGCCGCCTCCGAATGGCTTCGTGCCATCGGCTTGGAGCTGACCTGTGCCCCGCTATCGAGGTCTGGCGTCGACGAGGAGGAAGGCGACGAATCCAGCGGTGGAGCAGGCTCCATCGAGACGGGCGAGGAGACAACGTCGAGAGGCGTGGGATCGGCCGGTGGGAGCCCTGGAACATGCAGGCCAAGTCCTCCAATGAAGCTGCCAGACCCGCTTCCGGAGCGCGAACGGCGGCGTCGGCTCTTTCCGATGGGAGAGAGGGGCGAGAGGAGGCGAGAGCTGGTAGGGCTCGCCGGGGGAGAGGTGAGGGGTGAGGTAGAAGGTGATGGTGACGAATCGCTCCCGTTGGCCTGCTGAGTCGGGCTGGAGACGGGAAGGAGGTGAGGACCAGTGATGCCAGCTCCGTTGCTCGTCAGCAAGGCTTCTCTCTCTGTGGGGCTCTGCATCGCTTCTGCCCCGTCGGTTGTACTTGGTTGCTCCTCGCCATGCATGCTCACGATCCACACACCCGTGAGGAGAACGGCGGTACCCAAAACGACGAGGAGAAGGCTCGTGGCACTCAGCGCGCCCAGCTGGTTAAAGTAGACGAGTCCGAGGGCGATGGACGAGGTGTTGTAGAAGCAAAAGGCGAGGGGACAGACCAGCGTTGGGTCAGCAAGTCGGAGTGCCTTGTTGAGGTACCAGAGCTGCAAGACGGCGGCAACGAGCATGATGCCGACAAGAGCCCAGCTCTGCCATCGCGCAAATTGGTTGTGGCCTGCGATGGTGAGGACGAGCAGCTCGACGCCGCTCTTCGCCAGGAGGAGGCATGCACCCGAAAGCGTTCCACTCGCTGCACCGTAGGCCACACTGAGGCCCAGGCACGTCCTTCGCACGACAGGGTCGTACTTGGCTGCCAAGAGGGCTGCCGCTGATGTCGACTTGTCCTGCGCGACTGGCGAAGCGTCTCTCTGCTGCTGCGGGACCGACGGCGCTGCTGGATCAGTCGTTTTTGCAATGGCTCCGTAATTCTTTGGACTCCTCTGGTTCGCTGAGGAGCGGTTGAGGAGCACCCTCTCTACCGGCAGGCCCCTCCGGTTGGCCTCGTCGGCAATGGCGAGCACAGGCGTAGCGATGCCCGAGCTGCTCTCTGAGACTTCAACGACGGGCGCCAAAGTCGGCGCACTCCACCGCCTCGTTGGCCGACCCCTCGCTCCTCCTCCTGACGAGCCATTACTGCGCTTGCCTTTGCTCGAGGCTGACAAGGACCTCGAATGCTTCCGAGTTGGGGGGTGGTATGGTCGAAAGAGGCGGACGTGGAGCTGCCACTCGGCAAGATGGGCAAGGAGAAGTACGCCGAGGAAGAGAAGGACAAAGATGGTGGAGAATGCCACGAAGGGAGGGCGTGCATAGAGAGCCAGAAGCTCGTCGAGCGTGTGAGGAGGTTCCTGGACGGCACCAAAGTAGCCAATCAACACTGCTCCCGCGCCGATCAGGGCGGTCCCTTTTCATCATCATGGGGAAGGAGGTGCGAGTCAGCTCCCCGATGACTTCCTCCTTCGCACGCATTCAGACCCACCTATGACCATGTAGCTGCTAAGGAAGTCGTCGAGAATGAATCTGGCGAGCAAGGCGTTGTAGAGGAGGCTGACTGCGCCCAGGGGTGCGAGCATGACGATGGGCAGCGCCCCAATCTGGAAGATGGTGCCGCCGACATTTGCAAAGAGAAAGATGGCAAAGCCGAGGATCCAGAGCGGCCGCTTCCACTCGCTTCGCTGCTGAGTCGTGGGCAGCGAGGCATTTTGGACGTGCGATTTCCGCTGAATTGTCAGGCCCAGCGACTGCACAAAGGAAGCGACGAGGCCCAAGACGATGGCGACTGGCACCGAGATGGGGCCAGTAGGATCATCGGCCATGTTTCGTCTTCTTTTAGCCGTCGGTCCGACCCGTCCAATCCGATCCTGTCCTTGGCCTGTCCTTGTGCCCGATCCTGTCCCTGTCCCCTGACCTGTACAAAAGTGGGTTTTGAAAGGCGCGGGGTTTGGGGGAAGCAGGGAGGGAGGGTGCACACACAAGCGCGCGCGCTCGTGTCTTCAAAATTTAGCTCAAGAAGCGCCGCGCCCAAGCACAGGCCACTCGAGCCCATCCGTGGAACTTAGTGCTGGAGTGGAGAGGACAAGCAATCGTCATTTGATGAAATCAGAAAAGAAAGGAATGACCGGAGGCAGCGGCATGATGAAAGTGGGAGAGGGAGTCTAGTGATACAGTGAGAGAGAAGGAAAGATTGGCGAGGAAGCACTCTTTTCAGCGCTGATTCCTCCGCACTGGTCTTCTCTCCCACTGGCTGGTAGAGCGGCCCGAGTCGCCACAAGAAACGTCGGTGGTCGGTGCCGGCGTCGCCTCCAGGACGCCCTTCTTCTCTGTCGACTTCCGTTCGTCTTCACGCGATAGGCTGTCTTCCTCGTCGCTTTCCACATCGCTCCGCGAGTCTTCGGCCTCTTGGCCGGCAATGACCTTGTATGCCACCTTGGCGATCATGACGAACCAGATGCAGATGATGAGCTGCAGGATACAAAGCAGGCCCACAAGGATGAGCGTCATCGGGCTACGATAGCCGAGCCACTCGCTCCCGTCCTGGCCAGGTTGCAGGGGTAGGAGTTTGGGCGAGGAGAAGATGCATGAGTAGAGCATCATGACGTAGAAGACGTGCCGTGTGACGATCCAAGACAGCATGAATGCGCCGAATGCGACGTCGCAGGCCTTGCGAAGATCCATGTACCGCAAGCATTTCGCCGTCTGTTTGCTTTTGGTCAGCATGCACAGCAAGGAAGAAGAAAACTAGAAGGGAATAACTCACAGAGAGAAACACATCGCTAGGGTCCATCAGGAGAAGAACGACGTTGCCGACGGGCGTGAAATGCGAGCAATAGGAGCCAATAAGTAGGCAGATGGTGACGATGTGGTGGCAGAACATTTGCCAGTGATCCTTGCGTCGCTCCTCCACGTTGAGCACTAGGATTTGCTGGAACCAAAAGGCGATTTGTGTCAGGTAGTAGAACTTGGACAGCCCCGTCAGCTCCCGGTACGGCCAGCGATTCCAGATGCCTTCTGGGTTGGTCCAGTAGGGCTCCGACCTCGCGACGTGCTGTCGCTCGACATCAGCTAATGTACAAATATGGCGAGTAGAAGCCAGCACTCACAAGGCCAAAGCAGAAGTTGATGAAACAGTAGAGCGCCATCCACGCCTGCTCTGAAAATCTGGCGATCTTCCTCCTCCTCTCCTTCCTCGCCAGTCTCCGTCCGTGCGAGTCGAGATTGCTTCGCGTCGTTTCATCCTTGATGAGTGTCGCGGCCAAAGGGATCAACAGAAACTTCATCGTCGCCGCCCTCAGAATAGTGAAGAGGAAGATACCAGTGGCGATGACGAAGACGTCCTTTGGTCCCTTTGCGTACTTCTTCGTCAGGAACCCGAAATAGTCATCGGTCTCTTCGACGCCATAGTGCTGAAGCGCCTCAATCCAGCCAGGGTTGAAGGACGTGTGAGTGACGTCGTGGTACGCGAAGTGGGCGATGTGATGGTGCGACAGATCCTGAGTGGCCTTGGACGTCGAATAGCTGAGTCTCAAGCAGGCGCGCGTGAAGTTGTGCAAGGCTGACAGTGGATGCCCAAAGCCCAGAGCGTCACTTCGAAATGGCCCCACGGAGCCGGTACTGAGCCATCTTGACGACTCCTTTGAGTTGTGCGAAGCGTTTGGCAGCTCCGTTGCGAATGGCGCCAAGCTGGGCAGATGGCGGCTCCAAGCGGGAAGGAGTGCTTGGAGGGTGTGGGGTAGATGCGCGCTGAGGTGGGGCAGCGACAGCGATGAGCTGCCGCTGAGGGCATGCGATACGAGCAGGGCCAAGAGGACGTAGAGGGGTATATCGATCTGCCGGTCGAGGAGACGGTCGGCGGCGAGCTCCTTTCGCGACTTCTCCTTTTCCTCGTCAACTTTGGTCGAGCTGCCAGCCCACCCGCTCGCATGTCGTCGTGCAGTTGTCCTTTTTGCCATGGCGGTACCGCCCTGCCGCTCACGTCAATCTAAGTGAAGGTAGTGGAAGCGAGAGGCTAACAGAAGAGCTCCTTGTGCAGACAGCGTGCCAGACGCAACCCTTCTTTGTCGATGTCGCGATCCTTAAAGGCCCATGAGAGATCCAGGAGGAGCTAGTAAGGGGAAAGGGGGCCAGTCAGACAAAGGATAACGATCCTCTGCTGAGATCTGGTAATGAGGAAACGAGAGGCAACGCTTGCAGGCGTCCGAGCTGGCTGTTCTCGCTGGGCTGGGCTTCGTCTCCGTCGCGAGCGCCAAGTACCTTGACGAGGAGTCCAGATGATCACGATCGGCCAGCGCTCAACGTTGGTTCGTTCGCTTTGATTCGATGTCTGCGTCGGGCGCGCGAAGGTGCGCGTTCGGAAAGTTTAAACTAGGGGCGCACGTTTTCGTCATTTCGGCTGGCCGACGTGTCTGTCATGACAGATAGGTTCGGTCACATTTTGCCTTCACGTGCAGCACACACTGCGGAACCACAGGCTCGACACAAGAAGGTCTAGCAAGGGCTGCAGCAGCTGGGTTCTCCTCACACGCCATTTCAAGTTAACGACCCCCCCTCAACCTCACCTCACCGACAATGAGCAAGGTTCCCGCTGTTCTCAACGCCACGGACGAGGACATCTCGCTCCTCCTGGCTGCCAACACGCACATTGGCACCAAGAACTGCGAGAAGGCCATGGAGCCTTACGTCTTCAAGAGGCGCCCTGATGGAATCCACCTGATCAACATCGGCAAGACCTGGGAGAAGATTGTCTTTGCCGCCCGTATCCTCGCCGCCATCGAGAACCCGGCCGACATCTGTGTCATCTCGGGCAGGCCCTACGGCCACCGTGCCGTGCTCAAGTACGCCGCCAACGCCGGTGCTACTGCCATTGCCGGCCGCTTCACCCCCGGTTCGTTCACCAACTACATCACGCGCTCGTTCAAGGAGCCCCGTGTCATTGTCGTCACGGACCCCAGGGTGGACCACCAGGCCATCCGTGAGGCTTCGTACGTCAACATCCCCGTCATTGCCTTCTGCGACACCGACGCTCCCCTCAAGCACGTCGACGTCGCCATCCCGGGCAACAACAAGAGCAAGCACTCGATCGGCCTCCTCTGGTGGCTCCTCTGCCGTGAGGTCCTCCGTATCCGCGGCTCGGTCCCCCGCACCTCGGACGGCTGGGGCATCATGGTCGACATGTTCTTCTACCGCGACCCCGAAGAGGTCGAGCGCGAGCAGGCCGAGGCTCTGGCTGCCAAGCAGACTGCCGCCGCCGGCATCGCTGGTCAGGAGGGCGGCGCCGAGGTCGGCGCCCAGGACAACCTCGACTTTGCCGTCGAGGGCACCGCTGCCGCCGGTGGTCTCAACCCCGCTCTGGCTGCCAACATCCCCACGGGCGAGAACGTCGACTGGGCCAACCAGGGCCAGAGCGTCCAGGACTGGGCTGCCGACTCGGGCCCATCCTGGGAGGCTGGTGCCACTGCCGAGGGCGTCACTGGCGCCGCTCAGCAGCCCAGCAGCACCTGGGACTAAACCGCTCGCCCCGCGGAGAGAAAACGAGGGGGAAGGGGGGAAATCCAACATCTTGTCAATGCGTCGTCTGGCCTCTATCATTCGGCTCTTTCGAGAGAATGTTCCGACCCGTGGAACATGTGCTAGAGTCCCATATCCGAGAGCTTGTCATTCATAAAAAACAAACCACCACCTTTTCCCAAAACTGCCACATCCTCTGTACTATGTGTCCCAAGTCAATGTCAACGACGTTGCATCTTCAATTTATTAGTAAGAAAGCACCCGACTATACTTCATAACGGCAGCAGGGGATCACAGAAAGAAGCAGTAGCAGTGGTAAGTGATGGTAGCAGTGGTATACGGTCAGCAAGCAACCACAAGCACGTAAACGATAAAGGTAGCAACAAGAAAAGCTCGGTCCGTCTCTACTCGTCATCGCCGACCTGAGGCACCTTTGACTTTCTCCGGACCTTTTCCCAGATCGACCGCCGCTTGACCTTTCCCTTTTGGCGGGCGTTGTCGAGCCGCTGGCGAGCTTCGAGCTTGGACGCGTCGCGGTCCTCGGGGATGTCGACAATGTCCTGGCTCGACTCGGTGTCTGCCTGGGCCTTTGCCTTGGCGCGCTCGTCTGCGCCGACGAGCGTCGGCTCGGCCGACGACTGGTTGACCGACGTGGACGCCTTGGAAGCCTGGAAGTCGGATGAAGACTTGGCCGTCGTCGTCGACACCGCCGCCAGAGACGTGGGCTCCACCGTGGCTGCCTTGTCGTTCTGCGCGAGCGCAATCGACGTCGAGGTGCCCGTCACGGGGTTCGTCGTTCCAAAGGTACCGTAATCGGTCTGCTTTGTGCCCTCTTGCGCCTTGCCCTTGAGGTCCGAGGAGGCCTGCGTCGCATCGTTGATTATGTTCTGGGCTGCCGACGTCGAGGCGCCGCTCTTGCTGGTTTGGCGAACGTCCGTGACGAGGTTGGCATCGTTGATCTCGTATGCGCCATCGACGGTGGGCTGGTCCTGCGAGGGGGCATCGACAACGGAGCCACTCGACGAGGCGCCGCTCACGTTCCCATTGCGATCGGCACCGACGACCAGAACGAACAGGACCCATTCGAGCAGGCTCAGCACCACCTGTCCGCCAACGAGGCCCGAAATGGTCAGGCCAGTGCCAATGAAGGCGACATGGGCCGGACGAGCCTGGAAGAGGAGGTTGAGAACAAACGTGTTGGCGGCAAAAGAGAAGAAGCAGACGCCCGCGACGCTGAGCGGCCCCGACTGCGTCTGGCTCCGAATGGCTCCTCCTCCGCCGCCGCTGCTGCTGCTGGGCTCTGTCTGACCATTGGTGGTGGCGCTAGTGGAGGGCGCGTGGTTCCTGCGCTGCGACTTTGACACGCCGAAGCCAACGATGAAGAGCGTCAAACAGCGTGCCACGCAGACGAGGTAGACGAACAGGAGCAGCCGATGGGCGCTGGGCCTCGAGGCAGACGTCGAGAGGGGGCCCGCCTTGACCTTTTGGTGGAGCGACTTGAAGAGGCTGCTGTCAGACGGATGCGGCTTGTGCACCACAGGAATAGGATCGAGCTGCAGAGAGAGCACCGTCGTGCTGATGAGGTCAATCGCAGCGACGACGTGGATCACGGCCGAAGGTAACACCATGGTGAAGCGAGTGAGCGGGAGCGCAGTGGCTTGGTATGTGGAAGAAGGAGTAGGAAACCGATAAGCTCGTTTGCCCTATTCCCCCTCCTCTGGTTTCGCCCTTTGGTCCGTCCGAACTCAGAAAAAAAGAAAAAAAGGATTGGCGCGTAAAAAAATAGGGCGCATCCCTGAAATCGCGTCTGCCCAATCGCCATCGGACTTAGCGAGCTTCGTCACGGTGAGCCTCGCTCTTTGGCCTTCTCCTCGCAATAGCATATGAATTGCTATCTTTCTTTCTCCAATTCTTCTCCGAGCTCATGAAAGTGAGATTGCTCGCAGTTGCAAGAGAATCAGTGGAGAAGACTGTGTGACGTATCATAGGTATCTACTTCTTGAAATGGCGGCTAATGTGACGACTTCGAAGAAAACTTGCGGATGATTGGTTACCCAAGGCAGCTTCCCTTGTTGATGGCACCGAGGGTCGGCCAGCATGAACTCGATGCTCTAGACATGAGCTGTGCAGACGCAGTGGAGCTCATTGTCGGCAATCGCTTGTGGACATGTTCTGGAAGTCGATTTTTTCAAGCAAACAGACTATGAAAAGCATCGTCCAACAGCAACTTCATCCGAGTTCAGACTCTGCGGCAGGGCCTTCCGCTTCCCTCCTTGTTGTCTTCTTGACGACCCAAGAAGTAGCACGGCCCCATGGAACGGCCAATGGACCTCTATCGACGCTATTTTCGATTTTGGTGAACATGTCGTCTCCACTTTGCAACTGACATCCAGAAGGCTTCAATAATCATAGGCCACTGTGCAGAGTGCTATTGAGCCTATAAGAGCTTGGTTGCGTAGAGCTGGGGAGATGCAGCTGAGAAGGGTTGTTTAAGCTCTGCCTCTGGGCGGACAATCGCTTTAGGTAAGAAGTGTTTATTTGCCATGGGAGCAGATGCCGGCCTAATATTCCAACTTGTCTCATCTCTGGGACGCCGAGTCTGCTATAGGAGACTGAGTTTCCAACGTCACTGCCTGCGTCAAGTCTTCTCGGCGTAACCCCCTGGTCGAGAGCCTAGTCGCGATTGCAGGAAGCGCTGTAAGGGTTGCTCTTTCCTTCGTAGATGGAGTAGGAGACCGTATGCAATTGTATTTAGCGTGTGGAAGTGTGTATGACATGAGGCGAGGGCCGTGGATGGAGTGAGATGAAAGGTAAAAGTACATGGGTAGGTGCATGGCAGCGTAGGGACGAATGGAAAAGAGGACAAGGCTACCACTCCAGCTCGGAGCCGAGCTTGGAAAAGACGTAGTCACGACCGTCGATGGAGGCGACACCGTCCTTGAGTACGCATTTCCACTTGTTGCGCACCCGCTGCACCTTGTCGTACAGGCACAGGATCATGTCTCCGTCTCCGTCCAGCGCGCCATCAAAGTCTTCGTCGTCAGAGTCATCAAGGTCGCTTCCAATCTCATCATCATCGGCTGGACGCTTGCGCTTGCCTCCCTCCCCTTCTGCGCCATCTGCGCCATCTCCGTTGGATGTGCCCTTGTCTCTGGACTTGCCATTGCCGCTGCTGCCCTCTCCAGCAGTACCGTCCTTGACGCTCGTCGAGCCATTGGTGCGTGCCACCTTGTTGGACGACGAAGACGAAGCCTGCTGCGATGACTGCGACTGGTGCAGCCCATCGTCATCTTCCTGCTTGACCTTTGGGGTATCCGACTGCTGCTGCTGCTGCTCCCTTTGGCGTCTCGGTGCAGCGGGTCCAGCGCCATCAAAGTCCGCAACGCCAGTCGCCACGATCTTTGCCTCCCAGCTCTTCACCGTGACTTTCTATTTAGCGATGCGATGCGAAAACTATACAGAGAATTGCAATGCTCACCCTCTGAAGCTCCTCGAGAACCTCACGCTCGATGCCCATGTCCTCAAAGTCTTGCCGGACATTGGCAATGACATCGTCGATGACGAGTCGGTACGTCGAGGACTGTGAAAGGGGGCAATAGGGAGTGGAGGGTGAGAGGGGGCGCTCTGAATGGAGCTTAGTGACATGAATCCTCACCACTGCGCGGTTGCTCATCTTTGCCGCCTGCCAAGAATGCCGCTTCCGAACACAGGGAGATGATTAAAAAACGGTCAAAGTCCTTCTACACGAACAGGACCTTGCTCCAGCCGCTGCAGGTTGTCTGAAACTAGAAAGACCGGGACGCGCTGTTCAGATGGACTATATTGCAGGAGACCTACTCGTCTCGTCTCGTGTCTTCCTCGGGAAAGTCTTGCTGTGTGATACACACAGCGACGACGACGACGACGACGAGGAGAGCGGAGAGGGATAGCCGGTGGCGTTCAGAAGAGCAAGAAGTGGTGGTCCGATGCTGAGCCCCGCGGTATTTATACGCGCTGGCGATCGACCCGAGCATGCCGCTTATGTCAGCCGTTCACGTGTGCACAAGGCACTCGCATTGGTTCTCTCTTCTCACCCCACCTGGCGGTAGCCTACCTGTTCGCGAGCCTTCTCGACTAGGATAGCTGTGAGACAGCCATGGCGAGCCTTATGCGACTCGGCCGTGGCACGCCTAGAGGCCTTGCAAGCCGCCTTAGGGTGCCATACTCAACCGAAGCGGGGCCTTCTTCGAGCCCACCCGACCCGCCTCGGCCACGCCGGCGGCGGCGGTCATCGCTCACGCCCGAAGAAGAGGCGTCCCTCTACCGCCAGGGCGGGCCCACCGACCTCGTTGGCCCGCCTGATCCCATCTCCAACATCCGCCCTGTGCTGTATGCCCGCCTCGTCGCACGCTCCTCCCGGCCTGGCGGTCCCCCGGCTTCCAACGCGAACGCGAGCAACCCCCACCCCTACTCGACGTCCGAGTTCGACAGCCCCTCTGTCGGAAAGGGCATCTGGGGTCGATGGGCACAGCAGGTGGGCGAGCGGCTGCAGGAGGCGGAGCTACAGCTGCGACTCGCCAGGATGAGCGGCGATGGGCTCACGCAGCGCTTCTGGCGCGACAATAACCTGCGCTTCGGAAAGGACCTCGATGAGGCGAGGACGAGGGGCGGCGAGGGCGCCAGGGCATTGCCAGTGCCGACATCAAGCACAGGGGAAGAGCAGGCGCTCGAGCTAGCAGACGCAAAGAAGAAGGGGCTCGAATCCGTCGACTCCAGCTTCTACGCTCAATGGCTCGACGCCAACGGGCCGCGACATCGCGCATACAACGTCCTCGTCTGGAAGCAGGCCGCTTTGGAGGTCAAGCTCGGAGCAAGAGTCGCATGGCTCCAATTCCTGCTCCGCATCGTTGGTCGTTAGAATCATTGCACATTCTCATGTACTAGTAGCAAAGAATCAAGAATGTCGACATACAGGAGAACGGTGATCGTTATGTGAAAAAAGAGAAGCACGGTGACACGGGAAAACAGAACAAAAAGTACAGATAAAGGGAATTAAACATCGACACTGAGAAGGACAAGGCCGGCGGTGATGTGTTTGGGCGCATTGACATCCTCTTGCTCGTCGTCGCCGTTAGCTTCCAGATCTTCATCGCCCTCCTTGCCAACGCCAACAACCGAGGCGCCTACATAGCAGAGACCATGGACAATTGCGCGGAAGCGCTCCTCGTCAAATGCCTGGCAGATGGCCATGCGATCAAGAACAAAGACCACATTGTCGACTCGAAGCTTTTCCGTGGCGTGGTCCAGCACATCGAGGATGGAGGTGCGCAGGTCAGAGGGAAGCAGAGTCGAGGGCAGCATGGTGAGCAGCGTGCGACGGTGATGGCTGGCCGCAGCTTTTGACGACCTAGAGAGCTTGCCTGATCGAGGAGCCTTGACCGTCGGCTTCCTTGTGTTGATCAGAACAGCGCCGCTCCAGCCGGGGCAGACGAGATCCATTCCTGCGTCCTCGACAGCATAGTCTCCGTCGTTGATACGGGGGAGAATCGCCTGGGCAAACCCGCGCGCCGTGACACCAGGCTGGTGGATGAGAATCGAGGCAGGCGACATCGTCGACGGCGTGGCGTCAGGGGTAGGAAGGCTGACGGCCTTTAGCTCAGAGTGCCGGCTCGTCGCGATTCTTTCCACGGCAGACCGCAAGTGTCCATAGCTGGAGAGACTGCCGACCTGGTCGTCTGTCTCGGAGGCATGCTCGCTGTAATTTCCCACTTGCTCCTGGTACGAACCACCGTAGGAAGAAAGACTGCCCTCAAGGTTGAAGAATCCGGTTGAGGCGGGCGGCGTCGAAGGAGGAGAAGGAGGTATAAGGTCTGGATCAGTCGCTCCGCGGGCGGTAAAGGTGGCGAGAGACCGCGAGCGGTCCTGACTGATGGGCATAGCGGCAGCGACGGGATTCGACGAGGGTGAAGAGGATATGGTGTTGTCTGTGCTGTTGGTATTGGCGGTGGTGGTGGTGTTGATTCGCAACTCGTTCAGACAAAGCGACGTGTCCCCTCTCACAGGATCACATCGACCGGAACCAGCGCCGGCCGCTGCTCCCCTGGTAGGGGAGTGCGGAACGGCGCCAGCATGCTCCGGCATTTCTCCACGAGTCACGTCAAAACCACCACTTGACCACGGCCTGAGGCGTAGTGGACTGGTGCTGCGAGGGCTGGTGGCGAGGAACCATCTGACCCTTTGACAGCGGCTGCTTTTGCGTCATCTGCAGAGTGCGCATGTTGGCGGGTTCCCCATCCAGGCCGACGGTTGCGCGGGCGTCGGCGGGGGACAGACTGTCAAGCCGTCATAATGTTAGCAAAGAGTCTACGAGCATGGCTTTTGAACCCTCGGCTCACCTGGAATTCGAATTTGTGTTGGTGCTTGGATTCGAGTTGAAGAACATCATGGCTATGTCTTTTGAGGGGAGCGTCGACGGGTAGAAGAGAGGCTTTGCTTGTGCTGACTAGGCTATGAGATGAGCGAAGTTGGTAGATTAGGCTCAGAGAGGGCCTGGCCAGCCGGCGATGGCGTTATATTTTTCTTTCTCGAATCACCCACACGTGGAAAAATAAAAGGGAGGCCGCGGGCCGAGCACCTCAGCAACAACTTCAACTCAGAAAGACTCAAGAGGGGCCCAGCAGCATCATCAGACATGGAGTGTTCTTGGTTGAGCTTGGTAGCCATAGGAATTGCTGGGAGCTATTTTGAACAGGACTGTGGTTGTGTAGTAGTGTGTGATCGGAAAAAGCATACAAAGAAGGTGTAGACGAGCCCGCCCCAGATCCCCAGTCCCTGTACAAAAAAAGGAAGGGGGAGCGTCGTCTTCTTCCAAAAGAGTCGTCGAGAGAGAGGAGATCCTTTTTAAGCATCCTTCTTGGCAACGGTACCACGGATAAGACCAGTGCGACGAGCGGCAATGAGACCGGCCTTCTGACCAGCCGACGAGTCGCGCGGGACAGTCGAGGCGTGACCAATGTGCTGGTGATTACCACCACCGTGAGGGTGGTCAACGGGGTTCATGGCAACACCACGAGTCTTGGGCCAGCTGTTCCTCTTGACCTTGAACTTGTGGTGGGCACGACCAGCCTTGAGCAACGGCTTGTCGATACGACCGCCACCAGCGACGATGCCGACGCTGGCTCGCGACGCAGAGGGAACCGTCTTCTTGGCGCCCGAGGGCAGGCGAATACGGGTGTTCTTGCCGTCGTTGTCGTGTCCAATGATGGTGGCGTAGTTGCCCGAAGTGCGGGCGAGCGTGCCACGGTCACCGCTCTTGTCCTCGACGTTGCAGACAATCGTACCCTCGGGCAACGAGCTGAGAGGGAGGACGTTGCCAACGTTGACGGCAGCGCGCTTTCCACAGTAGACGAACTGGCCAGTCGAGAGGCCCTCGGTGGCAATGAACGTCTCGACGCGCTGCTTGAAGCGGTATGGGTCGCGGAAGGCAACACGAGCCAGGGGAGCACCACTGCGAATCACAACTGGTCAGTCCTCTGATTCTACTCATTGTCCCAGCTGCATCTTTTTCCCGTCCTTTTCGATCCCAGCTGCCACTGCCACGTCCTGCCTCTAACCCGCTCCTTTATCTCCCTCACAGACGCTCCCATTCCTGGCCTCGCCAAAGCATCCATCGTGCCAACACTCACCGACCAGCGTCGTGGATGATCTCCTGGACGAGACCCCGGATGTACCCGTTCCTCTCGGCGTAGTCGAGCGTGCGGAGCTTGGCGGGCGCCTTGTTGTGCTTGGTATGCGCAACGAAGATGCCGCCGTGCTTCCTCTGAGAACGAATGACCCTACCCATTGTTGTGTAGTTGAAGAGACCGTCGAACGAAGGGTTGGAGAGAGGAGGCGGCTCGCCCTTCCTAGGCAACGGTGTACGGCTTCTGGCGAAAATCGACGAGTGCCGCAGCGACACGTGGGTCAAGGCGCGAATACAAAATTAGTTTAGCTTTTTGTAGTGTAGTGTCAAATTTATCTCGAGCGACGAGACTGATCTCCACTCTCGAGTCGGAGAAAGTTGACTTCCTCACCCTCGACGAGACTGACAAGATGATGAGCAAATGGTGAGTTGGCAGAGGTCTTGGTCCCGGAGAACGAGGCGCTCCGGCCCTCGCTCTCGATATGATGATTACCCATCACAATACAAAGTTCAAGCTCAACAGTCGGAACTCCCAACATGGCCGACCAACATTCTGCAATCCTGATCTTCTGCTCGTCTTCCCGTCCTTACTTTGGAGAGCAGCAAGCTGACAATGCAAATCACAGAAAATACTTCTTTTCCAGGCACACTTCGGCATTTATTACAACATGGGGGTAGTACAAGATGGCCGAGGATATAAGAGATTAACAGAGGAGAGCAGGGAAGCAGAGGAGCCCTAGGAAGGTTGCTGCCACTGGCCGTTGTTAAATGGGCTTTGTCGCTGTTGCTGTTGCTGTTGTTGTTGCTGCTGCTGCTGCTGGATCATGCCCATCAACTGCTGAGGGGTGAATTGCTGCTGCTGCTGCTGTTGAGGTGTCTGCTGGAATTGCTGCATGAGCTGGTGCTGCAGGTGCGGGGGTACGCCCTGGAACTGTGGACCACCGGGAGCAAAGGACATCATTGGGTTGGTGCCAGGCGCACCCGATGACATAGGCATCGCCATCGATGGGTCAACGCTTGGTGGCCCCAGCGCGGGCGACTGGGTTCCCATTCGGCTGAAGGCTTGCTGGCTGCTCGGCGTGCCCGGCGCAGCCATGGGGCTCATGTGCCTGCCCTGCGACGGCGGCCCACCGTTGATCATGCCTGCTCCTCCCATAGACAGCCGCCCAGGGCTGCCGACGCTGCTGCCAGGCCCACCGCCACCACCTCCGCCCGATGGCGACTGGCCCGCCGCCGAGCTGGGTCGTCTTTGATGCCCGCCTTGTGCCGCGGCAAGCTGCTGCTGGCGCTGGCGCTGCACCGCCATCGTCTGCGCATTGGTCATCTGCTGCAGCTGCGCCTGGAGCGGCAGCTGACGGAAGTTGGGCACGTTGGCCTCCATGTACTGGACAAAGACCTGATTCTGGCCCCTGTAGTGCATCTGGAGCGCATTGAGGTTCATGACGGCATTCTGGCCAAATGCCTGAATGAGCGCCTGGGCCTGCTGGGGCGTGGGGCTCGACGTGGCTAGGTTGCCAAAGTTGACGCTGGCCGGCGACGGTTGCGGAGGCGTCGACTGTGGCTGCATCGACGGTGTATTTGGCTGCTGCTGGAGCGGCGGCTGTTGAGTGAACGACGGCTGCTGCTGTTGCTGTTGCTGCTGCTGGGGGTAAATCTGTTGGTGAAACTGAGACTGCTGCTGGAACGGCAATTGAGCTTGCATCTGGGCCGGCTGCTGTTGCTGCTGCTGCTGCTGCTGTTGCTGAGGAATCGGAGCTTGTTGTCCTTGCAGCGGCTGCGTCTGCGACTGCGTCTGCGTCTGCTGCGGAGTCTGGAGAGACTGCAGCGGCGTAGGCAACTGCATATTTTCCGACGAGGTCCGGGTGGCGAGCTTGGCGGCCATGCCTGCTGGGCGATTCGCGCCGTCAATCGAAGACAGTCGCCTTCGCCCATGGTCTTCGTTTGGCTCGCTCGTCTCCTCCCTCGCCCGCTTCTTGCCCTCGACCACTGCACCATTGCTGCGGCCCTCGTCGTCGGTGAAGAGAATGGCGAGGTGCTTGTAGAGGGCAGGCAGCATCGACTCGTTCCTCAGCGGCGTCTCGGGAAACGGCAACTTGTGCGGGCTCGGCGGCGGTGGCAGCTGTTGCACAGTCACATCGTCGGGCTTGGTCGACCGATCGGCGATGCCGGCCAGGAAGCTGAGGTTGCTCTGCAGCCGAAAGGCGGCGTCGCGGTACATGGGATCTTCGATCAGATTCTTGCCCTGCAGCTCGACGCAGAATCTGCATGGCAGCCAGGCGAGTCAGCCACTTTCCTACTACTTGTCATGAGCGCATCTTGAGCTCTGTGTTGTTGGCTTACCTGATCAGCTCTTTGTTGATCTTGAGGACCAATGCGATTCGCTTCAGCGCCAGCTCCTCCTCCTTTGTCTTTGCCTTTTCCTCTGGCCTTTCCTCGGCTTTACTGCCCTCTTTCTGCCCTGCGCTCTCCGCCTCGTCCTTGCCCTCCTTCCCTTCGCTGCTCTCTTCCTTCTTAATGCTCTCGTCGTCCTTCTTCTTCTGTCCCTCCTTCTTGCTCTCCTCGTCACCCTTCTTCATCTCCTCCTCCTCGACCTTCTCCTCCTCCTCCTCGTTGCTCTTGCCCTCTGCAGTCTGCTCGAGGCCCTCGGCTCGCTTTTCGCCATCTCCGTCTATCACTTCAGCTGGTCTGTTGTCCGCTTGCTCTGCCTCGCCCTTTTCTTGCCCTTCATCACCACCATTCGCGACTGCAAGCGTCGTACCCTTTCCATCGCCGTCTTCCCCTTCCTTTTCCCCTGCTTTCTCCACCTCTTCTAGCCCTGACCTTGCCTCTGAATTGCCCTTTCCAGCATCTAACGCCCCTTCTGCCTTTTCTGCCGTCTCGCCCAAAGGCTCGGCCAGCACAGCCTCGCCCGCGTCTGCGCTTTTAATTTCGCTTTCGCTTTCGCCGAGGTCGCCGCTGCCCTTGCTTGGCGCTTCGGCTGCGTTTTCCACCTTTGCTCGCGATGCAGCGTCTGCCAGGTCATCGGTCGCTTCGGTCGTGTCGGCCGCCACCGCCGCCGCAGTAGGAGGAGATGCTTGGATCGCCGCTTCTGTCTCGGTCAGACTCGCCAGAGGATCGGCAGAAGCTTGCGGGGCTGTGTCGAGAAGCGCAGGGGTGGATGTACCGGACGTCGTGGCGGCCAGGGGTGTCGCGACGGCAGGCGAAAGGGGCGCGGCGGTGACAGACAAGCTGGGAATGAGCGAGGGCGGCGCAACCCCGGGGGGAAGCTGAGAGTCGTCCGTCGCATTTGTGACGTCAGACGAAGAAGCAACCTTTTCGTCTTCCTTCTTTGGCTGCACTTCCTCGCTCTCGCCCTCCTTGTCCGTAGAGGCGGGCGGCTTATCCACCACGCTTGGCCCCGTTGCCGATGGTGCTGCAGCTGCAGCTGCAGCTGCCTCTTCTTCGCCACCTGCAGCAGCTTCTGGAACCGCCTCGACCTCTGCAGCGGCCGGTGGCTCTGCTTGTCCCATCTCCTCGTCTTCTGTAGCTATTGCTATTGTCGGTGCCTCTGCTGCTGCTGCCTCTGCTCCTGACACGTCGACCACAGCTACAGCTGGTGCTGCATCTTCCTTGACATCCTCGGCGCCTGTATCCAGTTCCATGTCTGCCGACGTTGCGATCGGGGGAGCTTTCTCATTCGCAGTGTTTTGGACATCGCCAGCAGTCCCAGCATCGGAGTCCGAGGCCTCCGGCTCCTTGCTTTGTTCCACGGCTGCCTCGGTGATGGGCGGCTCGAGCTCGTCGGATGCATCCCCAGCTGCTCGCTCGTTTGCAGAAGGAGAAGGGGAAGAAGCATCATCAGCAGCAGCGACGGAGGTCGCAGTGTCGTCCTTGGGCGCACTCTCCACTGCTACCATTTCGATATCTTCCCTGAGTGCCCCACCGTCTTCGTTGTCGACCTCGCCATGAACGTCCTCCTTTGCCTCGTCCATACTTGCTTGCTCTTTCTCCGCGCTCAGACCTACACCATCCTGCTCCTCCCGTGTGTGTCCAGTCGCCGTCGAAGTCGGGTTGACTGCTGAAGCGGCTTCATTTTCGTCGATCGGCCCAGGAGCAGGGGCCGCTGCTGGCGCAGGGGCGAGCTCTGGTACGTCCAAGGCCGGAGCAGCGATGGACGCTGCGGCGTCGGCCTCTACCACCGGCGCCTGAGCTGCCGGGCCGACGGTGCTGCTCTCTTCTTCTGCATGGGAGGAAGACATCGAGTCGCTCCCTCTCGCGCGCGCCTTTCCTGCGGGGCGTCTAGGGCTGCCTCCGACGCGACGAAGCCTCCGCCGTCGTCGTCGTCGCCGCCGCCGCCGTTGTCGCTCAGAGCACTACGCTGCGCGACGACCCTCGCGAAGGACGGCGAGTCCGAGACGGAACGCCGACAAGGGAAAGAGGGTGTGTAGGGGAGGGGGAGCTCAAGGAGAAAAGGGCTACTTCTCCACGAAATGGCTGCGCCCGAATCTGGGGGTGGATGCGCCAAAAAATAAGAAAAAAAAGAAGCCGATGTGAGCCAGGAAGCTACCGCCGTACGTCGTCGTGGTGCGCGCGCGCGGACGGCCGACAGCTTCTCATTCGACTTCTTTCCTTTTGCAATTATTCCCTATTTCTTCTTTTTCTGTATTTTTCTTTTTCCTTTTCTTTTTTTTTGGACGGATGGATTGAGACGCGGACGAGAGAGACTCGCACACGCTCGCTCCATTTCAGATCTCTTGCTTTCGTCGCACGCATCCAAGAGCCTTTCTCCCTTTTCTCCCTTCTCTCCTGTACAATACCCGACCAGGCTCCTTTCTCATCACCTTCTCTTCCGGCGTACCACGAACAGACGGAAAGAGGACATAACAAAGGGCATGCAAGATGAGATCCAAGAGCGACGCGAGGCAAGTGCCCCGCGAGACACAGCAGAGACTGCAACGCCGCCGATGAAAGAGCAGGAGCGGCCACCTCTGCCAGCAGCAATCACGGCAAAGGCGGCAGAAGATGCGCGTGACGGACAGTCTGCTCTAGAGGAAGGGGGAGAGAGGGGTGCAGAGGGAAGCGAAGAGGTCCCGGCAGAGTCACGTAGCATGGACGGCATCGCTGCGCAGACGAGGCCGCGGAGCCTGTCACGGTCGAGCGCAACGAGCGAGGAGGAGGGACAATTGGTCGAAGATGATGAGGGCGAGACGGCGCGTGGGAGTGCATCCAACTCTCAAGCGACGCCCACGGCTGCACGATCGCCCCAGAACGGCGGCGGCGGCAGTAGCAGCAGCATTGCAGCCGGCGAGCGATCGGCTGAGCGCTCGCCAGTGTCGGCCTGGCGCCATGGGCCTGCTTCCTCTTCGTCGTCCCAGCTGGCTGCTGATTCGTCCCACCCCTCAAATTACCCTCCGAGATGGGGCGCGTCGGAGCACCGGGCCTCTGACTCGGGCCTGTATCGACCGGGGACAGACTTCAGGTCATCCTCGGCGAGCCGGTCTCGCACCTCCTCCTCGTGGTGGGATGACCGAAGAGCACAGGACGTGCATCGGCACCGGGAGAGGGACAGAGACAACAGAGAGAGAGAACGCGAGAGGGAAGCGTCGTACGCAGCGGCGCGTGGTGGTGGCTACATGGGCCGGTCAATGAGCATCCCCAACGTCGATGACCGCATGGCGAGGGACGATCGGGAGCTGCACTCACCTGCCTCGGCCACATACGACGATCGCGACCGCGACAGCGGCAGAGCGGCTCAGGCTCAGGGCTGGGTCAGGAGAGGCACTGGCGCCCTCCGGGATCGCGATGCACTCCGGTCGTGGAGTGGATCGCAGGCTCCTCCGGCAGGCACAAAGTCTGGCCCAACCTCCCCTGTAACGGGATGGAGAGATCGGTACTGGGCCGATCGAGGCGGTGAACGCAGCAGCGAGACTTCGTACTTTCCGAGACCGCACGAACCCGCGGATGACTCTCCAAGGAGAAGGCGGATCGACTCGTGAGTACATGCACTCTTTTGGCCTGTTCTTCCTCGCTCACGTAGTTGTTGTCTTCCTTAGTGGGCTTGCTCGAAATGCAGACGATCGATCTGCGCCTTCGAGACGCGAGCGAGAACGGACGGCGAGTGCGGCCACAAGCGAAGAACGAGCGAGGCTATCACCCGGCGCTCCATCGTCGAGAGACCAAAGCCCTTTGTCGTCTTTCAGGGCCCGCGCCATTCGTCGGCGCTCCAACTCAGTCTCTCAAGAGAGCAGCTCCTTGGCAGGCGAGAAAGATCCCAGCATCAACCGACGCAGCTTCTCGAGAGCATCGTCGCCTGCCGAGAAACCTACGCTGGGAGGCAGCAAGGCACGTGCGTTCAAAGAGGAGCTTCTTGCGCCAAGGACACACTTGCTTCCCGGCAACGATACACAGCACACGGAAAGAGGTGTGGATCCTCCATCGAGCACGTCTGACAGCGTCGCCGCCCTGGAAAGTCAGGAAGTGGAGAATCGACCAATGAAACCAGAGCCAGAGCTCGAAGAGGCGTCGGACCTTATCGCTGCAGGACAAAGGGTAGAACCCCCGAGACAACTGGACGAGCCGATGGCACCCATCGCAGAGGAATCGCAGGCAGAGCTGGCGCAGGCTGGCGTAGCCCTTCCGTCGTCGACAATGCCCGTCGAAGCGGAAGATGGACGAGAAATGATCAAACAGGCAAAGGAGGAGGCGGTGGCGGCCGACGAAGAGGCTGCGAGACACGAAGCGGAGCTGGCTCGGGAGACTGTTGTCCCCCAAGTGGCGCTTGTCGAACGAGACCAGCCTCCGACGGCCACCGACGATCAGAGGAATGCTGCTCTGGGTGCCTTGGGGGTTCAAGCACCCGCACCAGTGGTCGAAGCCGAGCTCAGTGTCGAGTCCAGCTTCCCAAAGATCGGAGGCCCTGGGGTTACGTCGTCGAGCGAAGACCACATCGCTGCAGAGTGGAGCCAGCCTCCCGCTGTATCGTTGCCCGTCCATCTATCTGCGACGCAGGAAGAAGCTCTGCCCACCAGGGCACCCGACGACGTCAAGATGTCGTCAAGCCCCACCGAGCCAATGCTGGAGCCGATACAGGAAGAGAAGGTGGACGAAGAAGCGAAAGTGGCAGTCGAAGAAATGCAGGTCGACGACATGGGTCAGCCGGACAGCAATGAGATGCAAGTCGACCGAGCACCTTTTCTGCACATTGATGCAAGCCGGGGCTTGAATGATGAGGCACCGTTGATGACTCCGCGGACCCAAGAAGAGCGGGACAAGGCCATGCGCGCCACCGCTCGCCAGATGCTGGAAGAGCAGAAGCGAGACGAAGGCCGAATCGTCGACGAGATCCTCCGCGAGAACAAAAAAGTCGCAAGCCAGATGACGTACAAATTTCTCGAGTCTGCCATCCATGGCCAGCCTCCGAAGCCCCTCGACGAAGGAATCTGGCTCGACGACGATGATGAGAAGGTCAAGGTGGTGCAGCGCCGTCTTCTGCAGGAGGAAAAGGAGCGACAGAAGCGGCTCACGGAAAAGGTGGAGAAACTGCGGAGCCAATATAAAAGTCTCGACGAGGAGTGGAAGGTGCATCGTGCTCGACTAGATCGGATGAGTGAAATTCGAGAACAGCAGCAGCAACAGCAGCAACAGCAGTCGCAGGGCCAATACCAGCAGCAACAGCAACAACAGAGCTTGTTCAAGCGTCCCTCGATGCACCACCAGTCGATCAGCGCGCCTGGCCTAAGTGGAGGAAGCGGGGGTCTCAGCACTCTGTCAACCGCAGGGGACGATCATGGCCTGCTCGCGTCAATGAGCGGGTCCATGTCCAGGAGCAATCGTCGCAATGCCCAAGCCGGCTTCGCAGGATTCGGCGATGCCGTCCGTTCCGAGGCCGAGTTCCTCGAGATTTTAGCGTCTCTCGAAAGCGCAGACATGCAGGACCCCAGCGTTCGAGCAGCGAGGACCACGGCCACGGAGCCGGACATGAAAGTCAACCCAGACTCGGATGAACCGCTCAAGTCTACTTTTGACGACGACAATGGCTTCGTGGCTGACCACGTAGCCTTCTATCTGGACGACTTTGATCCCGATTACTGGTCCGCCGAGGAAAAAGCAACGTTCGAGCGCAGGTATGCACTCTTTCCTAAGCAGTTTGGCAAGATTGCCCAGTCGCTGCCGGACAAGACGGCTTCGCAGTGTGTGCTGTATTACTACCTGACAAAGAAGCGGGAAGGACACGACTACAAGGGCATGATGGCTGGCCGAAACAAGGATCGAAAGCGCAAGGCCAGAGCAAAGCCCAAGAAAGGTAGAGGAAGTGCCCTCATGGCCGACCTCAAGGCCACAGACGAGGTCGAAGAGGAAGAAGTCGCCAGTCCACTCGAGGAGGGTCAGCCACAGGGCCAGCAGCCAACCAACAAGAGGCGGGCGAGGCTGATGACGTCGGAAGTTGCGCCCTCCGCCGACGAGGAGGTCACCACACCCACGTCGGCAACGCGCAAGCGTCGTGCCGAGGATGGCGCCGAGGCTGAAGAGAAGAAGGGCAGCGCATCGGCATCGCGGTCCAAGGGCAAGCGGGCCAGATCGGAGAAGAAGGCAAAGACGAGTGCAAGTGCGACACCATCGACGGAGAACAATGTCGTCCCTGGCGGCGAATCGGGCTACTCGTCGACCGTTGGCACACCGGGCGAGGGAGACTTGGCGGCCGCTGAAGCATTGGGAGCTCTGGCAGGCTACGGCGAGCAGCCACCGATGGTGATCGGTAACGAGGACAGTAAAGGAGGCAAGCGCAAAGCACCCAAGCCTGCGAGGCCCCCACCAACATCCATGAGTATACCTACGACGCCTACCGAGGGGTACCCCGGAGCTGGAGCTGGAGCTGGAGCTGGAGCTGGAGCTGGACCAGGACTAATGGGAGTGGAAGGTGTGGCAGCCGAAGAGTCTACGAAGAGGCCGAGACAGTCGACCTCGTCGTACTGGTCGGTGGCAGAGAGAAACGAGTTTCTGCGCACGCTGGCCGTGGTGGGCAAGCAGTGGGACTCGATCGCTTCCAATCTCAAGACAAAGTCGGCTGCCCAAGCGCGCAACTTCTTCTCCCGCAATGCGGTCGATGGTGATTTCGCGGAAGCCGCTGCGATGAGCGAGCAGAATGCTTCTCTGTCCTTAGAGCAAAGACAGGAAGCGGCCAACTCCTTTGTCAAGAAGCGCATGCAGCAGCCTGTGCCTTCTCCAGCCCAACAGCTCCCAATGCCGCTGCCGCTGCCGTCGCAACAACAGCCTCGATCTGGTTATTTTCCTGCTTCGCCCGGCTTGCAACGTGGGCCCAGTCCTCCGCCACCGTCTTCGACGGCTCGGAGCGGCCTCAATATCAACAGCTTGCTCAACGAAGAGGCGCCCGGTGAGGATCTGCGCCGGCGCAGCTCCCTCAACGAGTGGTTTGGCACAGACCATCGTCGCGAGTACCAACAACACGAAGATCGGCGCGGCCAAGACGATGGAAACGACGACACGGACGAAGAGGAGGGGCCCTCGTCGCCCCACATGGACGAGAAGCCCATTCAGAGGGACTACTTCCAACCGCCTCGAATTTCGCTTGATCCGTACTACCACCAGGGCGAAGCACCTGCCTCGGCCTACCACCGACCGTCCTACCTCTCGCGGAACGACGACTATGGTCTGGGCAGAAGGTCGCCTGGAAGTGGCCCAACGATCATGACTTCGATGCCGCCCCCTTCCGCTTTTGTTTCAACGGGTGCTCGATACCCAGTGCGGTCTCCTGGCCAGGGTCCAATGGAGCTTCCCCTTCGGTCCTCGTTGCCACCGCCGCCGACTCACGCACCTCCTCCCCCTCTGCGGTCTCCCACGTACCGTGACGATGCACTCCCGCCCATCCACCGTCCTCAACCGTCGTCGATGGAGTTCGCGAGCGGCCATAGTCCGCATCATCAGCAGCAAGCGCAGCACCACCAGCACCAAGTGGCAAGCTTTGAGAGAGGAAGCTATCCTTCCGAGAGGCCCTCCTCGTCGCCATCGTCGTGGAGTCAGTCATCTACCACGCAGCATCGTCATTCCTCTTGGCCAACACCGTCCCACCTGATGCCCCCGGCACCTTCTCCGACCCGCTATTCGCCACAGCACGATGGTGGAGGCCCAAGCCCCTTTCGATATCTCTCCCCCTCGCACCAGAGCCCTCCGGCCTCGGAGTCCTATCACCGCAGCTCCTCGGTTGGCCACCAGCCTCAGCCCCCACCGCCTCGGCTGCCGAGCCCCAGCGGCACGAGACCCTTCAGCCCATTTGCCAGGGATCACCAGCAGCAGCAGCAGCAGCAACAACAAGAGAGGGAGAGGGAGTGGCATCGGCAGCAACAGCAGCAGCAGCAGCAGCAGCAACAGCAACATTTCCAAAGACCTGGTTCTCGTTAAGATATCCCGCTGTTTTTCAGTGATGCATGTACTTTTACAAGAGGTCAAAGCCTCTTCTTGTCGACTATGGGTGGAAAGTATATGTTACAATTGCCAGAGCGTGGTCATCAGGGTGTGGTATCACCATCATGAGAGAAGCCTCTCGAAGTCCTTGAGTGCTGCATCGACGGATGCTGGCGCCTGCCGAGATTAGAGATGTCAGCATCACCAGTGCATCCCTCTGCAAGCTCAAACTCACTGTCCGTTTCGGCTGAGCGATGCTCGCCGCGCGCTGCTGTGGTTGTGCCACCGACGAAGCAGCCCACTTCTGGTCCAAGGCCAGCCTCCGCTCCTCGTCCCTTCCCCCTTGGCCCTTTGTCCTCTTCCCTGGCGGTGTTTGTCTCTTGTTCTTCTTGTGATCTGCGATAGCAGACTTCTGAACTGCCTTCTTTGCCGAAGCCGCACTGCCCTTGGCGGATGACTTGGGCCCGCCGCTGCTGGCGCCGCTCGGCTTGGCCACCCTCTTGAGCCCCGTTCGTGACATGGTTATACCGGTAGCTTGACCTCTTAAAAAACCAAAAAAAGAGGACGAAATTTAAGCATGTGTTGGTCACGTGTTTTTGTTAGTCTCAAGCCTTCCACTTCTTCCATCCTCGAGCGCCTCTCCGACCGTGTTCCTCTTAATTCCCACCGCTCCATCTTCGACCTTACCGTCGAGAGCAAATCAACGCGATGGCGGAACCACAGATTGCGTATGCGCAAGACGAGTACGGACGCCCGTTCATCGTCGTGCGCGAGCAGGGCAAAAAGACGCGGGCGCAGGGGATCCAGGCGCTCAAGAACCACATCTCGGCCGCGCGGACGGTTGCGCAGATCGTCCGGACCTCGCTGGGTCCCCGGGGCCTGGACAAGATCCTGATTAGCCCCGACGGCGATATCCAGGTGACCAATGACGGCGCGACAATCATGCAGAACATGGAGCTTGAGAACCAGATTGCACGGCTGATGGTGCAGCTCTCGTCGAGTCAAGACGACGAGATTGGAGATGGCACGACCGGCGTCGTTGGTGAGTCGCATTGAGGAGCCACCCATGTTGCATATGTACTGATACGAGAGAGCTTCCTCTAGTTCTTGCTGGTGCACTTCTGGAGCAGTCGGAGTCGCTGCTCGACCGTGGCATTCACCCAATTCGAATTGCCGACGGCTTCGAGCGTGCCTGCACGGTCGCTGTCCAGGCGCTCGAAAAAGTCGCTGACAGAGTCGAGTTCAGCCTGGGGGCGGGAAACCAGGAGGAGCTCCTCAAGACGGCCAAGACGTCGCTGGGATCCAAGATTGTCTCCAAGGCGTCGGATCTCTTTGCGAGAATCGCCGTCGACTCGGTTCTCTCCGTCGCGGACCTCGAGAGGAAGGACGTCGACTTCGAGCTCATCAAGGTCGACGGAAAGGTGGGAGGCTCGCTCGAGGACACGACTCTCGTCAAGGGCGTCGTCATTGACAAGGACTTTTCGCACCCGCAAATGCCGCGAGAGGTTCGGGACGCAAAGATTGCCATTCTGACGTGCCCCTTTGAGCCGCCGAGGCCCAAGACAAAGCACAAGCTTGACATCAACAGCGTCGAAGAGTACAAGAAGCTGCAGGAGTACGAGAAAAAGACGTTTGAGGACATGATCCGTCGAGTCAAGGAGTGTGGCGCAAACCTCGTCATTTGCCAGTGGGGCTTTGACGACGAGGCAAACCACTTGCTGTTGCAGCACGACTTGCCCGCCGTCAGATGGGTTGGCGGGCCAGAGATTGAGCTCATTGCCATCGCAACAAACGGCAGAATCGTGCCGAGGTTCGAGGACCTCAGCCCGGACAAGTTGGGCACCGCAGGCCTCGTCAAGGAGGTCGGCTTCGGCACAACGAGGGACAAGATGCTCATCATTGAAGAGTGCGCAAATCCGAGGGCTGTCACCGTCTTTGTCCGTGGCTCCAACAAGATGGTGAGCATTAGCATCATGGCAAGATTGAAGCACTGTGAAGTGAGCTGACTTTCTCATGTCGCGGTAGATCATCGACGAGGCCAAGCGCGCGCTGCACGATGCCATCTGCGTCGTCCGAAACTTGGTCCGAGACAACCGAGTCGTTTACGGTGGTGGAGCTGCTGAAATCGTGGGCAGTATTGCTGTCGCCAAGGCTGCTGATGAGATTGCTACGCTGGAGCAGTACGCTATGCGCGCATTTGCCTCGGCACTCGACGCGATTCCGTTGGCCTTGGCCGAGAACAGCGGCTACTCGCCCATCGAGACGCTGGCAGAGGTCAAGAGTCGGCAAGTCAATGAGGGTGACCCCAAGCTTGGCATTGACTGCATGGGCTCGGGCGACAACGACATGAAGAGGTGCAGAGTGTTCGACCCAATGGTCAGCAAGAGGCAGCAACTTCTCCTCGCTACCCAGCTTGTCAGGGCTGTTCTCAAGATCGACGACGTCATTGAGCAGCACAATGTCGATGGGGAGTGAATGGAGCACTAGATCTGCTTAGAGGCAAATGATGAAAATGATTGATATTCTCTTGCTTGGTGTGCTCTTGAGGACTATCGATGACTTTAGTGCCCTCCGTGGAGAGCCGCTTCCTTCTCGGCCTTGGAAAACATGCGTGGCTGTGGGTAGCAAGGTCAGTATAGGCCGTGTTGATTGAGGAGGTTGTAAATCTCTACGAGCACTCACGGGAAGGTTCCTCTCCCACTTCGTGCCGTCCTCTCCCATGGGCGCTGTGATGCAATCAGTATCAGCCAAAGCTTTTTTCCCCAAATTGAAAAGCCTCGCCTCGCCTCGGACTTGCTGGGGTACTCACTTTTGTAAGGATCCGGGTGCGCATTCTCCTCCAACTGCTTCTCGGCCTGCTCGAGGACCCTCGCGAGCTCACGCGGGTTGCGAATGTTTCTTGCTCGCTCGAATTCGGCGCGGATCTCAATGGCCCGGTCGCGCCAGATGTCGCGGCGGATACACCAGTTGAGCGAGTTGCGCAGGTAGCGCCGGTAGAGCGACTGGACGTAGGCCTTGTGCGCCGAGCTGAAGGGCGTCGGGCCGCTGCCTGAGGCGGCGACGTTGCGGAGGAGCGCAGTGGGCCGCATGTTGAGGGATCTCTCTCTTAAAAAGGATCGGTGGACAAAATCGACGAGACGGCTACAGAGAAAGAGACCAGAGAGCGACGTAGGCGACGAAAGCCACGTGCTAAAACGGCGGACCTGGGCGCTCATTTAGACTTAATCTCGCCTGCACTTCACAGCCCGGCTGACCACTTACCTTCTGGCGAGGCTGCACTCGACCTTAGAAGCTGGTCATTACAGCCTCACCATAGACCACCGACGCCAAGGGCGGATCCACGAGAAAGCAGGGCGGAGAACGAGGCTCGACACAGCCATCTCGCCGCTTGACAGGGTGCCCTAGACGAATCGACCAAGGCAGGCGCGTCCCCGATCATGCACGACTCGGTCGGGGCCATCCTTGTTGTTGTGCTCCTCTGGCTTGTCATCAGACTAGCTTTCGGTGGGTGTCTCTGCTCTTCTGCAAATAACCAGCTTGGTCCATTCTGATGTCTACTGGCTGGATTGCCATCGGAACTGCCTGCAGGTGGATCGTCACAGAGTAGCGGACAGAGTGCGCACGGCCAAAGCAACGCAAGGGGAGCAGGTGCGACGGGGGGAGCGGGAACGAAAGAGTCGGCGGCAGCAGTTGCATGGCGAGAGTCAAGGAATGAGAGGGAGAGACAACTGAAGGAAAGGAAGCAGGCCATGTTGGAAAGCGCTCGTAGGTGAGTCTCGTTGATTCTTCCCGCCAGGAGAGGGTATCTCTCCGTCCCATGCCAACCTCCTGTCCAAGCTTGGAGGGCAGCCGGAGAGAGAGAGAGAGAGAGATACTAAAGAGAAATTCACCTCAAACAGACGGATGTTAGAGAAAGCCGACGATACCCCCTCGAAGCCGGAAGCATCGTCTTCACGCCTCGCCTGAGCACCTTTCTTTCTCCCAACGAGCTGCGCGTCCTCCCTCTTCTCATAGCGTCCTGCATAAACGAGCTTGTCCATTGTCATGCCATAGTAGAGCAACCATCTTTCAACGTATCAACATCAATAATCATCACTGGTCCGTGCCGTGCCTTGACTACCCCATGCTACATTGTCTGATGCGCCACTCTCGGCCGAACGCGCTAGAGATGGCGTACGCGCCAAGAGGAGTGGATCAAGAGAGCAACACCCTCTTCACTCTCTTGACAGGTCAGAGACTGACAATGAGCGCACCTGCTCTGCGATGGGCACAGAGGCGCAGTGGGAGCTGTGTACAGCCCTGGCAAGCTCCCTCGTGTTTTGCACCGAAGTCAGCCTGCGGCGTCAGACGAGCTTACGCTTCGTCGTCGTCGTCTCGTCGCAGCGCTGAGAAGCCAGCGCCATCCAGCGCCTCGCCATCGAGCGCGCCCGGCAAGAAGAAGGCAGCAGAGCCGTCGACAGAAGATACATTGGCGGCCGTGAGATCCTATCGGGCCTCGCCGCGCGGGAATCCAACCTCTCCGCCGCCCAAGATCAAATTGACCGATAAACGTGCGAATGCTTCTGCTCCTGATCAGCAGCGCAAGGATGTGCCACCGACGGAGCTGGCCGACGCGGCGAGCGATGCACAGCAGGAGCTAGAAGGGGGCGCCCAGAAGATGCTGAGGGCGGGAGCAAGCCAGCATCCGGCGGCACGGGAGCAGGAGAGGCAGCAAGCGCAGGAGAACGATACGCAGAGCCAGCAGCAGCAACAACAGGTGTCGCAAGGGCAAGAGAAGGGGCAAACAGAGGCGCATGAAACAGTTGAAGGCGAGCCAAGAATCAGAGAGGAAAAGGAACAGACGTCTTCAGGGCCGAGAGAAGGCGTGGTGATCCCGTCCCAGACGACCTTCTTCGGATCGACCGATGACGGTCAGACCGCCTCGTCGACCTTTCGCATACGCAACGACTCTTCCACAACCAGAGAGGATGCCAGTTCAGGCGGTGGAGATGGTGGCTCGGGCCCTCCAACGACAACAGCGGTCGGCAGCCAAATCCCAGATCTCGGCCAAACAAGACCACCTCGGATCGAGTACCCGTTCAACACTCATATATTCATCAAGCGCCTGCAAGAGGCGGGCTTCACCAAACCATCGCAAGCGCAAGGAGGAGAGACTGACCAGTCCACATCGACCAGGAGGCACGATCCGTCAGAGTCAATCATGGAGCTCACGAAGAACTCGCTCGTTGATCGAGGAGAGCATGTCGTCCAATACCACATGAACAAGACGGAAGCGGAAAATCAGGCCTATCTCTTTACAGCTGCTTTGTCCGAGCTGCGAACCGAGGTGCAAGTCCGAGCTCGCAACGACGCAGCTGCACTGCGCAGTACCGTGACGCTCCTTCAGCGCGAAGTCGACGGTCTGAGCCAAAAGATGCGTGAGGACGTGGCCGCGATGAAGCACGACATTCAAGTCGACATGAACAATCGCAAGGGCGAGGCAAAGGAGGAGCAGAACACACTCGAGCAGGAGATCCAGGACCTTAATAACCGCTTCACGATCAGCATCAGCGACCTCAAGACGGAGATCGAGCAGAACATCAAGTGGGATGCCACCAGGCGTGCCTTGACAGTTGTCTTTGGCTCAGTCGTCATCCTCATCGGCACGCTGGCAGCAGCGGATTACTTTGGAAAGAGCGATGAGGTCGAGGAGGCCCCAGGCATGGGCCAAAGAGCCGAGATCAAGATCACGAGAAGCGCAGAGGAGCTTGGCCTGCTTCCCAACTATGACGAAGAAAAGGACGATGGCAGCCGATATGTATAGCTAGCTCACACGCCCTCAATCAATCCTGATACCCCTTTCAGCTCTCCCTGCCATCCTTTGCCACCAATCCCGCAGATCCCAAGCCATGCCTCGGTTTAAGGATGCGACTGTTGCTTGAGTGATGCCATTTTTGGGTGTGAATGAAGAGCGTCATGGTGCTACATAGGAAAGGAATGGACGGTCAATCGATTTACTCGGCGCTGGCGCGAGTGTACACGAGCTGGCCGTGGTGGTGGATGATGCGCCTGATCTGTCCCTCCCTCTCGAGGTGACGGATGGCAACACGGGCCAGCGAGCCGTTGATCTTCATACGGTCGATGAGCGTGGACTGGCTGATCATCTTGAACGTGGGCACTTCCTTGAGGATGCGGTCGTAGGTGGGCTGGTCCAGAACGACCATGTTTTGGGCCTGTGGGTCGTCAGTCGTCAGCACTCGGCGTTCAGAGCACTTCATTGAAATCTGTAGGAAGAGCTCACCTTGTCCTTGACCTTGCCCTTCGACCACTTCTTCTTCTTTCCTCCACCACTCTTCGCCGCGGCGGCCTGTTCGTTTCGCAAATACTCGGGTCAGTGCGATGCGGGCGTGACAGGTCCGCCCGTCTGACTCACGATAGCGCTCTTCTTGGGAGGCATGTTGATTGACGATGAGAACCACAAAGTCAAAGTCAGCGTTTGTCGACGCTTGGCTATGGATGAGTGGGCACTGCGGCCGGGTCGCTCGCGTGGGATTTTTCTGTCGCGTGGCAACCTCGACCTCGGTTCAGCTCGGGCCAAGTTCCGGGAGAACGCACGTGGTTGGAGACGGCTCTCGCTCCAGCACGCCCAGCCGACAATCTGATCGCTAGAACTTCTCCAGCCCTACCTTTCCTTGTCATACCGCAAGCATGGCTGCTGCCAACGTCAACTGGAGTCGCATCTACCAGTCGTGAGTACTGGTATTTCTTACCCAAACGCGTCTCTTGCATGGAAACTGACAGCGCGCGATGTCGTCAGCCTCGGATTGGGCAAGAACTCGACCGCAACGCTGCAGGCCTTCCGCAAGCGCGCCGAAGACGCCCGCCGGCAGCTGCAGACGCTCAAGCACGAGCGGACCGACGTGGACGTGGCCCACTACAAGTCCATCCTCAAGAACCAGGATGTGGTGAACCAGGCCGAGAAGATCCTCAAGGACTTCAAGCCTGTCACGTACGACGTCTCGGCCCAGCTCAAGGCCATCGATGCTTTCGAGGCAAAGGCTGTGAGTGTGGGATGATTGCAGAGGCGGGTAATGGTATGGGAACTGATGGGGAACGATCCGTGCTTTTAGACTGAGCAAGCTCAGGCTTCCGCGGACAAGATTGAGGCGGAGCTCAAGGACCTCAAGGCGACGCTCAAGAACATCGAGGATGCTCGTCCATTCGACCAGCTCACCGTCGACGACGTCGTCGCTGCTCGCCCCGAGATCCGCGAGACTGTCGAGGTAAGTCGAGTCACGCTCGTGTGCTATAATGCGACCACTGACGACGTGGGACGTGCAGGCCATGATGAAGCAGGGCAAGTTCTCCACGCCTCAGTACACCGAGAAGTTCGGCAGTGAGTCTACCCTTCTCACCCCAACAATCCCACCGAAGCAATACTCACTCGATCACTTTTTTGACAGACCTGGCCGTCATCTAATTGGACTCCGAGGCGAAGGGGTAGAAGCAGTCATGCGCAATATAAATTACGTCCAAGCAAACAGAACCGAGAGCCTTTTGCATAGGAGAGAAAGGGGGTTGGGGTTGGAAGAGAGGGGTGGGGGTCGAGACTCTCCGGCGCTCGACATGGCTTGATATGGGTCGATGCTGAAGTATTGTTCCGGACGGGATCACTTTGGAGGTTCTCGGTTGAGAGAGCTGTCAGAGCAGCTGTCAGAGAAAAGGAGGAGCAGGGGTCGCTTTGATTACAGGCGCTGGCTCCAACAACAGACCACGGCTCCTAGAGTAGGGAGACCGGCGTCGATCCTGTTGCGAGGCATTGCGTGAGACGCCTGAGGGTGCCGACATCTGGGTCCATCTGAAACAGTGGTCTTGCGTTGATGGGTTTCTCCACTGTCACGCTCCTGCTTCTTCGTTATTGGTTGCTGATTGCTCTAATTGAGTGAAGTTGAGGATTGATAGATACAATTGATGATGCTAATGAGACCCTGACGCATCGCCTTTCCCCCTGGCTTCCTCTTCTTCCTTGAGTAGTCCCTCTCCAACCACAGTCTTGCAGAATCCACACATTCTAGCTGCCACCATTTCGCCTCCCTCTCTCACGTACCTCCCACAGCATGTTGAGCAGAATGTGCCCCCGCATCCTTGGCAGGTCGCCTTCTTCTCAAAGACGCCCATCTTTCTCCAGCAATTGAGGCAATTGTTTGCCCCACCTCCTCCTGCGTGATGGCTATTTGCACCCGTCCCACCCTGTTGCGAGCCGAACGCAGCCGAAATGGCAACGGAGTAGTCCGGCGCGTTGCTCGAGGCGGGGGTAAAGGGCGAAAAGAGCACAAGTCGACCCGACTCATCGCCTACGAGCAACGCCTCGTTTGTGGCGTGAATCGCGCTCACACTGCTGCTGATCGTCGTAATCGCTTGCTCTCCGTCTCTCGACATGCCCAAATCGTCTTTGTCCGTCTGTCTCCCTTGCTGGGTCGATTGCTCATCATCATCCATGGCAGACGCCCGGCCAAACCGATCGACGACCTGGAACACGTGAACCCTCTCGAGGGCCCACTGAATTTCGCCGCTCGCCTCGTCCTTTCTCTGCTCTTCGAAGCTGACACTGAGCCTCTTTGCAGACACTGGTGCTTTGCTGTTGGGCCAGCAACGCCAGAGTGCGACTTGGCCTCGCTGGTGGCCCGTCAGCAGCATGCAGAGCCTTGCACCATTCAGAGTCTCTTTTCCTCGCTTCGGCCGGTAAAACGACAGGGCCGTGATCGGTCCTAGCGAATGGCTGCTCGCACTTCCGCCTCCAGAAGAAGACGATTGCGAAATGGGATGTCCGTTGATGGACCAGACCTTTAGCACGTTCCCCGAGGCAGTCGCCACCATACCGGAGTCTTCTGCGATAGCGACGTGTTGCACGGGCTGCCCATCGTGGGGGAGACTCGCGACGTAGTTGCCCCCATTGTCCCACAGGATGGCCGTCCCATCTGCACTTCCAGACAAGGCCATGCTCCAAGCATGCGAATAAGCGAGGCAGAGTACCTTGCCATGGTGTCCGCGCGAGGCGTGCAAGAAGGTCAGGCTTCGCTGGGCCGGATCGAGCTGCCAAGCCGTAACGAGCCCATCGAGGCTTCCGACGAGGACCCTGCCCTCATCGTCCGCTTGGGCGAGGCACGAGACACGGCCCGGCATCACCTGCTCCGTCACGGTCGCGGCCTTGTTCGGGTCCTTGCCAAACACACGAATACTTCCGTCCAGGTGTCCAACAGAGAGCGAAAGACCAAGCTTGGGCAGGATGAGATAGTCGCGCGGCGAAGCAAAGGACCTTTGCGGATGCGCTTCCGAGTCGGAAAAGTAGACGTGATGCACCGCTAGTCCCTTGAGGGAACGGATCTGGACGATCCCCTGCAGGAACATCCAAGGTCTCTCGCTCAGAGAGGTCGAATGCTGGTGGAAGTGGTTTTGCGCTTGCTGGCCGACATTGCGGGCTGGATGTGGGTTCATGAAGAGTCGCTTCGGGCATACACCAAACATGTGGATCGTCTTGAGCACGGCCTGCCTCTCGACGGCCGAGTCGATCCCCTGCAGGTCGAGCGCATCATCATATGACAGCTCGTGAAAGCAATTGGTTGCCTTGATCGCTTCTGGACCGCGCTGTCGGTGCCCAAAGATGAGGTCGATCCATTCGTGCAGGTGAGCCGAGACATAATCGCTCTCAAGAGCTTGTCGGTGCAGCTTGATGAAGAGACGAGCATCCCCTTTGGCCCACGGAGGCAGCACGACGTCGTCGACAACCACACCGCTCTGGGTCTTGCCAAATTCGAATTTGTTCGAGTTGGTGAGAAATTCAGGAAGGTAGTAGGCTTCTGGAATCAGCTCCCTGACGTCTCCGAGTGAGCCCTCCGAAGCCGAAGAGTATGCTTGTCCTATTGAGCTGAATGTTCGATCGGCCAGGTCAAAGGTGCCTCCCTGAAGCGCCTTGAGCACCTTGTCGAAGGGTCGCATCCGAATCAGGTAGCCGCTCACCGTTGCCGCCGTGCTGTAGTGCGTGCCGTAGTGGAATGGCTTGTTGGCCTCCGGGTCCATCGACTGGAGCTCCTCCAGCTGAGCAAAGCGCTCCTCAAACTGCCGCCTCCTGGCTGGCGATTGCGCTCCCATTGGCAGGGACAGGTCGCGGAATGAATTCGGGTCATCCAGATCGAGTGTCTCGCTTGAATAATCGCGAAGGACCCATGGCATGACGGGATACTGCGTCACATCAAGATACGTCCGGCCGGCGGCGGTGTTGAGCATCATGAGGTAGTCAAAGTTGCAAATCTTGCCTTCTTGCCACTTTTGCGTGATGGATCCGATTCCCCTTCCTAGGACCGCGCCGGCAAATCGAGAGAAGCCGGTGCTGCCTTGACCAGACGAGGAGGCAGGTGCTTCTCGCAGACCATCTCGGAGTGCATCAAAGGACTGTACCGCTGTCTTATTACGTGCGGCGAGATCGTTGAAGACTCGATTGGCGATCGTCGTTGTTGCTAAGACCAGCAGGCAGCTGAAAGACATCACCATCAGCCTTTGGCCAAGCCCTTCTCACATGAGCACACAGCTACCAACCTCTGACCGTCTTTGAAGAAGATTTCGAGAGCCGTCTTTCGATGAAGGAAAGTCTTGAGGGTCACAAGTTTCAGCTGTGACCATTGCCTGTGAAAAATGTCTGCGTCAGCTTGTGCAGAGGAGATGGAAAGCAAGAATGTCCATCGACGCACCATTTTCTTGTCTGTTGCGCACCGCCCTCGAGCTGAGCAACGAGACTGCTGGGAGCCCTTGGATCCCCACTCAGGGTGCTCATGACAACTGTGTCTCTTTCCTCTTCTGGTGCCTCCCAGAGATTACACAGCTCACCATCGGGCCTTTGAAAGTAGTCATCGATGATATACAGACACTTCTTCCCAAAGACGAGCAGCGAGGCTCGACAGTCGATGAAGACGACCCTGAGGCTGTTTTCGACACCCTCGATCACGTCGCCTTTCTCAAGGCTGCGCAGCACTCGACGAAACTTGTCGTCGTGCGAATCGACTTGGAAAGAAGTCAACGACGAGGCAGAAGGCGGCTCGAAGTCTGCTCTTGAGCCGCTCCGGTCGTCTGTAGGGCTTGCCGATGCAGCACGGGCATCGATCGGCGAAGCCTCATCGACCATGACGCCTTCGCCACTCCCCCACTCGTCACCATGGGCACTTTGGTTCGGGTCCGGAGTGTCTGGCATCCTCATGAGCTTCTCTTTCTCCTTCCCCTCTCCCATGGTTGCCTCTCTGAGCTTCGCTCTCATCCTCATCGGTCCTTCCGTCGAGTAGTCGAGCTCAAATACCCTATCGACGTCCTCTTCGAGACCCAGGAGGGCCTTCTCACGGTCGAGCTCCCGCTTGAGCTTGTCCCACTCGCCTGCCGCAAAGCTCGCCAGCTCCTTTGCGTCCAGGTGAAACTTGACAAACTTCGTCTCGTCGCTCGCTCTGACGCTCGCCTGCCAGGCCTTCATTCGGCTTTCCGTCGTCGAGAGGGCCCGCTGTCTCTCGTCACTTCTGTCCAAGAGCTGCTTGATCTGCGAGAGCCGATCGAGATGGATGGCCGCTTTGAGGTTGTCGGTCGACTTTGTAAAGCCCTGCCATTCCGCCTCGAATGGCGTCGCCTCATTCTCACCGCTGCCCATCAACAATCCCGGCAGGTCGTCGGCTTTGCTTTCAAAGAGATCGTCTAGCTTCTTGTCCGGCACGATTATAGCCTCAATCATCTCGGCCTTTGTCTGTGCCATGAGCTTCAGTGTCTGCAAGACCGTCTCCCTGCTTGCCAATCCGCCTCGATGGATCTCGTCTAAGAGATTGTAGAGCAAGCATCTGAAGAATGCCAGGTCTCGATTTTCGTCGAGAAAGACGATGGCGTGATGCGCGCAGATGTGCTCAAAGAGGATCGGCCTGGCTGACGGCTCTGTCAGCTGGAAGAGGATGATGCGATCCAATGTCGTGAGCAGCGAATGGACGACATTGGGCAAGTGTTCGCGGAGCGGGTAGAGCGCCTCGAGGAGCACGGCCGTGAGGTTGAGCGTCGTTGTGTTCTGCTCATCACCAGAGCACTGCTCCAGAAAGTCGGCCAGTGCGCCGCACGCCAGTCCGTCCTGCAAGACCTGGGCCGCTGTCTCCTGGTGTTGCAAGCGAGCCATGATGGATCGCGCGACCTTGTCGTACAGTGCGGACCGAAAGGTTGTTGAAGTTGACAAGTCGGTGTAAGGCGGGACTGAGTCAAGCAGTGCGCTCACGGCCCTTGTAGAGCCAGACGAAATCATTGACTCGACGGTCGACCGCGACAGGACGGTCAAGAGCTTGTCGCAGAGCTCCTGAACGATCCCTCCATCCGTGCTGCCGTCCTTTCCTTTCTCGGGCCTCGAGACGAACGGCGTAATGGCCGCAATGAGAGATCTCAGCACCGTGGGCGAAAAGAGGAGCTCCCTGAACTGCAGCGAGGAGTTGGCATGGTCCTCAATCAGCTCAATCGTTTCCTTTACCAAAGTCAATTCGCTGTTGGCCTGGAAAGTCTGGGCGAGCTCCTTTGCATCGACGTTCATCGACTGCGATCTCTTGCGACCGTGACGCCGCTGCGATGGCTGTGGCACACCCAGCGAATCGCTCGGTCTTGGCTTGAGCTTGCCACCAGCGGTTTTGAGATCGCGTGCTTGGATCTCCTTGAGCGCCTCGATGAGGCAGGCTGCAATGAGGCGCATCATGGTGGGACACACGATCTTGCTCTCGGGAGAGGGCGTAAAGTTGGCCAAGATCGAAGTGTTTTGCTGCCTTTGCTGCCCCAAAAGCGACGCCCAGCACCTCGCAAAAACGGATGGTGAGGCCCAAAAGCGCGGCAGCAATCTTTCGGCGACTTTGACGCCACCAGACCTGGCCAGTCGATCGGCATAGCGAGCATCAGAGAGGAGGAGAGCGGCCATGATTTCGAGCGAGAGAATCGCAGCCTTCTTCTCAGCCGTGGGGCCAAAGAAGACAAGCAGCCACTTGATGTTGACGGCGGAGCCTAGCTTGAGCAGGAAGGCTGGCTTCTCGAGAACCAGGTCGGCCAGCATCTCAAAAACTTCGAGGGCTGTCTCTACCTGCACTTGTGCATCGGGTCCCCCAATCTGTGGAGACTTGGGTTCTGCTGGGGTCAGACTTTGTAGGAGTTCGGCGTCGTCGGCGATCGTCCGCTGCCTCCGTGGCGGTTCGCGCACATCTCGCGCTTGGTCGCTCTCTCGACACAGCATCGAGGCGAGGTATGTCGACACGTTACGGATGGCCATGTCATTGAATGACGAAGTCAACGAGGTCCTGAGGGCTGCCACGACGTGCGGTACAATCTCGCGAGAGTAGTTGCCTGATCGAAGCGCATAGAGGAGCTTGCGTGCGATCTGCATCTTGGCCACACGTTTGGCGTTGAACCGTCGGTGCTTTGACGTGCGAAGCAGGACGGCGAAGTGGTCGAGATGGGCCTGCTGCACACTCGGAGGCGTCGCCGTCCAGATGGAAAAGTCCAGCAGGATGATCCGGTACAGGAAGGGATTGGTCAGGGCCGCAGTCGCCTCGCGACCGGCATCAATGCCGACAGCCTCGAGAAACGTCGCCAATGTCCGTTCGTCGATGAGGTGCCGCTTCTGATGAAGGAGGTAGTCGAGCACCTCGTATCCTCTTGCCCGTTCAACGTCCTCTGAAGATCGCCAAGAGCCCTGAACGAGCGTAAAGAGAAGTCTGACTGCCTTATCGAGGCTCTCGGTATCTTCGGCCGCCTCGACGAGCTTCAAGAGAACAGCACATCCGCCAAGCTCCCAGACCGTGTCGGCCAACGAGTGAGGGATGCCCAGTGTCGGGGCGCCAAAGAGCTTGGCATAGCCGTACGAAGCCTCTACTGCGTCTCGGGTCAGCGTAACTGCCTGATTGAGGATGAGCTCCGACCCCGGCCGGTGCGAGCCGTCGTTGCTCGTCGCCGCTGCCGCCTTCGCCACCGCCCGACGTGCGATGCGGTCCATGCTCCAGCTGTTGGCGACATTGAGGACAAAGTAGAACTTGTCCTCTGCAAACAGCGTCCTGGCTGAGCCAGCAATTGCGGTCACCAGAGGATGACTGGCCAGCTCCTTGTCGGTAATGCCATGCACCCTCGCCAAGGTATCGAGGCGCAGATTGATACGCGTACTGATGGGATAAGTGAGGAAGCGACCCAAGCTGTCTTGCAAGTTGCCGTGGTAGCCGCTGAAGGAGAGCTCAGACAGAACGAGAGGCATCTCGGGAGGTAGGACATCGTCGAGGAGGTAAGCTGGACCCAGCGACCAGACAAGCCGATTGTTGTGTGGCTGCTGCAGATGCTGCGGTCTTCTTCCGTCAGTGACGTTTGGCGGTGTTCCAAAGACTGCCCTCACGGGAGCACCAACTGGCGGCGTCGAGGGCCAAGGGGCGAGGTGCTCTTCGACAAACGATCCGTCAATGAAAAGCTGTGCCATCGACGTCTTCTGCCCACCGGTAGGTCTGGCGTGGACAAGGCAGAGGTGGTGGAGACGGCCAGTAACGATTCGAGAAGCGTTAAAGCGAACGCATGGCTTGTATTCTCTCGGTGTATAGGTCACTTGGCCTGTCCCTGGTTCCACCTGGATCTTGACAGAGCAGGCTCTCTGCGCATCAAAGAGGTGAAGGAGGTCCAACGGTAGCGACGGCTCGATCCGATCGATGAGGATGGGCGCAAAGAAGGAAAAACCCTTGGACGACGAAGCGGGTGGAAATGGCCTTCGCAAGGACGAGACGGCGAGGGACGAGTGACCGAAGCGACCCATGTCGAAAGTTGCCGTGTTGGGCGCTGCCGAGGGTCTCGCAACGCTCAAGAGCATGTCCATCAGAGGACTCTTCTCTCCATCGCAAAGCCGACGCAGCATTGATCTGCAGTCCTGTGCTGGGATGCCGAGCTGGCAGATGCGCTGCACTATGCGTAGTTGGCACTTGCAGACGACGTCCTCTTCTTCTTTGGCTTCTTCTCTGCTCTTCGCATAGAGTTGGAAGAGGAGAGAGCCAATCTTGGCTTCGGCAAGGGCCACCTGGTTGGCTCTCGACATCGTGGCCAGCCTCTCGGTGACTAAATGAACAGCGAGGCAGATGCGGTCGTCGGTCGAACGGATCTCGTTGGCGAGCAACAGCGTTGGTCGCAACACCCCTGCGTGCTCCAGGTAACCGCCGGGCCACTGCTCGGTGACTCGTTTGGCCATGTATGCGGCCTCATCCTCATCCTCTGGCTCTTCCTCCCTCTCTTCGCCCTCTTTCTTTGTTTGTTGCTGCCGCCTGTCAAGGTCGAGACGAACCGCACGGAGCCTTCCGAGGTTCGAAGAGACGTCGGCGAGGGCGAGGCCGAGCAGGGCTGAGAAAAAGTGGTCCCTCGACGTGTCCATAAGTGTTGACAGGCGGAGCACGGCGCCAAATTGATCCCAGCCGACGAGGGAGTCAAATGCAGCTCGGTTGGCAGCATGTGGGCTCGCGCCAGCGCCCAGCGACTCGGCCAGGATTGCGAGGGCCAGCTTGAAGATTTCAATGCGCAACCTCTCGTGGATCGTCGTTCCTTCGTCATCTGTAATGTTGTCTTCGTCGGCGGTGGACTGGGCCGTGGTCTGTTCAAGCGAAGAGAGCATCTGCACCACGACGAGAAAGCCGCCCGCCTCGCGAAAGTCATCCTTTGCATAGCGGCTCTCAATGAGCAGCCTGTGGATCTGCGAGCCGAGATGCAGCTGTGCCCGAGACAAAAGGGGGTTTTCAAGGCTCGTTTCAGCGGCAGAGTAGCAGACAATGCCAGGGCGGGGACACATTGCAATGCTCACCTTGGTCTGCAAATCGGCCGGCTGGCTGGCCCGCATGGCCTCGAGCACAGCCATGAGCTCGTCCCGCGAACCATCGTGCTCGGGGAGGTATGGCGAGGGCGCAGAGGGCATGGGGGGCGTGTCGAATGATGCAAGGCTGTCGGACGGCGTCATACCTCGCCTGGGCGAGCGATAGGGCGCGTAGGACAGCGACGAGGGTGACGGCGGCACGCCGGGCGACGGGGGTCTCGAAGAGGACGGCACTGCAGCAGTCGCAGCAGCAGCAGCAGCAGACGGCGAGGGCTGCCCTGGCGCCGAGAGCGACGACGGCATATCTGCTATTGCGCTCTGCCGCAGCTGTTCGTTTGGAGTCGCCGGCACTGGCACGTAGACCAAGAGCTTGCTCACTACTGCTACTACTTCCTCAGGGCAGGGCCTCCCTTGTCTCTTCCCTAAAAACCGAAAGCGCTGCCGAAAATAAAAGCAAAATTCTGGCTGGCGAGGCGCGCACAACGCGCACAAGCCACCCTCTCCAAGCGATGGGTACCGCGCTGCTTTTGGTTGTCTATTTCACTTATTTTACACAATATACACAGTGCAGAGGAAGGCCTAGCTAGTCTTCGTAGTCGTCGTCGTCTTCACTGTCCCCATCTCCGCCCTTCTTCTTCCTCTTCTTGCTTCCCTTCTTTTTCTTTACACCGTCGTCACCTCTCCCTTGCTCCCTGTCCAGGAGGAGCCTGGCTGTGTGGGAATCGAGCTTCGAGTCGCTGAATCCCTGCAGACGTCCCTCGCCTCCTTCTCTCCTTTCTTCCCCGTTTACTTCCTTTTCTTCCCCATTCTTGGCCTCCGTGGCAGCCTTTGCGTTTGCGACTATGTTGTTGAGCCCTCCTGGCAGGACGGGTGCATCTTCTTCCTGGTCTTGCTCCTTTTGCAGATCTTTGGCGAACCAATCTCGCTTGCCGGCGGCTGCAGTTGGTACCGCCGTGACAGTGCCAGAAGCTCGTCCCTCATCTTCCTCGTCGCTGTCGTTGTCGAGACCTTGCCACCGGCCTGCATCGGCAAAGATGTCTTCGTCGTCGTCGTCTTCCCCCTCCACACCTCCTACCTTCGGCACCTCATCCTCCTTGCCGTTCTCTTGTTCAGCCGTATGCGCCGCTGATTCAGCCCGAGCATACGCTGCCTCCTCGGACGATGTGGATCCCTTTCCCAACTCTTCCTTGGAGTCTTTCTCCATCACCACATCCTTCGAGGCGCTCTCGTCATCTTCTGTCTTTTGCAGTGTAGATTTGCTTTCTTTTATCTTGACCACCCTTGTCTTCTTCTTTGGCGCAGGGGCGATCTCCATCCTGGAGTCTTGCTTCGTCTCCTTTGCTTGCTCTAGAGTCACAGGAGGGACCACTTCAGCGGCCTCTTTGTCCTTCTTCTTCTTTTTCCGCATCCGCTTTCCGTCTCTCCAGATGTACTCTGGCGCCTCGTCCTTATCTTGGACGCTTTTTACTCCAATTGGCTTGAATTTGTGACCGATGGTGCTGCTGTCTTCAACAGCTCCTTTGCTCTCCTGTTTCTCGGTCTCGCCCTCGCCCTCGCCCTCGCCCTCGCCGTCCATCTTCGGCCTGCCGTACGCTGCCTCAAGCTCGTCGTCGGCGTTCTCGCCCTCTGGCAAGCCAGATGCCTTTGCCCTCTGCTGCTCAAGCAAGGCAAAGTCGAGGCCCTTGACAAGGACACTGTGCTTTGCGTCTCCACCGAGAAACGCCATCTGCTCTCTGAGCTTTTCCCTCTCTTCGTCCGTCTTGGCCTCTGCCATGCGCCTCTCAAAGTCCTCGCGCAGTGCCTCGACCTCGCGAAACTCGTTGACCTCGTCCTGGCCTTCCCTCCTCGCCTGTGCCCGATCCACGTAGGCTGCGGCGGCGGCGCTCTTTTGCTTGCCCTTGTCCCTGTGCTGCCCGTCGTGGGGCCGGTCAAGCTTGCGCGGCCGCATGTCCGTCGTCGCCGATGGCACCGAGGATGATGACGATGACGGTGGAGCTGGGCGCCGCTTCTTCGCCGCCCCAAACATCCTCGCCCGGTCTTCTGCATGGCTGCTGCCACCGCCATCGTTGGAACGAGGCGTGGAGAGCAGCTGCCGAAATGCTTGCTGGTCCATCGTCTCTTCTTCCTGCCCTCCCTCGTCACTCGAGGTGGAGATGGAGACCCATCCGTGCTGGGTGCCTGAGTTCTGCAGTTCGAAATGGGATTCAAAATTTAGTGCGATTTCAAAGAGCGAGACCCTCGAGACCATATGACTACTGAGACAGGCTAAGGAAATGGAGCTTTCTCCGTTTCGAAAATTTGTATTTACGTATCGCTTTTTTAGTACTGGAACTTGGGCGGACAGGCAGGCGCTTTGGAGTGTCGGCGTTGGCCATAAACTTCGCGAGTCGAGGGATCCGTCTCTGCGCTCGTGCTTTCCACCACTGCCAGCGTCACCCGATCTTCCTCCGCCTTTCCCACCACTTTGAACATCGAAGGAGCGCTGCGGCCGCTTCTGTGCCATCCGCGCGGCCTCTCCAGACACTTTCTTTCTCAGACAGTCATCGCCCCCTCTGCCGTCGCCGCCGCCGCCGCCGCGTTCTCTCGCCCCCTTTCGCCCTCTCGTCTGTACGGCCCTCTCGCTTCTGTCTTTGCAACCTTATCCTCCTCCTTCGCCTCGCCGCGCCAGCGCCTAGATATCGCCTAAGAGGCACAGAGGACGACATGTATCGCGGCAGCTCGTCCGATCTCGATCTCGGCAACCCGGCCGCTTCGTCCGAGAATGGCCAGAACTACAACCAATACCTCGTCCACGGCAACGGCAACGGCGCCTCGTCGTCGGAGAAGCCCCAGCGGAGGACGGGCAAGGAGTGGCTGCCTTACACGGGGCAGCGTCAGCTCATCATTGCCATCGATCTCGGTGAGTAGCACGGCCCGCACGCGACCCTCCCCCCTCCCCCCCCTCATCACCGAACTGCAAGACTGACGAGATGCGAGTACCGACGCGGTGAATGAAACAGGCACGACGTTCAGCGGCGCGAGCTACTGCATCCTCGAGCCGGGCAAGCGGCCAAAGATTGAGGACGTGAGGGCATGGCCCGGTCAACCGAGCCACCTGTGTGAGTGACCCGGTGCTGGGCGCAGCATGCGTTATGCTTCTCTAACCCATCGGCCGATCTGCCGCGACAGCCAAAGTGCCATCGGTGGTGACGTACGACGAGAACCGACTGCCGCGCCTGTTTGGAGCCGAGGCTGAGGGAAACGAGGCGGAAAACGTGCTTGACCAGGGTGGCTTCCAGGTCAGGTGGTGGAAGCTGCACCTGAAACCCGAGCACCTCCGAATCATCCATGCCGTCGATGACGCCAGTCGCGAGATCGATCTGGACCCGCTCCCAGAGGGGATAACAGCAGAGCAGGTCTGCGCAGGTTTCCTCGCATACATGGTCCGGTGCATCGGTGAGTTTTTAGTAGCTGCATGGATCGGAATCAAGGGGCTCAACTTTACTCTCATTGTCTCCAGGTACTTACATCTACTCGAGGCTGTCCAACGGACACGAGGTGCTCACTACGCTGGGTCAGAATACGTCATACATTGTCACGGTGCCCAACGGCTGGGAGCTGGCTCAGCAGCAGCTGCTTCGGCAGGCGTGCATTGCCGCTCAGCTCGTCACGCCCGACCGAGGCGACTCGATCCGCTTCGTGACAGAGGCCGAGGCTTCCATCAACTTCTGCGCAATGAACCCTGCCGCGACGGGCGACTGGCTCGACAAGCCGGGACAGCACCTCATCGTGTGTGACGCAGGTGGCGGTACCATTGACATCTCCACGTACGAGGTCACATCGACATACCCTGCCATCGAAGTGCGCGAGAATGGCGTTAGTGACTGCATTCTGGGAGGAAGCGCTACCGTCGATCATCGAGCGATGCTCTATCTCCAAGGTCAGTCTTTGAATAGCTGGCTCATCCCATTCTCTCATTCCTCTCGCGCTGACTTGCCTCCCAGAACGACTGCGAGACACGCGATGGGATAATCCGGAAGATTTGAGGAGTTTGCGGCAGTCCTTTGCGACCACGATCAAAGAGACATTTGCCAGTGCGGCCCAGGAACAGATTTTGCTTCCCGTCGGCTCTTCCGGTGAGAACGATCCCAGCATTGGGTTGCGACGCGGGAAGCTCGTCTTCACAGGCAAGGAGGTGGCTGGTTTGTGAGTGTGACCCATTCTCCGCGCTTTGAGAGTGGATGAGGGGACATTGGGCTGACTGCCATGTCTCAAGCTTCGAGCCTTCTATTGCGGCGACGGCAGAGAGTATCAAGGACCGCGTCGGGCGGAGCGGAGGTCAGGTTGCAACGGTGGCCATGGTCGGTGGTTTTAGCGAGAGCTTGTACTTTCGACGGGAGCTCCAGGCGCGCTTGGGCAGTGCTGTCCAGCTCTGCAAGCCAGACGAGTCGACGGCAAAGGCCGTGGCCTCGGGTGCGCTGGTCTGGGTCATTGACGGCGTCGTGGGCTCGCGCGTGAGCCGGCACTCGTTTGGCATCAAGTGCAGCACCGTCTTCCGTCACAATGAATCCAAGCACCAGGCCAAGGCAGCAAAGGCATACAGCGGTGTCGATGGTGTCAAGCATCTTCCAGACGCCTTTGGATGCATTCTTAAAAAGGGCGAGAGCGGCCGCGACGACGAGGAACACGTCAGCCCATTCGTTCTGACCTGGGTACCCTCGGTCGCATGCACAGCAAACATTGCCCTCTACGTCTATCGCGGCGACGACGACTTTCCGGAATTCGTCGACGAGCCGGGCTTTGAGCAGCTGGCCACTTTCACGATTGACATGCAGCCGTTCCACGCCCTCCTCCAGCGCTGCCGGTCGGCCGATGGAAAGGAGTTCCTCCGTGCCGACGTCAGCTTGGCCATGAAGCTCAGTGCGACGGAGCTGAGCGCCCAATGCATCTTTAGGCACGGCGGCAGTCTCTATCGGGGTCCAGTCACGGTCACAGCTACACACAACTAGATATTCGTCCATTGTCACTCTCCAGATCATCACCCACATTTTTTTCTTTCCCATTCCTCTCCCTCTCCCAACCTTTATTTGGCTTAATTCCCTCTCTTGTCTCTATAAACCCATTGACAAGAACTGGTGTTCTTATCCCTAACATTCTACTCATCCTTTCTCTACGCCTTGATAGCTCGGACCCGGAGCCTGCAGTCTATTTTGTTTAACAGGGGCCCGATCAGTATTTCTCACACCTTGAACTGGGCTGGAGTGGAAGAAGGAGAGAGACGGGACTCACTCATGGCCGTCCACTGGTCCTCCTCAGCGTCATACATGTCCACCTTGAGCTGCTTGATGACTCGCTGCACAACGTCATTGCGCGCTTTGTCGTCGGGAAGTGCATTGAGAAACGGTCCTGCGAAAGTCTGTGGTGGAAGTGAAAGATCATCAGTCAGTGGAAATTGCCCCTCACTGTCTGGCCCGCGACGCACCTCGAGGAAGCCAGCGAGGCCGGCCGGTCTGGGCAGAGGCGTGGGGCGCGGCACGAGGCGGGCCTCAGGCACGCTCCCGAAGCCATTGGAGAGGAGAAGGTTGCTGTAGGACGCCAGCGTGGGAAAGTACCACGGATCCACCGTCGCGGCATCGATGCCATGCTGGGCGAGGGCGACGTGCAGCGCCGAGCGAAGACCAACGATGTTGAGGTGGCCGCCCATCCTGTTCGTGGCCAGCACAATATCAAGAATAAGCACGAGCATGGGCAGAGAGAGAGAGATTCGAGGTTAAAGAGAGGGGGGGGGGCGACCTACTCGAGCACAAGGATCCCGCCGGGTCTCAGAGCGCGTGACATGCCGCGCACCACGGCGGCTGGGTCTGCCTTCATCCAGTGCAGCTGCAATTCCAATGCACCTCTTTCTTTGTCAGCTTCTTCACTCTTCAGAACGCCATCCAGTTGTGGCCGCCACTCACGGCAGCGTTGCTAAAGACCTTGTCGAAGGTGCCCACCAGGCCTTGTTTTTCCAGCCAGGACTCGAGGTCGTGGCCATCGACGACCTCGACCCGGGGGTTGATGCCTTCATCGTTGCCTCTCTTTCGCGCGGCAGAAATCATATTGGCCGACAGGTCCGTTCCAACGACGCATCCTCCGTCGCCCGAGGACGAAACGAGGGCGTGGAGCTGCCGCGTCAGCTCGCCGGTGCCTGTTTGCAAATCGTTCTGAGTCTTCTTCAAGCCGCAATGAGCAGGAAGCAGGGGAACACATACCGCAGCCTACATCGAGGATCTTCTCGCCAGGCTTGGGATCGAGCAGCTCAAGCACGGCTCTCGTGTTCTCGGGATTGTAGACCTGTGCTTGGGCTGCTGTCAGTCAAACGAGCACACAGAGGTGTGGAGGCCGGTGACCACGCACAAACGAGGCGTTCTTCTTGTACGTGTCTGCATCGTCGCTTCGATGGTACGCGGGAGCATTCGCCTGCGTCACCATGTTGGTCAGTGGTGCTGGTTGGTGGTGATAAGAAAGAATGGCAAGCAAGAAAGTTGATCAAGGAGGCTCTTCCAATGGTGAGTCATTCTGGCTCGCTCAACGAATGGCCCCTGCGTGCACGTCCCAATTCATGCTCTGTCGGCCAAATAAAACCGAAAAGCACAGGCCCCGGCGGCATCTCCATCCCTGCGTTCCCTGTCCACTCATGAGGTTCTCTCTTCTTCTTATGATGCACCTTAGTAAAGCTAGAGTAAAGTCTCATTCCATCCTTTCCCTTCTTTTTTTTTATGAGACATCATGACTCGCACGGCTGCAGAAGAAAGATGTTGCGGGGTAGAAGCCATTTTGGCGGGAACATGAAGCTTTCACGGCGCGCAAGCCACGTGATGTCGCCCGCTCTCACCGGTTGCAGCGCTCGAGATCCGGATTACGACTCGCGTCGCCGCCATCCTAAACAAGCATCCGTACCCGTTCTCCCCCCGCACCCGTTCTCCCTTCTCTAGCCGAAGCCCAGGGGCCTTTGCTGCACTTCCAATAGATTTCGCGGTACGAACGAGGCTGCCCCACGATGAGCAGCGCAGAGGTCATCAACGCGTAAGTAGGACCAATGCTGGGGAACCGCATGTTAGATACCGGAGTAGCCGGGCGCTGACCTGATGGATGCGGGGATTTGGCCCAATAGTCTCTTTGAGCGGACGGTGGACATCGTGCAGAGCTTGCCGAAATCTGGGCCGATCCAGACGTCGTACGAGGAGAAGCTGGCACTCTACAGTCTCTACAAGCAGGCGACCGAGGGAGATGTCAAGTCAAAGAGGCCCGGCGTGCTCGATATGCTCGGGAGAGCAAAGTGGTGAGTTTTGGAATCTGATCGAGGTCGAGATGGGGCAGAGAGAGCTCACAAGTCTCCTTCGTAACCATAGGGATGCGTGGGCAAAGAGAAAGGGGATGGGGAGCCAGGACTCAAAGCAGCTCTACGTGGAGAGCATGCTGAGGGTGAGTCAGCGAGATGAACAGCCCATATGGCGAGCTGGAAGGCTAAACCGCGATTTCCAAAGATTTTGAGGCAGTTCAGCGATCGGCCTCAGGCGATTGCACTCATCGAGGAGTTGGAAAACTTCAGCGGCGACGTTGCACAGCGCGTCATGAGCGGTGAGGCGTCCTGTTCCTTCTTGCTTGCTCTTGAAAGTCTTGGAAGGCTGACCAGGTCGCATCTCTTCAAAAGCTTCCCTTGCTCATGCCGACTCCGTCTCAGAAGGCTCGTCAGGCTCAGCCTCGCCGCAGTTGGCACCACAAGGCCCGTCTTCCATCACCGAAGAAGAGAGGGACGAGTTCATGGATGAGGAAAGGCCTCGCCTCTCTCAGCCCTCTCGCCTGCCCCAGCTCGTCTCGAGGCCCTCTTCTTCACAAGCCGTGCGTGGGCCGGGCTCAACAACCGGCCGCATGACACCCTCAAGTAGCGGCTTCCAGGGACCGACAAGGGTGCCGATGCCGAGAGCTGGGAGGTCATCCATGATGCCACCTCCGCCACCACCCCGGTCAGTCTCCGATATGGGCGAAGAAGATGATCCACGCGCCCGCAGGTCCTCGCACGAGGGAGGCAGGCTGTATGCGCCGCCCAACGCACCCCGCTATTCGGTGGCGGGAAGTGACTCGAACCGGGGAGCGATGGCAGGGGGAGCAGGCGCCTCGCTGTACTCTGCTGTGGGGCCTTCGTCAAGGCCCGCTGGACCTACACCCTCGGAACAGCACTTTTACCATCACCATGGAGCTCCCAGGCCAGGGCAATCAGCTCACCAAGGACCGCAGGGTACAAATCGACCGGAAGTTGATGTCGCCCTGCAGTCAATCCAGGCCAGCCTGGCGGCACTGCACGAGCGTCTGAACCGCGTCGAATCGCGCGGTGGTGGACCAACGTCTTATGGCACAGGTGCTAATGCCGGCGGCAGCGGCGGCAGTGGCGGCATTGCAAGGTACGCACTCGGCAATACGGCCCTGGGACAGGCCTACATCGGCTTGAGAAACGCCATGCACGACGTCGCAGTCTTGCTCGGCCTGAGCAGCGATGGACGAGGCGGTGCAGCGCCACAAAGCTACAACCTGGCCTCTGGAAGGTCGAGAGCCGAGTCCGTTGCGGGCCAGAGTACGACAACGAGCCGCCGGGGTGGCCGAGGGCGAGATGGAGATGGTGGACAGGGGCGGGGAAGGAGGGAGGGCGGCGGCCTGATGGGCGCGCCACTGCGCCTCATGTTGGCAGTCGTCAATCTTGCCATGAGGCTGGCGCTCGACCTGACGAGCGTGGGCGTCCTACTCAGCCTTTTGATCTTTGTCATTAGCAAACTCACGGGACGGGGCGATCCCCTTTTCTTGATCAGGCTTGTGCGGAGGTGGAGCACGCTGCGCGGCGGTGCGAGGGCGTCAAACAGGGCTGTGGCGACACAGCAGAGGCCAGCCATCGACGGGCTCCAGTCTCAATAGTGATGATGCCTAATAATACCTGTACAAATACCTGCCCACCTGTCAATCTCTTTTTCAAATACAGATCATTGTCAGTGGCTCTGAAACATGAGTCTACCGACAGGCTTTCGCTCTGGAAGGGTCGGTCAGAGCAAGTCACGTCAGATTAATTTTTTGAACAACACAGGATTGAGACGCATCATGTGCAAATATTAAAAGCAAGATACCAAATAGGTGCGGCACGACTTGGTTCCTTGTTTGCTTGCCCATTTGTCTGAAGTCATCTTGCAAGAACTGTGATGCACCGGGATCTGGACCACGTTCTCCTCGACGAGCTACACAATCGAATGCTCTTGTACCTCGATGCACCTCTCAAGCGAAACGCCAAGCACGCGCCAAAAAAGACCAACAACTTAGAGCTCTTCCTGGACGCCCATCGAGAATCTGAAGCCACCCTCTTTTTTTTTCTTTTTTAGATTTCGAAATCTCTGACCTGCTCCCCGTTCTCGCTAGGCCCGCTCCTGCGAACTTTGTTACGAATCGCCCCTGCGCATTGCTCAATTACGCTCGTTTGAAACTGGACTCCCCTTTCCGTATCGCCATCTGCAAGCTGCTGGGACACCTTGTGGAATCTTAAAAGGGAGAGGTGCAGGGCTATCTCTTTCTTGTTTGGTCTGCATTCTCAACTGAACGAGCAACAACGAGGTCGGCTCCTCCTCAGAAGGACAGGGGGCAACGATCATCGAATTTCGAGGCACGCCCGCTCACGTCGTCGGACTTTGTTCACACCACACCTGCCCCGAGAGTGGCACTACGACAATACACGTCCGCTGTCTCGCTGGCAGTGCCTGGAATCAACAAGCGCACGTCGCAAACAAGCACAGCTTCACCAAGCACCGCCCTTTCCTGACGCTGGCCCGTCAGGACTCCCATCGTCTTCGCTATCCCTCTTCTGTTCTTCCCCCCTCCACAGACGCAAGCAAAAAGGGAGGGGTGACCGACGAGCATGTCGTTTCGTAGGAGCAGCACTCGGAGGCCCGCTCGCAACTCGGGCGGGCGTCGCAGCTCAGTCGACTCCCAGGGCAGCGTCGAGAACCCAAATGCGTATGGACCCTTTGGTTCTGCATATCGCGATGCGCCAGCGGCCATCGAGGTCGAAGACCATCACTATGATACAGACGGACAAGCCGGCCACTCCCACCATCATCGAGCCGACGGCAGCGGCACCTGGCATCAAGTCCAGCTCCAAGGAATGGCGCAGCCGCAATCGGACCCTCAGCAACAACACCAGAACTTCTCGCTGCCATACCACCAGTACCAACATCAGCAACAGCAAAGCTCGCCATCGCGTGGCCACGAGCAAAAGGAGAGCGACCCGTCTGCGTACGGCCTTGATCCTTCCCACCTCGACCCGGACGGCATGACGTCAAGTGCCAACCTCGTGCCAGGCGCCCAGGGGCAGCCTATGCAACCACCCTACAGTCGCCAGGACACGGAGATCCTTACGTCGGACCCCAACATTGTCTCGGCAGATCAGCGTCACGACGTGCAGCAGCATCAAGAGCTCGAGCGCCACCGGACGCACAAGGGTCACAAGAACGCCTTCGACCATGTCCACGGCGGTGGGGGAGGGCACATTGCCCAGCACGGCGAGCAAATTCCGATCCGGCTCGGACACCTCTTTAAGCGGCCGCTCGTCCGCCAGTGGGTGCTCGAGGACAAGCTCTACCGAGAGGTCGACGACAGGGAGCCGTCGCAGTTTGAGCTCTTTTTCGACTTGGTCATGGTTGGCATCATCCACAAGCTTGCGGACGGAGCTGCAGAGGCGTGAGTTGTTCTTTCATCACGTCAGAACACGTTTGTGCACACGCTGACGAGTCTCATGATCACTCAGAGCAACGGGTCTCAACATTGCCAAGTTCATCCTCGTCTTCTATCCAGCCTGGAGTATCTGGACCGATGTGCGATCATACATCAACGTCTCAGGTACTGATGATGTCTGGCAGGTGAGTCTTTGGCCAGCTGATTACGTATGCATGTACCCTGGCATACTGACATACTCTGTGCAGCGTATGTACATCCTCATCATCATGATCCTCTTGATGGGTTATGCGGCGAATGCGACCGGCATCATCATCGCCGATGAAAAGCACGACGAGGCAGCCGCCACCGGCGAAAAGTCCACTTCCGCCGAAGGAGCGACAACGGCAGAGCACACAGGCACTGCGACCGTTGAAAAGAGATTCGCCTTGGCTGCAGCTGCCTACCTGGTCAAGCGCTCCTCCGAGGGCGGTGTCAACTTGGAAGATATCCCTCTTGTCCGCGAGATCGGACACACAGGCTACTGGTTCGCAGAGGGCTACCACCACGCCATTTCGAGCGCCATCAGCTTCTACCTCGTCGCCAAATTCTGCCGTCTCTCTCTCTTCTTCGTCTACGGCCTTCTTCTGCCCAAGTTCCGCAAAGCCTTGTGGCTCAACATGGTCTCGCTCGTCATCATCTCCTGCACCTACCTGCCCCTCATCTTCCTTGAGGATCCGGGTATCATCGTCATTCTCATGTGCTGCGGCATTATCCTCGAGCTCTCGTCCCGCTACATCGTCGCTGCCGCCATGCAGATCCTCCACGGAAAGGCCAAGCATGCCGGGCACAAGACTTACATTCCCGCGTATTCCCTTCCTCACATGATGGAGCGCATGACGCAGTTCACCATTCTGGTCGTCGGAGAGGCCATCATGAAGTGAGTCGATTATGCGCGTTAAAGTTCGGACGAAGCACTGATCATAATGGCTATAGCTCCGTCTATGTCGCCTACACTGGCCAATTTGGACCGCAAACGATGTTCTGGAGGGCAACACTGAGCGTCACGATCTCGTTCCTCATCATCTGGCTCTACTTTGACAACGACAGCTCACGCACCTTTGTCCACGCTCTCAAGCGCCACTGGCTACCCAGTATTACCTTCACCCACATGCACTTTCCCCTCTGCGCCGGCTTGATCCTCATGAGCTCAGCACAGGCCAAGCTCATCGCCGACAGCAGCGTCGAAGAAGGTTTCTACTGGTTCTTCTCCGGTTCCATCGGCCTTGTCATGCTCTCGATGGGCATTCTGGGCATCCTGCACAAGTCGCTCGATCGATGGCGGTCCTCGATGATTCCCAAGTCGGCCCGTATTACGTTCCGCTTCGTCTTGGCCGTCATCTTTGTTATCCTGCCGCAGCTCCGCAAATGGAACAGCGTCGAATTTCTTGGCGCCTACGCTGGACTTCTTGGGATCGCTGTGGCTTTCGAAACATTCGGAAAGCTCGGCGCCGTCGGTCGAGAGTATGACCCAGTCCGAGCCGAGGAGCTTCGGCAGCAGCGAAAGTCGAAGCACGCGGACAATGCGATCCCCATGTATGGCCTCCCTTCGCACAATCGGAGCACCTCTACCGCCTTTTCACCCGAAAAGGCCAGCCAGCACGTTCGAAGGACTTCTATGGCCGCTGGCATGGCCTTGTCGAAGGCCTTTAACAAGGACGCTGTGGTCAAGGGTCCTGGGCAGCGAGCTAGCTGGCACGAGTACGACGATCTCACGGGTGCCGAGCGTGGCGAGGAAGACGTTGGTATCGAAAGCGAGCTAGGCAAAATCGAGACGAAGGAGGTCTCAACGGGCGAGCGCTGGGCATACGTTGCCACGTAGTCAGCACAACTGCCTATCGTCATGGGATCACAACAATCCACTCAGAAAGGAGTGTGGGTCCACGGTTCAACAATAGATGTTTCTTCACATTTCTCTCTCATTCTCTCATCACAACATCACAAGGTCATGTTCCTTTCATTTCAAGACTGTTTCATAGCTTCATCCAATCACATTCAAGGCGACGTTTCCTCAAGATAATATTGCGACCCTTGGCTGAGGTGTGTGGCTCCTTTTAATCTGTGGACGCCGTAATGTGCGCCCAAGATGTGGGCGCTTTTTTCATGTCCTTTTGAACCAATTGCCTCCTGACGTCTGTCCCGTCGCCTCTTTCTCTCCATTGCTTTTCCTCTCTCTCTCACAGACCGCAGGCCGGTCAAACATCACCATTCATTTGTCCCTTTTTCTTTTTCTTTCTCCAACAATATGTGCGCACTTCCGCAACTTTCTCTCGATGCCGACGCGCGGTGTCCTGTAGAACGGGACGGACAGAGAAGAAAGAGCGCATTGAGCATGACTTTGACGCCGCTCGAGACGAAGTCAGATCTGGGCCAGGAGGATCGGCTGAACGGCGATGGACTCGCAGGCGAGTTCCTGCCGATCGCTCCCAGGTGCAGGAGCTTCGTGGGAGCGTCGAGGACAAAGAGCGGTGGTAGCGTGTCGTCAGGCCGCCGATGCCCGTTTGCAACAGCATCGAGCGACAAGAGAATGTCGACGTCGTCGACAAAGAACAGTACAGTCTTGGACGCGAGTCCACGTTTGCCTCCGACAACTAGACAGAGCATTGCGGGATCCCTCATGTCTGAGGAAGAGATCAGCCTGGTCATGTCGGGCAGTAGCTCGCCAGTCATCAGCACCGTCGTTGGTGGCTCTCGTCGCAGTAGCACCTCGGCGACGGGACGAGAAGAAGAATCAGAAGAAATCGACGAGACCGAAGAAGATACGTGTAGCATTCATACCGCTACTCGTGTCTCGATCCTCTCGCCAAGTTCACAGGCACATAGAGTCGTCTCAGCATCGTCTCTCACGTTCGAAGGCGCGGCAGGACGAGGTGGGAGGAGCGTGGGAAGCATGTCGAGCTACAGAGAAGATATCGCCAGTCCGACATCGACCTGGGTCAGAGTCACCTCCTCTGGGTCATCGATTGAGCCGGAACCAGCCCAGGGAGGGCGAGCGACAAAGCTCTTGGAGGAGATGCTATCGAGCGTAGAAGCCGAGCAACAACATTCGGAGCCACCCCCTCGGGTGAACCGTCAGTCGTTCTTGATGCTACCTCCTACACTTTTTCCCCATACACCATTGCCACGACAACGGACATCGACGAAGCCTGTCGCCCCGCTCTCACTCCCAAGACGCGCCGTGTCGCGAGAAGTCGTCCGCAAGAGAAGGAGCAGCATCCATTTGGGTCCTTCCAACCGTCGCTCCAAGCATGCAACTGGTCCGCGCGGAAGCACTGCGCTCCGAGTCGATCACGCCAGGACCACCAGAGGCAAATTCTGGGCGCCCATCAATCCCGTTTACGAGAAAATTGTCATCAGGCCGCTCGCAAAGAAGGCTTCGCATGCGTCACCGCCAACGCCGACGAAGCTACTGGAGAGGAAGAAGCCGACGCCGAAGTCTATGGTGGATCTTCCGTTAGCTAATTCTCCTCTGCAGACGCCAACATCCGCGAGCCAAGCTCAGACTCCTCGATCGCGAAGAGGAAGAGAAAGTGTCGCCTCATTTGGTACATTGAAGGCAAAAGAGGACATTGTGTGCGACGTGCCCCTCTCTGCAATAGCTCTCGGCACAGCCAACGGGCCTTGGACTCGCGTTGCCGACAAAGGTTTCGTGTCTGCAAAAACATCTACGCTCTTGGCATCGCCAGATGGTCGGAGAGTTCCCTTGGTGAGCTGCCTCAAAAGGACACGCACGCCCAGGTCGTTGGCTGTTCCGTTGCGCTTCACAGCACCCTCGGGACCTCCACCGCGAGCGCCGCTGCCGCCAGTGCCGAGGAGCTGCGATAGCGACTCTTGCAGCTCGCATGACGACTCCTCGTCGGACAGCGACAGTGGTTCGACGGCAGACAGTGAGAGCGACAGCGAGAGTGTCAGTTCCTCGGCCTCCTCAAGAACGTCGAACAGCGATACGTGTTCTGGCTCTTGCTCTAGCCGCTGCTCCGCCTGCCACCCTTCCGTAGGATCACCATCCATAAATGAAAGTTCCAGAAACAGCTGCAGCACTTGCAACGCATCAACCCGTGGGCTTCGTTCTTCTACCTCTTATACACCGTCTTATGCATGCAGCACCTGTTCGACGAGCTTCACATGCACATGTTCACGTTCACCATCATGCTTCTCAATCTCTTCTTCTTCTACTTCTAGCACGTCTTCGCGCTGTCCACACTGCCAGCAATTTCCGACAACGAGATCTCGGATGACGATACACGATGGTAATCGGACAACATTTGAGATGGTTCTGCCTCCCTCTCGTTCTGCTGCGGCTGCAGCTGCTACCGACCCTGACGCGACACCTCGAGCGAGCCGATTTCCAACACGAAAGATCGTCGATCCGGACCCACCTCGTCTTCCCAGCCTCCCGGACTTTTCGCCGTTCGTCATCGACAATTGGACGCTGTCGACGTCCTCGTCATGCACCACGAAGCCCAGTTCTCCTGCGCGCCCTCCATCGCCCGAGGCCCCAACGCCGGTGTACGCCTACTATCCCGCCGATTTCTGCGCAGATGCACACCCTTCGTCAGCCCTGACTCCTCGACAAGCCATGGCTACACCCCGCACAGCCCTCCTCCATCCCGAAACACCGCGAAAGAGCCTGAATTTGCGCTACTCACATCTCGTCAGTCCCATGCCCGTCAATCTGCATCGGACGAGCGTCGTCGTTCCCACGTTGGAGAACAATGTCACTTCACCAAAAGGAGGCAACACATCCCGAGCCGAGGAACGTCGGTTCCTACTCCAGCCGCAGTTCGTTGCCTCTCCTGATGCTCTTACAGACATGTCGCCTGTCCAGCTTCGACACACCTTGGCACCCCAACCTCTACCGCCTCCGCGTCCGCAGCTTTCCGAATCCTCGTCTTCGTCGTCGATGAGCAGCACATGGAACAAGCAGCAACATCAGACGTTGCCCGCCTTTACGACGCTCAATCGTCAAGTTCGCCTGCAGGAGCTTCGCCGTCGCCGAAACGAAAAACGGCTTGATGCACTGGCCAAGCTGGAAGGCGGCAGCAGTGCGTCTCCTTTTGCTCGGAAGGGCTCGACAAGACGGACGACTGCGCCGGCCTCGCACGGCCGCGGACAAGGACACAATGTTAGCAACAGCAGCAGCGGCGGCGGCGCCTTAAGTAGCAATGGTGGCGGCAAGAGAGCCGATGTGAAGAAGAAGCTTCTCAGCGGCCTCGATATTGAGAGCTTCACCACAGAGAGCTTCACGTACTCGAGCACTTCGGACGAATCGGCCATGCAGAAGCTGCAGAGGCAAGAGGCCATAGAAGCCCTCGCTTCAGGTGTTGCGGCTGGCTTCGACATGGGCTCCCTCCCGCTCCTCTCAAGCACATCGGGCGAAGAGGCCATCCTCCGATCACATCTCCGTGCACTCGATCAGGCCAGGCTCGCGCGGTCTTACGCGCGGTCACAGTTCATCGACCACTGATCCGTCCTGTTGTCTAGATCACTGTTGCACATTGGGACTGAGGAATGTATGGTAGTTGCACAAATTGCCACTGGCGCACGAAAATCATCTATGAGCCTTCGTTGGCCCCCTCCTCTTTGAGCGCGAACCAGGCGTCGCGACAATCGACTCCGGCAACCCTGACGCTCCTCCTGGGATCATCAATGGCCACACCCTTTGTGCCGAGCGTCTTGAGCACCGCCGTCTTGTAAGGATGCAGGGCCGAGTAAGGTAAGGTACGAGCAAATATTGCGAGACACTTCAATGCGGCGATTCGGACTTTCTCTTCCTCTTCCTCGTTGCCATCGTCTGTCTCGAGGGAAGACGTCGCCAGAGTCGAGAGCAGTCGGTCTAGAATAGCCTTGAGATTCGAGTCGACGAGGTCCAGCGCATTCTTCTTGCCCTTTGCCCCAATTGAGCCGTTTGACATTGGGGGCGACGAGGTGCCGCTCGAGGCCGAGTCGAGCGACGACTCTGCTGCCACGGGGTTCAGGGCCGCCTCGTCCTTTTGCCGCCGTCCCACAGCGGCAGCGAGCGCAATCGTCTTGGCCGCACTCGATCGAGCTCTGGCGTCCTTGACGTCGAGCGCGAGAATGAGGAGTGGGAAAAGCTCTTGCAGCTTGTCGAGCGTCGTCTGGCGCGGCATCGAGGGCAGCAAGGATGCGAGCACCACGAGATAGTAATGCCCGGAAGCTCCATCTCTATACGAGGCGAGGATCTTGGGCAGAAGAAAAGTGAGGTATCGCTGCTTGTACAGCAATCGAACCACGCTGCCGTTGTCCTTGCACAGATCCACGTCGTCGCTCCCCACCTCACCCACGCCCCTCGCTGCTTCATTTGCGACCCTCTCTGGCTCCTCTCCGCCAACGTCTATCGAAAGCAATGACAGAGCTCGATTGACCATCTCTTCGCCCAGCTTGCTTCCTCGCATAACGAGCGACTTGGCGACGCTCAGCCACACCCGCGTCGCTCTTTGCCGCGCCATTGCTCCTGGTCCGACGACGTACGCACCCCAGAAGCGGTCGAGGAGCCCGCTCAGTTCGCCTTTCTGCTCCGTAACGTGCTTGTTGACGCAGTCGACCAGCAGCGATCGGCCCGCATCCTCCTGCAGCGCCGTCTGTGACTGCATCGTCCACCCGAGCAGACTCTCGACCCAAGTCGCGGCCTGCCCCTCCATGGGCGCCGGGACGTGCTTTCGCAAGGCCACAATGGCCGCAGCGAAAGTATGAACCGCATTCCGCTGAGCCCTTGACTTCGAATCTTGAGTGACATCGCCCAAGGGATTGAAATCTGTCAAAGCTGAGCGGGAAAGAGTGGCAGAAACTTTAGCGAGGGGCCCCAGATCCTTTTGTACAATTGCCGCAAAGAGGATCGAGGACATCTCCCGCTGTCGACTGTCGTCCAAGCTCCTCACAAGCAACGTGACGAGGGCCCCCAGATCGCGCATCACCCGGCTGTCCGCGGCGACGCTCCACTTTGCCTTTGACCGCAGCGACGCAGACACGCAAATCCCAATCAGATTCGTCGCGAGTGACCCATACCGCCCGACGTCCTTGTCCTTCCGATCGACCTTCTCCTCCAAGACGACCAGGAGCGTGTTGATGAGGCCACGAGCATAGCCCGCATTCACCTGCCGCGCCTCCTTGTCCTTCAGCTCGGCTGCGCAGACGAGATCGAGCTTGGTGCTGAGCCGAACGACGAGGAGGTCAAACAGATCAGCAGGGGTGCACAGCCGAGCAAGAGCGCCCAGAGACCTCCGGACCGCGGGTCGAGGGTCGCGCCCCTCCTCCATGACCAACGTGTCTGGCAAGCTTCCAAAGAGAAGGGGCAGCGTGCTCTCTTCAATCACATGCCTGTCCCCAAGGTCCCTAAGAGCCTCCAAAGCCTGTCCGCGGACGTCGTCGGCATTGGCGTCCACCAGCAGCTTGTTGACGCCATCGCACAAGTGACGCGTCTCTGCTTGGCTGAGAAAGCCGCGGATGTGTGTGAGGTGGACGAAGCAGTCGACGGACTGCAACCTCGTCGATGCATTGACGAGGCCGTGGGAGAGTGTAGCCAAGAGCGTGTCCTTGAAGGAGTCCAGCGGTCGTTTGTCCGATTCGTAGCTTCTCCTCTTTGGCGCAGTGCTCGACTCAGCAGGGGTCTTGCTCGGGTCCAAGTCGCTGTCTGACTTTGCGCTCGTCTCTGGCCGCTCAAAAGTGAGCCTGGCTTCGTCGCGCCGATCTGCCTCGCTCGTAGCACTCGAGTGCAGCACATCGACTCCCTCGTAGACGTCGCGCAGGGCCTTGAGGAGTGTCGAGACGTGATCCAGGATGGGCCCGCGCGTGCTGACCTCGTCGGGATCCTTGTATGCGGTCAAAAGCTGATCCAGACTAGCGTACGTGGCGAGAAAGGCAGTGCTGGGTGTAGCGTGGATCATGGAAGCCATGGCGCTGGCTGCAGGCTTGGCCAACGCCTTGCTGGGCTCCTCGAGCTCATCGAGCATATCGGCAATCATGCGGGGCGCCAGCCCTTCTGGTGGGTCCACCTCGTGATAAAGGACTTGCAAGAGCGACTCCAGCGCTCGGGCAGAGCAGATTGCCGTGGCATCGTCAGTGGCGTGCATGATCTCAATTTTGAAGGCCTCCCAGAGCGGCGACTCGTGCGCCTTGGCAGCAGCTCGGCCAAAGACGGGAAGTGCCTCCTTGAGCGTGTCGAGCGTATCGCGCTTAGCATTACCACCGCTTGCTTGCAGCTTTTCCAGAAGCAGCGGCATGGCGTGTGGAGCAAGCAGCGGGCTGGCGATCAGGACCTTGCGCAAAGAGAGGCGGAGCGTGTTGGTGCTGATGCCATACGGGTCGTCGGGCGGCGGTCGGAAAGTGATGGGAAAGTAGCAGTAGGTCGTGTCGAAGAAGGCCTCGGTGAGCTCGCTGTCCATGATATCGTCCCAATCGAGCATCACGACGCGGTCCATGGCAAAGATGTAGACGAGGTTTCGCGGATCCTTTTCGCCCTCGACGAGGCTGATGTAGCCCTTGACAAAGTCGCGGCCCATGGTCCTCAGCGCGCGGCGATGGCGCGAGAGAAGCGAGTCCATGAGGGTGAATACAAGGAAGCGAATCGCCTGCGGGTGTGCTCTGGGGTCGGAATGCTCAAGCACGGCCTGGGCGGCTGCCTTTGCTGCCTCGCTCCCGAAACGGACTGTGTTCCCGCTGCCGTCATCGAGCTTGGCCAGGCTGTCAAGCGCCCGAAGTGATGCAACGAGCATCTCGGTACCCTTCGGGTACTTTGGCCGCCAGCTTTCGGGCGCCGAGCCCGGCACAGGCTTTGTTTTGCTGTTGAGATCTCTGGCGATGTTGTCTGCCACCACGTTGGCATCCTGCAGCTTTGAGCTGAAGAAGCCTGCGAGCGTCGTCGTCGCCTGCCTGTCCGGAGAGTGCTCTGGCGAGCTGCAGGACCAAAGGACGACGAGCGCGAGGAGGACGACGGCCCTCGATCTCCGCACCTCGTCGTCTGACGTCAGCTCCGGGCCCAGGTGTCTGACGACGTCGAGGAGCTTGACATGGCCTTGAGACAGCGCCTCTTGCAGCGCCTGTGGAATTGGTGCATCCACCAGACATCTCTTCTCTTCGTCAAACGCTCCTCCCACGAAAGCCTCAGTCGCCTGAGCGACAGCCGAGGAAACCATGGTTGATAAGGAACGTCGTGAAAGTTGACGAGCGCGACGAGAAGACTTGGCAAAGCGAAAATCAAAAAAATCCAACATTCAGTAGTAGTAGCCTCAAAGTGGAGACCATCCCGGCCGACGGGATGTGCGCACAGGAAAAGTTTAACGCTCCCTCCCTGAAAGCCACGAGGGAAACAAAGTGAGTGAGGCTGCCTCTGCAAGTCGCGCGTTCAACTGCACCATCTCGGCCCCCGCGATCTCACGACCCCCTCAACACCTGGCTCCTTTGCGTCGCCTGCGACGACTCGACACTCTTTTCTCTTTCTTCTCACTCTGCCGCCACAGCGCCTCTTCCGACCCCAGCGCCACTCTCTTTAGCACCAAAGTCCCCATCTCCAGTCCGACAAACTGTCATACCCAACGCTTCACAGGCGCGGGCCCAGCGCTCAGCTCGGCCTCGCGCCGACGACGACGGGCGCCACGTCCTCGACTCAGGGCACCTCGACCACGGGAGGCGGGTCAGGCGCGCTGAAGCGTGACGAGACCCTGTCCTCGTCTTCGTCCACCTATATCAGAGGGGCTGCGCCCGTCGCGCTGGACATTCGTGATGGCGGCTTGGAGGGAAAAGTGAGCGAGGGCGAAGAGGAAGACGAGGAGGACAGTCGACACGGAAAACACGTTTTCGACGACTACGAGGACATCTATGGGCAGTACGCCGACAGTGACCTCAACTCGAGCCCTCCAAAGCCTATCCATCACATTGAGCTCAATCGACCGACACCTTCAATTGCAGCTGCGAAGCTCGGGAGCGGAGCATTAGGACGGCTGAAGCCTGGAGGCAAGGGTGCTCCCTCAATCTCGAAGCGCACACTCCCTCTCGCCACCACTGCAACGCATGGTCTCTCCCGCTGGTTGCCCCAGTCATGGCCAACTCGCTTCTTCCTCCTGGTCACACTCGCAGAGGCCGTGGCTGACATCAGCATCGAGGCTGTCCTCCTTTCGCGGTATAAGGAGCAACAGGGTTCCATCGAACTGTCCGCCCTGCCAGTCTTCGTCATGGTCTTTGCACTTGCTCACGTTTACCAGTGCTTCCTTGCTTTCGACACCGTCGTCAACCGCAACCTGATCCTCGTGGTTGGGCTGAACGTCTTCAATCTCGCCTTGTGAGTTGGTCCCCTGTCACTCTTCCTTTGGCTCCATCGTCCACTGACAGTCGGACGCAGCCTCATCTACGCCATCATCCAGATCTCGGAGATCCGAGATGTGCTTGGCGACGGCGTCATCCAGGGCACTTCGCAAACTGTCCCTGTTCAAGTCCTGACGGGGGCAATTCCTGCCATTATTGGTTGCACCTCTCTCGTCCTCTCGATCCTCGCCTGGTTCCTCTGGAAGGAATTCGGCTGGCAGATTTACAAGACGATTGGTGCAGATAGGAACCTCAAAAGAGCTCATCTTCAGTACCAGATCTACGTCTGTCTGTTGAGTGAGTCGCCGTCTCGAGCCGGCTCCTCTCACTCCCTCCCCTTTGCTGACGACTACTGCCGACAGAGTTTGACTTCTTCACTTTTACCGCCTTTTGCCTTCAGTTGGTCCTGGTTGTGCTGAAGAATGACACAGCCGAGCGTGTCATCACCATCCTCGCCCTCCCAGTCTGTCTCTTGCTGCTCGTCTTCGCCTGGTATGCATGCCGACACGAGATCAAATGGGGCATGGGCGTCTTCATGGCCGGTCAGCTGGGAGGAGCGGGCTACTTTTCTTACAAGTGAGTCTTCCTATTCCATACTCTGCCAAAGCGGTTTTGAAGCTGATGCGTACGGCTCTCAAATCTTTAGGCTCTATCGAATCTGGTCGGAGAAAGAGGGCCAGTACAAGGAGGTGTACAAGTCGCTGACCGTCTTTTCCGTACTGGCCCTGGCCCTCCTCTTTGCGACTGCGCTCGTCTCGATTCGGTGCCTGCTCAACTTCGACATGGGCCTCAAAGGCGCAATGACTCGTTCAGCCGCTCAGGAAGCACAGGCCAAGCATAATCACCACCACCAGGCCCAGTACAGCCATGGTACATCTGCCATGAGCATCTCGGCCCCCTACGGCACAAAGGGCATGCTGCCGCTCCGGAGCAACAGCACGCTCGGCCTCGAGCGAACCAATAACCCCAGGCTGAGCCTGGACTGATACCAACGCTCCTTCTCTCGTGCCTCTTTCACCCCCCCACTACTCCATCTTGGCTTCCCCTTTATGTGTATCCTTACCCCGGCGTCAACATCGTGTGTATGTGTGCGTGATACAGTGCCCATCTTACCCTACCTTCGTGAACAATGGCAGAACAAGGTGTGAAGTCTGTGTGGTGCGAGCAAGAGGTAGTTGACTCCATCTTCTTAATAAACGGCGATTTGTCTGGTCGTCTTTTTTGGGTTGAAGAGACTAGAGTGGATCGAGGGCCCCGAGAGATGATTACAAGATATAGCTATGACAATTAAGATGGAAAGTTGTGCACGACCTGGACGCACGAAGATATCAAAGTGAGGGTACTAGGAGAGGAGGTAATTGAAGAGGAGTAAGCGAAGAGACAAGAGTAAGAAAGCCCTACAAGCTGATCTGGAGGATACCAGATCTCAGGGCATCTTGGAGGGCCGGGTAGAGAGCGCGAGCGATGTTTGCCTTTCGGGCAAGGACATATCTCGGGGTGAATGATTTGTACTGGTCAAACATCCACTCTGCTTTTTCGGCGCGCACGGCGTTGGAGAAGCCATGGATGACGTAGGTGAGGCGCCAGTCTCGTCTCCAGCCCCAGTCGCGATCGTGGATATAACTGGAGACGGCCTCGTCGACGCTCGTCGGTGTTGCGCCCATCGGCTCCGGTTTCCCATCGGGCTTGTTGTGGACCTTGTAAAACATCTGCAGGCCATCTGCGCCGGCGTGCCACATTCCTGGGAAGAAGGCGTCCTGCTCGAGGATGAGGGCGTTTCTCCCGTGCCCATAGTGGCTAAAGTCGTAGACCAGCCGGCTGATGAGCTCGTTGGAGGCACGCACCCAGTCGCCGTTGAACTGCGTCTCCTGGAGGCGAGACCAGGCCTGCATCAGGTCGTTCTTGGGCTTGGCCATCCAGAAGGCCTGGCAGATGTCGTTGCCCCACTGCCGACCAAAGACATTGTCGAAGCCCGCTTTCCGGAGCGGGGCGAGATCCTTGAGGACCCAAGCGTCGTCGTCAAAGTACATGCCGCCGTGCTCGGCCATCACCCTCGTCCTGACAAAGTCGGACTTGTGGGCATACAGCTCAATCTTGGTGCCCGTCGCCGTCGCATTGGGCATCTCGACGTACTCGAGATGCAGGTTGGGGATCCGCAGGACCGCTTTTGTGTACTCATCGCCCTCGACCCGGGCACGCTCGATGATGTCGGGCGTGGCATCGGACCAGATTGTGATCCGGTCGGGCTTGAGGTGCATGTGGGCCGAGTAGTAGGCGAGGAAATGCCGGAACTCAAACTTGAGCGGTCCCGGTGCGTTTGTCTTTTTGTCTCGGTTGAGCTGCCGAACGAAGTGGACGAGGTTTGGAATGTCGTCACCATTGGCAGAGGCTGCAGTGTTGGTCGACGTGTATGTGATGCTGACATCGGCTAGTGGTGACGAGGGAGGCGGCAATGGCGGTGGCGGCAGGTTCACTGATGGCGGCATGTGCCCTGAAGGCGGCGATGCTGGCGCCGGCGGCAGTGGTGGTGGTCCTTGCGCCTGCATCATTTGCTCTCTCCAGGCAGCCTCGGCGGCAAAGGAGTCGTAGCCGCCATTGCTGAAGAAAGCCCGATCGACCCAGAAGCCCGAGAGGAAGCAGAGAAAGGCGAGAAAGACGCCCACGAGCAGCGGCCGTCTATTCGCGAGTCGGTTGATCGTCGACTTTCCAGCAAATGTCCCCTCGCCCGCGCCGCCGTTCGAGGCCGGCAGAGGGAAATATTGGTATGACGACGACATCTGCCCCGTCGCGCTCGCTTCCGGCGGTCGTCTCCTGCTGCTTCGTGGCTAGCCGCGTCCAACTACTTATAGGACGATTCTTGGCTCTTTCTCTTTCTCTCTTCAACTCCGGAGAGGCAGGCAGGCAGGTGGTGGTAGGCAGCAAACACAGCAATGAGATCTGAAAAACCGTGCAGGGAAAGGGCAGAGTTTTAAAAAGCGCTTGACTCTGGGTGATGCATGAGGTCCGCGCAACGCCTGCTGCATTTCAATAAAGAGAAAGAATCGCCGCCGTATATCTCACGGCAAAGGAAGTGAGTGGCCCCATCGAAAAATCTCGCTGCAATTTCTATGGCTCCATGCAACGGTTGCGCAGGAGAATTTATTACAAGACGGGGAAATTAGGAGCTTTCTTGGCATTACCATAAAGTGTTCCTCAATAATCCGTGCCCTTTTCGCGCCACGCGCCTCTGCAATTGGAACGCGACTACCATTTTCCAAATCTTGATTAGAATTCTTCTTGTTTTTCTTGCGTCCCCCCTTGCGCTGAAGCTTAGGCCATCAACCAGGCACTTCCTTTTCGACCTTCGGAGACAAAAGACCGAACGTGCAGCCCTAAAAAACATTTTTGTAACCGTCGTCGGAAGTCCCTTGTAGGAGAACAGCGAAAAGGCGGTAAAAAAACACCCCGCTACTCCGACGTAACGTGAGATCGTGAAGGGTGACCGTGGGGCTCCGACAAGTGACACACAGCAATGACCAAATCTGCAGCATTGACAAACGTTTGCTTTCATTTCTCATTTACACTACAAATGCTTGTTCAAGAATAACCCCTAGGAAGGTGGCTGGAGGAGGTTGACGGGCGCGACTCGAGGTTTTCGATGTCGTCACCGGCGCCATTGCGGTCAAGTAAGCCATCCTCGGGCAGCAGGTATGGATTGGTCTGGTTGTAGGAGCTCGCGCTGCGATTGTATGTCCCTCTTGCCTGCTGAATTTCGTGGGCGGCACCGATTTCATTCATGATGCGCGGCGACGATGCCAGTGAGGAATTAAAAGAAGAGCGGGAGCGAGTGCTGGGCGGTTGGCTGACTTCTTTCCGAGGCAGAGAAAAGGCAGTGGGGCCACCCGCATGCGCGTGCGAAAGGCTCTGGCGGGAGTCATTGACGGACGTCGTCGTGATGCGCACCCCATTGCGGCCGAGTCGACCACTCTCGAGCTTAGAATCAAACTGAGGAGGCGGGGAAGGCGATTCGCCTTGCTGCACCTTGGGCGAGGGCGGGTTCCAGGTTGTCCCAACTGAGCGCGAGCGGAGATTGCGTGTGGCCAGCGCAAGGCGCGAGCAGAATATTGATGTGCCAATTGTGGCCAGCGAAGCATTGATGGGTTGTGCTGCGGGGTCGATTCTTTGCGTTTGGGTAATGACAGCGATGAGATTGACCGTCCAGATGCCCAGCAGGTAGAAGAACTGTTGGAGTGTCCTCTGTCAGCTATCTTTACCTAGTTTGTCCTCTGACAGCAGAGGGCACAAGGGAGTAAGAGACTCACACCGTCCCGAAGAAGGAATTGCATCGTGGGCCCGATGCTGCTGTTGTATCTTTTCCCAATCTCCAGCGCCTTTGCAACAACGAGCATGACCATGACCGTATCGAAGACGAGAGGTGCAATGTAGAGCACAACGATGTTCTGGTTTGTCTCCTCGGAAATGCAAAAGGGGACCGTCTCATTTGGCTTTTGGTCGTATGCTGCCCAGAGTATGAGACCGGCCTCAGCAAGCCAGAGGATCGAGGTGGGAATCACAATGATGCGAGACCAAGCCCAAATGGTGGCCGTGCGCACGGCGAGGAAGAGGGAGCACGAGCCCACGACAAAGGCCGACACAAAGGCGTCCCAACCTGCACGAATAAGAAAGAGACGTTCTCAGTCACCAGTCAAACCAAGGGAAGGAGAGGCTCATCTTGGTCCAACTCACGGTAGATGTGCTGGCAGGCCGTCTTGGACCACTCCCTCCAGATCATTGCCAGGATGACCGCAAATTGCACGATCGCGAGGTACCGCACGGGCAGATAGAAGGCAAGGGCGGACAACCCAAGTCGTCATTGCTGCGTGTTTTTGGCGGGCCTGAAGACGGGCTTCCAGAACAGACGGGACTCCTGGCTGAGCGTGGTGAGCCAGTCATAGAAGAGAATCGCAGTGAGGCAGGTGACATAAACTCTGGACGCCTCGCCGACGGCCTGCAGATGCTCCGGTGTCTGGGCCACAGCCATGATCGATGATGCTCGACGTGACGGGGACGTAGGTGGTTGTTTGTCGTTGATAAAACAATCTCCCTTCCCACTCGTCGGCCTTTTGAGAGATTGGGACGCGGGAAGAACATGTCGTCATGCAGTCAAGTCTGCAGAAGGATGGGCATATCAGCAGCACAGCCGTAGCGTCCGTGAGCCTCCTCCCGCTCGGGACATACGCTAGGTACGTAAAACATAATTATTGGCTAGAGTAGGGGGTCTAGGGCAGTAGTGACGTTCCTGCATGCACGTTAATAAACGTCGCATTTCTCTCAAGTGCCTTGTTGCAAATCGCGTGAGAAGCCAAATGACGACGCAGGACTTTATAGAAGCTGGGATTCGCTGCTTTGCCAGGCATCGACGTCCCAGACGCCAGAAAATCCGCTTATCGGTGCGTCGATTCATGAAAGTCAGCCTTAGCTTCCTATTTGGGATTTAGGTCTTGCCAGCCGTTCTCCCATCGACTTCTATTCCTCCTAGCGGAATAGCACTGTTTTAGGAACGTCCGAGGGCCGCTGCGCTTTTGTCGACTCCGGATTCTGATTTTGGTTCGGTGTTGCAAGCGCATTATCAACAAACGGACAGGCACGTTCGCAACTTCTTGCAGCATCAACATTTGGAAGAGAGCTTGCGTCTCTCGCTCTTCCTTCCTCGCAAGCAGTTAAGACGCCGCCATGTTGTGTGATGTATGCTCCACGGGATCCCATGGCACCCACAGAAGCACGCCCAGAGGACAGGTGCAGGGACCTTTGAAGCCTGCTCGATTTGATACGATACATGCAGTACACGAGCTAGTTAAGGTTTCGATCGACACATCAACTTAGGGCAGTGCTTGGCTTGACGTCCTCGCTTGTGTGCTTTTAGGATAGGAGGGCTCAAGGGGCTTCAGGCATAGAGATCTTCCATCCAAAGAGCAAATAAGAGATGTTTGTGATTTCATCGGAGAAGAAAAAGCATGCGACTTGTATTTGACGAGGCCAGGGCGCAGCGTCCTAAGCCCCTTCCGTGCTTGTTTTGTTTACCACGAGTCTCTCACGACAGAGAAGCGCCGATCTGATGGGCAGGCACTATAGCACATTCAAAGCTGTCCTGACAAACACGTCGCTCGTCGCAATTACGATGATTCTCTGCGCCCAAATGGCGCGAGACGCATAGGAGAGGGCAGTCGTCCTTGTAAAGGCCAGCGCGCCAAGGCACGCACGCCCGCATAACCGCCGTTGTTTTCATTGTGCCTGGGCGGAGTCGCCCTCTGAACGCAATATCCTACTCCACCCTGCCCCCGTTTGTGCCTGTCGACTCGTCTTCCCCAGAAAAGAGGGTAAAAGGAATCCTACATGCCTCGCCTGTCTAGTGTTCTAGAGTCTTCCTCTATCTCTCTGAGAATATGTCTTCTGCCCGACGTGACTTCTTCCTCTTTCTGCTGATGCTGGCCCACACCTTGCTCGCCTCTGCTCTTTTCGTTGAACCGTGCGTCGACTGGTCCTCTGCAGGATTAAGCTCAACTTCTCATGAGTACAAAGACCAGGAGCTTCAGACTCTGCCTCTCGAGGAACTCTACGTTAATGCAGGCATCATGACCGTCCGTCAGCGCCTGTGGGTGCAAACGGGAAATTCTGGCGACTACAGCCTCGGCTTCAACATTGGTCTGTTCAAACGTGCCAAAGCAGCCGGTATCAAGCGCCTCTATCTCGACGTCTTCCTCAGCGACACATGGACCGACCCGGCCCAGACGAGGGGCCCTGCAGTCTGGACCTCGATGATACGCGAAGAAGGCGTCAGTTGGCTTGAGAAGACCGTGCAAGACTACTTTGGACATGTCATGCGGTCCCTCGTCCGAGCCGGTGTCGCGCCGCAGATCATTTCGATCGGAAATGAGGTGACACCTGGACCGTTTGGGAAAATCGGTCGTTTGTCAAAGAGCAATCCCCGTGGCGCCGAGAATACTGCCATGATCTTCAAGGCGGCGTCCAGAGCGATCCGAGGCGTCGATGAGACGGTCAAGATCCTGATCCATACCCACAATGCGTGGGACACAGCGCTTCAGACCTTTTTCTACGAGCAGATCCTTGAGAGTGGAATCTTCGTGGGTAACGCCCTAGGAGTCCATCGTACCAGTCATAAGAACACTGAGCAACAATGCCTCCTTTCTCTCTTCCTCGCTTCCTCCTTCTCTCGTCGGCAGACGACCAAGGACTTTGATCTGATCGGGCTCAGCTTCTACCCGGCTCAAGACCCATCGGCGACGCAGGCAAACCTCGCCGCCACGATCCGCGCTCTCAGGGCGAGGTACGGTAAGCCCGTCAACATTGTCGAGTTCGGCTGGCCCCAGGCGTGCGCCTCCCGCGCGAAATTTGCCTCTGACGTCCGTCACGTACGCGCCTCGCCACTGGGGCAGGCGCACATGATCCGAGTGACAAAGGCGACGATCAAACGCGCTACAAGGGGGCAGAAAGAAAACCCCTTGCTGTGTCTCTGGGAGGTGGCTTGGCTCGACAATCCCACGTTGGGCTCGGGGTGCAGCAACAGCCTCATGTTCAGCCCGGACGGTACGGCGCTCGAGGGCGTATACGCCCTCGCCGCCCACGGACATAACGGTCGTGACATGGGCCGTGGCATGGGCCGTGGCATGCGTCGTGACAGAGATCGCAGGATGATTCGTGGCAAGGTAAGTGAACGAGGTTACGGCAGGGGTGCTAAAACCGGTCGCGGCATGCGTCGCGACACGAACAAGCGTCGAGACCGGCGCCCCATCAGCGCGCCTTTTAGAAAGCCCCACGCTCGTCAAGGACAAGGACGTAGCGGTCGTCACTAAGCAAAAATAAGAAATACGACAATATATTGTTGATACAAGTGTACTGCTGCAATGGATGCGATAGAAAGAACAGTCTGGGTTGTGTTGGTGATAACGGTGATGGTGGTGTATATATGCTGAAAGGACTCGTACAGTACAATTCTAACCCACACTCTTCTGCTCCTCCTCCTCTGTTTGTGCGCGTGCGTGATCGATGTCATCGCGCCTTCTTGTTGGGGCTCGACATGGCTGTCGGGGCAGGGCTGCGCTTGACTCCCCCTGCGCCTCCTCCCGACTTGCTCTCTTCTGCGCCTAAATTCCCCGGCTGGTCGCCATTAACTCTGCTCGACAATCCTTGCTGCTGCTGCTGCCCTGCCCCGATCCCTTGCCCTGCTCCCGTCGTCGCTGTCGATGCTCCTGCCTGCCCAGCTGCATTCATATTATTCACGCCTGCGAGAGGCGCGACCTGGCGGCTCTGCAGGTCCTTGTACTGCAGCGCAAGCCTTTTGAGCGCATCGATGGGCCCAAGCTGCTGCGACGCCCGGTCACGCATCGAAAAGTCCATAAGATCCCGCAGCTGGCACACGCTCTCTGTGATCTCGAGGCATCGCATCGCCCTCAACGTGATGCCATACTCGTTGACGGGGCTGTCCGGCACCGAGAGCCGGTCGACCTTGACGCTGAATGCGCCTGCTCCTTTACCCTCCTCGCCGCTCGTTGACCCTTTCTCCTTGTCGCTCGTCTCCTTTTTCCCCTTGTCTGCCTCGCTTCCTCTATCTTTGGCTCCGCCATCGCCCTCCTTTTTGCCATCGTCTCTTCTGTCGCCGCCATTGCCATTGCCATTGCCATTGCCGCTGCTGCTAGTATTACTGCTGCTGCTGCTGCCGTCGGATGCCGTCGCCGCCTTTGCTGGTGCGCCATTCTCTGCCAACTTGTGAGAATGAGAGGGAAGAACGGGATTGGATGTAGAAAGGCCATTGGCAGCCAGGATGGCTTTCACAACATGAAGCGGAATCGGCTGCTCGATCTCGGACCGGAGCACAGAGTGGCTGGGCAGGAGCGAGGTGTGGGACTGGACGAGAAAGTCAAAGGACTCGATGCGGAGCTGCGTCTCGAGGCGCGTGGCCGTCGTCGAGAGGAGGAGCGAGGGCGACTGGGCGACCTTTGTGGCGGGCACAAAGGCCACGCGGACGAGGCCGAGCATCTGGACCTGCCAGCCATTGTCAAAGTGCATGCTCATCGTCGCCCGCGTCGTCTCGAGCAGGTGGGTGACGTTGGCCGACGGCACGCTGTGCACGAACCGGCTCGAGCGCGGCGGCATGGGAAACGTCGAGAGGCCGCTCACGTACTCGCGCGGGTTCTCGAGGTGCAGCTGGGTGCTTCGAACGCCCGAGACGTAGTTGGTCTGGAGCCAGCGCGAGACGACAGAGGCAGGGACATCAAAGCCCTTTTGCTCTCGTGATGTTGGGTTCCACAGGACAAGATGCATGTGGCCCGTGGGCAGGTAGAACTCATTGACAAATGATCGCCAGTACTCGGCGGTGTGGCGCTGGTGGAGGGAGGGGGAAAAGGTGAGCTGACCAGTGGTATTCTTGGGGAAAAGGGGCATTACACTCACATCCGGCCCTGCTGAAAGCCCTTCAGCGTACTGATGCAAGCGACTGAGGGCGGATCCAGGGGGGAACTGCGCAGCGAGGGCGTGCGATGTGCTGGGCTGCATCTGCGTCGATAAAAGCGAGAAGCTGCTGTTGGGATGGCTGCTGTTCATCACGGGGCCCGGAGGACCCATCTTTGGCCCAGGCGGTGGTGGTTGTGGTTGTGGTGGTGGTGCGGGAAAGGCGGCCGGGGTGAGGTAGGGCGCTGTGGAGCTGGACATGGATGTCTGAGGCGTCATTGTCCTGCCATGGCCCAGGCGAGGCGTCTGGGAGCCCAGCGAGGCGGGCGTGCCTGGCGCGTGGGATGACATGGCCATCGGCGACTGCACAGTCGCACCACCAGCCATGGGCGACTGCATTGTCGTCGTTGTCCTGGCGTGGTGCACGCGGGCAGAAATCGCAGTGGAAATCCGGACTAAATCTCTCCCCTTTGTCGTCGAATGTCAAACGTCGGCAGCGGCGACTGATGGATGTGGTCGGGGGGTCGACGCCGTGGGCCCCAGAAATACACGTGCGTTCTCGCGCCCGCGAGCGCGGGCGCATCCCAGCAGCGAGGGTTAGGAAAATAAAAAGAATTAATTCGGAACGGGAGCGAGCGAACTCTTAGCGGGGCTAGAAGGAACCAACACCAAAATAGAGCTCGTCTCGTCGCCTTTCTCCTAACTTGTAGTAAAAAGGGGGCAGTGGACAAATGACGCCCGAAGAGACGGCGAGGGGCAGTCAGTCGCCCAGACCAGCGGCGGCGTCTTCGGCGACGGCAGCCGGAGCAAGGGGGACAGGAAAAAGCCAGAACCCCCCTACGTCGGCCACATTCTCCTTTCGCCAGCCATTTGATCGCCGATCGACTTCATCATCAGCAAGACCGCGCGCGTCGATGCAGCCAGCCTCGACGACAACCAGCCCCGCGGCATCGCCCATGCGCGCCCATCGGAGCAAGGTGCCCCTGAGCACGTCAATGTCGATGTCGATGTCAATGTCAATGTCGACACGCTCAAAGACGCAAGTGGCAACGACTACCAGCTCTCTTGGAAAGCGGCGAGAGTCGTCGTCGTCGTCACCCTACGAACACACTCCCAGCGAAGAATGTGACGAGTTCGGCCTTCTCGCTCGCCAGTCTTCTGCTGGAATACCACAGGAAGCAGCATCTCAGCCTTCTCGCACGAGTCGAGGCAGTCGTGGGCCAGCGTCCCCCCTGCCGGGCCACGCCAAGATGAGTCGTAGCGAGACTGTTGGCCACACTCAGGCGCTCCTCGCGCCACCGACGGGCACATCGACCAGGCTGCCGATCAGCAACTCGTTGCGCGCCACCATTGCCCGACCGCGCACCACATCGCTCCTCTCGAACCCGTCCAAGCGCGTGTCGCCGTCTCAGCAGCAGCAGCAGCAGGCCTCGAGAGACGATCACACCGAGGGAGACCCACTGACGAAGAGGAGGGCCACGGCACAGGCGAGCAAGGAGCCGCCGAGCAGCTTCAAGATGCACCGTGCGCCGCGCCTTTCGATGCCTGCCTCGTCGACGGTCCAACGAGGGGCGAGGACGGGCCCAGCGACGCCCTCGTCTGCCTCGTCCTCTGCCTCGAGGCGAGACGTAACGCCAGGAGGAGGAGGAGGAGGAGGAGGAGGAGGAGGCAGCAGGGGAGGAGGACAAGCAGGCGCAGGAGGAAGCAGCGTCAAGGACCGCGCAAAGGCCTGGGAGACTGGCGGCGCGGTGGGGCGCTCTCGATCGATGATGCCTTCGGTCGCCTCGACGCCGGTCTTGTTCGAAAAGATGAAGGAGGCAGCGGCCACGGTGCCCGAAGAGTCGCCCCTGATTCGAGGGCCCTCAATTGCCCACGCATCGGTCAATCGCATCAAGTCGCAGAAGCAGAGAGGCGCCATGCCGTCACAATCATCATCATCATCGTCGTCATCGTCGTCGGCCACTTCCACTTCAAGCAGCAACCGCAGGATGCCGGCGCTGCCCACGCCCGAAGCGCGCCAGCGAGGCATGCGCCGGATCAGCCATCTGCTCGAGCAGAAGCAGAAAGAGACAGAGGCGGAGAAAGAAGAGGGCCACGGGAACAGCAGCGTCGACGACGCCGAAGCGGCGCTCCAGCGCGACTATGTCGCCATGGCCAACAAGGCCAACCTGGGCGCGGCAGAGATGAAGGCCATGGTCACGCAGGGAGAGCACAGCCCGGAAGAAGAGGAGGAGGAGGCTGCAAAGTGGCGCGGTTGGCGTGATCAGTCGGGCTCAGTCCGTGACCGGCGTCGGCATTCACTGCCGTCGACGCCCGCCAGGTCGGAGCGTGACGACGACGACGATGAGCCGTCGTTCAGCATGTCGCCCAGCGAGGAGGCGAGGCAGCGGAAGAAGGAGTCGTCTTCGTCGCCGCCTTCGTTGCCACCGTCGCAGCAGCAGCAGCAGCAGCAGCAAGAACCTCAACAGAGAAACAGGATGAAAGAAAGCGTAGGTCTCGATGTGACGCTGGCGAAACTGACGCTGGAGCGAAGCGCTGGGCTTGCCTCGGTCGAGGACGAGTCGCTGCTGCTCGAGGGCGAGGAGGACGACGAGGGCCTCATGAAGGTGGACGAGCTCGACTGGCACGATGCCAAGGAGACAAGACGCGTGGAAGAGCGGGAGAAGAAGACCAAGCGTGGCGAGGATCTCACCGGACAAGGCAAGGTTCCCAAAGTGGACGAGAAGCAGAAGGGGCTGCGAGAGGAAAACGAGAGGCTCGTTGAGGAGGTGCGGCGTCTGCGCCAGCACACGGAAGCGGTCGAGAGGGAGCGCGACGCTGCGCAGAGAGATGCCTCATCTCTGAACACACTTCGAGGACAGCTCGAGGCGGGTGACCAGGCGCTGTCGGAAGAGAGGGCCAAGTCGGTCGCATACAGGGCCGAAGTGGACCGAAAGAAGGTGCAACAGGTGGAGGCCAGCCAGCTCACTGAACGACGCCTGCAAGAAGCCCTCGTCTGCCGGGCGACGATGGCGTGGGGGCTGGCCTCGTCGGCTGCCAGGGCAGAGGTCGAGGCGCTGTCGGGCGAGAGGGACATGTGCACCTTTTTGCTTGCCCAGCTCACCGTGTGGCAGCGGGCCGTCCTCGCCGAGATTTCGTGACCGCTCTTTCCTGGGGGTAACCGTGACAATATTCACTCTAATGTTTATTCAGTCTTTTATATACCTGCTTTCTTCACTCTAATGTTTATTCAGTCTTTTATATACCTGCTTTCCGGCTCTAATGATGATGATGAACATTCTCCAAGACGATCCTACATCGCTGGAGGGCTATTATACTGCGTCGTGCTTCTCACTCGAAGGCGACGAGGGCCTCAGAGCGCCGGAGTAGATTGGGAACGCGCGCTTCTGTCCGAAAGAGCCGGCGGCCCCTCCACTTGGCCTGTGCTCGTCCGCGGCCCCGGCCATAAGGTTGATTCGACGCGGGCCTTCTTCTTGCTCTCCCTCCACCCAGATCTACCCGACTACGGCGCTCTCCGGCTACGACCACCAGGACCACATCGACACAAATATTACCCCGCCGACAATGAGCAGCAAGACGGGACCCCTCGTGCTCGTGACGGGCATCAGCGGCTTCTTTGCCCAGTTCGTCGTCGACAGCCTGCTGGCCTCGCCGGAGCAGTACCGGATCCGCGGCACGCTCCGCAGCCTCGCCAAGCGCGACGCCGTCCTGGCCCGCTTGCCCGAGCAGGAGCGCACACGCGTCGAGTTCGTCGAGGTCAAGGCGACCGAGAGCTCGGATCTGAGCGAGGCGCTGCGCGGCGTCGACCTCGTCGCGCACACCGCCAGCCCCTACCAGCTCGACGTGCACGACGTCGAGGCCGAGCTGCTCCGGCCTGCGCTCGAAGGCACGCTCAACGTGCTCCGCTACGCCAAGCAGCAGCCGTCGGTCAAGCGCATCGCCATCACCTCGAGTTTCGCGGCCGTGACAGACTTCAACAAGGGCGGGCCCAACCGGCCCGGCTTTACTTACACGGAGCGCGACTGGAACCCCGAGGGGTGGGAGGATGCCGTCAAGTTTGGCGGCGCCGGCGCAAGGGCCTACTCTGCCAGCAAGAAGATTGCCGACAAGGCCGCCTGGGACTTTGTCGAGCAGGAAAAGCCACAATTTGTCGTCTCGACATTCAACCCGCCCATGATGTGAGTAGCACCTCGCTCAATGCTTAATTTTTTCCAGTCTCTCACTGACCAACCAAAAACATGTCTCCTCCAGCTATGGTCCGCCGATCCAGCCGGGCATCAAGGACGTCTCGTCGCTCAACACGTCGGCCATGGCCATCTACCGGCTCATCAGCCGCCTCGACTCGCTGCCCGACGACCGCCTGCCGCTCTTCTGCCACGCGCGCGACGTCGCCGACGCCCACGTCCAGTGGCTCGCCTACCCGCGCGAGCCCGTGCCGCTGCACCGATACCTGCTCTGCGGCGGCGCCTTTTACTGGAAGATGGCCTGCGAGCACATCAGCCAGACCCGCCCAGAGCTGGCGGACCGCCTGCCAAAGGGCTGGAAGGACGCCCAGGACAAGGACCCAGAGACGGCCCTCGCCAAGCTCGACACGACGCCGGCGCAACAGGAGCTCGGGATTAAGTTCAGAGACTGGAAGACGACGCTCGACGAGACCCTCGACGGCCTCCTTGCGCTTGAAAAGGGCTGGAAGTAGATACCTTGCTGCAGTCCCCTTCTCTGTCCTAAATGGCTAGCAGTCTATTGCTAGTAGGAATCAGAATGTAGATAGAAGCAAGTCACGGCAAGCCACCGCATGAGTCGAATTTGAAGATGGCAGACTTCTGCTCGTTCTGCCAGCGAGTCCAAGCGAGTGTACAGATCCATCGCTGCTTTGTTGGGCTCATGTCGATGCACCTTCCCATGCATCCCTATAGTGAAAGAAGAGGATTTCAGCTGCGGTTAATTAACTGGCCAGGAATGTCGGCTTAACGAGCCTGGTCGCGACCGCCCGGGTAAAGCGCAACGTCGGTCACGCCACCCCTCGACCGAGGCTAAGATGGAAGCTTATTCGCTAGCTCCCCGCACTTTGGAAGGCACTCCTCCACAGGCTGGGCCCCACCCCTCCTCTTCTTTCTGGCCTCACGTTTACTCCCTTCTCTCTTGACCTTATCTTTCGCTCTTCTTCCTCCTTAGTTGCCGACACTGCCCAAGGAAAAAGTATGACCGTCACTCCCCCTTTGCACCCGCAGCAGGCGATTCATGTGCAGTCGATCGACGAGCCAGAGGCATTCTGGCTCCGTGCCGCTCGGGATATCCACTGGCACGAACCACCCACGGTGGCCTATGGCAAGCTCTCGTCGTCGTCGTCGTCGTCGCCCTACCTCGACGAGCAGGGCCGAAGCTGGTTCCCCGGTGCGAAGCTCAACACCTGCTTCAACGCCCTCGACCGCCATGTCTACCCTCCCGCCCACGCCGGCGCACCTCCTCTGACCCCCTCGCCGCTGAGCCCGCACCTGCCCTTTGACGCACGCCGTGCCGAAAAGATTGCCTTCCACCACGTCAGCCCGCTGCCCTTTCAGACGCACCAGTACCGTGCCATCACCTATGGCCAGGCGCTTGAAACTGTGCAGACGCTCAGCGGCGTCCTCAAGGCCAGGGGCGTGCGCAAGGGCGATGTCGTGACCATCTACATGCCCATGATCCCCGAGACGGCGCTGGCCATGCTCGCCTGCGCACGCATCGGCGCCATCCACAGCGTCGTCTTTGGCGGCTTCGCCCCGCGCGAACTCGCCAAGCGGATCCAGGACGCCAAGGCGAAGCTCGTCATTGCTGCCAGCTGCGGCCTCGAGCCAAAGGGCCCCGTTGCGTACAAGCCCCTCGTCGATGAGGCGCTGCGTTTCAGCGAACACAAGCCCGCCTCTGGTCTCCTCTTTTTGCGGCGACACACGATCCGCGGCCATACACCGGAGACGGTCGCCAAGCAGGGTGCCTCGGGCCCCGGAGGGGTGCCCGAGTGGGACTGGGATGACGAGTGCGAGCTGACGAGGCAGGGCAAAGACGGCCGCGACAAGTGCTGGTCCTGCCACCCGGTCGGCTCAGAAGAGCCCGTCTACACCCTCTACACGAGCGGCACCACGGGCACACCAAAGGGCGTGGTCCGTCTCAGTGGCGGCCACGCCGTGCAGCTGCGCTACAGCATCGAGCACACGTTTGGCATGACGCCAAACGACACGATGCTCTGCGCCAGCGACCTCGGCTGGGTCGTCGGACACTCTTATATCCTCTATGCACCTCTCTTCCTTGGCGCTGCGACCGTCATCTTTGAAGGTAAACCCGTGACGCCCGATGCCGGCATTCTCTGGCGGACAATTTCGTCGCTCGGCGTCACCCACCTCTTCACTGCCCCAACTGCCTTGCGAGCGGTGCGGGGCCTGGATCCTACGGGCGCCATGATGCGCGCCCCCATGGTGAGCCTGCGAACGCTCAGAACACTCTTCCTCGCTGGAGAGCGCAGCGAGCCGCAGATCGTCGAGGCCTATGCCAAGCTCTTCAAGGAGCTCGGTGCTCCTGGTGCGAGTGTGAACGACAACGTGAGTGTTTTCAGTCCGTATCTGCCCTTGCCCACTCTCCGACTGACATGTCCATTCATCCCTTCTCTCGAAAAAAGTACTGGAGGTGAGAGAGAAAGAACGCCTGAATCTGCCTTTGTCGATCTCTTTCGCTGACATGTTACAATACAGCACCGAGTCGGGCAGCCCTATCACTGCGCTCATGCTCGGCAGCGCTTGGGGCGCCCTCCCGTCGCGACCTGGCTCAGCCGGTCTCCCGCAGGTCGGCATGAACGTCCAAGTCGTCGACGACGAAGGCCGTCCGGTGCCCCAAGGCACGATGGGCAACCTCGTTCTGGCGCGTCCGCTCGCGCCCAGCGCCCTGGGCGGGCTATGGAACAATGCAAAGGGCTTCCAGTCGAGCTACTTTGACCGCTTCAAGGGAAAGGGAGAGTGGTTCGACACGGGCGACGCCGCCGTGCTCGACGATCAGGGCTACGTGACGATCCTGGCGCGCAGCGACGACATTATCAATGTCGCCGGCCACCGGCTGGGGACGGGACTGATCGAGCAGGTCGTTACGGGTCACAAGGATGTCGTCGAGGTGAGACTCGCTGTGACGCTCCTTTTTGTACTCGCCCACTGAAGAGCGCTCTCCATCTGTACACAGTGTTGCGTCGTGGGGGCTCCAGATCAGACAAAGGGTCACCAGCCATTTGCGCTCGTCGTCTCTTCGCAGAGCAACACGGGCAGCAAGGGCGATGAAGTCGCGGCCATGCTCAAGTCCATCAACGACCACATCCGCCAAGAGATTGGACCAATCGCGACGCTCGGCGGCTTGGTCGCTACGAACAAGCTCCCAAAGACTCGCTCCGGTAAGACGCTCCGAAAGACGGTGCGAGCGATCGTCGAGAATGCAGCCGATGGAAAAGCAAACGACGAAAAGACGCTGCCGATCCCACCTACGATTGAGGATCGCGATTGCCTGGCAGATAACATCGCAAAGATTGAAACATACTTTAACTCCCGCCGCTCGAAGGCGAAGCTGTAAGACTTTACACAGACACCGTGCAATGATTAGTGTTTGCGATTCGGAAAGATGTACTGTACACTTTGTTATTCTCTCAACTACCATCCCTTGGGAAAGGTCCCGTGCCAAAGCGGCCGACCAAGCTACCGACGGGCCCAGCGCCGCCGCCCTGGGCCTGGAAGCTCTTCATCATGCCCTCCATCACCTGTCGCTCCACGCTCGAGAGCTCTTCTCCCTGCTGCTTGTCTTTCTCGAGGAGCACCTGCAACGAGGCCGGTAGTCCACCACCGTGGATGAGCTTCTCGAGGAGCTCTGCCTCTTCGTCTCCCATCTCTTCGTCTGTATCAGGCCCCTCGTCTCCCATGTTGACGTCTGGCGCAGCAGAAGCGGGGCCCTTTCCATCCCTGTGTCGGATAAGCTCCTGGTCCATTGCATGCATCAGCTGCTCAAATGCATCCATGTCCTCTGGCTTCTTCTGCGCTTTGGCCGCGTCGAACGACAGACGAGTTGCGTCGGCCTTCTTGCTCTTTTCCTCGGCCTGCAGGAGCACGCGCTCGGCCCTTTCGTTCGCCGCGCGGCGCTCCCCGGCGGTCGTCCTCTGACCACCTTCGTTCTTTTTCCTCTTCTGCTGGGCATCTCGTTGCCTCGAATGAGGCTCAGATGGCGCATCAGGAATGTCGTCCAGATTCCATTTTTCGCCCTTGTTGTCCTTTCTCTTTCCTGCAACGCCAGGTGCAGCAGCCGCTGCAGGAGGTCCACCTCGCTCGGGGACATATGCGCCCCTCTTCCTCCGCTGCTCGAGAATGTCCTCATACTGCTCCTCGCTCAGCTTGAGCTCCTTTCTCGTAAATTCGATGAAGTTAAACAGCTCGTCCTGGTCTAATTTGATCTCGTCGTCTTCATCAAATCGGCCCTCGTCCTCCTGCTGCTGCCGCCGAATCTCTTCGTCCTCGTCGAGTTCCTCCTCCATGCCGAGCCACGTCGCCCTGTTGCGACGATCTTCATCCGTCTCGCCTGCTCGCAGAATTTCGTCATCCACAGACTCTTCGGAGTCAGAGTCGCCCTCAAAGCGTACGTTTCGACGAGCGTATTGCCTGGCTGCTCGATCCATGGCCTCTTTGGCTTTGAGAGAATCGCCAGAGAGAGCTGGTCCTGCACTTTCAATCTCTGTGTGGGTTCCATCGCCACCTTCGGTGTCTTTTCGTGTGGCGACGCTTTTGTCCGCCTCTCCATCAGCCTCACTCTTGACGCTACTCTCTTTCCTTGCATTTTGCCCATCCAATCGCTTCGCTTCTTGAGCCGCTCGCCTGACCTCGTCGGCGTTTCGTGCGCCCCACTCGCCGGGCTCCAGACCGGGGACCAGACCCCTTGTGGCTGCCTCCCTCTGCTCGCTCGTCATCCCTTCCAGCATCTGATTGGGTTCATCCGTCTCCATCCCCTCCTCATTCTCGTCGTCATCACCTTCTTCCTCCTCTGCTCCTCCCATACCCTCGTCTTCAAAGAGCGCGCCCATCTCGTCTCCTGTCCCCTCGACGAACCCGTCGAGCTTCTTTGCGAAATCATTGATCTGTCGCATCGCAATCTTTTCCGCCTCATCTTCGCCCTCTTGACCCTGCGTTGCTCCGTCTCCTTGAGCGTACTGACTGGCGCCGTCGGGCACGTCGTAGAGGAAGCCGTCAGGGTCCTCCTGGAGGGCGAGCACCTGGGACGGCAAGTTGGGGTCGAGGTGTTCAAGGGCGTTGTCCTCGACGTTGTCGATGATCTTGAAGAGATCCAGTGTTTCGTCGGAGCGGTGGCTAGAGGAAGAGGTGAGCTAGAAAGAATCAACATTAGCATCCACGAAAGTCACTCACTCATCGTCGGATGCATTCCTGCTCTGAATCTGCTCGAGAAGCTGTATGGCTTTCTGCTGCCTCCTCTTCCACTCTGCGCTTCCTTCGATGTTGTCTCCAAACCAGCCCATGGATTGAAGAGACGCATTGAAACCATCCTTTGAGTGCTTGAATGAGCTTAGTCGCAAGGTATCACCACTGCATCGTACTCACCGATCCAGGTTTGGTTCTCTGCGAGAAGATACTTTTGGTAGAGGAGGATGCAGCTCGCTCTTTGGCATTCGCGTAAGCAAGCTCGAGCCCACACGCAATCTTGCACCCGAGATCCCACCGTCTTCCGTCGTCTTTCTCGCGTTCGACGAGCCTGCGCTGTTCCTCCTGTTCCTCGTCATTGCCTTCCTGCCCCTCGCGCTGCTGCTGTGGCCCACGACCCTTCATCTCCAGCTCCATCAGCTCCCACCATCTTCCCACCACCTGGCGCCATTTTTCCCCGAATGGCTTGGGTGGAAAGTAGCGCTGAGCCAGCAAGGTGGCGTACAAGCGTCGTGGGAGCCGGACTTTGACCAGACGGGTGGCAGGCTTCGTCGGCTTTGCATCTTGGCTTGGCCCAAAGGAGTGCATCTCACGCAGCCGTCTTGCATCACCAGGACCTTCCCGACCATCGAATGCTTCCGCAGCGTCCGACATGAGCTGAGGGTGACGATGAAGGAGCGCGGCCGCTCCAATGGGAAGATAGGCGAGTGTCGTGTGCTGGACGTCGCGAGCCCAATCGAGGGAAGGATATGTCGGCAGCCTTGCCTCCACGACGGCGTCCCTGAACTCTTGAGAAGCCAAACTCTTGATCTCTTGGGCCATGACTAGCTGCAGTGCTGTCGCTGTTCGAAGGGGCTTCACGTCATCCAGATGGACGTCGCCATCGCTGCTGCTCGGTTCCGCATCGCCAGGGTGAATGTCAGGAGAGATGAGGTGGAAGCAGCCGTCGGCTATCCAGAGCCGGCCCTCGGCATTGGAGGGCTGAATCCAGTCAGGCAAGGCATCGGCACCTTCGATGAGGAGCATCTGGCCGTCCTCGTCGCGCACATTAGCGACCAGCTTCGCACCTTGGCCCATCTGCGTCTGCAGCTTGTCTGACGACGTGGCGAGAAGAATCAGATGGACAGCGAGCCACTCGTCCTCGATACTCCCGCCATGCCGCATCGACACAATGAGCTGCCTGTTGGTGGTGTCGCCTATCGCCACTCGCGGACGCTCGCGTTGCCAGATGTAGCCATCCTGGATCGATGCGCAGCAGCTTTCGAAGAAAGCCTCCAAGAGCGCGCCAGCCTCGACCAATGTCGGTTTTGGTCCCGACAAGCGGTTGAAGGGTGCTTCCGCTGCCTCCGAGTCGATCAGGTAGATCTCGCTGCGAAAGCGAGGTGTCTCCTCCTTTTCGGCCAGGCTCATGTTGATGGAAGAGTTCACAAGCCTACGTCTTCTTTGGAAAAAGGAAAAAGTCCTGCCTCCACCCAAAAAACAAAAAAAAACTACGAGTATTCGTGCTTGGAAACGCAGAATATTTACAATTATAAAACACGTGTTTAGAATGCGCTGGTCGCGTAGACCAACGGTTTCATTTCCTGGAAACGGGTTCTTTGGAATCAATGCCCAGTTCCGGCGAGCCCTTGGAGTCTTCAAAGCCCCGAGTTCGAGGAGGGTGGCGCGCCTTCTGTTCAGCTCGCAAGGGCCGGGCAGACGCGCCTGAAATGAGGGAGCCTCAAAGCCTTTGCAAAAAGGATTTGCACCAGAGTGGCCAACACTGCAGTGCTCTCCCTCAGCCTCCTCGCCACGTAACTCGGGGGTTATCTGTAGGCTGGCGGGTCGGCTTAGGCCTCTACCCTTAAATCGCGGTTCTGTCTCGCAAGCATTGAAACCATTTTTTATTTTTTACTTTTACTTCTTGATTACTCCCAAGCATGAGCTCTTGAGCCTTTGCTTCAAATCCGGGTCAAGCAAGGAACGAGGAAGGTCGCACTCGAACGCATGCTTGGTCGAGCAAGGGAACCACCTATCTCTTGGTCCAATTCCAATCCCCGCACCTGACAGGCACGCGATCAGAGAGTAGTATTTTCAGGGCCTGTTCGGTCCCGACATCTTTTACGCGCGTAAGGGCCGCCTCGCCGACTAGTTAGTTGAGTGAGGCACCTAAGATCTACCACAGGCAACCAGCGGTTGTGCAGCCTCGGCCTGGCGAAGGCCTTCGGTCATGTAGATCGATGGATGGCCGAGGGGGTCAACTTGTAGAGATGGATGGCCGAGGCAATGACACAAGACCGCAAAGCAGGCTAGAGTGCCGATATCTTAGCACTAAATGGATTAATTTTGATATGCGGGGTAGAGTCGGATGTGGGGGCTGTCCTAATCTTCCTGGTATTCGTTGCAAACGAGCCTCACACTGCTACATAACTAAGCTATCCCATATCTTTACTTCTAGTCAAGGTCGAGCAGGTTGGCCACCGTGCGTACAAGACATGCATGCATCATCGTCTATTTTCATATTAAATATATGGAATGCAGCTCCCAGCTGCCTGAGAAATTCTCGTCCTCTCGTTTCGCATCGATTGTGGGTGACGACAAATATAAGTCTTCCTGTCGCGCACACATCCTCCCCTCTCCCTCTTCCCCTTTACCTTCCGTAAACTTTCCTGATCTCACCCAAACCCACCACCCTCTTTCTGAACAAGACGACAATGGCAAACGACGATAACGTGCGCGAGATCGGACCAGATGAGTACGAGGTAGCCGAGGGCTACGTCGGTGAGTCTTTCCTCCACATGATTGCATTCAGGCCTATCGCGTTGACAATGTGGGCATTGCGATTCAGGCAACCTCAATGATGAGCAGCAGAAAGCTCTCGTCAAGATGTGGGAATCATTCTTTGACATCTGTGACCGAGCCGAAGGTGAGAAATCGTTCACATCCCTAGAGAGTCCAAGGGCAGCCCGCTGATCTTTCTGGATGCAGGCTCGGCCAAGAAAGGTGAAGGCAAATTCGAGGGCTTTGAGGCCGGCGGCAACGGCAAAGATCTCAAGAAGAGCGGAATTCCTGAGGATGACAAGGCCAAAGACGAGGCCAAGAAGATGTCGGAGCAACAGGGCATGACGTGAGTCCTCGTCTCCGTCTCTGGATAGACATGAGACCTTGCTGAAACCAAATTTGCTGCTCTTTCTCAAGCGACCTACTTCGGGCCTATGGTCCAGAGGCGCTCAGAGACTCTTGGTGGAGCTTTAACAAGGGCGATGACCCTGATGGCAACATGCTCCGTTTCATCCGAGCCCGAAAGGTAAGTACATTGCCATTTGCAAGGACCCCTTTCGCGGCCAAGTGAGATGCTGATGGATTTGACAGTGGGACGTCGACCGAGGTCTGGCCATGATGGCGACCTGCCTCAAGTGGCGCCTCGACACCGATGTCGATAGCCTCGTTATCAAGGGAGACCTCACGAACGCCGAAGAGATTCCCAAGTTCATCGACCAGCAGAAATCTGGCAAGGTCTTCTCATACGGCTTCACCTTGAAAGGTCAGCCCATCTGTTACGTCATTATGAAGCACCACAGCATCTGGGGACAGCCTGCCGCTTCGATGCAAAAGTTCATTGTGACGTGAGTGTGCTCGTCCCCGAAGAAGTCTCGACCCGATTTTCTGACGCGCCTTGACATTCATACAGTCAGATGGAGACTTTCCGTACTCTCATTTGCCCTCCCAATGACAAGTGAGTTGGCGATCGGGCTTTGCACACCTGCATTTCATATTTCTCATGCGTTCGTCATACAGAGCCACCATTTTCTTCGACCTCAAGGGCTTCGGTATCAAGCAAATGGACGTCGTCAACCTCATCTACCTCGTCAAGGTGCTTGAATCGTACTATCCCGAATCGCTGGGAACGATGTACGTCTCGAATGCGCCCCTGATCTTCTGGGGCTTCTGGCGCGGCGTCAAGAACTTCCTGGACCCTGTCGTGCGAAAGTGAGGGTTTGCAGAGATGAGAGGATGAGATAGCAGTGGAAGCTGACTTTGCCTTCACAGCAAAATTGTCTTCATCGAAGGACCAAAGGACACCACGCACGACGTGCCGGCCGAGCGTATCATTAAGTACTGTGGTGGCGATTCTAAGGCCGAGTTCAAATTTGTGGAGCCACAGAATGGCGAAAATGCATTGACCGATGATGAGGAAGAAAAGGACAAGAGGTGGCAGAGGCACCGAGCCATCACGAACGAGTATGAGCGCGTCACGCGCGAATGGTGCAAGTCTGGAGGCAAGGACGAAAGCTTGACAGAACAAAGGAAGGTCCTGATCAAGAAGCTGAGGCTCTCGAGCTACGAAATCGACCCCTACTACCGAGGGCGGAACCAGTATCAGCGCGACGGCACGATCCCAGCCAAGCACCAGGGAATGTGCTCTTTCGACTACGTACTCGATGGAGAAACGATCCGCCAAGTCCTCGGTCACAGGTCGAGCCGCAAGTCGATTGAGCGAGAGCTCGCCGAAATTGCTGATGGCTCATCGACGCAGGAGGCAGAGGCGAAGACCGCAGACATGCTCAAGAACGGTACCTGGGGCGACTGGCGTGTCAACGACAACAGTCCAGAGGTGCAAAAGAAGGCACTTGCCTCGCTTTCGCAGTTCGGAGGCAAGGATAGCCAAAAGGGAGAAGAAATTACTCAGCCGGCACCTGAACAAGAGGCGACGGGCGACAACAACACAGAGAATGCGGCCGACTCGTCGACCAACGACAAAGGCGCTGCTGCTGCCAACGGTGCTGCTGCAGCTGGCGGCGCTGCTGCCGCCGGAGGTGCCGCCGCGGCGTCATCAACAAACCATTCAGGCGCGGGTGAGTTCAAAGACGCTCCCGAGACGCCTGGTGACGCTGCTGCCGCCGCGAATGGAGAAGCCGTCGCACCCAAGCCTGCGCAAAACGGCCAGACAAAGGCCAATGCTCCCTCGACGAAGAAGGATTCTGCTCCTCAAGAGGAGCCCAGGCGCAAATCTTCTATCTTGGTTAGTAAGATCGTTCCTAATTTCTCCTTTGCGTGCCAAGCTCACATTCATACTGTTTCCATTAGAGCAAGGTCAAGTCCAAGATCATGGTCTAAGTTGTTTTGTTTCTACGCTAGAACCCCTCCTTCATGCTTCCTCCGCTTTTTCTTTCTCTTCTTTCACAACTCCTCTATCTCCCGGACTCCGTGCTTTGAACGTGAACAGTGTCATGCTCTCACACAACTCATATATACAGTACACAAAGATCTAGACCTATAGTGTAGAACCGTTTCCCAAGCGGTCATGGTTTGAAAAAATGGATACCGGGCGAAAGGAAGATGACAGGTCGAAATACTGTACGTCGACCTCACAAGTCCGTACGAATCTTGCTTCCTGCGCTGTAAGATAGGGGGCCGTGTGCCATCGCCTTCTTTAAAATGTTTCTCATGCCACCCGGCCCCCTATCTTACAGTGCGGGAAACAAGATCTGTACTGTTGAAGTTGTCTTGCAACTCTCGCAGTCTCGAGGGGTGGGTGATTTATGCAAATTTTCCTTCTCGGAACATTGTCTGTCGAGCCTCTGTTTCGCATTAGACTAAGAGCCGTGCTCAACAGCTTGAATTATGCTTGCCTCGTCTCGCCAGTGACATCATTCGATAGGCAGCAACTAAGTTTTCCCCCACGGCGAGGATGATAACCCTTAATTAGCTTGAAATGACATTGCTTGGACCCGCTGAAGAGAAACATGACTACTACTATTGGTTGCCGTTTATGGCGATTTGTTTTCAGAATGTTTCATGCGTATGCGCATGACAGCGCAGATCTGCCTCCAAAGCACTGCCTCCCGATCCATTCCAATATGTAAAGATTACAGTAGTAACGTAGTAACATAGCTAGCGTCGTATCAAACATAGCTCTGCAGCCTCAGCAGCTTGTCAAGACGTAAGATACGTGCATAGAAAAGTGGCACATCGGCAAAGTTTACAATAGACGTTACCGGCTGTCGGTCGATTGGCGGTAATTTGTCGCTCCGCGCGCCAGTACCTATCGACTAACCAAATGGATTCCTGCGCTTTTCTAAGCTGACAGACGGGACCGCTAATTGCAGCGCCTTGGCGGCCTATGTCCGAGACTAGGGTAACGATCTGACTCGCGGGGTCGTTTCATGGAGCACTGTGCGATCTCACGACCTGCTTTTCTCCCTTTTGACCACCACAACCCCGGTCGACATCGCTGATCGACTTGGGCGAGGATGAAATTCAAACTGGGAAGGCGTTTCGCGTCGTCCGACAAAGACAGCGTCTCGTCGCCACCTGTGTCGGCGTCATCGCCTTCACTGCCACTAACGCCTGCAAGCTGTCCACCTGTGCCAGTCAGAGGATTCGATCAAGATCATGGTAGGGTCGAGGGCATTCCTCAACCACTCGGAAATGGAAGCCCCAGGAGCAAATTGAATGTCCGGCAAGATGAGCTCAAGGCCAAGAGACGTCCTTCTTCGGCATCTTCCCATCGTTCTTTCAGCTCGTCCTTTGCCATGCAACAACAGATGCCTCCGCTTCCTTCGTCACCGTCATTCCCGCTTGCCATCGCAAAGCAACGGCCCAGAACGAGCGATGGAAGAATGCGGAGCTCTTCGACCCCTGGACGGTTCAAGTCGAAGTCTCCGAAGCCTGGGGCCACGGTCATACCTGTTCCTTCGAGGGACTCACCTCGCTCGAGGATATCTGCGCAAGGCTCGCTGGAGCAAGAGAGCTCATTTGAAGAAAACAGAAAGAGAGGCAGTCTTCGGTCTTCCCTCGAGAGCGGTGGTGGAGCAACGGTCAGCAGCTCCTCAGGAACACGGTTGCGGAGGATCGGTGGGGAATGGACAGTGCACACGGGAGAAGAAGAACTTATCATTGCTGTGGATCTGGGTACGACATACAGTGGCGCATCTTACTGCCTACTAAGACCTGGCAAGAAGCCCCGGATAGAAGACGTCAAATGTTACCCTGGACAGTCTACTTCGAACAACAAGGTGCCCAGTCTCGTGCTGTACGATGCTCGAGGCGTGCCTTCTCTTTATGGCGCCGAAGCTGCGGAAGGCTCGCCAGCTGCCTCGCGAGTACTCGAAGAAGGTGGTGCGGTAGCCCGCTGGTGGAAAATGTCGCTCAAGCCGACCCACATCGAGCTCGGTCGAATTCGTAGCGACGAAGACACCAAAGGCCATCCAATAATGAATCCGCTACCTTTTGGCATACGTGCAGAAGAGGTCGCGGCACACTTTCTGTCGTACATCGTTTCTTGCGTTGGAGTGGGTTTCTGTGTCTCGAATGCCACATTTCCGTCGGTGTGACTTACAACTTATTCTAGACCCAAATTGTCTCGCGACTTCCCAATGGAGCGGCGCTGCTGGAGTCTTTGGCAGCGAGAACCAGATACGTCATAAGTTGGTACAGCTTCGTGCCAAGATGGTGGACACCTTAGCTGACATTTCGTATATCACAGCCGTACCGAATGGATGGGAATTGCCACAGCAACAAATGCTACGCGAGGCTTGCATCACAGCAGGACTCGTCAGTCGCGAAAGCGCCAACCTCGTTGTTTTCGTGACGTAGGTGTCTACCGTCGGTCTGCGCTTCTGTCTGCTTGCCGTCGCTGAACATACCGAATCCGTGCGCATACAGCGAAGCGGAAGCGAGTATCAACTTCTGTGCGCAGAGCGACTCATCAAGCAATTGGCTCGAGGTAAGCAAACATATCCTCGAAAGGTTTCTCCTCGAACACTGAGTACTGATGAGGAATGTCTCTTTATCACAACAGCAGGAGGGACAACACCTCATTGTTTGTGATGCTGGAGGGGGAACGATTGACATCAGCTCGTACAGGGTTGAGAGCACCAGCCCTACTTTGTCTCTTGTGGAGACATCGCCAAGCGAATGTAGGTTGTTCACCACTCATGCAGCGAGCGATAAGCTGAGTCTGATACGCGATACCTCCTTTTTCGCGCAGGCCTCCTAGCTGGCGCAACGACAATCGATCGACGAGCTCGATCGTCAATACAAAGTGAGAGTCTCGCGATCATAAGTCACTTCCCGAGCTGATGATTCGCTCCACAAAGAACGGCTAGCTGGGACGGAATGGGACAACAAGGAGGACCTCGATGATCTCCAAGCGAGATTCAGCACGACTATCAAAGAAGCTTTTTCGGACCCGTCTGAGGAATACCACCTCGCACTTGCCAGCCGCAATGTCAATGTCGAGGCCCTAGGTATCCGAAAGGGCAAGCTCGTCTTTTCAGGGTGAGATGCGGATGAGTGTCATTTTTGGCTTGGGCCTTGAGCTGATGTACAAATCGAGCAGAAAGCAAGTGGCGGCGCTCTTTGAGCCTTGCGTTCGACAAACAGAGAGGAGTCTACGTGAGAGAGTCTATGCGCTCGGTCAAAATTGCATCGTGAGTCTATAGGTTAGGGAAAGGCACGAGTTCCGGCACTCAGACTGATAGACATAATCAAAAAGACAATCGCCATGGTTGGTGGCTTCTCCGAGTCCAACTATTTCCGGAACGAGCTGCAAGAGAGGCTCGGAGACCTCGTCATTCTCTGCAAGCCAGACGAGGTGACGTAAGTGCCGAATTCCTTGGTCTTCATCGGCGGTATCGTCCTGACGGTGGTTCCATGCATTACTCAGCTCGAAAGCAGTCGCTTCAGGCGCAGTGGCCTGGCTCATGGAGGGCGTCGTCGAAAAGCGGGTTGCAAAGCTCCACTATGGCATTCGCTGCAGCACTCTGTACCGGCCCGATGAGACATCGCACATCGCCCGTTTCGACCAACGCTTTGTGGGAAAAGACGGAAGGACACGCTTGCCCGGTAGTTTCGGCGTCGTTATGAGCAGGGGTTACATGGGACATCAGGACGACGAGCACATCGAGCGCTTCCAACTCGCCTGGAGGACCGATCAGAGTCTGATCAAAGACATTGGGCTCTTCGTGTACAGAGGTGAAGAGGCTGAGCCCCCTGAATTTGTCGATGAACCGGGATTGTGAGTCTGCAGTAGCGCACTTCAGAGGATTCGCAAGGGCTAATATCAGACCACAGCGAGGAGCTTGCACGGTTCCGCGTCGACATGAATGTGTTCCGTGGCTTGCTTCCCATGCAGGTCACGCCCCAGGGATCCAGCTACCACGCCGACATCCAGCTGGCGATGCGCCTCAACGGGCCTGAGCTTTCAGCCCAAGTCCTCTACCAGAGCGGTGGCCGATGCTTCAAGTAAGTCAGGTAGAGCATAATCGGCCGTGCAAATGCTTATGCCCGTCATTCGTCTCCCTCAGAGGTCCCGTCACAGTCATTTTGAGTCAGGTCCATTGACACGATAACATTGATCTCCGCCCTTGTGACCGAAAGTCATTGCGCTTTCTCAGTTGCGTTTCATTCACGATTACACTCTCAAAGGTCTCATTGATTTCAATTTCATCCAAGAAGGCACTTCCTTTGTGCTTCTGACAATTCGGTTCTGTCTTATGTGCCTTTTCTGATGGACTTCAATAATGTTCTAGTAGACAACGTCCCACTCCGCGCCTTGCTTCTTAGTCACCTGGACCTTGTACTCCAGCAGACGCTCGCGCTCCTTTGCCGTCCAGTGGCACTTTGGCTGCGACGGCGATTAGTAAAGGAGTGAGGGTACAGCGGTGCTATGTGGAACTCACAGCCATGCCGCGCACGTCGCGGTAGCGGCCGAGATTTGCAATGAAGCGGTTCTTCCACTTGCCCTGTCGTCAAAGCCCTATTAGTAGCCATGTTTCCAGTCTTAACAATGCAGAAGCAGTCCACTTACGTCCTCTCCAAGCACGCGAACGTGGGTAGGAATGAATTCGAGGATCCACCAGAGCTTCTGTTTGACGAGGGCATCGTTGACATGGTTCTGCAAATCACTGAAGTCTTCGATGAGCTCCGCCTGCACAGCGGCGAGAAGGCCTGATGTCGACGTCGATGAGATCGTCTCAGCGCCTGGGAGATACGAGGGCGACTTGACCATCTTGACGAAATGCTCAAGGTCTTCGGTCCTGAAGGGTGCCTTGTCAAAGAAGCCTTTGTTTCGATAGCGATCGTCGGTCGCACGTACGTTGCCCTTCGGAGAAGTTTGCGGGCGGAAGTCGAGGCCCATCGTATCTGAAGTTATGGCAGGGTCATCAGTAATTAGACTTCATGGCATTCGTGAGAGTATGGTCAATTACTGCAAGATTGTTGCGATGTGACGAGATCCTCAAGCTGGACCGATGTTGATGTCAGTTCTAGCCAAGATTGAATAAGGACCACTTCCGCTCACAAAGACATATTGGGGCGAGAGGCTTTCCACGGCCAGCCCAAATTCCTTGAGTAGAGATTTGCTGTAGATGATGCCTGAGTCACATAGAAATGTCTGGCATAGAGATGCCTCTTTTGGTGTCAAATGATGGTAGGAATGAGTTGAAAGTGTTGAGTTTTGAGGCGCCTACCTGACGGATCATCCATCGTAGTGGAATGCGATGGAGAGCATTCCGCTGGTTGTTCTTGACTGCACCTCCGCCGACATCGCTGTGGGAACCCGAAAACCAGACCTGAAGTTATCGGGCAGTCAGGCAAGAGCTATGTGGGGAATGGGAAGAGCCAAGTGAAGAAAGCTACCTCCAGAATGTCGGTCGGGACAGCGTCGTCGCCGTAGAAGGTCCTGTCAAGCTCTTGGAAGCGCTCCATATGGATTGCCGTCTCTTTGCGTTCCATTTTCCTTTTCTCGTGGAAAGAGTCCTTCTTGAAGAACGTTGCGTACATAGCAGGGCTAGTGAAGGCTCGGTCAAGTTCATGGTTGGAACGGGAGGGCGAGGGCTTCTCGATATGCGAGGCTCGACGCCTGAGCTCATTAACACCAGAAGCGGGAGGGCTGTGCAAGGTTCCGGAGGCCGAGGCAGAGAGACCGCCATGTTTGACCTCAGAGGCAGTTGCTGAATCCTTGCGACTCTTACCCGTGTTGGTTTCTTCAGAGTCGATGTGCGATGTCACAAGCGCTTCGGGGCTCTCCACGAGGCTGTGACCGGCTTTTTGGAGCGGTTCGAGAATCAAATCGGCAGTTTGTGCTCGTTTGAGCTTCTCCTCTTTCTCGTCTGCGTCCGCTTTGCGGTGCCAGACGTTGGGCTTGAATTTGGCACGGCGTTCGTCGAGGCTGAGCGCGTGGCGAAAGTGGCGCACTGCCACGTTACCTTCCTCATCGAACGGCAGCGATCTGTCGAACACACTCTTGTCAGTTGTCACTTGACAGCTCGCACCGCTCTATTTACCTGGGAATCAGGCCTCCTACGCTGGCTACGCTGTCCCTGATGAGCAAAGAGTACGATGAGCTGCACGGAGAGGTGGGACAACAAGCTCTCGACCAACCAGCATCCCATGAAGTGGATCTTGACGGGGATCGAAAAAGCCTTCTTGAATTCAGCACTGCCATTGCCATCGGCTATGTTAGTCAAGAAGGGAGCTTGGCCAATGCATGGGGCTGGACCTACCTCATGTCCCAACCTTTGTCTGAATTATCTTTAAAGAAGTTGTAAGCAAAGGCGATCTGGCTTTCATTGTTGGGTGGCAAGAGGCCGACTTTGTAGAGCATGCCGGCCAGAGCGCGACAGGTGTAGCTGGTGCGGACTGATCAGTCAGGTGTTAAAGAGAGTGTCAGAAACGTTACTCACGCCTGGAGAGAAGGTCAGTCACAGCGTTAACAAGCATTTACCTAGAGGAGAGAAGACTCACCCCACGAGAGAAGCCGAAGAGACAGATCCTGTCGTTCTTTCGGTCTAAAGTCCTGCTTAGTCCCTTTGTCTTGACCTCTGAAAGAATGGACAGAGGAAAAGACCAGGCTCACAATTCTGCTGGAGGAAGGCATAGCCCTCGTGAACGTGATGCTCCAGTGAGGAGCCAATGGCCATGTCGAGCAACTTTGCCACCGTTGGGCTCAAAAAGCTTGTCCTTGAGTCGAGGTATGTACCGATTCCGGGCTGATAAAAGACGAGCTGCTCTTCGGGGTTTCCCTTTTCGAGAGCTGAAAAGAGCCTGTGCCGTAATGCTGGGTTAGCTTCGAGAAGATAGAAACGAGGAGTGAAGCTGCACAGACCTGACCACATTGGAGATGTCATCGTCAAATTGATCACCAGTTCCATCAAAGCAGAGACAAAGCGAACGGCTCTTCTGCTCGCTTCCTTTCTCTTCGGCTCGCTGGGCATGGCGAAGGGCGATGATCTGGTCGGAATTATCGCCAAGGAGGTTCATGACCGAAGGGGATGTGGTTGCAGTGAGGATCAGTAGGTCGAGAAGGAGAAGTAGAAGCGGCCATAACTTCTCAAGAATACTGCCCCTTTTGCTAAAGAGAGACAAGATGCAAGTTGCATGAAAAAAGGCTCTGAAACGGTCGAGAATGCGACCGGCGTCATCTCTCATCTGCGCGTTGCTTTTCATTTGCTCCAAGCTCTACGTGCTACTCCTGCAGCTTCGCTTGCGTTGTTTCAATGCCATGGACCAGCAGTGTAGCCAGAGTTATCATCTCATGTCGTTCTGTACTGCTATCGTCATGTAAGTGAGTACCGCCCTTCTGCTCAAGACATCTCCCCATATTGCAATATTGAATAGGTCAAGTGGCGGCCACGACATTGATGAGGTTGGCCACACGCTTTAGAATCCACGTGTCTTTTGGGCTCGGTGGAGTAACAAAGGGAGAAAGAAACTTGGTTCGCTCTGTCAGATCCGTTAAAACCTCCGATCACTGCTGCTCTATCTGGCCTTGCCTGTGTGCAGGATGCCGTCCCTCGATGACGCGGCCCAACAGGCTCCCGTCATAGACTTGGACTATGGTGAACCGTCGTCCTCGTCTATGACCCTGCCGTATCCGCACACGTCGATCACTGCGTCGTCACAGCCACTGTACGGCAGCGCGGCGCCAAGCACTGGTGCGCCCTGTGAGTAGGCACATGCCTCGGCTCTTTCCTGCTTCCCTCTCGTGCTCATCCTACCCCTTTTTTTCCTGCATCAACCCGTCATAGGGACGACGCAAGACTGGAACGAGGCATGCAAGCTCGTCGAGGAGCTCCACTCGTACGGCATGTCGCCCAGCGTCCTCGTCGAAAGGGGCGTCAATGCTCAGGTGGTGGATTCCTGCTGCCGAGCCCTCGGGATCCCCTTTTCATCTCAGCCGTCTCTTGGAAACCGAGAAACTCCGGATGATTCTTCCGTCAAGAGAAAAAAGAAGAAGAAGAGCAAAAGGGCGAGACAGATCGAGGAGCAACAGGCCGCACGACCCGCTGCCCAGTCTTCTTCAAACGATGTCGAGCGCGACACTTCCGGCGACCTGGAGGTAGCAGAGCTAGCCCGGAAGGCGAGAGCCACAATGAAGGCGGCTCGGGAGAGTGCTGGCTCAAGTGGGAATCCCATTGGTCTGCTCGAAAACGATGCATCTGCTCCAAACTCGGCACCGATACATGTACCCCAAACCTCGAGCACGGACGATCTAGACGTCAAGGCCATGCGAGCAAAGGCGCTGGCGAGCATGAAGAGAAGCAAACCTGCAAATACTTCTTCAAAGACCAGCTCTCACCTCTCCGCCACTGCTGTAACCGCTCAACCGCCGCCAGCCCAAGCATCAGCAGTGACACGAACAGTTGCAGACAATGGACAAGCCGTGGACAATGGCCAAAATTATGAAGGATACCAGCAGGAGGGCAACAGGGCGCCTCTTGAGCCAGAGGGCGCACCCAAGCGACCGAGACCGATCTATCACGATGTCGATGCGCCTGAGCCGGGCGACCACTACGACGTCATTGTCTTAGATGATGACGACCTGGCCGCTGCTGCGCACGAGGCTGCATCGACCAGCCGTAATGGTCATCGCAGCGGTGGTAGTAGCAGTGACGTTGCCAACGAGCGCTTGCGCGTCTCATATGCCGACGACGATTGGGCACCGTCGGGCGACGTCGACTACTCCGCGCCCTTGCCGTCCCTCCAAACGCCCAGAAGCGCAACCTTCCCCTCCACTGCCCCTTCTTTACCCGGTCCTAGCTCGAGCTACCGCAATCGTCGACCGGTCGCAGCTGATCTGATCGACAAGGCGTCGCGAAGCCATGCCGCGCGGCAGCCGCCACCAGCACCACCCGCGCCCTTTCTTTCCTCACACAACTACGTCAAATTTGACTGGTCTGATGACGAAGACAAGGACGCTGATGCTGGGCCAGAAACTGAGCGCCAATTGCATGCGAGACAAATGCAGTCAAAGACTGACTCGGAGTTTCTTGAGCTCTTTAGGACGGACAAAGAGCGAGACAGGCCTGCTAAGGCACCACAGCAGCAGCAGCAATCACAACACGACGATACACGTTTGACGGAAGCCGTCACGGAGCTTGCCGAGAAGGAGAGAGCAATCCAGGAGCTAATGCAGCGCATCCGGCAAGCAGAAGCGAGAGGCAGCAAGGTGCCCGCCAAGGCAAGCACTGTGGCGAGCATGGCACGCAAGGCTGTCGAAGAACAGGCAAGAAATGATGACCATAAGAAGCGCAAGGCCTCCGATCAGCCGCTTCAGGAGAATGACATGGAGGAAGACGGCGTGAGTGGTTCTTTCGGGTTTTCCCCCCAAGCACGATGCAATTGACCACGTGGCGACCTTTTGCACAGCAGTTGGTTCAGGACAATGGCGACTCGGAGGTGGGTTCGATTTGCAGGCGTGGCAACGTGCCTCGCCGGTGCAGTGTTGTGTTGCTGACCCCTGCTCGATGAATCCTTGCGGCTCAACTGAATGCAGCTTTCTGCGCTACCGGCTTACGAATCACCTTTTTCACGCTTTCCTGGCCTACGACAGGCCGTGGAGGCGCCATCCTCGACAAGCAGACCGGTAAAGAAGACCAAGAAGAAGGCCGCTGCTTCAAAGGAGTGAAGCCAAAGGTATGTCGACTCGATCGGCCTAATTGACTCTGGAGCAGGCCTTTTCAACCAATCAGGATCTCCGCAGGCCGAAGGTCCATTGACAATGCGCTTGCCCTCGATGCTGCAGTAAGCCCGTAGGTCCCCAGAGGCGCCTTTTACACTGACGCATACCACCTCGTCCTGTTGGGACAATTGCTCGCTCTTTGAGCGAGGAAAAGCAGCCAGAAGTAGATGCAGAGAAAAGATAGAGATGGCCATTTGTAATACCACCCCGGCATGTCTGTCCCCCTCATCGATGCACTCTTGTCGAATCAATCCTCTCTGAGGTTTGGAACGTAACTGCTTGCTCGGTCTTTGCCACTGGTGCTGCGCGACTACTACTTACTACTAGCTGCTGCTCTCGGTGCTGCGTCGGTCGGGATGCGCGCTAGCGTCTAACTTTTTTTAGCTCCGGAAGAACTGGGACCTTCAGGTTCCCCCGCTTGAATCTTCTCCACATTAGAGAAGCGGCAGCGTCTTCCTGCCAGTGTTCCCCACAGAAGGCGAGCCTGATCCGAGAGGAGGGAGGCACCAGACGAACTGTCGGCGATTTCTGGACACCGGCATGCCGAAAGACAATGTGCGGGGGTCCGTACACCCGCCGGGGAATCTCAGGAGGGGGAAGAAGAAACACTGGAAATTCACCGTTGAAGAAAAGCTATAAAAGCCTGGCCTGCACAGTTCCTCTCCTGACTTACCTTCCTTCACCCCTTCTCTCCCGCTCTTCCCCCTTCTCCCCTTCACCCCGACCGACGCTTTCTCAGAGATGAGATTCCTCCTTGGTCTTCTCCTGGCGGCAGGGACAGTCCTTGCTGCGCCTTTGGAAGCGAGAAAGGAAGGCGACGACGTTGGTGTCAAGCCGAGCTTCTCGACGAAAGACTGCCCGGGCTACAAGGTGGCGGGTCCCAAGTCAGAGCACAAGTCTGGCTTCACGGTGCCCCTCACGCTTGCTGGCCAGCCATGCAATGCCTATGGTAAAGATATTGCCGATCTCACACTGGCCGTCGTGTACGAAAAGACGCACCAGCTCCACGTCCACATCTACGACACGGACCGGAAGCAGTACCAGCTGCCAGACAATCTCATCATGCAGCGACCTTCGTCAGACCCGGCCAATGTCACAGACGGCGCCACCGCACAGACCTCGGATCTCGAATTCCACCACGAGGAAAGCCCCTTCGCGTTCTGGATTACGCGCAAGGGTTCGCAGGTCGCCCTCTTCGATACGAGACCAGCCAACATCCCGACGTACGACCAGCCCATGAATGCTAGCGCACACAGCGACACTAGGAGGAACACGACGGCGATGCCGAACCAAAAAATGATTTTCGAAAATCAGTACCTGCAGATGTCGAGCGCGCTGCCCGTCGGCGCCAACCTTTACGGTCTCGGAGAGCGGTACTCCGAGGGTGGCATCGGAGACGCTGCCTGGCGACTCAATCCCGATGACATGCTGCAGCCCTTTAACACTCTCGATGCAGGAGATCCCCTGGGTAGCAACATGTATGGCTATCATCCCACATACGCTCAAATCAGCGAGACGGGAGCGCACGCGGTGGCGTACCAGAACACGGCGGGGCTCGATGTGCTCCTCCGCAGAGGCGTCATCCAGTATCGGGCCATCGGAGGCACTCTCGACTTCCGTTTCTTCTCGGGCAATGCCCCTGCTTCCGCTTCGTCAACTTCTGATGATGGTGGAGACGCTGAGGAGAAGAGGAGCATTGCGGGGCAAGAAGAAGACCTCGTCGCTCGCGTCGCATCAGAGGGAACAAATTCGACGGCTGCTGCAGGCACCAATAGCATGCAGACGGCCATGGAGCAGTACGTCCAGTACGTTGGTCTGCCCGTCATGACGCCCCTCTGGTCCTTTGGCTTCCACATGCTCCGATGGGGCTACAAAAACACGTCGGACATGCGCTACGTGTACGATGCCATGAAGGACGCCGACATTCCCCTCGAGACTCTCTGGAGCGACATCGACTATCTTCAAGACTTCCGCGACTTTACCATTGACCCAGAACGCTACCATGACCTTCCTCAATTTGTCGACGAGATCAACAAAGCCGACCAGCACTACATTCCTATCATCGATGGTGCCATCCCAGCTGCGCCCCAGAATGACACAGACGATTACGAGCCAGGCAGCCGAGGTCTCGCCCAGGACGTCTTCCTTAAGAACAGCAATGGAACGACGTACGTGGGCCAGGTCTGGCCAGGCTACACCTACTTTGTCGATGAGCACCACCCCAAGGCCGACGAATGGTGGTACAAGAGCTACGCCAACCTGTCTTCTCGGCTCGCCTTTTCGGGCATTTGGCAGGACATGAACGAGCCCAGCTCCTTCTGCATTGGGTCTTGTGGTCGAGCCGACGATCTCAGCGGAGGCAACACTGCGCATGTCGCCGCTACTTCCGTCGATGGCTGGCCCGAAGGCTATGACAACAACACTTACGGCAATTCGGGAAACATCACCATTAATGGCACCTCCACCTACTCCCAGTCTAGTCAGCAGCAGAATCAGAAGCGCACCGTCGTCGATCTCGCCTTGAGCAAGCGAGCGGACGAGCCAGCGGCATTCAATGCTTCGGACTTCCACTACTCGACACCCGACTGGAACTACAAGAATGCAACGCAGCGATACCTCGTCGACCCGCCGTATGCGATCCACAATGGCATCAAGTCGAGCGAAGGTCCTCTGATTGACAACCTCAACAAAAAGACAGTCTCCATGGAGGCTCAGTCAGTCGCCGGCAGCTTCTATGATCTGCACAACATTGACGGAACGATGCTCATGATTCACACTTACAACGCGCTGCGAAAGATCAAGCCAAAGGAGAGGCCATTCATCGTCGGCCGAAGCACGGTGAGTACAGTTGACCTTGCCATCTGATATTCTCCTCTCGGACCTGACTTTTCCTTTTCATTTCCTTCTTTCAGTATCCTGGCGCTGGTCAATATGCGAGCCACTGGCTGGGTGACAACTACTCCAAGTGGCAGTACATGGCCAAGCAGATCCAGGGCCTGCTCCAATTCCAGCTCTTTGGCATCCCCACGATCGGCGCCGACACGTGCGGCTTCAACGGCAACACCGACGAGGAGCTGTGCAACCGCTGGATGATGCTCTCGTCCTTTGCTCCCTTTTTCAGGAATCACAACACCGAGGGCGCCATCTCGCAAGAGCCGTTCCGTTGGGACAGCGTCGCAAACGCCTCGCGCATCGCAATCAACAAGCGTCTCGAGCTCCTCCCCGAAATTTACACGGCACGCGCCCGGGCCAGCCAGCGCGGATCGCCCATGATCAAGAGCGTTTGGTACGAGTTCCCGCGCCTGTTTGAGAAGCTCAAGGCGACGGATACACAGTACCTGCTCGGTCCCCGGCTCCTCGTCTCGCCCGTCTTGGAACCCAACGTGACGACAGTCAAGGCACTCTTCCCAGAGGCAGGCGGATCGTGGCGAAACATCTTCACCTACGAGGCCCTGGATGTGCAGCCGGATCAAAACACGACAATCGATGCTCCTCTGTCGACGATCAATGTCCACCAGCGGCCGGGAAGCGCGATGCTCTCTTACGCCAAGACTGCATACACAGTCAAGGAGACGTCTCAGAGTCCGTACAGGCTCGTGGTCAACCTCAACAGGGACGGCGAGGCGAGCGGCGATGCCTACGTCGATGACGGTACTTCCATGTGGCCCACAGACTCGAGGGAGCTGACCTTTACGGCGGCCAAGTCCACGCTCCAGGGCTCGGCCAAGGGAGACTACTCGATTGCCAGCAAGCTTCAACAGGTCCTCGTTATGGGTGTCAAAGAGAAGCCAAAGACTGTAAAGATCGGCGAAAAGGACGTGGACAGCTTCGACTTTGATCAGTCGAAGAACCTTCTCAACGTCACAGGTCTTGACACGGATCTCAACAAAAATTGGTCTCTAATTTGGTCGTAGTCCAGAAAACCGAGAAACGGTGTAATGAAGAAAAGCGTACATTGATCCTGCAATGCTTGACGATCACAAGGTGTGGAATGTGAATGGAAGTACAGGACAGCGAAAGAATCGATCGACGATTCATCTGTGCAAAAGAGGAGGGAGAAAGGAGAGAAAGCGTACTGTCCAGTACGTCAACGTAAGACCGAACGGGGAGTTCAGTTGTTGGGGAGGTCGCGTTTGTTGTGGCCGAAACGTGAATAGGCGGCCTTGAGCAGCTGCCCAGTCTTGGTCAGTGCTCCCCCATCGTCGCCCTGGGTGAGCTTGCACGATTCACCGTTGTCGGCCTGGGAAATATGAACATGAGTATGAGTAAGAAACTATACAGTTGGTGGACGGAGGCACACTCACGTCTGACCAAGAGTAGGCAAATACGTCGGGGTCGTTCTCAAGAATCTCGACAACACCATTGAGAAAATCGTTGGTCTCGTCCTGGCTGCAACGTTTGTGCTGGCCATTTTCGTAGTTGGTGCAGGCGACTATAGAGAGGGCGCTTGTCAGGACAGCGAGCAACAAGGACGGTCGCTTTCCAACTCACGCTCAGTGATCCACATCTTCTTGCCGTACCTTCGGAAGTGGTTGAGCGTCTCTTTGATCTTTTCAGCCTTGTCCTTGAAAATGTGAACATTGATGTAGTCGGGTTGCGTCGTGACAGCTTTGAGGAATGGCCCCATCCACTTTTCGTTTTGCTGGAGAGCGCAGCTAGGTGAGAGGAGGACGGATCCGGCGCGCTTGTGGGGGGCAATCCACTGTTCCCATGCTTTGGCGGCCTCCGGGGGCGAGATGGGACCGCTGCTACCATCGCCCGTAAAGTCGGGCTCATTGAAGCCAGCAACGATCTTAGATAATGATGGTGAGCTTGGCTAATTGCTGAGGCGCCATGCCGAGGCTCCTCACCTTGTACTTGCCGGGTGGAACCTTTTTGAACGCCTCAAAGCGCTTGGTGTCATCATCATGACCGCTCTTGCCCAGTCCCCAACACATGGACATGTACGGGACACTAGTCTTGATGTCTGATTATGTAGGTCTTGCGAGTCAGCAGCCGCCCTTCTCCTTGTCAATCTTCTGCTTCACACACCAGACAAAGGCTCTGGTGCCCAGTCGGCCCAAAATCCAATATATTCTTGAAAGTATTTCAGGCTCTGGCCTCCGGCGAGACCATGCTTGTAGCCATTGCGAAGGACAGTGGTCGATGGAGCGGCGTGCTGCTGCGTCTGAGGGTTGTTCTTCGTGCTGTTGGATTGTACATCCGCGAATGATTCGTCACCATGGCTGCTGTATCCACTCTCGTAAACCCGTGTCTTTGCTGCGAGCTTCTTGTGTGGCACCGAACGCTTGACACACTTGCTTTTTGCGTCAGCAGTGCCAGCCAAGAGCGCTGCCAGCAACGCATACAGAGTGGCAAATACGAGGACGTTTCGTGCGCAGAGGGCCATCATTGAACAAAGGTCGTCGAGGAAGAGGAAACAAAGGAAGATTGTCGTGTGCGTGTGCGTGCTCGTGTTGCGTGCGTTTGTGTGTATGCGTGGTGCGATGAATGTTGTCGTCGTGCGTATGGCTTTGGTTTCAAGTCGTCCCTTCGTTCGGGCCTGGCCAGACCAAGGTGCACGACGAGGGAGGAAAAGGGAGGGGAGAGGGGGGAAGGAGAGTAAAGAGGGTGAATTGGGAGGTGGAGAACGAAGAGGAGGAAAGGGCCTCCAGGGGTGAGGGAACTGGGGAGTTTGACAAGCTGGGCAGACAATGGCCGCCGTCAGCCTGTTTATAAATTATAGAAAGCAGGCAGACAAAGGGAGGCTTAGCCATGAATAGCGGCGCCGCCTGAATTTCAAGGGATGGCCCGACCTCCCATCGACTTGATTCAGTCTACCTACACAGGGGGCCACGTACAGCCTTTGTCATTGCGGTTCACGCGGGCCGCGCGCCAAGCTTACGGCGGTTGTGTAAAGCGACAAAAAAGAAGTACCCTTTTCGGCAGCACTTCATCTCCTTTCGTTGATGAAGCCTGCAAAAGGCTCGACGGGGATGCTTCTGCTATTTTAGAATGGGCAATGAGATATTAAAAGAGTAGAGTTGCCTTGCTTCGATGGGGTGTTCCTGAAGTCAAATGCTATTTGCTTGAAGGTAGTGAGCGTCTTTTGCTCGGATGCGTGAGCGCCAAAGGATCAGAAAAATAGCAGCCTACCTCAGATCGGAATCGAGATCTTGCGGTTTCGGCTTTAGGACAGCTCTTGGTGTGGCCGACCCAAGTCCGAAGGGAACCTGCCTCGGCGGCTCTGCTCGTCTGCTGCCGGATGAAATTTTGGCTTCTTTTTCTTCAAATCCAAATTTCTAGAGCACTTTTGTTGGTATAGCCGCTAACCTTCCTATGACTCGCCTACGTCGTCCATCATCGGGGATTGTCATGACTGAAGAACGAGAAGCAGGCCCAGTGGCGGCTTCTGGAGGCTTTGCGCCTCATAGGGCTCCAGCATACGGTGTACGCGACGAGCCGCACGTTCAGCCGCCGTCAGGACGATCGTCGTCGTCGTCTTCCCCCACTCGACTGGGAAGTCACGGGGGCAACGGAGGTCATGGCGCGCAATTAACGGGCTGTGTGAGCCCTCGAGAGGATGCCCACTATCCGTCATGCGCACTTGGCTTGGCCTTGACGAAGAGCGAGCCGGGTGCAACCTACATAGAGTACAGCGAAGGAGACTGTGGCAACCCCACCAACTGGAGCCGCGGCCGCAAACTGCGCTCCATCCTTGTCACCTTCCTCTTTGCCATGACAACGGCCATCGCCGCCACGAGCTACAACAGCACCCAGCAGCTCGTCATGGACGAGTTTCACACCTCTTCGACGGTGTATCTCCTTGGCAACACCTTTTACCTCTCCATTGGTGTCGCCTTTACCCCGCTTCTCTTGGCGCCCCTCTCCGAGATCTTTGGTCGGTTGCCCATCTTTCTCGCCTCTGCACTGGGCTTTGCTGTTATGTGGATCCCTCAGGGTGAGTAGATATGTTTTCTTCTGCCCTGATTCAGACCAAGCTGATCGTCGAGCTGCAGCCCTTGCCCCCAATATCGAGGCCATTCTGATTTCGAGGTGAGGCATTCCCTCTCACTTTTACGCAAAGTTTCTCAGAGCTGACGCCACATCCCGACAACAGACTGATCCAAGGATGCTTCGCGAGTGTCGGAAACTCCATGACCGGCGGCACCGTCTCGGACGTGTACGCGACAGACAGTCGTGGATTCCCCATGTCAACCTTCTGCGTGCTCATTTACATAGGCCAGTCTCTCGGACCCGTCGCGGCTGCCTACATCCTCAAGGATCAGGGCTCATGGCGATGGGTCTTTGGCTTCCAGGGCATCCTTGGCGCCGTCACTTTTATCCTCATGGTCATTTTCTTGCGCGAGACAAGGGGCCCCGTTCTCCTCTCCAGGAGGGCACGTCGATTGACAAAGGAGACGGGCAAGCTGCACCGGTGCTCGGCCGACGATGAACGTACTTCGTTCTGGACCGCCGTCAAGATCAGCTTGTCGAGACCGGCTGTCTGGCTCTTTACCGAGCCCATCGTCGCTGCCTTTTCCCTCTGGATTGGGTGCGTCTCGTTCCCATGCCCTTGTGTCGAAAATTTCTTGTCTAATCCCACTCTCCAACAGCTTTCTTTGGGGTTGCGTCTTCCTCTTGCTCCAGTCAGTTCCGATCGTTTTTGAGGCCTACGGTTGGAGCAACGCCAGAAAATCGCTTGTGCTCCTTTCCATCGGCGGCGGTGGCATCCTGGGCTGTGAGTCAGGTCTCCCCCTATTCTCTTCCTTCTCCCATGGGCGATAGCTGACCTCGGGTTCCTTTCTGCTACGGCCAGGGATCTGCAACTTCCATCAAGAGAAGCTGTACGCCCGTGCTGTTGCTCGAGCTGCACCAAACAAGCCCGCGCCAGAGGCGAGGCTCTACTGGGCCTGTGTTGGCGCTGTCATGGGCCCCATCGGCTTCTTCATCTACGCGTGGACCGGTCGGTCGGGCATCAGTCCGGTTGTGAGTATGCTTATGCTGTCGGGCGAAATTCTTCGTTCTCATTCAAGACTTGCTTCCACACAGGGGCCCGTCATTGGTCTGATCATCTTTTTGGCCGCAACATACGCCATCTACCTTGCTGTTTTCACCGTGAGTCCCGCTTCGCTTCGCTTGCGCTCGCGAGAAAGAGACTCAACGCGCATTCTTCTCCTCTTCCAGTACATTGCAGACTGCTATGCTCGTTATAGCTCGTCAGGCCTGGCAGCACAATCCTGGTTGTGAGCAGCTCCTCCGCTTCTCCCCCTTTTTTTTTGCTGCTTCTAATCAGCTCTCAACCCTCCAAACAGGCGAAATGTCTTTGCTGGTTCCTTTGTGCTCTTTGCGCCCGGTAGGTTCTTCTCACTCCTGCTTCTGGATGACAAGCACGCTCACCAATTCACCATTTGTCTTGCAGCCATGTACCACAACCTGACGCCGCCAATTGCTTCGACGGTCCTGGGCGCCATCGCGGCCGTCTTGGGCATCTGCCCCTTTTTGCTCATGGCCTACGGGGCAAAGATTCGATCAAAGAGCCGCGTCGCCAGGGCGCTGCAGCGCGAAGAAGAGGAGATCGAGGAGAAGATGAGGTTGGAGCGCGAGAGGAATGCCAGGAGGGCAAAGAGGCTCGAGGAAAAGAAGGGTCTGCACACATCTGCCAACGCATCTGCCACAGGCGTCAAGGAAGCCGCATAGAGGCGCGTCCCCAAGAGATCAAATCTCTTCAACAACAGCACACAAAACACACACTCATACACATCAGACTGTGTTCGGAACATCATTGTATTATTATTCCTGCTCATCACATCGCACTGCCCTCTGTTCGCAGAGGAGTGTTCCAATGAATCATGCCAGAGAAGAGAACGAAACAACTCAAGCATTGCTCGCCTCCAGCGCTGCGTTGGGCACCAAACCCAGCTCCCTAAGCGTTTTTGTCCTGTCGGCGGCGCCAAAGGTCTTGCGGGGAAACGTGGTGCTGAATTGGAGGCTTCCCTGGGCCTTTCCGTCAGCTTGGATCTTCGACTCGAGGTCGGCCAGCGTTGCATCGGCAGAGAGCGTGCCCATGAACATGCCTCCAGGCGCGCGAACACGGAGCCGGGCCTCGCTGCTGTTGCTGCTGTTCGTGGCAGCAGAGGCCAACGAAGCGGCCGAAGCAGCGGGCGGCGGTGCAGCAGTCTCAATCTGTCGGCCCTCGCGCAGCGCCTTCTCTCGAGCAGCCTTTTCGGCCCGCTCACGTTTGTCGGCTTCGATCTGGGCTTTGACTCGCTTCTTTGCTTCGATCTGGACGTGACGGGGCAGAACAAGGTGAGGAATACATCAAGGGGTGAAAAGGCAAGGCGCTCCTCACATCAGCCTGCTTCTCCTGCCGCTTCTTCTCGGCTTCTCGCATCGCCTCTGTGTGTGAGAAGTTAGATGAAATGAGCCTCGATCCTTTTTGTAATTGTAAGTAGGAAAGCGGACCCACCCTTCTTCTTCATCTCTTCACGAGCCTCGCCCATCTCCTGGCCAGCCTTTCGCCGAATCTTTTCATTTTCTCGCTGCGCCTCCGCGTCTTCTTTGCTTTGCGTCGCCCTCTTCTGCGCCAGCTTCTCTCTCACTGTGTGTTCATGTCCGTCAGCATAGTGCACCTCTTCCTCCTTGAATTGCTCTGAGATGGACTCACTTTCTTGGAGCCGCTGCTTCTTTTCCTCTTCGGTCAATGGCTTGATCTCCTCGGTGCTCTCTTCAAAGTTGGTGTGCCCGCTCTTCTCGGCGTGGAAGCTGGCAAAAGCGGCACTCTTGAGAATCTTTCCACAGTCGCTGCACTTGATCGACTTGGCCTCGCCCACGCCCGCCAGCATGTCGTCCTGCGCCCCTTGGCCGTTCTTGTTGTACATGTCAGCCAGTGCAGCCTGGTCTTCGGCATCGTACTCGTCCGTGCCCGCTCCGCCGCCACCACCACTGCCACCCCCAGACGCGGCGGCGCTCTTGTAGTCGGCAACCGGGCGCTCAGAGTTCTCGACGAGGTGGTCCATCGCCGCTTGTAGGCCACGATTCTTGGTAGCATGCAGGGCCCAATCGACGCGCTCGCCGTCGAAGCCCATTTCTATCACTATGAGAACTGGATCAGCCACTCGCTTCGGCCGACTATCCTCAAAACTACACTCACGCTGGTTTCTGTCCGACATGATGTTGACAATATGAGGGAGAAAGAAGAGCCGAAACGGGAAGCCAGGTGTCGCGCGAGGAAGAGGGTGCGAGCGTCAGACTAAGTCCACTCAGGCGTGACATAGGTGGAGGAGGGTGACGATTCAGCGCCACGCGAGCGAACTAAGGTTCGCTCGCAGGCCAACGCTCCTGCTTCTCTTTCCTCGGATTCGCCAAGTGCCTCCGTGCTCTCCTTCACGCCTCCAGCACAAGGACGGGATGTCGACCGGCTCGTCGACGCCGACCCACGGGCAAGGTGCGCCTTCGTATGCATCGACATCCGCGACGCCCTTTCTCGGCGTGACCCGATCGAGGACGCTCCTGTTCCTCTCGTATCGGGACTCCGTGCCGCGAGGGCCCCGGAGCCGCAACGGGGCGAGGGGAGGGCGAGGCGGTTTCGACTTTGACGTGAATGGAGGTGGAGGGAGCGGTCGGAGCAGTGGAGAATATGGGGACGGAGGCAAGGGGAAAGGAAAGGCCAAGGCTGTGCCGCCCAAGAGACGAGCTCGAGGGGCGTACTTTGATGCCTCTGGCGAGCTCAAGGAGGAAGAGGAAGAAGGACTCATGGCTGAGGATGCCGCCAACAGCTATCCGCCGCCCGCTTACAGCGTTGATATGGGTGCACTGCCGCCCAAGTGGGTCGATACGACCGATGAGGTCGACTCAATCCTCAATACCTTGAGGCCCAAGATTGCCCAGCTTGACAAGCTCCATGCCAAGCACATCCTCCCAGGCTTCACCGATCGGACGGACGAGGAACGAGAGATAGAGAGAGAAACGACAGAGATCACCAGGGTGGGTTTATCGCAGACTGTTGCCGGTGCGCCAATGGCCAGCTAACCATGCGACGACTCAACAGGAATTTCGGAAATGTTCGAGGCTGATCGCCAATCTTTCCCAAGATACCAAGCTCCTCGCTCGTTCTGGAAAGTCGTCGGCCAGGGAGATTGCTATGGCGCAAAACGTTCAAACGGCCTTGGCGACAAGAGTCCAGGACGCCAGCGGCGCGTTTCGCAAGAAGCAGAGCAATTACATGCAGCGACTGCGAGGACATGAGATTCGGCATCAGGACATTCAGTCTCAGAGCGGTATGGGCGGCGGCAACGCTGCCCAGGCCAAGGCTAGAGACAATGAAACGGCGGTCCGTGAGGACATGGAGCTGGTGAGTCGGTCTTTTTCGTGTAAGGCAGCAGGTAGCATAAGCTCAAGTCCACCAACAGTCACGACAGCAGCTCGCATCTTCAAAGTCAAACCAGTCCCAGTCACAAGCACAGCTCCTACTCGATGAGGAGGCGGCACCCACGCTGGCAGACGACGACATTGTGCAACGAGATCGAGAAATTGACCAGATCGCAAAGAGCATCGCCGAGCTTGCTGAGCTGTTCCAGGACCTGAGCGCCCTCGTCATCGACCAGGGCACGATGCTGGACCGGATCGATTTCAATATCGAGCACATGGGCCAGGACATGAATGCTGCCGTCGAGGAGCTTGGCAAAGCAACACAGTAAGTCGTCTCGTTCCCCCCTTTGTTGGCTGTCAAGAGTCGTGCTGACTTTGCCGTCATCAGATACCAAAAGAGAACATCGCGAGGCCAGTGCATCCTCTTCCTGATCCTCCTCATCTTTCTCTGTATCACCATCATCATCGTCAAGCCCTTTTGGAGATACATTACGGCGCCTACTTCTGCCGCCCCTCCTGCTTAACCAATCGGAAGACAATCAAATGATATCATGTTTTGAACGTTCTTGGTTCGGCTTTTTTTTTTTTCTTGAAAGATCAACACAAAAGGAAAGGAAGGCAACGACGCGTCTGATCTCAACTCGATACACATTACGACGAACAGGCCCAACATCGCGATGTCGGCAGATGCGCGAGCCTCGGCTCACGGACCGTCATCACGACGTAGGGTGATGCGGCGGCGCCGAGATGCACGGCTCGAAGGTATGGCGCAGTACCCCTCGTCGTCCGACCATCCGATGCCTTCGTCCTCCTTTTCGTCGTCTTCGTCGTGGAGCCGCGCGCACCAGCTCGATGATGAGGCTGCCTTTGGCGATGGAATCGAGGGAGAGGCAGGTCATGGTAGCAGGGACAGGGGACTCGTCAGGGTGTCAAATGCAGTGGTGGAGGAGGAGAGGGCGTGGGTCGAGCTGATGCACGGCGACCAGGGTGGCTTGCTTGATGGGGACTACGACGATGACGACGACGATGACATCTACGAGTGGGAAGGCGGTGGACGGGCCGGCGGCGCGACTTATGCCGCACAGGAGTCGCTTACGCAGGACTGGGACAAGCCGACGCTGGATACGCAGTGCCCATGTGAGTACTGTGGCGCTGTATGCGGAGCAATGGCGAGAAGTACGGTGACACTCATTTCTCGAGAATGCACACAGCAATACAGATCCCATGGGAAGACCACGTCTTTCCGCTTGCGACGGCCGATGACGGCGAAGCACTCCCATCGGAACTGCACCCGTCGTACCCCTACGCGAATGCCTTTGAGGCAATTGGGGCAGACGCCTCGTATGCCTCGCGACCCAAGCTCGCTCCGAGGCTTCACTTCCAGTATCGCATCGCCGGCGAGACGCAGGCCGCCGATGGAGGTGGGAACCCTGAGGGCAGCCAGAGTCGAAGGAGGCGTCAGGGAAGGGGCAAACGTGGGAGGCATCTTACGAACCAGTCATCGAGAGAGCCTCTACCTACGCATATTTCGCTGAGGGCGCAGCACGAGACGAGGGCGAACGAGCCCGTCTGGCCGTTCAAGAGATTCGGACCGGGTCAGGGTGGTCAGGGGGCACTTCAGAGGGCCGAATCATTGCACCCCTGGCGGCCTTACAAGGACGTATGGGCCGACTTGGGCCTACAAGAGCTGTGGGACACAAAGAAAGGACGAGACCCTTGGGCAGCCGACGCGGCAGACATTGACCCGCTCAAGATGGCCACGACGAGAATCACGCTGAGCCAGCGAGAGGGCGCAGAAGAGCCTCCGGCGCACGACATCTATGCGATGGAAGAGTACGAGCTCTTTGCAACGGGCCGCCGTTTCGGCAAGGGCAGCAGCAGCAGTGCTAAAAAGGGAGCGTTGAGAGACGAGAGACCAGCATGGATTTGGGGCAAAGGCCGATGTACAGAGGAACCGTAGTAATCTATACCCCACTACTTGTCCTTGATGGGGAAGTCGCTGCCAGTGGCACTCTTGTACTGCGACCTGATCTGGTCGGCAATGAGGTTGTCCTTGGTCTGCTCCGTAGCCGTCTCATTGTCCTGTGGGCCCTGTCCCATGCGCTCCTGGACCATGTCGATGCCCTGCGTTCACAAGTGGACCATGATATAGTCAGTCTCGAGACGGCAACAGAAGGGGAGCAGCATTAAGCGTGTGACGTACCTTGTCGAGGTAGTCCTCCTTCTTTTCTCCCTCGGCACCACCTCCACCGAGCTCGTTGATCTTGTTGCCAACGCCCGACTGGTCGTTCTGCTTTGCGAGTTAGACCATGCACGACACATGAGAGCCACTCAGAGCTGCCTCACCTTAAGGAAGTCGTTGATCTTGTCCATTTTTCTTTGTAGATGAGTGATAGAGCTGTGGGAGGAAGATCACGTCCGGCGGTGTTCCAAGAGCGCCCTTTTATCTCCTAGGCCCTCATCAGGCGAGCAGGCGAGCGAGCGAGCGAGCGATTGGAAGGCTCGGCTCCACGTCAAAGTAAGACTCTCGCCCTTCACGGGAGCCCGTGCGAGAACAAGGATGAATACGTACGTCAACGAAAGACAAGCGAGATAGAGCTAGTGTCTGAATTGACTTGACGCATCTGGTGAGCCTCGCAAAATGCGCTGTACTCATACATCTTCTGTGTCACTGCTGCATGGGTAGCACCGCCTACTCGAAATTAGAAAAGTAGAGCGACCTTGCGCTGCTTCATGATGGCTGCCTGCAGCGGGGAAAGAGAGGGAAGGCTTTGGCCATCACCACGAGGCTGGGACTTCTTTTTTAAAATCGAGACGTGACAGAAATGACACATGCATTTTTCGTTGATAAAGGACTGTCAAATTGGGCGTCAAATTGCAAGGACTGGGCTGCAACTCAGATCCGCTTTTCCTTTGTTCCTCTTTTTAAGAAAGGGGATCAAGACGTCACAAAGGGAGCGAGCAAGTCCCTTTGTCTTTGGTACAAATCCCTTTGTCGTTGGTATCACCAGAGAAATGATCCACTGAGCATGTATAAGAGCTTCTCCTTGTCCTCCTGTGATAACTTTCTCTCCTACATCATCGCCATCCATTCTCGGCGAGAAAAGAGAGCGTTATTTTACCATTCACTATCATCAAACAAGCCCGCACAACCGTCAGGACAGCATGGCAGAAATGATGAAGAGCAAGGGCAGGCTCCCTCTTCTTCATATCCTTCCGCTAGTCTTGCAGCTCGCCAGCCTGGTCCTCGTCCTCCTCGTCTTGACTAATCCGGCGCCGTTTAACGGTAGCGGCAAGCTCAGCCTCTTCACCATTGAGCCCAAGTCGCTCAATGTGACATCGTCTTCGGCAAATGACACTTCTTCGTATCTCCTGACCCTTCCGTCTTCATCGACGACAAATACTTCCAGTCAACCAAATGCTACGGTGGGCGTCAACACGACAACGACGTCGGTCTCCTTGCCTGCGTCTGCCACGACAGCCGCGACTTCAACTACGACACCCAAGAAACGAGAGCTGGAGCGGACCAACGTCAAGCGGGAGAATGTCACGGACGTGCCCTACTATGGCAATGGCACCAACGTCACCGTGTCCAACGGAGACGGTGTGGCGGCTCGCGAGCTGTCGCGCATCGCCATGAAGCTGGGTCCACTGGGCTCCTGCTTCCGCGACGCCAAGGGCGACTGGAGCTGCACTTCGGCCCGGCTCGCATCGACGTTCGACTATGCGCAGCTCGAAGGAGTCGGTGTGCGGTTCAAGACGGCGGGTATGCTCACCGGCATCAGCACCTCGCCCTCGCTCCTCCTTATCGCCCTCCTCGCCCTCGTCGTCAACGTCGCCGTCGCCGCGCCCATCATGATGGCCAAGACGATGCCGGCCAAGTTTGGGAGCATTCTCGAGAGTGGACCACGCGAGAGAGGCCTCCGAGGCGCACTCGACGCCACCTTTTGGCTCCTCATCCTCTCGTGGCTGTTCACCGTGGGCTCCGGTCTGAGCATGCGCATCAGCCTTTCCAAGGCCAAGACAGCTTTCAATGCCGCCAATGCAGGTCTCGCGCTGCCTCTCGAGTCGACGGTGGACCACAACACGTCTGGCGTGACCCTCGCAGCCGATATCGGAGGAGAGTTCGGACTGCTGTGGATGGCGCTGCTCCTCATGGCCACCTCGGCTTTTCTGATGCGAAAGCGAACGCAGAGGGACCGCGCCGTCGCCGAAGCGCGCGCAGACCTCGAGGCACAGTACGGCCGCAAGGTCTTTGAGGCTGGCGATTCGCTGTCGAGTCAAGCCGTCGTCACATCCCGCAGCGTGCCAGCCCGCAGCGTCTCGACAAAGAGCACGTTGGCTGCACCTACCAAGAACGAGCATCTCTACATCCACCACCCATGTCCTCCGCAGCAGACGCACGTCGACATCCACGAGCTTCGAAGCCAGCCCAGCCTGCCGTCTCTGAGACATGTGTACGACATCGACAGCCCCGGCGCGGCGCCATTCTCGGGGTATTACAGCCATCACGAAGAGGTCTTGCGGGATGACAAGTCAAATCCGTCGCCACGACCTCCTCTGTCGTCCTCGTCCTCGTCGTCTTCACATGGGCCTAGGGGCTACTTTGGCGACCTCAAGAGGAGCAACACCATTGATGCATGTCCTACCAACGATCGAAGCATCAGTCCGGCGCCGAGCTACTGGACACAGGCGGCGTCGTGCTACAATGGTCAAGAGAGGGAGAGGGACCGCCTCGAGCGGGAGAGGCGTCTCGAAGCGCTAGAGGCTGAAGAGATGGCTGCCAAGAGGCAGAGAGAGCGTGAGATGATGAGTGCGCTCCGCAAAGAAAGGGAGAGAGAAAGAGAGACGAGCAGCGACTCGCGGAACTACAATGCGCACTGGTGATGCTGGCCATCATCGCTCTTGATCTTTGTCTGAGTTTATCTTCCCTTTATTAGTCATTCAGGATCTTCTACTTTGTTCTGGCCTCGCCTCTAATTCATCGTTGTCTCGACTTCGTTGTCTGACAGGCGCTGTGAGGTCTGAGCGCGAGCCGAAAGGGGCGATGCCGCGATAAGACGGGGTCCCTCCACCGCCGTCCCCTGGACCCATGACAAAAGCCAAGTCGATGGTGTTGTTTGCATGCATGCGCGCGCGCGTTCTGTTTCCGCGCTAATTTCTCAGGGGACAAGTCTCGACTTCCATTTCATCGACCTGGAATCGAGAGCGAGGCCTCCTCCCTGGCTTGCCCCATCCTCCTTCCCACCACTTGAGACGACCATGCGGCACGAAATTTGACAGAAGATGGAAGACATTTGACGACTCTAACGACGGACTCTGTGACGGACCGAACGATAGCATTCTTACGACTGAATCACTCACGAACACATAAGACACAAACACATACCCAAAAACAGTAATCCACACCACCGGGAAACAAAGGGGAAATGCCGCCACGACTGCCCTCTCAGCAGGCTATGGAAATGGTGCGGCCACAGCAGGGAGGAGGCCCCTACACGCCCGTGTCTGGACCCGTCAATAACAGCGGCAGACCTGGGATGAGACAGAGCTACTCGAGCTTGACCCAGCGGTCCGACATGGAGGCCACGCCACGCAATTCCATCTCATCCATTGGCAAGACTCCATTAAGGTCACCTGCGATGGAGGAAAAGGACGGCCTCTATGCATCACAGCCGATGCTGGGGGGAGAGACAGGGCCGGGTCAGAGCGAGAGCGGGAGCAGCATATACGGAGGCGCAGGCCACTACACCGAGGTGTACGACTCGCCCGACCCCTCCTCGCCAGCAACCCGCTACGACAAGTCTCGTCCAAAGGCCGGGCAGGATGACTGGGAAAGGGTCGACGACAAGGCGAGTCTGATCCAGCGCGCCAAGCAGAGAAAGGCGGCCATGCAGGAAGAGATGAACACGCCCGAGGGACTCCAATCGTGGAAGAGGACGCTGGCTTCCGTCGGTCTCCTCTCGGGCACCTTTGATGAGCACGGCGACGATGATGATTGTTACAATGGACCGGGAAATGGCGCCGATACAAAAAGAAAGAGCAAGGGCAATAAGGGCTGGCTGGGCTCAGACGCATTATCTGCCTGCGTCGTCCGAAAGGCCCTGCACACGCTCCCAGTTCTTGTTCTTCTGTGGATCCCGGGCATGGTCGCCATCTTTGGCTATGGTGCCAGTCCCAACAATGACTTTGCGCAGCCGACTCTGCTCGGCACCGGCACCTTCTGGTGGTCCATCTGGCTCTCGTCGGTCTGGGCGTCCATCTGGATCATGGGCCTCCTCGCCCACTGGGTGCCCCGCTTGCTTCGTTACACCACCAGCGACGTCTCGTCGGTGCTCGACCGCCAGATCTACTACCTCATCGCAACAGAGACCTACGTCACCTTTTTCCTCTGGTCCTTCTTCGCATGGGTCTCCTACTTTCTCATTGTCTGGGCCCACAATCCTGCCAGCGGCCAGGCCGATTCCCTCGACCCGTTTCTAACGCCGAGTAACAGCACCTCGACGACGACTTCGAGCAGTACGGGCACCTTTTTCCTCCACCGGCGCGACAGCTCTTCCTCAAATACGGCCAACTATAGCTCAGGGACCCAGGAGAGCATCTTGTTTGGCCGCTTTCTCCTGGGCATCTTCATCTGCAGCATCATTCTCCTCGCCGAGAAGCTGGCAATCCAGTCGATTGCCATGGGCTTTCACGAAGTCACGTACCAGGACCGCATCAATCTGGCTGAATTTCATGTCAAGGTCGTCACGACACTCTATGTGCATTCGCGCAAAGACATCAACAAGCTACGCTCCGAGATGACAGCAGCAGCATCCCCGCCAACGGCCTCTGAGGCCATCAAGGCCAAGCAGAAGCGGCGCATGCAAGCTCAGCCACCTAGAAAGACCGATAGCGTTCTCTCCATTGCCTCGAGGGACCTGATTGGGCCTGCCTTGCTCGCGCCCACGTCCCCAAAGGCAATCGTCACCGCTGCCCTGGAGAGGGCCGAAGAGACGAGGAAACTGGCAAGGAGGGTCTTCTTCTCCTATTCAAAACCCTTGCCGGGTGCTTCACCTTTTGCAGGAAGCGGCGAGGACGACCAGAAGATATCTTCTGGACGAACAGCCGGGGACAAGGACGAAGAAAAGGACGAAGGAGAAGAGCAGACAGAGCGGGTGCTTCGACTCGATGACATCGCCCAATTGTTCCCAAGTCGGCGGTATGCCCAAGCGGCCTTCTCTTGCCTCGACAAGGATGATAACGGAGACTGCACCCTGGAGGAAGTCGAGGCCGGTTTCGAAGAGATGCACCGCGAGCGCGTCTCGCTCCTTGAATCGATGCAGGGTGTCGACGCGGCCGTGGGCAAGCTTGACAAGATTTTCACTTCAGTCTACACTGTCGTGGCCTGCATCATAGTCGCTGCACTCCTCTCGACGCATTTTGCCACCTTTGTCACGTCCTTTGGTACAGCTCTCCTCGGTCTCTCGTGGCTCGTAGCCAGTACCGCCCAGGAGGCTCTCTCGGCTGTCGTCTGGGTCTTTTACAAGCATCCAATCGACTGTGGTGACACTGTCGATATCCCTGATCTGCTCCCGCTCAGCTACACGACCCAGTCACTCAGCGACACAAGCGAGTGTCTCTTCACGGCGACGTACGTCGTCCAGGAGATCAAGCTCCTCTCGACGGTGCTCAAATCGTCGACTGGCAAGTTCGTGCAGGTGTCCAACGCTCAGCTGGCACAGAAGCCCCTGGTGAACCTGAGAAGGAGCGGGCCCATCGAGGAGCTCATCCGCATTAAGGTCTGGTACAGAACCTCGCTCGACAAGATTGAGGAACTCCGAGGTGAGTGGTCCAGTGTTCTCCCTTCCCCCTTTCTTGTCTCACAGCCTTGCTGATGGTTGATCGCACCACGTGCAGCCGAAATGATCAAATGGCTCGATGCGCAAGGCCGCGACTTCAAGCCCGGGCTCGACATCCAGATTGACGGCCCAGGCGACCAGAGCGGCATGACGCTCGTCCTGGGCATCCGGTACAAGTCCAACTGGCAGAACTCTGCAATCAAGGCTCGGAGGCGCAACCGGTGGATCTGCACACTGAAGAACCTCATGTGGACCCTCTCGATCCACGGCGTGCAGGGTGATCCGCTGCAGCCGAGCCCGGTGCAGCTCTGGAGCAGGGTCGACGAGGTGCCGGAGGGCGCGCTCGATCCGGCGCCCAAGGAGAGGGAGCCCATCACCAAGCGGGGCCAGGACGCGGCCGGGGTCAAGCTCATGGACACGCGCAAGCTCAACGAGAATCTGATGGACGTCTACGGCGAATCACCCTCCAACACGTGGGACGACGTCGTCTCGCCCACGCTGAGCCGCGCCGACGCCGTCGTTACGCTCGACGAGGGCGCGGCCTGGCAGCAAAGGCAGCCGCAGCAGCAGCAGCGTGCCCAGACACAAGCGCAGGAGCAGGCGGCAGCGTCGCGACCGAGATTCCCCATCAGCCGGGGCGCAGCTTCGCCCACGTCCCAGTACGTCCCACTACACGTTCAGGCAAGGCGCATGTCTGGTCGGCCAGACGAGTCGATGGCATAGCTTCTGACTCCGACTGCTGTCTCCTCCCTTCCTTGCGCTGAGAGAGTCATACCCTGTTCCTGACATTAATCGAGCTCAATCACCCTCAATGTCTCAAATGATTCAATGCTTCATTATACATGGGGATTCCGTATCGTTGCCTGCTGCTGCCTGTTGCTCTGCTACAATTGGGGATATCTCTTTTCGACATCGGCGTGGCTCCACTGCCGCCCTGAAGCAGTGAAGTCGGCGCTCCTCTGGGGTCCATTACCCTGGCCTCGGATGACGTACTTGTAGATGACGAGGCCCTCGAGGCCCACGGGGCCCCTGGCATGCGTCTTGCCCGTCGAGATGCCGACCTCTGTGCCAAAGCCGTACCGGAAGCCATCTGCGAAGCGTGTAGACGCATTCACGTACACATTTGCCGACGAGACGGACCGGACAAAGGTCCCTGCAGCCGACTCGTGCTCCTGCTCCTGCTGCGTCTGCTCGGCGAGGGCCTTGGTAAAGATGGCGTCGGTGTGGTGGGAGCCGTGGGTGTTGATGTGGGTAATGGCCTCGTCGAGCGACGTGACCGTCTTGACAGCCAGATGCAGGTCGAGGTACTCGGTGTCAAAGTCATCGTCCGTGGCAGCGACGAGCTTGGACCGGTCGAGGGCCTGGTTGAGCGAGAGGGCATCGAGGGACCGCGCGTCGCAGTGCAGCGTCACGCCAGCACGAATCAGCGATGCACTGAGGGCGAGCCACATGGGGCCTTCGAGGTGCACCTCATGGAGAAGCAGCGTCTCGAGCGAGTTGCACGCTGCCGGGTAGTCGGTCTTGGACTCGAGCACGCTTCCCAGGGTCCCCTCGAGGGGGGCATCGTCGTGCACGTAGGCGCAGCAGAGGCCATCGGCGTGGCCCATGACGGCCATGGTGGCCTGCTGCTGGATGCTCCGCACGAGCGCATTGCTGCCCCGCGGGATGACGAGGTCCACGTACTTGTCCTGCTGCAGCAGCCCGGCCACATCCTCGCGCGTCTCGACTGTCTGGATAAAGTCTCGTGGGATCTCGGTCGACGCCAGCGCATCGGCCAGCACGCGCGCCATGACGGCCGCCGTGTTGACGCTCTCCTTGCCACCCTTCAGGATGGCTGCGTTGCCCGACTTGATGGCGAGCGCAGCAATGTTGACAATGACCTCTGGGCGCGCCTCGAAGATGCAGAGCAGCACACCGATGGGGCAGGTGATCCGGTACAGGTCCAGGGCGCCGCTCGAGCCGCTGGGCTCGGCGAGCCTCTTTGCAAAGGTGCATTCGTCGAGCGGGCTGGGCAGCCGCGCCACGTCCTCGAGGCCGTCGAGCATCCCTTGCCATTTGCCCGGCTTGGAAAAAAGATCGAGGCGGGAGACGAGCGAGGAGGAGAGCTTGCCCTGTGCGACGAGCTCCTTGGCTAGCGCCATGTCCTTTTCGTTTGCCGACTGGATCTCGGCCTTGTTGGCCTCGAGATGAGTCTTGATCTTGAGCAGCGCATTGTTCCGCACTGCATCGCCGCGAGACCCAGACGGGAGTCGCTGCGAGGCGGCATCGAAGGCCAGCTTTGCACGGCGCGCGATTGCCTCAGAAGGGGACACCATGTCGCCTCAAGTCGAGTGATGTGACTCAGGAAGCTGACGGCCTGACACAACCTTAAAATTCTAGACGACTCTTCCTTCTGCAGATGAAGAAAAGCCACGTGGATATTTCAACGTTGCTGTAGTGTCCGGCACTCGGGGTCCAGGCGGACGCCGGAAGGCTTTCATACGACTGATGGACCCAGTAGTTCAGCCATCGATTGATCGCCTCGGCCGTTTGATCAATCAATACCCCGGAAAGGCGAGCGAAGCCTCCAACAGAGCGCACACGCACGCACGCACGCACATCAAACCTTGCGAATAAATCCCCGCCTTTAGGCCAATAGGCTTCTAAATTGCCTTTCTCGTTTCTTTTGCTTCCCGAGATCAACCACCGACTGACGAAGCGGACTCGAGCCGGGCGATGATCGTTGCTTCCCTTGCCCGTCGTAGCATCCACTCCAGTCGTCCTCGTCCCCTCGCAACTCTTTCCTCTACCTACGCCGCTTCTTCGTCTCTTTTCTCTTCCACACGGCGCCCCTTTGGCACGAGCGCACCGACGATGTTTGCCCTGACGCCCTTCCGAGGGGCACCAGGGGCTGTGCAGCCAAAGACGTTTTCGCGGCAAGGCGAGCTGCACCGGCTCCCGATTCCGCAGCTCAATGACACCTTTGAGCGCTATCTCACCACGCTTGAGCCCCTGCTTCGCCAGGCCGAGGAGTTTGGCGAGCTCGACGCCGGAAAGACGGCGGCAGAGGAGCTCGACAAGCGACGGGCCTGGGCGCGCGAGGCCCTCAAGCCTGGCAGCTTGGTCAACCGACTCCAACAGAGACTGATCGGTGAGTGGTGCCCAGCACGTCGACTTCTCATCGTCTTGACTCATCGTCTTACGAGCTCTCCCCCCCCCCTTCTCCAATGCCTAGACGTCGACCGGACCACGCCCAATAATTGGCTCGATGATCGCTTCTGGCTCCAAAAGGCATACCACGAATGGCGCGTGCCCCTCCTCGTCAATTCCAACTGGTGGCTCATGTGCCGCGCAGACCCCGACACGCCAGCTGCCGCGCTCGAGCAGCCGGGCGCACAAGCCGAAAAGAGTGGGACACGGATGCCGGCGGCAAAGGCCGACGTGGCCCTGGGCGCGAACTCGTGGCAGGCCTACGAGCACGGCCTCAGGCGGGCCACTTGGCTCATCCACCGTATGCTTGAGTTCAAGAGGCGCCTCGATACGTGCGTGGTTTACTCTCTCTTTCTTTCTTGAGAGCTTCTTGTTCGAACGAGCTGCTGATGCTGACACCCGTTGTCTCTACTCCTACAGACAAGACATTGTGCCAGACGCCTCGAGGGCTGGAGCATTCTGCATGCACCAGTACACAAGAGTGTTTGGCGTCACGAGGATCCCAGCGATCCCGCACGACTGGAACACGGCATCGGTCCACCCCGCCAAGAGCAAGCACATCACCGTCATTTGCAGAAACAACTTCTACCACGTCGATGTCCTCGCAGAAGACGGCACCGGCCTGCCCCTCGAAGACATCGAGCGGGCCCTGTACGAGATTGTCGCAGATGCGCGAAAGGCAGATGGACCGGCCGTCGGCGTGTTGACGAGCGATGGGCGGGACGAGTGGGCACGGGCACGGGAGCATCTCCTCACATCGCCCACCAACGCAGCCAGCATGAGGTCCATCGAGGACTCTCTCTTCAACGTATCGCTCGACTCGGACGTCCTTACACTCCCCTCTGACCACGCCGGCGCGCCGCACAGTGCCACGCCGGACTCTGTCGATGCTCACGCCAGAAACACGTCTGGTGCTGGTCGGGGTGGCCACAACCGGTGGTTCGACAAGGCCATGTCGCTCGTCGTCGAGCCAAACGGACGAGCGGGCCTGATGGGCGAGCACTCGCCCTGCGACGCCCTCATTCCCTCCATCGTCATTGACTTTTGCCTGGGTGTGCCAAGTCCCAAGCCACACGAAGCCTTCCCAAGCGTTCCTCAGACTGCTGAGAAGGGCTCGGGCAAGGGCGTCAAGTGGTCCAAGCTGGCCTGGGAACTCGACGCGCAGACCGAGGCAAACATCGCCAGTGCGTCCGAGGCGGCGAGAAAGATTGCCGCCGGGTCGGACATTGGCATGCTCTGGTACGACGAGTACGGGGCCGAGTGGATCAAAAAGGTGGGCAAGCAGTCGCCCGACGCCTACCTGCAGCTCGTCCTCCAGGTCGCCTTTGCCAACGTCAAGGGACGGCAGAGCCCCACGTACGAGACGGCCTCGACGCGGCTGTACAGGCACGGACGGACGGATGTGATCCGGAGCTTCTCCAAGGAGGCCTATGAATTTGTCAAGGGCCTGCGCGATGGTCTCTCGACAAAGGAGCTCTACCCCTTGCTCTCCAAGGCCACGCAGGCGCACAATGCCCAGACGAGGTCCAGCTCGATGGGGAAGGGCATCGACCGTCACCTGACGGGTCTGCGGCTTGTCTATGATTCTCAGGAAGATGGGCCGGTGCCCGAGTCGGAGGAGAAGCACGTCGACAGCTGGAAGGGCGCACAGCTCCTCTTCAACGACCCCCTCCTTGCGCAGTCGCAGACGTGGAAGCTCAGCACGAGCGGCCTTAGTGCCGGTGACCGCTTCGCCGGTACGGGCTTCGGAGCGGGCTACCCCGACGGCTACGGCATCAACTGTAAGTATCTACTCCCCTTCTTTTTCCCTTCTTCTTCCTCATTCCCTCCCCTTCCCTTGGCTGACTTGCGCATTGCTCCCTTTAGACCTGGCCGGCAACAACCTGCTCAAGTTTGGAATCGAATCCAAGCACCCGGACCAGGGCGGCGAGTCGGGCCCCAACCCGACAAAGACGCTGGCGACGGCCATCGTCGATGCGCTCCGCGTCATGCGCGAAATCTGCGAAAAGGAGGCACCCGCCGTAGCCGAGGCAGAGGCCAAAAAGGCGGGCAAGCTCTGATCAGGAGTAGCTTCTTTTTTGTCCGAAAGGCTGTCTGCTGGCACAGCTCTGAAGCTGCTTCTTTGTTTCTAGTTGACACTTGAATAATTTGTAGATCTTTGAGGGAAAGACGAGAGAGAATGAGCAGCATTTCTTCGAGTGATTCATCCTTCGCTGGAGATGTGTTAGTGCACGCTGTGCGACCCGTCTACCATAAATTCCTGGAGAGCAAAAACATCTATACGAAGGAATACAGTCGAGATCTATACAATGTAAAGAAGACGAAAGAAAGCCAAGGTCCGATCTACTGCTGAAGCAGCTCCTTCCAGCCCCTCTCAAATGCCTCGACCTCGTTGCGATCGAGACCCAACTCCTGCCACCGCGTCTCAATACCGGCTGACGCATCCTTTTCGATGGCTGGGCCCTCGAGATCCTTTTGGAGTGCCTCAAAGAGCTCCGCCGCCGGCTTTGGGTCCGGCAGCTTGAGGTGCTGCTCGCGCGCGCGATCGACAAAGGTCAGGCAGGCTCGCGAGGCCTTTTCTGAATAGTCGAGGTCCGATCGGGGGTCCTGGTCGCCGTCGGGCCCGCCAGCGAGGGGCACATCGACGTCACGCAGCGATGAGAGCGAGGTGTGGACGTGCGAGAGCAGGAGCGAGGCGATCAGGGCCTGTAGGAGGCCCGAAGAGAGGAGTGCAGGCGGAATCGGGGGGTGTGCCACGCCCGAAAGCAGCGTCTCAGGCCCCCTCTCCAACGGCGGCTGGCCGTGGGGGTCCGATCGGGTCGAGGAGGCACTGTTGATGGAATCGGGCATGGGTGCGACAGCAGTAGATCCTGTGGTTGCCGTTGTGGTCTCGCCAGTCGGGGCACCGATGAGCCCAGCGGGCGCCGGCGCTGGCGCCGTCGATGTCGAGGAGCTAGGTGTGACGGGCACCGAGTCGTCCTGGAGCAGGAGCGAGTTGATGAGGAAGGCTGCCTTGCGCCTCAAGGCAACATTGGGATCCAAGAGCGCGCCCTTGAGGGCCATCCAACCCTGCTCGTCCTTGTCGAACAGCGCGACGGCCGACGGGCTGTGCTTGAGGATACCGCTGAGGGCATACATGGCCTTGCTCCGCACTTCGCCGTCCTGGCTGCTCCGCAGGAGGTAGAGGATGGGTGTGAGGGGCTTGTAGGCCAGGATGGCCATCTGCGCTTTGTCGTTGTTCTGCACCGCTGTTCCGACGATCCACAGGACTGCGTGCTGGATCCGAGGTGTTGAAGACGAGGCGGTCAGGAGCGACAAGATGGGCTCCCACATCTTCATGTTGTTGACGTTGTTTGCATTGTCGATCTGTTCAATGAGCTGATAGAGAGGGGAAAGAAGAAGCAAGCTGTCGTCAGTATCTTTCCGTACATGCGAACCTGTCGTCATTGTCACTAACCATCTCAAAGTTGTCCAGGGCGGTGACTCGATCGTCTTCACTCCTCGAGGTATCCATGGCAGCACTGAGCTCTTCCTTCATCATCTGTGCCTCGTTCTTGCCCATCAGTGCATCGTATAGCCCTGGGTCGGCGAGATCCGGTCGCCTTCCTGCCTGCAGATCCGCCGCCACATCGTGCATCGTCTGGCCGTTGGCGGCCCTCGCGTCCGGGTCTGCGCCTTGCTGTGCAATGCTCCATTTCAGGAGGTCGTCCAGGTTTCTCGGTTGTTGTTGTGCCATGTTACAATGTGAGTCTTCGTAGTGGGGACGCAAGAAAAGTCTCGTCCACGGCGTCTTTTGAATCAATTGTCTTGTCAGCGACAAACAAATCCAATCGACGTTGCTCGAAAGTGCTCCAAGGATTTTCGCAGAACAGGTGGAGCAAGGTTTTCTGCCACGTGGTTTTCGCGTTTCGGACTTGCCATTTCCGGCGCGACGCTTCCTCTGGAACTAATGGTCGCGTTTTCTCCAGAGCCTTAATTTTTCGCCGTCGCGTGCCTCTGTTTCCTGTCTCAAACGTCCATCCATCATCGCAGCGACATGATGCCCGAGTCGAGCAGGTTTCCTCTTACTAGCCCCGTCACCATGACAGGCTCTGGTGTCATGTCCATCAGTGAGCGCCGTGCATCAAAGCAGCGGAGCCTGGATGGGATCAAGAGGAAGCGAGACGTGGATGGGGCCGTTGAAGAAGAGGACGAGGACGACTTTGGCCTCGTCTTCTCCGCATCGCACGATGCTGAGGCTCCCAAGCGGCAGCGGTTGTATCAAGGAAATGTGAGTTTTTTTTTGAGCATGTCTCTTTTCTGCAACGCGCTCATTGCTTTTGCCATCTTCAGTCCCAGACCAAGGCTGCCTTCTTTACCATGCCTCTGGGCAGCAGCAGCCTCGACCACCGACCAATTTATCGCGCACCCACCATCGACGAACAGCGTGCTTGGATGTCTGACAGTCGAGCTGGGACATCTCCAAATTCAAGCAACGAAGATGAGATGGATGTGGAGCCGTGCGCGGCGCCAGAGAGAAACCACGCGTCCTCGTCCCTGTGGATGGGAATCGCCGGTGACGTCGAGATGGCTGTCGAAAAGAAGCCCACGTCGATGATGGAAGAGTACGAGTTCCCCTCTGCCATGCTTCGGCTAGAGGTCTCGACACCCACGGGTCATCCCCACCCTTATGGGTCCAGCAGCACCGGCTCTTCATCCCCTTCGTCGCCCATGGGCCACGCGTGGCACGGCAAAAGGAGCCAACTGGGCGCCGCCTACTTTGACCTCCTCCCTTAGGAGCTCCTCCGGCGTTCAGACCCCCCCAATTTTCTCATCCATTGCTCAACATAATCACACATTGTCGTGGTCCCCGTTTCCTTGTACAGTACACTATAATATAGCACATATCTTCGCACTATCCTGCGACAGACTGACTCCAACTCGCTCCTAGGAGATCAAGAGGCTCCCTGGCCCAGTGACAAAAAATGACATACATTTAGGCTATCAACCCGCGCTCTGTCAAAATTTAAGGGAGCTCCGACATATGCAAGGAGCACAGTGGGCGATCTCTTACCGCGTCCTTTGTCTCTCGCCCGAGCAAGAGGGGGGCCCAAGGGCGACAAACTTCTCATGTACCTCGCCCCCTAGCCCGTGCTGGGTCCCGCTCGCTGCGCTGCCAAGATGCCTCTCAAGCTAGGGTCCGATCTATGGCGACTGCTACAACATCAAGCAGCTGACGGCTAGCTAGCTAGCAGTACGTAGTACGGGCCCGAATCGATTATTAACTTGTCACCGCCGCCGCAAGGGCGCCTGTGCAACAAGGCCCCCTGGGTTCGTTGCCTGCTGTTTCCTGGTGTGGCTAGAGGGATCGCCGACCTGCCGTCACTGCCCACATGCGCGGACGTGGGGCAACACCAGAGCATTTACTTACGGGTCAACACGGGACAAGTAGAGGCTGTCCTTTTGTTTGTCTGTGTGAGATGGCGTCTGAGCGAGGAGCGAGAGACACACAGTCCCCACCACGTAAGCGCAGGTAAGCAACTGGGAGAGAGGCGGAAGATCGCTCTGCTGCACCTGCCTCTCGGAAGAGCTGGTTCAGATCCCGGCCAGACGTGAAATCGAAGCTGGACGATGAGCTAATGGCCGGCTTCGACAGTCGCCTGTGCAGAGGAAATTAAGAAGAGGACGTGCTCGGGTCGATCCTAGCCACGCTCTTGGCGCGACTTGCTCCTTGTCTCCTTTCCTCCATTCCCGTTGCTCTCGTCTCGGTTTCCCTGCTCTCGGCCCTTTCCTCCTCTCAGGATCCCAGATTGGTGCCCTCGTGCTCCCTCGATGGCGGGTCGGTCGTCGCGCTTGTCGTTGTCGTACGACGACGCGTTGAGCCTCTATAGCGAATGGCTTGTGGCTGGCCACAGTCCAAAGCTGCCAAGTACAAAGGAGGAGGAGGAGGCACCACCGCGACGGACCTCGACCCAGGCGCTGTCAGACCAATCAAAGGCCAGCACCACAACGGCAGAGAACCTGCGCAGGAAGCTCAAGTCGGATGGTCGCGCGTCGCCATCCTGGACGGCGCGACTGCAGCAGCAGCAGCAGCAGCAGCAGCAGCAGCAGCCCGCGGCGAGCAATCGCGCAAGCATTGGCCTGGGACTAGGCATGCAACTCGATGAAGAGGACAGAGGGCCGGACTCCTCCTCCTCATTGGGCCTCGTCGTGCCTAAAGCGACCGCGTCGTCTACGGCGGCCAAACAACGCGTCGCACCCCGCCACACGCAGCATGCAGTCAGCAGCAGTGCAGCGACGTTGGCTCCTCCGCCATCAGCCCCCTTGCCCGCGCTTCCCCGCGCCAATGCCAGTCCCAATCCGAACGCAAATCCATATCTGATGGTGCATCTCTCGAGCGCGGAGCCACTGTCGCCGAGCGTGGCCTCGCACCACCCCGGCTCGAGCCTGATCCATCAAGCCGACTCGTTCCCTTCTCTCATCGATCATGTCGGCTCAGGAGCGCCAGGAGCAGGAGGGACATTCACGAGGCAGCGAATGAAGACAAATGACACGACGGCCTCAACGACGGGCGAAAAGTCGCCCGGCTTTGGCGGGGTCCTCATGGAGTCCTTTCCCTCGCCGCCTCGGCGTCAGGGAACCACACCTCCATCACCCAAGACGGCGCACCTTGATGTCTTGCCTGCACCCCCGCACAAGCTCATCGCAATCAACCGCAGCGAGACCGATGTGAGCAGCCCTTCTTCAAAGGACGAATCGCCACGGCATCGATTGAGCCCTCGATCGCCCAGGCTGCACGACCGTAGCCCGAACGGCCCGAAACGCGATGACGGCGACTCGGACGATGACGTGTGCCTGGCCTATCTTGCTGAGCGAAAGAAGAGCATTGCCAAAGCTCACCAGGACTCGGGCAAGCGCGTGACAGAGGCAAAGACGACGACAGTGGATCGAGAGAATGCGACGAGGGGTCACTTGAAGTTGGACCCGGAGGAGACAAAGATGCTTCTCGGTGCGGGCAGCTCGCCATGGCGGCCGTCCAGCCGAGGACCAGACCGTGTCGATCGCTCGAGAACTCCCACGTCGCCGCTATACAGCAGTGGACAGGCGCACAAGCCCCTGCCCAGCCTGCCGCTGCCAGACGCATACACGGCAGCGGTGCCTCTCAAAGTAGCCAGCGAGAACATAGTGCAGGCACCGACGTTTGCCGTCCAATCCCTGAAACAACTGCGAGCAGCCGGCGAGCTTCATGCATGGACTGTCGGCATGGATGGGGCGGGCTGCCCTCGTATCACGCCAAGACCAAGCGCATTCCACGATCCCAAGTGCCACTTTGCAGGTCATCCCGTCGTATCGACCCGGCTGTGTGGCTGCCGTGCCATGTACGCACGCACACAGGACGATAACGCAGCCGTGCTTGTTTCGCGCGCAGCGTGGGAGCCTTCTAGTACAAGCCAGGCTCCGAGTCTTGGTCACAACCTGCGAGCCTCCGCCAGCGCGCCGGACCTTCTCGAGCTCGGTGGCCAGGAAGAGGTGCAGAAACACAAGCGCAGACCTACTCTTGAAGACGGTGACACTGAGAATGCGATTGAGCGGCAGCTTACGGAGCGTAAGCACCGGTTGGAAGCACAGAAGCAGGAGCTATCTAAGCTGAGCAAACTCATTGCGCGCATGTCTCAAGATGTTCGCAACCATCGCGCCTTGGCCGAGGTCCGAGACCAGCTCAAGCAGGAGCACCAGCGCAGCTTGGGCCCACCTCAGGCCTCGATCCAGGTCCCTGTTCGAGGGAGCAGCCACTGGTGGCCTGTCGATGATAAAGAAGTCGACGCTGTCTCTGGAGATGCATTGAACAACGATCCACGATCACAGCCCTTTGTCGGGCACCAGACGCCTGCCCTTGCCATCAACAACGCCCACAAAAAGACTTCGACGTTGTCAGCTCCGGTCGTCCACTTTGAGACACAATCCCCTGTTCAGCGTAGCAGCACCAAGTCGCCAGACCCGCCCCCGACGCCTAAAAAGGAGCCGAATGCCATTGCGAAGTGGGCAAAGAAGATGCCAAGTGCATCTTCTCTGGCCGCAAGCAGCTCGCTCAAGATCAAGGTTCCGCTTCGTCGAATGGGCTCGATGGACCAGCTAAGCGCGCCTTCTCTTCGCTCTCCTGTTTCGCCCTTACTTTCTCCGAGGTGGAAGAACAAGCCTCTTCCATCGCCCATAGCTTGCCATCCCTCTTCGCCCTTGAGTCCGCCCCCCGTACAACGAACACCGTTGCCTGCCTCGCCGCAGTCTCCCACGAGGAAGCCGTTTGCTCGCATATCGACGGTTCGCTCCCAGTCCAGAGAAGATAAGCCTGCTTATGAAACAGCTGATGGTGGACAGCGCTTTGCAAACATGGACGCGGTTCAAAGTCGATTCGCGAGCGAGGGTACGAGTTCTTCCGGCACATCCTCGAGCAAAGTCGCTGTTCCAACAACACTCAAGAACCAAGTTACTGGAACGCACCCTCCATCGACGCGGAACACACGGCCAAATCAGCAGCAGTACTTCAAGTCTCCTTCTCCTACCCCTTCGCTCTCGTCCCCACCTCGCACACCTCGGACCCCACCACGAAAGGCGAAGAGGGTTCCAGCGACGACTGGTCGACACACACCATCGGCCTCGTACTCATCGTCGGCCTCCTCGTCGTCGATGTCTACATCGTCGTCAAACAACCATAGCTCACCATTTGCCTCTTCTTCTGCCTCGACATCGCCGAGGTCTGTTCCGAGGGTCATTAGAGGAAGGGGAGATTCGATCTCGACGATTGCGACAACTGTCCTTGACGAAGAAGAAGAGCTCGAAGATGCTTATAAGAAGCTCGTCGAAGACCAGCGGGCGGCCTCTGCGATGGTGAGTCCTGTCTCTCTCTCTTCTTCCCTCCTCACCCTTTGCTGATCTAGAAGCCCGCGGGTCTTTGCTGCAGTCCGGAACATCACAGGACCACAATCGGAACTCCGTGCTGAGCATCACGCCTTCCAAGCCGCCGTCGACCGCGTCGATGGCAAGGATGGAAACTGGCAGCAGCAGCAACCGCGACGCTTTGGGACCAAGGGGCAGACCTACTGTGTCGCCAACGTGGGAAGAAAGGGTCCAGGCGTATCGTGCTCAGACTGTGCTCAGGAATCACGGTGCGGTCGGTGACGAAAACAACGAGCATGGCTCTCCTGCACGGAGCCGCAGGGCGGCAGCAGCGAGCGATGTCGAGGAGATTGGATGCGCTCTGTGATTTTATTTTCCGTACTGTAGTATATTCTAGCAAGCCTTTCTTGCCACCGCGCGAGATTGTCTTGACGACGCTTTTCCTTTGTGTAGCATAGCGAATTTCCCAGCAAGGTAGAATGATATTTTTACAGCTAGAAAAGGAAACGGCCGAGCAGAGAGTAGACACGGGAGCCGGCACGTTTACAGCTTGCTTCTGGCCCAGCCAGACCAGGTCGACGTCTTTTCGCGATAGGGCAAGACATCGTTGTTCATCCAAGACAGCACGCTCTGGACGACCTGATCTGGCCCCTCGAGCATGGCCCAGTGACCGGCCATGGGCATCTCCTGGATCACGAGAGGCGTCTCCTTTGGGTAGTGCTTTGCCGTCTTTTCCGTCGTCGAGACCGGCGACGTAGGGTCAGCCGTGGGGCACAAGATCTTGTACGGCATTGCCGGCAGCATCTTTTGCGGCCTCTCGCGGTCTTCGTCAAAGTTGACCTTGCGCGTGCGGTACCAGTTGAGAGCGCCGTCGATGGACGCGCCGCCACGTTGTGGATCAAAGAGGCGCTCAAACACGGCACGGTCCTCGGCCGTCTTGATGAGCGACGTACGCTCCAGAAGCTCGTCCAATGATGTCTTGGAGGAGCCAGAGGATACGAGAAACTTTTCGAGGGAGCCCAGCGTCGTCATATCAATGTTGAACACGGACCGGACGTCGTCCGACGACTGTTGGAGGAGAAGCGAGGGAGCAATGAAGATGAGGTGCAGGAATCGCCAGATCTTGAGAAAAAAGGGATCGAATGTCAGAGTGAGATCGAGTGAGGGGGAGGGACGGTGAGCGCATTCACTCACATGCTTTCCAATGATATCGGTCGAGCGAGGATCATCGAAGAAGACCTGGTAGCCAAAGTGGGGGAACGTCTTGACGATCTCATTTGTTGAGAGGTATCGACTCGAGGGTGCAGCGTATGCGGCAGCGATTCTTTCGTCTCAAGGTGCGTCAGCCACTGTGGAGTATAGTAGAAGCATGGGGCAGCCACTCACCCATGAACGCCCAAGAGCTTCTCCGGGATCCAGGTAGCGAGCTTCCAGGCGAGCCAGCTTCCCCAATCGTGGCCGACGACGGCAAACTTGTCTTCGGTGTTGCCCAGCACAGTCTCCATGAGGCCCTTCAGATCGAGCGCAATGGCGTGCGCTCCGTACTCTGCCAGCCGTGTCTCCTTGTTGGGCGCAGACGACCGGCCATAGCCGAGCAGGTCCGGGACGATGCAGCGGAAGCCCGAGAGCGAGATGGGCGACAGCACCGACCGCCATCCGTACGACGAGTCGGGGAAGCCATGCAGAAAGAGGATCGTCGCCTTTGTCGGCACACCCTCGGGCGGCTTGACGTCGAGGTAAAAGTAGCGGCGCTGCGTGGGCGGTGCGAGCGGGCGAGAGGGCGGAGACGTGGGCGGGGTCACGTAGTAGGAAGAAGGAAAGCGGGCGTGAAAGGCCTGCATGGCAATGTGCTCGCGCGCAGACGATGCCGCTCGATCAACGTCGCCGACCAGCTGCGCAACCTGTGAGTCTTGCATTGCGGGTCGAGGGGTCCGGTGTTGTAGAGAGTTAAAAAGCCGGTCCTGCGCACCAAGAACAGCTAGTCCTTCTGGCCGCCGTCGCACGGGCCTCCCTCCCCTCCTTTGGAAAGGGCAATTCTCTTCATCTCTTCACGCAACAGATTCAGGTAGGTTCGCAGGTGAGGGAAGGTTTGCACAAGCCAGAGCACTGCATTGGGAGAGCCACCACCGAAGATAGCACCGAGAGCTAGAGCTAGAAGAATGGCGGAAGAGAAGCAATCCAATTCAGAAAGGCCTTCTTTCCAGCATCAAGTCAAGAACCGGTTGCGAATTAGCCTCAGCGCACGTGGCCAATTGGGACAGCCTAGGCGCGCGCGGATTTCGCTCGCGGCCGCCGCCGAGGGAGGAAAAGTGTTGGTGTGTCAAAACAAAGGCGAGATAGACTACCTGACGACGACGACAATCGAGCGCCAGACTGTGAGGAGCGGGCAGAGAAGGAGCGTAGCCGCCAAGTCACCTTGCCGTCAGACACCACGCCTGAAAAGAACGTAGATGTCCCGGATCCCTGTTCCCTCGCACCACTCGACGAGTCCCCACCACCAGACATCGACACCCACTCGCATCAACACCACCCTCACCGAGAGAGACACCAACCACCTGGCCCCATCCTCACCCAGTATGAGCGCCGCATCGTACCGTAATTCGCCTGCTGCACCCGCCAGCAGTGCAGGATCTGACGCGTTTGACACTCGCAAGCGTCAGAGCCGTCGCGATGAGGTGCGTCTTCCCGGGCCAGTCTCTTATTGAACATTCTCTTATGCAGTCCTTCCACACACCGCAGGCCATCCGCAAGAAGATCGAGGGCGAACTGAACCGAAAGGCGGGAAAGCCGTCAACGCCCAGTGCCAATCGTAGCGGCAACAGCCGCCGTCGAGGTGGACACGGACGAGGTGGAAGCACCATCATCGCCGGCACCGTCTCGGCCCTTCGTCCGCTGCCGGCCCTGACGGTGCCGCAGAACATCAGCGTCGCCGATGCCAGCCAGCTGTGCGCAGCAAAGAGGACTGACTGTGTCCTTGTCGTCGACGATGACGAGCATCTGGCTGGCATCTTTACCGCAAAGGACCTGGCCTTCAGGGTATGTATGCTTCCTCCTCGCCTGAAAAGGCACGCGTATGTTGGCACTCAAGGCTGATGGGGGAATGAACGTCGCTTCACACAGGTCGTGGCTGGAGGCAGCGATGCGCGAACGACGCCGGTCAGCGCCATCATGACACGCTCGCCCATGGTCACGCGCGACTCGACGTCGGCCACCGAGGCGCTCAACACCATGGTCACGCGCGGCTTCCGTCACCTGCCCGTCTGCAACGACGAGGGCGATGTCGTCGGTCTGCTCGACATTGCCAAAGTCTTCTACGAAGCGCTTGAGAAGCTCGAGCGTGCCCACGGCTCTAGCCAGAAGCTCTACAATGCCCTCGAGGGCGTGCAGAGCGAATGGGGTCCCTCTGCCGGCCCGCAGAACGCCATGCTGCAGTACGTCGAGGCGCTTCGTCAGCGCATGTCCTTGCCCGACCTCTCGACAATCCTCGACAGCCGAACACTGCCCTGCACCGTCGGTGTGCGCACCACCGTATGTGACGCAGCCAAGATGATGAAGGAGCACCACACGACGGCCGTCTGCGTCATGGAGGGCGGCGCCAACGGACAGCCGCAGAAGATTGCCGGCATCTTTACCAGCAAGGACGTCGTTCTTCGTGTGATTGCCGCTGGTCTGGACCCCAAGACATGCTCCGTCGTACGCGTCATGACGCCCCACCCAGACACGGCCCCACCGTCGCTGAGCATCCAAGAGGCCCTGAGAAAGATGCACGATGGCCGCTACCTCAACCTGCCCGTCGTCGATGTCGACCAGCGTCTCGTGGGTGTCGTCGACGTGCTCAAGCTTACGTATGCCACCTTGGAGCAGATCAACAGCATGAACGACGGTTCCAGCGGCGATGAAAACGGTGCCGGGGCTGGCGGCCCCATGTGGAACCGATTCTGGAACAGCTTTGGTCAATCATCTGGCAGCGTCGGTGGCACAGCCGACGACGGCACTGAATCCGCACTCAGCAACAGCCATCAGCCGCAACACGCTGGTCTGGAGCCACAGACGCCGTCGAGATTCAGTACCGCCGACGTCTCCTCGGACGTGCACCCCAACGACTCTGCTAGCGCCGTGGGCGATGGCGCCCGTGGCACGGCCACCGAAGATGCCGTCTCTGGCATTGGCCTCCCTTCTGCTGCCGCCGCAGCCGCAGCTGAAGTCGACGACGGAACGTACCTGTTCAAGTTCGTGACCCCCAGCGGCCGCACTCACCGCTTCCAAGCCCGATACGACTCGTTTGAGACGATTCGCGAAATCGTCTGCATTAAGCTGTCTGGCGATCCCTTCTTCGACGCGCCCTCGCCCAAGGCCACCACGGCTACCAACGAGGAAGGTGGAGCCGCTGCTGCCCCGATCTCGCCGCCTGATCCAAACGACTTCAGCCTGGCCTACACCGACGACGACGACGACCTCGTCCTCATGACGGCCGACGGCGACGTGTCCGATGCCGTCAAGGTCGTTCGCAAGCAGGGCAAGGACCGCGTCGTCTTGCTGCTCCAGGGCGGCAAGGGCTGGGAGGAGGCGTCGGAGCGGCTCGGCTACGGCAGCGGCGCGGCAGCGGCCAACGGCACATCGGCGACGGCCATGATGAGCAACAAGAAGAAGCAGCAGCGCGAAGCCATTGACGCACAGCTCCAGAGCGTTGAGGAGGAAGAGGAGAGGGAGAACGAGGCAGAGGTCGGCGGCGCTACTAAGGACTCGGATACCCCGGCGAGGAAGCCAAAGGCGAAGAAGGCCAAGGACGACGAGGAGCTCCTGTTCGGCGTGCTGCCAAAGGACCTCGCGTTGCCGGCTGCTGTCGGTTTCCTGGGCGTCGCTGTCCTGGCGGCTGTGGCGCTGACAAGAACCTCTTCATCGAACCGATTCTAAATCTGTGCCTGTGCTATATGCACGCACGCCCATTAACACACACAACAACCCTCTTTCTCTCTCTTATACTGCTTTACCTTTGTTCTTGTGGATCCGTGAATCCGTGAATATCGTCGTGGTCTCTGATAACTCGAGTGTCAATGCTCAGACTGTTCAGTCTTTCGTGTGGATTCGTGATGATCTTATTGAATGATGAAGAGAACATCATGTGTTTGTGTGTGTGTGTGTGTATGAAGTGAGCTAACCTGGAGCTCAAGTGGGCATGAGTTGAGTGTGTTGACAGACCCGATGGGAGGCAGAGGGGAAAAGATCCATCTCCAAAGGGGTCGGACGAGCTTTCCTCGCGAAAGATGATTACGTTGGCGATCGAGGAGCTCGCTCGTGCAATGGGCTTTTTTGGGTGGTGTTGTATGTAGTGAAACAAGCGTGCGACGAGACGAAGAGGGAACCCGAAAAGAAGAGAAAAAGAAGAGCCGAGAGAAGGGGGAGAAAAAGTACATGGCGAAAGCAGGTGAGAGCACCCGTTTCTTACTTCTTGTCCTCCGACTCGAGCTCGACGGCCGTGATGGCGGCCCTCTTCTCGGCGATTCGGTTGGCACGGCGCTCGCGCATCGTCTTGTTGCGCAGGCGGCGAGCCTCCATCTGGTCGGCAATGTGCTTCGAACGAGCCTTCTCGGCCTTGGCCTTGTGGATGAACTCCATGAGGACGCGCTTGTTCTTGAAGACGTTACCCTTGGACTTCATGTAGAGCTCGTGGTACAGGTGCTTGTCGATCTTGCCGGCCTCACGGTACTTCCTCAGCAGGCGCCTGAGGACACGCTGACGCCTCATCCACATAACCTTGGTGGGCATCCTGGCCTCGTTGGTACCCTTCCTCTTACCGGTGCCCGTGTGGCGACCGGCACGCTTGGCAGCGTGAAGCTCGCGTGTGCGCGCCCTCGAGTGGCCGACGGCGGGCTTGCGGATGATCTGGCCATCCTTGACGAGCTTGCGAATGTTGGCACGCGAGTTCGCGTTGCCGATGTCATTTTGCTCGGCGGGGTCAAGCCAAATCTTGCGCTTGCCGACGCCCAGGACGGACGCAGCGAGGCGCTTCTGCGTGCGGAGGTTGACCATGTCTGATGGCAGAGGGAGCAGTTCGGGTCAGCGTCGATTAATTCTTTTACTGCGCACTTCTTTCTTCCTAGTTCTGCGGCCCTCTTCCGACCGTGTGTCCTTCTCCTGCCGCCTTCTCGCTCTTTCCTTCTCCTTCATTTTCTGAGGCTCTCCATCGCCCAGCATTCCCGTCCATCGTCAGAGCCACAAAGGCTCGGAGGGTGATACAGCATTATCTCTCTCTGACCGTGCCGAACAGACCACCGTCCACCTCTTCACAGTCCCTCCGACGTCGCTTCCCGCCACGATGACCATCGCCCGCCTTCCGTCGTCCTCGTAGATGCATCGAGCGGAGAAAAGCCAAAGATACTCACCGATGAGCTTCTTGAGGGTTGTCGGTGGTCTTGAAGGTGAAAGAACGAGAAAAAAAGAGGACGAGGCGACTCTCGACGACTCTTGCCGTGCCGATCGATTTTCCCATTTCCCTCGCCCCCTTCCTGCAAAATAATTAATGTGCTAATATCCAATTCAACTTTGTATCAAAAAGTCACGTTTTCCATGGGACCGCAGCAAAATGTTATCAGGTTTGCTAATTGTCGCCCTCTCTGGTGCTGAGGTGATTTGAATTCTCACACGCGAGAGAGAGCGGCGCGCGAGCGCTCAAGTGACGAGGCCCTCACAATTTTTCCCCCTTCTCATCACCACGTCGTACAGCTCCTAGCCAAGATGGTGAGTATCTATCGGCGTGCGCAGCAGAGTGAAAGGGGGAACTACGAGGACATCCGGGAGAGGACGCGGAAGACGAGGACGAGGCCGTGGAGCAGAAGGGCATCTGGCTGGATCGGCTGTGGCTGACTCTTTATCCACCTCTTGATAGACTCTCGCCGTCGATCTCCTCAACCCATCTGCTGAGCAGCAAAAGTCGTGCCACAAGCTCAAGAGGCTGGTGCAGAACCCCAACTCGTTCTTCATGGACGTCAAATGCCCCGGCTGCTTCGCCATCACAACCGTCTTCAGCCACGCTCAGACCGTCGTCCTCTGCGGCTCGTGCGCTCAGGTTCTCTGCCAGCCCACTGGTGGCAAGGGAAGGCTCACTGAGGGTGCGTCTCCAAGCCTTGGACCTTCTCGCTGTATTCATTCTAGTGCTGACTCTTCCGTCATTTCCGTGCAGGCTGCTCGTTCCGTCGCAAGACATAAACGAGCCTTCTTCTAGCGTTCGCTCCCCTTCTATCACACTCGACCGCTCCGTCCCACCCTCCTTCACTTCGATCGCTTCACACTTTTCTTTGACATTCTCATTCTCCAACATACACTCACACACACACACACACCAACACATCACGATTGGCGACATCGCACATGTTCACCCAAAACGACTGCTGTGGCTCTTCTCCGACGGCCCGACGTCGAAGGGACCCTTGTTACACTATATAGGCACACAAAAATCCAAAATAGGAAGCCCTTCACTAGATGGAGCGGTGGACGATGGCAGGCGAAGGAGCCGGCAAAAGCAGCGGACAGAACGAGGGAAGGAACAAAGTCTTCGAAGAGAGAGAGTTCTGCCTCACTGCGGTCCCCTAGGTCTGCAACTCAAAAGGTGTTCTGTTCATCTGCCTCAACTGCTGTGCAATTTCGATCCATTCCATCTGATCATGCTGCTCTATGTCTGCTTTGCTTCGCTGTCTATTGATTAATCCTCACAAGCCGATATGTAGAGAAATTTGAGAAAAGCCGCTCACGAGCCAGCCTCATCGAGCCAAGACACGATGTTCTTCATGATGGCGCCACCGGCCATGAGAACTTCACCGTGGGCGGCGCCTTTGACAAACGTCAGATTGTAGCCCTGTCCCGGACCAACGTCGGACTGCTCTTTCATGCCAAATTGTCGGAGATACCTGCGCGTCTCGCTGGCCGCAACGATGACATCGTCCTCTGCGAGATAGACCTGCACATGGTGAGGGTCGTGGAGTTTTGGGATCTCGTCCTGGGGCCACAAGAGGCACGAGGACCAGTCAAAGTGGCGTTGGAGCGTGTGGGCCGTGCCAGGCTCCCGCGCGACAAAGTAGGAAATGACTCGCTGGTAAGGTCCCCGGGTGCGTGAGTGGGGGAGGGGGAAGATTAAGGAGGAAAAGGTTGCGCGCTCACCATGACGGGCGAATCAGGCCTCTTGTAAAGAAAGTTGGAGATGATGTGGGGAACCCAGAGCTGAAAGCAGACCGGGTCGACGATGCACGATCGTCTGACAAAGTCGCCAGCCGACTTGAGCAACCACGCATGGACACAGGTTCCCATCGAATGGCTGTATAGAGAGACAGAAGGGAGAGATCGAGGGGTTCAGCAAGTGTGAGAAGGCGATGAGCAAGCAAGCTTACCTGATGACGGTGACCCCACAGCGCATCCATCCTTGCTTCTTGAATACACGGCGAAGGTGGGCCGTCGATTCATGATGCATCATGGGATTGATGTGGCCGGGATCAAAGATGGCTTGCGACGTGTGCGGTGACAAGGGAATCAAAAGAGGATGCGTTGATGTCAGACCGGTGCGGGTGAGGTGACGAACAAAGGCGCCGTATTGTGCAAGGCCGATGCCGAGGCCGTGTAGGAAAACGATAGGACGATAGCGCGGATCGCTCTCAGCTTTTGTAGAAGTCCAGCCGTCGGGTTTGAAGATGAGGTAGCGCAGCCTGCCGAGCTTCTCGAGCTTGAAACCTTGCCGCTGGGCATGCCAGATTGTGAATGAAGTGAGGGCGTTCGTGATGAGATAGAGCGCCAGAGGCCTTGAGGCAATGACGACTGGACTGCGATGCAGTATTGGTAAGAAAAGGAAGTGCTGCAAGAATGCATGCTTAGACCCAACCGACTCACTCAATCGTGAGACGCATACATGGCAGCGGCTTCCAATCCTTTGTCTCTAGAGGAAACGCAAAGCCTTGTCTGGCTTCGATGAGCTCTCGACAATAGTGAAGGAACTCGAGACGGTCGCCGCGGACTGGATCGGCATCCCATTCGCCCGGCGCCGCACGGACTGCAATGGCAGATCGCTCTTAGTACAGCGTCCGATTGGGCCCTTTGCTCCGATTTGACTCACCTCCCCGTTTGTCCTCCTTCTGCAGGTCAAACGGACCTTCGAGATCCTCTTCATCATCGTCCTCGCTATCATACACCTGGCTGGCGAACGACCCTCGCGGAGGTGGCACAGGGCTCGAGATCTCGCCTCGAAGAGCTGAAAGTGCCGATACCGTAAGATGAGCTTTGTCGCTGCCATTCTTTGCTGCGGTATCCTTGGTGGTGGTGGGCGACCTTTGCCGCTCAGCCTCGATATCGTCGAGCTCGGCCCCGTAGAGGGACCACGCGAGCCAGCGTTCGGCGTCTCGTCGGGTGATGTCCTCCACAGACGAGCCTGGAAACCACATGGCCTGCGCCTCCGCGAAAGCCCTTGCCCGGGGATCGTCCTTGTCCAAGGGTTCCTGATCGACGAAACGAGGCAGTAAGCTGGCGGCTCGGAGTCGCTTCGTAGCCAAAGGGTTCAACGATGACCCTTGTTGGCCGCCTCGTTGGCGGAGAGTTCCAGCGTGATCCGATCTCGTTGCGCCAGTCGCTGTGGCCACGCCCTGCTCGTCCTTTTCTGTGCCATTGTAATCCACGTCGTCCATGCCACTCTCGAGAGCACGCGCAAACACCTGGCGCAGGAACCGTCGTCCGTACACAGGTGCCGGACCTTTTGCTTGGAGCCTCCGGGCGAGGTAGAGGTAATAGAGGCTGAAGACGAGCTCGACAGTCGACCAGAAGAGGAGCGGGTAGTGGAAAACCGGGATCGGTGGTACCAGGGGGACGGTATGCCCAAAACACCTCGCAATCGACACGCCCACGTAGACCCAGGATAGGGGAGTAATGCTCCAGACGGTGAGGATGATGCCGTCGACGGCGAGCGACGACGGGTGGAGCATCGATACTAGCGACATGGTGAACAGCTGCAGAGGTGGTCCACTGAGCTTTGTGCTTCTCCCTTGCCTCCTTCGCCCCCTTTTGAGCAGCCTGATGTGCGTCTCTTTTTATCTTGTCGCCATCACTCTCACTCTAAACTCGGTCATCGGTCCCCAGCTTTTCTCAATCTTCCTACCTTCTAACAGAAGAAAGTCCACCCACGAAAGGAAAAGGTCCAGTATCGTCATTTGCCCCACGTGTTCTTTTTGTGGCGCACGGGCTTTTTTCCCGCTTTCCTATCTGGGGTCGATCTCGCTGTCGTTCGCACCAACTGTGAGAGGGACCCAAATTGTGGACCACCGCTCGCCGTCGATAAGAAAGGGAAGGAAAGAAAGGAGCAAGTAGAGAGCCACAATGAGCGGCAACGATCAGCAGCAGCCACCCATCCCAACGCTGGGTCGAAGGCCCTCGAACCCTTTCACGCGGAACCAGGACGAGCGTGACGAGGCGTCTGCGCCCCAATCTCGTTCGTCGAGCAGCGGAGGAGGCATCGCTCCTTCGTCAACAGCCAGCCAGCTCATCAGCAAATTCAGAAAGGCGTCCATCACCTCGTCTTTGACTCCCTCCAGGTCCAGAGACTCGATTGCCGAGGAGGATGACGACAACGAAGACGATGAAGACCTGGAGCCGGTTCCCTTCAAGGATCCAAAGGCGTACGAGGGAAAGTCAATTGGCGCTGGTACGGGTGTCTTTGAGCCCGCTAGCAGTCATAACAACGATCCGGAAGGCATCCCTTTCCACCCAACGCTGAGGCCCGCGGGCGGAAACGAGCGCCGGGTCGAGACTGACGGCATGCGCGCGCCCGACGATCTATATGCCGGCGGCAACGAAGTGGGCACCTCCATTGACCGCAGCACCAGTGCCGACGCCGCTCGTGGAACGGGTCGCGCAAAGGGAGTGCACCGCACCTACTCAATGGCGCAGCAGAAGCGAAGGCCAGCCATCATGAATGACGACCGCATCATCCGGCAGCGCCGACTGAGCCACGACGCCATCCAAGAGGCGCCCCGTCGCTTCATCGTCGATGTTGAGGAGACCATGCGCCTCGTCCTGGAGCAGGAAGACACCGACGGTAACTTCCAGATCAGCATCACCGACAGCGGCCCAAAGGTCCTAAGTCTAGGCACGGCTACAAGCAATGGCTACAAGGGTGTCGACATCCGCGGGGTAGGTTGTCTGCGTTTGCTTCAACCGTGAAGGCCGCACTGACCGCTTTGCCTGCACAGACGTACATGCTGTCAAACCTGCTCCAAGAGCTGGCCATCGCTAGGGAACACGGAAGGAAGCGCATCGTCCTCGACGAGTCTCGTCTGACGGAGAACCCGGTGGATCGTCTGTCGCGCATGATTTCACAGACATTTTGGCACAACCTCACCCGCCGCATTGATGCAGATGGCCTCGAGGCCATCTTGGCAGACCCAAAGAATCGGTCCAAGTCGCGCAATCCGCGCATCTACGTCCCGGCTGGCGAAAAGGAAATGCTCGAATATTATCAAAAGGTGGCCAAGGAGCGGCCGGGGCTCAACCTCACCGTCGAATCGCTGCCCGACAAGATCACATCTGACTACACGCGAGACCTCAATGACCGACCGGGCCTCCTGGCTATTGCCATGCGAAAGGAAAAGGACGCAGAGGGCAAGGAGCAGTTCAAGGGCATCCCTTTTATCGTGCCAGGCGCTCGTTTTAACGAACTGTACAACTGGGACTCTTACTTTATCACCCTCGGCCTCGTCGTCGACGGTATGTCGGACATGGCAAAGGGCATCGTTGAGCACTTCATCTTCCAGATTCGTCACTACGGCAAGGTTCTTAACGGCAACCGCACCTACTACCTCATGCGCGCCCAGCCACCGTTCTTGACCGACATGGCTCTGCAAGTCTATAGCCGGATGGATCTTGCAAAGGAGGATGAAAACAAGGAATGGCTCAAGTTGGCCATCTGCGCCGCCATCAAGGAATACCACACCGTGTGGATGAGCCAGCCGAGGAGGGACCCCAAGACGGGCCTGAGCAGGTACCGTCCAGAAGGACGAGGCGTACCACCCGAGACCGAGGCCAGCCATTTCACCCATGTTCTCCGTCCATACGCGGAAAAGTACGGCTGCAGCGTCAACGAGTAAGTGCTTTCGCTTTTGTCCATCTCTTCCCAAACCTTAAGCTCATTGTCTTGGTCAGGTTCACGCGCAAGTACAACTTTGGCGAGATCAAGGAGCCAGAATTGGATGAATACTTCATGCACGACCGAGCGGTGCGAGAGAGCGGTCATGACACTACGTATCGCTTCGAAAAGCGTTGCGCCAACCTGGCCACCATCGACCTCAATGCGCTGCTGTACAAGTACGAAGTCGACATTGCCACCGCCATTCGAGAGTTGTTCGACGACAAGCTCGAGCTCACGGACGACTTCATCCTTCAGGCGCCTTTGCCGGCATCGATGAAGGATCAGCAGCCTGCCCAGCCATCCCGTTCGATTGAGACGCCTCAGACGAGCGCAGAGTGGTTTGCAAGAGCCGCATTCCGCAAGCAGCAGGTCGACAAGTACTGCTGGAACGACGGCATGAGTCTCTACTACGACTACGACACCGATCTCGAGGAGCAGTCGGTGTACGAGTCGGTGACGACCTTTTGGGCCATGTGGGCTGGCCTTGCTTCAGAGGACCAGGCGGCAAAGATGGTGCACAATTCGCTCAAGAAATTCGAGGTCCATGGAGGCTTGGTGCCCGGCACCGAAGACTCGCGAGGCAAGGTCTCTCTTGAGCGGCCAAACCGACAGTGGGATTTCCCCTTCGCTTGGCCCCCACACCAGATGCTCGCCTGGGTTGGTCTGGAGAGGTACGGCTACCTGGATGATGCAAGGAGGCTCGTCTACCGCTGGCTCTACATGATCACCGTTGCTGTTGTTGACTTCAACGGTTGCGTGCCTGAAAAGTAAGCTGACATTTCCCTTCTTCTCCCTTGCTGCTACCGAGACTTCAGCTGACCATCCGACCCTTCAGATTCGACGCCGTCAAGCTGTCACACCTCGTCGACGCCGAATACGGAAACCAAGGTGTGGACTTCAAATACGTTGTCAAAGAGGGCTTCGGATGGACCAATGCTTCTTTCCAGGTCGGTCTCACCTTCTTGACGACGCACCTTCGTAGAGCGTTGAGCGTCTGCCAGGATCCAGAGACTCTTTTTGGAACCAATTAGCAAAACTAGAGGATCCTTGTGGTCTATCGTGCTGTAAATGACAAGGTTTACTGGACATGCAAGATTAGAGTGTGAAGTCGGAGCTTTCTCGGGCCAGTGCTTCATGCATCACTCCAGCGTGGTCACATACTCTTTTAAGGAGAGAGTTGCATGCTTGGCTGAGAGTCGTGGGAAAGTTCCAACAGTCACATGTACTAGAACCTTGTGAACAGAGAGGAGGAGAGTGTGTGAGAGGGCACGGAAGAAGCGGAAGAAATAACAAAGGCAAAAGGACTTGGAATTGAAAGAGAAGAGGGTGGAAGAGAGTTGCGCGGCATGGAGACAAGGTTCAATCGCTCTGACCTGTCCTCTTCTTAATCTAGGCAACCTTCGATGAATTTGATTAGGTTCTCCATCATCAGTAAAAGCGCTGGCAACCAGAGCCGGCAAATGAACCCGGCCAACGAACCAGGATTACGGGCTTGATGAAAAAGGCAAAGCTTAACCTGTTCAATTCAGCTGCCGAGTGTGCGGTGCATGCTGCCTTAGCGCCCTTGTTGAGATGCAGGGCCGCCACGCCAGTGGAGGATAAAAAAAAAAGTAGATGTTACTTGAGCACCTCTTTTTCTTTGACGGCTCTTGTTCCCTCGCACAGCTCTGGATCCATCGGAGCGCTCTTCGGACAGGCCCCGTCGCGGTCGACGTAATACTGCTACACTACGTTTCCGTAGCCTTTGATGTGAGAGATTAAATGTGTGTGTAAACTTTACTTTCCTCGCAGCATTTCCGCGGGGCTCATTTGCCTAGGTCAGACTGAACGGAAGAGCGAGCTAAAGGGACATCGTGCCGTCATGTCAAATCACGGGCCATGAGCGGGGATCACTTGCACAATGTGCCATCTCTCCTGTGTGATAATCATCCAGTCGTACGTATTATCCTTTCAACGACCTTGGATGGAAGCGCCTCTGGGCTTAGTCTTTTCACTGGGCAAAGATTACCTTATTAGCCTTGAGGGGTCCAATCCGTTACTTTCCCGGGTATATCAACGGTCTCCTACATCAATGGGGTACACCAGGTTGGGCATCGAGACAACAAGCTTGTTTGTCGTTTCACGATTGGCTCAGACGTGTCTCGTCACTCCTCCCTCTATGGTGGGTGTAAAGAGAGGCAAAGAAATATCTCGCCGAGACACTGCCTTTTTCGCCGAGTGAATACGAAGCTGGCCGGCTTGCTCATCTGCACTGTCCTTTTGAGTTCATAATCCCAATCACGGCAAGTCCTTCCACTCCTTGTCTTCCCCATTGCCAGTGGGTCAATGACGGAGAAAAAAAAAATCCAAAAATCGTCGGGGGGGAAAATGACGTTGCGTGCGGTGCATGGCCTAGAGAGAGTGTGTGTGGTCTTTGCTTGAGTTCGTCGTGTTTGAACCTTGTTTGAGCCATATCCGTGGGCTCTGACCCTGTACCGCCTTCTGGGTCCCTTCCTGCTTCGCTCAAAACGCAGTGCGTCCCAGGATGATAACATTCCTCGGCCCGTCCACAGTGGAAACTTTGTCATCGGTACCGTACTCTCTTCCACAAGATTGAAAAAGGTGGAAAAAGGTGAAGTGGACGTCTGTGCGAGACCATCGGGTCCGTTGCGTGAAGTTATGGGCCCGAAGAGCTCCAGTGCCCGTCACGGCACTAGGCGAGGGTGGGCATGGAGAGTGGGTGATCGACGAACAAGGTTCGGCAAACCACTGTTGCTAGCCTGCCTCGCGGGTCGGAGTTGCCTTATGAAGGATAATTTCCCCCCTCAGTACATGTGCTCGCAGATGTTGCCCCCAACCTTGTCGCTGGTCCGCTCGACGGTCTCCAGCGTGTCTGCCTGTCCGTATGCTCGTCTGCCCGTCCGCACCTTTGCTCAAAGCTATCCCACCCGCGCCTTGAATCTTATCGTTGTTTGCTCTTTGTTTGCCACGCTACTACTAACCCCGTTCGTTCCCATGCCGCCTCCCATCTTGGCCCCTGAATTTGCGGCAACAGCCAGCAAAACTCAATGATGGTGCAGTCGTCCGATGCCTACCCTTTCAAAAAAGGGTCGAGGTTCACGGGTCCGCACAGTCGAAGGCAAGTAGGGAGATACCCTGAAGAAAGCAACCTTCCTCTCCTAGCGCTGATCCTTTTCCTATTCGACGTTAGACCGTCGAACTGCTTGGCGACGGACCGTTGATTCGGGCTCCCGCCAAGTCGAGACAGAGGATGTACCGAGGATTGAAAGGACGTCCGAATAGAAACAAGGTTTTCTCCCCTATCAGGACTTGACCGCCATGGGTGTCGAAGTAGGGACCATTTTGTCTGTGGCGCATTCCCTCTTTTCTGAAGAGCGCCTATATAGGATGGGGGCGTCCCGCCACCCTCCCTCGGGCGCTTCTGTCGCTCACTCTGCGATCTATCTTGCTGCGAGCCTTCCTTCCCTCTACGCCATCTATCTTCTGCCCTCTCACATAATGCTTTCTATCTTTGCGAGTGCGCAGGCAGCCACCACCAACCCGGCGACCAGCTCTAGACAACGATTGTCCTCGCTTGCCACCGGTCTCGGTCACTCGCTCGACTCTGCGAATGTGTTCCCGACGCTCCAGTCCTCGTCATCGCTCTCTCCGGAGCTCGTAGCGACATGTACTCTCGCTGCAATCTTCCTCCTGACGACAGTCGTATGGCGTTTCGTTGGTCCTGCCTCCTTTTTCGACCAATTCCGTTCCAAAGGCAAGGTGAGTAGCCGTCTTCGGTTTAGATCGGTCCACCTTTGTTCTCTTGGATGGTGGTGATGGGGAGGGATGTATCGTCTATGCACTGTGTCCTCTTCTTATATGTCATGGGAGGTCTGCCGTTGTTGAAGCTCCCACGCCACTCTGAGACATTCCATGTCTCGGGCAAATAAGAATCTGCAGCACGCCAAAAGATAAATTTCTGAAGGCGGGAGGCGGCGTCGAAGCGAGGTGGACAGCGCGTATCCTTCGCTGCTTTCATGCGAAGGGATGCGCTAGCCGCTCCGACTTCACAGTCGCTTGCATACGTTTACGGTGGTGTAAGGTGCGGACCGAGGCTCAAATGGATGATGTGAAAAGGCAAAAGGATAGCCACCGCGCTAGCATCCTTCCTTTCCTTCGCCTGCATAGATCCCTCGGTTCCGAATCGGGTCCCCCTCAATGCGCCCAGGGACTCCGACAGCAATGACGCAGAATCTCCCTCTCCTCCCGCCCGCTAATTCTCAAATTGACAACTAAACATTCCGTCTTTGATCACAGAAGCAGAAAAATAAGCATGCTCTGCCTACGCCACCCATCGTTCGAATTCCAGTGAGTTTGAATATAGTCAGGCAAGGTGTTGGCGCTCGTATAAATCATTGGTTACTTATCCACAATCAAATCATTTTTTTGCAGCGCGAGATTCAGCTGTCCGAAGCTGGCCATGCGGCATACAATCGGGCTCTCGACGAGCACGGTGACGTCGTCATCATCCCTCGACACGGTCGCATGGAATACGTTGTGGACCATCATCACGTTCGTGATGTCTTGACCGACGCAAATAGCTACAGCTTTGAAAAGGCTGTCACCAATATGCTTCACGTGAGTGTGCACTCTCAATGACAGGATTCGATGATTGCTAACCAGACGGTGTAGATGGAGTTCATGCTTTGGTTCAAAAACGGGACGTTTGTACAAGAGCTTGACAAGCTCGTTCAGGACGGCGTCACCCCAAGGCTTCGAGCCGTAGTCGAGAAGAGTAAGTGCATTTATAATGATGTCCGAGGGCCCCGAGCTTACTAGAAATTGTGTCGTGCAGTTGCGCCTGTGTTTTCTCAAGAGGCGCAAGACGTGTTTGCCAAGCAGGGCGGAGGTGATTCTATTGACCAAGTGGAGATTCCCGACATGTACGAGTGGATCCACCATTCCATTGCCCGAGCCATGGTGATTCTCATCCTCGGCGAGCAATATCTTGACGAGGACATGACAAAACGGTTCATGGATGTCGTTGTGGCCGTCGCCAATCTGAGCGGCATCTACGAAAATACACGAGGCTGGCGCTACCTGCCCTGGCTCTGGTCGCTTAAGACCACGCTCGGTGCCATCTTCCTCACCGTCGTTCCTCGCTTCTTCTTCGGCATCCTCCCTCGCATGTATGCCAACAAAGATAACCATCTCAATCACGGTGTCGACGTCGAGAATGACGAGTACGCACCCTTCTTTGATCTTCTGGCCGCCAAACATCGAGACCGCAAGACAGGCCGGCTCTCTTTCCTCAACTTTGTCTGGTGCGCCGTCGTCTGTCTCGGCATTATCTTTGCCAGCATCCACCAAACGGCAGTCGTCGCCGCCTGGTGCGTCATGAACCTTGCCAAGAGGACCGAGTACCAAGCCGAGATTCGGGCCGAGATCGAATCGTGCTTGGAGCAGGACGCTGACGGTAACCGTCAATTGACTGTCGAGTCGCTCCGTCGCGCCGAGAAGCTCGATTCGTTCATCCGTGAGACAATGCGGACAAAAGGCGACGTCTTTGCGCCCGTGCGTTTCACCGTCAGAGACGTCCGGGTCGGGAAATACATTATCCCAAAGGGGGCACTGGTTGCACCCTACGTCAAGCGAGCTCACGAGCATGCCGACAACTACGGTGACCAGGGCAAAATCTTCGACGGGCGTCGATGGGTCGGGGAGCGACCGGCGGTGCAAGGCAGCCACGACTTTATTTCGTTTGGACTTGGACGTTGGGCATGTCCCGGCCGACATTTGGCAGTTGCTGAACTCAAGATGGTTGTGGCGACACTCTTCGACGCCTATGACGTTACCCTGAAAGACGGCCACTTCGAAGCGGCAGACCCCATGAATGCTACCAGCGTTGCACCAGCTGGCATCGTTCAGCTGCGCAAGCGCCGTTGAATCCAGGTTTTTGACACCGGGCCCTTCCTTACCTATTCGACCCCTTTCGTTGACAATAGAGATCATCGGTCCTTCTTTACCTACTCGACCCCCCTTTGTTGACAATAGAGACTATCGCTTGTACGTCTGATTCTCTTTCTTGTACGTCTGATTCTCTTTCTTGTACGTCTGATTCTCTTTCCTGTTACTCTAAGGCAGCCAACGCATCCTATTGCTCTAAGGCAGCCAATTTTTTCACCAAGATGTGTCCCTGAGACCGAGAAACAGAGAGATCGGCTTCGGTGGCTTTCGGGAGCGACGCTATCTTACTCAGACGGAACAATCGCATTACTGGTGCAGTGATGTGGGCGTCCGCTCCGACCCGGCTTTTCTTGATTGTTGGGTAGGCATGACCTGGAGACATGACCATTGCTAACCACGGCAATGTCTGGAGGGAGTCAAGATGCCAGGCTAAGGAGATGTGTTGTCTGTCAGGCTGCCCATGCACTGATAGCGAATCCTTCGATTGGCACCCGTGGGTCAACTTCTGTACCTGTAAATTTGTGCCTGCAGACCATTACGACACGTGCGGAATTCGGAGGTCGGCATTGACGCCGGAGCACCCGTCCGTCTTGGGGAAATTTAAGTTGTCCTGTCTAGCCTCACAACGTCTCGATTTTCCCCATTCGAAACTACTCTCTCTCCTTCCACGAGTTTCGCAATCGCTTGTGCGGGGACACCCTTGCTCGACCGCCTTTTCACTCCTTCGACGCGGCGGAGCACCTCGCAGCCTCTTGCTCGTTCAGACGCACACGATCACGCTGGATCGCCCCCGGACACCTCTTAGCCCACCATCTCGACCTCAACTTCGGGCCGTCTCGAGAGGCTCGCCGTGCACCTTTCGGGTGGGAGCAGCGACAGTGGTAGGAGTGACGCCATGTCGAACGGCAAGCTCGAGGACAACCACGGGTCCTCCTATGGGCCCTTCGGCCCCATCTTCCAGCTCATTCCTGGCGTGCAATCGTACGACTGGGGCAAGCTCGCCGATGACGGCTCACTCGTGGCGCAGTACGCGGGCGCAACAAAAGAGCTCGACTTCAAATGCGCGGGTGACCGCCCATACGCCGAGGTGAGCGGCGCATGACTTGTTTAGGAGGTGGACATGTTGGCGCTGACGAGGTCTCGTGCTCTAGCTCTGGATCGGTACACACCCGACGCTGCCTAGTTCCATCATTGCCCCAACAGGCGCACCTGCCCCGACATCGAATGGGACAACAGAACACATCTCACTTGCCTCTTATCTCTCCCAACACCCTGCGCTTTTGGGCAAAGCGGTCTCGGATCGCTTCGGTGGACCCTCATCCGGCCTGCCCTTTCTCTTCAAGATCTTGAGCATCGGCAAGGCCCTCAGCATCCAAGCACACCCGGACAAGACCCTCGCTGAGCGCCTGCATGCCGAGAAGCCCAAGAGCTACAAGGACGCAAACCACAAGCCGGAGATGACCATTGCCCTGACCGACTTCAGAGGCTTCTGCGGCTTCCGACCACTGCCGGATATCGTCGACTTCATCCAAAAGATCCCCGAGCTAAGAAGTGTCGTCGGTTTGAGCGAGACCGAGCTTGCCAGCCTGTCATCCAAGGCGCCCCAGCAGAAGCCAGACGAAGAGAAAGCGGTGCTGAAGGACCTCTTTGCCAAGCTCATGAAGGCCCGGGAGAGCGACGTCAAGACACAGGTCACCAGCCTTTCGCAGCGCTACGACAGCTACTTGCAACAGAGAAAGACTGGCGGAAAAGCTGCCGAGCCGATTGAGGTGTCGACGGTCCTCGCCCAGCTCGTCGTCAAGCTCAACCAGCAATATCCTGCTGATGTCGGTGTTCTCTGTACCTTCTTTCTCAACGTCATCGACCTCCGACCGGGCGAGGCCATGTTCCTGCAGGCAAACGAGCCCCACGCATACATCGAGGGCGACATTGTTGAGTGCATGGCCGCGTCGGACAACGTCGTGAGAGCCGGTCTCACGCCAAAAGAGCGCGACGTCGATGTCCTCGTGGACATGCTCACGTACGAGATGGTGTCTTCGCGAGGCGATGGGAGTCAAGACGAAAAGAAGCTAGATGCAATTGTCGACAGCGGGCACAAGTACGAGGTGAAAAACACCAAGGCTGAGCCAGGTACAACAATCTATGACCCGCCGATTGAAGAGTTCACCGTTCTCAAGACGGTCGTGGCGGCCGGCAAGGAGGTCCGGCATCGCGCGCTCAACGGACCTAGCATCCTTCTAGTCACAGAGGGGAAAGGAGACCTGACGTGGCTGCCAAGTGAGGAGACTGCCTCGCAGAGGAGAACCCTCACGCTCGAGCAACCAGGCCAGGTTTTTTTCGTTGGGGCAGACAGTGCCATCGAACTGAGGAGCAGAGGACAAGGGGAGGACCTGGTGGTCTTTAGAGCGTTTGTAGAAGTGTAATTAAATTGACCTCTTGTATGATGCTGCTACTTGCTCTCAAATGCACAATCAGCACACCACCTGTGGAAAGGAGAAGAGACTTGTTGAGGCTTGTCTAATATCCGTCTCGCCCAAAACGGCCGGTATTCAACGACAAGGAGAGATCAAAGTTTCGCTACTTCCGCGTTTCCTCTTTGGGAAGAGACATCTTCACCGCTCCGATGCGTACAGGCTATCCTGCCGGTCCATCCTTGCCCTTTCTCTCGCCTTTCGTGAAGCGCCGTAAAGCCTCTGCAAGGTGCTCCTGACTCCCTCCAGGCTCGACGCAGCCAATGCCTCTCGCATGCCCTGCACAAACGCCGCTCGGTCCTGTAGTGACACGTTTGCCGTTGGCAGCGTCTCGGACGCCGGCTCGATCCAGGCAGAGACCTGGTGAGAGAACGTCATGCAGAGCACGCGGACCGTCGTCAGGACCGTACCGAGGTCCTCAGGCTCAAACGACGTCACTAGACCTTGCAGGAGAACCGAAATGAGGGAGTAGCCGTGCTGGTCGACGACTCGTCGGATCGATTCAGCATAGGCTTGGGTCTCCGCGGGAGACAATGCCGACTGTGTTGGTTGTGGCTGAGCAGGAGCGCCCTGAATCGACTCATGACCGACAACGTCGCGGATGAAGTCCAGCGCAGCTGACACAAGACCAGGCTGATAGAGGCTCAGCGCTGCAACAGCTGTCTGGAAGGCAGGTGCAAAGACTGGAGAAAGGAGGATCAGAGACGGTGATCTCGCAACGATGGCCGAGCACGCGTGGACGTAATCGTCGATGACTGTTGGGGTGAAGATACACTCAGCAGGCAAGAAAAGTCAAAGAGAGGCCTTGAATCCTCACCATCAGCGATGTCCTGCATTCTCGCTCGTTCCAACAACGACATGAGCTTGGCGCTGACACGCTCGAAAGCGTCACTCATCGCACTGCGGAGAGCGTCATCGTTGGTTGAGGCAGCATACCCGTCAATCGATTTGCCTACGATCCACACGTAAGCGGGGAAACCGGTCCTTTCGAACTCCGCAGCCATGCGCGAGAGAAGCGCTGGCAACGTTGCCAGTGTCAAGTCTCCGAAGAAGACGAGGCCGCGACGAATCAGGGCACAAGCTCGCTCTGAGATGAAGTAAGTGGCGCCATGCTGGTCCAAGATCTGGTCGAGGACCGAGTAGGCCTCCTGGCATGTCTTTGAGCACTCCTGCGACAGCGCACCGGCAGTGGCGAGGCGGTCGCCGAGAATGTAGAGGAACCGCTCGAGCTGCTCCATCCGGTCGCCAGCCTTGCGCAGTTCGTCCTTTGTCGCAGTGGTACCCTTTGCGGCGATGGTGTGCAGCGTCTGCAGCAAAGGCTGGGTGAACTGCAGCAGTGGTTGGGAGGCCTCCTGAGGAGGCATGCCTGCGATGATGTGGGCGATGGCTTCTGAGATGCTCATCAGGTCCTCGGGCCCCAATGACTCTGTCACCTGATGGAAGAACTCGTAGAGCTGCGGCAAAAAAGGAACGAGGTGCTGTTTACAAGAGAATTGGGTCAGCCTCTTGAGAACACGACAAGCAACGTCACTTGGGAACTCACCCTCTTGCAGTCCTGACACATGTAGTTCATAGCTTGCGAAGCGGCGGCCATGACGTCGACATCATTGGAGCTGAAGCCTGCGGAGATGAAGCTCAAAAGACCCGGGATCCGGTCGGGATGGTGATCGACCCATTCGGTATATCTCGAAACGACAAGGAGGGCCGCATAATTGAGCTTTGGATGTTGGGGCAGCGAGGGGATCAGATCGATAATCTTTGGCACGACATCATCGTCCCGAGGATCCGCCTCGGCACCCATGGCTCGCATTGAGAACAAAGGAGCCTCAACGTCCTGCCATGCCACAGCTGCCCCACCTCCGCTGGCTCCGCGTTGCAGGACATCTTGGATCATCGCCAAGCTCCTGGCCAAGCACGGTTGGCTTCCCAGGACGTGACAACAATCCTTGAGCGTGTCACCCATGTAATGTCGGAAGCTTCGGAAGTCATCTCTCTCTTGACCCGTGAGGGTGTCAAGGTTGTCTGGGAAGCGGAGATGCTTGACAATGACGTCGAGCAGCCGCTTGTAGACGTCGAGCATGAGTGCCATGCTGGGATCCTGGTGCCTTTCCGAGATCCGTCCCAGGTCCGTGGCAAGGAGGTACCAGAATCGGAAGGTGATTTGGACAATGTCGAGGTCGCTGTAGCTCGCGCATTCACTCACGGCCTCGACGAGAGGCCAGAACTCTTGCCGGTGCCGAAGGATGAGATGGTGGTAGGTCTCGGCGGCTTGAACAAAGACTCGGCACAGCCCGCGAACTTTGTCATCGTCTTCGTCTGCAGCGGCCTTTGCGAGATCCGGCTGGAGGGCCAGTATTCTCGGCACAATGAGCTGAATCGCATCCATGTTCTCCTCGATTTCCTGCGTCTCGTTGATGATGTCGCACACCACGTCGACTGCCACATCGAAGAGGGGGTCCGATGAGAGAGCGTCGAAAGAGAGGGCAAAGAGTGGCGTGCCGAGAAGAACCGATACGCTGATCTCGCCGCATCGAAGCCACGATGCGAGGCACGAAAGGATCGCAGATTGAATTTGGGGTGTGACGCCTGGTCGACAGACAGTAAATTCAGCTTCAATCCGTGGGCAAGGGGGGAAGACAGGGAGCATTCTCACCTTGAGCCTGGATGTACATGGCGAGGACCTTCAGGACCTCATCTCTGTACCGCACAAGCAGGGTCTGGACACGCTGGTTATATTGGTTGTTCTGCGACGTTGATTAGCACGAGTTCGAAAGAGGAAGAAGACGCCGCTGCTCGGCGGGACACGATGCTCGAAGGAGGTCACAGGCGGCAGAGCAGAGCAGAGAGGAGAAAGCCGATGAGTGCGACGTGACGGTTCTCTTGCGCGTTTCCAGGGCCAGAAGATAACTCCCTGGACTAGAAAAGACGTAGTGACCGGACCGGTAGCCTCCATCGGAACCCCTTCCTCCCCCCTTGACCCATTTGCCCCGCTCCTCTACTCATCACGTCTGTCCCATTCCCCACTCACATCCACGGGGATCCTGTGATTTCCCGTCACCTCCTCTGGCAGGACGGTGAGAAACTCCAGCAACGTGACGACGCTCTTCGGATCCTTGCCAAACTTTTCCACCATCCAAGGCACCACGTTGTCGCCCCACTCTGGGTCTTCTCCCTCGTGCAGCTGGAGAGCCAGAGTCGAGAGGGTGAGGCAGAGCTGCGTCTGGATCACTCGGGGCCCGGCAACGTAGGATTCCAGTGCAGTGAGCAAAGTGGCCCGGAGCGAAGGGAGCGATGATCGTGGGACCTGGTCGAGATCGAATGTCGTCTGCAGGAAAGTGCAAAGTGAAATAAGCACCCCGTTTCAGCATGCTTTCCCTCTCTGTGTTGCGGCACGTAGGCACCCACCTTTGTCCGGAACGTCTGCGAAGCAAACAGCCGAGGCGGGATCGGCAAGTCTTGCGCAAGGAGCAAGGTATTGGCCGTCTCCCATGCTTCGGGCTGCCCTCTTGTCGATCAGCTTTATTGGCATGAATGTCCATGTTCGACGGCTCACTCACAGTCTTCTGGAAGTCTTGCAGCCAACTGTTGGCCTGGTCCTTTGCCTCTTTCTCTGGCTTGTTGTACAGGGCGTCTAGCGCTGTCAGCACAGCCTGGACGGCCGGTGACTGCTGCTGCGAAGTCGACGCCATGGCCTTATCGGAATGAATTGGCTTCCGAATGTACACCTAGAAGACGAAGGAACAGAGCCAGAAAACCAAGACGGAGGGAGGAAGAGTGCGCCGCAAAAAAAAGAGGGTATATACGTGGGCTCGTCGAATCAAGTCGCTTCCTTACTGTAGCTTCGACCCTTAATCGTTGGAGACGGCAAACGAGATGGGACGGGAGGAGTGAGGCACACGGTGCACAGAGGGGGAGAAGGCCACAAATTTGGTGTTCGTTGCAATAGTGACACAGACGCGAAGGAACCAGATCAGCCGTCACGTGTCTGCTTAGTAAGGGCACCCTCCACTCTGAGGAACCCTAGCCTACTGACTGCTTGCTTCCCGGCACTGCTGTGGGGAAGCAGGCACCGAGCACCATGTCAACCGTCTCGCCGCCTTCTGGCGTGTACAGCACCAGCAAGCTCCGACCAGTCTACTGGGGCCCGGTTCACGTTTGTATTTATTTTTCTCTTTCGTTCTTCATCGTCTCATTCTTTTGTGATGTAAAAGTAATCTGATGTTTCGTGCCATATTCCTTCTGTGTTCATCTAGTAGTGGCTATGATTTTGAGATCGAGAGTGATGAAGGTCGCTGCTTTGGGATTACGAGCCGTGTCGAATGTGGAACGCTACACTATTAAGAATACAAAATGGAAGGTCGCTGTCGTCTATCAAATGGTGCCTTGGTGAAACGCGAGGAGGTTGAGCTTAGAGGCGAGCTCCGTCTCGAGCCTGGCTTTGCCATTGGCAGTCTTGTGGAGCTTTGGGTTGTCCAAACGCACTGAGTGTACGTCGTGCCAATCCACTTCCTCGCCCGAGTCACTGTCGGGCCCCTCGAGCTCGTCGTCGGCAATGCTCCTCACGTTCCGCAGCACAGCTTGGAGAAAGTGGAACCTGAAGAGCTCGTCGAGTGGACGCTCACTGTCACCGTCCTCTCGCGCATGGTACATGCGGCCGCCATGAAATTCGCCCGGTTTAGTAAAGTCGGTAACCATGTAACCGTTGTCGGGATTGATGGAGATAAGATGGCGATCGAAGAGATCATGTACATCGGGGCGAAGAAGCATCCCGTTTTGAACAGAGTCAATCTTTGCGTCCCCCGTGCGTAGCCCTGTGTCGGTGACGAGACTTTCGAAGCCCGATTGACGCCACTGATCTATGTTCAGTGCTGATCAGAGAGTCGACAAAGTGCTGTTACTCACGATATTGAGGTGGGCGATAGGAAAGATATGAACGGCACGGAACACATTTTCGCTAAAATCAGACACCAAATTGCCGGTGATGACACAGCGCCCGTCACGCTCCCGCACGCGATTCTTGAACGAAGATCCCTAACGACAGTTCGCGGTTGAGCCCTTTAGCCAAGACCAAGATTCTTTTTGTTCTTACCCACTCTGCCGTACGAGGATGTTCCGCTGTGGGAAGCCGTTCTTCGAAAGTAATTGAGGGGTGTCTGAATTGCTACGACGTGTCTGAGCGCTTTGGAAAGGGGGCAAGTTTAGAGTTCTGCTCAATTCAAAGCTACCCATGCACCCTGAAATATGGAGAGGTAACTCACTCTCTCTGTTTAAAATGACATAGTGGCCCGTGGGCAGCACCTGTTCGGGGTCTTGGCCCAGGATGTCGATGTCGGAGATGATGTCGTTGTCGCTAGGGTCAGTGTTGTCAATTGCGATCGGGTAGAGACCCCAGTCGCTCTCAGCAACGATGATGCATAAGTCAAGCCACTTTCGGAATTGGCCGATCTTTAGGTCGCCATGCTGCCAAAATCCTTCAAAAAAGAGGGGTTGGCTGTCGTGTTGGGAAGCCATCGATCGGATCAGTTTCCTCACCTGCTACCTCTTTCGAAGAAATTAAAGGAAGGACCTTGGCCGTGAAGACGGAGACGTTGCGGATGTGACGGGGCATCTTGAACTGGGTCAAGCAGATGGTGGTTATTGAACAAAGGGCACATTTATAATTGAAAAGTGAGGCTCTATTATTACTGCTGGTCTTCCTGAGCTGTATTGCACCATGGATTCTATACGCCCATTGAGGGGATCCAAGACGCTCAGGTGTTCTGGAAGGAGAAGAAAGCCAATGTCATTGTCGGTGCCTTTCTTTACCGTGCCCACTGACATGAGTCCAACACTGGCTGACGGTAACCTAACCTTGTGTCTCTGAGCAAAGCCGTCGGCGGAGGCTCTCCCATCGATGCTGCCAAGGCCGTCTCGCTTCGGATCCATGACGAGGATCCCTCCGTGGCGTCCACGGCAGACGAGCGCACCTTTACGCCCATCATTGCGATCCCCACGACGCTCTCGGCGGCCGAGTCGACGCAGAACGCCGGCCGGTCCGAGGGCAACAAAAAGGTGGCGACGTCGCACCCGTCGCTGAGCCCGCGCGCCATCATCTGCGACGCCTCGCTGACCCTCGAGACGCCCGAGCGCCTGTGGCTCTCGAGACGGGCATGCGCGCCGTCGACCACGCCGTCGAGTTCCTCTACCGGCCCGACCCGTCGCCGCTGCTGCGCATGGCCGAGCTCGGCGCCCTGCGCGAGCTCTTCCACCTACTGCCGGCCACGAAGCGGGACCCGTCCGACATCAACGTCCGCCAGCGGCTCCAGCTCGCTGCCATCGTCTCGCTCCACCCCGAATCGCGCAAGGGCGCCCTGGGCCTCTCGCACGGCCTCGGCCACGCCCTCGGCGCCACGTACGCCATTCCGCACGGCATCACCTCGTGCATCACCCTCGCCGCCGCCATCAAGACGACGGCGCAGCTGCCCTCGACGCCGGCAGAGCAGCTGCTCGCCCTCTCGGACGCCCTCGACTTCATCCCGGCGCCCTACAACGCCGCACCCGCGCCACTCGCGGCACCCGTCAGCATCAAGTCCTCCCTCACGGGCGTGGCGCTCGAGGCGGAGCTGGCCGCTGCACGGCAGCGCGGCGTGCAGGTCGCCACGGCCGTGCAGCGCCTCGTCGACGACCTCGGCCTGCGGACGACGCTCCAGTCGGCGGGCGTGCCGCGAAAGGACATCGACAGCATCGCCTCGCACGTCACCGCCGGCAAACCGGCCATCCACGACGCCGTCGTCCAGCTCCTCGAGACCGTCTACGATGGCGTCAATCTGTAGGCACTCTCAATATTTCTTCTCATATTTTCATTCTTTGGCTTTGGCATACCTTCCACCAGCCGCTCAGCACACCGCACATTGGAAAACAAAATTGCATTCTCCGTGGTTCAACTTTGCACTTAGCTCAAAGAGGGGAACATGAATCATATTCATGGCTCAGTAGCCGCCTCCGTAGCCACCCCCTCCACCCTGCTGGTAGCCACCGTAGCCACCCTGCTGTTGTCCTCCGCCGTAGTAGCCTGACTGCGGGGGCGGGGGAGGCGGACCGCCGTACGGCGGTCCCTGGTAGCCTGGGCCACCGCCACCGTAGTTTCCGTAGTTTTGGCCGCCCTCGGGGTACCCGGTGCTAGGCCCTCCTCCGAAGTTGTGGTCGGGTGCGGGCATTCCTCCGGGTCCTTTGAAGGAAAAGAAGCAGAAGGATCGTGAGCCAACACGCTGGCTAAAGATCCAGGGGAAAATGGGGATCACTCACCGCCATATGGAGGCTGTTGTGGGGCGCCGTAGCCGGCAGGTGGGCCGGGTGGAGGGAGGTAGTGCTGCTCGTTTGGCATTCCACCTCCATACTGGCCAGATCCGTGCTGGGAACCACCATGCTGGGAACCACCGTGCTGGCCGTGCTGGCCATGCTGATCGTGCTGGCTGTGCTGACCGGGCTGATGGTGGCTGCCGCTGCTGCCGCCGCCACCAGGGTATGCTGAAGAAGTGGTGGTGGTGGAGCTGCTCGACTGGTAGTACGAAGTAGAGTGGCCATCACCAGAGGGGCCGCTGGACTGCACCTCGCTGTACTCTCGCATCGTCCCGTCGGGTGCCTCGCGGAACAGGTGCTGGGCCTGGCCCATAAAGCCATGGCCTGCTCCTCCTCCTCCACCGCCGCCACCACCCATGCCGAGCGCGCCGCCAATCTTGCCTCCGACGTAGTTCTGGACCGAATTGGCCATGTTGTGGCCCATCGCCGATCCCTGCTGGCCCTCGATCTGGACACCGCCGTAGTTGGTGCTGCTGTTGCCGTGGCTGTGCGGCTCAGCCTTGCCAGACCGGGTGTTGGTGTGCGTCCTGACGTGCTCGCGGTCCAGCTTGATGATCTCTCGTGGGTTCTCGCGCGCCCATGCCTCGACGAGACCCATCATCTGGCCCTGGACGGGGTGGCCGTGCCGCTGGTCGTACCAGTAGGGGTGGAACATGGGCGCGAGGCACTCGTCGGCCACATGGTTGGCGTCCTGTCGGTCATCGTCCCACGCCTTGACGACGAGCGTGACGGCGTGCTTGACAATGATGAGGGCCACACGACCGGCTACCTCGTTGAGGACGAGGTTGAAGTGATCCTTGCTCAGCATCGAGTGCGTCGGGTCTGCCGAGGCGCAAAAAGGGTCAGTTGAATGTATGCGCACGAACAGCCCCCTTTAGTATCGCGGCTCACCAGAGGCATTTGGGTCATTGAAGACCTCGAATTGGTCCTCCTGGTTGATGACGGTGCCCGATGTCTGGTGCAGGCCGCTGAGGGCTTGCCTGACAATCGGCTGTACGTAGGGCTCAATGAGGGTAAAGACAAAGACGGACATTGTGTTTGAGATCTTCTCCACCAGCGAGCTCAGCCCAGGGATTCTGTGCATCGAGTATCGTCATCAGCATGTGCAGCAGGTCCTGGGCTCGTGGAAGCATACATACCTCTCGATAGTCTTTTCGATGCTCATCATGACCGAGTCACGGAAGCTGAGGATGCGAAATAGGTTCTGGTACACTTCCTGGGGCGACATGGTGTTTGGGTCCTGGCTGGGGCCCCTGCTGAGCTGCTCGGCGTCGCGCGAGACGGACGACGAGGTGCCGCCGGGAACGCTACCGAGCATGCCCATGAGGTCGCCCAGGGGGTTGGAGCCGCTCGCCTTGGCCTGGTTCACGGCCTTGGACAGGTCCGAGACCGAGGCTTCGGAGAGGTGGTCCTGGGCTTCTCCCAGGAGCGAGTGCATAAAGTCGGCCGAGCCAAAGGTGCCAGTGACGAGGGGGGCGACCATGTTGCCGTCAGGCGCCCTCACCTTGACATTGTCGCCGACGTGGAGAAAGACTTGGCGGTGGCCGAGCCTGTTGAGGGCCAGTTCGCACCAGTTGGAGTGCGCGGTAAAGTCTTCGAGGGTGTGGAGCGACTGGCCGAGGAGCCTGTAGGCCTCAAAGAGGGTCTTTTCGTCGCCAGAGTGCCGCGCCTGCCGTCCCATCTGGATACACTTGATGAGGGTGCGCCGGACGAGCGCGCTGCTCGTGTCCCAAGACCCCTGCTCGTTTGCAATGTAGTTCTTCATGCCTGACCTGGGGTCCACCTCGAGCTCCCTCGGATCGACGGGCCCGCGGAGGCGCTCGTCAAACTGCTTTGCGTTCTTGCCCTCGCCGTAGCCCTTTGGGTTGTCGATGTGCTCCGTGGGCAGATAGACGCCGAGCCGTTCCGAGGTGACCTCGAATTCCTGCGTGGCATAGCCCATGGAAAGAAAGGCGAGGACCATGACGATGTTGAGAATCGTCTGCTTGGACAGCTTCTCGAGCGCAGCAATGTCCATCGCCTGGCTGTAGTCGCGCAAAAAGTTGCCAAAGTAGACACGCTTGACGTCGAGGCCGCCAAACTTGGAGTTGCGTCCCAGGAGACCCCCACCCATCTTTTTGGCCATTTCAGCGAGAATGTCCTCGATGTCGCCGTGCCTGAATGCCTTGCCCTCCATGTACGAAAACGAGGGCACATTGCCGGCACCAAAGGCGTGGGCGCCCGGAATGCAGAAGCAGGCCACGACGACGAGGCAGAGCAAGGCAACGAGGCGAAGCCGTGTCGTGTGAGACATTTTTAGGCTCATTGTGGAGATGATACCTGTCCTTTTACCGCTTTCCGCTCTTCGATTCCTTTTGGTGACAGAGGGAGTCAGCCTGATGACTACTGGGGCGAACAGGTTCCGAGGGGAGGAGAGAAGGGGGGAACCGATTGATAAGGTCGTTGGAGGGGTTGCACAGGACCGGGAAGCGTTTGTTGGACAGCAAGAGGCACGCACCGCACGGGCTCGAGCCACACATTCACCGCCCTTTTTATTTTCTTCTTTCAACTAAAAAGGTCGCGCCCACGCGAGACCGGAGCTTCGTGGGCTTGGCACTGCCCCGTCTTGACGTGCTTAGAATTCTCAGCGTGGCAGTGACCGGGCAGGGAGGCTCCAGGCGGTGCGTTGAACCAAATGACCTGCTGATGAGCCTTTGATGAGTATACCAAGGGTCTAGCTCCTGATCTTTGTACAGCATTGTATTTAGACGTCCGACCAGCCAGATTCGACGATCGCTAGTGTATCTGTGTTTGTCTGAGCGTCGGACCTGTCAGAGCTTTGTTTGAGCCTCCGAGAGCGGCGGTGCATGACATAAGACTCACTCCGCCTCGCCTAGTGTGTCTCTGGTTCGGAGGGCTCAGCTCGCTCGGCGCTAGCGCCGGTGCTCTTTGCTTTACATGCAGTGGGTGTGAGAGTGGTGGTGGCACGATGTCGGCGCGGGAGGAGCAGGCGCTGGAGTCAGAATAGGAGCTGATGCTGCTGCTGATGCTGCTGCTGCTGCCGGGCCACAATGGCAACAGTGGCAAGCCTCTGCCCAATGACAAAGCCTTGGTGGCGGGCTGCAGACTGGACATGAGCATGGCCGAGGCAAGCAAGAACAGCAGCACGGTGCTAGCGACTGCACAGGGGGAGGGGGAGGAGGTGGTGGTGGTTGTGGTTTCCTCGTCACCGTCGATATCGTCTCGCGATGCGTGGTCGTCGTCTTGATGAGAGTCTTGACCATCTTGGTCTCGACGACTTGCTGTGGTGCCTTTTCAGATGGCCCGAGGGGTGCCTTTGATAGTGAAGGTGCAGCCATGCTAACGACCTGGACCGGCCGAGAGTAGAGGCAGTACTCGGGCCGGTAGGAGCCAATCGGGTTGACCACGTCCAGCTTCATCCGACGCACCATCAGAGCTTTGCACAGTCGAATCGTGGGCGTGGAGCGAGGGGGTGATGTGATCCTGACCTTTAATGCTCTCCAAGCCTACTAGCCCACGCACTGCAACTCTTGATTAGATACTGCCGCGGCGCTCAGCGTCGGACATGAAGAGGAGCTTGCCAGTGCTTCATCTAGAGAGGCAGACCCAAGAGACTGGCAGAGTAGGGAGCTGCAGAGTGGACAGACGGACAGAGTAGAATGAATGAAGATGCAAATTTGGAAGCGAGGAGCAAGCGAGGGAGAGAGGATACTACTCCTGGCGAAAGTGAATGCGACAGGGCATTGTGCTGGGCTTGTGCTGGGAAGAGAGAATAATGTAGAGGCAATGGATGAATATAAAGAGATAGGAGCGGGGCTTGATTACTGCGAGCTGAAGCCAATGCGGTTCTGGTCGCGGTCAAAGACGGCGTGGACATCTTTTTTTGTGGAGAAGGAAATGCAATGTCAGCCACGGTCCAGATTAACATCGCCAGAGCACCCATGATGAGACTCACTCTGGAGGAAGCTATCGCCAGCAATGCCGCCGGGAGCGTTGATGTCCATGCCGACAATTGACATGACGCACTGGCCCTGTCGCTTACCAAATGTCAACGACTGGCTGGAGTAGTCCTTTGAGAAGCCATTGATCTTGACGGTGACCTTGGGCGGGGAGTTGCAGTCGTAGGTGGCGTGGAGCTCCTGGCCGCTCTGGTATGTTTGGACGTTGAGAGACGCAAACAGGCCCTGTGCCACGCGCACGGGCACAATCGTCAGCGTCGTACCTGTGTCGTGGATCAGGCCAATCTTCTGTCCGGCAATCGTCGAATCGGGCGTGAGCCAGAAGCCCTGCGATGTGTCGGTGTTGACATAGGTCGGGTTGTTGGCCGGCCCGGTGCCGCCAAGATAAAGAGAGGAGGTTCCCTGCGAGAGCGTAAACGTAAAGACGTTCTTGGCCAGAGCCTTTGCCTTGATGAGTGCGTCAAAGAAGGGCGCCGTCTTTGTCGAGGAAATTGACTGGAAGGCCATGCCGGCCACGCCAGAGTCGGGCTCGTTTGGCTCGGTGAACGCCGTGTTGCTTCGTCCGATGCCTGCACCAGGCGCGCTCAGGCCGCCGACCTGGACCGTGTCGGTGTAGACCTGGCCCTCTGAAGTGGTGCCGTCACCGTACTGCGTCGTGAACTGGCCGCTGGCCTTGGCAGACGAGCCAGGGTGGTATGCGTCAGGGTTGACAATGGTGTCTGCGCTTCCCGTGTCAAAGTCGATCTGGAACCGTTGGCCACCGTAGCTGATAGCACCGTGCCACAGTGTCGAGTCAGTAGCCAGGCTCACCGAGCCCGTCTTGCCAGCACGCTTCTGGATTGGAATGGCGAGCTTCGAGACACCTTGAAGCAGGGCAATGTCCTTCGTCAGGTCGAGGCCCGTGTTGGCCAACAGGCTGCTCAGGCTGTTTTGGTACTTGGCAGCGACACGATTGAGGTGCGTCGATACCTTGTCGAGGTCCACCTCATCGCTGTCGCGCTTGAGTAGATTGTCCCGCTTGGACAGGGCAATCTTTGGCTCCTCAAGCGACGTGCCAGGCGCAGCGGTGACGTACGTCGACACTGACAGCGCGGCCAAGAGGGCCGAGAAAAGAGGAAGCAGTTGCATGTCGAATGGCTTCGACGAGCGAGCAGAGGGGAAAAGGAGGGTGGGAGGGAGGAGGGGGCCGGGTAAAAAGGGAAAAGGAAGGAAGGGCCACAGAAAGGAGCGTAGGTGGTGGTGATGATGGCTTATAGGCGAACCGCCTGCTGCTGCCTCCTGTCCATCTGTCTCTGACTGATGTGCAATGGACGCATCGATGGACGCTTTTGGCTATTCTTAGAGTCCCGCCAATAATCCTGTCGCGCAGGTCGCCTGTCTGGCGTCTCAACGACGCTAAACGAGGCGCGAACAGGGTCAAGCACGTACCGAGACGTACAGAATTAATCATATTCTAGTTGGCTAATTGATACACAACGCTAGCTGATGTCGAAGGTACTTTGAGGAATGCTGCCTTTAGCACGCTCGAACTTCTCTAGCGTTTCGACTCTTTCGCAGAGAAAGTCTGCCTACCAGCCATCTATATATGTGAAGAGATGTCGGCGACTTGCCTCATTATTAAGTGAGATTGGTTCGGTGCGGCAAGCGTCCTGCAAATAAACGAGCAAAGCGGTCGGACTATTGACCAAAGTCGGGGAAGATTATCGGTGATCAGAGGCGGGGATATCCTATGAAAGCGGGTTAGCCCAAAAGCAACACCCATATGGTCTCGAAGAAGAAAAGGTTAGCTCGACCAAGAACTGCCGCAAGTAGCTACAGTGAGAATATCCTGGTCTCAGCACGTCATGGCTGTGCACCACCTGGAGCCGCTAGAGGGAACATGCGCAGTAGAGGAGCCGCGTGGAAGAGACGACGACCGGCTACCTAGCGCCCCGGACCAAAAGAGAGTGGAGGCAACCTTCGGATGAGACTAATTGTCTCACCAACACCATCGCAAAGAAGCAGCCAGTCTGACGGAGAAAGATGACGATTCCTGCAAATCCCGCAACGGCCTTCAAGGTAGCAGTGTCCGACGAAGCCCTTGACCGGTTGGCACGGAGGCTCGAAGATACACACCTACCTACGGAAGACATTGTTCCGGATGCCGGGTGGGAGTATGGTACGAATCTGACCAAGCTCCGACAACTCGTCGATGATTGGCGCAGGGGCGATCCGGAGGGTGGCGAGGGTAAGCCGACGAGCTTGAAGGGAAATGGCGTCAAGGACTGGTGGAAGCACGTCGAGGGAAGAATGAATCGGCACCCGCACTTCTTGACTACAATCGAGGGAGTAAAGGTCCATTTCCAGCTGGCACGGTCGAAAGATCCCAACGCGATCCCGCTCATCTTCAGCCATGGGTGGCCCGGTGTGAGTCAGCGGATGCTCTTTGCCTTAACTCTCTGTCTGTGAAGCCTCATTCTCTGGCTGATACACCCGAGCAGTCCTTCTTCGAGGCAGACCTCATCCTTGATGAGCTGACGCGCACGGACCGCCCTGGCCCGTCTTTCCATGTCGTGGTGCCCTCGCTCCCTGGCTATGGCTTCTCGGGCCCACCTCCTCGCAAGGGCTGGCAGCTCAAGGATACAGCGCGCCTATTCAACAGCCTCATGGTCGACGTGCTTCAGAGCCCTGCGTACATGGCCCAAGGGGGTGACTGGGGCTACGTCGTCACGCGTCACCTGGCCCTCTACTCGGGCTGCAAGATCTACCACACCAACTTTGCACCCCCCAACATCCCTCCGTACGCAAAACCACTTGTAACCCTCGAGAAAGCCGGATGGAAGGGCATCGTACCCAAGGCCATGAGCTACCTGTTTTACGATCAATTCGAAATCCACGGAGTGCAAAGGGGCCTCGAGTACCTTACAACTGGATCGGGTTACTTCGAGATACAGTCGACAAAGCCTGCCACGGTGGGGTACGGACTGCACGACAGTCCTGTAGCGGTGCTAAGCTATCTGCTGGAAAAATTCCAGCTCTGGAGCGACCCTCGTAGCCCGGCGTTCTGCAAGCCGACTGACAAGGCAAACAACCTCAGTGGCATCACTGACGAGAACATCCTGTGGGTTGCTTCTCTCTGTATAGAGTTGCAGTCACTGACAGAGTCTCTTCTGTATTGTCTTTACAGCATCAACACGACACTCTACTATCTCAGTAGCACGATCCATACGTCATTCCTGCCCTACTACGAATCGACAGACTCCGTCCTGTCGCTGGGAAAGGACCACAAGTTGACAGCTCCCTCCGCTCACAAGCCTTACGGACGTGAGTCTTGCCCCATACAATAATAGTATTGCGGCGTCATTGACCCCAACACGGCCTTTCACAGTCTCTGCTTTCCCGTACGAGCTGGCCGCAAGCCCTAGGTCATGGCTTCCCAGACTCAATGTCAACGTATGCCAATACAAGCGGCATGATTACGGCGGCCACTTTGCAGCCTTGTAAGTCTGTCTTTAAGTTCGATATCCCGGCAAAAGCTGACTCTGTACCTCTCAGAGATAACCCCCAAGCGCTGTCGGCCGACGTACGAGAGTTCGCAGCCAATCACTGGCCCTCATCTTGAGCCGATGGTGTCCAGACAACAGAAAGTGGATAAAAGTTGCCGTAGCCCTGGCCTATATTATTACACGAGGAGCAATTTTGACACTGGTTGGATATGTGCGCATCATGTATGCGTTGATTGTTGTTGTTGCTGCTCTTCCCTTGCCTTTCTCTTTTGGCGAATCTCGCCGACGCCATTGGGTCTCGTCTGCCCCTTCTCCCGATGACAGCACGTCGCAATCCACATGCAAATGTCCCTCGGCTTCGGCCATCTCCAATCCTCGTCCCTCCAATCCATGCCGCGATAGCCCACAACGAGGAGGCCCAGCTGGCCAAAGGTCAGGAGCACGGCCCAGCCCGTGTAGAGGGCGCCGTCGCCGACGGCATCCTGAATCGGACCAGCGACTTCGCTCGCAATAAAGGCCAAAAAGCCCCTCGAGGCGCTGTTGCACGCCACGGCGCCGCTGCTCCTGCCCGTGTTGGAGTCAACAATGTAGGAAAGCGTTGCGCTGTAGATCCAAAAGAAGCTGAAGCCTAGCACGATGAGGCAGACGACGGGCGCTGCGACGTGGACCTTGTACTCGGCCGACCAGGCGTAGCCCACAAACGCAGGTGGGCACAGGAGCATGGGCCAGCGAACAGAGAGGATGCGGTGCTCGGGCGCAGCTCGTCGGCCGCCCAGACGGGCAGATTCGCGCGCGAGCGACAGGTCCGAGAGGCGGCCGCCTAGGATGGAGCCGAGGACGCCGCCGACGCCAAGCGCAAGGAGAACGAGACCGACGAGGATGGGTGAGAAGTTGTAGGGCGCCGCAGAAAACGTTCGAGACGCCGTGTAGCTCAGCGAGTATTGAGATGCGAATCCGAGCTGGTCATGTGTGGAAAGAGAAGCGGGAATCAGCTCGGGTGAGACAGTACGGTAAATTCGAGGGCCAAGACACCTACAGCAGAATAAAAGAGAGCGACGACGTTGTGTGGCTGCTTGAGCACGGCTCCGGCCGAGCCGAGGGGAGATACGTCAGCAAGCGTTGGCTTGAACTTGATCTCTTCGCCTTTGGGCCCTGTGACACTCCTGCCTGTCGTCTTGCGGGTCAGTAACCCCTGAGCTGGACGTCGCTGGCTGTGTACGGGCGCGCTTTTGGTCTTGTTGACCGGTGCAGCTCCCTCCCCTCTCGTCGCCCTCGATGCGACAGCCTCGCTTTTTTCCTCTCCTGGAGTGTATGTGTGAAGCGCCTCGAGTGCTGGCCCATGATAGGAGGGAGCAATGTAAGGTGTCTGTTCGCGCCCTGCGATGAATGTCTGAGCATTGCTCGAAGATGTCTGCTCCCTCTCGAGCGACCCTCCTTCCTGTTCCTGCTCCTGCTCGTTGACGCCGGCGAAACGTGCAGTCACACCCTCGCACCACGCCAGGACCGCCTCGAACGGCATGCAGACGAGCCTCACGCCCTTCTTAAGGACCTTTGCGAATCTGCTCTCTTTCCACCTCTTCCACCTCGCATCCTTTGCCTTCACCCTGCTTTGCTCTCCTGTCGTTTCCTTGCCAATTCCCGCTTTCTCTTCCGCGGCGGCCCGCTCAAGAGCGGCTTTGCGCGCCTTTTGCCACGCCAGACTCCGCTCGACGCGGAAGGTCTCGCGGAAGAAGAGATAGGTGAGAAACGAGGCGCCACCGAGAGCAGTCATGAAGTAGAATGTCAATCGCCAGCTGCCAGCCTCTGTACTCGATGTGTGTTAGTCTGAAGGGTGACTGACGATAAGGGCAGAAGGCTAATTCACCAGTCAATGCTCCACCAAAGATAGGAGCCAGAGCAGGTCCGATTAGAGGCGCACAGTAGTACACGCCGACCTGCGAGAGCAAGGACACATCAGCGCTCTTCTACTACAGATGGTACGAGTCAAGATCTCGCACCTTGACGCCCCTCTCGCTGGGCTCGTAGAGATCGGCAAGTGCGCCGGCGGCTATCGATAAGGTGGCGGAGCTGCCCATGGCGCCGATGACGCGGAAGACGATGAGCGTGGCCATGTTCTTAGTCGCGGCGGCAATGATGGCCATGGAGACGGTGAAGAGGAACATGGCAATGAGAAAGCACGGCTTCCGTCCGACGATCTCTGATATGGGCGACCAGAGCAGCGGCACAGTGCCCTGAGCAAGGATATAGAGGGACACGGAGAGGGCGACGAGGGAATCGGTTCCGTGCAGGTCCTGCTTCAGGTCCTCGATGGCAGGAAAGAAAATGTTGGCGGCCATCGTGGGGATCAAGGCGCCCGCCGAGAGCATGCCGACGAGGGCCCACTTGAATCCTGGCGACCATAATCTCGGGTCGTCCTGGACAGGTTGGTGCTCTATGTCAACCTTCGTCTCTTGTGGGCGCGCTGCTTCCTGTTCCACATCGGCAGGAACACTGTCCTGCTGCACAGCTTTGGCCGCTCCAGCGTCGGGTGCTGCAGCGGAGGGTGCTACCTCGACAGCGTCCTCAGCCCGGTCCTCGAGCTTGTTGCCAACGACCATATTTAACTCCTTGATAGAGGAGCGGACAAGCCCTGGGTTACCCCTCTTTAAGCGGCTGTGTGCTGACGATGATAATGATGATTGTGACTCGAAGGATGTAGCTACAGCTAGTGATACAGCACATGCCTGACTTATCTGCATAACTATACGGATCTTACCGTGGGGAGGTTTAGAAATGGGCTCGGAGTGGGCGGCTTTACAGGTAAAATGTCGAAAAACTTCCTGTTGGACTGGAAGCGGCTAAAAGTGCTGTGACTTCGGCGCACTTCGGCGTGGAGCACCGATTACACAGAGATTAACCCTCTGTTATCACCGCTTGTTCTTGAGGCCATGAGTCAGACGGAAGCGCGGATCTCTCTCTTTGAGCCCACTGGCGTAGTGCGCCCACGAGAAGACTTCGTGATGCTCGAGGAGTCGGTCGACGGTGTTGTAGTGCAGTGCTAGCTCCATGGCATCAATGTGGGCGTGGACAAAGGAATGGCAAGGGCGACAGAGCATCGAGATTCTGGTTAGCATCTCGCGCTTTTCGAAGCGGCCTTTTCGCAGCAGAGTGTCGTGCGTCGAACGAGGAATCAAGTGACTGAAGATTCATCGTCAGTGTCACACAATGCATGAGCGTTGTTGGTATTAGATGATCTTACTGCTCAGTCAGCAACATGTATCGTTCGCACAAGTCGCAATCTCCGCCCTGGAGGCCGCGTCTCTGGCTGTTGCTCTTCCGAGTCGCCTCGACTGCCCGTGCTTCCTCATCTCTCCTCTCCTGCCTCCGCTTGTTGACATTTGTATTGTACACGTCGATGATGTGTGCGACTGAGAGGCCAAGCTTGCTTGCTTCCATGCCGACGAGATCTGTCGCCGCTGGTGCAAATACTGAATAGAAAGGATGGGCCTCTGCATCAGCCAGCGATATGCTGTCCTGTTGCCCTTCCTCGGAGCTAATATCCAGAACAATTGCAGCCTCCGTCAGCTCATCGATGATGTATCGCGTCGTCTCATCGATGACATCTACGTCGGCCTCGTTGCTGTATTCGACAATGGCACTGCGTACTGCGGCATAGACGATGTCCTCGTTGTCCTCATCTTCCTTCATTTCTTCGCTGTTCTCTCCTTTCTGGTTTCCATCTTGTCCCACCATCAATTCGAAGCTCGAGTGAAGAGTAAGACCAGCAGCTGATCGGCACAATTTTACGTGGAGGTGGCTGGCTCCCCGCACTCCTCAAATATTTTGATTCTTGTCGGGTAAAGAGCTATGTCTAGTCTCTCCTCGGAAACACCATCATGTCGCTCTCTTGGAACGCTCGCCTGGACAACATCTTCGGTGCCGGTGCCTCATCTAGAGGACTGCCTATCGTCGCCACTGCATTTGCGGGCATCGCTTTGACGCTGATCAGCTCGTCGCTGAGCGTGGCCCGGTCGCCGAAGCTGCTCAAGGCGCCAACGCCGAAGAACGAGGGCGCCTACCCTTTCGACCTCTTTGAAGAGGGGCGTCAGTAGGTGTTGGCTTGCACCTCGAAAATTGTTCATGCATGAAGAGGGTGCTGACAGAGCATTGTTTCAAGCGACTTGACGACGCCCTACGGCAACATTCGCTACTATGAGGTGGGACCAGAGGATGGCAAAAAGGTACTGCTGGTTCACGGCATCAGCACCCCTTCGCCCGCCTGGAAGTTCCTCGTGCCTGCCCTCATCAAAGCAGGATATCGTGTGTTGTGCTACGACTTGCCCGGCCGCGGCTATTCAGACACGCCCCAGGTGGCCCACGACACCGCTCTTCTGGTCTCACACCTCGCCCTGCTCCTCGCCGCTCTGCCGCACTGGGACAAATTCACGATCATTGGCATGTCGATGGGTGGACCCATCGCTAGTGCATTCGCGACCTACTACCCTCAACGCATCCATGCCGTCTTTCTCATCTGTCCCGCTGGAGCCACACCTCGAAGGGACTTGAAGCTGTCCAGCTACCTCATCCGTTCCTCTTGGTTCCCGCACAGCCTGGCCAAGCTGTTCATCCTCGGCAACTTTGCCCCGCTTCCTGTGCCCAAGGGCATCGACACTCTGCCCGGCTGGCAACTCAAATTCCACTCTGGCTTTGCCTTTGCCCTGACGTCCTCTATTCAGAGCGCCCCGCTGTACGACGGCACTGCGTTTTTGCAAAACGTCGTCGATGTCTTTGGTCCAAAAGTCGAGGCAGTCGTGAGTCGTCCAACAAAGAGTCAAGGAACCTGCAAGCTGACAGAGGTTCTTCTAATCACACAAAGTGGGGCGACGACGACACGATCGTCCCAATGGAAACGAGCCAGTACATCAAGGGGCTCAACGTCCGATGCATCCCCGGCGCAGGCCACTTTGCCCTCCTCACGCACCCAGACCAAGTCTCTGCGCACATGCTCGATTTCCTCTCCAAGGCCGCGGCGTGATCTTCTTCCCTGTAGTGGGCGTCGCCCTCCTATTTGTTCCCCCCACGACGAGAAGCTCCCAGAGAAAATTAGTTTCGGCCGAGAATATTCTCGCGATGTGGAGAAGGTGCGAGAAGCCACTGGGCCTCTATGCATCGGGCCCGTGCAGGACGAGGCCGTGGTGTATAATAACGAAGGCTGTCATGACTGCTTCACTTCTTTCCCCATCATCAACGATCACACACTGCGAACACACACATACATACACACACATGAGTTTTGAATTCACCGATCGCGCCAACGCGGCGCTGGCCCAGGCCATGCAGCTGGCTCGCGACATGAGCCACGCCAATCTCTTCCCAGTCCACCTCGCCCTGGCTCTTCTGACCGACGGAGGGACATCTCAAGGCGCGTCTCGACCAGGCACACCAGCACCGGCACCGGCCTCGACCTCGTCATCGCAGCCGTCGCTCTTCCGGAGCGTGCTGCAAAAGGCAGGCGCGGATGCATCGAAGCTCGAGACGGCGCTGAGAGCCGCCATTCGGAAAATCCCATCGCAGAACCCACCGCCAGACGACGTGGGGCTTGCATCCTCGACGAGCAAGGTGCTGAAGCGGGCCGAGGAGCTCAAGAAGCAACAACACGACGCCTACATTGCACAAGACCACCTCCTTCTGGCGATCATTGACGACAACACGATTCAGCCGCTGCTCAAGGAGGCTGGGCTTGCCAACACACAACTGCTTCAGACAGCAATCACTCAGAGCCGAGGACAGAAGAGGATCGACTCCAAGAGCGCAGAGGGAGGCTATGATGCACTCGCAAAATACTGTGTCGACTTGACGAACCTGGCCGCCGAGGGGAAACTGGATCCCGTCATTGGACGAGACAGCGAAATTCGACGAGTGATTCGGGTCCTGTCGAGACGGCGCAAGAACTGCGCGTGCCTCGTCGGCGAGGCCGGTGTGGGCAAGACAGCCATCGCAGAGGGGCTGGCGCAGAGGATCATCGAGCGGGACTGCCCGCCGAGCCTGTTTGGAAAACTCCTGTCGCTCGACTTGGGCGCCCTCATGGCGGGAGCATCGTACAAGGGAGAATTCGAGGAGAGGGTCAAGAGCGTCATCAATGAGCTGGAAAAGGCGGCAGACGAGGGCACAACAATCATTCTCTTCATCGACGAGATGCACCTCATTGTCGCTGGACGCGACTCGTCGGGCGGCATGGATGCAGGCAACCTCTTCAAGCCGGCCCTCGCGCGAGGCAAGATCAAGGTCATTGGCGCAACGACGCTCAACGAGTACAAGACGGCCATCGAAAAGGATGCTGCGCTCGACAGACGGTTCCAGAGCGTCTTTGTCAGCGAGCCAGACGAGAATGCAACGCTGGCCATCCTCCGTGGCGTTCGAGAAAAGTACGAAGTCCACGCGGGCGTTCGCATCCTCGACGCTTCCCTCGTCTCAGCGGTGCAGCTTGCAAAGAGGTACCTGCCTTACCGACGCGCCCCGGACTCGGCCCTCGACATCATCGACGAGGCCTGCGCAGAGGTGTCCACGGACCGCGACACGATGCCCGAGGAAATCGACAAATTACAACGGCAAAAGGTGCAACTGGAGGTGGCCATCCACGCACTCGAGAGGGAAAAGGACGAGGCGAGCAAGGAGAGCCTCGAGGCGACACGAAAGGAGCTGGCCGCCATCGAAGACGCATTGGGCCCCAAGCTGGCCGAACACCAGGCCGAGAAGGAAAAGCACGACGAGCTGGCCAATGCCCGCCGGCGGCTCGACGACCTTCGTGCAAAGGCAGACGCGGCCGAGCGGCGCTACGATCTGGCCACCTCGGCCGACATTCGCTACGGCGCCATCCCAGACCTTGAGACGCGCATCGCTGCACTGGAGCAAGAAGAGCGGCGCAAGGTCGATCAGGGCCACATAGACAGCAAGAGCACCGTCACACCCGAGGTCGTTGCCACCATCGTGGCACGCTGGACCGGCGTGCCAGTCCGGTCGATGCTCGAGTCGGAAAAGCAAAAGATCCTCAAGCTCCCCAAGCTCCTGTCCAAGGATGTTGTCGGTCAGCCAGAAGCCGTCTCGGCCATCTCAAAGGCCATTCAGATGAACCGTGCCGGTCTGCACAACCCCAACCAGCCGGCTTCGTTCCTCTTCCTTGGCTCGAGTGGCTCAGGCAAGACGCTGTGCGCCAAGACGCTAGCGAAGACGCTCTTCAACGACGAAAAGGCGATGGTTCGCATCGACTCGTCCGAGTACAGCGAAAAGCACTCGATCAGCCGCCTCTTTGGCTCACCGCCAGGTTACGTGGGACACGGCGAAGGAGGTCAGCTCGAGGCGGTTCGTCGCCGGCCATATTCGATTGTCCTCGTGGACGAGATCGAGAAGGGCGCGCGCGAGTACCTCCTCGCCTGGCTCCAGATCCTTGACGACGGACGTGCCACCGACGGGCAAGGTCGCCTCATCGACTTTTCTCAGACCATCATCATCTTTACGTCAAACCTCGGATCGCAGTTCATCAATGACGCCGAGGAGAACGACGAGCTGAGCAGCCAGACCCGCCAGCTGGTCGAGTCCTCGGTCGCTGCCGCGCTTCCTCCCGAGTTCCGCAACCGGATTGGGTCGACGGTCATCTTCCGCAAGCTGTCTCGCAGCGACGTGCGCAACATTGTCGACCTGCGGGTCCGCGAAATCGAGGACCGGGCCAAGAAGAACGGCAAACGGCTCAAGTTCCAGCTGTCGGCCGCTGCAAAGGACTTCCTCGCCTCGGTTGGGTACAGTCCCTCGATGGGTGCTCGTCCACTTGCGCGCGCCATCAACAACGAGGTCCTTGGGCCGCTGTCGATTCTGCTCCTCCGGGGCCAGGTCAGGGACAAGGAGACGGTCCAGGTCGAATTCGACGCGGTTGGCAACAAGCTCGTCGTCATGCCAAACCACGCTGTCGATGCCGCCTTTGCCGAGGGGGAGATGGACATCGATGAAGACGACGACGAGACGATGTCCGACGACGCATTCATCGACGGGGAGCCACTCGACTAATTGTAATGGGACCGGTAGCAAGCACATCAGAGTCTTGCTACCCTTTTATATTGTACTGTACATGAGAGAACACTTTACCAATACCATAACATCATCATTTTGCTTGGTCAGATGCATTGTTGTGCTTGTGGAACCTTGATATTACACACATCCATAGACAGGTACTTGGTAGTCTAATAAACAGAGATGTACTGAACAGAGTGACTGAGAGAACGAAGCAATAGCCTAGGGGAGTGTGCTCGCCTCATCTGTTGACAAGGTTGTGCGGCTCGCTACCTCTTGCGTCAGAGGTGTCTGACTCTGCCGTTGCTCCTGCGGTCCCTTCAGCTGACGAAAAGCTTTGGCGTACCGCATTGCCTCGCTTTCGCTTGCTTGGCTCTGCGCTGTTGCTTCAGCAACGGCGGGGGATTGACGGAAAGGAGACGGCCCGACTTCTTCCGCAAGTGGAGAGGAGTCGTGATGCTCGTGCGAGGCGATGACCTCTGCTTCGTCACCCTCGTCCTTGTCGGCATCGGCGGTGAGGGGCTGCGGCTCGGACGAAGTCATTCGTCCAGACAGCACAGACGAGGAGGTCAGTGCGGGGGAGCTGAGCCGCGGAGTCGAGCAGAAACCAGCAACGAGGGGCGAGGAAGACGAAGAGAGAGGGACCGCGTCTTCAAATCGCATCTTGAATGCCATTTGCGGGGCCGACATGCTACTACTGGCCAGGTCCGCCCCGCGCGACGCGCTGCGTGATGATAGTCTGGAAGAGTGATGCGAGCGAAGGGAACACGACCGTCCGACGACCGCTTCAAATTTATTGGTGCCTGCGATCTGACCGTCAGAGGCCCTTGTGGGATGTCGGGTGTGATTGATCTGCTTTGGAGAGGCCGGTCCCACCTCAATGACAGGACCAGGACCATCGCTGATTGCGGGCGGAGAGTATTTGGGCTGCTGTCGGTGAGACTCGCCGACGAATTGCATCAGATCTTGCATGAGCCTGTGGAGTTTTTCTTCGTCGTTGGCTTGAGGTGTCAATGCGCTGTGGGTGTTGGAGGCCCCCAACTGCCCCTTTTGCATATCTGTCAACGAAAGTCTGTGCAGCTGATCCAGCATCGCCAGACAACGCTTGGCCAGCTGTCGACACCTGATCCTCTCGACTCGTGCGCTCGATTCGGCAAGCCATCCTTTGTTCTGTAGCTTACCGACCTCGGCCCACAGTCTCTCCTTTGACGAGTGAGGTCCCAGCCCTGCCTTGTCTTCTCTGCGCTCTTCCACATGATCTGCGATGCTGAGATCGCTTCCTTCCCTGTGACCATCCACGGCCACAACCTCCTTAGTTCCCTCACCCTTGAGCTCGTCATCGTGGCTGTAATCCTTTCCTCGCTTTGAAGGGCTCGAGCTCGCAGAGACGGGCAATGCCGAATTTATGAGCTGGACATGCGCTTGCTCTCTGTTTCTCCTCCTCTCCGCCTGGGCTCTGGCGAAATTGTCGTCGTTTGTGTATAGCACTTCACTAACAGGTGTCCTCGACCTCGGATCGGTTGGCATGCCTCTGGGTGAGGCTTCACTGTCGGATGGTGCAGCATTCGTCGGTCTGACAACCGCAACATCCTCGCTTCCCACATCCGGCACGCCTCTTTGAGAGGAGCTGTTGCGTTTCTTTGCGGCAATCGAGAGACCCAGGCTGTTCTGGGACGCCTCAGCGAGCTGAATATTCGAGGGCGTTCCGGTCGAGGCTCGTCTCGAGACTCCGTTGGGGCGTTTCTTCATCTTCCTCAGTTCTCTCTCATCGACCGTCACAAGCAACACCTCTTGCTTTGCTGACTCGGATCTTTTCTCTCTGTCTTGTCCTTCCGGTTGGACAGAGGTAAAGTGAGGCTCTACTTTGTTGTCCAGCACACCGGCCTCGTTGAGCTGCCGTCTGGAAGGCGACTTGACTCTTGTGTGCGAATCCGTTGTCAGGTCTGGGATCGAAGAAACGCTGGTCTGCTCGTCCATCGCCTCCTTGTCCTCGTCCTTTCGAAGCTCCGGCGCATCCAGTGCACCGAAACGAGGACTCATCGACGGGGTGTCAGAATAATCGTCCTTCGCCTGCTGTGGCCGCTGTGGCGAGGCGCTGTCGACAAGTGCCTCGACCGGTGCCGTCTTGTTCGCGGCATCCATGGACGATGGAGGCAGCACCTCGGCCAATGGACCACTTCGTTGAGGTACTGGCGCGAATTCTTGAGAAGCAGGGTGGTCTCCATCGCTGCGCTCGATCAAAGGCGGTGCCACAGAAGAGGCAGTGAGCTGCACCAGTGGGCTCGGAGCGGCAGGCGACGGTGCAACAATCGAGCGATCCACAGGCTTCCTCGCAATACGCACCGGCGATTTGGGGCTCGACGACGGCCGCACACTGCCGATGCTGCGCAACGAGCCTGTGAAAGAGTTTGTGTGGGGTAGGTTTGCCTCGGATCCAAATCCTTGACTGCTGATCGAGGTGCTATTGTTGCCTCTTGATGCGGGCGTAGGAGAAGAGGAGACAAGGCCAGAGGGCAATGATGATTGTCGATGTTCCCTCACGCCCGCTTGTTGCTGCTGGTCCTGAAGCGCCACCGAGGACTCTCTTCGTGGTGGGCGAGTAGGGGGACCCTCGAAGCGAGAGGCAAGCAACGAAGTCGTCATCGGGCTCTTGTGCATGCTGTCAGATGGAGGAGGAGTGGGGAGGGGCGGCGGCGACTCCCTGTTGGGTGGCGTGCTCCTGATGCTCTCAATTGATTTGGCCTTCTTGAGAGGGCTAGCTTCAGCACGAGCGACGGCCTTGGAGGTTGCACCGCTGTTGCTACTGAAGAAGGACTCAACCACGCTGCTGTTGCCGATGCTCTTCTGCCTCGCCGAGCGTCGCAGCAAGCTTCCATCGCTAGTCTTGCTCAAAAAGCTGCTTGATTCTTGGCTCATCGTCTTTGCATGCTCCTTTTCGTATTCTTCCACCCCCAGGCTATAATAGCTTCTCCCGTTCGGCAGAATCTTCTTGACGGTGCCCTTTGGCATGTTGATGTCGGCATCCAGACGTCGCCTCGCCGCCTCTGCTTCGGCAGAGGATGTGTCTTGTACTTCTCTAGGGCCACTTTCGCTCTTTTTGTTCCTGCCAAGGGCCTTGCTCGACTTCTTGCGAAGCTGGCTGAACGAAAAGGTGCTCTTCTTGGAAGAACCCGTGGCGACTGATACGCCATCGCTGATGCTGCCGCTGCGTCCTTGCCGCATGGCCTTGGGAAGACCTGGCGCGTCATCCGGTCCTGTAGCCAACAAGAATGCAGCCAACTGTTGGATGCTTGAGATGAGCTTACAATCTATATGCGCATCGCTCCAGTGTCTCAGGCTCACCTCGGATGTCTGTGTGCGCGCGCGTGGCCTCGTACTCGTTTTGCGTTTACCTGCATTGAGGACATCGTCATCCGACTCCGTAGAGATCTCTTCCTCGCCTTCTTCAACCTCGTCTGGAAGGTCACTCTGGCCTCTTCTGCGCAGCACAGTCTGTCTGCTTCCTTCTGAAGCCCCAACGATCATTGGGTCGCGCGCGGTAGCGACCCTCGTGTTGCCTGAAGGTGGCGCGTCTCCTTGCGTCGCGAAGCTTGTGCCGTGGGGTGAGGACTTTGGAGGGACCATCTCTGCCTTCGCTGACACTGATGAAGCAGAACCTTCTTCCTTGTGGCCATTGACTCGCAGGGCATTGGCATGTGTGCTGGGAGCGAGCATGCTGGCAGGACGAAACCAACGTCGGCGTAGGGCTCGGACTGGTGATGCAAAGAGAAGCTGGAGGAAGCGGGGAGAGAGCAGTGGAAATCGTTAGCGATGATCTCCTATGTCGACGTCTAGCTAGCTATTGGCGGTCGAATCACAATTACTTCAGTCTTGTCCTTGTGCCGCGGCAGTGGACAAGACGCAGGTGCTGTCCTGTACTGCGCCCAACACCACACCCCGAGCCCGCGTCTATGCGCGGAGCCAGTCCCAAGTGGTCCTTGTCCTTGTCCTTGTTGCCAAATTCAGCCTGAACGCCAGCCCTGCATGCTGACTGATAGCACACCATTCGTGCGCTACGTTTCTGCATCCGCCCGCACAAAAATAGTCCAGCTCAAGTCCAGCTCAAGTCCAGCTCAAGTCCAGCCCAACTAGTAGCAGCAGTACTAGAGCAGGTCTTCATTTCGTGTCGTTCTGGTCCCCCGCGTGCTTAGATCGCCTTCATTTCCATTATTGTCTCTGCGCCATGAGCAGCGCAAATACCCGAAAATCAACTTGCAGCACTACTACTAGCTGCCTGCCCTGGCCCTTCGTCCCCGTCTCCGTACCTCGCCCGAGGTGCAGACTTTCGACTGCCTATCCAATCACAGCACAACATATAAAGCGCAGGGATTGATTCTTGCTCCTCCTCCTTCCTACTCACCTACGCTTATGCGCCTGCCCTTTCCTCTGCAGGGCAGGGTAAGGTTTAGCGACTTTTTTTTTTTGCGAATTTTTACCTTTTCGGAATCGCTAGCTCCGTTGGTGCGTGCAAGCAGCGTATTATTGCCGTCGTTCCTCGTCTCGTGCTTGTTTCCCCCCTTGACTCGTTGCCTTTCTTGGACAGCCGTTCTAGGACGAACGAATGCAGCCTTTCCTTGTTCGGTGCCGATGCCTCGGGAAATGCTGACGAAGGAAAGACTGCTCTTCTCTCCCTTGCTGATCGTCTCAGATAAGAGCGGTGCTTGGTCTCTCTGCCCTATCGTTGATGAGCGAGTGGGGCGTTGGGTCGTGGGTGCGGCCGCTTATTGCAAAGTCAGGGGTCGATTGCGAGAAGTCGGAGAGCGCAGAGGCATGCACCACAGTAGTGGTAAGAGAGAGATAGAAAGCGCAGGGCCGCTCTCAGGTAGGGGAGGGATGGAACAACGCGAGGGGAAGGAGAGAAGAGGAGGAGGAGGAGGAGGAGGACAAAGGGAAATGACAAGACAATGGACGAGGAAACGAGGAAAGCAGTAGGGGGGGAGTTTGAATCAGACCAGGTTGTACATTTGCCCGAGGATCGTATCTCGTCGGCCAAGTGATGAACGCGGAGCGGCACAATGGAGGGGACACCACCTGTATGCCCCTTTTCTCCACCCACTGGAGATGAGAGGATTTCTCACTCGACGTGGCCGCGGAAAGGTGAATTGCAACTCCAGGAACGGACCGCGAGGTCTTCCCCTTTTATTTTTCTCCTTTTCCGTTCTGAGACTCATTGCCTGGATCACACGGAAGAACGAGCCGCGCATCATGCCCGTGACGGCGTTCACATGGTCGATAAGCCCAGAAAAAGGGGGGGGGGGGGGGGGGAGGGGAGGTAACATCGCCGCTGCCCTGAAGCAGGCGGTTGAGCTATCTATCATACGCCCAGCACCGCTGGAGTAGTAAATTAAAAAGATTGGTCATTGTTAGTCCCGTCAGAAGGGGGCTGAAATCACGCTACTACTACTAGCAGGCGGCGGTCGAGAAAATCGAAATCCCTGTCAGTGATAGATGCTTTTGACTAGGCACGGCGGGAACATGGCCCTGGTGCAGTCAGACCACCGGCTCTGTTGGTCTCTTCTTGTCATTCAAATAGAGACAACGTGCGCTCCATCTGAGGGCTCTTCTCTCGCTCGAATGGCAGCAGAAGGATAATGCTTGCCATCAAGAATGTTTGGCTCTGGGAGGGTGAAACTGGTCACGTGCGCTACACCAAGAGAGGGGAGGTCCGGCGCGTTAAAGTTCTGAACAACACATCTAGGTGACAGGCCACCGACAGCAACTAGAAATTAAGGGGACCCGTACAGAGGCGAGGGGCTTTCGCCAAAAGAGCTCAGCGTCAGCGGGGCAAAGATGTCCGATCAAGATGGCGTTCCGTGAGTGACCATGTCCGAGCTTGGCGCGCGCCAGTGAGCTGATAGTGTGCGTGCATCATCGCCCAACACAACCACAGCAAATTCAGCGATGCCGAGAGCGAGATCCACTTTTGGAAAGCGAGGGTCAAGGACCTGCAAGACACGCTCAAGGAGACTGAGTCGAGCCTCCAGGACTTCATGGATGGCAGCCGGGAGCTCGAGAAAGAGATGGACAGGGAGATCAGCGCGGCGCATGCAAAGACCAACGAGCTGCAGATCAGGGCCGAGAAGATGAAGGGGGACGTCGACGATTGGAAGGTGAGTCGAGACAAACTAATGACGATTGCAGTCCGCTGACGATGCATCGATGACCCTGTCCAGTCCAAGTACCAGCGGGCTCTCTCGGATCACAACAAGGCGCTCTCGGAGATGAACCGCGAGGTGTCTACGCTGCGCGAGTCGCATAACATCTACAAGAGCAAGCTGCGCGACATGGAGCTGGACAATGACGAGCTCGAGAATGCCGAGCGGTGGGTGCAATATTTCTCACGGAGAGGAAAGGAAAGAGACCACTGACAATGATCACAGCATGATTGCCTCTTCGCTTCAAGACATGGAGCAGCGGTACAACAAGGCGATTGAGAGGACAGCGCTGCTTGAGGAAGAGCTGGTGGAGAAGTCGAAATTGGAGGAGGAAAATCAAAGGCTGAAAGATGAGCTGAGAGGTGAGAGAGTCTGCTGACGGCCGTGGCGAGATCCACAGGCTGACTTTCCTTCAGAGCTCAACGAGGAAGTCGCGGTGCTCCGCGACACAATGACCAATCAGACAATCTCACGTACCAACACGCCGGCAGAGATCTCGTCATCCAACGGGCGCAACTCTGTCGATGACCTTCGGGTCGACGATTTGGTGCTCAAATCGCGCCCACGCTCACGGACACAGGGCGGCTTGGTCCGTCCGTCGTCACGGACAGCTACCTACTCGCCGCCGTCGAGAACTACGCAGCTGCCGCCCATCGCCCAGTCAGCAAGCTCAAGCACGCGAGCCCCAATGCTGGCGAGCCGCGCCTCCATCTCATCCCACGCTCGTCACCGATCGAAGGATGTGACTACAGACGAGGTGGCTGCAGCCACTTCGATGGCGGAGAAGTCGTCTTCTGGCCTGCGAGCTCGTCAATCGATCGGCGGCCGGGTGCCGGCGCGGACGCCTCGGTACACTACAACGCCAGGAGCCCGGGTACAACCAGGAAGCAGCATGAAGATGATGGCCGACATGTTTAGCCGAATGCGCGCCCTGGAGACGCGCATCAATTCAGCAAGGACCCTCTCATCGCTGCCGCCAGCAGAAGAGAGCGCGATTCCAAGACCATCTTCGCGCCTGTCGAACAGCATTGGACAGGGTGGGGGCCAATACACGCCCAGACGGAGCGTCGACGGCGGCGGGCGCGCCGACACACCGAGCTCAATCCCGGTTCCATCCTCAGGCCTGTCCAAGTCCATGTCGTCGAGGGTCAGGCCGTCCTCTCGGCTGTCGATGGCCAACAACGCGGGCAGCAGCGACCAGACAACGAGCAGCAGCATGGCCTACCGCGAGCTGGGCAGCCGGCATCCGACGCGGTCGCGCACACCAACGGCCGAAATGAGCGGGAATGTCAATTTGGACTTCCTCGAGCACGACCCGAAACTGTACAAGCGCATGAGTGGCACTGCCCTGGGCACCGGAAGTGGGGCCGCCAACCGACCGCGACCTTCAACGAGCGGGGCGGGCCAGCAACATAACAACACTGCGACAATGTCGCTCAAGCAGGCCGCCTCGAATGCAACAACGATGGGCATCCGGCGCGATGTGCCGCCAAACTCGTGGCGAGGCCTGGCCAGCACCAACAGCCGTCCGAGGAGCGGCTCGACGGGATCTCGTTGAAAGAGCTTGCTCGCTCCGGGCCCTGTCTCTCCCAACGGATTCGTCTCTTCGTTTCCCCTCTCTCTCATTCTCATTTTCCCGTTTTTGTTGTTGTTGTTGTACCGTGTACATTAATTGGCTATCCAAGACTTGAAAAGGGCGCGGTGCCATCAAGCCAATGTGAAAGTGTTTCACTAAACGGAACAATGGAGGAGAGAGATGGCCTAGAAGAAAGCCACTACTCGAACTTTTCCCTTTTTGCCGATGCAGGCCAGAGAGATTCGAATGCCTTTTTCCCTTTCTAAATTTTTAATTTCCTCTATTTGATTTGGGCGGTACAGTAGTAGTACGGTATGTCTTCCCGAGATTGGCTAGCTAGTTGTAGTAGTAGTAGTGGTAGTAGTGTCTGTCCACACCGAGGCGCCTTTTTGGAAGGAAGAAAATAAACACGCCCGGCCGCCAGGGGAATCGTCACCGAACAAATTTGGATTTCATTGTTATGTGTTGTCCCCTTCGCTCAGCAATCTACGGCGGCCTTCTTGTCCTTTTTCCCGGCCATTTCTCTTTCAGCACACACGACGTGGTTCCCGCCGTTTCGTAGCTACGCTCAGAGCAGGGGGCAAGCCGTCTCCTAGTCCGGCGGTCGTGGGAGAGTAGAAGCAAGCGGGACGAAGCGATTGCGCCAAGTTGATTAGACCCCCGACAGGTAGAGGAGCGTCCCTTGCTTTCTTCTTGCGCTAGCCCACACGACAAGCTGTCGATCTGGTCCTTGCGAATCCAGCGCAAGTGCAAGGACAACCACCGCACAAGCCAATCAGCACTCTTTACAACACTACTACCAGGTGCCTCTGCTCTTCCTTTCGCCCTCTCTCATGTCTGTGAAAGGCGGCAGGGACGGCGAGAGATAGGCTTGGAAAACAGGAAACACGATACGAATACAAACACCTGACGCGCGAAAATGGTGGCCATGTCGCCGCGCAAGAGCGGCCTGCCAACGCCCGCAGCGGCCTCGCCTTCACCAGGAGGAGCAGGCGCAGGAGCAGGAGTAGGAAGTGCAGCGGTGTCGAAGATGCCACGACCCAGTCTCGGCACCAAGGGCTCACTCATCGGCCTCCGAGCCCAGGCTGCTGCTGCTGCTGCTGCTGCTGCCGCTGCTGCTCGGCCCGCGACGCCGGACAGCCTCGCCTCGCCCTCGCTCAGCAGCAGCCACTCCCCCAACGGCGCATCTTCCTCTGCTGCTGCGAGTACGGCGTCCACTACAACATCGATGGAGCAGATGCCGGCCAAAAGCCCCTTCATGCCGCGCAGGACCGTCGGTGCTGCTCCAGCGACACCCTTCTCTTCTTCGTCGTCGTCCTCTTCTTCCTCGTCCTCAAGACCCTCGCTGGCGCCCTCGTCGGCCATCAATGCGGCCAACCAACAAGCACAGCGCTTCGCAGACCACACCGTCTCGTCTTCGGCCAAGATTGTCGAAGCAGGTACCGGCGCTGCTGCTCCGCGGCGAGGAAAGGACCTCGAGCTCGGCGACGAGGTCGTTATGGACGGCACCGGCTACACGGGCGTGCTCCGGCACCTCGGCCCCGTCACCTTCAAGGCCGGCTTCTACGCCGGACTCGAGCTCACCGGAGCCAGCACGGGCAAGGGCAAGAATGACGGGAGCATCAATGGGTGAGTGTATATATGCGCGGCCTGCCCGTCTCCTACGATGCCTACCATTGAGCTCACGACGACTGCCTTGGCACAGCGTGCAATACTTTGCGTGCGAGCCAGGCAACGGCATGTTCTGCCCTGCCTCCAAGGTCTCGGCCATCTCTGCGCAGCCGCCAACAGAGGCGACAGCCCGTCCCCAGTCGGCCCTGTCTGCGCGCTCCGGCCGGTCCTCGGTTGCTGGCGGCGAAGACGAGCAGCGGTCGTCGTCGGCGATGGCACGGCGTACAGCTACACCCGGCAGACAGCGGTCCAACACGGCATCGAGCGCCAGCCGACCGCCCTCTACGACGCCCGTGCGCCCCAGCTCGCGCACCTCGACGGGCAGACCGGCCTCGTCGCTTTCGAACCGGACGCCCGGGCCACGGCTCCAGCCTCGCAAGTCGATTGCAGACGGCCTTGCTGACGAGGAAGGCAGGCGGAGGGCAAAGACGTCGGCAGAGGCTGCTGAAGAGGCAGAGCAGCGCATCACAGCGGGCAGCCGCGCGCACCGCCTGCTCCAGATGAAGGCCCAGGACCTCGCTGCCGCCGGCCTTGGGTCTTTGGATGCAGCAAGGAAGTCAGCACGGCCCAGTAGTCCACTCAAGGACAGCCTGCTCTCCTCGCAGCAGCGCAAGACGACGACGAACAACGGCAGGCACTCTCTCCAGGGTCTGCCCACGCCCTCGCGCATCCGCGGTTTGCTGCCCCGAGCCAGGCCGAGCCTGGGCTCGACGCCGTCCTACACGACACCCACGCCCACGCCAAAGGCTGCCACCAAGGGCCGCTCGTCGATGTTTGCAAAGTCTTCCGACATGGGTCCCCCCATCAGCCCCACAAAGCCCAGCGGCGGCCGGCCCACGGACGAGCTGCGCAAGTCGCTCGACGGCCATCCTTCCTCCCAGACGCCCTTTGGCGCAGCCAAGGAGGGCGGCAGCGGCAGCGGCAAAGAAGAAGAACAAGAAGCAGAAGAACAAGATCAGACAATGATGCCGACGACACCCTTTGGCCCGCGCACGGCCGTTGAGAGGAACAGGATGCTGCTCGAGGAGATGGACCTGACCCCTCGACGACACTCCGACCTCGTGCGCGCCTCGTCCTGCTCCGACGCTGCCGGCGCCACCACCGATGGCGAGGAGGGCAGCGTGACGACGGCCGACGCCATCGAGGCTGAGCTCGCTGGCGAAGTCGACGACGCGTCCGTCGTGCAGCCCGTGGTGCCGCTTGCGCTGTTTGAAGAGACGAGCCTGGAGGCGACGAGGGCCAAGGCAGAGCTGTCGCAGCTCCGAGAGGAGCACCGGCAGCTGCTGGCCAAGAGGCAGCAGGGCGATGCCTCGGAGCTCCAGAGGGCCCGCGCCAATGTCGAGGAGGTCGTGCGGCGGGAGATGGAAGAGGAGCGCAGGGTGGAAAGGGAAGACGAGCTGAGGCGGAAGCGCGAAAGCGAGGCCAAGCAGGTCGAGATTGAGAAGAGGCTCGACGAGGCACAAAGGGAGCTGCGCAGGGCCAACGACGAGCAGTCGAGGGTCAAGACAGAGGCAGAGAGAAAGGCCCAGGACCTCGAAGCCAAGCTCGCAGAGACGACTTCGCTGGCCGACAAGCTCAAGGCCACGCTCGAGGCAAAGGGCAGTGGTGATGGTGACGGTGAAAATAACGGCGACGGCGACAATGCTGCTGCTGCTGCTGCCTCCCACGACAACAAGGAGGTGCAGGCCAAGATTGGTGCCAAAGATGCCGAGATTGAGCAGCTCAAGGCGGCCGTCGAGCGGCTCGAAGGCCGTCTCGAAGAGTCTCAGCGCGAGTGCGACGATCTCAGAGACGCAGGCCGAGAGACGATGGAAATCTACGAGGAGGCACAGGCTGCGCTGCACCGGGAGCACGAGGACCAGATGAGGCAGTTTGAAGCGAGGGCCCAAGAGATGATTGTCGATCTCGAGAAGCAGCGGGACGACGCCCACAGACGGAGCCAGCCCCGGTCCTCGGTTGCCGAGATTGACCGGCAGAGCATGGAAGAGGAGCTCGGCCACGCGCAGAGGCGCATCGCCAGTCTCGAGGACCAGCTCAGCGGTGCCAAGCTGCAGACGGAGCAGGAGCGCGAGGCGAGCACGAAGCGCCGGGACAAGTTTACCGAGTTTGAGGACAGGCTCCGGCAGGAGGTCGCCAAGCACAAGTCCGAGGCGCAACGGCTGCTCAGCGAGCAGAGAGAGACGCGGGCCCGGATGGAGGAGCTGCATGAGACGCTCAACGAGACAAAGGTCGCGCTGGAGAGCGAACGAGAGGAGCTCGAGATACTCCGGACGGAGGCCCTGGTCATTGGACAAGAAGGGTCTGCCCAGTCGGCCGCTCAGCGCGACAAGACCCGCCTCGAGGCAGAGGTCGAGAGGCTGACGAATCTTCTCGAGGCCTCGCGGTCGGGCAAGAGAGAGGCCAGCCGGCGAAGCGACGAGCTGGCAAAGGAGGTCGACGAGCTGCAGTCGCTCATCGAGGAGGTTCGCCAGCACCTGCAGATTGCCGAGACGGACAAGACGCTGGCCGAGGAGCGGCTGCAGGCCCATGACGGCTCGACGACCTCGCTCAAGGAAGCGCTCGAAGCAAAGACGAGGGAGCTCCAGGCGGCCATCAGTGGCGGCAGAGTGCCCGAGCAGCTAACAACGGTCATGGAGGCCCACCGCAAGGAAGTGAGCATCAAGGAGGAAGAGATTCGCCAGCTTCGCGCCGCGATTGAGCTCGGCGGAGGCGGCAGCCATCAGCAGCAGCAGCAGCAGCAAAAGAGGGGCTCTCGCGCCTCGTTGACGGTGCCGACGAGCGAGAAGCGAAACTCGGTGGAACGGTCGCCGGCCCTGTCAGCCAATGAATCGGGTGTCTTTGCTTCTTCGCCCAACATGGGCTCCCTTTCGCCCGCGTCGCCCAAGATCAGCGGCAGCAGCAGCAGCAAGCGCTTCTCCAGCGCCAGCAACCAGAGCCGAAGGAGCGCCGGAGGCTGGAGCAGCGGCAGCCCAGAGGCCGTCAGCAAGGAAATGACGGGCCTGCGCTCGATTGTCAATACGCTCAACCAGGAGCTGACTGAGATCAAGGTCAGCTCCAAGGCCCAGGAGCATGAGCTCAAGCAGAGCGTCGAGGAGCACCGCGAGAGGGCGAGAAAGCTCGAGCTCCTCGTCGAGAGCTTGTCCAAGGAGCTCGACGAGGTCAACAAGTCGTCGCTGTCGTCGTCAGCCTCTGCTGCCGAGACGGCGACTGGACTGCCATCGTCGGGATCCACCTCTTCTCTGCTCCTCGCCAGAGAGACGGAAGCAGCCAACAAGACGGTGGCGCTCGAGCGACGCGTGCGAGAGGCCGAAGAGGAAGCCAAGACGCTGCGCAAGCGGGTCGAGCTGGTCGAGGCAAACAAGCGGCAAGAGGTCGAGAAGCTCAACAAGGACATTGGCGAGCTCGAGGCTCTGTGCGAGGCGACAATCTGGAGACGTGAGGCCGAGGGGCTCAAGAGGGAGGAGCTCGAGAGAAACGTGGCTAAGCTTCAGAGAAAGGTCGAGCGACTCCTCAATGGTGCTGGCAGCTCTGCTAGACTCGATGGCAACAGCAGCAGCAGCAGTAGCATCGGTCATGGCAACGGCAACGCCAAGCGTGACAGTCGATCTACAATCGACGACGGTAGCAGCGAGGCGAGGTCAGCCATGGATCATGTGAGCGCAAAGGATACCGATGGCAGCATCGCAAAGAAGCCAAACGGCGTCACCTTTGGCCTTGAGCCACCTACGGCAACAACTGCAACGACGACGACGACGACGACGACGACGACGACACCCGTAACGACTAAGACGGAAGAAGAGGAACCTTGCGATGACTGCGGTGAGACCGGTCATACACTCGAGGATTGCCCCTATTCCAAGGACGAAAACATGCTCTTCTAGTTAATTTTTAAAAGCTACGACGGTGACGATGAGCAGAACATGCTCCTTCCTTGATACCTTGGGACAACGATGTATTCCTACTAATTCCTTATTCTTCTTAATGGTCTTCTTCCTCTTTATCTTCTTCTGAATCTGAAAGCGTAGGATGTTACATGAAGTGATCACGATGGCTCAATGGCTTCATCGTGAGGGCGAGGTGTGGCCGCCAAGTCTGAAGGCTAAATTTGCCACGTGTTTCAATATGACATCTCATGGCTGGCGATGGTTGATGCACGCATGCCGGTTCTTCTCTCCCTACCCTTTCAAGTAGCTCTGCCAACATTGCACAACGCAGCGACCTGAATCAAGCCGCAAGCACAGCAAAATAGTCGTCGAGTTCGATACCAGGAGGCGAGTCCGGCACAAATCAGGTGTCTCAGAGCGAGACTGAGAGCATACCACCACAATGACGGCCAACCTCACACTATACACTACGACGGCAGGTGAGTAGTCTGGGGGGAGAAGACGCTGGCGTTGGCGTACCCTGGGTTGACGTTTTCCCTGCCGCAAGTGCTCCTGCTGGATGCCGATGGGAATCGCCTCGTTTCAAAATACTACCAGCCACCACATGCAGGCCACGGGCCGCCCGGCCACCCCTCGTCTTCGTCTGCGGCGGCCAATGGGACAGCAGTGGCAGCGCCCAGCCTCCCGCCGGGCGCTGCTGGCCAGCCGCCGCAGATGACGTCCAAGAATCCCTTTTCGACATTCAAGGAGCAACGCGCATTCGAGAAGGCCGTCTGGGAAAAGACTCGGCGGGCCAGCGGTGAGTGTGTCCTCCTTGCGCTGCCCACACCAACCTTCCCTTCTTTCTTGCAGGCATGCTAACGTGCCAGGGGAGTGAACAGGAGACATCATCTTGTACGACTCGCACCTCGTCCTCTTCCGCGCCAGCCTCGACTGCATCCTCTACGTCGTGGGTCCCGCGGGCGAGAACGAGCTGATGCTTTCGGGCCTGCTGGGAAGCCTCTTTGAGGCCATCGGCATCCTGCTCCACAACGGCCAAGTCGAGAAGCGGGCCGTGTTGGAGAACTTGGACCTCGTCACGCTGGCCATTGACGAGACGGTCGATGACGGGTGAGTTGCCAGAATCGCATCTAGGAGGAAGATGCAGAAGAGAGGAGGGGAGGAGCTGAGACTCTCGAGTTGGACAGCATCATCCTCGAGACGGACAGCACGGCGATTGCGAGCAGAGTGTCGAGACCAAGACCAGACGCGACGGAGCTCCAGATCAACGAGCAGACAATCATGAACGCATACTCGAACCTCAAGGAGCGAGTCGCACAGCGCATCCTCCAGGGAGGGCTGTAGGGCCTACTGTAGCACATTTACCGCACGACTGGGGAGAGCAAAAGGCACAGAGCAATGACGATGATGATTTTCCATTTCCACTACAAAATATGCAAGCAAAACGAATCAGTACTCGTTATGGATCAGCAACCTGCCCACACCCTCGATTCTCGAAGCCTTGACATCAGAGTCCGATCTTGTCTTTCCGCGCTTCTGCTCTTGCTGCTGTTCTCCGTAGAACGAGTAGCCGGCAGGGCTGGGTCCCTCTTCGTCGCCAAGGTCATAGCCATTGTTCAGACTGTTCTTGTGCTGGTGCGAGCCGATGGGCATGCCCGTTCGAATGTCGCACTCCCTGCCCTGGTGGTCGATGTACGTCTCGACCTGTCTGACGTTGGCCGCCTTGTAGTTCTCGATGAGAACCTCGCGAATCTCGTCGAGGTACTTGGACAGCGTGTTGAGGAAGCGCTTTGTCTGGAGGTGTTTGCTGGCGGCACACACGCTGATGGCGTCGTCCTTGATGATGTAGCCCAGCCCAAAGCCATCGGGGGCCACGGGTCCGAACCCAAAGAGCCTCAGGGCCGGGTTGCCGCAATTTGACGTGCTCAGAACGGTGTGGTTGATCTTGTCGTAGCCCGAATCGGTAAAGAGGTCGGGGATCTCGTCGGTCCACTTTCCCTGCTGCTGGAGCTCCTTTACCAGACACCGTAGGCCGTACAGGTGTCGGTCGAATCCTTTACCCGATGCACACGCCTTGGATAGCTTTGTGTGCGCTTCACAGGCCTTGCGCAGTGTGTTGAGCTTCTTCGTTGCACTCTCACCTTTGGCGGTGAACGTCTTGACAAATTCAGCAGAGGCAGGCGACACTGTACGAATGGCCTCTGTTCTACCATGCAAGAATGCCTTGGTCATGGCCGGCTCGTACGTCGTCTCATTCCGGCCATAGAGATAGAAATAGGCTGCTTGGAAGGCCATCTGGACAAAGGCGTCTGGCGAGAACTTGTGCCGTGTGATGAAGTTCTTGCCAAAGCCAGTGTACTCAAGAACCTGGCATTCGTTCTGGCAGATGCTGAGGGAGGCAGAACGGGGATCAGCATAAATTCAGGCGAGCAAATCTTTCAAACTCACAGGTCGGACAGCCTCGTCTCGCCGAATTTGATTGCATCGTTGAGCTCTTGGTCCAGTGCCCACTCGAGTTTTTTCGGTGCCGTAGCCCTCGCAACTCTTTGGGCCACTTCCAAATCTTCACCGTTGTCCGTCGCCTTCTTACCGGCGCCCTTTGCATAGGGGCTCGTGGAGGCATGGAAGAGGCTCTTGGTGGCGCTGTGGATGCTCTTTGCGAATCGCATGATGAGCTCGGTATAGACGTCAGCCACATAGCGCAGTACCGTGTGGCCATCAACACCTGTGTGTTCAAAGTTGATACCGGCCGCTCCGTTCGCACAGACGATGATCTGGAGCTTGTCGTACCACCGGTTGGTGCATGTGCCCACCTGGACGCCATCTTGGAGCTGGTAGGTGCCGCAGAGCATGTTGTTGGAAAGCTGGGCGGCGTCTTCTGGTTCAGCGTCGTCCATGCATACAACAAAGAGGGCCGAGTCGACGACCTCGAGGCAGCGCGCATTGTGCTCGTTCGACTTGAGCACGTTGCGGCAGTGCGACCATGTCTTTCGGTTCTCGGTCGACAGGATGCCGATGGCGTGCTCGGCCACATCCCTGGGGTCCGTCTGGTCTGCGTCTCGGACAATGGCCTTGAGGTTGCCCAGCAACGCCCGCTCGGTGAGCAGGAGGCGGTTCTTTTCGTCGAGGGCATCGAACCTTATCATCGCAGACAGTCAGCAGAGGGCAAGCAGAAGATGACCAGGAATACTCACCAGTAGATTTGGCCTCGCCTCATGACGACAACGTGCTTGCTGCTGCTCGAAGTCTCCATCCTGCAGCCGTCTTCGGTCGGAATACGAGAGGTACCGAACAGGCGAGTGTACTGGAACATGTCCAGAGGGGCTGTTGGCGTTGCGTCAGCCTTTAGCAATTGTCTATGTCATCCCCTGCTTCCACTCACTGCCTCGCACCGTGTCGGGCTCCAGAACGCCAGCGCGAAGATCGTGAACAAAGGCCAGGCTGGCGAGGATCAGGCTCGCGGTTCGCATCAGCTGATTTCCTCGCGAGGGTGTGGGGTCGTCTCTGTTTGTAACGAGATGTCAGCTTCTGGTCACCAACATTGATGACGACCATGAGACTTACTCGAGGATGAAGAAGGGGTTCAGGTTGAGCACGACCGAGTCACTGGCGCTGAGGTAGCTCTCTGTCGAGGTGGCGCCGCAGAGCAAACAGTCAGTAACGTCATCGACATCGTATATATTTGACCCCTTTTGCTCACCATCCCACCACTGCTCGATGTATGAGGACTTGTCGCTCGCATAAGCCTCGAGTTCCGCCTGGATCTTGGGGCCTTCATTCTTGAGGAACTGCTCGACGACCTCCTGCGTCCTCTTGTGGTCCTCTGGTCTCTGGATCGGCTTGAGCGCCGTCAGATACTTTTCCAGGCTGTCCTCGAGCTTGGGCACTGGCAGCTTGGGCAGCTCGTGCTGCCTCGCAAATGTCTTTCCGCCTCCCAGACCCTCTTCGGCTCCCGCAGCCTTGCCCTTTGTCTCGACCTCCACCTTGGCAGCATTGGCCGTCGTGAAGTTGTCTGTGCTGACTGCGCCAGGCGCCATGATCGTCTTGTCTCTAGTGCAGAGCAGATAGAGGGGAGTGCTCTTTGCAACGAAGTGGATTGGGAAAGGAGGGGGATGGATGTCTTGCTTTATTTTTATCGAGACCCACTCCCACCTCTTCGGCCATAGCGGGAAAAGCGCCTGGGTCCACCTATTGTGGGGGAAAAGTGGCCAGTGACGCCTCCACAACAGGAGAGGGAGGACCCCTACCCGTGGCTTTTATTTTTCCTCCTTTTTTTTTTCTTGGATGGTCAGCCTCTCTAGCCCCGGCTTATCCATCCCAATCTACAGTGCAGATGACGAACAAATCCTGTCACTCCTTCTCTCCACTGCGCGAAAGCAGACGCCGGACTTATCCTGTCTCGTCTTCGAGGAAAGCAAAGAAGTGAAGATTGACCCATGTAGAAGAGAAATGATTAAGTGAAACAAAGTGTAGTGTGAAGAGAGGTATGAAGTGAAAATGAATGATGCTGCAAGTGTATATCGACTGGGTGATGAGAGAGCTGTTGAGATTAGTAAATGAATTATCGGTAGAGATACTAGAGTAGTAGTGGTGATGGTGGTGATTGTCTTTTGAGTCTGCTGTGCTCTGGCTTCTCAACGACCGGCAACGGGCATGTCAAGGTACTCGTCGGAATCAATTGGTTCGCAACGCTCGCCTCCTGAGACGAGATCGGACCAGTAGACGACGTCGCCCCGTTTGAGGTGTCGCGCTTCCTTTGCCTTGCTCGTCGCCCGCACGGCTTGTTGGTACTGCTGCTGCTGGTGGGCCTGATCTTGCTGCTGCTGGAGCTGCAGCAGATATTCTTGCTGCTGGCGATGACGAAAGATGGCCTGCTCGTAGATTTCACGCTGGTGTTGGGCCTCCACTGCAGCCGATGCGGCTGCGGCTGCGGCCTGCATTGTTGACGACTCGGGCTTTTCTGCATCGCAGTCCTCAAGCTCGTCATCGTCATCGTCATCTTCCTCTTCCTCGCCATAGTCGCGCATGTATGCGTCCGAAGAGGGCGGTCTGGTGCTGGTAAAGGCTTCTCCGCCAGAGTCAAAGCTTCGGTTGTTGGATAGGAAGCGATTGTGACTGAAAGCATGCTGAGCCAGTGGCGGCCGCCAGACGGGCGTGCTGGTGATGTCAGTTGGAGTATGCCGGTCGGCGGTACTGGGAGGAGCTGGGGCCCAGGTAAATGGCGCCACACGGACACCAGGTTCACCGGGCACGTAACGACGCTCTCGGACGGCAATCTCGGCGCAGTGAAGGACGGTGCGGTGGCCGTTTGAACTTCGCTGGTGTTTCGCTACGCTGCTTGTGCACCGTTCGCAAGGCGCCACGATGTGGTAGCCAACAGCGGCACCGCACCCATAACAGCCCAGTGTCTGTGTCAGGCAGTCGCAGGTGCGCTCGACTGCGGGTTCGTTTGCTGAGGCTGTGCCGTCCGAAAAGCGCGAGGGAGGGCAAAGGGTACCGCAATTGGGCACGGCATCGGTTGAGTAGAGGGTGATATGGGGCTTGAGCAGGAGCACAGCTTTCATGCCTCGGTCGGTAAGAAAACTTCCACAGCTCTTGCAGTTGATGAGGTATACGCGATGCTGTGGCTCTCCGCTCTTGCTCGACCTCGAAGTCCTGTCCCGCGACGACTGCTCGGTGGTGTTGGTGCTATTCATATGGCGACTGATGCTCACGCTCGCTGTAGTTCGCGAAGAATGATCTTGCAAGGCAGCATGGGCCTCGTCCCTTGCCCGGGCGTAGCTCCGCCGTCGCTCTCCATCTGTCTCAAAGGACGTCGTGGAGGGAAAGCGACCTTCTTGGCGTGCACGTAGTCGCATCCTTCGCTCTGCCATGTCGTCCGTATCGAAGCTCGAAGAGGATCTTGCCACGGCCTCGTTCTCGCCCCCCATGTCGGAGTAGTGTCGGAGATTGCGTACACCGTCCTCGGCTGCGTTCCTGCCGGCAGAGCTCGAGCTCTGATTGGTGGCGAAATGGTGATAGTGCGACTGCTGCTGCCGTTGTTGTGGAAGCTGGTGAGGAAGGGCGTTGTGCGAGAAGCTCCCTCGGTCCAAAGTTTGCTCGCTGTTGCTGGGCGTTGATGGAGGATGTCCTCGTCCGCTCGACGTGGGAGTTTGGCGACGGCTTTCCATCGTCGGCGGCGCACTGCTCCGATCCCCCGACGAGAAGGAAAAGTGATGGGGCGCCAGTCGGTGTGCAGACGAAGACGACGGCATGGCGTAGATAGGAGGTGCACTGGTGAAGGGAGGAGGGAATGTGCGTCAGAATATGGGCTGGGGAGTACTAGATAGTGACAAAGGGGTTGAGCCTTGCGCCTTTGGCTCGGATGCCGCGTTCCTCCATGCCACGCCAAGCGGTCCAAGCTTCACCGACAGCCGATCATTCTGACAAGCCCCATTCTGACAAGGAGATTTGAGAGGGGATCGGGCCTCCGAAATGTGCTGCTTGGACCTGCATGCAGCGGGGACCGAGCTAGACAGCTACGCGGCGTGCCAACCAGAGGGGAAAGGGGTGCTTTCTCTCTCTCTATGCGGCCGCGCGCGGCAATCTCTTGCGACCACCATGCCAGCTCCGTCTGCCAAAGCGTCATCACTCTTTCCATCGAATTCCCACGGCCACCAATGGATCCGGCTATTCCACTTTCGGACTTCTGACTTGGGCACGCGTACCAATTATTTGTACGCGTCCGTCCCGTCAAGTGGCAACGCCGCCGCAAGCGAAAAATCCAAAAGAGGACGTAAAAGGGGCGCTTCATAATCCTTTCTCCTCCCACCTTCCCTCTGAGCAATGACCAATGAAGGACATATTGGCGCGGACCCCTTCACTACTCACACTGTTGGATGGATAGAAAGCTTCTGCGCCTGCTCCTCAAGCGCGCGACCCCCGGCTACGTTGACGACCTGGCTAGCTCCACAGCCTCCTGACTTGCCTCTGTCCTGCCTATTCTTGCATATGTGAGCCTCTTCCTGAGATGTAGCAGCAAAGGACTGGTGAAGGACGCAACGAGAGTGGGCGGACAGACGGCTGACGTGACGGGGATGAATAGATGGCGGACGTGAGAAGAGGGGAGGCAATTGTCGTTTGTGGGATGGTATTCCTTATAAGAAGAATGCCCTGGTCGCCCGACGGATGCCGGCGTCCCCACCGCCCGCTCGCTGCCACCGAGTCCAAACAAAGCAAGCAATGGTCGCTTGGCTGTGCCGGGATCGAAATCGGTTTCACCTGCCTCAGACGTAGTGGTCGAGATCCAAAGGTACCTCCGTCCTCGCCTTTTGCCCTCGTGAATTGCTCTGAGACATGGAATATTCATCTTGGGACCCCTCTCTCGGCCGTCGATCGCCCTTGCCTTCTACTTCTGGCTGGGCCCGCATGGCTTGCCCTTACAACAGGATTGCGCTGCGAAATAACCTCTCACTTGCTCTAACTGCGTCGCTTGCTCCCCGGCTGGGCCCATCCACGCATTGCCTTTTGGCCTGTGTGTTCTGCATCAAAAGGCTGGGGCAGCACTACTACTAAAGAAAAAATTAGAGAAAAAGAAATTCCGACCAAACCAAAGGGGAAAAAGATAGAGAGAAAGAAGAAAAAAAAGTGGAGCCAGAAGGGGAAAATGCGTTTCAGGGGTTGGTTACCTCACCACCGGGTCCGAACGTTTGCGAGACCCCGCTGCAGACGGGGAAGAAGTACCACTAAACGCTCCTTTGAGTTAGGAAGTTGGTCGATCACGCTCTTAAGGTTCAAAACAACTGCTGCACCGGACAAAGGTGCCGAGAGACACGGGTGAAATTATATCGCGATGACGCCGACGCTACGACACGATCTTGCATGTGAGTTCCCACGGAAGAGCACTCGTGCCTCTCCGCTTGCCTGGCCAGAATGGCATCCTGACGAGGACTGGATTGAGGGGGCTCTCATCGCTCAAGCGTGATGGTTTCCCGATCTTGCACTGCGACACGCAAGATCAGTGGTCCTACCACTATGCTGGCTCGCTCAGTGCCATATAGATCACGGTCATAGCTATCCTATAGCCAGATTGAAAACTGCACGCCGTGTCTCTCGCCTGTTCAAACTCGCTCGCTGAGTTGCTATACATCCACGACCGCTTGCTGACTGCAACAGAGACACACGCCCACGGGAATGAAGGTTCAGGGTTTGGCTTAGAGAATGTCTCAGAAGTCAGCGTTCGCCTCCGAATGTGCCATGCCATTAATAAAATTTAAACGACGGTGAAAAGCCGCGCGTGTCTCACTTGACTGACAGAGGCGTGGCGCCTGTGTGGCTTCAAAGGTGCTCTTCCACTGCCTTTACTTCCCTGACCGGCCGGGGCCCGGAAGGTTCGCACAGCCTCTCACTTGATTGGGAGGCGCAGACCGACGTTCGCCCGACAAGCGGCGATGTCCATCGGTCATAGCAGTCATGTTCTGTCATCCACCGTTCCCTTTTGTCATTCGCCCCTCCAATTCCCCACACCAGACTGCAGAAAGGAAAGTAACACTAGACGCGCGTGTTGGATTGCTATTTTGGGAGGCTTGGCCTCAGGGGGCCCGGACCGGCTGGCTGTTCACTTTCTCATCACCGTCCTCGTTGGCAACACCTCTCAAGACGTGCGCAACGGTGGGTTCCTCTCTCGTTTCTCCTTTACGCAGAGAGAAGCAGCAGGCCGTTGGCCGCTGGCTTCGTGACGCGGCGAACGCGAAGCAACGGCATGCCGGCGTATGGGCCTCGTGACTCGAGAAGGTCCTCACCAGTCCGCGTGGGTGCCAATGGCGGCGGCGGTGGCAGCAGTAGCAACAGCAGCAGCAAAGACCGCAAAAGCAGAGATGGAGCCGAGTGGCGGGAAGCAAGGAGAGGTACTCCTTTGGACGCTCCAAGCTCGTTGAGGCCCTCATTCCAGGAGTGGGAGATGAGGCAGGTGCCAAGTCACTTGCACCGCTCGAGCGCTGGCAGTGCGCATTGGGACCAACAACCTCGCCGCGCGTCGATGCCCGAGGTGGAAACGCTGCGTAGTGCACCCTCTGTCCATGATGGCCTTAGGCCTCAGGCGGGCCCCGCACCGCCAAGAGGGGCAAAGCCACCGGCTTTCTACCTTCCGCCGCCCGGCTATCCCTACGATGGCGTTCCTCAACCTTCATGGAATGGGCCATCGGACCCGACGCCAATATACGGAGGACAGGGAAGCTGGCATCGGCTCGACAATGGTGCAATGGCATGGCTTCCCACTGGCGATTCACGTCCACCGACCAGATGGGTAGAAGACAGTGAGCGTCATGGTCTTCATCGAGGCAGTCTGCTGCGCTCCCGCTGGTGAACTGACACAACGCAGATATCCTTCCAGCGCTTTCTCACAGCGACTGGACCGTTCCACAGGCCAAGCAGGTGTTGGCCAGCTGGGCTACTCTTGCCACGCTGCTTGCGGGCACACAAGCGACGCTGCTGAGCTACTATCATCAATTGGATGGCGGCACCTTTGCCGTCTATGGCCTCGCCAGTGCTGGACTCTGCCTCGAGGTGTATGGTGCTCTCCTTGCCTCTATCACCATCGTTTGCAGCATCAGCTTTCAAGCACCTGACGCTCCCAAGGCCGAGCACCATCGCGGCGTCTTTGGTCTTCATGCGTCCGGGTTTACCAGTAGTCGACGGACCCTGAGCTCACCAGGAGGAGCGCCGCAGCCAAGTATGCCTCGAAATGTCGACAGAAAACCACTGACTGCACGCACAGCGGCCGTCCTCGACCGTCTGGCGCTCACCTGTGGCTACCTCATCGTCGCCGGGGCCATTTGCGAGCTTGCCAGTTTGGCCGCGTATAGCACACTCTACCAAGAGAACAGCGTCACAATCGCAATGGGTGTCACTCTCGGCCTCTGCGGCCTGGCTACCTTTCTGGCTGCCACGCTTGGCTTTCTGCACGGCACCGAGTCGCAGAGATTCATCAATGCAGCCAGAGCGCATACTAGTGTTGCTCCATCGGGCTCACTTCCCTCGGCCGCGTTGTCGTCAGCTAGGACGGCGGTGGGCAATGCCCATACTCCCATGCGATTCCAGCAGCGCGGCCAGCCCCAGTCTGCTGGTTTTCACGAGCCTGTGCAGAGGAAGCACCACCTCTTTTCGCGCGTAAAGGCCCACAGCGACGAGAGCGACTCGGAGCCTGATCGTCCCTTTGTCTAGAGTTTCGGTTCAATCGCATCGTCACAACAGCAGCACCACCACAAGCACCACCATCGATACCAATGTGTTCAAGTCCTTTGTCTCTATCATTGTCAATGTTAGCCCTATCATCATCGTATGCCATCCTCCATCATCCCATCTAATGATACTCTGCAAGATGCATCTTCAAAGACCGCTTGAGAATGCCGTGCTCCAAGCCTGCTCGCGGCGTCGCCCTGTCCACGGCAGAGATAGCGAACAATCAATTGGTCATTGACGGGCTCGTTCATAAGCCTAGACCGCCCTTGACGAGTGAGACCGTGGCACCGCCTTCAAGACCTCTCCTCTTTCAAAGTGCAGAGTTTCAAGCCTTATCCCCATGGCACAGTGCTTCTCCGCTACGTGCACATTACGACAGTGATGCCAAGGTGTCTGCAACAAAGAACTCCGCTGCCGGACTGGCCAGATGCAGTCAGGCGCATCGTGTGAGAGATGGATCGAGCGGTCAAGAGTGAAGGGTCAAGGGTCAAGGGTGCTCCCTTTGGTGTTGGGAGAGAGAAAGGGCCGTTGGCCCCCTCCCCCGCCGCCCCTCGCTCCAATCCCAAGGCGTATGCGTATATGACGCAGAGAGACCGCTGCGACAGATTGCCGACGGTGAAATAGCCCCAAGAGTTGCATGCTTGCGAGTTGACTGCGCACGCTTCAACTTCCTCCTGGCCCCCGCCCCTACGACCCAATGCATGTTGCGCCTGTAGATTGCCGCAAAGGTCTATGGTGAAGCGGCCCCCGAGTTGACTGCGCACCCTCTCGGTCAGCGCACACAAGTTGCGCCGAGGGCTCTCAGCAGTCACCGAGAGACTGAGCACGCAATCGTCTTGGAAACGGAGGAACTTGCCTTGATGCTCAGCAGTAGCGCTGTGCTAGAGAAGGGGGGGAGGAGGGAATGTCTCGCAGAGAAGGGGCATAAGCGAGAGTATCTGTTGGGTATAAAAGAAGCCCACTTTCGACCAAAAGACTGCCTCCCCCTCGTCTTTCCTCCTGGCTCGACTCCCCTCCTCACCATTCCCCTTCCCTCCCTCCCTCCCTTTCTACCAGATCGTAACTCTCACCTCACCATGACTTCAAGCCTTTCCCAACCAACTCAGTCACCTCGATCACTGGCAAAGCAACTCGAGACACTACCGTCGTTCGCCTTCTTTCGGCCTGCGTCGCCTCACGACTCGTCCGGTGCGAGTTCAACGCGCAACTCCAGTCCACGGCTGCAAACGACGGGGCACCCGCAGACCTTCCTTCGACGACGTTTCTGCGACAAGGGTGAAGTTGTCGGCATCCTCCGAGGCCTGGAGCAGGCCCTGGCAGCACGGGGTGGCTACAAGAGCAGGGGACGGATTGCAAAGCCGGACGGCAGGCTCTCTGCATGGACGCCAAAGCTGGAAGAGGACGAGCAGGAGATAATGCAGTCCATTGTCCAATGCGGTGAGCTTTTACCGATGGGGGCAATAGACTGGGCAGTGCTGACAGGTTCTGCTGCAGACCCCTACATGGCACAGGTGGTTGGCAAGATGCAACGCGATGGTGTCCCGGCCCTGCCTCCGCCGTCATACTCCCTCCTCAATGCACAGTTCCAGCCCATGGCTGCAAACGTGAGGCTCGCTTGCAAGACCAAGGCCTGATCGACACTCGCAAAGGAGGTGCGGCGGAGCTTGCCCAACCTTCTGTCTTCCGAGGTCACAGCCATTGTCCGTAAGGCCTGGTCCAGGCCCATCGAATCGTGTCCACAGCAGCAGGCCAGTCGACCCGCAGCTGAAAGCCAGTACGTTGCCAGTCTCCTCCGGCTTCGTGACAGCTGCCTGGACAAGCCCCCAGCCGAGATCAGGGAGCCCTTGCACCTGGGTCCGTGGCCGCACAAGGTAAGGAAGAGCGCTCCCTTCCTTCCTAGCTTCCGTCCGACCTGGTGGGCTGCCTCGACAGGCCAGCTGGTGTCTGTCTTTGGCAAGGCCAAGCAGACCATCCCCGAGCTGGTGCGGTTCGCGTGCCCGTTCGCCCAACGCAGCAAGACGTAGCTGTTGCCAGCGATGACGTCGTCACGAAGGATCTGGAGGCAATGTATCGGTATGTATATTTGTCTATCATTGCTTTCACACTACGCAGACTCACCGTGTCACTTTCGTGGGGTGTGTAGGATGACCAACGTAGTGGCTGCAAGTCAGCGCCTTGACGGCGTGTACTGGGCCAAGATCGAGGAGTATATCCGTAGCCTCTCGTACGATTTCCTCGATGTCTACGTTGCGACGATGCCAATCTTTCGCCCAACGACGCCGGATAATGAATACCATGGGCACCATTACGTACCCAGGACAGCAGGTGGATTGACAGTTCCCACTATGGCGCTCGACTACTCTTTTCGCTGAATGTAGTCTGTCCGGCTCTGCGATCAGCGTGCGCAGCCTGGCCAACCGCATCTATTTCGCCTTCCTCGGCGTATACCATGGCATTGCATTGGTGTGACGAAGTCTATATTGTCATGGTCTGACGAAGTCTACCTGACCTTAGGAAACAGTCATGTTAACACTATTAAACGCCCCGATGAACGGCCAATGCATCAGAGATCCGAGCGCCAGCCTGTCACTAGAAGCCTTAATCTTCGCCCAAGCTCACTGAGCTTGCTTAGACTACCTATCTACATAGGAATCTACTTCCGCTACACGATGTTGACAAGGAAAACACACTTCGGAATCGTCGAGGTGACCTTACTATTGACAAGTAGTAGTAGTAGCGTAGCAGTAGCTTTATTACAATTCTCCACGTGGAATGGATATCTGATTAGCCTTATGTTTCTTCCGTCCGTCGGACAAGATCGCGCGCGCCCATTTCTTCCTCTTCTTCCTCTTGCCCAACCTTTTCTCTCTCTCTCTCTCCACACTGCGAATGACGAACACGGCTGCCAAGATTGCCGCCCAGGCCGGCCGAGCGCTCAAGCTGGGCATGATGCCCGCCGACGGCATCGGCAAGGAGGTGCTCCCCTGTGCCGCACGGGTGCTGCAGTCGACGCCTGGCGCGCCCAAGTTTGACTTTGTCACGCTGCCCGCTGGCTTCGAGCACTTTCAAAAGACAGGCAGCGCGCTGCCCGACGAGACGGTGCGTGTGCTCCGCGAAGAGTGCGACGGCGCCATGTTTGGGAGCGTGAGCAGCCCGAGCCACAAGGTCGAGGGCTACTCGAGCCCGATTGTCAAGCTGCGCAAGGAGCTCGACCTCTACGCCAACATCCGGCCCGTCGTCGGCGTCCGGGGCACGCGCGACGACGAAAAGTGGGTCGACACCGTCATTGTGCGGGAAAACACAGAGTGCCTGTACATTAAATCGGAGACGATCGAGGAGGGGCCCCAGGGCCAGGTAGCCCGTGCGATTCGCCAGATCACGGAGCGTGCCTCGAAGCGTATCGGCAAAAAGGCCTTTGATGTCGCCCTCGCCCGCGAGGCGCTGCGGAGCAAGGCCGGCACCAGCGCAACGGCCGGCCGTGGCAAGGTGACGGTGTGCCACAAGTCCAACGTGCTCAGCGTGACCGACGGCCTCTTCCGCACAGCAGTCCGGGGCGTGTACGAGTCGGACAAGAAGTCGGCCGGTGGGCCTGGCCGTTACGAGGGCATCGACATGGACGAGCAGCTCGTCGACAGCATGGTCTACCGCCTGTTCCGGGAGCCGCACGTGTTCGACGTCGTCGTCGCGCCCAACCTGTACGGTGACATCATCTCTGACGGTGCCGCCGCCCTCGTTGGCAGCCTCGGCGTCGTGGCCAGCGTCAATGCCGGCGACACCTTCTTCATGGGCGAGCCCGTGCACGGATCGGCGCCCGACATTGCCGGCCAGAACAAGGCCAACCCGATTGCAAGCATCCGCTCCGCCGCGCTGCTGCTCGAATACATGGGCTACTCGGACCCGGCGCTCAAGATCTACAAGGCCGTCGACGATGTCATTCGCGAGGGCAAGTACCTCACCCCAGACCTCCAGGGCACGGCCACGACGAGCGAGTGCGAAGAGGCGATCCTCCGTGCTCTCCAAAAGTAATTGGCAGTTGTATTAATGACAGAAATGAATAAGTCTTGAATTGTACAGTACTGTACAGCGGGTCGTCTACTTGGTTTTGGATAGCCTGACGAGGGCCTGGTCGAAGCGTTGCATGTTCTTCCAGCCGAACCAGCCCTGCTTGTTCCGCGGTCCGTACTTGTCCTTGATGCGTTTGCACTGCTCCCAAACCCACTTCGAGTCATTGGAGCTGCACCGTTCCAGAGCCAAGATGAGGTGGTAGAGGAGCTCGTCCGAGGGTCCGTGTGCTTTCTTGGGCACATCGAGCCTCTGCTCGAGCTCGATGATGGACCTGGCCGTCTCCAGCCTTGCTCTCATTGCGTTTTGGAACGGTGCGACTCCCTTTTCGTGGGTGCCGGGCGTGAAGATGCCCTGCGCACCTGCGACCTCCTTGAGTGCCTTGTCTTCACCTTCGCCACTGACCTTGGCCGGAGCACTGGCTGTGCGGGGGGGTTCCATCGAGAGAAATCCATCGAGAAGATCCTGGAGCGTGTCGAGCGTCCACCCTCCGTCGGCTTCTTCCTCGTTGCCAGTGGCTCGAGCTGGTCGACCATGCTTGCCAAATGCCCGGAAAAGACCACTGTACGCTTCAAATGGCAGGTCGACCTCGGTCATGGACAGGTCCCGAAAGACGGTCAGCGCATTGTGAAGATCGCCATGCCAGGCTAGTCCTCGGATCAGCGCGCAGTACGTCTCCGTCGTGGGAACAATGTCAGGAGGTAGCAGGCCTGGGCAACCCTCGAATGCAGGAAGGAGGACCGAGGCGTGAGAAGGTCCCTCTCGCTCCTCCGGCTTCCTGGCTTCCAGTCCCTCGTCTGCCCGGTGACGGTCGATCTCGGCCTGCACAAGGTTGAAGCGCATGCAAGCATACGTCTCGAGGATCGCTTCCGTCGTTGGCCAACCCTCAATGTGCGGTATCCCGTAGCGAAGGGCAGCCCACATGGCCTTGTTGATATGGCTTGCAACGAGCTTGCCCTGCCGATGGGCCTCCGACAGGGCCCGTCGCACTGGAGCCCAGCAGATCTCGCCCAAGCTTGCTTCTTCTGCCTCGGGAAGTGGGAGCAGCGCGCGGAATCGCGCCAGTTCAGCTTCGAAGGCAATAGCTTGGCCATATGCGCCGGGACCAATCTCTTTGTTAAAGTGGACCAGATGGCGCAATGTCTCGTTAAAGCGGGCAACCGCCGGTTTGAGCCTCCTTTGTTCGGCGCCGTTGTTCTCAGAAGGCCCACGCAATGCTCGGCAATCGTGAGGGTTGTTGGACGGCTTGGGCATGTAGACGACATCCCAGTCGATCCGCAGATCCTCCATGGTCAGCCCTTTCTCCTTTATCCCCGACCAGAGCTTAGGATTGGGGAGCATGCGCACAAGGGCGGAAAGGAGGAAGCGACAGAGCGGTGCCGATTCTCCGCGGTCGACGGACTCAATCGTCGATATGATTCGGTCCACGTCTGACTCGTCCGCCTTGCGTGTCGCACTGGCCGAGAGAAGGGCATCGGCCTGGACCAGCGGGGCCCACCGGCGGACATATTTCCACTTTTGGAGGATTGGATCGTTCTGCAGCCTTCTTCGGAGCTTCTGGGAGCTGAAGGACACAGCGCCGGGATCGTGCTCCTGCTGCTGCATCGCATACATGACACGCCGCTCGGCATCCTCGATGCCTCGGTCGAGATGATCGATGATCCGTCGCAGTGAGCTTCGCTTGCCCACCGAGATCTCTTGCACCGTGATCGGCCCTGCAGGCATCACATCGTGTGGCCGTCTGTCGCGTTCCAAGATGAAAACTTCAAAGAGCTTGCGAATTTGTAGCGGTGATGTCCATGACTCTGGATACCGCAACGGAGGGACGGGAAGCTCGTCGACCCTTTCGAAGGTTGCGTAGGTATGCCGCGGTTTGGGAATGAACCTTTCGTTGATGAGTTTCTGGAAGAGGCCGACATAGTAGGGAATCTTGAGCCTTGTGCCCGGCTTGACGGCCCGTCTCGGAGGGCGCTGAGGCGCTGGGAGGACCTCGGTTGCTGTCTGTGGAGCTGCCGTCAGATTTGCCGTCTCGTGAAGCGCAGTCGAATGTGGCCGCGCCGTCGATGGTTCTGCCGCTCTACAAACAGCGGTTGAATGGTACCGAACAGCGACGGACCATGGCCACCGCGTGCGAGCTCTGTAGGCCCACGACATGGGCGAATGAAACCACGGAACGAAAGAAGGATGCAAAAAAAGTGACGGGGTCTCACTGTTCTCCAAATTCGAGTCCCGTGTTCCGAGGCCAGGGGTTGTTGGTTGTGTTGGCTTGACCGCGATGCCTCGGCCTGCTTGCCTGCCTGCCTGCAGATCAGCAGAAATATGTCCTTCAAGATCGCCCAGACGCTCCCTCCGAACCCCGCCACGTCCAGGGGCACGTTCACGCAGCTGGGCACCGATCCCAAGGGCGAGAAGCTCGTCTACTGCCAGTCAAGGACCGTGATCATCCGGCCGCTGGACTCGTCGGCCTCGACCATCGTCTATTCGCAGCACGCGCACCCGACGACAGTCGCCCGCATCTCGCCCTCGGGCTTCTACTGCGCCAGCGCCGATGTGGCCGGAAACGTGCGCGTGTGGGACCTGGCAGGCGACGAGCAGGTGCTCAAGCTCGAAATCAAGGCGCTCGGAGGACGCATCACGGACCTCAGCTGGGACGGCGAGAGCAAGCGCATCGGCGTAGTTGGCGAGGGCAAAGACCGGTGGGTGTCCAGTCTCCGCTCTTCGCTAGCTTGCAGACTCCTCAGTGCGCTCACCATTACTTTACTGACCGCGCGCCAAACTTAGCTTCGGCTCATTCTTCTTCATTGACTCGGGCTCGTCGTGCGGCGAGGTGTCGGGCCACTCCAAGGTGGCCAACTCCATCGCGCTCAAGTCTGCCCGTCCCTTCCGTGCCGTGACGGCGGGCGATGATGGCAACGTCGTCTTCTACAACGGCGTTCCCTACAAGGTATTTAAGCTCAAGCAGCATGTACAGAGACGACTCAGCTGACAGTAGAGTTGGGTGACAGTATGCCAAGGCGCTCACGACGCACCAGAAGTTCGTCCAGGCCGTCTCCTACGCCCCCAATGGCGAGACATTTGTCTCGGCAGGATCCGACGGCAAGATCTTCCTGTACAATGGCTCAACTGGGGATGCGATTGGACCACTCGTGGATGGCTCCGAGACGGCTCACAAGGGCACCATCTTCTCGGTCGCCTTTTCCCACGACAGTGCCAGCGTGCTGTCGTGTGGTGCTGATGGCCTTCTGAAGAAGTGGTCCGTCTCCTCGACCGGTGGAAAGCTCGACAAGACGTTCGATCTCAATGGAGGCAACGTCTCTGCCTCGGCGAGCAAGGCCGACGATCAACTCGTCGGCTGCACCTTTGCCGGAAGTGGGCGTGCAGTCGCGCTCAGCCTCGCGGGCGAGCTCAGCGTCGTCGATGTCAGCAGCGGCAAGATCGAGAAGCTGCACGGCGCTGGCAAGGCCATCAGCCCCGGCTCGCTCGTCAGAAGTCCCGATGGAAATCTCCTCGCTGGTGAGCCTGCCCCTCCTTCGGCCGTCTGATCCAGCCGCTGACTGAACTCGATAGGGTCCTTCGATGGCAAGGTGCTGCGCTTCGATGCAACAGGCAAATGCGCCCCAGTCTTGGGCTCTTCGACCACAGGCTCAGCGGTGACGGGGCTGGCCGTAGCAACACAGGCCGACTGTGTCTGGTCAGTGGCCATGGATGACACACTCCGCAAAATCAGCAACGGGAAGTTTGAGTGAGTGATTTTCTGTTTCCTTGAGCATTGTTGGAGCAGCCCTCTGATCTTCATCTCGAAGCAGCGCCACGGCAGCCATCTCGCTCACGGGACAACCGCGAAGCGTGGCAGCCGGTCCAGCTGGCACCGTCATCGTCGCCACGGCAGCTGGCATCGACGTTGTGCCTTCCTCCTTGTCCTCCAAGACACATACGCCCCTCAACGATTCCCCCACCGCCGTTGCGTGCTCCCCAGACGGAAAGCACGTCGCGTACGGCGCCGAAGACGCCAAGGTCCGGCTCTGCACCCTGACGCGCGAGGGGAACGTGCAGGAGGTGGCCAAGCTCGAGAGTGGCCGGAGCACAATCACGGCCCTTGCCTTTAGCCGCGACGGCAAGCTGCTGGCTGCGGGTGAGAGCAATGGCAAGATCATGGTCTATGACGTCGGTGAGAAAAAGGTGCGCCCCCCCCCCCCCTTCTCGCATTTGAGCCTCCCTGCCCGCAGCTTCACTGACCAAAAGATGATCTTACCACCGGCAGATCAAGTTCAACCAATGGGTCTTTCACACGGCCCGCATCAATGCCATTGACTTCTCGCCAGACGGCAGCCAGGCCGTCAGCGCCTCGCTCGATACCAACGTGTACGTCTGGTCCACCGTGCGCCCCATGAAGTCCATTGCCATCAAGAGCGCCTTTCCCGGCGGAGCACAGGGCTGCTGCTGGATCCAGGACGGCCGTTTCGCCAGTGCCGGTGCAGACGGCACAGTTAAGGTCTTTGACGTGACCAAGGCAGCTTAGAGGAGGGCAGATGGGACACTAAGGTTGCGCAAGATATGGCCCAAAGGCTTAAAAGTTTCAATAGTGATCAATCAAAGAGCACAAAGTAGACACAGACAAAGAGAGACAGAGAAGGATATCGAACAAGTAGAAAAGGAAAGGAGAAAAAGAGATGGGGGAATGTAAGGTGGTCCCGGTCTGTGTCATCGGGAAGCTGAAGGTGAGGAGAGAGTTTTTTTTTGCTGTCGAGGGTGTTGTCAAAAGAAAGGAGCGTGAAAGAGTGAGTTTAGAGAGAGTAAAGACTGTAGGTGTTGTTTGTTGTTGGCCTCCTCCTGGTATAATTCGTTCGCAGGGTGAGAAAAGGCACTGTCCCGTTTACAAGACGTACGTGGCCGGAAGCACGCCCGTGGCGCCACTGTCGTTTCTTGCGAGCCACCAATGCTCGTCTTGGTCGTCGAGAATGTAGATCTTCTCTCCTGCGCGCACGGCCAGCTCGGACGGGTGTGTCGCCTCGAAGCTATATCTCGCATGCGCCTCGATTCCGTCATTGGCCCCATTGTCGTCCATGCCATCGTAGGCTCCGGCACCCAAGGCTGTTGCGCCGGCACCTCCTCCCAACGCCACGCCTTCGCCCTCGTCGCCGCTGTAATAATTTGAGCGGCCCGAGTGGCTCTGCCCCGTCTGGCCGTCCGAGTGGAAGGCTGTCGAGGGTCCAGTCTCGTCGCTGTTCTCGAGCGTGCCACCAACGGCGGCCGAGTCCTGGCGACCGTGGCCGTGGCCGGTGCTGCTGGCGCCCACGCCAGCCATACCCGCTGCAGCAGCAGCTCCTGCTCCTACCTCTGCCCCCCGCGTGGCATCCTCGCCAGGTGCGCCACTGTGCATGACATTCTCCGTAGCAGCATTGAGCGTCGCCAACAGGCTCGACGGCCGCTTCTTCTCGCCTGCCGCTCCCGCCATGGCGAGCGTCTCGTCAGAGGGCGAGATGGGGACGTCGACACCACGGTTCGGGTGCCGCCTTGCGAGGGCCCAGATGAGGCCGAGGAGAACGAGCAGGAAGACGACACCGAGACCAATGGCAATGGAGATGAGAATGACGATGCCAACGGCAAGGTGGTGCAGGTTGGGGAACGACAAGACCTCGACAGACCGAGTGAATGCGCGAACGATGCCGCTGCCACCAGTGTTGGACTGCGAGACCAGGAACGGCGTCCAGTTTTGACCGTCAAAGAGAGCAGTGGAGACATTGCCATAGTTGGACATGCTCAGCGCGCCGCTGACGACCAGAAGACGATTGTTTTCGAGGATGTTGTTGTCGGGGTGAGGCTTGGTAATGCCGACGAACGAGAGCTGAGCGATACCTGTGGGATCGAGCAACTCCATTGTGCCCAGCAACGAGTAGACGCTGCCGTCCCACTTGGCCAGATACGGCTCCGTACCGTCAGTGGTGCGACCGGCAACGAAGATGGAGTTGACGTTGAGGTCATCGACGGCCATCGCCGTGGCAGGACCGGGAATCATGCCATTCGAAGGACCGACGACACCGTATGGCGTCCACGTAGCCTGCTCGTTGTCAAAGTTCCAACCGGCGAGCGAAGCCTCGGCGCCATTCATCGTCATGGAGCCCGCCACGATCAATGTGTTCGCCTTGGACTGTAGACGGGGTCATCAGGTCAGCAAAGCGAAATGGAAAGCAGCTTAAAAAAAGAAAAAAAAAAAAAAAACTCACCCCAGCAAAGTCGAGTGCGGCAATCTGTCCATCGATGCCGGTTCCCAGGTTGGTCCAGCGCAATGTTTGCGAATCCCACTGGCAGAGGTTGTTGCACGGTAGGCTGCCTGCCTCGTCAAAGGTACCGCCGACGATGACCGTTGTCGAGTCCGGTCTGTGGCTGATGGCCGTGACGCTGAGCACCTTACCTTCGTTTGCAGTAAGGGCGGCCGTGTTGTTCTGCCAGGTGCTGTTTGGCAAGTCGAACACCTGGAGACCACCGTCACCTCCGACATAGAGAGTATCGCGATCGACGAGGACAGCGCGGACGACCGTCAGATTGGCGCCACTGGGCATATCGGGGAAGGCGTACAGCTCCTTGGTCTTTGGATCGTACAGACCAAGGTTCCTCACGCCGTGACTGGTGGTGAAGTTGCCGCCAACAATCTGGGCATAGTCGTCTTTGCCCCTCTGCCAGAACGCAGAGGCCAGAATCTCATCGCCAGACGACGAGGTGAGCGAGGCTGGCTCCATGACATCGGCGCGTCGGACGAGCGACGTCAGCAGCGAGGGCGTCTGGTCGGAAGATCGCGACGAGATGGCCGAGGCAACACGTGCGAGCAGGCTAGGCGCGCTGCTGATCCTCTTCTCGACCGCCTCAAAGGACAGAGCATCGCGACGGGGGTACCAGTTGCTCGTGGATACAGTCGATGGCGATGCCAAGGATCTCCTGCGAGCATAGGCGGCAGGCTTGGAGCCAGACGGCGTCGAGTACATCTCCTTCATCGAAGCGGCGAACGAGTAGTTGAGCACGTTGACGTTGGGGTACATGCCCGCCGAATTGGGTGCGCTGAGGCCGACGGCACCCGACGCGATGTTTCCGCTGACGCTCTGCACCTGGCCTGCCATGTAGGCTGTATCGGTACCCGTGTCGCTGGCCGTCATGTTGCCAATCATGGACTCGTTTTGAGACACCCATTGGCTCGTCAAGGCATCCCAGACGCCATAGCCACCCGCACCGGCTGTTCCGTTGACCGCATTGAAGAAGCCAGTGACCAGGAGCTTCGAGTCCTTGAGCGGGACGATGCCAGTGACGGGACCGCTGGTGCCTCCGCCGAGCTGAGCCCAAACGTTGGCCACGGTGTCGTAGCGGGCAATGTGGCCAAGCGAGGTCTGGTTGTCGGCTGTCGCGGTGAAGTCGCCTCCGACGTAGAGGAAGTTGCCCATGGCACTAAGAGCAAAGACGATACCATTGAGACCGTGGCCGGCCATGGGCGTATAGTTCCCACCGCCGCTGGCCTGGTCGAACATGACGAGGTTGCGGAAGCCTCGGCCAGTGAAAGTGACGTTGACGGGGATGATCGTCTGGTTGGGCAGCAGTGTCACGTTGCCAGACAAGCTCAAAGGCCCCATGCCTGGGATCGTGACGTTGACAACAGAGAGCGGCAGAATGCTCGTCGAATTGGTCGTCGAGTTTCCGGCAGCAGCTGTCGAGGTGGGCGCAGCTGAAGTGGCCGAGGACGAGGATCTGCTTGCGCTGTTGGTCGAGCCTGACGATGTAGTCTCAGTTGCTTGACGTTCACGGAGTCGATTGGCGGGCGTGGAGCCCGAGGACGTCTGCTGCGAGGTTGCTCTGCTGGACCGGCTGCCGGTCGAGGATGCCAAGACGGCGCTAGAGGAGCTACCAGAGGAGCTGCCGCTGGTACTGCTGCTGGTGACATTGTTGGTGACGATGCGCGTCGTGCCTGGGATCGTGACGGTTGATGTCACGCCCGACACGACCGTGGTGGTGACGACCTGCGACACCGTTGTTGTCGAGGTATTGGCAGATACAGGCTGAGCAATCGTGAGGTTCAACATTGACGTCGAGTTGAGGGGGACCTGAGTCAGGGTGAAGAAGTCATCGCTGGTAAAGTTTCCTCCGACAAACGTCTTGTTGCCCAGCGAAATGACACCGTAGGCGACCTCGGATTCGTTGCGGAGGACGCCGTTCTTCATGAGAGCGCCACCAAAGTTGCCCAGCGGCGTCATGGTGTCGTTGGACAGGATCTGGGTGCCGTTGGCGGTAATGTTGGCAACAGCCGGGTCAAAGACGGCATACTCCAAGACGCTGAAGCCCCGCTCATAGAACAAGTTGTGGGCATCGGGGGAGCTCTGCAGCTGCATGCGGACACGGTCGGCAACGACGGTGAAGCGGTTGCCCTGTTTGGGTGCCGGTGCATCGGGAGGGATCGACAAGACCACCGACGGCATCCACCGCGCATTCCGCTGTTGGAAGGCACCCTGGTACACGAGCACCTCGGTGTCGTTTTGTACATCCTGCGACATGCGCACCGACGTGCCCGTGTTCGTGGAGTTGTTCATGACTGTCACCGTGACGTCTGTCCGCTGTCCGCACTGGTTCGACGCCAGGCAGCCTGGAATGTACATGTAAACGGCATAGGTGCCATTGTAGGCAATATCGATATTCCAGGCGACCTGGGCGCGCGCGTTGCTCGCCAGGTTGCTGTAGCTGTCCGTCAGGGCGACGATGGGCTCAGTGGTGCCCGAGACGGAGCTGGGAACCATCGTCTGGTACCAGCCTCCGCGCTGCGTCGAGCTCGACTGCGTCCCGTTGGCACCCGGCTCCGTGGAGTTGCACGAGCCTCGGTTGTAGCCCTGGTAGGCAAAGGCCCACCCACCGTCGGAAAGAAGCTGAAGATGGTGCAGACCAGCGCCTGCTCCGTACCACTCGGACGCGGTGAATTCGATGCCTGTGAGAATCTTTGTGCCATTGACACCTCCGTTGACAGGGCTGTTGCTGATGAGAAAGTCCTGGTAGGGCACTGAGGGGTCGTGGAACAGGGGACAGCTGGTGCAGGTGACATTCTGCAGCGTGACGGGGTCGAGGTAAAGGAGCTCGAGCTGGACGTTGTCGGGAATCGAGACAATGCCGAATGTCTTGGTACCCCGGCCATCTTGGAAGGTGTTGCCGATACGAATGGCACGGACGGGAAGGGTCCTAAAGGCACGCATCGTCAGGCGGCCAACGGTGTTGTCGCCAAAGAGGTAGCTGTTGCTCGGGCCGTCGGCGCCCTGGGGACAGAGGATCTGAGCAGGATTGTTGAAGTTGGCGTCGTCGGTGGTGGGACCTCCTTGGAACTCCGTCTGTCCGAGTGGCAAGGGTGCCATGGCGAGGGTGAGTGCCGATGCAGACCTGTTGGTGCCCGAAGTGGGCCCCGTGCCGTTGTATCCATTGCTGGCAAATGCCGTGTCAAAGGCACCCGACAGTCTGATGGTCGTGTCATTGAGGCCCGTGGTGATCTGTCCCACAAGGCCATCGACACCGCCAAACGGTGCTGGTTCCCAAGCCCTGTTGGTGGTGTTCCACACGGCCACCGACCCCAAGAACCGATCGGCAGGAGGACCAGTGACGGCGACTGGCTTGACAAAGGTACCACCGGCGTAGACGACGTTGTACTGCTCATTGCAGTACAGCGAGAAGACTTCGCCGTCGAGACCGCCGTTGAGGGCGTCCCAAGTCTTGGCCGCTGGGTCGTACGAGGCAATGTTGCTCACGTTGAGGGCGCCAATTTTGGAGAAGCGTCCGCCAACGTATACCAGCTGCGTGTCACCCGTTCGCTTCTGGCAGATGGAACGAATGATTCCACCCTGGTCCGTCTCGTTAATCTTGGCCAAGGTGCCATCGGGATTGCGCGCGATCAGCGTCGCAACGGCGGCGTCAAAGACGTTGGAGTCGTTTTGCGTCGACAGCTGCGGGGTCCAGACCTCTATCCCATCAAAACTACCGGCGACGCCCACCGAACCGAGTCCCTGAAAGTCAATCGCCGGAAAGTTTTGCGCTGACACCGACGCGGCCGTCGCGACGAGTGCCGCGGCGAATGTCAGTAGCAATGACAATGTCCCTTGCCTCCCTCGCGAGGCGTGTGTCCGTGTTGGCGCGCGGCCATCTTGGCAGCCGAGCCCGCCTTGATGCCGCCTCATGTGTACAGTATGTTTTTTAAAACCCTTCTCTCTAGAGCCGAAGCGACTTGCAGTGTGAGGACGAGTGGAGCACGATGATGCTGGTGCGAGTCAGACGTTAATCAGCTTTTTGTCTTCCATTGGATGCTACACGAGCAAGCCGTGCGCGTCTCACCAGAATGAAGAACGTCTATCCTTTACGCCCAGCTTCGCATCACCCTTCCTAGTCCTGTCTCGTGTATCGTTCTGTTTCCGCAAGAGATCTCCCTCTTTCCTTTCTCCTCCAATGTTCCAAGGCTTTCCGCGAAAAGACCGTGTTACGCCTTTGGCTTTCTCCCCTTCTGGAACGACAAGCGACCGAGAAAACTGTCCGATGAGAGGATGAGTCTCGACTTCGGAGTGGGACCGCCTTAATATGAGGAGGGTCCGATCGTTCTGCCTGTTTGGTCCACTTGGTGTGAAGAAGGAAAGGAGGGGCCTGCCTGCCTACTTGTGCTTGCCTAGACGATGTTTGTGGGTTCTGAAAACGAGTGTGGGTGGTGCTGCTGGAACAAGCGCCGCGGGTGGGGAAAGGAGACAATGCGGACCGTGGGGGAAAAGGAGGGCCGCAAAGAACAAGAAAGACGAAGGGCGGAGAGGAGAGGGAAGGAAAGAGGTGATGGTGAGAAGGGGGGGAGAGGGAGGAGGGGGACTCTGCCGGTGTCGATGGCGTCGTCGGTTCGTGACGGGTGACGAGCTGTCTCTCCAACAGGGCTAGAGGTCGAAAAGAGGGGGAGAGAGAAGGAAAAGAATATTCAAACACGCGTTCGCAGCAAACACTGTTTGTCGAGAAACACATTTGTTATTCCCTTTGTGAATACACTACTACTGTTGCTACTACAGCTAAATGTAAAGAACAAAACAAATGGAAGACCCGCTAGACGTGTGTGTGTACTTCTGCTAGAGAAATCCCGGGATGGGCAAGCGTTCGATCTCTCCGGGGAACGCCAGAAAAGACTTGTCCTGGCTAGAGGTATATTTGGCAATGGTAGGTCAAGGCTTGCTAGGAGCTGCAGAGGGGAACGAGGAGCAGCGAGGGGCCAGCGCTGTCCCCGAGTGTATCATTTGTCGGGTGTCCAATTTCGATTTCAAGGGGGTTTTGCTGCAAGCCTGTTCTTCGAAAGAACGCTCTAAAATAAAGCGCGAAACGTGGCGTGCAGCTGGAGATGGCCACGTGATTTCCACCTGGCTTTGGGCCCTTGCTTTGTCCTTGTCAACCCCCGGCGGCCCGAAGCTGTCGAGAAAGCCAAGGGCTGCAAGTGTTGGTCTCTTTGTCTTGGAGAGAGTGGAGATGATTGACATTGTCAACAACAACAACACTGTCTGAGGCAAGCCGACAATATGGAAGGTCGCTCTGCCGTGTCAGGTGCACTTGGGCGACCTGCACCCCCTGGCCGTCGTCGCGGTGGCGTGCCACGGACAGCAAGCAGCGGGCGCTCCGTGCCGGGGCCCAGCGATGCGGCTGATGCGGTCGCTGCGTCGCCGATCTTGGATGGCCTGGGCCTGCCCGGCGTGGAGTCGCCCATGACGCCACCTGTGCAGACTACCGAGATTCCCATCGAAGAGGTGGAGCAGGCCCTCGAGGGGCTCACGCGCGAGGACCTCGTCATGGCTCTCAAGCGAGCAAAGGAACAAATGGACCTCCTCGACCAGCGTCTCGAGGGCAACGTCGACACCATCGAAGCGCTCCAATCCAGCGTCGCCAACCTTTCATCTCAGCTCCGTCTCTCGGAGGCCGAAATCGACTCGCTGAACGGGGCAGTGGCGCAGCGGGAGGAGCGGGTAGACGAGTTGATGAGGGAGCAGGAGCGCATGGAGGACGAGGTCTATTCGAAGCTGGGCATCGTAGAGAGGCTCCGCAAACAGCTCGACGAGAGCGAGAGGAGCAAGGCAGAAGCGGAAAGACGATACACCGATCAGGTGAGCTTTCCTCCTCCTCTTGCCCTTGTAGCGTTTAGATTCCCAGCTCACCTTCATTCTCACTCTGCCTCACAGACGACAACTGCGGACAAGGAACGACAGTACTATGCGGATATGGAGGAGCTACTCCAGTCACAAAAGGCAAAGGCCTCCTCACAGCTTGAGAAGCTGGCGTCGTCGAACCACGAGCTGGCGCGGGAAAACGAGCGCATGCAGAGGCAGGTCACCCAGCTCAAGGCCGCAGCGAGAGGAAGCTCGCTGTCTCCTGGACCCGACTCGCTAGACGATGACGAGGATGACGAGGCTGGCCAAGATCCGCCAAGCCAAGACGACAGTATGATCGGGCAAGGTGACGAGAGCCTGAGCGAAGTCGGCAACGTCTCGGCATCTTCAGCGGGCTCGAAGAGGCAGCTTCGGCGTACTTTGGAGGACGAGGCCCGAGCGGCCGAACTGGAGTCTCTCCGCGCTGAGCTGGCATCTCTGCAGAAGTCGCACTCCAGCCTGACGGCGACGATGCAGCAGCTGCATACCGAGCTGCGCGACGTCAAGATGACCAACGTCGACCTGCGCGAGCAAAACGAAACGTACATCGACATTCTTCAGGAGAAGACACTAAGTGGCGCCCTCATCAGCGAGTCGGCTGTCTTGAACCGGCGCTACAATGGTGTAACTGGTCGATCGGGTGAGGTGTCCGAGAGCGAAGAGGGGAGCACCGAGGATGACGACGACGACGACGTCGAGGATGACGATGACGATGAAGATGATGACACAAGCGGTGCAGACAAGGACGATGTCGACGACGTGCCCGACGTACCTAGGGAGAAGAGGGAGAAAGCCAAGGAACGAAGGCGCAAGGGACAGACCCTCAAGCCACGTCCATCGGCGACCCTTCTCAACCCTCCGACGAGTCTGGCGAGCGAATTGGAAAAGACTGACGACGGGGAAGCGGGCAAGCGGCGCGAGAGGAGAAGAGAACGGAGCGAAGCGTTGACGGACAATGTCGAGGAGCTTCAGAAGGAGGTGTGGGAGCTCCGCGACGCCAACCAGGCATTGACACTCTACGTCTCCAAGATTCTCGACCGAATTATTGCACGCGAAGGCTACGAGAACATCTTGGCTGCCGATCAGGATGGCAAGCGGAGCATGCGAGGCACCAGCAGCCGTCTGCGAGGGCAGAGGTCCCGACTTTCGAATCTGGCGACTGAATTTGACGCAGACAAGGACAAGGCTACAAGGGCACAGAGCGGCAGCGGACTTCTGGGCTTTGCTAGAGCATCCCCCGGCTCCAATGGGTCAGACCCAGCCTCTGCGACTACGCCTACGACGGCCAAACCGCGCCGAACAGGCTCTATAGATTGGAGGGCGTTGCTGGGAGCCTCGTCGTCTCCCGCTTCACCACCCAACAAAGACAATCCTAATCTTCGACCACTGGCGCTTTCAAGTGCCGCGGCACCTCCCGCTCCTCGTCGCATCTCGACGTCTGAGGAACAAGAGGATGCCATTGACATTGAGGAGCGCGAGCGGATCCGGGCAGCACTCGAAAAGGAGGGTCTCGATCTGCCAGAGCATCAGCTGAGGAGCCCGAGAAGCCCGAATCTGCACAGGCAGAGCACTAGCATTGGCACATTCTTCTCGCGCGTAATTAGTGCTAGCAGCAACGCCAGCGGATCGTACGCAGAAGCAGGGCCGTCTGCGACGCAGACTGACACGCCCAAGAGCAGCGGCCACGCGTCTGGACCGAGGCTTGCCACTTTCGAGCCTCAGCCGGCAACGGCGGCGGCACAGTCGAGAAATCGATCGACGAGCGTGGCAAGTAGCAACTCCTCGCTTTCGAGGACAGAACAGCGACAGCGTGCACTCGACGCCAACGGAGCTGGTGCGAGCCTGACACAGGTTCCGGCTCGCGGTAGCGTGTCGGCTAGGCATCGCTCGAGAAGGGATGGATCTTCGACGCTGCTAGACATCGCGAACGGCGGTGTCGACGGGAGCAATGCTCTCCACCTGGACACGAGCCGGAGCAGCAGCGTCGCAGGCGATGAGAGCTATGCGCAGCTGAGCAGCCCAACCTATTCGTTGTCGAAGAGCAGCAACGGGCGCGAGATCGACTTGGCACCGCCAGCGGCTCAGGAGGAGCCTGGGTGGAGAAAGGCTCTCAAACGGATGAGTCTGCTCGGTGGTGAGGCTCCCCCGTCTGGTTAGGAACGCCCTTCTTATTCATCCTACACAACCAAGCCAAGTTTCGACCGACTCACTCATATCAAGCGATGATTCCCACCTTTCCAAGTATATACCATTACTCGTGGTCCTTGTCTTTCCACTCTAGGGTTCATTTGTTGATCAATCAATAGACGATGTCCTCCAAAGTTGGTGAGCAGGACGAACGAACGAGGAGAGGAGTCTTGAGTGTGATGTAGCTTTTTTCTTCGGGACACATTTGGGGTCAGAGGATGCTGCGAGAAAACAGAGGAAGCGAAGGCTGCAGGAGAGACTGCCTGTGCCTTTCAGAACTATATTCTTTGCCTCACTTTGCAGCGCCACGGGCTGTCATCAGACTCTTGACAACGTAGATAATAATGCATCCCAGCGAAGAGAGGGGCTTCGACGTGTCTGCACTTACCTCATTCGTGGCTGGACTGCTATCTCCGAAGCGAAGAAGGAAAGAGAGAAGCTCGGAAAGAGCATACCGAGCGAGATGTGAAGTGTCAAACTGATTGCGTTGAAGAAGTGACGATGATGCTAATGTGACAAATGGGTTTTACAGATTGAGAGAGAAAAGCAAGGAAGAGGGGGGGATCTCCGCTCCACGAAGAGAGAGAGAGAATTGACGCCGCTCCGTCGCTGTGCTCTGTGCGGACACGGAAATTAGTGTCAGCCGACTTTCGTAATGGAGAATGGGGAAGCACAGGGAGGGCACAAGGAATCAGAGTGGTGTTGACAAAATAACTTTGTGTAATCATCGACACTATGGCCTTCAGCCATAGCATTGCGATTATAGTATGGATATCATCATGGAAAGGGCAAAGGGGAATCGGACAAGGGGTACGTAGACGAGGAGAGACTCACCTAATGGTATCGATACTAGTACATGGTTTGTGTTGTTGCTGAGATGGTTGCCCTGATGGTCATCCTAAAGGCGCTGATGTTGATACCGTGCTGCGTTAAGACAATCGAGGCTTTCGCTCCTCAATCTCGATCCAGCCGCCCTTTCGTGTTAATCTGACTCTCTCGCCGTCGAGTCTCTCGTCCATGACACGATCCACTGGCTCTTCCAGGCTCACTTCCCTCCTGTACTGGTCCCTTCGCATTCTCGCTGGACAGGGAAGAATTGACGAAGCAGATAGGCCAACAGTGATGACGGCACCGCAAAAAGTCGCCATGAAGAACGACGAGGTGAACAGCCGGCGCGATCGATTGGAGGGTGAGAGAAAGCTGCGATGCATCGCCCTCAAGGACGCTGTCGGCCTCATCCTGGTCGACCTCCTTCACTTTCCTTGCCCAGAGCAAAATGGGTGAGAAGGGGTGACGAGGTGTTGGTGCTGAGAAGCAAAAGAGAAAAAAAGGGAAATTCTTTCCGACTTCGCGCGAATAGACTTCAGCTGCTTACAAACTTGGGCTGCCTCCTGTCTCGGCCGACTCAGAGGAACCTCGCACTGACTTTAACCTTTTTGTCACTTTCGTGCTTCTTCCTCAGATCAACACAATGGCGACGCCTGCATCGGCGAGAAAGGAGACGGTAGTGTCGGCGCCTGGAAAGGTGCTGATCGCGGGTGGCTACTTGGTCCTCGACCCCGCTTATCCCGGTCTGGTCATCTCGACTTCTTCGCGTTTCTACACAGTAGTACGGACAAGGGACGGGGAGGCCTCGGGACGCTTTCCGGTAAAGGTCCTGTCACCCCAATTTGTCGGCGCTGAATGGGGATTCGTAGTATCGATACAAGGGGAGGAGGTCACATTGGTGCAGACAAAGTGTGTAGCCTCTCTTAGTACAGAGAAAGAACGAGGGACTGACCATTGGCTGCAGGGAGACGTACACTTCGCCTCACGCCGGACCAAACCCTTTCTTGTCTCTTTCCATCTTGTATGCGCTCCGCCTCGCGAAAGAGACCCGTGGAACCGACGCACTGGCTGCTTCTCTCTCGCCTGGTGGTCTTGACATTTACGTTCTGGCCGACAACGACTTCTACTCACAACGCAGCAGTAGCGTGAGTCAGCCTAGTCCTCCTCTGTCATACTTAGAAAAAGCTCACTCTCGTCTCCTTGCAGGGCGCGGCGCCGAGCACCTCTGAGCTACAGTCAATTCCTCCTTTCCAGTCACAGGGGAAACCGATAAAAGACGTTCACAAGACTGGGTTGGGATCGAGTGCAGCCATGACGACGTCACTTGTCGGCTCGCTCCTCATTCACCTTGGTGCTGTGCCCACTGCACCAGACGGCTCCCTTCCTTCCGAGTCGCTCGCATTGATCCACAACACAGCGCAACTGGCTCATTGCGCCGCTCAAGGGAAGGTTGGCTCTGGATTCGACGTGTCAGCAGCTGTATGGGGAAGTCATCTCTTTCGCAGATTCGACAAGGATGTCATACAGGGAATCTTGGATAGAGGGGAGAGGGTCGCTGTGGAAGGATCCCCGGAAGCCGAGGTGAGACTGCTCCTCTTCTGAGGCGCTGCCAACGGAGACTGACACACAGACTCAGACGAGCGATTCATCAGAAACTCTCTGGCCAGCCCTTCAGCCTTCCAACCCCCTTTGGCACCCGTCGCCCCTTTCTTCGGGTCAGGTGGGCGAAACGCACCCAACAGCAGTCGAAGGCCTCGCAGCTTCTATCTCCGACAATCTCAAAGTCGCAAGACCGGCACCCATGGCGCTTCCGCCGCGCTTTGAGATGGTGCTGGCTGATGTCGACGCAGGCAGCAACACGCCCAGCTTGGTCGGCAAGGTGACAGAGTGGAAGAGGAGCAAGCCGGAATGGGGTGCGTCTTCCGGTGTGACTCTCACTCGCGATGTATGCAGTGTGCTTACAACTTCTCTTTTCTTCGTCATTAGCCAAACAGCTCTACCGGATCCTGGCGTCGGCGAATCAGACTCTGGCGGATTCCCTCTTTTCGCTCACGCTGGCATACGGACAAGATCCAGAGGCCTACGACGAGGCCGTTGAACTGGCAGCTTCGAAAAAGAGCAAAGAGGTGAGTTTGGCGCTCACACCTTCCATGCTGAGTTCTTACGCTCGCTCTCGTGCGCCAGTGGGATGCTCTGGTGAAAGAAAAGCCATCTTCGGTTCTCAAGCTCCTCATCGAGACTCGCAATGCCATGCGGTCTGTTCAAGGCGGTATGCGCGAACTTGGGAGACAAGCAGGTGCGCCTGTCGAGCCAAACGAGATGGGCGACGTCATCAAGGCCAGCATCGACGGGTCCGAAGGCATCGTTGGAGGAGGCGTTCCCGGCGGTGAGCCATCTGCTTCCGCTCTAATCTATTTGGTTCTTGCTAACAGGTGTTGTCACAGCTGGAGGCTATGACGCAATGTTCCTCCTCTACCTGCGCCCGCCGTCTGTAGGCAATGGATCCGCGCCAGGCCGAGACAAGGTCGAGCAGCTCTGGTCGGAGTGGACAGCGCTGAGCGTGGGCCCGCTCCTTTGCTCTGCGGGCGGTTCCGCAAGCGCGAGCACGGCCGCGCTGGAGCAGCAGGCAAAGATGCTGTCGCAGGTGCACGGTGGGCAACCATCTGGCGCGGCACCCGCCGTTGCTGCACCAACAAACGACGGCGGGTTGCGCCTCGTCAGCGTCGACGAGGTCAAAGGGCTCAAGGACGCACTGGAACGTTAGCCGCCAAAAGTGCACGTATCAAGCAGCAGCAAACAAGTGGATCGTAATTATGATGATTACGACAGTTGAGAGACTAGTCACTACCCGTACAGACACATATACAAAGCGAGCAAGCGAGCGATCGGAAAATGAGGTGGCCAGACCACTGATTGACTACTAAGGACTCCTTTTTTTTTTCTTCTTTTTTCTTTTTTTCTTTTTTGATTTTCCTCTTCTCTTCTCTTTTCTTCTTGCTTGTTGCTGATGTGAGAAGGAAAGCGGAGAAGTAAGGTGAAGTGGTCGTACAAGATGCAGAAGGGTGAGTTCTAGCCTTGTAGCGAGCGAACACTAGTGGTGGTACCGCGTAGTAGACGGAGGTGGAGGTGGACCTCGCGAAGAAGACGAAGAGGGGAATGGACGAGAGCCAGCTTGATCACCGTAGCCGGTAGGTGGGGGTGCACCACGCGAAGACGAGACGTGAAGATGCGACTGCCTCGGGGAGGGCCCTGAACCGCTGAGACTCTGCTGTTGAGGCGGCTGTTGAGACGGCTGGGGTGGCGGAACAGAGGCGGATGAGGGGGGTGGAGGAACGCTTTGGCGCGAGCCGTAGCTCGGCAACGGAAGTCGGCTCGAGCTGTGACTAGCACTGGGCGAAGAGAGCGAGTGCATGGCTTGCTGCTTCTGCGGCGACGTAGAGGGCGGAGGCGGCTGGGCATAGACATGATCTTGAAGCGCAAAGAGCTGCCCCTCGAGATGCGCAATGTGTCGGTTCAGACCAGCCTCAGATTGCTGAGACTGGTAGAGCTGCTCGGACACTCCTCGCAGCTGGGCCTCCAGGTAGGATGCGTGACGGATGATGGCGTCGATGCGGTCCGACAAATCGTCGATTCTCGCATCGGGCGTCTCGCCGGGAATGGGCCCACGGATCGGACCGGGACCAGGACCAGGCCCGGCGGCGCCTGGTCCCTCTCGCATGCCCCCCGCATCTTCGTAAGCGCCAGGGCCACCTGCACTGCCGTAAGGCCCGCCTGGGCCAATGTGACCGCCTGGGCCAACAATGCCCATAGCGCTGTTACCGCTTGGGTTGCGGGAATGGCCCCCTGGATGGCCGGCAACGGGATAGTCTCGGAAACCGGATGCACCGCCAAATGCCGGCCTGGAGGAAGCAAAGCCCCGTTCCTGTTTGATCGCGCCGCCACCCATGGTCGCCAAGGGGATCTCGGGCGAGGGTGTGGCGCTTCCCGTGCTTCTCATCTGCCCACTTTCAAAGTCATAGCCAGGTCCACCACCCATGCTCCGGCTGGTGCTCTCGGACCTCTTGTGTCTCGACGACTTTCGCTTGATGTCATTGAGGAGGTGAATCTCGCCCCTGCGGAAGCTTGGATGCTTGAATTCCCAGACCTGGATCTCGTCGTCGGGCGTGCCCTGGTAGGTGTGATTGACCTTGTGGAAGCCATACATGTTGAGCTGGCGGACGAAGGACTGCCAGTTGGAATGTTTGAACCAGTTGGGCAGCACGATGCGAGAAAACTCGGCTGGGTTGGCCACGCTAAAGACTGTACCCGAGGGACCCCAAGCGATCATGTCTTCGATGGAATCGTCCTCGAGCATGGAGTAGAGCTTGCTCACAAAGCTGGGCTGCTGCTTGCTGCCGCCAGCACTGCCGCCGGCGCCTGGCAGGCCGGCCAAGGAAGGGTGAATCATCGGCTGGCTAGGCGTTGTCGTCGTCGCCTGTGAATGTTGCGACAACGATGGGCTGGCCCCAGGCTGGCGAGGGCTCCTGACAGCGTACGAGGGCAGGCCAGTGGTGGTTGCGTAAGGAGGCAGACCTTGGGCACGAGCTGAGCCAGGCATGACTGTCATACCCCCGTGCTGTTGCTGCTGCTGATGATGCATCAAGGGAGCCTGTTGCGGAGGCATCGTTGGCGAGCTGGGGCCATGCTGACGCTCTTGTCCACCGCCATTACCGCCTCCGCCTTGGAGCGTCGCAAAGCTCGGAAGTCGAGGCGAGGGGTCACCTCCGTATCCAGGGGGCATGCGCGTCTGCTGGGGCGCACCGGGTCGCTCGCCAGGGTAGCGTTGTTGGCCGTGGTGGTAGCCCGGCGGGCCGACGGATGTCATCGAAGGCAAGCGCACTAGCGGCTCAAGGTGCCGTGAAGGCGGGCCGAGGGGTCCTGAGGCGGGCGGGCGAAGGGAGCCGTGACTGCGATCGATGTCCATCGCCTCTGCTCCCTTCTCGCTGCGCCAGGTATAGTTTGGCTCACCGTCGTCGTTCACCGTGCCTGGTGGACCCTGGTCTGGGCGCCTTGGCTCACCGTCACTGCCTCGACTCCGGCTACGACGAGGTGCGCCTGTGTCCCCATCCTCCATCGACGGTGTCCGCGAGTGAGAGGTCCGTATGCGAGACGACGAAGCTCCATCGTGTTGATAGCGATGCTCTGGCCGTGATTGTTGCTGAGTCTGTTGTTGTGAGTCGCCAAAGTGGGGACCGTCTTGCGCGAGCCTTGGCGTCTTGCGGGGAGGAGGACTGCTTCTAGCTCCTGACGGAGAAGGGGAAGTCGGTCTTCCATCTACATCGTCGGCGCCGTGCTCCTCGTCCCCTGCCAGCTCATCGTGGTCTTCGTCTCGTGCTTCATGCCCCTCCGACCTCGTCTTTGACGGCGATCGTTGTCCACGTCGTCTCTTGATGCCCGTGACAGGAGCTGTCGAGTCTTCATCAGCTTGCGCCTCCGTTTCCCCTTCGCCCTCTTCCTTGCTCTCCTCCGCAATCACCCCGTGCGGAGGTGTGGACCTCTTGTTGCTCGGGTAGCGCCACTCGGACACGCGTTTTGCTTCGCTCTCGTCATCGTGCTTCTTGCTGCTCGCAGGGGAAGAGGACGAGGAAGAGGCCTGTTGCTGTTGCTGATCGATGCGACTTGTACGGCGCAAAGAGGGACCGCCGCCCATTGGAGGGGGAGCAGGGTTGGCAGACGAGGAGGACGAAGACGAGGGACGAGCGTATCGAGGTGAACGTGGATGGCTGGATGATTGTTGGCTGTTGCGTCCGCGAAAAGCAGCTTCCATGGCAAAGGCGGACGTGTTTGCAACACTGTCGCGTCGCTCTGTCGACGAAGAAATCGTTGCGGCCATAAAGTCGTATGTTGAATGATGTCTGCCCCTGTTAGCTGCAGTCGAAATTGTGATTCGTGGTGATATTCGTGACTGTTGATCGTAAGAGGGGAAAGGCCGCTCTCTCGCTCGAGAGCAATCCACGGGAAACAAAGGAAATAAAAAGGGGGGAAGAAGTCCGCGTTAAGTCTTTGCCGATTGGTGCGCAGTCGACCGTCCACAGTTCTGCTTCTCAGTTTTAGACGGCGAAATGGCGAACCGGAAAAGAAGGAGAGATATCCTGTAGAGTTGCATAGCGGTGAAGTATGCGTCAGCAAAAATGAGCGCGAGAATTATGATGAAGGAGCGGACATGGGCGGCGAGGGGAAGAAAGATAGGGGGAGAAGTGGCGAGCGAGCAGGAAGAGAATAGGGAGGAGGACGCGGATGTTGCATGCCGGACACCATTGCCCGGTCAGCAAGGACCGCGGTCTCGGATAAAGGTAGCTGGTATCGCGGCAACCCGACCAATTTTGCTCTTGCGGGCAACCTTCGACATCCGTCTCGCACGAAAGAGGGCGAAGGGGGGGAAAAAGGATATGGAGGCAGAGCAAAGAAAAATTGCGAATCCTGGCCGGAGATCTAGGAATCCTCGCCAACGCCGCCGCTGCCGCCGCCCTCTTCTGCTTCTCGAATACCGCGTCGTCTTTCCTCCGAGAATCGCCCGCCGGACTCCTTGTCTGCTCCCTTCTTTGTCCGCACCGCCCACTCCCCCTTTCGTTTCCCAAAAATACCTCATTTCACGAGGCCCCACCGGACAAGAAACCCGTTCCCCTTTTTTCATGGTGTAGCTCCAAATCTGACTCACCTGCAAGAGGGTGCAAGAGGACAAAGAGATAATCTAAAGGACGGAGTGATGCGTGAGCTGGCCAAAGCGGTCAGATTCGCCCCTGGAACCGTTGACAGCGTGCGCTCGGGCGACAGATAAAGCGACGGAGAGCGGAGAAGTTGTTGTTGTCGTCGTCGTCGTTGTCGGCCCTCGTCGTCGAAGAAGAAGATCGTGGACGGAAAGCGAGATGCGCGGGCGGCGAAAGAAGGTGCTGGGACTTCTTGATCTCGTGAGGCGAGGCCGGAAGTCGATCGGATATCCAAGTCCTTTTTTCCCCCTTGTTCACCTTGCCCTCGCGGAGTCTAAAGTCGTGGCTGATAAAGCGCAGCTACGCACGTCCGACACGTCAAATGAAGAAATTAGAAAGGTAATTGGAAATATAATAAAGGCCCTCAGGGACGACGGCCAAGGCGAAAAGGTGCCTGGATGCCAAGGCCTATCTGTCGGCCACCGGGAGAAGAGGGTGGACCTAGACTGCAGCGTGTCGCACCTTCGTTTCCCTTGCCTAGATGCAGGCGGCTCGTATGGAACAAGGCTGCCGGAAGTTCGACCAGCTCGACGTGGAAGGCACAAGGAGGCGGTGCTCCCTGTCTATCCTCCCGGCTGCGGCGCTCGAATAGTGGAACAGAGCGCGGAGGGCTGGAGCCGAGAGAGAGAGAAAATAAAAATTAGAAAAACCGAGATGGAAAGCCCTGCTGACGCGCACAAAAAGGGGATGGAAATAGGTGGAATTAATAAGAAGCCGAACCCACCTGTGCAGTCGGCACGCCGGATCGATCTCCTCACCTGCTGCTGGTGGAAATCTTTGATCCTACTACTGTAGCCCCTGTGAAAGAGATTGCCGAATTGCAAGGCGTTCCTTTGCCGTCTTTGCGACTGCCGAGGGCGCCGGATGCTGTGTAGGCGGAACCGCGATGGAACGTACGGGGTGCAAATTCTTCAATCGCTGAAGAAAAGAAGGGACCTATGCGTAGAAGCGTGAAATGAGAAAACCAGGCCGGGCGCAGCTGAGTTTTGAATTCTTGCCGAAAGCGGTGGCTGCTATATCTGTCGTTTTGCTTCCAAGCCAATCTTTGAGAGCAACTTGTCGTCGTAAACGTCGAGGAGAGCAGGTGTCGTCGTCGTCGTCGTAGGGCAATGACAACCGACCCTTGATCTCTCCTCCAGAGAAAGTGAAAGCCTAAGCAAGATGGAAGAGGGTGGGAAAGGAAGACACAGCGCAGGTGCGGAGACCGAAATGATTTGACAGGTCGAGCCCAGGCTAAGAAATGCAGATAAAGCAGTGTCTTTTTTTTTCTTTCCTTGCCTTGCGTTCCGATCTCTTTGCTAGCGAGCACGTCAGGCGACGCACCTCTACACACTGCTGCTGATGCAACACAGGAGACTGAATCTGGAAAGCAGACCAATAGTTGAATAATAATGGAAAGGCGTCGATTATGTATGCACGTCTACGCACTCGCGAAAACAGGAACGGTATCGATTCTGCTGCGAGCGCGCGGGCGTCGACGACTAAACAGAGAGCCGGGCCAGGCAAAATTTTATCGCGGGCCGGGCAGGGAAGGGAGATAGAAGTAGACGTGGGGGTTCGCCTGCCGTACCGTCAGTTCGGAAGTAGCGAAATAACTAGCACGCATGTGTGCTCTCGATGCATCCACAAGGAACGTCATGCAGCTGCATCACTGTGGGAAGGAGCGCGGCGCTCGCATTGCAGCCCAGGGCAATTTAAGAAAAGAAGACCTTGGTCTATCGCCTGCATCGGTGTTTCAAATAAGTGAGAGAAAAAAGCTAGAGATTGCGATCCCTGGTGCTTCTTGATTTTGCCCTGCATTTGTGTCCCGAGGTCTTCGCCTATCTAGGCCTCACTACTGTACTCCTGCTCCCTAGATTTAACCCCGCTCGAAGCGCTCAGCCCATTCCGGCCAACAGCAGGGACACCAAGGCAAGTACGTCCCGTCCCTCGAAATCGGAGTTGCTGCTGCACAGCCATTTCGGCACCGCGTTCGAGATTCTTTTTCCAATTTCAACTTTTAAAATTTTCTCCAATCTGCGGCAGGAGCCAGCAAGCGGGCACCAGTCCTAGTTTGCGTGAGAGTCCACGGGTCGAAAAGAACAGGCTAAGGCCTCGAACTTCGTCATCGAGTCACCTAATAATATTATTGCGCAAAGGAGGTGCTAGGCGCCCGCGCCGTGCGTTCCACATGGGTCGCCTCTGCCTACACTAGATCAGAACTTGCATCAAGCGAATACTTGCCATATCTGTCGAGATCCTTGGCTCACATAACGCGGGTCCTGCAAGAAAGAGCAGGCGCACCTTCCACAGGTCTTGGTTGAAGGCCGCTAACTTCACGCTTGTGAGAGACGTACTGTCTCAAGTCAGCGAGAGTCACACAGTACTTCTGCTACTAGCCAATAAATGAAGTGCACCCGCTCGGATCCATCGGGCGTTCCTGACGATCCTGTCAACGACAAAGAACAGCACATTCAATCTAAAACTTGGGCTGGTCCAAGGAGCAAAGAAGTGCGAAAGATAGCGCGGACTCTCTCGTTTGTCCGAGAGACATCGACGTTCGGCCACGCCGGCTCCGCGCGCTCGCAAGCGCTTCGTGGCCTTTTCCCATCCTAACAGCAGGAGTGATAAACCCGTCTGTTTTTGTGCTGTAGAACGCATGGCTATTGTATCATGCCGAGAGCCGAGAGGTTCCGTCTCTTGGCGCTGCTGCGCAATTTCAGTACCGACACCTGCCTCGTTCCTCTTTGAGCTTATCGTCTCGCGTCGCAATGCTTCAACCCGTCTTCAAGCCTGTAGTATAGTACTTGTAGTGTTGTGTGCACAACTGGCCACGGCTTTTACTGTGACCAAATCGGAGACCGACGCACTTCTGATTCTGGCCGCGACTAGCTTCGTTCCTGGATACGAGCCGTCCCGCAATTTTTCCGGGATGCGGGACGTCAGGTGAAATAAATTAATTGCAGATAGAGGTCGACTGGAGACGACCAGAAGAAGAAAAGTAGAAAACGGAGGTTAAACGGAGGTTACTGACTCGCGATGAAAGGGTCCCCACCCTATCGTTCACCGTCGGCCAATGCAGTCGGCTTTGTTTGTGCAACCCGAACTCTTTCGAGAATAGGGGGACCCTCTGCTGGATACGAAAGGGGCAGGTTCCAAGATAGTACTGTACAGTCATTGCCATTCTAAAACAATTTGGGGCAGCTGCACCATCATGTCATAAGTGACCTCTGGAAAGGCATGCATCCCCATAAACTGTCCCGGCATGAGCAATTTGCATCCAAAAGCTGCTCACCCATGCACAGTAAAGCAGGCAGACAAGCGTACGAGTTCAAGGGCCAGCTTCATGCTCGAAGAAAGAATCATAGGCTGCACCAATTCTCTCTCTTTGGACCCATGCAGCAGCTTCGCAGGGACATGAAACTTGGGCTTATGCTTGTGCGCGGCAACACAGTCCACGATCCACGATGAAAGGCATGAACCTAGAAGTGACGGAATACGGCTGGCAGTGCAAGGATCCTGTGAGTGTTGACCAATTCCCAGTTGTCTTAGTGAGCACCCTGGACCACATCTGGAGAAGCGCTTGGAGCTACCTTCCTTTGCTCTGCTTTCTCCGTTTCTAGAGAGATTGGATCGAGGATTGAGCAAAGGTCATCGTCCTTTCTTCTCGGCCAACAGCTACGATCGCAGAGTCCGGCTCGGCGCACTTTTAGAGTGCAGGAGCAGCTGAATGGACTGAGTCGATGGTTAAATGCACCTTAAGTTTCAGAGGTGAGGAGAGAGAGACGTTAGGTCGGGACGTCATGAAGGGAGTGGCTGCAGCTCTAATGGCTGACAGGAACATCAAATTGCTTCCACTGCCGTGAGCTCCTCTACAATCTTTTCCTGGAGCATGCGGAGCACGAATCTAGCCGTTGCCGGGGTGCAATCGGACAGGATCCCCCTTTCCAGCGCCAGTACGGCGGGTAGCCTCTGGACAATCCTCGAGGACTCAGAAGACGAGGGCTCCGCCTGTTCGCAGTATGCCTTGGTGACGTCGAGCGCAATGCGATCGAAGTTGGGAATGGCTGTGGCTCTTTTCAGTCGATCTTCATCTACTACCACTTTGGCCTCGAGAGCTGGCGACGGCGCGGTGGTCGTGCTGAAAAGCACCTTTGCCCCCCGCCGAAGTTCAATGTCGAGGACGTATTGCTCCCAAAAGACGAGACGAAGCTGCGTCGCCGATCGGACCTCGAGCTCAGGACTGCTGACATCTTCGAGACACCGCTCGTCGATCTCTGACACCTGCTCCAGCATGGGCAAGAGGTTCTGCAAAAGCTTCAAGAACCCAAGCCAGAATCCCGGCTCGTTGTCGTTGCCCCGGCTGAGCGACCTCTGCAGCGTCGGTGCCATGACCTCGTGCGGGTTTTTGGATGCCAGCGAAGACGAAAAGACGATGGAGTAAAAGCCGCCCTTTAGGAGCCGCAGATCCTCCCGCCAAGACACCTCAGCGCTAAGACCTTTGGCATACTCAAACGAGACGCTACAAAGGTCAAACTTGTCGAGCGTTGGCACAAATCCAGAGGACCATCCATCGATCTTGTGGCAGCCGAGGAGCTCCTTTGCGAGGTTGGCCACCTTGGACACTCGGTTCCACTCGAGGAGGAACATCGAGATGCAGTTGTCGACATCTTGCGTCGAGAAGGTCAAGATCGATGTGCGCGGGTCGAAGTCCAGCGTCGCTCCGCCCGAAGCACTTATGCGACGGTTCGAAAGGCCCGCCCGCACTCGCAAGCGTGCTGAGATTTCCACGCGGCTCTTCGAGACATCCCACCACTGCTTCATCTTGAGCGATAGATTCGGCTTGACAATGGTATGAGCCGGCCCCAGGAGCATATCGGCACGCAGGGCGAGGCTAGGGACCAAGTCGATAACGCTCCGTTGGACATCGTCGCAATCGTCGATCTCGCCCGAACGAGCGGAAGCAGGGCTGACGTGGACAAAGGGAACATTCTTTAGCTGGAGCTGCTGCTCGACCTTGTTGAAGCTGACGAGGGCTAGGCTGTAGCTGTAAAGTTTTGCCAATTCCTCTTCCGTCAGAGACATCGGGTTACCCCTTGAGATCGCCACATTCATGCCATGTCTCCTTTTTCCGAGTGTTTTCGCCTCCTCACTAAGCGCATGCGACCTTGTGATTCTCGAGCGATCGAGCCAAACGAGCGAGTATATCAGCATCGAAGTCATGACGCCCTCCATGAAAGTGTGAGCACAGATGAGCGCAACGCGTATCGCATCGTCGGTGACGCGCAAGACGAGATAGTATGTCGGGAAGGGGGCGAGATGGACGAAGAGCATGGTGCCGGGATGAGCCCGCAACTGTTGGTAGTCTTCCTGCCGTAGCGGCAATCGCCTCGTACAGGGTAGTCCGAGTAGCGAAGCTTTTTGCTCAAGGTCCTCCAAGATGACATTGCATCGGAGGTTTTGAAGGATGCTTACGACCTGCCCTGGACGGTCATTGAGCCGCTTCGATGCATCGCGCAGCTGCCTCGACCTGTCATGGCTTGCCAAGGACGTGCAAGATAGGGACGTTGTGCTTCCGCTACCTTGAGCTTCCTCGAGCCGAAGCTGACCTGAGAGAGCATCGAGGTGAAGAACAAGGCAGAGACGCTCGTGCAGAGGAAGTACGAGCGCGTGCGTCGGCCGCCTATGTTCCATGTGGCTACGCAGGCGGCACTGATCCGAACCCACAGCTGCACACAGGCTGCTTGCCTGTATCCTCGACCGAAACGCCAGCAGGGCAGCATGAGCGTGCCTACTGACGGCTTCGAGAAGAAGCTTCTCAATGTCGAGATCCCGGTTGTCGATGGTGAAGTCTTTTGTGCGTAAGTGTGGCGTAGCAGGACCGTCAACCTCCCACTCGACGGGGATTTCAAGGCGCGTCAAGGACTGGTTTCGTGCCCTCTCTTCGTCGTCGTCTTGCACATCAAGGAGGCCTTCCACGGTGACTCCTTTGCCACTCGAGTCCTGCACTTCTCGAACCGAGACCTTGAGCGTGGCGCTTGCTGCGGGTGTCCAGGCTCGCTGCTGCTCGCCCCGCTGGCCGCTCTCTGTTCGAACGGCTCCTTGCTGGTTCCAGTATCTAATCGATAGAGTACGTGGTCGGGCTGTGTGATCCATGTGAACAGCCAAGCTCGCCCCCCAGCTGAGCTTTGTGAGTTGTATCGCCTGGTAATGCAGGATATCAAGCTGGTAATTGAGGGCTTGGGATTCTGTGCGAAACGACGCGTGAGAGACCAGTAAGTAGGCAGGGGAGAGGAATGGCAACTCACGAAGAAAGTTGTAGAGCCGCAAGAGCGGCGTATCTTTTCGAAATGGCAGTGTATCGCCAGGCTTGTCAAATTCTGCAGGGATGCCATCTTCTGCATCATGCATCTCTACGTCGGTCTCTACTGTCACGGCAGCCGTCGCTGTCTGTGCCGGAACCTGCTCCGTTGATGCCTCCAATTCTGGGACGGCGGCGATGCTCTTCGGTGCCAGCTCTGCGTTGGCCAGGTAGAGGATGACTTGACGCTGCTGATTGATGGGCTGCCTTGGAAAGCGATCGGCCCCGCTGCCGGTAATCTTGAAGTCGAACTTGACCCTCGTCAATTGCCAAAGGGCTTCCTCTATGCTGACACCTGCTAACGTGAGATCCGCTTCGAAGAGAGACGGTACGACGAAACATGCTCGACCGTCATCTAAGAGTCGGATTGAGGGTCAGTAGAAGTGGAGGGGGTAAAGAAGGATTTGGGTGAGGCCGGCGACCCACCGATGGTATAGCTGAGCATTGGGACAGGGATAGCCTCGTCGCACGCCAGCCTCACTGTCAGGGCCTCGTTGAGCTCCTCGATGATTTCTAATGCCTCGTCGTCGGTGTACTGCTTTTGGGGAGCGATTGATTCCTGAACGCAAGCGGATCAGCGTCGTTCTTTAGTCAACGAGCCAGGTAAGCTCACCTTGATTAGAGGCGGCACTCTTTGCGGTGCTCCCGCTCCAAGAACCTCAATGGCCGTGACGACGTCAAAAGAGCGCAACCTGCAGAGCAATGGTCAAAGACGCCGTCAGCTCCAAAAAGGTGAGCGTCTTTCATTGAGTGCAAACCATTACCTTGCCCTGGTGAGGATGCTGCGCGTCTCGTTCAAAGAGGCCACCGCTGAGTCCGTCTGGAAGATGTGATCGTTGATGAAAGAGATGATGTCCTGGAATCCCCCGGCTTTCGAGTCAGCCACGAGACGGGCAGTAAGCAGGAAGACGCGTGCTCACCCTCGCTAGATGAAGCTCCTCTGCGCATGCACACCACCGAGCTAGGACGAGAAGTTTGATGAGTTGCTTGCGAGCTTCGACTGCGTCGTTGAACATTCTTTTTCGACGCTCCATCGGCGAGAGAGAAGGGTTGCTGTCATATTGACATGTAAGCCTACAGTCGTGTTGGAGAGCAATGTTCCGAGCTGAGACTCACATTTCCACCTGATTGGCAAAGAGCTGCCATGCATAGAAGACAAGCCTCTGAGCGATAGCGCTGAGGGGAATGAGGTCCCTGTCCTGTTCGTCTGGGTTCGGCAGCGGCGGTCGCACCTGTTCGTCGAGCTCCTCCCTCGTTGGCATCACCTCGTCGATGTGACGAGACTTTTCCCATGCGCGCCGCCTCCTTGTCTTGTACAAGATCGAGTACACCTCCTGGCTCAGGTCCTGAGGAGCATCTTGGCCCTCGCTGACACCATTATGCAAAGTAAACTGGTTGGTCTTTGACGAAGAAGCGGCAGCTGCAGCCGCAGCGGCAGCCTGCACAGTGCTTGGTCCCGGACCAGCGATGGCGCCGCCCTGTCGATCTTGTCCGTCATCACCATTGACCTTTGCCTGTCCCACTCCGGCACCAGAGACAATACCACCACCGGCATCGCCACTGCTGTTGCCTACTGCACCACCACCTCCGCCTCCTCCATTGGCTGGCCCTGCTATTTGACCTTTGCTTGTTCTTCCATTTGCGCCATTGCTGTTATGGACGACGCTACCACCAGAGGCAATCGACGGGTTGCTCGGTGTGGAAATGGTAGGGCTCAAGGCTCCCAGGGGCCCCTGGGCCGGAGAAGGCTTAGCGTATCCAGCGTGCCCTTGCCTGGCTGCGGCTGCGTTGTGCTGCGCTGCGTTAACGAAAGAAGTTGAATGATGATGATCCTGTGCTCGTTGGTGGACCGTCGGCGTACTGGGCATAACACAGTTGACGACGATGCTTCGGCTCTTCCTCGCGACGACACCGGTTTGCCCTCACGCAGTTGAATGACCTTCTTTGCCCGGCCAAAGGACCTGTCTACGGGGCGAGATTCGAAAGATGGGTCCTGACGAGTGGGGAGGCGAGACTGAGCAATGGGGTGAGCGACGCTGCTTTCGGCCTGCTTGCTACGTTGGCAGGTTCTCGAATCGCGCAGCCTACAGGTTGGATCTCTTCGGGCTTCGTGAAGGGGCGACAGGAGGGAGAAGAGGAGGAAGACACGAGTGTGCAGGACAAGGAATCGGGAGGAAGGTTGTTCGGATGGAGGAGATGCGACGAAAGGGCGCTTGCTTAAACTAAGCCCACGATCGGAACTAAAATAAGAAAGAGTGAAAGCAATAAAAATAATAATAAAACAATTGAGGGTAGCTCGCGCGCGCACGCTCATCCAAGAGCAGGCTTCTTCTGCGCTAACAAGAAAGAGAGAGAAGGCAGCTTTGCACGGATCTCTTTCTGCTGGAGGGCGCCGGCAGCTCACGCACGCAGAGCCCAAGCAAGGAGACCTGAAGTCGACTGGCAAGCCCAACAAAAAGACCGCAGGGCAGGGTGCCGGAGAATGGACTACTTTAAGACGGCTGCGACGGCGCTGCTGTCCAAGGGCGGCCCGCTGCCCAACTACAACATCGGCGAGCGCGAAGCCTGGTTCGAGGGGAGGACGATCTGGAGCCTGCACGAAGGCACGAAGAGAGTGAGTGTAAGAGAATCTCGCCGCCTTGTTCCCAAGAACGGGCATCTTACCAGAGCGAGTCTGCATACAGGACGACTCCTCGCCATGCAGCATCCTCATCTTTGACGCAATGGTGCCGTCGCACAACCCGCGCAAGTCGGTGCTTCCGCTTGCCAAGAATGCACTCCGGAAGTTGCGGACGACACGGCATCCTGATGTGGTCAAGCTGCTCGACAGCGCAGAGACTCCTACGGCTGTCTACATCGTCGTGGAGCAGGTCAGACCGCTGGGGAGGGCTCTCGAAGAGATGAAGGCCAAGCCGGAGCAGCGGGCGGAGTGGGTCGGATGGGGCCTCAGCAAGATTGCTGTGAGTTGCGGCTACCACTACACTACACCGTTATCATCTTCTGATCTCACCTCACACCAACAGGATGCTGTCAAATTCTTAAACTCCGACACCGGGTCCACTCATGGCCTGGTCAGGCTGGAGAGCATCTTCCTAGCCAGCAGCGGTGAATGGCGCCTGGCCGGATTTGAGCTCCTGAGCTCTCCCAAGGACGAATCTCCCGTTCTCTATGTGAGTTCCGGCGTACGCACTTTGTCCATTGACCTCTCCTACAGATCAGCTGACAACATCTTGTCACTCTTCGTTGCCATCGCAGAATCAGGGCAGCCTGGTGCCCGACGCTGCGCGCTGCGCACCTCCAGAGGTCAAGCAGCAAGGGTGGGGAGTCTTGAGGGAGTGAGTACCTCGACGCAACCGTCGGTCGCAGCTGTGGCAAACACAAATTAAACCCCTTCTTCACCAAAGCCTTCCGCCACACCCGATGGATTCGTTCGGATTCGCTCTTCTTGTCATCGAAGCATACAACGGCAGCCTCCCTCCCAGTATCAGCGCTGTACCCCCTCAGGGCCAAGTCCCCGCGCCCATCTATGCTCTTGTGCGGCGAATGATGGTGCCAAACGCAAAGAACCGACTGCCGGTCGCCAATCTACTCGAAGCCGGCCAAGCCGATGGCGGCTTCTTCACCGAGAATCGACTGGTCAAGGTAGCAAGCGGTCTCGACGGCTTCATGCTCTCGCGCGAAGATGAAAGGGCCGAAATCATGAGGTATGTGCTTGTCTCTCTTTTCCACGCTGACATTTGGTATGCTGATCGTGTTGTTACTATACACAGACAACTCAAGTCTTCGTCGGACAGCTTCCCGCCCGAATTCTTGCACTACAAGGTCCTGCCCACTCTCGTCAATGCTCTTTCGCTTTCGTCGAGCCCGCAGAACGTGGGTAGCCCTACGCTGCAGGCTAGCAAGATTCTTCCCCTTGTGCTCCAACTCGGGGCAAAGCTGCCGGACAAGGAATGGAGCCGGAGCCTCTCGGCCCCGCTTCTCAAGGCGTGGACGAGTGCCGATCGAGGAGTGCGAATGACGCTGCTCGAGAGCCTGGAGCTGTACATGGACCGCCTCGAGGCAAAGAGGATCAGCGACAGCGTCTGGCCCAATCTCATCACTGGCTTTGGCGACTCGGCACCCGTCATTCGCGAGGCTACTGTCAAAGCCATCCTGCCCCTGTCGGAGAAGCTCTCGGAGCGCATTCTCAACAACGATTTGCTCCGGCAGCTGGCGAGAAGCCAAGTCGACAACGAAGCGGGTATCCGAACCAACACGACGATCCTCTTGGGCAGGCTAGCGCCGAAACTCAACCTCCAAACAAGAAAGACGGTCCTGATCCCTGCTTTTGCGAGGAGCATGAAAGACCCCTTTGTCCATGCCCGCGTCGCCGGCATCATGTCACTTATGGCCACGGGCGAGAGCTACGATGGCGACGACGCAGCCAAGCAGATCATCCCCGCCATTGCTCCATGCCTCGTCGACAAGGAAAAGATGGTGAGAGACCAAGCATTCATGGCCATGAAGATGTTCATGGAGCGTGTCAAGGACAAGGTCAAGACCATGCCCGACACGGCCCTTCCTCCCGAGCAGCAGCAGCAGGAGGCTGGTTCCGCATCATCCATGGCAGCAACAGCTTCTGCCAATGGCTCCTCTGCCACGCCAGGCTCGTGGGCCGCCTCGGCCTTGGCAGGATGGACGCAATCAGCATTTGCCAAACACATCGATACTGCCTCGCTGGCGGCGACGACGATGGACGGCAAACAGACGCCCTCTGCCGTCTCAACGCCTCCCGTCCCTGCAGCCTCGCCGGCACCTTCGTCATCGACGTCGGCCGCCAGCGAGGCCCCCTCATGGTCCAAGCAAGGCGATCTCATGGATGTCAACGACGACGAGGCCGACTGGTCTGGCTTTGAGACGGCACCACCCAAAAAGGCTGCCTCGCTGGGAGGTGCTCGGCGAAAGATGGGCGCAAGGGCAGGCGGCGGCGGCGGCGGCAGCAGCAGCAGCAACAACAGGACCTCACGCGCACAGCCTTCCTTGTCCACTCGACCGATTGCTTCCTCTTCCTCCTCTTCCTCTTTGTCTATGCGCGCTTCGGGAGATGCGTTGAGCGCTATGACGCGCAAGAGCCTCGCCGTGGCCGATGCTGGCGCAGGTGAGTCTATGACCTCATCGTCGAGGCCCAGCTACTCACACACACCTTTGCTGTCCCAACAGCTGATGATGCCGCCTGGGATGAACCACCGGAGGAAGAGGAAAAGGCGCCGCCCTCAGCATCGACTGGCCAGCCTGCCGTGCAACGTACTGAGAGTCCAGCTTCTGCATTCAAGAAGCCCGTGGAGGCATGGGGCGAGGAGGGCGGAGCAGGTGCAGTGCCAGCACGGGCAGAAGAAGATGAGCCAGGGACAGCGGTAAGAACAAGGACAGAGGCAGGGACGGGGGCATCCGTCAACGAAACAGCAGCTTGGGGAGCAATTGACGATGCGTTTGAGGACGACCAGGATGGCAAGGGCAAGTCCTCGTCTACGACAGCTTCAGCAGCAATGACACGTGAAGAGCGTCGGGCTGAGATGGAGCGCAAGCGCGAGGAGCGGAGACAGCGCATGGCCCAGCTCAAGCAGTCCAAGGCTCAAAAGCTGGCCTCGGGTCTCGCATGAGCCTACCCTTCCCACCCCTTCGCGCAGGCACGCGCACACTACTCCGGGGCGTACCGCGCAGCGCAGCACAGTGCAGTGCATCCCATGTTGCTTTGCATCACAACACGCACATGCATAGCTGGCAGTTGCTCCTTGTAGTAATGGAAGTAATATATATATAGTACTTCTTCTCCTGGTGTCGTGTGTGTAGCTTGTCGCACCGAGCGTGAGAGTGAATTTACCTTGCCGCGCCTTATTCGAGAAAGGCTAGGCTCCCTCGATCTGGAACGGCATTTGTTTATTACTTTTAGGCGTTCCTGAATCGGCGAGGCGGAGCCTTTTTTTTGGTCGAGCTTTACTTGAGCCCCTCGCTTGGGTTCCCACGGGCCAAATGCAATCCTGAAGAGGTCGATTATCCGGCCAAAGGGTGCCCGGCCTTTGTCATTTATATTCATGCATGCGAGCATCTTGGTCTCTTAAAGGAGAATGAGAAAGAGGGCTCGGCCAGATGCCAGCCAGGGCTTGGTCTCCTGTACGTATGTCTTGTTACGTTGTACAGCTCGCTAGCACGGCAGTACGCAGGACCGTGCGGTACTCATGTACGTGCACGCTACATTTGGCGTTTGTCTACCAATTGTCCGATCGTCGTAGGCTCCCAGGAGCTAGCCAAAATTCAAGCAGGAGCAGGACCAATCCGGTTGCATCCACCAACCAAGGTTAAGGAAAGTACGTGGCCAGACAGGAGGCCTCTCGAAAGAAGATGAAGCTGACCGCCTCGTGTGGGGACATGAGCCAACATCGTGCATGAGACGCAGAGAGAGATAAGAGTATTTACTAGTATGTGAGAGCTACGAGGGAGCGGACAAGGGGAAACAAAAGAAGCAAAGGGGGGGTGGGCCTCGACGGGGAACTCTTGATCGATATTTTTGTGGCGCACCCTCTTTTTTTTCCATCTTTAAAATTTCCTCCAAATTGCGCAAGTCCTGGGGTGTCCAGAAGCAAGGAAAGCCGTTAGAAGTGGAGCGGATGTTGAATTTTCCCTCCTGGCTCATATCAATTAAGCAGTACGTCGTCCGTCACAAGGAGGCAATGCATGTAGAGCAAAAGTGCTCCCGAGACTTGGCTGGACCCTTACGAGGTGCATGGGGCAGAGTTATTACCTTGACAAGGCGTTAGGCAGCCGTAGTAGTGCAGCTTGTAATGGGAGCTTGTTATTGTTGAGAGAAGCTGTATGTCCTACGTACTGTTCAGTACATACATAGAGATGCGGCAGTACAGACGGGCCGAAATAGAGTTCGTCGCGGGAACGGACACCCTTCTTAAGCCCCACCCTTGCTCAACTTTGCGGCCGCTCGTCCTTGCCTTTTCCCCTCAGTACGGGCCGTCACCGAAGCAACAAGGCGCTGGGCGTCCTGCGACATCATGGTCGGCTCATCGACATGGCAGTTTGGCCTTGTGGATCCGACGAGTGAGTTCTGCGCTATGCCTGCTCTCGATGTGGTTGCCGGTGGATTGCTCACTTCTCTCGATCAGATTCTACCCAAGTGGCCCAGTACTACACCAATCATGCTGTGCCGCAGCGTTTCAATCCTGGCATCATTGTCGCCTCGATTGCCGTTGCGATCCTGGGTGCCTACTCGACTCTGCTGGTTCTTGGGCGGCGGACAAGCAACAAGGGTGCACGCAACATCTTCCTCCTTGTCCTGGCTGCCACAACGATGAGCTTCGTGGGCATCTGGTGAGCTGCTCTGCGCGTTGGTCACTGTTAGACTTTGACCTCAAGGAGCTGACGCGATCGGGACCCAAGGGGTATGCACTTCATCGGGATGCACATGAGCCTGGAGCCGGCACCCGGTGTCAGCTGGTATATCAATTTCAATCCGGGCTTCACCGTCTTCAGCCTCATCGTTCCAGGCATCGCCCTGATCTTGGCCTTTGTCTTTGTCGACCAGGCCGTCGAGTACAGCCTCTGGAGGATCATCGCGAGCGGCACCTTGACTGGCTGCATCGTCGCACTGATGCACTACTCCGCCTCGTTCAACGCAAACTTCAAAGTCATCTACAACCCTGCCCAGACGGTCGTCTCCATCATCCTTGCCTGTGTCGGAGCCAGTGTGGCCCTGTCGATGTTCTTTCGCTACCAGGCACACTGGGAAAATAGTTGGTGGAAGCGCCTCGTCTGTGCCCTCATCCTCGCCACCGCCGTCAGCGGTATGCACTACATGGGAGTATGGGGCACTAGCTACCAGGTCCGCCGTGATCAGCTCGACAATGTCGATTCGCTCACAATGGGCAATAAGCGAAACACGATTGTGGTGCTTATCATTGGCAGTGAGTCGTCTTTTCTCCTCTACCTCAAAGTCGGTCCCTACCAGAAGGCTGACCAAAGCCGCCAAACTTCAGTTATGTGCGGCCTCAACATTGTCATTTCCACCTTTTTGGCTGTGACGGACGTGCTGGTGAACCGTGAGACTCGCCGCAAGGCCCGCAAGATTGTCGTTGCATCGGCTACCTTTGATCGGTCCGGTCGAATGCTCGTCAGGGCCGACGGTTCCATGCCCATGGTGGTTCTCGAGACAAAGCTCCGCCAGGCCGAGGTCCTCGATGCCCTGGACAAGCGCAGCCCTACCTTCCAGTGGCTCTACCTCGTCAGCTGGGACTGGCTCATCATCGCGCCCTTCCTCGGCGCCATCGCCAAGCGCCTCTTCCAGATTGACTCTGCACAGCATCAGCAGCAACAGCAGCCGCTGTCCACCGAATCGTCGAGGAGAGGCGTCAGCTTTGAAGGCTTGTCCAACAGGCACCCGACGTCTGCTTCGACCGTGGCGGCGGACGACAAGCGGCAGGCGCTGGTCGATTTCAAAGACCGGGTCATCTTTGCTGCACATCAGCTCTCGCAGGAGCTCGAGGTATCTCTCGACCAGGTCGGCGTGCTCTACGACCATGTCCTGCCCACAGGCACGAAGAGGGCGGCAGAAATCGCAGCGGCCAAAGTCGAGGCCAACAAGAGACTGCCCGGCTACAATGCTGACGAGATGCACCTGGGGAGGAAGAAGGCGAGCGAAACGACGGGACGTGCCGAACTTGGAGGGGAAGACGACGAAGAAAGCCGATTCGAAGCAACCGTCAGCATCTTTGGAAGGGGAGACGAGGAGGATGAAGGTGTGACAATCTTCCTCGTTCGTGAGCTCCCTCACACCTCCCTGGAAGGGGCAGCAACATCGCCCGGAAACACTGGTGGGACTGGCGCTGGTGCAGAAGCAGGCGCTGCGGTGGGCGCCACGGCCGACAAATACAAGAGCAGAGGGTACAGAATGACGGAGACCCGTTTCCTCGCAGGCGTGCTCGCAGATCGACACGGAGTCGTCAAAGATGAGATGGAGACGCTACTTGAGTCACTTCGCGTCTATGCCAGGCGAGGCATCCGACCCGTCGTGCAACCTGGCGGTGTGTATGCGGGCTTGTTTGGGGTCAGACCCTCCACGAGCCGACAGGGCGGCCTCGACGTGCTTGTGTACGACTTTGCCCGTCATCAGCTTCCCTCGTACCGGCTTCCAGACGTCAGCTGCCTGACGCCGCCCATGCGAGCGTTCTTGAGGCTGCTCGATCAGCTGCCCCTCAACGAGGCGATGAAGGCGTGTGAACGGGACTCGGTGCGGTCGTCGGAGCGAAAGAAGCAACTCTTCGCAAGTCGCCAGACCCCGGTCGATCAGGACCGAGAAGAAACCGACGAAGAGCAACAAGAAAGGGAGGAAGAGATGCTGGCCGAAGAAGAGCTGCTCGAATCCATGATTCGCTTCCAGACTGCCCTCTATGTCTCCCTCGATGCGCTCAACAACTCGGTCAGGTTCTATCCGAACCTCGTCAAGACGGCTAGGATCAGTGCCGAGGTCCTGGAAGTGCCGTCGAGCTTGAACGACTCGACGGCACCAGCCGAGATTATTTTGGTCCAGGCTGTCCTGCCCGAGGATCGAGAATATGCAGTCATGTCGACCTTTACGTCAAATTCGGGCAACGTTTCCAGCTTGTCATCAAGTCACGGTCCACATCAGCGCAGCGCTTCGAGAACACAGCAGGAAGCCACGACAGAGAATGTGGGCGCAGGCCTCGTGATGCCCACCGATGAGTCCAACGCCGCCTCGCCATTCGTCTTCACGCCCTATACTCTCTTTGCCAAGGCGCAAATGATGCTGATGCGCGGTCGACAGGCAGAGGATTTCGAGCACGAGGTCCTCATCGAGATGAAGAGGCGATTTGTTGCCACCCGCGTTCAGCCTTCGAAAGGAGAAGGAGAGCAGCAGGAAGAAGAAGAGGGAGCAATGGAGAGAGATGACTCGGAGAAGAGTTTTGGACTGGAGAAGGTGGGCGGTGAGCAGTCAGAGGCGGACAAGTCTTTGAAGAAATGGTTCGACTTCAAGTGGCTTGGCCTGGGAGGAAGCAAGAAAAGCCAGAGGTCGGCTTCGAGAGCGGCCAAAACTGTGAGCCTGTCGTTGCGGAGACTCAGCGCAGCTTCGTCATCCTTCAAGTCTAGCCATGGCGGAATCGGGCCCGTCGACGAGGAAATCGCTCAGCAGGAAGGATCTATTCTTCCCACCCTAGGACAACAAGAGGTCGGGCCGGATCCTGATGAGATTAACGAGCAACAACAGCAACTCTCTTACGTACCCAAAACGCCTACGAAACCTGCAATGGGCCCCCCTCACCAGCACCGGCTGGACATATCGAGCCTCATGACTGATGCCCTCAACACCAACTCCTCGACGGTGGGCAGCGCTCCGTCGCTCGGTGTTCGGCGCTTCACCACCATGCGGAGCACAGTGCGAGAAGGTGCCGAAGAATACCCGAGCTTGACAAGGGGGGCGTCCCTTACCAGCAACACTCCGATCCCACAGAGTCGGTTTGCGAGGGCTGCAGAAGAAGATGACGAGGTCGGCGAAGTCACACTGGTCTCGTCACCGCCCAGAGTTGCGCCAACGTCCTATTCCAAGCGTCACACGATGTCACCGAGGACGCCTGTGCGCAGGACCAGCAGGACGTGGTCCCAGAGCCAGGATACCGCAGACATCAATATCCCCTCGTGGGACCTCATCAACTCTTCGACTTCGTCGATTACCAAACCCGGCCGAAGTCTTCGACCTTCCACGGCCGATGCCGACAGCAGGAGGCCTCGTCTGCACACCAGCATTCGTCCCAACACTGCCGGCGCTCTCCCCATGTCTGGGACAGTCTCACCAACAGCAGCAACCATGCTGATGACTGTGGAAGGGTCGGTAAACAGCGGTAGTAGCACCTCTTCGCAACGCGGTCAGCGCGCCAGGTCTTCGTCGTTTAGAAAGGGCACCGTACAGCAGCACGCTAAACAGCCGCATGCCCCTAACTCTGCAAGCATCCGCGCCAGGCTTCAGTCCGATGATTGGTATAGTCGCCAGCTCATGTCGCTCGAGAGAGGTCCGCTCGGTCATCAATTGCTCGGCGTGCTTCCGAGCGAGTACTAGTCATCTTCAATCTGTCCGTCTTTGTCACTTGTCACATCATCCCTTCGCTTCGTCAGCAACGGCATAAGCAGCACAAAGGTCTCGCGGCCTTTCCGTACACGAGAATCCACATCCTGTATTTCTTTGTCTTTCGCAACCCTGTGTCACCGTCCACTCTCTGTCCCACATCTCCTCTCCCTTTCAGTCGCCTCATAACCCTGAAACGAATAGATGGCATTCACACACGTAGCCGCGCGAATCAAGAAGAGAGCAAGCAATGCGACGGTTTGTACACAAGACAAACGCCGTACTGCCGCTGGTATGACACATTAAAGCGGTTGCTATGAAAACTTGCCGTACTGAGAAGGGGGCCAGGAAGTTGGTTAGTCTGTGATGCGATGCGTTGCCCTGCAGAAGACTGAGGAGAGTAACTCACTAGAATCAGCAAAATCAAGAGGACCAAGACAGTAATGATGCCAATCGTGACGAGCTTCTGCTGCTTTGCGCTGTTGGCGGATTAGAAAGCGGTTCGAGGAGGTTAGATTCATCCAAACGGCCAGCGAGATCCGTTGGAGGGGTGAGAAAGAGGGAGGACACAAAGGAAGAATGAGTGGGCTTTTGGGCGACTTGAGACGGACGATATGGCAGGACTCACCGACGGATCATCTTGCTCAGCGTCCGGGAGGATCGGTCAATGTTCGAGTCTGCTTGTCGCAGCTGTAAGGAGAGATGAAGATGGCTGTATAAGTGGAATGATAGAAGAGCAGAGGAGGCGAATCCCTAAAACGCACCGTATCTCTGCTATTCTCGATCTGCTCGCGCTGAGACCTGAGATCCCGGAGGATGTCTGCACCGAGATCCTCGGTCTCGAGTGCGATGCGGTGCGACTCTTGTAGCCGCCTCGAGCCGTCTTCGAGGGTGGATGTGCCCTGGAGCAGCCGTTGTCGCTGAGCCTGTGGGTCGTAAGACGACCTCCCTGACTCGACATCGCCATCGGCCTCGAGTGCAGCGTCAAATCGGGATCCGCCAGCGCCCGCATTCTGCACCTGGGTGCGCTTTGGTGAGAGAGAGAGACGATAGTCAATGCCAATATAGGAAGGGGAGGAGGGCCCAGTTTCAGTGCCAGGCCAAGAAAACTCACTACACTCCTCCTGAGCTTCTCCAGCTCTGCCTTGTACCCGCGAAGCTGCACTGCATACTTTGACTTGACGCTTTGTGGGAAGCCATTGACCTCGATTTCCATCTGGCTCAGGATTTCGTCGGCTTCGTCGGCCTCCATATCGGCCCTGCGCAGTGTCGCCTTGCGAGCCTCGCCCGCCTGGCTGGGCACCTCCTTATCCAGCTTGGCCGTGATGGACGAAGTGAGCTGCGCAAAGTCGGATGCGTACGAGTCAAAGAGCTCAGCCATGGTTGCAGGTGTCCAGACACGCCGTAATGTGATTCGTGATGCTAGGTGGGGAGAAACGCCCATGGCCGCGCCCCCTCCAGGCCCCTCTCTGATCTCATCGCTCAGTCCCGAAGTCCACGCGTCATATTTTGTGGCGCTTTCCAACTTTCTTTTTGGTGAAAGTCTGTGCGCGACACCGCAATCACTACTCTTTCGTCAAAGGGAGGCGGTAAAGACCATGCACGGCGTCAGGCGAGACAGATCGTCGCAGACGGCTGAAGCACGGGCCGCACGGAAAGCAAAGGAGGCGTCGAAGCTGCAGGCCTACCTCGAGGTGCAGTCGAGGTTCTTTGAGCTCAAGTCGCGCAAGGAACACAGCCAGGACTCGTTGGCGGCCACGACAAAGATTCTGACGCTGAGTCCAGAGCTTTACACAGCATGGAACTTCAGAAGAGACGTCCTCAAGGAGCTCTTCAAGGGCGAAACGGTGCCAATCAAGGAGGAAAAAAAGGACTTTTTCGCTTCTGTGCGCATTGAAGAAGATCTGTCAGCGGCCTCCGCATCGAAGAGGAACGATGGGAAAGAGGAGAGGCGACCGTCGCTTGATTATAAAAGAAGCTTGCTGGAAGACGACTTGGAACTGACGACGCACGCGCTTCGGGCCCATCCCAAGGTCTATTGGATCTGGAATCACAGGAGATGGTGCCTCGAAGAGTATCCAGATGAGACGGGCACAAAGTGGAAGAGGGAGCTGGCCATGGTCGACAAGATGCTCGAGATGGATCCTAGGAATTGTGAGTCTGCTCCACTGCATTGGCGCCGGAGAGGCTGGCCTTATTTTATATGCTCATTTTGATCGCCGTAGTTCACGGATGGACGCATCGTCGCTACATCTTCTCTCGCCTTGCGTCCTCTACCACCTCGTCGACACCAGACCTACCATTATACCCCTACAGCCTCACCTCCCCAGAGCTCTCTCCTGACAGCAGACGGACGCAACTCCAGCTCGCCCGGCAGGAGCTTTCGTACTCCCTGTCCAAGATCGAGACCAACTTCTCCAACTTCTCGGCCTGGCACCGCCGGTCCATTCTTCTACCACTCGTCTGGCAGGCCGAGTCGCTGAGCGCGACGCAGATGAGGAAGAGAAGAGACGAGGAGTTTGACCTTATCAAGCAGGCCCTCTTTACCGATCCAGACGACCAGAGCGTCTGGATCTACCACGAATGGCTCATCGACAAAGAGGCAAGCCAAGACGTGCTTGAGCGAGAGATTGAAGTCGTACGAGAGCTCGTTGATTTGGAGCCTGATAGCAAGCGTGAGGCTCTTTATTGCTCGCCTATCTCCGGCTTTTCTTTCACTAACCGTTTTCTACGTTGCGACAGTGTGTATGCGGGCGCTCTCACATAACCTATCAATGCTCTCTACGGTCATCAAGGGCCATGACCCGCAAAGGGCGAAGAGCCTTTCGGAAGAGACAAGAGACTTACTCCAGAGGCTCGTCGAGGTCGACCCAGATCGTAAAGGGAGATACTTGGATCTGCTTCAGGGTCTCACCGCTTGACGGTGGCCGCCTGACAGATGTAGTTGCTACACTACACTAGTATTTGTCATATGTACTTTGAATTCATTGTCCCAAAAATGGCCAGACTCAGATGGAGAGAGCCTCGCAAAAGATGCCCGCGAACCACGCTGGTCCCGGGCTGGCTACGACCACGTCCCATTGCCCGCTTGTTGGTTTCTCAACTTCTACGTCACCGTTGCCCTTGTCTTTTGCAGCGCTCGAATTCGGCTTTATTTTGCCGAGCTTGATGCTTCCCAGCCCTCGTCGGTCCACAACGCAGTAGCCCCTCGTGAGCTCGCCGACTGTCTCGATGCCGAATCGAACCTGTTCCGTCTTCCATCCGCCCTCTGTCTGCTGGCTGCCGTTGCGGCGGGAGAAGAGCGACGGCGTGAACATGGCGTGCGCCACTGCCAGCGGATCGTGGGCCTCGAAATTGTCATAGAGCCTAGGGTCAAATGGCGAGCCTGGGGGTGCATGAGAGTTGGTCACCCTTCGAGGTTGCGACAACATGGCTTTGTAGCTGTTTGAAGTTTCATCACCGATTAGCCTGGAACAAGAGCACGATATTAGAGTATTTAGGAGACTGACAAGCTTCGGAGGATGCCGCCTCTTTGGTCGACGTCGTCGCAGAGGCGCGCGTATGGTACTGTGTGTTTGCGGGTGATATCGAGCGGCAGCAGCTCGATGGGCAGAGAGCCCGTGTAGCCGCAAGCATTGCGCTTGGCATCTTGGAGAACAGGGTGCAAGGGGGCATCGTGGAGCAGAACCTTGGCGGCGAACGGATCCGCGTACGTGTTGAACTCGCTCGTCGCAGTCGTGTTGCCCGGGCCATCGAGCACACCACCCATCACACTGATACCGCCGACCCTGCAAAATGTCTCTGGGTCGCTCTGAAAGGCGAGCGCCAGGTTTGTCAGAGGTGCCACAGCAGCAATCCGCACGGTGCCTGGGGCATTATTACGGAGAATGTCGAGAATGATTTCGTGCGCTGGTTTTGTCGCATCTTCCACCAACGGGCTAGGGATCGACTTCGACGTGGCGAAAGGATCGCCATGGAGCTGGCTGATACCGGACAGGCCATCGCGACCGTGAAAGTAGCTGGCGGTGAACTGCTCGCCGCCAATCGGACCTTCGGCTCCCTTTGAGGCAAAGATGGTCCGGTAGGCACTGCCGGAGAGCGAGCGCTTCAAACCTTCTTGCCCCTTTCCCTCTTGCTGAACGTGGGCGTGGAGAACGTTGAAGAGGCGCAAGACATTGTCGCGTGCATAGTCCAGCGTCGTGTTTCCAAAGTTGAGTGTGATGGCCTCTAAGCGCACCAGGTCCGGTCGGGAGAGGGCGAGAACGATGGCGAGAACGTCGTCCACGCCCGGGTCCGTGTCAATGATCAGCGGTTGGGGTTCGTCTTGTGTCATCTCGTCCTTGTCGGGGCTTCTCCTTATCGTCGTCGACGTTGTGAGTCCTCCTTTAATAAGCTTCCGTGGCTCCCGCACAGGGCGCGGGCAACAACATTCTTTGAAGGAGGGCAATCTCAAAAATTCTAGACGCGTCCTCGGCCGATTATCCGGGGTGTCCGTCGCCACCTTCTCGACGACCTTTGCAGTCGCGAGACCAACACCATAGTCTACCATGGCACCGGCTACTACGATGCTAAGCGGCCCTTTGCTGGCTCGAACAACAAGCGTGGACAGAGAGCTGCTTGCGAATAAGCTCCGAGCAAATTCCGGCTCTGCAGCAGACTTGTCACGAGACCAGACGTCTGCGCAGCCGCAATCTCAAGCTCAGCCTCAGCCCCCCGTTCCCATCTATGATCCACCTGGGCCCATCGCTGACCTATACAATATCGAATATGTCCCGCCCAAGAAGCGCATCGTCTCGCCGCAGCACCTCGAGCGCTTCGAAGGCTCTTCTGCCTTTGGCGAGATCCTGGGATTCGTTCAGTACTGCAACGAAAGCGTCGTGGGCAAGACGCTGACCAAGACGCCCATCGACGAGAGCGAGCCTATCAAGGCCATTCTCGACATCCTCTCGCATGTGTCTGACCTCGTCAAGCAGACGCCACCAGATACTTCGTCGAGCTCTCGATTTGGCAATCCCGCGTTCCGGGCCCTCTATGCCAAGATCAGCGATCAGAGCAGGGAGCTTCACAAGTTGATACCCGGTCTTCAGCGCATCGAGGGAAAGGGCAAAGAGAAATCGCAAGGGGAAAGCCACGACGCAATCGAGGAGATTCAGCGATACTTTGTGGAATGCTGGGGAAACCAAAAGAGGATCGACTACGGGAGCGGAATGGAGCTCAACTTTGTCTGCTGGCTGTGAGTGCAATAGACTGTCTCACGACAAACGAACGATTGCTGACTGTCAGAGAGCAGGCTCTGTCTCGTGAAGCTCAATATTCTCGACCTGTCAAGGGATGCACCAGCTCTCGTCCTGCGAGTTTTCTGGCGCTACGTCCAGGTCATGCGCGATATTCAGAGCACCTACTGGCTCGAGCCCGCTGGCAGCCACGGCGTTTGGGGTCTCGACGACTACCATTTCTTGCCCTTTTTGTGGGGAAGTGCGCAGCTCAGGGACCACAAATACCTCCGACCCAAGGCCATCCACGATGCGGAGATCCTCGAAGAGTTTTCAAAGGACTACATGTATTTCTCCTGCATTCACTTTATTAACAGCGTAAGTCTGCTTACCTTTAGTCACTCTCCCTCCGTCCTGCTGACTCTTTTCTTGCACACAGATCAAGACCGCCTCGCTGCGATGGCACTCGCCCATGCTCGACGATATCTCAGGTGTGCGGACATGGGCAAAGGTCAATGAAGGCATGATCAAGATGTACCGCGCCGAGGTGTTGCTCAAGCTGCCCATCGCCCAGCACATCTTTTTTGGCTCCCTTCTGGGCTTTCCGAGGGCAGTCGATGGTGAGGCAGAAGACGAGTGCGAGGAAGACGGCGAGGCGCATGAGGACGAGCACGGTCACGTTCACGCCAAGCCAAAGGAGGGGCAAGCCGCGGGCTGGGGCGACTGCTGTGGCATACCGATTCCGAGCGCCTTTGCGGCGGCAAAGGAGGAAAAGGAAAAGGGCGTTGGAGGGGTGGGAGTGAGGCGGATTCCCTTTGATTGAAAGTCAATTCATCATGCTATGCTGTCCATAGGCAGTGGAGAAGAGAGGTCGCGCCCGTTGGGATTGATTAGCTGGCTCAAAATTTAACTTTTGACTGGGCCCGATTGTTGTATTTGGCCACGCCCCCACTTTGCCCGCAAGAGCGCGCTCTGTCTATCACATTGAGGTTCTCTCAAAGCCTGTGTGTCACCAAAAGGAGTGTCGAGACTCTCTATCATGCGTCTCTCAGCCCTCCGTGGCAACAAAGTGCCTCTTTAAAAGGCAATGCTGAGTCCACCCAGTGAAGGAACGAGGGACCAAAAGACACACGGTGAGGCAATCCCAACGCGTCGTCGACCTTTGCAACGCACCAAATTTTGTATTGGTTTTCGCCGAGAGGGCAAAGGCGCGTGCCCTTCCCTTCCTGCCTAGGTCGCCCTGGAAACTTTTTTTTCTCTGTCCCAGCTCAAAGGTACCTCTCTTCTCGACCACCACTTGACCAAGGACAAGGTCCATATCCTTTCTCTTCTTATTTTTCTCTTTTGACCGCTTCGACAAGCACCCCCGCTCTTCACTTCCCATCGAGCGTGGATAAGTCAGCCAAAGATGGCGAGCAACGTCCCCATTTCGTGAGTGTTGGGATTGCGTCTTTCGCAGGGCCACTGTGTGGGACGTGCACCACGTTCCCCATCACAACGCGGCCTGCTGCGGGGAGGAGCTTGGGCGATGAAATGAGCGACCACTGGATGATGAAAGCTGACAGGTGCCAACACAGTGGCGGCAAGTCGTCTGAGTTCACGGCACCCACGCCCCAAAATACACCTCTGAACAATGCGCCACTCACCAGAGAGGCCCTCTCGCGCCCGACAGTGGGCACCATTGGCGAGGAGGGCGAAGAGACCGCTGCTCAGGGTGAGTTCAGCAAATCTGACTGAAAATCATCTTGCATCCATCGCGGCGCCGTGGATGGCTTGAGTCCAGAGGTGCTGACATCGTCGCCACCTTGCAGACTCCGCCGCCGCGGCGCTGCAGGCGAACCCCGCCCTGGCCGGCCTGATTCAGAACAAGCTCTCTGGCCTCGTCGGCCGCTCGTCGGGCTACATTGAGTCGCTGCCACCCCACATCAAGCGCCGCGTCGAGGGTCTCAAGGGCGTTCATGTTGACCACACAAAGATCGAGGCCGAGTTCCAAAAGGAGATTCTCGAGCTCGAGAAAAAGTACGCAGAGAGGTATCGTCCCCTCTACCAACGCAGGGCCGCCATCGTTCAAGGCCAGGCCGAGCCTAGCGAGGAGGAGGTCAAGGCTGGGGAGGCGAGCGCCAAGGATGACGACGATGACGACGACGAAGAGGCTGACGGCGAGGAGAAGCAGTCGCTCGCTTCGGCCCCCGTCCCCGCCGACGCCGAGAAGGGCATTCCCGAGTTTTGGCTCACTGCTCTCAAGAACCACGTCGCGCTCTCAGAGCTCATCACGGAACGAGATGAGGAAGCGCTGCGCGCACTCATTGACATTCGAATGTCGTACCTCCCGGGCAGCCAGGCTGGTTTTAAGCTCGAATTCGAGTTCGACTCGGCGCGCAACACCTTCTTCAAGAACAAGATTCTCACAAAGACATACTTTTACCAGGACGAGGTGGGATTCTCTGGCGACCTTGTGTACGACCACGCAGAGGGCGACAAGATTGAATGGCTCGAGGACAAGGATCTGACGCACCGGATCGAGACAAAGAAGCAGAGGAACAAGAACACGAACCAGACGAGGACTGTCAAGCGATCAGTGCCCGTCGAATCATTCTTCAACTTTTTCACGCCCCCAAAGCCCCCCAAGGCCGGTGCCGACGACGAGGAGGAGGAGGAGGCCGACTTCGAGGAGTGAGTGTCCGTCCCCATCTTGCGAGGGAGAGGTATGCATGCTGACCCATCTTTGTAGGCTCGATGAGCGCCTCGAGCTCGACTACCAAATTGGTGAGGACCTCAAGGACCGCATCATTCCTCACTCGATTCTCTACTTTACGGGCGAGGCGACGGCCTATGAAATGGACGATGACGACTTTGAAGATGAATTCGACGAGGACGACGAGGATGAAGACGACGAGGACGAGGATGGGCAACAGCGCCCGGCGAACATGGCCGTCAGCGCTGGCAGCCAGGCCGACCAGCAAGAGTGCAAGCAGCAATGAGCGCGCTCGCTCCATCTCGCGTCGATGCGCTCCTTTCTTTTCTCTCTCGCTTGGGCCCGCTCTTTCCTCTCTCATCTTCCCTTGCTGTGATCGATCGAATGACCGAAAATTGAAAGAAAGCCTCAAAGAAAGCTCCCTGGGACCGTCACCCCCTTTTCTCACTCTCACTGCTCTCTGTCTCCTCCTTCCTTTGTCACCATTCGTCTCCCCTTTCCCTTATCGTAGCAGGCTGACTCAGACAGAGTGTGGCGCGAAATTAACAAATGAAGGTGATAGACGACGATGTCCTGTCAAACGGACGGTGCTGAGTGTGGTTTCTCTTGTGGCTGAGCGCCCTGTTGTGCGCGCACGTGATGTTGCGTGGAGTGAATCGCGAGCCTGGATTTGGACATCGATCTCCCATCCCACAAGTTCAAGCCTCTTTCTCAGTCCTCTTTACTCAGCTCTTTGCCGCGACAGCAGCGGCAACCTCGCCTTCACCTTCGAACCTCCAGGCTGGTGTTTGTAGTGGTTTTGCTCAAAGTGTGATATCGTTCGCACGGACCTAAGAGAGCTGAGGCAACGCAGGAGGCATCAACAGCAGCACTGTTGTAGGAGCCCGAGAGATTAGCGGCGCCACATTCTCGATAACCTCCTCACCTCGATTGTGAGACCGACATCTCTTCTATTTGCACCCCTTCATCGTTTGTTCCGACCTCCTCCGCCGCAACAATGTCGAGCTGGACCTCTTGGCTGGTCGGTAAACGGGACAATCCCAATGCGGCGCGAGAGGCCATCGTCGGTCTGCGATCGCAGCTGCTGATGCTTGAAAAGAAGGAAGAGCATCTCAACAAGAAGATTGCAGACGAGACAAAAAAGGCAAAGGCAAATGTCACGACAAACAAGCGGGGTGAGTGTGACTTTGGCTCCTGACGTCCAACTGCTGCCTGGGGATCACGGCGCTGACGATGGGCGCGTGCGCGCCGGTTCGTCCAGTTGCGCAAGCGGCGTTGCGACAGAAGAAGGCGTACGAGAATGAGCTGGACCGCATCGCCGGGACGCGCATGACGCTCGAGACGCAAGTCAATGCAATCGAGAGCGCCAACATGAACCTCGAGACCATGACGGCGATGCGCAAGGGAGCAGACGCCCTCCGCAATATTCACGGTAGCCTCAACATCGACAAGGTAGACTCGACAATGGACTCGATCCGGGAGCAGATGGACCTCACCAATGAAATCTCAGACGCAATCTCCAACCCCGTCGGGATGGGTCATGACATTGACGAGGTGAGCAACATCCTCTTTTCCCTTGCTTCTTTATTTTCGCTCACTTGTCGATCTGAAATCGGACAGGACGATCTCAAGAACGAGCTGGAAGAATTGGAACAGGAGGAGCTCAACGAGCGTCTTGTGGGCGCCGATCACGTCCCAGCCCATACACCAGCTCTTGCCAACACGGCCGGCCCGAGTCGCGTCAATGGAGAGACCAGCAGACGGCAACAGGTCCCCGAAGACGACGACGACGCGGAGCTCAAGGCATTGCAAGCAGAATTGGCAATGTAGAATTGTTCACTTTTTGGATGGCCCTTCCTCTCTTTCCTCCCCCTCTGTACGCATATCTCTCCCTGACGCTTCCTCTTCTCTTTTCACCCATTTCTGGCCATCCTTATCCAGACTCTCCATAAATCACACTAGTTGACACAAACGTGCTGACCTCGATTCTTTATCGATTCTTTATATTGAAGGCCATCTTTAGAGGGGAGCGAGCATTTGAGTACGAAAGAGGTGGCAAGACTAAATCCCGAACCAGTCCGACAATACTGATGCACGAGGAGGTAAGGAGCGGAAACAAAGGGAGGTAGAGGGGGAAGGGTTTAGCTCCAGACATCCTGCAGGAAGCGACTCCGATCCTTGAGCATCTTGACCTCCTTCTTGCCTTCCTCTTCGCTGCCGCCCTTTGCCTCTGCCAAGAGCTTGACAAAGATCTTTTCGACGTCGTGCGACATGTCCGTGGCACCACAGACGTAGACGTAGCCTAAGACAGACGATGCCATCGTCAGCGCTGTACCCATGGGAAGCACGAAGGAAAGACTCACCCTTTCGCTGCAGAATGTCTTCCGCCAGCTCTTTACGTTTCTCCCACAGGAGATCCTGGACGTACTTTTTACTTCCATCGCTCTTGTAGTCTTCCCTGCTGAAGCTCGTCTCGAGCCTGAATTTTGCGCCGAGCTCTTCGCCGTACTTTGGCCATTCTTCCTCGTACAAGTAGTCCTCCTTGCGTCGCCTCGACGTGTAGAAGAGGTAGATGTTGCCCCAGTCGGCCAGGGCTTCCGCCCCGTTCTTTTCCTTTGACTTTTGAGCAGACGCTACTCGCTCCTGGACAAATGATCGGAAGGGCGCGACACCTGTTCCAGGCCCAATCATGATCACGGGGATCTTGGGAGACGTAGGCAAGCGGAAGTTGGAGCGACGGACGTGGATGGGGGTGCGGATGACGCCGTCCTTGCTGTAGGCACCACGCGGTCCCTTGAGGTCGTACTTTGGCGTCTGGAAACGAGGGTCTTCGGACTCCTCGTTGAGTTGTTGCTTGACCAGGCTCAGGTAGTTTGTCGCCAGGCCGGTAATATACCCGTCGGGCGTCGATCCACCAGCCACCTTTGGCTTGTAGCGCAGCACGACAGCCGTAACATGGATCGACTTGGGGTGGAGTTTCGGGGACGAGGAAATCGAGTAGTAGCGTGGGCCCAATCGTGGAATCGAGGACATGATCCGGTCGAATGGAATGTTCCACACGGTCGCCTTGCTGGGGTCTGCCTGGAGGTCATCGCCGGCGACCGCCTGAAGGACCTCGGCTGTTTTGAGGCATCGGCTGGCCACCTTTTCGTTGAAGTAATCTTTGTTCGAGCCAATCTTTTCCAGCTCGGCCTTTGCAGCGTCGGTGGGAGCGTAACTGGCCAGCATGTTGAGAGCCTGACGCGAAGCATGGGCAGAAATGTCGAGATAGTGGCGGAACACGGCTTCGTACGTAGTAGGAACGGGGAATGGCACCTTTGCCAGCGTCGGGTCCAGGCTTTCCACTTCGATGACAGTGTTTCGCTTCTCACTCAAGCCCAGCACGCCGAGGATCCGCTCGACATCCCTGTCGGGGTTGTTGGCCCAGACTGCAACGTGGTCACCATGCTGGTAAGAGATGCCGCTGCCTTCAATGTCAAATTCGACGTGGACACAGGACCGTTCGCCGCTGACGCTAAAGAGCTCCCTGGCCACTTTGACGGGCGCAGCGAAGGGGTTCTTGGCGTCATGGATACCCTTGGTTCCCAACAGGGCACGAGCAGAGAGCTCGCCCTTGTAGACTTTCTTGTCATCGTCGGGATGCTCGAGTTCAGTGACATTGAAGTCCTGAACCTCGCCGCCACCGCCCTCTTCGAAGCCGGCTTCCTTTGCGAGGGTCTCAAACATGCCGTCCTTCCAAGCGAGGTAGTCCTCTTCCATGCTCTTGTCGTCATCGCCTTCGCCTCGCTCTCCAATACGATGGGCACCCAGCGCTTCGAGGCGGGCATCGAGGTCGCGTCCGATGGCGTTGTAATGTTCGTAGGTGCGGTTCCCGAGGCCAAAGATGACGTACTTGAGGTTGTCCAGGCGGTCGCCCTGAGAAAAGGAGACGTCCTCCTCCTTGATGAACTCCATAAATCCGACGGCATTGTCGGTGGGCTCGCCTTCGCCATAGGTGGCCATGACAAAGATGCAGACGGCATTGTCGGGCAGGGCATCGAGCTTTTCGTATTCGTACTCTTCGAGGTCACACACGAGCGACGAAGTGCCGAATCGAGACTTGGCTTCCTTGGCAATCTTGACCGCGTACTCTTCGGCTGTGCCAGTCTGAGATCCGTCTGTAATGTGATATGCGGTCAGCGAGAGAACGATTGCGAGCGTTTGTTGCGCCTTCCTCACAAAAGATGACGATGCGTTTATTCTGAGTCGCAGAGGGTGTGATGGTGTCAGCGAAAGAAGCATTGAGTACGTGTGTGTATGGCCAGGCACTCACCTGGGATGTCAACTTGCTGACAAAGTCGTTGCTACCTTCCTCTTCGCCGCCGCCATTGCCGAATCCATTGGCTAGCTTGGACGATGCTTCGCCAGACTTGCCTCCGAAGATCGAGTCCCGGTACAGATATAGGACAGCCAGGGCGCCTCCGAGGCCTGCGATTGGGCAGAGGCGTGAGCAGCAGTCGCGTGTCGTTGCGCACAGCTACTTACCGAGGATGATGAGGTCAGTCGTTGATACCATCGTGGAAAGCGTTGACGAGAAGGTAGAGCGACAAAATTGATCTTTCCCTCGCTCACAGACACAAAGGAATGTCGACTAGCTCTGTCTGCTGCGGCGATTTGTTGCAATCTGATGGGGGCAAGGATTGTGGGGTAAAGGAAGGGCGGTCCTCCCTTGACTTTTATGGTCTCGGATATGAGGCTGCTGACGTGGTCGGGAGCGGTGAAAGCTGACGAAGAGCCAGATCGGTCATTTTCTCGTCGTGCGAGAAGGCTGCCCGCGTTTACCGCTAACGCAGTCCTTCCTCGGCCCCACATACAAAATTCCCAAAGCGATTCAGACGAGGATATGCGACTTTGTATTGATCCCCTAGCCACGACTTGTTGGCTGAGTCCGGCCACGCGAGAAAGTCATAGGAGCCCGGCACTACTGTATCCGGTGGTAGACCCGGTGGCCATCGATCGCTACATTGCTCGCTTCATGTGAAGACGAGCGCAAGACTCACTCACACACGATGAGGCTGACTGGGTGTAGGTCTATTGACTCATTTGTTACTACAACTAGAGGGAAGGTGGTTCTGGCAATCGCCTCGAAAATGAGGGAGCAAGTGAGAGTGTGTCTATGTCCGTCTGATGGTTGACGGTGCGATGGGGTAGGGGGGGAGTGATGGTGGGGGCAAGAAGGGTTCCAGGCAGTAATGTCAGTACTTTGGAGAGAGCATGGATGCTCTCAATCCAGTTGTGCACATGGTGGTCTGACACGGGTATAATTTAAGCCTCGATACCGAGAGCCTTCTCGATGTCAGTGACGCCGAGGGCCTTCTCGATGCTGGTGATGGCGCCGCCCGTCTCCTTGTCAAGGAAGTCGTCAACAGCGTTGACACCAAGGCCCTCCTCTGCAGTGGGAGAGGATTGACTGTTAGCTGGCGAGCAATGCAGCGCGTAGTGACAAGACAGGACGCACCGAGGTAGTAGATGCCCTTGCCGATGGTCTGGAGGTCGCCGGGGCTGGCACCTTCCTTGGAGAGCTTGAGAAGCTTCTCGGCAAAGGTTACGCCAAGAGTCTCCTCAAGCTTGGAGAGACCACCACCAAGGAGCTTGTCGAGCTCGTCTTCGAGGGCAGTGACACCGAGGCCGTCCTCGAGACCACTAATGAGGCTGCCAATCTCCGTGACGACGGAGCGCTTCTCTGGGAACAGCAGAGAAAGTCGATTAAGCTTTGGTTTTCCCAGAGTCCTCTGGCGTACCTTTACTCACCGACAGGCACGGCAGCGACGAGGCCAGCGAGCGCGAAGAGGGAGACAGCGGCGAAAGAGAAGCGCATCTTGATGTGGTAGATTGAGGGAGGGGGTGGGGTGAAGTGTAACGGTGGACTCGGGGAATAAAAAGAGAGAAGTGAAAAGGGGAGATGTGTTGATGGACAAGGGTGGTTGCAGGAAAGTGTGCCCACCTTTATACCTTCTCACAAGCTACCACAGCGATGTCGAGCAGTCCTTATCTCTCAAAGACGACAACGTCGCTGTCGCGCGTCATCGCCCTGCACAGTCCGCCCTTGAAAAACCCTGCAGAAGAACGCAATCGCTTTACACAAGATGACGACCGTGTGTTCCGTCGCCAAGGGGGGTTGAAATTTTTGGGAGGGGTTCACAGGGGAACGGCAGTGATCGTGGAATTGGCGCTAAGGTTTCTTCGGCGAGCTAGTCCTCCGGGAGGGCAGCAGCATAGGCGGTACGAGCCGAGCGACCGGAGGAGATTGGTTTTCATCTTCGATGGCAGCCGTCACCTCCGCGGCGATCAGCGAGAGGTCTGTTTCATGATCGGACCTCTTGCAAGACCAATTTACAACAGCAATGAAAGATCCGTCGCATCAATGGTTTCCCAAACGGACCCGACCGCAGACCACCCGGACACTCGGCGAATAGAGCCAACTCTTCCCTGCATCTTCCTCACTCGAGCACTTACAGGTCTTATCGCTCGTCCTCTGCATGCAATGATTGATCCTTGCTTCGCGACAACATCAGGGGAGCAGCAAATAATATTCCGATGGGCAGGCACCCTGACGCAAACAATGTACCAGCTTTGGTGAGACAGAGCTTTACAAGCAATGGTTGCCTGGCGCATCCTTTCCTTTCCCCTTCCTTGCATCTCTTGGCGAGAGGGACCCCTTTGGGCAATGTGCGCGACGGACGCTTGGGAGATAACAACATCGAGCTGGGATCGACACTGCTGAAGTCGCCGTTTCGAATTCTGCAGTAGTAGTAGCGTGAAATCGACACCTTCTTTTTCTTTTAGCGCGCGCGCGAGATAAGGCGACTCCTTCACTTTGAACGCACGGTCTGCCGTCATCTCCTCACGTCAGCGACCGAGCAACAGCCGGACTAGACGAGGCCCCCCAACATGAAAGCCTTCCTGCTGCAACATGCGCAACAGATCGACGCTGAGCCGTAAATGGGTTTCGAAAAATGCTCCGATGCCAGTCGATCCCGGACGCGACTTCTGCCTATCTTATCTCCAGCAAGTAGACTTGTCCACGGAGTCCGATTTTCTCACAATTGCTCATGAAGACGAATATTCAGCAGACGAATGTTTCAGCAGACGAATATTTCAGCAAGCGCAGAGGACAGGATCTCATACAGCAAGCAATCGAACCGGGATCAAGGAAATCGAAGCGAGGGTGGGGGAGATTGTGAATCACTGCTTGGAGCTCCACGTGATTGTTCGTCCACGTGGGCCGTTGTGGTCGTAGACGGCCAAGGCGGTGTCGCCATCGATGGCCATGATGCCAGGCCAAGTGCCCTTGCTGACCGTCGCTGGCCTGCCCCATTTGATCTTGCCCGAGTGGGGCGGTCCGCCGAAGATGGCCTTTACGGTCGAGCCCTTTGTCAACGGGTCCTCGTCGGTACCGCAGACGATGACGAGCGAGCCGTCCTGGTAGGCTGCAATCTGCGGCGAGCCCGTGTTCTTGCCCGGCGTGGGCGCGTATACCTCGTGCCGGTTGATCCACGTCGCACCGTCGTCGTACGACAGAGCTGCTTCCACAGAGAAGCTCCGGTGGCGTGTCGTCTCAAAGACGAGGACGAGGCATTCGCGGTCGCCGTCGCGGGTGCTGGCGATGCCTGTCATGCCGTCTCGGAGACGCTGGTCCCAGCCCTCGCAGCACCTGGGCTGGGTCCAGGTTGCCCCTCTGTCTTCCGAGACAACGAGCATCGAGTCTTGCTGGTGCTCGTTGTGCTCGTGCGAGTACAGCAGCTGCACCTCGCCTCTCTTTCCCAGCCGCATGAATGGCTCCCAGATGCCAAATGGCGGGGCCTTTTCGGCCGCTTGCGAGGTAAAGTTCCACGTCTTTGCTCCGTCGAGCGAATGGCAGACCGTGATGCGGTAGTGCGCGCCGCCCTCGTCGTGGTTCCGAAAGGCCGCCAGGACGCAGGGCGGCTCCTTGCCATCACGGCTCGGCACCTCCAAAAGGAAGAGGTTGTCGACATCGCCCTTTCCCCTCGTCACCTCGGCGAGGTCGTGGAACGTCTTGCCATTGTCTGTGCTCTTGGAGATGCAGAGGATCCGTTCGGGTCCATTGAAGCGCGTGAAGCCCGCAAGGATCGACCCGTCGGCCAGCCTGGCCAGGCGAGGATAGGTCCCGGCCACTTTGCCATCCGTCAAGGGCCGCTCATCGTCGTTGATCTGGCCTTTGCCTGAGGTTGTCGAGCGGGACTTGCCTGCCGACGACGACTGCTGAACGAACTGCTTGAGGGCACCTCCGATAGTGGGCATGGTTGCGCGGATGCCACTGACTGGCCAAGGAGGGTGGTGTGGATGCGGTGCAGCACCTCCGCCTCCACATGCCCGTCACCGCCTCGGCGCTTTCGCCCGCGTGGCGTACTCTTCTCGCACAAACACGCTCATAGGCTAGACATGCTACAATTGGATGGCTGGGATTACATTGGGAGAGATGACAGACTTAAATCTGAAAAGCATCAGGTAAAGAGCGCCGCGAGGCCCTCTGTGCTCTCAAAGACCTCGGTCGCCGAGTGACCTGCGCCGCTGACTTGATAGAGCTTGTGTCCGATCTTTGTGTTCTTGTAGGCGCTGAGCGTCGCCTTGTTCGACGTCGTCGGAATGCTCGAATCTGCCTTTTGGCGGCTGTCGAGCGCCGGAAAGGTCCCTGGGAAGGAGTCATACGACGAGGCTGCATACCCTGCCAGGAGGTGGATGTACTTCCAGTAGGCCAAGCTTCGGTCCCTCCGCACAGCTCCTCCAGCGCCACGGCCAGCGCACGTCTGATCGCCGTTTGTCGTCGATTCGTCGTCGAGGCCGATGATGTAGCGCATATCGCGGCCTGCGTACCGCTTGAACAGGCCCGCCTGCGAGTCGGCAAGGCCGTAGGGCTCGTAGTAGTTGCTGAATCCGTAGCGGAAGTCGTTGAAGCGAGGGCACGACGACGTGTCAACGGCGACGGGACGGTCGCGGGTAAAGTAGAGCATTGTCGACGGATCGCCCACGACGTAGCGGAGCGAGACACCAGACCGAGCGCTGCGACCGAGAACGGCGTAGCGCTGGATCACCTGGGCCCCACCTCCGTGCGCAGCGAGCGTGATGGACTTGACCTTGGGGTATTCTTGGGAGCAGAGCCGATGTCAGCTTCATGAATAAGGTCAAGCAGTGCACGCAGGACTCACTCGAAGCATCCGAAAATTTGGTGACGAGCTCGTCAAAGACGGTAAAGGAGCTCATACCGCTTCCGCTTGGATGGGTGGATCCATCGCCACCAGCCCAACCGTTGTTGTCGTTCCACGCGAGCGTCGAGGCGTTGAGTGCCGGTGCGTCGTGCTCGGTCGAGAAAAAGAGGGGAGAGATGCGCAACGTGTTCTCGGGCGCGTACCGATAGCCCTTGTCCCTGGCATCGAGGTAGGCGCTGTTGAGCGTTGTAAAGTAGGTGTTGGCGTTGCGGTCGACGCCGTGCAAGATGATAAAGACTACCATCGCTCTTCTTGTCAGCGACGATCAGGCTGCCGTCGACAGACGAAAGCAACTCACCGGCCTCTGCATCTGCTTCGTTGTGGGGCGTCTTGCTCTGCCACACAAATAGGTTTCCCTTGCTCAGACGGTAGTTGGTTGCAAATGCACCGCCCGGCCTTGTTCCGATGGAGGTCAGATGCGTATCGCCGTCAGTGCCTCGAAGGTCCACGAATGCATCTCTCTTGTTGGGCGAGGGCAGGGAGGCAACGAGAAGTGCAGAGAAGAAGACGAGAATGGGGAAAAGAAGGAGCAGACGTTGCGCTGCCATGTTCAAACGAGTGTGGGTTGTCTCTGGGAAGAGAGTGTGGGCAAGAAAGGGGAGTGAAGGCAAGAGAAGGGAGTGGTAGGGGAAGGGAGTGGTGAGCAGCAACCTCTCCTCCCGCTTATTACGGTGGCCAGATCATCACGCAGTCAGCCACTAGTTACCCATCGTCTTGGCGCGACAGTCTTGGATGCCGTGGAATTGACTGCTGCCTCAGACAGGGCAGGGCAGCGAGGTCTTGGCAAGCACAAGCGCAGAGGACCACGGCAACTCGGCGACGAAAGTCTTTTTTCTGGCCTATGACAATGTGCATCACCACGGGATCTCAGAAAGAGTCTTAACAGGCAGATGACTGAAGCAGGGAGGCTAGCTGATCCAAGCCGAAAGTGGCAGTCAGAACATTCTCCACAAAACCCCCTTCGACTGGCGCGCGTTCCCGCACGCGTGGCCCACTATATTCGATCGCGTCCCCTACCTCGGCGAAATCTTCAGCTTCCTACAAGAACGCGCCAGAATCGCGCGCATCAGGACTGTACGTGATCAGCAATAGATGTCACGGAGCTCTACGCATCCTCACGTTGCCTTTTGCCCAGCAAAAACGGCCACGGCTTTGTTCGATGCTGAGACCTGGAGCGTCCTCACCGTTTGAACTTGAGCTTGTGTGTGCGCCGGCGGCGTCGGGGCTGGTGCTTGTGTGGGTGCTTGGCTGGTCGAAGGGGCCATATCAGGCTGCACCGACGGATTGTACCACAATCTGTTGACCCAAGGTGACTTGCTGCTCGTAGGTGCCTGATGCGATGCCGCTCGTGATGCTGCTCGCGATGCCTGCGTCGCTGTTGTTGACGAAACGTCGGTTGTACTGCACTTCCAATTAGCTACCGATGCGTTCTTGGTGTCTCGCGAGGGTTTGCCCGGTGTGCGAGAAAGAGCCGACGTCGACGATGAAGCATGGGACATCCATCTTCCATAACAGCCCTATTCGTCGAAATGGTCGTCCATCTCTGATGCTGGAAGGCGCAAGGCCCCGCCAAGACGAGAGGCAAGAGCTCTTGAGTGCAGCGATGAGGTCTTGGTAGGGACCTGAAACGAGTTTCACTTCACTTTGTTGGGCTCACACTGATCATATGGTACGAGGACCATGAAAGAGATTTGCTTTTGAGTGCAGGGGAGAGGGCGGAGGGGGGCGGTAAGATGTTTCGAGGTCGCAGATGAAGGGATCTGTGGATTGAGAGAACTTCTGACAGAGAAGGCTTCCCGGTTTGAGTACCTTTTCGCACAAACAAGGCGCTCAGAGGGGTACAGTTTGGAGGCTGGTGAGAAGGCACACGTCTTGTCATGACCCCTCAGATAGATACGACCTGCGCTAAGGATCGCACATTGCCGAGCACAGAGTGATAGCATTGTCACGCATTGCGGACATCTCAGGACCCGAGAGTCGAGACCTGTTGGTCGAGGCTCCACTGCTGGAGCGACGGCGCAAAGGACGACACCCAAGCGACCGAGTCGTCTGCGATGGGAGAAAGCGGAGGACGAATACTAAAGCACGCAATCGTAGCGATATACACGGTCGACGAGGCTTACGACAATTTTGGGGGTCATTGCTACGAAAGCAGGCTTGCCGCTCAACAGACAACTGAGGACGGAGAAGGCGACTTTGAGGTGCTCGAGTACCTACTCGGCGAAAGAAACCCATTGAAAAATGGTAAATCGAAGCATACTGGTGGTGAGAATCTTGTGCTGTATTGCACAGATTAGAGGCTGTCCGAATTGCTTTCCAAAAGAAGACACTGCCTGGAAAGGCGAGAAGAAAGCGAAGAGCTTGACGGTGCGATGCAGTAAAAATCCAGCGATCGTGAGAGGATGGTCTAGCGTACAGAGCGACGAGGTGGACCCGTCAAGCTGCTGCTCGGAACGACGTCGATCTCGATGTACTGTTCCATCGGCCAATGCTCGTTGGGTTGCTCTGTGCAGGTCCACAGTCTCTGCGCAGAGTCTAGGCTGCCGTGACGGGTCCACCTCGTCGCTCTGTACGCTAGACCATCCTCTCACGATCGCTGGATTTTTACTGCATCGCACCGTCAAGCGCCCCTAGGATGGGACTCGAGACGACACGTTCTCATAACACCCTTCCCGTCACTGCTACACAGCTCCAAGTACTGCACCCCTAGGCTAACCCTAACCCTAACCCTAACCCTAACCCTAGCACCAAAAATCTTAGGCATTCAGTAAAACATCGTCTACAAGCAAGGCCGTGTGGCGCAATTGGCCGCGCGTCTGACTACGACTCAGCTGCGCTCCTCCAGGACATGGAGGAGGTGTGCTACGGTAATCAGGAGGTTGCGGGTTCGAGCCCCGTCATGGTCATTTTTTGCCGTTCGACGTTTTTTTTTTTTTGCCTTTTTTTCTTTTCGCCCAAAGGGGCGCCGCCTTTTTCTTTCTCAACCCCTCCTTTTCGCAACGGCAATCGATCTGTAGGACCTAGGCGCGCATGCTGGTCTTTCCAGCGGCGCCCTCCGAGCATTATTCGCCGAGTTACGCGCCACAACGCGTTTTTTGCTTTTCGCCAGAGGTCTTTCAATGGTGACGAGCTCCATTTTCGCCTCAAATTTTCCGCTTGACACCCTTTTTCGGCTCCCTCTTTCTCCTTTCCAGCACACCGCCCCCACCCCGTCCCTCGAGCCGCCTCCCCGGTCGTCTTTCTCCATCACCAGGACACCGGGAGCATCTCTCTGCTACCCTCTGGCCACGCATTGGTTCAGCTTTTCTTCTTTTGCCTTTTTCTGCCCTTTTCTACAGTTCTGTCTCCTTGGCTGGGCCACCGACTCTTCTCTTACCTGTCATAGGGATCTCCTGCTGATGCCTGCAGTCGCTCCTTTTCCCCCTCGCCACCACCACCATCCTCGGCTACCATCCCTTTCCCTTTGTTCGCTGGCAGCCTCGCTTACGCGGCTTTTCCTTGCCACGTGTTGCCCGTTTCCACACCCTTTGCGGGTCTTCTCCTTCCACGTGGCTCACGTGCGCCGCCCGTGTCGTGCCCTAGTCTCATCGCCCTCCCCTTTGCCTTTTCTTGCTCCTAGTCTTTCCTACATTGTTAATGGAGGAGACTCGGATGATGGATGAGCCTTTGATGGCGCTATGCCCTTAAAAACGCCCGTGGGGGTTCCCACTGCTCGCCCCCCTTGTGCCCTTTCCCTATCATGCCTGCTCTTGCGTTTCATCTCGTCCACCGGCACCCAGCTGCTGACCCAATCAGGCTGCGGGATCTGCTGCCCTTGTGTCAGGATCCATCCTTTGTCCCTCCCCTCCCCATTCGGTACAACCTCGCCTCCTCCTTCGCCACGCCGCACCAATCCTATCTCAATCTCGTACAGTTTTTCTCATCGGGTTCTCCTTACCGTCGCCGACCACACTTCCTATCCACTTTCGATGCAATCAGCAGCACGGCCGATTTCTACTTTCCTTGCCGCGCACGCTTTCGCCGCGCCGTGATGGTCACCCCTCTCCTTTCACAGTCCGGCCCCACCACTCTCGGAACTCCGGGCCTCGACCTGTCGGAGGAAGCAATTATCATTCAATTCACCACCCGTGGGGTGGCGTCGGACTGCCCCCCTCATATGCCTTTCCTCACGGTGATCGACATGCACAACGAAGATGTCGACAATCAAGACCTACCGTGTGGCGGCGCTTCGGTCCACTCCATCTGGCGGGACACTCTGGATGACCGTTTTCTCGCTTTGGTATATTTTTCTCGACGACGTTTTTTCCCTTGTGCTTTGGCTGCGGCGTTCCAGCTCGTCCGCCGGCCTCACCACACAAATAGAGGCGTTTTGGAGCTCATTTCCATTGGCGGCCTTCCGGTTGCCCGCTCGCTAGGTAACAGGGGCATACATTCTCCACTTGGTGGCCTTTCTTTACAGGTGGCCATGCTACTGCATACCGGCTGGCGACCATCCTGCGCTTGTCCACTTGAGCCCCATCCTCGTCCTCGTCTCGATTAAGCTCCCTTCTCTCTTCCTCTTATCAGAACTGTTTGTCCTTTTGTCCCGTTCTTAGGCTCTTTCCCTTTGTCCTTCCATCAATCCTCCCCCTTTTGTTTACTATTTTCGACATTGGCTGTTCTTGGCCATACTATTTCCACCGTCGCATCTATACGTCGCTAAATACAAACTCATGGAAAACTTTAGCGCGCCCTTTCTGCGCGGCCTCCTGCGCTTCTGCCGGCCTTCACAATGGGCGCCCGGCTCCTGTTTATGCACCTTCCTGTCGGGCTGCATTTTTGGTGGCTTGCTCCGCTAACAAAGGGACCTCTCTTTTACGCTGTTTGACATCGTCTTAAAGAGAAGGCCATCACAGCTTCCCTCACTCCTTTTCCCCCACAAAATACTCTATCCTGCACCACTTCTTTACCATGAGCCTGTACCCAGCGCCGCCTCAGCCTTTCAGCACAACGGGCGAATGCCTATTTGCCAGCGATTCACTTTGCCCCTTTTCCTTCTTCCGAGCGCAGACAGCCGGCATGCCGGTTTCATCGTCGCACAAAAAGCCCGTCATCACCTTTATGGCACCTCATCGAGACAGTGCGCTCTCCAGCCTCTTCATCAACAACCAAATCAACCTTCTTCGCCACAGGGTGGCGTTGGCTTTCTCTTCGACTCTTCTTGCTTCACCATCAGGCTTTCCTACTGTCACAACACGCATGCAGGACCGCGCCCTCATGGTCAACGTAGAAGCTCCGGCTGGCCTCATTTCATCGTCGGAAGCCTTTTTCAACACGGTGCAGCGCGCCACACCTCTGCCCCTCTTCAACATCGGCCGCCTACTTCCTGACAATGTCACCACCATCGACTACGGGGTTCCTGAAGACCTCATTCCGGCCTTCCTCGGCGACATCAACCAGGTCATCGATCTTTTGTCGCTTTTACTAAACGTAGGCGTTGAAGTCAACTCCGTGTGGAAAATGTATCAAGCCCCGTCACCCGCGGCTGGCGCCTTGGACGGGACCGACACGCTTGTGCCTTTTCGGTCTAGCTTGGAGGAGCCCCATTCTACTCCGCTTCCGATGCCGGCTGTCGATCCCGCCTTCTTCAGCGCAGCCTTGGGAGAGCAGCCGCTTACGCACGGGTCTTATACAGGCTACCTTCGTGTAGTACTGACTCTGCATTCCACGCTCATTTTGGACGAGATCCCGTATCTTCTCCCGGGTTGGATTGCCTGGTCTCCTCCATTGTCATCACGCATCTACTTGCCACTGGCTTTTCACGGTCGGCCCCCTTACTGCTCTCGCTGCCCCAGCTCCTCGCTATCGGCGCACCTTTCCAACCAGTGCCCTCTCTCAGAGGACCACTCGGATGCCCTTTCCTCTCCACCGCTGTCGTGTCACGTCCAGTCCATCACCCCGTCAGCCGTACACGTCTCCTTCTCCGGTGTCGCCCCACCGGCTAGCAGCTCCTCTTCCTCGTCACTTTCCTCTCCTCCTTCTTCTCCAGCCCCCTCAATTGTCTCTGTCGATACGCAACTGGGTCTCCCACGTAGTGACCCACACGTCGAAGGCTTCTGGGCCGCCATCAGCAAGGCTTCGTCCGAGGAGGTCGCCGAAGCACTGGGCTTATCTCCGCCTCCTCTCATCGATCTTTCGACACCTCAGCCTTCGCCATCGCCGTCACCTCCCCGCTCACCCCCAACTCCTTCGCACTCAAAACACACTCGCCGTAGCCACCGCCTTCACAGCACGCAACCTTATAGTAGATCCTCCCCTCTCAAGTCTCGTTCGTCATGCTCTTCTCAGACTCGCTCCCTCTTGCACGGTCTGCTGCGTTAGATTACAACCTACACCGCTCCCTTTGTTCTTACTTATCTTTCCCTCTAATCTACTCTCTGTCTTTTTCCGCTTTCTTGCGTTTTTTGGATTGTTTGCTCTCTCCCCTCATTCCTTGTTACCATGAGCAGCCCTTGCCCGCATCGTCCAACCCTTCAGGAGCCATTGCCTCAGTGCGCTCGCAACTCCCGACTCCAAGGACAAAGGGGACGGTCTTTCTCTTCCTTCCTACACTGCTTTCATATCATCCTTTTGCCCTTCATTGGTTTCACTCACCTGCATGCACGCTTGGACCGGCTTCCGCCACAAATTCCATGCCCAAACTGACACAACGGGACTCTCTCACGGCCATTTTCACTTCAAATGGAAATTCTGGTCGTCTTCCGGCACTATAACGCCAAACGCTCTTCACTGCAGACAAAGGGAAGTCTGAGTTTCGCTTGCTTGTCCGGACAAAGGGTGACTCGTCGTCTTTTCGATGCCGTCCACACAAAGGGACTTTCTTGCTCACCTCATCTAGGCAAAGTATTAAAGCAGGCTCCTTCTGCTTTCCTCCTCTCCCACTTCCTCTTCCAGCCAGCAGATTCTTCTCATCGACAAGCATCACTTCATGACTACCTCCTCCCCCCTTGCAATGGTCACCGACCTCGCCTTAACAGCCACTTTGGACCAGCCTCCGTGCGACACGGTCTCGTCTGCACGCCTCTTGTTCGGCCGCAAGGACAACCTTCCAGTTCAGTTTGAGGAAGTTTATCAGGACGCCAATGATCGTCGCCGCGTGCTCGCCCGCGTCGTGCGTTACCAGCTTCCTGGCAGTTTCAACCCACGCAACGCCGCCTCTCAAAACGAAGTTTTCGATCACCTCCTAACTCAACTTGAGATGGCGCTGGGCAAATGGCCACCCTCGGAAGCTCCTGCTCTCACGTTTCCCCCGCCCATGGGCAAACAACGCTATGTGGACATTTTGTTCGCCACTAATGGTCACTTCGAGCGTGGAAAGCATCTGGCGATGGAATGGAGTGGCAAAGCGGTCACTCCTTTCGTCTTCGGTCTTCCCTTGCCCCCTTCGGACGTTGTTGTCACCATCGATCAGCAACAGGAATCACCGGCGTTTCACACACGCAAGGCGCTCCTGACAATGATTCGGATGTACAATGGTATTCATTGCCTGCCCGATCGCTCCAGCGCAGGACAGAGTCGCCCTCAGCCACTCGAAGCCATCGCCATCTGGGCACACCAACGCTCTAAGCCTTCTCGCAATATCCCTCCAACGGATACAGGCACCGTCGTGGCCCTGCTGCGCTTCCCTCCGGACCCCAACGTCCCTACGGGTTTTCCTCATGAGCCAGTGGCAAATTTTCCGGGGTGGATCAAGGTGCTGGACCGGCGTTATGAGCTTCGCTACAAGGGACGAGAGCCTTCCTGCTCCTTTTGCAAAGAGTACCGCCCGGACCCAGCCTTACGCCACGAGAATGACGACTGCCCCCGCAATGGCTGCCACGTCTGTCAATCCCGCGAGCATCTTGCCGCCAACTGCGACCGCCGTCCAGCTCAAGAGAGCCACGCCGTTCTGCGCTTCCTCGATGGCGCCCCTCTGGCAGCGGAGCAGGAATATGATCAGCACTTGCCAAGCAGTCAGGTCGCCGCCACCATCTCTACTCCTACTCCCTTGGTCTCTGCCCTGGGCACCCAAGCAAGCATGCATGCGCCGCCACTAGTGCACGTGCCTGCCATCACCCCTCAGCCTACGTCCACTCCGCAGCTTCAAGACGCCGCCATGGAGGAACTACTCGGGGATGTTCTCTTTCTCCCGGGACTGAATCCGCCTCAGGACAGCCAGCCCACCAGCCAGCTCTCCAGCCAGACAATCTCCTCTCAGGAGCATCCTCCTTTGGCCTCAGCCACCCTCGGCTCTCCACCTCGGACTCCTCTCAAGCGGCATCACGCCCCGGAAAGTCCTCGCCAGGGTTCCGCTAGCCCGCAACGTAATCGCTCTTTGTCTCCCGTGCGACCGTCTGCTTCAGGGGCTGCAAGTTCCAGCGCTCTTGTCCGCCCCCGCCTCTCCGACCGTGACGGACCCGCCAATGACGCGCGCAAAAAGCCTACTCTCATCTTCCGCCCCAATTCGCCTCAAAAGATCCGCGAGATGAAAGAGGCTGCTCGTAAGGCTCACGAGGCTCGTCAGGCGTCGCGCACGGGGAGCCCTCCCAAGACTCACAGCCCCACTCGTCCTGCCGAGGAAGAGCTCTGAATGGTGTTTGACTCATCATGTTGTCTCTAATGCTTCCTGCTTCTTTTTCCTGTTTGCCCCTGTTTCGCTGTTTCCGATGCTGCTGGTCTGCTCCTGCCTCTGGTTTCTTCCTTCCGTACTCCCTCTTTAGTCATACAAAGCCCAATTAATTCAGCCCTATTCCCGCTTTTTTTCCCTTTGTTCTGTTTACGCTTCGCCGCGCCCTGGGCCTGTCAATTTTTTAGCCACAAATTAAAGTTTTTGACTCCAACAGGAACAATGGAGACCGCAAAAGCGGAACACTCGCCCTTGGCTCTCCCGATATGTCTTCTCCCTTCGCTACCATCGGTGGCCATGCATCTTAATCTCCTCACCTACAACGCCACTTCCTTAGCTGCTCACTCTCGCCTCCGCGAGCTCTGTCTCAGCACGGCCTTCAGATCGCTTGGGGCGGGAATTGGTATCCTTTTTCTTCAAGAGTGCCGCCTCGGTGTCACCACCTTCAGCACCAACAACCAATCGGCTCGCCGGGACTTTTTTCTTCAACACCAAATCCCAGTGCAGGCACAGTCGTTTTTTCAGCAAGGAGTGGTCTCAGCGGACGCGGGCATCATTTTAAACCAGCCTGACTGGCAGCTAGAAGTGTCAGATATCGGCGACCGACATGTCTTCCTTACTTTCACCAGTACGCCGCTCTCTTCCGACCATTCGGGCCGAATTCACCTATGGTCGGTTCATGGCTCATTCGATGTCGAATATTGGCGAAACGACGCCCCGGGTTTCTCTTCACGGCTGCATTTCCAGCCTCAGGACCTCATCATCATTGGCGCTGACTGGAATTCCTACCCAGACCCGGCCCTCGACGCAGCAGCTCAGACTCGCCACCCCATGTGGTTTCGGATTCAAGCTCGTCTCTCATCCCTCCCGGTTGTCGACGGCTTCCGTTTCTTCCGTCCTCACGCTAAAGAATACTCACGCATTGCCATGAACCATGCCCCACAACCAACGCTTTCTACAAAACGCATTGACAGCATCTGGCTTTCTACCTGGGCCGCCCCACTTATTGATGGTTACGCTTTTCGCTGGCTGTCCTCGGACCACCGCGCTTTTGCTCTGACTCTGCGTCTAGACCCCGAGGAGCAGATTGCCGAACGTGGGCCAGGCTTCTGGCGTATGCACCCGGGCCTTCTCAATGACTCCACCTTTCGAACCACGGTTACCGCCTTTTTGCAAGGCATACTTCCTCGCCACCTTCTCATCCTTACGCCACAACAGGCTGTGGATTTATGGTTCACCTTCAAGTCCCGTCTTCGTGCCTTAGTCTACAACACGTCTCTCTCCGCGGGCAGGCGCCAACACTCTCTGGCCACAAACGTCACTACCTATGAGCGCATCATGGACTCCCTTGATCTCACCCGGGCCGAACATCGAGCTCTCTTTCCTGGGTTGCACCGCGATGTCAAGGCTGCGCGACGAGCGGCCGATGCCGCTGAGTCTCTCACTTTTCGTAGAAAACTTGATGCCGAGTTGCTGCGACCCTCCTCCTGGCTTGCTTTTTTAACCACGCCTCCCTCCCAACACTCACTCGCCTGTTTACAGAAGGCGGACGGAACTTCAGCTACAACGGCGGAGGAGCAGCTCTCGCTCATTCATGACTTTTACTCCGACCTCTTTGGACGCACGCCAGCCACACCGGCGACTCATGCCGCTCGCCAAACTCTTCTCCGGACCCCCGCCGCCAGAATGCTCTCTGCCTCCACGGTGGCCTTGTTGACGGACCCCTTCCGCGAGGACGAACTCGTAACAGCTCTTTCACTGGCCTCTCCGGACTCGGCCCCGGGCCAAGACGGCCTCATCTACCCCATTTATCAGGTCGCCCCCGGCACTGTGTCTAAGTTTCTCACCCCCCTCGTCAATGGCCTTATGCGTGGGGCTTCTCTTCCGCAAGGCTTCCCCATGCTTCGGGGTACTTTATTGTACAAGAAAGGCGACCGCTCTCAACTGGCAAATTACCGCCCCTTGAGCATTGCGGACACCGACACCCGCCTCGTGGGTCGCGCTCTTGCCGCTCGGTTACAACAATTTGCCCAGGACTGCATCCCCTGGTCTCAAGCAGGTTTCATCAACACCCGCCGCGCCGCTGACCCTGCAAGTATCCTCATTGGTCTGCAACAATACATGCAGCTGGCTGGCAACCCAGTGACCCCAATTTCGAGGAACGCGACCACACCCATGCGCCTCCCTTTTGTGCTCCCTCCTCACATTTTGGTCCTCTCACTCGATCAGACTAAGGCTTACGACCGTGTGGCCCACGAATGGCTCCAGTTGGCGCTGCAGCATTATGGCGCCCCTCAGCCTCTCCTCAACCTCGTCGCCGGCATGTACAGGACCCCCACGCTCACTTTCCTCGCCGATGGCCATCGGGGCACACCCATTGCGTACCAGCGCGGTGTCCTTCAAGGGGAGCCCAGCTCTTGCCTCCTCTACAACATCTCTCTTCAGCCTTTTCTCGATGAACTTGTCCGGCAGGGCGTGGGTGTCAAGCTGCCCTTTCTCCAGGAACCGCTTACGAGCCTGGCTTTTGCGGACGATGTCTTAGTCTTTATTCACGATCCGCGTCAACTTGCAGCCTTTCACCAAGCTCGCCAGCTTTATGAGCAAGCTTCCGACGCCCTTCTCAGCGCCACCAAGAGCGGCTACGTCATCTTATCCTCTATCAGCTCGGCTCCGCCACCTTGGATGCCCGCTTGTGGCTTTCCCCCCCTCCAAGATCAGGGTTCTAGCGAAATCCGGTACCTCGGCTACCCACTTACTCTCTCAACCCCTCATCCAGTGGAAAGCTTCTACCGGCTCCTTGGTTCTGCTCGCGCTAAACTGACGTGCTTCACCGCTTCGACGGACCTATTTGCACGCGCCGCATCGTCAACACTTTTGCCTTCTCTCGTCTGTGGCACTCTCTCTCGCTCTCCCTACCCCGCCACCAAATGTTCCAGGAGATGCGCATTCTAGCCCGCCACTACCTCTTCCGCGGCAATCGGTCTTGGGTGAAATGGTCAACGGTCATCACCCCCAAGGAGCTCGGCGGTCTCGGCCTTCTTGACCCAGAACGTCACATTATGGCTCTCCACGGCGCTCACCTTGCCCGAACTCTGGTACGCGAGGACCCCATTGGCGAGTTTCATCGCACTGGTATCCGGGCCGCTTTTAATGCCTGCGGATACAGTGAACAGGTTTTCTTTTACCGTGGCGGGGGTGCCCACACCAATGCCGGGACCGTGAACCATCGGTTTCAATCACTCTGGGGCTATTGGCTATACGTACTTAAACGGCTTTACCCCGGTGTCCAGCCCAATTGTTGGACAAGTCTGTCCACTCTCGAGACTTGTGCTCTGCCCTGGTACAATTCCGCGTATGGCACCCTCCCCAATTTCCAACAGCAGGCCCACGTCGAGCAGCGTTTCCTCCTCGGTGGCTACTACACCTTTGCTGATGTTCTCTGGTGGATTGACCAACCCGACTACAATATTGTCTCTCGGCCTTTCTCACCACCGACCGCCTCCGGAATCAAGTACAATTGGCGGCCCTTTCTATTCCGGCCCGCTCTGGCCCATGACCGCCCTTTTGCTGAGGAACCAGTGGTCAAGGGCGCCTCCATCGTTCGCAAAGTCTGGAATTCCTACTGGCCTACCCTCCCTCACGAGCTTCGCACTATCCTCTTCAGGCTTGGCGCGCTCTTCTATCCAGAACGTCTCAATGCCTTGACCAAGAGCTCGGGACGTCCATTTGTCCGCCCACTGGCCAAGCTCGAACCAGCCACACTGCCTTTTCCCTGGCGGATCACCACCCTGGCCAACCAACCCATCCAAGACGTCACCGTACGCAGCATCCGTCGGTTTCTGTCTCCTCAGCGGCCCATAGTTCCCGATTGGCCCTTTAATGGCACCCCTACCCCTGGGCGCTACCAACAGGACCTCTTCTACTTTCGTGAACAACGCATCCTCTGGCCCGATACCACTTTAGCTCAATGGCAAAGCGTCTGGACCGATTTGCACTCGCTTCCTCTTACCTCAAAAACCCTGTCAGACACTTTCCTCTTCCTCCATCGGCGCGCCTACCTCTCCTGCACCACAGCTGCGGCCTTGCAAGCGCTTGCTGAGTACGATGCCGCTTCCTTCACGCTGGACGAAGATGCCCGATTTGATTTACCCGAGGATGATCTCCCACCGGAGGCATCCTCGGATGGGGGGGCAGCCGGTGTAGCCGGCGCCCCTCATGGGGCAGGGAGTCCTACTCCCTCGGTGGCCGCCAACGCCCCGGAATCAACGACCGACTCGTCTTTAGAGCAACTCGACTCTCAGGATCCAGACACTCCTCGGCCTTACGGGCCTTCATTACCACCGGCCGACGAACTCAAATTCTTCTCTGCCGACCCCTGCCCCGCACAGTGTTACCAAGTCGATCATAATGGCGACCCAGTCAAAGACTCTGTCCAACATGGCTACATCGAATGCCCTTTCGTGACCAAGGTCTGGAGGGCAGCCCTTCCAGTCTTGAACGACTTGCTTGGCACCAGCCACTACGCTCCCTCGCTGACAGTCACCGACATCGTTTTGGGATGGCCACGCGGCTTAGTTCCCGCTCGGCACCGCCTTCTTCTCTGGCGCTCGGCTGTTCTCTCCTTCATTGCGCAAAGCCGCCGCCAAGCCATTCAACAGGCACACACGGCAAAAGCACCTGCTGTGATCACCTTTCACTTGGCAACAGTCCAACCCGCACTGCTTCGCATCCTCTTCGACGGCCTCGAAGCCACCTTAGCCGTCATCAGATCCTCTTCGGTCGGTCCTTCAACCTTTTCACGGTTTCGTCGGAAATGGCTCCAACAGGGACGCCTTTTCACTCTCAGTGACGACGGTCAGCTCCAGTTTCACTCTCGGCCTCAGGTCTTTGCCTCAAACACTGCGTTTCCACCATCCGGGGCCAGCACACAGACCTCCTGACGTACCACCTAGACAGCGACAGCACCCTATGCTCTATGTCACTCTAACTATGGCTCTGTCCACCTATGCCCTAGCCGTCGCCCTGGGTTCTACGCTCAGCGTCTACTTCTCAGTACCTTCTCGTCAATTTTCAACGTCGCCAGGGGCAACATTAGCCGCTTCAGTTATTCTCGAAACTCGGACGCGTCCTTCGTGGAACACAACACACAAAATGGCGGATTTGGTCGCGCGTTCTCTCCCTCTCCTCAAGACTGCTGCGGGACGCTGGCCGTCCACCGTGGGCAGCGCGAGGAACTGGCGGAGCAAGGCGCTCCCATCTGTACATAGCTCTCATCACCAGTCTTCTTCGAATCCACAACGATATTTAAAAAAAAAAAAAAAAAAAAAAAAAAAAAAACGTTTTTCTCGACGACCAGGCCATGTGGAGTGAAGCGGAGAGTTGCGGGAAGCAGGGGAGAACGTGCGGAACAGTTCGGGCCAAAAAAAAAGGTTCGTTGATCGAAAATTCGCATGCCCACGCGACGCCGGGAATCTCGACTTTTTAACGCGTGTGTGGCGACGAGAGTCGGTATGGCGGTAGTGCGGCACGTGCCGGCAGGCAATTTCTAAATTGGGCCGCCTCAGAGTGAATCCCGACGTCGATCCTCTGGCGTCGAGGTACGTGCACTACATGCCGCTCGGTGCCTGCAGCTGTCTCCGCGCTGATCTTGGATTGTGTCGGGCCCATGCGCACACGTGGGGAAAGTGCTCGATGTCGAGTAGACTGAGCCAATAGGCTGCTCCACCTGCTGATTCAGATGTCTCGCAATCAGCACTCGTGCTGCCGAGACTCTCCTGTGGCCATGGTGCTCTTCCTCGCGACCAGGTGTGGACACATCTCAAGACGCTGCAACAGACTTAAGGAATGGCATGAGCGAGCCCTCCTGGTGCCCCTCCCGCTGGATTTGTTCCTGCGCCCTGCTTCTTAGCGTCATAAAAGGATTGTATGACTTCGCCAAGATCTGAAGCGATTCATCGTCATGCGCACTGCTGTCGATTTGTTCTGCACCAGAGTGATGCCCGTCTGGCTCTCCTCTTGGTACAGAAAAAGAAAGGTCGCAGATGGATCAACCAGAGTAGTCGCGCCATCCACGCCTTGTGGGAGGGCAAGGATCACCAGTATTCAGACATATGGTTACCCCACCCGTCCCACGATACACACTAGCAAAGCTCCTCTGATCATGTCTTGGCAAAGAGAGGTGGAAAAAACTGGAAAAGTTGCTCGTATGGGCAGGGCGGGGCGGGGCAGGGCGGTGATGATGATGAATCGCGGAAGAATTGGAGGAAAATCACCGTCAGGCGTCGGCAAGTCGACGCGACCGTCCCAAGTTGCTCCACGAACGCTTTTTTGGACATGCTTGTGATGACCTCGACATTCCGCTACGCCATCCTTCATGGCATGATTTTTGCAGCTGTACATGGGCCCTGAGCATGCCAATGGGCACTGAAAGAATGGGAGAAAAGATGAGGTGGTGGCATAGTTGTCCTACAGCCGAGTTTATGCTGCCACGGGGCGCATTGAGTCAAAATAGGGCGATTTTGTGCTCCGCGAACGCTCATTCTCGGCGGTGTCATTCATCTATGCTGCAGCTCTAAGCCGCAACCACTCTCTCCATTCTTCGTTGAAAGTTCTCAAGAAGCGTCAAGGTCTAGCTGCGGTCACCTCCAGCAAGCTCCAAGTCCGAGAAAGGATTGAACATACTCAGTGGAGCGTCAACAGCTCCCAATGCAGAAAAGGAGGACGCTGTCATCGTCATCTTTGAGCGCTTGCTGCCACGCCGCCTCCCTTGCATTATCGTTCGCTCAAACTGCATTCTTGATTCGGCTCCAATGCTTGCATTGCTTCGTTGCAGCTGAGCGCGACAGAAGCTGCAAAGATTTGTCCTTCGCCACAAGCCAGGCACGGGCAAGACGCCAACAGACCTCGCACTTCCGGCGAGCGGTTGCGACCGTGGAGCTGTCGAATGCGAAGGTATTGGGAAGGAAGCAAGAGGATCGAAGATCTTGACCTTGGGAGGCTGCCGGTGCTGTCCCACATAGCCTCCTCTTCCTCGACCTCTTGCAACTCCTCCTCGTCGAGCAGTGGCCGGCGAAGGGAGGATTTTTGCGGCATCTTGCAATGAGGGCGTTGAATGTGTAGCAGTGCTCTTCGTTGGAAGAGCGTCGTCGTCAGAGCGTCCTTGGACCGCGTGCCTATAGGGACACGGTCCGTCCGTCGGCCATGTGTGTTCCTTCTTCGCCTGACCTTTGCGCCTCTGGACGAGGTCATTGACAGGTGGCAAATCTCGGCGATCAACAACCAGACTGTGGACCTACAGTGGGAAGGATCCGACTACGATGGTTTCCCAGAACAACCTTGCCTGTCGATTGTCGACGTCTCTCGTGATGCCTGGGACGCCCGCAATGCGTACTGCCAGAGATGGGCACGGTTATGCCGGGATCCCAGGTCCTGCATGACATTTGACGTTGACGAGACGAAGCTCAGGATCCGTGTCGATGACCTCGTCATCGAGACGGTGTCGGTCGCCATTCTCATGTCTTTTTCGTGGGCACGGCACTGTTCATCGAGCCAGGTCACCCACCGCTCCTTCTTCGCGAAATTGCGAGGGTGAAGACGGCAGCGCCGACTACTTATTTAAATGAGCCATCACTGCTGAATTAGAGCCATCATCACTCGTTAAGATTTTTGTCGGTTGAGCATCATCCTGTGCTGCGGCGAATGTCGTCATTCTCTCTTCGTCATCACACAGCTAAGACATCCACTCATTGCTCTGCCCGTCGCGCAAGATACGCAAGGACAGGCCACGTTATCAGGTCATCGCTTTTAGCGGTGCGAATTGTCGCTCTTCCAGATAACGGACGACGACGAGAGCAGCGAGACAAGCTTCACGAATCAAGGCGGCCACCCCATAATGAAGCGTATTGTCGCCTTTGACGCTATATCGAGCTGAGCTTGAAGAAGAGGGATGTCGCCGTCGAATGCTGGATTGCTCATGTAGTGACGAAACAGGGAGACACTGGGCTCGAGTAATGTTGTCGCTGCATCGCGGATCTGGCAGCAGGAACCAAGTAATCGTGAGTCTGAGCAACCGGTGATATTGCGCGACGCTTGAGACGACTGCCGAGTAGCGCACCGAGCTCGGCAGCGGCGCAGACAGTTGTCACGGGCAATCGGTGACTGTTGCACAAAACTTGGCGACCGCAGTGTAGGAACGTGAGGCAATAGGATCGATGGATTGTGATTATGTTGCGGAGGCTTCACGGTCGATTCCTGTACCAAGTGGACTAGCGAAATTCCGACACTGGATCTGTCGATCTAGGAGGTGGGTTCGACAGCCCATTAACCCTCCGCCTCGGATCAGGTCCCATTCGGAGAACCTGGCTTGGCGCAGCTTGCTGTGGCCTTGGGTCCATGTGGTCGGAAGGGGGCGGAGGAGACTGAAGCTGGCGTCGAAAGGCCGGGTCAGTTGTCGAAGCTGGCGCGAATAATGGCGATACGAAGTTTGAACCAGAAGAAAAAGCGGGCAGTTCCGTTGTCGTTGGTGGCGCACGCGCAGACATGGTAGGCGGTGGCGAGACATGTGCTATGCTTCTTGGGCCGGTCGAAGGGACAGCTAAATAACGATGTTCGATCCTCGGCACACTAATCGTCCGTCTTGCTGAACCCTCCTCTTCCAACTGAACTTTAATCGAAAGTGGTTGCTGTGAAGCAGAAGTTACATTCGAAGAGGAAGGTTGAGTTGGGATTTCGCCTTCGCCTTGACGAGCGCCAGCATGCTACAAATTGAAGCGGACAGATCTTTAGCTTATCGTGCGTGTACTCAATTTGCTCCTCTTCTGAAAGATCATCATCTTTTATACATCTCTCTGACAGTGCCAAACGTCTCCTATCCCAGCATCCGTCTGAGAGGGGGCATCGGTTGCAGCGCGCGAGCGCGTCGATTGCCGGTACACGCGGAACGACGGCATAAGCCGATCGACCCGCTTGCCGGAGGGAACCACGGAGGCCACCCTTTATTCGTGCCGGGCAGTTTGGACGTACTATACAGCCCCAGTTCGAGGCCTTCACTGGCGCTCAAAACAGTCCGTTGAGGATTTGCAGCGATCCCGTACTTCCTCGTCATCGTGCGCTCCATACGTGGCCGCCTCTGGCGTCCACTTGACTACCGCTGCGCCCGAATTTTCAACCAAGAGGGCGTTGATTGAGAAATATGGCCTTTCGGCTGTGTCATCGTTCCGGACAACCTCTTCGCGGTGGAAGAAGAAGCCGCGGGACCAATTGCAGAGACCGTAATGGCCGCGTCAGATGGAGAGGTCAGAGGTCTGTGGCCGTTGACAGGTGTCACCATAATGGTGATAGGGACTTTTGATGAAGTGGCGGTAGACACTGTCGCTCTCGCCGCCAATTCGACCTTGAACGCCTTTTCCTTTCTTCTGGCATCCTCCTCTTCCTTTTCGTCCCTTTGTCTCCACTGCCCCTTCACCTGTCTCTGCGCCCTCTTTATACCTGCTCAAGCCCCTTCGCGCCCTTTCCCGACCTTCTTTGTACACCGCGCTCTGCCTTTTCTTGTAGAAACGCCGTCATCTTGGTGATGATGGAATCACCAATCGCACTGCAGCAGGCCGAGGCCCGTGGGAGCACCGTCGGAAAAGCTACTGATTGTGGGCGTCTGTGGGTTGCACAACCACCACCGATGCGCTCACCGGCGCCGGTAAATATCTACAGGCCATACGATTCATGACTTTCCGACCGCCAGTCGGCGCCGGCCGCACGGCTGCACTTGCCGTACAAGGACACGTTGATCGCGTCCCGCCAAAAGGCCAAGTCTACATCCGCATGACCTCGCGACCGTCTCATCGCATGGTCAGGTCAAATGGTTTTCTTGGGGTCAATTTTCAACAAGGACACAACATGTAGTCCGGGCCAAATGGCGTCTTGTAATAGCGAGTCATGGGCATGACCCGGTCACCACATTCTCATTTCTTTAAATGCCACCGGCTGCGATGCTAGCCCAGGCGCGGCAGGCCGATCTGCCCGACTAGCCAATCCGGCGCGTGGAGGTAATTCAGGTAGTGAACCGGCGGTCAGCCGAGCTCGATCTTGCGCAACTGCGACAACGTGGTGGGCCGCGACGATTTCGAGGCTCATCGCGCCAAACAAGACACGGCGCGCACCTGGGTTGAACGCTTCGGCGACCAGGGGGTCAAGCATTTTGGCGGCAAATGGCTCGAGCACAGCGACCAGAACGAAGAGGACGCGACCATAGCAGACTTACATAAGCGTCACCACGCGACAATCCAAGATGGGCAGGAAGCCACGTCCGTGTTGGAGATCCAATCGACAAGACCTCCCGTAGACATAGACGAAGAGGGAGAGGGTCAGTCACCATGTCGCACTCCAACGTCATCATCATGTGAGTGAACTGAGGACAGTGGCCGGTGCTCGGCTGACACACATCGCAGCGACAATGGTACTGGCTTCACCAAGGCTGGCTGGGCAGGCAACTCGGACCCGTCGTTTGTGTTCCCCACAGCGATTGCGACCCGCTCCTCGGGCGGCGGATCCACGTCGACGAGCGCCTCCCGGCCTTCTGTGCCTTCGAAGCCGGGCGGATCGAATGTGGCCACAAAGCGAGGCATCGAGGACCTCGACTTTTTCATCGGAGACGAAGCCATCGCAAACTCAAAGACGTATCAGGTGGAGCAGCCGATCAAGCATGGCCTCGTCGAGAACTGGGACCTGATGGAGCGCTTCTGGGAGCAGTGCTACTTCAAGTACCTGCGGGCCGAGCCTGAGGAGCACTATACCATGCTGGTGGGTCCACCCATGTAGCTATCGCCGCTGGCGGAGGTGCTGACGACGACCTCCAGACGGAGCCGCCCTTGAACCCGCCGGAGAACCGAGAGAACACGGCAGAGATCATGTTTGAGTCATTCAACGTCAAGGGTCTGTACATTGCCGTTCAGGCTGTACTTGCACTGGCAGCCAGCTGGACGAGCAACAAGGTCACCGACCGGACATTGACGGGAACGGTTATTGACAGCGGTGATGGTGTCACCCACGTCATCCCAGTGGTGAGTGAGATATTCTCTCTCGCCAAATCCAGACCACTGACCCGAATCACAGGCCGAGGGCTACGTCATTGGAAGTGCCATCAAGCACATCCCGCTCGCCGGCCGCGACATTACCTACTTTGTCCAGCAGCTCCTCCGAGACAGGGGCGAGACGGCCAACATTCCGCCCGAGGACAGCCGCCGCGTGGCAGAGCACATCAAGGAAAACTACGGATACACCTGCCAGTCGATGATCAAGGAGTTCCGCCGCTACGACGCAGACCCGGCCAAGTACTTTGAAAAGTACGTGGGCACCCACTCGGTCACGGGCCGGCAGTACGAGGTCGACATTGGCTACGAGCGCTTCCTCTCGGGCGAGCTCCTCTTCCAGCCCGAGCTCTTTTCCTCTGACTTCCTGACGCCCCTGCCCGAGGTCGTCGACACCGTCATCCAGCAATCGCCCGTCGATGTCCGGAGGGGCCTCTACTCCAACATTGTCCTCAGTGGCGGCAGCACCATGATGCCGCACTTTGGCCAACGGCTGCGCAAGGACCTGCGAGAGATTGTCGACCGCCGCATCGCCGCGAGCGAGGCGGCGAGCAACGCGCGGAGCAGCGGCCTCGACGTCAACGTCATCTCCCACAGCAAGCAGCGCTACGCAGTCTACCACGGCGCCAGCCTGCTCGGCTCCCTGCCCACCTTTCCCTCCTTTTGCTTCTCCAAGGCCGACTACGAGGAGCACGGACCGGGCATTGTGCGACGCTTCAGCGTCTTTGGCACCTCGACGTAGCCCTTGTTATGCAAAAGAATGTTTCATTTGTGAGGTGTTTGTCTGAGTAACATGGGTGTGAGAAGATGGCTACGCGCTCTAGGGCTGCTCCTGCTGCCGAAGCTGCTGCGCGGCGAGCCTCTGGGCATGCGCCTTTGCAATCATGCTCTGGACCCGGTCCATGGCAAACTCGTTGTCCTTCTCCTTCTGTGCGGCCGTCTTGAGTGTCTTGCCCGTCCGCTTCATTGGTGCCCTGCCTTCGGTGCTCTCAGACGGTGCCTCTGGGGCCAGCCTGGCCTGGTACCGGCGCGGAGGCCGGCGGTGTGCGCCTCGCCGTGTTGGCGACCCCTCTTGCTCCTCGTCGTCCTCTTCCACGCCATCCTGACTCACTCTGATGTCCCCGGCCTCGCGGTTCCTCTGCCGCTTCGTAGACTGGCTCGAGGCAGAGACCGTCGAGCCCTCCGTCTTTCTCTTCTTTTCCGAAGAGGCCGAGCTTCGGAGGCTGGTGAGATCGAGATCAGAGTACGTCTTTCCGTGCGAGTACAAAATCCGCTCGTCGAGGTTGGACGCACGAGGCGTTGCGCCGCTCACGGTGCTGCTGGCTGGCGACGCCGTCGAATAGACCGAGGGTGTGTCGAACGCCTGGTGGATGCCCAAGGCCGACGCTGGGCCCGGCGAAGCGGCACCGCGGCGCTTTGTGGGCGACGGCGAGGCGACGCGGAGCGCACGCGGCAGCGCTGCTGTCGGCGGCGGCGTGGGAAGCGGCGGCGGCGAGTGAGTGGCAGCAGCAATGGCAAAGCCTCTCGGCGTGCCATCGGAGCGCATAGACAGGGTAGGACTGACCATGGAGCCCTGCTGCTGTTGAAACTCTTGCCATTCCTCTTCGTCGAGGGAGACGCGAGCCCACCGTCCGTCCTCTCGCCGCTGCCACGTTCTCTTGCGACCCAGCGGTGTCGACTCTTCCTCTTCCACGGCATGCCTCTTCCTCTGGGGTGTTGACTGTTTCTCCTCGGCGTCCGAATGGTAGAAAGGCGCGACACTGCGGCTGCTGTTGCTCCGCGCAATGACGCTCAACAGGACAGAGTCAATCTCTGACTCCATGTCCGGCGATCGCACCTGGTCCTCCTCGTCCTCGCCCGTGGAAGAGCCACCGCTGCTCAGGCCGGGCACGGACGAGCCGTAGGACGCGCGCCGGGGCGCATCTTCCTTTGCGTCCTCGTCTTCGTAGTCGCCAAAGTTGACGAGCTCGGTGTAGGGCGTCGGCGTTTCGCGGCTCGAAGACGCGATGCTCGCGGGCGACATGATCTTCCGGGGTGATGCGCTGCTTTGCTTCTTCGTCGAGGACCGACGGCTCAGATCCGACGTCGTCGTCGTCGACGACTGGAGAGACCTGAATCTTTTGATCTCCTGTCCTTGGCCCTGCTCCTCCCGCTGCTTGCGTCGCGCGGAGCCCTTGCTCGTTGTCGTTTGTGCCCTCGAGAGGCGCCTCTTCGGCGGAGGCGGCGAGGGCTCCTCAGGATCAACCTCCATGGGCTGCTCCTCGGTCTCGGCAGCAAAGTGGCTCGCGTCCAGCGCAAAACTCGTCGCAGCACTCTCGTCCCTGTCTGGACTCAGGGCGAACCGCACAGTCGAGGCTCGCTTGATGATGGTCTTCTCCTTCTTCTCGTCGCTCTGGGGCGACTGATCCTCCCCAGCGTCGTGCGCAATCGAGCGGGATGAGACGGAGCGGATGCGCATGGCCTGTCCGGGGCCCGAGGAGGGCACGTTGCGACCAGAGGCCGAGGCCGTCACTCGTCCGTGACCTCCTGCAAATGGCGGCGGCGTCGGCATCCTCTGCGCGGCATGTTCTTCCCCAAACCTTGGAGCAGGACCATCTTCCAGAAACACCTCATTGTCGTGAAGCGAGACGGGCGAGTGGGCCGGCTTGAAGGAGCTGTCCTTGCGAGCAAGGAGAACAGAGTGGGGAGGGAGGTACTGGGGGCCATCGAGGGCACAGCTGCTCCCATCCTGGTGGGTGTGGACCTGGACACCCTGCAGGTCCGTTCCACCGCCAAGCTCGTTAGACAGGGGGTGATGGGCACCCCTCGACGTGCTGTCGATCGGTCTCGCTCCCAAGCTGGCCTTGCTGTTGCTACCCGTGACCGCGCCAAAGACCTCGCGGATGCTAGCAATGCCCTGCCGGCTGGCAGAAGTGGCCAAGGCAGCAAAGGTGTTGGGCGGAGCTCGCAGGCTGGGCGGGCTGTACGACCGATCTCGCTCGTTGAAGCGGCTGAGGGGAAAGATCGACCGGCCAGGCCGACGGCCTCGTTCGTACTCTGGCGCTTCGCCGAGCACGTACGGGGTCCCTTCGTCACTCAGCTGAGGGGGTAGCAGGAGACCAGAACCACCCGCAAGATGAGGCAGCTTCTCGTCTTGGTCGACCGACGACGGCGGACGGGGCGGGGCCTGTGTCCAGAGACCGCTGGCTTGTGACTGGTGTGCTTGCGCCACCAATCGCCGCCTCTCGTTGACGGTCGGTGCCTCGCCCTTGTATCCCCATCCGACATTGCCCTGCCGTGTCAGCCACTCGGTCAACAACACCTTTATAAAAACTGCTCTTTCTTTGCATCAACTCACCGTGAGACCCTGCTTGATCCTAGCCCAAGTTCCGCGCATCGGCGCTCTCGGAGCAGAGTCACCCTGCTGCCACTCGCCACTCCTCTCCCGCGATGTGGCGGGTGGCGCCGTGTACGCGTCCGAGCCTGCTGCTGCCCAGGTCTCTGTCATGCGCCTCCAGCGCACGGCAAACCAGCTGTTGGACTGCACCTCGGCCTCGTACCGGCCGGCCCTTGCGCGACTCGAGGGAGGCAGCGGCCGCGCGCTTCTGTTGGCAATGTGGCTCGACAGCGCACTCAGCGGGCCGCCCTTTCGGACCTCGTCTTCGTCCTCGTCGAACTCGTCACCGCTACCGAGCTCGTCGCGGTCGCCGAGGTAGTCTTCCTTTTCGATCATCGTCCTCGCCTGCTCCTCGTCGTCGACATCTTCGTACGACCTCCATCCTCCAGCGCTGCTGCTGCTCGCTGCTTGGGATCTTGCCGCCCTCCGCTGGCTTCTCGCCATCCGCCGCTCATACCGGTCCCGCCGTAGCTGGGCCTGCTCACGCGCATAGGAGATCCGGCCCCATATCCGGCCTCCCACGGCGAAGATGAGAACGAGACCAATGATGACAAAGAGCGGTGTCAGGTAGGCAATGTGGAACTTGATCCCTCCGTCGTCCTTCTTGTCTGCTGTGTGGCCGGTCGGTGCTGCGGTGGGTGACGGGAGAGCACTCGGCGGTGCGATGCTGGTTGGCGCGGCAGCACTCGTGGGCCGTTCACCAAAGTCAGCGGCGGTCTGCGTGTTGGCTGCCATGCTCGAGATGGTGTCGTCGCCGGGGTCTGTCGGGGACACACCAGTGACTGTCACGATGCTGTCGTCGTCAATATCGCCGCCGTCACTGGGGTCCGTCACCTGACGTGACCAATAGGTGAGCGTCCGTGAAGAGCTCGCCATGGTGCTGTGCCTGTAAACTAAAAGGAGCAAGAATGAAAGAGTAAAGGTGATGGTGAGACGTCCTGGCTATTTGTTTCATCTCTAGATCCTCGCTTGACATTATTGTGAGTCTGACCGCTGCACAAGGGGCAAGCAAGCTGCCCAGTCGCAAGCCGACATAGCCCATCCATCGTGACGGGTTTCTGCGACCGTTGCGTTCTTCTTCGTGTTACTTTGTGGAGGACGCGTTTATTTCATGGCAACCACCTCGTCGGAGAGCAGCACGCCGACTTTGATCCGGTACCTCTGCTTCCAAAGGTACCCGCCGCGATGCGTCAATCTGAAGAGCAGCCACACTTTTCAGGTTGGCTTCACCATCACAAACGATCTGCGCGACGAGGTCTTTTTGCCGCTCGATGATGACGAATTGACCATCCATGTCGGCCTCGTAGCCGAGGATGAAAAGGACATCGAGCGAGTCGGCTCGATGCCGTGGCTGGGCCCGCAGAGCGCCTACAAGATGATGAGCATAGACTGCGCCTGCCTCTTGGAGGCGAAAAGAGGCAAGAAGCGCCGGCGTGGTGCACCGGCCGCATTTCGAGTCGTCGCGTGGGTCGACGACCACGACCACGTCTGCGACGTCGACGAGCTCACGAAGCCCGCCGGTGGATTCCTGGGGCTGATTTCGGCACCCATCGACATCTTCAATCGCGAGCAAGACGCAAGAGAAGCGGCTCGGGCGATGCAGTCTATCCGACGGCTCAGGATCGAGGAGAACATCTTTGCCGAGATAGCCGAAGAGGGCGGCTTTGAGCTCGACAAGGTGAGCGAGACTCTCTGCTCTCCTGTCGAACAGTGCTGACGTCGCTGCAGCACATCTGGGACGCCTCGATCCACCTGTCGAGCTTCCTCGCTCGTCTTCTCCGATCCCCAGGCTCGTCGCCATGGCAGAGTCGATTCGCCAAGGATCCCCCGCTCGACGTCCTCGAGCTTGGCTCCGGCACAGGCCTCGTCTCCATCTTCTTTGCCTCGCTGCTTCTTTCCTCGCTCGACGTTGCCCAACAAAAGAGCGCGAGACTTGTCGCAACGGACCTTGGTCAGTCTTGCTTTTTGGCTACCTCTGCTTCTGAATGCTCATGAAATTGCATGCTTAGACTCTGCCCAGCCGCTCCTGGTCCAAAACATCAGCGCAAACAAGCACCTCTACCCGCGTATCCACATCGAGTCCGCTCCGTGCGACTGGACCGAGCCCTTTGCGCCTCTGCATCGCCCGGACCTCGTCCTCGTGTCCGACTGCACGTACAATCCCAGCTACTTTGCAGACCTCTGTCGGACGATTGCATCGGCTCTGCGCGCACCGCCTCCTCGCGACGTCGGCGACGCAGCGCGGGATTCCTTCTGCCTTCTCGCAAAGAAGCACCGGCACGCAGATGAAGAGGCACTCTGGGAACATCTGCGCGACGCGCTCCTCACCTACGAACTCGTCGCCGGCTCAGCCACCGATGACTGGGGGATATGGCTCGTCAAGCCGACCGAAGAAGCAAGTGGCAGCTGTTGATTGTAGCGATAGACAAGTAAATAGTACAAGTAATGATACAGTTACAATGTTCGTCACCGGGCCGCGACATCGTCTTCCTCTTCTCCCTCGGTGAGGCTCTCCATCTCCTCGTCGTGGACTCCCCCCTCTTCTTCCTCATCAGAGTCGTCCTCATCCTCGTCCTCGTCCTCCAGGGCCTCCCACAGCGCATCGTTTTCGTCGGGCGCCAAGACGAGGTTCAGCAGCTCGCTCGCCAGGGGCCCCACCTCGCCCAGCGCCTTTCTCTCAGCCTCGCCCACCCAGCCAGGCTCCTCGGCATACGCGACCCGGCCCACACCGACCACAAAGCAGTGCTGGACGCCATTGAGCAGCGCCTGGCATTCGTGGCCGGTAATCTTCTTGGCCAGGTCGGCTGGTCTCGCCACCACCCTTGTCTCGTCCTCGTCGTCGACATCGACGAGGTAGAGCTGAGCGAGGAGTCGCGTGTCCATGCAGATGCGCTCCACAACGTCGCCAATGGTCTCGCTCGTCTTCGGATCCCCCGACCCGCCCCAGACGAGGCCCGCATCGAGCTGCAAGCACTTGACGAGCGCGGCCAGAATCGGATCAGAATCACTCAGGACCAGCAAGGCATCCTGGGGGTGTGCGATGACGAGCTGGGACAGCAGCGCGACGATGTCGGCGTGGATCTCGTGGGCCTGCTCAGTCTCCATGTCTGTTCGTCGATCGACGAGGTGCTGAGCTAAAAGATGGAGAAACGGCGTCTTGGAGCGCTTCAGCCGATTCGGCAGATTGGGCTGCAGGGCATCGTCTGGTTGACAACCGACAATGGGCCGCCACATGGACTCAAATTGGCAGAGATGGATGAGGATGCAGAGCGTTCGGTGCATCGTCGATGCCCGTCGCTGTGACGAGAGCAGGGCAAAGAGGATCCCGGGTGCCTCGATGATCTTTCGGACGCTGTGGATCCTCCCCTCCCCTCGTCAGCCCTCCAATAAGCGTCAAAAGATGGCAATGGCAAACGACTCACTGTGCTCGCTGGTTCTCCATGGAATCCCATGCAAAGAACTCTAAAAGCGTGACCAGAGCCGCAATGACGTCTTCGCGCCCTTCTGCCGAGAACTTCCACTCAAACGTCGGCCGGCTCTGTTTGGGCGTGGCTTTGACGTGGCCGCTGGCCGACTCTGCTTCCCCTGCTCCTACGGCCTTTGCTGGCCCAGCCTTCCCCTCAACGAGGCAAAGCTTGCGGATGCTTTCTACGACAATGTCCTCGATTGCGTACTCGAGCTTAAGCAGACTCGACAGCTGCGCCTGAGACGTCGTCAGTGTCTGTGTATCAGCGACGGCAATCGCCTCAACAGCGTGGCTGGACAGAGGGAGGACAATGGGGTGGCGTGTCTGGAGGCGTCGCTCCATGGTCGGATGGTGGCTGCAAATTGTGGCCGTGAGCCGGAGAATATCGTAGATCCTCTCGACCATGCCCAACTTCATCGCAATGCCAGCCAGAGCCTTGAGACAACACGACAGCTGTAGCAAGACGACGTCGATGCCCTCCTCGATTTCGTTGAAAGCGATCCAGAAGTCCTGCTCTTGCAGCTGGTTTCTCTCGTCCTCTGATAGGTCGTCTCGGTCTGAGTCTAGCGCGTTCAGGAGGTAGGCGAAGCGGTCCTCGGCATCGATGGCGGCTCCTTGGGAAAGGGCTTGGAGAAGCAGGTCTGTCAGCATCGCGTACTGCTCTTGAACCAGCCTGGGTGTGCCAGGTGCAAGATCTGGGTTCATGATGCGATGCAGCGTCGACGTCGAAAAGGCCTTGGTGTCGCGGCTGTCGTCTTTGGGGTCCCTCGACACGTAGCTCTTGGCTTCGTCGTCGGCATCTCTTCGATCGATGCTCGAACAAGGCTTGGAGCTGTGAGTGAGCACGAGCGAGGCCAGGAAACCTTGCCGTCTTGAATACGTCGACACGGCCCACAAGTATCGCTGCTGCCAGGAATCCCAGCCTGTCGCTTGCTTTGGCGCCTTGGTGGAGACATCATCGGGCTGCAGACCTGCAGGATGACTCTGCTGCTGCGCTGGACTGTGCCCTGGGCCAGCCCGTTGCCTCGATCGGTCCACCACCATTTCCTCTGCCAACAGATCCCGGCCATCGTCTTCAAAGACTTGGTCGTCCTGAGGAGGCACAGGAGTACTAGGCGCAGCACTAAATTTGCTCTGCCTCTTCTTGGCCGATGCTGAGCTCGCAAACGTATTGACGAGGCCCGGAAAGGCGGCGGCAGCTTTCTTGAGTGGTTGCGCGGGCGTCGCTCTTGCCCTCTTTTCCAGCCTTCCGCTAGGGCTATCCTCTTGTGTCTTCGACATGCCCGTCCGTTGAGCGCCTCCTCCACTGCCATGGCTACCACCGCTGCCCAGGTTTCTCGCTTGGTTCCTGCCTCTTCGCGTGGGCGTAGACAGGCCAAATGCGGCCGCATAGCTCTGTGATTGCGAGGCTGGGCCTTGGGTGTTGCGGTGATCTGACATCCGTGCCCTGCGACGCTGGACAGAGGCCGTGATATTGGCCCAGCTGTTCGCGGCGATTGACGTCGCCTGCTCCATTTGCTGCAGTGCCATGTAATCAATGAGAAGGTGATCGAGAAAGAGAGATGCAGGGTGACCCACCTTGAATGCATACAAGGTTTGCGTGCGGCTGAGCTGCTCCTTGCGATCCTTGTCCACCTGGGCGAGAATCGCCTTGTGTTCGGCCTTAGCCCTCTCAAAGTCTCGACTTTGCGTACTGAATTCAGAAGTGACCTGATCAAGACGGTGTCAGTGTGTGGTTTCGTTCGTTGAGGAGGACATTCACCTTGCTGAGGTGTGTGCGCAGCAACGACGCCTCGCCCTCTTTTGCTTGCTTCTCTCGTTTCAGCTTGGCAAAGTCCTGCTCCGCAGCAGCCAACTTTCGCTGAAGCTCGGCAATCAGCGTCCTGTCGTCAGATTGGTTCGCAAACTCCCTCGTCGGTCGCTCCTGCTTCATTAGGTTGACTGATGCTGGGCCCTCTCCCCCTTCGCTCGACAACCTTGGCCTTTTGACGCCTTTTTGGAAAGTCGAAGGCTGCTTCTGCTGCGACAGCGTAATGGCTTCGTTTTCTGCTCGGTCGAGATCCATGCCATCCCATTCTGTGTCGTCCTCATCTTCGAAGTCGTCGCCTGTCGGAAGGCCTCTTCTGCCCTGCTGGCGTGGGTGAGAGACACGGAAGTCATCGACTCCTGGTCTCGACTTTTGTGCAGGTAGCTGCCCATTGACTTGCTTGAGCGTCTCCTTCGCTGCTAGGTTGCTTGGCTGCTCGTCTCCTTGACCGGGAACGTGGTGAGAAAAGGGAGAATTCTGGCGCAGCTGCTGCTGCGACTGCTGAGTGAAGCTGGCCTCGATGTGAGCAAGCGACTGCTCCAGCTCCTCGTCGAGCGGCCCATCATCGAGGAGCCCATCAAAGTCATCGTCCAGATCCATCGTCTGCTCCTCGCTCCTTCTCCGCCATAGGTCTCACTGCTCAGCACCAGCAAGCTGTCGCGAAAAAAGAAAGATTGAGAAAGACACCGCGGCCAGAATGAACGGGACGCGCTCATGTCCAACACACGTGATCTGATCGCGGGCCATCCTCCCTCTAAAAAGTCGCGTCCGCGGTGTTGGTGTTGGTTTAGGTGACGGCGGCGACAACCACAACCACAACCACGATCACGACAGTGAGGTGGGCCAAGATCGAAGATGGCCATCCTGGAGCGCACGCCGCCCAGGAAGCGCGAAGATGCTCACTCTCCCCAAATGCCATCCCCGAGCCAGAGTGCATCTACCTCGGCGGTTCCACTCTCTAGCACCAAGCGATTCGAAACCCAGCGTGACGAGTTCCCATCGCTGGATGCTATGGCGCTGAGTTATCGCGATGGTAGCGTCTTCGCTTCGTCTTCATCAATGACTTCTTCCGCAAAGGCAAGGTCTGCCGTGATCTCGACGCAGAAAAACGCATCCAGCATGGGTTCTGGCTTGGTCACTTCGGTAGCCCCACCTGCCTTGGCACCGACTGCCGCCAGGTTTCACGCGCCTCTCTCCTCCGTCCATGGCGATCACCGGGTTACAGATACTGAAACGGCCGAAATCGCACAGGGAGTCTCTCTTTCTCCTGCGGATAGGATTGTGCGGCGATTATCGACAGTCAATGCGCCTCCCAAGCTCGCCTTGACGAATCGAGCCGTCCAGGAGAACAGTCCACCCGCTAGCAAATCCTCACGTTCACCTCTGAGAGGGCCGTCTACGGTGACCAAGAGATCTACACAGCAGCTGCTCAATGCGAAAAGGCAGGCATCTCCTGAGCGACCAATTCGTCCTCCAAGACCTACCGATTCTAATTCGTCCTCTGCCGACGATGCGTTTCAAAGACAACTCGAAGCGGCCCTCTTAGCCGACAATCCCTTCCTCAAGGAGCGTGCCGCAATCGTGGATGAAGAGGACCGAGCGCCTGCATCTGTGCCATCGCTCTTGCCTCGGTTGCCTGCAGGAGTCATCAATCTTCGAAAGGAGACCCAGCCTAGGCAACCCTGCGCCACAGTGGAGCAAGAGGAGGAGAATTTCACGGCGCCAGCACCACAGACCCATCAGCGCTCGAAGCAGGTAGAAGTCCAGTCCCAGCTGACAGACGTTCAGGAGCGATCAAAAAAACACCAAGAATCTGATGCGGAAACGTTTCATGGTCGCTTAGACCCCGACAGGAGCAAGGCTCGTGGAGGCAGCGTTGACGCACCTATGCAACGGTCGAATGAAGCTGCCGAAGGGAGCAGGCCGGACACAATACTCGGCCCAATGACAGCGCCTGATCCATCGGACCCGCTCAACCAGCCGACGCCTCAAGAGACATCTCAACAGCCTTCCTCGTCTGCTCAACAGCCCCAGGTAGAGCAGGAGGAGCAGGGACAGGAGCAGGGGCAGGGGCAGGAGCAGGAGCAGGGAGAGGAAGAGGTAGAGCAGGAGGAAAATCAGGTCATGCCAGCTCTTACATTCATCAGCCATGAGCAGATGCAGCTCAGCAAGCAGCTCAGCCGCTCACCAGCAATCAAGCATCCGTTGAGCCGACGATCAGGCGCAGATTCGTTGCCGACGTACTCGCAAGAGCAAGTCGACACACTTGAAAAGCACATTGAGAAGCTCGAGAAGCGGCACCGTCAACACTCAAAAGAATGCCATCAACTTCGCACGTCGCTGGGGGAGGCCAAGGCCGACGCGGAGTTCATGTGCGCCAAGTGGAAGGCGAGCAAGGCAACGGCAGACGAGATGAGACATAGCATCGAGAAGCTTGAGGCAAGGTTGCTCAACGCTGAAGTCGTCAGGGACAAGGCCACCCTCGAAGCATCGCAGCGAGTATGGGAGCGCTTCAGCGGGCCGGATGGACCCGAGTCAAGCCGGCAGAGACGAATCGAGCTCGTCGAGGCGAGAAACGAGGCCACGTATCATCAAAGCCGAGCCAAGGAACAGAGTCTGGCACGCCAAGAACTCGAGCTGACTCTCCACGGCCAGAGGAGGAAGCACGAGCTAGCCTTCGAGGCGCAGGCGCGGGAGCATGAAGCTGCTTTTCGGAGACTGGCGAGGGAGCACGAGACAGCAGAGCGCCAGCTCAGATCGGCCTTGGGCACCCAGAGGGGGACCTCTGCCTTCGAGGAAAAGGAGCGCAAGAGCCTGGCCAGTCGGCTGGAAAGGGTCGAGACAGAGAGAGCCAACCTGGCCGTAGAGAGTCATGGATATTCGAGATTGCTGGAGGAGGAGAGACAGCGGTGCGCAAAGCTCAGAGAAGAGCTAGCGGGGATTAGGGGCCATGCGACAATGGAGCAAGAGCTCAGAAAGGAGCTGGCTCTCGTCCAAAATGAGGTGAGTTGACATTCACTTAAAGCCCAAGACAATAAGCTCACCTTTCGTCCAACCGCTCGATGCAGCTTATGCAAGTCAAAAGGGCGCCTCGAGATGCCACCACCACTACCAAAGCCATTGTGCCAGATCGTTCGGCCGCCGGCAAGCGAAAGGCTGCCACCGCTCCCTCGACACGACATGCAGCTTACGCCGTCTCCTACAAAGAATCTTCAGTGGACTCCGAAGAACATGAGCAAGAACAAGCATCTGATGACGTGGATCATGATGATTTTGATGCTCCTCAGCCGACGAGCTCCAGAGCAAGACTCAACACTGCGAAAACGATGTCTGGCGCAAGTAAGGTAGGCAAGGCTCCGAAGGCCAAGACTGCGGCCACAGCCGTGGCTCGCAACAAGAAGCGGCCTGAGGAAGCTCCGGCCAACGAGGCAGACGAAGACGAGGAAGACGACGATTTCGACGGGCCTGCCATGGTGAAGAAGGTGCAGCCGCAGAACCAGAAGCCAGTGAGAGAAGGGCAACGCGAAACGAAGGTGCAGCTTTCGAACGCACCACGACGGGCCAAGGAGAAGGAACCGACCCCTTTGATGGAGGAAGAGGAGGTTGAGGCGCTCGCCCTGAGCATCGTCAGCGAGGAGGACGACGGCGACGAGGACGATGATGATGGAGACGAATACACGCTCAAGAAGTCTGGCAGAGCAAACAACAAGAGGCGCCACTTGGGCAACAAGCCCCAGGCTGTGCAAGCAGGAGCAGCAGTAAGCACCAAAACCGCCTTGAGTTCCGCTCCAAACGACAAGTCGCGGATCAAGGAAGACGAGAAACGGCGCAAGGCGATGGAGAAGCACGTGGAAGCTACGCCGATGCTTTCCAACGCCAAACGGGTGCGCCAGGAGGAGCACCAAGCGGTGGCTGAAGAGGCTCTCTCGCCGTCGTTGGTCAAGAGGCAGAAGCCCGCTTCTTCAAAGGGTGTTGACAAGGAAAACGAGGCACTTCAGTCTACAGTGGATAAGCCACTAGTTGATGCGATCAAAGAGCCTGAGCCTCCGCAAGAGAAGGCGCCACCGCCGCAGCCCAAGAAGAAAAAGATGCTCCTGAACCGAAACAAGCAGCCTGCCTCTGCGAACTTTCTCGACATGCGCGGCGACTCCGACGGCAATCTGGAGCCAGTCTTCAATCTTCCCCTGGCCATGTCACCCATCAAGGGCGGTACGCAGCAGCAACAGCAGCCGCAAGGCGCACTAGGAGGAAGACCTGTTGCGGGCTCTTCTACCATTGGGGCGGCGGCAAGTTCCCTCTTCAGGAGGTAGCTCTTCCCGACGCTCCTCTCATCGCTACGCCTCATCTCTGGTCGTCATGGCCTTTCCGTGTTGACAGAGCATGCAATCTTAACATCTGGATACCTTCCTTCTTGGAAGCGTGCGTGAAACGAGGCCTGAGGAAGGAGCTCATCCTTTAAAAAACGTAATACACGGAGAGTGAGAAAAATATCGTCATCGTTGCGGTCGTCATCAGCTACTGTTGGTGCATGTAGAGTTGCTGCTGGTGCTGTTGTGCCTGCTGGCTCGCCATCATGTTGTTCATCTGCATCTGCTGTTGTTGTTGTTGCTGAGCCGCCAAAGACGCAGCCTGTCGTGATGTCAGTCGCAGCTTGGGCAGTCACACGACTTGAGAAGGACAGGCTCACCTGGGCAGCCTGTTGCTGGATCCCAACGCCCTGAATGGCAACGCTCGTAGTGAAATACGGGTGCCTGAGCGCCTCATCTGCACTTATCCTCTGCGTAGGGTCAAACTTCAACAGCTTTTCCAGGAGATCGATGGCTGTGTGCTCTATTTGAGCAAAGGTAGAACGAGAAAGTAAAGCACAGAACAAGCTCACCGAGAGGATGTGCCTTTGGGAACATGGACTGGAAAGGAACCTTGTTGAGTTTGGGGAACTCGCGAGGCTGAATCTCGGGCTGTAGAGAGAAAGCAAAGTCTCTGGTCAGGAAATCGAGGCAAGCACAGTCGGAAGCAAAGAGATTACGTACCGAGTCATTTCTCAATCGCTGAATCGTCGCTTCATCAGGCGTGCCGAGGACCCTGATGATCTGGTTGAGCTGGTCATTGTTGTCCCTTCCTCTAAACAGAGGTACACCGCTGATCATCTCGGCCATGATGCATCCCGCCGACCAGACGTCGATGCTCGTGCTATACGTGCGACTGCCAAGAAGCACGTCGGGCGCGCGGTACCAGAGCGTGACGACCTCATTCGAAAAGGTATTGACTGGGATACCAAATGCACGCGCAAGACCAAAGTCGGCCAGCTTAAGCTCACCCTTGAATGAATGAACAGCTTGTGTCAGCTTTCACACTGGTACGCATAGAGTGCGATGCTGCTCACCCGCTTGTTGATGAGGAGGTTCTGCGGCTTGAGATCTCGGTGCAGAACCCTGTTCTCGTGGCAGAAGGCTGTACCCTTGAGGAGCTGGAACATGAAGCTGCGCACCGTGACGGGGTCGAGAGCGCCCTTTTCGCCGTGAATGTCCATGTACTTCTTCAGGTCCTGCTCCATAAACTCGAATACGAGGAGGAGGCGCGATTCGGTGTGGATGACATCGTGAAGCCGAACAATGTTTCCATGCCGGAGCTCCTTCATGAGCGAGATCTCGCGAATTGCCGTCGATGGGGTACCTTCTTCTGCGTCAAGGTGGATCTCTTTGAGGGCGACGACATCGTTGGACATGCGCGATCGACCCTATGGTGACAGCGTCAGCATCGATCAAAACCAGAGACACTCACTCCTATACGCTCACCTTGTACACAGTGGCATACGTGCCCTCGCCTGTGACCAGTACAGTCAGTCAAAAGTGAGAATCGTGCGACATTCTCGCCATCCTCACCTAGCTTCTCCAGCTCTGTAAAAAGTAGGTTCAGTCATGTGCCACTTTAACCGACGCGCAACGCCCAACTCACGAATGTAGTTCATGATGAAGCTTCCCCGGGTCCGGACGCCTAGTCTTTGAAGGTCTACGAGGTAACTGACTGAGGGAGGTGCCGACGACGCGAGAATTGACGATGACGACGGTACCTTGTCTAGATGTCAGTAGCAGTGGTACTAGTTGCTCCTCGCGTGTTGGCTCGAGCTCGATGCTGCAGGCGTGTACTGCAAGGAGACTACTGAGTGCACGTGTATTACGTAATACGCGAAAGCCGACTTTGACATCCATAGGCTCCTCAATCCTTCGCGTCGAGCCAGCCACGGACCATACAAGAACGTAGTCATCCATCTGTTTCAGGTGACGCTCACCAGGAGCAGCATGGACAGGAACCAGGTAGATGCTTCCCAGAGTACTGGATTGACTGAAGCTGGTAAGGTGCCTGAAGGCGAGGAGGTGGGGCAGGAGGTGCAGGGGCAACCTCAGCAGCAGGGACAACAACCTTCGGAGTCGCGAGAGGAAGAGCAGGAGGGAGAGGAGCAGGAAAGTGCGACCGTCTTCATGCCATCAAGCCCTCGAGTAGAGGCCGATGAACCTGAGAGTGGGATAGCTGAGGCAGTAGACGGCCAAAACGGTAATCAAGATGGCAACGCAAAGGTTGGTGGCACAGAGACGCCTCCTGTGGCGCAGGCTCTGTCAACTTCGCCGCAGCCTCAGCAGCAAGCAAAGGCGTCAGCGACAGTGCCCAAGGAGCAATCGAGTATGAAAGCGGATCTCTCTTCGACTGCTGATCCAACAAAAGCGGCAGCGTCCGTAGCCCCTCCAACCTTGGCCGCAGAAACCTCGGCAACTGCGAAGGCGCCCGCGCCTTATGATTTCTCGACCAGTGTAAATGGACTCCAGGCGGCGCCAACATCCTCGCTTCGAGATGGTCCGGAGGAGTACAGAGCATCGCTTCGAGCTCGGATCGAACGTGAGCGTCGGGATGGCGATGCATGGCTTGCCTTGATCGAGGAAGCTAGCTCCAGAGCAGACCTCGAAGGCATCCGGAAGATCTACGAGGACTTTTTTGTCGTTTTCCCCAATGCGGTGAGTAATAGAGCTTGATCAATGCTACGAACATGAGCCTGATCACTCCATCGACAGGCCCGGCAATGGCAAGACTACGCCTCGCTCGAGCTGTCGCATTCTGAGTTTTCAAACGTCGAAAACATCTTCACCCGCTGCTTGCGGTCCACGCCGTCAACAGAGCTCTGGCGCCTGTACCTCTCCTACACCCGAAGGGTGAATCCTGTACCCCCGTCAAGCGGCGGACCGGGAGGAAATGACGAGCGGGAGAGAGTGCGAAAGGTCATCGAGGGCGCGTACGAATTCGCCTTGAAGTTCATTGGGCAAAGTCGGGATGCTGGTGAGGTGTGGAAGGAATACATCGCATTTCTAAAGGAACGGGAGGTGAGTCTTGCAGGCCAAATTAGAGCAGATGAGCCCAGTCATTGACGGGACGGATGACAGACCAACAACCAATGGGAAGCGGGCCAGAAGATGGACGACGTCAGAAGGACCTATCAAAGAGCCATTGCAGTGCCCTTGTCCAACGTCGAGCAGATCTGGAGGGAGTACGATGCTTACGAAAATGGCCTGAATCGCGTTACGGTGAGCTTTGAGACGAAAGCTGTCATAGAATCTTCACTGACAATCGACGATGCAGGCCAAGAAGTTCCTCGCCGAGCGCTCACCTGCATACATGACGGCAAGGACCGTCTTTCGGGAGATGAAGACCCTGACCGATAACCTTTACCGGCCCGTTCTTGCAAAGGTGCCCTGCTTCGCTGCGGCACCCAAGACGATGCCCCTCGTGACGCCCGACACCATTGTGCAGGATCGAGCGCAGTTCGACGAGTGGAAGAGATACCTGCAATGGGAAGAGAGCAATCCACTGCAACTAGAAGATGCACAGGTTCTGTATGCTCGAGTGTCGATGGCATATCGGAAAGCTACGATGCACATGCGATTCTTTCCTGAGGTTTGGTGAATACGCTCTGTTCTTGATTGCCTTCGGAATGCGAGACTGACTGTGTTTAAAAGGTACATGGCCGCCAATCATTCTGCCTCAGTAGGCCGACTTGATGAAGCAGCATCCTTGCTTCAACAGGGAATGGAGGCTTGCACAGGCAGCTTCCTTCTCCACTTTGCCTTTATTGAGCAGGCCGAGGCGCGAGAACAGACGACAGAGTGTGGAGCGATCTTCACCAGCCTCGTCGACTGGGTGCATGCGCAGATCCATGGCCTCGAGGACGCACTCGAGGAGGCAATCAAGGCCATTGACGTCGAAGGGGAGAGATACAAGGCCGAGACTGAAGCGAGGCGGCGCGACGAAGGAGCATCGGACGAGATCGAAGGGGAAGAGAGAGAGGAAGTGCGCAAGATGGAGGAAGAGAGAGAGCGTCGAAGGAACGAAGAGCGAGAAAGAGTCAAGCCAACGGTCGAGGAGCTCAAAGAGAGCGCAGCGTTGGTATGGATCAAGTATATGCACTTTGTCAGGAGAACAGAGGTGAGGTTGCCTTGAGTCTATAACGCCAAACGGCCGAGCTGACTGGTCATCATCTCCAGGGCCTCCGAGCTTGCCGGTCCATCTTTGGGAGAGCACGAAAGAGCCCTTTATGCACCTGGCAGGTCTTCGAGGCCAACGCATTGATGGAGTACCACTGCTCCAAGGATGTCAAGGTCGCCACCAAGGTCTTTGAGCTTGCACTAAAGTCTTACGGTGGCGATGAAGCCTTTGTGGTACGGTATCTCGATTTTCTCATCTCGATCAACGACGACAACAGTGAGTGTCACCCCACTGATCCTGCAGGCCCCTGACCGTTGATTCACTCCTGCCCGCCTTGTCAGATGCTCGGGCGCTTTTCGAGCGGACAGTGCACAACTTTTCGCCTGAAAGGGCGAGGCCAATTTGGGAGAGATGGTACCAATTTGAGTACACCTTTGGCGATCATGCCTCCATTGCAAAGATTGATGCGCGCCTCAAAGAGATATACCCTGAAGGTGCGTTTGAACAGCCCTCAATCGCGATTGGAAAAGTCTCACTCACCCTACGACCGACGCAGAGCCGCCGATCGATCGTTTCGTCGAGCGAAGCAGGTACATGGACATTGACGTCGTCAGCAGTCGAGACCTCGGCTACCAGCCCATGCTAGAAGGTTCCAATGCCGCAGAAAGGGCCGTGGCCGCTTCGAGAGATATGGGTGCCAGGATGGAATACGCTTCGTCGTCGTTGCCATCGACGCAATTGCAGCCTCCCACCGGTCCTGCCGCAGACAACTACCCTGCCTCGACGTCGGGTCCCCCGCTGAAGCGCGTCCGCTTCAACCGAGAGGGTGGCTCGCCAACACCACCCCCTCCTTCAGGCCCCTCGGCAGATGCAGGTGACAGAAGGCGACAGCCGGCAGGGTTCCGAAGGAGCGCGAGTCCGCCAAGCCGATTTGTACCACCACCTCGAGAGGGCAACCAGCCAACGCCGCCACAGAATCATGCCCCAGTGCGGGGCCCTCCACCACAGCAGAGCGTCTATCTTGAGATCCCAGAGGTGGTCCTTCACTTTATGAGGTGAGTCTTCTTGACGTTGGCAAGGTGGACGGCTGCTGACCGCGACTTCATAAAAAGCATTTTGCCAATGACTGCCGCATTTGATGGCCCTCGTTTCCAGCCTGAAGACATTGTTGAATGTCTGGTCCGGTCCAATTTGCCCATGGCTTCCGGTGGCTTTCCGCAGCAGCAAGGCAACCTACCGAGACCAATGCGAGGCGGTCGAAGAGGAGGAGGTACGTTGACCGAACCACGGTCTGCTTGCATTTCACCCATTGCTGAATTTCTTTCTTGCAGTCCGTGGTGGGAGACGCTTTTAGAGCGATAACGCTCGATAAGAAAGAGAGGTTGTTCTCAATTACGGCAACCTTAAACAAACATCTACATTCATCGTTCACAAAGAAGAGCATCCCCCTTGCTACCAATGGAATGCTAGGATGTGCGCTCTTTGACAAAGCCATCTGGTCTGACCAGAATTGTGCCCACCTGAGTCGTCCCTGTCAGAGTGGTCCACTGGGTCGAAGGATGGTCCAGGAAGTGGAAATCCTTGCTAGCTTTGAGCGTTCGCACAGCTCCTCCACGGAGCATCTCCTTCGCTTCTGGACCCGCAAGGATGACTGACTCCTTGCCAAACAGATCCAGAGTCGAGCGTTTGATACCATCGCCCATATCGATCCAGGCATGCGGGAAACGCGTGCCGACCTGTCCCTCGAGTGTCTTGACCGAAGAAGCCTTTCCAGATGTGTCGTTGCCGTACTGGTAGCGCATCAGGATCGCACCGCCGTCGATTTGCTGGTCGACCTGTTGCTTGTTGGACTCTGTTCGGATGCCAAAGCGACCTTCGAGGTCCTTTCGCAGCGCAGCCTGCGTGCCGGCAAGTCTAGCCAATGGCCTCCTCTCTTGCTCGTATCCATCCAGGATCGCGTCGGTCTCTTCCTTTGCATCGGCATGGAGAGCAGCTGCAAGCCTCCAGGCAATGTTGTGCGCGTCGGCAATGCCCGAATTGCCATTGAAGCCTCCCCACGGCGGCATATTGTGGGCTGCGTCTCCCGCCAGGAACGCCCGACCCTTTCGGTAGGCTCTTGCGACGCGCACGGCAGAGTGCCATTCCGAACGATTGAGAATCTTGATGGCCGGTATCGGTTCAGGTCCGATTGCGCTCCTGATGACCTTGACGAGGTCCTCGTCAGAGAGGCTCGCCGGGTCCAGCTTTGGATCGAAGTCGCGATGGAGGTGGAGGACCCACTTGTCGGTGTTGTTCATAGATGCAAAGATGCCCTTGATGCCCCGCTCCTTCTGCTCAATCTCGCATTGGCTGAACGTGCGCTTCTCCGTCAGTAGCGCTGCAAGGTCGCACTCGAAAAAGACATTGAGGAACGGGTGCCCTGGATCAAGCTCCTCGAGCGAGAGGCCAAGCTCATGCCGAATCAGGCTACGTCCGCCGTCGGCAGCCACGAGGTAGTCGCCCAAGATGAGCTCCTCGATACCTGTTGCGGTATCACGGATTCGAACGGAGACGACCTCAGCATTATTCTGCTCTAGCGCAGCGACTTCGTGGCCAAACCTGAAATCAGCATCGGCTCCTCGATGAAGCAAATTGCGTTTCAGTATAGCCTCGACCTCTGGCTGGGGACACGCGCACATCTTGCACGGTGATGGCTCGCCGGCACCCATGTGCTTAGACATGCCTTCGGGAAACTTGATCGCCTCCGACTGCAACATTGATTGCCCGAAGCGGACGCCCCCGAACGACCCCATTTTCCATGCCGACGCAGCCGCCTTCTCGACCTCTTCCTGCAGCCCGAGCTGGCGAAAGAATTCCATGGTTCGCAGCGCGAAGCCGCGGGCGCGGGGTAAGGGGACTGGATCATTGTTCCGCTCAATGAGTACAAAGGGAACTCGATGTTGCTGAAGGAACAGGCCGAGGCTGAGGCCAACGAGGCCACCGCCGACGACGACGACGGACGTCCGTCGCTGGACCTGGGGAGAAGCGACAGTCATGGGTGTTTCTTTTGGTGGGCGAAGTCACTATTCAGAGGGGCACCTTAAATAGCTGTCTAGGAGTCTGCTTTCCATCTGCACGGGCTTACCATCAAAAGTTGGAGCCTACGGTTCGCCAGATCGGCACCCCTTTGAACTCAATCAGAGAAATAGAGTGTCTTGGTCATCTGCTCCGCTAAACGCCGTGTAAATCCATAGGCGCTTTCATTCATCACACTGTGGGAATTTGTTCCTGACGTCAGCCTCCTTTCCGTCTTTTCCCCTCTCCTGCGGCTAATGCGACAATTTACAAGCCAGAGCTCCGCCCAGTCAAACGGGACATGCAGATATAAGCGCAGCAACTCCAAATGAACATTGACTAGACGCAGCACGAGCTGAGCCGGAAGTGACGTTCGAGATGAAGACGAGAAGGCTCAAAGTCCGCCTGTCCCCGAGACTGATAGCCAGCTATGATTGCCGAAAGATTAGCTACGCCTCCAATGCGCTTGCAGCCGGCTGTCCATCGTCCTCGCACGCACCGTTCCTGGATCGCAAGTCTTTAGTCAATGCTTTCCAAAATGGCGTCGAGATCGGACTTGAAGAATGACATGACTAAGTCGTGACAGAAATTACCAGCCACGCGACAACCGCTGCGCCTGTGCGTCATTGCGACAATAGTGGTATTGGCGCGCCCAAGTTAGACTAGGCGATTCTCTCCCAAACGGAAGCGGCTGTGCCTATCTATCTCTCGCTCTTCCTCCCTCCTTCACACGTTCTTCCTGTCCCTGCACAACGCGCCAACGCCCAACCTCAACTTGAATATGTCTTCGTACGCGAATGTCGCCGCGCACAACGCGCCCTCGCAGGCGCAGCAGCCCCACGCAGACCAGTCGCTGCTCAGTGGCAGCAACAACCGCACCGGCGACGTGACCACCTCGAGGCCGGATGTCGACACTGGTAAAGTCAACGTTGTTCCCTCGAGCCAGGACCTGGACAACATCAAGACGCAGACGTCTGATGCAGCACAAAAGGCCTATGAAGACGCCAAGCGCGAGGCAGAGAAGCTCGAGGCCGAGGCCAAGCGCGAGGGCAAGAAGCTGCAGGCGCAGGGCAAGAAGTTTGAAAAGGAGGCAGGAAAGAGGCTCAAGAAGACAGGCGAGGAGGCGAAGAACCTCTGGAACACCTTTTCGAGCGAGCCAAAGTACTGGCTTCCAGCTCTTGGTGCTAGTGAGTCACAGATCAAGGCTTGTCTGTCCATTGTCGGAGAGGGAACTGACACTTGGTCTCTGGCAGTCAACGCCGCACTGCTGGCTGGCGTCGGCGTATTTGCTTACACAAACCGCGAAAATGCAAAGACGTGGGACCGTCGCCTCGTCAGCGCCGTGACAGTGGGAATTCTCGGCCTTCTCGGAGGTGAAAGGTGGGTTCTTGCTCGTTGTCAACTTTTTTTTGAACAGCAAACTGAGAGCATCACCGCCTCCAAATAGCTACCTGGCGACCGAGGCTGCTCGAAAGCAAAAAGGCCGCAAATAAAGTTAACGCTGAGCTGTACACTACCAAATCACCTCTTTGCTCCGCCTCCTTCACCTCTCTTTACCTTTCCGGTTCGATTCTTGACGGGCAATAATTTATACTTGAATGTACCCTGGCACTCGATCGTAAACATGCGATGGGATGGCAACACTGAGAAGCACAGAAACGCCCGATGCGTAGCCGATGGCGCTGTAGCTTGCCCCGACTTTTGCAAACGCAGCTGGCGTCCATGCGCCTCTCGCGCCCTGCCAGACCCATCCCTGTATCTTCTGAGGCAGGCTGACAAGCTCGCTTTACCATCACCCGCTCCCTCATCACAGCTGGTCTGTGAGCCGCGGAACAGCAAGCGGAAAAGCGACGACCTCGAGAGAAGGCAAGATGACCGCTGCAACCTCACCCCGAGAGAAATCGGGAGCCAGCTTTCGCTCTTCGCTTTACAATGAGCAGCTCATCGTACAATCGCTCGACCAGGGTGTCTGGGGCCGGGACCCAGGCGTAAAGAATGAGCTTGGACAGCAGGTCGGAGAGCAGCTCGAGCCTACGCTCCACTTCCGTCACATTACCATGATCAGTGTTGGAGGCGTCGTGGGCACTGGCTTGTTCTTGGGCTCTGCACAGTCGCTTCGCGAGGGCGGACCTTTGGGCCTAGTCCTCGGCACTGTCCTCGTGTCGACCATCTGCTTCTCCGTCATGCAGTGCCTTGGCGAGGTTGTCGCTTACCTCCCCCTGCCAGGTGGCTTGACGCAGCTTGCAGAGCGTTTCGTCAGCCCAGGGATGGCTTTTGCCATGGGTTGGCTGTTTTGGTTCAAGAGTGTACGTTATGATGCGTACAGGAGGGGAGACGGGCACAATGCTGACCCCGCCCTTAAAGACAATCGTCCTGCCAGCCCAGCTAGCAGCCGCTGCGATCCTAGTCGGGTTTTGGAACAGGCACCATGAGATGAATCCGGCAATCTATGTCGCTATATTCATCGTCATCATCTCCGTCGTCAACCTCCTCGGCGCCCGCGTTTACGGTGAGACAGAGTTTTGGCTCGCTTCCATCAAATGTGCCACCATTGTGGGTCTGGCGATTGTAAGCATCTGCCTGGTCGCGGGTGCGGGCGTGGAAGAGCCCATCGGCACACGTTATTGGCGTCATCCCTGGACGTTGTTCAACAAATTCGCACCTGTCGACGAACCTCCATACGAGGAGGTGCGTGGGCTCGCCGGACATCTCTTCGGCTTCATCGCAGTCATCGGCAGGGCCATCTTTTCGTTCCTTGGAGTCGGTGCGTTTTTGCTCTGCACCGTGGCAAGGACACAATTGACGGCATTGCTTCGCAGAAAACTTTGGCACTCTTGCGGCCGAAACAAAGAATCCTCGCAGGATCTTGCCGCGCGCCGTCATTTTTGGTGCGTAATGTTGACTCGAGGGAATGAGAGGGGGTGTATGCTCACGAGCCCAATCTCACGAGAGCACAGTCTGGGTCACTGTCGTCGTGCTCTATCTGATGGGAGCTCTTGCAATCGCGTTCGTGTGCCCCAGCGACCACCCTGACCTGAGCATGCAGAGTGACATGGCCATCGAAAGTCCCTTTGTCATTGCCATTCGAATTGCTGGCATAAGGGTGCTGCCTTCTGTTATCGTGAGCCTACCCATGCTCGCGAGCACATGTGCATTGCTGATCCGCCTGGCAGAACGCGGTCCTGCTCCTCAGCGCGATCTCTGCAGGCAGCCAAGACCTCTACACCTCCTCTCGGGCGCTGTACGGTCTGGCAATTGCGGGAAAGGCACCTCGAATCTTTTGCACCACGACTGCAAGCGGACTGCCGCTGCCCGCCGTTGCAGTCGGCGTCGCTGTCTCGTTTCTCGCTTTTCTCTGCGTGAAATCCGGGGCAAACCACATCTTTGCTGTGAGTCTCTGGTAGTCCGCCTGGCATGTTCTCTCGACGCTGACATCGGCCGATGCAGTGGACGATTAACGCAGCGTCTGTATCTGGTCTTATGGTGTGGGGATGCATTGCCTTTCTCTATCTCCGCTTCCGCAAAGGTTTTCAGGTGCAGGGCTACCGGCGCACCGTGCTCCCGTATCGCTCCTGGTGCCAGCCATTTGCGGCATACTGGGTCATTGGCTGGACGGTGACGATTGTCCTGTGAGCGTATTGCGAAGGTTGTTTGATACAAAAGAAACTGACGACCTCCTGTGCATCAGCCTTCACGGTGCATCGACGTTTCTCAAAGGGGGCTGGAGCACAGGCAAATTTGTCTCGTCATACATCAGCCTGCCACTCTTCATCGTCTTTCTGATCATGGGCAGAATCCTGGCTCGAAGAGGCATGGTACGGTCGGTCCACATGGATTTTGAGAGCTCAGTTATGCGTCTGCGCGAGATGGAGGTTCCTGATAACGGTGAGTCAAGCTCGTTTCAGATGACAGGATGTTCAATCTGACTATTTATAAGCTCCGAGGCCAAGCTTTCATCGCCTAAGGCGAGCAACGACGACGACGACAACAACGACGACAACGACCCCTGCCTGCAGCGCACCGCTGGCCGCCACATCTGTGTCTGCAACAGCCAGCTGAGTTCTCCTTGGCGCCAACAACGGTGTACAGGAAGTCTTCTTTAAATGACAAGCGTGTGACCAAACATCTGTCTCTTAGAGAAGGGCGAAAGAAGTGGCTGAATAGATGTACAGCATCGAGCGATGCAGCGATAGCAGGCGCGTACCCTAGGAGGTGCGTGCATGCTGCAGACGCGTGCTGGACCGAACGCAGCAGAGTAGTAGTAGTAGTAGTTCCTGCGGATCAGTTGGACCCTGTTGTGGCGCCGTGGCCCGTCTTTCCCCTTCAACTTCATCAATGCGAGCACAGACATCGATGAGGACCGAGATGGACCAGATGAGGAGGGCCACGCACACTGTCCATTTGCCCACCTCGGTCTCGTCCTTCCTGCAAATACGATTGTTCAAAGTGACCTGCAGCCGCGCGCCTTCAATCAGCTCGGACGGATTCCGCTGTGGCCCCAATTCTTTCGAAAGAAAGGAAAAAAGAAAGAGGATATGCATAGCACATGCGATCGGGGGCACTTGGTCCCTGCAGTGAAGATTTTACTTTTTTTTCTTCTCCTCCTCATCAAGAATACCAAAAAGATCTGGGTTTGTAATTCTTTCCAGGAAAAGCTGTGTGAAGAAGAAGATCATTCTTCCCGCCAGCCAATCTTTTCAGGTAGGCCAGGGGGTCTTTGCCCGCAATAATTTCAAGATTATTGACAAGAGTAGCATCAGAGCTCTAGCAGCTAGAGTTACGGTTCATGCAGCCTCGTCGCGAAATGCAAAGGGACATCTCGTCCGTCGGTTGACTGATTGACCAGTCTGAGGTGAGAGGGTGACATTTTCTATTTGTCGACGAGGCGCGACGCGCCTTTTCCGAGGGGTGTCCGCTCGAGAAAATAAGCCGCCATCCAATTCAAGGGGCTTCTCGTTGCTTTGGCTTGCTGTATATTTTTTTTTTGGGGCGAATGGCCTCTCCCTTTCGCAGGGCCGCGGGTCTCTCCCCAGAGTGCAGTTGTTCGAAGAAAGAATGTGCTAAGGAGAGGGAGCAGAAAATGTCCGGAAAATGAACGCGAGAACTGCAACTACTATAAGCTTACACACTGCTCGCGAAGCAGGCGCGCCGCGCGCCCGGACCTTGATCTCGCTCGCCCTGTCGGACTCTACCGCTTCGACGAGCGCGTTCCCTTGTCTTTGCATCTTCCAGTCGACCACTACCCCAACCACCATCACCACCGCCATCTTCGGATTGTGCTGTTCCTGACTTGAGCTTGTCCTTCAAAAGGCACAGTCGATCGATGGCTTGACGATTCGCACTTCTTTTTCCAGCTAACGACGCAAGCGCATTTACCACGCACGATTTACAATGAAATCTTTTCTCGCAAAGCGGCGCAAGTCCGTCTCGGCTGGCCAGGGTGGGCCAGCCCAGTCGATGGAGGAGAAGCCACCGATGCCGATGCAAGGTGCTGGGGCAGCGCCAGCGCTGCCTACGCTCGACAAAGTGAGGATGCCGGACCTTCGTTTCTCACGCCTCGACCTCGATCCGATCGGAGGACTGGGCACGTCCCTCGAAGGGCTAGGAAATTCGCATGGCAGCGGCGGCATCAGTCCCTCGCAGACGCAGCTGCTCTCTCCTTCTACGGGGGCCGCCGTCGCCGCCCCCAAACGATCGTCTTCCCACACGAATCTGGCAGCTACTGGCCAATCGACTTCGCAGCAATCGGCTTCCCAGATGAACACGTTGCCCCGCTCCGCTACCGCCGCGCCCTCCAAAGGCGGCATCAACGGCCTCTTTAACGATCCAGCATCCGCTCCCGCCGCGGCTCCAGCTCCGGCCGTAGCTCCGGCCGCAGCTCCGGCCCTAGCCCACGTCCCAGCCCCAATGCCGGGCCAAGGTACTTTGCCAGGTCAAGGTGTTCCAACGGAGCAAAAGAAGAGAAGGTCGATGAAAGCTTCGACCCCACCCAGAAGCCCTGTGCCTCAGACACCACCGCCCGACATTCCACCGCCTCCTGCTCCCTCCAACGTAAAGGGCTCGTCTCCCTCTTCGTCTTCCCCGTCCAGCCGCAGCAAGCCCACGCAGCAAGAGGCGGCCGGTCGAGCAACAAAGGAGGAGGGCAAGACACCCCGGCCCCTGGCCGAGAGCCGGAGTACCTCTTCATCGCTGTCAAGTCGTGAAAAGGCGCCAAAGGCAACCTCGAGGCCGGACCAATCTCGAAACGAGCGTGGCCCGGGCCTCAGTCAGAGTCAGAGTCATGGTCACATGCAGGCTTCCACGGACGACAGACGAAAGAGTGCGACGGCATCATCGAGGTCCAAGTCGCCCCAGCCACCAATGTCGGAACACGAAGTTCGCCTGGCCCAGCTCAAGGCTGAGTCGGAGAGGGGCGTACAGCGAGCAAAGGAGGACATGGAGTACAAGAAGAAGCGGATGGAGGAGCTCGAGAGGTACCATGAACAGCAGGCGAAGAATGGCAAGGACAAGTCGCAGCAGCAACGCCCTCTCCAGCAGCAGCGGCAACCCTCTCAGCCGCAGATGCAGCCACCGCCGCGTCCACAAGCGCAGCCGCAGATGCATCCTTCACAGCTGCCGCCACAGCAGCCTCAGCCTCAGCCTCAGCCTCAGCCTCAGCCTCAGTCTCAGCAGCGTGGTCCCCAGGGCCCTCCTCTGCAGCCCAGGCAGCCGCAACAGCCGCCTGAGCAGAGCCGGGGAGAGGTAGAAGCCAGTGGAAAGAAGACCAGCAGCCTCAAGAAGAGGCTAAGCAGCTTTGGACTGACAAAGAAAAAGGAGCCAACGAAGGAGGAGCTGCCGCAGATGCCTATGCGTCCTGTGGACCAGCGTCAACAGGCTCAGCAAAATGGCAGACCGTCGCCACAGCTGCAACAGGCGCCGCCGCCAAGAGACCAAATGCATCCACAACAACAGCCTCGAAGCGCCTCGTCGGCCCAGCAGCAGCAGCAGCAGCAGCAGCAGCAGCGACAGCAGCAGCGAGCCCCAGGCACTTTGTCGAACAAAAGCTCGCAGAAGAGCCTCAAGGGTGAGGCAAACCAGCGGAGATCGCAGCTCCCACCCTCCCCTCGTCCTCCTCCGTCGCCTCAGTCAGCGCAGGAAGCAGCGCAGGAACAAAGACAAGAACCAATTTCCGACAAGAAGAGCTCTTCCAATCAGTCGAAGCCCAAGCAACCCCCTCAGCAGCCCCCTCAGCAGAGACCTCAGCAACCACCTCAGCAACCACCTCAGCAACTACCTCAGCAACAGCAGAAACCCCAGCAGCCCACTCAGCAACAGCAGAAACCCCAGCAGCCCACTCAGCAAAAGCAGAGACCCCAGCAGCCGCCTCAGCAACAGCAGACACCTCAGCAAGCTCAGCAGCTTCAGCAGACTCAACCGCCTCAGCAAGCGCCGAAGCAGAAGCCGTCACCCCCTGCAGTCAAGGTGCCTGGCCAAGGAAAGGACGGCGGCCAGATGGCGGCCTTCCAATTTCCGAGGCCTAGCCAGGAGCAGCCGCCTTCCCAAGAGCGACGCTCCCCGCAGCCGTCTTTGCAGCAGCAGCAGCAGCGGTCAGTGCCTCCCGGACCCACTCGATCCAACTCTGCCCTGGTTGCCCGCGATGGCGTTGCCAAGCCGATTCCCCCTCAGCGAGGCATGACCCAAGATGAAGGCAGGTATGCTGCCGCCGTGCCCAGCTCGCCCTACAACTCGCAGAATGATGCCATCACATCCTCTTCTTCCGAGGCGACGACGACCGACGGCGTGGGATCGCAATCACAGGAGACAAATCCCAGTAGCGCAGGGTGGGCATACCGAAGTGCCGACGACGGCAGTGAAGTCGAAGTGGATGACGACGAGGGGGTGACACAAGGCCTCCAGCAAGGATATGGATCGGCGCGCGGAGCACCCGAGAGCATGTCACAGGCAAGGCCACGGCGAGACGAAGAGCGAGCCGAACGAACTCAGTCGCGCCTGTCAATGAACCTCGATGGTGAGATGGAAGCTAATGCGGGTCAGCAGCAGCAGACACACCAACGAGCGGACAGCAAGTTCGGCGCACTGCTCGCAGGAGCAAAGACCGCCACCCACCAGCACAACAAGAACAGCTCGGGCAAGGGCTCGAGCATCCTCGACATGGACGATGAGAGGAGGATGAGGCGTCCCTCCACCCCACCACGCCGCCAGAGGGAGAGGGAAAGGGTCGTGCCTGCTGTGAAGAGGGAGCCCAACCCGGACCTGATCGTTTATGGCTTTGGCTGGAAGACACACGGTCTTGCAGACTCCTCGTTGATCCAGTCGCACGATCGCTTCGAGACAGTCGCTGTCCAAGTCCCCAAATCAGTCTATCACGTTAAGAAGGAGCGAAGCGAAGATGCAAAGGAGGCGGATGCAAACAAAGAAGAAGAAGAAGAGTCTGAATCCGAGGACGAAGACGAGGAAGTGCAAATCGAGTACGAAGAGGAGATGCACGACGTCCGCTACAATGACCTCTTCGAGCTCATTTGGACTTCGACGACGCCCGACGTCACCCAACGCCTCATCTCCCACCTCGACTTTGCCGAGATCAAGGCGTTGCGTCAGACGTGCTCCAACATTCGCTTCACCCTCTCGAGCCACCGCGAGATGATCATATCGCGCTACCTGGCTTGTGTTGGTTACACGTCCTGGAAGGCTACGACGGCGACTACCGTCAATCCAAAGACGGGCAAGCGCGTGACGACGGTCTCAAGGGACCCGTGCCCGCTCAGCTTTACCGACTGCGAGGCATTCTTGCTCAGCCACGACCTCTTGCCCGAGTACGCCGCTGTAGGCAAAGAGTACGCCATGGCGCCGACGGAGATGGACCCACGACTGCCACGGCTGGCCAGGGCTACAACGCGAGCGTACAATCGAGTTTTGACGAGGCTCAGGCTACAGCCCTCATTCAGGGTACCGACCCCTCCCGGCGGTGGCAGCACCAGCAACATCAGCAGCAGGCCTCCTCTGCCTTCGCCAAGCGGCAGCCGGCTTTCCGCCAGCCCAAGCCACAGCCCACTTGGCAGTCCCATTGCTGCCTCAGGCCTGCCACGAGCCAACTCATACTACCCCTCGCCTTCTCATTCTCAGAACGGCGGACTGTCGCCCGGTGCTCTCCCAAATGCGTCCTTGCCAACGCTCACCTCGCCGGTGCTTGCCTCGCCTCGAGGCTCGCCCAATGGAAGCCCGAATCTTGACGTGGGCTCATTTGGCGCCCAGCAGTCTCCGCAGCTCGAAGGCGAGGCTGCATCGATGATCACGCTACCTTCGCCTTACAAGCCTGGTCGAGCTGCACAATTCCGCGTCTGGGTGCCTGCTCTGGATTCGTCTGGTTGGCTCTCGGACGAAGAGCTGACTCTTTGCGAAGGCGAGCTATATCGATCAGGCATCTGGAATCTGCTCAGACGAGGCGATGTCGTCTGGGACGTTGCGATCGGCGACTCGCTCAATGAGGGTAAATTCGTCTTCGACGGCCACTACCTCCGCGATCTCAGCTATGCCTACGACGTGGCAGGTCACCTGCCTTCTTGGCTCAATTCGCTCATCTTCCCACCATCCTACTGGCACAATGTCCTGCGATCCTCGACGTCGCAGCCCGTCATCTACCTCGACGTGAGCCCGTTCAAGGACCAGATCTTGTCGAGTCTGAGGCTGGTGCAAGACCACGTCGACAGTGTCAGCCCTCAGGGCAGGTACCGCATCGCAAAGTGGCTCTACAGAGCTGTTGCAACGACGACGGCAGGCCAGATCATCAGCCAGATGGACCAGAGCCTCCAGGTCGTGGATAGCGGCTGGCACGGAAAGATTGTTATTGAGACCGAAGGTAAGTCTCAAAGAAGAAAGCAAAGTGCTCGAGTTGAGCCTAGACCCTTGCGCTGACAATGAACGACTACAGGCACAGCCGAGCATGCCAAGGCTCTTGTATCGCGCTGCGCCGAGGCAGGCGCTACGCCGCAGCAAAAGGCTGCCCTCTTGGCCTCTGTCATGGGCGGTGATGCCGCAGCGACGGCATCGCTGGCCACGGCGGATTCCAGAGGCCCCCACTATGGCAACATGAACAACAGCAACCCCAAGACCACGAGCTCCGGCGGTCAAAATAATTTCCCCTTTGTCGTATTGCGAGAAAGGAGCCGACCAGGACTGATCTGGATCCGTCCAGTGGGTGAGAGGGAGCGGGTCACCGCTGCTTAGTCGTCCTGTCGCAATCCTCTCCTCCTCCCCCCTTTGTCTTCCATTTCCATGGATTTTATATCGTTGTTTTCACATTAGAGGAGAAAGGGCTGGTCTCCCTTTTACAATCCTCCGCTCCTCCGCCCGTCCGTTAGCAAACACCAGCTCACCCTCATGTAGAAGAAGAACTTAGTCTGCTGTAAAAGACCTAACCCTTGTCTGTAATCTGATACAATGCTATCCAAGAAGAGCGAGAAAGGACCGGTTTGTCACACAGTCGCAGGATACAAGGGAGCAGGAGACACGTTCGCTCGGAGCAAGAGGGGCCGTGCATAGCTGCAGGCTAATATTATGAGGCTAAGAAAGAAAGCTCCATCCGTCCGGACTTCTGCGAAGCTGCAGACCCCTAGCCTCGCCCGGATCAAGGAACAAGATCGATGGCTCGCGCGACATCATCGGTCTTGTCCTCCGCTCTTGCTCCTGTCCCTGAACTCAGCCACCGGAGCAACCATCTGCAAGGCCGCTCTGGTCTTCTCGAAGGAAAAAGAAAATAAAAAATAGGCGGCCCGCCCGTCTCCTTGGCTGCCCTTTTTGAGCCCAATTGCTTACGGGCAGGCGCACTCCCTCGAGGCCTCGCGCAATCTCCATGACGCTCTACCACGACGACAAGAAGGACGATCTCGAAGCGCACGCACATCGTACGCCACCGCAGAGCCGAAGCAGCATGATGCGAACGTCTGCATCCCTCCTGGTCGGCAGCCTCGCCGCGGCCCTGCTCCTCTTCGTTGTGGGCGGCTCAGCCTCGCCCTTCTACCCGCCCCACCACCATCTGGATCCTAGGACACCCACGAGTCGGGCCATTCACCCCGTCGACAATTTCACGGCGCCGGCCCGGTTCCCCAAAGATGCATTCGAGGGCTTCTACAGCTACCCAAAAGCTTTTGAGACCGAGCCAAGGCCCAAGGTCATCGATGCCAAGACCGGAAAGCCATTCCCAGACCTTCTTGCAGGGCCCATCTTACCGAACCTGCCTCCTGCGTCAGACGCCGTTTTCCCCAAGCCTGGACCGGGAAGTAAGAACGCGCCCGAGGACCTCGCTGCGCAGATCCAAAAGAACATCACGGCCATCATCGCAGATGCCTCGCTGTCCAACTGCTCAAAGTGCATCAACTCGCTCAAGCTCGGCCAGCAGCTCGCCGCGCTCAAGCCAAGGGACGTGCCTGGCGTATTGCAGAATCTGTGCAAGCAATTCAAGTACAGCCCTGCCACGACGGCCGTCAATGCAACCGAGAACTGCAACCGCGTGTATGCGCCTCAGACCCTCGGCGCCATGTATGCTCAGGTGCTCCGCTACGCCGACTTGGAGGGAGACATGCCCTCAGACGGGCAGTACATCTGCAGCTATGTCTACAAGAACAAAGCCTGCCCTACCCCAGCTCCCCTGACGCTCGATCAGAACTTCCTCAATGGCTGGTTTGGCTCCAAGAGCAAGCGAGACGAAATCGTAAAGCGAGAAGCTCTCGTCCATGAAGACGAGGCGCACAAGAGAACCGGAGAAGCCTGGCTGGACAAGCGGGGCAACAAGAAGATGTTCCGCGTCGCTCACCTGTCGGACATCCACGTCGACCCCAGGTTCCTCGTGGGCGCCGAGGCAGGGTGCACAACCGGCCAGTGCTGCCGTGCCGATTCGTTCAACTCGACCCTGGCCTCTGGCCCTCCCATGCCCCAGGGCACTCTACCCAACCCGGCAAACCGCAGCCAAGAGGCCTACTACTGGGGCAACTACAAGTGCGATGCGCCCTGGTCTCTGGCCATGAGTGCCCTCCAGAGCGTCACGCCCCTCAACGGAGAGCGCGAGGTCGACATGTCCCTCTACACGGGCGACATGGTCGTGCACGATGCACCATTCCACATCAGTGATGACCTTGTCCGGTACACGCAGCAATCAATCTTTGACAGCATGAAGCGATACTTTGGCAAGGGACCCGTCTTCTCCGCCATTGGCAACCACGACACGGCGCCTTCGGACAGCTCCGCACCGAGAGACTTGCCGCCCGAGGCCGTCAATGCCTTTTCGTACGACTGGGAGAACCTGCAGCGGCTGTTTGTCGCCGAGGGTTGGTTCACACACAAAGAGGCCAAGCAGGTGGCGACACACTACGGCGGCTACTCTGTCAGCCCCAGAAAGGGCCTGAGGATCATCACGGTCAACAGCGACTTTTGGTACAAGTCAAACGTGTACAATTTCATCAACACGACAAACCCAGATGCCTCGGGCATGCTTCGTTGGCTCACTGACGAGCTCATCCAGAGCGAGGCGCGCGGTGAGCGTGTCTGGATCGTGGGGCACGTCCTGACGGGCTGGGACGGAACGAATCCCCTGGCCAACCCGACGAATCTCTTCTACCAGATCGTCGACCACTTTAGCCCAAAGACAATTGCCCACATCTTCCTGGGACACACACACGAGGACCAGTTCAACGTCTTTTACGCCAACAATGCCTCGTCAAAGGCCACCGTCAACGCCAAGGCGGTCTCCTTCATTGGACCGTCAGTGACGCCGCTGACCAACGTCAACCCTTCGATCCGGTACTACACTGTAGACCCGGAGACATACAGTGTCATGGACATTGATCAGTACTACGCTCAAGCCCAGGGCTTCCCCGAGCTGCCCAAGGCCCAGCAGGGCCTCACCTGGCAGCATCTCTACTCTGCCCGCTCCACCTACGGCAACTTCAGTGCCTCGGCTGCGGACGCCAATGGCTTCGCTGGGCCCGTCAAGCTCGACGCAGGTGGAATGTGGCCTGCTGCTGCTCCTCTCAACGCCACTTTCTGGTCACAGCTGACATACGAAATGGAAAAGAGGCCGGAGCTCATGAAGACTTTCACCACGTACCAGGGCCGCAACAGCCCCAAGACAAAGCCCTGCAACGATGAATGTACGACGGCAAAGATCTGCTACATGCGCAGTGGCAGTGCGCCCATTGGTCTGCAGTGCCCACAGGGATTCGGCTCCGTGCAGTCGTAGTCGCTATCTCTCCTCATCATGCCAATCTAGTCCTCTCTCCACCCAGTGTCCTCTATAATCAGGCAATACAATATCGTGCCCTGCCCATCTGAAATTAAACGCGCGCCAAGTAAGAGCCCAAGTAACTGATAAATCTCGCGTCGCCGCAGTTTCGGCCGAAAAGACGCAGGCGCGAGGCCCGGCTGGTCTTCCTTCGCCTCCTTCAGCTTTTCTCGCTCTCGTCAAGGTCACTTGGATTCACCTATTCGTTTCGACTTCAAGGTGTGTCTGCTGCCATCTAATCGCTCAGCAAGCGAGGGAGATAGTAGGACTGACCACTTTGCACGAAACTGAACAGACTCAAGATTCAAGATGGCTGACGCTGCTCCTCGTGGACGAGGTGGATTTGGTGGGCGCGGAAGGGGTGGCCGACGTGGTCCTCGCCGTGGTGGCCGAAGGGACGGCGAGAAGGAGGAGTGGGTCCCCGTCACCTCGGTTGGCAGGCTCGTCAAGGACGGCAAGATCAAGTCGATCGAGGAGATCTACCTTTTCTCGCTCCCCATCAAGGAGTTCCAGATCGTCGACATGCTCCTGCCCAAGCTCAAGGACGAGGTCATGAAGATCATGCCCGTCCAGAAGCAGACCCGTGCCGGTCAGCGCACCAGGTTCAAGGCTTTCGTTGCCGTCGGTGACTTCGACGGCCACGTCGGTCTCGGTGTCAAGTGCGCCAAGGAGGTCGCCACGGCCATCCGCGCTGCCATCAACATCGCCAAGCTCAACGTCATTCCCGTCCGTCGTGGCTACTGGGGTAACGCCCTCGGTGACCCGCACACGGTGCCCATGAAGACGAGCGGCAAGTGCGCTTCGGTCATGTGCCGTCTCGTTCCCGCTCCCCGTGGTACCGGTATCGTTGCTGCCCCTGCCTCGAAGCGCATGCTCCAGATGGCTGGTATCGAGGACTGCTACACCCAGGCTTCGGGCCAGACGGCCACCCAGGGTAACTTCATCCAGGCCGCTTACATGGCTCTCACCAAGACCTACGGCTTCCTCGACCCTACCCTCTGGTGCGTTTCTTTCCCAATATCTAGTCCCAAAGAGCCAAGAGAAAGAAGAAGAGACTGACCATGTATCCTTTTCAGGCGCGACATTGCCCCTCCTCCGACGCCGTACCAGGAGCACGCCAACCACCTTGCTCGCCAGGGCAAGAAGGCTCTTGCTCACTGAGCAGCGCCCTCTTTTCTACCCCTTTACATTTCGCTCGCCCCCTCGCACGGCTGTGTTCTCCCCCCTCCCCCCTTTCCCCCTTTCTCTTCTCTTTCATGCCTATGTAAAACTTTCACATCCGGCTCCTTACAGAGTCATGGCAAAATGGCATATCATACTACTGGCTTTTATCCCGCCGGTGACTACCTACCTCTTCGCCGTCATCTGTGCGGTACGCATATCTTTTGACGGCAAGACGGCGCTGACCACGTGGCCGCCTGGGACGGGCCCTGAACTTACTGCACTACGCTCAGGCCATGTCAAGGCGCTGGTATCTCGAACGCTCTTTCACACGTCTGACGCACCAAAAGACGACCAAAGTCTCTTTGAATCGTCAACTTGTCCCGTCGTCAACTTGTCCGTCTCGAGGAGGTCAAGTTGAGCCGCACAAGTCAAGGAAAGAGGAAACACGCGTAGGAGGAGTTTGAGCAGCAGTTGAACCTCGGCCGCGCTGCACTCAATTTTCACGTTGACCTCGCAGACGGGCGCTGCATCGGGCCTGATCAATCGGGAACAGGCGCACTCAATTAGCCGGTGTAATTGCCCAGCTCCTTTCTCCCTTCCTTTGGACCATCTCTCTTCGACTTTTGCGAAAGCAGGGAACGGACTTGGACAGACTGTCGCAATTGCCGGCGCTGTCTCGTCGTTCGTTTGCAACACACATTCACCGCTGGTCACGCAGGAGGTTTGAAGGCCCATGATTGACCACCTCCTGGGCCGGCCCTCGACGGGGCTCAAGCGCCTCCAAGTGCTGCTCGTCCTAGCATTCTGGGGCTGGGTCCTGGGCAAAGGGCCTCGAGATGGACCTAAAAAGCTGCCTTTAGCTCGCCGGCTGAACCAATACGCATGTGAGTGGCATCGCACATGCACCACTCTTATTTGCTCGTGTACTGATAGATAACGACGTCCGCGCGATAATGACACCCAACAGCACGCTTCTCGCCATGGCAGATCTTTGTCTTTTCCCTCACGAGCGTCTATGCGATCAGGCATCTGGACGCCCTGGCAGGCTTTGGTGCGCCCGAGCCCCTGGCGAGGATGTACTCTCGGTGGGTACTTGCGCTTGGATACGGCACCACCTCTTTGCTCTCTCTGCTGACACTGTACGGACAAAAGCCCATTCTACCGGGTCACATGGATCGTCACTGCCCTCGATGCAGGCTTCGCTACTGCCATGACGATCAAGCCGCAGTGGCTGCGCGACCTCGCCTCCATGGTCTTTTCGGGCTACTACCTCGTGTATGCAAACGAGGCAGAGGAGAAGCTGCGCAAGTTCCGCGCCTTTTGCACAATTGAGATGATGCGAGCCACCTGGCACAAGACGACGAATCCGTACATTCGAGCAGTCACTTGGATCCATCGTCCGCGATTGCCCGTTGCGAGACCCATCCTCCTGCCGAGACCCGAGATCGGACCCCATGCAAAGCGGCCCACAAGAGCCTGGCTGTTCTATGCAAAGGAAGAGAGATATCTACAGGACGAGGACGAGCTCGTCATTGACTTTTGTGGCGGCGGCTTCGTGTGCATGGACCCGAGGTCAGTCGGCAGATGAGATGCTTCAATGACCCAGATTCGCATGGCTGACCACAAACAACAGACATCACGAGGAGCGGCTTCGTCAGGTCGCCAAGGAGGTCCAGAGGCCTGTCCTCGCCATCGACTACTGCAAGGCTCCCGAGTACCCCTACCCGTATGCCCTCGAGGAGTGCTTCGATGTCTACCGGAGCCTGCACGAGTCTGGCGGTCGTGGCCTGGGCATGTCGGGGCGCTCCTCGTTCCGTACGATTCTGACGGGCGACAGCGCCGGTGGTAATCTTGCCGCCGCTGTCATGCTCAAGATCCTCGAGTACCCACAACCCGGCATCAAGCAAGCATATGCTGCACGTTCGGCAGCCATCGGTGGCGGTGTCGACCTCAAGCCGCCAGCGCTCAAGAAGCCAATCTCCATGGTCCTCGTCTACCCCAGCCTCAATTTTGCGTACACGTCCTGGATGAAGCCAGAGCATCTCAATGTCCTGCGACAGCAGAGCGAAGTCAATCTCCAGTCGCTTGAACCCAAACGAGGAAGTCCGCTGAAGAGGGAGGTGACGCCGAGCAACAAGGGCAGAACCTCCGGGACGGCAGTGACGTCTGCGACGCAGAGGGCAGCGTCCAAAAGGAGCTACACGTCACTGGCTGGCCACGCAGAGCTGCACCTGGTGGAGCGGGCAAGAATGGCCGAGGCTGAGCCAGGCTCCCCTGACGATGGCTCGTTGCGGTCCAGTGACAGCAGACAGCAGGCCGTCACCTCTTCGTGGCTCGGTCGCATCGAGGGCGACGAGGTCGACGAGTTTCCAAGGCCGAGCGACTCAGAGAGAACCGCCGCGGCCGAGCGGGAGGAGCAGCAGAAGCGGCTGCAGGCTACGGCAGAAAAGATGGACATGGAGCTGGAGGAGAAGCAAAAGAAGGCTAACATGGTCAATACCAGATTGACAATGACGAGCATGGCGGGATACTTTCAGGACCGCATCTTGACGCAGAGCATGATGAGAGCTATGGCCATCCTCTAGTGAGTGTAGAGTATCTGAACGCAAGAGCGATGAAGAAGGAAGACTTGAACTCAGGATCCAAAATCAGCATCGGACCGCGGAGTCAACCAGACTTCGACCACGACATGTACTTGTCGCCCATTGTCGCCCCTGCCCGCCTCCTCGCAGAGTTCCCGCCTGTGCTCTTCATCTGTGGAGAAAAGGATCCAATCTGCGACGACACCGTCGTCATGGCCGGACGGATCCGGCAGGCTAAGCTGGCGAAGCAAGCCGACTTGAAACGGCGAGGTGGACGCTTTGGGGAGCAGCTCCGCATGTCTGGTACCGCAAATGGAAGCAGCATCGAGGAGATGGGCAACGTTGACGACTGGGTCCAGATGCGCATCATTGAGGGCTGGTCTCACGGCTTCATGCAAGTGCGTTTCTCTTTCCATCTGCTGCCTCTGGTACCCTCGTCTGACCACAGCTTTTACTGCCCGCCAGATGTCCGCGCTGCTGGCAGAAGCCAAGCATGTAATCTCGTTTGTCGGCACCTGGATGTCCGATTCATTTGAGGACTACTACCACTGCACCCTCGATATGACCAATTCCAAACTGCAAGCCACGGGCGCGTCAACGCAGCAGCAACACGGCACGCTGCCAACTCCGTCATCGCTCGCCAAGGCTCTGGCGGAGCGACAGATCAACAAGAAGAGCTCGGCGGCCTCGATGGATGAGAACAAGGACCCGCAGCATCAGGCCAAGGGAACAAGCAAGAATTACAAAACCGAAGACGGCGAAGAAGAGGAGGACGAGGAGGAAGAAGAGCCGCTCTCGTTCACGCCAAAGGGAAGAAGATCACCGTCGGTGCAGAGCGCCGAAATAGCCCCTAACTCGGCCGTGATGAATTTGATCAAGGAGCAAAGACCTCCGGGACCCGGTGGGGCTGGGGGCGGCCGACTGCGTCCTTCTTCATTCAGCAATGCAGAACCTAGCTCGCGAGGCCTTCTGCTCCCACCCCAGAGCCCACCGTCCAGGCGGCGGCGGTCTGACGAAGCTGGCAACACGGCCGTGCAGACGTCGCTGGTGCAAGAAAGTAAGCTACTCGAACGCAGGAGACAGGACGCCCTAGGCTACATGACCGGAGGCAATGCAAACAACATCGTCGACTCAGCAGTTGCCGATTCAGGCAGCGATGACGAGGAGGAAGAGGATGATGATTGATGAATAGCGAATGACGATCTATATCAAGTGTACCATGCTCGGCTTCCCTGTTTCCCAGGCGTTTGTCACATCTCATTAGACTCCAATGTCATACCGGTATATTACCGTCACCCTCGATCCCGCGGACGCTTTTTGGCACGTGTTTTTGATTACCTCAGCATTCCACTACGCCATCCTCAATAGCATGATTTTTTTGCAGCTTTACAATGGCCCTGGACAGGTCAAAGCACCCTTAAAAGAGCGAGAGAAAAAAACGAGGTGATGGCGTAGTTGTCCTATGACCGAGTTTTTGCTGTCACGGCGTGAATTGAGTCAAAATGGGGCGATTTTGTGCTCCGCAAACGGTCATTCTGGGCGGTGTCGCCCATCTCTGCCACAGCTTTGAACCACCATAACTCTCTCCAATCACCTCTGATGCGTCCCAAAAAGCGACAGGCTCTTGCCAAGATCAACCACAATGAGTCCAGGGTTCAAGAAGCAACACAAAAGGTGCGCAATGGAGTGTCAACGGCCTTCAAAGCGGCCAAGGAGTATGGTGTCAGCCGCCAAAAGATCCTTCGACGTCTACAAGGCATTCCCTCAGCACCAGAGGCAATGAAGCTGAGGAGGAAGGTCTCTGACATGGAGGAGGAGCAACTGTGTTGGTGGATAACGCGGCGAGGCATCCTGGGGTGGGCTCCATCAAAAGACGAGCTTGAGATGCAGGCAAGCAGGGTAGCAAAATCGCCAATTGCTGCAGGGTGGGCTGATCGCTTCCTGGAGCGACACAAAGAGTTTAGCTATCGCCGTGTCAGGTCCCAGACTGAGGCAAGGATCTGGGCATTGACCTTGCCAAAGATTGAGGCATATTACAAGCTTGTAAGTAGAGTTGTGCCTTCGCTCACCAAGGGTCATGCTGAAGAAGGCCGCATTCCATTCCCAAAGCTGCAGGACACTGTTTCAGAGCGCCAATTGGGACCAGCAAACATCTTTGGGATGGACGAGACCCCCAAGTGCCCAAACAAGTCCACCAGGCAGGGGAAAAAGCGCATTGTTGTCCGTGGACGCCGCAAATCAGTGCCACCTCAAAGAGGAGGGACAGCTGATTCTTCCAAGGCCAGTGTCATCGAGACAATGTGTGCTGACAGCTCCATTCTCCCACCAACAATTGTCTTTGTTGGCAAGAACAGGAATATGGACATCCTCCAGCATGGCAAAGAGCTTGGCGATTGGACAATCGAATGGAATGCAAAGGGCTCAAATAATTGGGACGTCATGCTGCGCTGGTTCGATAACTTTGACAAGGCTACAGCAGACAAGAGGAGCCCTTCTGGGTGGCGACTGCTTATCTTCGACAACGTTGCAACGCACCTTGTTCCAGAGGTGCTACACAGAGCTGAGGAGAAAGACATCGAGATCATCACATACCCGTCAAACGCCACACATGAATTACAGCCACACAATGTCCTTGCTTTCAAGACGTACAACGACGAGCTTGAGAGCCTCAAAGAGAAGCGCCAACCACTCGGAGTGAATGCAAGCAAGCATGACTTCCTCGACATGCTCAATACAGCCCGTGAGAAAGGGATGCGCTATGACATTGTCATCGAATCATTTAAAAAGACAGGAATTTGGCCAATTGACTCTACGAAGATCCCTCAAATTCACCTTGCACCCACAGACAGAGTGTCGATTCTGGAAGAGGCAAGGCCACAGGTCCGGCTGGATGCCTTTAAAAGGAAGCTACAGGAGCTGCCTCGACAAAACGTCGACATCAAAGAAGACCTGCTAAAAATGTTCGAGCAAGAGCTGAAAGGACGTGTGCAGCAAGAGCTCGACAATGCAGGCAAAGACAGCCTCATAGATGGTCTCCGTGGCTTGCAGAAGAGGAAGACTCAAACCAGTTTCCTTTCTGAGGGCCGCCGGTGGAATACAGCGACTCAAGAGGCTCGCAATGCATCGTCAACACCTCTTTTGTCCAAGGAAAAAGGGAAGCAACGCGCAACTGAGGCAGAAATCACTGCACAAGCGTCTGAGGTTCCTCCAAAGACCACCAATTGACTCCCAAGGGCTAGTACTCTCTTTACGGACTGGTCTCCGGCTCTGCAAGACCTTGTAAAGGGATTTGTGGCCCACAATCCGCGTGGCCAAGAAATGCTAAAGTCGTTTGAGGTGGAAAATCAAGGTGCAAGCGGCTCAGGCTTTCCTAGACAGACCTGAAAATAGATCCCCTTTCAAACGTCTGTAGTGTATACTTGATGTGTCCATCCACTGTTTCACCAAATTCGAGCGCTTTATCTCTTATATTGAGTGACTTTGCCCATCAGAGAAAAAGTGATGCACGTTGACAGCATGAAATTTCGAAATCCAAGGTGGGAGGAGTACTTCAAAATTTTCTTTTTCTTGCCCGTTCTCAGCATTCTACTAAGTGAAAATTGTTCAGTCTTGGAGAGGATGCGTAGAATCATCAGTTCTACCAACACGCCAAGTTTCAAGCTACAATGCTCTTTCTGGATGCCGCAGCAGGCGTCTAAGTAAAAGCGTCCGCGGAACATTTTTTCAATTAGTAACGTCCGCGGGATGCCACGCGACGGTATTTTTGTCACCAACGCTGTCACGTGTCTGTCATGCACGCCAAGCACAACGCGTTCTAACAGCAGACGTTTTTCTGGCAGCCAAACGCCGGATCGATTGAAAGGCATACCGCAAGATTGCAAAGCTTGCTCCCTCGGCTAGCATCGCTTACCTCCACGAGCGTCGTTGCGTGCGGGCGTGCGTCATCTGGTATGGCTGCTCGCCGGCTTCGTCATCTAAGGACGCGTCGCGGCAACCTCCGCTGGTGGCAAGGGCAGGAAAAATCTGACATGTCTCGTAGGATGCACGGGGTACACAGCGGGCCGGATAGAAAAGACAGGGTCTTTCTCCTCAGAAAAAAAGGGTCCCTTCCCGCACGGGTTCTTGTGGCATGCACTTTGAGCTTAATTTTCCTCTTTTTTTTAGGCATGCAAGGGGGAGCGCTAAAAAGTCCGTTTTTTATTATTAATGGTCCTTTCTTCACACCCCGTTGAAAGAGTAAGGAAAGAGGCAGAGCGTGGGATTGGGACGGGGAGGTGGGAAGGTGGTGAACATAAGAGCTCCTTTCTTCCGGCGTCAAGCCTGAGCAGTGGGAGATGAAGGCGGGAAGAGCCAAGCGGTGGACCAAGTCTGCGGCACTGCTACGCATATATGCTTCCGGTCCGGTATGCAATGCTCTGCATCCGTTCCTATTACCTCTCCCGACTCGGGTCAATCAATCAATAGCAATACACACACAAGCCACCCAAGCAACCATTTCGATAGCCTCCTTGCATTCTTCCAAGGTCATCGAGATATCGAGATGCCTGGTGATATTTGCCGGCAGCAAGCAACTTCTACCTCTGTCAAAGCTCTGCTGCACAAGCAACGATCTGGGACGAACACCGAGGCAGGTACAGACAGCACGGGTGTTCACTTGACTCTCGATCTGGGTTGCCGTGTCTTGTTTCAAGCCCCCCTTCCATTCTGTGCTGTCACAACTTTGTGGCCATCGATCGAGCAATCCGTAGGAACGCGCGACGCGCAACGCGTTCTTCTGGTGTTATTTTACTGAGATTGATTCAAATGTAACAAAGGTGGCCCATTGCCTCAAGTCTGCTCCAGGTGCTGAGGCGACAACCTCTAGAGGAAGAGGAGCTGGGTCGGAGATTGTTCCATCCTGATATGAAAAAGGCCGAACCGTGCGATGGGAACGTTCAAGGGTCTTCACGCGCTAGCTGGTAGTATTGGAAACACCGGCTAGGAGTAAGGTGAGTAATAAAGTGCAAATAATACGTGATTCAGCACATGCGCGAGGTCAGAGGTGGCGGAGGATGAAGCGGCTGCACAGTGCTATCTCGAGTGGCGAGTGGCAAAGAGGTACGTGGTACGATCGAAACGGACTGGTACATCGCCTCCGTGCGTACCTGCTCTGACATGTAAAGAAAGCAATAATGGAGGAGCAAAGGCGGGATGTGCTGTGACATTTGACGGGGCAAATCCGGCAAAGTCACACAGCGATGTTGCGCCCGCATTGCCCTTTCCCTGAAATCGAATCCGATCCGCATGGCTCGTTTCTCTCTCCCCTGACCAAAACGCTTTATTTTTATTTCGTCGATTTCTGTATGTGCACCTCGGGTCGCGTTTTTCTTTTCAGACGAGAGAGGAGCGTCGATCTCGATCTCGATCCTCCTCTGGACCGCTTCACAAGTCGCCTTTCTTCATCGACACCATCATCGTGCGTTCCAACAACTTCATCGATCGCCTGCTAAACAACAGTCAAGTAGCAACCATTTAGGAAGCTCGAGCAACGATTTCTCGGCCCTCATTAGTACGACTATTCTCGTAGAGGTGCTTGTTCTTCCCCGCCACCTGAGCCCCCTCCCCCCTCGCTCTCTTACGCCCAATTCGGCCCTTCGCAAACGACAACATCTTCTTTTTCCCCATCTCAGCGTTGAGCTCGACTTGCCTGCACGACTGGTCGCTGCAGCCGCGTCGCATCCTCCCATTCTTTGTGAGTACCCTGCAGCGGCGGGTGGATAGATTTTAGAAGTCAGACGCGACGCAGCCTTTCGCTATTCCACGTTAAGAGCACAATATGAACACAAGACGCGGCGAAAGAGCCCCGCTCAGCTGTCGTCGTCTTGTGGCGAAGACGGTCCTTCTTCTTCTCATCGCCGATGATGACGTCTGCTTAGAAAGGCTTGGAGCTCTCGGCGACCCCTCGGACCATGGACAATCCATTCTGCGTTGGACGCTCAAGCAGACGTACGCGTAGCGAGCGTCCTGCGGGGCAAAGACAGCATTGTCACATTTTTTAATTTTTTCCCACCCAACCTCGTATTATTATTGGATTTGGACGCACCCAATCATTCCTCCGCTGTCCAGCGAGCTTGTCGCTAAGACGAGGGACGGAGATTGATGCGCCCTCCTGGTCATGCGCCATGCACCTTTCGGATTTCTCCTTGGTCTTTACCCCTCCCCCTTCTCTCCCTCTATAGAGCCTGGCGCCAATTTGGAGACCAGAGAGACGCAGCCCCCTTTTTGTTTCGCGCATCCCGTTCCGAAGCACGCATTGGTCCCTTACCACCGCTTACTTATCAATTACTGGCCGCTGGCGCTGACATGGCCGTCGTCCTCCTCTCTTTAGTTTTGATCCAGTGACATCTTTCCTTCGCCATGGATACAAACATTCATCATCCTGGCCTGCCAGGCGATGTGACAATGCGCTCGGCCAGCGCCGAAGGCTTCGCTCTCCAGCAACACATTTTTTCTCCCCAGCCCGACAAGCAAACAGGCAACGAGCAGCCAGCATTCCACCCTCACGTTCTTCACCGTCATCCCGACGACATTTACAGACGCGATTCTGCAAAGATTACTTGGATGCCCTCCGACGAGGAAGAGGAAGAGGAGGAAGACGACGACGGCGCAATGGACTGCGACGACGTAGACGTTTCGCTCCGTGACGCGCGAAGTGCACGTCCTAGGCATGGCTCTTCCCTCTCGAACAGCTCCCTCGACTCTGGGTCGTCTGGCTCGCCTATCGACAGCCAATACATCGAGGAACCTGAACTGTCGCAATCATTTGGATCAACGAAGAGCTTCGACGTCATGACGCCCATTCGCAACCAGGCCATGACTTCTGCTCCATCCTCGTCTGCCAACGTCCTGACGCCCTCGCCGGTCTCCCGCTTCCAGTCATCCGACGCCACCGTGCAGGACCGCCTCTCGAATTTCTCTTTTGGCAGCGTCAGCCCTCGGGTCGGAAGCAGTCAAACCTTGTCGCCAAGCATGCGCCCTGCGGCCCTTGCTACTTCGCCCCTCGGGAGCGAGCAAAGCACCAGCTACGCCACTGCTGATAAGCACGCTACCAACGACCACACAGAGGCTGTTAACCACGCAAAGCTGGGCGACGTGCTGGGCTTGAAGCTTACCCCGACCTCTCCGGACCACAGCTGTGTTTCAGGAGCAGACGCGCAAAGCCCAAAGACAATGACAACCAACAACCGCCAGAACAACAATACGGCCACAATTCGCCTTGCCGGCGGCCGGAACCCACCTCCCGGCCTCGCGGGGAGACTCAAGATCAGCCTGCCTCCCCCCTCGCTGTCATCTGCATTCAACAATCCAAACGCCCCACAGACGCCAGGCGGTCATATCGCCAGCGGTGCCAGGGATGGCGCGGCCCATGGTGCTACCCCCGTTAGTCCCTTTGAGCCGCCCACGCCTCTCTGCGGCCCCATGGGCAACAAAATCTCTCCCTATTTTCCATCGTCATCGACCTCGTCTCAGCCACGTCCGTCGGTGAGGCCTCAGCAAACGCACAGGCAGAGCATGCCGGTCATCACACCCATCCGTGTTCAGCCCTCGACAAGGCGACCACAGCAGATGCAGCGCAACGGTTCGATGGGCTTGTCACCGCTATCATCGGAGTTTGCCGCTGTCAGCATGAAGAAGGTCAACAGCACAAAGGGCACTGCCTCGGAGGTCAGCCGCGACGCTAGCAGCCACGTCTCGGACGGTGGCGAGAGCAGCGCAGAGAGCAGCCAAGGCAGTCAGGCATCTGTCTCGACGACGGCCTCTTCAACTTCGACGCTTCTCACTCCTCCTTACTCGCCATTTCAACAGTCCAAGCCTCTGTTGCCACCAGAGTATGACATGTCCCTGGACCGGCAACAGAGCTGGAACAGCTCCACGAGTAATGTCAGCGCAACGAGCAGCAACTCCGGCATGAAAAAGCGCAACACCGGTGGCTCTGATTCTTCGGTCGGTGCATCGAGGACAAAGCCCAAGACGACGGCAAAGATGGCTCCATACCCAATCAACCGTGAGAACTCACCTGCCAGGTCGCCACCGCCGTCGCAGCAATCTGCCCCTCGCCTGGCCCCAACGCCTGTGCAGAATGCCGCCTCGTCGCTGCTCAAAGACCGCATCAAGCCTGCTATCGCAGCTCCACCCATGGAGAAATCCATGTCGGAATCGGCGGTACCCAAGACAGTCTCTGGTCGCCACTTGGCCAACCGCAGACTACACCCCGTCTTCAGCAGCAACTACACCTTGGGCGATGAGTTGGGAAGCGGTGGCTTCGGTTTCGTCGTCAGGGCTACGAGGGATCGTGACGGCATGCCAGTCGCGGTCAAATTTATCTGGAAGAACAAGGTGCCCACCCACGGATGGGTTCGCGACCAGGATCTGGGCGTGATCCCGATGGAGGCATTTGTGCTCAAGGCCGTCGACCACCCATGTGTCGTCAAGTTCGTCGACCTTTTCGACGATGACGAGTTCTTCTACCTCATCATGGAGCACCACGGCTCGCCTTGGAAGGCTGGTGGGCAGCAGCAACCTCAGGACAAGGACGAGGGCGTTGCAGTCGATAAGTCGGCAAATCTTCCATCGTCGCCTCCCGCAGCTCCCTTGATGCAGCAGTCCAAGTCGCAGCCGTGTGCCGCTAAGCCGCTCGAATCGCCTAAACTTGCCGTCTTTCCTCCAGAGAGCAACGTGGCGACGCCTGTCTCGATGGAGGAGAAGCCGGTTCGTCCACCCCAAGCGATCGCCATGGAGCGACGATCGTCGTGCGACCTGTTTGAATGCATTGAACAACACTCGCGCCTACCTGAAGACAAGGCTCAGTGGGTCTTTGCGCAAGTCGTCGAGGCCGTCTACCACCTGGATCGTAAGGGCATTTATCACCGTGACATCAAGGACGAAAACTGTGTCGTCGACAGCGATTTCAACGTCAAGCTCATCGACTTTGGCTCGGCCGTTGTTACCGACATCCGCAAGCCCACGCCATACTTCAACCGCTTCTTTGGCACAATGACTTTCGCCAGCTCCGAGATCCTTCAAGGAAAGCAGTACAGAGCACCTCATGCAGAGATGTGGAGCCTGGGCGTCTTGCTCAGCATCCTCCTCAGCGGCGAGTGCCCCTTCCCCGATCCGACGTCGGCCATTCGCGGCAAGCTTCCCACGCCTAAGGGCAACTGGAACCGAGACGCTTTCGCGATCCTTCAGGCATGCCTCGACGTTGACCCTGAGAGGCGCGCAACAATCAAGGAGGTCCGCGAGCACCCGTGGGTGGCACAAGCTTGGAAGAGGCAAGGTGTCTCCCGCCCCAATTGATTTTGCAGTCATTGCCTCGTGCAACGACAAGCAATCCACCACCAAACAATCTTTGACTCGGACAATTGTGTATATCCCGGCTCTTTTACGACCATTAACGATCACGCCTCGGCCTAATTTCTCTCGCCCACGGTCATGACTTCGCCTAACTTATTAACGACCTGGCGTCCACACCCCCCACACACGATCCCCTCCTTCTTCTTTGTTCATATCTGTATCCATATTGTCAAGTTTCCGCCTTGGCGTCCCAGTCTCCGCATTCGCAGCAGCAGCATCAGTCACTCCCTTCCACTTCCGCCGAGACCTGATAGAGATGGCAAAATAGCTGGTTCTGTTCTTGCATCTCCTCTAAAAACTATTTCGATGAGAATACACCTGATCTTGAATCATTCGCTTGTCATTGGAGGTGATTTGTCATTGAGGACCTTCTGTTTGCTATTGATACAAAAGTAGTAGTAAGTAGCTCGTGCGATGTCGCAGTTGCTCAACGCCACCATCGTCGTCTTGTTACAAGTCTATAGACAGAATGTGCGAAAGCGGATGGGATGCGTCTTCTTCTCGGGAGGAGGGTGGAGGAGCTGAGGATGATGAACGAAGAGTGATGAGAAGAGAGGAAATGGAAAACAGAGAGAGGTTTACACTTCGACTTGATCCCAATCGACGCCGCCATCGTCTTCCTCTGCCACGTTCAAGACATCTTTGTCCTTCTCTGCCTCTGCTGCAGCCACTTTCTCCTCTGCCTGTGGCAGAAGGATTCCTGCCTTTTCTCGAGCCTTCTCCACACTGACGCCGGCCTTGGTCCAAAGATCAATCACGGTTCTCTGCCTCTTCCTGTCCCCACCGCTTCCTTCATCGTCCGATACCGGCGGCTCGTGTTCTACCCACATGTCACGCGGAATCGCAGCTTTAGCAGCGCCTGCTACCGCGAGCCGGTCTGCCATTTCGTTTCCATGATTCCGATTGTGGCCCTTGACATAGACGAGCTTCGGTCTATGTAGTCGGGACGCCATCTCGTGTTCGAGGCGACGGATGAGGTCTTTGTTGAGCACCGGTGAAGCACCGCTACCGGCCTTTGCAGGACGACGTTGCCATTTGTTGCGTCGCCAGGCGTGTTGCCATACCGTGATGGCTGCGTGAAAGAACCTCAGTGGAAGGGAAAACGGGCGAAAAGGGGGACAAGGATAGAGAGACTCACCATTAATGGCGTACTGACTGTCTGTATAAAGCGTCATTTTTGCATCCTTGTCCGGACAGAGTTGGACCGCCTTGATGAGCGCCTGCCGTCCTCGTCTCTGTTAAGCATTCACGGAGCGTGTCAAAGGTCATACAACAACCCACCATCAGCTCAGCCCGATTGTTTGTCTGAAGCTCCCCATCTAAACGCTCGCTGACGTTCAACCCGTGCACATCGCTCGTCTGGTCCTCATCTCCTTCGGGCCAGTAGACGCCGTAGCCTGCCGCGGCTCCCTTTTGGCCATTGTGGGACGAAGCCCCGTCAGTGTAGACCTCGATTACGCGGACGCCGTCCTCCGTCTCTTCAGACTCGGCGAGAGGCTGCGTGGGCGAGGAGGCCAGTCGACATCGAGCGATGCTCCCGCTCGCTCCCAAAAGCGGTGCTGCGCCAGCAGACTTGACAAGCTCTTTAGGAGAAGCTTGCTCCTCGCGAGGCCGCTTCAAAGAGCTTGACGAGGCCGCCAAAGATGAAGAAGCTGGCGCTGCTTCTCCTCGGACGAAAGCCTCGGCCTCCTCGTTGGAGGAAAACTTCTTGTAGCGCGCACCGGGGAAGTGGTCGACCTGCTGCTTGCACTCGTCCCTGTATATATGACCACAGACGTTTAAGTATAGACTCAGTAAGCCAATGCCTGAAGGGGGGCTCACCACGTGCGGAAGACCCCCGTTTTGCGGCCCTGCTGTACCGCATAGAAGCTCGCCTTCGCCATAGGCCGGCGAGGTCGAGATTGTTTGTTGGTGTAGAAGATGTGGACGCGTCAAACACGAGCTCAAAATCGTGACCGATCAAGAATCACAGTCGCTCGCTCCCTTGGCGGAGGCAATTTCATTCTTCGTCCTTGATTCCAACAGCAAAGGGGTAAAGAAGGAAGAGAACAGCAGAATTAAAGGAGAGCGAGGGTGAAGAGCAGAGAGCGAAGAGTGTGGTAACTTGAGAAAAGGTGAATAATGTAATGTAAAGAGAGAAAGAGAGAGAGGGAGGGAGCACCGCAATCAGGCAGTGTATTCGCCAAAGATTGAATCGACGCCGGCCCAATCCTGCTGGCTTCTTGCAGACCAGTACTCTGGAATGCCAACGGATCCATCCGGCGAAGTGCGCCGCGGCTCCCAATAGTCCGCCTGAGTATCGGGCTCGATGACCTTGCTGAACCATCTTGGCTTGTGGGGGGGCTTCTGACCAGACTCTCGCTCCTTTCGCGTCGCCCGCTGGAGTTCCTCGAGATTGCGCTTCATGACATCGGCCTCATCGAAGCGGCCCGTCTCAAATAACCTCAGATCTGGTCGTAGTCGGCAGTCTGTCGAAGGAAGCCAGTCATGCAGACCTGCGGGCAAGTCGTTGAGCATGACAGCGTAGGGCGTCAGGTTGAATGGTCCGAGTGCGTGGGTGTGGTACTTCCACAGCAATACGAGCTCGGGCAGGGCCGAGTCGATAGACCCATTGGCGGTGCGACTCGGGTCGGTACTGAGTGAGTCGACGTTGCGATCCGGATCGAGAGTGTCGCCTCCCACGGTGCTGACCTTTCGCGCAACAATCTGATTAGACCAACGGCCAGCAATCTCCCATGCGAGGCTGCCGTCGATACCCGAGTGGACGACTCCCTTGAGCTCGTGCGCCACACTGGATCTCCACCCGCGAGGCTTGAAAGTCATTGTGCACTCGTCACCCGTGGTGTGGCACTTGACCACCATGTCTCCATAGTGGTCGATCGAAGGCGATCCGGTGACAAAGCCAGAGACACTCGTCGTAACCTTTTTGAAAGAGTAGTGTTCCACCTTGCCGCCAACGCGAAGACGAACGTGGGCCATACCCGTGGGTCGAATCTCGAAACTTCTACCCAAGAATTTGCTCTGTGCCTGTACGCAGCCAGCGTACTCCCAGTTGCTGGGTCCGTTGGGCTCGCCTTCGAGTGATTCGGCGATACAGGCCGAAATGGGCGGGTGGTGCGACACCTGCTCCGACTGGTAGCGATACTTGCATTCCTCGAGGCTTGCAAATTCGAATGTCTCACCCAACAGTGGGTTGAAGGGCTTGGCCACCCTGCCCAGCGTCGTGACGTAGTTTGAGCAGGCAAAGGCAGCCACAAAGGCGATGCGCAAAGTGGAGCTCTTTTGTCGAACAGCCGTGTCGAGAAGCGAGGCATAGGTCATGTCTTCTGCCATACGCTGGAGCATGCTCGTGGGCTCGTTGAGGCTGACGGGAAATGAAATCTTGGTCAAATCCTTGCCAATGTTGTTTTTGAGGATCGACCAGAGCGAAACCGAGGGTCGATTGTCCTTGTCGATGGGCATCTCGTGTCTCAGTTTCCGGTAAGGCTCCAGGGCCTTGTCATCGACCTGATTGTCTGTGGCCTTGGGCGCGTCCCCGCTGAGAGCGGGAGTGAGACCTTCCCGACTCCTTTCGACTGAGTCTTCGATTTTGAGACCGGGGAGGTTGCCGCTCTCGACGGCGTCGAAGAACTCATCGCCATCGTCAGCATCGCCATCCGCTAGGAGACTGTCAGCAGTGATGGTGTTGATGCTCGAGACAGTGCCCGTGATCGGTGGGGGAAGCGGAGGATCGAGCGTTGCGTGCGGCCTGGGCTCGGATCGACGAGCGGAGAGCGAAGCAGTCGGTGTCTCGAATGCCTCATTGGTCCTGGGTGTAAAAGCACCGCGGACCGGTACAGGCGAGGCCACGGCCGGTGCCGGGCTGGTCAGGGCAGCGCCAGGCGAAGAACCAAAGTTTTCGCGTACCTCTCGGAGCGCCTTTCGCTTCCTGGCATTCTCCTGAGCCGCTTCGCGGAGCTGAGACTCCATCTCCGCATGCTGCTGGGCAAGCGTCTTCATGTTCTCCTCCCAGAGATGCTTAGCCTGGATTTCTTGCTCATATCGTCTGGTGAGATATGCCTCGCGATTCGCCACGATTTCCTGGTACCTGCTGAGGAGTGTGGAGCTGTTCTGCAGCGAGTCCTGCAGGGTCTGTCGAATGCCTTCGGGTGACGACGTTGTGAGAGGCGGTGCCTTGGATGACAGCGACGGTGATTTGCCCGACGCGTTCAAATCGGTCGACGTCGCTGGCGCGGTGGTGACGCTGCTGCTCGAAAGCGACTGCGCCAGCTGGTGGCTGAGGTCGACCTGGGTGCGCAAAGAGTTGGCTATGAGGGCAAATTCGCTCTCATGAGGTATGCGATTGGGCGACCCTTTGGGTTGGTCTAAATATTCGCCCGATTGTTCAAAGAGTTGTTCGTCGCTCGGCGTACGGCTGTCCCTGCTCATGATGCTTGGTGTCTGAGCGATGCTACCCATGGGCGCCGGGTTTGCATCGCTCGATCGCGCCGATGTACCGGGTTTGAAACTGCTGCTCATTCCCGAAATTGTCCTACCGAGAGCGCTGCCCTTGATGCTGGGCGTCTTCACGCGGAACGGTGTGTTTGTACGCGAGGGTACCGAAGTGGGCCCGCTCAAGAGGGTCGATGATGTATTGAGCGAAGGATCGAGGATGTTGCTCTGTGTCTCTGCACGCTGCAGGCTTCGAACACTCTCTGCTCTCGACGTGGTTCGGTCCAAATCAAACGATTCGACCGTCTGCTGGAGCACTTGCACCCACCGTGCCCTCTCGACGGGGTGGGAGCCCCGGAGGTAGAGCTTGTGAGCAGTTTTGGAGGCACCAGAATCAGCGATGACCTCGAAGCGATGCTTGTCGTTGGCGTCGGCGCGAATCTTGGCAAATCGTAGGTTGGTGGAGCCCCTCGACTGCTTGCCCTCTTCGTCTTGGGTGGTATAGTAGGACAGGTAGCCATTTTCGAGAACAAACCAGCGAGTCTTGTAGCCTCCAGCAATATTGGTCCACTTGGCCAGGTAGCCCCGAAAGGTCGGCGGAAGGCCAGGCTGGTGGGCAGAGGCGGCCATGGCGGCGTCTGCATTAGAGACTGTGGTGTATTTTAGTCAGTCATCGGCCAGTCGCTGCTCTGGCCCATTCCTAACTCACGCTGCTGCAGCAGAGCCTTGATCTTCTCGTCCTTTGTGCTCTCCAGTACCCTCTTTCCTCGCCTGTTTCTCCCAAATACGTCTGCGCCCTTGCGCACCGCCATCTCGATGAGGGCAGTATCTTTTCGTCGAACAGCCTCGTGGAGCAGCGTCGTTCCACCCGACCTTGTCTTGGCGTTGAGGTCGACCACACCGATCCTTGGTTTCTCCAGCAGGGCTCGCAGCGCCGCGTCCGAATCGGGCGAGTCCTTCTCCCATCTTTCGAGAAGTTCCAGGAATTCGAGGTTGATCTTGGCTCTTGAGACTGCGTCGAGCACTGCGGTTCAGCGATCCAAGCACAGAGTAACAAAGAGGTGTTCAGGGAGCTCTCACCCTGGATGACCTGGGCGATTTCCGGCGACAATGCAACGTCGAGGGCGTCTCTCCCGTCGTGATTTCTCTTCGTGTCGTCAATGTCGTCTTGGGAGAGGAGCAAGTTCACCACGTCCGCCCGGCCAATCGAGGAGGCGAGGTGAAGGGCAGTGTTGCCACTCTGCAACTCCTGAGCGTTGACATCGACGGTCTTGTAGTCAAGGCACAGCTCGATGGTATTGTCTATTTACCCGGAATGCAAAAAGGAGATGAGCTGGGATTTGCCTCGCAGCCTTTGATCGTTCGTTCCACTCACATTCAGCACAGCGCACAGCGAGATGCAAGGGACTTGTGAGTTCCTTCACTGAAGTACCCTTGGTCTGGTTGACTTTTGACAAGAAAGGGTGCAGTGACGTTTGATCGCCTGGCAATCAAAGTCAGTAAAAGAGGAGAGAGAGAGAGAGGGAGAGCGTGAGGAGCGAGCAAGGAAAACTCACCACTGCGAAGAGCCTCCAAGAGGCGAAACGAATAGACAGCTTCTGACACTGAGACAGTCGTACCAGAAGCGCATTCGAGATGGGTGGAGGATTCAGAAGGGGTGTTTGCAGAGTGCGGGGTGGTGGGCGTAGGAGGAGCAGGGGTGATCATGTCGAGTGGGATGCAGAAGAAGGCGTTGGGGGAGACAGTCAGCCTCATCGCCGAGTCAAAAAGGCAGAGGCAGTACACAGGCGAGAAGAAGAAGAAGCAGAAGCAGAGGTAAAGGCTGCCAGCAACAGCAACGACAGAAGACTGTTCGCTTCTCCTCGTCTTCTCCTGTTCCTTTTCGCACGCGCCATCGAAAGTGCCCGCAGGCGGGGCTTCATCAATACTGTCCCACTCACCATCAACCTGATTATTTCCAGAGCTGAGCGGCGCCACTGGCGGCGTAGCAGCAGCCATTCTTGCGTCGTACCTCCACGAAGTGATGAGCGGTGCGCTCTCGCCTCTCGCGCTCTCTTTCAACGTCGCTCGGAGGCGGCTCGTTCAAACCCTGCTCGCGAGGGTCGCACAAAGATGCTCACGAGAGAGTCGGCAAGCTTGTTGAGTGACAATGACCGTCCACTGCCTCGTTCTAAATTGTCCGACAAAGGAGAGAGGGAACGAAGAAGATGGCGAAGGGAGGGTCAGTCGGCAATAGTCAAAGCAAAGGCTCCGATGACGATCTGAATAATATCAAAATAGCCACTCTCTGTAGTGTGTAACGCACCGCCCGTGGAGGCACGTTTCTCTGGCGAATTTCTATGGCAGGAGCAGGGAAAACGCGCTGCAACCATCTGTACAACTAACTGCATCCAGCCCGAAGGTTAACAAGGACTAAGCAGTGTGGATTTCGCATCGAAGAAAACAGCATCCCAACCTTTCTAACAAGATAGCATTGCAAGCTTCGTCTTCCAAGCTCAGACGATCAAGGCATCTCTGCTGCAACTTTTCTGCAAAGCTTACACTCCTGATGGCGTCATCGCGCATCGGCAAGATCACGTGCCGATCGACTACTCTCTCGTTGACACCTTCACCCTTGTGAAGACTTGGACGGTATCGGACGGCTTTACATGGCGTTGACAACGAGACTCAGAATGGCATCGTCATGAATTTGGCAGTTACTAATGGTACATGGGCGGGGGTCTTCTCTTAATACAGGAGGGCACGCAGCTGGTCGCGACTGAACTTGGGCGGGGTCCAGTTGAGCCGGTCGGGGACGATTCGTATGCGCTTCTTCTTCATTTGCTTCTCGTGCTTGGCCAGCACCTGGTCGTTGAGAACCAGGTAGTGCTTGCCCTGGTACTGCTTGAGCATGTTGAGGGCCGTGCAGCTGGGGCCAAAAGGGCGAGAAGATTAGCTCGGACCAACCCCTGCTCGAATGGCAAGGACAACTTACGTGTGTAAAACATCGGCGTGAACGATTGCGGTTCGATTGGCGATGTCTTCGATAGAAATCTCATCGTCGGTCCGCAGCAGCAGCTCAACGATGGTTTCAGCCCAGTAGGCACGGTAGCCTAGCAGACCGAGGTCCGAGAGTGGCTTTTCTGGGCTGCCTAGCTTGTGCTCTCGTTTGCTGAGCTCATAGGAGAATTCAATCAGGAGCCGGCCAAAGCCTGAGCGCTGGTGTTGCGGTAGTGTCAGGATACATGCGACGTTGTAGTTTTCCGCTGACTCCTTTTCCTTCGAGAAATAGCCAATGATGTGCGCTCCGGCATCGTCCCTTTGCACCATGACGTAGTATAGGAAGGGGTCAACGTCATAATAGAGCGTTTTATGGTCGAGGAAGCACTTGGACAACAAGCAAAGATTCCGACACCAGACCATCTGACGTCGACCGTCGATTTCGTAGAAGCTGATATCCTCGTGTCGGTAGATCTCGTTGCCCGGTGGATGTTTCAGGGTGCACTTCTTTCGATGCCGCTTGAAGACGAATTCCGAGGGAAAGTACGACAGGCACATCTCGCAGATGTAGAGGCATTCGAGGTGAGCGTACTCGACGGGGTACGGGCTAAAATACCAAGTCTCGACCTCGTGCTTGCCCATTTGGATCTTGTCCAGGTTCTTCACCCGTGCCACTTCGTGAACCGATTGCGTCATGGATCCCGATGTTCTCAACTTCTCAATCTCCTGCTCCTTGCTGAACACCTCGGGTCTACGGTTGGGGTGGAGTGATGCAGTCAAGCCCCCGTTCTCGGGCGTCGCCACGTCGTCTGTCATGTCCTGGTCCTCATCCACCATTTCCATGGCCACCACTGCACCGTCCTCGCCTGCTGCACCTTCGCCTGATGGTCCGGACCCGGCTTCGGCATTGGCATCCTGCATCTCTGCGTCAACATCCTCCCCGTCAGCATCTTCTTCCCCGTCATCGGCCTTGCGCTTCTTCTGTCCCGTCTGCGATGAAGTCGGAGTGCTGGGAGCGCCATCGGTTCCAAGTCCATCGCCTACGCTGGCCTGTGCCTGCAGCGCCGCCTTCTTTAACAAATTTGTTGCTTGCTTCTGGGCACCTGCTGGCGTTCCAGGCGTGACTGGCGTTACTGTCCCGCTCGCTGTCCGGTTGACCTTTTTCCTCCCTGCTCCGGATGCTGAACCGTGACCATGGCCGGAAGGTGTCGCGCCTGAGGCCTTTGGCCACTCGATCTCGCGGCTCGTAATCAGCCGGCTCCCACTGACCCACTCGTCCAATCGCTTGTTGAACTCAGAGTAGTGGACATAGTACTCTAGCCGCTCCTCTGGCTTGGGCCCCGTGCCCGCTGCTGCTGCTGCTTCCTCCTTGTCCTTCTGCTCTTGCTGGAGGTGGCGAGGTACTCGGGGTTTCGGCCGCTCTCTGATCGACAAGATCTCGGCCTTGCGTTCTTCTACTTCTCCTGTCGCGACATCCGGTTTCTGCACAAAGACCTTGGATCCCACAACGACATCTTCGAGCGAGTAAGTGCCGCCGGCACTTGTTTGCGGGCCATCATCGGGTGCCGGCGTCCCCGATGAGGCAGCGCCGGGTGTCGAAGCCCCTCCTGCGCCTCCCTGCGCTGTTGATGCTTTCTGGCGCGGTGCCATCGAGGACTATAGTCTCTGTAATCGCTGAGCGCACGCAGCCCCGTAGCGACGCTCTGAAGTCTCCTCGCTATCGGTGGCAATTAGAGGTTTTGGATGGATGGGCAGCGATTGAGGGAATAAAACACGTGACTGCGCTGAGCCTTCAGCAGCATTGAGCATAGCGAGCAGCCAGCCACGTATTGCAATTTACGACATTCCTTCACCCACCCACTCAATCCAGAGCACAGGATGGTCGAGGAGTCAGAGGAGATCAAGCAGCTCCAGGCGGCGCGCAAGGCCAGCGCCGAGTCCCAAGGCATTGCCCTCGGGAAGGCAGGCGGCTTCGACAAGGATATGTACGGCGGGCGAAAAAAGTCGGACTACGTCGCGGAGCTTCCTTCGGTCGAAGACGATGCCTCTGATGACGAGGACGAGCAGAAGAGATCAAATCCTTTGGACGCCTTCTCCGCTCCCAAGCATCTTCTGCACGAGTTTGCCAACGATGAAGAAGATCCGTTGCAAGATCGAGCCAAGGCCAGGCAGATTGCAAGCCGGGAGAGCGAATACCACTTGAAGAGGTTCAATCGAGACGTAGGTCCCGACAAGGCTGTCGATGCGTTCGAGGGTGGTGAAGGTGTAGAAGAGGGCGAAGGGAGCTACAAACAAGCCATGCGCAGGGCTGAAATCGAGAGGGAGGAAGAGAGGGTCAGACGGCTGATTGAGCAAAAGGAAAGGGATGCGCGCGAAGGCAAAGAGGCTGGTGGCGATGATGACGACGATTTGAAGAAGCCAGCGCCGGACGCCACGCCGAGAGTAGGGAGAAAGAGGAGGTGGGATGTGGGGGCTCCAGGTGAAGCGTCATTGACTGACGTCAAGGCTGGCGAATGGTCCGATGATGCATCGGCCAAGAAGAAGAAATCAAGGTGGGACGAGACACCAGCGGCAGCGACAGCGCCCGATGAGACGCCGAAGAGGTCGAGGTGGGATCAGACACCGGTTGCCTCCAACGGTGCGACTGCAGCTCCCGCAGTAGCCGCAGGCCAATTCTTCTTCGATCCAAGGAACCGCACCATCTCGGATGAGGAATTGGATCAGCTCCTGCCGAGTGAAGGATACAAGATTGTCGATCCTCCTGCCGATTATGCCCCTATTCGAACGCCAGCACACAAGCTCATGGCAACACCTGCCCCTATGGGAGGCGGCGGATTCATGATGCAGGACGAGGCCAGTGCAAGAGCGGCAGCCGAGGGTATGGTTCCCGATCTTCCAACCGACATCCCTGGAGTTGGTCAGCTGGCATTTTTCAAGAGCGAGGATCAAACCTTTTTCAAAAAGATCTTGAATGAAGAGGAGAATGAAATGGAGCTTTCGTTGGACGAGCTGAAGGAGCGCAAGATCATGCGTCTTCTCCTCAAGATCAAGAATGGCACGCCGCCAATGAGGAAAACAGCGCTGCGTCAGATAACGGACAAGGCTCGAGAATTTGGGGCAGGACCTCTGTTCGACAAGATTCTGCCATTGCTTATGGAGAGGACGCTTGAGGATCAGGAACGCCACCTGCTCGTCAAGGTCATCGACCGCATTATGTACAAGCTCGACGATCTTGTACGGCCATACGTGCACCGCATTCTCGTCGTCATTGAGCCGCTGCTCATCGACGAAGACTACTATGCGCGTATCGAAGGCCGCGAAATCATCTCAAACCTGTCCAAGGCCGCCGGTCTGGCTCACATGATCTCGACGATGCGACCTGACATCGATCATGTTGACGAATACGTGCGCAACACGACCGCTCGTGCCTTCTCCGTCGTCGCTTCTGCACTGGGTATCCCTGCCCTCCTCCCCTTTCTCAAAGCTGTTTGCCGCTCAAAGAAGAGCTGGCAAGCTCGGCACACGGGCATTCGAATCATCCAGCAAATTGCCATCATGATGGGTTGTGCAGTCTTGCCGCATCTCAAGAACCTCGTAGATTGCGTCGAAAAGGGTCTCGAAGATGAACAACAAAAAGTCAAGACGATGACAGCTCTCGCTCTGGCCGCGTTGGCAGAGGCCGCCGCTCCTTACGGTATCGAGAGCTTCGAGAATGTACTCAAGCCTCTCTGGATCGGCACACGGCAGCATAGAGGAAAAGGACTTGCAGCGTTTCTCAAGGCTATCGGTTTCATCATTCCTCTCATGGATGCCGATTCGACGCTGTACTTCGTCAAGGAGGTGACTCCCACTCTCATTCGCGAGTTCCAGTCGGCCGATGAAGAGATGAAGAAGATCGTCCTCAAAGTCGTCAAGCAGTGCGCCGCCACCGATGGTGTCACAGGCTCTTTCCTCAAGGACGAGATGCTTCCCGAGTTCTTCCGGCACTTTTGGGTCAGGCGAATGGCCCTCGACAGGCGCAACTACCGGCATGTCGTCGACACAACTGTGGAGTTGGCCAATAAGACGGGCGTGGCTGAGGTTGTCGGCAGGATCGTGTCGCATCTCAAAGATGAAAATGAGCCATTCCGAAAGATGGCCATGGAGACGGTTGAGAAAGTCGTCGGAAATCTGGGAGCGGCCGACATTGGAGAGCGCCTCGAGGTGGAGCTCGTCGACGGTCTCATCTACGCGTTGCAAGAGCAGACGATCGAGGACAAAATCATCCTTGACGGCTTCGGCACGGTCATTAATGCCTTGGGCATGCGAGTCAAGCCATACCTGACGCAGATTGTCTCCACGATCCTTTGGCGACTCAACAACAAGAATGCAAAGACCCGACAGCAGGCTGCTGATCTCACCACCAAATTGGCTGTCGTCATCAAGCAGTGCGGCGAAGAGCACCTTCTCTCCAAGCTCGGTGTGGTCCTGTACGAGCAACTGGGTGAGGAGTTCCCCGATACGTTGGCCAGCATCATCACGGCCGAGACGGCAATCGCCAATGTCGTCGGTATGACGCAGATGAATCCGCCCATCAAGGACCTCCTGCCTCGCATGACACCAATCTTGCGCAACCGACACGAAAAGGTACAGGAGGCCTCGATCAACCTCATCGGGCGTGTAGCGGACAGGGGCGCAGAGTTCGTGAGCGCAAGGGAGTGGATGCGGATCTGCTTCGAGCTGCTCGACCTGCTCAAGGCCCACAAGCAAGCCATTCGCAGAGCCGCTGTCAACTCCTTTGGTTACATTGCCAGAGCGTTGGGTCCACAAGATGTGCTGCAGGTCTTGTTGACCAACTTGCGCGTCCAGGAGCGACAGTCACGAGTCTGCTCGACAGTGGCCATCGCCATTGTTGCCGAAACCTGCGGGCCTTTTACATGCATCCCCGCTATCCTCAACGAATACAGGACTGCGGAGCTCAATGTTCGCACAGGCTCGCTCAAGGCACTCTCGTTCCTGACCGAGTACGTCGGCGAAGCCAACAAGGATTACATCTATTCGCTCTGTGGCATCCTTGAAGATGCGCTCACCGAGCGAGATGCCGTCCATCGACAGACTGCTGCCTCGGTCGTGAAGCACCTGGCTCTCGGTACGGCCGGTCTAGGCGCCGAGGACGCCCTCCTCCACTTTCTCAACCTCCTGCACCCAAACGTTTTTGAGACGTCTCCGCACGTCATCAACTCCGTCATGGATGCCATTGAAGCGATGCGCGTCGCGCTGGGTCCGGGCGTGCTGCTGTCCTACTGCCTCCAGGGTCTCTTCCATCCGGCCAGAAAGGTCAGGGAGCCATTTTGTCGCATCTACAACACCGACTACCTCGGCGCCCAGGACCAACTGACGGCATTCTACCCAGACTTTGGCGACCTGGACCCCGCCTACCGTCGGCATGACCTCTTGGCTTTCCTTTGACGTCATCTCGTTCTGTACTTGTTCATATCGGTTCTTGCGTGTACAAAGTCAATGTCACATCTGTACAAGCCTCGATAAGGTAAATGTGGTCTGGGGAAGAGAACGGACTTCAGAGCGTAGGTCCCTTTAGTGCAATCGGTGTCGCATTATTCGACAGGGCTTTTTCATCGAATTTCACGTTGCAAATTAAGAAAGATGCAAGCCAGTCTTGTGACTAGATAGTACCGTTGCGAGGAATTGTGTCAAGAGTGACGTTTGGCGTGGGGCCAAAGCAGGCCTGGTCAAAGCTGGCCGCCTTGACAGCCGTTTCCTGCTGGTAGCGGATAAAGTCAGGGAGAGGGCACAGCGTCGAGTTGACAACGCCCTGGCCACCGCAGCCCTGGTCGGCGCTCCACGGAATGACGGCCTCGCCAATCTTTGCACGAATGTACTGCGTCGCGTTGGCGTTGGCGGTGCCGTTGGAGCACTCGATGACTTCGAACACGAGCCGGGCTGCGAAGGGGGTGATCTGGCTCAAAATAAAGTTGCGGGGCTCCGTGCGATTGTTTGGGTCGAGGAAGTCGGCAAACTGGGTAAAGTTGAGCGCTGTCAGGACAGAGACGATGATGTCGTCGTGCGTAAAGTCCATGTACAAAGGCTGGTCGATGGGGAAGTAAGGGTCGACGAGCAGCGACGAATTCTGCGTCGTGATGGGCGAGATTTGCGTGTTGTTCGTCAGACGGCCAAGGAGCTCCTGAGCCCAGCCAATACCCTGAGCCTTGCCAGTCGGGTTCATGAACCCGTAGTCGCCTGTTAGTAAGAGGCAAGCTCAAAATTAGCTGGCATGTCTCGATTCTATTCCCGTTCGTCAAGGCACATACCCTGGAATTGAAGGTCAAGATCGTACTCAAATCCGAGCCACTCTTCCTTCGTGAACAGTCCGCAGAAGTTGCTGTAGCCGAATGCCATCGTCTCGTAGGCGCACAGCGACTGCATGCCATACACGAGTTCCGTTGTCAGGTTGAGGGAGGTGTATTGCTGGAGGCGCTGGATGGCATCTTTGAGGTAGATAGGGTCCCAGACAGGCCTCAGAAGAGTGTCGCCGACGGTCGCGATGTTAGAGTTGTTGCACGTATCGTAGCTGGCGAGAGTATTGTTGAAGCCGTCACCCTCGAGAATTACTTCGAGATTGATAGCCTCTGATGCATTCCAGCCAAAGAAGCCAAGGGTGAAATACCGGGCGCTGTCAAGCATGCGTGACTGGCTCGTCGTGCGGACGACGGGCTTGTGAGCCTGGGTCGAGGCGTTGTACAGCTTGCCGTAGAGAAGATTGTGCTGCACGCCAGAGTCAAACAGCTGTTGCGTTCCGATCCGCGTCAGGATCTCAGCGCCCAGCTCGTATTGCCAGTCGTTGAGGAATGTCAGGGGGCCTGTCCCGTTGATGGCAGTGCCGTTGGCAGTCACATTGGCAATGTATGCACCGAAGAAGGGTGCGCCCTCAGTGGTCGAAGAAGTGGGGAACCGGGCACCGTGTCTGTCATTGGATTTCTGGTCAGTCGCGTGCCTTCCGATACTATGGAGACAATGAGGAGCACTCACCGGTGAAGAATGTGGACCTGGCTGATGTTGCACGTATCCGCGAGGATACGGTTCGCTTGGGTCTCGGGAAAGAGAGGGCTCGAGAAGTAGGGCGAAGTGTTTCCCAGGTTCTTGAAGATGTGGAAGGAACCTTTTTGCAGTGAATTTCAAGGTCAGCGTCGAATTGTTAGAACAAGCGTGAAACCCTTGCTCACCATTCTTGTCATCAACTGCGCTCCACCGACTCTCGTAGGGGGCAGGTGCTTGGGGCAAGTTGGGCGCCGTCGAGTTGATCTTGTCAGCCTGGACGAGAAAGGGCGACTGGAGGCCCTGCTTAACCTTGCCCGGATAGCCAATGTCGGTGGGGAAGGAGCCGTTGGAGGAGGCCGATGTCGAGGTGGAGGCCAATGTCGATGTCGGAGTAGCGGACGAAGTCGAAGTGGCCTGCTGACGCGCCTCAAGTGGCGAGGCAGTCACCAAGCTGGCAGCGGCAACCAGGGCGAGGAGGGACCGGCGGAACATGGCGGATGTGATGGAGGTGAAAAGGGGGCAGGTGAACTTACTCCAAATGAGTAATGGTCCGTCTTCTCGCTTTATATGACTGCTGCAAAGCTCTAAGCGGCTCTGACGCATTGTTCGCGCGCAGCTTCGTTCTTCTCGACGCTAAATCTTCCGAACACTATCCTTTCTGCGCTCTTGCGTTCTGCAGTTATTCACGCGCTCAGGGCTACTGCCGCCGCTTCGCAATTTTTTATCCACCCCGGCAATCAATTAGGAACGTGCCCTCTGAATAATTGTTTTCCAGCTGCTCTTGTACCTGCCTCGACTCTGATCTGACTCTCTGGGAGACAGGGCTCTCGAGCGAGGATGACGAAATGTGCTCACAGACAGAACGGTGGCTTGCCACACAGGGGACCTGCAGTCGCCACCTGACACCAATAGGAGGTGCCAAAGGCCGTGCGATTGGTGCACCGTGCACAAATGCCGGCATCAGGATGGGTGCTGCGAGCATGTCACCGCCACTGTGTAGACACGTTCTTCAATGCGGTCTGACCAAGAGAGTCGAGACTTCGCAGGAAGGGCATGAGAAGCTGAAACCTGAGCATTGAGCCTGACTGTTGTGAAGCTGGAGGCGCAGACTGTTGTCTTTCCCTTGCACTTTGGGAGCATGCAGGGTGGATCTTGCCGGTTGCTTACGCGAGGGATGGCGAGTTGGGTTGGGCTCGTGTAATGGCGTTGACCCTTTACCTTCTTCAGAAGCTCGCCAGCTCTCCGGCTCCCTCCCCTGCAACGATGACGCCGGCAGCAAAGTACCCTTTGCGGGCCGAAACCTGAGCATCGGCAAGCATCCGGAGAACGAGGCACCAGCGGGCTTCGAGAGCGGCTCAAGAGAAGAGAGCCTCGGCGTGTATGAAGTATTTGAGGCTGTGTAGCAGGGACAGAGTTCACCATTACCATCTCCGATCAGCTCGAGGAGATGTTCGTCTCGACACCCTTTCCTAGCTTCTGGTGTAGTGGTAGTAAGTTTATCTGCTTCCTAGTCGACCTTGCTCGCTTTGCCGCACGGACCATTCAAATTTAAAGGTGATCCTCATGATTTCTTCCTGTCGACGGTACGGAAGGAGCGAGCCGAGGGCAGAACACTTGAAGCAGTCCAGCAAATTGAAGTTGTGATTCTCGAAAACAACCCTCAATTACTACACCGACTTACAGGGATATGCAAGCGTAGCGCTGAATGAGGCTTTCCATGTGGGCGTTCCGGCGGGAGGCTCTTGCTTATAGGCGCTGCTGCGCTGAAATCAGCTTTTAGGGTCTTCGTATGCTCGACCTCCATTGCGGTCACCATCTATGATGTGGGACCTTCATACGCACCATCTTCCTCCTTGCTACATCGACGCGATTCGTCGCAGCGGGACACGATACATTGATGGGATACCCATCGAGCTGTGCAAGGACGTGTTAGGGTGGAGAGTCGAAGCCCAACTCCATCATCAGGACGCCCTAGGTATTGAAAAGGCTTATATCGGTATCAGCTCGCCGGGCGTCCACCTCACCCCCGGCGACAATGAGGCGGCTCGGCGCCTGGCGCGCGAATGCAATGATTGGACCTCGACAACTGTCAAAGAGCATGGCGATCGATTGGGCATGTTTGCAAGCTTACCTCTACCAGACGTTGAGGGGTCGGTACAAGAAGCAAGGAGAATGAGTGCAGAGAAGGGCATAAACCACTTCGTCGTCATGACAAACTCTCATGGCGTTTACTTGGGCGATGGCCGCCTCGACGCGCTCTGGAGGAGCCTCGATGAGATGAACGCTGTCGTCTCTATCCACCCAACAGCACCCTGCGTCCGCCAGCCAAAGGCGGCTAAGATTATCCCATCTTTTCGAGCTGCAAACGAGGAGGGCGATGACGAAGCACACCTACTTTCCCACGGCAATCCGCTTCTGTCGACATGCTTTGATCCTCTGATTGAATACAGTTTTGAGACAGCACGAGCTATTACCACGATGCTCCTGACCGACGTCTTCGGTCGCTTCCCAAACATTCGCTGGATCGTGCCACATGCCGGAGGAGCGCTGTCGTCCGTCTTGGACAGGGTTTTGTCCGCTGCGCCTCTACTCCCGAGCTCGCCACCTTCAATCGACGTAGCTTCACTCAAGAGCAACATGCTCGACGCCTGCTTCTTTGATCTCGCGGGTGCCCCCTTCCCACATCAGATCGAAGGCCTGCTGGTGTTCCTTGGTGGAAAGGAAGAGGCCTCGTCCAAACTTGTCTATGGCTCGGATTTCCGTGAGTACCTGCCCTAGTCATTTCACCAAACCCTACAAGAACAGTGCTAAGCGGCTTTGGATCGGACAACAGCATGGACCAGCACTGGATCAGCAAATGGCAAGCTCAAAGCAGCCAAGGAGGGTGTGGCAAGCCGGTGGACCGACCAGCGTCACATCGACAACATATTTTTCGGGAATGCTCGTCGCCTCATGTCGCCCTCTGTTGACCGCTCAGGCTGAGAGAAGATGATGCAATCATGATTTCTGCAAGTAGGGCACATCCGCGCTGCTAGCGTGTCCGTCGAGAATGATCTCGCTCATGACCTTGCCAGAGCCAAGCGAGAGCGATATCCCCCACGGACCATGTCCTGCAGAATGTAGTCAGTTCCTTGAAGCTTTTGTATGTCTGTCCCTCCGCCGCTATCCTTTTCAGGGGTTAAGTAGCGGCGAGATGACTTACCTGCGCATATGTAGCAGCCTGGGAGCCCGCTGTCTGACAGGGAGCAAAGGTACGGATATCCGCGGCTCGTGACAGGACGATAGCAAAGTGCGCGCTCCACGACGGTGCCGGATGCCAAGGCAGGAGAGATAAGCTTGCAAGCAGCAAGTAATCGGTCCAACGAGGCCTCTGCTGTTTCGACTGACGCTGTCCCTGGAGGTAATGGCGCACCAGCTGAAGCGTGCTAATCAGTGTCTCATATGCCCATTTCACCCTAATCAGCAGTGAAGTACGCACTGTTTTCGCCTGCAATGTACACGGTGCCATCTGGCCGTGAAAAGAGCTCGGGTGTTGCAGTAGCATGCTTGGAGGAGAGTGAAGCGAAGATGGCTACGGGCGGGATGGGCCCTGCAGTGCGAATCACAAGCGAATGCCCTGCGAGATCGCGAATGTCGACATCGATCTCCCACAGCTCTTTTGCCACTCGGCCCGTCCATGGTCCACAGCAGAGGACCACAGCATCGGACTTGATGGTCTCGCCGTTCGACATGCGGACCTTATGATTGCCGTCGACAGACTCAGCGCGAGCTCTGCGAAGCTGGACGCCCAACGAGAGGCATTCCTGTAAGAGGACTTGACAGAAGAGGCGGGGATGTAGCTGCGCCGTTCCGCCACCTTGCGCCTCTTCGATGGCGCTGACATCAGAGACATTGTTCGCATCGACCCAAGAAGAACTGTGTGAATGACTGCTACCATCGCCCAGACCTGTTGCCACATGCATCGAGAGGGAAGCTACCTTTCGATATCCATAGCGAGCAGGCCCATCAAGCTCTCGAGCAACTTCTTCATGGAGCTCATAGGAAAGTTTGCCGAGGGACTGGAACGTGGTCAGCAACTGTACCGGCTCGATCAGGGCCTTATCGGCCTCTCACCCTTGTTGGCGCGCCGTGCCAGTCCCTCGCCAGGAAGCCTGCTGCCCTCCCACTTGCACCCCCAGCGACCTCTCCCTCTTCGATCAGAACAATCTCTTGGCACCGACCAGATTTGGCCAGATAGTAAGCCGTGCAGAGCCCCATAATGCCCGCACCCACCACAGCAACACTTTTGCCGTCGTTCATGCCGCTTCTTGCTGCCTAATCGGTGGAGCGCGTGAGGCGACACGACGCGCTCGTTTATATTCGGTCCCCTAATTTTGATTTCGAATCCAACACAGATGAAAATTGAGCCCCAGGACGCGCGCAGAAACCTGAACCACCACCACCGCTCCGTCTAGTTGGAAGTTGCAGCATGGCGTCGAGCTCATCGCCTCCGTCTTCATGGAGAAGAACACCTCCGCTTGCGAGTTCCTCGCCGACATCTTTTGCCCTGAACTCATCGCAGCCAGAGAGCGTGGCCACGCCCTGCTCATCCGTCGTCAGCTTCTGCCAGGGAAGGCTTGACGACTCGGATGACTCGGATGACGAGGAGAACTGGGGCCTCATTGCTCCTCGAACGCCTTCACGCCGTCGGCGAAGAAGAATATCTGGGACACAGAGGACGCCGCCTTGCAAGGAGGTGCTTCTCGTCAAGGGAAATGTCACGCCGTCTCGCGCAGCACCTCTCTTTGCTCGCTTCACTGCCAAGCGAAGAGCCAGCTCGCGCGTGCAGCTCCCATCTGTTCCTTCTTCTTCGCAAGATGACATGATCCTGGACTCTCCCTCGTCACCAACATTCGGCAGAGGCCGGAGGAGACTCAAAGCGGATGAACAGAGCCATTTCATCGAGGCCGACTGGGCCAATCATCCATCCAACCTTTGTTCTCTCTCGGATCCGCCACCTCTCAATCTGAGCGTTTCACATCGGGCAGCGACGGCGGACGTGTCCTCGTACATGCTTGCACTCAGGACCAACTCAGCGGCGAACTTGTCATCCACTTCGGCCTTGCGGGGCTTCTACGGCGGTGGCGTTGCAGGTTCGGGCGTGCTTGGAGGCTGCCGTACGCTTGGGGCCGGCTATGGATCAAAAGCAAGCAGTGAGTGGGTCCCTTTTGCGAGGTAACGCAATCTGCTAATCCTCGTATCAGTCTCTTACAAGTCGCTGCACCAATCCTTGACGACGACCTCGACGCCAATGTACGATCTGTTCACGCTGGCCTCGATGGATGAACAACGCGACCACACCCACCCTCTCTGCGCTCGGTACTCGCACTCTTCCCGCTGCCTCTCTCAAAGCCAGGCTCAATGGCTGGCTGTAGGCGACAACGAGGGCAAGCTAACACTCATCAACACGCTCCGCGACATTTACACCTTCGAGCAGCAGTACACCGCCTCGCCCGTCTGGACGGCCTGCGTCGGGTCCGTCTTTGAGTTGGCTTGGCGCCATGATGACGAGGTGATCGCGACAGGCGGGAGCGATTACATGGTCCGAACTTGGGACACACAGACAGGCGAGCAGCTTCGTTGTTTTGGCGGCCTCCGTGGGTCTCCAAGGTCCATTGCATGGGACTCGAGCAGCGGAGGAGGTGACGTCTTTGTCAGTGGAGGAAGGGATGGTGCGATCCATGTCTTCGATGCTCGAGTTGCTGCCCGAAGTGAAGACGGTGTCACCGACCCGGTGCTCTCCATTTGGGGCGCCCACACCAGCCTCGTGAAACGTCATCCTCGGCAGAAGCACCATCCAAAGGGCGTCACTTCACTCGCTTACGTTCCGGGACGAGGCAACGGGGTCCTTGCCAGCGCAGGATGCGCAGACGGCATTCTCAAGCTCTGGGACCTCCGATCAGCGCACGACAGTGCCAGACACATCGATGTTGATGAGGCTGCCGCAGCGACAGCAGAGGCAGCAGCCCCCAAAAAGGGCGGCAAGAAGAAGAAGACGAAGCCGCTAGTGCTCGATCCTGTGGATGAGGGCATCGACTTGACAGCCGTTCACGGCCACAACAAGAGGTGAGCTTTACGATCCGTAGATTGGAGAAGCTCAGCTGACGTCGAGACATTAAAAGCACCCATGGCGTATCGAGTTTGGCCGTCTCTTCGACGCACATCTACAGTGCATGCACCGACGGCCGCGTCTACACCTCTTCCCTCTCCGACCTCTCCTCGGGCTCCTCATCCAACTCCCTTGGCGTACCCAGCCCGGCTTTGTTTGCTGCGGCGTCACGGACAAATAGTCTGTACGCGCGCCTGGCCCTGCACGATGACGAAAGGAGCTTGGCACTGGGGTGCCACTCGGGAAAGGTGGCTATCTGGGACGCATTTGCATCGCTCAACGCGCCGTCATGCACAGAGGAAGGTCTTGGGGAGGCGACTATCTTGACAGCGCACAACTTTGAGATCAATGGCCTGGACTGGGCTAGCGGACCCAACGGTCCGACGTTGGCGACGGTATCGGACGATCAGACGATTAGAACTTGGCAGACCAAGTAGTATGCAGGCAAACATTGTACACTATCCCATCATCAATCAACATTCTCAGAAGTAAAGCCTTATCCCATCTAATTAGACACTGGCGCCATTTGCTCGAGTCGCTGAGGAATCCTTTGCCGAGTCGAAGAGACTGTCTAGGACCTGCCTGGTTCCGTTTCCCAGATCACTGACCGCGTCGTTCCCTCCTTGCCTCTTGACCTCCTTGACACGTCTCTCCTTCTGCAACAAACCATGCATCTCTTTCGGCAGAACGTCCTTTTCAAAGTCGAACGCGACATTGGCCGACTCGAGTGACGATGTCACGGCCTCTGCGAACTTGGCCGGGTGCGCCGTGGAGAGAACAACCTGGTGGGCTTTGTTCGAGGATGGCGAGGCCGATCGTCGGTTGGCCGCCTCAAATCCAACGGCAGTGTGCGGGTCGATGAGGTAGGAGCCTCGGCTGTGGTGCTCGTTGGACTTCCGGGTGAAATACCGGAGAATCGTCTCTTTCGTCTGCCCATCACTGACTCTCTCGGCATCAAAGTCCTTGCGAGCGAGGGCGAGCTGCTCGGGGCTGACCTCGAGCTTTCCTTGCTCCTTGAGCTGCTTCATCCACGTCTGGAGCTGCGCGCCTGCTGCTTTCCTTGATCGCCCAGATGTCTCGTAGGCAATGTACCAGAGCAGACGCTCAAAGTTTGACGAGACGAGGATGTCCATGGCAGGACTCAGCGTAGCTTTGACACCGCCCTGCGATCCATCCGAAGAGCCCGCGGCGGGACCAGTCTGCCCTGCTGCTGACGCAGAGCCGCCGCTGGAGGCCTGCTTCTCGTAGCGACCCGTCGCCCAGAATCGCTGAAGGATATCGTTCTCGTTGGTTGCGACAACGAGCTTGGAAATGGGCAGGCCGAGTCTCTTTGCAAAGTAGCCTGCGAGTACATCTCCAAAGTTTCCCGTGGGAACGACAAACTCGACGTCCTCGCCTTGCCCTCCCACGCCAGCCGTGCGAAGCTGGAAGTAGGCCGAGAAGTAGTAAACGATCTGCGCGAGGATCCTCGCAAAGTTGATACTGTTGATAGCGGCTAGATGGTGCTTCTTGTTGAACTCGGGGTCCGAGAAGAGGAGCTTGACGACGTCCTGGCAGTCGTCAAACGTGCCTTCAAGTGCGAGGTTGTGCACGTTGGAGTCGAGGACTGTGGTCATCTGGGCCTCTTGGATCGGGCTCACACGACCCTTTGGGTGAAGGATGAAGATGGAGATGTCCGACTTTGACCGCAGACCAGCAATCGCCGCACTGTACTCCCAATACCAATCAGCGATGACTAGAGCAACTTGAAGCACGAGCGAGACGTAGGCAGAGCTCTCACCTTCCAGTGTCTCCACTCGTGGCACCGAGGACGGTCAAGAAATCCCTAGGCTCGCCCTTTTGGGTCCTCTTTGCGTTACGCCTGGCCAAGAAGTATTCGAACAAATTTCCGAGTGTTTGAAGCGCAACGTCCTTGAACGCAAATGTGGGACCATGCCACAGTTCCAAGCACCATTCCTTTTCGCCCAGCCTTTCAATGGGCGTGACGAGGCCGTTGGGCGCCTTGAACGAGGCAAATGAGCGCTGGACGAGATCGCGAAGGTCGGAAGAGGGAATACCACCTTCTTGTTCGGTGCCCGGAATGAAGAGCGAAAGAATCTCGTAGGCGAGCTCCACAAAGGAAAGCTTCGACCAGGACGATTGCCAATCGGCGGGGAGCGTCGGCAGCTCCGTCGGAATGTAGAGGCCCCCATCAGGCGCGAGGCCTCGCAGAACGGCCTGGCGAGCGAGTCAGCTTCCCCCACACCATCGTTGACGAGCAGCTGCTTATCTTACCTCTTCAAAGGTCAGCTCTTCCGCGCCGTCGCCTCGTGTGCTGATGTACCTCATCTTTGCCCACTCGTCGTCTTCGTCGTTGCTTGTCACTTGGTTTGAGTCACTTCTTCTCGCCTTCTTTCTCCGAGTCCAAAATTGGACGAAAATTATCAGTCACTGACGGAATTCTGACAGTCCACGTGTTCATATTATCAGCACAAAACCCAAAATATTCATTTCACTATTTTACAAGCAGAGTGAGTGATGTTGAACAGGAGCTTTCAATGACAGAGAACGAGGCAAGCAGAGTGGTGGAGAGGAGTAGGAGGTCGAGGGAGGTGATCGAAGAGCTCAATTTGGCTCGCGAGATGAATTCTGTGGCGTGACAGGCCTCCCAAAGACACTGAGAGGTGCTGCAGAGGACAGTGTCGAGTGGGTTCCCGACGTATTCCGCCGCACAAAGCTGTCGGTAAAGTCGTTCCACCGCGAAAGGTCCTCGCCCAGCGGCATCGTCCTCCAGAAGTTCTCGAGCAGGGCCGCATCATCTTCAGCGGTCGCGGCTATCGGTGAGGTGGAATTGGCGAAAGGAACCACTGGGCCGGTAGTATTGACGACATCGTGTCCTTCCGAGGAGGCCGCACCAGCCAAGCTCATCTCAAGATGTTTTGCGGTGTCGAGGCCGGCAGCGCGGTCGTCAGAAGACTTCGGAGGAAAGCCTTTTGCCACCCTGTGGACCTCATCTTCCTTCATATCGCCGTTGAAGCCTGCCGCCTCGACCTTTCCGTTGACATAATCGTTCGACGGAGGCGTGATGGCTTCTTTCCCGTCGTTGCTTGAAGCGGACCCTTGCTCTGTACCGCTTTGTTCCCCTTGCTTTGACAATGGGCGCTTGTTCGTGTCGCCAAGGATACCCGATCGCAGTTTTTCAATGATGGCTAAGTGGTGGGAAGCAGAAGTCCATGTCTCGGATATGCTCTCGAGCCAAGAGATGCACTTGTCGAGCTGACCTTGAGCGTGCTGCCTCACAGAGGGCTCCGGCGACGTTGTGTTTGCAAGGATGACCGTTGTAGCCATAAAGATGCAAAAGATGAAGCCGGGGACAAGGTTGCGAAGCCCGTACTGCTTCTCGTACGTGGCGATGATGTCGACAATGGCTTCAACGGCCTTGGAGCATTCGTGGTGAGAATTGGGCATCCCAGGAGCGGCACCTGGCGAGTTAATGCCAATGTACTTGCGATGGACGAGGAGGTAGAATGTCTTGCTCCAGAGCTGCATGTTGAAGATGTGCGGCAGCTGCGGCTCGCCCGGACGCCAGCGCAGTGAATCCTCGAGGCTTTCCTCCCAATCGACGACGCGGTTGTGGAGCGCAAGCACCGTTTCCTGCCAGGGCCGTCGCTGTTCAGGATCAAGCTTCTCTTTGATGACAGTGTAATGGGCAATGATGGCTTCTAGGATGCGACCCATCTTGACACCCATGAGCAAGAAGGTGCTTGACCTCACGGGACGACCTGTGATGGCGACAGCAGACGAGGCACTCTGCTTCTTGTATGCATTCTGATCGGAGTCCTGCCACGTCTGCCACTCGTCGTCCTCGTCTACGTTGGGCGTGGGACAATCAATCTCTGCGTCCCTCAGCACCGTGGTTCTCCCCAGCTGAACGGCGATACCCTTATCGAGGGTAAAGATGAGCCAAAAGACTCTCCTCCTCGATTGATCCTCTGCATGCGTCAGCTGGCCGTGGCTGTTGCGGTGCAGACCCATGTCGAGGGCCATGCGGCAGGCAGACCAGCAGTAGTGGGCAGACTGGACCAGAGGTCCGTTGCCGTATTCGAGGAGCGACATGAAGATGAGCGCCGCAATTGCCTCGAGAGAGGGTTTGTTGTCGGCACGGAATAGGCTACGAGACACGAGTCAGTCATTAGCTGGACGATGTTCGAGGGGAGAGGAAACGTGCAAGTCAGACTCACTGGTACTTGGCCCGAAAGAGAAAAATGGCACTGAGCTGCTTGCTTGAGAAGGTGTTCTCGCCGTCGTCGGCATCCTCATCAGACACCTTGTCCCACGTCGAGGCAGCAATGGCCAGCATGGCATTGAAGAGGAGCGGGTGGTCTTCTTCCTTCATGACAGGCACGCCGTCGACCCTGGGAAACGCGGGTTTGTAGAGCATGGGCCAATGGTAAGCGATGGTGGACCAGTAGATGGCAAAGAGGCGGACTTGTATCCGTTCCGGTATGACGGGTGTCGTTAGACCAATTTCGCCAGTCTCGTCAGAGCTGTTGGAAGCCGCCATTCTGTACATGGATGTGATAGCGGCATCAGCAGAGTCTGCGATGCCACGAATCTTGGCGGGAGAGTAGCGAGCATGGGGTGCTGCTTGCGAGACGGAGGTCTTGTCTAGCGACCCGTCACTGTGCATTGTGGTCGAGCGTGGTTTGTGCTGGGCCAAATGCCATTGCGACGGCGGTTCAAGCTCGTGTTCGTGTTTGTGCTCGTAGCCGTGCTCGAGCTCTGGCTCATCCCGATGCTCCTGACGTGGTTCATAGACGCGGTGCCGCTGCAAAAAGGGAGTTGGCTTGCTTCCCATGCGATCCTCCGACCACCTGCCGTTGCTATAGAATCTCTCCCACTCCGATGAGGCACGCTTTCGTGTGAGCTTTGGGGCCCTCTTCAGTGCATCAGGGTACCCCGAGGAGGACGAAGACAAGGACGAGGGAGGGGACCCAGTCTGACGAGGAGATGACAGCCGCTTTTGTCCTTCGTGGTAGCTTCCCGAAACGGCCCTGCGGCGATTTGAGGCGTCATCGGGATCAGCGACGGGATGTCGACCTTGAAGAGCCAAGAGGCCGGCCGAAGCTACTACGCTTCCCGGCGACGGAGGTGGGTCGGCATCGGCTTCATAGGCACGATAGCTGTCTCCGAGAAACATCCGGTCTCTCTCTGACAAGGACGCCGACTTAGTCAAGCCGCTGCGTCTTCCACCCCTCGTGGTGCCTTTTGGCGGTCCTCTGGGAAGTGACGATCGTCGTGTGAGCTGGAAAAAGGGCAACCCTGTAGAACAAAGAAAACGCTCACCTCTTCTTTGGCTGTCCATAAGTGCATTCATCGTTGTTCTTGACACAGGTAGAGCACGGTCTACTCCCATCGCACTGTATGTACACGAAGGCAGGACTGTTAGTCAAGGCCAGGTTGCGCATAGACACAGGGAGAGAGAGACAGAAGAGAGAGAGCGTGAAGGACCAAACAAATCAACGCACCTTGACTCTTTTGAGGCTGCAATTTTTGCAAGCCTGTTGAATGCGCTTTCGCTTGATCTTGCCGTGGCCTTCGTCTGCATCGGCTCCTGCGGCCTCTCCGACATCAACAAGTAGTGCGCCTTCGTCCTCGTAGCGCACGTCAAACTCTCGGCGATCGACGACCTCGCGGTCCAAATACGGGTCCGTGCCACGATGGGAAGACAGGTAGCCAGGCATTCTGCGCGATGGCTCGCCATGGTATCGCTGCTCGGCGGCGGGCGGCCAGCCTTGCGAGGAGGGCGAGGCCAGATTGTTGTAGTTGTCGTTGTTGTTGTTGTGATGATGATGGTGGTGGTGGTGATTTGTGATGGCGGTGGTGGCCGAGTGCGGGTAAAAGTAGGGTGAGGGGGGCAGACGGGGCGCGGGCAGGTAGGGCGGCGGTAGCGGCAGCTGCGCGTGCCCTCCAGCAGGAGAACGGAGCGGGAGAGGCTGAGCAGCCGATGGCGTAGAATAGGGCGTCAAGCGATAGGAGCCGTGGCCAAGACCATGGCCGGGCGGGCCGCCATGCTGTTGATACGCAGACGAGGAGGAGTACATGCTGTGCTGTGCAGCACCAAGCTGTCGACGTACGCGTAGGACGAGGATGCGCTCGATGCGCTCGACCCGGTCGAGGAGGTGGGGAAGCGAGGAGTGAGAGAGAGTTGTCGTCTACCTGGCCATTCTTTTACCCGGCAATGCAGGACAAAACAGCGGGCAGGTGGCGCGTGGTCCGTAGCGTGTCGAGCCGCTCGCCGCGCCTGTCTTGTCTCCGATCGGCTGCCGGCCTCCTCTCAGCCTTTACCTTGCCTGACAGGAAAGAGTAGAGATCGCACGCCAGCAGTGCGAAGCGCAGCAGTCCGGACGCGGCTTCGGTGCAGATCGTCGTGGTCTGATGCCTATTTTTTTTTCTCTTTTTGTGTGAATGTGAAATCACAACCTTCCCTTTCCCATAAAATTTAATTCTCCTCCGTTCGGCCTTAGTCGAAAGAGCGCGCGCGCGCGCGCGCACTCGTAGGAGATGGAGCAGAAGAACGGGAGAACATCAGGAGGGAAAACAAAAAGGCACAAATCTGGTCTAAGCGCTTTCCCTCTTTCCAAGCGCACGGAGGCAGTAGTGCGTGTCGCATCACCAACCACACTATCGCGATTCTGCTAAGGTTAAAAAAACCACACTCGCACTACAACACTAAAATTGCTGCGTTTTGTCCGTCTCTTGCCGGTCTAGATCCTCCGTGAAGTCTGGTTCGGACGAGCCGAAGCCATCAATTCGGAGACACTGGAGAAGGGCGCGTCGGGATCTCGGGCCAGTGGTACGTTGTTCATGAACCTCGGGGCAAAACTTCCGCGCGCGTTCTCTTTTTTTTTAGTCTCTCTCAGTCTCTCTCAGTCTCTCAGTCTCTCTAAGTCTCTCTCGGTCTCGCTCAGTCTCTTACAATCTCTGTCCCTCTTGACAATCGGCCTAGGCTAGCTCATAAGCAGCCACCATGTCCAGACGCTTAATCGATCTCCGCTATTTTTTATTTTTTATTTTTTATTTTTATTTTTCAGTTTTCCCATCGGCTCCGATCCACATTTTTAAATTTAAATCGATTCGGGTGTTCTGGCCGGTAAAAGCCCATATCGGGCATGATGCAAGATGTCGAGTCGAATCTCGCTAGTACTACTACTCTGACTGCAGGCATGACGCGACGGGCCGGTGGTAAAGCTACTACTACTACCACACTACTACTCTACGCTATGATAACGCTTGATTACTGCTTGCGCCTGACTCAATTATGCGAATGGGGCCGAGATTTATGCATAGATATCAAATTGCCCGACTGTCACGAATGAACACTACTATCACGAGAGTAGCTAGTTACTACCCCAGGGACTCGTCGGCTGAGTGGTTCGTGCGCCGGGCCACCAGCCTGGGCGAGATTCACAGATAGGGCACGTCTGCCATCGACGAGCACTGCTGACTCATCACCTTGTCTAGTTTCGCCTCCTGGCAATGGCATCGGCCACCTTGGCTACATCACACATCTGACCGACGTCATGGACTCTCAGAATGTCGACGCCGGCCAAGATGCCCGCTGTACAAGCTGCAGCTGTCCCGTAGATTCTGTCCTTCGGCTCCTTTCGTCCCGTCAGGGTGCCCACGAACCGCTTGCGACTGACACCTAGTAGCATGGGAAGGTGAGCCAGTGAGGCGTGCGGCGCCAGGTCCAGGGCCGAAGGCGAGCTTTGCTGTTCCCCTTCTCCTTCTCTTCCTTCCCTTCCTACCACCGCGTCTTCGCTTGGCAGCGAGACTGGAGCAGGGGGAGGAGGACTAGAGGCTCGTGACCCCGACTGAATGTGGCCAGAGGTGAAACCGTGGAGACCACGGAGAAGCTCGACGTTGCCGTCCTTGTCTTTTGCGAATCCAATGCCAGGGTCCAAGATGACGTTCCACCTTCGAACGCCGGCTCGGAGCGCCGCCTCCATGCGTGCCTCTAGCTCTCTCTTTACCCCTCCCACAACATCGCTCTCGTGGTAGGACGTGTTTGCAGCGCTCGTCATTGTCTGACTGTCGCCACGCATGTGCATGAGCACGATGGGCACCGCTCTGTTGCGGGCCACATCAAAGATCTTCGCATCTCGAAGACCAGCCGAAACGTCATTGATGATGTTGGCACCCGCCGAGATGGCTGCCTCTGCCACCGACGCACGAAATGTGTCAATGCTTACAGGTACCGTAATGCCCGCGGCTCGGATCGCCGCAATGACAGGCACCACACGATCCTCCTCTTCCTTGGCCGACACCTCCGGGGCGGCAGGCGAGGTGCTCATTCCCCCCACGTCGAGCATGTCTGCACCTTCCTCGACCATGGACAGTGCCGTTTGAACAGCAGCCTGCGCCGACAGATTGTCTCCTCCGTCGGAAAAGGAGTCGGGAGTCGCATTGATGACGCCCATGATGAGCGTGCGCTCGCCCCAGCTCCATGTCATTGCTCGTGACGCGGGCACATTCATGACCCTTCTTGTATCGCTTGCCACGTAGCCTTCGGAGTGGGTGAGAATCGAGAGAAGCTGGCTCACTGTGCGAGAATTTTGAGGGTGCCTGTAGTCGGGTAGGATGTCGCAAAGGGGCCGCAGGACAAAGTCGCGCTCGGGAATGCCCGGATGAGGAAGCGTGAGGTCGCTCGTCGACAGCTCGAGGCGATCGTAGAAGAGAATGTCGAGGTCGACCATACGCGGTCCTTTGAGAGGCACGCCGCGCTTGTCCCTTCCGAGTTGAGTCTCGATGGACTGAGTGAGAGCGAGGAGCTGGTGAGGTGTCAGTCTTGTTGCGATCCGACAAGCTGCATTGAGAAACTTGGGCTGGTCCTCGTAGTACATCGGTGTCGTCTCATAGAGGAAGCTTGTGTCCACCAGCTTGCAGTTTTCGTTTTCGGACAGCAGCCTGACAGCATTCTCGAGATTGGCAAATCGATCGCCGAGGTTGGAGCCAAGTGCGATAGCCACGACGTGCCATTCGCCGTCCTTCAAGTGGGGCTCTTCGCGCTCGATGGGAAGCGCGAAACCGTTTGGCTTTGCTGCTGACTGTGTACTACGAGGGACTGATGTCTGAACAGAGGTGGACGAAGCTCTGCCGGATGCCACCGACTGCTTCTCAAAGAAGTCCCTGTCGCGCTCCACCTCTACCCCGGCGCACTCCGCGAACATGATGGCACTCGGCTTATCAACCCTGACTTTGATCCGCTCAACTCGGTTCTCGCCAATGGCCACCATAGCAATCGACGTGGCCAGGCTTTCGACTGTCTTGTAGTTGCTGTTCTCGACGTGCGCCGTGATGCTTCGCACAATCGTCCGGTAATTCTGAGGCCGGGTGACGACATCCACAGGAGGGGCGGGGACGGCCCGGCCCGGCTTGGCAGAGAGCAGAGAGGCCTGACGCAGCCTCTCAAGACCAGAAAAGACCACGAGATTGATGCGCACAATCTGCTTGTCCACCCGCTCCCACGGATTGACGCCAAGGATGGTACTGATCTCGAGGTCATTAACCAGGACGACGTCCTTGGTGGCCCAGTGGGACTGCGGACTGAGCCGCAGCGAGTTGAGCATGTCTGCTGAGGGCGTCTCGGGCCAGGCTTGCTCCGACGACGACGACGACGGCTTGATAAAGTCTTGGGCCGTGCGCGTGATTTGCACACCGGCCGAGCGGGCGTGAAGGAGCGACCTCGGCTTCTCCACTTTCAATGTGACTCGGGGTGCCTTGCAGACAAAGATGCACACCTTGGCCAGACCCTCTGCCAGGGCCTCGAGGCTGCGATACCTGGCACCGGCGCAGTGCTTCTCCAATTCCTTTGTGAGGATGCCGTAGTGAATGCTATATGGCAAATGATCCGACTGCCCGGCCTGCGAGACATCGGTGTGGACGCGAACGTCGATGGACACCGGCTGAGGCTGCACGCGTTCCCAACCATCGACGCCGACAAGCAGCCGTACGGAGAGGCCGGAGAGGATGATCGAGTCGGGAAGCTCCGTCACCTGCGGCGCGGCGGGCTCCTCACGACGCGACGTGGACGTCGAAGTGAAGTGAGCGGACGCCATCCTCGGAAATGCCAAGGGACGACGATTGAAGTGGGGCAGCGAGCGTGTCGTGGAGTGCAAAAGTAGTCGTGTCGCCAGAAGCCTGATCCTCATGCCCCTTCCCGTCTTGAAGCAACAACAGCAATGGCAGCAACAGCAGCAGCAGTCCTGCGAGAAGGCCCGAAGCTAAATTCTTGGAGGTAGAGAAGATTTGATTACCTAAGCCGCTTCATCCCACGTGAGCGAGCTGTCTGACCGCTGGCCGGAGAGAGAAGGCGTTGCGAAAGAAGACGTGGAAGATCTCGAACGCTCCTCACTTACCCACCAGACCCAAGAGGCAACGCAACGATGAGCAGCGGATGTGAGTGACACACCTACATCTGTCGAGATCTATGAAGAATGCTATGGAGAATGCAATGCTGAACCTGAATCCCAAAGTCCGTTTCTTGTCGCTGGTGCGACCATTTATGTCGGTCCTCCCCGAGGTCTCGGCGCCCGAGCGCAAGGGTGGGTTATCTTGCATTACCGTCCTGTGCAAGGGCTCGCACTGATGGTTTGATCACGGAAACAGTGCCTTTCCAATCGAGGATGGCGTGGACAGCCATCGTGCTGGCCATCTTTCTTGTCGCCTCGCAGATTCCCCTGTACGGCATCATGTCGTCTGACTCGTCAGACCCCCTCTACTGGATGCGTGTCATCCTGGCGTCAAACAGAGGTACGCTCATGGAGCTGGGAATCTCACCCATCGTCACCTCGGGCATGATCATGCAGCTCCTTGCTGGAGCCAACCTAGTCGAGGTTGACTTCAGCCTCAAGGAGGACAGAGCCCTCTTCGGTGGTGCACAGAAGCGTGAGTCGGCCAGGAGGAAGATAAGGAGGTTGCACGCGCTCACTCAGTCTTCATCCCACTTTTAGTGTTTGCCCTCATCATCTCTCTTGGGCAAGCTACCGTGTACGTTTTGACGGGGCTCTATGGCCAGCCAAAGGATCTCGGCGCCGGTGTATGCTTGCTCCTAATCCTTCAGCTCGTCGTTGCTGGTCTCATCGTCATTCTCCTCGACGAGCTCTTGCAAAAGGGATACGGTCTTGGTTCGGGAATTTCGCTCTTCATTGCCACCAACATCTGCGAATCGATTGTGTGGAAGGCCTTCTCGCCCACGACGATCAACACCGGTCGCGGGCCGGAGTTCGAGGGTGCCCTTGTCGCCCTCTTCCACCTCCTGTTCACCTGGAACGATAAGACGCGAGCTCTCAAGGAGGCCTTCTACCGCGAGCGTCTGCCCAATGTGATGAACCTGGTGGCAACTCTCGTCGTCTTCCTCGTCGTCATCTACCTTCAAGGCTTCCGAATCGAGATTCCCGTCAAGTCGAACCGATTCCGAGGCCAGCGTGGCACGTACCCCGTCAAGCTCTTCTACACGTCCAACATGCCCATCATGCTCGAGTCGGCCCTCACCTCTAACGTCTTCATCATCTCGCAGATGCTCGCCACGCGCTTCCCCACAAACCTTTTCGTTCGACTCTTGGGCGTGTGGGAGCCGCTCGAAGACAGCCCTCAGCTGCACGCCATCAGCGGCGTTTCCTACTACATGAGCCCTCCGCACACACTCAAGGAAGTTGTTCGGGATCCGGTTCACACAGCCGTCTACATTGCCTTCACTCTCACCGCCTGCGCCCTCTTCTCCAAGACCTGGATCGAGGTCTCTGGCTCAGGCCCCCGCGACGTCGCCAAGCAACTCAAAGACAACCAGATGGTCATGGCTGGCCACCGCGAGGCATCGATGTACAAGGAGCTGAAGCGCGTCATTCCTACCGCCGCTGCCTTTGGCGGTGCGACGATTGGTGCCCTGTCCGTCGCAGCCGACCTCATGGGTGCTCTTGGCTCGGGCACCGGTATCCTTCTCGCCGTCACCATCATCTACTCATACTTTGAAATCGGCATGCGCGAGGGCGGTGGCTCAGAAATGGCCGCCCTTGGCGACCTCATGGGCTGATGGCCTTTCATTTCCGGTGGGACAAGGGGTGGTTAGCTGACTCGTTGTAGAAGGAGGGTAAACGAGTGCGAAAGTGGTGTGGGAGAAAATAGCGGAGGAGAACAGAGATGAACCTCGACAGAGCTGGAGGTGTTGTATGGTAGCAGCAGCAGTAGTAGAAGACCAAAAAACAAGATTGCTTTTCGTTTCATTTTCTGTAATTGCGCCAATCGACCGATAGGATGATCACAGACGGAGGAAGAGGCTAGCAGCTCACTGACAGTTGGAGGCTAGAGGGAAGAAGATCTTGACAGCTCCTCGCTTGGCTCACGTGTCGCCTCAATTTTTGAAAAAATTCCGCGAACAAGAACGACGGTGTCCAAATTCTTTTTCTTCTCATTAAGACTTGGTCTGAGATGGCGTCGACATCAGCTGCACCCGAGGCGGCGCCTGCCAATGGCGGCGAAGAGATGACCTCGAGGGACTAGTGAGTGACCACCTGTCGGCTTGTGTCGGCTTGGAATTTGTGCCTAGTGGCTGACTGGCGCGATGAATAGCTACGCCGATTCCTACGCGCATTTTGGCATCCACGAGGTGAGACGTCCTTGCTTGCTCCTCTGCGTCTCCGACGTCCTGAGTCTTACCACCGATCACAATGCGCACAGGAAATGCTCAAAGATGAGGTCAGGACTCTTTCGTACCGCAACGCGATCCAGAACAATCCGGCTCTCTTCAAGGATAAGACGGTGCTCGACGTGGGATGCGGCACTGGTATCCTTTGCATGTTTGCGGCCAAAGCAGGCGCAAAGAAGGTCATCGGTGTCGACATGAGCAACATCATCACCCAGGCAAAGATCATCGTCGAGGCAAACGGCTTCTCTGATGGTGAGTGATTTCACAGATCGCTTAGATTTGAGAGGGATTGCTTACCTCCCCGCATTGCCGAAACAGTCATTCACCTTGTCAAGGGCAAGCTCGAAGAGGTTGACCTTGGCCTGGCGCCTGGCGAAAAGGTTGACATCATCATCAGCGAATGGATGGGCTACTTTTTGCTGTACGAGAGCATGCTCGACACTGTCCTCCTTGCGAGGGACAAGTACCTGGTGAGTAGTAAAAATGTGCATCTCTGCGCTCCTCGAGCCGCCTGGCCAACCCTGATCGTCGTGCACAGGCGCCCGGAGGAATCATGATGCCCGACTCCGCCTCGTTGTACATGAGTGCCATTGAGGACCAAGAGTACAAGGAGGAGAAGATTGGATTCTGGGACGACGTCTACGGCTTTGACTACAGCTGCATCAAGGACATCGCCCTGCGCGAGCCCCTCGTCGACACCGTCGAACTGAAGAGCGTCGTTTGCGACCCCGCCCTCGTCAAGCACCTGGACTTGCTGACGATCAAGAAGGAGGACCTCACCTTTGTCTCTGACTTTGCGCTCAAAGCCACACGCAACGATTGTGAGCTTTCGCTTCAGACCATCGAGCCCACTCTGCGAGAGAAAATGTAAGCTGACACACACCACAGACGTCCACGCCTTCCTGGGCTGGTTCGATATCTCTTTTGAGGCGTGCCACAAGCCCGTCAAGTTCTCGACGGGACCGCACTCGCGCTACACTCACTGGAAGCAGACCGTCTTCTACGTGCCGGAGATGCTGACGCTGTCGGTCGGCGACGAGATCAAGGGACGGCTGAGCTGCGCGCCCAACGCGAGAAACAACCGGGATCTGGACATCACCATTGAATACGAGAGCACAGGCAAGGCAGCAATGCGGTCCAAGATGGACTACAAGATGTGCGTCACTGAATCTGATCTGCCCTGCATCTCTACGGAGCTGACCCTTTCCACCCCTAGGTCTTAGGTACTAGATGGCCAACACCGCCCACCAACACGCGACACCACTTACGAAGCGAGACACCCTTCTTAACTGCATGTATTCTGCTCTTCGCCCCTTCGACTCAGACTATTCTCAAAATCCCTCCGTCTCGTCTCGTCTCGTCTCGTCTCGTCTCATCTCATCTAATCACGTCTTGACTTGTGTCGCACATTCACACATTCACACACACGCTCTATCAATGACATCTTCCATGAGAAAGAAAAAGATGATCAATTGCGCCAGATCTTGAGTACCTTGTCTCGGCCGCCGCTGGCCACTTTGTCGCCGGCAAAGTCGACGCAGTACACTTCGTCTTCGTGGCCTGGGAGATCTTGACGCATCTGGAAGAAGCAGAGAGTCAGTCACATTCGTAAAGGGAAAGAAGAGAGAACAGATGGGAAAGACGGACCTTGAACGTCTTGAGGTCCCACAGCTTGATGGTGCTGTCCTTGCTGGCGCTGACGATGATGCGGCTGTCTGCACTCCATGCGAGCCGGTACACGCTCGACACATGCCCACGCAGCGAGGCGACAAATTTGCCAGTGCGGCCATGCCAGAGCTTGACGCTGCTGTCGAAGCTCGCGCTGGCGACGAGGTTGCCGTCGGGGGAAAAGGCGACGTGGTTGACGGTTTTCTGGTGGCCCGTCAGTCTCGCCAGTGGCTTCTTTGGAGACGCCACGGATGGCTCGAGAGTGGCCGTGGCCGATTGAGGAGGCCAGAGGAAGAGCGTGTGGTCATCAGAGCCCGAGATGGCTACTTCAGGCTTCTTACCGTGCGATGTGGCTTCCTTGTATCGTTTCAGCGCGGCCTTTTGAGCAGCTTGATCGAATGCTTCCTCGTTCTGATCACCCTGCCCTCCTTCGCCCGGGAGGCTGTCCAAGACACGGCCGTGGTGGTCAAAGGGACCGGTCCGGAGGACGTGATCAGTGCTGAGGGCGAGGGTGTTGACCCAGTGCGCATGATCTTGCAACGTCCGGACGAGCTTGCCATCCTTTGCGTCCCACACCTTGACGCATCGGTCAGACGAGGCTGTGTAGAGGAGACCATCTCCGCCCCACCGCACGACATTGACGCTGGCCGTATGCCCTCCTAGCGCGTATTCGCATATCCGTCTCGACACATTCCAGACCCGCACAGTGCCGTCTTTTGACGACGACGCCAGGCGTGGAGAGGTAGGGTTGAGATGGATCGGCTCCCATGCCAGCGATGTGATCCACTTGGTATGTCCTCGAAGAAGGTGGCTCGTCGGGGCTGCATACCGTAGCGCGCGCTTCTCCTTCGCCTTTAGCCGCGCCAGGCTTTCTGGCTCTTCTCCCCCCGCCTCTGCTTCAGCCGCCGCCGCTGCTGCTCGCTCCTCGTCGACCTGCTTGCCTGTTCGTGGTCCCCACGCACGCTTGCCCACCTTTCCCTCGCTAGCATCGATGGCATCCCATATCCGGACCTCGCCTTCCTTGTCGCCGGTAGCCAGCTTCCGTTCTCTTCCTTCCCACTCTGCACACAAGACCCATCCCTTGTGCCCGGACAGCGTCTGAAGTGGCAGTTCTGATGTCAGATCCCACATGCGCGCCGTCTTGTCACCCGAGCCAGTGACTAGGAGCTGCGACGTGGGGCTAAAGACGGAGCAGAGAATCGGCGAGGCATGTCCTGCAATGTACAAGGGAAGCGAAGGACGATTTCATCAGCTGGTGAGGCTGCAACTCGAGGTGAAGGGGCATAGAAATCTACTCACCCGACAAGGTAGATGAGCATCTCCGGACTGGCCGCACTCGGAAGACGGCCTGGGGCTCAAAGACGATGCGCAGCGTGTCTTCCTCGCTCAGACCGAGCTTCTTGGCCGCCGCCGCATTGAGCACGTCTTCGTCCAGACTCTTACTGATGGCCAGTCTCGTGGCGGCATTGACCGCTGATCCTCCCTCGCCCGAGCCCCCGACAGAGACGTGAAAGGCAAAGGGCAGGTCCTCGTCATCATCATCATCGTCATCATCCTCGCCCTCCTGCTCCTTCTCCTCTCGCGTCCGCTTCTTCCTCTTCTCTTTTCGGATCTCTCTTCGGAGCTGGTTGACGATGGCATTGAGCTCCCGCTGCCCCGTTTGGGCCGGGAGCGAGATTGGTGGGCCGAGGCTGCTGCCATCCTGGCCCGACTGGAACTGGACAACGAGCGTCTGCGACGACGGATTGAGCTTGCCTGCCGACGCAAGCTCCTCGAGCTCCCTCGCCTCTCTCTCCTTGTCGAGCCTTACCCGCTTCCGGCTTCGCGGGGGTATCACTGTCGCCATCTTTCCCTCTTCTCTCTCTCAACTGATCCTCGAGATCACGTCCTCGCACTTGGTCTTGACGCTTGCTTGCTCCCGTTCCAAAACAGAAAAAAAAATATCCAAAAAAAAAAAATGGGCAGGAAGAAACAAGATGGAGGAGGCTAGGAAATTTCTGGACGGCCTTCGGCCGACATTGAAATTTTTCGCTTTTCGTCCTGCTGCTTGTTGCTTACTGCTCCCTGCGCGCGCCTCTTCTAGCCAGCTCTCTCTGTTCTCGAGCGAGCGATCAAGAGCCATGGCTGCTGGTAAAGGAAGGCGGTCGTCGTTGACGAACGGCGCCGCATCATCAAGAGCTGCCGGAACCAACGGAAAAGCAACGGCGATGGCCGCAGCTGGCCCGGGCCAAGCACAGGCTTCCACCTCTTCCTCGGACCCGCTGCTGGTGAGTGGACCCATTGCCCACTCTGCTCTATATTTGTCGCCCAGCGTTTCCGTCGCTGACTTCCTTTGCACTGCCTACAGGCCTCACTGACAGAGCACGATGCCGCATTCACTAGCCTCCTCAAGCTGATCCCACCCAAGTTCTACCTCGTCGAAGAGGACGAGGGCCGCGAGGAGGACGCCGAGGCGGGCATCAATGCGCGTTTCCAAAAGAACAAGCGCAAAAAGGACAAGGAAATCGAGGCGGCGCAGCGAAAGTCAAAGGCGAAGGAGGCCAAGCGGGCCAAGCTCGATCCGGACAACCTCAAGACGGTGGACCAGATCCAGATGGAGCGAGCAAAGGCAAAGGCAGCGAGGGTGGAGGAGGATGATGATGATGATGACGACGACGATGACATGGAAGGGCTCGATATCGGCGCGGGGGATCTTCAGGCGGGCGATACTGATGGGGAGGAAGAGGAGGAAGAGGAGGAAGAGGAGAGCAGCGAAGAGGACGGAGACCGGACGCTCAACAAAGCAAGGGCAGCGCCCGTGCTCAATGGAAGCGTGAAGCCAGCATCGACGGTGTCAGACCTCCGAGCGAGACTGCAGGCGAGAATCTTTGATCTGCAAGCCAAGCGGCGAGCCCCTGGCCTGACGTCGTCAAACAACATACCACTTGGCGGCAGAAAGGACGATGTCGATGGGACTGGTGGAGAGGAGGGCGACCAGTGGGAGGACGAGGATGCGTCGGTGGCGTCGACGCGCGACGAGCTGCTTGAGGAGCGAAGGAGGAAGCGGGGCGAGATGCGCGACAATCGGCGAAGGGCACGCAAAGAGGCCATCCGAGCCGCCGCCATGGGCCAGAACAAGAAGCAGGGCAAGCAGCAGGCGAATGGAGCCGCCACCAACGGCACCGATGCCGACAAGCGGGCGCTCAACAACCGAGCACCGGCGCTTCTCGTCAATGATCCGTCAGGCAAGGGCAGCCAGGGTGTGAGCAGCACGGGCGCAGCAAAGCAGCAGGGCGACCTTGCATTTTCCGCACTCGACTTTGGCTCGCTGGACAAGGCAAAGAGTCGACATGCGCTGCCGTCGGACCCCAAGGTGGCCCTGGCTATGCTCGAGGCACGCAAGCGCAAAGAGGAGAAGCGTGCCGAGAAGGCGGGCGGCGACCAGGACGGCGACGAGGCCAAGGAGCGCAAGGAGAGGGAGCGGTGGAGCAAGGCCGAGGCCGCCGCGCAGGGCGTCAAGATCCGCGACGACGAGGCGCTGCTGAAAAAGGCAGCAAAGAAGCGCGACAAGGTCAAGGACAAGAGTCGAAAGGCGTGGCAGGACCGCGAAAAGGAGCAGCGAGACCAGCAGGCAGCCCGGCAGAAGAAGCGGCAGGAGAATATTGCGAGCAAAAAGGACAGGGGCAAGAAGTCGAAGAAGACGGGCGGAGCCAAGGGTGGCGGCGGTAAAAAGGGGACAAAGGCGAGGCCGGGCTTCGAGGGAAAGAGCACCTTTGGCAGGGCCGGCAAGGCTGGCAGCGTCCGTAAACACAAGTAGCAGTAGCAGAACCACCACTAGTCTTCAATGTCATTGCTTCATCATATTGCACGTTTGCCCCTCTTGAAGGACCAGCCGGAGTGAGAAGAGGACGGTCCATCGTGAGCCTCTCGTCTATACCTGCTCCACCCCCGTGTACTCGCTCGAGACTGGCGGTTCGATGAAGCTGGCATGGCCTAGGACGAGGATCATGGAGGAGCCGACGAGCCAGAAGAAGAGGGAAAAGGGGTTGGACCACCAGAGCATGGGCAGACCGATGATGAAGAGACCCATGTAGAGATGCTTTTGGGTGATGGTGTGATCCCCCACCTGCATCGGCTCGGCCGCGTACTTGTTGATGAGGATGAAGCCGCCGACGAGGAAGCCAGAAGCGATTAGGAGGAGGCCATTCGTGAGGCTGTTGTGACACAATGAGAAGAACTTTGAGCTTCTCTCTCTCCAAGAAGTCCAAGGACAGGGCAGGTACTAGAGCAAGAGACTCACAGACCATAGACGGCAAGGGCAACAATGATGATCATGTAGTTGCCCGAGAAATGTCTCGTGTTGTATGTGATACGCTGGGGAGAGAAAGAAAAGGGAAGGTGGTGGAATGAGGAGCAATCAGCTGGCTGAGCTTCTGGAAGAGTGAGACGCCATTGGTTCCTACTCACCTGCGTCGCCTCATTGAGGTCCTGCGGTCTGCTGATTCGCTGGTGGTCAAAGAACTCAGACAACGGCCGAAGCGTCGACATGCGATCCTTGCGGAAGCCCTTGATGGTGTCCGGGACTAGCTTTGCAGATGAGCAACCTCCCCTCCTAATAGCTGTTCGTTCTTCCCGTTCTTCCACTCACTCTTCAGCGCAATCTCGAAAATTTTCGACGCCATCTTGAGCTACACAGGCACGCTGATGACCTTGACGAGGGTGCTGAGATTGCTGGCGGATCGTGTCGGTGTCGCGCCGATGTTCAAGGCTGCCTTTCCCTGTCGTTGTTTGTTGTTGCTGAACGACGAACAAAGCGTGACGCACAGCAGTGCTGAGATTTCCTTCGTGCGGTGCACTCGCGTGGCGTGGAACACATCGCTTTTGTCACAGCTCTAATTTTTCCGTCACGCGAAGACACCGACGAGGCAGACCAACACCGAGGCATATCTCGCACAGGCCGCACAACCGCCCCATTCTTCCCAGCCAAGTTCATGTACTGAACATTAGTGGAGTCTGCATAGCACAGCCTGCCAACGCGGTCACCGACATTCACGCTGGTGAGGAAACATTGAGGTTGCAAAGACGTGCGGGGCCACGACAGGTACACGCACACAGAGCAGACAGAAGGACGGAGCGCCTGAGCCCGCCCGAGTCTTTCTGTAGTCACTCAATTTCGATCACAACGGTCGGCGGCTCGCAGCATTCGGTGATGGCTCACAAGCGTGCTGCGTGCCAGGCCGAGTAGGAATTCCGTTGGCTGCTTTTTTTGGCCCCCCTCATCAGGCCCAAATGCGAGAACGAGGCAAGGGGCGGCCGCACGTTCACGACCGCTTCGACCGCCCGCGACAACTCGGTGGACCTTCTGCTGCTCGCCTTCGCTTCGACTCGAGGCCACACAGCGAGGGACTGCGTGGATGTGCGAGGCCCGACATTCCTGGCCCTTTCCCGTCCGCGCTCTTTCCCACCCATGAACAAGCGCCCTCCCCTCAGTATCCTTCGCCCCTTTCCCCTGCATCCTTTCAGCTTCCTTCATCTCTCTCTTCCTCCTCCTATTCTCCACCATCAAAAGGTCCTGTTGAAAGGCTCACCCCCCTTTCGAGGGCTCGAAACGCCACCATGACGTCGTCCAAAGCGCCATCGTCCAAGGCGCCACCAGACAAGTCAAAAAATCCCGCCTCGGGCAACACTACCGGCACACTGCCCAAGAACAAGCCCTTGTGAGTAGCATTCGTCTCTTGTCTCTCTTTGCCCAGTCGCTCACTACTTCAAGGAACCACGAACAGCAATTCCGAACTTGTTTGCCAGAAATGCGAGAAGGTGAGATGACAGTCTTCCGTCGTGACTGCCTTTTTCGAAGGCTGATCAGGTTTTCAGATCAAGCCACGGGATGCGTACAATCGAGACAAGATCAGGAAGCTGGACTTCCTCTACAGGAAGCACGTCAAGCTCCACGGCGAGGCCACCGCCGAGTACGCCATCACCTGCGGCGAGTGCGCTTGTAAGGAGCACGAGGAGCAAATGAGGCAGAAGCGACAATGCAGCAAATGCGGCGTGACCAGGTCCTTATACAAGTCTTTTCCACTCGCGGCGCGCAAGACCCTCAATGACAAACCAGTAACCTGCAACTATTGCATAAAGACACGAGAAACCTTTGTCGAATCCAGCGACGATGACTCGGAGCTCGATGTCTCCCACCTCAGGCTCGAAGACTCTGACAGCGATGGCGACCCCGGCGTCGCTCGCGCGCCTCTTGCCGAATCCACGCCCCCAAGTCACGGTGGTTCTTCTCCATCCAGCTTTGGCACGCCCGAGTCCCGCTCGCCACCAGAGCACCAGCCTGAGGAGCTCGATGAAGTCGATCTCACTCGCCGCCTTGAGGGCCTCGAGCTTAGTGCACCATCAAGCGAGGGTAAGCAGGACACCACGATAGCCGAGAGGCAAGACAGCAACAAACGACAATTGGCTCGTGTGCCCGTAACTGACAAAGCTTCAGGCGCTACTTCTATCGACAAATCGTCCGCGGCGAGCCGATGGGCGAAATTGTCAAGCTCAAGTGCAGAAACGAGTGCGGTTTCGTCGAAAGCTGCGAGCAAGTGGGCACCGCCACCTCAGAAGGCCGATCAATTTCCCGGCAATCCCCTCGAATACGCTATCAACAATCCTTTTACGCCACCACCAAGCCCCGAACAGAAGAGAAAGTCTCTGGTCGGCCTATCGGGACCACGAAGAGGAATGAACCGCCCGTCCATCACGGTAACACGCACCGACGTGCCTTCTTTTCACCCTTGGCCTTCGACGACGACTGGTCTCGCTACATCGCCTGCAATCTACAATCCTGTCCCTCAGCCCTTCCTAGGTCATCAGTCACTGGGTTTGCAGCTTCAACGAATGTCGAGGCAGCAAGCAATGACAGAGACGGATCTGCAAAGCGACCTTCTCGTCGCGCACTCGATGTGCAAGGACCCCCAAGAGAGGGACAGGCTGCTCAGCCTCTTGGAGAGTATTCAGTTGTCCAAGACACGAAACTCCAGTAGTGGCACGATCAGCGTTGATATCGCAGAGGTCGACACCATCAAGTCAAGTGTCGACACCGGCATTCGTCACGACCTCAACCCGACCCCTTCTGAGCCCTCGTCCTTGGACAGCAAGTGGGCCACCCGCTCGTCTGAAGCCCTAGCACCATCGTCGCCATCGGGCCCGGCCAAGAAACCCATAAAGAAGGATTGGAAGACCATGATAAATGAGCTCATTGATGGACACATCGGTGTCCACGACGGCCCAGCCCCAAGTTTCGGCCAGAAACAAAGGAAGGCATTGAGCCAAAAGGATCAAAGTAAGTCTAGGGATCTTGCACATTCCGGGCGCAGCGCTCAATGATTCTACCTGCAGGCCCGACTCAGAGCTTGTCTGTCGGCGCTCGTTTACCTGCAGACCAGACTCAGGGCTTGTCTGTCGGCGCGCAAAAGGTCGCCGTGGTCCCTCCTGCCCCTGTCCTCTATAGTGACTTCGACTGCCCACCACCCTCCCATCCCCCTCGCCTCACCGGGACGAACAAATTGGCCTCGGGCGACTCTGGCTGGGGCGCGCGGGCAGGTGCGTCGACTTCGGGAGCTGGCTCCCAGATGGACAGGACAAAGTGCTCAGACGACTTCCCGCCTCCTCGCGCCCCTCGAGCCCACGCTCTGCCACCTCCGCCTGCATCTGGCGCTAACCCGTTCGACAACCCTCCTCCGACGAAGCCTCCCAAGCTCACGGGCACCAACGCCGGAGTGACGAGCGGGAGTGGCTGGGGCGCTCGGGCAGCAAAGCCTCTCTAGACGTCTCTCTGACTTACATACATAAGCTCGCCCCATTGAACCGTGTCAAATCCTTCCTCACTGATTCTCTAAAAAGATTACCCTTGTGGCAGTCATTGGTCTTTTTCCGGAGAAATCCTCGCGTGACAGGCGTCTGCAGTCGTTGGTGCAAATGTGGAGATGATCATGCATCGACCTTTGTGCTTCTGACCTTCTTCACAGCTTGATGGACCCATATTCCCCGTTGGCAGACGTGCTTCGAAGCCAGCATGACCACGTCAAGATAGCGGTGGACGTCGAAGTCACTGCGCTGGACGGCGTAGCACCAGCGGCAGACACCGCCGACGCATCCAGCTGGATCCTGGCCGTCGTTGCCAATGTCGACAAGGGCTTCGAAGAGACGGCGCTGCTCGTGCTGAAGCGGAGGAGAAAGGACCAGAGCAAGGCAAAGGTTGTTGATGCGCTGCCCGTGGTGGGTGTCTTACCCATGATGAATGCGCAGATTCTCCTATTCTTTCCTTTGCTGAGCGATCATTCCTCAGCTCAAGGACTTTCGCTGCTCGATTGCCCAGGCTGCTTTAGACGACGGCAAGGAGAATAGCTCGGCCGGCGGTGCTGCAATCGAGGACGTGGGCATGTCGCCTGCGCTGAGTGAGCTCGGAACCAGCAGCAGGCTTCGCTTGACGCTCCTGCTCGGCGGCAAGGCCGTCGTGGCATCTTCAGACGATGCGTGAGTTACCTGCTCATACTCCTATATGAACTTTGGTAGAAAGGAGATCTCATGTTGCGTGGAGAAACAGGCAAAACATCAAGGACCTTCTGTCCGTTCTTCGCGCCTCGGTTGAGGTCGCTGGTGAGTCTGCCTTTTGCCATTCTCCTTCCCTCCCCACGATGCTCATCGGCTGTGCCCTCCTGCCACGACCTAAAGAGGACCACTCGGATGAGCTCTCGCATGACTGGCTTCGGCACTATGTCGACGACTACAAACACAACTCCACCGACGGCGCTGCCTCTGCGCCCATCTTCTCGCGCTTCACGCAGTCTGCCCTGTTCCCCACGCCCCCTTCCTCCTCCTCCTTGCCAGCATCGCCAGCATCAGCAGGACCGAGGCAGAGGGCGCCGTCGCCCGCGGCCGACGAGGTCAAGATCACCATTGGCACCTTCAACGTCAATGGCCAGGCACCCACGGCCGCCACGCCTCTCGGCGCCTGGCTGCACCCCGAGGACGAGCCGGACATCCTCGTCGTCTCGCTCCAGGAAGCCGATGCCTCGAGCCTGTCGTACGTCTACTGGACGCCGCACGTGCAGGAAGCCTGGGACGGTGCCGTGCGTGGCGTGCTTGCGCGGCGGGCCGGCGAATACGAGAGGGTGGCGGCGCGGCAGCTCGTGGGCATCCTCCTCTTTGTCTATGTGCGCAGGGAGCTCCTGCCGCGCCTCTCGCACGTCGCCCTCACCTCGCTCGGCGTCGGTCTCGGTGGCTGGGCGGCCAACAAGGGCGCCGTCGCTGCGCGCTTTGAGGTCGATGGCACGTCGCTGTGCTTCGTCGCCAGCCACCTCTCGGCGTTTGAGGGTGGCGAGGCGCGCGAGCGGCGGCGGTGGGACTATGGCGAGATTGTGAGGAGGCTGAGCTTCACGTATGCGCTCGACGACGACGACGACGACGGCGGCGATAGCGACGAGAGCAGCAAGGCGCACCAAGCGGCGGAGGATCCTGCCTCGACAAAGGAGCAAGTGGCAAAGAAGCACGTAGGGAGAGAGAGGAATGCGCTGGACTTGACGATGGCTGAGCCAGACGCGGCGACGCTCCTGCAAGCTCAGCTGCAAGCGTCGCTGGATGCCGAAGCAGCAGCAGCAGCAGCAGCAGCAGCAGCAGACCCCGTCTTGAACGAAGAAGCGACCATCTTTGACCATGACGTTGTCTTCTGGGCTGGCGACCTCAACTTCCGCCTGGAGCTGCCCATTGGCGAGATCAAGCGCCTGATTCGGAAGCGCATGTTCGAAGGTGCCCTCCTCCGTTTCGACGAGCTGAGGAGCGAAATGAGCGCCAAGAGCTGCTTCGAAGGCTTCCAGGAGCAGCCCATCGCCTTTGCGCCCACGTACAAGTTCGACAGAGGCACCGACGAGTACGACACGAGCGAAAAGAAGCGCAAGCCAGCGTGGACCGACCGGATCCTGTGGCGGTGCAGGTCATCGTCATCATCATCATCATCATCATCATCAGAAGTCAGGCCAGTCTCTTACGAGAGCGCTCCCGAGGTCCTGCTCTCGGACCACAAACCCGTCTCGGCCTGCTTCATTGTCAAGATTGGTTCAGAGTAATGTTGAAGAGCACTGCAATGTATTTCTACGCCATGCAAAACATCTTTTTGGTTCTCTTCTCTTCACTATGAGGGAGACGGCGCATCACCAATGACGCCCTCGTCCCGAAGTGCCTGGATCTCGGCAGCATCGAGACCCAGGTCGTTTTGCAGCACCTCGATTGTGTGCTCGCCCAGATCCGGGCCCGCCCACCGAGTCCTCCCACCAAACTCCAGCACGGGCGAGAGACCGGGCCTGGGGTGCGCAGGAATCCTATAGATCAGCAGAAAGTACTTTCGACGCTCAATATAAGAGAGAGAGCTCACATCTTGATGGACCACTCCTTGTCGACCTTCTTTGAGCGGACGGGGACGTCCTCGACCATGCCCCGCGCAATCACGTGTTCGTTCTCGACAATGTCCTTGACCGAGTTGATGGGTCCGCAAGGCACCCTCGCCTCATCTGTAGGGGAAGAAGAGGTCAGACAGGAAGTGCTCAGCGTCTGAGATGGATTGTGAATTGAAATAGAAAGGCGGAAATTGACACCCACTCATGGCGGCCAGGACCTCGTCGACGGTGTGCTTGCTCGTCCAGGCCTCGATCGCCTGCTCGATTTCCTGCTGACGGGCGACGCGGTCCTTGTTATTTGCGTAGCCTGGCCCTGTGAGATCGCCCCGCCCAATCTTGTCCATGAGGCGGACGTAGATGCTGTCGTTGTTGCCGCCAATGATGACGTACTTTGCCTCGTCGCGCGTCTTGAATGCCGTCGTGGGCACGATGCCCGTCACGCCGGCGCCGCTCGGGCCTCGGATGGAGCCTGTTCGATCGTAGGCGGGAATGACGCCCTCCATCATGTTCAAAATAGACTCGTAGACTAAGGATAGAAGCAAGTCACAAGTCAGTCGGCACAGGATTCTAACATATGAGAGAGAGGCAGGGAGGGACTCACTGGCCACATCGACTGTCTGCCCTGTTCTCTGGCCTTTTCCTGCGCCCTGCATCTTGCCGCGTGCCAGTAAGGCCAGCACAGTGCCAAGAGCCGCATTGGTGCCCGCCAGACTGTCTCCGATGCTCAGGTTCGGTCTCACAGGCGCACCGGCGAGCTTGCCATCTGCGTCGGGGAAGCCATTGACGTAGCGGAAGCCGCCGAAGCCCTCGCAGACGGCCGCAAAGCCACCGACGTTGCTCATCGGCCCGGTTTGCCCGTAGCCAGAGATGCGCGTAAACACCAGGTCAGGGTTAGCCCCGTACAGGTCGTCGGGACCCATGGCCCACTTTTCGAGGGTGCCCGGCTTGAAGTTTTCGATGAGGACGTCGCTCGACTGCGCCAGTCGACGCGCTACGCGGCGGCCGCTCTCGGTGCGGAGGTCGAGCTCGATGGAGCGCTTGTTCCGGTTCAGGCTGCGGAACCAGGGCGACCCGCCGTCGGTCTCGGTATCGAGCTCGCGCCAGACCCGCAACGGATCGCCAGCGCCCGGCGGCTCCACCTTGATGACGTCGGCGCCAAAGTGGGCGAGCAGCTGACCGCAGAACGGGCCCGCAATCAGCTGGCCCAGCTCCAGCACACGAACGCCCTGGAGCGGTGCCGGCCGCTTTGCCGTTCCAGCCGCGCCGGTGGCGGCCAAGGTGGCAAGCCCTCGGAGCCGGCTCATTGTCAAGACAAGAGAGAGAGAGAGAGAGAAGGAAGGGTGCTCACCTCGAGCTCTAACCCCGCGCTTACCCTTGGGCTAAGAAAGTCGTCCGTGCACGAATTCTCAGTCCACGTGTGTTTCTTTTCGAAAAAAGTTTGTTTTTTCGACTGGTGGAATTTTCCTTTCTCCGGAGGCAAAGCTCACTTCCTCTTGCTTGCTCTCTCTGTCGACTCGCTGATCAGAGACATGGGTCGGAACAAGAACAAGGACAAGCGGTCGGCCGCACGGCAGCAGCAGCGCAATGGAAGTGGACTGCACTTGGGAGGCGCTGCGCAGAAAAAGGATGCAGGGCCGTCGGACTACTTCAAGCATCGAAAGAGGCAGCAGCAGGACCTGATCCGCCAGATGCAGGCCGCCAAGCAGCGCGACGATGACGGGGACCTGAATATGGAAGGGTCAGCGCAGGAGCAGGAGGAGCACGCTGCCGGCGGATTGCACCCTTTTACATTTGCGATGGGCTCGTCGTCCGCGCTCGATGCTGCTGCCACAGATGACGCCTTGGCCACAGCCGCCGCTACAACCTCCACCACCAAGGGGACTGCGACGTCCTTTGAGATGGAAAAGGCGGCGCGAGATCTGGCTTTGACGGGCAAACGAGACAGCAGCGCAAAGGCATTCATGAAGGACATGCGCAATGTCGTCGACAATGCCGACGTGCTCCTCCAGGTCCTCGACGCACGCGACCCGCTCGGCTCGCGCTCGCGCCAGACCGAGACCATGGCGATGGGCATGGGAAAAAAGGTTGTCCTGATCCTCAACAAGGTCGACCTTGTGCCCCGCGACAATCTCGAAGGCTGGCTCAAGTATCTCCGCCACGACTTTCCCACGCTTGCGTTCAAAGCGTCGACGCAGGCCCAGAGGAGCAACCTCAAGCAGGGCCGCGGCGAGGTGGTCACGGTTGGCGGTGGGAGCGGGTCCATCACGTCGGGAACAGAGGCCATCGGTGCGACGTCGCTGCTGTCGCTGCTCAAAAACTACGCGAGGACATCGCGGGCGTCCAAGGGAAAGGACATCAAGGCGCACCTGACCGTGGGCGTCGTGGGCCCGCCCAATGTGGGCAAGAGCTCGCTGATCAACTCGCTGCTTCGCACGAGAGCGTGCGCCGTTGCCGCCACACCCGGCTGGACAAAGTCAGTCCAGGGCGTGGCTTTGGAAAAGGGCATCCGGCTGCTCGACTGTCCCGGTATCGTCGTCGGTGGGCAGTTTGACGGTGCCGCCTCCTCGAAGGGAGAGGAGGCGTGGAATGTGCTGCGAAACACGATCAAGGTGGAGCTCATCGAAGACCCCATCGCCCCCAGTGAGTTTGCTCCTTGAATAACATCGAGTCGAAAGACTACTGACACAAGGCTGGCAAAGTTGGTGCAATGCTCGACCGAGTCGACTCGCAGCAGCTCGTGGACCTGTACAAGATCGAAGGTGGCTTCAACGAAGGCGACGCCCACGATTTTCTCCTCCGCCTGGCCCTCGTTCGCGGCAAGCTCGGTCGCGGTGGCATTCCCGACCTCGAGGGCGCGGCCCGCATCGTGCTGCACGACTGGAACGTGGGCAAGATTCGCTACTTTACAAAGGTGCCAGCAGTCCATCGCTCAATGATGCAGACAAAGGTCGGCTCAACTGGTCCGGCAGCCGCAGTTGCAGCCGCAGAAGGGGCAGGAGGAACAGCACAGGAGGGCGACGAGGAAGCGAATGGAGCCAGCCTCGTGAGCGGCTTTGGCGAGGCGTTTGACCTGGCTGCACTCCTGGGCGAAGCCGACGCCGAGCTGGTGGGAATGGGGACGGGTTTGGGAGGCAAGGGACTCAAAGATGCGCCAGAGAGACGGTTCGCCGTGGATGAGGCTGAGGCCGAGGACGAGCAGGCCCAGGAGTCGATCGTTGAAGATGATGAGGCTCCGAAGGAGATGACACCGGGCGACACGAGCCTGGGGAAGAGGCAGAGGGGAGAGGATGATTCGGACAGCGACTTTGACGGCGACGACATGGAAGATGAGCTGGGGTCCGTGCTCGGGGACGACGAGGGCGCAGATGCCGCGCAAGTGCCGCTGGTCAGCGTCGACAATGACGACAACGCTCAGGCCAGAAAACGCAACGGACTACTGACCAAGGGACGAAGCGCAAAAGAGGCAGAGCTGGGCCAGATGTTTTCCGAGGCCGAAATGAGCGGCATGGTCCTCGTTCGGCCTGCTGCGCAGCGCAAGCGCGAGCTGAAAAAGAAGAGGCGACGAGAAGAACGTAGTGGGGCCGGGCTCGTCGGTGTCTGGGAACAGGGCATGGAGCTGGGTGCAGATCGGGCCAAACTTGTGGAGCGAAAGGCGGAGACGGACTCGGACAACAATAAGAGAAAGGGGGACCGACGAGGTCTGTTCGATCTTCTGGTCCCTGACGATGAGCAGCCACACGAGCAGCAGCAGCAGCAACAGCCTCCACAACCACAAACACCACAACAACAAGATAACCAGGAAGACGAAGAAGAGCTCTAAGAGTTTCAAAATGCTGTATATCTATCATTACTTCTAGACGATTCACGAATAATAAGCATACATGGCAGAGACAATGCTGGTGATGGTGATACAGTAATGCAACTCAGGACCTCCTGCTTCTTTCGACGAGCCTCACAAATCTGGCCCACTTTTCCACAATGCCCCTCACGCCCTCATACCCCAAGACCTTTGTGCGGGGAACGAGGAAGATCTCGCGATGCCGGCTGCCGCAATCCTTGCACGGCTGGCCCTCATCGAGCCTTGTGCCCAGGTCTTCGAGCTCCAGATGGCAGAGGTGCTCCCACTTGTGCGCGAGAAACATGCCCTGGATCTTTGCCGCATCGGCGCCTGGCATGAGCCCCTGCTGCTCCTCTTCGTCGTCCGACGACTGTGCTTCTGCTGCTGCTGCCACTGGTCTAGGTCGCCTTTCCAGCTGCGGAAAGAAAGCACGGAGCAGGGGATCTTTGCTTTGGCACCTGCTCCGCCACTGCTCGATTCGTTTAAAGACATTGACGGCACGCCCCACCTTGAGTGCCAGATGGGTGGCTGTCGACCGATCGCGGAGCTCGTAGATGTAGATGTAGCCACGCTGCTTCCAGTCGACCTTGGACGGTGATCGACACATGGCTGTTCGTAGACGGGCCTTGGCCCGGTCCGAAAGCTCGCGACCAGAGTTGCCACCGGGCGAGAGATAATCGTCAAAGTCGATGTAGGTCTCGTCCTGGATGCTGCTTCCTTTGCTGTCCTCAGCTGACGACGAAGCTGATAACGAGGTTGTCGACTCCTTGCGGGGACGTTGACTATGATCATGACGATGATGATGAGGTTGCTGGCGACGGCGACGACGACCAGGCAATAGGAACCCATTGGTACGATTGATCTCCTTTGCATGCTGGAAGCAGTAGTCTCGTCGCACATCGTCATCGTCGGACTCTTCTCCTGGGCTGAGACTGCTATCGGAGTCATCCACGACGATCACATCCCCCTTCTTCGCTGGTGTGCCCTCGCGACCAGCCTTTACAGGAGACGAAGAAGAGGAGAGCGACGGGCTAAGCCGCCTTGTACATCTCGTCCCGTCCTTCTTGATGCCCCAACACTGGCCAAGCCCAGGTGCGATGTTGGGGTCCGTCACGATGTCCTTGCTTGGCTTCCTGCTTCTGGCCTTGTCGCGCTCCTCTGACGCAGCTTCCTTTCTCTTACCACTAGAGGTAGCCTGCCCGCTCGACTTTGCTTTTGCCCTCGGCTTGGGCGTGGTTGGCATTGATGACGTGACTCCAGCTGGTATGGATGCTGGGGAAGGAGAGATGCTTGCCCCTTGCCGCAGAGGAAGCTCCCACGGATTCGGGTACCTTCCCTCGTGGTGGAAAGGGATGCTCGAGGGAAGGCCATGCGCTTGTTTTGTTGGAGGGGGAGTCCAGTCATGTTGAGGAATGGGCATGGGCATAGGCATGGGCACGAGACGCTCCGAAGTCGGCCTGACTGAGTCCTGTCCGCCGTTTCTCTCATACGAGAGGAGCAGCGGGGGTCTAGGCAAGGGCCGGGATGTATGCGCTGACGGAGAAGACACTGCCTGCTGGTGGTGGTGGCGCGCATGAGTGCTGCTGGCCTGTGGGTGATTTGACGGATGCTTCTGTTGTTGCTGCCTGCTTGACGATGGAGAAACGAGGCTTGTTGCCGAGAATGCGTTGCTCAGCTCCTCTGCCTCGTCCTTGCTCGCCTTGCGCTTGGGCAAGAGAAAGCCTCTCGCAAAGCGCTCCAACGGCCCCATTGCCTGTGGTGTCGCTCCTTGGCTCCTCGACCGAGTAGGACTGGCCATTGTCAAGGAGCAGCGTGCTGATGACGCGGCACTGGCCAGTCGGCTGGACGAGATCATCCGTCTCTCCTGTCGTCCTCTCTCTGTCGGCTCCGTCGGAGCTTCGTCTTTCTGAAGTCGAAAGCGCGTCAATCACGCAGCGCGAGCGCGTGCGCGCACTGCCCCGTGTTGCTCTGCACAGTTTCTCTTTTTTTTTTTTTAAGTGCGGCCGAGATCCAAGGCCGATTTCCGATTAGAGCTGACGACAGCTTTCGACCGCCTCATTTGTTTGGCTGCGCCAGGCGCATATCCCTGCAGCTCCCGCCACAGCTGCGCTTGCTTTCCCTGCCGACGATGAGCGACGAGGCGGCCTCGCGAGCGCTTCTCCTCGACAGCGGCACCGCCGAGGCCGTGACGGTGAATCAGCGGGCGCTCATCGACAAGATCCTCGCACGATACGCCGCCGAATTCACCGTCTTTCGAGAGCTAATTCAGAATGCAGACGATGCCGGGGCGGACTGCTGCGAGCTTCGTTTTCACAGCGTCGAAGAGCCCAAGGAGCCTGTTGAAGGAGCTGCAGCCACGCCGCCCAATCTCAAGGCGACCCTCAAGCGCTGGGTGTTTCGCAACAATGGCAAGCCGTTCAGTGGCGACGACTGGAATAGACTGAGGGTGAGTCCCTTGGTTCAGCGCGCCCTACTGAATCATGGCTAAGTGGCTCGTCATTCCATACCAGCGCATCGCCGAAGGGAATCCGGACCCGGACCGGATCGGGGCATTTGGCGTAGGGTTCTACAGCCTCTTTTCCATTGCCGAGGAGCCCATCGTATCGTCGGGCGATGAGCTTATGGGCTTCTTTTGGAAAGACGATGCCCTCTTCACCCGAAGAGCAACGTCACCCTCCAAGGATGTTTCGCCCAATGGCAAGCCATGGACGACGTTCCACATGGCTCTCCGCGAGCCTGCCCCCTTTCCCGATTCACTCCTAGACCTCTCGCGATTCTTGGCCACCTCGCTCACATTCACAGCCAATGTGCGCCAGCTCAGCCTCTTTTTTGACGACAAGCCACTTTGCAAGCTTAACAAGCGTCTCGAACCACCCAAGGCAATGAGTATGCCCGGCCACCTTAATGCGACGACGCCAAAGAAGATGATGCGGGTCCATTCGCTCGAGAGCACGGCGATGCGCCTCGATGTCGAGGCCATGCGACTCGTTCTGGATCTCGTTGAAAAGCCCAAGTGGATCAAGCCCAGCCTCACATCGGCGTTTACAAAGACGGCCGGAGGAGGAGGGGGTGCATTCGCAACGATGCTGCAGAATGCCTTTGGCAGGTCGTCCTCGAGCAAGGAGAAACAGGCGACGTCAACGCCGTCCACCCCCGCCACCCCCGAGAGCAGCGGCATCTCTACTCTGGAGAAGACGGCACGGTCAATGACGACCGTGTCTTCGAGTGTGCACGTGCGCATCGTCACGGCCACCGCCAGCGTTAGCGTCGACCGAGCGTTTGAGAGGGAGATCGAGCGAAGCACAAAGAAGCCGCCGCCAAAGCAAACAAAGATCCAGGTCATTGCTCAGAACAAGGACGAGGCCGATGCGAGCAGCAAAGAGGGCGACGACGCAAAGGAGATCTTCAAAGGCATCACTCCGAGCCTCGATTCGCAGGGCTTCGTCTTCATCGGCTTCAAGACGAGCCAGACGACTTCCTTTTCTGGCCATCTCGCCGCTCGATTTATTCCCACCGTTGAACGAGAGAGTATTGACTTTATAGATCGGTACTGTGCGCAGTGGAATAACGAGCTGCTGGCCGTTGGCGGGTACGTGACTAGGGCCGTATACGAGGCGGAGCTGTACGAAGTGGGCAAGCTGTGGAACGAGAAGCTGGGCACCGCAAGGCCAAAGGACGACGACGAGACGGCCAAGTGGCTTCTCGACCGCGGCCTTCATCTCATGCGCTTCTTCACCTTTCGCGCCTCGACGCCTTCGCCCCGCGTCTACTCTTCGCTTGAGACAGCCTTCTTTGCATCTGCACGCCAGCAGACGCTCACGCTCGCCTCCACGCGGGGTGTCAAGCACTCGGCCCTCGTCAGGTTTCCCAATGCCATCCTCTCTGAATTCGTCAAGGATCTGGCTGTCATTCCACCGTCTCATGTCGAAGGCGCACAGGAGTTCATTGGCCAAGTGCGAGCTCGAGGTTTGGTGGGCGAAATCACGATGGACGACGTCCTGTCCGAGCTTTCGGGGAGGGCACTCGAAGTTGGCGAGATGGTGGCCTGCCTCAAGTGGTGGATCTCGGTCTCGAACCACGCCAATTACGACCCGAGCCTGAGACGGAGGCTACTAGACAGCGCAATTGTTCAGATCAAGCGCCCAGACGGCAGCAGCAGCGATGACAAGGGCGACACTTTCCAACCTCTCGCTTCTGTCAGCACCTTTCTCAATCCTCAGCGGGTGCCCACTGACGTACCGCTGCCCGTTTCGTGCCTGTCGTATGAGGTCTCAAAGGCCTTTTCGGCCAGTGATCTGGCCCGTGTCTTTGGCTGGACCGAGCTCAGCCTCCCGTCCTGGCTCTCCCATATCGTCGAGCTGGCTCGTTCGAGAGATACGGCTCCTGACATCAACATCGAACTCTCACCTGCCTTCTCGGAGAAGGTATTTGGCATCCTAGCTCGCGCCTGGGGCTCGATGCCGTCCCACAGACACGAAGAGATTGCAAAAATCGTCAAGGATGTGGCTTGCATCCCGACGCGCAAGGGCATGAACAAGCCCGCCGATTCCTATTTCGCCAACGTTTCCCTCTTTGAGGATCTCCCCATCCTCGCCTTTCCCTCCACGCAGGTCAAGGGTAACTTGGAGAGGGTGCTTGCAGCCCTAGGCGTGCGTAGGCACGTCGAGCTTCAGATGATCTTTGACCGTCTCGTGGCTGCGGGCAATTGGGACGTCACGCAGCTCGTGTCGTACCTGGCGGCAAACAAAGATACCCTGACCAAGCTCGAACTGGAGCGATTGACCAAGACGGCTATGTTCCCGAAAGCAGGCGAGGTTGGACCGCCGGGAAAGGACGGCAAGCCTAGGATCATTCGATATCGGGCCTCGCAGCTCTATGAGCCCATCGATTCCCTCCGTGCCCTCAACCTACCCGTTTTAGACTGGCCCGGCAAGCCTTGGCGGCAATCTTCGGACGAAGCAAAGTTTGCACACGAGCTTGGACTGAGGAGACACCCGCCAATCGAGGAACTCCTAGCCCTTGCCTCGGACAGGACGTCTGACGTGGAGCTGCGAGGGCGTGCCTTGGCGTACCTCCTCGACAAGATTACGACTGTGTACAAGGACAGCTACACACTTAAATTGGCCTCGTCTTTCGCTTTTGTACCGTGCGAGGCCCCTAGCACGGAGGCGTCCAAGACAGTGATGAAATGGTGCAAGCCAACAGAGGTCTTCACGAACGTGGAGGCCAGCTGCCTTGGGTTTGCGATCGTGAGCAAATCGATCAATGTCGTCGATCTGCCCAAGCTTCAGCTCCGCGCCAATCCAACCAGCACTCAGATTATCAACAAGCTCGTCAATGAGCCCTCCCTCGACATCGAGCACGCCAAGAAGGTATTCGAGTATCTCTCAACCGTCGCAGATATCACCGTCTCCGATTATGGGCGCCTCAAATCGGCGGCATTCATTCCCGTCATCGGCAAGGCTTCTTCGATTGATAAGAAAAGCGAGACCAAAAAGGTGAAGCTGGCGGCACCGTCCGAGTGCTACTTTGCGACAAAGAGTGCCTCCACTGCACAGATGCGCGATGTCCTCATGGACGTTTTTACGTTCGTCGACTTTGGAGAGAAGGCAGCCGTCTTTTTGAGAAATTGTGGCGTGGCAAATGAACCGAGTATCGAAGAAGTCGCTACCAAGCTGGTCCAAACTCCCCAGCGCTTCTACTCCATCGGCGGCGTAGACGCTTACCTGGGCATCCTACGACAGATTGCCAACAATTGGAATCGCATCCGGACGCCGCTGCGTCAAGAAATGAAGCGCTCAGCCTTTTTGCTGGCGTCCAAGCGCATCAGCCCTACGGCTTCATCTTCCAAGGGTAACCCGAAGAACCTCATGGACGCTGATATTGACGACGACGAAGAGGACACAGACGACTCCGGGATGCTTGTCCATGACCTTCAGAAACCCGGTGACGTCGTCATCGTCGACGACGCCACGTCGCACATGCTCTTTGCTTCACAACTCTTTGTCGTTCCGCACGAAGATCTTCTCGAAGCCTTTGCAAGCGAGCTCGGCGCCCCCAAGCTGAGTCAACTCGTCGAAGAGCGCTTCGTGGCTGCCGGCCGGCCCATGTCCAACACGAAGCTGGCCAATGAGGTCAAGGCCCTAGTGCTAGAGCGAACACCGCTGTTCCTCTTTGAGAAGCGACAAACGGGCAAGTCGGAGATTCGACGGGACGCAGACTGGCTCAAAAACAAGCTTGAAGTCCTTGAGGTGGACGGGGCGGGTTTGAGACAGACCAGAACGCTGCACTTTGGCAGAATATCGGCGACAAATGAGCAAAAGTGCTCGGCAATGGCCAGCATGCAAGAGGGCAAGTTGCTCCTCTTTATTGCAAGCAACCTCGAGATCGATTACTTTGAGGTGGCCATGGCCCTCTCCAAACACCTGCTCTCGAGGCAGCGTCTCCAGGAGGTGCTCCTATTCATGACGCTCCTCTCGACCTCGCTTCGCAATCTCAAGCGTAGAGGGTTCCACGTTGACAAGATTCTCTCGCAGCGTAAAGCGGACAAGGAAGCGGCCGATCGAGCGATGCGCGAGGAGCGAGCCAGGCTCGAGCGCGAAGCACTTGAGCAGCCGAGTGACGCACAGATCAAAGAGTGGGTCCAGCACATGCTCGCCGTCTTTCCCGATGCGAGTCCCGAGTACGTCGAGCGTCTGCTCAGGAGCGCAAAGGGTGATCGAGTCATCGAGGCAACCAATGCCATGCTCGAGACGCCTTACCCGAAGAGGCCTCAGCCGAAGCCGTTCGCAGGCGACGCCCCTTCCTCATCTCCGTCAGACAAGGCTGGAATTGTTGCTCCTCCAACCTCGTCAGCGGGCGCGATGTCTGGAGGGGGTGGCTTCCTTTCAAATTGGAGAAGTCGGTTCAAGGGGAGCGAGGGCCGGTCTTCCTTGGCCGATGGTACCTCTTCAATCGAGGGTATACCTGGAGGGTGGGGCGGCCCACCTATCGCAGCCGCTGGGAGAGCCGCAGCTGGAGCGGGAGCAGGCGGTAACCCTCACGCGCCACCGACACAGGCCGTCGCCACTACCCGGAATCCTAATCCTCATGCAGACGTCACGCCCTCATCGAACATCAAGCGGCGCGTGCTCTCGGCAGTCGAAGCCTCGCGAGGAGGCCCGCGCAACGACGATCGGATCCAGAGCCAGGGACAACAGACGCAGGTCAAGGAAGCTGCGCAGACTTACTGCGACACCACTGGTATCGCCACCGACCTCAGGCTGGCGGGCCAGGTAGGCGGCATGAATGTCTACGTGTCGCCAGAGCTGGATCCGGCCGAGACGCTGCAGAACAATGATGCTGCGCTCAAGCGGTTCATCCACCAGATCATTCTGCCCATCGGGACGGATGTCTTTGATCTGGATCCTCGCTCCCTCAACGTCTTTGCAGACGTAAAGGGACCCTCGATTGCCTTCAACCGGGGCGGGGCTTTGTTCTTGAACCTCCGATACCACCTCGTCTGGCACGATGAGCAAGTCAAGCAAGGCAGGCTCGACGAGGCCCTCATCTCCACGTACCACTCTCTCGCCCACGAGCTGGCCCACAACGTCGTCGCACAGCACGACAGCGAGCACGAATTCTGGTTCTCGTCCATCTGCGAGCAGTACTTTACTCGCTTTGCCACACTCGTTGCCAAGGCATCCTCAATCTAGAACTTTCGCTCTTGTTGTCGCACCTAGACGGCATGAACTTCTCTTGTTCATTGTTGTAATATTTTCACCCTTTGCATAATAAAGATGCGGCCCCAGCAGCCATACTTCTTGACCAGATATCTTGAATACGGTGCGATGGCCAGGTCTGCAAGCCGATGTCATAGGTAGGAGAGGGTAGGCTCGAGATTTCTTACTCTTGAGGTTCGCGTATTTGAAGCTCGTTGGATGTGGGATGCGGCTTACGGTACCTTGAGCCGCCCGACGAGCCTTGTCTTATCCTCTGTACGTAGCGCGCATAGCTACCATCGGCGATGTTGAGCAGGATCTTTGGGCATTGCTCCTCTTTGTATTTCATCGGCGCCTCGTTGAGGGACAGGCCGTGTCTGCCATCGTTGGCCCAGTCGTATCGCCACAGGCAGCCGGCCTTAAGCTGTGGGTTATCGATCTTTCCGCAATCGCTCCTGCTAGTCGTACCCCCCTTTTGTCGTCCCCCTTCGTAATGCTTTTTTTCTTTTTCTTTGTAGTTGTACTTGAGAGCAGTAGCATCGTAATCTCCCGGACCCCCACCGGCCATGTAGAGATCGAAGCCGTCAGGAGGGACGCCACCATTATTGATGACCATGACTACCATTTCTTGGCCTTTTGCCGGGCCTCCGGTCCACTGAAGACGAAAACAGCTGCCACAGTTGCCGGGGTCGGAATTGCCCGCGAAGCCCACCGAAACCGAAACACCTCTTTCGTCACGAGATAACCTCGGCTGAAAGTAATCACAGGTGAAAGCAAGGCGAGGCCGGATGTGTTCCGACCACTCCTGAACTTCACTTGGAAAGCAGGCGTTGGCATACTGCTTGCCTCTTTCTTTGTTCCAAATTAGAGGATTGTTGTGCCGATCGCAGGCTAGCACGGTTTTATGGTAGGCACAGGCCGGTACGCAGCCGTCCCAGGTCGTTGTTGTTGTTCCCGCCTTCCCCACCCAATACTCAGAAGTGACGAGACTCGCGGTGAGAAGAAGGAGAAATAGCGAGAGGTAGAGGCGCATTTTTTTTCCTTGCAACAAAGAAAGAAGAGTGAGTCACTGTGTCCTCCTTTTATTAGAGCACTTTCCTAAGCGCCAGCGGCATTGACCCAGGGCCTTAAAGCGGTGCACAGCGACCTGCGTCAGTCTCCGCTCTGCGTTGTGAAAAAAACAGAGACTATCAAAATTGGGGTGCATCTGAGCACATGTCGGGGCCTCTACATATCCGTCGGACGCTTATTTACAAGAGACAGAGACATGAAGAAGTCCCACGACTCGACAAGAACCGACGGGCTGACTTCTATCGTCACCGTCATCTTCCGCTTCTCCTCTAGGTGCGATTGGACCAAGCGCTCCTCAAATTGCTACACGCTACTTTTCTAGTTATCTCTTTTCATCTTTACCCTTTTGTATCCGCGAAAGGCGAAAAATAAAACTGATCTCCGCTCTGGTCGTTGTCCTCCACGTTCAAAACGCTGCGACTTGGAATCCCCCGTTCTTCCTCCTCTTCTTTGTCCGGCCCGCTCGTTGCTCGTTTCATTCCCCGATACCCACGCTCGAACAACACGAACAGCATGGAAGGTCCGACTGTGACAGCCACAAGCCTGGGCACACTGGCGAAAAAGGATGCATTCAGGCTTTTGCAGCCCTCTTTTTTGGCTCCTGCTTCCGTGTTGGTCCCCGCGTCTTTGCGTGTCCGCGTGCGCTTCAACTCGACTGTCGCTCCTGGCCAGCCTCAACCTCCACCACCACCAGTGAAGCCGCCGCAACCGCCGCCGCATGCGGCCGCTCAGGCCTCTGCCGCATCCGCCCTGCCGTCTGGACGCACCCGACCTTCATTTGCCGTGCTGGCCCCAACCTTTCTCTTCACACACGTCACCCTCGCCTGGGCACTGGTGCCGCCTGTCTACCTCTTCCTGCGCACAACAAACCTTTCCAATTCGCTTCTGGCGGGCCCACAAGGTGCCTGGTTCCTTTCGAGACAGGTGCCTGATTTCATCCCACCGCAGCTTATCGACGCCATCGTTGGGCCTCCTCCTCCATCCTCCAAGGGTCGGGAGGGGCAAGGCCAGGAGCGCCGCCGATTGACCGTCGAAGAGCTTCTCGAACGGCTTGCCAGAAGGGCCGTCGGCATCGTTTGGAGCACGGGCAGAGGGGCATACGGCATCTACAAGGGTGCCCGCGGCGACGTTTCGGAGCAGGACGCCATTGCTCGCGCTGCTGTAGGAGAGATCCGAGGAGGCAGCAAGACGAGAGAGGATGGCGACACGGCTGTGGACGGCATCACCAACAAGATCTTGGGTGCGACGAGGAAGCAGGCGCAGGGCATCGCGGGCGATATCAGCTTTGGACAGATCCGAGACGGCGTCGCAGCTTGGGTTCTCGTCAAGGTGATTAGCTTAAGTCAATCTGAAGCAAACAGGATAACCACTCCCTGACTCTCTCACTCTCTCTCTTCGCTTTGTTTTGTGCTTTCATCGCAGGTCCTCTTCCCAGTCAGGCTGCCAGTCTCGATCCTACTCACGCCGCGGGTTGCAAGGGCTCTCACTGCCTTTTTCCGTCGAGGCTAAGAGAGTTGGCATTAAACTCCATTCATAACAGACGCTTAGACAACCTCCGTCGGCCACTCAATCCCAGCACCTCTACTCTCCACGCATCCTGATGTGAATTCTGTACCCTCTTCTTTTCTTAATCCCCCTCGCCCAACACCATCGTCATCGCCATCCGAACGACGCGGTCACGACGGGATTTGGTGTCACGTGGCTTCTCGCAAAGATTTTCATCGCTGTTTGCATTCGCCAGGCGTAACCTTCGTCCATTTCACTTTCCTCCTGGATTCCCCTCTCGCAAGTCGACGCTCTTGCCTCTCCCATCTGCTCGGCAAGTGGGCAAGAGGCATACATCGCGAGACACAGCGCTTCTGAGCGCTACTCACTCGTCTCTTGGCTACATCTCTTTCCGCGTACGCGCGTCACTCGCGACCTGACTTACACCTATCGCATTGCCTCTTCTCCTCATTCTCTGTATTCAAACCTACTGCAGAGGCTTGGGTGCAGAGGCTTTGACTCACTCTTGCAAGCATGGCCACGATTGCGTCTGAAGAGCGAAAGAGGCCAATCGATGACACAACTGCCGCCACCGCCAGCGCGTCAGTGAAACGACCCCACCTCGACCGGTCCGCTTCGTCTTCGTCTTCTTCTCCCGCCTCTCCTTTTCCGTCTTCAACGAATGGCAACTACGGAGCTGTGAAGGCTGAGGCCGCCGAAGATGAGACCAACCCGGCGTACAAGGGCCTGGAGGTGAGTGGTGTCCACTCTTCGACTTGGACTGCCATTGCTCGAGGACTAACTCTCAATCCCGACCAGGCGTTCCGCAAGGAAGCCATCTTCAGGCAGATGCGAGAGGCAAAGAGAGACTTGGGAAGATCAGAGAGCAAGATTCGAAGATTAGAGGAGCTCATCGCTTCCTTTGAGGAGAAAGCGGAAAGTTTCAATCGTTTCTGGGACACTGTGAGTCGGCCTTATCGTGAATGCGGGTCGACAGTGGTCCCTGTTAACACACTTGCTCTCTCCTCCAGCTCGTTGAAGATGTCCGACTACTCTCTCGTAATGATGGTGCCCTGGGGGACGAGACGTCAGGTGAGTCGGGCAAGTCGTTGCTGTGGCCGCAACCTCATATTCATGCTAGTCCTGCCCCCTCAGCCCTCATGCAGGCGATACCATACACGGCCAATGTTCCTGCTCCATCTGCATTTGGCCTGTCTCTCCAACAACGAAGTGCTTCTATCAAGGCCGTCCTGACTCGCGTCGTGAGCCTAGGGCCGTCGTCCTCACCCGAGGTGGCCGAGCTGCAAGGTCGATGCCACACCCTGGCGCAGGAGTCTGCAGTCTTGCGATCGCAATTGACAACAGCAGTGTCAGCGAGAGATCGCATCGCCCATGAAGTCGAGGAAGTCACGCAAGAACTCAGAAGAGCGGAGAAGCGCTTGGACAGACTGCGTAGCGAGACAGTAAAGGCGACAGAGAAGCCTAGCGCCAAGGCCGAAGAAGAAGCAGAACAAGCGAAGGTCGAGGCTGCTGAGGCTGAGAAGAGGGCTGCTCTTCAGAGGAAGCACCGCGCCGAAGGCGAAATTGTGAGTGTGATTGCGATTCTTCTTGTTGACAGGGAAGAGCTAAACGCAAGCTACAGGGCGAAGCCGGTGAGATGCCTGTGGCAGCCAACGGGACGCTCGTTGGAGGTCCTTCGAGCGACGAGATGGAAGATCTCCAGCGACTAGCAGAGATGCGGGCAAATGAGAATGAGGAGCTGAGAAAGGAGGTCGTAGCGTTGAGGCAGGAAAGCGAAAGGCTCATGAACGATCTGCAACGTGTACCCGATCAACGAATTCTCGAATCGCACCTCTACACTGAGGTCCACCAGCTTTTTACACACGCAAAGGATGAGCACATGCGGATCAGGCAGCTCAACGAGAGGATCGAAGCCGAGAATGTCGATCTTAGAGAAAGAAGACTCACGCTAGAGGAGGCGCTCAAGGTGAGTGATGGCCATGAAGAAAAGGGGACCAGAAAGAACTCATTGCTAAAGTCGTTGTGACCGTGCAGTCGGAGGCGAATGCTCAAGTTGAGCAGCTCCAGGGTCAAATTAAGGCGCATGAAGCCGACGTGACAAGGCTCCGAGATCAGCGTGATAGCTTGCAGGCCGAGGTCAACGAGAAGAGGAAGCGGGAAGAGGTACGCTTCACCCAGGTCGACGAGATGCGGGCTCTGGTCGGCGCAAAGGATACACGGATAGCCACGTTGAAGAGCGAGGTCAGACGACTGCAGATGACATTAGCTGCCAAGAACGGTGACTCCACGATGCTCGATAGGCTCAAGGCAGCGTCCCACGATGGAGTCGTTCAACGAGAAGAGGAGGACATTGAGATGATTGCAGATCTGCAAGCGAGGCTCAAGACGGCTGAGGACGCCTCAGAGGATCTCAAGAGACAGCTCGACGCTCGGTCGTCGTCCACCTCGGATGCCGACCTGGGAGCAAAGGTCTCATCCTTGCAAGCCGAGCTCGACCGTATGCAGAGCATCGTCGGCAGCGCCTCGTCCGGTGAGGACGTAAGTACGCTTCTCAAGACTCAGCAGGGCCGGATTGAGTCGATGCAGCAGGAGCTTGACGCGGCGCATGCTGGCACGAATGCCTTGTGCGACGAAGTCGACAAGCTCGGCGCGGCGTACTCGGAGATGCAGCGGCAGGCAAACAACAAGGTGTTGGATATTGCCCGGATGGAGGACAAAATGCTCCGCCTGACGACGGAGAAGTCCAAGGCAGACAACAAGTACTTTGGTGCGATGAGGGCCAAGGACGCTGTCGAAAACGAGCGCAGAGTCGCGCTGAGGAACGTCGAGACGCAGCTCAAGGTGATCGAGCGTTATGCCGAGCACGAGGCCAGCTTCGTGCAGAGTGTGGCAAGGCACGAGGCGGAAGTGACTGGCATGAGGAAGTTACTGGAACAGCAGGCTACGAGGATTGCAGAGCTCGAGAGAGACCTGGAAGCGAGTATGAGAAGGGAAAGGACAGCAGGATCCGAGAAGGCCAATGCGGAGCAAGTCAGCATGAAACGAAACGAAGAATGGACAGACGAGAGCCGGAGGAGGGCCGAGGCTGAGGAACGCGTGGCCAAGCTCGAGCGGGAGCTCGAGAGGGCCAAGAAGCAGATTGCCGCCAGTGGATCGAAGAAGAAGTCTGGAGGAGGCAGCAGTGGCGACGATATACAGATCGAGTATCTCAACGTGAGTCCCTGGCTGATGCCCAGGAAGCTTGAGCTTGACTTGGTAACTGACAATGACCATCTTACAGTCGCTCCTACGGTGCTCGGCTTGCAAGGAACGCTATCGGGACCGTATCATCACAAGGTGCTTGCACACCTTTTGCCAAGCGTGCGTCGACGCGCGGATCCAGACAAGGCAGCGCAAATGTCCCCATTGCGGTCTTGGTTTCTCGACAAGCGACGTCCAGACGCTCTTCTTGCAGTGATGAAATCGCGCTCGCATATCCCTTATCCCCTTATCTGCTTTGGCTTCTCGCATTATCGATACTTGATACCACATCTTCGCATTGTGCACGCACTGAAGCTTGCTTTTCGAAGTGGCAATTCACACCAAGAATATGGAAAACATGGAAAGCAGTCAATTTGCATGTTGGGTGTGCGTACAGCCGGGGGTGAAGCTCGTGACACTTTCCCCTCCTCGTAATTACTTGTGCAAGACCTCGAAATTACTTGTTCAGGGACTCGCCATTCTCTTTGTCGCTGACGTTTATGAGACGTTCATCTTCACTTGTCCTTTTCTTGCCATTGACTCTCTTCTTCGAGCTTGGGCTCGGTGTTGTCGAGGTGGAAGCCGGCGCTGCCAATGGCGTCTGTGATCTTGAGCATTCCTGGAGGTCCCCCGTTCCTGAGCGCTTCTTGGCTGCCAGAGTCTCTATACACTTCTGACGTAGCTCCTTGAGCTTGACCAGTTCTTCATTCGGAGGGCTGAGCAAGTCATTGGCACCATTGCGGGTCTTGGGAGGGGTAGAGAGAGACGGCTTGGAGGGTGACGAAGTCGCGGCGGGCCTCGGTCCCGTCTCGAGGGCCACAGAGACGTTCGGCGGAGTTCTGTAGTTCAAGGGCGGAGGGAGTGGCGATGGTGACTTCAAAGGCATCGAAGAGAAAAGGAGCGATGCAGAGGTCGGCATGATCAATGGAGGACAAGAGGAAGAAGAAACAGCGGTTGCATTTGTTGTGGCTGCCGAAGAAGAAGACGAAAGAGGACGGGGCGACGGAAATGAAGTGGAACGGCGGGACGAGACTGAGGAGGTCGAAGCACAAGGATGTGGAGGGGGAGACAGCGCAGGTGATGAGCCATGTGTGACGATAGGCCCGGAGGTGGACGTCTTTGAATGGAAGCTGTTGAACGAAGGAAGGGGTATTACCATTGGATGCGGCTTGAATGGTGAAGCGGAGCGTATCTGAGCTGCTTCAGCATTGGATGCCTGGCGGGACGGCTGCGCTCGATACGCCCTTGTGTCTTCCAATATACTTTGTTTTGGGGATGAGGAGTTTAAAGAGGGCGAAGAAGAATGTCGACTGCTGGACTTCTTTGGTAGCAATTGGCCACTTGAGGCCTTGGCGTTTGCAGCGGCAATGGGCGCGTACGAGACTTGAGCAAGGGCTGCCATGGATGGGGCGGAGGCAGTAGAAGTAACAATAGGCGATCCACCCAAGACAGGAAAAGGTGACGGACAGACTGGCTGCGGATACGATAGAGGATTGAGAGGACGGCGTGGTGTTAATGTTGCTCGATCATGTGCAATCAGCTCGTCGCACCACCTAGCCTCGAGATGGTAAGGAACTTGACGGACAGGCCATTTCCTCTTCTTACCGCTCTCCTCCGCGATCTCGCTTGCCCTCTCTTTCTGTGTGTTTGCATTATTGCGGACGACAGCGTTTCCCAAAGCCGCCTCTCTTGGCATCTTTGACGGACTTGATGCATGTTCAAATGGAGTTCTGCCCCTCATTGCCGAATCTATCATTGGTGATCTTGCTTCGACAGAGTATATATCGCTGGCCTTGCTCTCCTGGTCGCTCACCCAGTCTGATTTGATTCTCATTCCTTTGCTTCTCGGTGAGTCTGCTGCACGGCCGTCACTTGTCACCGGCGGTATTTCTCTCTTCAAGTCAGCGATTGCTCTTCGAAGGGCGTCTCTTTGCTGCAAGAGCTTTATCCTCTCTAACTCGGCCTGCAGATCCTGGCATTCTTCCCGAAGGATGTCATTCGAATCCTTGCTATGCCTCTTATGCGACGGTGAAGGCACTTGGTCGTGGGTGCTAGTCGTGCACCTTTTTTTGTGCGGCGGGCTTTCCTTTTCAAGAACCTCTTCTTTCTCTCTTGACAATCCCCTCTTGTGTCTGTCGGAATGTGAAAACGGCAACTTTTCCCTTCTGTGAGTGGGAAAAGATATTTTACTTCGTAAGCTGTGCTGCTCGGCTGAGCAGTTGTTATTCGCTGGCAAATGGGAAGAGGAAGTGTTGTTTGTAGACCCCGGATGATCGTTGTGTTCCCATCGCTTGCCTCCTAAGGTAGGAGCATTGGCACGAGGAGAGCGGGATGACCTGCGCCGGGTTGAAGAACCTTCATGTCGCTGTCGATGGCGTCTTTCTTCACCTTCTAGGTAGTCGGCCTCCCTCGGTCCCATGCTGAGGCGCGTGCTCCCTTGGCCTGCTTTATGAGCAGTGCTGTGGTGCAACGACAGTCTTCTTGCGGTTTTCCCGTCGAAAATCTCTCCTTCTTCCGTCGACAGCTCTCCCGCGTCCTCTGTTATCTGTTGGACAATGTTGGGTTGGAATCCACAAGAAAGCCTAACCAGAAACGGACTACACCTACGTCTTTGCCTTCGGCTTCTTGATCTAAGAGGCGGCCACAGTCGAAGTTAGGCCTGTGCCTGCTTGTCTTTAAATTGACCATCCATTTAAAGGCCTTTTCCTCGGTTGTCGAGATGATCTTGTTGTAGTAGAGCTGGAAGGTGACCCTTTTCGGGTCCTTCTCCATCAAAAATATTGATCATTCGCAAAGACGTTACGGTGAATGAAGTGTAAAAGGTAGACTCACGCAATCGATGCCTTCCGCGTTGATAACAAGCTCTACACAGCCTCGCTCTTTTGAGAGAGGGAAGTCGGCCGTATAAATAGCGTGCTTATGCCCCAGATTCCTCAGCATGGGTTCCGTATAGGACTCGTGTATACATGGATCTAAGTGTGTGCCTGTCAGCTAGTGAGCAGGGACACTAGGTCAAAGGCTACTCGTTGCTCACATTCATCGGCTTTAATCGTGAGCCCAATTTTTTGGCAGCCCCAATTACGCTTCAACCACCAATTGAGCTAAATGGGGTTGAGCTTGATCGTAGAGTTCAAAGAAAATGTTTGCTCACATTGACAACCAACATAGCTCTCTCGGCGTTGGTTGCGTCTGTCTCTGCCCAGATGGCCTAGTGTACAAAGATTTGCAACATTGTTCAACGGTTTCACAAGGGACAGGGCAACTTCTCCGTCTATTGGCTCACCCCTGTAGCTTTGTCGAGCCTCTGACGCTTTTCGAGGCAATTGACTGTCAATTTCTGTTTCTCCGTTGCGGGATCATTGGTCTTGTCTGAGGGACAATGAAGCTTGGTGGGGCGCATGCGGACAAGGATGAGACCTGTGAGAGCAGGCATTGGTCGTGACAAGAAGACAGGCAAGAGGAAGAAGAATGGAGGAGAGGAACAGACGAGCCCGCGGGGAGACAAGTGAAAGCACAGATGGCGGAGACCAGCATTGCTGGCACGAAATGTGTGGGAGAAGGAGCGGAGTAATGGCTGTCAGCTTGTGTATTCAGCCCACTCTTGACAATTTCGGTGGAGGAAGGCAAAGAGGAGCTCCGCTTTGGCTGACTTTGTCCAGCAGAGAAAAGGGGGACAGACGGTCAAAGGAGGGGCGGACCATAGCGCGTTTGCCATCAACTGCGCCGCCGCTCAACCCGCCGTTACCGCCGCCGCTCATCCATCTTGACGCCGGAAGAAGCGGGCGACCGGCTACTTTACATATGACATTACAGCATACAGGAGAAGAACGGAAGTCGCGGGAAGAAATACTACAGTGAAAATCTGAAATCCGGATGACGATCGCCGATGGGAGCCTTTGTCTTTCCCTGTCGGACCAGTTCCTGGTAGGCTGCAATGTTACCCTCGCGCCTGCCCGCTTTGCGCGCAGCATTTTCATGGTAGCAGTACGCCACGTTGAGGGCGATACAGATCCATCCCAAGCAGAGGCAGCCTAAGACGACTGAGTGAGGAAGCACGTACCCGCGCTCTCCGCCAAACTTTTTGTCATAAATGAACGTAGCGATGAAACCGGCGTTATTGGCAATGACGAGCTGCATGGCCGTTGCTGTGGCTCGCTTGTAGTGACCCGCGCTGTTATTGGCTATGAGGGTGAGAATCGAGGGTATGGAGGGATAGATTCCAGCGCAAATGAGAAATACGGCGGCATATCGAGCTTTGTTGTTCCTCGTCGCGATGAGGATTATGTAGCCGACGATAGTGATGGGCAGGAAGGCGAGGATGTACGGGCCACGCATCTTTGTCTTGTCGGAGAAGTAGGCGACGACTAGGACGAGCACGGCAGCTGGCACAAACGGCGGCACGGTAAGGAGCTGGACTCGAGTCTGACTGGCGTCTGGGAAGATGCCGACGAGGATGGTGGGCAGAAAGAGAGTGATGGAATATAGCGAGGTGCAGACGCAAAGATAAAGAATGCCGGTAAGCCAGGTTTGGACGTCCGTCATTCCTCTCTTGACTTCGTACCAGTCGAATGCTTCATCGTCGACCTTAAGCTCTAGTGCTTCCGCCTGCCCCATCTTCTCGCTGCCGTCGTTAGATCTGGTAGTGTTTATGACGGTTCGGGTGTGCGTTGAGCTGTCCCTCTTCAAAGCTTCGAGACAAGCTTTTCGCTCGTCCTCGTTGAGAAACCGTGCTTTGGCTACCGACCGTGGCATAATGGATACGGCAAAGAGAGCGAAGCCCATCGTGATCACGCCTTCAACGATGTACAACCACCTCCATCCTCGAATGCCGGACGTATTGAGAGTCGTCAGACCGCTAGCAAGCAAGCCGCCAAAGCTGCAAGTAATGCAAGTCAGCAGGATGTTCTCACAATCGAATCACCTTCGATTGGATCAATAATCGGAACACGCACCTTCCTGCAACGGCAGCAGCGCTGTAGAAGCGAGCAATACGCTGCTGAATTGAGAAGCGTGGGTAGATACCAGATAAGTAGAGGCTGATACCTCCGAGTAGCCCCCCCTCAGCAGCACCGAGAAAGAAGCGGACTGCAAGGAAACCCGAAAATGTGTGGACTGCCGCCATACAGCAAGTCAACATGCCCCACAGCAGTGTGATAGCAGGCAGCCAAATGTTGCCGCCGACCTTCTTGAGCACGAGGTTGCTTGGAATCTCGACCAGGATGTAACCTTTGTGAGGGTAGCAGGCAACAGATTCCATGAGTCAATACAAATTTGACTCGATATCATGGCGAGACGGAAGACTCACTGACGTAGAAGATGGCGAGAGCCTCGTTGAACTGCCTTCCCATTAGCTTCAAGTCGGTCTCCAGGCCTGCAATACGTGCATTCCCTGCATTACTACGATCGACGAAATTTGCAAGCCACATCAACAGCAAGGCGGGAACGACCATCCAGTCGAGTTTTCTCGTCCCACTCTTGAGGTGCTTTGCCGTTTCTTGGTCCTGTAGCAGCTCATCGGTTGCAATGGCCGCTTCATCTGCGTGAGTGTAATGAGGACGCTGATAAGCTGAGCTAACGATATCTCCGTCCGTGTCTCCTTTCATATCCGCATCTTGAGTATGCAGCTCGACTCGGCCTTCATCTTTGAATGACTTCTCATCGGATTTGATGAAGTCGCCAAGCGGAGACGATAGCATCGACATGGTTGAAGGTGATCACCGATACAGAGTTCTCAGAGGGGCGAAAGAGAGGCGATAAGGAGCTAAGAGGGAAGCTGATAGGAAACCAGCTCCTTTTAGCCATCTCACGTCGCCAAGGGTGCACGAAGTACCTAAGCGCGGTTCTCCATAACTATCTTGCAATCTAGTACACAAAGGATTGCATGACAAAGTGCGGGGATAAAGGTGGGGGATTCAGGCATCAGAGAGCAAGAAGCAGGGACCTCGAAGTTGAGTAGGCGAACGAGCAGTGTTCAAGGGCTTTAACCGAGAAAAAAAAAGGTGGGGAAGTGGCAGTCGGAAAGGTCCGAACCGAACTAAAAACGTCGTTCCTTAATAATTCACTGTCACAGCAAACCCCCCGCCGGCTTCACCGAGCTCCACTTGTCCGTCCATATCGGCACGTGCATCGTTCTTCGTTCCACCTGACGATCGTCTCAGCAGCTTGTGGTACAATCGTAATAAGAGATGTATGAACATCAGCAACAGCAGTGTTCGCGTTCAGGTGCTTCGGGGAGAACACAAGCAGTTTTCTTGGATCCTTTCTACCGCACGGATTTTTCCGCCCGTGTCGGACGCTTCTTTCCAGTCTGCTGCATGCGCGAAGAAGTTTAAATTCTTGCTCGACGAGAGTCATCGAAGAAGAGGAGAAGACTTACGTCCTCTTCCCCTTCTCGGTCTCCAGACAATGTTGACAGCGGTGCCCATTGAGCGATTCACCTCATTCGGGCGCAAGATTATTGCTTTTGGTCTTTCATACAAGCACAACTGGCCAGCCGAGGCCATCACTGTCGGAAGCAAGAAGCCAGAGCCGCTACTCTTCATCAAGCCACCTTCGACATATACTCTGCAAGGCGGTCGTCCGTTGGAGGTTCCGAGCGGCTGCGAGGTGCATCATGAGGGTGAGCATTACCCTTTCTTTCAAAGGTCGCTGCTAATGATGACCTCTCCCCTTCATGTAGTCGAGTTGGCCATTGTGATCGGCAAAGAAGGCCGAGACTTGCCCATCTCTTCGGCTGAGTCTTACATCGCTGGCTACGGTAAGCTGAACACGGTTCTCTCTCACCTTTTTGATGGACTGAACTCATCAATGCCTCAGCCCTCGCACTAGACATGACTGCCAAGAACGTCCAGGCGGCAGAAAGAGAACGGAGGATCCCGTGGACCATCTCCAAGGGCCTCGATACATTCACACCCATCTCGGACTTCATCTCGTGTGAGGCGCTTGGCGATCCTCACGACGTATACTTAGAATTGGATGTGAGAGTATTTCTCAGATGCCTTACAGATCCAATCTCAATCAAATCCTCTTGCAGATCAACGGAAAGGAAGCTCAACGAGGTCATACGTCCAACCTCCTTTATCCGATTGCCGAGCTCATCTCATATGCCTCTTCGATCATGTCGCTCGAGCGAGGCGATGTCATTCTGACGGGATCACCTCCCAACGTCGGACCGGTCAAGGTTGGCGATCGCCTCTCGGCCAGGCTCTTAAAAGGTGGTCCAGAAAAGAGGTTATTGACAAGCATTGACATCGACGTCGTGCAGCGTAAAGGCGCCTTCTATCAATATCCAGATGTGGAAAGGTATACGATTACAAGATAGGTCGTGACGGGGAATAACCTGGACGCATGTACCCGCCCCGAGGATGGCGAGGGGCGCCGTTTCTGCCCGCTGCGTCGCTCATCGGGGAAAGGACTGCCATGGCGGGCGAGGACCCATGCCGGTGCTGGCTCGTCGGCGTTGTCTTCTCCATCGGCGTGTCCAAGGGTAGATCTTGGATCCCTGTGTGCAGTGTGATAGAGCTTCAGCAAATTTGTCTTCTTGAATGAGATGAGTAATCGTAGAAGGAAAGGACTCACACTCGGATCTCCTCCTCCCGAATGAAATGTCCCGTTCGACGGTTTCCTCGTCGGCAATTCGCTCTCCGACCGGCCTCTCTGGAGCCATGAACCCCCTCGGTCTGGCTTCATCGATCAAGGCATCTAGATCCAACCTCGAGACAACGGTCTCGAGGACTTGCACCGACCGCACGCTTGACTGCAGGCCCAATTTCTTGAGCAGATCAAAGGAGAGGAGGAGGAGCGACTTGCTTTCATCCACCAACTTTCTGTTCTCCTCAGACAAGATCCGATCGGCAGGACGGTTTGAAGTAGGTTCGGACGGCGGAGGGAAAAGGAATTGGGCGCCAAGGCTGACGAGGGGCAAGAGACCTCTGCCGGTTTGAGAAATTTGATATGAAACAAGGGGTGCCATGTCGGTCGGCGTGCCCCACTCGATCATTTTCCTTTGCGATGTTAGCAGCTCGCGACTCCAGTAGACGACCTGTTCCGCATACCCAAAGTCGGGCTCCCTTCGACTGAGATCTGTGTTGGTCATGGAGAAGAGATGCCGAAAGATGAACATTTTGATCCACGACGATGTCGTTCTGATCCTCTCGCTGTACGCATGATAGAGCGCGTCGTCAAGGTGGGCCCTTGTGACAGGAGGAAGATCAGCTTCCTGAAAGGTGTCAAGAAGATGCAGCTCCTCGTCAAACGAGATCTGTGCGTGGTTGGCTCGACACTGGGATAATTCGTCCACATTGGCGCTCAGCCGTGGTCGCCTCGTCGCGCCCCGGCTAGCTAGCATCTTAAGCGCAGCTGAAGCGTGGCAAGCAGGAATGTTGATCTTGTCAAGAACCCGTTCGAGCACACAGAACATCCTAATCGTCGCCCGGTAGAAGGCCCCGAGCGTGGGTGGCTGTGCCAGGCCCACGTAATGAGCAGACGGAGCTCGCTCGTCAAAGTCGCCATTGTCGGCATCAATCTCATCGATGTCCATGTCGGCCAGTCGAAGCATCACAGGCCGTCCGTAGGCGGCCGACGTTTTGTCAGCGCAGTATACTGCCCAGACGGTCCTTCGCTGCTCTTCTGCTTCGGCTTTGGAAATACTTTGCAGATACGTCTCTGCAGACCGATGCAGACACGCATCCCAGATTAAAGAGACTGCATCGTTAAGCTGCCAGAGGATGTGAGCTGCTTTCATGCTATTTGATACTCTCTGTTCAAGGCAAAGGTATACCCACTAGAGAATGCGAGTAGTTGACGCCGTGAGGGCCAAATCCTCCTTGGCAGAAATTTGCGAGATAGAAGAGGGCTTGGATGAAGAAGAGCGAGGACCACTCGGTGTTCTTGGAAGCAGGCCATCGGATCTTGTTGAACAGCGCGACAAAGTCGACCTTTGGCCGACTCTTCTGTGGGCCTTTTCGCTCCTCGTGCTGGGAAGCAACAGCGCAGATAGCAACGACGAGGCAACAGAATACGGCGTCGTTGCGAAGCGCGGGGTCGAGGATCACCCTAGAGAAACGTGAGATGCTAAATGTGGGCCAGAGCTGGTGAATACAGTATCAGTGCGGTGACTATATGTAGTGTCGAGGGAGCGCAGACTCACGACATAGGGCCCATGGAGAAACACCTGGATCAGATGGTTGCGAAGTTCGAACGGGAGCTCCTTCTCGACGGTATCCCACGGATTGAGTTCGGGCTCCCTTGCCTTCCCTCTTTCCCGTTGCTCTCGCTCTTGTCGACTCCTCGATGGGGATGCCGAGGACTGAAGAGGGGATGCAGGGAAGCCATTTGTTGTGAGAGCCGCGACGGCCATACCGGGGGCCGGGGCCGGGGCCGGGGCAGGAGCAGGAGCAGGAGGTGGAAGAGTTCCAAAGAGCTCTTGGCCCGCTACATCGAGGAGCTCACTGCCAAAGCCAAGACCTGTAGGGTCGCCGAGGAAGCTCCACAAGTCGTCGAGCATCTGTTCATTCGCCAGCTTGTGCAAGCCGTGCAGATAGGAAAGCGACGAGAGACCAGAGGAAAGGGAGAGACCTCTGCGGTGCATCAGCTCGTTTCTGTAGATGGTGTCATAGGGGAAAGCAAGGTAACGCTTTCGTTCAGCATCGTGCTGCGGAGGCCAGACGGTATCGGATTGGCCGTGCTGACTGGTTGATCGCCAATCGTTGCTCTGTTGCGGCGAAATGTGTGGGGAAAGCGACGCAGGCGCCTCTTCCCCCTCTTCACCCGGCCTCCAGTCGACGCACCGCTCCCCTGCTTCCGTACAGTGGATGCACGGCCGGGCATTCCCACACCGGATCTTTCTGGCTTTGCAGCGATTGCATGCCTGCCGAACCCGAGCCCTCTTTCGAGGCGGCGGTGCTCCAGAAGCCGGCGCCATACCCCGGAGACAAGCTCTCGTAGTTGGTGGAGGCAAACTCGAAAATCTCGACCAAACGCGGCTAGTCATGCTCAACTCAATCTCCCTATTTTTGACGCTTTCCACCTGCAGCTGCTTTGCAATCATGGACAAGACAAGACGTCGCACAATCGAATAGACGACCTTCAGTTACAATAGGGCTGGACAGAATATCTACAGAATTTCAACAGAACGCGGGGGTTTGCAGAACAAGGGCTTCGATGATTGGAAAATGCAACAGGGATAGAAAAAGAGAGTGGCTACCGTCTCTTTCTCTAAATGCGCGTAGGAAATCACTGTGCGCAGGAGATCACGACAAAACATCATGCCTCGCTATTGACCGTCTGATCGCGCTCCTTCTTCCCAGTGATCTTGTTCGACAGGGTCCGGACCCGACTCTTCATATTGTCCTTCGCCCAGACGCCGCCACGCACGGCAGAATAGCCGTAGGCGCCACGGTGACGAGCGTGGAGCGCCTGCGTCTTCGCACGGTTAATCTCCTTCTGCTCGTGCTTGTCGATGATGCCGTCGTCGTTGGCATGAGCGTTCTCCTCTGCCTTCTTGGGCATTCCTTCGAGCCTATTAAATACTTCAAACTCATGGCGGTCTGTTTCTAGAATAGCCAGCTTCTCATGGTCCAGGTCCAGGCCTGAGTCGAGTCGCATCTTGACCTTCAACGTCCCAACCTTTTCGTACTTGTGCGTCTGCAGCGTGGACTCGTCGATGTGGTTTCTCGTCAAGGTGCCGAGCTTGTCGCCGGTGTACACATCCAGCTCGAGGTCCACAATCTCATCGTCGATGATCTCGGACAGCGAGCAGACAGCGACAGCGTCAGGCTTGCTGCCGAGAGGACCGGCGCCGAGTCCACCTCCGATGGTAAAGGCAAGCTGGGAAGAGTATCGGTCATAGACGGGAATCCTGGCCACCGGCTTGTCCTCCTCGCCTCCCTCGACGGCAGCAGCCTTGTTCACGGCAGGCAGCTTGCGCGTGTCATCGCCCGTCGTGACGACGATCTTTTTGCTCTTGAGTTTCGCGTCCCACTCTGGAGTCGATCCCTGAAGGTCGACATTGTCGAGGAGCTCCACCGTGGCCGTGTCCCAGCCGAGAAGATTCTTGGGGTGCTCCAACTTGACAGCCTTGAAGACAAAGGAAGCCTGGACCTTGCCGTACCCGACACCATCCTGAATAGCAAAGGAGCCCTCTGCCTGAGATGCTTGCTTGAACAGGTCGGTGGCCTTGAGCGACACCACGCCCATGATGGGGTCGTGCTCCCTCATGCGGCTATCACGGACAGCGATTCTGATGACTGTCTTGGTCCAGTCTCTCACAAAGACCTCGGTTCCTGCCGAGAAGTAGGGCATGTTCGTGTATGGCTTGACTCGGGTCTGAGTCGCAGGAAGTACGTCAGCGGAGCTCGATCGCAGTAGACGTGGTAAAAGCCTGCGCTCAATTGAGACTCACCTTGTAAACGATGTCATCGTTGACGATCATCTCGACATAGCCCGATGGAAGATGCTCGGGCGTCTCGCCCGAGGCGCTGACGTCCTGGCCCTGGGTGCCCTCGCGCTCCTTGCCCATGACGCCCTTCTCGACGTCGCGACGCTCGAGACCCACGATGTGATCGACAAAGATGGAGAGGATGCCAGAAGGCCACTTGGGATCGGGAGGGCAGACGAGGGCATCAGCCTCTTCGCTGCTGTCGACGGCAGTCCCCTGTCGCTCGTTGGGGTTGTTGGAGTCCTTCTGGGGCTGAGACTTTGACGTGTCATTCTTTTCTTCCTCCTCAGACTTCTTCATCAGCTCGCGGTTGAGTTTTGCCTTCTCAAAGAAGCCAACACGCCAGATGAGCTTGCCCCTGCGTGAACTTGTGTTTAGCATCCGTTTTTTCTGGATCTGCGATCAACAACAAACTCACTGCATGCTGTCGGCATCCTCGAAGCCCATGAGACTGTCTTCCTGATCGACGAGCTTGTTGAGACACTCGCCCTTGACAAGCTGCGAAAGGTCTCGCTGCACGCGTCCCACAATATCGTCGGCCGTGCGCTTGTCCGAGTCCCAGAGCTGGATAGAGAGCGTCTCGTCGGCTCGAATGTCGTCTTTGCCGATCAGGATGTGTGCGGTTTCGTTCCACACCGGGTTCAAGTCTTCAAAGATGATGCGAGACGAATAGAGAGGACGCCCGAACTTGGCCAGGGAAAGAACGACATACGGGTCGCTACTGCCGTTGGCATCCTGAGCTGAAAGGTCGACGCCGCGAAGGATCTGAATGACGAGGACACCGACCGCATCGGTGTCCTTCTTGATGCCATCGCCCGCCAACATCTGAGCCATGTTGAGCGTCATGCTCTTGGGCGCCACGTACTCGTTGGCTGCCGCCGCAATGGAGCTCTTGACGAAGCCGGAAATGAGGGGCAGGTCCAGCACATTTGGGAGAAGCTTTGTCATGGGTATGACTGAGACCTCGATCTGCGGCACTCCCATCAGCGAGAAGGTGAGATTTCTGATATAAGGAGGTTGCTGAACCTGCAGAGGCGGGGGAAGTTGACAGCGGCGATCAGCAGAAGTCTCGAGTGTCTTTAGAGGTCACTCACCATCTGTGCCCTGAGTCTGATGGTTCCCGAAATCTTCTGCACTTGTGCCCAGACGTTGAAGGGAGCGCGAACGAGGTCGTTGCCGATGTAGAAGGTGAGAAGCAGGTGGATGAAGTCATTCTTGCTCTTCTTTTTCGGCTCAGCGCTGTAGGAAAACGAGATTTCGTAGCAGAGAAAGTCTCCGGACTGTCGAGCTCGACGAAGAAAATTCAGTGCAAGGGAGAGGAGGAGAGCGAACTGACTTGTTCCACATACCTCGTCGTCGTCGTCGATACCATCGCCATCGGCGTCTTCGCCCGAGACACCACTTGCTTCAGCTGCTGCTTTGTTGGCCTTTTCCTTTTCCTGCCGCTGCTGCTCGCGCCACTTCTTCTCCTCCTCGGATTTCTCCCTCTCGTCTTCGACAGCTTTGCCCTGAACGACCCAGTCCTCACGAGGATAGTTCTTGTCGCCCATGACATCTGCCAGGCCTCGGAAGGAGACGAAGCGGAAGGCTGAGACAAGACGTACGTCAGCTTCCAGCTTGCACACTATAGGCACGCAGTATGACTCACGATTGGTGCCGTGACCGACATCGGAGATTTTGACAGCGTCGACAATACCAGGAAGCGACTGCTGCATGATGTCTTCGACCTGATCAACCATGGGGATAAACATCTCCGGGTTGATCTGCTTCCAGATGACGGCAATGGCTGCGTTGAGCCATTCGACCGACTCGGGCATTGGAGGCGAGTGTTTCTCGCCTCGCTGGGTGTGCATGTGCATGCGGACGTCTTCGAGGTCCTTTTCGATCTTGCGTTCAGCCAGGCCCAGCGCCATGAAGCCGCCGAATCCGACGGTGCCAAAGATGGCGGAGCGAAAGAAGAATTTGAACCAGCCCGATCCAAAGGCGGTGAAGAACCAAGCAATGGCCATTGCAGCGCCAAGCGCAATCGCAAGCTGCCTGAAGTTGCCGTGGAGCTTGTCGAGCGCATCCGTGTTGACGGGCGCGGGGAACTGCTGCAGCAGAATGTTGCCGGGCTCGACAGGCTTGGGTGCGACGTGCTTCGAGTCCAGTTTGGAAGCATCTTTGGGCGCATTGTGGCTGTAACCGCCTTCGAAGCGCGAATCGAGCTTGAGCGGATCCGTTTGGGCGTGCTCGGTCGAGTCGGCAATCTTGACCTCGCCTCCCGTGACAGGATCAGTCACATCTTTATGAAAAAGAACGTCAGCGTGGGAAGCTCTACGACTGATGCCTATTCACAACATCTACTCACACCGCTCGCCCTTGCCAGTGAACTGAGCTGGCTTGCCCTTGGGAGCCATCTGAGCCTTCAGCCTTTCCTTTTCTTCGGCTCCTCCGCCTGAGCTCTTTGGCTCGTCGTCCTTTGGCGCATCACCGGCAGCCTGGCTCCCCTTGCCATCTGCCTTGTTTCCGTAGGGAGACGCTTCGTCTAGCGCATTTTGTGGTACTTGCGAAGCATTGGCTGCTGCCGTCTTCTCTCGCTGAGCCTCAATCTCGCGAAACTCCTGAACGGTGGGCACCTTGTGGCGCTCGCTGTAGCCCTCCATCGTCTGGAGTAAGTCAAGGTCAATGAATGGAGGAAAGAGGATGGATGACAAGGGTCGTGCGAAGCAAGTGGAGTGGCCCCCAGCCATGTAATAGTAGTAGAACTGTAGCAGCAGTGGCTTGCATCGGGGCAATCAATACACCTCTCATTAAAATGTTAGCCCTATCACACATACATCATCAGCAACGCTACTCGAGATCAGAGCAAGACTTCCCGCTGCCAGCCATCGTACTGCTATGACCCTTCCCACCCTGGCCATGATCACTACTATTATATTCATCTCTCCGCATCGAGCGAGGGGACGTGCGCCGGAAAAGGCTGACATATTTTGAACGTCATTTCGCATTGCAAAATCTGGTCCACGTGGGGAACGGAAAGAGCTCACGTGGAGAACCGCGTCACGCGCCAACGAGAGTTTGTCTTGGCGGAGACGGCAACGCTCCTGTCCCCAAATGGACGGGCCGACCAGGGAGGAGCCGTTACTTACTATATTTCGCAGCTTTTCATGGCACAATCGATTAAGAGCAGCTTTACGCACGCTGAAGCGACGTATTTGAACGAACTTTAAAGCAGAAGGAAGGATTGTGCCCAGTGTACCAGACGGCCAGGCGCGCCAAAACAGCCGCGGCAGCAGAAAGGGGTCCATGGAAAAGAACAAAGTCTAAATTGCCATCTTTTGTGCCTACCTCTGGATCTGGTCAACTTTCGTCTTCCCTTCAAGACGGGGAGGGACGTTTCTAAAGAGAACCTCATATTGAGCGTCGGCGTTATAAGATCACAGAGCGGAACTCCTCATTTGATGTCCCTCTTCCCCCCTTTTGAACACCCCCCGGTCTCCTTTCCTTCTCCCTTCCTCTCCCAGTCACTTTGAACAACGATGGTCTCCTTCTCTTCCCTGCTCTTCGGCGTTCTCGCCGCATCAGCCACGGCAACGCTGGCCTTTGAGGTGTCTTTCCCCAAGTCGGGCGACTACTGGGTGTCGTGCCAGAACAACACGCTCAACTGGTCGGCCAACTCGACGGACCCCTCCATCTTCTCCGTGGCCCTGCTCGCGGTGCAGCAGGGCACCGAGGTGCTGCTGAACGGCAACTACCAGGTGGCCAACTCGCTCCCCACATCGACGGGCACGGCCGTGATCAACCCCAATTGCCTGCCCGCCTCGGACTCGGGCTACTACCTCGCCTTTGTCAATTCGAGCCAGTACAGCCTCAACCAGCCGCAGGTCTACTACACGAGCCCTGTCTTTTCGCTCAAGCCAAAGGGCACGGAGCTGCAAAAGGTCGAAGCCAACACGTCGGCTGACGCTTCGTCGCAGCAGACGAGCCAGGGTGCTGTCGACGCGACGTCGAACCAGTCGACCGACACCTCAGCTACGACCTCGACAAAGACAGCCAGCTCCAATGCTGGTCAGAGCAGCGGAGCATCCCGCCGCGAGGTGGTCGCCGGCACTTGCCTCGGCGCCACGGTGATGGCCGCTTCTCTTTTCATCGCGTCCTTTGCCTAGTCACAACGCCGTACTGCCCAATCTCGCTCCCATCAGACTGATGTTATGAGCAGCCAACATCCAGCTTATACCACTGACTCATCCGGACATTCTCTTTTGTCATTGTTATATCCCTAATTGCATCTTCTCTCTTCTTTCATTCTCGAAAAGCAGAGCTTATCTCAAACAGTCTTGCTCTCAATCTAACAATCAGAACCATCACCTGGCGGCATCCGTCCTTTGTCACCGCTAAGCTCAGAGGTCGGCGTGCAGAGTGAATGAACAATCGGTCCAATCTCTTCTCCTCCCTTCCTTCGCAAATCTATCGGATTGCAGCTTCCTTCTAATCCACGGCCCAGAGGCACAGTAATTATTTTAGGATGATACACAGGAGTGGCAGCGCAAGCTGCAACAGTTCAGATGAGGCCGTCGGCCTCGAGGAGGAGGACGATGGAGTGGACGGCCTCTGCGACGGTAATCTGAGTCAGGTCGACGGTGAGGCTCGCCTCGGTCGGCTTCTCGTACGGGTCGTCGACGCCGGTGAAGCCCTTGATCTGGCCGCTCCTCGCCTTCTTGTAGTTTCCTCGCCGGTCCGTGGCCTCGCAAACCTCGAGGGGCGTGGCGACGTGGACGAGGAAAAAGTTGCCCGAGCCGCCCGTCTTCTGGATCGTCTCCTTGGCGTGCTGCCTCGAGGCCTCGTAGGGAGCAATGGGCGCCGCAATGACGGCAGCGCCTGCGCGCGTCAGCTCGGCGGCGACAAAGGCGATGCGCTGGATGTTCCTGTCGCGGTCCTCGGGGCTGAAGCCGAGCTCAGAGGAGAGCTCGGACCGGACAGTCTCGCCAAGGAGAAGCGAGACGGAGCGGCCGCCTTGCTCGTTGAACTTGACCTGGAGCGCGCGCGCAATGTCGTCCTTGCCCGAGTTGTACAGGCCAGTGAGGAAGATGGTGAAGCCCTGCTGCTGCTTGGGCGGGTACGATTCGCGCAGCGTCTTGACCACCGACTCGTACGAGAACCAGTCGGGGATGGCGGCACCGGTGCGGAGTCGCTTTCGGAGCTCGGTTCCCGAGATGTCCATCGTCTGGGTGCCCGAAGGTACCTCGTCCACAGGCTGGTACTCGTCCGTCGAGGGCAGGTAGGTCATCATCTGGAAGGGAACCATCTCGATGCCGAGCTCGGCCGTGTACTTTGTCACGAGCGTCTGGGCATCATAAGGGCCGTAGAAGTCCTTGCCGTTGCTGTCCTTGCCCGGGCCAGCGTGGTCTCTGCCGACAATGAAGTGGGTGACGCCAAAGTTCTTGCGGATGATGGCGTGCCACAGCGCCTCACGGGGACCACCCATGCGCATGGCAAGGGGAAGCAGGGCCAGGTGGGCCATGCCGTTGGGGTAGCGGGGCATGAGGCTCGAGTAGACACGGACGCGCGTGTAGTGGTCCACATCGCCGGGCTTGGTCATGCCGACGACGGGGTGGATGAGGACGTTTGCCTGGCGCTGTCTGGCTGCTCGTACAGTCAGCTCGCGGTGGGCGCGGTGCATGGGGTTCCTCGTCTGGAAGGCGACGACCTTGCGCCAGGCCAGCTTGGTGAAGTGCATGCGCAGCTCGGCAGGCGTGTACCTCAGCGCGACGTAGTCGTAGTACTGGGGCCTCGAGATGGCCTGGACGTTGCCTCCGACGTAAAGATCCTTGACCTGCTTGAAGAGGTAGGCAATGGCCGGGTGGGCCTGGTCCTCGGTGCCAAAGACCGTCTTGGCCTCCATTGACTTTTGGGGTGCGTACAAGTCCGAAACTGGGTTTTTCAAAGGAAGCAGCAATCCCAGTCAGAGACGTTCAACTGCCCATCATGCTGGACAAAGGAAGAAAGGAAGACGAGGCGCAAAGGAGGACTCACCGGTGATGATGGCCAGAGCATTATCGTCACGCGGGTCACGCAGCGTGACTCGGGAGCCCTTCTGGAGCTTGAGCGCTTCGGCCTGCTCCTTGGAGACATCGAGGGTGATGGGCATGGGCCACAGCTCGCCCGTTGTGAGGCGCATGTTGTTGCATACACTGTTGAAGACAAGCCTCGGTGAGCTAGGGCAACTACCTCGCCTCACTCACGCCCGCGACGCAACTCACCTCTCGTAGTCAGCCTGGCCGAGGAAGCCCTCAAGAGGAGAGAAGCCTCCGTTCAGGATGAGCTCCAGGTCACAGAGTTGCCGCTCGGTCAGGACAATGTCGGGCAGCGTGGCCGCCTCGGCCTTGAGCTGGGCATGGAGGGGCAGGTCCCTCACGTTGAGGTCCTTGAGCAGTCCGCCGTGGGGAGCGTTGGCCATTGTGTTGCGGGTCCTTGCGCCAGGGGGAGAAGGGGGCGAGTGATGGTAAAAAGAAAGAGCCAGGAGATGCGACGCAGGTTCACAGTTTTTTTTGAGAAGAAAGCCACTTCGCCCAGTGGCCAACGCCTTCGGCCCCAGGAAGAAAATCTTGCGCGCGCGTACACCACCTGGCCCAGCTTTCATCCGCCCTTCCGAAATTGCACGTACGGCCGAGAAAGTTGTCAACGATCTCTTCCAACAATTACAAGTCTAATTACTAATGATGCTCAGATTGCATACACCGTGTCTACACACGCACACGCACAAATCTACGGTACAAGTCAGATTGGAGTGGCCGAGCATGTATGCTCACATGGCGAAGGACTTGGCGCCAATGGCGTGACTTGCGGCGGGGAGGAGACTTGGCATGTCATTTAGAGGGAAATACAACGCTCATGATGTATAAAGAAAGATGGCGGGAACAAAGAAAGTGACAGTGAGAGAATGTGCTGGTCGTTAGATATATGATACCGCAGGGAGAGACAGGGAAGGAGAAAAGAGGGTGTCGAGAGATGGCTTGACGCTGTGCTGTGTTGAGGATCATCAATCTTCCTGGTGGAAAAGAGTGACGGAGTTGAAGCCGGAAAAGGGATTGGCCACGACGGCATCGCCATCTTCGTCTTGGACCTTCTTTCCTGCCGTCGCCTTGATCTCGGTCGCCTTTGGCACTTTGGCCGGCTTCGACTCGGTTCCCTGGCCGTCGAGATTGAGGGATCTCGACTCGCGTACATTTCGGAAATTGATGGCGTCGAGCCCATTGGAAAAGGCGGGAACGATGGGCGGCGTAAGATTCCGTAAAAGGCCCCAAGAGATGGGAGCGAACCACTTGTGCTGCTTGACCTCGGATGCACCCGACTGGCTGCCCATGCGCTTCAACTCGTCCTTGATGAGAAGCTTGCGGATGAGCGACTTGCCAAAGGATGAGATCGGAATGTTCTCAGGAAACGTGACCTCATTTCGGAGAATGTTAGAGAAAGTCTGGTTGCGCGAGTTGCCCTTGAAGGGCGTCGTGGCAAAGATCATCTCGTAGATGAGGATGCCAAGAGTCCACCAGTCAACGGCGCTCGTGTGGCCGCAGCCCTTGATAACCTCGGGCGCAATGTATTCCTCTGTGCCGACGAACGAATTGGTGCGCAAATCAGCGATGCACGAGCGTGTGTCAACCAGGGGCGCGCTCTTGGGGGTGGCCTGTCGAATCATGGCAGGTGCGCCACCACGGCGTGTTGCTCTTGCCGAGAGATCAAAGTCTGAGAGCATGACGTGGCCAGACTGGTGGAGAAGGATGTCTGTCGTGGAGCGGCTGGCAAGTCAGTAAACAGAGCGAGGATAGGATCGCATGTCACTCACTCTCTGGCTTTAAATCGCGATAGATGAAGCCCATGAGATGGAGGTACTCGAGCGCGGCGATGACTTCGGCCGCGTAGAAGCGCGCATCCTCCTCAGCCAGACACTTGCCCGGTCTCGTCTGGAGTGCGCGAAAGAACTCGCCGCCCATGCAGTACTCCATGCAGAGGTAGAGGTAGTCCTCTGACTGGAACGAGTGGTAAAGCGTCACGATGAACGGGTGGTTGGACGTCGACAGAATCTCCTGCTCGGCCATGACGCGCTTGATCTTGTTTCGCTTGATCATCTCCTTCTTGGACAAGACTGTCTCGAGACAAAGAGTCAGAGACTTCCTTGGAGCACGATATATGCGTCGCACAACTCACCCTTCATCGCAAACAGCTTCTCCGTCTTCTTTTCTCGCACGAGGTACACCTTGCCGACGTCACCCTTGCCCAGCATCTTCACCTTTGAGAAGCTGTTGGGCCCCACCTCGACCTGGCGCACCTTGATGCTGTTGCTGCTGTACGTCCGCCGGAACGAGTTTCGATGTGGGCTGTTGCCGTCCGGCGTCGTGGGCGGCTGGAGCGTTGCCAGATTGGATGCGCTCGAGGGCACGCTCGCAGGCAGGTGCAAATTATCCTTGTTCTTTTCGCCATTCGGCGTCAAGGCGGCGTTACTCTTCGCACTTCCGTTGCTCTTGGACCTCGTTCCCGGGAAGGTTATGCCTCCCCGTCCCTTTGGCGTTGAGGTGGCGCTGCCAGCCGACGACTTGGAAGCGCTCCTTGCTTTTTCGAAGTCTTTGCTGCTAAATGATCTCGCGTTGCTATCCATTCGCACGGGCGAGCCAGGGAAGAAGGGATCCTGTGGCTTGATGTACGAGGCGCCCTCTGAAGTATATTGCTGATGGCCAGTATGTTGTTGTTGTTGTTGTTGTTGTTGTTGTTGTTGTTGTTGTTGCTGCTGCTGCTGCGACGACGGCGGGTGTTGTGATGACGGCGAGAGATATTTTGCCTGCTCCTGCCCTGCACCGGTGCTCTGCTCCTCGAGGAAGAGCTTGTTGGCATCTGGCGCACTTGACGCCCGTCTGAGCAGCTTCGACGCAAAGCTTGTCATGTCTCTGCTGCCGTTGGACGAGGTGGACGTCGTCGAATCGTTGCCAAGGCCGGTCAACGTCAGCTGAGGCGGCGCATCATGGCCCCCTGCGACCCCCACTTCGGCCGCGGGTTGTAGTCTCGGTTGCGAAGAGGGAACCCTTGGATCCTGCAGTCGCCCATTCTGAGAAGAAGAAAAGGACAAGTCGAGCTGTTGAGCTCCTTCTTGACCGCCGTCTGAGGACTGGCTGTCGTTGGAGAGCGAGTTGGGGTCCGCGACGACTGTACTCCCGGCAATAGGCTGGAAGTGCGGCGACGTCTGCCGACTGCCCTTTCTCCCTCCCGAGCCGGCAGGAGGGGCCGAGAGGGGCGCCTGGAGTCCATCCTGACCCGTTCCGCCCGTCGTCTTTTTACCAATCGAGCCAAACTTGAACATCTGCTTCCACTTCTTGTCGTGCTTTCCACCCGACCCGTTGACCGCTGACGAGGGCGACATGGCTATCGAGCCCGAGCCATCAGCGGCGGGTGAAGAGGCATCGAGATTATACGAGTGAGAGTGAGGAGTCGAGGGTCCAAGGCCGTTGCTCTGCTCGTTAACGCCGCCGCTACCGAAAACCGGTGGCGTCTGCGTCGGCGGTGTCGACATCATGGTGCTAGATGCGTGTCCCTCCACGACCACCACGATCCGCAGAGAGGAAAGGCGAGACTAAGAGGGAAAGAAGAGGGGAACGGAGGAGAAGACAAGGGGAAGAGAACCGGCCCTCCTTATTCCTTGTCGTCGTCAGAAAAGCCCCGCGCAAGGCTGCCTTCGATTCGAGCCTTTCCCTTTATTCTTTTTGTTTCTTTTTTGATGATCTGTCACTAGACGCCGTCTCGGCCCGCTCCAAGCTCGACCCGCAAGAGGCGTTATCTGCCGACGACAGTAGGACTGTCCTCTACAAGAGAGAGAGAGAGGAGACTGGTCGATGGTGAGCAGGTGGTGATGGACCGACCTTTGAGAAGATGAAGCAGGTGGTTGCAACGTTCGCGTCCAGCCTGCAAAGCCGTGGCGAGCGGGGGGGCACTCTGGCTGTCTTTCCCCCTCTCTTGCGAATTCAAAATTGTTGAAATTCAAGTTTCCCAGGCTTTTAGCCAGCAAGCGGCAGCCTTCAAGTCCTATCAGTAAGCTATTTTCTTAACACGAGCCTGTTCCTCGATTGCAGTGCTACAAATAGAAAATAGGATCCCGGACACTACGGCCGCAAGCCAGACCACCGTACCGCTTACCGTTTCAGGAAGGCGAAACGGTCGAGAACTAGCAAAATACTCTAGCCACTACTACAGCGCCCCAATTTTGTCTGTCTGAACAAGGGAGGAGGACTTTCTTTTGAATTGGCAAGCAAACAGGGGCGAGTCCTGTCCTCGGTTCTCCGCTAAGCAAAGTAAGGCAAGGCAGGGTGCGCTTGCATACGCGCGCGTGACCTCAGCCACGTGGCCAAAACCTGCATAGGCGCACGGCCTTCGTGTCCAGCAGCGTTAGCATCGTCGTCGTCGTCGCTGCGTCGTCTTCTTCGCTCCTCGCTCGCTCTCCAACGATGAGCAACTCTCTGCGGCCGTACCTGCAATGCGTGCGGTCTTCACTGACTGCCGCACTGACGCTGGAAAACTTTGCGTCGCAAAACGTCGAGCGGCACAACAAGCCCGAGGTGGAATCGGGCTCATCGAAGGAGGCCCTCTTGACGCCGCTCGTCATTTCCCGAAACGAAAACGAGCGGGTGCTCATCGAGGCAAGCGTCAACAGCGTCCGGTTGAGCATCCGTATCAAGCAGGCCGACGAGATCGAGCGCATCCTCGCACACAAATTCACTAGATTCCTCATGCAGCGCGCAGAGGCGTTTGTTATTCTGCGAAGAAAGCCGGTCAAGGTCAGTTCTCTTCATCCTCTCTCTTGCCCCCCAAAAAAAGACGAAGGCTGACCCAGAAAATTATCAAAGGGGTACGACATCTCGTTCCTCATCACAAATTTCCACTCCGAGACGATGCTCAAGCACAAGCTCGTCGACTTTATCATCCAGTTCATGGAGGAGGTGGACAAGGAAATCTCAGAGATGAAGCTCTCCCTCAACGCCCGGGCGCGTATCGTTGCAGAGAGGTGCGTTTCCCTAGCTCAAGAAAGCGAGGTGGTAGTCTTACTGATGTGCTTGCCCATTTGAATCTTGTACAAATAGCTATCTCGGAACAGTGAGTCATGGACACCGCTAGCATAGAATGAGCCGACTTTGATCCTGACCGATCCCTTCCCCCACAGTTTGCATGACGTCGCTTACACAAATAAATGGCATGAGATCACAGCATTTTGATGTACACGGCAGACTCATGTGTGTGCGTGTGATTGCTAGAAGTACATGAATGAGTGTGGGTGTATCTATGAAAAAGCATCGCGACGTTCACTGCTGTGCAGTTCCAAGTCGTGCTGCCTTGCTTGTTGAAGGTAGCTCGCTCACCCCAGTCGAGGACCGCTTCCGCTTTGGACCAGCTTTGCTCGCATCCTCGTCCTTGACAACGTCCAGCTCCTCGTCCTGGTCCTCAAAGACAGTCGGATCAACACCGCCCCCAAATGCGAGGCCCACAACTCCCTGCTCGACGATGCCCCTCCGTGCATCTCGTGCATACAAAGGCTCTCCTCCAAATCTCTCTCCGTAGTCGAGCTCCGAGTCAAGCTGTGGCGGCGGCGCCAGACCGTTGCTGCCCCTGCCGCCCTCTTCGACGCAAAGCGTCGGCACGCGGTCCCTCGTCTTGACTGCACCAAATCGGGCGAGCGAGATCGAGGCTGAATTCAAAAGAGGGACAGACTCCATCCCAGCCTCGCCTCCATAGCCCTCGTCACCTTCTGCGCTGCCCTGCTTCGACGTGGCAGCAGCTGTAACGTGAGTCGTCCCAGAGATAGCTTGTGCAAATTCGACATTGTCATGCCAGTCCCATGGCCGTTCTTCGACGGTGAGAAAGTGGCCGTTGACAAAGGCTGCAGACGCGCTGCTCGCTTGCACGTCTATCATTGTTGCGTTTCCCGCCGTCGAAGTCTGCAAAGAGCCGCCAGATACACTGTTGGACGATGCTCGAGTCCCGCCAGCGCTCTGTCCGGACGCTGTCGCGTTCGAAAGGGGAGCAGACAACGTCGACGCGATAGAAAAAGAGCCAAAGAGCCACGTCAGCCGGCGCAGAACCTCGTTCGAAAGCGGAGGATCGACAAACGACAGCAAGGTCTCGTCATCGTCTCCCTCCTGGCGCGGCAGGCTTGCCTTTGCCAGATGGAGGCAAGATGCGGCGACATCAGTCGGCACCTGGACAAGCAGATTTGTGGCAGTGTCCAAGAGCGGAGCGATGATGTCTTCATCGGCGTCCTCGCCGTCCACGTCTTGAGACAGATTCACATCGAAGCTGTGCAGATCCACAGAGACGCAGAGCTTGACGAGCGAGGCAAATAATCGAGGAGCCTGGGGTCGACTTGCCGCGCTCCAAAGATTATCGACGAGGAGGAGAAGGTTGACGAGACGAACAAGCAAGTGCGTGGACGCGGTAGGAATGGCGTTCGCTTCGGCGTCAGTGGCTGCAGACTCAAGCTGCTCGATGAGGATGCGGAGCAGCGCAGCTGAATTCGCAGTGCCTGAAGCAGTAGTCACCGTGTGTTGCTCGTGCGACAAGGTAAGCAACGCATACAGAGAGTCTGCATCGGCATTCTTGTCCCCCAACGTCGATTCTGCATCAGAGGTTCGAGCAAGGAGTCGCGAAAGAGCTTCCTCGAGGACCATACCGGCAAACGACCTGGCCGAGGATTCTCGCAATAGATGAATCCCGAGCTCGAGTCCCGCCCTGCCCGAAAAGAGACGATCGAAAGTGCACTTGGCCAGCGCCTGGAGCTTGCTCTGCGCCCTTGCCTGTAGACCACCTTCCGCCCGTTCGAGCCGCTCAAGGACAACGCCAGCTAATTCCGCTAGGGTCTGAGAGAAGGAAAAGGGTTGCAGACGATCGAGGATGTAAGCAGGATCGAGTTCGACGGGGTGTGAGATTTGCGGTGCCGCCAGGCCTGCATTCCATTCGTCGTCGACGAGGAGAGAGAGAATGTGTGAGAGAGTTGCCTCAGTGTCAACATTGACGCCTGCGCGCCAAGTTGCGACACAAATCGACTTGATGGTGCCGACGATGTCCAAAAGGTGCGGATACAGCGCCGCGCGCACTTCTGGCTTACGGCAAATGACGTCGCAGAGGGCCGTTTCACCGGGAGAGCCGCTGCCAGACCCGACGATGCAAAGATTGATCAGAAGAGTGCAAAAGGCTGCTCTGCAGTCTCGCCGTAAGAGCACAGGTAGGCTGGCACCTTGCAGCGGGGAGAGAGTAGATGACTGCGCATCTATCAAGAGCGTCGTTGACTTCAAGAGAGCTTCTTTAGCACCGTCGTCGAGCTTGCCTTGCGCACAGTCCGAAGCGACCGGAGCCAGGACATCGAGGAGGAATATTCGAGGTGAGAGGATGCCTCTCCCAACGAGCTCGACGGCGAATTTAACAAAGCGAGAGGGTGATTCTCGCTCGTCCTGGAATACTCTTTTGGCTGCGTCATCCCATTCCTCGAGCGTGGCCGATTGCAATGACGAGGCGACGACTTCGACGAGCCAAGCTATAAGGGATGCATCGCCTTGAGCCGTTGTGAATGACCCCTCGTCAGAGACGTCGCGGCGCACGCAGAGCTCTCGCAAGACCAGCTCGGCATTGAGTGCGCCCGAAGATATCTCAGCAGCCACAACGTCTGGCGCAACTGTATCCTGGCTGGCTTGAATCGATCGGATGGCGGTGCGAAGTCGTTCGAGCGCTGCTGCATCCGGTTTCGTTGGATCGTTGGCTCGCTGAGTGCCCATTGGCTGCAAGAGGCCGAAGACGGAGAGTGTTCTCACAGCCACGATCATCTGTAAGCCGGACATCGCCCCCTCTGTGACCAGCGCAGCGATCCTTCGAAGCAGAGGGGATGGATCGCCCAGTGAAGCCCAGATCAAGGAATGGCGCAGCATGACAGCGCATACAGGCGCAATCAGTGACTTGTCGTCCGATTGCAAGCACCGATCAAGGATCTCATAGAGGTCTGCAAACTCCTCTGCATCGCCCAGTAGCTGTGCCAGCTGCTCGAGCCGTCGAGGAGTCGTGAATAGTGCCTCTGGGCCGTGAGCACGAATCGGGCCCATGACGAGCCGTGCGACGAGGCGATTCTTGACGTAGCGAGAACTGGCCCAGAAATGCGGCACCCCAGAGGGTGCATTCAGATCACCATCGCCCTCAGCTTGGTGTTCACCGATGACCCCATTAGATCGGGGCTGCTGCAGCCAGGACAGCTCTGCGAGCAGCTCCCGCGTCGCGCGGCGCTCCATGGCTTCCTCGTATGACTCTTTCGTACGGTTGCCGTAGATGGCCGTTCTCCGTTGGTGCTGGAGCGAGGCGGGACAGTCTTCCACGGCGACGGATCGCAGCAGCTTGACGAGAAGCGACTCGCGGGCGTTGTTCTTCACGGCCTTGGACGATGATGTCGAGGCCGTCAGCCCCCTCGCAGTGAGTCGTTGAATGTAGCGAGGGAACGAGAAGCACCTCCTCCGAATCAGCTCGCCGACGAGTGTGACGAGTGAGGCAAGATCGATGGATGTGAGGATCGAAGTCGGTCCCTCCATGGCGGCGTCAACGCTCGAAACCCAGTCGATCAACATGGTGTCCAAGTCGAGCTTGTCGTTTGTCGATCGGCGCCCACGGCTCTTTCCCTTTGACCAGCGCTCTTCCAGCAGCTGCAGCAGTCTTGCCGCCAAGATAGGGCGGTGTACTCCGCACCGTCTTGTCGTTGTGGCCCATGTCAGGAGAGTCGCGACTTTGTCCCGAAGCGTACGAATGGTACCGCTTTGCAGCAGTGACAAGTCAGTGAAGAGCTGAATTGCATCGTCGTCGGCCTGAAACGAGTCGAGGAGCTGTTTCGATCATCCACTTTGATCAGCTCTACCGCGCGGCCTAAGAAGACAGCTTCACCTACATGGATATCTTCGTATTCCTCCAGCTCTTTGCTCCTAGTCTTCATGCCTGCTGCTTTTGGTGCAACGAGCTTCATGTTGCGTTCCTCGACCAGTGGCAGACGCTGCTCCTCTGACACTTTGGCCTCGCGAATGGTAGCGAGTATGGTCGAAGCATGCCGTACCCATCTCGCAGGGTTGATGAATGCTTCCGGATTTGCATCAAACGCAACAACCAGGAGCCTTTTCAGCTCCAAAATGACCATCGTCGGGCTCGGCATGACTTGGCTTTTGCTGTACTCGGCCAGCTTGTGGCACACTGTGTCGATGAGAAGATGAAGCAGCTGGACGTCGCTGCTGGCATATTCGAAGTTCTCCTGGACGAGGACGAGCACAAAGGGAGCCTGCCATGGATGAGCTGCCCTGAGCTGATCGATTGCCCAACGGATCAGAGCCCGACGGTCGAGGATCCTCTGCATGGCGAGCGCGCGAACGAGATTTAGACTGTATGTCCATTTGGACACCCATCGCTTGCTGGTCTCGGTGTCGAGGAGGAGAGATCCAGTCGGCTCCTTTGGGCCGCTGCCCCGTAATCCAGTGGGCGTCATAGCAGCAGCCAGTCTGCCAGCCGTAGCAGGAGAAGACGAGGGACTCGAGGTCGTGACAGCAGCAGTCAGCTCGCTGATCTGTCTCTTCAGCCAGCCCGTCACGACGCTTGTCCACTCTGCCGTGTAGTTGGCCACGTTTGTCTGCCTGGCCTTGGACGAGGCAATCTCACTTGCGCCCACCACTCGGATAAACCAAACAGCCCTGTCTATGTCGACACACTTTCGTCCTGCATCTGATGCCTCTGCGGACGAGGAAGACGAGGAAGACGCTGCTGCTGCTGCTGCTGCTGCGGCTGCCGCTGCGGCCGCTGCCACCGCCGACGTCCCCTTGAGAGCTGCCCCCGTGGCCGCCCCGGTCCACAGCATCTCGAGCATCCTCTCACCCCGGTAGCCATGTGGCACGCTCCGTGCCAGCTTCTTGAGCGGCACGTCTGGATCGGCAAGCTCCTTGATGTAGGCGTTGAGTTTGACGTCGTTGAGCGTTACTCGGGGCGGCTGCTTGAACTGGTGGTCGCTGACGAGACCCTTTCTGGCCATGTTGAGCTCGAATCTCCTGGTGACAACCTCGTCGAAGAGGGTGGCCAGATTTGTGACGAGGCCCGTGGCTTTGAGCCGGTCGTAGATCATGTCGTGTGCCGAGAATGTCTCGTTGGCCACCACGGGCTTGAGGCTGAGGCCGTTCCGGACCGTTGTCTCGGACATGTCGTCCTCCGGCCGACCCTCGCCTGGTCTGAACAGGTCGGGCACGCCAATTGCCGTCGACCCCGGATGTAGTCGCGGGCGCCATGGTGGGGGCCGAAGCGCGTAGCTGACGGGCATCATCTGGCCGTCGTCTGCAGAGAGCTGGTCCGGATGCCCAGCGTTCCATTGTGGCCCCCTTTTTTTGTCGCCGTCCAGTGGGGCAGCTGGCGCCGAGGAGGAAGACGACATCGAGGCCGGTGCGTCGCGCCGGTCCATGGCTCTGTCTCCCTCTCGCTCTAGCTCGTTCCCCCTTATTTCGTCGTTGTCGCGAGTCAGCCGTCGTTGCAGAGGCTGCCTGCCCATCCGCTCGACTGACAAGCAGCAGGCAGGAACGCTCGGACCACGGAAGAACGCAGGCCGGCCGAGAAGGGGGAAAAATAAGAATCCCCAACACGTGGAGGTCGAGGCGACTTCTCCGCCGGTTAACGATCGACGGTCGACGCAGGACAACGACGACGGCGACGGAAGAGTTCTGCTCAGGCTGAGACAACCATGCATTGCCTCGTGAGTGTATCGAGCAGGCTGGCGAGCGCCTTGTTGATGTGTCGAGCTGATGCGGCACCATGGGCGAACCAGCGCTGGTGGTTGCCGCTTTTCATCCTACCCTTGCCCGCCGCGTCGCCGTACCTGCTCCTGCTCTTTGTCCTTGCGTACGCCATCAAGACAAAGCCTTGCGCCTACTGCTCCTTCATCGTCGTAGGCCTCATGATCAGCACGGCCTCATGGTACGATTCCCGCAACCTCGTTCTGTCACCCACGTCTACCACCACCACCACGACTGCACCCCAAGCTGCTCCACCCGTGACGTGTCGCGCTTCCTGCCCAGCAGAGCCCGACCCATTTCACCACCTGCTCGGCTCCGTCACGCCCGCGTGTGCATTATTCCCTCCTCCTCCTGCTTCTCGGTCCTCACGCCTGGCACAGCAGCGGAGAAAGAGGGGCAACCAGGCGAGCTACTACTGGCTGAGCGTCAGCCATTTCGTCTGGAACTTTTGCGGCCACGTCGGCACAAAGAGGTCACCGTTGCTGCTGCCCACCACACCCTCATCAGAAGCATCACCAGCATCAGCATGGTCGTTGTCACCATCTTTGGCACCTGGTAGCGACAGTCAAAGCGCCGAAGGAGGAGGAAGACAAGACAAGCAGATGGTCTGGCATAGAATACCCAGTCGGATTCATGTGGGATGGGGCGAGCTTGGTTATGGAATCAAGCTGTGGTAGACCCGCCTCGCAGCAAGAAAAGGCCATTTGTACAGTACTGATCCAGGTCAGAGAGAGCACGGCCACGATAAAATGCAATCAGTCTCCCGCCCAAAAGGATTCGGTGAATTGCAGTCGAAGATTCAATTTACAAGGTGCATTCATGTAAAGGATTCATGTTTTCAAGAGGCTGACCTTACTTGCGCTGGCCGTACGCCTTGGTGGCGTAGTCTCCCTTCTCGACGATGAGGTTGGCCTGGGTCTGGGGCTTGCCGTTGAGCCAATTTTGGAGGATCTCGACGGTGCCGTCGGCGTACCGCTTCTGCGCATCGAGGGTCGTGCCCGAGTAGTGGGGCACCATGGCGTTGCCTCCCTCGTGCGCGTTCTTCATGCTGCGCCAAGGGTGGTCCTTGGGTGCAGGCTGGTGGTTCCAGACGTCGCCGCCGTAGCCGAGGAGGTGGCCGCTCTCGACGGCGGCCTTGACGGCCTCGGCATTGCAGATGGCGCCACGGGCCGTGTTGACGAGCCAGGCGCCCTTCTTCATGCTCTTGATCGTGTCGGCGTTGATGAGGTCGCGGGTGCCCTCGTGCAGCGGGCAGTTGACCGTGACGACGTCGCACTGCGACAGGAAGTCCTTGAGGTCTGCGACGCGGCGCGCATTGACCTGCTTGGCGGCATCGCCGGGCAGGTCCTGGTAGTCAAAGTAGAGGAGCTCCTTGCAGTTGAAGGGGACGAGGCGCTGGAGCACGCGGTAGCCGATGCGGCCGGCACCAATCGTGCCCACGACCTTGCCCTCGAGGTCATAGGCATCGCGAGCAATGGCAGAGACCTTCCAGCCGCCGTCCTTGCCGAGGACAATCTGCTCGTGGCCCACGTTGTAGTTGCGCACGAGGACAAGGATAGTCATGATGACGTGCTCGGCGACGGAGACAACGTTGGAGCCCGACACCTCGGCGACGGTGATCTGGCGCTCATTGGCTGCGTTGAGGTCAACGTGGTCCGAGCCCACACCGGCAGTGATGCAGCTGTCGACATTCAGTCAGCCGGTGCACTTTATTTATTTTCTTCCTTTTTTCTCTTTTTCTTTCTTGGTGGAAGCATGGCGCATGCTGCCAGCGCCTTTGCCGCCATTCATCGACAACTCACAGCTTGAGGTTCTTGGCCGTGGCAATGACCTCGCGGGAGAGGTAGCCGGGGTGGAAGGGCGTCGTGATGACGACGTCAGCGTCGACGATTTCCTTTGCCATCTTGCTGTTGGGGCCCTCCTTGTCGTCGGTGACCTACGACGTAATATATCATTGTCAGTGAGCCAGACGAAAAAGTGATGCCCTCTAAAGAGAGGACGCTACTCACGACAAACTCGTGGCCCTGCTCCTTGAGGAGCTTCTCGAGGCCGAGCTTGTTCTCGGTAGTGCCTAGGAGGCGGGGCTCATCCTGAGCGACTTGACCGCCAGAGTAGAGAATGGCGAGGACCTGTGTGCCCGTAGTGTGTCAGTGGCAAGCTTGGCTGTCAGAAAGGAAGGGGATGAGAGAAGGAGCTCACCTTGACCATGTTGGGCTGTGTGCTTGAAAATGATCGAGTAGCGAGAGGTGTAAATGCAGGCTTGACTGTCCTTGCAACAAAGTTGGACAGATGAGACGAGGGATAGATGGTGGTGGAACGGAAGGAAGAGTGGACGGCCGAGCGAAGCATCTCTTTATAGTTCTATTTTATTAACTTTGTGGGAGAAGAGGAGACTGAGAAAGAAGAGAGACAGCGGTATGCAGCGGCGAATGGCGATTGCCGGCAGAGATGCAATTGGGAGAGCAGCCAAGGCAAGGAGGAGAGGGCCGGGCGATGTGCAGAGTGCGGGCGGTCGCTCATCTTCTACTATTGTAAATACTTAAACAAAAAGAAAGGCTGTCTATGTGTGTGGCTACATTAGGAAGTAGCGGCTCAATCATGTGGAGAGAGAGAGAGAGAGAGAGAGGAGGGTGTTGGTAGTGGAGGGGGCCCCACTTTGGCATGAGCGCAGCGCCTGATATCATCGCAGCCTTTGGTCCCGCTCGAGAGACCGCTTGGCTTGTCCTGGGCCTCTAACATTGGAGGTGGAGACACACGTACGTACGTACTGGTCCCTTCTGCCCTCATCGGTCTCTGTCCGGCCAGTGTGGACTGACCCCGATAGGGCTGGCGTGCGCAGGAAGAAAGATAGTCAATTTACCCCCCGCCTGCATTTTAGACTAATTGCATGCCCTGCACGGGCCCCGGCGATAGATGGACAAGTAGTAGTACGCGCGTCGTAGCTACTACTACCCAACAAGGGAAAATATGCAACACAATTTAGATAGAGACAGGGCTACAATATAATATCGAGCAACCTCCACTCCAAGAAGAAAGGCACGGGAAAGGACTTGTCGTACGGGAAAAGAGCGCGGCGACTCGGCGGCCTCTCTCGTCTCGACACGTAACACCGGCTATGCCTGCGTCTGCGGTCGAGGCGGACAAAGTTGGCGAGACCTTTGTGTCAGTAGCACAGCGGACATAGCAGTAGTAGTATTGCAGCAGCAGGCGGTGGAAACAAACATATAGACAGGCAAAGGGCGGAGCGGACGGCCATAGGAGAGTAAAACGTGGGCAGGGTATGAAAAGCAAAAAGGAGAGAGAGAGGCTGCGACGACAGTGACGACGGCTGCTGTTATTGCAAAGTTGCGGATGCTGTCCATGATTACTTGCTCGGCGACGAGTGGGGGCTGATGGCTGCCTTGATCTTGCCAAAGAAGCTCTTCTTGCGATCCCGCTGGCTCGTCGCCTCCGAGGCCTGGCGACGGTCCTGGCTCGCATCGACGGAACTGTCGTGGGTAGGCGGTTTCCGGGCGCCCAGAGTGCCAAACTTGCTCGTGCGCTTGCTCTCGCTCGTGCTCTTGGAAGGTGTCTGGGGTGCCTCGGCGGCTGGCTTGGGCTTGCTTCCCGTGCCATTCGTGGTGGAAGCGGTGGTGGTGGCAGCGGCTGCATCGGCTTTTGTGGTGGCTGCGCCAGGGATCGCAGGGGCAGCACCGGCGGTGGTGCTGTTGCGCACGGCGGCCGCAGTCGTCGTCGAGGCACCTGCGGGGGCAATGGCACCCGATGGCGTTTGCTTGGAAGACAAGCTTTCGGTTTGAGCTGGTGCAGAGGTCTTGCCGTTGGAAGGAGCAATGGCGCCTGGTGCCGTCTGCTTGTTGACGTCGGTTGGCGCGTCTGGCAGCGACTTGTCCGGTGTTGCAGCCACGGCAGCAGCAGCACCATCCGTAGCACCGAGACCGGGAGCGGGGGCAGAAGCGGCAGCTGGCGCTGCAGCGGTGGATGGCGCCGTGGTAGCCGCCGTCGAGGTTGTGGTAGCATCCGTGTTGGTGACGTTTGTCCCGCCGGAGCTCTTGGTTCCAGCAAGGCTGGCCGCGCCACCGCCAACGGCAGCAGCGCCCAGAGCACCAGCAGAGCCAGCAGCAATGGCGGCCGCCTTATCGCCGCCTTCCTTCTTGTCAGCGCCTGCGGTCTGAGGACCGCCGGTGGCCGGGTCGACGTTGGCCGCAAAGCCGCTCTCGTTGACGGCGACAGGGGGCTGGGAAAGGTTGTTGGACGAGGCAGCCGTCGCAGCCACGTTGGCGCCCGATGCAGCATTTTCCGTCGTGGCCTGAGACGGGTGTGTCGCCGAGGCACCGCCAACGGGGTCGACCTTGTCGGCGAGGGCAGCGTTGTCGCCCTTGACGGCATCGGCTTGCACCTGCTTCTGCTCCGCGCTGGACACGGGAAGTGCATCCGAGGGCGTGCCTCGGAGAATGTCGGCGCCTGTTACGGTGGCCACGGCGCTGGCGACAACGGGGGCAGCCGTGTGCGTGGCTGAGGTGAGCGAGGGAGGGATGGCATCTGCAAATCGATACCCGCGATGGCTGGGTCAATAACACTGTCTGAGGATAGATTTGGCAAACAGTCGCCCCTGCACTCACTCCGGACGTCGCCGTCAGCCACCTCCTTGATGCCGCTGGCGGGCTCCTGCTTCTTCTCGGCTTCCGTCTTTGGTGCAGCTTGTGCCTGTCCCTCGGTCTGGCTCGCAGCAGCAGCAGGCGCAGTGCTCGCGTGCTCGCCGTCGGTGCCAGCGATCATTGCCGTTACGGCCGCAGCAGCGGCTCCCACGCCGGCAAGGGCGCCCTCGACGGCATGAGCAGCCGTCGTCGTGGCTGGCTCAGGACCAACATCGACAACGTTGTTGACGTTGCCGCCATCGTTGACCGTGGGCGACTCTGGGTTCGTGGTCCACTGCTCATCGACGATGTACTTGTAGTGCACCTTTGTGTTGGATGGCAAGGAAATCTTTTGTAGAAGAAAGAAGAAGAAAGGAAGTCGCGACGTTTTAGGCTTTTTCGTGATAACGCATCCACACCAATATGGCTTCCCGCACCACCCACCTGTTTTGCAAAGGAGCCATCCGGCTGCCTATCGAGGGCTACCCGCTCCTTCCACTCGTCCCAGTCGCCGCTGATCTGGACATTTCCCGGACCGGCCTTCCACGAAAAGGGTGTAGGCGTAGGCATCGTCGCTGTCTCCTCTCTCTCTCTCTCTTACTCTTTTGGGGGCAGGCAGTGGGTGGATGGGAGTGAGGGAGAGAGCGTTGGTGGGTTGTGGCTGAGAAGTTAAAGCAGAATAGATCCGGGCCCTCGCTCGCACACGCACGGTTTCTTGAATTTCTGCTCGGAATATCAGACACGGACCAGGAACGCCACGTGGTAGAAAATTGAGGCTTTCTCTCTTTCTCTCTTTCGAGCAAAAAGTTGCAGGAGCCCAAAAGCAACACCAAAATTGCGAGATAGAGTTTTGAAGGGGGGGGAAAGGGCGCCCCTTTTCCCTTGTTTTGACAGACACCTCCAACCGACGAGACAGCAGCATCCCTTGCCAAGGAACCTCATTTTTCTCTTCTTTTCCTCTCCTTTGCTTCCAACGGGGGAGGGCCTACCTATAGAGAGCCTCGACCGAATAGACGGACGGGGGAAAGCGCGCGCAAGGGGCCTGTCGATAGAGACAGCGAAAGCCGGGAAAGCGCGAGAGCATGCAAAGCGGCGCTTCGTCCTCGTCACCTCCACTGCGGTCCCTCTCGAGCACCAAGGTGTCGCCGGCCGTCACGACGGCGACGACGCGGACAGTTGACAGGGGCGGTGGTGCAACTAAAGGCGCTACGGACACGCTCTCGGCCTCTGATACGCTCCTCGACGTCATTGCTGGCGACATTGCCGCTGATCCCGTCCCGACTACCTCGCCCCAGTCGCCGCCCGCGGCGCTGCCGGTCGTGTCGCCAGACTACGCCCAGAGGAGCGTACCAAACAGGAGGGGACTCACCCTGGCTCGGTCGGCCACCATTGCAGGCGAGGGCACGTACGCGGTGCGGCCGACAGGCAGCCCTCCGTCGAGGATGCACTCATCAGGCGCTCTGTCGCCCCCGGCATCCTCCCGGCTTACCCCTGCGGTCGGACCTTCTTCAAGCTCGGGACTCGGGCCCGGCGGTGCAGGGACAACATCAGGGATAGGATCCGCCGCAACAGGGTCAGCAGGAGCAGCAGGGGCGGCAGGAGCGACAGGATCAGGAGGAGGCGGAGGTGTGGGAAATGGGCCAGCATCGACCAGGCCAGGGCTGGGAGGTGGACTGGATCTAAAGGTCGTCATTCTGGGCGCACAAGGTGAGTCATGATTTCTTAACCAGCCAGCATTTCCAACTAAAGCGACTCCATCAACGACTCCCAAAGGCGTCGGAAAGACGTCGCTGGTGCACCGCTACACGTCTGGCCAGTTCAATGCCTCGTCGATTCCCAGCACAATAGGCGCCAGTTTTCTCACAAAGAAGCTCATCATCGACGGCGTCAAGGTGCGACTCCAGCTCTGGGACACGGCGGGCCAAGAGCGGTTTCGGAGCATGGTGAGTGTTGTTGTGCTATAACCCTCCATCGGACCTGGCTGATGGCCTCGTTCGACCCACAGGCGCCCATGTACTATCGCGGAGCCAACGCCGCCGTCATTGTCTACGACATCACAAACCCCGCCAGCTTTGACGATGTGCGGACCTGGATAGAAGGTGAGCCGGCGACAGACTCTTCCTTCGCGTCTGCGATCTCTGATGACCGCGCTTCTCCGTCGCCCGTTACCATCTCTAGAGCTCCGCAAGAATGTCCACACGGACCTCGTCATCCACATTGTGGGCTCCAAGGTCGATTTGGCGTCGCGGTATCGCCAGGTGTCGTGAGTGGCCTCCGATGTCCCGGATGAGGTTGTGTCTAGCCCCTGTGCTGACTGTGCTGCCTCTCCTCAGCCTCGACGATGCCCAGCAACTCGTCACAGGCTGGACCCGTGCCCTGTCACCGTCGGCCTCTCCACCTAGCAACCCACTCTTGCGGTCGCAGTCTCAAAAAAGCGCGCCGACCAGCTCGTTCCGAAAGTCCCCTGGCGGTGCCTCGACGAGCCCCACATCGCCCGGTCGCGACTCGTTGAGCGGCGATGCGCCTCCCACGAGCCGGCTGGCTTCTGGCTTTGGGAGCCTGGCTGCCATGCGGAGAGGCCTCATCGCAACCACGACGACGACGACGACGTCAAACGAGGACGAGGACGGGGGCAGTGGGTCGGGCAAATCCAACAATTCCTCGACGAAGGCCGCCGACGAAGCAGCAGCCGTCGACCGGGGTGTGGGTCCCGAGGGTGCATGGGACTTTATCGAGGTGACGGAAGTCTCGGCAAAGGACAACGAGGGCATTGAGGATGTCTTTGTCGGCCTCGCCACGCGCCTCGTCGAGCGCAGGGAGCAGATGGAGGCCATGGCGACGCGGCGACGGCAGAAGCTGGCAGGCCAGCACGGAGCAGATAGAGACAGCATCTTTCTTGGACAAGGCACGGACAGCGCCGATGGCTTCTCCAGGGCCCGCGGCCAGGGAGATGCCTCGGGCGCAGCGGCGGGCTCCTGGTGTTGCGGCGCTTGATGCATCCGCGACGGTGACGAGAAGAAACGACCCAAACGACCAAAAGAACGACCGATACGAACCTCTCTCTCTCATACAAACAAACGAGCCTCCATTCCATCCAGTCGTGTTCCTCATTCTATGCTATCCCCCTTCTACTACAACTACAACTACAACAGCCACTACAACAGGCATCCATCGCATCGCTCTCCCATCACGTAGTCTGCAGCAGTAGCAAGTCCCGCTACCCATCTTTCTCCTTCTTCTCCTTCTTTTCCCTCTTTACCCCTTTTCGGCTTCTTCTTTTCATTTCCTCACGACGACGACGATGATGATGATGATGAGAAAGATGTACATTATTCTCCTTGCCGCTCCTCTACTCAAGCTGCTTCTATACATTTGCCACCCTGTCTCTGTGCAGCAAGCGCCACCCGCCCTCACTTCCTCTGCCGCCTCTGAAGGCCATACTGGCTCAACCAAGTGTCCTCCTGCCCACCTGCTCCTGTCCCTCCCTCTCCCTCCTTCTCGAGCTCCCCCACCTGCTCTGCACCCACCTCGCTGACGAGCGCCGCGGGCGAGCCAAACAGTGGATCCGCGCCCGTAGCGCTCTTGGGAAACGCAATGACGTCGCGGATCGTCGGTGTGCCGCAGAGGATGGCCATGAGCCGGTCGAAGCCGAGGGCGATGCCGGCGTGCGGTGGGGCGCCTGCCTCGAGGGCGTGGAGCAGGTGCGCAAATTGCGCCGTCTCGGCGTCGCTGAGCTGCAACGTTGCCGTTTGTCGTCAGTATCGAAGAGAGACAGAGACAGAGACAGACACAGAGAGAGAGAGAAACACACCTGGAGGGCAGCCTGGAGGACGAGGCGCTGGAGGTGCGGCGAATGGATGCGGACGGAGCCGCCGCCGACCTCGACGCCGTTGAGAACGAGGTCGTAGTGCTGGCCCTTGCAGTGCTTGAGCACGCGCTCACGGTCGCCGTCGTGGCGCTGCAGGACGGCCTGGAGCGCGGCGAGGTCCGCCTCGACAGGCGCGGTAAAGGGGTGGTGGGTGCTGCTCCAGCGGCCGCGCGCGAGATGCTCCTTGTCGCCGTCGGCGCGTGTAAAGAGGGGAAAGTGGGTGATCCAGACGAAGCGGTCGCCCTCCTCCTGTGCAAGGTGCCCGGTTGCTGCTGCTGCTGCTGTACGGAGCTGGGAGAGCAGGGCGAGTCGAGCGTCGCCGAGCGAGGTGCTGCCTCCAGCAAAAGGCCGCCGCCGCGTGGCGACAAAGAGGTGCGTCACTGCCTCCCCTGACGGAGAGGTGGGCGGCGTGGTGCTGCCAGCCTCGATGGCACCCTCGACGGCGCGCGCGAGTCGATCGGCGTCGACCTGCGTCGGCTCGATCTCTTGACTCGAGAGGTAGGTGCGCACGTTTGTGCTCTTCCGGAGCAGGAGCGAAGCAATGCTGTTTGGCTCCTCTCGCCTGACCTTGAAGCACTCGACGCCCGGGACAGCCATCGCCAGCTGCTGCACCTCCTTGTTTGACAAGGTTCCAGTCGGGAGCGTCACGGCCAGCACTTCGATGGCCGTGTCAGCCTCGTCGTCCACCCCTTGCTCCTGCGCTGACTCTTCTGCCGAGCCGTCGAGGGCGCTCGTCAGATCGTACAGCTGCAGCCCACTGCGCACGTCTGGCTTGTCGGACCCGTAGCGCGACATGGCCTCGTCGTAGCTCATCACGGGAAAGTGTTTCGGGAGTGGATGGTCGGGCCTCGCCACCTTCCAGATCTTGCGCACCAAACCCTCGACGACCTCTCTCACTTCGACGGCGCCAATCTGCCAGCCGTCGATGGCCGTCGCTGGGCAGCCGCTGACGAAGCCCATCTCGACATCGATCTGGGTGAACTCTGGCTGGCGGTCCTTGCGCCCGTCTTCGTCGCGAAAGCACCGGGCCAGCTGGAAGTACCGGTCCGTGACACCGGAAGCGATGAGGAGCTGCTTGGGCTGCTGGGGCGACTGCTGCAGCGCATAGAAGCGCGGCTCAGCGATGCTCGTGATGGTCGACGAGGCCTGGCGCGCAGGGACGAGGTACTCGCGTGCGCCCTCGGGCGTCGAGCGGAGCAGGATCGGCGTCTCGATTTCGGTAAAGTCTGTGGGTCCAGTTCAGCCGCTGGAAACTAGCGCAAGGGTATCCGAGACCCACCCTGGCTGTGAAGGTACTCCCTCACGGTCCATGCCACCTTGCTGCGCAGTCGAAGGTTGTGGCCCAGCTTGGCCGATCGCAGGTCGAGGTACCGATGCTTGGCCCTGATCTCGTCGCGAGCCGGCGCCACCTCGTCCATGGGGTCAAAGGGCAGTGATCCAGACGGAACAGCATTCAGAACCGTCGTCTCGCTCGCTTCCAGCTCGAGGTCAGCCAGCTGGTCGGAAGGGTTCTGTAGAGCAGGGAAGAGAGCAGTGGAAGTGAGTGTCGAGAGGAGGAAGAGGAGGATGTAGGTTGCGGCGCTCACCTTGCCCTGGCGTTGCGCTTCTTGAGGCCTCGACCGCAAGATTCCTTCGACGTGCACGACGCCATGGAGGCCCGCGCGCTCCCACGACTCGGCGACGTGCCTCTGGTCCTCTCGCGCGACGAGCTGGAGCCTGCCCCGGCCAGAGGGCAACAGCAGCACGGCAAACACGAGGCTCTTGGAGATTCTCCGCAGCGACACGAGCCATCCCGCCACGCTCACGCGCTTGCCGACGTTTGCGCTTGCGATGTGAGCGACGGGCGACAGCGGTCTGGAGAGCGAAGACGAGGAAGACGACGTCGACCGGTGTGCGCAACCGGCCTTTAACGTGGCTGCGACGAGCGAGGCAGGCCTTGGACATGCTTGCCCAAGAACGATCCAACTGCGAGGCGCGCCAGTGGTGCTGAGTCGGCGCCGAGGCCAGGCTCTCCTGAGCATCGTCTGTTGGCCTTCTTCTTCTTCTTCTTCTTCTTCTTCTTCCTCCCTCTTTGGCGACGCAAGAAGAAACTGCGTGCACGGACGGGAGGCCAGGGTAGAAAAAGAAAAAGAAAAATTGCGCGCGCGCGGCTCGCGTGTCGGTGTAAATAAAACCAAAACAAAAAGTTTATCTTGGAGCAATGCAAGCTTGCTCAAGAAAAAAAGCACCCGAGGAGGACGACGACGATGGCAGCCTCGGCACGAGCGACTGCTGCTGCGCCTGCGTGTGCGACTGCCTTTGACGAGGCCGGGGCAGGCGTGGATCTGCAAGAGATCCACGACTTTGCCGTGGACCTGGTCCTGCGGGCAGGCGCATTGGTGCGGGCGCGCGCAAGAAGGCAGGCGGCCAGGTCCAGACGGCCATCGGCTGCTGCTGCGGGCGCGGGGCCAAGCACCGCGCTGCCACAGGAAAAGGCCTCGGAGATCGACCTCGTCACGGAAGTCGATCTGGCCGTCGAAGATTTTATTCGATCGAGTATTCAAGCGCGGTATCCCAGCCATGCAATCGTCGCCGAGGAGTCGTATGGGGCGGGATCTTCCAAGGGCTACTACACCTCTCGCAGAGTGAGTGCGCAGACCTCCTCTGTCTTTTCTCCCTCTTCGCGCTTTGCTGACGTGCTGACGACAAAACAGGGCCCCACATGGCTGGTTGACCCGATCGATGGGACGCTCAACTACACGCACCTGCTCCAGCTCCACAGCATCTCCATTGGCTTCTCCTGCAGCCACTCTTCGATCGCTGACGATGCGCTCGTGGGCTGCATATATGCGCCCAATCTCGGCCCACTCGGCACGCTCTGGAGCGGTGCGAGGGGCAGGGGTGCCTACCTGTCCTATCCTGCGCGAGTACCCACGAGCAAGCGGCCCGTAGTCGACCATGGCTGCCATCTGGCCGACCTCGAACGGCGGAGCGCCTCTGCTTCTGCTGCCGTCGATGAAGACGAGGAGGAGGACTATGATGCGCTTGCACCGCAGAGACTGCCGCTGGAGAGCAAGCCCCTGCCCGCCGATGCGCCCAGTGGGATCCTGCTTGCGAGTGAGTGGGGCAAGGACCGGCGTCGAGGCAGGGACGGCAAGGGTAACCTCGCGCGTAAACTCGCGACAATGACGACCCTCGCCGCCAGCGACGATCTGACAAAGAGGGCGCATTCGCCCTCGCCCTCGCCGGAGGCAAAAGTGCCGCACCTCCATGGCGTGCGCAGCCTGGGAAGCTCGACGCTCGATCTCGCCTTTTGCGCTCAGGGCTCCATCGACGTTGTGTGGGAGGGCGGTTGCTGGGAGTGGGACGTCTGTGCCGGCATCGCCATCCTCCTCGAGTCTGGGGGCATCGTGACAGACTCAAATGCGCCGCCAGAGAAGGCGTCGCCGTACTGGCACGAGACTGACTTGCCCAGGGCTGAGCTGGGCGCGAGGCGCTTCCTCGTCGTCCGCGCATGCACCTCGACCGAGGGGGAGACGAGTCACCAGGCGCAGCAGCGTGTCGCGCGGCAGATCTGGCAGCGCACCCCTGGACTCGACTATCGGAGGCTAGGTGTCACATACCATGTCGAAACCAAGAGCCAGGCAAAGGCGGCGTCGTCCGTCCGGGAGATCAAGCGTCTCACTGCCGAAGAGGCGGCCGAGAGGCGAGCAGCAGCAGCGGCGTCGTCGGGTGCGTCAGAGGAGGAAGAAGAGGAAGCCTCGTTCGGAGGAAGGCTCTTGGACGAGGGCAGAAATCGATGGGAGCACAATGCCTGGGACCATGTCGAGCCGCCGGAAGCACATCGGGCCCGCATTCAGTCCATTCTCGCCACGCAGGCCGAGACGAGGCTGTCTGCGCACGAGGCCGAGCCCTACCACGCCCAGCCTGCTTCGTTCTGGGACAAGTTTTACGCCTCGCACGAGAATCGCTTCTTCAAGAACCGACGGTGGCTCCACCTCGAGTTCCCCGAGCTGGTGCATGCGAGCCAGCGGGGTGCGCCGCCCACGAGGATCCTCGAGGTGGGCTGCGGCGCCGGCAACACCGTCTTTCCGCTGCTCGAGGTCAACGAAAACGAGGGGCTGGAGGTGTTTGCGTGCGACTACTCGGCCGAGGCCGTCGACGTCGTCAAGTCGCACCCGCTGTACGCCGACGGATCCCGGCCGGGCCACTGCCGGGCCAGCGTCTGGGACCTCGCCTCGGCCTCGGACATTGACGGCGTCGCCGAGGGCAGCCTCGACATTGTCGTCCTCATCTTTGTCCTCTCGGCCCTGCGACCCTCGGAGTGGGCACAGGCGGCGCTCAACGTCTTTCGATTCCTCAAGCCCGGCGGGCTCGTCCTCTTTCGCGACTATGGCCGGCACGACTTGCCACAGCTCCGCTTCAAGAAGGGGAGGATGCTCGATGAGAATTTCTACATTCGAGGCGACGGCACGAGAGTCTACTTTTTCGAGCCACACGAAGTCCTGGCCATCTTTGGGGCCACTGCGCCACCCGATGCCCAGGGCGCCCCCGCAGCAGCTGCTGTTGCTGAGAACGCTGGGCCAGGGGAGAAGGAAGAGGAGGATACGACAAGGAGCACCCCGAGCATCGAAGACACACGCTTCGAGACGGTGCAGATGGCCGTCGATCGACGCATGCTGCTCAACCGCAAGGAGAAAAAGGAAATGTACAGAGTCTGGCTCCAGGCAAAGCTCCGGCGTCGGTAGACGGGACATCCTTTGTTGTTGTTGCCCCAGTCACTGTATGTACTGTACTGTAACCTGCATCGTACGTTTTGGAATGCAAGCAATACTTTCGTTCCCCTTTGGGCTGGGCTGCGTTGGACTCGGGTGGGCCGATTCGTCATTGGTAGAAGAGAAAGTAAAGAGAAGAGTCGAGGACACATTACAGCAAGTACAACACGTCCTTCTAAAGGACAGAGTGAGGGGACCGCGAAAAGAAGAGGGGAAGAGAGAGGAGGAAGAGCGTTTAGAGAATCCTTTACAGCTGAATCCAACGATGTGTATCGAGGTGTGTGTGTATGTGTGAGAGAGGAACAGAAAGAAGCGAGAAGAGAGACAAGTACAAGGTTGGGGGGGAAAGGACCAGACAGGCAGAGGGAGGCGGGGTGGGGGAAAGCGGTGGAGCACATTACAGAAAGCCTACAAAACATGGCCGCGGAACTTGCCCGAGGACGAGGCGGAGACGGGCACGTCCTTCTCGTCCTCCTCCTTGAGCGTGAGGCCAGCTTGGTCTTCTCCCAAGGCAGGTGATGGCGAGATGGTGGCCTGGCCCATTTGCGGCGGGAGCAAGTCCCAGTCGGTGTCTTGGCCCTTTGCAGCGCATCCACCCTGGCTTGTCTCGTTCCGCAGGTGCCTCGAGAGGGCATCGGCACGCGCAAACGCCTTGCCACAGCTCTCGCAGGTGTGCGGCTTGATACCCGCATGGAGCTTCTCGTGCCTCGAGAGGTCAAACGAACGCGCGAAGCTCTTGCCACAGCCAGGCTCCTTGCACTCGTAGGGCCGTGCCCCCGTATGAGAGCGAATGTGGCCGTTGAGGTTGAATTTGCGCGTGAATGTCGAGCCGCAACCTGGGATGGGACAGACGTGGACCGCCTCATTCTTGCGCCGGCTCGCACTGGCCGCCTGCGTCGCACTCGTCGTCACCTGCTGGACGGGCGGGTTGATCATGCCGAGATGCTCGCCCACGGTGCTAAGCGGTGTCGAGCGCTGCGATGGCGGGCCACTGAAGGCGCCATAGGTAGGCAGGGCCGTTTGCGAGTAGAGGACCGTGTTGTTGGGCCCGGCAATGGCGTCTCTGACCCTGCTGAAGCGGCTTGATGGCCCTGCGCCCGGTGACATCTGCCCTCCACCACTGCCTGAAGCATACGGGCTGCCCTGGACCCGGACGTGCGGGCTCGAGCCCTGGCTGCTGCCGTTGCTGCGATCAGAGCCAAAGGAGTAGTTGCGGTCGCGCGTCGTCTTGTACGGATGAGCGCGAACGGGCGAAAAGGAGCCTGTGCCCGCCGATCCAGCAGAGGGAGGCGGGGCCAAGCTGCCGTCGGGTGCCGTGATCCTTGTGAGAAACTCCTCGGGGTTCTGGGCCCGCGCCAGCGACGAGAGATCCTCCGATTGGGCCCCACGGACATGCCGGCGTGCACCCGAAGCTCGATGGGATGATTGAGAGCGGTGCAGTGTAGGCTGCAGCAGGTTCGAGCTCGGTGGCTGCCACTGATTCGTCATGAGTTGCGACATGAATGGTTGCTGTCTTTGCCTCATCGGCCCCGACGCTGGCTCTGCCGCTGTTCGCGGCCGCTGCTGAAGGAACTGTTGCTGCTGCGGCTGCTGTTGTTGTTGTTGCTGCTGCTGTTGCTGCTCATGCTGCTGCTGTTGCTGCAACATCGAAGGATTGACACCTGGCCCGCCATTTGCCTGATTCATATGCTGCTGCTGCTGATGCTGTTGCTGCTGCAAATTCCGCTGCTTGGCCGCCTCGGTAGCCCAGTCGACACCTGATGCGGCCGCCGTCGGCGTCGTGTCCGTCACGCCGCCGGGCACGATGCTCCACAGAGGCGAGTTGCTCGCTCCAGGCGATCGTGGACCGACGTCGGAATTGGCGCGTTTGCGCATGACCGAGGTAGGCGACTCATCCGTCGGCCTGTTGGCCACGAAGCCCATGTCGACGTCGAGACGAATGTACTTGCGGATGCGGTCATAGGAGTCCTGCCGCTTGGGATCGTTTGCCAGCTGCGACGGTCCACGAAAGGCCGTCGGCTCTGCTCCATCGAAGCGTGACGCAAAGGGCGCCGGTGAGCCGCCAGAGAGATCCATGAGCGTAGCCTGCTGCATGTTGTGGTAGTTGTTTGGCTGCCGCCGAGGTGCATCATTAAACGCAAAGTAAACGCTACCTTGTTCTTGCTGCGGCGGCTGCTGCTGCTGCTGCTGCTGCTGCTGCTGCTGCTGCTGTTGCTGTGGCTGCTGCTCTTGTTGATGTAGTTGCTGTTGCTGCTGCTGTTGCTGCTGCTGTTGCGGCTGTGCCTGGGCATGAGCATGAAACTGTGCTGACTGCTGGATCGGTTCTGCCTGCTGCTGTTGCTGCTGCTGCCCTTCCGACTGCGACTGCTGCTGGGCCCTCATCATTTGAGCGTCTTGCATGGCAGTATCGTTGATAGAAAGCGTTGGCACCTGCGAAGAGTCTGCCGGAGGCTCAAAGTGGAACTTTGGCAAGTCGTCTTCGTCAAAGACTGGGGCGTACTGTCCGCTTCCGACAGGAAAGGGCCGTAATCGTTGCTGCTGCTGCTGCTGCTGCTGTTGTTGCTGTTGTTGTTGCTGCTGCTGCTGTTGCAGCTCGATGGACGGAAACGGAGACTGCGCCTGCGAGGTCGATGGCTGAGACTGGGGCTGCGGCTGAGAGACGGGCAAGGACGAATCTTCTCTAATGCTCATGCGCTGGCCGAGCGACTGCATCCACGCCTGGTCGGCCTGGTCTACGAGGGGGCTGCCGAGATTGGACCCAAAGGAAGACGATCTCGTGTGCTGGGGCGACTGTGCATCCAGCAGTGGACTGGCAAACGGGCTGACGACGGCCTCTTGTTCTCTCCGGTCCCGATACGAGGAAACACTCGGTCTATGCGACTGGCTGCTGCTGTTGTTGTTGTTGTTGTTTTTGTTGGTGTTGTTGCTGCTGCTCGTGCTGCTACTCTGGGGCGCAAAGTTGAAGACGCCGCCCAAGTTCTGGCCAAGGAGCGAGGACGGCTGAAGGCTGTTGTAGCTGTCGGCCGTCTCTGGGTCGTAGTCAAAGGACGAGGCCTTGTGGGCAAAGTCGAGTGCGTCGCCGTTGTTAAAGACGGCACTGGAAGAGCCGAGGTCCTGTCCCGCGCCGCTGTTGCTCCAGAAATCCTGCTGTTCGCTGAATGCGGCGGCAGAGTTGTACGAAGGGGTATACGGCCGGGTGATTTGATCAAAGAATTCGGCTTCTTGATCGATGGGCTCACTGGGAAAGCCCGGAAAAAAGGGGAGGGAGAGATAATGGAGGAGGAGAAGGATGACGACGACGAGGAAAGCAGGTGTTGGAAGGCAACGAAGATGAGAATGACGTTGGCGAGATTAGGAAAGGAGGGGAGAAGGAGAGGAAGGGGAATGAAGAAAGAGCGGTCAGTCATTCCTTTTCTCTCGGAGCATCGTTAAGCGAGAGGACGCAGGAGTAGCTCACCTAGACAGCGTCAGCTCCGGCGCAGAGGAAAAGTTTGAGCTTGCACCTAGATGAAGTGGGGCTGGGCTCAGCATTTTTGATCGTGCCTGCCAGGGAGATAGCAGGGAAAAAAAGAAAAAAAAAAGAAAAGGGCAGCAAGACGAGGGACAGCAAGGTAAAATGGGGGAGAAGGAGATGAGGCGACCGAGTAGAAGTCACTCTGGGTCCGATCGGGGAGGCGCACAGCCCGTCGTCGCTCGACGAGGCAGCAGGGAACGGGAGGAGGGAACGATGCTCGATGCGCGTAGCACCCGGCGAAATAGCCGATGACGAGACGGGGGGGATGAGAAGGGAAAAGACAAGGAGAAAGGGGAAAAGAGGAGGGAAAGGAGGACAAGGGCGCGAAGAGGACGGCGAAAAAACTCACTCCAATGTGCTTCTGGGGTGGACAGTGCGATCGTTGTGGCCGTTCCCAGGGCTGTTGAGGCGGCAGCTGCTTCTTGCTGCGCGGCCTGGTCTGGGTGTTTCGGTGGGAAATCGGTGCTAAACATCCACGAAGGTTGAAAGTCGCCAGCTCCGTCGAGCACCGACGCCCCTTGGCCCTGGCGTTGCTGCTGCTGCTGCTGCCCCGAACGCTGCGGATGGGTGCCTGGCAGATTGTCTCGATGTATTTGATCAGGTTGCTGCACTGTTTGGAACAGATCCAGGGGCACCGACGTGGTGGGTTGGGCCCCATTCATGTCTGAGGGCGAGACGTGTCTCTCTCTCTCTCTCTGTTTCTCCTTTCGTCTCCCCTCTCTGTTCTCTTTGGTCTTGGTATGGGTCTTTGTTCGCAAGAAAGGATAGATGAGTGGTGTGGAGCTCCGGCGTCTTGCAGCGTTGCCTTCGTCCTCCGCTGACAGTTGGCTCGCGTGTGCGCCCTCGCTCTTTCTCTCTCTCCCTCTTCTCTCTCTTTTCTCTCTCTCTCCTCTCTCTCGCTCCGTCTTCCCTTTCACCGCTCGCGGATGAAAAGGCCCTTAGTGGCTTGGCGGAGACGGAGCTGAGAGGCGGGCGAGACACACGGGAGACGGAAACGGCGAGATGATCGAGGGGCCATGCGACTACGCGACGAGTCCTGATGTGCGCGGCGCTCCTTCTACCCCGACCGGACTGCGCGCTCCCCAGTGCGGGCCCAATGCGAATGCCGTGGGGGGGCAGAGCAGAGTGCGGTGATGAACGGGAGAAAGAACGGACAAGGAACTCGACCACGCCCGTTGGTTGGTGATTGCTTGGAGGAATGTGTCTGTTTGCGTGTGAGCGTGTGAGTGAGAAAGAGAGAGAGAGAGAGAAGGAGGGGATGCTTTGCGATAGACTGGATCAATTTTTCATTTTCCTTAACATAATTCCTAGCGGAATCACTAGTGTGGCCCTTTCGTTGCATCACGCAGCTAAGTAGTGTAGTAGTGTCCAGTGTATAGTCTTTTGCACAAGGCGAGATAGTGCGCCCACGCTAGGCACCGTTTGCACAGTACAGTTGAAGACAGACCGGGGCCAAGAGCTGTCGACCGGCAGCTAACCGTTCGAAGCCACAAATTTCGATCCTCGGCGGCGCCGGATGGAGCTGCCATGGATCTTCTTGCCGACTTCGACTTTGCGAAACCTTCGGGGGCGCAGGGCCGCACAGGCAAGCGCGAACCAACAGTGGATTAACCATATATATAGCGAATGGGGTCCTTTTGCGACGAGACAGTTTTCACAGTAGTAGTAGATCCAGTGAGACAAACAAAGGGAGAAAAAAATAAAGGGGGGAAAAAAGACGAAGCGAAGCAATAAAGACGGAAAAAACGTCGCAGGCCTACGGGGAAGAGGAAGAGTGCGTTAGGAGCCGATAGCGGCTGTGGTTAGGGTGAAGCTAAGGGGGATATATGCGTTGTAACTGAGGTTAGAGACCACGTGAGAGTAGCTCAAGAGATCAGTACTTGGAGCGGCGTCCGCTGACGCAGGCGATAAGCAGGGGAATGACGCTCAGGGCAGCGGCGCCAAACGAAGCCCACGTCATCCAGATGATGTTGCCGTACTCGATGTCCACACCTGGGTTGCTGCCAAGATCAGCAACGCTCTTGCGGACCTTGTAGACAATGGCCGTCCAGATGGCTGCGGCAACAGCGAGGCAGCCAGCCGCCAGGAGGGCGAGCAGCGCAGCGAGCAAAAAGGCGAAACGGTGGGCCAAGAAGGCCACGAGGAAGCTGAGCCCCACGACGACGGTTCCGATAAAGGCCAGGATGTTGGCGGCCTTGGTAAAGGAGCCAAGGTAGCTCGAATCCCTCAGCGTGGTAGCAGGAAGTGCCTGGCTGACGTAGGGCTGGAGCTGCTGGTTAATATCCTGCTGCAGCACCTTGATCGGGTCGAACTCGTAGACGAAGCTCTTGTCTGAGCACGAACGCGTGCTCGAACCTTGAGACTGACCAGCGCAGAAGTCTGTTGGACGGCAGTCAGCATCAACTGCAACCTCTTTGCGAAATAGAGCTAGCAAACTCACTGTAAAGGCCTGATGTAACGCAGCAAAAGCAATAGGGGATCAGAAGTCAGTCACCGCATACATGGCTGGACACTCGGAAGACACACACCCCACTCATACTGTAGGAGAATTGAAGTTAGCGCAAGTACAACAGCAAGAGGGCAGAGGAGAAAAAAGGAGGAGAAGGGAATGCTCACGTTGTACTTAAGGCCATTGCCCGCAAGCTCGGGAGAGTTCTGGTCGCTGGCGAAGATGCCATTGACGGCGATGTTATTCTGATTGGCAATGGAGCGGATCGACTGTTCAAAGTCCTGCGTGTTGATCGAGACGTAGCGAAAGGACCGCGACACCATGTTCTCTGTCAACTGTCCGATGTTGGACAAGATCATGAGGACCATGGCGCTAAAGGTGAAGAATTCACCTGAACAAAGGGAGGCAAGGGCCGCCAAGATGTCAGAACTGTGCAAGTCTGTATCACAGCCAAGCCATCACAAAAGCGCCCACTCACCGAGACCGACGCAAAAGACTGACACCATGATGGGCAGGTTTCGCTTGCTTGCTATCGTAGAGACGAGGTGGTGGGATCGGCGGGTCGCGCTGCTGCTATCCGCACGCGAATCGTTGACGCCGGGGTATGCACGGGGTCAAAGCAAAGGGTATGGACGGGCGAGGAGTAGAGGGCGCGCGCGTTCGTACGTACGTAGCAGAAGAAGACGAAAGGGAGGGAGAAGAAGCTGGATGGAGGTGGTAGAGGGCAGAGGTGTGAATGACGAGGGTGTCCAAGAGGGTGAAGCAATGTCTCCACCAAATTTCAAGTCCCCACCCACTACTTCACAGATACAATACTGCCAAGGATCAGAGCCGCTAACCCAGGGGTGTGTATCAAGAAGAATCGATAAAAGAGAGAGAGAGAGAGAAAAAAAAACCTCCTACCATTTGATATATTCGAATTCGAAAGCACATATCAAGATTTTATTACGGATTCACGCAGATTCTAGCCCGAGCAATACAGCTTCGTAGCTGCCCAATGACGCAGGTCATTTGGTCGCGCTATGACTTCACGCGTTGCGATATCGAATCGAGGCACAGCCCGCTGTTCAGGACCCGCATCCGGGGCCTCAAGCCACACAGAGGTGCGAGGCAGTATTAGTACCCGGAAAGTTGTCTGCACACAGAAGCCCTTTGCGCTGCCAGGAGTGTAATAGGAGTACTATGGCTACGAAGGCTTCGATGTGTGGACGAGCGGAGTTTTCGCCCAAGATGCCGGTCTTGCCGGCTTGCGATGATGCGTCGGTCAGATCGTCGTGAGCGTTGCCTGTTGCCGTGAATTGAGGAGCCGCTAGGAAGGTGCGCACGTGGAGGCCGTAGATTAGAGATTCGAGGCGCACGCGCACTTACTTGTCAAGCACCACTGCTTAGCCCGGCTTGGGCTGGTGAGGCTGCTGCACGTACTGGTACAATTAGTGGTCGAGATCTGTCCATCTCGGCGATCGGCCAGAGAACGCCCCTCCCCTCCCCTCCCTCCATCCATCCATCCACTCCATCAGCGCCGCCGCTTTGTGGGCGCATCGTGGACTTGGGCTGGGCTGCCTGGGCACAAGCACAGGGGCAAAGACTCCAAGACACGCGCCCATCGCACTAGCGGAGTCTGGCAGGAGGCGCAGGACAGTATTAGATACGCCCAGACACGTCAAAAAGACTCCGCTCCCAAGGTAGATGCCTATAATCTCGTTCCAGAGTCGAAAACCTCAGTATTCGTCAGCTTCGTAGGCTCCCAACGACACCAGTGAAGGCACTTGAGTAGACATGGCGACGAAGGCAGCTACTGCCAGTTCACCCTCGCCGCCTCCGCCGCCGTCATCGCTACCGGCGGCATCCAGCGGCCCCACGGCGCCGACAGACGCGAGGCGAACGTCTAATTGGTCGCTGTGGCCAATCAAGACGTCGTCTTCCTCGCCGTCGTCGCCGTCGTCAATAAAGCAGCAGCAGGTGGCTCAGGCGCAGAGACAAACGCAGACGCAGACGCAGGCACAGACGCAGACGCACCACGGAGACTTTCGTTCTTCAACTTCAGGCTCGCCGCCTTCGCCCTTTTGGGCCGGACACAGTGACTCGTCGCCTCCCTCGACCCCGCCCGACGTCGAGCCGCGCACGGATCTCGGGCCAAGCTCTTCTTTGCTCAAATCGCCAAGCTCGAGGAACGACATCTTCTCCGCGCCAAGCCCTCAGATGGCCCCCGCTCCACGGAGAATACCGCCGTCGCCGATCTCCACGGCAACATCTGCCACGATGGCCACGACGCCCAGCAAGGTGACGCCGAGCAAGAACTCGAGCTTCTTTGGCAGTGGCTCGCTTTCGCCCTCGCCTGCCTCGGCCTCGGCTGCGATGCAATCCCACCAGCTGCGCGTGGCGCCCAACGCCGCATACATGTCGTCCGACGAACGGCCAGCATACGGTCGATCGAGCACCGAAGAGAGGGAGCGAGAGCGGGCGAGAATCAGACAGAGCAATTCAGAGATCGACTTTCGTCTCTGTCCTGCCAAGTCGTACCTGCTCGGCGAAGGAAGGCACTGCAACGTCTACCTTGGCTCCTATCGTATCAAGAGCCAGGGCGAGTGGCAGCTGTGCGCCGTAAAGAGGCTCCACGCCGATCGACAGAGCCAGCTGCTCGGCCTGGACGAGGCCTTTGCCCTCCGGCGGCTTGGTGCTCACCCGCACATCATCAAGCTCATCAGTGTCAGGGACGAGGTTGTCCTGGCAGCACCATCGCCCAACAGCGACAAAGACGATGGAAGGAGCCTTGGCAAGGGCCTGCCTTCGACTCTTGCAAGCCACTTGCGGTCGTCGAGCGACACCCAGTCTCACGTTGATGTTGCGCCTCCCGTTGTGCCGCGGGAACGCGAAGACCCCGTTTCTCACCGAAGACTGGCTAGCCAGCCGCTGGACCGAGCCACGCAACGAGCAGTGCACGCAATGCAGCCGCCCGTCGTCCTCGTAGCCTCGCCTGACGGCAGCGAGCTGCATTCCTCCGACTTCAATGTCAGCCTCCGCCCCTCTGAAAATCACACCGACCCGCCCCGCTTGTTGATCTTGCTGGAGTTGCTCCCATATAGCCTCAGCTCTTTTGCAAGGAAGAACCCCCTGCTTGTCGACTGGTTCCAGTGGAAGAAGTGGGCCGTCCAGCTCTCCGAGACAGTGGCCTGGCTCCACGGAAAGGGCTGCGTCCACGCGGACCTCAAGCCCGAGAACATTCTGGTGAGCATGGTTGGCGTGTTCAGGCACAGAGCTCGTGACTGACTATGACCATGTCCCCAGCTCACGACCGACCTCGACGTCAAGTTGTGTGACTTCAACTCTGCTCTTTTCCCCCATCCGTCGATCCCCCTCACCGACGGCCTCGGCCTGGGCACGCCCGCATACAGCGCACCTGAACTCATGCGCGGCGCAGCCAACCGCGAGACTGGCTTCAGCTTTGGTGTCGATGTCTGGAGTCTGGGCGCCATCCTCTACACTCTGGCCACCGGCAAAGAGGCTTTCTCGAGGGCGCGAAGCATGATTGACCTGCTCTACCGCAAGCGAATGTTCTTTGAGTCAGAGGAGAATGACCGCATCGCGAGGCAGAGTGTTGCAGAAGGCTGGGGAAACGTCAGCTCAAATGCTGGGTCACAGCCTGTCAGCCGAAGTGGGAGTCTGCGCAAGAAGAACAGCACCAAGAGGCATGCAAGTGGCGCTAGTGACGAGAGCTCCAAGTACCAGCCATTTGCTCAGCCTGCCCTTCGGCGCGAGCCCAGCTGCGAGAGCGTTTCGAGTGTGGCAAGCGGCCTGCTCCGGTCAGCTTCTGGGGGGCGGCAGACGAGCGCAGAGGCCATCGATACACTCCTCGAGCCATCGACACCTGTGGGTCTTCTTGTGCCGCCGGGCTCGAAGAAGGAACAGACCTCTTCGGCCCCGCACAATCTCGGCCATCACCGTGCATCATCGCTGGGAAAGAGTCACGCTAGTACGCTTCAGCCTCATGCGCCCCGTTCGTTGCGCGCTACAGCTGTAGCGAGGCCTACAGTGCTAAGAAGGACGACGTCTTATGGCGGTGCTGAGAGCGAAGAAAGCTCGTCACCAGATCCTACGAATACATCACAACAGCAGCTACAACAACAACAGAAGCAGCAGCAGCAACAGCAGCAAGATGCGATGGGTGGCCGTGACGCGAGTCTTAGTGCTCATTCTGGACATCGGCGAGAGAAGAGTGACGATTCGACCACCTCGTCAGCCTTTGGTTCACCCGTGTCGTCGCCCAAGACATCAGCGGGTCTTCGTCTGGCCGTTACACAGGCTTTAGCCGCTACACATCAGCAGCAGCAGCTATCACGACAGGCGGGCAGCGAGGGCCAGGAGACGGAAGAAGAAGAAGGAGATGATGAAGAGGAAGAAGAAGACCGTACACCGTATCGGGACGGCTCGACAGCCCTTATCCTGCCTGGCGGAGGAAGGCTTCCAGACGAAGCCAGAGACCTGCTCGAAAGAATGCTCTCAACGGACCCGAGAAGAAGACCTACGGCACAAGAGTGCCATCGGCTCTTCACGAAAATCGGTCTGTGACAGTGTCCAGTATCCCCCAAAGCCAATGAGTTACCCCCTGTGCTCTCCCCTTTCCAAATTTCACCACTGTGCCGTGTATTGTAGAATTATGTAAAATTACACAAGACGACGAATCTCCCTTTCTCTCATTCCCTCTCTGGTCGGTTGTAGCTCTAGTTCTAGATCCAAACCGAGATGAGTCTCAACAGATCTATCCTCGCACCAAGGGAAGAAATGTGTGAATTTTCAAATCTTCGGCAGCCTCGAACAAAAGATCCACGCGAAGGGGGAAGCCACGCCTGAGCATGGCTGTGTCATTTAGGCTAATGCATCATTATTGAGTATCCACACGGTACCTCCGATCGTCCTGACCCGTTTGTTTCCCCACCCCATTCTTCCGCTCTCTGCGGCACGCCAGTTCTGTTTTCCCTTGGCTCAATCAGGCATTCCAACTTCGTACGCTCCTTGTCACGCTGGCCTCCTTCCCGCCCGACTGGATCGTGAACCTGACGGCAAGGACAGGCCCTTCGACGCTCCCTTTCGGCCCCTGCCCCGCTCCTTTTTGAAAAAGGAGAGGAAAAATTTAAGAAAAGGCGCCGGCCGAGGTCAGCCGACGCGACGTAGACTCTATTTCTGACGAATGGTCCGACGAAGGGGGCTCGCCATAGGATAAGGAAAGGCAAGGAGAGATGCAGCACCGAGGGTGGTTCGCTGTCGTCTTGTCGGCGGCGGCGGTAGTGGTAGCAGCAGCGCTTTGTGTCGCACCTTCAACAGCAGCAGCAGCAGCAGCAGCATCAGAAGCAGCAGCGCCGGCTTATTTTTATGAGGCTGGAAGGAGGGGCTTGGCGGGAGGAGCCCACGTCGACCTTGTCCCGCCGAGGCGGCGGCACAACGACGATGCGCACAGTACCGTTTCCAGGACGCAAGACAAGGCGAGATGGCTGCGGCGGCAAGACAGCAGTGGCCGGCCAAATGCCAGCCTTGCGAATGCGCAGGACAAGCTTCAGAGCCTGGGCTTTCTTGGAGACGCATACAATGCGCCCATGAATATTTCTTCCGAGGCCGAGCCCCAGCTCGTCTTTGTGCAGCTCGACACGGGGTCGTCCGACCTCTGGCTTGTCTCGGCTCGCTGTCAGACGACTGTGTGCAAGGACAGCCGCGTCATCAAGTTCGACGAGACAAAGAGCTCCTCCTACCATGACCTCCAGGTCTCATCCAGCGGCCTCAATGTCAACTCCTCCGAAGGTGTACAGAGCTCTGGGGGGACTGGTACTAATGCGACAAAGATGCTGGCCTCAATCGAGCTGGAGAAGAGGAGGTTGTCGAGGGTCCTCGCCACGACTGCAACTACCGACGGAAACACAACGACTGTACCTTTTACCGTCACTTATGATGACGATTCCCAAGCAACGGGCATACTGGGCGTCGACAACATGACTTTGGCCAATCTCGGAGCCAGCCAGCAAATCTTTGGACTCGTCAATGACACCAACATCACGCTGTCTGCCCAGGGCATCTCTGGCATCCTCGGGCTAGGCTTTACGAGAGGAAGCGCGATCGCAAGAAGTCTTATGAACTACAGCGAAGCGACCATCGATGGGAGATCGACGCCCTTGCTCTCGACACTTTTATCTTCGAGCAACAACTCATACCCGCTCTTTTCTCTCTCTTTCACGGACACAGGTGGACGAATGACGGTGGGCGCAGTCGATTCGTCGATCCTGTCCACCGACGAGCAAAGAGGCCTAGTTCAGTGGCACGACGTTGAGCCATTCCCGTCAGGCAACTCGGCCCTGGCGTCCAACGCCTCGTCCAATGTCGATGCGGCAACGCTGGGTCAATACGTCTACTGGGCTTTGCGACTCAGTGCTGTAGGAGTGGGCGGGCAGAGCGTAAATCCCAAACCCACCTATTCACAGGTCGGCTCGCAGCCGCTGGCTCTTCTCGACTCAGGAACACAGGGGATCGTTGGGCCCTTTGACGCAGTCTCGGCCCTCTTTGACCAGATCGATACATCGCGCTACGTCGGGGATGGACGCTGGGCCGTACCTTGCACTGCAACTCAACGGATGTTCTTCAGCTTTGGTGGGCGCAACTTGACGCTCCTTCCGACTGACTACATCATCGGTCCGGCCTCTGGAAACCCGTACCTGTGCCTAGCCTGGCCAGCTGCTGTACAAGGCTCGACTGATGGCATCGACTGGGTGCTTGGTCAAGCGTTTCTCCGCGCTCAGTACACCATCTTTTCACTTGGAATCGAGGGCAAGGAATCTCCCAAGATTGGCCTCTACCCGCTCAGGGCGCCTGCAGATGCAACTTCGCCCTCGCAGATCTTTGCTCCGCAGGACGCCGCCTCGGTCTCTGCCTTTGTACAGGCCGCCACACCAATTGCGACGACGTTACCAAATTCGCTAATTCCGGTACCGACGCCGGCCTCGCTTGTTTCGTCAAATGACTACCTCTTTTTGAATGCAACGACGACCCCCTCTCCGGGCTACGTGCAATCAGCCATCTCTGTTCAGGGAGCAGGAGGAGCGACAAGCACCTTCAAGGCCCTCATCAGCGCCAGCAGCGACATTGTCGATATTCCCGCCATTTCAAACGGGTCGACGCCCTTGCCCGTTCCCTTCAATCCTGCCGAGCGGGATGCGGCGTGGTCCGTCTTCGGCACGTCTCCTTCCATCAGCATCATCACCTTTGTCTCTTTCATCGTGCTCGCTTTCTCGTCGGCCAACCTCGTCTGGCTCTCGAGATGAACGCTGAGCCATGCTCTTTTCTCACTGCTGTTGTTGTGTCATTACATCGTTTCTTTCGTGCATCCCGCATACCATCATCTTACTTTTCAGCGAAGACACGCCCACAATCTCTTGCATTTTCTGTCTCTGTGTTGTACAAGAGGCAACAATGATAAATGGACATTATCCTTAGCGAAATAGGGACATTTTTTGTTGAGCCCTTTTGGCTATGTGCCTCTTGTTACCTCCCCCTTTTTCTTCCATGTTTACGGCAAGCCTCTCGATAGTGTGTTCTTCTATCGAGGCTGCCAGCTACTCTTTGCCCTCCGCCGCTTCCTCGATTTCGTGGGAGAAGAACATGCTCTCGTACTTTCTACTCAGCCTAATGCGCTTCTTGGTGCCATCGAGCGAAACAACAAAGCCCTTTTCTTGGGCCTGTTGCGCATACTCTTCGAAACCGCCGACGCCGTACGACTGGTACCACGCGCCGGGTTGCTGTTGCGACGACGGAGAGTTGAGCCTGACCATTTCCGCGCTCACGCGGGATCGGAGGGGCGCAATGCACTCTACGCGCTTCTTCGACGGGTCCTGCGCGTTCATCTCTCTTCGGAGATGGACGAGCGTCTCGACAAGAGGCTTGAAGCGAGCGCGGTCCTCCTTTGTGGCTGGCTTCACCTCGACTGAGGGCAAGGGTGCCAGTGGGCTAGTGACACCCTCTTCCATGGGCTCTGCATCATTCTCTTCGACCGACTTTGTTTCTTGTTCATCCTGCGCCTGAACCATGCTGTCGGTGCTGTTGCCAGAGTCTTCGTCGACCCAATTCGACTCATCATCCTGGCCTGCTTCTCCTTCCTTTGTACTCGTTCCTGCAGCCGCAGCAGCCGCGGGATCCCGTGAGCTGCTCTTCTTGCCGTTTGTCAGGTCGTCCTTGGAAGAAGACGTCGATCGAGTCATTGCAGGCGCCGAACCATTCGTGCTGCTCTTCTCAGCCGGATCCCGCAGCCACTCGCTCAAAATAACAAGGCGCTGGCCAAGGGGTCCCTCGACGACCTGCACAATGTCGTCCTTCTGCGCCCTGGCCAAATACTTCGCGAACGCCTCTTTGGTGTTGCAAAATTGCGAAGACCTAAAGTTCTTCGCCATGATCCCTCCGACAAAGCCTTCCGTCGACGTCAACTTGCCCTCTCGGCGCTGCGAGATCAGCAAATTGGCCAACGGAAAGTAGTCGACGTTAATGCGTTCGCCCGATGGTTGGTGAGCGTACAAGAAAGCCCCTTCCGCTTTCGTTGAAGTGGACGGCTTGTCGTTTTCTTTGATGTTGCTATTGCTGCTGCCATTACCGACGCCAGGCGTGGCTGGCGATACGATGGTGCTTGTGTAAAGCCGTTCCGATTTTGGATGGATCTGCACGGTCTGTTGGGTGGGCCCGCCACCCGGGGCAGTGTAGTCCCGGAGACGAGCCACACCCGCCCTTTCGGCGAGATCGAGGTACTGGGCAAAGTTCTTCACTTTGGCCTGCCAGTACACGCCCTGCTCGATACCAAGTTCCTTGGTTCGAGAAGAGTGTAGACCTTCAAGCTGCGCGGCGACCTGCGAGGCGATGGGAAAGCCGCCATTAGTGCTACTACCTCTAAGGGCCTTGCACACTTCGATGAGAGGAAAGAAGATTTGCAAGTTCACGTCGGCGAGATGCGTCTGCGAAGACGGCGTTGATGAGGTGGGTGCGGCACTGCTGGTGACGGTTGGCGGAGCAGCAGTCGTGATGTTGCTGATGTTTGGCTTTTTGGATACGGTCTTTGAATCGTCAATGCTCCTCAGTGCAATCCATTCCGATCCTGGCACCCGATTGTCTCCAAGAACCACGATTCCCGCGGCCTGAGAAAGGAGTCAAACATGAGAAGGAGTCGAACCTTGATCGAGATATCGAGTACTCACCTCTGCCACGGCTACGTAGTCTGCCCAGCGATTGGCTCCTGCTCGCTCGTAGACGGTCTTGTCGGTCTTGAGAAGTAGTGGAGCACACGCTGAGCGCAACGGCCTGGGGTTACCCTGCTTTCTGAGCTTCTCCAGTAGCGTGACCAGAGGCTGGAAGACCTCGGGAACCGATGGAGGCGCGCCTGGGCCTTTGAGGACTGAGGCGGGGGCACTCTTCTGCGGCACTTGCGATTGTGACTGGGATGGCTGTTGGATGGGCTTTGGCCCCTTGGAGGGCGAGGCGATGCTCGCCTCTGGACCGTCTACTCGCACCCCTTTACTGGTCTTGGGTCGGTCATACAATCTACCTTGTCCATCTCTGTCGACGCCGAGGACGTCCTGCCTCCATCGCATCACGTGGTTTGCGCTTGCTTCGAGGATAGGCGCGGCACCGACGGGCGGCGTGATGAGTAGGACCTCGTAGCCGCGGTTGCGAAGGACGCCCAGCGGATAGGCAAAGTCGCGGTCGCCGGAGAGGAGCACGATCAGGGCAGGAGGACGCTTGTCAATGGCAAAGGAGAGCAGGTCGGTAATCATCATCTTGTCCGCAACGTCCTTTCTTCCAGACTTGGGCGTATCTATGAGGCTGACGCCACTGCCCTGCAGCTCGCTTCGGAGGTTGACTTGAGCAGCCGGTGTCATTGCTCCTTCGGTCGAGAGCTCGAGGTAGGCCTTGAAGCTGACGATGGAGCTCGTCGACTTGCCCTGCGTCGTTGATTGGGCAGCTCTTCTGATGGCTTGAGCGACGGTGTATCCCGATGAGCCAGTGGGCGGTGTGCAGTTGTCGACGTCCCAGAAGATGGCCACCGAATTCTTCCCCGAGCCCATTTCGGACATGGCACTGCTGGATCTCTGCCGCAACGCAGGCATAGCCTCATCTCGCTTGGTTCGCCGCTCCTCCTGCTCGGCGTCTTGCTCATCCTCGCGACCTCGTCTATTGCTGCTTCCTTTCCCGTCGTTTCGGGACAAAGAACGAAAGGAGAGAACCAGGGCAGCGCTTCCCAGGAGGGCTAGAGCGCCCGTTCGTGCCGAGGGAGACGATAGGAGCGTCGAGATTGAGCTCGAGGCACTTGTGTCGCTGGTCGACATAGCTGGCTGACTCCCTCAACCTGCCTCTGCCTCCTTTGGACTGTGTCGTCCTGAGCCACAAGACTACGAGATGGTCCTCTGATTGGTCGTCGATCCTGAGGATGAGAGTGGGTATCTTACATGACTGACGTATGCATGCGCTCTCTCTCATCTTCGACTTTCTTCGTCCGCGTGCTTGGCGAACTAAATCCCTCCACTCCAACAAGGAGCAGGCTCAGAGCGAGTTGTGGCGCGCGGTGCAGTCTAAAAGGGGCGCGGGTGAATACGACTGTCAATTGACCACACCCCACCCTTGACTGCACGAAGAAGAGATGTCGCGACAAACGCAGGCACCCTCCATACCCTCCGTCTTCCGGCCTGGCCAGAGCTCTGCGTCATCGACGTCGCTCTTGTCCAGGGCATCGTCCGCCTCGTCCGCCTCGTCCTCGGCCTCGTCGCTGCATGCAGCTCCGCCGCTGACACTGTCGGAGCTGAGCGACATTGCGACAAGTGGCTCCCACGCTTCGGCTCTTCTCATTGACACTTCCATTCCCATCGAGCGGTACCTGGCAGGAGCTGATGCGCTGGCCAGACATGGTGCAACGCTCCTCCGGCGTCCATCGCCGGGGGGTGAGAATCTAAACGAGGCCTTTATCAGCCTCGTCAAGGCTGTCCGGCTCGTCATCGATGTTCTGCCGCAGAAGCACCCAGGCTGGAAGAGAATGGAATCCGAGAAGAGACGGCTGGTCCTCAAGGACGGCGACAAGTACCTTGACGAGCTCCAAAAGTGCAAGGTGGCCATCGTTGAGCGTGGAGAGCGGTGGGGCGTGACAAACAAAGAGGCAGAGGACAGGAAGACGGCGAAGAGGCCCGCCGTAGCGAAGCCGGCCCCGTCGACGTTCTCAATGGAGCAGCCGTCGCTAAATCAGCAGCAGCAGCAAAAGACGAACAGGAAGGAAGTGGAAAGAAGCGGGAGAGCGCTTCCCCAGCCCTCAAGAAGCTCGTCCACCTCGTCTTCCAGGGACGCTAGCGGTGTGGACTACGTCAAGCCAGACAGGAGCAGTGGCCTCGGAGGAGGACTCGATGTCAGGGACATTCTTGGCTATGGCTCAGCGTCGAGACGAAAACCCAATCCAGGGCCGGTCGAGACAGCAGCCTCGCACAGCAGCAACTTGATGAGGTCGCCCTTCACCTCGAGCCCGCTGGAGCGGTTCCAAAAGTCGCACGGCCGGACAGGATCTAATGTCAGCAGCGTCAGCTATCCAACACTGAGACCGGCCGCAAGCATTCGCATGGATAAGCACCAGGTTGCGCAGGGTTTTGCACCGAGGAGCGAGCGAACCTCCAGATACTTTCAAGTCCTGCCGGATGCTGCGCCCGCGGCCACGACGAGGCTGCGTGATTCAATGTGGGGACGACCGGCGCCAGACAGAGCGCAGTCGATCGCCATGCCCGTCCCAAGTCCCGCTGTTCCACCCAGGCCATTGCCGGGTCCCAAGCCAGGTCAGGGACCGGCATTTCCTATGCCTGCGAACTCCTCTGTGGAGTCACTGGCAACTTCGATGGCAAAGACGTCGCTGCAGCAAGCCAGACCAGCATCGACAGTCGTCGAAAGCGATGCCCTTTCGCTTTTCAACGAGGATAGGGGATCTGGAAAGGACCACAGCACCGTCTCGTCGTCGTATATGCAAGGCCAAGCCGTAACGGAGGGCGGCGAGCCGCTTCGGACACTGGTCGTCCCTTCCAGCCTCATCTCGCACTTTGTCGCGATTGCCGAGCCAAATACGAGGCTGAACCTCGAGACGTGTGGACTGCTCATGGGAACCATTGACGGCCAGCTGCTCCAGGTCACCAATCTTCTGATCCCGCAGCAGACGGCCACATCGGATTCGTGCGACACCGTCGACGAGGCCTCGATCTGGTCCTTTCAGGAGTCGCACAACCTCACGACATTTGGCTGGGCACACACCCACCCAAGCCAGTCGTGCTTCATGAGCTCGCTCGACCTGCATACCCACGCTTCCTACCAGGCCATGCTGCCCGAGGCCATTGCCATCGTCTGCGCGCCAAACGACCGGCCCAGCTTTGGCGTCTTTCGGCTCACATCGCCGTTTGGTCTCAAGACAATCTTGACGTGCAAGCGGCCCGAGCTCTTCCATCCGCATATTGACGAGCGGACCGGGGAAACCGTCAAGGCCATCTACACCGATGCCGTCGAAGGCCACATTCTCTTAGCAGACTCGCCGCTGAAGATTACCGATCTGCGCAAGTGACCGTCTTTGTAATCTACAGTCATGAATCCTACCATTCGGCAGCACTGACTGTCTGTCCCTCTCGCCCCTCGGGTGCGTTAGCATAGCCAAGAAATTATAGATTTGTGGCAGAGAAGACTGAAAAGATAGTAGTAAGACAAGTTCAGAAGGCAAATTGAGATGTTTGGGTTATGATAGGAGAGGGGGAAGGGTCCTACGCCTCCCCTTCGTCGTCCTCCATCGCCGCCCTGCTGCGTTTACGCAAAGGGCCCTCGTCGCTACCGTTGGAGCCCTCGTTTGGCGGAAGCTGGCCCGATGCGTTGCCGCCGTATCTCTGGCGACAACCGTCAATGTAGTCTCGAATGGTCGCGACGCACTTGGTGTTGATCATGACATCCTTGTGTACAGTTCTGACCGCCTCCTTGAGCCCCTGAATCAGGCCCGCCAGCTTCTCGTCAGGTCGATCCATAAAGTAGCTCAGCAGGAGCGGAACATAGACGAATTCGACTGGTGACAAGGGCTTGGCCACGTTTCGTCCTGAAATCCATTCGGGCAAGATCGGTTCGTTGCAGGCGTCGTTGTTGGCGACACGGGTAAAGACATTCATGACGTTGATTACTCTCTTGCGCTCTTCGGCCGTTGGCTCAACACCAGACCGGTCCTGATAGTCACAATTGTAAGCCAAGGACAATGTGCTGTCTTCGTAGCGAGGAAGAAATTTGACGGATTTGCACTCACGTCGACAAATTTTTGAATGGCATTGCTTGACGGCAGGAACCGAGGCTTGTCGTGGTGCAGGAGGATGGCCGATATTGCTGCCATGTAGCTGTAATCTTTGCCTCGCGCCATCTTCAGGACATGGCGAAGAGTGAGCTTCTCGCCATTGACGTATCGTTTCGAGAGCTCGCGGAAAAAGTCAGGCCAAGGTCCCAGGCGAGCCGAGAGCTGCGACGTTGCTTCAAATTTAGTGCGAAGAGCAGAGCGAGGGGACGGGCCGAGGACCTACCTTTTCTGCAGGAGAAAGCGACACACCGAGCTGGACTCTCTGGAACATGTCACGCTCTTGCTCTTCCGTCAAGTCGGAGAACTCGATGATGTTGATCTGCTCGCGCGAGAATCGGTTCCTTGCGCTCTCCGACATGACATTGGACTTCGAGCTGGGTCGAATTAGGGATATGTCAGCAAATTGTCGTGGAACTGTGGCCCAGACTCAGCTCACGGATCTGGCTTGAAATAGAAGGCTCGATTTGTGTTTGGCTCCCTCAGCGGGATTTTATTGTTCATGAAGTTCCAGATAGAAGAGAGGCGCTGAGAAGATAAAGCATCAGCTAAAGCCGCAATGCAAGAGACAAGTTGCTCAGCTCACCTGCTTTCCATCGACGCAGATGCGAATCTCTTCCATCTCGCCGTCTTCGTTGATCTCATTGTGGACCGAGAAGAGCACAGGCGGGACAAAGTAGTGACGGAAGATGGTATCAATGATAGCCGACTGCTTGTCCGATGACCAGACGACTCCACGCTGGTATTCGGGCTCCAAGTCGATAAGATTGCTGGTAATTTGCTTCTCTAGCGCCTCGCAAGACATCGAGACAGCTCTCGGCGCTTTGAGAACTTGACCGAACTGAAGTGGCGCTGAGCTGCCAATGTGCAACAATTGTCAGTCTTAAGACAACTCCCCATTTCTTCGCTCCTATCAGCTCACCGCTTCGCTTTCGCTCTCTTCTTTGGCGTGAATGCGAACTCTTCCCTATTCGTCTTGACTGCAGCCTTGTCGTCATAGTCGTCGTCAGAGTCCGAGGTCTCCATTTCGTCACCGGTTCCCCACAGCTCGTCATCCTCTTCCTCCTTCGGCCTGAGGCCCAGTCCGCGAGCCTTTTGCTGCGCCGTCGGCTTCCCCATCGGCGGATGATGTCGCCCTCGTCGGAAACTCGTCACTTGTCCGAAGCCCTCACAGACCAACACTTCTTGACACTTGGGAAAAAAATAAATAAAGCTGCGCGACGTGGACGCGTCAAAGGACACACACAACCTTTTTATCCTCCAACGGGTGCTGAGACCTGCTGTGCGCTGAGAGGTTTAGTGTGAGCGCCGGGCTATGCACTGGCAGAATCAATCAACGGCGGCGACAGCAACGCACGAAGTGGGATACTCACAGCACGACAGTGATAATGCTGGGATGGATGGGACAAGGGTGATCTGAGAGTGTGGTGAAGGTGCTTACTCCTGCTGCCTGATAGCAAGAGGTGGTAGTAATTGCACTTGGTGGGAAAAGATCTGTCTCTCTTTGCCATTGTGCATATTTTAGCAGATTGTGGCCCAAGCTGAGTTTTAGAAGCCAATTGGGAAAGCAGTCCAGTTCTCTCTGCAGGACCGAGGATGGAGTCACGTGCAAATCAAGCGCTGATGAGGCCCTCGACACTCCTCCTGAATGATAGATCTGTATTCCGGGAGTGCCTCGTCATTCACTTTCGTCCGAAGCAGGTTTCACATGCACTCTCGTCAACCAAGTTTCACATAGTGAGAAAGAAGGTTGTGAGATGAGTTGAAACGGTGCACTCTCTACCGTTGCTAGGTTGGGATTTGCAAAATGTTGTCATCTGATGCATTGTTGCAGAGAGAGTGGTGAAAGCGAAAGAAGAACAAGAATTGAACAGTGAGACTACTATGATGCGACGAGGCTCTCGCTTCTTTTCCTCCTCTGCCTCTCGACTACGACAGGGTGCTGTTGTCCGCTGTACCTGCTGCTCTTGAGCGTGTCTCCGCTGCCGCTGCTGGACCCCACTGACGAGTGCTTGGACGTGCTCCGTGCAGAGACAGAGTGCGCCTCCTCGCCTTCCTCATCCCTATCCGGCCGCCCATGCTGCTGCTGCTGCTGTTGCAGTCCGTCGTCCTCGTCCTGGCCCATCATCTTGCCCATCATGCCCTCAGCTCCTCTTCCAAATTTGGCCGCGAGGACGCCCAACAGCCTAGCGGGGGAGGCTGCTCCCGCACCGCCCAATGCGGCCGCAAAGCCCACGACGAGAGGCATCGTCGTGGCAGGAACGTGCCTCAATCCTGCAAAGAATGTTGAATGGAGCGCCTCGAGCAGCGAGGGTTCCGCCATGAGGCGAGACGGCGGCAGTGGGACCCTGGCTTGACTCTGCCACCTCCACGCATCACGATCGTGTGTCGGTGTGAGAGCCACGCCGCCCTCGTCTGGAGGTGCATAAGTAATGCTGCTTTCTTCAAGCACTTGTCGCCTGGAGAGGGCAACGAGAGCCTTTCCGGCATCGGCGTCAATCTCTTCCTCCTCTGAGATTTCGCCCTGTGCCTGCTTCTCCCTCCGTCGCCTGCTGCGGTTCCTCTCGTCAATTTCTTCGCCTCCGCCGTCAAGCCCGAAGCGAATTCGAGTATGCTGCGCAGGGTGCTCGAGGGGATGGCGAGTTGCAAGGGGACCCTCATCGCGAAGAAGAGCGTCGAGGACATCGGCATCGTCGACATCAAAGACCTTTCGCAGGATGATATTGACGAGCCTTTGCGTCCTCGTCCCTCTCCTCTGCGGGGCTGCTGCGTCGATGATGCTTGCCGGTGCTGCCGTAGACGCGCGACGAGCGGTCCGGCGGCTTTGACTCCTATTGGTGGAGCTCTCGACGCCACTTCCACCACGACGTCGAGCGGATGCCTCGCCTAGAACGCTGGCACTTCTTCGCGTCTCTCGTGTGTTTGCTGTCGTATTGCTGCGCTTGCTTCCCTTGTCGCTCTCGCCCGCCCGACGATGCCTTCTCTTGGGCACCCTGACTTCCTCCCTGTTGCTTGTCCCTGCCCGCCCCCTCATCGCCAAGGGTGAACTGGGTCCCGACATTCTCGGTCTGCTTCGAGGTGCGAGTCCAGCCGAAGTGGCCGAGTGAGCCGAGGCCAGCGCCTCTTCAAAGGCCCACTCCTCTGCAACGGCGACCCTCTCTCGAGCAGATGCATACATCGCCTCTTCTTCTTCTTGGTCCTCTTCCTCCTCCCCTTCAGATCCAGATGTAAAGACGACTGGAAGAGGTGGGGATCTCGCTCTGGATGCGCGGAGGTGTGACCAGTTGGACGAGGCCAGAGACGATGCTCGCCGGCTGCGCCGACGCGAAGCCATCTCGCTGGCTCCACCTTCTTCAGACCCCGAGAGAAAGAGGGAAGAAGTAGCGTCGATCTCGAGGTCCATATCGACTGTTCCCTCTTCCTCTTCGTCATCCTCAAAGGCTACTTCCAGAGGGCTTATGGGTGCAGCAGATGACCCTCCTTCCTCTCCAACGTCCTCGTCGTCTTCGCTCCTGTCTCCTTCCCTCTCTTCTTCGTCTTCGACGTCGGCACCGTAGCTGGGGCTGTTGGGCCGCGTGAAGCGGCCAGTACCATCATGAAACGGAAAGAGAGGGCCAGCTGCTGCTTGGTTGGCGTCCCGTTGCTCGTCAGCTGTCGCATATGAGGTCGCGCCTGCAGCTTCGTCGTTCTTCGACTGGACACCGTCGACGCTCTGAGATCGCCCGGGAAAGACGATGCTCCAGTCCTGCTCCACGGGCTGGCGCGACTGGGCGTCCCTGCCCTGTCGCTGGTGCCCCGCCGCCACCGCCGACGAGACAGACGTCGTGGGGGCAGCCGACGAGAGCATGTTGCGCGCTCGACGCGGCTGATGATGAACAAATGCCATGATGATGGAGGAGGAGGAGTGCAGGGCGGGAGAGAGGGGAAAGTGGCGCGATCAGATTTCCGAGATAGAGCGTACGCGTACAGCACCCGGCGGCGGGTGCGCGCTCGGACCCTTTGAAACGGAGCCGCTGGATGGGCGCAATGAGGAGAGCTCAGCAGGACACGATAGCCAAGTCCTTGTCGAAAGGCGATCAGATTGCGACAGATTCTCCGCTGTCGTCAGCCTTGGTGGTACGGCGAAAGTCGGAAAGTGGTGTGCGGATGGCGCAAGGCTCCTCTGGGCTAAGCTAATCAATCACCATATCAGCTTAACTCTATTATCTCGCCCCCTTGAGGGGGTCACGTGGTGCACACGATTACGTTCGCGTTGCATGACCGACGAGATACGGGCGTCGTCTCTAGGTGACGTGGACGTAGAGAGGCAACATTGATCTTGATGTCATTCTTTATTGCTTTTGATCCCTCTCTCTTCCTGAGCTCCAGAGGCTATGAATACAAGGGTAATGAGATGCGCCTACAGCTGCAGGTAGCGCAGCGAGCCCTGCACCAGGCGCTCGTGACTCCACCAGAGGCTCACGCCCTGGCTCGCCAATCGAGAGTGCGCCTCGACGAGAGCTTGCGCGATGGCAGGGGCAGCATGCTGAACGAACTTCTGAATGGCCGGGTCCTGCTTGTCGAGGACGGCAAGGCATGCCTCGATCCACGGCACAGCCTGCTCTGTCGAGATGTTGTTGCGGATGACGAAGCCGGCCTTGAGCGAGTTGGCGATGCGGTGCACGAGTGCGAGAAGGACTGGCTGGCTAAGTGAAGGTTTCCCTGGTGTGACGCTCCAGAGAACGCCATGCGCACTTCCGAACCTCGACTCGAGCTGGGCGAGTGTCGAGACGAGCGGCGACATGTCTGTATCGAGGCTACCCGACGAGAGTGCAGACACGATAACATCCTCGAGATCCTGCGGTGAGGAGCTCGGAGGAGCCGGAGCGTTTGCGAGGGGCTCTGTCTGAGCGACTTGCGGTCGGGGCGGCTGTTCCTGTGTGACGCTCGAAGTCGAGGTAGTTTGAGAGGCATGGTGGGCACCGGAATGATGGCCCGAAGAGCTTTTCGTCGAGTTCTGCGGGTTCTGCGACGCTTTCACCGCATTGAGCGCCAGGACCTTCTGCTCCTCTTTGATATCGGCGAGGCTTCTCTCGAGCTTTGCGTTGCTTCGTCCCACACTCTCGAGCTGAGCGCTGAGCTCGCTCATCTGTCTGGCCATGTCCCTGAGGCTTGCCTCGCTCTGCAGGAGGGCCGCTGATTGCTCAGTGACAATGTCCTTGCGCACGCTCGTCATGCCTCCCTCGATGCGCCTCTCGATGCGGTCGACCATGCTGTTCATGACGTCTTCAAAGTGCGGCGCCAAAGCTCTCGTGACGACATCCATCGCTGTTCGCTGCACGGTGGGCAAGATGGATTGAGAAATGGAGCGAGCCAGGTGGTTGGAGATGTCGGGTCGCATGACGAGCGAGTGCATCTCCGTCGCAATGCTTTCTGAAACGGCCTTTTCGACACCGCGATGGACCTCTTGCTGCAGGAGCTCTCGCGCAACACTGTCGAGATGAGGAGCAATGTTCTGCGCAATGAGTCGCGCGGCGTCTGGACCAATCGCAGGTGATTGCGCCTGTGGCTGCTGCTGCTGTTGGTTCTGTTGCGACGAAGCCGGAGCGAGTTGTTGGCTCTCAAGACGCTGTATGAGCTTCCTGAGGTCCTCGTTGGAGACGCTGCTCGACGAGGGCGCATCCGAGCCAGACCTGTCAAAGAGAGTGGGCGTAGCTGCTCGACTATCATTGTTCCTCGAGGCTGCCTTGGATCGACGGTCTTTCTTCTTCTTTTCAGTCTCGCCTGCCCTCTTCGACTCTTTGGTCACACCGTTGACAGCCGCGTTGAGTGCAGGCCCGGTCGGCACCTCTAGCGCGTCGGCGTTGGCCATGACCTCCTGTTCCCACGGCTTCTCCTCCCCTACGATGTCTCGCTTGCTCTCTTGCTCCTTGGGAATGGGTAGCTCTTCTTCGATTGGTTTGGCCTCACCCGTTGGCTCGGCCACCACATTGCCATGTGTCGCGAGATCCTCCTCCTCCTTTTCTTGCCTGACCTGGCCCACATTGCCAAGCTCTCTCGTCGGAGCCGCTGCCAATGCCTCTCGGGGCACCCGAGCGACGTGGGTACCACCAGGGTGGAGTGCAACTACCCTGATACCACCTCCGACGGTGTCGTCTACCGGCTCAACGTCGACATCAAATGACGTATACGGCTCGGGCAATGCGCACTCCTTGATTGTTGGCGAAGCATTGGCAAAAGGTAGCAAGCCATTGCCTCGCCTGACCGAGAGCTCCTTGTGCTGATCCACGACCTCGCCTTGCTCTAGGCGCCATTTGGCAGCGGTCTCTGCATCCTTGCTATCCACCTTTTGCAAACCCTCTTCTCCAAAGTCGATCCGGATGGAGAAGAAGCTCGCGCGAAGGCTCGACGAGACAAAGAGCGTCGATTCCGGCCGAGCGAGGTTCGAGACAAGATTAAAGTGTTTGTCGTCTCGGTGGCTGAAATCGAACAGTTGCCTGCACTGCCCCTTTGCCAGGTCAAAGACTGCCAGGGTGGTATTGTTATTGAAGCCGACAGCGGCGGCGCGGACTGAGCCAGCATCGGTAAGGAAGCTCAGGTGGCCCACATTGGAGATCTGGCGAACTCCAAAAGGCAGCTCGATATTTTCGACGCCCGATTCCGGTTCGTCAGCGTGATGGAGGTGCAGGATGAGCGGCGAATGATCTCTAGCCTCGAGGACGGCAACAATGGACCCATCAGACGAGAAGCAGGCGGCCGAAGTGGAAGGATTCTGTAAAAGAGAGTCAGAGCGGTCGTTGGCGGTAAGCAGACATGATCGACTCACCGCCGGGGCAACGACACGGGTTCTGCCGGTGTTCGATTCCGCGATGACGACAAGACCATCAGCATGAACCAGCAATAGCTCCCTTCCCCCGCTAGCTGGCCTGAATATAGCGTAGACGATCGGAGCACCTTCTTGGTTGGGGAGCCGAGCGATAAGTCTGGGCTCGATACCCTTTCCTTGTCCAAATGTTCGATCGAGCGACCAAATACTGACGCCAGCCTCGGTTAGAGCGGCCAGTGTCCAAGCCTTGTCGCTCCTTTCGTCCGGAGCCGAGAAGATGGACTTTATGACGGGGTCCGTCCTGGCAAGCGCTCGCTCGCCCGACAGCTCATCCAGAAGCCGGATCTTGCCCTTCTTCATGACGTATGCAACAATGCGACCGCCAAGGCCAGCAACTTGCGGCTGAGGCCAGAGACCGCGGCCGTGGTATGAGCCTTGCGGGCTGAAGGCCGTCTCGATGAGGGAAACGGGGACGATGTCGAGCTTGGCAGGGTGCAAAGTGTTCGCTCCTCCGGGCTGCGGTGCCGAAAGCTGAAGGACATGGGTCTGCAATCCCTCTTGCTCGGTAGTCGAGTATCCGCTGGAGATGGCGTCATCGAAGCCTGACGATGCATGCAGGCCAGAGAGGTGGCGGTTGGCATGCATGGAGCGATCGATGGCCAGGCTCGCCGGTGCGTTTTGCTCTGCAGCCTTCGACTCGACCGAGACATTGGTCTTCGATGGCTCCTGCGCCACGCTCGGGGAGTCGACAGGCTTCTGCGGCGGCGGCGGCCTCGTTGCGCTTTCGGATGACGTCGCTCGAGCCGCGGCGCTCGGGGTTGAGGGTGCCGAGGGCTTCCTGCTCTTCTCGAGCAGGTCAAAGGGACTGACAAAGTCGAACATGCTTGGCGTCTGCGGTTGGGCTGACGCTCCGCTCAACGATGCAGTCTCGGTTGGTGCTGCAGACGAAGCAATTTTGCGAGCAGCGGCGGCATCATTGCCGTTCTCTCTTGGCGCAGTCGATGGCGTCTGTGGAGGGGGTGAGATGGGGTTGGGAGCAGGGGAGGATTGGGTTTGGAAATCGCCAGTCTGCACACCTTGCCCCTTACCACCTCCTGTCAGGAGAGCAAGAAGGCTATCGGCAGCGTCGTTCGAAGGGGCAAAGCCTCGGTTGGCCGAGGGCGATGACGTCGAGGACGTCGTCTGCTGGAATTGGACCTGCGCTGACGAAGACGACGGCGGCTGCTCCTGATCTGCCTCCTTTGCTGTTGCCTTTGCAGAGGGTGTCGACGAGGCCGAAGACAGGTTCAAGAGGGCTAGCAACGAATTCGAAGCCATCGTCCCTGTTCTTTCGCCAGCCCGCTGATATTGCTTCGACGCCAATGGAAGCCAGAGGAGCGAACGAAGAATTTTTATGTTGACCGATAGAAAATTGACTGTCACACACGCGTCGTCTTCGGCCGGGATCACTTACATATGATCAGCCATCAGAGACGACTCGAAGCAGGCAGTGGACGGAACCCTTCAGTGTAGTGTAGCAGAAGTAGCGAGATGGGGTGAATGCGAATGTGAATGCGAATATGAACGATTTACAAGGAGGTAAAAATGTGCAGAAACAAGGAAAGCTAGCAGCAGTATGTGTGTAATGATTAGAGGAGAAGGTGATGCAGTAACGAATGTGGACAACTACAGTTGACTGGTCTCGTGATTGTTGGTTGTCGCCGTCGCCATCGAGGCGAGAGTGTGGGAAGCCGGGACTTGCTGATTGTTTGTCAATGGCGCGTTGCTATCGTTCCTCTGGTGGCCTTCCTCTGGTGCCTTTTCGTGGCTGCCGTTTGCTTCTGAAGGAGGCGTCGTCGTTTGCTCCTGGCCTGTGCCAACGTTACCGTACGAATACTCGGACATCTGCGGCTCGCCTTCGGTATCTTTCTCGTGCTGGACGTCCTTTCGGTTGCGCTTGAGCAACGGAGTAAAGAGGTCGTAAAGGGTGAGGAAGAAGAGGTAAATGATGGGTAGCCCGGTCACGACAATGAGAACGAAGCCGACAATGACGCGAGGAATCGTCGTCACGTTGGCGGCAGGGATAAAGGCAATGCAGACAGCCCAGGCGGCGATCCTTGAGAAGCAGAGGAAGATGAAGACGAAGTCCGACTTCTTGTCTCGGCCCACTCGCAAAACGCAGAGGACAACAAAGAGGAGAACCTCGAGGACGAGGAGGCCGATGGCTTGTCGGGTGCCGTAGCCCTGTGCAAAGGAGACGAAGCACGCGCGGAGGATAGACCAGGCGCAGAAGGCGGCTGCGAACCAGTAGTACTTTGGCCTAAATGGGTGAGCCATGGCGCCCCATCGTTTCGCGAGCTCGCTGCCGTGGGCCGGCGGCGTGTTGTTGTAGTAAAGATCCGTGGGCGATCCGCGACGAGCGTACTTGATCATGGGATAGAACAGGAGGCCAGCGAGGGCGAGCACGATGACGAAGAAGATGGCGGCGACCAGATGACCGACCCAGGAGTCCCCATGGTCCCACTGGTAGAATGCGAAGATGAAAAAGACGGGAAAGATGATGAGGAAGTAGCGCCCAAACATGGCCAGGCTCAGGCTACCGAGGAACTCCTTCGGCCGCATGATGCGATGGCTCCAGTGGTTGACGTTGTCGCTGAGCTTGCCGTGTCGCTCGATCGTCAAGGCCCGCAGCAGGAGCGCGACAACATAGACGAGGAGCAGAGCACCAATGACGATGGCCAACAAGATGAACATGGAGACCAAAACGGTGAGGAAAGAGTTGTCGGGTGCAATGTAGAGCCGCTCGGCAAAAGTGCCGATGTCGCCATTGCTCGTTTCGTTTTGCGTGACGATGGGCAGCTCAACGTTGCTCCCTCCAGTAAGCAAGCTGCCGCCAGGACCAGTGTTGGGGGCATACATCTGCCTCTTTGCCAGGTTGTGCACGTGGACATGGCTATCTATGGGGCTGAGGGCCATGCCGGGCGTGTAGTCCGACGACCTCGACAGGAATTCCATGCCGCGACGCAGACTCAAGCCGAGGGCGCCGCCATCAATTGACTTGCCGCCGGTCGAGGGAGTGGGCGTGCTCTCGCTGAACGGATTGTATTTTCGGCCGCTCTCGGCGACAAGGGTCGTACCAAAGGTGGCTCCGTGATTGCCTCCCGTGTTACGTCTCGTCTTCGTGATAGAACTTTGAAGCGAGGGAATGTTGACGAGGCCAATGGACCAGGCAAAGTTCAAGCCGTAGCTGAGGAAAGCCACGGGGTAGTTCAGTGTGAGGAGCGAGGTGATGGCTGGATGCTGGATTGCCAGCATGACGTCAACGATGCGCCATTGTGCTGCTCCCGTCGACTGGGCAATAGCCGAATGGAGGAGGGAGCTGAACAGAGCCAAGAGGGCGAAGCCAACGGTGGCCCACAGCACGGCAGGCTGCTGCGTCGTATGGCCATTATCGAGGGTGGCCTGGACGCAGCCGACAACCTCGTTCGTGTTGATATCGGTCAGCTCGACGGTAGCCACGGCCTCGAGGTCGGGCACAGTGTAGGCGATGCCAGGGATTTCGCCAGCAAATTGAGTGGGAACAGGATAAATGCCACCACCACTGAACTGGTATTGAGGCAGAGGACAGAGGATGCCGCCTGCAATGTCGCAGAGGTTAAGATTGACGTTGAAAACACCGAGGCCGTATGCATTTACGTCGAGGCCAACGGAGACATTGAGGTCGTCCTTTGTTGATGCCGCCGAGAGTTCAAACTCGAGGGTGGAGTTGCCGGGGTAAAAGGTAAGAGACAAGTCGGTGACGATGATGGCCAAAGGAGGGCTGCAGTAGGCCGCGGAGGAGGTGTCTGGTGGAGAAATAGGAGTACGTCAGGCCGATGTCGTTGCTATTTGCCGCAGATGGGGGGTCATTACTCACAAAGCTTTCTGGGTGCGTCAATGCCTGATGCCGCCTCTGCGCCCGTAAAGCTGCTCATGGCCCCCACGATGGCTAGACAAGTGGCCGCTGCTCTTCTCCATGTGCTCAGCCCCTTACTTCTCTGCCCTCTTTGCGAGGCGGGGGTGATCGATGGACCAGCCTCCATGATTGCCTTGACGCAGGCAGACAGGGAGAGCGGCACTTTCAAAACGCTTTGTCGTGGCAGCGACGACCGGACGATAGTCGGTATGGCTCTCTCGCGTCGGTTGGCTTGATCGCTGGTTCCCCCGTCCTGGATTTGACAGGTTCCAACACGTCAACGCTAGAAGCAAAAGAAGCCTCTTGGCGGCGAGGTGTTCGCTCGATGTAGCGCAACTGATGGGAACGAGAGCTGGCTCGCGGGTGGAGCACGGCGACTAAATGGAAATTTTAAAAACTGGTTTATCGGCCCGTTCCCGCGTTGGGGTATATCACGATGGCAGCGGCGGCAATCTCGATAGGAATGGTTGTTGCTGAAAGAGAAAGAGTCGGAGGAGTGCGAGAGAGGCGACAGCGACGACGACAGCGACGAATGACGAGAGTAAACGAGACGACGGGAAGGAGAGAGACGAACACTGCGGGAAGAAGGTCGATAAGGCCAAAAGAGAGGGAACCGAAGCTGATGAAATCAATCTGGATCTAATTAAAGCATCTTAGTCTCCGGCGCAGGAAGATTTTTTCTGAAATTTCGCTCTTGCTGAGGCTTGGGTGTGCAACTTCGTCATCGTTCTGCAGAAGCGCTGGCCCCAGCACAGCAGTCGATCCCTTTTTAAAGTGATTGTTACATCGTCGAAAACTTTATCCCCAAGGTCGCAACAGCGAGGAAACGGTTACAAATTTCGATGGGGCCTCCCTTTGTCTGCACCTGCTCTCGCTTTCCCTCCATTTCGCCCATCTGTGTCAGACTCCAGGAAGTCTCGGGCAAGACTAAACGCTTAGCGTGATGGCCAAGGCTTTTTATCAGAGACACAAAATGGAAAGTGGACCCTACATTCACTATTCGTTGGCCTGGCTCGCACATAGAAAAGGGCCACCTTTGATGAAAGCATGCCTGATCGACTCGCTCGGTAGCATTGTACCGAGAATTACGTCGAAACTCAACGGAAGAGGAGTAAGTCCGGAGCCAAGCAACAGCGGAGAATGAATCTCTAGCGCTGGCGAGAGGCTGTTGTGGCTTTTGTTAGGCCGGCCCATCGGTGGCTTTATTTGTGGTACAAGGCAGGAAAATTGAAATGACGTCGTCTGCCGGCATCGGAGATGTGCTCGGGGTTGGTGGGGTCAGTCAGGGCACTGCAGAGCAAGACCGATTTGCGCTTTCGAGAGTACATCTGGTCCGCTCCAAGCAAACGAACAAAGGACAGCTCAGGCAGACGAAAGAGATCAAGATTGGCCCGTCGTTCAATTTGGAGAAGGCGCTTCACACTAGTGTATTGTAGTCTCTTCCGTGATCTTCCTGGATGATCACTCCTCCACACGTTTAAGCGCAAGATGACTGACAGGTCCTGACAAAGGAAAGCTTGCTTGTTACTCAGATCTCGTTTGTGACATGACAGAAGTAGCGTCAGTTTCCCTTCAAGTTCAGAAGGTAATTCATCAGAACTACGCGGGCACTTAGCCAAGGGATCGGACGGCGGTTGGCTACAGCCGTTTACCAAATTAGTCCAAGTAATGGTTCGTATCGCAATATCTGTCGATGGGGCCCGGTTGGTTACTCATAGAGCTCGCTGTGCCTGAATCGTTACCAACAATGGTGGGGGAGCACTCGACCTTGCAGTGATTCGATCATGCAGAGAGAATTTTCTCACTCTCTTGCCTCGTCACATCATTCCAAACCGCTCTGTAAACTTATCACAGTCTACATGGTTTCCGACACATATACCCACATCAGCGATCCAAATGGGCATCGCTATGCTTGACTCAAAGGCTGGAAACGAGGCAATCATGTTGGGCTTTCATTTGGCCGACGAGAGAATAATGTCTTGATAAGGAACAGGAGAAGTAGTCCCTAAAATGCATGCAGAAAAGAGGAGTCGTGCCGTAAAACAAGCTCAGTACCTTGATCGCCGCTTCCTTTAGCTCCGCCGCGTCCTTCCCCTTCTGTATCACTTCTACCGATGTTGTCCTTGTCGTTTTTTTCAGTACTGCTGCGCGTTCGCTTTCTGACTCCGTTTAAAAGCTTCCCACGGGCCAAAATGCCCTTGGTAAGCACACCGTGAGATAATCTGCGTACACAGTCTGGAAGAGAGAGAAGAGCAAAGCGTTACAGGCAGGTCGAGCTGCGCGTGACCGTGGCTTTGATGCGCACGGTTCCGTTCTCTTTTTATCCATTGTACTGTCCTGTACAGAACAGCAAAAAAGGGATCTGTGCGTGGAAGAGAAGTCCATTCTATGGAGTACAAACGGCTAGAGGATTCGTCCGAAGAGGGTTAAAAAAGTATTGGTATAAGGATGGGGGCTAAGGGAGTGGGAAGAAGAAAAGGAAAGAGAAGGGATGGGATGGGAGCAACAAGGGCGCCCCGTGCGATTAGGAAAAGGCGGCAAGAGGTCTAGGAGCATGGCGGTGCGCGTGAGGCCCGAGCGACGATGGCCGCGGTGGCGGCTGATGAAGCCTTGATGTTTCCAAAGGGGGCAGGGCGGAGCCTGTGGAATTTTTTCGCACGGCGGTCAATTGGAATCGAGCCCGGCCCTTTTAAGCCATGGGGCATCGCTCTGGCTTCTCCCTTTCCCAGAGGCTCGCACTCTGTGGACGTCAGCATGCGAAACACTCAGTCTCCCGATTGAGCAGGCTTACGATAGACCTGGGCCTCGGGCGCTAGGTACACGAGGGAACGAAAGAGGGGTGCGATTTCGAACGAAACAAAGCCGAAAAAGGGGTAAGGGCGACGAAAACACAACACTCCGCCGCCCTTGGGCCACATCATCGCTCCTGCGGAGCCCGTTGCCCTTGAATTGTGCCGCTGTCAATCAAACGGCGGCGGACCTTCGCTCGCTTCGCGTGCCAACCCACTCTCTCTCTCTGTACTCAGAGTCGCTGACCGCTTCGTGCGTCGTTCCTCATTGCCGTCTGCGTTGACATCATTCCCTTGTGGTCCCTCCGAGTCTCCCTTACCCCCTCCTTTCTCATACCGTCGCCCTTCGTCCATTTTTTTGACGCTGGCGTTTGCCTATTGCTCCTCCGTCTCGCCCAGGAAATCTAGCGTCAGAAAAGGCCTGTGGCTACATAACGGCAGGGATGCAGGCGCATGAGGCTCGCTTGCCTGGTGCTCTGACATCGCAACAGCCCAATACACCCACCTTGGGCCATTTTCCAACAGAAGCAGCTGGGCAGATGCAATCGGTGTCGCAAAGGAGCAGCCTGACAGGGAGCCAGCGCAAGGCAAAGGATGAGGGCAGACAGGCGCCCAAGGACGAGCTTAATCTGCCCTTACCCCCTCTGCATCTAGACTTCAGTGTGAAGGGCGACGGTTCGCGACCTCTGTCATGGCAACGCTACCACCGCCTTGGGACCCTTCAAGATGCTTCGGCAGCCGTCATTGGCAAAGGTGGCTTTGGGACCGCATACAGGTTCAACCGCGATGATTCCTTTACGCCGCCCGAAAGTCTTTCGTCGACGAACCACAGCAGCGACCAGCCGAGCATTGCGTTTCACGGCCGCAGATCCCACCAGCAGCATCGCTCAGACGAGGTTGATCCAGCTCTGCTTCGAAACCATCAGCCACAACAGCTGCCACACCATGGCATGGAGGACGTCACCGATCTGCGAAGGATGGCAATCTTCAAGACGTCTGAGGAGGGGATGCCTGTCTCTTCGTCGAGGGCACACTACACGCACTCGGCACCAGCATCGCCCATTTTGCCTGCACACCCTGTCAAGACTGGCCTGGCGAGGTCATCCAGCGGTGGACAGGCACAACCGCGGTCTGCTAGGGCGCCCGCCGTCATCGTCGTCAAGGTGTGTCGCACACCCACGAATGGATCCTACGACGAGCTTCCAAAGACGGGCTTCGGCCGCCACGAAGCAAAGACGGCTGCCCAGGAAATTGCAGCGGGCAATCCAGTGGGCCAACACACGAGAATTGTTCGAGGCGAGGCCAGACTCTTGCGCTACCTCCAACTCATGCACTCCCTTGAAACGTCCCACCTCGCACACCGACCACGGCTTCCTATCGTCAAGCTCCTCGCCGACCTGGCTCACGGTGACTACGACGATGGCCGTAATGGCCCACCGGTGCCTCGGCTCCTCGTCTTTGAGCGCCTGGTCGACCTCGACGCCGAGCTGACTCCCAAGGGATGGGCTCGAGGTAAGCAGCTGTGGACCATCGAAAAGGTCGAGAGCGTATGCAAAGATGTCATATGCGGTCTCAAGGTGGGTCCCTACCTTTCTGTATGCAAAAGCTTGGTGCTGATGCGGTCCCCTTTCCTTTGCAGTTTCTTCACGACCATCACATTGCCCACGGTGATCTTAAACCAAGCAACTTCATGCGTGACGCCAAGACGGGCCATGTCAAAGTCGGTACTGGCCTGGCTTTCTTCGTGGTACTCAGGACCTAGACTGAAAGCCTTCCTCTTTACAGCTCATCGACCTCGGTGCCTCACGAAGGTGGGTCCGGCTGCACAACGCTGAGAAGGAGCGCACGTCGGCGGTCGAAGAGTTCGACTGCGCGGTGCGTGAGGGCGTCGTCGAGCCGCAATTGCCGGGCAGCATCGTCTGCGAAGGACTCGGCTCGCTTACCGGCTCGCCACACTTCATGGCGCCCGAGGTACTGCTCCAGGCAGGCCGCTACCTTGCTGCTGACGGCATAGCGCGGAATCTCCTCGATGACTACTTTGTCGACAAGAGTCGCCTGCCGCCCGTGCCCAGTGCCCGTCTCTTCGATGCGGCCGTCGACGAATTTCGGAGAGGGTGGGGCACAAAGGCAGACGTCTGGTCATGGGGCTGTTCCGTCATTTCCCTCCTGCTGCGGACACTGCCCAAGGATGAGAGGCCAAGCTACAGCACGGCATGCCCCTTTGACTTCTCCTTCGAGGTCAACTGCGATGCACTGGAGCCTATGTGGGAGCTGCACGAGTCGAATGCGACGCTGCCTCGCTTTCACCAATGGGCTCGCATGTATCCGCTGCGTATCATGGAGACCATCTACCAGGGCATCAAGCTGCCACACTATGCCGCCCTGCTGTCGCCGCCTCTGCGAGAGGCACTGCAAGCTTGCTTTTTGCTCCAGCTGCCCAGACCGTCGTCGTCGGATATTTGTGCCTTCTTTGAGCAGATGGCCATCCTTCCCTCTACAACGGACAACGGTGAATACGCCATCAACGAGCACCACCGGCATCACAGCCTCTACCAACACGAGCAGCAGCTCCCCAATCATCTGATCGAAAACCGAGCAGCGTCACCTGCACTGCTGAGTCCATTGTTCAGCACCCATCTGCTCGCCGGTGTGCGCCATCCAGGCAATACATCGTACGTGTCGCATCCGGACTCGATCCATAACATCGATCTGGCTTCCTCAGTTGGGGGCATCTCGGAGCATCAGCAGGCACCTGCGACCGGCGCCTCGGCTTCGGCGATGATGCAGTCTCCCATTCGCCCAGCGCACTCGCTCTACAACCGGCCTGACCAGTCGCAGAGTCAAGTCGCACTGCCCTCGCCCGCCCTCCGGCCGGGACCGACGACGGACCCCTTCGCGCGCTATACGGGTCGCTCCCCAGTCACCACAACCGTTGGGCCTACTCGCAGCCCTATATCTGTAGCGCTTCCGCTCGAGATGCAGAGTCAGCACCAACACCCGCAGGAACACCAGCACGATGAACGAGCACAGCATCATCCGGCGGCAGATAAACAGGTCTACCTCGATCCGTTTGACGAAGAAGATCGCCGTCGATCGCTCCAGGTGGCTGGGACGACAATGCCGACAAAGTCGGAAAGTCAAGACCGTCCCCGTTCACCTTGCCATGATATCTCTCCAGATCAAGCCATGAGCTCGCCACGATCTCCAGACCAGAAACATAACGAGATATCAGCAAGTAAATCGAAGGAACCACAAGAAGAGCAGCTGCAACGAGTTGTGGAGGAGGAGAGAGAAGAGAAGGAGAAACCGATAAGGCCTATCGAGACCCCTTCGACGCTCTTCTCGATTCCCCAGGTCCAGCCGCCAGACGATGACAGCGAACAGAGTGGAGAGGTCAGACATCGAGATTATGCCAAGGAAACTACGGCAGAGAGGCACAAGGAGCCCCAGAAGGAGCAGCAATACTGCGACATCAATTTGCGTAGTGGCGAGAATTCGGTGCTGCCGAAGAGGGAGCCGGCTAAAAAGAAGTCAACAACACTTCTCAAGTCTCTCCTGCCCTTTCATAAGAGCTCTGGCAGCCATCGACTGTCGCAGTTTCCCACGTCAACGCCATGGAAGGAGGGCGACAGGTGCGAAGTAGAGATGCTTGAGGAAACGTCAAGTGCGCCAAGACAGGGGACAAGAGATGCTGAAATGTCATTCGTGGCAGAGAGCAGCGGCATCTTGGCCCAGGAACAATCGATGAACTACTCGCAGCCGTCCGAGGACCAAGAAGGACGATCAATGCACTCAGACGGTGGCGCCTTCCATCCCCCTCCGCCCATTCTGGTCCCTCCACACAAGCGTACGCAAAAGGAGCGCTCCTCTCGTCGTCCAAGCGGTGCACCTGATCCGACGTCGTCTTCGGAAATGCCGTTACAGCAAGAGACGAATGCAACAGAGCAGACCGATACTGCTGGCCCAAGTATCGTGAAGTCAATTGCTTCGCAAGTGAGATCGACAAGCAGTCCGATCGAAACATCTCGTAGCAGGTCAAATACTGCTTTGAGAAGGTCTAACCAGTCGCATCAGCGTACGGAGACGTCCGAGACGCCTGCATCCCCAGCCTCATTGACGATAAAGAAATCGTCTCGACTTCGGGTCTCTAGGAGCTTTGCCTCCATTCAAGAGGCGGCACAACACGCTGGCCATTTCATCAGCTCAGCGCTGGCTCCTGGACGATTGTCAAAGCCGAGCCCCCCTAAATCTTCATGCATGAATGCGGCCTCTTCAACAACCTCGCAAACTTCCTCGAGGACAGGGACAGCCTCTACTTCTTCGATGGTTTTGACTGCGGCGGGTCAAGCCTTCGATGCTGACCAGGTAAACGCGGACCTGGAAGATTCCCGCTCGTACACCGCAGAGGTTGGCGCTTCAGAAGAAGTATTGGCCCCTGTCGTTGACGGACAAGCAACTCCTGTCGCAGCCCCTCTTGTCAGCGACTCTCACGCTTCCATCGAGCATCGTGCAACGACCCTTACCTCACCCACCGCTCGAAGCCACCCAGATCATAATGAGGTCGGCTGCGGCGGCGTCGGTGCTTCAACGTCGTCTTCACCTTCTTCAAACACTTCCTCGACAGGCGGAAGAAAGGCGAAGACGTTCAGTCTCATGTTTCTCCGCAGCGCGAGCCACAGCAAGAAAGCCAGCTAGTTTATCGGATTGGGTGAGGCTATTGAGGTGGGCAATCTGCGTGCCTCTACCCGTCTCTTTGTGACCAGTTCTGTACTTTTACATGCACCTAACGACCTGCTTCATCTATCTACTCATGCTTGGGCGCTTTCTGCTCCTTCCCCTCGAGTCCCTCCCCAATCTGTGCCTTCGTGCTGTCTCTCTTAATACTATCCACTCTTGCCATGGTGCATTTGCGAGGGCAACTGTCTGATCATGCCACTTGCGCTCAGAACGGACCGTATCAAGATAATTCAGACAAAGAGAGGGACTTGCTTTGACTGATGATCAACAGCAGCCTGATACAGTGCTCGTTTGACGAGGCCGCGCACGAAGCCAACAAAGATCTCCTGATCACCTTGTGCGACGAGATCATGGCGGCGTACGCATGGCTCATACTTCCTTACTGGATCGGCGATTCCGGCGATTCCGAAGGACGACTGCGCATGGCGGAGAACGAACGACTGCCAGTGCTGGTGCCACAGTCCGAGCACTGTCGTCATTTCAACATCAGATTCCTTTTCAGCGTCACCGCCAGCTCGCGCGATTTGTATATTTCTTTCCATGCTTATGGTCTCCGCCGTGTCGCCACCCCGCTCCTGAGAAAGAAAAGCCGCAAGGTCAAAACAAAAGGAAAGAAAGGGGAGCTCGACTGCCCCCGCTGTCCGTGTGTGTCCTTGAAACGAGGAATGCCCCTTCACTTTCCTCCACCTACACCACCACGACGCCACCAAACCCCCCCCCCCCCCCCCACCCATCTACACTCGAATCCCATACGTGATTTCCCCCTTCTCTTCCCTGCTACGCCCCCGAGACCCATTGCACTCCCCCACGCCTTTGGGTGCCAGCAGCAAGCCACCCATTTGGAGGGAGAGGGGATGAAGGGGCGCGGAGGGGGGGGGGGGCACGACGGGAACGTGCGTAGTAGGTGATCTCAACCTCTGGCACCCAGCCCGGCAGACGATGCCTGAGGTGCTTGACGGTCCACCATCGGACGGGATGGGGAAACGGAGGGCTCATCTGCCAGCCGCCAATCGGCTCAATGAGCTCATGGCCGATTATGGACTCTGTCTGGTGACGCCCCTGGATCTGGGCACGTACGAATTCGACAAAGACAAAGAAAAGGAGTCGACCATCGACTTGGCTTTTGCCAGCAGCCATCTAGAAGGCCGCGTGGAGCCGCTTGCCGTCCAGCTCTACGATGGCAGGACCATGGAAGAGATGGAGGGTCCCCCCCCCCCCCCCATGAAGGTGGACACACGCACCGTGCAGTTGGACCGTGTTGCGGACAAGATCGAGGCAGTGGTGAGGAAAGGCATCCAAGAAGCGAGACGACGGACTGGGTACACGGATCTTTCTGTACAACGACATCCTTACGATGTCCTAGTAACGAGGGCCAGGCCGCGACTTCTAGCTCTAGCTATTGAAGAGTGAGGCCCTAACAGCAATTCATCGATCACGATCCATCCATAGACGTCTTTGGGACTTAACACAGCAAGTTCTCTCCCTTGTACACCGGTAGTATTCAGCGGCCTCCACATTCTCACGTGTACGCGAAGACCTAAGAAAATAAAATATAGGGCATAGTTTCTCGTCGCCATTGGAAAAAGGGTACCTCGTCGTCGTCTAGCATGTCGTTCTCTCGACTCTGGGACCGTACATTTGCTTAGAAGCACTCTCCGAGGAGCTCTGCACAGCAAATATCTTCCAAACAACAGCAGGCACACGCTCCGAGCTGTGAGAGAGAAAGAATGAGTGCCTGGGGCGAAAGAGAGGAAAGAAATGCGGGAGACTCACGCAGCAGGCGACGCTAAAGATGAATAGTCACGAGAATAGGCAACACTGGTGATCAGCGTTTGCCATTGAGAGCAGCAGTGCGGCAGAGACACTCACCAGGGACCGCAGCATCCGTGCTGAAATTGCATCGAAAGTCAGAGAGCAGAGGCAGAGGGAGGACGATGGTGTCAGCAAATAGGATCGCAACCGAGATTCAGTCTCTCTTCTGTGCATGTGGTGCTTCGATCGACCATGTAGCTCTCTCCGCCTTCGACGTCTTCACGCTTCATCTCACCTTGTCTGTTGGCTTCATGCGTCAGCATCCCACCAGACTAGAAGCAGCAAAGAAGGACTTACCCTTGGCGCTGGCCTGCTTCTGCTGCAGCGGAGTCATGTTCTGACCTCCGTACTCTGTTGTCCGATCTGTCAGTCTTTTGCAGTCTTGCTCCGCGGGCAGCGTTTACTCACGCATCTGGGGCTGTCCACCGTAGCCCTGAGGAGGGCCGCCATAGCCACCCTGGGGGTAGGCGCCCTGGGGGGCGTAGCCCTGGGGCTGCTGGGGAGGGTAGTACTGGCCCTGGTTCTGGGGAGGTCCGCCGCCGTAGTACTGGTTAGCCGCCATGGTGGATCGGTAAAGCTCCGTTGGGTGTTTGTTTGAGTAACGTTGAAAAAGAGGGGCAAGAAAAAAAAAGGATATCTAGAAAAACCAGATGGTGGTTGTTAAAAGACGGAGATCTTCTTCGGAGCGTCTATCGTAAAGACTCAGACAGTTAGGAAGGGGGGACACAGCCCTTGCCAGAGCGCCCCCCGTTTCTCTCTCCCCCTTTCGCCTGGCGGCCGTCCGGAGTTTTTCTTTATTTCGTCTGAGAGCGCGCGCGCACGTACCCATCAGACCGACAGTACAGTCACACTAGCTAGAGCCACTAGCTACTACGTACTACAAAGGTCTGAATCGCGCATGCAGCCTTTTTTCCCCGTCCTCTTGTCGAATCGACTACACGCACCTACGTACTGGACAAGCACAAGAGGAGGATGCAGCGGCTTGGGGCAGATATCAAAAGAGCAGCATGGGGGATACAATTTGCCCGTAATCGATCGACGCACCGTTTCATCACCAATTGATGTAAGAGAGGAAATGGAATAGTGATATGGGCATTTCGATATGACTGGGCCCTCGGCCCATGCTGTTGCTAGCCTCGCCTGTCATTCATTCTCTTTGATATTTTTTTTTTCTTTTCAAAAAGAGCTGAGGATAAACGCTAATGTTCAAAGTAGATGCGAGCGGCAGATCAGCTAAGGCAGGCAAGAAGCCCCCTCTCTCTCACCCGCATCTGCCGCCGGCCGCTAGCAGCCAGCGCTTGGTTCATAGCACTGGAGAGGCAAAGCCATCGTTGACCCCATTCTCAGGGACGCTGAGGACTGCCAAAGGTGTCATTCCACGACTGGATGGCTGAATCGCTCATCCGCAAGGTACAAATGAGGAGAAATAGATCTGAGAGCGAGATATGGACAAGGGAAGCGAAAGAGAACGTCACATGTCTGTAGAGACGTAGAGGAAAGGAGCTGTTTTTTTTATACGTGTGAGGTCGATATAGCGTCGCCGTGAGAGAATAAAGAAAGATGCCCTGTCCCGAGGAAGGAAAGAGGGGGCCGAAGAGAAGTTGGATATGGTACAAACGAAACGCAAGAGCTAATAACGAGAGTGAATGTATTCAGGCAACGGTGGCCGAGGGGCGAGCGGCGCTGAAGGATGCGGCGCGGGGACTGGCGCAGAGCTTCGACATGGCTTCGCGGCGGGTCCTCGCGTTGATCCTGGCTGCAAAGTTGTGGGCTTGGAATTCGGTGGGTGGTCCACGAGGCTGGCGAGAAGGCTGAATGAGAGCACCCTCGACGGACGAGACGCCGCTAGCGTTGGCTGCCTTGCTCTCAGCGGCAAAGGCACGGGTGCGGGGGGCTTCTCGAATCGAGATGGCACGAGGTGTTACCTGGGGCACCTTTCGCGAGGGATCGACACCGCTGAGACGAGGCTTGCTGGCTCCATTGGGCATTGTGGCACAGATGTCCTCTTCGCTCGTCTCGGGCGATTCGTCGTCGCCGCCATCGGAGCCAGAGCTGCGGGCGCTCTCGCTCTTTTCCGACTCGCTGTCGTCGACGACGATCGACGGTGTCTGGTTGCGAGCGAATGACGACGATTGCGAGCGCCAAGACACAGCAGCATCGGCGGCCGCTGCGCTGGCCTGGCGCTGACGACGATTGTTGTTGTTGTTGTTGTTGTTGTTGTTGTTGTTGTTGTTACTGGGTGAGTCAGAGCGCATCGTGGGAGGAGATGCTCGGCGGTGGGGCTCCTGCTGCTTCATCATGTCCTCGAGCGGGGCAGACATCGACTGCAGCTGTTGCAGGTAGTGAAGGCGCTGGAGAAGGAGCTGCTGTTGCTGCTGCTGCTGCATCTCCTCTTCCACCTGCTGTTGCTCGACGAGCTGAGCGTAGCGCTGCTGCATCTGGCGCTGGCGGAGGCTGGCTTGGATGCTGGCCTGGGCTGCTTGACGCTGCTCATGGGCAGAGTAAATGCCCTGGCTTTGCTGCTGGTTCTGGCGCTCATGCTCCGCCTGCATCTGTGCCAAAAGCATGCGCTGCTGCTGCTCCTGACGCAAGAGCTCGAGCTGTGCGAAGGGGGTGTATCATGTGAGTATTTGTTGGTCTTCTTTTGCCTTGTGATGTGTACGGGAAAAGCCAGGCCGAGAAGTAGACACTCACCTGCTGCTGCTGTTGCTGCTGTTGCTGCTGCTGCTGTTGCAGGAGTTGGTTCTGCATCATCTGCGCCTGCTGCATCTGCCTCTGCCGAAGAAGCTGAGCCATGTCATGCGACTGGGGCTGGCCTTGAGCGGCACCGTAGAGGGCTGCGAGATTGCCTCCTTGGCCGTCGTTGGTGGCTTGCTGCAGGCGAAGGGCAGCGAGCTGCGTCTGCACATCGTTGATCTGCTGCTCGGCGGCGGCTTGCTCAGAAGCAAAGGAATGCGCTCCCCCGTGGTGGGAGCCAGGTGACATGTTGCGACCACCAGGTGTGAAGACGGCAGCATTGGCCTTGAGCAGGCCGTTTGGCAGGGGCGAGCCGCCTCCTTGCTGCTGCTGCTGCTGCTGGGAAAAGTCGGCCTCGAAAGGCGAGCTGGAGCGAGGTCCTCCGGTGCGAAGACCTGAAAGGAGCTGGGCACGAGAGCTCATTGTTGAGGTATTCGTTGGTGTAAAATCGAAGCTCTGGGGTCGGTGAGAGCGTTTGGTTGTAAGGTCGAGGCGATCCTGAAAGAGTCAATCTTGTGATGGAAAGCGTCGATGTGCAAAAGACCGGTCCTTTGCAGGGGAGTTAGCTCCTCTTTGTTGTTGTTGTGGTATTGTAAAGTGGTGGCTGCTGTCAAGGCGAGCCGAATAAAGGAGCTGGCTGGTATAAAAATTCGCTTGGGTCTATTGATTCGTTGTTCGACGACGGGGCGCTCAGCACCAAGGATGCCAGAGTCGAGACGAACAAAGTTGTTGGAAGACAGAAGAAGTCGGCTGGTATGTGTGTGCTTGTGTGTGCACGAATGAGATGAGACGCGGAGATCTAAGCGTGGCTTGAATGACTGACTGCTCCTCAACCGATCGATTGATGGATACGCCTCTGGCTGTGTCTCTGTATGTGTTTGCGTGTGAGGTTGTCCAGCTCGATTGGCTGGATAGAAAGTCGATGTGAAGGCGAGAAGCGAAGTTGTATACCGAGACAAAGCGTTTAACGAAAAGGTGAATGAAGAACACAGTTGCTAGGCGAGAAGGGAGAAAGAAGGCGACGAGCTCGAAGGGCGAAAGACGAAAGAAGAACAAGAAAGAAAAAAAAAAAAAGCCAGACCCTCTGGCCAGACGTCGGCGAAACGTACGAAGTCGTGTGTTGACGAAAGGGTAGTCGAGACGAAGACACAAGGAAGAGACACGGGCCTGATGGAAGAACGAAGAAAGAGATGAGGAAAGAGAGAAGGTAAGATGAGGAGAAAGAGGGAAACGCTGAGGGAGAAAAAAATAACAAGGGCGCGCGCAAGGCAGTGAGGAGGCAGGCCGGCAGGCGGCGGGCAGGGACAGACGGACGGAAATCAAAACCCAGGGCGTCCCTCGTTCGCGCCCGTCGACCTGCATCTGTCGCGGGCACCTCGACAGTGTCCGGTTGCCACCAACAAACTCTACTATTTAAAACTCATGTCTCCAATAGTGTAGCCTCATTTCAAAAAATAGCAACATATTTGACAGCAACTGACCGTGTGCTCGTCGAAGAGTAGTTTAATTGAGTCGCGTCCACGAGGTACCCCTCCTTGCAGCGCACCACTGCTGCTCGGGAGGCCCTCACCGGTCTTTGGTAAAGGCTTACGCAAGGAACACAGCTCCGTCTAAGGTGGAGCCCAGCGAGCAAGAAGTGAGGGCAACGAGCGCCAAGTCTGAGATGGTTGTCAAACCAGGCTGAGAAGAGCGGCTCGCAACTTGCAGCGGTGCTGACCTAGCTAGGTCGACGACGGAAGCCCACGGAAATTGGTGGGGGACCCGGGCCGTCTTCCTCTTCCGTGCCTGAAGACCAAAGAGCGCCCTGTATGTGTTCCCACACATACTGTCTCCCTTGGCTGTCGCCCCCGCAAGGTTATTGCTCAGTGACGTCGGGCACCCAATATCCAAGCTCCATGCCTCCAGCTTTCTTTCTCACACACGCAGTCCCGTGACCCAGCACTTTCCGAGGGCGCAGCGCCGTCGGTGTTCAATGTCCGATGCAAATAACGAAGAGGTACCGTGTCTTGATCACTGCATTACTGGGGGGTTGTTTCTGCTATCCTAATGTCGAATCTGAGCCGCCGTCTGCGGTCAAGAAGTCAAAGTCGGCGCCTTTGTGGGCCTGCAAAACGTGCTCTTTGTACAGCTTCCTGTAGCCTCTGCCCTTGACCCTGAGCCTCCCTTTGCCGTGACTGAGCTTCCAATCTGCCAGCCTCTGATCATACTCCTCCTTGCCAATGTCTAGGTGCAATCTCCTGGCCTGCACGTCCAGCTCGATGAAGTCGCCCTGCCTGACCACGGCCAGTGGTCCACCCACGGCCGCCTCTGGTGAAACGTGAAGGACGATGGCTCCATTTGCCGTCCCACTCATCCTGCCGTCCGAGATTCTTACGATGTCCTTGACGCCGCACCGTGCAAGCTTGGCGGGGATGGGCATATACCCAGCCTCGGGCATGCCCGGGTGGCCGACAGGCCCAATGTTCTGCAGCACCAGCACGCTGTTCTCGTCGACGTCCAAGTCCGGTGCGTCAATTCGCGCAGCCAGGTCGGCCGCCGAGGAGAAGACAACGGCTCGCCCTCGATGCCGGACTAATCTTCGGTCGAGGACGGCAGACTGCTTGATGATGCAGCCCTGTGGCGCGAGGTTGCCAGTCAGGACGCAGAGGGCCTCGGCAGCAAAGACGGGGTCTGACAGCGGCCGGACGATGCCCTGGGGATAGTCATGAAGCGGGAATCTGTCCAGCTCCTCGCCGAGCGTCGAGCCCGTCACGGTTTTCGCGTCTAGGTGGAGCAAGGGTCGCAAATAGGAAAGAAGACGCACAACGCCGCCAGCTGCGTGCAGGTCCTGCATGTAGTTGAGCCCGCTCGGCTTGAGATCGACGAGCAGGGGCGTCTTGCGGCCAATCCGATCAAAGTCTGCGAGCGTCAAGTCGATGCCCGACAGTCGTCCTGCAATGGCGAGAAGGTGGACAACTGCGTTTGTGCTGCCACCCACGGCTTGGAGCACCGTGATGGCATTCTCGAAGCTTTTTCGCGTCAGGAAAGTCCGCGGCGTCGAGGCCGACCCGGCTCGGGCGGCTTGAGCTGCGAGTTTGCCAGTCTGCTCGGCAATGCGCAGCCGCGCCGAGCTGTTGGCGGGTGCGGTCGCACTCCCCAGCGGTGCGATCCCCATCGCCTCGGACAGGCACGCCATCGTCGAGGCCGTCCCCATGACCCCGCATGTCTGTTGGGCGACTTGGTTAGAATCTACAGCCCGAGAAGGGTATCGACACCAACGGTCAGTAACTCACGCCAACGCTGGGGACCAGCTCGTTGGACACTTGGGCGATCTCTTCGATGTCGACGAGCCCGGCTCGATGCTTTGCCCAGTAGCCTCTGCAGTCCGTGCACGCGCCCACGCGCTCGCCTCGGTGCGAGCCAGTGACCATGGGACCCACGACGAGCTGAAAGGCGGGCACGACATCGGCCGATGCGGCGCCCATCAGCTGCGCTGGCACCGTCTTGTCGCAGCCGCCAATCATGACGACGGCGTCGAGTGGCTGGGCCTTGAGCATCTCTTCCGTGTCCATCGACATGAGGTTGCGCAGGTACATGCTTGTGGGCGCAGCAAACGACTCGTGAAGCGAGATGGTGGGAAAGGGGATGGGCAAGCAGCCCGAGAGGAGCACGCCGCGCTTGACGGCGTCGATCAGCTGGGGCATATTGGCATGGCATGGGTTGAAGCCGCTCTGCCATGGATACCTATTAGCAATGGACTGCTTTATTAACATGGCGAGAAGTGAGACTCACACCAGTGTCGATGATGCCGACGATGGGCCGGTCGAGCGCATCGTCAGAGTAGCCGGCGCCCTTGATGAAAGCCTTTCTGAGAAATAGCGAAAAGTCAACGTCGCCGTAAGTCGTAAGCCCCTTTCTCATTCCCTGACGCGGGTCTCCGCTCGCTTCTTGCCCATCCAGCGGCTGATGGCTAGGCCCGCTGTTGTCCCCCCCTACCGTCACCATCGTCGTGTCGTCAACGTCGAGCAAACGTCGAAAGGGGAAGGGGAGCCAAAATTTATAAGTGGGGGCTATCGGACTCCTCCATCGGCTCTTTCCGTCTGCAGCTGTGGGAGGCGTTCCTGTGTGCACTCCAGCACCTCCCTTTCCGCGGCTTAAGCCGCACCCAGTGGCTTGGCCTCGAGCTGCATGAGCCATTGTTGCACCGCTGCTGTCTGCTCAGTGGCTCTGGCTGCTCTTCTCATGTGACTTGCTCGCAACATTCGTCGATCTTTTTCATGCTGAAAATCACACGCAGACGCGTAAGACAGGAAAACATTTTGCATTCGTCAAGATGAGGCACTCCTTTTACAAGAGACTAATTTCAGAGTAGCACCAGATGCGGTGAGCCAGCCTTGTCTGCCTCCTGGTTGAGGACATCAATCTCGGCTTGTGTCCAAGTGATGCCGTTCTTTTCCCGCTTCTTGGCCTCCTCGGCCTCGATCTCGCCTGGGAAGTAGATGCGCTGCGTGTCCGGCCTCCTGTCAGAGCCCACGACGCGCTGGTAGAGGTAGTCGAGTCGCTCCTTGAATTCGTCGAGGGACATGAAGAGATCAGGCTTGATGGCGACGAGAAAGTGGCCCACGTCGGCCGCCTTTCTCGGGTGGTACGGGCTTGTGACGTGTCCCGCAAAGGCTGAGCCAGACAGCACGCCGCTGAAGACGTCCATCATGATCGAGAGTGCCGACCCCTTTGGCCCACCCATGGGCAGCATGGAGCCCTCGAGCGCAGCCGCTGGGTCCGTCGTGGGTTTTCCCTCGGCATCAATCGCCCAGTCGTCGGGAATCTGCTCGTTTCGCCGCTTGGCCTTGTAGATTTTGCCGCGAGCGGCCACAGAGGGAGCCATGTCGAGCACAAAGTCGATACCCTTGTCTCCCCCCGGCGCACCACAAGCGATGGGCGAGACGCCCATGAGCTTCGACTTGCCGCCCCACACGGGCAACTATGATGGTGAGACCCGTTCAAGTCAGCTCTTGAGTCTCATTTACTGAGCGGAAACACGCGGTTGGAGCTCACAGCAGGGGAAGAATTGGTAAAGACGAGACTCATATAGCCCGCCCTATTCGCCTGTCGGACGAAGCTGGCGCTCATTCCAAAGTGGTTAGAGTGCTTGACCGAGGCCATGCCGATGCCAAAGACCTTGGCTGACTCGATGCAGGCCGACATGGCCTTTGTCGCCGCCAGGAAGCCAAAGCCTGTTAATTGTGCGTAGAAGACAAATCAGCACAGCTCAAGCAAGTAGCACTCAGGAGGGACAGCGTGAAGGATACAGACCATTGTTTGCATTGACCTGATGGACGACGGGCGTGATCTGCTTGACTTCGATGTTGGCCTTGGGGTCCAGCACACCCTGTCGCACTCTCTCCATGTAAGAAGGGATCCGATTGGTTCCTGCGACCCACGGGCTCTTGTCAGCATCTATCAGAAAGATGTAAAGCTTATGAATAGGCTTTACGCACCATGGGTGTCGACGCCGTGCAGGTCTGCCTCGACCAAGCATCTGGCCACGATTTCAGCGTCTGCCTTCGAGGTGCCATTGCCAACGAGGACGCCCTCTACGAAGCGGCGTGCCGCATCGGGAGCCACTCGGCGGAGTTCCTCGGTCGCCATTGTTCTCTCCTTTGAGCTTCACTCTACCCTTCTCTCTCCTTCCTCTGTCTCTCCCTTCCTCTTTATATCCCAACGGAGAATAGAGCGGAAAGAAGATGGAAGGACCCGGAAAGAAAAGTTTAAAAGACGGCCGTTGCCCCAGATGCAACACGGAGAGATGCGACTTTTGATCGGAATTAGCCGTTCCCCCACTCCGTCGATCCGCGAACAGATTGGGTTGGGCAAGACAGGTGGACTCTAATTTACCTTTTGTTTTTTAGGCTCGTCCTTCTTCTTCTCCTCGCCATGGCAGCATCGACAATGACGGATGCACTCCCATTTACCAAGCCAGGCGTCGCCATCGTGACAGGCGCTTCGTCTGGCATTGGGCGCGCAGCAGCCATCAGCCTCTACCAGGCGGGCTGGTCCTGCGTCTTGTCAGGCAGAAGGGATGTCGAGCTCCAGGAGACGGCACGGCGAATGGAGGCTGCTGGCCTTGCTTCGGACAGCCAAGCCAGTATTTGCTGTGTGTGTGGCGATTTGACAGCGCGGGGCGAGATTGAAAGACTGTTTAATGAGACGGTCAAGACTTTCGGTGAGTCTCTGTTCCTTACCAGCCTGTGGTGTGGGGGACAGGCAATTGAACGGATCTCTCTTCCAGGACGAATCGACCTGCTCTTCAACAATGCAGGTGTCGGAAATGCAAAGGTGGCCATGGAGGATATACCATTTGAGGACTTTCAGTCGCTGCTTCAAATCAACGTCGCAGTCCCCTTTCGGTGCACACAGCTGGCGATCAAGCAGATGAAAGCCCAGGTGCCCATGGGCGGTCGGTGAGTGTCTTGAAGATCTGCAGCAGAGAGCTCGAGGATTCACAGTCTTGCGTCAGGATCATCAACAATGGCTCCGTCTCGTCAGTCACACCCCGACCCTTGTCGGCCCCCTACACGCTTTCCAAGCACGCCATCACCGGTCTCACAAAGTCGACGGCCCTCGACGGAAGGCAGCACAATATCGCGTGCACGCAGCTCGACATTGGAAACGCACAGAGCGTCATGTCGGACAGCAAGACCGGTGGTGTCCTCCAGGCCGACGGAAGCCTTCGACCGGAACCGTGAGTAATATCAAGCCTTTTGAGATACACTGGCCCTGACGATGCGTAGGGTCATGGATGTTCGCTACGCCGGGCATGCGGTGGCCTACCTCGCCAGCTTACCGTTGGACGTCAACGTTCTAAACCAGGTGAGTCTAAAGTTTCGGTAGGCAAAGGACGAAAATGTGTAACTAAAGCTCATTGCTCATTCTCTTGAAGACTATCATGGCCACAACAATGCCGTTCGTTGGAAGAGGTTGAAATTGAGAATATACAGATGTAGAGTAGTACTGCCAAATTTATGCGGCATCCCTCGTCGACAACGAGGTGAAGCCTGCGCCACCCTTCTCTTGCATGCCCTTGTCCTTGCCTGTAGTATGGCCATCGATAGCCTCGTTGTTGCCGAGCGCGGGGAGCTGCTGCTGCGCTCTTGCCACCTCTTCGGGCACCTTTTCCCTGCCATTGCCCTCGAGGTCTCCGCTGATGGGCTTCTTGGACGCCATGCCGATTTTCCACCATCGCTGCTCGAACAGCTCGTCCATGCTTTCCAGACTCCGGCCCGACGTCTCTGGGATAAAGACAAAGATGTAGATGGCGGCGAGCACGCCGATGCAGGTCCAGAAGGCGAAGAGTCCCCATCGATCGAGGGCGGCGAGCATCGGCTGAATCGCGCGGCTGCTTCCGTATTGGTTGGCTGCGAATAATGAGCAGAGAAGTAAGCGCATACTCGGTGACGAATTGGAACACAAGGGCGACGTACCAAAGTGGACACACATGATCAGCGAAGAAGCCATGGCTCTCAACTCCATCGGCCAGATCTCAGTGCCGATGAGGTACTGGATCGTGTTGAAGCCCAAGGCCCAGCCGACGCCCGACACGAAGATCATGACGATTGCTGCAATTGAGGCCCGTTGCTGTCCTGCCGACTGGGCCGCGTCCTCGTTGGGATCCACCGTGCTGAGGAAGATGGCCAGGTACAGGGCGGCAAGTGTCTGGAGACCGATACCGATGAAGACGGACCTCTTACGACCCAGGAGGTCGATCAGGAAGAACGCACAGCAGAGGCCGGACACCAGCTTGACGATGCCAAAGATGCCTGAACAGGTCCGAGAAGAAACGTCAGCAATGGGGGGGGGGGGGATCAAACAGAAGAGCGAGGAGAGGCAGGGGGCTAGACTTACCAGTAGTGTAGAGAGAGGCATTTGTCTTGACCCCGACGAGTTCGAAAATCTTTTGTGCATAGATCGTCAAGCTACCGCCGCCGGACCACTGACCGAGGATCTGAATGCCGAAACCGATGACGATGAGACGGTAAAGATTGGCGGAACGGGCGAACAGGTGCTTGAAAACGGTTGCGTATGTGTGTCCCTCCATGGCTTGAGCCTCTCGCTGGCTCTCCTCGAGGATGGCGTTGAATTCGTCTCTGAGGTACGGGTGGTCACTTGGCATGTTACGGTACCAGCTGAGTGTGTTGAGGGCTTCGTTGGTCTTTCCCCTCTTGACGAGAGATCGCGGCGACTCCTTGACGAGGAAAGTACCAAGGAAAAGAAGGCCGGCGTAGACAAAGTTCAAGCTCACAGGCACCCTCCAAACTCGGGCGCTCAGCTTGGGGAACCCTGACTGAGAACCCAGGTTGGCAAAGTAGGAAAGGGTGATACCGAGATAAACCATGGCGGAAAACACCTAGTGCGATTTGGATTCTTGTCAGCTGTGGTGTTGCGGGACACGCCATGACACAGAGTATAGTTTCTTACAGTGACGGCGAGACCACGGATGGTCCTGGGCGAAATTTCTGAGAGGTACGTTGGGCAGACAACCGAGAAGCCGCCAATGCCGATCCCAGCCACGAATCGGCCACCGTACGTCTGTCCGAGGCTGCCGGCCGAGGTGATCCAGATGGCAATGCCAAGGATCCAAAGGAGAGAGCAGAGCCGAATAGTGTTGAGCCTGCCGAGGCGATCGACAGCGAAGAAGGCGAAGAGAGCGCCAGGGATGTTGCCGAGCTGCACCATAGAGACGACATTGGACTGCGCAGAACTTTTATCGTCGACATTGAACTCAGTCAACCACGCTTTGGACGCGGTGAGGCTGCCAATGAGACCCTCGTCAGTGCCTCGACCGAGGCCGGCCAAGCCAATGAGAAAAATGGTGGCAAAGAGACGCCAGTTCAGCGCCTCGCGCGGCGTGCTTTGGATATGGTTCAGCAGCGGCATGTCGTCGATGAGGGGGCGTAACTGAGACGATGATGGAGAAGGGGAAGAGAGAAGACACAAGCAGACTTATTAATTAGCCCAACGGCAGGCCCTCTTGCCTCTTGCTGCTGGAGGAGCCCAAGGGGCAGGCAATTCGCTGAACTGCAAAGCAGATGGACGTGGGGTCGGCAAAGGTTGCTCATATCCTGGGCGATTGAGTGCGCATTGAGGATAGCAATAATTAATTTCCTTGCCCAGGCTTGCTAGACTCGCAGCCTAGCCGCGGGTCCCAATATGCGCAGGAGTCGGCAAGTGCCTGAGTTCCGTCGGCATATTCACCGTGGGGGAAAAAAAGGCACTATCGTGTGCAAGTTTGCGCGTCTTCCTGACCCTCGCCAAGCTCACTGCACCAGAGCGTTCAACTCCAGAATTTCTTCGCGGGGCCCCTCGGGGGCGAAAGGGCCGACACTTGCTTCCTTCTGATCAGGTCCAGGTGAGGCACCTGCACGCTAGTACTGAGAAACGACGACAGCACTAGCGTGTAGTACCTGTACTTGGACACACGATTTCCCAGCAAAGTGGATGAACTATGTTCCTTGTCCCTGGCCTCTCTACATGACGGGGGTTTGCGCCGCCCTATTCTGGGGAATGGGGCTGGCAAGTTTGGGGAAAGTCTGCTGCGGACACTTATGCTGCTGAGCAAGACCGAGAAATTGTGCAGCCCATTGCCATCGATGTCGACGGCGATTGCTTGGCCTGCTCTGGATCCGCTCTTCTGGTCTGTCACGAGCTAAGCATGAGCCGGGGAAGCCGGGGAAGCCAATAGTCAATTCGCCCTCGGAGCTTGAGATATGGCGAAAAATTACCGTACAGGTCGCTTTCTCGCTGCTCTAGCCGCCTTGGTTAGCCGATGCCGAGCTGGCTTGGCGCCCGGCTGCTTTCGTGGCTTCCGTGGCTTACACGCAGAGCTTTCTTACATCACAGGCCGCGAGCAAATCGTCAAGACGTCAACAAAAGAGGCATTCAACTATCTCTGGCATTTGAGCAAGCAGGCTCGATGTAGCTGCACACCAGCGCTCGTATTCTTCTCATTACTTGACTTAGATGAAGCGCTAAACAGATCTCGAGGAGACAGGCCACCTCATCAACAAAAGCTACTTCATGTGATTGAAGGCGGACTCTTCTGGCTTAGTCCGCAGATTGGCTTTTGGCACTGCATGGGGTATTCAGATCAGCTGTCGCGCCCTTTGCAGCCAAAGGGACGGGAAAGGAAAGACTCACCGTCGACCTGAGACTTTGTGTCAAAGTCTGGAATCACGCTCGCGTCGATCCACTGGCCATGGACGCCGGAACGGATGGCAAAGGGTAGCTGGATGACTGCGGCTGGCTTGGAAAAGTCGCGAGTGTCGATGACTACGACCTCGTTCCTGTTGAGGTCCAACCGGTCGACAAGGGCCAAAACAAAGCCATCGCCTTCTTCTGCATCGGGCGAGCGGGGGCAGAAGACGGGCTAGTGGAAGACAAGTGTCCGCTCGGTCAGACAGCTGCTACCTTTCTGGCCGCCAGAGAAGCTCCAATCTCACCTCCTGGATCAGGCAATTGTCGCCCGCATAGTACCAGTCAACCTTTCCGCCCTTTTTGCGCTGGTAGTGGGCCAAGCCGTTGAGTCCTTGGAAGACGTTTTTGCCGCCATCGCTCTTTTCGGGCATAAAGACGTTGATGAAGGCCGAGCTGAATTCCTTGCCCATGAATCGATTGTCAATCTGTGGAAACTCGGAGGGGACGTCGAGAACCACTTCGGGCGTGGGAAGCTTCTGCGCAGGGTCGGAGCGTGGGTCGATCGTCCAGCGCACAAATTGAGCCTTTGGTGGAGGAAGTGAGGCGGCCTGAGCGTCATGTCCCCTTGTCAGCTAAGCAAGGCCAGCGAGTGAAACATCATGGTAGAGCACACCTTCTTGACCTGCTCGGGGTCATCAGGAGCTGTCCAGAGTTACGTGGCGCTCGAAAATGAGCTCGCGAGAGATAGCAAGGGGAAGAGCCACTTACGGAAGAAGGGGAAGGCGTTGCCATGGACAAGGCTGCTATCGATGATGATGTTTCCTTGTGCGTCCTCGTAGCCCGAAGAGGTGTGGATTGGCATGCCGTTCTCCCAGTGGAACATCTTGACCTCGGAGGCGCTCTTTGCCTTCCGTGGGATCACATACCTTTCAATGATCTTGCTATCAGATGCTGCTTCATGATCACCGAACAGGCTCGAGCAGACGAACTGACACTCACCAGTAGACTGGCTGGTCGTAGTTGTAGGACCAATGATGACCGCCCTTCTTCATTCGTTCGAGGTCGGCATCGAAAGGCCAAACCATAAGACACAGGTAGTTCTGCGTGAGTGCGCAATCGTGGATGAAGTAGCAGCCCTTGCCCTCGAACCACAAGTCATTGACGACCTTGCCGTCCTTGTCGAGTTCGAAGAAGTAGATGTCCTTGGAAGCGAGGCCCTTTGCCTCGTAGCCAAAACCCACGAGGTTGCCCGTGGCGGCGTCGAGCTTGGGGTGAGCCGTCATCGTCTTCGAAGGCAGCTTGAACGGATTGTAGCCCTTCGTCTCCAACGTGTGCGGGTCCAGCTCATAGGCTTGGGCAGACTCTTTCATGGCGAAGAATTTGCCAGCGTGGACGGCGATGTTGGTGTTGGCCGTTGAATCGACGGCGTTGCGGACACAGGGGTGATAGGTATAAGGGTTCCTGTACAATCCAAAGAGAGACTTGCGCGCATCCATCTCGAGGATCAGGCGGTCCGTCTCGACGTATCGCTGGCGATAATCAACGTGACCGTTGTCGATGCGAAAAGCGGCGATGGTCCCGTCGCCGTCGATGGGCACGTTTCGGTTGCCCGAGTCGTAATAGGTGGGTGGCACGGCGGGGTCGGGCAGGATGCGGTAGAAGGTGCCTCGAATCTCTTTGGGAATGTCACCCCGTACGACAAGATCGAAGATGGTGCCTTGGAAGCGGCGAGGCATGCCGCCACCCGAAAGGTCCTGGGTCGTGGGCCAGCGCTGGTTGGGGAGCATGTCCGTGGGATGCACGAACGGAGTCGCCTCCTCGGTCGCGGCAGCTGGCAGCTTGTCGCCATGGAGCTTCAGATTGGCACTTACAGGGTCGGAGGCAGTCGCAGTCGCAGTCGCAGCAGCAGCCATGCTTGCTTAGATTCCTCGATTGGGAATGTCAGGGCTGGTCTCGAGGCGTAACATCGCAGCTTCCAGCCCTCGTTCCTTATTTATAAATAGCCAGCCAGCCATTGGGCAGTTCAGGCATTCCGGCCGGCAAAGTCGCAGACAAACCGGGCCACACAAGGCAGAAACCCGCCCGACAAGACATCACGACGTGGGAACTATCCCGTGTTGGGCAAGCTCCCTGTTGTGCTTGCCCGAAGCCCCGCAATCTGGCCTGCAACTTCCCTCTTGAGACGGGGTCCATGCGCGTTTCTTTTCTCGTGCGAGATCTAATCGCGCGCGTACTAAGCTCGTGGAAAATGGCTGGCTGGGCTTCTTCCATGCGGGAGGCCAACGGACGGCCATTAGCATTGTGTTACATACACAGTTGTTTGTCAGAGAGAGGAGGAGAGTGCTTGCTACTACATTACATTATAACCCGGAATTCACACCAAGCGGATCATCCATCGCCGAGACGGCCAGCGGCGCAGGAGATGGGCTGGGAAGTTGCGGCGGCGGCGGAGTCGGTGCCTGTGCCGATACTCGGACAGCAGCAGCAGGAGGTGCCGGCTTGTCCGCTGACACCGCCTTCGTTGGCTGAATCGCGAGAGATTTTGGCGCTGGTGTTGGCCCGTCCTTCGTCCCCCGTTCATCTTCGAGTCTTGCAAAGGCCCTATGGTTGGGGAGTGGCCGGTCCTGCTTCTTTGGCTGAACCTCCTTGGCCTCCTCTCTGTGATCTTGCTGCTGCTGCTGCTGCTGCTGCTTGAGCGCGGTCAGAATTGCGCCGTCAAACTCCTTGGCAGAGCCTGTAAGGACATCACGGGCATGCTTGATGGCTGTGAGACTCATCAAAAACTCCACCTGGTCCCTTTCTCTCTCCTCTCCTTCGTCATCCTTCTGTCCCTCTTTTGACGTTGCCTCTTGAGCGCTTCCCTTGAGATAGTGCCGCTCCAGTGCATCGATGCACGACGTCAGAGCAGTTGCGACAGCCATGTTACTCGCCCGCAGCGCATCGAGTTGCCTCTCTGGCTTGACTTCCCGTGGCGCGAACCGACTGGCGTGCATCGAGGGAGGAAAGCCGTCTGAAGACGTTCTTCGGGAGTCCTCAGCCGCAAGCGCGCCAGCCGCCTCGACGCCGCGCTGAATGGCGATCTGAAGCGCTCGGTTGATGCCCAGGGCGCTTGACTGCGAGTAGATGCCGCGTGCTATATCCGAGATGGCTCCGTACGGGTTCGTGACCGACGTTGGGGGAGAAGAGGTCGCCGCCCTTGGCTCAGGTGACGGTATCACTGGAGTGAAGGGGGGCGTTCCGAGCAGGTCGTGGTTTTCCTTCACGCAGGCTTGCATCGTCACCTGGGAAGCGTTGTAGAAGAGTGACGACGCCTGTCGGGCCAGCAGCGCCGTAGCATTCGGTCGAGGATACTTGAGGAGCACCATCAATGCCTCCGAGTAGTCGCTGGCGGCCAGTAGCTCGTGGCGGATCCGAAGGAGCATAGCGACGCACACTTCGTCGACCAGCCGCATATGCGGCGATCTTGCCAGCAACTCATCCCAAAGATGCAGGCTTTCGCTGAGGGGGAACTGGTGGCCATTTAGTCAGTCAGACAGAGACGTAAAGGAGCGACGCAGGACACTTACCTCTCGGAGAAAGAGGAGACGTAGCCAGCGAAGCGCAAAGAGCTGCGTTTCCATGCCAATCACTTGCATGTGCTGGGCAAGGAGTGGATCGACCGTGGCAAGGATGGCTTCGATAGCCTGACATCGCTCCATTATCGGCGTCAAGTCCGCTGGCCGATTCCAGACATACCACGCCTTTGCATGCTGCATAAAGCCCGCAAAGAGCGAATAGGAATCGTGCTCCACGTAAGCCTCGTCCAAGACGAGCTCGGTGTCATCATCGATGCCGCGACCTCGCTTCAGCCTCTCGCCGAACCGTGTGATGAAGATGGCAGCGGCCAGCTCGTGCATTCCCTGCCGATAGCCCACCTCGCTGTTCTCCTTCGCCGCCGACCAGACAAAAAGAACTCTCGTCAGAAGTTTCTGCGCATCCTGACCTCGGAACCGCTCATCCTCGGGAAAGGTCCTGTGCACGTCATTTCTGATCTGGTCAAGCGTCGTAAGGGATTCAAGGTAAGCGTTCCATGGGTTCTCATCGTCGAGACTGAGCGGGTTGTTGACGTCGAGATCCTGTTGTTTCCCACGCGAGGGAGCTGTGTCCTTATCTTCACCCTCTCCTATCGGCGGTGCGAGGTCACTCGGAAACGTTCCGTCGGGCGCACGAAGGATTGAATCGCGAAGCGTGGCGTATCGACGCCTCTCCTGCCTCACCTCATCGACCCATCGAGACTCGACGCGTCCATCTCTTGGGGAGGGCGACGACAGCTGCGAAAGGCACAGCTTCCAGTGCAGCGAGCGAATCGGCGCGATTCCACCGTCTCCTTGCTGTGGCCACTTTGACTTCCACTTGGCTACAATGGCTGACTGCCGCGCCTCTTCGTCCCCCTCGCCCACGATCATCTGCTGCTTCCGTCGTTGGTCCTTTGTTCGAGGTACGCTCGCGCGGCTCAGATGTTAGGAGTGGAGTATGATTACATAATCACAAAGCTCCACGTGCAATACGTCGAGGCTCTTTGCCTTGTTGCTGCAGTGCGCATCAATTCAACTTCAGCTGTTAAGACAAGAGCAGTCTAGGTACTCTTGCAGCATGTGAATTACCTATCATTGACCTTGGAAAAATCCAGCTAGTAGCTAGTAGTATCGCCACGGTCTTGGGCGACCCCCTCGGAAAAGGTACCACTAGTTCTCGGGAGGGCCCCATTCCGACCCCCTTAATCTTGACTTGGCGCGCCCGGTCGACTCCCGCTAGCGCGTTCTATCTGACGGTAGAAGTCGCGCGAGACCTTCTAGCCAAACAACGAACAAGCCCTCAATTTATATCTAATTAGAGCTCCATACGATCTGTCCTGCACAACTAGCTGCCGCGCTTCAAGGGGCCGACCATCGAGAGAAGTCAGAGTAGCTAGTAGTGTAGTAGTAGCAGTAGTATTCGTGTAGTACTCAGTGAGTAGTAGTAGTAGTAGTAGTAGAAGATGGCATGTAGTAGAAGTAACAAGAAGCGTCAGCACTATAAGCCCAGGTTCCAAGCCTGCCGGTTCGTCAGTCTGTTTGCTTCTTTCCACCGCTCCGCTCCCTCTCCCCACTTTCGGCTCCTTGTGCTCCGTCTGCGACCTTGAGGCATCGTTTGCAAGATGCAGCTCAAGTTGACTGTCATTACCCTAACCGTGGCACTGTCCACGACGCTTTCCAAGGCAGCGACGGTTCAGAGCTCGAGCTGCAGCTCCGACTCATCGCGGGCCGCTGCCGTCAAGGCGTCGTTCCGAAGCAGCTTCGAGGACTACCTCCAGTATGCGCGCGGCTCCGACGAGCTCCTTCCCATATCCAAGAAGGGCAGTGGAGGCTTTGGCAACTGGGGCGCCACCTACGTCGATGCCCTCACCACGGCCCATGTGATGGGCTTTGACGACATCGTCAAGGACGGCATCACGTTCACAAAGTCTGTCGACTTCAACCACACTTCGCAGACGCCCATCTCGCTCTTTGAGACGAATATTCGCTACCTCGCATCGTGCCTCTCGCTCTATGAGCTCACGGGCAAGTCGGACAAGGGCCTCATCAAGCAGGCCAAGACGATTGGTGACCACCTTCTTGCTGGCTGGGTCGGCGACAACGCGATCCCATACAACTCGCTTGTCAGCTGGAACGACTTTGGCGCGCCCGATACGTCCAACGATGCCATCATTGCCGAGGGTGGTACGCTGATTCTTGAGTTCGACCGCCTGTCCAAGTACACAGGAGACAGCACCTACCTCGAACACGCCGCAAAGTCCATGAAGGCGATCGTTGACTCGGTCGCAGTGCTGCCCGGTCTATATGGACAAGGCATCAGCCCAAAGACGAACCAGGCCACCAATGACTACGTGACATGGGGTGGTGGCTCTGACTCCTTCTTCGAGTACCTCATCAAGTACGGTCAACTGATCGGCTCGACGGACACATACATCCCCACTTGGGTCAACTCTGTCAAGTCATCGGTCAAGAACCTCATCACCCATCCCGCTGGCGGCTACACCGGCCCCAATCTGACGCACATGGCCGACTACTCGCCTTCGAATGGCGGCAAGATTCCCCGTTTCTCGCACCTCGGCTGCTTTGTCGGCGGCAACTGGATCCTTGGCGGCCGTCTGTTGACAAACAAGGACACGGTCAATTACGGCCTCGCGCTGGCCGACTCGTGCATCGGCACCTATACCAAGTCGGCCACGGGCATCGGACCGGAGTCGTACGTCTTCAAGACAGAGTCTGGAGGCACCAATGGTGTGACGATCCACAACGAGGCGTTCTACGACAAGAACGGCTTCGACTACGACGTTGTCGATTACGTTCTTCGGCCCGAGGTGCTCGAGTCCGTCTTCTACGCTTACCGCGCCACGGGCGACAAGCGGTGGCAGGACCTGGCGTGGACCGCCTTTAACAGCATCAAAAAATACTGCCAGGCGCCTGCAGCCCTGGCCGCCATCGAGAATGTGACCGACACAAACACAAAGCAGATCGACAACTCGCAATCGTTCCTCTACGCCGAGCTGTACAAGTATCTCTTCCTCATCTTTGATGACCCCGAGCACATCAGCCTCGACAAGTACGTCTTCAACACCGAGGCGCATCCCTTTGAGGTCGAGAAGCCAAACGCAGACTACTCGGCCGCCTCGTTTGGCAGCCTGCCGTCGCCCGAGAGGAGCCCGACGTCGACGGCGCAGAAGACGGCCTCGCAGGTGCCCAAGCCAACCTACAGCGGCGTGCCGGGTCTCGTTCAAAAGGTCTTCAATTCACTGGGCCTCCGGGATCACCGGGCCCGGCGTGAGGACCTCGAGACGCGGGCGCAGAAGCTCCGACGCGTACGACTGTAAATCAGCCATGGTTGTGGTCAGCAACCTACTAGGAACAATCTACCTCTTTTCAGACATATCAGACTGTAGCAGCTGAAGAAGCGGTGGTATGGATATTTCCTGAGAATACAGACGCGAGTCGTTTCTTCAATGCAAGCCCACATCTCAGATCTAAACAGGTGTTCCCTTTGAGCCTTCGAAAGGTTTTTGTCCTTCCTCTCGCTCTTCCTGGCGCTCTTTGCGACCTTCTTGGATCGAGATGCCCCTACGTTTCGCATCCTCACGTTCAAAGTAGGCAATCGCCTCGTCCCTCGTCATGCCCCACGTCCTTCCTCTCTCCATTGGGGGAGCATCCCCAAAGGCAAATGGGTTGAAGTCGTCGCTCTTAAGCCCGGCGAGTGTGTGATTTATGTAGCGATGGTTGGCTTCATCGCTCCGCAGCGCTCGCATCACGTCGAGGATCTTTGCGTCGTGCTTCAGACCCCAGTAGTCGATGGCGATCTGCGGGGCCGGGTATGCGTCCCACTCGGGCAAACGACCACTGCGGATGTCGTCAACAATCCTCGAGTATCTGAGAGGAGAGTGTGTGTGTGTCTGATCAGAGAAAGACGCTTGGGAATGAAGAGACGAAAGCAAAGACACTCACGTGTAGACGGCCTCCTCCTCGAGCACACCGACGAAGCGGTGAGCGACGCGGGGAGCGACGAGATAGAAGAGGAAGAAAAAGTTGAAGAAGATACCTTGGGCGAACAGGAGCAAGGTGCGCATGAAGATGCCCGGCTGGTAGAGCTTCAGCGCGACGAGAAGGTGCTGTCGCTCGTTTGCCGCGTCCTCGAGCATTGTGTGGATCCAGCCCTTGTCGCGACGGAGCAGGCGGAGCGAATGAAGGTGCCTACATGCGGCAGCAACCATGCCGGGGACACCAGCGATGGACTCCAGAAAGACGATACGGATGAGCCACTGCTCGGGTCCAAAGGAAAGGTTTCGGCGACGCATCTCGCCCAGCGACATTTCTTCAGGCAGCTCTTCATCCTTCTTTCCCTGAATGCGCTGGACGATGGGTTTCATCATTTCCTCCACCTTGGGCAGGCCGACTTTGACGACGGTGTCGTCGGAGCCCTTCACCCTGGGGAAGCGCTCTCGGTGTTTGGGGTATCTCGTCGCGATGTCGAAGCCATATCTAAACTCAGGCGCGTCAGGCCTTGTTCCTCTCCAAGCCTCCATATCACGGGTGAACTCACCGCAAAGTGCCCACCATGAGGGCTGCAACGTAGTCGCCAAAGCGCTCGGGCTTCCTGTGGACCACGCTGACGTTTTCGAGCTCTGTGCAGGAAAGATGTGTGTGCGAAAAGGTCAGTCCTACAGACGATAGAGAGTAATGCAAGGCAAGACATACCCTCTTCCTGGTAGCGAGAGTGCTCGAGTGCCCAACCGGGCTCTGGCCTATCCTTGAGCACTTCCTCGCTAACGCTTGTGTTGGTATTGCCATGGTTCCTGTTCTGTCCTTCCACCGTCAGTGGTGACTTCCCTTGCGTCTGGTTGCTATTCGAGCGTGATGAATTGGCGGCCGATTGTTCCTGCGAGCTTGTCAGACTCGTATGAATGGCACGGTGGGGCAGCAAGCCGGAGGACGGCTGGCGGGGATAGAGATGCAGCCTCGAGGCGATGAGCACCGAGGCCGGCTGTGCCCAGGCGATCTGGGTTGCGGTACGCAACAACGTTATCCGGGCGGCGGACATCTGTCCGAGTCGCTTGCAATGAGATGCGAAATGCAGTTGGCGAGTTGACAGAGATTGAAGAGGAAGTGAGGTTCTCCTTTCTTATAAAGCTAGAATGACTGGCGGACAGAAACGGCACGGTTGTGTGGCACGCCTCGGCGTGTTTCTGCGTGGCCCATGCGCATCACAGGCACATGTCTTTCCCTTGCGGGGTCGAACCCGCGGTCCGAGATTAGTCACATCATCAACGGGCTGATTCGGGATGAGACAAGCTACCCCTACCACCCTTGCCTACACAGAAACTGGGTTTGTCACTTCTATCTCCATAGGTGCTTGGCCTCTGGTACGATAATGCTAAAGACAGCCACCTGCGCAACAACCCTAAATTGCCCGATGGTGCCTGATGTTAAATCTGCCGGTGACTCCGATGAATCTGACTGACGACGAGTTTTACAGTTCGGCGCCTTTCGCGATCCTAATTGTCGCCGTGACTGATTTCGTCCGGCTCCTCCCGCAGAGGTCTAGAAAGGCCACGCAGGAGATGTACAGACTCGATTCTCATAGAGTGGGAGACAACGCATTTAGCAGAGTTGGACCTTGGCCCAGAAGTAAGAAAAGAATGACAAATTTGACGATAGTAGCCACTGACCAAAGCCACAGTAAGTGGTGACATTGCTCAGTGGGCGTAATCGTCAGCCGCCAGACGATCGCGGTCCTGTTTGCTCCCCACGTTGCGCCCCTGAGAGGGTGTGCAAGTCAGTCAAGCGTACCGCGGTACTTCCAGCCTTGTCTGCCAAATCAAGTTCGATCATCATTTGTTCCCTCGATGCAATAGTAATGATCGCAACGTTGTGCTCAAAGTGTTAATCGACCCACATGTGGATCCTTTCAATATCAAAGATTGAGGACGAGCGAGTCGATCCGATGTTGTGATAGACAATTTTCTCTTCATCACCTTTTTGCCAGCAGCGAGCTGTCTTCCCACTCAGAGCCCTCACGCAGGGTGATGTCGCTCAATCACGAGCTCAAGCAAAGGTAAGCATGCTATGTAGAGTCTCTTCTTGCTCGTAAGTGGCACCTGCACAGTAAAAGATGATGAAAAGAGAGGCTGGGGTGGACGGACACCCGGGGACTTTCTGGCTCATAAAATCGAAGAAATAGCCTCGGTTCTGTCATTTCAAAACTGACGTATCCACCTCTCATGCGCCGGTTCAGAATTGAGCCAGGAACATTGGCGAGCTACGTATTGTTGCTGGACGTACAGACCTGCGGCGATCCCCTATTCGCATGAGAGCTTACTAGTACTGCAGCGTTGCTCCTTGCGACTAGCCTCTTCCTGCACGTCCTGAGGCCTCTTGCGCTCAGGAACGCGGCCGAGACATGAGTGGCAAATGCCTCTTCTGCGCAAATTAGCCCCTACGCTCGCGAGGCATTTTCGCTCCGACGGCGGTCAGGCAGCTGGGATAGCGAAACCCGCTCCGCTCTCAACCTATACGGACATCCGGATGAGTGGATCGTTCTTTTGAGGACAGGAGCACTCCCTTGTCTCCTGCGTGGCTCCGCTCGATTCTCGCCGCCCCTTTCTACCACCATTCACCCATCTCCCCTCCCCTCTCCCTGGCTCTACGATGCGGACAATGGCTCGACTGTATTCGCTTCTCCTGCTGCTCATCGTGGCAGTGGCAATGGGTGTTTCTGCTCATCATCATAGTAAAGATCAACCGAAGAGGGTCTCGCTGGTCCTGACGACGGGCGACATCGAGCAGGACGGCGTCACCAAGCCCGACTCGGTCCTCGTCAACGGTACCTCGCCCGGGCCCCCACTGCGCTTCGTGGCTGGCGACAGTGAGTCACCTTCTCCCCTCGCATCTATCCCTCAACAATGCCTGTGTCGAGCTAAGACACTGCTACGCCGCAGCCGTGCTGATCAATGTGACCAATGCCATGACGGACAAGAATGCTACTGTGGGTAACAGTCTCGCAAGAGACTCTATACATGCGCTCGTGGACTCACATCTTGGACCTGTGCACACTGTACCAGATTCATTGGCACGGCCTCTCTCAGCGCATGACACCCGCCAGCGATGGCACGCCTCTCATCTCCCAGTGGCCCATCGCACCCGGAAGATGGTTCGAGTACGAGATGAAGCTGACGAAGGAGGATGTAAGTGGACGCCCCGATCGGACCGAGAGAGAGAAAATTGACTAAGAAGAGCCTCGTTGTTTAAACCCTAGATTGGAACCACGTTGTGAGTGATGGCGTCTTACCGATCCCTTCGGCCTCTCTGGATGCTCATCAGATTATCCCGACCGTGATCAGCTACCACTCGCACGTCGGCTTGCAGATCCAAACAGCCCAAGGTCCGTTCATCGTCGAGGATCCACACTCGCCACTGGAGTACGACGATGAAAGAATTGTTATGTTCAACGACTATCACCACGAGAGCCAATCGAACATCGAAAAGGGTCTGTTGGCTGATACCTTTGTGTGGCCCGGCACCGCCAACGCACTTCTCATCAATGGACTCGCCTACAATGCCACCAGTGGTCCCGCTACGATTGATGTCGACTACGACCAGACTTATCTTTTACGCTACATCGGGGGGCAGTCCCTCATGTATACGGTCAGTTATTGATGCTAGAGAAAAACAGAGGTGCAGAAGGCTGGGCTGACAACCAAGTATTGAAAATAGACAATTGCTATCCTGAACCACACCCAGAAGCTCGTTGAGGCGGACGGCACCTACCTCAAGCCATACAGACTCGACGCCGTCGAGATTGCCTCTGGCCAGCGATATAGCACCCTTATCAAGACAAAGAGCAAGGAAGAGATCGACGAGGACAAAATCAACGGATGCTACTGGATCAGGATGGAGTCGCAGTGGCGATCGCCTGCCATCAATGGCTGGGCTCTCCTCAGGTATCCAGGCTGCCAGAACAACGTCGACCAGAAGCAGCTGCAGCCGCCGCAGACGAACAACAGCATTGCTATTCTGCCGAAGGGACAATTCGGGTGGCTCAGCTCCCAATTTGAGCCGCTGCCCGGCTATAGACACGGTTACATATACCCAAGCGACGATGAGGTGACAAGAAGAGTCATCATCGATACTCGCCAGGTCCTCTATGGACCGACAAAGAAGGGTAATAGGTGGCAGGAGGACAATGTGAGTGATGAGCTACGATGTGAGACGAGAACGGTCTTATTTGCTCACACGAATCGGTCGTCGCAGTATATTTACTCTGAGGAGGACACGACGCAGGTGCCCTACCTGATCGAGCTGTAGTAAGTTCGCTGTTTCCATCAAGTACTTTCCTAAGGCTCAGCGTATCCAAACTCTGTGTGCAGCAAAAATACAAAAGACAGACCTTCATATCAACGAGCAGTTAATCCACCTCCTGGCGTCGACGTTGGTTACGACAACGTGACACAAACAGTGAGTAGATTACATGCAGTCCATGGGACCTCACTCATTCGCTGAGCTCGGATCGTCTTTTGCTGCTGCACAGTGGGTTGCCAAACCTGGCGAAGTCATCGACATTGTCCTGGTCAACCGGCCCTCGCAGGGCGGGCACAACGTCGAGACTCACCCGTTCCACTTCCACTCAGCGAAGCACTGGCATGTCGCCTCGGGCATGGGCAATTTCACAGACGCCGCTCTCTCCCAAGCTCGAGAGGGCGGAAACTACTCCAATCCGATCCCTCGCGACACGACCAACGTCTGGCCAGGCCCAGGAGCGTCCATCACAAACCAGACGCTGCCCGATGACGGTGCAGGCGGTTGGTCCCTGCTGAGGTACAGGGTCCGCGAGCACGAGTCGGGTGCGTGGCCCTTGCATTGTGAGTGATCCCTTCTTTGCTTCCCTAGTCACTCTTCCGACAAGAGCTAATGACGCTGGAAATACGCTAGGCCACTGGGCTTTCCACCTCGTCATGGGCATGAGCACCACCTGGGTCCTTGGCCCCGACGAGCTCGACACCAAGCTCGACTACCTGGGCGACTCGTCGTACTCTTACTTTAACCAGAATGTTCCCTCCCCTCACACAAAGGCGCACAGCGGCGCCTCTTGACCTTCTTTACCCACGAACAGTATCTACTCTAGTCGGTGTTGGTAATTGCACCAGACATTGCCCACTTCGCTCATGTGGAGTGTCACTGCGTTTGACCATCGTCAAAATCGCGAATGTTGTTGTAAAGAGCAATTGAATGGCCACCTTGGCGATGGTGAGACCTCTCGAAGAACGGGAAAGAGAATGTCGGTTCTATGCTACAGATTGTCAAAGCGATACATGGCCTTCGTGTCATGCCGCACGGAGCTCCTGCGTAGCATTGCATCATGTCGATCAAGTGGGTGTGTCGAGACCGGGCTAGCTCGCTGTTCGAGTCATTCCGGTTCCAAGCCGCCTTGTCTTTGTGGGACGGTGCTCTGCCTCTTCACTTGGCTCGCCGTTGAGACGGGCCGCTGTCGACTTGAGAGGGACTCGGAACCCGACCTTTGCTGTCGAAGATGACGACAGGCCGCTCAGTCGTCCTCTTCCTCCCCTTCCGGCTTCCTCTGCGTGATCGGTGCTCGAGACGTTCATTGCCGCTTTCACGGACATGAATGAAGTGTTTTTCAGAGGAGAAGAAGGAGGCGACGACGGACGAGGGCCCTCCCCAGCCGATAGTAGTGGGGCGGGTTCGCTCCTGGGTTGAGGAACCACGCTCGACGTGTTGCTGAACTGATGCAATGACCTGGCTGCGGTTGAGGCAGTTTGGTTTGAAGCCACACGAGAGTGATTCTGAGCTGGAGAAGATTGTTGGGCTTGCACCTTTTGCGGTCCGAGGACAGTTGATGCGAGGATGTCGTCTGCACTGAGCAGTGCGCGGGACATCGCTTTCTGCCTGGTCCTTGGCTTCGACGCCGGAGGGATAGGAGCGCTATTTGACGTCGTCATTGAACTTGAACTGGATCCCTTGTGTGCCAGCGTGACGCTGATATCCTGATAGTGCGAGAAGAGTTGAGCATCAGACCAAAGGTGTGAAGTGAAAAGGACATCACCTTCTCTTTCACCTCTGACCGTTCCCCAATCTCGATAAGGAAATCGTCCACTTCCAGCTTTGTTCCCTCGCCAAAACTGGGTGTGCTTCCAGCTACTGTGCCTGAGCGGTATGTCGGAAGACCGCCGTGGTACCTAGGTGAGTAGAAGCTCTCCAGCAGCAAGAGACCAATATCGTCGCGCAGCAGGATCAGCTTGTTGTGAAGGTGAAATGTCACAACGCCGTCGAAAAAGTTAGGCGATTTGCGCGGGCCTTTGGCGTATAGGACTGTCGAGAGGATATTGTCAGCGGTTGACCTTTGGCAGTCGTTCGCAAAGATAACGCATGTGCTCACCTTGGTATGTCTGCACAAGAGGCGCATACAGCGTCGTTGCTCAGCACGCGTTTTCTCCTCCTCTTCCCCTCCTCTCGACAAGCCACTCACCTCTGTCCATGCTGTCGCCTTTGTCCCACTGGGCTGCTCTAAAGTTGATGACATTATTGATTGGCGCTGACGAAGGTCGCTCGATCGTATGTGGCCAAGAGCAAGGAGCGCGAGGTTAACAAGTGTTGGACTTCGCGTCTTCGATGCCGGTGGCGCGCGCCACACGTGCAAAGAGCTCTCTCCACCTGGGTCCACTTGGCTCACATCACCTCCCTTGTCTTAGCACCAATCGACACATCTGATTTTGGCTGGCCGAGCGGGAAACAAGCAAGCAAGGCGGCCCGGCCATGGACACAGTCGAAGGCGACCGGTTCGTCGCCGACTGCGCCAAGCACATTCGAGCCAATGAGGCGAGGCTGAGCGATGCGGCGCGCACCTCGCAGTCACTAGCAGCATGGGCCAATCCGATTGCATGGATCGGCCTAGGGCAGACGGCACCGGAACAGGGAACAGGCAAGGGCAAGGGCCCAAGTGCAGTTTCAGCCATGGCTCAGCGACCACCGATGCCGCTCAAGCTGACGTCGCATCACATCTACTACCTCCTGATTCGCTTCGAGGGCCTCCATCTCAGCGTGGGCCAGCTCGACGTCCGGATCCCCTCGGCCTCGCGGCCATCGTCGTACTTTGCCTTTGTCTCGAGCTCAGCCGCTGGCGGAGGCATGCGCGCAAAGGACACGAGCGATACCATGAGTATCAGCAGCCTCCGCAGCACCGTGTCTGCCTTTGGCTCGATGAGCCTGGGCGCAGCCTCTGGCACCTTCTTTGGCGCAGAGAAGCCCAACCCTGTGAGGGATGTAAAGTACATCTATTCTGCCCTGACGAGTTGAGTACTAGTTGAAGAAGAGACCCCATTGATGGCCACAATGCTGATAGAGACGCACTGTCTACGCAGAAATACCCGCGCTTCGGATAGGACCGTCGCCATTGAAGCTCATCAAAGACTTCGAAGACTGCCCCGGAGACAAGTCGGTACCTCTCGAGGTCTTCAAGAACGTCCAAGTCCTTGAAATGGAAGACGTCGATCCCCGCACCTTTTTGGGGTGGGACAGGCTGAGCTTCCAGCTGCGCAGCCTGTCGATCAAGCGCAGTGGACTCGAGGATGTGACCGATATCCTCGTCGATGCCGTGCTCAACGACTGCAAGCGACGAAGGGGCGAGAAGGTGCAGCATCGTGTGAGGATAGTACACTCGCCAAACGACAACGATGTTGACGAAGTGGAGACGGACCCCTCGTCTTCAGCTTCCTCATCTCCATCGCCAAGAGACGAAGATCAGGCTGCGCCGCCTCCATTACCAAGCCTGTCCTGGCACTTTCTTCGCCACCTCTGCCTCGCCGAAAACAGCCTGACGTTTGTCCACATGGCACCCCTGCACGCGCTCGAGTCGCTCACCTCGCTCGACCTGTCGAACAACTTGCTAAATGCCGTCCCGCCGGCTCTGTCGCTGCTGCCGAATCTGAGGAGTCTCAACGTGTCCAACAACCTCATCGATTCGGTCCTGGGCATCCCCACGGCTCTTCCTGCCATTGAAGCGCTGAACCTGTCGCACAATCGGCTCGAGAGCCTATGCGGCCTTGAGCGTCTCTCGACACTGAAGCGCATCGACCTTCGCAACAACGAGGTCTACGATGCGGGCGAAGTAGGCAGGCTGGCCACGCTCGAAGGCGTCCGAGAAGTATATGTGGCGCAGAATCCGCTGCAGGAGGAGTACGACGACGCGCGGCTCGAGGTCTTTGTCGAATTTGCTAGGGAGGGGCTCGTCGATGTTCACGAGGTCAAGCTGGACGGCGAGGTGCCGGGCTACTTTGAGCGGCAGAGGATCGCGGAGAGGGTGCCGAGGATGCGGCGGCACACGAGGGAGGAGACGCCTTCTGCCGAGGAGGCTCGCGAGCCAGAGGAGCAGGCGAGCGCGCAGCGCCAGGCGGCCGACGAGGAGGCCGAGGCGGTCAACAACAAGGCGACTGTCAAGGCCGTCAAGCACCGGCCTCAGGCCTCGCACACCCACCGTGTGACGTCTGCCTCGGCGTCTTCAGCCTCTGCTGCCCACGCTGGTCCGTCCAGATCGCGCCTCGACGCTGCCGGTCAAAGGCAGAGGGGTCAATTAGACGGGCAACAACGCGACTCGTCCATTGATGCAAGGAGGAGGAACCGAAGGGTGGTGGAGCTCAATAGCAATAGCAACAGCAGCAGCAGCATCCCAGGCGGAGAGGGCAAGGTCAAGGACGACGGTGCTGCAGAGCTCAGCGACTCGGACGCCATCAAGAAGGCAGCGCTGCAGGGAGATACGAACTTGGCGCTGGGTTGGGTCCCTTCTTCGGAGCTGACGAGAGGAGGCAGCGGCAGCAGCAATGGTGGCAGACCTCGGTCGATTGTCGTTGGTCCTGCGAAGGCTTCGGCAGCGCTCGGTGAAGGTGCCCAAGGCTCGTCGTTGAAGAAGCAAGAGGGGGGAGGAGAGGCTGAGGCGAGGTTAGGGAAGGAGAAGGCGACGAAGCGAGCTAATGCTGACGCCATCAAGGCCCGGAGGAAGGATCCGGTGGCCGCTGCCGGTGCCAGCGGAGAAGGGACGGGCGGTGACAGCAGCGCCACCAAGGGTAGCAGTGTCCGCACGCAGGCAAACGGCGGCAACAACAACAACAACAACAACGACCTGCGCAGGCGCATCGAGGCGCTCAAGGGCGAAGTCGGAGATGACTGGCTGAGGCTGTTGAGCCGAGGCGAGAGCGTGTATGTTGCCAACGAGCCAGCAAAAGAGGAGGAGGATGAGGATGACCCAGAGCAGAAGGGTGCCGGAGCAGAGAACATGAAGGAGGTTCACTAGCATACAGGACAGTGAAATGACGATACCCAGACTAGACAATATCTGTTTTGAGGATGAAGAGAATGAAGCCTGACGAGAAGGGTTGGGGAGCTGTGATGCTGATACGACGAATCGTTCATTGTTTGCAGGCATTATTTATTATAGTTGTACAAAGTTTTGCAGTAAAGTAAGGTAAAAGGGGGATAGAGGAAGAAGACGAAGAGGGTAGGCAAAGGCGTTTAAAGGAGGCTAGGCGTGTGCGAGTCCCTGAGGAAAGTCAAAGATCGTCTGTGGGTCAAGGCTCTTCTTGATCGACTTGAGCCGGTTGAGGCTCGAGGAGTAGTACTCCTGGCCAAAGTTCTTGAGCCGGGGGTCGATGTAGTTGACGTACGACGTCCAGGCGCCCGCTGGCTTGGCAGCGCGAATGGCACTCTGGATGGCGTCAATCTTGGCATAGGCTGCCTTCTGGCTGTCGGGCTTGTCAAAGCCAGGGAATCCGTACGAGTAGATCTGGCTGAAGAAGAGGGCGTTGCGGTGTGGGCTGAATGCGGCGTCGCCGTTGGGCATGGCGCCGTTGGTCGCCGACACGGGGCCGTTGAGGTCAAAGGAGACCGAGTTGCCGGTGCCCTCGACGCCGACGGCAGCCTGGACGGCATTGATGATCTTGTTGGCGCTGTCGAGGGTGTAGCCGGGCGTGCCGTCGTCCATGACGCTCTGGGCGTAGTAGGACTCGTAGACCTTGGGCTGGTCCAGGTCGCCCATCAGGTTTGTCAGAGCGTCGACCCAGCTGTCGAATTCATCGGCCTTGGCAGAGGTCGCAGTGACGCCCTTGTTCTTGAGGTAATCGTTGAGGACCTTTTTCGCCTTTTGGAAATCGGTCTTGGTGCCCAGGTACTGGCCCGAGAAGGTGCAGGCGCCGTCCTGGCCGCTGTTCTCGCCAAAGATGAGGAGTTCGCCGCCGAGCTCGGCGGGGAGACCGCCGGCGTTGGCCTGCTTGAGGCCGAGGTCCTGGAGTGCGAGGAGGGCCTGTGCACAGTCGGCATTGCTGTTGTATGTCGTGACAAAGTTGACGGCCTTTGCGGGGGCCGTCTCCAGGGCAAAGGTGAACGAGGTGACGATACCAAAGTTGTTGGAACCTCCACCTCGCATGGCCCACCACACGTCGGCATCCTGGCCCGTCGAGGATTGCGAGACGGAGTGATGGACAGTGCCGCTTGCATCGACGTAGTTGAGTGAGACGAGGTGATCCATGAGCCAGCCCCAGCGGCGGGAGCTGTAGCCCCAGCCACCGCCCAGGCTGTGTCCAGCGGTGCCCACAGTGGGGCAGGTGCCGTGTGGGAGTGCGTATCCCTGGTCGCCAATGGCCTTGGCGAGGGGACCGAGCGTCATGCCCATGCCCACTGTCACGGTTTTTTGGTTCGTGTCGAGCGAGAGGGTGTTCAGCTTCGATGAGTCAACGACAACGAAGCCGTCTGCGCCTCCGAGTGCATAGGCAGCGTACCCGTGGCCGCCGCCGCGGGGAGAGATTTTCGTCTTGCCCCCCTCGGCCGCGACACACTTGACCACGGCTGCCACCTGCTTCACCGACGAGGGCTGGGCGATGACGGCAGGCTTGTAGGCGTAGTTTGTGTTCTCGGCCTTGGCCTCGTTGGTGTATGCATCACCCGAAGAGGCGTAGGCGAGCGAGGCGCCCGAGTTGGAGAGACACGTCTTGAGCGACGACGAGACAGCGCGGGCATCGAGCGAATACGAGGATCGCGCCGACAGCCCGAGGGAGTCGGGCGTGGGCATTGCGAGGGCGCCCTGCAGGGCGACAGCAGCCGCCAGCAGCGACGAAGCAGAGGCGCGCATGGATGCAACAGTCAGTCGGTACGAACAGGGAGTGAAAAAGAGTCGGGAAGAGGAGGACAACGAGGGCCAACGGACGAGCAGCCTACCTCGTCACCTGCCTTTATAGTAAAGTCCCCACCCGGTAGGATAGAAGAAGAACCACTTTAGCCTGACGGACTTCCGGCGACTTTTCCTTATTTTTTTCGAATCCGCTTGCGCTTCGATGCACGCTTTGCTCCACTTTTCGGGTCAAGTAGTCCAAGAGGGAAAGATCTCGGCCCTCTCGCCGCCCTCACAGCAGCTTGTCTTGTCGTGTCTCTCCCCCTGCATGTTGACGAAACCGTTTTCGGGACAAGGTGGCAAGGCAGAGAGTCTCAGTAGAGACTGCGCTCAATCAGTCATTCAACGCTATCCCGTTGTGGTGGTGCCAAGTCCGGCTGTCAAGTGACGGAATAAATTTCCGGCACCACGGTCGGCAGCATCAGCCGTCGCCTACATCGTAATGGTCCATTCGCAGAGAGCGAGTGCATCTCTCGTTGCTTTCTGAACTACATCTATACTGTGCGTCGCTCTGTCAGTGAACACACACCTCTTGACCAAACCGGATGCAGGTGCCGCTGGGTGAGAGGGGCACAGGGGTTGGCGCAGAGCCACGTGGCCTCACGTGTCGCCTCGTTTCGCTGCATTTCTCTAAGACCCGACCCTGCGCTTGAGGCGCGTGTCACTTGTCCATTTTTCGCCCCTCTTGCTCCCTCTCACACGCTCTCTTTTCTTCTCCACGACATCTCGAGAGAACAACGCACCATTCCCCTTTCGCTTTCGGTTTCCCTTTCTCTGCTCGGAGCAAGGGCAATCTCGGCGCGTCTCCTGAGTCGTTCCTTGCTCAAACAGCGTTCGACTGTTCATTGCGCCGCCGCTCCACCGCTTAGCGTCGGTGGTGAATTAGGATCTAAACACGCATACAGCGACGAACAGCCCCGGCTCATCCGTCGGGCCGACATCGACATCATGAGCGCGCTGACTGGTGCACCTGTTGGCCCATCCCACAGCTCGCACAATGGCCTGGCTCCTGCTGGTGCTCCGAAACGAGTCAAGACGGAGTCATCGGATAGCAGCGATGATGAGGCTCCTTTGGTGGGTTGATCAGAGCGCGTGCCTGAAAAGAGAATTAGCCGGCTGATTGAGATCTTGCATCGCACACATCGATAGGCAAAGAAGGCAAAGGGAAACGAGACGCCTTCATCGCTCAAGCGACCTGCGCCCGAGGACCACGACGAGGAGTCGAGCGACTCGGACGCTCCATTGGGCAAGCCAGAAGCGACCAAGAAGACTGTCACAAAGGTCTTGGCCAAGCAGGAGGAGGCCTCGGACTCAGATTCGGACGTGCCGCTGAGTGGCGCGACGGCGAGTGCAGCAAAACAGGGCAAGTCGAACGGCACAACGGCGAAAGCAAAGGCCAAATCGGAGGAGGCCGAAGAAGAGGAGGACGAGGACGAGGAGGATGAAGAGGAGGACGACGATGACGACGAGGGCGACAGCAAGGCCAAGTCGAGCAAGCAAAAGATTGAGCATTCTGGCTCGGGAGGTGCAAAGTGGGCCACCCTGTATCACACGGGTCCTCGTTTCCCGCCAGACTATGAGCCTCTGCCCAAGAGCGTCAAATTCAAGTACGAAGGTAAGCCTATCCACCAAGCTCTGACTTTTTCCCTCTTGCTCATAGAGTATTTTCGACCTCAGGCAAACCAGTCGATCTCTCCCCCGATGCTGAAGAGGCGGCCATGTTCTATGCCGTCAAGCTCGAAACGCAGCACGCTCGCGACAAGGTCTTCAATGCCAACTTCTTCGAGGACTTCCGAAAGGTGCTCAAGGAGCATCCACCCCGCGACGGGACAAAGATCAAAGAGTTCTCCAAGTGCGACTTTCAACAGATGTACGACCACTGGAAGGCGGTCAAGGACAAGGAAAAGGAGGACAAGAAGATGATGGCGCCCAGTGCGCGGAAGAAGCAGCTCGAAGAAAAGAAGAAATTGGAAGCTGAAATGAAGACCTGCGTTGTCGATGGCCTCGAGCAGAGGGTGGGAAACGTCATTGTCGAGCCACCTGCGCTTTTCCTCGGCCGTGGCGAGCACCCTAAGAAAGGCAGAATAAAGGTTTGTTCCAGATCTATCACGCTGAAGTCATACATGCGTCGCTAACGAGCATGAATCTCCATCCCCCTCAGCGTCGCGTGCCTCCTGAGGCAATCACCATCAACCACACCCTCGGAGACAAAGCTCACCCTCCGCCCCAACCGCCGCCTGGGCGCAAGTGGAAGGAAGTCAAGGAGGATAAGAGCACGACTTGGCTGGCCTTTTGGATCGAGAACATCAACGGCCAGTACAAGTACATGTACCTCGATGCCACCTCACAGTTCAAGAGCAACTCGGACCGCGAGAAGTTCGAAAAGGCCAGAAACCTGGACAAAGTCGTCAAGAAGCTCAGAAAGAACATCGACAACATGCTCTCTTCCAAGCAGCGGCTGGAGCGCCAGCTGGGAACGGTAATTTGGTTGATTGACAACTACTCGCTGCGTGCTGGCAACGAGAAGGGTGATGAGGAGGCTGCTACGTACGGCGTGTGCTCGCTCCTCGTCGAGCACGTCAAAGCGCTCAATGATGCCAAGAACCAGGTCAAGCTCGAATTTTTGGGCAAGGACTCTATGCGATTCAAAGAGACGCTCAACGTGCCAGAGCGTATCTTCAAGAACTTCAAGATGTTCACCCAGTCCACTCGGGACGCAAAGGGAGCGGTGGCTGTGAAGAAGAAGACGGACGAGATCTTCGACAAGGTTGATGTAAGTCAAGGTACTGATACTCTAGCTTGCGGGTTCAGGAAGCTTAACATGTGGCCAACAGACGAGCGATGTCAACAAATTCCTCCAGAACCCGGCCAATGGTGGTCAAAAGGGCCTCTCTGCCAAGGTTTTTCGCACCTACAACGCTTCTACGACATTCCAAGGTCTTCTCAACCAGACGGAAGAGAATCTGAGGCGAGCTGGCCTCAAACCAACGATCCAGACGCTCAGGGACCAGTACAACCAGGCGAACCGTCTCGTGGCAATTCTCTGCAACCATCAAAAGACCATCAACCCCGTGCAGAGCGACAAGGCTGCTGCCCGCTTTGAGGAAAGAATGCTGGCGATCAAGTACGATCGATTCAAGGAGAGGCAAAGGCTTCTCACGTATGCCAATGCCAAACAGCTCAAGAAGGAGTTTCCTGTCCAGAAGAAGGAGTGGACTGCAAGATGGGACCTTATTCTCGAGGAGGTCGACATCACGCCAGAACAGATCCAGGAGCACGAGGAGCGCACCATTTCGAATAAGAAGGATCGTCTTCAGGCGACTTTCGATCGCTCGGAGCTCGAGCGGCAATATCTCGAGGAGCAAGCTAAGAAGGCAAAAGAGGAGGACGGTGCCGCTTCTGGCAAGAAGCAGAAGAAAACAAAAGCCAAAAAGGAGGAAGAAGGGGAAGAAGATGATGGCAAGGGCAAGAACAGCAAGAAGCCAAAGACACAGAAGGAGGTCGACGAGCAGAAGAAGGCACTCGATAACGAGCTCAGGGTGCTGGCAAAAGAGCGCAAGACGAACAAGAGCGAGAATGGGTCGAGCATCAACGTCGTGTCAACGGCAAAGAAAGTCTTGAACAAGGTGGCCCAGATGGAGAAGCTTGTAGCCGAGCAGGCCACCAAGGAGAAGACGAGTGATGTCTCGCTGGGCACATCGAAGCTCAACTACATCGACCCGCGTATCACAGTCTCTTGGTTGAAGAAGTGGGATCGTAAACTCGTAGAGCTCGAGAAGAAGCAGGGGAAGAGCGGAGCATCGCCGACGAAGAAGGTCAAGAAAGAAGAAGTCGAGGACGTGAAGCCTTCTTCCAAAAAGGGCAAGGGCAAGGAGGAAAAGACGAACAAGACTGCCGACAGCGACAAGATGGAGCTGGACCTCAAGATCATCCCCATCTCCCATTACTTTCCGCAGACGATGCTCAAAAAGTTCAAATGGGCAGCGCAAGAGGAGGACGGAAGCGACCTCAGTCCCGAGTGGGTGTTCGTGGATGATGCTGAGAGCAAGATTCGCGACAACATGAGCAGCGCCAGGCGGAAAGGCGGCGCCGCGGCTGACGAAGACTCGGATGAAGACGAAGACGAGGACGAAGACGACGAAGAACAGGCTAAGGACAATGCCGAGGCTCGCAAAGCCGTCGCCAGTGCCAAAGTTAGCGCGGTCAAACTTGAAGACAAGAAAAAGAACAACGCAGCTAGCGCAGGAGCCAGCAAAGCCAAGGCCAAAGATGAAGACGATAGCTCCGATGAAGACGCGCCACTGGCCAAGAACGGAAGCAACGGCAAGTCGGCTCAAGCCAAAGACGATGATAGCTCCGACGATGACGCACCGCTGGCCAAGAAGTGAAGTTGTGTAGACACCGCTTTCGACAAGGACCTGTCAGCTTTTTGCTTCCTCTCCCCTCCCATTGTGTTTCATCTACCTCGCACTAGATCTCCGTCCTCAAACGCATGTAAGAACCTGTAACCTTCGTCTCTTCACCAGCGTCCCACGCAACCCTAGATAACAATTATCCTACAGCATGCGAAAGAAATCATCATTTGTACCTGTCTCCGTGTCCGCATCTTCCTCAGCCTTCAATACTACTAGCAGATCCTTGAGCTAATCACCTCTTCGTAGACATGCCGTTACCATTGTGCGGTATGTTTTTGAGAATGAAAGACCGTGCGAGGCGGATGCCACGTGTTTTGCGAAACGACACCTTGATTTCAAGCCTAGCTCGATGGGGCCACCAGAGGAACCGCGCTCTTGATGGAGGTTGAGGAGGGGGAACAGTAGCAGCAGCAACAACAACAGCAGCCGCGACAGCTGAACCGACTCCAACCACGACGGCATTACGGAACCCGCTGAAGACAGCAGGGCTGTTGAGGGGAGAGGAGACCGGTCGCAATGGCGCAGAGATTGCGCCGCCCATCGCCAGGGCAAGGTGCGATGGGCAGCAACGACGCGGTCCTGGTCCACGTCGGCGACACGCTGTCATCCCCCGACGAGGGTGAGCCAGGGCAGCGGCTCAATCCGGCTCCGCGCCATCCTCTCTACGAAGATTCTGCGGCAAGATCAGCAAGGCCCTCGTATGAACGCAGCCCGTCTTCCTCTGCTGGCCTCACGTCGAGGAGGGGAAGAGGCGCGGCTGCCAAAAGGGGGGGAGATGAGGGTCAATTGCCTACAGCACGCGATGTAGACGGAGGCAATACCAAGGGACATCAGGACAATGTTCAGACCGCACGCGTGACGACGCTCGATCGGCTCGAGGGATGGTTTGGGATAGCTGGCCAATCTCCGTCCTCCTCCTCCTCCTCCTCTTCGGCGTCAGTGCTACCTACCAGTGTCAACTCTGTGCCTCGGAGGAGGCCGGCTCAAGCGGCGCAATCGCAACAGCAACCCACAACCCGACTCGTACTCGTCCACTCGATCAGCTCGATGGATACGCTCGACTCGCTTGCGCTCAAGTACAAGACCAATGCTGGGACACTACGGAGAGCGAATGGCCTCTGGCCTGGCGATTCGATTCAGAGCCGTAAAGAGCTCTTCATTCCGCTCGATGAGAACGATGATGCTATCGATGATGGCTCCTCGGGTGCTGGGCCAAGCACAGGAGGGTTGCCAGCGAGAGCAAGAGCGACAGAAGATGTGAAAGGAAAGTTGTCGCTTATTGACGTCGGACGGAGCAGTGATACAGAGGGCGCGGGGAGGAAGCCGAGTGAAGAAGGAGCCAGTGACGATCAGGTCAGCGTCGGGCTGATCGAGTCTCACGAGCGCAATCTATCGACAACTTCGGCCGCCACAAGTGGGAGTACCTCGTCGGCGCCGGTCTTGGCCGCGGCAGAGGTTCGGAGAGTGCCCACTCAGGCGATGTCCTACTTTCCTACAGGTCCGAGCACTGCAGGCGGCAAGGGCAAGGGGAGGAGAATTGACGGGGCAGATGCAGACAATGATGGTGGTAGCAGCCCTGCCTTTGGATTTGCGCTGGGCATCACACAACAGTCTGATCAGCCTCAGGATCCAGGCGAAAGCGGCGTCGAGGATCTGCTTCGACTGGCGGAGAGGGCAAGATTGCGAGGCGATGAGGGCGAAGATACCATTGATTCGATGCAGAACCAAAAGCCCTCGCTGGTGCCCAGTACACTCCCATCGTCGCGACGGACGAGTGGCGATGGCCCCCGCAGCGAGTCGGCCGCCTCGGTCAGCGGCGCGGGCAACGATGATTGGAAGCCAAACAAGTGGACATTTGGCGCACCGAGGCCACGAAAGAAGGAGGCCGCATCTGTGTCGAGCGTCACCTCATCGCCCGAGTCGACCAATCGGCCCGTTCTTGCAGCCCTGGCTCACCCCTCGACGTCCTCATCAGTCTCTTCGTCCCCGCCTCGATCGTCGTATCAGAGCGGCAACGGCAGTGGCGGTGGCTACCAAGGTTGGAACGATATCCCGGAGCCACCCCTCTCTCGGACGGCACAGGGAAAGGTCGCGCACGCATACAAGCCCAACAACAGGCGGAAATACCCGCGCCCCGACGGGACCTTTGGCGAGACAGTGGGAGTGGCAATCATGGACGACCTTGTCGCCGGCTTGCCTCCCAATCCTGGTCCGGCCTCCAACTGGGCGCGTCCCATTCACGACTGCTTGCCTTTGCCTGAGTCGTCGACGAGAAGGTCCAAAGCTGCAGGGCACGGACCTTCGTCGAGTCCACTAGCGAACAATGCCTCTCCTGGCTCGTCATCGGCAGGCTGGGGTCAGCTTCTCAGCGACACGTTCCGTGGGCGGATCGGGTTGGACGAGGCCCTGGAGAGGGGATACGAGGACCTGAAGACTGCGAGCCTCGTCGCCTTTGCCGAGAACAGCAGTGTACGGAACGGCACCCAGCACTACAGTCGCATCAATGGAGCTCACACGCCACAGCAGCTCTCGGACACGCCACCACTACGGCCCAGCGCGGAGCTGGCGCGAGCCACATTGGGACGCTCTGGTGGAAGAAACGTGACGGGAAGCAACGGTCCTGGCTTGGAAGGCGAGGCGCAGCGCGATGGTACTGGCCCAGGCTCGAATGGGACGGATGAAGCAGCGAGAAGAGGAAGCGCAAAGAGCACGCATGAGCTCGAGGAACTCCACAATCACTCTCATCTCTTCTCCAGCCACAATGGTGGGTCCAGTACCTGGAGCCCGTCTATGGGCGCATCACCCCTTTCCCATACGATGGAACACAGTGACAGCGGGTCGGGTCTGCTGCGAGGTAGAAAGAATGTCCGAAATGTCGATTGGACCGCTTGAAGACTTGCTTCTCATGCTGAGACACCCATGCCAAGGATCACACAGACACATATATACACATCTTCACTTCAATCAATCCAGATAGCATTGGCCACATCGAGATATCGAACTGATGTGCCCCGCTACATCTCAGATTAGTTCTTCGTCGATCGGGTGCTGACCGTTGGCTGAGATTGGACCGTCGCTCTCCATGGGCGTATCGCCGTCCTCGTCGACACCCAAGATGATGCCATCTCCTCGGACCTCCTGGACGTCGCTCTGCCTCTTGCGAGCGCCATTTGTCAAGCCCGTGGCCGAGTTGCTTGCGGACAATCCGCCCCGTTTCTGTGCGCTCGATAGGCCATCCTCGAGATCTGGCAGGTCCTCGTCATCGTCGTCGTCGTTTCGCTCGCCGGCTACGGGGTGCTGTTCTGGTTCCTCGTCTGGCTCGCGCTCCTCCTCGCCGTCCAAGAGCCCCGCCTCGCGCATATACGCCCGATCCGCCATCTCTTTCCTCTTTGCCAGGGCCTTGCTTAAGCTGATCGGCTGCGGCACCACCTCTGGCAGAAAGAAGAATTCGGGCTGGGTGTGAACGGCAGATGCCAGCTCTTTGTACGTGATGGTGCGCTTCTTGTCGAGGCGTGCTTTGGTGTAGGCCGAGTCAGTCAGGTGTTTAATAAAGAGTTCCTAATATCGAATGGAGATGCATGAGCGCTCAGGAGTGGGAAGTAAAGGAGTAAATGGGGTGAGAGACCCACGGTGGCTTTAGCAATGACATAGATGGCATCTTTCGACGTCATCTCAACGTCACGATCAGCCTAAAAGGTTGTCAGGGTCAGTAGGTATTTCTTTGCTATTTGACGTGGACACAATGACCCACCTTGACGATCCTAGCCACTCTTGTGAGTGGGAAGATGCTCTGACCCGGTGTGCTTGTCTGGTTTGTGGACATTGTCGACATCATCGACATATCCCCCAGCCCGGCGCTACTGCTGCCCTGCCCAGCACTTTCGGCAGCAGCAGCAGCTGCTGCTGTTGTCGCTTTAGACTTCTTGCCTCCTGCTGCTCCAGCTCCAGCTCCTGCAGCCTTCACTTTCCCCTTTGCAGCCCCACTACCCGGCCCTTTTCCTTTCTTGATCGCTGTCGGTGCCGCTGCTGCTGCTGCTGCTGCTTCTCCGGAGTCTTCTTCACCCAATTCTGCGGCCTTGGCCTTTGGCTTTCTTTTTCTCGCCACCACCTCTCCCTTTTCCGCCGCCGCTTTTGGCATCGAAGACGAGGGTTCACCAGCCTTTGCTGCTGCGCCTGCCTTCTTTGCTTTCTCGCCAGGGGTGAGGAAGTCCAGACCTTCGACCTCTGCCTCGTTTTCAGCCTCGTCTTGTGGCCCTTCGGACACTGCTTCCTCCTCTCCAAGAGCAGCGGCGGTGTTTTTGGATGCTGAAGACCCCACAACGGGCTCTTCTGGGCGCACCGATGCTGCTGAAGCGGCCGGCGCGACGGGGAACTGCGGGGCGTCCGACGCAGGATCAGACATGGGCACGTCAGCGGTGGGTCTGGCTTCTTGCCCCAACCACTGCTGCTGGTGCTGCTGCTGGTGCGATGCTTGCGAGGACATTGCGCTGAGACTCTCGCTGGCGGTCGAAGATGCCATCGTGTTGAGCTTCGCCAAGCAGACTTTTGCGGAAAGGCTGGGAGAAAATAGAGAGAGAAGAAGGACCTCAACTAAAACGCGTCTTTGTCCGGACGCTCCTCGCATGGGAAGTGACGCGTCGAGAGGCGAAGACGGATGCCGGCTTGCCACTCTTTGTATTTCATGGGTTTGCGCACGATCGGGTCCTTGGGAATAAGCAGACCCTATGAAGGCCGGTTCGACCTGTGTTCAGAGACCTGTGATTGCCATGTTGGAAGGGAAGCGAAGTGCGTACAGAATGCCTCTGAAAGCCTGGACAGATTCCGTTTCTGTACTGCTCCCTCCTCGCTCTGCAGAGGGATCCCACAAAACCAATTCTGACAGAACCGATCCTGAAAGGAAAGGTGTCCAGTGTCCAAAGCAGGTCGATGGAAGAGGAGGCTTCGGACCAATGGATGGCCTTTTGGTAATGCCAGTGCTCGAATCCTACGCAAGCTACTTGAGCAAACACAACATGTTCTTGGCACCTATAAAGGCGGAACGAACAGCCAGCGCTTCTGTTTTTGATGGGTGACTTGCACAGTCAATAACTCGCGCTTTTGTTCATTGCTGAGAAGGTAAGCAAGAAGAGCAGTTGCCTTCCCTGTGACCACCGTCGACGATATATGGCATGGACTAAGGGAACATGCGCCAACTTTGCACGCGCTCGCACGCGCCACTTTTAGTGAACCAACACCATCGGCCATCTAGGTAGGCCACGATGTCTTCGAGGGGCACGGGAATGCCAAGGAGGCACGCGAACATCGAAGATGCCAATGAGGATGAAGAGGATCTCATCGAGTGGGAGCAGCAGACAACAAGGGACACAGTCCTCTGGCTCATCGACGCCGGCACAAAGATGCACGACACGCTCATCCCCGCTTCGAACGAAGGCCAGGACGATGATGCGCCCGAGGTCAGCCTATTTCATAGGGCGATGCAGGCTGCCTTTTCCTTTCAGAAAAGCAAGCTGGTCAACAGTCCCAATGACCTGGTCGGCATAATCCTCTTCAATACGGTCAGTCATCTGTGGCCCTGTTTGCTCCTTCTCCGCGCGCTGAGTGGAGGATTACCTCTTGACAGGACGAGACCCGAGTCGAGGAAGCTGGCAAGAATGTGTCGCATCCAAACAGTGTCACAGTAGAGAAGATTCGGCAGGTCGATGTCCCGTCGCTTTCAGAGCTCAAGGATGATCTTCAGAGTGGGTAGGACGGAGATGCCGATTGTTTAGCAGAGAAGGACGGGTCGGCTGAGTTGAGACTGCTGCAGACTCTCTCGACAATGGCACATCTTACTTCCGCGACAAATACAAACCCAGCGTCAAGCAGTCTCGCATACACCATGCGCTTGGAAACGCCGAAGCGATGATCTTGAATGCGTGAGCTTGAGGGGCTTCATACATTCATCTTCCTGCTTCGCTGACGCTTGCTCCATGCTTCTTTCCCTGGCCTCAGCGGTAAAACTGGCTCCAAGCGAATATTTTTTGTCACGAATGAAGATGATCCTATGGGAGACAAGAAAGGAAAAGCGGAGCAGCAGAGGCTTGCTCTGGAGAAAGTCAAAGTGAGAGAAGCTTCTAAGCCATAGCGTTGCCGATCTCACTCTCCTTTTCGACAGAGCATGACGAAGCGAGGCATCGAATTCGAGCCCTTTCTCATCTCTACAGAGGACCATCCCTTCGATACGTCTCTCTTCTACGCTGACCTCTTTTCTGTCTACAACGATGATGACGACGAGACACTATCGACCAGCGAAGCCCCCGATTCGTCAGCGGTCAAACGGCCATGGAATGCCACGACCAAGTTCGACACGCTCGAAGAGGATGTTGGTGCTAGGCAGACGCCCAAGCGAACGATCTTCAGCGTTCCTCTAATGCTAGGACATGGTGTCACAATGGGCGTCAAAGGGTGGGTAGGACAGGAAACATATTCACATTTGCAAGGATCTGACGATCTGCCACCAGATACTGCACGATCGTTCGGGCAACCAAAGGCTTACCGGTCAAAGTCAAGGCAGTTCCTGGAGAAGACGAAGATGATCCAGTGGTGTACAAGGAGATCATCACTGATACGTCGCTCGCATGCGTGGTGTGTAGAAGACTACCTAGAGGCCTTTTCGATTGCTCATACGTCTTTCCTTGCTTCGATAAGGACACGGGAAGAGAGCTCGACAAAGACCGAGACATCGACGTGGCATTCTCCTTTGGAGGTGACGCTAGCCTCCGCTCCAAGGTCCGCTTTTCCCCAAACGAAATGAAAGCATTGAGGATGTTTGGACAGAAACCAAGTGAGTCAGAGCGGACGAACGTCCCGATCACGATGACCGATACTGAGCGTTCGCTTCTTTCAGGCATAAAGATCTTGGGCTTCAAGCCGATTACTGAACTACGATTTTACGAGAATGTCAAGCATTCCTACTTCATATATCCTTCGGACGACGTGAGTGGAGCTACAAGAATCACACGGATCCAGACTCTAACCCGCTTGTGACGACAGGCATGGAAGAATTCGGTGCGGTGCTTCTCTTCACTGCTCATGAGTATGGCAAAGAAGAAAAAGATGGCGTTGGCTATCTTTTGCGGTCGAATGAACGCGACGCCATGCTTCGCTGCACTGTTGCCTCAGCTCGAGGAGCGCGACGACGAGGGGCAGAAGGAGCCTCCGGGGATGTATGTGATCCCTTTGCCCTTCGCCGACGACATTCGTGAGCCGCCCGAGAAGCAGCAAGGCATGCTCGTTGGTGGGTGAATCGCACTTTTCGCTTCCGATTCTCTTCTGATGAAACCCTTTCGCTCTACCTTTTGAAGCCAACGACGAGGAAGTGCAGGCGGCTCACGGCATCGTGCGAGCGTACACCAAAAACTCCGCTTTCAACCCAGACTTTTTCCCTAATCCAGCATTGAATCATCACTACAAGGTTCTCCTGGCCGTCGCGTTCAACGACGAGGTGCCAGAAGAGGTCGATGACAAGACGATGCCGGCCTATGCGACGATCAAGAAGCGCGCAGGCGACCTCATCACGGAGTGGAACGGCGTCATTGAAGACGACGAGCGTACATCGCGAAGCTTCGACAACGGCGATGATGGCGATGGGGTCCGGACAAGCAGCAAGAAAAGGCCGGCTGATTTTGGCAATGACGAGGAGCCAGACCTCAAGCGGAGGCACCGAGAGGGCATCCTCGGCTCGGTGAGTGTCCTTTGTGTTCGCTCGGACCTCTGTCCTATTAACTTAACTTCTCGCTCATTGACCATTGCCACCAGCTCGTCAATGATAAACTCAAGGCAGCGTGCGAGTACTACCGCCTACCAAAGACGGGAAACAAGGCAGATCTGGTCACAAGACTTGGCGAATACCTTGACAAGGTTGCCGCAAAGAGCAGGAAGGAGTTGGAGGACGCCGATTAGATGATTACGGTGCTCTGGCTGTGGCTTCCATTCTCATATGTATTTGTACCATACTTTTTCGAATTGTCCACAAATCATTCTGGAACGCCATGTTCGCCCACGCCTACCGCTGGCTTGCCCCTCCCTTCACTCTCGGCTTTTGGCCACCAGCTTGGGATCCACGGCCGCATCCCGACGTCTTCGTCACCAACCTTGGTCCTGATCAAGAGGCCGTCTGTGTCGGCCGCGCCTTCGATTCCGGGCTCGGTCCATCGCGCGACCTGCTCAAGCCTCAGGAGGGCCAGGCCGACATTTCCTATCCCAGACAGGTACTTGCCTGCAGACCTTCCTCGTGCAGGTCTAGCAGGGGCCTCTGATGCAGCTGAAGAAGAAGAGGCAGCCGCGGGGACCGACCGGACATCGGCACCGCTGTCGGGCTGCAGGTGTTGCTGCGCACTAGGCTCATCGTACGCCAGCGCTGCCGGTGGTTGAGGCGCTTGACCAAGCGAGTACAGGCTGACGGGAACGACGCGCTTGCGGACGACGCCCGTGTGGTGCGTCCTCGCCGTCAGCTCCTGGCCCACGTAGCAGCCCTTTCGAAAGTCGACGCCACCTGCGTAGTCGAGCGATGCCTCGAGTGGAAGGCTCTGATTCGGCAAGATCTCGAGAGGCCCTTCGGGGATACCCTGGAGGGTGCGATGCACCGTGTATGCGTCCTGCTGCGTGTTTGTCGAGGAGGCGAGTCCAGTGATAGCGGCAGGGACTACGGAAGAACAGGAGCAATCGAGGTTGGGTCAATGACTGAGAACAGAAGAATCGGCATTTGAAGAGACTCACGTTGTGCCTCGGCCTTTGCCAGGAGTCGATGGCCCATCTCCGGCGTCCGTCCATCTCTGCTGAGGACAACGATGCCGCTGCCATCGCCCTTGAGCTGCTCGATTACTTCCTCGGAGCCGGCACCCCAGAGAGCCCAGACGGAGTACTCATGGCTGACATCACTCAGCTTGACCTTGGAGCGTACCTTGAAGCGTTTGATGAAGGCTAGCAGCGACTCTGCTGTACGCGCATCCGTGTCGACCAGAACATGGTCGGGGGCAATGAGGTGCAGGAAGGCCGTCGCTATCATCCTCCCCTGTTGCGTGTTACTCGTGACCGTATGAGCTCATGACAACGATCTCCTATGTCGCTCTCTTGTGATGGGCAACGAGGTGTAGAGACTCACCTGCGGGTTGAGGAAGGCGCAGTACAAGGCATCGCCACCAGCCTCCAGCCTCCGGACATCGTTGGTGACGAGGCCTTGGAGTAGCTTAATGGCGTCCCGGCCTTCCACCGAGAGTAGTGCTTGGTGCGGTACCTTGGCTGCCCTGACACCGGCGCTCGGCTCGGTTGCAAACCGCCTTGTTCGGGACCAGATCCCCTTTGAGGGGAGAGGGGAGGAGCGAGAGGAGCAGCAGCAGCAAGTGCAATGCAGGTGACCAACGCGGCTTGCGAGCGTCACAATGGACCGTACTGTGCCCGTCGGCTGTACCCGAGCAAAAGATGCTGCCGCAGCGACCCGCAATGGTCCCATGTTCATCGCCATGGTTGCTCGTCGTGGCAGTCGGAGGTAAGAGCCAGAGAGAGCCTTAACCTTTTTTTTGTTTCCGTTCCATTTTTGTCCTCCTTCTGACCGAGCGACCGTCCGTCCGACAAACCGGAAGCTTCCTTCTCCACATTGGCGGCCGGAGGCGCGCGCCTCACATTTGGACTTGGCTGGATTTCTGAGCTCAGCCTTGTCCGCTCGATGTGACGACGATGGCTTGAGCACACGGGCGCTCAGCAATGCGCGGCCGCTCCTCTCAACTGATTAGCGCTGGTGGCGATGTCGGCGACAAAGACGGAGACTATGAAGACGAGGATGACGACTTTGTCAGGGAGGCAGTGGAAGAGGCAAAAGAGTACAAGGCCGAGGCGGAGCAGGAGAGAAGAGCGCGGGCGGAGGCAAAGCTGCTGAACAGTTGAGTGTCTCACCGCCGCCCAATCAGTGCTTGAACACAGGCGTCGACAGATGCTGATTGAGCATTACCATGTAGAGCGCTATGTGAAGAGGAAGAAGAAGGAGAAGATATCGAGAGAGGATGACCAGATCTTGTTTCATCGATTGAGGCAGCTGCTCGGCTTGACGGAGCAGGAGGCACATCGCCTCAGAAAGTCGTCCGATGAGACAATGATGAAAAGAGAGACCGATAGCGACGCCATCGGAGGTGGTTCGGGGCAGCGGTCCGACGACGATGGGAAGGACGACGAAGAGGAGCAGCCACAACGTGGCCAAAGCTCTGCTCAAGGTCAATTCGATCTCAGCCAGTTGCTAGGTGACAACGGTAAGTCTGCGTGTGTGCCTATTTAAATTTGTGTACGAGCTGACCTCTTGTTTCGACAGCACCATATACCACGTCGTGCTCATCAAAGGATGGTCTCATCTCGCTCTCATCCACAACGAAAAGAGAAATCTCGAGTGACCCGGAAGAGAAAGAGCGTCTTGCGAGACCACCTCCTTCACAAAATAAATCCATCAAAAGGGAGCAGCCTCCGGCTTCTTCAGATGCTGACGAGCACCTGATTTCGCTCTCGTTTCCCGTAAAAAAGACTTTGGCCGCTCATACTCCAAGATCTGTCGACCATCAAGTGGGAACCAGCGGCACCAAAGAGGAGAGGGCCCGAGGCAATGACAACGACGAGGAGGAAGAAGAGGCCATACCTCTCTCGCTGCGGGGTCGAGTTCATGGCCAACAGCTCGATGCGATACCAGCAGCAGTGGACGTGGAGTGCCGTCCCTCGTTCTTTACAAATGAAGAACAGCGAAAAGTGGGACCGATGTGCCTCGATGCATCGGCCGACGTCTACGTTCCTCGATACATCAACCGGTTTTTGAGAGAATATCAGAGAGAGGGCGTTCGATTTTTCTACGAAGCTTATCGCAATGGGAGAGGCGCTCTCCTCGGCGACGACATGGGCCTCGGAAAGACGATTCAAGTTATCGCCTTCCTTTCTGCGATCATGAAGAAGCGTGGGACGGTGGCCGAAGACGAGAATCGTCGGATCAACGCCGTCAGGGCGGGGAGGTCGAGCTCGGGCAAGCAGCAAGCCGATAAGATCTGGGCCACTTGCCTAATAATCTGCCCCAGCTCTGTCGTGGGAAATTGGCAAGGCGAGCTCAACACCTGGGGATATTTTGAGCATGCAACCGTCTCGAGGGATTCCATCGACGACTTTGAAAAGGGCCGACTGGACATTCTGCTCACGTCGCATGAGACTGCAAAGCTTCAGATCGATCGCTTGAAGGACCTCTCCTTCTCTTGCATTTTCATCGATGAATGCCACAAGGTGAAGAACCCCTCCTCCCAGCTACACCAGGCCATGTGCTCATTTGCCTGCCCTCGACGGTTCGGCCTGACGGGAACAGCCATCCAGAATCGCGTTGAAGAGATGTGGACCTTGCTCGACTGGTGCAACCCGGACCAGTACGGTACGCTGCGACACTGGCGTGAGCTCGTCGCTGAGCCCTTGCGCCGAGGTCAGGTTGCGGGCCACCATCCTTTGGAGGTCGACCGAGCAAGAGACGTTGCGAAACGGCTGGTAAAGAACCTTTTCCCTCAATCCTTTCTACGCCGCACGAAGTCGCTCATCCAGGACCAGCTGCCGATCAAGACGGACAAGATCGTCTTCTGTCCGTTGACGCATATGCAGATCGCAGCTTACAAGCGCATCCTGAATGAGCCAGAATGTTTCATGATTCGTCGGTCTCATGAAGCTTGCGAATGTGGGCTTCTTGATGACGAGGGCTTCCCATACCAACGCAAAGGGTGCTGCCATCAGACAACCGCGGACGGCAAGCCTTGGAACTATTACATGTTCCGGTATCTGCATCTGCTTCAAAGTTGTTCCAATCACCTTGCGTTGGTTTTCCCGGACCCTCAAGACAACATCGTGGCACCGATTCGGGAGATCGACAGGGAGCGCAAGGTCCGTTACCTTCGTCAGCTCGAAACTGTCCAGCGACTTTTTCCCGACGACTGGGCCTTGAAGCAGAACAATAGCCTCAACGGCTTTCGCGAGGTCTTCTGCGGAAAGTGGATTGTCTTGAAGGAGCTCATGGCGGACTGGAAGAGGCGAGGCGACAAGGTCCTCATCTTCACATCGAACAAGAGCCTCCTGAACTGGTTGAGCAGCTTCATCGAGATGCAGGGCACGCAGTTTTTAAGGCTTGATGGGACCACGCCCCAGAAGAAGCGACAGGCGCTCGTGGACTCCTTCAACCGCCAAGCTGAAATCTTTGCTTTTCTAATCTCGACGACTGCAGGCGGTACCGGCTTGAATCTGACGGGCGCCAACAAGGTCGTCGTCTTCGATCCGAATTGGAACCCTGCGCATGACCTGCAGGCGATGGACCGCGCTTATCGCTTTGGACAGGTTCGCGACGTTGACGTGTTCCGCCTTATTGGCAAGGGTTCGCTAGAGGAGGTCGTATATGATCGTCAATTGTATAAGCAACAGATGGGCCGCATCGGTTACGAAGCCTCCAAGGAGCGAAGGTACTTCGAAAAAGGCATGGAGCGCGGCATCAAGCACCTCTTTGAGCTCCACGAGACAGAGCTCAAGACGAAGCGAATGATTGAGGATTGCGACATCCGCGAGGCTAAATTTGCCTTTGAGCAATTTGCCAGAGACCAGCATCTGGCTGCGGCTGCGGCAGGCGTGGAGGCTCCCGAGATGGATCTCGACGACTTCGTCAAGGGGTATCTCGATGAGGCTTCAGACGGACGGAAGAGGAAAGGGAAGAGGGCTGACAACGATGGCGACACGTCAAAGATCCTTAGGAGAGGCGGTGTCGAGTACACACATGTCAACGACGAGCTGCTGGGCGGAAGCAGAGCCGAGGAGGCCATGTCGCGCTATGCGAAAGAGAAGATGGCAGGCGGCGGTTCCGGCAGAGGAAAGAGGAGAAAAGGCTCATTGTCCGAGAAGGGCGTTGGAGGAAGCGGTCAAAGGGCAGCAAGTGCAACGATTGCTTGGCCGCCGAAACGGAACAAGAATGAACTCGAACAGGAGGAAAGCGACGAAGAGGAGCAGAAGAAAGAGATGGAGGGTACGAAGGAAGATACGGGACCGGCTCAAAAGCAGGAATTGAAGCAGGACATGGCTGGCAAAGCCGGACATTCTGAGGTGGAAAACCCTCTAGATGGGCCGAGAGACGAGAAGGACAATATTGACGGAATCGTCAAAGCAGTGGAAGATGACGAAGATGAAGAGGAGGTGGCGCTCTTCTGAGATCTTTGTGTGATGTCTCTGAATTCTGTCGCAGTTGTGAGGAACCTGAAGACGGTGTAAATTATCGTACAGCAAGCAAGCATAGATTCGGACATGTCCGTCGAAGGATTCTCGGTTGCGTTCCAAACGAATGCTGTTGAAACGTTCTAGATTTGCGTTCACATTCAGAAGAGAGGAACAGATACACGATAAGAAAAGAGCTTGCCGATCCCCTCCCATGCCTTCCCATATTCCCCTTCGATTTCCTCTTGCTTCATGCATGATGAGGCTTAGCGTGCGGGTGGTGCGTACCCTGAGCCTGCTTCTTGGCTTGCAAAGCGCACAGGGCAGCTCCTACGCCGCTCCCATCCTTTGCAAACCCGAAACGAGTCTTCTTCTCTGCTTCGGCGCCCACCATAAGTCGGAGTGCCTCCTTCATGTTCTCGGTAAATTGCGGAAGGAACTCGACCACGGATCCGTCGACGCCCACCTCGACTACATCGTCTGCACCACCCGAGCCAGTGGACTGCGTCTTGTTTGTATGTTGAAGCACCGCCGCAATGGCCACAGCGCTCAGACGTGCCGCTCGGCGACCGACGAAGTGGCACACGCGCTTGACGGCCTCGACATCCTCTGCTCCGACGTTTGCCGGATCGAGGCCCATCGTCTCGATGAGAACCTTGCGCGTGGCCGACGACTGGCCGTCGTTGTCGGCCATGACGGCAGACATGTAGGCTGTGTCGAAGCCGTACATCTCATTAAACTTGTCCGACGAAAAGCCTTGGAAGAGGACGAGATTGTCGATGAGGTGGATCAGCACCGTCCGCGTCACCTCGCCCAGGTACATGCCGCTGATCATCTTCTCGAATGCGTGATGGCGCGGCCGGATCGCCGTCCGATCCACGAGATTGTCAAACATGGTGACAGGAAGCACCGCCCGTTCATCGTCGAAGCCGCCCCACTCGGTGTTGACTATCATGGAGCTGGGCACTGGTCGAATCGGGTCCTCGACCTCGAGCTTGGCCACCTTTCGTCGATCCTCGACGTAGGCCCCGTTCGTGCCCGTCCCAAAAATGGCGCCCAGCAGTGCCGGGCCACGCGATTGATAGCCGTGGGCGAGGAGCGCGCCGACTGTGTCGTTTACTAGCGCATTCACCCTGACCTTGACGTTCAGCTCGTCGAGGCACGACTGGAGGAGTGTGACAACCTCCTGTCCGATGGCATCTGGAGCATCAAAACCCTTCGTCCACTTAATAAGTCTTCCTCGGTCGATGGCTGTCTGTTCGACGGGCTGTGAGATTGCAAAGAGCGGTCAGTATGATCGACCCGATTCAATCAGTATTTACCGGGTCCTGGAGCTCACAAAGCTAAAGGTAAAGCCGAGCAGAAGCTCCTCGTCGGCAACGTTATGGGAGCTGCTTTCGGACTTGAGGAATGTCTCAACGCATCTTGCAATGAAGCTAAACAGCTCCCTTGCCTTTCCTGTCTTGTGCTCGTCCGATCTGTCGTTCGTTCCCCTATCCGTCAGAAGATAAGAGACAGGCGTCGGTCCCTCGTTCTCTACTCACACCTTGTACTTTTCCTGCTTCATCTCGAAGCTACCCTTGCCGTCCAGCTTGACCTCGCACACACGCAAGTTTGTTCCGCCCAGGTCCAGTGCGAGGTAGGTGCCCTTTTCCGTGCCGTCGGGCACGCCTGTCACAAAGGACGGAATCATTGCCATGTTCTGGCCGTCTTTCTCGAGGCCATGCTCCATCCGATTGCGAAATCGCGACAAGATGGCTTCGAGCTTGTGTCCATCGAGGTCGAACTGCGCCTCGATGGCATCGAGATGCTCCTTGAGCGTCGGCATCTCTCTCTCTCTCTCAGAGCGAACCTCTCCCAATTCTCGTTAAGACCGAGGGAGGAGTAGGAAAAGTGAGATGCGCGCGCGCTCGCCGAGTGGAGAATCTTCGCAAAAGCTTCGGGCAACGAACGCGCGTGGGCTTTGGATTTGCTCTCTTTATTTCTGGACCCACGATCGAAGAGGGCCAGGCTTTGCCTGGGTGATGGTTCCCGACTCCATTGCATTATATCCCCGAAGGTGGCAGCCTTTTACACACACACACTCCTGGGGTCCTCGCTCGAGGCCCTAATGTTGTCAAACACAGTCACAAAGCATTGACATTGGGCTCGCCCTTTTTGATGACGTACGACACGAGCATCTTGAGCGGCTCCGTCTGGCTCGCATTCTCGCTGCGCAGGTGCCGGGTCACGCCCAGATCTACGAAGCTTTGACCCGCTGAGTAGCGCTCCACTTCGCCTCCCTCCCATTGTGAGATGACGGATCCCGCGACGACGAAGCCAGTGGCGGGGACGGGGTGGGTGTGCAGCGGTGCAGCCAGCCCGGGCGGGTATTCGAGCAAGACCAGGCGCGATTCCCAGCCGGGAAGCGCTTCGATGGGCAGGGCTTGTAGGATTGTACGCTTGACTGACATTGTTGTTTGCATTGAGGCTTTGACTGGTTCTCTAAGAGCCATCCCTCTTATATACCGTCTCAGTACCCCTCACAGTCATCATCAGTGTCTTGACGGACACGGACCTCGGATTTCGGCGTTAGAACCACAGTAAAAAAAATGGGGAAGAGCGAAGAGTACGACGTCAATTGGCCATCACCTTAGCCCTGAAGTCGTAATTCCGGTCATCTAGAATGGTGAACTTGTTACCTCCATCGAATGAAGGTAGTACAAGGTGCTGTCAAGCTGTAAATTAGTCGATGTCGATTTCCTCTGATGAAGAGTAATAAAAGTACACATGTGATGATGCCTGCGCCTACTGGCCGAAATTGACGACCCGACTGGCTCAGATGCCCTCCTCTTTCGCCCTCAAAGCTCTTGCGGGTTCTTCGATCTGTATCCAACAGGATCACCTCTTAGTTCAAGCGGTCGCATTGAGGACGAAGAAGAGAAGCTTGACGCACCTTGCGGATAAGATCCCGCAGCGAAAGCCCTTCTGGGTTCACATCTGCCTTTTGCTTGTTCGAGTACGTGACCGAGACTTTCTGCGCCTTTTCGTCTGAAAGCGTCCGGAGCGAGACGGCCGGGAATGCAGTCGCACCTGCTGGTGGTTTCGTTGGGAGCGTGGAGAGGAGGAGGCGCATCGATCGGGTCGCCTGCGAGGAGCTCAAGGGCGCGAGGTCAATGGAGATGGCAGAAATGAATCGCACCGTCTTGGTCGATAGTGACGACATCTTTGGTGCTCTCCTTCGACTCTCCAGTCGACGTGGATGGCAGAGAGTTGAAAGGAAGATGATGAGAAGGAGGAGGATGAGAAAAATAATTAAAAATAAGACAACAGCTCGGCCGACACGGACCTGTGGAGAAGTGAAGTGAGGGCGTCCGTTTTAGAAGCAAGAGTCTGTCGTTCCGTCTCATCTTCTTCCCTGCACCTAACCCTTCCCTTGCTCTGGTCTCTCGACCGTTGGCAAGAGCCTCGGGCCTTCTTGATTGACAGACAGCTGTAGGTTCATGGTTCTGCATGTCCAAAATCGAACCTTGGCTTAATGCTCTCTCTCCAGACTTGCATCCATCCGCAAGCCCATAGAACTATCTCCAAGTGGACGGCTCAACCATGTCATCGTCGACGACGTTTCTGCCCTCGAATCCGCAGCCTTCGGGCTTCAACCAGACGGGTGGCGGGCACAACCATCAGCGAAGTTCGACTGGTCCGCTCATGACGCCTGTGCAAAAGCCGGGAGAATCAGCTTCTTCGTCGGCCGCATCGCGCGTTTGCTACTTCTTCGATTCTGACATTGGCAATTACCATTACGGTCCAGGCCACCCCATGAAGCCGACAAGGATACGCATGTGCCACAGCCTCGTCATGAATTACGGCCTCTACAAGAAGATGGAGATCTTTGTAAGTTGGCCTGCTCGCTCTTCTGCTCCTGTTCATGAACTGAATGCCCCTTGACTTGAACAGCGCGCAAAACCGGCCACGAAGCGAGAAATGTCGCAATTTCACACCGATGAATACGTGGATTTCCTCTACCGCGTCACACCCGACAATGTCGATGCGTATGCCAAAGAGTGCCTCAAGTGTAGGTTCTTACAAAGGTTGTCCACAGTGCAGCATTGACAGTGTCTCTGGCCCGCAGTTGACGTAGGCGACGACTGTCCCGTATTCGACGGCCTATTCGAGTATTGCTCCATCAGCGCAGGAGGATCGATGGGTGAGTATCGAGGCCTGTATTTGTCAAATTGACTGGCTCTGACCACCAACACCGACAGAGGGAGCCGCTCGTCTGTCTCGTGACAAATGCGATATCGCCGTGAATTGGGCCGGTGGGCTGCATCATGCAAAGAAGGGCAGCGCCAGTGGGTTCTGCTACATCAATGGTGAGACACTTGGCGATATTCTCGCAACCTTCATGAAAATTGACCGAGATCATCTCAGACATCGTCCTTGGTATCCTCGAGCTGCTTCGGTATCACCCCAGGGTGCTCTACATCGACATCGACGTCCATCATGGCGACGGTGTCGAGGAAGCCTTCTACACCACGGATCGCGTCATGACATGTAGTTTTCACAAATACGGCGAATTCTTTCCGGGCACGGGCGAGCTGCGCGACACTGGCTTTGGCAAGGGCAAGAATTACGCGGTCAATTTTCCCTTGAGGGACGGCATCACCGACGAGAGCTACAAGAGCGTATTCGAGCCTGTCATCACATCGATCATGGAGCACTACCAGCCCTCTGCTGTGGTACTGCAATGCGGCTCGGACTCGCTGGCTGGTGATAAGATTGGCAGCTTCAATCTGTCGATGCGTGGGCATGCCAACTGTGTTGAATTCGTGAAAAGCTTTGGCCTGCCCCTGCTCCTCCTCGGTGGTGGAGGCTACACGATTCGAAACGTGAGCCGAGCATGGGCCTATGAAACGGGTCTTGCTGCTGGGCAAGAACTGAGCCCCCGTGAGTGTTGACATCGCTCTGCTTGTGTCTGCTCGCGACTGACCTCTGACTTACTTTGGCAGAGGTTCCTGTGAATGAGTACTACCAGTACTTTGGACCCGACTACACCCTTGACGTTCGTCCCAACAACATGGAAGACCTCAACACGCGAGGCTACCTGGAGAAGCTCAAGATTCAAGTGATGGAAAACTTGCGTCAAACAGCCTTTGCCCCATCTGTTCAGGGTCATGTTGAGCCGAGGATAGAGCGGGACGAGGCATTGGACGATGAGGAAGGCCTGGCAACTGACATGCTGGATCCAGACGTGCGTGCCAGTAAGGATCAGGGGATGCGGGATCGGAGAAGGCAGCGCGACGGCGAGCTCAGTGACAGCGAGGACGAAGGCGAGGGAGGACGGAGAGATCGAAAGAATTACGGTCAAAATCAACGAAATGGCAACGGCAATGGAAACAAAAGTAGAAGCAATAGCAATGAGCCGCGGGCTCCTTCGTCGCAAGTTTCGATCATGCAGCCGTTGCTGCAGCGCCAGAGGACAGAGAATGCCAACGAGAATGGCGGGACCGCAGATCCCGATGCAGTCAAAGTTGAAGAAGAACGGATGGCACTTGCGCAAGGGATGGACGTTGACGCACCAGCTCCCGCAAATGGATCGCAGCTTACAGCCCCTGGTCTCTCTGAAGACGCCGTAATGTCGGACATGGCGGCGATGACGGGTCCAGAAGCATCCCAGCCCCATCCTCCCTCGGCGAGCTAGACTTACGTTTCTGATATCCTCTCCCATGTACTGTATTAGATCTCTTCTTATTTCTCGCTTTCCCCCCGGTGTTTCATTGCTAGAACATGGTACAAGGGAACATCAATGCATCCCACTTCTGCAATCTTCTAGGCAGCAGGAGCAGGAGCCGGAGGAGGGTTGTAGAGCTTGCTGAAAGGCGTCGCCTTTGTGGGCTGCAGCCAATTCTTCTCATCGTACTTCGCCTTGCTCTCATCGCCCTCGATGGCGTGGAAGGTGTAGATGTATCTCGACCGATCTGAAAGGTTCTTCTCAGACTTGTGCAAGACGGAGCCATGGATAAGGACCAGAGTACCTATTAAGTTCCAATCTTTGTCAGCACACGACGAGAGAAAGGCTGAGAGCAGACATGCTCACCGGCCTTGCATTCTTCCACCCTCGCCTCATTGTCTCTCCACGCGTCCTCTTCGCTAACGCTGAGCTCCTCGAATGTCGTGCCTGCCGACGTGTTCGTCGGCTCCTTCCTGACAAAGCGTTTGTTGACACCCCGTGGAACACCGTAATTCTCTTTCACGTCCCTGTCTTCCTTTGGCCTTTGCTCGTTGCCCTGCTGATGAGAGTCGAGGGGCCAGCGGTGGGAGCCAGGCAAGAAGGAAAGGCAGCCGTTGGTCTTTGTGCAGTCCTCCAGGGCGAACCAGAGGCCGGTTGCGCTCGGTGGATCGGTGTAGAGAAACGTGCTGTCGTTGTGCGGAGGGACTGCGCCGCCGATCGAAGGCTGCTTGCAAATCTGTCTCGGAAGCAGTTGCTCAGTTTCGAGAGAAAGCAAAGGCGGCGAGGAAAGCAGCCTGAAGAGAGAGGTGTAACTTACTATCATGCTTTGCAGTGTCCTTGGCTCCGTGAAGCTCTCTAGCGATCTGACGAGATTCTGGACCTTGTCACTGAATGACAGGTCGTAAAAAGTACGATCGAGTACATGGAGAGCGTGGCCAGCCTTGTTGACGGCGAGGTCCGGCTGCCTGTTCAGCTGGCCCGTCTTTGGGTCCACTGCGCCCTCCTCGAGAAAGAATCGGATCGAGTCGCCCGATTCGAGAAAGTAGGCATTGCCGACATGCTCTTCGTTCTCCTTTGTAGAGTCGTCGTCGGAACCAGTGACGAACTTCGTCAGCGGGTGCGCCGCAGGATCAAAAGACTGGATCACGTCGCGCGCGCGGGCCAGGATCGGGGCTGGGTCGAAAAAGCCGTGGAGGATCAGATAGCCATCTTTGCGGAACTGCTCGAGCTGCGATGGTGTCAGAGCGCCAGGAGCAAGGCCTGTTGATGTCTCAGTCGCTGTTGAGATCATGATGATGTCGAGCTTGGCAAAGACGTGCGACTGTGCATGATACGGTACCAGAAGGTGACGGGCTCTCGGCCGTCCTGCAGGTGACCAGAGCCGATTTCCGATAAAAAAAAGGGTGTGTGTGCTCGGACCATCCCCCTTCCTCCCTTCGTCAGCTTCGACGGGACTGGAGGCGGATCTCGAGGGCGAAAGATGGCGGAGCAGCAACGGAGGAAGCTCGAGCTTCTCGACCTTCCAGAGGACGTGCTGGACCTTATCATGCGGCACGCAATAGCGCGTGGACCAGCAACAACCTATCCACCACCTCAGCCATCGGGATGCTCGTACGACGACGCGACCTTTTCGTGGGCAAGGACACATAGCTGGCCGGCGCCGCCAGCCGAGCAAAGCCTCGTTGCGCTGGCTTCAACATGTCGAAAGCTGCGACATCTTTCCAAGCCACTCTACTGGAGAGCACCCAACATATCGACGATTGTCAGCGCGAATCGATTAGCGGACGCCATAAGGTCCTCTGCCGGGTCAAGCGAGGCGCCATGCCAGTTCATACGACACTTGCATATCCCTAACGACGGTCTCTTGCTGGGCAAGAAGGACGTTCTGGCAGAACGGGTTCATTGGAGTGCCTCTCTTCAGACGATACTCTCGAGCTGCACCAACCTCCAGACGATCTTCCTTGCAACGATGCCGGGTGGAGATGCCTTGACAAATTTCCTGAGTACCGACATCGAAGCGAGACCAAAGAGGATAACGTTCAGCTGTCTGAGGTGAGCTGATGGTTAGACGAAGCTTACCGAAAGATAGGAGGGCTGAAGAAGACCCGTTCAGCTCCGCTGAGCCTTCGTTTCACAAAGTGCCGTTACAGGCAGCCTGCGGCGCAACACACCTGCATTTCATCCAGTCCTTGCCCTCCGGCTTCTTCCCTGCTCTCATCGGCTACTTTTACCAGAGGAACGGACCTCTGCCCTCGCCGTCTTCGATGTCGAATTCGAAACTTGAAGAGCTGTTGGCGCAAGAGCAGCCCCGTCACCATCCACTCGAGGTCGTTCGCTTCTCCCGGCTGAATTACAACATCCTTGATACCTTTGCAGACAACATGGCTCATCGCCTCGCCTCAGCGCGCCGTGTCTCTTCCTCACCGGAGTCAGACAGCAACGAAGGAATCTCACCTGCGGAGGCAGATGCTCTTCTCCAGTCGCTTAAGCCGCTCCTCTCGACATCAAATAAGTCCGCTTCGATGAGGTTAAGCAGTGAGAACGAGAGTCGACGATTAGTTGAGAGCCGTCGAAGCCTCTGCGACCTTGCCTCATTCCTCCCGCGCTACTTTCCCCACCTCAAGCTCGTCCTCATCGAATTGGGTCAGCTTGCGGAGCTGTCCATGCCGGAACATCTCGAGCCGCTCTCGTCCTCTCTGGCTCCGTCGACGCGGAGAGACCGCAACGGGACATCAACGAGTGGCGTGGGAGCGCCCTTTGATGAGTTGGCAGCGGGGACGGCAGGTGCACTTCAGACGGTCGACTTCCCATCGGACGTGGCCTTGAGTGCGTCGGAGATCGAAGTGTGGCGTGCCAACGAAGAAGAGATTCGGTGCAAGGGACGTGATGACTACTGGGACGCCGTTCGGCGCGGTAAAGAGGCCCTCGAACTCTGTCTGAATTCCCGCAGACTAGGCAGAGGCGAGGCAGACGAACGAGTCGAAGTCAGAGTCGTAGCGGCGAGGCTGGGCGGGTGGGACAGAAACGAGTCTCTGGTCGACTTCTTTGCCAACACCGAGGCTTGCTCTCACTCGAGCCTGCAACACGTCGACAAGTCAGCATTCAACGACCCAGACATTTTCGATTTGGCTGAGCGAGACGAAAACGAGCACGAGGCTCCACTGGGGTACAACTATGCAGAGGTGCCAGGCACCGAGAAGAGGGTACCCTATTGGACCGGAATCCTACCTCGCTCAGCCAGGAGGCGGCGGCAATTCATGTAACCATAGCAAGGACACAGCATTCACATCCATTTGTTACAGTATCTTTCCATTTCTGAAGAATAAAGGTCGCTAACCAAAGCAAAAGAGCAAGACGCAACGATTGAAGAGTGCAGGCGACGCCGCGGCTCGGCTTCCCATGCCCTGGCCGACGGGATTCATGAGGAACACGACGTGCAGATTCTTGCTGATCTCCGACGAGAACCATCCCATGAGTTCCTCGGGGCTATCGAGCATGAGACCGTCCCTTGTGCTTCCCTCTTTGCAAGCCGTGAGCAGGCTGCTGTACTCGTCTCCTTCGAAGAGACCAGGCACCTCAGAGTTGGCCAAGAGGGTGTTCATGCGCTCCAGGAACGCCGGCTCCTTGATCTGTGATTCGTCAATCAAGAAGCAGACCTTTTCGGCCTGAGTGCCGCACCGCCTCAGCAGCGTTCGCAGGTCTTCGTCGAAGTCCGCCATCGTGTACTTGCGCGACGTCGAGATGCTAAAGGTAGACAGTCCGTTCATCCATGCGACGAAGCGACTGATCGTCGTTCGTCCCGAGCCGCTCACGCCGATGAGCAGCAGATGGCCTTGTCGCTGCCTCAAGACCCGATCGATGCTCGTCGCGAGTGTCAGGACGCTGTCGAAGAGGACCAGCTTCGTGTCGAGCTCCTCCTCGCTATATTGGCTCAACCTCGCGGATGTATGGTTCCTGAGTGCGCCAATGTCGACACTCTGTGTGTTCTTGCTGATCCAGTTCGAGAACACGATTGGCCTCGCCAGCGCCTCGTCGTGGTTGATCGTTGGGAAGTGTCTCTTCGCAGTCGAGTCAATGGACTCCTCTGTCCATTCGCGCTCCTCAACATCGATCAGTCGATCCGCAAAGATCCGCAGAGCTTCGTGTGCCCACACACGCACGAGACCTTCGACGCTGAGCGTGTCAAGATGGGCAATGACCTCCAAGATACCCCTCATCCACCTCGTCAGCTCTCGGGGCGAGTAGACGTAGGTGGGACTGCGATCGGGTGTGAAGCGCTTTTGCGTGTCGAGGAAGAAGTCGACCATGGCGCCAGTAAGAGCATCTGCGTAGCCTCGCAGGTTCGGCGTCACCTTGAGCAGCGCCCGATTGAAGGTGCCGTAGATCTGGTGGAGCGATTGTGCGGCGGGATAGCCAACCATGACGAGGGGCGCATGACGAAGGAACCGATGGCTCAGAGGAACACGACCAGGGTCCGTCGGCGGATTGCATGCACCTACGAACTGGATCCTCTCCAGTTTGACCCAAGCCTTGTCCGAAGTGCGCCAGAATCCGCCACTCTCCACGAGCTGACGAAGGAACGAAATGACTCGCTGGGTGCCATACTTGTCCAGCGCCGGCAGATTGATCTCGTCGCAGAAGAGGACGATCCACTTGCCAATCTGGACGGGGCTCAGAACGACGCCGTTGGGAGTCTTGCGGTACTCGCAGTACTGCTCAAAGGTCTTGAGGATCAGCTCAGGCGTAGTGGCGCTAGAGAAGTTGAGACCGACGACTTCCTGATCGGGAAGCTTTCTCAACGCGCTGAAGAGCGTCATTGTCTTGCCCGACCCGGGTGGTCCACAGAGCATCAAGGGCTTGTGCTCAGACAACCACGAGTACAGGACGTCCTCGTGTCGAACGGTGTCAGTCGTGGGAATGACCACATCGGCCGAGGCCACGGCGTTGGTTTCCACCTCAATCGTCGGCACCTTGCTCGTCCACGAGAACCACTCGCCCGTGTTGACTTGGACGTCAAAGTCGATCAGAGAACCACCAACACCGAGCGCGGGCAGCTCTACGCCCGTCTGGCCACGCAGGAATTCGCCCATCTCTGTCCTGACGTCAATCTCTGAGTCGCCCGTGAAGGACCAGACGATGGCAACCACAAGCCGCTTAGTCGCATACGCCTCGATCTGCTCCGTCGAGAGTGGAAAGTCTGAGTGTTGCGTGTTGTAGTCGATGACGTTCCTGGCCGTCTTGTTGATGAGTGAGAAGAGCGTATTGAGAGCGCGGATCGGGGTGAAGTCCATGATGTGCCACACCCGGCTTGCATGCTCCAGAGCCTTGCTGACCAAGCCGTCCACTTCGTCGAAGAAGGGTGCCACGGCATCGGCGATGATCCTTTGCGTTGTCAGCTCAGGCGATACTTCTCCTTCGGCTGTTGTGGCCATGGCTGATGCCTGTCTCCGCGCGGCAGCGGGCAAGTCATCGTCGTCGTCGCCGCCCAAGGCAATAGAGCGGAGTGCGCCAAGGTAGTTGCTGTACAGCATACGAGGCTGCACCGTGTCATCGCTGAACCAGATCATTCCACACCGCGAAACGGTAGCCAGTGTGGCGAACTTGAGATGCTCAACCTCAAACATGATTCGCACATTTGGTGGCAGACCCAGGCGCTCGCCATTGGGCAACGTGAGGAGCTTGTTGTCGTCGAGGACACTACGTCGATTTTCAGAGTCAGAATCGACCCAGCTTTGGTCGGTCGCAAATCGGCACTCACCTGTTCAAGTTCTCGACCCATTCAGGATCGACGTCGCCATCGAAGATGATCCAGTGTCGCTTGGCACTCTCTCCACGGACATTGTCGACAATCTTCCTGAGCACATGAGTGAACAGACCATCGTTCCACTCCCTCGTTGTAGGATCCAACGTTCCGTAGAGGGCCTCTTTCGAGACGGCTTTTGGATCAATGACGTACGACACACCCTCCACGCCCTCTAGTCTCTCGAGCGCCGTGAGGAGCACCTGCCACGCCTGCGTCTTGCCTGTTCCGGACGGCCCAACCATCATGAGACCATGGCTGATCTTTTGGATCTGGTACAACTGCACGACCTTCTCGAGCCAGAGTCCGCTGCAATCGAGGTTGCGTTCGGCGCACACCTGGGCCAGTTGCTGTTTGAGCTCGCCCAGATCGACGGGCTTGTACTCGATGCCAGGGAAGACGTCCAACAGCAGACTAGAGAGCAGAGGAACATCGTCGGCCACGAGCTTGGGCACGATCGTCTCGGAGACACTCTGGATCAGGATCTCCTGCTCTGAGACCTCGAGCGCCTCGCCTGTCACGGGAGCTGCTGCGCCTTCTACCCGCTCCGCGGCCAGCCTCTCGCGCTTGAGCTGACCGGCGCTGACGAGGACAGCCTTGAGCGCACGAAGGCCAAAGTCGTAATGGGGCTGGTTGCTGAGCTGCTCAGCGCAGAGATTGAAGAACGGCACAATCTTGCTGGACAGCGCCTCGGCGGTCCTGAAACCTTGGGCGTAGAGGAGAACCTGCGCGATGATCTCGCGGTCGGGCTGAGACATGACCATGGGACGGAAAAGCTTCTTGAGATTGTCTGGCAACTTAGATCGACCTGCATATGTCGGATTGGAAGTGACCGCCATGGCTGTGCGAGGATTTACCGCAACCTGTTTGCCCAGCAGCTCAATCTCGACCGTCGAACCAGGTGCTGCCGTGGCCGTCTGCGTGAGGCCGTGCTGAATCGCTTGGATCTGCTGCGAAACGGCCGAGAGGATCCTCTCTTCCAGACGATTGAACTCATCGAAGCAGCCCCATCCGCCTGTTCTGCAGAGACCGACAAAGATGCGACCCATGGCTTGAAAGTCAAACGTCTCATCGCAGCAAAAGACGAGAACCATCTGGCCGAGCTGAGCGCCCAAGGCCTTGACCGTCTCCGTCTTGCCTGTGCCTGCAGGACCCTCTGGGGCGCCTCCAAGTTTGTAGTGGAGCGCTTGCGTCAACGTCAGGTAGCATCGCCGAGTCAGGGGTGTCGTGACGAGCTTTTCGGTGATACCCAGGTATTCGTAGCCGTACGGGAAGGTAGCGTTGGCCATCTGCACCTTCAATCGATTCAGCGGATCCTCGACCGTCTTGTCGAGGTAGAATCGCATCTGATACAGCCACGCGAAGTCGTTGACAGAGTCGATCTTGTCGGCCAACAGAGTCCTCGTCACGTCACGCTGACTGACAAGCTCAGTGATGAGGTGCTCGCACTTTCGCCGCTTGATGGTCGCGATGTCCGTCAACACCGTGTCAGCCAGCAGATCCAACCCTCGCATGATGATTCGCAGCGGCTCCTCCAATGGTCGGTGAGCTTGAAGCGCGCCATCGACGAGGCCGGTCCAGACCACCTGCATGGCCAGAACGACGAGCTGAGCGGGATATCGCTCAATCCAATCGAGGAACCGATCTCCATCGAGGCCGTCGACGTCCGTGTAGAAGCTTTCAAGCTCCTCTACCGCCTCAGACAGGAGCGCGGCCAGCGTGAAGCGCATCTCGCCCTCCATCTTGGTCAGCCACTCGTTGATCTTGGCATAGTCCTTGAGCACTATTGGAGACTTAAAGTCGACTGTTTCGCCTTCACGGCTGACCATGCCCTCAAGTCTCGTCCCTTCCTCGTCGAGTGTGACCGTGGCGAGGCCCGCAAACATCTTCTTGAAATGCTTCATGATGCGCACGATGTCTTTGCTGTTTCCAATAATCTCGAGCAAGTCCTCGTCTCCGACAAAGTAGAAGCGCGGGAACATTGCTCTCTCTCGCTCGAGGTACTCTCCAAGGGCCTTTTGAATCTTGCTGAGCAGATCCGCAAGCCGTTCGAGGCTCTTTTGGACGCCTGCGATGTTCAGCACGTCGAGAACGAAGGGCGACTTGTAGACTTTCTTCATGACTGTCAGAAACTCGGTGTTGATATTCTGGAACCTTGAACTCTCGACTGGCAAGATGTGTCGGATCTCTGCCGAGCCGGTAAAGATGCCCTCGAGATAGACCCACTGGCGCTGCACGTCGATCCAGGTATCAAAGAGGACCGTCACCTTGGAGAGACGGTCCTCCCAAAGGCTTGCCTCCTCTTCAAACACTTTGTAGTGCGGGCTCATCGACATGGCACGAAGCGCATTGAGATTGTCGCCGGCCAGCTGGAAAAGATTGTCCCAGCCTCGGATCAGCCTGCACTTGTTCTGGTAGTTGACCAGATCCAGTGTGTAGCTTGACCACGACTCTCGGACTTGCTTGAGGTACTCTTCGAGGGCCAGCTCGCCCTGCGCAGTGACAATAACGGCCTTTATCGTGGACTCGTGCTTCTTAAGGTCCAGATCCCAGACAGTGCCGAGTGTCATCGACGAGGGAGTGTAATGCGACTGGATCTTGAGCTGCTTGAAAAGCGATCGCCAGTGCCGCTCTCGCATCGCCTCTGACTTGAGGTCGGAAAGGAGCGAGTTGCTCTTGAGGAGGCCGCGCAGCGTTTCCTGGACGTATTCAAATGCGGCATATTGGCGCATTCGTGCAGGCATCTCCTTTGTCTGGTTCAGGAGACCATCGAGCTGCTGTCGCAGCTTGCGTGGCTGTATGTTGTTCCAAATGCTCTCGCGCAGTTCGCCGAGTTGGCTCCACGTGCCCGAAAGGGCCGTCCACACCGCTTTGAGATCACGAAGCTCCTCGAAGATTGGTTCCAGCCGGTCGTCGCTGGTATGGTCGAGGTCGAGAGCCTCCTTGGCCCGAATGACGAGATCGCGATCTTCGCTGAGCTTGCCGACGCGCGATTCAAACACGTTGATGGTGTTCATTGCTGCGTCAGCCTTGAGTGTGCCCTGGATGGGCTTCTTTTGCTCCCACTCTACGACAATGGCGGCGATCTTGTCCGAGACGATCTTGTCCTCGGCGATGATCTTCATCTGCAACCCCGCGAGCTGTTCCTGAATGCTGGCATTCTTGCGCGAAAGAATCTCGTTGAACGCTGACCACTCGCCCTCGACCTGGTCGACATAGAGCCAATCCTGAGCGAACATGTACCGCTGCCTCTCAAGCGTCTTCTGACCCGTGCCAAAGATTTCAATCTGCGGCGTCCACTTTTTGACCTTGCGCTTCAGATCCTGAACAAAGGTAATGAATGTGACTGTCTGCGCCGTCGAGCTGGCCTCGATGCTATGCTGCTCGAGGTCATTGCGGGCCTTCTTGATTGCAGCATGCACTTCGCGCATCTCGTTTGACAGCTTGCTGCCGAATCGGTTGAGGATGTCGCGCTGCCACGTATCGTACTTGGCGTTGACCTTGCTCTGCACCTGCTCATAGTCGATGACGGCGATGCCAAACGAGCGCTGCGTGTCGGAATTGTCAAAGGTCGACCTAGTCTTGCGAATCTCGGAGAGGAGTTGCTGCCAATTAGCAAGCGAATCGCCCAGCCGTGCGTAGACGTGCTCCGACTCGAGGTCCCAAAGCGACTGGAATTGAAGCCACTTGGCCACGTACTGGTTCACTTCGGCGATCTTTGCCTCAATGAGGGCAAAGGGTCTCTGCAGAGTGTCGCCATTCTCGCCGTGAAAGCATGTGAGGAGGGACGTGTATGTCTGGTCGGTGATCTTCTTGTCTTTGCGCATCTGTAGCCCAATCTCGTATCGGGAGCTTTGAATGCGGCGGAGGGCGCAAACGACAGCGAGGACCTCGTGCAGCTGACGGAACCAGCGGGCTCGAGCATGCTCAATGGGCGGGTCAAGGTAGATGACCTGGTTCTGGATCCGGATCTCGTGTGTCACGGATTTAAGCTCAATGTGATCTCGCTCCAGCGCTGCTCTGGTCGCCTGGTTCATCTTCTTCTTGTCTTGGCCTCGTCGCTTGCTTCCCACGGTATTGGTGATGTCTCGGAGCCCCGAGGTCTTGGTTGCTCCTCTCTCCCTCGACTCTCGTCCGAATTCTTCACACCACGCCACCGAGATAAGCTTGAGCCGGTCAACGAAGACTGCTTCGATCTTGCCGTCCACATCGCGCACCCAATCGTCGAGATTGGGGTAGCCCTCCAGGTTGAGTCGGTCGATGGTCGCCTGAATCTTGTGCAGCCTCGGCGCAAACTCCTCGGCACGGTAAGGGCAAGACGACAGCTCGTCGACAGTCGTGTAGACCTCTCGCTGGATCTCAATGAGCTCGTTGGTCTTGTCCTGGAACAAAGAAACGATCGAAGCAAATTGACGGACAAACGAGACTTGCTTGTTCTCGCGAGCGTCGATCGCGCCCGCCCCACTCGTGCCAGACCCAGGAAGGTAGGCCACCGCACGGTGCGACTCGTACGTGTTGGCAAAATTCTCCCAACGCAGCGCCATGCCCTGCGAGATGAGACTCTGGACGTCGCTCTGGACTTGCGCCACGAGGCACCGAATGCCAGGGTTTGCCTTGACCATGTTGCACGTCTGCGTATACGTCCGCACTGTTTCCATGAGACTGACAGCGTGTGGATAAACTCGCTTGGCATCCTTTGCTAGGTTGTTGATGGTGTGCGGAATCTGGAAGTTGAGCCAGATGAGGTTGCGGACCTCTTTGAAGAGTGCAATGACCTGGGGGTCAAAGTTGACACCAAGCTGGTAGGTGTTGCTGGCCCGGTGCCTCGTCACCTCAAAGAGCCTGCCAGAGATGCTCATATCGCGCCGATTGATGTCCGTGAGCCAGCCGTCAAAAAGCGGTCTTGTGTCGAGCTTACGCCTGAATGTCTCGCTCTCGCTCTTGAGTTTCTGTCCCTCGGCGTACAACTCCCACCCTTGACCCAGAACATCCCCGACCCGATTCATGTAGACATTGAGCTGTCGCTCGATCTGGCGAGCCCAGACGATGGCGCCAGCAATTTCTGGCAGATCTCGCAGCTGGCTCATGTGGTTGGCCTCTGAAGGTCGGTACTGAGCCTTGAACTTGTCGTGAAGGCCCTGGATGTCGGCCTTGACGCTGTGGAGGAGCTGCTGCTGGTATTCCTGGACAGCACCTCGAACTTTGGGACGGACAAAGAGGCTGTTGAACTGCGACAGAACCCTGAGCATCTCCCTAGCCGACTTGGCCTGTCCGAGCAGATCTCTCAGCCGCGCAATGAGGCTGTTCTCGACCCTCGCCACCCGCTCGTTGTATGCCGTTTCGGCTGCTGACCAGATCTCGGTGCCCTCTTGGGAGACGTCGAGGACATCGATGACCTTGACCGATTCGTAAGCCGCAGTGACTTCCTCATTCATTTCGATGCCCGCCAAGTTCTGTGCCGACACTTGCTTCTCTGCCGTGCTCGAAAGCGTCGAAGAAGCCAGCGCCATGCCCTTGCCGGAGCTGATCATGACGCGAAGCTGCTCGTGGGTCTTTCTGAATGCGCCAATGTAGTTGAGCCTCTCGCGGAGCTTGGCGTGCGCCGGGTTGATCTTGATGGGTAGGAACTTCTCGGAGCGTTTCCTCGTCACCTCTCTGGCGATGTTGACAAAGTCCTTCATGAGATCGTCCCAGACTTGGAACACGTCGGAAGCGGCAACGATTGTCTCGCAGAAGCGGGAAAACTCCTGGTACATGAGACGCTGGCTGCTGAGGACCTTGAGTAGCGTCTCACTGAGGTCCCTCGAGATAGCCTCAACAAGGGGCAGCGCTCGTTTGACTGGGTACGGACTGATGCGGAGCTTCTTGTTGAGGTGGGAGAAGACCGAAGCCAGCGCATCGGAGCACTTTTCCAGATCGGTAGCCGAAAGGAGCTCGTTGAGGGGAAAATCCTTCATAAGGAGGTTGTAGTTGTGGATCTTTTCACCACAGTCCTTGAGGCCCGTATCGGCAAGGAAGGAGACGGTGGCGTGGAAGCGCTTGGCGTGCTTGAGGATGTCGAGCGTGAGGACGATCGGATCAGACTTGAGCTGCTTGTCGATGGTCTCGTGCGCCTTCTCCATCGAGAGCCAGAAATTGATCTCCTGCGATGCTGTGCCTGCTGCGACATCGCGGTCCAGCTTGGTCACCGTCTGGACCTCCTTGACCCAGGTGTTGACGTCGGACTGGAGCTTGTTGAGAAAGGTTGTGTCGCTCAGCAGCGAGCCCGGCTTGACCTCGTCCACCTGAACTCGGACGCCCGCCTGATGGCAGCGCTCCACCGTTTGGCGGACAATAGGGTGAATCGGGAGGTGAATCTCAGGGATCTCTACATTTTGTTGGAGGTGCAGCAGGCTGAGCTCGAGCTCTGCGAACTTGCGCTTCGTCATAGGAATGCCTAAAAGGATGATAAGATGAGCATTCGCAACGACATAAGAAGATCAGACTCAAGACTCACCCATCTTTGTGTCAGAGTCCTTGCTCTTGACGCCTGGCTTCTCCTTTCCCTCCTTGCTCATCACATATGCGTCGAACCAGGGCGCCATGACGTTGTGGACAACGCTGTGGAGCGCCTCGTAGGGGCTCTCGCGCACTTTCGTCGCCACTTCATTCTCCGCCGTCGGTGTCGAGGTGCCGGTTCCATCGGCGCCGCCAGCGATGCTGCCGCCGTTGGCTATCGCGGCTGGTCTCGCGGCCTGGCCGGCTCTTGAGGTAGACTGGGAGGCAGCGCTGGCCGGGCCAAAGAGGGAAAGAAGATGCAGCTGCTGGGGGAGTGCCACGTCGTTGTCGAGCGTCGGCACACGCTTGATGAGGGCGATGCTCGAGACGTGCCGCGGCGTGTATGAGACTTGGGTGACGAGTCGGTATATGAAAAGGTCTGTTTGAAGCACGTCGTTGGGGTGAGCAGGAAAGCCTCGCAGGGACAGAAATACGGTATGACTTCACTCACCCTCGTCCAGCGTACTCTCTCCAGCATCTTCGGCCCATATCTTGTCGATGTACACGACGGCGACAGTCGGGTCATTCGCGAACGCTTCTGCCGTCTCTCTCCAACCGCTGCTCCTGGCGAAGAGCGAGGAAGCTAGCCCCCTTTCCGAAGCCGACATGACGACGGGCAGGAGCATCTCGAGGTAAGCCCTGAGCGTGTCCACATCGAACTCGGCAGCGCCCGACGCGGGCCCAGTCCCTCTGTCGAGACCATCGAGGGCGGCCGACGAGTCGGTGCGCGCGAGGCCAGCAGCCATCGACGACGAGGAGCTCATGATTGGTGCATCGACAGACGCAGCCATTGCCCAGCTACTCTTCTCTGGTAATTAGTACTCCGTGTCGAGTCGTAAGAACAAAACAAAAGGACGGACTGCTGCAGCGTATCTTCCTCTCCCGCTTGCGCAGCCGCAATCCCCGGTCGTGGTAATCGGCGTCGTGTCGTCGAGGGTGTTGGTCTGAGGCGCGCGCAGCCGTCGAGGAAAGTGTTGGCGGTTTTTGTTGAAAAAGTCAAAATGCGTCGGTCAGACGCGACAAGACGGGACTAGCTTGCTGAGGCCGACCAGAGGGGCTGCCGGAAGGTCTCTCTCTCTCTGTGTGGTTCCGACTGTGCACCATCGGAAGAGGAGAACTTTAAAGCACGCACACACACCAAGCGTGTGGGAAGAAAGAGGGGAAGAGTGGGAAACGGCAGGCGCGATGACAGACGGCGGACAAGGTCCTTCATCGGCTACGATTCAAGCGGCTTTGGACCAGCTCTCGTCGCTGGACCGCCTGATCGACGGGCTCAACGACCAGGGCGCACCGCTCTTTGCGCACGCGCCCGCCTCTTCTACGGCACAGCAGGCCGTCGCGGGCGGCAACGGCAATGGCAGCGGCAGCACAAGTATAAGCGGCGATGGTCTCCTCGATGCTGTGCCCTCGATCCTGTCGCCTCTGCTGCAGCTCAAGGCCAACCGGTCGGCGCTGCAGACGGCCGCGGCCCTGACGCGACAGGCACCGCTCTTCCGGCCGCGCAACTTCCAGGCCATCTCGGAAGAGATTCTTCGCCGGCTTGGCAACGATGAGAATCCGGCCGCGCAAGCGGCAAGGCTCGCGCAGCAAGTGCTCAAGCAGCAGGACGCAAAGGAACGAAAGGAAAAGCAGACAAGGAGGATCCTGGAGGGGCGAGCTGCGCGAAAGAGGCAACGTCTTCTCGAACAGCAGCAGCAACAACAACAACAGCCCCTCACTTCCATTGAACAGACAGACGGCCCATCGACTGGAGCAGCACCGGACACGCTCAGCTTTCCAAGTGCGCTGTTGTCCGGCGCCGAACCAGACACAGCAGCAGCGGCAGCCGCCCCAAGCGAGGACGCACTTGAGGCGTTTCTCGCAGCCTGGAGAGCCGACCTGCTCAAGCGAGATCCCGAATCAGCATCCAAGGTCGTTGCTCAGCTTTCACGCTTCTCTGCAGACGAGGCATCGATCCTGGTCGACATTGACTGCGTCGGACGAGCACATGTGCACATCGTGCTAACCGACGACATGGCCCACGAAGGCAAGGCCGCCTGGGCCGCCCGCGTCGAGTCACTCACCATCCGTGCCGCATCAGAGTCGCACGACGAATGGGCCACCTCGAGGTTTCCCCTCTATCGCAAGCTCTCCTCCATCATCCAGGCGCGCGCCTACACGTCCAGGTCAGATGCGCCGCCGCCGCGCGGACACGAGGCCTTGACGCAGACGCTCTTCTGTCTCGCTGCCCTGCGTACGCTGCACGAGGCCCCGCCGCCGCTCCTCGTCAACGTGCCTGCGGGCTCGGCCGAGGGCGGAGAGGTCATCGTCAGCGCCCTCAGGCCGGCCGATGCGATTATGTGGCCGGTCCGATGGGCCTACTGCGAGAGACGTCCTGCGCAGCCAGCGCTGGACGCGGCAACTGCGACGATGATGATGATGGCGTCCAATGCTGCGGGGACCGAGGCACACGAGGAGGCGAAGGAGGCGTTTGCGTCGGCCGAAGACGCACCCGAGAGCGCAATGAGCGAGCTCTTCAGCGTCGCCGAGGGAGAAGACGGACCGGCAGATTCATCCAAGGGGCAAGCGACGGAAGTCGAAGCCGTGGGAGAAGGGGAAAAGAGCGACCCGGAGAAGGAAGAGGAGCCGAAGGGGCTCTGGAGGGCGTACCACAACATCTGCGCATCCGGTCAGTAGGGAGACTGTGTTGAACAAGCAGAAACCATTGTATTTCTATGCACAAGATGTGAATGGCGATGAAAGATCTGTCGTGAAGAAGGCTCATGAAAAGTGATGGTGGTGGTATCAGTCAAGACATTGTATCGATAGTGAAGAGACACATCTGAGCCCTCCTTGTTCCCGGTGAGTGGTATCACACCTCTTTCTCAACGCCCCTTGCCTTGTCGCCATCCTTGTCGAAGCGGCTGCGAACCCGGTCGACGCCGCGGAGGACGTCGTCTTTGAGTCTGCTCCCGTGCGAGTCACCCTGGTGGACGAAGCGCTTGAGGAGCTGGCTCCGGCTTCCCGACTCCTCCATCTGTTTCTCCTGCGCTCGTCCTTCTTTCTGCGCGCGCGTCTCGGCGTCGTCGTGATCCTCGTCCGAGTCATCAGACGAAGAATCAGATGTGGCAGAGCCTTCGTCGGCATCTCTGATATCCCCCAGGGGCTGAACCACACCGGACCTGACCGCAGTCCTGACAAAATCGAATCAGCCTAAAGGAAAAGGGGGGGACACAGAGATCTCTAGACTCACTGCCAGCTTTCAAACACTTTGCTGGCATCTCCAACAGACGCCGATTTCTTTGCGCGCTTCCTGCCGTGGTGGAACGACATGCCAGGGACGAAGTCGAGCTTGATCTTTGCCGTGCCGATCCGCTGTACTCCAAAGCGATCGACTGGAAGCTCCGCGTCGCCATCTATAAGATAGCTCATCCTTCAGCTCTGACCATACGCTAGGAGAGACAGAAAAGACTCACAGCTGACCCAGTTCTTCTGAAGGCCCTTGATGTTCTCGCTGTAGCTCCAAACCGGCAGCGTGTACTCGAGCGGAGGGGGCCGCTGATCTTCATCGTCTTTTCGATGATGACGATCAGGTACCTGGTTGAGCCACAGGATGGCCACAGCCATTTTGCGGCTCTTGACACCCATCAGCGACGACATGTCTTTCTTGCGTTTGAATACAATCGTCAGAGCCGATGCATCCCTTCGAAACACCGGCAGGACTTTAGGCTCAGCCGTGGTCCACGAGTAGGACGGTGGATTAGCTTGACACGTTGTCAATGGGAAGCGGCGGTCCGACGAGAGCGTCGAGAGCGCGACCGAGGCTTGCCTGAAAGCGTCGCCGTCGTGCTGCACATCGATCGAGATGCCATATACATTCAGGACCCCGACAGAGGGGACCAACCTGGGCGGATTGGGGAGTCTGCCGAGGTGCAGGTCCAACGATCGAAAGAGGAGCGAGAGACAGAGTCGACCAGACGCCTTCCCACCCGCAATAGGGTACCTGAACCGACTTGTTCAGCCCCTTCTCATCACTAGAAATTCAAGAGAAGAATATGGGCTGACTCACATGCGAGTGACGAGCGACGATGACTTGAAGCAGTCAGAGAGCTTGACGGCAACAACACCGAGAATGTCGTTTTTACCAGCCACGCGGTTCTCTCGCACAACAAAGAGGCAGCTCGACGCCGTCCAGTCGCACACCTGCTCCGTCACAGCATTGAAACAGGGCCTGTGGCGATGCAATTGTCAGCTTTAATGCATGGACTCGCAAGCTACGTATCCTGAACCTACTCTGCGTCATCCATCTTCGTGCGACTCTTGTACACGCGCTTGTCAGCAACGATGACTTCTACATACGAGCTCGGGGCCTCCTGTTCTTCGTCCTCTGCTCCATTTTTGGTGGATCCCTTGACCTTGAACTTCAGTGCAGCAATCGACTTGATCTGGATCGCCAGGATACCCAACGGCCGATCCCTGCTCGGCGGGTATTTTTCCACCAGCGACCTCGCCCTTTCCTGTTCTGCCTCCTTCGTTCTGCGCTCTTCGGCTAGTTGATCTGCCGACTCGTCAACGGTGTTGGACTGATCTGCTTCTCTGGGTCCTTGATCTTCAACGAGCTTGTCGAGCGGTCGCTTGTCAAAGTAGCCTGCACTCCATCGCACCACACCGCCTCGTGTCTCGTTAGCCTCCATTCCCTTGAGAGCATCCTCGTGCGTGACCATCTCCCCCTTGCGCTGAAAGAGATCTTTCAACGGTATCGATGCCTTGCCCAGGAAATCGTCCTCGGACGCCGCGTCGCTGTCCCAGATCTCGACGCAGACGGCTTCATCGCCACCGGCTTCTTCCTCGCTCTGCGATCGTGAGGTCGCCTCCATGGAAGCCTGCACCTGAGCGCTGACGACGAGGGTGAATGACTGCTCCCAGATGGGATTGAGCTCCTTGTTGATGACGCGTGTGGCCCGAATCGTGTTGCTTGCAGTGCGAGACCACATGATCCTCGCATAGGGATCGCTGAGTCCCTCGAAATCGGCCCTCTCTAGGTTACGAGCACTGTGGATCGTGACGACGACGACGCCCGTCGCGTCCGTCTCTCTCTTGATGCCATCGCCCATTAGGGCGTCTCCGATGTCGATGTTGAGCGTTGCAGGGCTCGTGTAGAGCCGGAGGGCCGAATCGATGCTCGATTGGATCAGGTTTCCGAGCCCGGGTACCTTTGTCAATGACAACGAAAGGGGAATGATGTCGACGCTGACCCGTGGCAGACCCTGGAAGGAGAGTTGCATCTCGCCCAAGAATGGCGACGAGCTCGTGAGCTCCAAGCGAATCTTGGCAATGCCCACAAGACCTAAGTTCCAGATGGGACCTGTGAGCTTGAAGCGTAGAAATCGCGCTACGAAAGAGGGGAAAAAGAGCCACTCACCGTTGAGAAGGACTTTAACAGGGAGCTGAAAGGCTTGTGGACCCATCTTGACCTGGAAGAGGAAGAGGATCCGGGCATCGTGGACCGGGCCGGACCCCATCAGCGGGTTGCTTTTTGCGCTTCTCGCTCCCTCTGAAGCTTCGACGTTGTCCTGCTGAGGCCCAATCTTTCGCGCATCGCCTCTGGTCGGTCCAGAGAGACCGCCAGTGGACCCCTCCTTTGAGCGGTAGGCAAATGCAATTTCGAGGTTGAGGTGCTTCGCCACGCCCCCATTGTCTTTCCTCTCCTGCTCGTCTTCCTCGGTAGGCGGCAAGACCCTGGCCGAGAGGATCTTGAGTGGGTTCTTGCCCTGTGTCAGCTCTGCACACTTGACCTCGGTGATGAACTTGGGCAGATTGGCCTGAATCGTATCTTCGAGCATATCGGCGATGGCCGTGAAGCTATCTGCGGGTATGCGCGCCCATACGCCCGAGAACAAGGCATTGAACCACTCGAGGGACTCTGGCCACTGCGCCTCGCGGATTTGGCTGGAGCGTGCATCGAATTGCGCGGCCTCGGTGTCGAGCAAGAGAGACTGGGCTTGATTCAGGGCGAGCTGGAGGAGGAGCGAGAAGAGGACAAGAGCGGCGGCCGTGATGATGAGTGTCTTGAGAGAGGGCGAAATGGCAAGAGCAATGACAGCCCAGATGCTGGCAAAGATGAGGAAGCGGGACCAGACGCCCGAGGCGAGCCTCTTTGTCGCATCCTCGCTGGAGTCGGTCTGGGCCGCTGGCGCTGCAGGCGTAAAAGGAAAGCGCGCAAAGGCAGACACGGGCACGTACGGATCGCTGTCGTTGCCTGTACCAGAGGCTCGTGAACGAGCGACGCTGTCGATGGCTTTGCGGTATTCGTCTTCGTTGACGTCGTCTCTATTGCTGGCCATCTCTGCGTCCTCTCGCCCTTTGCTAGCAGAGGAAGAGGCTGTGACAGTTGTTTGTGTTGCAGTCGAGAAGAATAAGCTCAAAGGCTGATTGCTCCCTCCACTTGGGGCGCCTGACCTGTATGACTGGGTTCAAACACGGCACCCAACACTAATGCAGTGGCAGCACTAGTCTGAGAGCTGGCAGACAGCTCTCTCGTGTCAGGTCCATCACCACAACGACGATGACAGCGGCGACAGACGAGCACGGAGGTGCCAACAGCTATGATCTGCGCTGGGACGACCCCCTGCCGCATGAGCTCTCGCCCATCAAGTACTACCTGTCGCTTCCCTCATCGCCTTCGACGAAAGCAGCCGTTGTCCTGATACACGGTCGTGGAGACAACATCAATGACATGGTCGATTGCTTCCTTCCTACTCTTCATCGTCGCTTCGGTGGGTATGAGGGCCGCTTCGACGATGATGATGACAACGACGGAGGAGAGGGAAGACAGGGCCCTGTGGCTATTGTGGGCTTGGAGGCGCGCGACAACATCTGGTATCCCGAGAGTCACAACGGTGAGTTTCAGGCCCACGATGACTGCAAACCAAGAGGAGCATTTTCTGAATGGTTCTGAACAGCGGTCGAGCAAATGAGCGCGGCCAACAACGAGCCCTACCAGTACTCCGCCCTGGACAAGCTTCGCAAGACGCTCCTAGACCTTACAAATACCCACGGCATTCCTCTCTCGAACATCGTCTTGGGTGGTTTCTCGCAGGGAGGCATCCTGTCTGACACCTATCTTGTGGCCGGTCTTGGCCACCTCGACGGTGCGAAGTCAACTGAGCTGGACCTCGTACCACTCCCTGCATATATTCTCTCCTTTGCCGGCTCCCTCTTCAAGACACCGCCTCGCTTTCCCGCTCGCAGCTACGCCTCAGCAGAGCATCAGGAGCAGGTTCTCGCTGCGTCCAAGTCCCTCAAATCGCCCGCGCAGCCCAAGAAGGTCACTGCCAGGCTCCTGTGCGGCCTCGCCGACCCGTACTTCCCAGAAGAGGAGATCAAGTCGGCCGCCGCCACGATCGTCAAAGCGTCCGAGGCGCGCAAGTCTCAGATCGACGTCCAGGTCAGCGTCGGCCTTGAGCCAAACGCACCTCACATCATCACCCCCAGGATGATCGCAGCCCTCGTCGAGAGCCTCGAAGAGATCCTTGGAGCGCAATGACGAAAACCCATGTTTGGACTCTGTCACTATTTCTGTCATGGACCCGCATCCACTCCCTTTCACAGTCCAAAACGACTGAGCAGCTTTTGAGAAGCTTTCTCCACAAAAATTTCACGATCAAAGCTCAGATCTGCTGCTCAGCTTCGTAGCTTCGTCTGTCGAGAACACACTTTCAACAGAACGGACCCTTGAACTTCTTCGTACAGACCCCCCCTCGACTCTTCTCTAGCGCCACAACGGGGTTTATTCCTTCCAAAGCTTGAAAGCTGGCCAGACATTTCCTGAGGTGACCGGACTGGGAGGAAGAAGGAGGTGCTGCGCGGGATCCCAACAATGACGATCCTTCCTGGCGGCGGTCCATCCTCAAAAGGACAAGTGGCCAGTCATTCCAACGGGCAAGAATCCACCACTGAGTCAGCGGCTCCATCAGCAGACGAAGACTTCGAGGTACTCCTTCGACACACTCCTTCGCCTCCTGATACTGAAGCTCGCCCGTCTCACCCCATGTCAGAGGCGTCGTCGCTCTCCTACGCCTCTCCGGATCTCGCCTCGCCCGTGCCATCAGTAGCCGTACACGCAGGAGCCACACAAGGCGAGATGCCGCCTGACTACACGCCATCGGAGGATGACCCGCCGTCGCACGAGGAGTCGCTCCAGGACGTTGCCCTCTCCGTACCGGACATTGACGCCGCGGACTCGATCAGCCAGGTTGGCGCCAACGATGCCGATGACGCGGATGCTCGCCTGCACGAGGACGAGTCGACGCGCCACCAGACCGACTGGTCCCACATGCTCGGCCTGTCTGGCCAGACGCTGGGTGCAGCAACCTCTGCCACTTCGCTCGGCTTTGCTGCCGCACGTCAGACGACTGCATTTGGCCTCGGCTTGGCGAAGCGCATCACGCAGGGAATCGTAGCTCTGCCCGCCATGGCCTTTGACGGCGCCGTGCTCGGCAATCCGCCGAGTATGGACAATTACCGCGACGGCAACGGCAACAGCACGCCCACTGCGGCCGAAGTGGCCCATGCTGCCGTCGGTGGCGTCTTCGATCTCATCACCACCTTTGCCCTCGGCGGCATCGACATTGGCAGCGCCATTACTGGCGCCGGTCTGGGGGCAGCGGCAGCAGGTGTCGAGGGGACCCGGAGGGCGCTGGGGTCCGAGGTGGTTCGCAGTTTGAGCGCATTTAGCAAGCTCGTCAAGCGCGAGTGGAACTCGGCTTCCGACGACCTACCCCCTGGCGGCATTCCGGCCTACTCCATCGTCGGTATCACCCAGGCGCTCACCGCTTGGGTGCTCATTCAGATGGTGACGCGCGACTACTACGAGACCAAGATGATCCGGCAGCTGCAGGAGGTCGATCTAGAGGCAGTCCAGCGTGAGATCGACGAGGAAAAGAGGGAAGAGGCAGCAGCAGCGCCGACAACAACAACGGCCACAGCAGCAGCAGCAACAGGCACGGAATCAGTACCAGCAATTGGCACGACGGCAGCTCCAGCAGTCGCAGCAACAACAACACCAGCACAGACGCAAGCCACGGCAGCGGACGCGAACCCGAGCCATGACCACGGCCATCATCACCAGCAACACGACGTTCGAATCACCTCAGAGGCCGCGATGCCTGGCGAAAACGAGGGCGACTTGATCGGCGCAGAGATCGGTCAGCCCTCTGATGCAGCCGATGCAGCGCCCCACGACGACAACACCGATGGACTTGTAGCAGTACCTCTCACAGACCGGCAGGCGATTCACAACATGAAGCGCTACTCGAAGCTGGTCCTCGGTGTCTACGGCGGCGTGGCTCTGGCGTGGTTGGGCAGCTTGCCCCCTGATCTTATGGAGGCTGCAGGCCAAGTTGTGAGCGATAGCCGTCTCCCCCAAGTCAACACCAATCAGGGCTCTGCGGCAGACCAGCCGCTTTTGGCCGGCGGAGGTACTGGTTCGAGGGCGACTGACGAAGCGGACTTCTTGAGAGCGGCTGCTCAGCTTGATCTCGAGGACGGCGAATTGATCGATGACGAGATTGATGCTCCAGCAGAACAGGATCAAGGAGCAGCGGCTCGTACGGCAACCACCACGATGCCTGGTGCGTTCGGTTCAAACACTCCCTCAATTCGCAACGAGGCCCCGGCCTCTGGCCAGGTCTTATTTTCAGCAGACCCAGAGGAGACAGTTCCTTCGACATCAGCTGCAGTTCAAGCACCCGCTGCTGGCGTTGAGAACGGCAGCCATGAGGTGCGACCACCACCGGCACGACAAGGCACGTCTTACAGCTACCTCGACATCCTGAGCGGACAGGCCGATGCAGACCTTTTCCACCGCGTCGCCGAGCTTGAAGACGGCGTGGCGCAAGAGGGGAGCTACGACGAGACGGCTTCGCAAGCAGGAAGCGCAGCAGCGCGGCTCAGACGGATGAGGCAGCGAGTCGCCAGGCCCAGTCAGCCACGCTACTACGTCGTGACCGATCATACCAATGCCAAGATCGTCCTCGTCCTTCGAGGCAGCTTGAGTCTGGGCGACTTGGCCATCGACCTGACGTGCGAGAGCGCAAGGTTTGAATGGGAGCTGTGGCACGGCGATGCGGGCTTGAGGCATCAAGAGGAGGAGGGGGACACCGGAAGTGAAGTACCGATGGCGGCCGAGGACTTTTCGTCCGAGGCTACTGCTTCCATCGCTGGGTCCGCAGCGACGGAGAGATTCTCGACCGTGTCCGCTGGCACAGCACCGGGACCAGCGCCGAGGGAAAAGCAGCCGCTCGAGGATGAGGCGACGGAAGAAAGTAAGGAGAAGGCTCCGCGAGGAAGCTACATTGTGCACGAGGGCATCTACGAAACGGCCAAAGAGATTGGCGAGCCCGGTCGGCCGGTCCACAGGGCTATTCGAGCTGCCCTGGCGCGCCACCCGGGCTACGCACTGGACATTGCAGGGCACAGCCTCGGCGCTGGCGTGGCAGCTATGTGCGCCCTCATGTGGGCAGACCCAGACACCTGCCTGACCACGCCCCAATCTGGCCTGCCCGTCGGTCGCAAGGTGCATGCATATTCGTTTGCTGCGCCTTGCGTCATGGGCGCAGAGCTTTCTCAGCGATGCAAGGCCCTCATCACGACGCTCGAATACTCGTACGACCTTGTCGCGAGACTGTCTCTTGGCGCCATTCTCGACATCCGCAACGCATGCGCGTGGCTTGCCTACGAAAACAGCCAGCCCGCCACGCCGCGCACGGCGACGTCGACGACGGCCTCGAGCAACGGCGCCTTTGTCGGCCTGCCGAACCCCATCCGTCTCACGACACTCATGCAGCGCGCCCTGCTCCACCAAGTGCCCACGACGTCGGCGGAGAAAAAGACGGAGATCGAGCACGACTTTCTCGCGCTCCGAAAAACACTCGAGGCAAACATGACGCACGTCGAACTCTTCCCACCCGGCTCCATCTTTTACTCGCTCGCGCCCGACGATGTTGCGGCGAGCCCGCGCACCGACGACCGCCTCTACCGTGTCACGGGCGATCGGCTGGACGAAGTCTTTGGCCAGATCATCTTTGGAAGGGGCATGCTCTCGAGGCACATGCCGCACATTTACAGAAACATCCTCACGGCGCTGCCCTCTTCTTGAATGTATCGTATCATATCAGAGAGAGACGACCACTTGTAGAGAGAGGGAGGACCAGAAATGAGCATACCATTACATTTGATTCCCACAGTGCAGTGCGACCTTGCGAGGGCTTCATGGTGAGAGTGTGCGATGAGACAAAGACGCTACAAAGGTAAAAAGAGGGCGAGAAGAGGGCTGAAACCAAAGAAATCAAAGACGTTGATTGGCCTTTGTGTCCAGACGAATGGAGCGGCTTACTCTGAGAAGAGGACTGAGTTTCTCTTTACGGATCTGCCGTGGGACATCAGCATCAGAAGCTCACTGGAGGGAAAGGGGAGTGGAGAAAATAGAGACTCACTTGTCCATCAGAATGGCCAGATCCTTGAGGACGAATCTCAAAATGACATTGGCAAAGAATGTGCTTGCCCTCTTCAACTTGGCCTCGATGTGGGACTTGAGCTCGGCGGGCAGAGCGGCATAGGCTTCTTCGCTCGGGGTGGAGGCGTCGTTGGTTTGCTGCAAGGACTGGAAGAGGTAGACTGACGTGGGCGACATCGCCGTAGGGTCATCCTTCATCGACGAGGCAGCTTTGCCAGTAGCCCTGCGCAGGGCTCCAAGGTGGAGGGCCATCGAATGGCTTCGCGCAAAAGTCCGTGAGAGGACGTCGACGTAGCCGCCAGCTGGCGAGTCGGACACGAGTGTAGACGAGGACGATGATGATGAGTTCATATTCTCACCCTCTTTGCCACCGCCGCCAGCCAATCGATCGAGACCTCGAGTGAACTTGCTTCCAAAGATGCCTGAGCCGCCTGCAGCGCCACTCTCTCCGCCTGCCGCACTTCCACCCTTCTTGCCCGACGACGAGCTCGCCGACCATCCGTCCACAAAGCCCAGTTTCTTGGCGAGTGTGTTCTGGACCTCGACGAGGATGGCATCAAAGTCCTCGAGCTGCTTTGCGAACCGGCTCGCAAACATGGCTTCCATGCCCGGGTTCTGTCCTGAGGGGGGCTTGCACATCGGCCTTCCAGCCACCTCGACGGCCTCGAGCCCGTTGGACACGAGCTCCAGCATCTTGATCTTGGTGTCCAAAGCGAGCAATCGTGAGCTCCCGCCTGGCTGCGACCACAGCTCCTTTGGCACATAGAGCCGCTGGCTGAGATAAGCCCCTCGCTGCATGGACAGGAGCAGCAGCCTCATCGTGTGGAAGGGCTTCAGCATCGAGTCGATGGGTACCGTTGGCAAAAAGACGCTGGGATCTGGCAGCGACGTCATGACACCGAGCCAGGGCAGCGACGTCGCACTAGTATTCGAAGCGAAAGTTGGGCCTGCGAAGTGCATCGAGGGCAAACCTGAAGGAAAGACGTCGGCGAGAGTAGGCATCTTCTCTGGATTGTAGCCAGCTCCTATAGCTCCCCCTGCTCCCAACTTTCCGGCGCCCAGCCAACCTGGCCCAATCGGATTGCCGTAGGGCGAGATGGGCGTACCCAGTGCATGGTACCCCGAGGAGGCCGAAGGCGCCGGACTCGGAAAGCGGAGCTGTTCCAGTCCGCCGTGGCCTGCACCGCGGTCAGCAACCGCCTGGGCCGCATTAGTCGAAGCCATGACACGTAAGCCTGCTGTTGGGCCCTGCGCAGAAGGCGACAGAGGCGAGAGGGGCATAGAGGCTTTTCTCGTGATCCGTGGGACGGGAGGAGGCCCATTTGGCTGGCCGGGCACCGTTTGACCCATCAAGAAGGCCTGTGGGATCGAGGGTCTTCGGTTGTTGGGCTGAGAAGCGGCTCGCTTTCGACCGGCAGAGAACGACTTGGACCCTTCCTCCGTACTTTCAGTCTCACTAGTCGCTGTGAACTTTGCGTCGGAGGAGGAAGAGGATACGAGCGGGGCGCCAAGAGCGGCAGCAGCAAAAGCGGGAGCAGCAGGGGCACCAGTCGACACGGGCGCAGATGGATCTGGCGACGGCATGGTCCCGATTGCGGGCGACGATGAGGACGACAGAGATGGCGATGAGTTCAAAGGTCGTGGCGAGTCCGTGGCACTACTTCCCTGCTTTCGCCGCTGATGAATTGTACCAGTGGCCGTGGTGGCATTGACCAGGAATGGTTTCGAGGCAGTACCAACCTCTTGCTGCGGAAGTTCGTGCGACGAGGTGAGCGTGGTGATCGCCCTGGGCCGCACGGTGAGAAGACTACTGCTGCTTCCGCCGCTGCCCTTGCTCTGCGAATGGGCCAAGCGCCTCGATTGTTGCTGTTGCTGGCCTTGCACCTGTCTGTCTGACGCCATTCTTGGGTCCTCATCATGTCCAGCATCTCCGCTCGCTGGAAAATCGTAGCTGTTCTGCTCTGTCTTTGACTCGTGCGCAGGCTGATCAGCTTGCTCGAGCTTCATAAGCTTTTGCTGGTTGGCAAGCTCGAGCCCCTCGCTGCTCGGCCTTCTCTCGTTGCGCCGCGAAGCCGAACTGGAGCTGCGATGGGTGGCATCCTCCTGGCTCAGGAGAATGTTAGACAGCGACCCGGCCACCCTGCCCTGATTCGCATGTCGTCTTCCTCGGTTCATCGCAGCCGAATACGACGTTTGCCCCGCCGACACAGGAGTGTCTGGGGACGGTGAGGAAGGGCTCGTGCTCCACAGAGACAGCTGCTGCTGCTGCTGCTGCGACTGACGGTCTGAGCGGTCTGACTCGGCAGTTGCCAAAGACTCGTCACCGAGGCTGATAAGATTCGGGTCGACGTCAAAGTAGGGCGTCGTCGGTGTTCGAATGTCGTCCTCTACCATGTTTGGGCTCGTCTTCAGCATCGACGAATCGCCAGGGACCTTCAGCGCTCCAACGACGGAAGAGCGCAAAGCTCTCGCCGATCGGAACGAGCTGTCAGAGTCGGATCGCTGCAGCCTCACTTCCCCTGCTCCTGCTCCTTGCACGTTGCCACCTGAGGATGCATGCTGCTCAATGGCGATCAGTGGCGGCGCTGACACCGAGACGTTTTCTGCATCACTGTCCAGGTCAGGACGACTAGGCCCGTCTTCTGGGCCCTCGGTGCTCTGCGACGGCTCCGACAGCTCGGCACTTTCTTCTTCTGGCGAATAAATGATGGACAGAAGTCGTATCCGCTCGGCGTAGGTGTCATGCTGCACAGATGCTCTCGTCTCAGCATATATCAACGTTCAAATCACACAGTCAAACTCACAATGACCTTGAGCCTCCTTCTTTCCTCGTCTCTGCTGTGCTTGCGGCTCTTTGACGCCTTTGGTGAGATGCGCTCCATGACCTCCTGCAGCAGCCTGACGGCCTGCTTGTACGCCGCAATGGCGTCTGGTACATTGTTTGCACTGTCAAGTTGCACTGCGCTCTGCGCCTTTTGTAATGCGATCGTCAGGACATTCTTGCTGCTCAATGGTGCTCCGTTTGAATTGAGCAACGACTCGGGCCTCGAGCCTGGAACCGCGCCCAGCTGTACGATGGCGGTATCGGACAGCTGACCAACAGTAGGGCTTGGAGGCAGGCCAGCATATCCGGGGCTGACGCGCGAGTCTCTCGCGTGATTCCGAGGCGTGACTGCTCCAGCGATGTTTCCATCGGGTGGCACAGTCGTCGACACCGCTTCTCCCAGCTCTGTCAGCAACGGCTTGACATCAGATGATGATGACGAAGGTGGTGCATTCTTCAGTGCTGTTTCTGGAGACTCGGCCGGTGCAATGGGCTCCTTGTGAAGATCCTGCTGCTCTTGCTGCTGCTGCTGCTGCTGCTGTTCCTTTTGCTGCAGGGATGCGTTATGCTGCCATCTCTGAGCTGCAGAGGGAGGAAAGTGGCTTGGCGAAGAAGCGCCGTCCGATCGTAAAACGGTCAAAGAAGGCAAGAGCAGCTCCCTCGGTTGGCCAGAGGGGCTCACAGGCGTATCACTCGATGTTGGCTCCGTAGATTGTCTACCGGAATCCCTGGGGAGAGGCGAGACGGATCCGCTGCCTCCAGATACGTGCCTATCGCTGCTACCTCTTCGCTGGAACTCCGAAAGGAGATTCGAATTGCTCGTTTGGCGCATATAGCTTGACCTCTTGGCACTCGACGAGGCATTTGGCCGGGTGTCCCAGTTGGCAGCGACAGAAGAGCCTGGATGGAACGAGACTGCATCTGCCTTGTTGTACTGCAGCCGACTCAGGCGTCCCACTTTGGGACCGTTCGCCGAGGAAGACGACATGGACGAGCTCGAGGACCAAGTGCCATCGCCATGTCTCGCCTGCGTCTCCATCTCCCTGCCCATGTTGCCGTAGGAGGAGGCTCTGCTAAGCCTTCGCTGACCATCGGGCAGTGTCTCGTTAAGGTACTCTGGCGAGAGCGGAGGCGAAGTCGGCCTTGGGCGCGAGGAGTTCCGACCCGGATTCCGCGTACTAATGAGCGAATCGTCGGCCGTTGTCGCAGACCCCAAGCTGGAATCACTCTCCCTCGCTCCATTGTACACGCTGCTGTTCGGCCCTTGTCCTGCAGCCGCGCTCGTAGATGGGACAAAGCTAGCATCGGGATGAATCCCGGTGTTCACTTCGTTGCTGCTGTCGCTATCGCCAAGTGGCCACTTTCTTGCGGGCTTCGCGTCTGCCGCTTTTTCCTTGCTCCTGAATGTTTCCACGTCATTGCGCAGTCCCGTCGTTGTAGTAAAGGGTTCTGCTTCGCCACTTCCAACACCTGCTTCTGCTATCGGCCTGATCGTAGAGTCTGTCTTCGCTGACTCAGTCGATGGTCTCGGCGGCGAGGGCCCTGTCAACGAAGAAGAAAGTGTGTCATGCGTTGGCGCATTTATCGCAGCTGCTGGCGGCCCTTCCTTCGCCCGGGGTCGATTTGAGTCCGCACTCGTCGTGCCTGTCCCGGTTGCCTTTGTTCTTCCTCTTCCCGTCGCTGGGCCCGCACCGGCCACATTCTCCGGCTTCTCTGGAGACCCCCTCACCCTGCCCGCGCCTGTATCAAACAGAGGCTGCACCACTTGATGCTGTTGCGGGCCAGGTCTGGTCGCAGAAAGATCTGCCAGCATCGCCGTTGTATCTTGGCGGCCTTTGGAAGGCGAGGGCGAAGGCGAGGAGTTATTGCTGTCCCACTGTGCAGCCAGGGCCGCAACATTGACGCCAGCCCCTCGAGGCTTGGATGTCGGATGAGGGATGTTTATGTTGCTCGATGTCAACTTCCTATTTGACGACGACAGTGGCCCGGTGCCTGGGCCTGTTGCATCGGTGTGCATTGCGTGAGCAGGAGAGTCGTTTGTCGACGACGAGAAGGCGGAGTTGTTTGCCGAGATCGATGAGGCCAAGGCCGAGGCAGGTGTCGACATCTCATCAGGGGCGCCGCGTTCCCACTGGTCTTTCAGACCTGAAGGTCGACGAGGCTGCGGGGGCGTTGAAGCTGTTGGCATCGCCATGCTGGTCGGGTTGCTGCTGCTACTGCTGCCGTTGTTGTGTCTTGTCGGTGGTGATTCCTGTGCTCGAGGCCTGGACTGTGACGCTTGGGCCGCCGGGATAGATGCGAAAGAAGGGGAGGTGCGTGACGCTGCATTTGCAGCTGAACCCGGTCCCGAGATGTTGACTGGTCCCGAGGCTCCCGATATTCCCGGTGGTGTTGTCGTCGTCGGCGTCGTCGTCGTCGTCGCTGCTGCTGCCGCCCGCTTACCCATCTGGGCTCCCAAACGGCTCCCTCGCGAGTTGGGAGTCGCGCGAGCTGCCACTGGTGACAATGGTACCCTCGCCAAGTCGGGACCGCTGCTGCTGGCAGGGCCATAGTCTAGTGCACGGCCCCTCTGCGCTTGTCCCTGAGCCAGAAACCCACTGTCCGGCAGTCGCCCTGCTCCTGCTCCTGCTCCTGCTCCTGCTCCTCGGATTTCGTCGGGAGAAAGCGCGGCACTTCGCGGAGCGGAAGACGAAGAAGAAGACGTCAAAGACGCGCCCGCAGCGGCCCTGGGCGGGGATGGGGACGAGAGGTCGTCAAGGGTGAGGAACGAGCGTCCGACGTCTGCCGCAGCGCCCCCTGCCGCTGGTCGCCCTGCACCCCCAGGGAGCCTCGAGCCGCTGCCGCTGGCGTTCGACATGGCGTCCTGCTCGGTCCTTTGTCAAAAGGGGGGAAGACCTCCCTCGCCCGTTGACAAGACAAGAGGTGGCTGGGGAGATGAAGGCGGAGCGCTGTGACTTCTCTCTCTCTTGCCCTTTCCGCCGGCAAAAAAAAGGCTGCTTCTTCGCTTGCCTCTTCACGCTAGCGGCCCCTCCTGTTCGTGGTGAATGGGGCAGCTGAATTCACTCCATCCAACCTGTTCCCTCCTTCTCTTCTCTCAGCGCCGTCGTCCCTCGTCGTTGCGTGGAGCGGCCTTGCGGCTGAAGTCTTGAGGAGGTGATGTGGCGGGGCGGGTGACAAAACGGGCGCGATCCGGGAATGAGGTCCGACCGCGACGCAGGGACATGAAGCTACCAGATGACCGGCGTAGATGGACCTCCTGCAATGACGTCTGCCGCTGCCAAGATTGTCCGAGTGATGTCCGCGCCCCGCGAGGCAAGCACAAGGCACTAGAGACGGAAAAGAAAGGGGAAGGGGAAGACCGGAAAGGGCGAGAGTGCACGCGCTGTTCGCAAGCAGGGACGTCGCTCGGTCGTCGTCCTGTACGACAAAGTCGCCCCCGCCCTTGCGCTTTACTACTACTAAAACTTGGACGCGTCCTCGGTTTCCGCTAGCTTCCCTCTCCTCTTCTGTCTGCTTGAATAGGGTGCCGGGGGCTTGAATAGGGTGCTTCCAGCGCTTGCCTTGCTGCTAGCCGCCTTCGATAAATTACCCTGGAGGGGCCCACAACCAAAATTTAGCGTTGCTAGCTTAAAGACGGCTTTTCTTTCACAGTCGAGGCAAGACGACGTGGCTGGTGGCAGGTCGTGCAAGTTGGCGCCTCAGAGCAGACCCAGGCCATTATCTGGCGCTGATACATGATCATCTGTTGGCTCGTTCTTAGAATTGACAATCACTTTGGAAGGGTTGAGTGTTCGTGTATGTGGGCGAGATCTCTCTTTGGTCTCAGGAATAAGAAACTCGGATAGATGGGGCAATCGATGGTTCAGGTGATGTAGAAGAAGAAGGGCGACTTGTCCCCGAGCATGTCGTAGTCTTCCTTGGCCGATCGCGGCACACGTCCAGTGAAGAGGAGCCTAGCCTTTCGATTGCCCGCACGGTGGATGGCGCCGCCGTACAGGACACCCAAAAAGACGCCTGCGAGCGAGAAGCCGGCATTGATGAGGAACGCTTCTCGATACAGGGGCGCGGATCCTTCCAGAAAGATGACCGAGCCCAGAATGCCGCCTGGTCCCACGCCGCATCCAATGACCAGCGCCATCGCAACGTTGCGCTTTGTATCGCCGCTCGTATTGCCGCTGGACCGATCGTTCTCGTCAGCCCATTGTGAAGCGTCATCAGCGGTGGGAGGGTGTCACTCACCTCACTAGGGCAAAGACACTACAGGCCCCGCCGAATGAACCCATTGCCATGAAGATTGTGGATAGGTAGCGAATGATTGAAGTTGGATTCAAGGTCCCAATCAACCATGCCATGACGCCGATGAACATCGAGATGACGTAGCTGCGAGTTCACAGCTGAGCACTTTGAGGACAAGAGATCTGCCTGTCGACTTGAGACTCACACCAAGATGCGGCAATTCCAACGGTCGCTGTAGATTGCTGTCGCGACGACGTAGATGGCAGCGATGAAATAGACGATGGCCGTATAGCCCTGTGCTTTATATTTGTTGTAACCCAAGCCATCCTCGATGATGATGGGCAATGTCAGGGCGACGCTCATCATTGGCACGCTGGCACAGAAGAGGAGTAGGACAAGTAACCAGACGAAGCCGTCAGTGAAGGCGTTTTTGACAAATTTCCAGTGGTAGCCGAGCGTTGTCTTGAAGCGATAGTGTTCTTGGTCGTACAAGACGCATTCCTTCATATAAGCCTTGTCTTCAGCAGAGAGGAAGCCGCAGTCGTCGATGTCCTTCCTTATGAAGAAGTAAGAGCCGACGGACACGATGATGGAGCATATGCCTTCGATGACGAGAATCATCCTCCAATCGGCCATCTTTTCTCTGAGAGGATTGACAACTTGTACCGCCAGTGAGATGCAACCACCAACGCTCTACCATAAAAATGTAAGCGAAGGACCAAAAAACCGTATCTGCCAACTCACGCCAGCAATGACACCAGCCGAGAAGAATAGCCCGATGCTGTGGGAGACGAAAGTGCGAGGGAAGAAGCCGCCAAGGTAGTAGACGATGCCAGGGAAGACTCCAGCTGTTTGGGGCAGGACTATGGTCACCATCATTTCGAGAAGGGATCTTCCCTGCCAACATAAATCCACCTTCACAGGCACCAAGTACAAGTCTAACGATGAAGATGTGCTTTGTGTTGTTGACGAACGCCGTCAAGAGCATTGCAGTGCCCCAGCCGACACCGATGACAGGAAGCCATATCTTGGCTCCAAGCCAGCGAAGAACAAGATTGGATGGCACCTGTTGGCGCAATGGTGTTAGCGCATGAATTCACAGCGGACGGCACGTTCCCTATATGCTTTCCTCGAAGAGAGTGTAAGTGAAGAAAAAGAGGACAACAGCAATGGTGTAGTGTGCATGTGTGATTTTGATGTCCTGGTTCATGCCCGCAACCTTCACGTTGGCCATAGCTACCGTTCATTTGTGAGTTCTGTGTGGCTGGGGTTCTAGGAGACGATCTGGCATCACTTACCGGTACGATCCACTGCGCAGAATGGCCCACCGCAAATCTCAGTTGCAGCACAGCTCCATACCGGCTAAACAACTTACTGAAAGCACACAAATAGAGAAGCATCACCGGGGGCAGCTTCAGAAGAGGAGAAAGTCAGCAACGGTAAAAAGTGAGGCAGTAAAATGCAACCGAGGCGATTGCGCACAATATGGAAATTGATCTTGGTCATGATTTTGACAATCCTCTTCCTGTCGATCGTCGTCCTCGCATTGAGAACAGTGACTGGATTGCTTGGTGGTAGCTTGATTTTACTGCCTGTCTCCTGACCTCCGTCGGTGGCGTGACCCGAGAAACTTCTCCTAGGATCCCTAACGTCGTCATCTTCAAAGTAGGTGTTGCGCCTCATCTGATGGGTGAAATCGCTCGTGTCGACGGCCTCAGGCGTCATGAGGGAAGGTTTCGAGCGCGTACAGTGAAGTGAATGTTCGCCAGAGGTTCCTTCTTGAGAGCAAGGCAATGAAGGCACCATCGAGAGCTCATGCATCTCCAAGCCCGTTTTCTCAAAAGTCGTCATGGCGATCGAAGGCGGTGGGTCCGCTTTTATCGTTCAGGAACTGGAAGACTGTGGAAGCGGAGCAAGCAGTATATTGGCAATTATAAGGCTTTCATGAAAAGTCTCTCGGCGAAGGGAGGGGAAGAAAGCGGCCATAGTCGGCAATGTATCTCGCCGAACAGCGGGCGAGACGGTGATGAAGAGGGGTGTGACATCTATTTTGCGGAGCTAACCCTGTACATCGTAGATTGAAGGGGGTCCTCCAAGGACCTCGGAGCTGCGAGCTTTGCTGTTTCTGCGGAGCTGGCGGGCTGTGAACCTGCGGGCTTTCTGACGGTGCTGTCGCCGTGTTGGTTTGCCCCTCTCGAGAGGTTGCAGACCACGTGACCAATGTTGACGCGCCTGTCAAAGCAACATTCGGCCTACTCCATCTAAAATAGGTCTCTATCTAGACCTCGTCGTGCATCCACCCTCTTCCCCACTTCTCTTCCCCTTCCCTCATTTTCTTAACGAGGCAGCCGATCTCAGGAAGCTTTAACTAGGCACTCGGAGGGGGAAACAGGTCGCACGGCGCTTTCAGTCGACTGGGGGGGAAAAAGGGCGTTGGTGTGAGGCGTAAACTCAGGCGGTGGCCCTAGCGTCGTCAATTGCGAAACTACCCATCCCTTTGTCCCCGGCTATTCTCGGAATAGGGACACATTTGGTTCGCGCACTGCTCTGCTTTCTGAACCGACAGTGACGTCTACCCCCTCTCGGTCGTCTCTTCTGCGATAGAAAGAGAAAGAGAGAAGAGAGAGGAGATGTATCACTCCGACTTTGGGCGTCGGCTGCGAAGCCAGTCATCCAGCGCATCCTCGCCAAGTCGGACCCGCAACGATGGTGGGATATCCCCATCTCCCTCTTCCGATCGCCTGTCGGCAGGTCTCGTCGGTGGTTCTTCCTTTGCTGTGGGTGACCACGCCCGCGCAAGTACGGACTCCCTCGAAAGGGCGAAACCGGGGTCTAGCTCGAGGAATGGCAGCCGGGAGAGCGTAAAAGACAGGCCACGAACGCCAAGGAAGGGAGGCGACAGGTGGGTATCCTTTCTTCCTGCTTGATGAGATACGAAAGGTATTCATCCACAGCTTCTCTCTTTACAGATTTATTCCAAATCGAGAAAGTGGGGACGACCAAAAGGACGCCTTTCAGCTCATGGCGAGCTCGCCCTCTACGCCTCATAGGCACAAACGAAAGATCACAGCTGATGCTGACGTTCAGAAAGGTACGAGATGTGATGAGACTTGAACACTTTCGGGCAAGTTGCTGATATGGTCTAATTTGCTGGTTGCAGAAGAAGCCAATCAAACGTTCTCCACGCTGCTTTCTTCGGAGCTCTTTGGGGTCGACTCGGTCGCCTATGCACAAGCAGCGATATCGAATGATCTCTCCTCATCGCCCACCGTTCGAGCGTCGGGCAGCTCGTCTCCCTCTAGAAGTAGCGTGCCCGTCACACCGACCAAAAAGAACATATACTCGCACAGATCGCCATCCTCGTCACGGTCCAGAAGTATCGGAACGCCTGGGCGTAGCGGCGGATCAGAAAGAATAGGACTATACCCCGGTGTTTCGATGCCAAAATCTCCGGGCAGGAGCCTTTTTGGAGGCTCGGTCTCGGACACCAATCTCGTCGACAGCCTTGATTCGCCAAATCACTCTGCATATAACGTCAGCCCAGTCAAGATGGAAAGCCAACGGTTGTTGAGCAGCCCGCGAAGAGTCCATCGAGTTTTGAGCAAGGTCCCTTATAAAGTCCTGGATGCACCAGAACTGGCTGTGAGTTGGGCAACGCAGAACGGACGCAAATGGAGCAGGCTAATAAAGACTTTGCTCCTCTCTCAGGACGACTACTATCTCAATCTTGTCGACTGGTCCTCTGCTGACGTGCTCGGCGTTGGGTTGGGTCATTGCGTATACCTTTGGTCAGCCAAGACGTCGGGGGTGACAAAGCTTTGCGATCTCAAGGAAAACAAACCTGAATTGGATAGGGATAAGGTCATGGGTATCAGCTGGTCGGGCCAGGGTAACTATCTGGCTGTGGGGACTCAGAATGGGAAAGTGCAAATCTGGGATCCGGTGACGCTCAAATGCATTCGAACCATGACCGGCCACAAGCAAAGGGTCGGGGCACTGGCGTGGAACGAGCATATTCTTACGTCAGGGTCTAGGGACCGCAGTATCTATCATCGCGACGTGCGCGTTCCCCAGCAGTCGATTCGGGAGCTCAAGGGGCATAAGCAGGAGGTTTGCGGGCTCAAGTGGAATACAATGACGAACCAGCTGGCCAGCGGAGGCAACGACAACAAGCTCTTCGTCTGGGACGGCCTGGGGAGCTCGGCTTTGCACCAGTTTGCCGAGCATACGGCCGCCGTCAAGGCTATCGCGTGGAGCCCTCACCAACAGGGTCTGCTTGCTTCCGGTGGTGGAACCGCCGATATGAAGATCAAGTACTGGAACACCGTCACAGGAGCCAAGCTATCGGAAGTCGACACTGGCTCGCAAGTGTGCAATTTAGCATGGTCAAAGACTTCTAACGAGATTATCTCGACACACGGCTTCAGTTCCGGCAAAGTCCACAACCAGGTCCAAATCTGGCGATACCCGGGCATGCAGCAGGTCGCCTCTCTTACTGGTCACACCATGAGAGTCCTATACCTCGCCATGAGCCCTGATGGCGAGACTATCGTGTCAGGCGCTGGTGACGAAACGCTGCGATTTTGGAACCTAAACACGCCAGCAAAGAAGCTCGTCGCTGCCGAAACAAGCTCGACCTTGAATCCATTCGCCAAGCTGCGATGATTTCCGCCCTCTCTTACTTTACGCCCCGTCTCGTCGGACTTAACCAGTTGCAGCATTTCCCTCATATCCTGTCTTTATACATACACCCAAAGCCTCCATTCCTCATCAGCAGTCTACATGCTACACTACAAATGATTCTCTCTCTTCTCATGTACTCTTTCCCATTTACTGTCTTCGTCATATCCATCACCATCCAAGGGCTTCCATCAATCTGCCGTGCACGTGATTTCCATCGTCGCGTGGGCTGTCTCGGCGGAGTTTGCGAGCTCAAGTGGTGACTTGAGACTTTGACCACTGCCTGACGCCCATCTCTTTGTCGAGCATCATCTGTGTCAAGGATCAGCTTGACAGCCTCACATACTCTTCTTCTTTCGCACGCGACCTTTTCGCCTTCGCCTTCGCTTCTTTGCAAGACCTTTTTTGCGCATCGACCACCTCTCTGCGCTTCAAAGCACACCAATCGCACAGCAACCCTCGCCGACCAAAAGGTAGTACCCTGTAAGTGATCATTGGTCCTTCTTAAACCCGATTGCTCTTCCTCCGTTCCATGGTCAAATCTTCTCCGCGAGCAACGTTTCAAAGACGGTCGATGAAATGCTGTAGGGGCTGTGGACAATGAGGCAGAACGGAAAGCCGGATAACGGCCGGCATCTTTATCTCTGAAGCTTGCAGATCGGGTGGCTGACGATTCTCTTGTCCTTGTAAATTATCAGACAATGGCTCTCAAGAGGATCAACAAGGTGAGTTTAGTGGAAGCTTCACAACTTCATGAAGTCCTGATCTCGCATTTGACGTGGTGCTTACTGCCACGCACTAAATTCAACAGGAGCTTGCCGATCTCGGCCGTGACCCTCCCACGTCTTGCAGCGCCGGTCCCACGGGTGACAACATGTTCCAGGTAAGGAATACCAACAGCAATGTGCTGCGCATCGCAATGGGGTACTGAATACTTTTATCGTACAGTGGCAAGCGACGATCATGGGCCCGGTAAGACACTTTTCTCCTCCTCGTCTTCACTTTCTGCCTTTTTTCTGACCCAGTCTGTCCCCTCAGGGCGACTCTCCATACTCTGGCGGCGTCTTCTTCCTGACCATTACCTTCGTGAGTGCAGCGTACGAAATGTTTGGGAGACACACTCTCTCCGGGCTAGCGACTTACCCTTCCGCCACAGCCGACCGACTACCCCTTCAAGCCACCCAAGGTTGCTTTCTCGACCAAGATCTACCACCCAAACATCAACTCGAACGGTTCCATCTGCCTCGACATTCTTCGAGACCAATGGAGCCCCGCTCTCACGATCAGCAAGGGTGAGCGGCCTAGAAGGCTGAGCAGCAAGCGACCTCGCAGCTGACTAAGAATTTCCCTTTCCAGTTCTCCTCTCAATCTGCTCCATGTTGACGGGTCAGTGATCTTGTGCAAGCTCACATTACGATAAAGTTTCTGACATATGACCTTTGTTCCCACAGACCCCAACCCGGACGACCCACTGGTTCCGGAAATTGCTAATCTCTACAAGACGGACAGGCCACGCTACGAAAGCACGGCGCGAGAGTGGACGCGGAAGTGAGTGGCGCTGGGTTTCTCAGTAGCTTTCGCAGGCATCTGATCAATCCTTGACTCCAGGTACGCCATGTGAGGACGACCAGTCTTTTTGCTATCGGCGTTCGAGATCAGGCGTACTAGACCAAGGCGGAGTGGGAAAACAAGGGAGAGAAGAGATGTTCGATAAGGGCGACGCCAGGCTACTGCTTTCCGATTGGGGGCCAAGGTCTGATATAGAGGCTCTCATGTCGATGCTGCTCTCATCATCAGACATCGCCTCTCACATGCACATTTTGTCTCATCACCCATTTCCCTTTCACCCCTTCCTTCACCATCTTTATCACCCAGTTTTTCCTCGTCTTTCTATTTTCTCTCTCTTTTGCGCGCGCCTCTCTCTCAACTTCACGACTTGACCTGATCGCAAATACAACTTCATGAACCACCTATCTAGCAGAGTTGCAACGACAGCCTGCGAGTGCGCTCGTTAAGCGCTCCTTTTCGTTGCTGGTGGTTGCTGGTTGCCAAATGGCGAACAGCCTGTCTCCGATACGAAAGGAAACGGGATGAGGGGGCGCAAGGGGGAGGAGGCTGTGTGGGTCCGTGCACCAATAATTTGGCGACCTATCCTGCCCTCGGCCGCCGCTCAGCTCAAGGACCCCCTCACCCGACTACCTCTCCAGACAGCCCAGACACCAGCGCGCGAGGTAAAGCTCACAGTCTTGCAAGGACGACGACGTCTTTCGGAGGGGAGGAGGCAACAAGCTTCTGGCGAGGTGGCTGCCCTCTCTCTCTCTCTTTCTTTCGTCGCTCAAGACCCTTTCGCAACGGACCGCTCACTACCTCGCCCGCTTTGACTCACTCGCTTCACCTACCTTGAACGCACGCATCCACAATCATCGCCCCATTCTCCTTTCATCAGTACGGCCACAAGGCACGTACGCAAAGAGGCATACACATAAACCAACATAACCACACACGCAATCAAGATGGGCATGGTTCATCGCGAGTACCTCGCCTCGTCGCGGATCTTTGGGTGCAAAAAGTGCAAGACGCACCTCACGACGATCGAGCGCCTCGTCAGCCGAGTGAGCAGCCTTCATTATCCTTGGGTTTCTGTCTTTCCCCTCTTGAGCATCTCTGACAATCATGCTCGTGTTATCAACCATTCAGAACTTCAATGGCCAGACTGGTAGGGCGTGCCTCTTTGACCACGTCGTCAACATCACCCTGGGCGACGCAGACGACCGGCAAATGACAACGGGTCTGCACACAGTCAGGGATGTGCGGTGCGCAAATTGCAGCCACATTTTGGGCTGGAAGTATGTGAGTGGGTTGTGGTGCCGCTTATACAAGTGTATGTCACTAGTCTGTCTGTCTGACGTCTGGTTGCACCATCGACAAAGGACAAGGCCCACGTTGATTCGGAGCGGTACAAGGAAAAGAAGTTCATCCTCGAGGTGAGTCCGTCCGGTAGTCCTTGGGATATCCTCTAGGCAAGCGTGCGCACAAATTGATGGCGTGGTCCACCCCTTTTTTCCACAGCGCGCCCTCATAGACGACGTAGAATGATGCCGGCCGAGCAGTGCTGCTCCACAAGTCTCTCATTTCCATGGCTATGTGCACCCGGCGGCTACTGTTACAATGCAATCATGTCGGTTTCGTCTTTGCCTTTTTTGCCCCTCTGGCCGCCTTCATTCTCTCAAGCCTGGCTTTGAGCGCATTGACTCTGCCGCTCCTCATCAGAACTCGCTCAAGTATGACAATATTGAATCACACTCACCTCTCGTTTGCCTCGTCCTGTATGCGTTGCTCCTCCTCAAATCTTGCCATGATCTCCTCCCTCTCCTCACGATCCAATCTCGCGCGCTTCTCCTCCTCTGTCTCCTCCTCTTTCTCTGCCTCCTCTTCTATCTCCTCCTCGCCGTCTTCAAGTGGTGCTCGTCCGGGCACCTGGCGCAGCTTAGGCGCAACCTCGATTGTGGCACCCGCCAAGTAGAGGCCTCTATCCGGCTGGGCGTCGCTCTCGCTGGCCTGGGACATGACCTCTCGCTGAAACCTTTCCCATTCCGGGTCGACTTGTTCCTCGTTGATTTTGGCCCTCTTCTTGGCAACCTGGTCTCCCTGCCCGCCATCTTCTGAAGAAAACTGCTCTCCCTTACGCTTGCCGGCAGCAGCAGAAGAAGAAGAAGCTGCTTGTGCCTCGCGTTGTCGCTGAGCTGCTTCTTCTTCTTCTGCTCTTCTCTGCTTCTTCTCTGCCTCCTCCACTTCGGCCCGCTTGATCTCCTCTGCCTTGGCTCGGTGGCTCTTGCTCGCGGCGTGGCTCGCCCAGAGGCTCTCGTGCTTGATCGTCAAGTCGCACGCCAGGCAGCGCAGCGCGCCCGTCTTGCGGTGGTACGACGCAAAGCGGTCCGGGATCGCCGTCGCCCCTCCTGACGACGAAGTAGAAGCCCCTGCCCCTGCCGACGAAGACGGAGCCGCTCGCTTTTGTGCAGCGGCAGCTCGAAGCAGCGAGCGAGCATCGGCAGGCATCGTCGTTGGTTCTCTTTGTTAGGAGTGAGCTGCTACTTACTGACTTGTCTGTTTTCTCCGTCTCCTTCTTTCTCTTTCTCTTTATTTTAGGCCTCTTGACACGGCACGCGTCGATCTTCCATTTCTTCTCGCCCTTACTTTTCACCTTCTTTCCTTCTCTCGCGAGGAGATGGCAATGACCGACACCAGACCGGGAGTGCCAGTGCCAGTGCCAGCGCCAGCACCACCACGGACCTACGCACCGCGAACGGCCGTCCCGATCCGCGCGGGCATGCCGCGCCGCATCGATATTGCTGACGTGACGCCCAACAATGTCGGCCAGCTGCGAAAGCTCAACAGCGTCCTCTTTCCTGTCCGGTTCAGCGAACGGTGGTACAAGGACGTGCTCGAGGCACAGGTGGCCGACGTGTCCAAGTTTGGTGGGTTTGCTGTGCTGCCCTTGGTTGGAGATCGGTGCAGGGGATTAGGAAGGGATGGAGAAGGTGCTGACAATGTTTTCAACGGGGCCACGACAACACAGCGCTCTTCAATGATATCCCCGTCGGCAATGTCTGCTGCAGATTCGAGAGACTCGAAAACAAGGACGAAGCGAAGCTCTACATCATGACGCTCGGCTGTCTTGCGCCATATCGGCGAATTGGCATCGCTAGCAAGGTGGGTTTTTAACATTGTCTCAAGACCTAGTCCTCTGACCCGTCACCTGCCACAGCTCCTCGAGCACGTCCTCGAGCACGGCGGACCCGGCAAGACCGTGACATTCCACGACAACAGCGACAAGGCCAAGGGCGACGAGAAGGCAGCGCAAGGCGCATCAGCGAAGAAGGGCCAAGCAAAGAAAGACGAGGACAAGAAGAAAAAGGGCGAAGAGAGAAGAATCGTTGCCGTCTACCTCCATGTTCAGACGGACAACGACGAGGCAAAGCTATTTTACGAGAAGCACGGCTTCAAGGAGGTCGAGCGACTCGACGAATACTACCACCGAGGCATCGAGCCGCGGAGCGCGTGGGTGCTGGAAAAGAGGCAGTGATGATGCCGCCCGATCCAGCCACTGTTTTATGAGCAATGACAAAAGACTGCTTGTTCATTGCATGCACTGTGCGCACACAACAGTAGGAGGGGAGAATTTGACGCGTCATTTGTGGCTTTTCTGCCTTCCTCCTGCCCATCTACCACAAATCCCAAGCATGAACACCTCCTATGACGGAATGATGAGCCAAACTCACCTTCTTCGTCTTGAATTGAGCCGCTCTCGGCCGTCTTCTCCACTCCGACGAGCAGGGAAAAGGCAGATACGGAAAACTTCCTCATTGACAGTCCTCCGTTCATCACAAGATAGGTGATCTCTCACCTGCCGTACAAAAAAGGAAACGAATTTTCAGGGTGCGCGATCCTTCCTCGCCCGTGCGCGATTAGCAGGGGAGGGGGTCCCTATGTTAACATTTGCGTTGATGAGATCGCTGAGCGAGAAGCCGCCTTTCAAATCGCCTTGATCCTTCCTTTCTGATTCACACGAACATTGCCGGCTATCGTATATAGGCCGACAGCAAAACGAGAACAGCTGCTGGGGGCGCTGCGGAGCCACACAGCGATACTCACCCTTCTCTCACGTCCTTGCGCTACGCCTGTTTGCCGGTCCGATTTCTAACATCGAAAGGTCGCACTCCGACTGAATCTCAGCTGCGCCCTCTCTCCTCGTCGGGTTCCCAAACAATGTTGTTGAGCAGAAATAGCGGCGGCGGCGGTGGTGAACACGGCGACGTGTTTCTGCCTCGCCAAGGAATGGAGCGAAGAGGGGCGCACCTTTACTGCTTACCATCTGCGAGCCGTTCCACAGCATCGTCGTTTGCGAGCGACTTTTCGAGCGCAGGAAAGACAGCATCAGGAGCCGTAGCGAGCTCAGCACTGTCAGACGCCGGCAGCTCCGTCGTCACCAGCGCACCTTCATCTTCCTTTTCTTCGCCTCGTGCCCCGTTCGAAGGCCTACCTCCCTCTCAATCTCCTCAAAAGACGAACAAGGATCTGGCCACGGAGGAAGCAAGAAGAAGCACTGACATGGCGTCGACCAACACATATTCGAGAAAGGAGTGGGGTCTTGTTTCGATCATTCGGATTCTCGACTCGCCCGGGATCGTGCTCATCACACTGTACCACGTCCCCTCTCACGCCATGTTTGGCTGGCCGCTGCAGACCGACCCGCGCCATCGCTCCCCCGACCGAGCCATTGTCTTTGTGACGCCTCGTAGCCGGCGCGAATCGACCGATTGCTGCCACCACAAGACGAGCGAGAGTCTCTGCGTGCTGTCCGATGTGCTCGTGACATGGATGAGGCACTCATCGTCTCTGTCGCCTTCTGTCAAGAGAAAACTTGGAGAGAGGGAACAAGACACCTTGTGGCTCGCACACATCATGAATCTTGCTGTGGTGGGGCCGTCGTTGGCGAAAGAGCTGCGCAAAAAGCAGGAGGTTCCCACGCACAAGGACCTCTTTCCGGACGATGACACAACAGAGCAGGCGCCCGTTGCGCGCGTTCAGAGCACGTCGTCTAAAGCCCCCCAGAGCATCTTGATCGGATCAGACACTTCTTGTGTGCCTACTCCGCCTCACACGCACGACGAGACGCCATCTCCCGCCAGCAAAAGCCGACCGAGCTCGCTGCGGTCTGACACCAGCAAGCCAAGCTCTCCCCGTCCCTCTTCTGAAGGACGTTCTGTTCACGCATCTCGCTCTTCCTTTGAGCAAACGCAGGGGGTCTCGGAAACAAACCTCAAGCTGAAAGGGAGCGGACCATTGCGCAAGTTTCGGTCCATGACAAGCGAGCTGTCCACGACAATTACCAAGTCGCTGTCCTCACCCTTTTCCTCGTCCTCCTCTTCCCTTACCTCGTCTCCAACAACTGCAACAACGACTGCGGACGTGAGCCGCGAGAGGCCCTCACGTAGCGCTTCTTCGTCGCCAGCGCCGGGCCATTCAAGGGAGAACAAGCCGAAACTGTCTGCTCTCCAGACGACGTACAGTCCAGCTCGCGCTAGCACTCTTTCCACGGTCCCCAGCATTGAAGTATGGTCGCCCACCTCGCCTCCAGCTACGTCTATCAGGCCTCCATGGACCAGGGGTGTCTCCTCATCCGAGCAACCATCCTCTGCAAGCTCTATTGAGAGTGTTTTCGACGCGGCTAGGTCAGCAAAGGTGCCCACAGACAGCGAATCGACTTCGTCTCGACATGATTGATAGACAAGAACGACTACGAGACTAGACATACATACACTTAGATCTTCACCCTGACCGTCTTTCTTTCTTGCTTTTGATCTATCATCTCAACAACTTTGTACTTCTAGCCAATAGATTCCAGCGGCTCAATGGTCATGCTCTCCCGTCACGGCGATTCAGCTTCGAAACAGTTTGTCATGATCCTTCAAGTCTTCGTCACACTTCTCTACCTTGACTTCATGGACAGCCTCCGCTGTGCCTTTGCAGAAGACATCCTGCACGATCCCGTGCTCTTCCAGGTACTTCCTGAATTGCTTGTCTTCCTCCTCCAAGCTCCGTTTCTCCAGCTGGGCCGGGATGAGCAAGAATGTTGCCAGTGCACCGACTAGGCTGAAGCCGGCCGCTACTAGGAAGACGGCCTGCTGACCGGCCATCTCGTCACTGAATTGCGCCTGCAGCGCCGAGAAGCACACGGTGCCGATTGCAGCGCCGGCCTTTCCAAAGGCGGCCGCTAGGCCCACAAAGTGGCCCCGGACAGCGGTCCTTTTTTTTTTTTTCGGATCAGGCCATGCCACAGATCAGTGACGCCTAGAAAAGGAAGAGGGTGGCACAGGACTCACGGTGCAACTTCGGCGCTGATGAGAATCGTCGCTACGCCCGGACCGGCCTCTGCGCATGCCACAAAAGCCCCATAGAGGAGCACAAATGCGCACAAGTTGGACTTGATGCGGTGCAGGACGCCACCAAGGACGGCGCCGATGATTGCCTGGGCAAAGAAGCCGGCCATCTGTGTCGTCTTTCGACCAGCGCGATCAAGGAGGAGCGAACCAATGAGGCAGCCGGGTAGAGTGAATAGGTTTATCAGGCTACCGTAGCCAACCGCATGCACAAGGGAGGTAGACGTGGGCGTACTAGAATGCGAGGATGAGGAAGACAAACCAGCGATGAAAGGCGTTGCGAGGAGGCTGGCAGGATACGAGACAAAGTCGTACCTACCTTTCACCTTCAGCATTCTCCCCGAATTGCGAGAAATTGAAGATAGCACTCACAGAAACCAACAGAGGCAAGCGCCCGACAGCGATCTCCAATAGCGTCGAAAGACCAAGGCGTAAAAGCGAGCAGTAGAGACCTTGCCGAGGCTTCGCTTGCTGTTTTTGGAAAAGGCGGTCGAAGTAACCATCTTATAGCGCCAGTAGAAGACAGCAATGGGAATGGCTGCGCCGAGACCTACAGCGATACGCCAAGCCGCCTCGAGATCCTGGGTCTGGGTTGCGGGTGTATTGGCCCTGTAGCCATAGAGAGCAAGAACGATGAGCGGGACGACACCTCCCAGGACGAGGCCAATGTCGACGGCAAAGTTGCCGACAAGGGCGACGAGCATTCCGCGCCGCTTCTGCACCGTCGTGTTCTCGTCGGACGCCTCGGTAGCACCTGTGGTGCAGACTGGGTATTCGCCACCGGCACCGACGCCCAGGATGCCGCGCGAAACGGTAAGCATCCAGAAGAGACCCGAGGGGCTTGTGTTTACGCCAGAAACGCTGCTGAGGCCCACACCGACAACGAGGACTGCCGTTGCGAGCACGACGCCCGTCTTACGCGAAAAGCCATCAATGAGATTGCCAAAAAGCAGAGCGCCCACAACGATGCCAACGTAGTACGCCGCGCTGATTCGAGTCTTGATCTTGGATGTTAGCTCCTCTCGAGAGTAAATCTTTGACAGAAGGAGCAGGGCAAAGGAAATCACTTGAGCATTGTAGCCATCGGAGACGAGGCCGATGCCCGAAAAGACAATGTTGTGAATGTAGGTGCCGGCTTCTTTCTTCTCTTCCTCCTTGAAGCCTTCATCACGATCGTCTCCATTTTCGTTTTCAAGATCGAAATGAGGAGATTGAAAGGCATTGTTCTGCTGCTGTCGTAGCATGCAAAGTCCTCGAGCCTTGACCTCCAAAGAAGACGACAGGCGAGGACCTAGAACGCGGGTGGTGGGAAGTTCATCACGTACGAGTCCAGCTTCTCGCTTTTCAGTGGTGGGAGCCGAGGAACGGTCTTTCATCGTGCTTGTTCGTCGCTGTGTGCGCAGGAGGAAGAGAGAAGAGAGACGAAAGGCAGGTATTTGAGGCCGAGGCCGATTTCCCTGTCTTTTACGCCCATGCCAGACGAAGAAGGAACGTTCCCTTTCCTATGCTTTCGGGATGAGCACAATTTCAACAAGCCCGATGCTTGCAGACTCGCTCTCGGACCGTCACTGTTGCAACTCGCTCTGCGAAGGACCAGCAGGGCATGCGAAATGGCGCCTTTTCGGTCAAACGTCAATCGGTCTATCGCAAGAACGTGCGTGGGCTGACTTGCCGTTACAGACGTTAACCCGAGCGGAATATACCGCCACCGTTGCATCTCGGGGCGAGGCTGACAGCAACTCCGTTGCTTTTTCCCTCACACACAAAGTACAGACAACAGGCAAGAATAGGATAAACGTTCGCACAAATCACAGCATACACAAAAGTATCAAATTGGAAGAAAGGGCAAAGATCAAACATCAGTCGTGAAATTCGCCGGAAAAGTGCCCACCGTCGCGCCCCTCTTGGCGGTGCTCGAGGCATTTCTGCCCATCCACCAATCCTCGCGGTTGTTGGTCCGCTTGATGACGTCGATGACATCGCCGCGCTTAAAGGAGATATCGTCCGGCTGTTGTGCTTCAAAGTCAAACGAAGCAATGACCTGAGACTCGGCCGCTTGGAAGTTGTTGCCCCCTGAAGCAGAGCCTGACGCCGTCGTTGGCGGCGAGGAGCCCAGCAGGTCCGGCGAAGGGCTCCTGGACGGTGAAGATCGGTTGTTCCTTGGGGATGAAGTATCAGCGGTCAGGTTGGGCGGAGGAGTGGTCCGACTGTTGCCTCTGACTCGATTCCAAATGTCTCTTGTAGAGCTGGACCGCTTCTGATACTGGGGCCGCTGCGGCTTGTCGGTGACCTCATCCTCCCTCGGCAGGCCGTAGTCTGACCTCCAGCCAGCCCCCACGTCTCTGCGGTTGGCGTCTGCTCCTGCAAAGTGATCTCCGGAAGTTCTCTGAAGCTCGGCATCGAGCGAGTCCATGCCATTGCGCCTAGCATTCTCTTGATTCAAGAGCTTTGAGCCTGTAGCGCTTCGTGAGTAGGCCGTCGAAGAGGACCCAAGGCCCCTTGCGCCCGTGATCTCATCGCGCTCCGAATCCATTGAGTCCGATGAAGTCCACGTCGCCTGCTTTGTTGGCTTCTTCCGAGGCACGTATGGTGGGTTGTATGTGCTTCCACCGTAGTCGCCCACGGTCGGAGAGTGATTTGGAGCATAGCGCGGTGTCGTGTCTGACGAGACGGCATGTCCGTCTCCGAAGATATCGTCGTCGTCATCGTCTTGATTTCTTCCGAAGTGCGTCGGAAATTGCGCGCCATCGAGTCCTGTGCCCCCTCGCTGGTTCCTCATTAAGACATTACTCCTCGTCGTCGGGCTCCTAGAGGCAGGCACAGGTGCAGCCTTCCTTTCTCGGACGCCACTGTATGCATAAGAACCACCGTCTTCGAGCAGGCTCGACGATCGATTCCTCCCGGGCGAGGAAGATGGTACGCTAAAGGCGTCTTGATCCCGCGGATCCGCACCACTGTAGTCGGTCCCAGCCCTCGAGGACGTGGAGCCAAAGAAGCCCTTGCGTTCCTTTGTCGGCGAATTTGTGAGATTGCCCCCCTGGCTCGATCCAAATGCGTACTCTCCCGTCCTGCGATTGGCGTAGTCTTCCGTCCTACGTCGATTCCCGTTTCCAAGACTACTGGCTTGGAACTCGCGATCAAGTGCGTCAATCTCGCCTCGCCTCGCGCCGCTGCCGTAGTCCTCGTACCAGTTGTCGTCGTCCTCGTCGTTTCTCGCACCCCGCATGCCGAGATCGCCATCCATGCCCGCCCTGACCTCGCCCGAGAGGGTGAATTTTTCAATCGTCGAGATGAGTGACCCAGCCCAGGACGGCACATCGACGCTGCCTGAGAGAATGGACTTGGAGGAGCAAGGGCGCTGGTACGCCTTGATGTTGGCGTCGGACCGCTCGACCAGCACGGTGCCTTCGAGCGAGATGCCGCCGTAGAGACCCTTGCTCTTGCTGTACGAGAACATGGCGGCGACCTTTCCCTGGGAGCTGACGGCCCCGCTTGCCTCTGCTGACCGGCCCAGTGGACCGATGGCGACGCCGAGGTTGCCACCAAACTGCAGGCTGCCGGTGCTCATGAAGCTCCTCACGGCCGACTTGCTATTGAGGACCACGACGACGTCCGTCACATCTAGACCGGCATTGAAGCCTCCGCCGAGGCCGCCGAGACCGAGCGCAGAGGGAGCCGACCAGGAATTGTCGGGCAGACGGGCAATGACGACGCCCGAGCCTGCGCGCGCAGACATGAGAAATCCGATTCTGGCCACCGAGAAGATGGCAAAGCCCTGGGCCCGCTTGAGGACCGAGAGTGGGATCACCCGGTCAAGACCGCCATGAGCCGGGTCGACGAACTCGGTGATGATCTGCACAGGCACACCTGAGTGAGCGAGCCAAACGAGCGGGTGGGGTCACACAGATTGGAGGGCAATCTCACCTTGTTGGCCTTTCGGCACTCCTGCGCCAGATTGACCGGCAGAGGGTTCCCCATCTTTCCTTCGAAAGCACCGGTGTTCGCCTCGGCTCAGTGCCTTTTCGCTGTCCGACTCGAAGTAACGAGACGAAGCGTAAGTGAGAGATAGAGAGATGCAACCTCTGTCCTGTGTAGAGAGTCCGGTCTGGGATCAGATTGACTTGGGCATGGAAACGTGCTTTAACCTTGAGGAATCAAGGTGGAGGACGGCGAAAAAAAATAAAAGCCCTAGGCTTCTTCTTTCGTGCGTAGCCTCATCTCGGAAGCTTGCTGCCGTGAGGAAGAAGAGATGCACAGCCTAATGCCCGAGAAGCGAAGAGATCCGTTGCGCTCGTTGTTGCTGTTGCTGCCGAGCTCATGTCTCGCCGCCGTTGCATGAGCTGCTTCTGCCTTTCATCTGATCCGTCTGAGAAGGACGGTGCTCTAGGAACCAAAGTAGTCTACTGAAGCTGCATATTACCGTGTCGACTTTCGGCGGCCAGACTTCAGAAGCTCCCACCATCTCTTCCTCAATCATGAGATTATGAGAGTCTCTGCAGTAGGGTGCGTCCGTCACCTTACAAACAGCTCTGAAGCGGACGGTGCCCTTCTCGTCAATCTCACTTAAGACTGTGTGGTGCAGCAGGCGGGATTTGTCACTGCAGCGCATTGCATGTGTCACTGCTTTTCCTCCACATCTAGGCTACAGCTAGGATGTCGCGCGAGGCCTAGTGCTTCTTCGCTATCCGCAACGTTGCTGTCTGTCCATCGTATGCTCCGCCAACTTTCTCCGCTGGCCACTTTTTGTTCCCCTACCTCTTCCCTTACCCGACGAACCTTCTCCACGAGCCTCGCTACCGCCATGAAGGTGCATCCGATTCCCCTGCGCGACGACAACTACGGCTACCTCGTCGTCGACGCTGCGCACCCCACAAAGGGCGTCCTCGTCGATCCCTACGACGTGCCCACGTGCCAGGCGCACCTCAAGCAGCACGGCATCACCGAAGTCGTGGGAAACATCACCACGCACCACCACTTTGACCACTCGGGCGGCAACGAGGCCTTCCACAAGGCCTACCCCGATGCGCCCATCTTTGGCGGCTCCGACAAGGTGCCCTGCCTGAGTCGGCCCGTCAAGCACGGCGATGCCTTCCCACTCTTTCCCGGCAGCAGCATCCAGGTCAAGACCTATGCGACACCTTGCCACACCCAGGACAGCACCGCCTTCTTCCTCGAGGACTCAAAGGCAAAGGACGGCGAGTACACGCGCGGCGTCTTTACGGGCGACACGCTCTTTGTCTCGGGCTGCGGCCGCTTCTTCGAAGGCACGCCCGAGGAGATGCACACGGCGCTCAACAAGACACTGGCAGGCCTGCCGGGCGACACCGTCGTCTTTTGCGGCCACGGTGAGTTTCTTTCTAGGACATGCAGTTGGGCTGCTACGGAGAGTCACGGGCGCTGAAAGTAGTTGGCGCATCTAGAGTACACAAAGGGAAACGTCGCCTTCTCTGCAGGCGTCGTGCCCAACAACGCCGCCGTGCAGAAGCTCGTCGAGTTTGTCAGGACGGGCCAGAACAAGGGCGTGACGACGGGTGTCTTTACCATCGACGACGAGAAGCGCCACAACGTCTTTATGCTCGTCGACGACGCCGAGGTGAAAAAGGCCATCGGTCTCGAGAGTGCCGGACCAGTCGAAGTCATGGCCAAGCTGAGAGAGCTCAAGAACAGCGGTCAAATGATGGCAAAGGTGTGAGGAGCCGAGGTCAATGCATGAATTGCTCTTTCTCTCTTTTTGTTATATTTTTCTCCAGTTGTGGCTCTTCATGAGAACAGCAGGGGTGGGGAAAAAAAGGATGTGTCGAATGATGCACGAGCGCAGCGATGGAAGAGCGAGAGGAATTAGGAGCAGGCCATGATGGCGTTGATGAGGTCACCGTTGCTCTCCTTGAGAGCCTTGACGGCCTTGCGGCGCGAGACCGAGACCTGTTGCAAGCATTAGTCTCCACACACACACATGCCAGCTTGGACGATGAAAAGGACGCACCTGAGCCATGACGAGGTCGATGTCCTTTGCATCGACACCCGACTCGTCGATGGGGGAGCCATCGTCCTCGTCCTCCTCTTCCTCCTTCTTCTTGTCCGCCGCACCACCGTCCTGACCCTGCTGCTGCATCTGGCTGAACTGCTCGCTGAGCAGCCTCTCCTGCTGCTCGGCCTGGGCCATCTGCTGGGCCTGGGCCGCCTGGGCCTGTGCGCTCATGTCCTCATTCTTGGCCTCGCCAAAGACAATGTAGCAGTCCGACACGCTCGACTTGTACACCTCGGGGCTGCTGACGACGTAGAGGTGGCCGCGGGGCCGGCGCATCGTGACACGCGTGATGCCCTGGACCTTTTTAAGGCCAATGTTCTGCAGCGACTTGCGCGCCTTGCGCTCCGCCTTGTTGCTGACCTGCTCGCCCACGGTCACGTCGCCGCCGAGGCCGGCCGCGCCCGACTCGGCCTCCTCCTCCTGGACGTTGAGCTGTGTGGATATTCATGCATGTATGTATGTCAGTGAGGATGTCCTCTCGCAGGCTTCGCCTCGAAAAGAAGCACGACGACTCACGTCCTGAACGTCATCGGTGATCTCCTCGACAGTGGCCGACATGGTTGTGCTGCTGCTGCTGCTGCAAAGTGGTGAGAAGTGATTGGTGGTCGCAGAAGTCAGCGCTCTTCCTGATCCCGTGGGTCCGGCGTCACACACACACAGACACGCGCGCGCAGGCCACTCTTTCTTCCTGGATAGCGCAATACAACAATGGCTACATGGGATTTTTGTATTTGATTTTGCCGCGCCACATGGCACTTTAAAGGTAACCGCAGCGGGGACAAACGGTCCCTGCAAGAAACAAGTCAGAGGCCCAACACAGTTCATGGTGAATGGGGTGGATGATTATTTCATTTAAATGTTTCAAAGTTGGACGAGGATGATAGACCACATCTGAAGAGAGGTGGATGCGTGTGTGATTAGAGGTAGAGGAGTGACGGTCCGGTCAAGCTCGCTTCTTGTTGCCCTTTGCCTTGACGACCTTGAATCCTCCAAAGCTGTCGCTGTTATTCTTGGATGCAGCAGCAGCGGCCTGTTGCTGCAGGAGCTGGTGCTGCTGCTGTTGCTGCTGCACCGCCTGAAGATGGATCTGGTTGTGCTGCTGCTGCTGCTGCTGTTGCTGTTGAGCCTGCTGCGACTTTATAATGTCGCTTGCAGTCCTCGAGCCGGCCCCATTTGTGCGAGGCTGAGCCCCACCGCGGTTTGCAGCATCGAGCTTCCTCTTGGCGACAAAGTCGGCTGCGAATCTCCTGCCGTCCAGCGTTGAGCTGTTTGCATATACGCTCTCGGCAATGATTTCGACGACATCAGGCGAGGGATCCAGCGGGAAGGAGAGGAGCATCTCGATGAAATCGTCGACCTTGACGTTGAGACCCTTGAGTTGCTCCTTGCAGTGCCGGAGGAATTCGGGAGAAGCACCCGGCTCGCCATTGGGAGTGGCAGAGGGCGCAGGCAGAGAGCTCGCCGCGGGCGCTGCAACACTGCCCTGCGCTTTGGAGCGGGTTGAAGCCTGGGTCAACGAGCCCGACGAGGCGCTACGGAAGTTGTTGGCGGGAATGCCGTTGGGCCTGGCGACGGAGGCAGCGGGGCCTGCTCCTGCTCCAGCCCCTGCCACGTTCCAAGGGCCGCCGCTGTTGGCTCGGTGAGCAGCTGGCCCCTGAGGTGGGGCCACAGTCGGCCTGACAGTAGCCGAAGGAGCGGCAGTCGGCAGAGACGACGCCGATGGACCAGTTGGCGTTGCAGGTTTGCCGCCAGCGCCGACGACGCTCCACGAACCCCCAGCTCCAGAAGAGGCATTGTTGATCGCGCCCGGCACTCCCTGCACCTGCCTGTTTGCCAGGTCGGCGTAGCCCTTTGGCCTGGTGGGGGTGGCACCAGGTTGAGAACCGTGGGCCTGCGCTTGAGCCTCCTTGACACGCTGGGCACGCCTCTTTTCCTCTTCCTGGATCTCCGTCAGCGTCTTCTTGGGCGTCTGGCGGTTGCCGGCGTTCCAGACGGGCGTCGAGGGTGCGTTGCCAGACGATGGCGACTCTGACCGGTTGACCGAGGGCGGCACGCTGGCCAGGCCCCACGACATGCTCGTCGGCACCGACTCGCTGTTGGACGTCGAGCGTGCGAATGCATTCTGGCTGCGCAGTCGTTCAGCCTGAGCCGCCTTTCGAGCCTCGGCCTGGCGCGCTTCGGCCTCCTGGATCTCACGGAGGCTCATGCTCGACGTCGTGCCTCCCTGGCTCTCTGCGGCGCTTGCCCAGGGTGCTTTTGTCGAGGCCGTCGACGTCGACGTCTCCTGGTTCGAGTCGGACATCCAGGCACTCAGGGGCACCTGTTGACCACCTGCTCCTACTCCTGCTCCGTCCTGCTGCTGCTGACGACGGAACTGGTCCTCGCTCACCACCTTGACGTTCCCTCCAGCGGCCGACTGAGCATGCTGCGCCCTTTCAGACGGCTGCTGCTGCTGGCTCAGCTCGTCCGTCTGTTTACCACGCTGGCGCCTGTTCTTCTTCTTCGTCGGCGACTCGACCGAGTCTTGCTGCTGGTGCTGCTGCTGGTGCTTCACGCCGTCCGTCTGAATCATAAAGGGCTCTGAAGCAAACTGCACGGCAGACGGGCTCTGAGGCCAGACCTGCTCAATGGCCGGCTCACTGACCTCCTCCTGCGTCGCTGCTTCTTCTCGCTGCTCCTGACCATCTTCCTTGATGTCCAGTTCGCCGTCTGCGCCGCTTTCATCCTTGAAAAGCTCGGCATTGCCGTGGCTGTGCTGCTCCCGCTCCCGCTCTTGCTCCGTCTCCTGCTCCTGCCCATGCCCTTGCCCTTGCTCCGGCTGCTGCTGAGATTGCCAATGGCTCTCATCAGGTGCATTCTGAGGCTGCTGAGGCTGCTGTTGTTGCTGGTGCTGGTGATGCTGCGGCAGATCGAACGGAGCTCGTTGCTGCTGGTAAGGGTCAAACTGCTGCTGCTGCTGCGGTGGAAAGGCCGGCCCCATCCCAGGCTGCTGCTGCTGCTGCTGCTGCTGTGGGTGATGGTGGTTGGTGTCCCAGAGCTGAGCGGCGCCAAAGCCAGGCTGCATCCAAGGACTACCGACGCCTGCGCCCTGTGCCACGCCAAGATGAGCTGCAAAGGGCGACGAAGTGGCCCGGTGCTGGTGCTCCTCCATCTCGCGCTGCCGAACCATGGCCAGGTATTCGTCCTGGTTGCGCAGTCGGAACCGTGGATCGAAATCGCCCGCAAAGGGCGACTGGGGAGCAGCACCACCACCACCACCACCACCACCACCACCACCACCTCCAAACAGGCTTCCGTTGGCGGCAAAGGGAGAGGCCGGCATGGGTCCGGGATGGCCAAAGCCCTGATCGAGCGGCCAGTGTCCCCCCATCGGCGCGCCACCACCAAACACCTCGTTCTGCATGCGGTCCAGCGACGGCGCGTGCTGCTGCTGTTGTTGTTGCTGCTGGTGTTGCTGGTGCTGGTGTTGCTGCAAATGCTGCTGGTGCTGGTGGATCTGCTGCTCCCTCGCTCGCATGGCCGCATAGTCGTGCAGGGCGCGCTCCTGGATCATCTTGTGGCCAACATACTCCGAGGGCCGCACCAAGAACGGCGTCTCCCTGTTGCCAATAAAGGCGAGCACCTGGGCCAGCGGCCTCAGTTCCTGGTCCTCGGCCCGCTGGATCATGAGGTCGTCGGCAAAGTACTGGCCCTCGTACCAGCTCTGCATGTCGGTAGCCGTAAAGGGCCCTTGAATGATACCATCAGGATCACGGTACAACCACTGTGCCGTCGATGGCGACCAGCTAGCGTCCTCTTCTCGTACAGGCTGGTGCTCAGCCGGACGGGAGGAAGGCGACGAGGCAGGTAGTTCGGCATCCTCGTCGAGGCGGAGCGAGTCGAGGATCGAGGACGCATGGTGAGCCAGGTCGGGCTCTGTTGGCTGGCTATCGACAGAAACCGGCTCTGCAGTCTGCTCTTCGCGGGCCTTCTCGGCAGACGACGGCGCCTTCTCAGGCTGGTGATCCTCTGACGGAGCCGAAGCAGCGCCAAGGCCACCATTCGCCGGCTCAGTCGTTCTGCGGGTAGGGCCTGCCTGCGATGCCTGGCGCTCCCTCTTGCGATCATAGCCGGCAAACTTGGCAAAGCCAGCGCTGCCGTCGGCAGGAGGCCCGATAGGCCCTTCGCCCGGGATGCGGTCTCTTCTCCCAAAGCGAGACCAATGTCCATTGGAAGTCGGTGCCTCCTGTGACGGCTCTGCACTGCCCTCGTCGTGCGTTGTCCTTGAGGTACGATTTCTCGCCGAGCTAAAGGCCTCATTCAGGCTGGGACCCCGTCGCTCCCAGGCCGAGGACCCGTCGGCATCGAGGGGGCTCTTGGGTGTCCGCAGAGGCTCTGCTTGGAGAAGTCAGCGCTCGAGTTCTGTTATACAGCTACTTCAATCCATTTGTTCTCACCGGAAACCCCCGACTCGCCCTCCTTCTTCTTCCAAGCTGGAGGAGCGACGCCCGACAGGACGCCGCCCTGGATACCAGAGCCGTGGCGCTCCCTCGGCTGAAGCGTCGTCGGCGACAGCACAGAGGCAGCGGTGGGCGCGGCACTGCTGCTGCCCCGCTGGAAGAGGCCAGGACGCTGGTGCAGGTCGGCCTTCTCCTGCGAGAGGGCGCGCGCATTGAGGCCCCGCGGCTCGCCCGTGGGCGAGTGTGGCCGCATGGGTCCTCCACCGCCGCCCTGCTCAAGCGGACGCCTGGGCATGGCGTCGCGATCCAGACTCGGTCGATCCTGGAGACAGATCCTGCCGGTGAGCTTCCTCCTCGCACATACCCTCTCTCTCTCAGCGCCGTCCTCTCTACCCACCTTCTTCCTGGACCCAATCGAGCCTCCATGTCCTGATGTCCCTGGCCCTGCTCCTGCTCCTGCTCCTGCTCCTGCTCCTGCTCCTGCTCCTGCTCCTGCTCCTGTACCCCCGCCGCTCGGTGCTTCCGAAGATGTTGCTCCTGTCCCTGTCCCCGTCCCTGTCCCTATCCCTGTCCCTCCCAGGGCAGCCGTCTGGGTCGAGGGGCTCTTTTGGCCTCTCTCGGAGCTGTAGAGGCTCAACAGGCGCTTAGAGTACCTCAGCGAGTCTGCATCGACGGCGGCCTGGCCCGCCGACGGTGCGCCTCCGCCTGCTCCTCCTGTGCCAACGCCAGGACCACCGGGCGCGGCCGACGAGGCATTCGCATGCTGGCCGCTCGCCCCGCCGCTCGCAGCCGCGGCAAAGCTGAAGGCGCCCGGGCTCGTGACGGGGCCTGTGGGCGTGACGGGTGAAGGGCCAGTCGAGGCGGCATGCTGCGACGAGAGGTTTCCCAGGCTAGGATGGCGACGCTGTGCCGACGGGCGCGCGCCTGCCGATGCTCCTCCTAGTCCAGCTCCTGGTCCTGGTCCAGCGACTGCTCCTGCACTGGCTGCGCCTCCTGCTCCTCCTGCCCCACCAGCGCCTGCTCCACTGCTAGTGTTGCCGCCGCCGGCACCCACCGATGGCTCCAGCGAGGAGCTCTCCGATGGGCTGGGTGCATGCGCCGGGCTGGAACCCTTGCCGGGCGCCTTGCGCATCCATTCGGGACCAAACTGCAGCGAAGAGGCAGACATGTTCGTTTTTGCTGTTGTCGTTTGAGTGTTTCCGCGACTTTCCTTTCCTTTTCTGTGCTTGAATGATGATGATGATGCTTGCTACTTGCTGCCTCGGGGCGATTGAAAAATTTTGTCCGAGACAGAAAGAAAAAAAAAAAAGAAGGATAGAGATGAATGAGCGCTTGTCGAGGATCCTTTTGGGTCCGCCGGTTGCTGGGTGATGTATGGCCAAGGTGTGGCCAGAGATGCTGTCGAGTCAAGCGAAGAAATATCGAAGGGGGTGCCTGTAGTAGCGTGAGTGAGTTGAGTGTGCGTGGGACGAGCAAGGGCGAAGGAAAAAGCGACGTGACGCTAAATGTCAGCGGCTGTAGAAACGGCAAGGAAACGACAAAAGGAGGCAACGCACAATTGGAAGAAAGAAAGCGACACTCGGGCTTGAATGCTATCGACTGTGGTGGCTGTGTATGTCTGTTCTGGTTGGTGAGAAGGCTGTGCTGTGACGAGGATAGGCGTAATGATGCAGAAGAGAGGAGAAAGAAGAAGAAGAGGAAGAAAAGAGAGAAAGAGAGAGCGAGCAAGGCGAGGCTGAGAAAAGGCGCAAAAATTTGAGCTCATAAAGCAGCTGCTCGCACGCACGCACGCACGCACGCACGCACACGACGCGGTTCTTCGCTCGGCCGCCCGCCCGCGCGCCTCCGTCCCTTTGTCCTCCTTCTCGTGTTCTTCGTGGCCATCACTCAAGCAACAGTCGCTGGCTCGCTTGCCTCTGCCTCGTCGGCATATAGTGGCTACTTATGATTGCAGCAGCAACGGCGAGATAGCGTTGCGGGAGGATGGCAGGCACGGGGTTCAGAGTGAACCAGGTCATCGGCCGCCTCGTGCCTGTGCTCCTCCTCATTTACGTCGGGTGCGTCCCTTAGCACACTTGTTCGCAATCCACGCATCTCAATTTCCATTCTCGCATTCAGCTTTGCCTATCACCTCGTCATCTATGAGCATGCCTGTGAGTCGTTGGTCGTGAAATGTCAAGAGGAGGACTTCGCTCAGGCGCATTCACGACAGACAAGCACCAGTTTTTGACACACAATCTCTGGCTCTATCCCTTGGTCCACGTCTTTGCCACCCATCTTGTCTTCCTCCCGGCTTTGTTCGCCTACCTCAGCATCTTCCTCGCCTATGGCGTCGATGTTGATTCTCAAGGAGAGACTCGAGAGGCACGCCCTTCCCCCGTCTCTCCCCTCCGCCGGCTGATTGGTGCCCGGCTTCCCCGTCCCACGTTTGAGCCACCGCCCGATATCGTCCGCGGTCATGTCCTGTACGAGTGCGATGCCGAGGGCAATCCTCTTCGTTGCTGGCGAGACGACTGCCAGGGCCGCTGGAAGCCGCCGCGAACACGGCACTGCGGCGATTGTCGAACCTGTCGCGCAGGTCTCGACCACCACTGTCCCTGGTTCGATGCCGACGTGTGCGCACCCACCACTATGACACTGTTCCTCGGCTTCCTCGCCCTCGTCCCCATCCTCTGCCTGCTTGCCTTCGCACCGCTCCTTCCCACCGTCTGGTCTCACACGACATCCATCTGGCGTTGGGCCAACGAGAGCGAGGCGCTGAGGGCATCCTGGTGGTCGAGGAAGAAGTCCTGGATCGGCGGGCCCATGTACCGATGGATCATTGGTTTCTACCTCGCCGCTCGCTCCTATCCGGCTGAAGTCGAGGCCGAGTCCTCCAAGTCCATTTACTTCTCCAGCCCCAACGCTCGACCGGCGCTCCTCGTCTTGCTTGCCGCTGGTCTCTCTTCTGTCACGATTGGTGAGCTTCTCTTTCTACTTCTCCCTCTCTGCTTTTATCTTACTTCAGGCTGACTTGCGTACTCCCACAAAGGCCTTCTCTTCTTCACGCTCCTCAATCTCGCAAAGGGCGAGCTCACAATCGACACACAGCGCCGCAAATCCTACCGAAAGGCCATGGTCAGCGGCGATGCCGCCGCGGCCGCTCGTCTTGCGCCCACGAGGCACTTTTGGATCCCTCTGGGCGACGAGAGCGACGGTGGCGTCGTCGTGTCGACGCTGCCAGAGGAACAATCGTACGATCTGGGAAGCTTTTGGGAGAACATGAAGGCCTTTCTTGGGTGGGTCTCACACCTTTCACATCCTCGTCCCTTCATGTTCTTCCTGCTAACGGTACAAGTAAATGGGACAGATGGCCGCCATACAGCCGAGACGTGCTTCTCACAAACTGGCCGATTGCAAAAGGTGTTAAAGAGCGCATGCTCAAGGAGGCACAAGCGAGATCTAGGAAGAACAATTGATGAAAGAGACGTTTCGTTGTTTTTTTGGGTGTGGAAAAATAGATAGCTTTTTGGTAGTCCAACTTGTGGAGATCCTCTCTTGGATCATATGCTACGTTACATGGAGAAACCCTCCTTTGATCCCATCTGAAGTAAACTTGGTGCAAAGAGAGAATGACGATTAGTCGACGTTCTCGACGTCCTTGGCCTTTGCTGCCGCGGCCTGGTCACCGGTCTCGACGGCCGACGAGGGCGCCTCTGCTGCTGCTGCCTCGTCATCGCCCTCATCGTCGTCGCTGTCCTCATCGTCGTCTGCGCCGCCGGCCATGGCAGACAGGTCGGGCATGCCGCCCATGCCGCCTGCGCCGCCGCCAGCCTGCATCTGCTGCAGCATTGCCTGGAGGTCCATCCCCCCCGCGCCGCCCATGCCGCCCATGCCACCCATGCCACCCATGCCGCCAGCACCCATACCGGCCAGCGAGGGGTCCATGCCGCCCATGCCACCGTCACCCATGCCTCCAAAGTCATCGAGGTTGCCCGACTGCTCGTCCTCGTCGACCCACTGCATTGAGATTACATATCAAGCTCAGTTTCTGATATTTGTCACGCATATACTGCAGGTGGTGGCTCACCTTGTCAAAGTCCGTCTTGACGTTGTGCAGCCGGACCTTTTCCTTGCTGAGCCGAGGCCAGTACTCGAGCTTGGCCTCCTTCTTGCGCAGCAGCAGGTACATGCTCTTGGAAGACTGCGACACCTTGCTGTTCTCGACGTCGATCTTGTCAAACAGGTCCAGGTCGAAGGCGTACGACCGCTCGGCGATGCCCTTGGCCTGGTCGCCGACCTTGGCGGCAAACTTGAAGCCGTCCTCGTGCAGATCGAGCTTCGTGGCAGGCGCAGGCGGCAGGTTGGGCACGTTGATCGTCACCATGACGACGTTCTTTACGAAGAGTGTGGTGTCAGCCAAGTGGCTCAGCACGGGCCAAAAGGAAACAGGGGGTCAGCTCACCTTCTCGGGCTCGTCCTCGGACGAGCGCTGCGCCCAGAGAATCTCTGGCGCGGCGGCGCCCTGTCCGGCGATGGCGCTGGCCTTGTCGGCGGGTGCGGATGCTGTTGTGCTCATTTCGAAGATTGCCTCTGTTGCGTGTGTAGACTGTAAGAGAAAGGCAGAGAAGGGACTAACCTTCCATCGCGAGCACTTTGGAAGCTTGCGAAGAAATCGCCACGTGTGCACGTGATGCGCGGCGCTCGTCCCTCCAACCTCCACTTTGAGAGGGCGGCGCTTGCCTGCGTGCGTGTTGCTTTGCTTAGTAACAAGCGACTCGCGTTCCCCCAGTGTCCTGCTTGTCGTGTTGTTCTCGTCACTCGATGCAATGCCTGTAAGACGAAGTCTTGGTTGGTGCCAATCGTGGGCCTGCTGGTGATGAAAGATGAGGAAGAAAACGGCGCTTTTGCCGGAATCATCCAAGCTTCCCACGCACACGATCAGGAGTCTAATCGTAACATCTTCCAGTCCGGACCGAGATCCGAGCTTGGCTGCTAAGGAGGAGAATGAGGCTGTGCCACGTACTGAACCCATATCTATCAACGTTGATCGAGAATCTCCAGAAAGTGTTTGGCTCCCAGAAAGTGTTTGGTTCCCAGCGATGGCCCTCCTGCGCTTCAGTCCCTCCTAATCACCCCCTGCAAACGCCTCCATCCCACACGCTCAAGGAATAAAAACCCTCTTTCTCCGAGCATGAGTAACAAGCCCTGTTGGAAGTCATAGCCTAGCCAAGAGTGAGGTCGGTTGGATCAAACACGACGGCATCGGGGGGAACGGCGAAATGTCAAGACGGAAGAGAGAAAAGCGAAAAAAAAATTACAATTGTTGATGAGGGCGCGATGCGGAGTGCCTTGCCGTCCACTCGCCGCCGTGAGGGAAGGCCCACCATTTCCGTTTGCTGAATACAGACTACCAGTCTCATCAAAAGAAAGGGAAAATGGGGGGATAGAGAGAGGGGGAACGGAAGTGTTGTAGCTCGGAGAGACTCGGTCTCGAAGCTCAAGGTTCCGAGCGCAGAGGAGCAGAGGGCACGGGCGAGAAGAAGGCGTAGCTTCGCGGAGAATTTCCCACACACAGACAGAATGAAGTACGCAGAGCTTCTGTGCAGAGACAGCCCTGTGCACTGGCAGAGGCGTGGGCGCATATAGGCTGCTTCTTTCCCCCATCGCATCCATCTCCTCGCCGCCCATCACCTTCTTCTGATCGTTGTATCCCATATCACCCTAGTTTCTCGTCCCTTTGGTTCCTTTCTTCCTTTACTCCACAGCACCACCACCGCCGCCGACAATAGTATCGTCGACGACGCCCGACATTAACGGTACACATCGTATATCAAGAGACCATAGCCCATCAGCAACCCCAAATTAGCGGCTCTAAGCTCACCGTCGACATTTCCTTTCATATAGCCTGCTCCGTCGCGCCTTTCCCTCGTCGACTTCGAGCACGCCTCTCGGTGCTCCAGATGCACACTTCAGACATGGATCAACATATTATCCATCAAGTGGACAAAAAGCAGCTTCAAGAGGCATTGAGCCTTGACAAGCTAAGTGTGCTGTCAAGCTCAATGGCCGAGGTGCTCTTCGACAGCTTCGACGCTCCGTACGCGAAGAAAACAGACGCATACAAGGAGGCTGTTGGCAATAGCGCGACATCCAGTGCCCCTCGCTCTTCTCCTTCGCTTACAGTTGGTCTCAATGCCCAAGTGGTGTCAAGCTCAGGTGGTAATTGCGGATTCGATCGTGCTTTCTCGCCGCTTGACATTAATATAGAGCACCCCAGGCATCAGGCCGAGAAGTCGTTACCCCATCAGTCTATTACCGCGAAAGCCCCAAGGCAGCATACCGAGCCTCCCAGGTCGTCCACTTTGAGCAAGTCGAAGCGGCAATGGGCCCTCGTCAACGGAGGCAAATCTTTGCTCAGCCCCGCAGGCGAAGTCATCGAAGTAGTCACTTCCTTCACCCAACCGTCTGCTTTCAACTCGTCTCCGAACGCCTCATCTTTCCAGCCTGGCCAGCTCCACTGTCCATGTTGCCACCACCACCACAGCCTTCGTCAGCCTGTGTCCCAAGATCACGAGTTGCCCAAGTTTCAACCCGCGGTGGGCAACTCCCTTGGTCTTTCAAATGTCGGTTCCGCCGATTTTTGTCCCGACACCGCCGCCGCTTTGTCGAGTCCGCCAAAGCAAGCAAAAGCGGCGCGTTCTGAGAGCTTTTTGTCTCAACAGACCTTCCCCGCGCATCTCTTTGCATCGCCCGGTGGCCTCCGAAGCGACCAGTGGCAAAGCCGTGAGTTGCTTTCGACCTTGCTCTGTCCGTAGCCCAGCTGAATATCCTGCGGCATTCAGGCAAATACAAAACAGAGCTATGCCGCTCTTGGGAGGAAGTAGGAAGCTGCAGCTACGGCTTGTGAGTCGCCTTCTTCTCAAAGCCCATCAACCCCTTCACTGACCGGTGCGGCAGGAAATGCCAATACGCACATGGGCCCGGTGAGCTCCGACGGGTCGAACGGCACCCCATGGTGAGAAAGAATAGCAGCAAGTGCGCGTACATACAATGCGTTGACTGATTTGACGTCTGCTCCCAGTACAAGACGCAGGTGAGGCGAAGAGGCTGCAACAATTTGTTTGACGTTGTTGAGCTCACACGTACTCCTTTTGACAGATGTGCAAGGCCTTCGTCACCACAGGCCAGTGCTCTTACGGAAAGCGTTGCACGTTTCTCCACTCGCCCGACGAGAAGATCGAGGAGCCCGTACCGTGCGATGTCACCAGGACGCCCCTCATCTCCCGTGTTGGGCTCCCTCAAGCTTCGTCTCCTTTTGCGAAGAACGAGCCGACCCTGTCAGCCATGGAGTATGACGAGGTCATGGCTTTCATCAACGTGCTTCAGGGCAAGGTCCTTCGCAATGCGCCGAAGAAGGTGTTGTGAGTTGCAAACCAAGTGGTGTACGACCCCACACATTCATGCTGAGGCTTCCTGTTCATTTTGCAGCGACAGCCTCGTTGACTCGCCTATCGCCAGCCACACTACGAATCTTTGGGAATCTTCACCCATGTCCTTCAGCAGCAGCAGCGCCTCGTCGCCTGTAACGAGCCTGTCGAGCCTTTCACCCCACGAGCGCCCCGACTCAACGACGATGGCGCTCTTTGATTTCGACGAAGACGACGACGACGAAGACAGTGCTGCAATTTCACCTCTCCGGCAACAACAAAGCTCACACTTCCGCGCCATGCCCCGCGCTTGAAGTTGAGGTCATCGTCATACCTTTTTCTTTACACACGTCTCTCTTTTCCAGCTCTTTTCCCCAACTTCGCCCCGATTTCCAACCTCCGAGCCGGTGTCTCGCAGTCGCCTCGGCCATTTCTTGGCTGGACGATTTCGCCAGAAGACCCCTCGACCGTCCATTTCCTCTCTTTCCAACAGCACCATCAGCCAGCCTACATAATCACCAGCACATACGCTTCCTTCTCGAGGATTTCCAAATGTGAGCCGACCTGCGACGCACACAAACGAAGGCTCGAACCTCCTATCCTATCTCATCAACACCGTCGAAAAAGACGCACCGGCCAACCTTGTCATATTACACTATTGTAGTTATATCGAAGAACAGAGTCACCTCCCGTCCAGCTAGCTACCTACCTACCAACGTTGTACACCTTTGTAAGAAGTCGTCCGACCGAAATCGAGCGTTGTTCCAACGTCTTTATGTGAGAGTCTCTTTCTGAAGGACCATCGCAGACATAGAGGAAAAATTGATCGATCAAGGAGAGAAAGGAGATACTATACAGATCAGGTACCAAGTCTCGTAATGCTGCTAATTGAATGAATAAGTGTTTGAATGATGATGATGATGATGTTGATATGGAACGACGTCACGATGCTTCGACGCCACCCACTGCACTGTCTCCTGCAGTGCTCTCCAGTCCCAGCTCCTTTGCGAGCATCTCTACATGCTTCTTTCTGCTCCTCTCCACCTTCTCGAAACTGATCTTGTCTTTCAGTCCTCCGGATGCACCACCCTCTGCCGCGCCGCAAGCGAGCAAGACGAGGCGATCGACGGCGAAGAGGTGCGATGTCATGCTGTGCACGACGCCGTAGAAGCCACCGGCACTATCGGCCGCCAAGAGGCGGTCTTCATTGATGATGAGGATGGCCAGCGCGACACGAAAGAGGACGATGCTGCCTTCGACAAAGAGGAGGTCCCAAACTCGAAACAGCGTCTGCAGAGCTTCTGAATCAGCATTGTACAAAGGCAAGAAACAGGAGACAGACTCACCTCGACGGGCAGACAGTCGGTGTAGAGGCTCAAGAACCAAGCAAATGTCACGGCGGGGAGGTCCACGCCGAGATCTTGGACGTGGGCCGATAGGCGAGGAAGGAGCTCGTCGACGAGGTCGATGAGCACGCGCTGATCTGCCTGGCTCACGAGGAGGTGCGACGTGTAGTATTCGGCTGGGAGGATCTTCTGTTGACCCGGGGTGGGCAAACTGTCAGCGAATGGGGAATCATGCAGTCAAATGACGAGTACCCACCTCGATAATGCAGACCAGCACCCAAAATGCCTCTTCCTCTGACGAATGTGTAAGGAGCAGCGTAGCAGCCAGATTGTTCATACCTGCAACGCAGTTTTCGTCAGTCAGTCAACCAAGCCAACAAGGGAAAGAAGAAGAAAGGAGGGTCCGCTCACCTTGACAGTAGCCGCATCTAGGGTTGTACCACGAGAAAGCCACGAGAAGCCTCCTCAGCTTCACCACGCCAGGACCTTCCCCTCCAAAGTAGACATTTGTGGGCATCGTCCTTCCCACATCGAGATCAATCTGGTCTGTGCACTGGTTGCTCTCGCCCTCGTGCTCATCGAGGAGTTCCTGATACCTCCCCGGTTCTGCAACCTCGTTTGCTCCCGAGCACTCGACCCAGATCTTGGATCGGTAAACGAGGGGGATACCACCTTGCACCAGCCGTAAGAACTCGGCGAGGTCGGTCCTGGCACGCTGTACCGCCCCTTGACCTGCGCTGCCTACGGAAGTCGGCACGCCAGAAGAGGAAGATGGGGCCGATTGTGAGGCAGAAGATGCGTTGGCAAGGGCTGTCAGCTGCGAGAAGCCGACGAGACCGACCGACCAATCCTCTTCAGGGGCCTTCTCCACAGGAGGCGTCGAAACGAGCACATTGGTCTGATCCGCATTTCCACCAAGCCCCAGCGCTCCGCTCCCCTTTCGGACCACATCGGCTGCGAGTGACGTGGCCGTCTTTCTGCTGGGAACATCTTTCTCCGCTCCTCTCCTCTGGCGCATGTTCTCTCGTCTTCTCCTCAAAAAGTCATCCCACTGGGCCTGCTGTGTCGACTGCTGCGTCTCATGCATCTCCTGAAGCTGGCCGAGCAGGCGTTTGACCGTTTGGGAGGTGGAGTGAGGCCGTTCTCCCACTCGCCCTTGCGCGGGTGCAGCTGACGGTGACGAAGTGCTTGGCTGACCGGTGGGGAATTGCATTTCCCTCTCTTCCTCGGGACTGGTTGGACCAGGCGCCAAGGTGGTCTGAGAGGGCACACTGAGCTGAAAGGCCTGAGCGACGGGCTTCGGCGGGGCAATTGCAAGCAAACCGTTGGTTGTCGATGTTCCCGCCGTCTTTCGGGACGAGGTAGTATGTAGCGAGCCGCTGTTAGATACATCGGAGTCTTCACCAACGCCCTGCTCTTCGCCGCTTTTGACATCTCTCGCTTCAGCGTCATCCTTTGTCGCCTTTCTTTCTCCTTCTCTCTCCTCTAGCTCCTTCGTGCTTTCTGCTTCATCGCTGTCTGCATCCGCTTCATTCCCTTCGTCTTTGTCCTCTTCGTCGCTTTGGCTGTCGCTGCCTCCCCTCGCTCTCACCCCGACTCTGATGCCTGTCAAGCAGGCAGGCGCCGGCGTCGCCGCACGCCTAGCCCTGCGTAGCAGCCGCACGTCGGCCGGCGTTGCATCGTACACAAAGCCGTAGCGATCCGTGAGGAGCTCTGAGGTGTCCTGGAAGCGCGAGCCGACGGGCTCCGGCGGTTCCTGCTCGAGCCCCTTGCCTCCATATACTTCGAATTCATCGCCAGAACTTTCCTCCTCATCGAGCGGGTCCAGCCCAGATCGCTTGGCTCGAGGAAGACTCCTCAAGGCGGCACCTCGACGGGCAAAGACAGCCAGCGTCGGCGGTTTGACATCGTTTGGCAGGATTGGTTCCAGTTCGACCGACGGTGCAACTCCTTTGTTGACGGGTTCGCTGGCTTGCTTCATTTCTTTCTCTGCCTTCTCTGACTCTGCTGAGGCTGGTAGACCAAACATCTGCGGTAGCCTTGTGACGTTTGGCTCAATCTTGTCGCTTATTGAAGCTGTGCTGGACTTTTGCTGGTTGTACATTGCCTTTCTGTACTTGCCCAATGCTCGGCCCAAGGTCGCAGCAGTCGAAGAAGAGGCCGAGGTCGAGACAGGCGCAGGGGGCGAGGGTCGGGCGTCAATGTCTCTGAGCGCATCAGTGGCCGATTTGTCTGCGCTCGAAGTTCCTCCCCGCCCTTTCGCCACTGCAGACCGTGATGGTGGTCTTGAAGGCATCGATGGTCGTCGATTAGTGGCCTGTACACCGTTGCTCTTCTCTTCAACGACAATGCCTTCCTCCCTGGCTCTCCCCACCAGCCTCATGGCAAGCGTGGCCACAAGTTCCGAGGTACGCTTGCCGCTGTCTAGGAGAAGACTAGTAGGGTCTGGCGTCATGATCCTGGTGGCGAGGAAGATTGCCTTGAAATGAGGCGGATTCGGGCGATCTTGATGAGCCAGCTGTCTCTGCAGGCTTTCGACGGCCAGCGTTCCCGGCGGTGATTCAATTGCCTCGTGGAGCGCCTGGCTCACGTCGCGCCCAGAGAGGGTGTATTGAGCCTGAGGTCTCAGCGGCGACGCCTTCGCCCTAATAGTGTCCTCATTGTTGTCCCGGAACGGCGAGTCTGATTCGCTGGCCAGCGTCTCGACGACACTTTCGTTATCGAGGACCGATGAGGAAGCAAATTGAGACACGGGCGAATCTGGCTCCGACTTGTTCAAGGAGGCGTCGACGGTGTGAGCGGTTGCGCGTATCGAAGGTCCCGACGACTTCCTGGGGCGCCATGCCAGGCTGCCGAGGAGGCCAAAGCCCATCGCAGCACTGCCGGTCGAGCTCGACGATGGAGCCTTGAGAGCTGTCTTGACATCGTCATCGTCGTCATCGTTGATACTGGAAAAGACGGCAGAGATGGATGCTGAGCGTGTGTGGGGCCGCCGCGGCGTCGGAGACCGCGGCGGACTCGTTCTGCGGCCCGCACCGTCAGAAAGGTAGCCATCTGCTTCGACGGCAGCGGGGCTGTGTGCTTGCACGCTGGCTGCCGCCTTTTTGCTCGTAGCGCTACCAGATCCCCAGGGCACAAGATTGCTCGCCCATCCGAAGCTATTTGCTGTACTGCTCGAGGCTGGCTGCGATCCTACTGTCTGTTTGGAAGGCGAAGACGACTTGACGCTCTTGCCTGAATTCTGTGAGGGGGCTGGTGATGCTGATGCATAAGTGCGTGAAGATGCAGTCTCCGATGCCTTTATGGCGACAGGCTGTCGAATCTTGGCAGCGTGTGCTGTCGCAACAGCCTGGGACGAGGAATCAGAGGCCGAGAGTGGACGATCAAGGTTGACGCTGGTGGGCTGCGCCTTAGGGTTCATGTCGATGCCAAGGCCGCTCTCGAGGTCCTCTAACATGGCTTCGCGCAGTGATTGTGGCAGCTGCTCGTCATCACCGCCGCCAAATGCTTTCAATGACTTGCTCGACGATGGCATGCTTACGTCCTGCGGTGACGAGCGCACGAGATTGTCTGCCAATCTCTCGTCGGCTCGAAAGACGGGCACCTCTGCCTGGGCACTGGCATGGGTGAGTGCCCGAGTGATCCTGGCCTCGGATACACCCATAGAGAGCATAATGTCCTTGAGAGCAGCCTCTCTCGCCTCGCTTCGCTTCTGCTGCGCCGCCAGCGCAGTGGCCTGGCGACGAATGCCCTGCTGATTGGCAGCGGAGGCTGCATTGGCCTGCTCCACTGCCGTTTTCAACGCATTCGAGAGCTCTCTGACGAGGTTGTTGTTGGGATTCGAAGGGGATGACCCAGTGGGTTGCGATGGTGAAGATGTTGCAGCGGTGCCTAGTTTGCGCACTTGACCAGACGAAGACGTGCGAGCGGGCTGCGGGCGCTGGATGGTATTACTCGATTGACGACGTGCTGCCAGGGCACGATGTCGGTCGATGTTTTCGTCGGACATCAGTCGAAGGGAGCAGAGGAGCTGAAGGCTGTGCTCGCCCTCTGCGCGTCCCTCGCCGTAGTCTTCGGCCCGGTCATCGAACGACGCTCCACCTACAGTGGGGGTCAGCTGTCTCTGACTCTCAGCTGCCTCCATGTCGGCGAAGAGGTCATGCTGAGCGCGACGTGGCATCGACGAGGGCGACTGCACGCTTGCTCGAGAGCTTGGTCTATTCAGTGCTCCTCCTGCGAAGATGGTGTGACGAGAAGCAAGGGCAGCCCGAGACGGCGGCCTCGAGGTACGAAGCCACTTGGGGGGTTCCTCGTCTTCCTCGTCCTCGTCAGCGAGGCTGCTCTGTCCGTGATCCTCCCGGTCTCCATCTTCTCCGCCGACATCGCTTGCCCTTGAGCTGGCAGCTGAGGAAGGTGCATAGGCTGACGTGGCCTCGGCGGCTGCCTTCCTCTGCGCCTCTTCGGCCTCGGCTTGCTCAGCCAGCCGCCGGAGATCAAAATAGTTGGGTCTCTGCCCATTTGTCGCCGCCTTCGACGAGGGCCCGGCTCGGAGGGTGCCAAAGCCGCGTACAGTACCTCCAGACTGGAAAGAGGGTGGCAGCTGGCTAGCGTCGTTGGATCCTTCCGTGAGCTCCGGCGAGGGCGGGCCCGCCAATGGATGCGAATCGAGCTGCTGCTGGTGCTGCGCCGCAGCAACAGGGTCTCCAGCCAGGATTGCAGACATGTTGACGAGCGACCACTAGGCGTGCTTTTGCTTTCAAGGTCGATATTCTAGATTGAAAGAGCTATGGTGGGACCCCTGTATGCTCCATCAGCGCACGATCATGACAGCTGTGCGAGCATTGCTACGTGGCTTTTGATTGCCGAATTGGTCCAAAGCGATCGTCTTGGGCGTCTGACGCAAGACCAGGGAACAGAGTAGTGATGGATGATGAATGACCGACGGCAAAGTGATGGGCGCAGGGCAGACGAGAGAGCAGGCCAAAGGCAGCGCGAGCGCCGTCGATTTGTCGTGGAGGAGGGGGACTCGGAGGAATGAAGAACGCGTTTTATTTTTGGGCTTTTTCGCTTTTGGTCGCACCTACCCTCCTTCTTCCTGTTCTCGTCCTCCTCTTCAGTCGCAGCAGTACATTGAGCAGATTTGTTCATCTCGTCTTGAAGACGAAAGGAGCACCCACTGTAGGTGGCAGGAGGGGTAGTGCCTGGGAATACAAGTACTTTGATTAATGTGAGAGCTCGTACGTGTTAGCCTTGTGAATGCAAATAAGACGTTGACAAGATCTTCCTTTGCTTAGAGAGCCATGGCGATTCTCACTGCCGGCGGCGATGGCTCCGACGAGCTTTCGGTCGAGATGCTGGGTGCCGGTCAAGAGGTCGGCAGAAGCTGCTGCGTCCTCAAGTACAAAGGTCGGTCCTTCTCTAGCCCGAGTGCGCTGAGCTCTGCTGACTCGCTCGCCTTTGTCTTCCAGGCAAAGTCGTCGTGTGCGATGCCGGCGTGCATCCGGCCTTTCAAGGCATAGCTGCGCTTCCGTTCATTGATGAGCTTGACTGGAGCACCGTCGATGCGCTTCTGATTACCCATTTCCACCTTGATCACGCCGCTAGCCTGACCTACATCATGGAGAAGACCAACTTCCGCGATGGCAAGGGCAAGGTTTACATGACGCACCCCACAAAGGCCGTCTATCGCTTCCTCATGTCGGACTTTGTGCGCATGTCAAATGCCGGCAACGACGACAATTTGTTCGACGAGACAGAAATGCTGGCCAGCTGGAGGCAGATTGAGACGGTCGACTATCATCAGGAGGTTAGCGTCGGCGGTGGCTTTCGCTTCACGCCGTACCATGCTGGACACGTACTGGGCGCTTGCATGTTCCTCATCGAGATCGCAGGACTCAGGATCTTGTACACGGGGGACTTTAGCCGAGAAGAGGACCGCCACCTCGTGCAGGCAGAGGTACCACCTGTGCGACCAGACGTGCTCATCAGCGAGAGCACCTACGGTGTTCAGAGCCTCGAGCCGCGGCTAGAGAAGGAAGAGCGCTTTACCAGTGAGTGATTCTCTTCATGCATCCTTTGGGTCACAGAAGACTAACAGAGAGATACGCTTGCAGACTCGGTCCATCAGATTGTCCAGCGGGGTGGGAGAGTATTGCTTCCCGTCTTTGTCCTGGGAAGGGCACAAGAGCTGCTACTGCTCCTCGACGAGTACTGGTCTCAGCATCCGGAGCTGCACTCGATTCCCATCTACTACGCCTCCTCGCTTGCGCGCAAGTGCATCAGCATTTACCAGACATACATCCACACGATGAACGAGCACATTCGCTCGCGCTTCAATCGCCGCGACAATCCTTTCGTCTTCAAGCACGTCTCCAATCTGAGGAGTCTGGAGAAGTTCGAGGACAAGGGGCCCTGCGTCATGATGGCCAGTCCAGGCTTTATGCAGAGTGGCGTGAGTCGACAGCTGTTGGAGCGATGGGCGCCTGACCGGCGAAATGGCCTCATCGTGACGGGCTACTCGGTCGAAGGAACCATGGCTCGCAACGTCATCAAGGAGCCCGATGAGATCCTCTCGCTGGCTGGGCAGAAGATTCCCTTACGAATGTCGGTCGACTACATATCCTTCTCTGCCCATGTCGACTTTACGCAGAATTCACGCTTCATTGATGAGGTCAAGGCGCAACATATTGTGCTCGTCCACGGCGAGCAGAGCGCTATGAACAGGCTCAAAGTCGCTCTACAGAATCGCTTTGCCAATCGAAACGAGGACGTCAAGGTACACACCCCAAGGAATTGCGAGGTGCTCAAGATCAAGTTCAAAGGAGAGCGCATGGCAAAAGCCATCGGTTCAATCGCAGAGAAGCCGCCGAAACCTGACTCGTTCCTAGACGGCCTCCTGATCTCAAAGGATTTTGCCTACACCATTCTCGACCCTAAGGACTTGGCTGACTTCACTGGTCTCAATATGTCAACGATCATCCAACGCCAGCGCATCTCGCTCCATGTGGCCTGGTCACTTGCGCGGTGGCATCTCGAAGGCATGTACGGACGAATCGCTGAGGGTGTCGATCTCGAAGGTCGGCGGACGATGCGCATCATGGATGTGCTCGATATCAAGCAGAGCGCCACAACGAGGCATGAACTTGTCCTCGAGTGGGCGAGCAGCGTGGCAAATGACATGATTGCCGATTCCGCCGTCGCGCTTTTGCTTGGCATCGATTCGAGCCCGGCCTCGGTCAAAATAACCTCACAGGGCCACTCTCATGAGCATGAGAATGGCCACAACGAGTCGGCCGGAGACGATCAACGGCTGTCCAGTGACCATCCTCACTGCTCACGATCCTCTACGGCCTCACTCACGAGAGTTGAGCAGCTCGTCGCATTCCTTGAGGCTCACTTTGGCGAAGTAGAGGAGGTCATGGTGGGAAAGGATGACACTTCAGACGACGCGGAGATGGAAGAACCCAAGCAACAGCAAGAGGTGAAGCAGGAACAAGAAGGCGAGATCACCGTCAAAAAGGAAGAGGACGGCGACGAAGTCATGTCTCGCGAGGAAGGGGAGAGGAGCAACGATACCTCGGTGCCTGCACCGATGCAAGAAGACACACCGCTGCCATCGATCGAGTCTACCATCACAGGTCCACCAAGACTGGCTCTGAGAGTCACTCTGGATCGTGACAGCGCCATCCTTGAGCCGGAGTCGTTGACCGTCTTCTCGAGGTCGATCGCTCTGCAAGCAAGGGTCGAGCACCTTGCAAAGCTTGCAGTCCAAGCTCAAGCCCCCATCGCAGATTCATTCTTGCTCGAACCCGCCATCACAGCTGAGCTGTTCCAAGGAGGTCATGTGCCACCCATCGAGCCGGCGTCTTCATCACAAGCACTTTCTGTACCATAGCAACCCCTCTTTAGAATCTACATCAGCCTTCACGGAACATGACCTCACCACGTCCTCAGTCATGAACATCTCTCCAATTTTCGATTTATTTTTGCCACGTGGCTTAGTCAATCAGATGAGACAAAGTGAAAAGACGCGACTTTTCCGTGACGGAGGAGGGTAATTTGCATCGAGAATGCGAGCGGAGACGGACTGGCGGGGCCAAAGCGAGGCGGTAAAGGGGGGCCCGGGTCCCTTTTGCCCCCTTCCTGCACCCAAGACAGAAAGCAAAAGTGGAAAAGTTGGATTGCAGTCAGACGTGTCGCAGAGGCGAGGCCGAACCTGACGCCATTTCCAAAATCTCCATTAAAGAACCCAGCTGAAGCTGAGCAACCCCCCCTTTTCCCCTTTCCTCTTCACCACCATCAAGAATCCCCATTCGGTGAGTAGAAGTGACCTGGAGGATGTGGCAGCACGACGTAGTACTCACTGCCTTCCTTATCCACCATCTTTCTCCCCTACCTTTGCCACCACTTTGACGACACCGCTGCATTGCTCTACCCTCCACCCATCCGACTGCGCGACTTTGAAATCATCCGCACTGCAATTTTCGGCCTCATCACCATCATCGAAATTGGCGTGTCCAAAACGCGTATCGGTCGATTTTGGCGTTGCACCTCCCACATCGACACACATCAACAATTTGCCTCTTCTCCCTCTCATAACTCCCACACCTCACTTTAACTTCCACACTCCTTTCATCATTACCGACATTTGATCCATTCTCGGTGTCCTGACCACCATCATAATCGCCTTATCGCCACCACCATTGCCGCTGCCATCCCTTTGCTGTCGATCGATTGACGCTTTCAACAGACATGGCCCGCACAAAGCAGACCGCCCGCAAGTCTACGGGAGGCAAGGCTCCCCGTAAGCAGCTCGCCACCAAGGCAGCTCGCAAGTCGGCCCCCGCCGCCGGAGGTGGTGAGTACATCTCTGCGATTAATGTGTACATATTCTTATCAGGCGTACTGACACACCGCCACCGTTTCTTTTCTCTCTAGTCAAGAAGCCTCACCGCTACAAGCCTGGTACCGTCGCTCTCCGTGAAATTCGTCGCTACCAGAAGAGCACGGAACTCCTGATCCGCAAGCTCCCCTTCCAGCGACTCGTTCGTGAGATTGCCCAGGACTTCAAGACCGACCTCAGGTTCCAGAGCTCGGCCATTGGTGCCCTCCAGGAGGCTTCGGAGGTGAGCATATCCTTCTCCCTGCCTTATCGCCACCGTTGTACTGATTGTCTCGGTGTCTCTGCCAGGCCTACCTCGTCGGTCTCTTCGAGGACACGAATCTGGCTGCCATTCACGCCAAGCGTGTCACGATCCAGCCTCGTGACATTGCCCTTGCCCGTCGTCTCCGTGGCGAGCGCTCGTAAAGGACGTCCGTGACATGATCAGCTTCGTTGCACGGTCCTTTCAGGATCGACGTAGAGGCGCGCCACCACCACGTCGTTGCGGGACACCCTATACACTTTCTTGTACCACTACAGATAACTACTACTACGACTCGGCTCCCTCGTCTTTCTCTTCTACGCCCTTCGTCATCTCCTGACAGCAGATTACATAGTTCTCTCGCTCACCGTTACCATGTAGCAAATTCTGTCGAGCTTGATCAATTTTACCAACCCCTATTGTGACAGAATCAGTCTTTCCATCGCGTGTCTCCTGTCCTGACATCTATCGAGGCTGTTGTCATGTTGTCATATTGGAATGGTTATCCGATGTCATGGCGCGGCGTGGCTTTCGAGCGTCGGCAGCCCTTTGTCCCGGCAGTAGCAGCAGCGAAGCAGCAGCGAAGTTCATCACCGCCTTTGCCCAAGCCACGGCGACTAAAATTTGCTAGACCAAAGTTTTCCGTACCCGTGCCGGCGCGCGGCACATGTGCTCATCGAGGGACGGGCCAGCATGAAGTTCAATTGACGTGACCAGCAATGCCTGTCGATTCTCATGACATCGTCTGGTGTACAGCTGCTTCCACTACTTTTCCTTAGTGAGATAGATGTCCACTTTTCTGGTCGCGCCTCGCACACACGCACAGGGCTGGGGGCAAGTTTATCTCAGCCACTTTGCAAGCCCGCGCGCCTGCGCGCCACCCGGCCGATGACTGCTGTGCTGCTGCTCCCTTTCCAACTCGATCGGGCCTAAGAGAGTCTCCTGTATTTTTTTGTGTTTTTATTTTCCTTCTTTTCCTTTTCAGGACGCATTTTGTGATTGTGCGCCGACGGAAAACATGTACCGTGCTGGTCCAGCCAAGATTCGGGGCTTCTCGACACGACCAAGCCCCCTAAAGCCCCACTGAAAAAAATGCACGGGGACCTCGGGAACACGAGCGTGATGTGGGACAAAAAGCATCAACGTACTACTGCTATCTCACTCAAAAAGGAATAGCTAGCGAGGGCTGAGGGACAGATCCAGCACCAGTTGAAAGATAGCGGAAGAAGCGATACATGGGAATGTGGATGAGGCTTGGTGGTGGCTGAGATTGGAAAAGTTGAATTTATCTGTGGAATAGCCTTTGAATTCAACAATACCCCGCCGCGAGATGCATCGTGCCTGCCTTTTGGTTTTATTTTTGTTTTTGGCCTGGCCCTCCCTCTAGAGCCTGGAGAAAGTGGCCGAATTGGGAAACAAAGGAAACCTTGTCAAATGGGGATGGCCTGTGTGTCCCTCTTTTGACAGATTTCTGGTCGCGCGGCCTTAGGCTAACGCGTGCAGGAGTGTCCCCTCCTTTATCGATGCCGACAGGGATAGAGAAATTGCGTCAATGGGCTGGAGCAGGAGCGAGAGTTCAGTTCACTCTCGAGGCAGAGAGGAACGGGCGCGGACAGTCCCTCACGCTGCGCCTGGCTTGAAGGAAAGTTATATCATATCGGGATTAGTAGTCGTAGTGTCTTGTGGTAACGCGATAGATTAGACTTCTAGAGCAGGCGTATGTGCAGCAATTGAAATAAAACTTGGCAGATTAACAAAAAAAAGTTACTGGCCCGCCCACTCATTCCTCCCTTGGTCTCGCATTGGCTTCGCTCGCTTTTGTTCTCCCTGCACTCCTATCCAGAGCAAAGCGGCGGGCCGAACGGCATCACATTAGCCACGACGAAGGAGATGTCCGCAACCATCAACGAGTTGTAGAGTGACACCCGCCTGCCAAGCCACGCAACAAAACGGCCACATCCTCAAGCCTTTCAGCCCGCCCATCCCAGCTTCTCCCCTCTTCTCAACCCCCCTTTTCTCCTCCGTCTCTCTCCGCCGTTTTTGACCACCAGCTGTTCAACCTCAATCGCCCTTCGGTCTTCCCAGACGAGCCGCATTGCCATATCCAACAAAGACAGCCCCCGAGCTGTGAGGCAGAGAGGACCGCGGCGGTGCCCGGCCTCCTCCGTTGAGAAGCAGAAGAGAACCAACTCGGCCCGGCCAAAGCACAGCAATTCAGGCGGAGTATCGACAGCAGCAGACAGACAGCCCGTGTCCGGCTTCTTTGTTGGTTGATCAAAGATTCCGTCAGCCGCGCTTTCCTCTCTTGCTCTCTCTCATCCTTCCTTGCGCTCGCACCCACATCACGGACATCAGCCCTCGTCATGGCAGCTGTATCTCTCCACCCGCTCGCCTCGCGTGATGGTACGCAATCGGCCACCGTGGTTTCGGTGCAAATTCCAGCACAGGACGATTCTTCTGCGAATCTAGCTCACAGACATCGCTTCTTGACAAGTGACGCTGCCGTGCAAGATCGCGCACAGTCATCGACGCCTACCTTGACGGCCTCGGCTGGCCAAGACCAAGAGTCTCTGAGCTCCAGCCCGACAGCACGATCGGTCTCGCCTATCTTTTTCAGCGAGTACCCTCCCCGGCACGCTACGACTGCTGCCTCCAACTGCCAACAGAGTGACTACCCTCAGCCACAACTACATGAGCAGCAGCAACAACAACAACAACAACAACAACAATTATTGCAGCAACAGCAGGTCACATATGGCCTTGTCCATCACGACCTGGACCAATACCCCATCCTTGATGACGATGCCTCTCCCTACGATGGTTACACCGACGCTGCTTCTGCCGAGGCATGGTTTCCCTATGGAAAGCCACCGGCGATTCGAGCCATGTCAGCTGCGCAGTACAACGAGCTGCACGACCAGTACATCAACCTCGACGTGCCGTCCTCGGCCGTCTTTCCCTTCCTGCACGGCGTCGACGGCGACAATCAACAGCAGAATCTGTTCTTCGGAGCGCCGCCTGAGGGCATGCCTGCCCCCAGCTACCGTGGTCTCACCGTCGTTCGCGCAGACATGCCCTTGCCCGACCAGCACGGAGGTAGGAACAGGAGGAGGAACACGCGTGCATCATCCTCGGCGTCTCTCCTCTCCGATCTCGCAGCGATGTCCGAATCACGGTCTAGGGCTGACTCGCTCGCGACAACGGCGTCAAGCTCGGCACACAGCTACACGAGCAGCCGGAGCAGTGATGGCGAGAGGGATATCGACCTGTCTATGCCGATCAAAGGCGCCTGTCCCATCGCAGCGTCTGCCTCGACATCATCGATTGCTTCATCGGCAACGCCCTCGGAACAGTCGCGAGCCTCGTCGCTCTTCTCGGGCGTTCTCAGCGACGCCTCGACCGAAGCCAGCAGCGTACAAGGCGACGCATACAAAGCTTCCGCAGCCGCTGGCTACCATGCTCGTGCCTCGCGCTCTCGAATGCATCGCAACAGCCCACCCGTCTACGATCCCCAGCCCGATCATTCCTTCCTCACCTCGTCCATCACGCCATCGGAAATTCTTTCGCCGCCCTACGTAGCAGACACCAAGACCAACAGGCTGCAGCCCGTCTCGCAGAACTCGGCCCCGAGCGAGGACTGCTACGTCCAAGGACCATCTTTCTGCCAGCCTCAACAGTCGCAGGGCATCAGTCTGCGCAATTTCAAAATTCAATGCTCCAAGTACGCCACCATCTCCGACATTGTCATCTACTGCCCCGCTGGACTCCATGAAGGCGCTCTCACCCTCGCCAGATGGTTCCGCGAAGCCCAAGAGGCCTGCTACGAGGATCGCTGCGAGCGTGGACTGGCTTGCCTACGCTATAATGTCTTTGTCGTCACTGGTGAGCTTTTCTCCTGGTTATCCTGCTTCTCTCCACGCGGTCGCTGATCTTCCTCGTCCCAGACCCATTCGAGGTCTTTGAACGTGATTTCCATCATCTCATTGCCATCGACGGTAGCGGCTACTCTCGCAACCGTATCGACTTTGTCGACCGTGAGAGGGACGAAATGCAGCGCATGTCTGCTGCCTCGGAGATTGACGATAACGTCTGGGTGAGTAATTATTGGCTCATCAAAGAGACAATGGAGACTAACGCGAGCTCTTCGAATAGATGGGATGCACTGCGGACGCGCCCGTGTTGCCCGACGACACGAGCAGTGGAAGGGACTCGTCCTTTTCGCTGGACTCGGCTCCTCCAGAAGAGGCCAATCCGCATGGCTTCGCCATTTGCATCGAAGCGCATGACGGTGCGCAGATGCCTCAGCCCATTCAGCTTTCCCAGGCATCCAATCACATCGGGAACATCGAGGCCGAAGCCATTTTCGAGCTCAACAGTAAAGGCTCCCTACAAGAGCTCGAAGAAGATGAAACCGTCTTCGACGATGCCCAGTCGTGCGACTCGTGCGAGGCTGACCGTGGCTCCCTCTCTCTCGGTCCCAATGGCTGGTCGCCCGAGTGCCGTGCACAGAAGGGCAGCTATCGTCGCTCAGTCGCACACAAGGCTGGAAAAGGTCAGAGTCCGGGTCAAGGTCAGCAGCAAAAGCAAGAGCAGCAGCATATTGCGCCTCCCTTCATCTACCATGACCCTGGCAACATCTTCCACTTTGAGTGCACCTCCACTCTTGCTGGCATCAGGGACCTCGATCAAATCATCGAGGACATTGTGACGCTCTGCGTCTGGATCAAGAAGCAGGCGTGCCCACCCAAAGTCAGCAATGTCCACGCCCAAGGCCATGGCTTGCTGCATGGTTCCTTCCGAGGTGTTGGCTACGGTCGTCAAGGAACAAACACCTGGTCGCCCGGAATGACTCGGTCGATCGTCTCGTCGCAGCAACAGCAGATTCCCCGTAGAATCCTCATCCACTGCGGCGACGGCTACACCGAATCTTCCATCTTGGGCTTGGCCTACTTGATGTACTCGCGCGAGCTGTCGCTGCCTGAAGCCTACCTGGACCTTCAGAATCGCTGCCAACGGTCTTTCTTTGTCTATGGCAAGGACATGATCCCTCTTCGCAGGCTGGAGAAGCGCATCGCTCAGGAGATCAAGTACCACCAGCGATTTGCCGCCGAAACGGCCGAGAAGGACTCCACCCGCTCTAGCAAAATTAGGCACAGCTTTGCGTGGTCCATGGGCGCAGGACCAATGCTTGAAGAGACTCAGATTCCCACTCGACGGTCGCAGCAGCAGCAGCAAGCCGACTTTCGTCACTCTTCGCGACGATCGAGCCATTCTCGTCGGAACTCGATGAACTCCGAATCTTCGAGCCATGAGCAAAGCGTATGGGCTCGAGGCCTCGCTGCTGCGTCTGGCTTGGTCAGTGGAAGCCAGGGCCCGCAAAGCCGCAAGAGCGGCGCAAGCTGCAACACTGCCACTCCCGTTGCCGTGACAGCATCGTCGAGCACTAACAGCGTCAATGATATCAACCGCGCCAGCACGCCAACGCCAGCCTCGACGAATGGTTCTGCCAGGGGAAGTCTAATGCCCCAGGCGATCATCGATCACAGTTGGTTCACGGACCCGCGTTTCGAAGCGTCTTTTCCTTCGCGCATTCTTCCATTCCTCTACCTCGGCAACCTCAATCACGCTCTCAATCCCTCGATGCTACACGCGCTCGGCATCACACACGTCGTCTCAGTGGGAGAAAGCGCTTTGGTACCCCCTCAGATCGAGGCGGCCAGTTGCGCCCATGCGAGGCGAACGAGTGGACACATTCCTCCGATTCCTGAAACACGCAATTCGCTCTGGGTCGAGCAGCAGGAGGGAAGGATCTCGGTCCTCGACCTCAAGAACGTTTCGGACGATGGCATTGACTCGCTCCGACCTTATATGCACCAAGCCATCGAGTACATTGAGCAGGCTCGTCTGCAAGGCGGAAAAGTCCTTGTCCACTGTCGCGTCGGCGTGAGCAGGAGCGCAACGATTTGCATTGCCATGGTCATGGCCCACCTCGACCTCAGCATGATCGAGGCTTTCCTCTTCGTCAGAAGCCGACGTATGAACGTCCTGACGCAACCCACCCTCCTCTTCGTGTGGGAGCTTCGAGGCTTTGAGGCACAGTTGGCCAAGCTCAAGAACAAGCGCGCCGTCAAAGCTCGTCGCCGCTCGTCAATGATGATGATGTCGTCGTCTTCATCATCGTCTTCATCATCGTCACCGGCCTCCTTTGACTCGAACTATGCCATGAAATACTCTCCAGACAACATCTCTCTCGCCGACCTGTCGATCTCGACGACAGGCTCTGGCACCAACGGTCGAAGCGCCTTTTCTTCATCTTCGTCGTCCTCCGCTGCCTCGTCCACATCTTCCCTGGCCGCGGCCAGAGGATGTACCCAAGGGAACGAGCTCAGGGTCGACATCGGCGCAGGCGCGGGATCGGTGTATGGATCGCGCATCATCGATTACAAGAAGAGACCCTTTGGGTCGGGAAGCCTTACGAAACTGCCCTATTCCAGCGCAAAGCTCACTCACGGCTACTTTTCCAAGCTCCTGAGCGAGCTCAATGCTCGCTATTCTGTCGCATAGACGGGTTCCCACTCTCAGCACAACATCTCGGTTCAAACAACAGCACGCAAAGGTCTCAATCAAACAAAACAGCACGGGTCAATCACGCGACAACACAACCGGTTTCTCTTGTTTCCATTTTCTCAATGTCCAATTTCTCTTCACCGACTCCATCAACAAGCGACACGAACAATATCTCTGGTCATGACGGTCACCTTTCACTCGCTCGAGACATCCACGACAGGTTTTCAGCTCTCCTATCTAGCCCCTCTCATAGATCTTGTTTTTTCAGAACCACGACTCCTTCCATTTCTCGTATGTAGCTATTTCTTCCTTTTCGATGTGTTATTTTGTTTCTCTCCTACCGTACTATCTTGGCTTCACAAATGTCTCATCTTTTCACATGACCATCTGACTGGCTGGCTGTCTGACACAAGAAGCAGGAGAAGATCGACGATTTGTTGCAAGGGATGAATTTGACGTCCTTGAATGTGAGAGAAAAAGAGATACATGGGAATGATCATGAGGCTTGCGTTGTCTTGCTTGTTCTCTACCGTAATCTGCGAGCTTGATTCTTTCATAAGGTCGGCGTCCGCTCTGCTGCCTCGTGACCTTCCCCGGCCAGCTTGACCGTGTCCACGTTCAAGCTGGCCAGGTGCTTATTCCTGCTCGGTAGCGGTGGCGGCGGGAGAGCCTTGAGTGTCGCGTTCCTCGCCAGCTCTGCATCCGCCGACGGGGCACGCGCCGCCGTTGTCAAGATAGCGGCCGACGTTGCGCGACTCTTCTGCATCACATCGTCGATATTTTCGAGCATGCCGTCCGGCAGGAGCGGGACGGGCTGCCAGTATGCGCCCGCGGCAAAGCCCCTGCCCAAAGGGTAGAGGGACGAGGTGGAGCTCGCCGAGAGGCCGCTGGCGAGCGACGATGAAGTCGTGGTGCTTTTTCGGTCCTCATCGTCGTCTTCGCCCTCGTCGCCTGCCTGAGGCTCTCCTGAACCAGGTGCACCGTTCTGCGCGGTGCCTGAGACCAGAGCTGGGAGCGGTGTTGTCGAGCGACTCGCCAAGGGACTCGGAGCAGCGCTCATCAGTGGCGAAGGCCCTCCTCGCAAGCTCTTCAGAGAGGGCGTTCCCGTTCCTTGGAAATGTCCCCGTCCGAACCCAAATGCATCGCCAGGACTGACAATGAGGGCCTCTGCCTTGCTCGGCAGTGCAAATGGTAGCATGTCCCTGCTATTGAGCAGCTCCGTGAGGATCCAAGCTTCCCCGCTCCCATCTTGCGGGTGGGCAGTGTTCGCCTCTGTATGGCCGTATCGCTGTTCTTGCCCTGCCGCGGACCACGGTGGCTTGTAGTCCGACATGGATCTTCCAGGATCAAAGAGACTATCGATAGCTCGCTGTGCTGTACGCGCGATCGACTCGTTCGGATTCTGGTGCTGAGCAAGCCGCGGAGAAGTTGCGGATGCCTTCACATCGTCTGCTGTAGCCGTTCGAGCTGTTGTGTTGCTATCGAGCGTGTCATTACCTCCCTCCTCGCCCTCTCCTTCCCCTTCTTCGAGCTCATCCTCGTTGCCACTCGGATCGGCCTGCGTGGCCGTGCCACTTCGACCATGTGCGCTCTTCCTCGTTCTTTTCTGGTCTTCCTCCTGGCGCTGTTTTAGCTTCTTTGCCGCCTTCTCTTCCTCCTCTGCATCTCGCCGAGCCTGCTCCACTTCCTGCCTCCTCCTCTCCCAGTCAACGTGCAGTTGATCAAGGTACTGCACGCACTCGTCGCCCAGACGTGTCTCGCCCACCTCGTACCGGTAGTCCCTCGCCGCGCGCTTCATCTGGACTGGATTGAGGACCCGCAGTCCTTGCAATGTCGCAATGAGCCCGTCCAGCTCCCTCAAGCTGCTCAGGCACTGCAACCATGAGATGAGCTGATTGAGCGGTGCGAGGTGAGAGTTGACAATAGACAGCGGCAAGGCGTTGGACCTGGCCCAATCTTCAAGGGCCGACACCGAGAGACGGATCTGCATGGCACGGGATCGGCACAGGTACTTCTTTCGTGTGAGTACCCGATTGAAGAGCTCGCAGCCCACCCAGAAAAAGATTTGAGAAAGGGCCTGAATGATGACGGCCGGATTGACCTCGTACAGCTGCAGAACGTGCAGCGTCGAAGTGAGGAGCGATGTGATCGTGCGTGGTGAGGGCTTGGCAAGGAGATCTTCAGGCGTGGCGTCGTACGACGACTCTCGCATCACTGAGGGTGTCCGACGGATAGACGCTGTCGTCGTTGCCGGTGAAGACGTATGCTTCTCCAGCCCCCGCAGTCGGCTCGACGGCGTGCCAGGCGAGGGAACGGGAGCCACTCCTGGCGACGAAGAAGAGTTTGCATGCATCGTCGCTCCATCGCTGTTTGCTTCTGGCGTGCTGCTTCGTGCCGCAAAGATCTGACCCAATGGCTTCCTCACCGACCCGCCAGCGGACGATGAGGAGTGGGAGCCTTGTCCCAGGTTCTTGACGCTTCCAGTCAAAGTCTTGATGAAAGTCCACTCGCCCTCAAACTTGACGTCTTCCATGCCGGGAATCGCATCGTGATCCAGGAGGGCAGCGTCCATGACCTTGTCGATGCGTCTCTCGAGGTCACGAATGACGAAGACGTAGAGCTCGTTGATGAGATCGGCTACGAGGGAGCGGAGGTCATCGAGGGCCTCGCAGTGTCGCAGCGTCACATCGCGCTGCATGTAGTGCAAGAGAAGCATGCAATTATGCAGCCAGAAGGCCAGGTAAGTCATGTCGGTCGAGTGGGCGTAGAGGATTTCCTCGATGTGGTCGGCGGCACCGAGGAGCAGCCCTTCGAGAAGATCGTAATCGTCCAGACTGCATGCAAATCGAATGCAGAGGAATAAAACGTTCGCCGGTGCAGACCGATGGGTCCAGGGCGCTCGAACGGGTCTCATCTTTGTGACGACAAGGTCCAGTAGTGGCTCCAAGTCGGCCTCCCCAAACACCAGCATCTGATCGGCTCGGACCGTTTCGAAGTCGAACTCGATCGAAAGAACATCACTGCCGATTTCGGCGGCGCCACAGCCTGATGCTAAACCTGAATGCGTAGGCTTGAGGGGCTTGGTACCTCTTCGTTTGGCCTTTCGCATCGCCGACGGCGTCACCTCAGTCACGACTGGAGGCTCGCCCACCAGCACGTCGTATTCCACGCCGAGCATCACGGCCATGTCCAAGAGCCCTCTCCTCCGGCCTTCGGCCACCTCTCGTGCTCTGAGCTCAGCCTCTGCGATCTGCGTCCGTTCGTCTCTGCCGACTAGGCGCCGCTTGCTGGCGCTCATTGTTCTGCTGTGCCCGAACAGGCTGCCTTTGGAGCTGGCTTTGGAGGGCGTGACGGGATCCGGGACCATAGACGGAGGACTCAGCAGACCAGGACTGGCGGGCCGCGCTGGGTTGGTCTCATCGGTGCCCATGCTGAGCGATCGTAGATGTTGCGGCACAGAGGCCTTACCCTGCAGCTTGCTCTTTGCTGTCGCCTGCTGGTACTCGAACACGATATCTGCGATCAGTTCTCGGTCCGTGGTTCGTGGGCTCGCCGGCGGTGCGTCTCTCGTGACCAATCCCAGCGCAGGTCTGTGACTCGGCCCAGGCTCGAGCCAGGTGGGGAGTGGCTTGATGAACGTCTCTGGTGAGGAGGAGATGATGAAGTCTTCGCAGGTGGCCCCTTTTGAGCTCTTGGCCTCGATGTCGGCACCGTGGGAGAGGAGGAAGGAGACAAGAGGGAGGTTGGAGCTGTTTGTAGCCCACATAAGCGGCGTCCAGCCACCTTAGAAGCCGCGGCGTGAGCAATCAGAGGCATCTTGTGCAAAGATGAAGGACGTGCGACTCACATGCATCTCGCTCATCTACGTCGGCCCCGCTGCCCACCAGGATCCGAACGGCTTCGGCATGCCCCGAACTTGCGGCCAGGACGACTGGGCCCGAGCCTTCCTCATCTCGTAGCTGGCTGATGTCAATGCCCTCGAAGGCCCATCCCTCCGGAGGCACAGCGCTGCCGTTACTGCCGCTGCTGCTGCTGCTGCCGTCTTCGCCGTTCGCCCTGGCCTGCTTCGCCTTCGACCTGACGTAGATAATCCACGAAAGCAGTTCCGTGTCTCCGCTCGAGGCGGCTCGGAGGACGATCTTTGCCAGCCGCTTCTTCCTGGTTGCCTCACCGCCTGGAAATTCGTCGGCAGTGGCCAAGGCGACAGCTTGTACAGAGCTGATGGAAGGACACAGGTCCAAAAGCGTATCAAAGAGGACCTGTGACGGTCTTTTCTCCTCCAGCTTTTGTTCTCCTTCCAGACCTCTATCTTGTCCTCCTGCACCGCTGCTGCCATCGCTGCTGCCGCTGGCCTCCATGTTTTGTTGGTTTCCTGTCGTGCCCAAGGCCGCTGCTCGCTCGCAGTCCGTTCGCCCTCTTGCGCGTCAGCTACATGCACCGCTGCTGCTGTCTGTCTGTGCTCGGGTGGTTCGCATCTCAGGGCGTGGGTACCATGGTCGACGACGAATGGTTTCCGATGGCTTGGCGGACGAGCTGTCAAATCAGGAAACAACAGTCCACAAGTAAATCACAAATAGTGAGGGCGATTAGGGCCCGTGCCTGCCCTAGCCCGCCCTGCTTGCTGAAAAAACCAACACCAGGCTAGCGTAGGGTGCTCCAAAGCATCGAGTCGATTATTTCGCGTGGCCATTCAAGTCGCGCGCTTGGGCACGCAGCGAGCAGGTAAAATTGGGTGACGATTCGATTTCCTCTCGTTTTTGTATTTTTGCCCGCGGCGCGCGCCCTAACTTCTCTTCTTTTCTACTACCGGGGCGTCTAGAGGAATCTTCTGTGACGGCTTCTCTTCCTTGGAGTGCAGTGGTCTTGTGCCACTGCTGAAGAGGAGGTAGGGTTGCCAGTCCCTCTGTCTCTTTCATCCTTTTCCTCGATCTCTCTCTCGCAGAGAGTAAGGGCAAAAGGCTGGAGGAGGAAAAAGCGTCGAGAGCAACCCGCACCCCTTGAGTGAGCTTCGTTTAGGATTTCATTCGTTTCGACGACGGCTCAATTAGGGTCTCTAGTGCCACACTGTCCATTTCAGGTTGGTTGAGGCGAGAGTATGGATGAATGTACCTAACAAAAAGAAAAGATGATGGAGTAGAGATCGCTAGCAATGATGTGCTCAGTGTTGCCATGAAAAGGAGTCTTGACACATGAGGAGACGGCGCGCATGTGAGCGATTGAGGCGGAGACAAGGGCGGCGGGCGAGGTGCTGATTTGGAGAAGCTAAGAAGAAGAAAGAGAAAAAAAAAACGAATGTGACTGGTATTCTATCGGCATCGTATGCCAGAGTTGCTGGGAATCCAAGAGCGCTGGGGCCGAGGTGATTTAGAGGACGACGCAGCCCTTGCAGCAGCCGCTCGAGTGCTTGCCATCCTCGGTCTGGAATCTCTCCATGCCACCCGCTTGGCCTGGTACGCCCCCTGCGCCTGGACGGCCCATCGTTTGCTCCTTGTTGTACCTCCTGATCTCGCGCACCAAGTTGCTGAAGGCCTCATCGACGTTGATGCGCTGCTTGGCCGACGTTTCAATGAAGCGGCAACCAAAGCTCTTTGCCAGCTCGCGACCCTCTGCAAATGAAGCCCCGTCAGATCACTGGGAACCTCTTCTTCGCAATCATGTCGAGCTTTCTCACCATGGCTTCCAACCTGCCTCTCATACTCGAGGTCGCACTTGTTGGCCACAACAATGACGGGAAAGTAGTCCTTGTCTTTGACCCGGAGAATCTGCTGGTGGAATGTCGAGATCTCATCGAAGCTGTTGCGCGAGGTGATGCTGTACACGAGGAGGAAGCCCTCGCCCGTGCGCATATACTGTTCTCGCATCGCTCTGTTGCATTGGGCAAGTCATTGAGATCAGCATGCATCGATAATCTAACGAGTGCATTCAGCATTCTCTATGCCTTGTACCTCGGCACTCACGAGTACTCTTCTTGGCCGGCTGTGTCAAGCACATCTAGCAGGGCGACTTCCTCATCGATGACGCACTGCTTGCGGTATGAGTCTGCAACCCGATTCGAAATGCGGAGAAAAAGAGTAAGCAAAGAAAATCTCGCGATAACAACTTACACCAAAAGTGATGCTCACCTTCGATTGTCGGGTCGTACTCGTCGACGAAGTGACTGTATGGCGAACAAGGCTTGTCAGTCTGAGACCGAAAAGGAAGTGCAAGAAGAAGGATGAGGGAGCACTCACCTTTGGATGAACTGGATCGTGAGGGCGCTCTTGCCGACGCCTCCCCCACCGACAACGACGACCTTCAATCCGAATGAATGTCACTAAGTACCAGTATCTTCTTACGCTGCTGCTAAAGGGCTCACCTTGAATTCCCGAATAAAGCTCATTCTATCGTAGCAGTGTCCTCGTACGTGACGGATTGGTGATGAAGACGAAGGAGGTGGGAAGGCGGGGGCCTATCTCTTGCGCTGCTCTCGCGCACGAACCTCTCCGAATTCCTTTTTCGCCACGTGTTTGTGAATGCATACAAAAATAACCAATAGAAATACAAATGCCCCTCACTTCGTCCTCGAATTGAAAACAAATTAAATCAAAATAGTGTACGGAGGAAGAAAGTGGATTCAACCAAATCTTCCACGCGCGACGATCCACTCCAGTCTTCAAAGCCAATCACTCTTTACCTTGCCCGACAAGGATGGCGGGCTCCTTCTCCTTGAGCTTGCCAGCGCTGGATGCGCTCCCGTATCACGATTCAGAGCTCGACCGCAAGCCCGGCTTGCGCAACCGCGTCGAACGAGCTATCGCCGACGAGCTCCAGCGCGGCCCCGCCATGTCGCTCTCTGATGCTCGTCTCCCGCCCGAATTTGAGCCATTCTCCAGCCGACCAGAGCTGCGGGAGCTGTACGATCGAGCAGTCCGATCAGAGCACCTCGACGCCCTGGACAGGACGAGGTACAGCCTGCCGACACCTCCGACGCAGGACGCCGACTCGGCAGAGGCGTGGAACGGCAGCTTGTCGAACGCCATCTCGCAGCTGATGCATTCGGAGCAGAGACAGTCGAACCTCGAGCTCTTAAAGAAGTATGGATCGAACCACTGGCGTCTGCACAACTTCCAACAAGAGGCCATGATGCGTCACCTGGACAGACATGCCGCGGACAAAACCGAGGAGACCAACGAGGTGAATCGGCGCAGGAAACGTAGCCAGCTCGAGGTGGGCGCGGGGCTCGATCGAGCGAATTCAAAATGGGCACAGCTCGTCAGCGACAACCTGCAGCTCGAGGTGGCTAATTTGGCGGCACAGGCGGAAGTCGATGCGCTTGAGCTGCAGAGCGAGTCACTTGCAAAGCGACTCAAGCAACTCGACGATGGCGACGAATGATGTGCGACCACCACCTTAACCAGCACTGCCGCAATTTCTCTTCACTCTGTATTTGTAGACGATGTAATCCAAGCAATATCTTCCTTTGGTCATGTTCTTGACGGTCGTGGGTTTTGCGGGCCTTGAGAGCCACACGCACGCTAAGCATGCAACACGCGCAAAGGGACACTTAGCCGTGGCCTACGTCCACAAAGTACAGTCCTACCGTATGGGCCATTTGTAAATTTGACAAAGGAGCAAGTACCTTCAGAGAAGCGATCAATATACAGGCTGGTGAAGAGTAGCGACTGCCAAGTCGCCGTTGGCAATGGGTACGAAGTCGCATGCGTGCTTAGAGTCGACGAGGAAGATTGAAGAAACTTCCACGTGGCCGCCAACGCTTCACCCACCGACGCCCAGCTCTCCATAGCAACGCGCTTTTTCATTCATCTCATCACTCACTCACTACTACCACCACCGCCGCAGCAGCCCTCGGCGTCCCTTCTGCTCCTCCTCGTTGCTCGGTGAGTCTCCTCCTTGATGCGGTTCAGCCCCTCCCTCTCCCTCTCTCTCTCTCCTTCGCCCCGCCGCATCACGATGTGACGACGTCCACCAACTCTCTTCTCACTCTCTTCACTCTCCGACCTGCCCCTCTCTTCTATCTTCAATCTCTCATTCTCACCAACTCTCCCTCCATCTTTCTCTCTCACTCTCTCATTTATCTTCGTCTGTCGATGGACAGGCAACAAGCAGTCGAGAGGGTTGACTTCCTCGCTGGTTAGTCTCGTTGCCGAGATGTCCTACCGAGAGTATTCGGCCTACGAGCACGCCGGAGGGTACAGTCGCTACGATGAGCCCGTCTCGTCTCGCGACGCCTACCGGCGAGCTTCACCTCCCTACGGTATGTCATTGGCCCCAGAGTCGTCCCATGAGCGGTCCTCATGTTGACAAAATGAGCCTTCAGACCGGTATGGTGGAGGCCGCAGAGCGTCGACCATTGATGACGACGACGCAGATTACCGAGCTTGGGTCATGCGACAGCGGGCTCGTGAAAGGGAAGAGTACGATCAGCGGTATGGCACGGCTGCTGCGTCATCGTCGTCTTCACAGTACTTTGGAGGAGGCAAGCGGACGTGGGACGAACTTGATCGCGAAGAAAAGGAGAGGGAATGGGCTCTGTACGAGAGGGACCGCGCAAGGGACGACGACCGCTATGCGAGAGACAGGTACGAAGAGACGAGGTATCTTCCGAGATCAAGATTCGACGAGCGGCCTTTTTCTGGTGAGTGAGAACGAGCTCTCGTGCACTTGCAGAGAAAGAAAGAAGCGCCGAAGCTGAAGCTCTGTGAAGCCCGACCAGAAGCAGACATCCCTTTGGATTCCGGAAGGGAAGATCGATGGCAACCAGACCGGGCAGGCCCCGACACTGACCGACTCAAAGACGTGATGGATTACCCTACGATGATGCCGTTCCGACGCTGGGCACAAGTGGTCCGCATGCTTCGCTCTGAGCCCAGCGCCCTGCAAACGGGCCCCGAGGCCACGCAAGAGCTCTACCAAAAGTACCAAGAGTACCGGCAGGCCTTTTCGAGAAAACAAATGATCGATTTCTTCAACGCAAACAAGCACGAGAGCTGGTTCGTCGAAAAGTACGGCATCGGCGAAAAGGAGTTGAAGGCGAGGCTTGCTCGAAGGAAGCGGGGGAGGCAGGGAAACAAGGCAACGTGGCTCTCTGAGCTGAGGAATGGCGAGCTCGACAAGGTTTGCTGGGAGGCTAAACAAAGAGACGGCGACCTTCCCTCGGAATCGCCTTCCAAGCTGGTCGCATATGATCGAAAGGGAGAGGCCGAGGAGTTCGACGCGAATGAAGCCGTCACGATCCCTGCCGATCCGAGCCAGATCATTGTCAAGCAGGTGCCACCTGAATTCGATCGGATTGAGCTAGAGCAGGCTCTCAAGGAAGAGCCTGGCTTCTTATACCTGGCCATGGGTGAACCACACCAGGGACGGCGGTATTCGCGCATTGGCTGGGCCGTCTTTGAGGAGGGCACGGCCATGGAGGAGCTCGTTGAGAGGCTCAACCAGCGCTCCATCGGCGGCCACAAGCTTGCATTCGAGCTCACGATTCGTCCGGCTCAGGGCAAATTGCGAATTGCGCCCGAGCACGCTTGCTCGCTTCGACGTATGGCACAGGATCTCGAGCATGCCCGTGCACTCGTGTCTCTGCTGGAGAAGGAAGACCGCGAGGTGTTGTGGAAAGATGAAAGGGAGGAGTCGGCTGGCTGGCTCGACGTCGACGTCAGTACCGAGATTGAGAGACGCTGCGATAATGTGGGGCTTGGCCTGGGACCCGATCCCACTGCAATCATCCATGAGCTGGCCGGTGGTGGTGCTGGGGCAGGGGTAGAGGGAAATGGCGAAATACTGGACAAGGAACATCGCAGAAAACAGCTTCAAAAGCATCTCGACTTGCACATCGACCTTCTCCGGCAGGTATATCACTGCGACTACTACGGATCGACGCTGTGCGACTTTGCAGAGGAGCTTGCACGTCGCTCACCAAAGTATCTGAGACGTACCCCAGCAGGTGAACAAGAACCGCCAGAGGAAGTCCCAGGTGGAGAGAAGATCTGGGCAGCGAACCTTGATGCAAAACAGGCGTTGCTGTTGCGACCTTCCGATGAAGAGATGGATCAACATAGCGGCAAGTCCGTCGAAAAGGAACTCTTGGCCATGGCCGCTCGTTTCTCGCAGCAAGATGAAGCGGAGAAGCATCGCTGCATTCTCAAAATAGGCGATGGTGAAGGAGCTGAAAAGAAGGAGTGTGGGAAGCCGTTCAAGGCGACAATCTTTGTTCAAAAGCACGTCCTCAACAAGCATAGGGCTCTTTTCGAGGAGGCTGTAGGTGCAAAGACGCTGGTGCAAGACATCAAGTACCTCAACAACTACATCAGAGATCCGGCGAGAGTCATGCCGCTCCAGCAGCAGCAGCTGCCGCAACCGGATGGAGCTTTACAAAACGGAGGAACAAATGGCACAACTCTTCAGAACGGATCGACCCGACTTGGACCTGGAGCCGGCGGCGCTTCTGTGCCGGGCTTGATTCGGATGGGGAATATCAGTGCAGCCACACCTGAAGATGCCCACTACAGCGGTGTTCACGCTCGTCGCCCTGCGCCATCCTCCGGTGCAGGCCCAAGACATTGGAGCTCGTACGCTGGTCGAGACTCTCCCACGCCCCAATGGGATCTCGGGACGGGACGACAGAGAAGCGCTAGCCCGCCTATGCGCATGCCACCCACTTCCGCCCCCGGCTCGCTCCGCGACCGACTCGACATGGGTCCTGGTGGCGGCCGCAACGGCTCTGCGGCATTTGGCTTGGCCCTCGGCCCGCCGGATGGTGGACCGCCGAAATCGCTCGATCCACGGGCGAGACAGGCGCCCAGGAGCTATCAGGACCTCGACGATGGCAGCAACGCCGCCGAAGAGATTGAGCTCGAATATTGAGCAACACTTTCCCTCTCTCTCTTTCTCTGTCGAAGAGGTGTGCACTTCACTTTATGACTTCGCATCCCGGGCTTCGTGCCAGACATGCCTCTGGCACCATGTCTCATAGGAAGCAAGGACATCCTACAGTCATCGTTACTCACAAACATTGTACGATCAAACAAGAAAGTAAAAGGGAGCGTGCGCATGGGAATTGACTCAATGATGGGAGAAAATTGAAAGGTGGAAGTGAAAGAAGTGCACGACATGCTGAGAGAAATGACAAGAGATTGAAACTGAAATGATAAAAAGAGTGAGGGCATCAAGAGTAATAAAGCAACGCAAGGTATGGAAGTAAGAGGGACTGCGAAGAAGGTAAAGATATCCGGGTTGAGAATGTTTTCAGACATTGCTGCCCGAGAGGAGGCTCTCGCTCTCCTCTTCCAGGTTGCTCAGCGGCATGCCAGGCTGATATGGCTGCCGGAAGCTTGGCGGAAGGCTCAGGTCTAGCGGCATGGGCGTCGACTTGTCCTGGCCCTCTTCTCTCTCCAACCTACTGTCTTCCCTTTCCCTCTCGGCATCGACCATGGGCGAGCCACTGAAGGCGCCTGTGCTCATGGCAAAGCGTTGCTGCAGCGACGCGCGTCCGCCGCCATCGCCGCCGTCTTCGGACGTGTCTCGGGAAAAGTTGGACGCAGCATCGTCTGGGTAGATGCTGGGAGCCGTGGAAGAATCGAGCGACGGTCGAGGAGGTGGCTCGGCGTTGGGATCTGCAAGGAGCTGAGGCGAGGAGGGTCGAGGTGCCACGGGAGAAGAGGAGCCCATGTGTGACGACGAGGAAGAGGACACGGGAGTCGAGTTGCTGAAACCTGGGATGGGTGCTTGTTTGGTGGAGGGAGGCGAAGAAGCAGGCACAGGAACCCTTGTGACTGGCTTGGACACTCGGGGACTCGGGCTCGGGCTGACAGGCTCCGCACTGTCCTTTGAACCGTTCCCTGTGCTCTGAGGCGTGAGAGCATTTGTACTTGGGCCCGTGTTCTGAGGTGTGAGCGCACCGACAGGCGACTTGCTAGCGCCACCAAACTTGCTGGCAATGCTCGACACCCTTCCCGTTGTCCTATTCTTTGCAAACGGATTGTCGAGTGGAGCCAGCGTGGAGGGCACCTTCCCACTCTTGCTCGACGATGCAGGCGAGGTGGCCTCATCATCCTGCTTCTTCTTGTCTGCCGCCACCTCGACTGGTGTGAGGTTTGCTCGAAGCTCCCTCGCCCGATCTTGGGCCGCCTTGATCCGCGCTTCGCGTTGCTTCTCACGGTCCTTGAGCTCTTCGGCTGTGCCAAGGACCTTGGGCGCAACGGGTTTGAGGTAAGGCTTGGCCTCGTCTTCTCTCTGCTCTTTCCCTCGTGCAGAGGTCGACGTGGAGGTGGCCGAGATGGCGGACGGAGAGGTGCTCCTCCGTCCATCGCTGCCGTTTGTTCTTCCAGCAACCTTCGGTGGGGTGAGCGATCGTGCGCGCTCGTCTTTCGCCTCATCGTCATCACCGCCAGACAGGTACGACAACTGGCTCTCGCCCGAGTCTAGAGGCATGATATGCATATCGGGACGCGCCACCATCTTTGGGTCCTGCGAGATGCCAAGACCATGTTTGGAAGACGCGGATGAGGGCGCAACTCCCGCAACCTTTTCATGTGACCAACCAGGCGCTGCGACGACTGGTGTCTTTGCTTCTTCGAGGGTCTGCGACCTTGCAACCGATGCTGCAGCCGCAGCGCCAGCCTCAGCCGGCGAGAGCCCGTCGTCAAAGGGCGATCTGTAGGTGGTGGGCGCGTCAGAAGCCCGCCCCGTCGGGGTCCTGGATCCAGCGTCAAAGGAGCTCGATCCCTTTCTCGATGAGTAGTCGTCGCGAGAAGCAACATCTGGAACGCTCAGCCCAGTCGCTCGCTCGCCATTTGCATTACCGAGGGTGTCTGTCTTCTTTGATTTCGCAGACGTCAGATTTCTTGAGTGGCCCATCTCGGCGTCTTGCCCGGCCATCCGGAAGTCATTTGCCTTGAGCATGATGTCGAGCCATGAATCATCCTTGCTCTGCCGCTTCACCTTGCTCATCAGCTTGTTTCGCGATGGGCCGACCAGGGTCACATCGTTGTCCTGCAGGCTCCTCGTGTCAAAGTCTGACGAGCCAAACGATCCGTCTTTCTGATGGTGCGCAGCGTCAGCGCCCATTCGTGGTGGAGACAGGGCAGTAGCGGGCGATTTCGGAGGAGGCAGCGGGGGGGTCAAGATATCTTCGTCACGACCGTGCTTGCGTCGGGTCATAGTCGTCTTCGACCTTAGGGTCGTGAGCAGCCTCTGACCGCCAGAGAGCCCGCCCGCCTCTCCACCGTCGCCATTGGTCCCTGTGGGATCAGACGCGCCTTGCTGCCTGCGATTGGAGGTGAAGCCTCGAGACATTGAATTCGAAGAAGATCTTCGAAGGTCGGGCGAGGCACCGAAGATAGACGTCACAGGGTCCTTGAGGACGATGCGCTTCGTCGGTCCACCATAACCCGCCCGGAAGACATCGTTGGGGTCTTCCAAGATTTGGTTCTGGTGAACATTGGGACCCTTCTTGCTTGAGCGCTTGAAAATGTTGAGCTTCCTGATACTAGGCCTGCTCCGGTTCTTGAGCCTGCCTGCAGCATCAAGCTCGCTGCGGTATTGCTGCGGGACGACTTCCTGGATGACGAACCACGCAGCGTCCGATCGCGGATCTGGGGCGACCGACTGGCCAAATTCGTCGCGAGAAGGCACCACGGCGCTGGTCCTCGACGAAGCGCCAGTGCTCTGCGATCCCACCGTCGAAGGTGTGGGCCGGCTCTTGTACTGGACAACGACGAAATTGGCCCCTCTGTGCGTCACCTCGTCTCGGTTGCTCCAGCCGTTGCCCAGCAGGTAGTCTGCCCAGACCTCTGCGAACACTTCATCCATCTTCGACACGGGCCTTTCGTTCCACTGTCCTGAGGGATTGCCGTCTTTGGAAGGGCTGGCAAGAACATGAGGCGTGGAGTCATAAGGAAACGGCGGCAGGGCCATCGTTCTCTGCCGGAGCTTGTCCATGAGCTCCCGTTTTTCCTCTGGCCACTTCTTGACATCGTCTTGGAGCGAATCGTTAAATGAAAGAACAGAGGCGAGGCCGTCGTCGGCAAAGGAGAAGCCAGACGTCTCAAAGTCGGACCACTGCACCGTCTCGCGCTTTTGTGATCGCGCCTTCCTCTCACTCTCGCGCAAGTCAAAGGCCAGCTTCGACTCATCCGGTGCGGCGAATCCCTGACCATCGCACCTGTCAGCTTCCTGACTACAACTCTCACATTATTCGACGGACTCACCTCAGTCATGAAGTCGCCCCACTCCTTGGAGGCCAATGTGGAGTAAGACTCGATGTCTGGACCCGGGCTGCTTGCCTGTTCCCTGCTGCTGAGCCCGCCATCGTACTTGATCTGGTTCTTGGATCGACCCTGCTTGGCGCTTCCCCGCAGATTGATTAGCTTGCGATACCGATCGGACAGCTGGGGATCCCGGCCATGGTGGTCATCGTCTGTGCAGCAAGCAGCCCACTCTTCAGAAATCTGTCCCAGATCGAACTCGCAGGCCGTCTTTACAAGATCGACACTGTACAGCCTGACTGTTCGCTCGATCGACGTGATGGGCACGCTCTTCACGCCTCTCGACGGGAGAAAGATATCGGACGAGAGCATGTTGGGGTATCCTTGGATGTGCGATGCCAGCTTCGTTGGAAGCGTCTCGAGTGTTCCAGTGTCTCTGATGTAGGCTAGCAGGAGATGCTCAGTAGCGTTGCCAGCCTTGACGTAGGCATCGTACGTCCTTTCAAACGTGTCATCCTCTGGTAGACCAAAGAGGAGGGGACCAAAGAGACGAGCGAGCTTCGAAGGAGGCATGCCGTTTGTCGCGCTGTAGGACGTCGTCGACGAGAGAAGAGAAAAGAGAGCAATGAGTAGGGCGACGGTGGAGGAAGAGAGATCGGTGAGAAAGTGGTTGAATGCTGTCGGCAGATAGCCCGAGGCTAGTTGGAAAGGGATCTGAGCACGCAGTCATAAGAGGGTACTCCAGAACGCAGCACTCACCTTTCTCCTGTTGAGCCCAGGTGTAGTACGAGTCGAGATTGAGGAAGCCCCGCTGCTGGACAAAGACCGTCTCTTCATGCGTCTGCTCGCTCCGTCTGCCCAGTCGCGATTCGACGGGAGGCAGGGGGACGGGGACGGTGAAGACCCTGCCCAGACGTGCCAGGGCCCATTTGATGACGGCTGCCAGGTCGTGCACGTTTGCAAACCGAATGTCGGACGAGAAGGTAGCCGCCAGACCCGGACCTCGACGGTCGGGCGCGCCTTCGGGAGCAGCAGTCGTCGGTGAAGAGAGGAAGGACCGTAGAAGAGAGTTGACATTGTGCAGCGACAGGTCCAAGGCCATTGACGAGAAGATCAAGGGAGAATCGAGACCTGTGATTTGGAGGAAGAGTGAAACAAAGACGGGGTCAGCGATCGCCCAGAGAGACAGGAGGATGTCGTTCTTGTACTCACCCCTCTTGCGAATCTGATCACCACATGCCATGACCAGCTCTGCTGCCCTCTGTTCGTCCATTGGCGCATCCCATCCGACTGTTGAATAGCCATAGAGGGACGGCTCTTGTGTGACACGACCGCTAGGCCCTGCGGATGTCTTCAGGGACGAAGCCTTTGGCAGGACCTGTTTGGACTTTGTGGCCGAGGCGGCGTCGCTGCGATGCCCACCTGCCGGCACTGTGTGGTAAGGGGCTCTCTCATTGACCGAGATGGACGCAAGTGGCCCTCCAAAGTCGTCGTAGTTGCTGACATGTGACTTGGTCCGCTTCGGTTCAAGCTGCTGGTAGTCGGTCGGCATGCTGACTTGGCGCATCTGCTCCATTTGCGGCGTATGCTCAATCTCGACGGCACTGTCAAACGTCGGCATCGTTCCCACTACCGAGCCGTTTTCGCTGTCCCCATGCGGCGGAAGATCTGGTAGTGGTCTGGCATCCTGGCTCGTCGGCGAGAAGTTGGCGAGGTCGTTGGACGAGATTCCAGCGCCGTACCGACCGAGGGAGCCAGTCTTGTTGATATCGAGCTTGGCCTTGGCCGCGGGCCACTTTGAAAATATCGTCGGCATTGTAGAAGCTCTCGCTGTCCTTTGCTGGTGGGAATCCGGTGTTGACTGGTATCGGTATCGGTATCGGGGCGAAGTGAAAGGAGCAGGAAAGAGGGGGTTATCGTGAGTCCGACGCTCGTCTCGCGCGCGGTATCCGTGACAGTGGCTGATCGGGTCTGACGGACCGCCGCTCGGATCACAGGGAACGTCGTTTCGCTCGCTGGCGGTCTTCTGTTGCTTAGTCGGGCACGCGCTTCGCGCGTTGGCTCTGCGACCTGGTCCACGAGCGACGAACGAAGCGAAGACAACGACGAAGTCGGGACAAGCAGCCACGAAGACGGCAAGGCGGAGGTGAGTGAATGGGAAAAGAGGGCACCAGCTAGTCAATACAATTAGACCAGGCTAAGTCTGAGACAGAGCCACACAAGCAAAAACCCTATTCCCACCCCCCCTTCCCACCGCCAGCAACAATACAACAATGGACGAGGCGCGTCTAGAAAGTGTAGTGTGCTTTTAATTAGCCTCCTCATTTGGCAACGAAAGGACGTCAAGACGGTTAAATTGGCACCCGTTCTTCTGTTGCAGCAAGGACGCCAGCGAGGGTTCGACAGAGGGTTCTTTGTTGGAGCAGCTCCTTCTCATAATGTCTTCCTCTGACCACCAGCCTTTTGAGAGAGAGCAATTTGCCATTGACGTTAATATCTGGAGAATGGCAATCGCAGAAGTGTGGCTGTCGCGTGATCCTATCGATCGACGCTCGGGATTCTTTTCAAAGCTGCTGTTGAGATCTCAGAAATCGGATATCACAGGCGACCTGGGGACGGGTGAAGTTGTCTGGGCTCAGCAGCCGCCCGAGGCTGAGAGTAACAGAGATCAGAGCCGCAGTCTTGCGGGAAGGGCTAGGCAAGGGCAAGCGAACCATGTTGAGGAAACAGATCTTCAAATCTCAGACTCCATCTTCCTCCGACCTGACTTGTGCGCACCTCGCTTTCCACCCCGGTCACTTCAACTCGAGGGGGATCATCATTGGCATGTCTGCTTCCTGCGTTAAGTGTCTCAAATGCGCTGGTCGGCAAAGGGGAGCCCGTCGCTCGAAAAAGATCAACGAGACTTAATTGGCCTGAACGAGACGACGCGTGAGGCTTGGAATCCCCAACATCTTTCGCTTCGGCGCCGGGACCGTGTGCATTCTACTTCTGCTTGATCGCGATCTCTCGCAGCTTTGCTTCGCTTTTTTGTCAGAACATTACTGTTTTCTTCGCCCACAAGCCGACGACGACACAGGGGGACATCCAGCCTCTTCCCATCGAAGGTCGAGTGGCAGATAGGCAAAAGTCCTTTATTCGAATCGCAGCGCTATCATTGGCCTGAGCTCGGGCTGAGATAGACTTACTCTCTCCGGCAACGTTGGAAGCGCGTCTTCTTCCCGTCCGTGCCCAGCCCACAAATTCATTATTTCTCTCCCTTTTCCCCCCCTCACCGATTCACATACATCGACCGGCCGCTACAACGATAATGTCCCTGCTGCGATCGTCGACGAGGCCCTTGGCTGGACGGGTCGTGTGCCCGTCTCTGCAGGTCCGTGGGCGAGCATCTGCAGTAGACCCCACACCATTCGAGACGTCGGTGCCCCCCGCCCCGACTTCTGTCCCTTCGTCGTCCTCGGCGGCGTCGTCGTCTTCGTCATCGGCTGCCCGTCGTTCGTGGCGCCGTGCCGAGGTGGCCGAGGTGTACCAGTCGCCGCTGCTCGATCTTATCTTCCGCTCGGCGACGGTGCACCGGGAGCACCAGCCTCGCAACACGATCCAGCTGTGCACCCTCATGAACATCAAGGAGGGCGGCTGCTCTGAAGACTGCGGCTACTGCAGCCAGAGCAGCCGCTACACGACGCCGAGCACGCCGAGCAAGCTCAGCGAGGTCGACGAGGTCCTCGTCGAGGCGCGCAAGGCAAAGGAGAACGGCAGCACGCGCTTCTGCATGGGCGCTGCCTGGAGGGAGGTTGGCGGCCGGAAGCGCGGCTTCAACCGCATCCTCGACATGGTCAAGGAAATCCGGTGAGTGTCCGACTCTTTCCAAGCGATTTAATGCCTTTCACTTATCCCCGGGAATCTGAACTCGTTGATTTAGGGGCATGGGCATGGAGGTCTGCACGACGCTGGGCATGCTCACGCCCGAGCAGGCCATCGCGCTCAAGAACGCCGGCCTGACCGCATACAACCACAACCTCGACACGAGCCGCGAGTACTACGGCAAGGTCGTCACCTCGCGCACCTACGACGACCGTCTCTCGACACTCGAGGCCGTCCGCGACGCAGGCATCTCCGTCTGCTCTGGCGGTATCCTCGGCCTGGGTGAGGAGGAGGCCGACCGAGTGGGCCTGATCTGGGAGATGAGCAAGCTGCCTGAGCACCCCGAGAGCTTCCCCGTCAACGCCCTCGTGGCCATTCCCGGCACGCCGATGGAGAAGAACGAGGTGAGTTCCAAGTTCTGTACTCTATCTCCTTTTCTATCGCTCACGAGAGTCCAAAACAACACCTAGCCGGTGAGCATCCAGACAATGCTGCGCACCATCGCGACGGCCCGCATCGTGCTGCCCACCTCCATCATCCGCCTTGCCGCTGGACGGCAGCTCTTTTCCGAGTCGGAGCAGGCCATGTGCTTCATGGCAGGTGCCAACGCCGTCTTTACGGGCGAGCGCATGCTCACGACGCCCACCACGGGCTGGGACCAGGACAAGGCCATGCTCGACACGTGGGGGCTGAGGGGCATGCGCAGCTTCGAGGAGAAGCGCCTGCACCGTCTTGGTCCCGAGGCCGAGGCTGAGGCTTCGGTACAGGCCCAGGAGGCGACGACCGAGCAGGCAAAGCGGCCAGAGGTCCAGGCCTAGTCATGCACAAGGGAGCTGCAGGTGCACCTTCAACAAGACTTTTGAGTTTGAGGGAAAGAACGGAACAGAGAAGAGGATTTCGATTAGAAGACGAAGAGAGGCGAATGGATTGAAATCAGAAAGATGAAGAAAAGAGAGAGTCCAGTCCGCTTTACGTGTGTCTCTACAGAGCCTTGACGATCTTGACGCTGCGGTCCTCGTGTGCGAGGTAGGTCATGGTGCCCACGAGGGAGTCAAGGGAGCCCTGCTGGGACTTTGGCTCAAAGACGAGAACGTCCTGCCCGTCTTCGAGGAGGAAGTGGCGCTTGGTGTACAGGTTCGCGGCCTCGGACCGGCCCTGCAGGGCGACGGCGCGGCGTACCAGCTCGTTGCCCGAGTTGTCGCAGTCCCCGTCGCTAGTAGTTTCAGAGATCGCGTCAGTCATTCTTCCCTCTCTCTGTTTGCCGTAAGCATGTATCTAGAGTGCTCACCAGTACTCGAGACCCGACGTCGAGCTGAAGGCGACCTGGTACGCATCGCCATCCTCGATGCCCGCCCTGCTGTAGAACGAGGAGAGGGTGCCGCCCTGCACACTGTTCTCGTGGCTGGGCACGCAGCGCGTCACGGCGCCCGCGCCGCCCTCCTGCGACGAAGCGTACGGGTACTCGTCCTGTTTCCGTTGCCCTTGCCTGCTTAGCGCCGTTACTAGAGAAGAAGAGGATGTATAGCAAGACTCACGCAGCTGTTGGAGTCGCTGGGGTTGCCGCTGCAGCGGTTCGGGCTCTTGCACGCGTTTTCTGTGCGGTGCTCGGCGCTGTCGGAGCTGTCGCGGTGCAGCGTCGAGGGCTTGCCGAGGCACTGCAGTGCGTAGCCTATTTGACGCCCGCCCGGCTTTACAGTCAGCCACAAGAGCCAGGAAAAGGTAACACACATTACAGGGACTCTCACAGTCGTTGGAGCAGATGTTGGGCACCTTGGTGCAGTCAAACGTCACCGTCTGGGCCTGCGAGAGCGATGCCGAGGCGAGCATGGCGCCGACGAGGGCAAGGGAGCGGAAAGAGACCATCTTTCTTTTTGCTTCGGCTTGCTTTTGCAAGTGAGGAGGGAGAGGCAGAAGGAGAAACAGATTGAATTCAGAAGAAGGGGAGAGGAGTGTCGAGCAGCCCCCTCTTTATGGTGCAAAGGTACAGGACAGCCTGGTCAACGAGACCAGGGTGCAGGCAAAGATGAGAGATAGCTTCGCGGGCACGGGCACTCGACGGCTGCTTGTGATTGGCCCGCTGTCGGCGGGACGCTGGGAAGATTGGGCCAATGAGCACATGTGGGCCCTTTGTAGCGTCTTCCCGGCGAGAAGAAGAAAGGGGAGACGAGATAGTTGCACGACGGGTTCCTAGCCGTGTCCGAGCTAAAAGCTTTTTGGGCTCCTCCCTCCGAGGGCGAGGAGCTTCGAAACCCCCCAGATGAGTTGGAGAAAGACGCTAAGATACCAAGAAGAAAATTAGGAATCAATAAGTGGAAACAGCGCAGTGCGCCTGCCTTGTTCGCTGCTCGGAGGAAACACCGCGGTGGGTTGAGCTTGGGTCTGAACGTGGACATCTTACTACGGTTTGTCGACCATGAGGGGGAGGAAGCGTAAACAAGAAGAGGCAGTAGGCCGACGGGCAAAGGCCTTTCTTCTAGAAAGAGACGTGCATTCTGTTTCGAGCAATTGTGCCCGTTCGCTAAGTTCGCCGCACCAGTAGTGAGAGCGTGACAGGCGTGCTTGTGCTCCTTTGTCCAGAGTCTGTCTCAGGAGCTGCATCGTGGAAGATCACTAGACCTGAAATAGTAAGCAGTCAGGCACGGGCAAAGGGAGGGCACAACTCCGACATCCTTTGTCACAGAGTCGAGAGCATAGCACGTGCACCTTAATGTTAGCCCTCGTTACATCACGATCGCAAGGTAATCTTGTTCGAGCTCCCTGATTGACAAAAGTGACAAAGAAGAGAGCTACGTCAAGAAGATGCTTCTCGAACCTCTCACGTCAGCCAGCCCCTTCACTTCCAGCTCTCGCGCTCCGGACACACCGAACGGGTCGAGTTCCAATTTCCGTCGGAATCTACGTCGTCAGCTGATGGCGATATATCCGCGGAGCGGAATTTTGTATTTACTTTTCAACAGCCAATTCCAAATCCTTCCCTAGAGCACTCTCATTGTAGGTGCTTGGCATGAAAGTACGGACGACACTATCGCAGCTTTAGGATGGTGAGTCGCGCAGGCAGAACAGTTTGCTTAGAGCTTCAGGACGCCGATCCGCGATAAGCCATCTGCTTACGGCACATGCAGAGAGTGAGCGTTTCGCCCTACGCGCAATCGCGACTTCATCGCAAGCCGATGACAGCCACAAGGGAAGCGGGATTCGGGACTTCCATTGAGATCTATGTAACCCGCTGGGCTTGGTGACTGACTTGCAAGTGGCTGGGCTGACGTGGAAGTGAGCAGGAACCCTGCCTGAGACAAAGGCCAGTGCTCGGCCGGGCCTATCTCCGTGGTGATGGCCGCATCAATTCAAAAAATAAAAAGTCTTTTTAATCCGAGTCCCTTGTCGGAATTTGAGTCCGTTATTCATATCGGGCAGGCTGTGTTATTGAATAGACGCGATAGAATCTTGTTATCGAGTCATTCAATCACAAAAATAAAGGGTCGTGGGTCGCGCGGCAGGTGAAAATCAATGCTGAGTCGAGCACCCCAGCCTTGCCTCCCGGATCCTGTCAACCACCATCCATCCTCCCCTTTCTGCCAAAAGAATAACTCTACCCTCCTCACCAAGACACATCTTCCCAGCTTTCTTCTCTGTTACTCCATCGCCTTTACATGTCTGCGACCGACGGCAACTTCTTCGGTCTCTACGCCTCATTGGCCAGTCGCCTTGACCTAGACCTCGTCAAAAAAGAATTGGCCTCTGCGCCTTCTGCCATGTTTTCGACGCACCCTTACGCTGCTTCGGACGAAGCTTTCGACCAGATGAAGGCCAGCAGCAGCAACAACAACTACGGCGTCGCCGACAAGGCTTCTGCCATCCCCTTCGACTCTCCTCTGGACCAGTCGATGGGTAGCCCCGCTTCCTCGCGCGACTTCGGCTCGCCCACCTTTCAGGACCTCGACTTTGACTTTTCAGGAGTCGCAGACGCTCCTCTGTTTCCCTGCAATGGAACTCAGGAGGAGAGCCACAACAACGGATGGCTCTCAGGCATCCCTCTCTTTGGCGATGAGCTCGTCGCTCAGCCTCGCCTGAGCCAGAGCCAGAGCCAGCAGGCCCAGACGTCGTTCCCTACCGCTTCTCAGCAGCAGCGAGAGCTCGCCAAGTACGACTTCTCCTTCGACTCTGCCCTCCGCCAGGAGCAGCAGCACCAGGCCAAGGTTGACGACACCTTCGCCACCCTCAATGCCCGCGCGCCCTCTGAGCCTCGCTCCGACATGCGCTCTGCCTCGCCCGACACCCAGCCGGCATTCGACCAGTCCTACACTGTCGAGGCCAACAAGCTCGTGCGCGAGTTTGCTCGCTCCAAGAACATCAGCGAGCTCGACATGCTCATCCGTGCTCTCAAGGTCGCTGGCATCAACGTGAGCGACGACGCTGTCCTCGAGGCCATGGCCAGTGCCAGCGTTTCTACCTCGCCTGTCTCTTCGCCTTCGGCTAGCCAGGCCAGCAGCCAGTCGTCGACGAGCAGCCCTCCTGTCAGCCCTGTCGTGCTGCCCACCGCCGTCGCCGCCGTCAGACGCGCCGAGAGCACGAGCCTGTTCACGGACAGCAAGACTCGCTCCTCCATCCAGGCCTCCGCCAAGCGTCAGACCGTCGGGGAGAGCGGACTCCAGGGCAAGCGCTTCGTCTGCGATTCGTGCGGCAAGACGTTTGACCGTCACTTCAACCTGCGTACGCACGCCATGACCCACATCAAGCCCGAGGACCGCGAACGGCCCTTCGTTTGCCCATGGGGCTCCTGCGCAAAGCCCTTCAGCCGCAAGTACGATGCTGAGCGCCACTATCGCTCCATCCACGTCAAGAAGGGCGAGCTTGCCACTCGCGCCGAGATCGAGGAGGCTCTCAGCGGCCGCCACGACCACCAGCACGATAGCGTCAATGTCACGGTCGAGAAGGCCAATGGCTAAGACGCTATTGTGTCTCCTTATTTTGCGGATTTCACGGTGAGCTTCTTCTTACTTCTTCTTGTATCAACTTTTTCTCACCCCGTCTCGACCTGTCCGGCACCTCAGTATAACTCACCACTCAAAGTACACTCGCATGAGTCGCACCCGGAGGCTTCCATCGCCCCATCGCGACCCAATCGTGTCTTTTTAGGACGTCGACGCAAATCTCTTTGCGATGGACGGGATCACACCACTCAAGATCACCTCGATTTTGGAGACGGGTCGTAGCATCATCGACATGCTCCTTGTCTTTTTAGTGTCACTCCCTCCTTGACGTCTTGCGCCACACCACCTCTTCTTCAGCTTTTCGACTGGATGTTTCCCGTGCGTTTGTTGGATGTAGCGGCATTGCTCTCCCTGACGGAGACTTCGACTGCCCTCGTGGCACGGTCTACTTCCTTTGACTCGGACAACCTTTCTCCTGGCCACCCTCTCCAGTAGCCTGGTCTCGCTCCGATCGTTGGACTTCGTCATGTTGCTCTTGTCTCTTTTCCCAACATTCACACCCCACCCCATACTCTCCTATATACTCCCATCCTATCAAAGCTCGGTGTCGGCCTTCCTCTTCTCTTCGTCCGGCGAGGTGCTTGTTCCGCTACTTTCTGCGTCGAACGGCCTCTGCCAATAGTCTTGGTTCAGATAGTAAAAATCCTCCAATCCCTTCATCGCTCCTTTCCACGCTCTCTTTCGCCACTCGCTCCCTTAACTCCCTATTTATGAATGCCAAGAGTCACCTGTTCTCATCAAGCTATGTGATCCTGTGTGATTATCCTCGAGAAGTGCTTCTGGGTCTCGGAAAGAAGGTCGAGAGCATGCACATTCAAAGTGAAAGTTCAGTTCCCATTACGTCTAATGGGAAGGAGTGAAGTACAACAAAGACGAACAAGGGTTCGAGAGACCGCAAGGGCGAAGGGAGTTAGAAAGGACCGTAGTGATATAGCAAAGTAAGAGTAGTAGTAGCAGTAGCACCGTACCGAGGCAGTATAATTGTCCGTGTTGTCAAGAGGTAGAAAAGAGATGAATCAATGAGAGAGGGTGAGAAAAAGTCCATGTTTGAAGTTTTTGAGGATGAGGTGCCGAGCGACCTTTGTTTAGTCGAAGACGTCCCAGCCCCGCCTCGAGAAGCCGGGACCGCCAGACGAGACGTTTGTAGACGAATTCACTCGGCTCAGCGTCCCAGTCGTCGTGGCAGGCGTTGTTGATGCCGAAATTGTGGGCAGGACCGAAGGCCCCGTAGCGCCCGAAGAGGATGCCGTCGATGAAGCCGACGACACCTTTCTCTGAGCATTGAAGGGTGGCGAGGCTGGATTGTACTCTGTAGAGGCGAATGGAATTGGCGAGGCGGCTCGTGAAGAATAAGCGCTGGCCGTGGCACTCGAGATGGCCGAGTGCAAATGGTGGTGAGGGTGGGAGTGATGAAGGTGATAGAGGTGGTGGAGGTGATTGGCGCCCGATGCACCGCCATTATTCGCAAAGTAGCTCAGCTCCGCTGCCGCGTTGTACTGCGATAGCGAGCGTGGCGAGAGCCTGCCAGTGTTGGCTGTGCGGCTGGCAGGTCTCGAGATGGTCGATGCAGCGGCGCTGCTGCTACCAAGCACGAGCGAAGCCGGGCCCGCAGATGACGTCGCCGGGCCAGACATGAGTGGGACCCCTGCACCAGGTCCAGAGGGCGAAGATGGTCGGCTGATTCTCGCAACAAGCATCGGGTTGCTGAAGTTCCTTCGCAAAGGCAAGCGGGACGGCGTCGCTGCATAGAGCTGTCGCCTCCGCTGCCCGAGACCTGCTGGTCCGCGGGCAGTCTGAGCAGCAGCATTTCGCATGCCAAGGGCAAGAGCCAATCGCTGAATGGGCACCAAAAGCAGAGTGGCCACAAGCCCATTCCCTGAGGATCGTCTGCGCTTGTGCCTCGAGCGCCCTCGTGGGTCGGCATCGTCAGACTCGACATCACTGCTCAGTGCAATGTCACCCGAGCTTGCCTCTGTCATGATGTTACCATCGCCAGGAATGCCGCCTTCCTGAGCCTCCTCCATGCTCGCCAGAACGTAATCGCCTCGTGGCCTACGACTCGTGCTCATCAGCCCGCCCAACGAGCCGAGAGGAGGAGGCAAGATGTCTCGGAAGACGGCCCTCCGTCGCAGAGCCTTGGGCCCTCGTCCTCGGAAGAAGCAGCAGAAAAGCAGGATGGCAAACGTCGTCAGCGAAATGAGAGCGACCAGACCGCCGCTGATGGAGTGGCGCCCTGCTCGGATAGGCGGAAGATTAGCCAACGGATCAGAAGGCCGATGCCACGACGGCCGGAATTGGTTCCTCCAGCTGTTGGATTTGTCGGCGCTGTCCGAGGCACCTGCTCCAATTTTGACGCCATTGCTGCTGCTGACGCTGCCGCTGCCGCCTTCGCCACCGGCGACAGTATGCGGGCTGTCCCCAGAAACAATGGCCGCATCAAGAGGCCCGCTTGCGCGAGGGGGTGGAATGTCCTTGCTGGCCTCCCAGACTGCTTTTCCCAGCGTCCAGCTGACAGACAAGCCATCGACATCATTTACGCTTTGGAAGAGATTCTTTTCGTCTGCCTTGTCCTGGGCTTCGTCGGCGTGATGCTTGCCGTCGCCCTTCCCCTTGTCGTCAACGATGCGAGGGATTCCGATCCCCTCGTGGAGCACGGTCGTCATCCATGCGGCCTTGAAGCACTGTAGCTGCAAGCGACCCTCGTCGACCTGTTTGCCGAAAGTTTTGCCCTCCTTCAGCGTTTTGTCAAGCTCCGACCAGGGCTTGTGGCAGAATTCCTGGGCGGCCTTTTGAAACGAGACAAAATCGTAAACGCCTCCCAGGCCGAAGACATCGTTGGACGAGAACCAGTATTCGGATACGCCAATAAAGTGATTCACGCTGAAGTCGATTGGCGGCACATGCACTCCATGGAAGAGGCACGGTGGATGGGAGCAGCTTGCGTGCTTTTCGAGCAGGGGCTCAAGATGCTCGAGACAGTTGGTGAAGGAGCCTGTCCCAATGAGATTGGCGCTTGAAGGTCCGCTCGGGACAGAAAGGCCCGTTGGGAGGCAGGCATCTTTAAGCACCTCGGCCGACGAGGTGCCTTGAGTGAGAGCAGAGACGTAGCGCTCGCGGGCCTTGTTGGTGCCAAAGCCGAGAAATGTCGTGACGAAGACGTTGTGCGTCACGTCGGTTCCGTCGAGCATCCTCAACGTGATGGGCGTGAGGTCCTCCTGTGCTCCGACCGGGTTCTTCTCCGCAGCTTTTGCAAGGGCGTCCTTACTGGGTTCAAAAGCGATTTGGGTGCTGGCGCCGCCCATGTCAAGGAAGCCGTAGGTGCTCTTGCCCTTGGTTCCTTCGGTCTGGCCAGCATCAAGGGCATGGTTGCCCTTGAAGTGAAAGCCGTCCATGAGGTAATTGATCGCAATCCATCCGAGAAGACCTTCCTCTTCGCCGGTGATGACCTGTACATGGTCGGCGCAACCGCCTTGTCCCAATGTGAAGCCAGTTTCGTTTTCGATAAAGCTGCATGTCGCTTCCAATAAGGTGTTGCGCTGGTCCTCGGGCAACAATCGCATGCCAGCCGTTGCCAAGACATAGACTGGCGTATCGGCGAGGGCATGAGAAGGAATGATGGAGCTGGCGTGATCGAAAAGCGGCTTCAGATAGGCGGCTAGTTCCTCGGGCTTGGTTCCAAATGACGAGATACCTGGACGACGTTGGTCTGTCAGGAGTGTGATTTTATTCAGAGCTTCTTCAGACTACCCACCAGGTTCGACCTTGAGCTGCCAATCCTGTCCGCTACCATCCCATGTGCCCTTTTCGACACTGGGGAGCACTTTGACGCTCTCGCCTTCCCTCTCTCTATGCGCCTTGTCTACCCTTGCATCCTTCCACGAATAGACTTGCATCCGCGAGCCCGAAGAGCCGGCGTCAACGACAACGGCATACCTCCTTGCTGCCGACCACTTGAGTGATGCCGGCGATCGGTTTGTCGGCCCTGTCAGCCTCGATGGGCCAGCCTCTGGCCAGACTTGTGCGGGAATGGACATGCTCGAGTCTAGGAAGGGCCCTCCACGAAAAAAGAACCGTCGAAGCTGCTTGCGACGTGTGCGGGGCGCAGCGCCTTGTCTATCTTTTGCTTGAGCGCGTGCCGAAGCCAACGACGGTCCCGCTCATGGAGCAGCTATCGGCAGACAGCGGCGATAACGAAGAGCGGCGGCTCTTGGACTTTTGAGTCGATGCGTTCTATGACTTGACTGGAAAGGGGGAGGGGTCCGTGTCGATTCGTACCTGCCGCCTTTAATAATTTGTTTTTTCCCCCGTCCTTTTTTGGTTTTCTATTTTCTTTTTTCCTTTTTATTCTCCTCCTCCTGACCAAGGCAGGGTCGTCGGAATTGTCGACCACCAGACACGACCTGCCAAACGAGTCTAAAAGAAGCTGAGGAGAGGGGTAAGAAGCCCACGTCGCCGGAGAAAGCTGTCGTCGCTGTACCGTGGTGATGTGTGGTGAGGAGGGACAGACACGATGACCAAAAGGAGAAAGCTGGAGGGAGGCACGAGGGGAAGATCCAAGTAAATAATAAGAAAATTGAAATCAAAAAATACAAAAAATTTCGTGGCGATGAAATGTCGCCATCGAGACGCAAGGTCTTTTCCCGAAATTTTTATTCCTACTTGTTAGTGGCGAAACTTTTTGGCGACGTGCGTGCGACATAACCCCAGATGTCTTGCCTGGCCCTGGCTCCGGCCTGATGCCTGAGGCTGCCTGCTGCACCGCGTCTTATCGGCCTGCCTGATTGTTTCGATGAATGATCGACCGGAAGCGCTCGATCGAACAGAGTACCTGAACCCCGGGGATATTATTCTGCATGTTCAGGCTGGCACAAAAACCGGGAGCGGGTAGGCGGGGGAGTGTCTGTATCTGGCCTCTGTCTCATCCCTCTTCAGCAATCGATAGCCAGAAAAAGACAAGGAGGAAGTTTACAGCTGGACAAACTAAGATTTTGGCTGTCCAATGGCCGGATGCTGGCCACGACATTGTCCGCTACCGTCGATGAGCTCGCCTTCTCGTGTGTGCAGCCTTGACAAGCAGCCTTGACGCCCCATGTCTGATCAGCTCTATGGATTGTATCCCGCGTATCGGTTGTGGAAGAGTACCTGACTATGGACAGCATGCAGGTAGCCACCTCTCTGGCATCTCTTGTAACACACTGCTTTGAACATGAATCAACCATTCTCGCAAGCAAAGAAGATAAAGAGGGCAACTACAACAAAACAAGAGACCAGAGACATGTATGAAGAGATAGAAAAAGGGATATTAAGCTGCAATCTTGCGAATCGTCCTCCGGTCGCCATGCCCCGCAACGCGGACCTGAGCTTCGGACTCGAGCTCCCGCACGACGTTCCACAGCTCGGTGGCGTCCGTCTGGACGGTGCTCTGTTCGTTGAGCTGGCGATGAACCTCATTGTAGCGCACGGCCTTTGCGCCGCCTTCGGCGCCTGCACCGCCCCCGAGCCGGTCGAGGAGCACGAGGATCTCGCGCTTGAGGTCGCCAGCCATCTTGCGCTGCGCCTGTCCCTTGCCAGTGTTGATGAGGTCCAAATCGATGAGGCCCGTCGTAGGGTCCGTCGCGCTCGACTTGGAAGCCTCGCGGATCAGCCTGAATGCCTCGTCAACGTCGTCGACGGTGACGTGCTCGCTCATACGCATGCGCGCGTGCGCCTCCGAGAGCCGGATGCCAGACTCGAGCTGCCGCGTCGTCGCCGTGATGCGCTTCTCTGCGCTCCGTGGATCGGCGCCGCCCGCCTTGCGCAGCTCCACGTAGTGATTCGCCAGTGCCTGGCCAGCCTCGGCGGTGATGACGGGGTTGATATGGTTGCGCGCATAGGAGATGTAGGCGGTGAGCGTCTCGACAGGCAGGATCTCGTCGCTGTTGCCGTTGTTGGGAGTGTCCTCGAGGTAGAGTCCAACCAGGTGACGGGCTAATCGGCGATCTGACTGCTCGTCGACCTTGTCCAGGACGAGGTAGACGAGGTCGAACCTCGAGATGAGCGTGGGGGGTAGGTCGATGTTTTTGGTGATAGGCAGCCGGATGTTGTACTTTGATCCGACGGGGTTGGCGGCGGCCAGGACCGAGGTACGAGCATTGAGCGTCGTGATGATGCCAGCTTTTGCGATCGAGACCGTCTGCTGCTCCATGACCTCGTGCAGCACACTCCTAGTGCCGTCATTCATCTTGTCGAATTCGTCGATGCAGCACACACCACCGTCGGAGAGAACCAGGGCACCGCTCTCGAGGACGAGCTGCTTGGTGTCTGGGTCTCGCGTGACGTAGGCCGTGAGACCGACGGCACTGCTTCCCTTTCCAGACGCATACACGCCCCTGGGCGCAATCTTGTGCACGTACTGGAGGATCTGCGACTTGGACGTGCCCGGGTCTCCCACCATGAGGACATTGACGTCGCCACGGTAGCGGGGCCCACCTGCACCTCCGCCGGTGCCGATTGTCTTGTTGGTGCCGCCAAAGAGCTGGAGAAGGATTCCTTTCTTGACGTCGTCCATCTCGTAAATGCTGGGGGCCAGGCTCCTCGAGAGAACATCGTACACGTCGGGCCGGTCAGCGATGCTCCTCAGCTTCTCCTCGAGCGACTGCTGCTGCGACTGCTCTTGCTGCTGCTGCTGCTGCTCGTCACCATCGTGCTGCATCTGGGCAATGCCCGCACTGACATCGATGTCCTCGTCGTCGTCCTCGCCGCCCACACCGACGGTCTGGCTTCCCCTGGCAACAGAGAGGCTCTTCTCCGTCTCTTGGCGCGTGCTGGCATCGACGCCGAGCCTTTTTGCGTCGCCGCGCTTGATGTGGACGACATCGAGGAACGTCTTGAAGAGGCTCTTCTGCGACCGCATCCGCGGGTTGACGCGCACAGCCTGAGACCGGAAGATGGCCGTGATCTCGACCCGGTCACCTGGCTTGGCCACATCCACCAGCTCGTCGTACACGCACAAAGTGACGCTGTGGGGAGTCTGGCCGTCGGGAACCACGTCGGGCGTCTCCTGGAGGCGGACGACTTGCCGGTCGGCAAAGTCGCAGCGGTTGTGGATGAGAGACATGGTGCCCTTCTGGTTGCAGCTGGTGCGCGGGCAGCGGTCGGGCTCGGCAATACGACCCTGGTGCAGCTCGACCTCGACGTGGTGGTGGCAGACCAGGCAGCGGAAGAAGGCCTTGCGCATGTCGGGGATGATGGGCGTGGCACGGATGACGAGGCCGCGCACGGTGACCAGCTGGTCGATGTCTGCTCCAGCAACCGTCAAGCACATTCAGAGTCAGCTTCTGCGTCTTTTTGCCCTCATCTGGACAGTGAACACACTCACCGTTGGGGTTCAGGTCGCGCATGTTGATCGAGTCGAGACCAAACACTCGCACCTTCCAGACGCCACTCTGGACGACGTCGATGATGGCCTGGCCGGCCTCGCCGCGCATGCCGTGGATGCCGGCATCGCGATCGTCATTGGCCAGCTGGATCATCTCGTCCTTGAGGACCTGGTCCATGAGCGGAATCATCTCGCTCGGGTACTTGACCAGGTTCAGGGCCACCTTCCTCGTCGGACCAAACGCGGCCAGGTCGGCGACGCGGACATTGAGGCACGACTGGTCTGTCTGGCGCATCTGGCGCATGTAGCCCTGGTAGAGGAGCTCCTCAGCCTCGGCGTGCGTCTTGCCGGCGCCTGCGGTGGGGTGACCATGAGCACGGAGATGGGCCCAGCGGTACTTGATGCGGAAGCTGTGAAGAAAGGCGCGGAAGTCGGCCTGGGTGTCGACGATGGACACCATGGTGCCCCAGATGACGCGGCTGTCTTCGTTGCCAGCATAGGCGGCTGGGTCCGTCGTCAGTGCTTGCTGCGAGAGGGTGAAGTCACTGCGAGCGTATTCTCCATCGGAGGCGCTGCTGCCGGCAGCATGAGCACCAGCACCAGCACGAGCGCCAGCACCGACGCTCATGTTGTGCTGGCGACGCTGAGCGGCAGGAGAAGACTCGGTCATGGGCCTCAGCTCGCCGCGGGCATTCCGAGGCGTGGAAGAGGCGCTGGAGCTGCAAGAATTGTGTGCATGGTGAGCAAAGCACTAATAAAGGCTCGCGAGTAGGTATGGGGGACTCACCTGGGGAAAAAGAGGGGCTCGTCACCACTCATCAGGCTGCTCGAAGGCGCACCTCGACGCTGACCGCCGCGGTTACCCGTTGGCGTCTGCAGGATGCTGCGACGAGAACGTCCCGAGGGAGACGACGAGGGGAAATGAAGAGGAGAAGATCCGCCTACGTGATCCAAGTCAGCATTACGTTCATTTTCTGGTGGTCTTGACAACCAACACCCACCGGGCGCTCCTGAGCTTGCTCGAAGCTGCTGGCGACGAGCGGCCCCCGAAGAGGGGACGCTCTTGGCCGGGCTGCTCGAGGGAAAGTTGAGCGGCGAGGCTGCATCAGCCATGTCTGCGTCCGAAAAGGGGCCGGGGGTCGACATGGTCGTGGTGAATAGCGGTGTTCGTCGTTGGTGGTCTCGTGTTGGCTCCTTTGCTCCCTCGAAGCTCTCCCTCGGTGCTCAAGTTTTGACGCGTTAGATTAAATGGACGTGTCGCGCGCGTTGGTGACAGATTTGTTTTGTCATCCATCGCTCGCACGAGCGCGAGTGGACGCACGGGACCAGTAAGTCGTTTTTTGCACCATTGCTCCACCACGAACAGGAGCAACAGAGGGTCAATCTCCATGACGACAGGATGCCGTCGTTCAGCTGCCAGAGATGCAAGCAGCCAATTCACCTTCCCGCATCGCTCTCGGACGATGCGGCGATGGGCGGTGCGCTGACGCAGTCAGCCTACGATGTCATACAAGCTGAGTCGGTGCTGGTCCGTCGGCCAAAGGCAGCTGCGCCCTCGGAGCTCGCACCAACGAAGGAGTCCGACGAGGTCCGGCCGACAAAGACAGAGGAAGACCGGGAGCGTGATCCTCAGCACGAGCAGGGAACCCTTTCCTCTCGTGTTGCCATCACGACGTCGCTGTTCGATTTGCTGTCTTCGACGGTGCCTGCGCCCCTACAGTCGTCTTCCTCATCTGACTCCCCTGCTTCGTCGGACTCTTCTTCGCCTCGCCACTCGCGGAGGCACAACCACGTCCAGAAGCAGGCACTTCTGCCGCTGGGAAGCGCAAGTGGGGAGACGGCGGCACTAGCGGCAATCGACCACCCACTGTGCAAAGAATGCACCGACATTCTCGTCGACATTATCAACTCCCAGCTCGGGGAGCTTCGACGTGAGCGAGACGCCTACCTCGCCTTTGAAGATGAGATCAACAATGCTCCTCGGCGCTCACTGTCGAACTCGCGAGAAGAGCAGCAGCAGCAGCAACAACAACAACAACAGGGAGAAGCAGATGAAGAGTCGCGAGGGGCCGAAGAGGATACGCAAGCTATCCGCAGCGAGATTGAGCGTCTGGCCCATGTCGCCGACGAGACTCGTCGAGAGCTGAGCCGCGCGCAGGAGGAGCGCCGCAAGGTCGATGCCGAGCTATCGCAGCTGGATGAGGAGGAGCGCAAGCTCGAGGAGGAAGAGCGCGCGTTCTGGCTGTCCTACTCTGACTTGACGCTGCAGATGAACAGCGTTGCAACGCAGCGGGCCAGCCTCGAGACGACGCTCGAGCACGACACGGCGCTGCTCAAGCGCCTTCAAAGGACCAACGTCTACAAGGACGCCTTCTGCATCGGCCACGAAGCAGGGTTTGCAACGATCAACGGTCTCAGACTTGGCAGGCTGCCCAGCCCGGCGAAACCTGTCGAGTGGGCCGAGATCAATGCGGCTTGGGGCCAGACAGCCCTGTGCCTGAGCACGCTTGCCCGCAAGTGCAACTTTACCTTTCAAGAGTGAGGCACCTTCCCCTGTCAAGACGTGGACTAGACTGACGAGAGAACATCTGAACTTTACAGCTACAAGATCTGCCCAAAAGGCTCCTTCAGCACTGTCGAAAAGGTACCCGCACAGGGCAACACAGCCTCGGGTGCTGCCACCGCCACTGCGGCCGCCGAGGTGTACGAGTTGTATGGCTCCGACTCGGCCATGACGCGTTTTCTCCAGCTCCACTCGCGCCGCTTCGACCACGCCATGGTCGCCTTTCTCGACTGCGTCCGCCAGCTCGCCGACCACGTCGCCGCGACCTCCGCCAGAGCGGAGGCCGGCGACGGTGGTGAGTTTCGGCTCGCGCACGAGATCAACAAGGATAAGATCGGCGGCGCGTCGATCCGGCTCCACTTTGGGGCTTCGGACGAGGTGTGGACGAGGGCGCTCAGGCACCTCTTGCTCAATCTCAGCCTCCTCCTCAACTGGATCACAGGCAAAGACGACGATGATGTTGATGAAGGACGTGAACGAGTGTAGTCCAATCTGTACCTGTAGCTCGATATGCAAGCATACCCAATACCCACATCTTTCTGTTCTGTTTCGTCAAATTCTCAAGACTTGCCAAACGTCAAGGAAATGGTCAATGGTTGGCGGGTAATTGAGGACTAATGATACATGTTGCTGTGCTAAATAATTGAAGAAAGAAAGAAAAGGGTAGAAGAAGCCAGCTAGTCGACCAAGATGGAGGCTTCGACCAGTCGGTAGGCTTTGTCGGAGCTGAAGGCTCTCCCCTTGGAATTGGCATACCAGCGCTGCACTCTTCTCGTCGGACCCCTGATCCAGGCCGAGACAATGTCGACAAGGTAGGCCTCGCTCGCAAATGCAAGAATGGCCTGCACGACGACGACGGCAAAGACGATGCCGAGGAAGCGGGGCGCCTCGATCTCGTCCTGGAACCCAAAGAGGTCAAAGAAGGGCCCGGCGGTGGCAAAGACAAAGTAGACGTTGAGCGAGGCAATGACGACAATGGCGAGGAGCAAGGGGTAGTTTTGGAACAGATATCTCCGGTGCGGTGGGCCCCAGTTCCAGATGGTCGCAGCAAAGAGATAGGTGAAGATGGACGTCTTGAAGAGGATGGTGTTGTCCATCGTTTGCAGATCCAGATCGTCGGGCGCGAATCGTGGTGGCTTGTAGAAGTCCTGGCGGTGGAGGATGAGATAGGTTGTCGTTTGCGCTAGGACAAGAAGGACGAACTGGGAGAGGAGCGAGATGAGGTTGCGTCGCGACATGAGCCGGCCCTTGACTCGCTTCGCGCTCAGAACGGGCGCGGGGCACGAGAAGCTCATGCCAATCGCAAAGGGAAAGACGAGGAAGATGTCGATGTAGAGATAATCGGCATTGGTGAACGATGTCGAAAAGAAAGGGGCGCCATAGAGGAGAAGGACCGAGAAGTACTCGCACAGCGAGTAGATCATCATAAAGTCAAAGAGGGCCAAGCTCGTCGTGATTGCGTTCCTGCCCTCCCTCAGCAGGCAGTCCACGTTCCTAATGTCCTTGGTCGTGAATGGCGCGGCCACAGAGGCCTCGGCCTCACTGAGACTGAGACCGACGTCGGCGCTGCGCAGCGCACCCATGTCGTTGGCTCCATCGCCCACCATGGCGACTGCATAGTCGAGAGCTTGGAGCCTCTCGATGAGGTCCTGCTTTTGTTCTGGCGAGAAGCGAGCAAAGACGGTGCCTTTCACAAGAAGGCGGTCCATAGTCTCCTTTGCGGCGTGGTCCACCATGTATGCGTATGTCTCGCCCGACACGGCCAGGCCGACGTCGGCCAGCGCCAGCTTCCTCTCTCCCGCTGTACGAAGGCGTGGCTGGAGCGAATATGCATCGAGGGTCGCTCCTTCATCGGCGATGTCGACCCACTCGACCTGGGAAGCCGCGGCAGCATTCTTCTCGCCATCGCCATCGGAGTCGCCCTCCTCATCTTGCATCTTTTCTTTTTCAGAGGAAGATGGCGCTCCACTGATTCTCGCCATGTAAACGGGCCCATTGGCATCGACGAGACCGGCCTCACGGGCCACGGCAATGGCCGTCAAAGGCGCATCGCCTGTGCACATCTTTGCAATGATGTTCCCTTGCTTGAGCAACCGCACAGTCTCCGCGCTGCCCTCCTTGAGCTTATTCTCAAACACAAGCAAGCCCAAGAAGCGCAAATTCGACTCCGCGTTGGCCCTACACGCCGCCGGGTACGTCAGCGATCGTAGAGCATAGTACTTACTGATCACGGAGACACTCACCGACTCATGCCCTTGACTTCGTCCCAGGACCCACCCTCGAGAGTCTTTCCCGCAAACGCCAGAACCCTAAAGCCGTTGTGGGTAAAATGGTTGAGGACCTCGTCGTACTTGTCCGGGAACGAGCTTTGGGCATAGAGACCAACGATTGCCTCTGGGGCACCTTTGACATAGACGGTCGCGCCCTGCGCTTGGTCGGAGCCCTTGACGATGACGCTCATCCTGCGCAGCGCCGAGGAGAAGTCAAACTTCTTGCAAATGGCCAGCTTCCTTGCGCCCTTTGACACGACTGACACGTGGGCCGGCTTGGCATCCACAGTCAGGGCTCGGCTACCATCGGGAAGGTAGAGCGGGACAGGCTCTTCGGACAGGTCGGCTTCGGTCCACTTGAACATGGCCGCCTCGAGTGGCTCTCCCAGCAGGCTGCCTTCGAGAAGGTTGAGGTCGTGCGTTGTAGCGAGGGCATCGTCAATGGAGCAGCTCCTTTGGCCTTCATCGTTTGAGAGTTGCACCTGCTCCTGTTCTACCGCCTCTTCCAGAGATGCATGGGACCTGTGCGGCTCTGCAAAGTCCTCCTCTGCCAAAGGGGCACAGACGCCGAGAACGGCGAGGCCTTCCTCTGTCAGCGTGCCCGTCTTGTCAAACACGCAGGCGGTAATCATGCCGGCGACATTGATGCGCTGGGGAGACGTGCAGTAGATTTGCTTGCGCTTCAGCCGGACCAGCGCAAACGTCACGGCAATGCTCATGGCGGTCGGCAGGGCCGGAGGGACGGCGATGGTGATGACGTCCAGCGAACGGAGCGCGATTTCTTCGGGGTCAACGCCGATGTGGACGAAGTAGACGGCAGAGGCAATGACGCCCATCATGGCCTACAGGTGGGACGAAGAAGATTAGCGAAAAGGTAGGCAAGCTGAGTGAAGAAGCGCAACTCACAAGGATGAAGAGGCAGCCGATAGCCATGAATGCATCTTTGAGGAATTTGAAGTTGAACTTTTTGGGAAAGAGCATTTGTCGCACGAGACCGCCCTTCGCCGTGTGGAAGCCGGTTCGAACGACGAGAGCCTTGGACTCGGGCGACGTGGGCGAGGCGGGACGGGCACGGATGAGCTTGGTGCCCCCGAAGAGGGTGTGCTTCTCGGCCTTGCGAGAGTTGGGGCCGGTACTCGAAGACGAAGTTAAGAGGGAGCGAGGCATCGCCGTCTTGACGACGGGCACCGACTCGCCGGTGAGCATGGCCTCGGACGCGATTGCGTCGCTCTCGAGGAGGATGACGTCGCAGGGAAGCACCTCGAGCTGGCCACCAGATTCCGCGCTAGCGGCCACGTCGACAATATCACCAGGCACCAGATCGGTGCTGGGCACGATACGCCAAGAACCTTGTCGGAGGACGCGTGTGTCGCAGCAAAATCGGCTCATCTTTCGCAGCCGGTTCAGAGACCTCTTTGTCTCAATCGTCGCAGAGGTGATGCCGATGAATGAGACGACCAAAATGACGATGGCATAAGGAACGTAATCGTCGTTACACCAGAGCACGACTGAAGCGATCTGGAAGATGTAGAAAGGGTGAAGGACTTCGTTGATGAGGATGGAGAAGATGCTGTTCCCCCTGACATCGATGACGTTGGGCCCGAAGAAGCGATGAAGCAACGCATGTTCCTTGTCCGTAGAGAGCCCCTTGATGTCCTTGCTATCTACTTGAGCCAGCTGAGCCCAAGCAGGGTCCTTCCAGTCGGCCTGAGTGAGGAAACGACCGCAGGGATGCAGGACGAAGGTGATGGAGCGGTAGTCGAGCACGCGTACCTCTGAAACGGCCTTTTCCTCGTACGACGACCGATCCACTGGCCGCGGCTGGTCAAGCGCATTGGCTGCAGGAACCAACATCGAGCTGGGAAAGAGGTAATCCACAGCGACCTCCTCGGCCAACTTCCTCGTCTCGAGCAAGCATAGCAGTAGCGGTTCGTGACGCGTCTTGACGGCCACCCAGATTTGGCCTTTGCATTTTTGCAGCGACGCAGACTCGAGCGACGTGGGGCGGCAATTCCATCGGAGCCAGATCCTCGGCCACCAGAATGCGACAATGAAGAGGATGCCTGCACTCAAGAGGCATCCGAGGTACCAAAGGACGCGGCGGGTGATGCTGCGGTGGTAGAGGCTCAGACCGACGACGAGGTCGTCGGAGGCGAGATAGAGCGACTGGCAAGTCAAGTCATCATCGTCATTGTAGTCGACTGCACCGGCCTTGTATAGATCCACCTTTGTCGTCGCGGTTGGTGTTGAAGACGTCTGCATGGCAGGCGTCTTGGGAGCAGCCGCCGTCAGCTCGGCCTTTTCGTCGATTTCAATCGCCATCGACGACGAGCCTTCGTCCATGGTGCTTCGCTGGTTGCTGCTACTGCCCCCACCTGCCGTTCCGTCTGCGTACGATGAAGAGCCATCGTGCTGGGCTTCAACGGTCCTTTGCTTCTCCTCGACGACCACCGTCCGAGGGGCATTATCGGACTGGAGAAAGACGAAGCGATCCGTGCCCTTGCTGTCGGGCGGGGAGGGCTCCACAGGGTGCGAATTGGACATGATAAGCTCTCCTGTTCCCGCCTTTCTTCGCTCTTCAGCGTCAGGTGGTCGTGTGAAGCCAAAAGGAAGAAGTGAAGCACTGGTTCGAAGGTCAATTGGAATCGGAGGAACCACCAA